AAGGACTCTCTCATAAACTGAGAAGCTCGGGCATTTTCAAAAATTCCAATGAGATGGCACCATTTGCTAGAGCCTTCTCCCTTAATAAATCTCTATTCAGCTTCATTGATGTTGGCAGTGGCAAAGAGAGAGCTTGTTGACGGGTGCTCGCTTCCTCGAGAGGTAGTTCTAAAGTTTAGGAAGGCATTGAGGATGATGCTGCGATTTTGGATAGGCACGGGTAATTCTGAGAAAGCTGCAGAGTTGGCTCCGACCAAAGATGCCAGACTCGATGGAGTGGCTCTTTGGCTGTAAATCTGAGAGTTTTCGGAAGAAAAGGCGTCATTGGGGAAAGTCTCGATGGCGTACGAGGGAGGTCCGACAGGTACACCGAAACACTTAGACTGTTCTTGCCCAACATGCAATGCAAGCACGTCATCTTTGGAGGATGCCACGACAACGGATATCTGCCTACCCTCGATCCATACAAGCGCGATCAGAACACGGCCCCTCGCATCAGTCTGCTAGAAACTCTACCTATTCAACCTGGCTTCACTCAGCTCGGCTTTAAGGTTGTACAGTTCCCTACAGTCTTCAGATCGGACCCACTACCAGACAGGCCTACCATCCCGATTTTCGTGCCTTCTGCAACAGCTGGAGCCCAGCCTAGCTCTGTGTTATCTAGCCGAAGCAATTCACTCGCCACCAATGGTGTGGCGCCTACCCCGGCACAAGCAGCCGCAGCCAATTTGCCCAAGGCCGCCACCCCTGTCTCTAGTGACAGCTCTTCATGGGCAACAGTAGGCAAAGGCGCACCCAAGACAATCAACGTCGCAAGCAAAAAGGCAGCAAATCGAAAGTTCATCCTCCTCAATGCTTACGATGAACGCCTCGACTCTGTGTTGCCACGAGCCGATCCAGCAGCCACCAACCGCCTCTCTGAACGCGTGAAACACAAGAAAGTCTGCAACAACTACCACCTCAATGGCAAGTGTGAAGCCGGCAAGTACTGCGACTACGACCACGGCGAGCGCCTGAGTCCTGGCGAGCAGTTAGTTCTTAAGCAACGTGCTCGTACTCGAAGTTGTCCAGATCGTGGCGGCTGTCGGGACTTTGATTGCACCAATGGACATGTCTGTCCCTATGGCAAGGATTGTTACCACGATGGTTGTTGGTTCAGGATGTACACGATGTTGATATGGTGAGTTTTACAGTGCCTTTTGCTTATGCTTTTGAAAGTACTTCGACCACATGCTGATTATGTTTCACAGAAACCCGTATCCAAGTTGTTTGAGGATGGTGAGCAAGAATGGAACTTGAAGTAGATGCGATCGCGTACGGTTGTGGTAGACCTTTGAAATCGAAGTAGAAAGCATTTGCTCGACGTCTTGAAGTGACACTTTCGGTTGTCAACTTAAGTCTGAGCGATTCACTTGGCGATCCACTCAATCTGTCTCATCCCTTTGAGAAGAACGTCGTTGTCAGATATCAGTGAAGACACTTTTGGTCATGTGTCGTACAAATATACGTTCTCATTCGTTCTTGACCTTCAAGAGGTGATCTAAGCATAATAGTTGGTCCTAAGTCCTGGCGCATGGGAATCATTCGAATCGCTATCGCTCCTCTTTGGCTCGGCCTCAGCACGGACAGCCGCCTTTCTGTCTCTTCTACGCTTGGATTCGCCAACAAAGATGCTGATGATGTAGACAAGATATACGATACCAGCAACGACACCGTAAGCGATCTCGCCCTTGCGCGAGCTGCAGCGGGTTAGCGTCAGATACAATGCAAAGGATATGAAGACAAGTCTTACTTGTTTGCGAGATCAAGTCCAAGACCGCCGTTGATTATGCCGAGAGTGATGATGATGCGACCAAGCCAGATGTGAGCGTGCGACCAGAATGTGCGGCGCTTGTACTTCTTGAAGAGGCGATGATGCATATAACCAAGAACAGGCTGAAAGAAGATCAAGATGAAAAGCACAATACCGATGACTGGATGAGCTTGATCGAGCTGCTGAAGTTAGACCGGAATCAAGACTGCATATGCTCTCTTTGCGTTGACATACCCTGTGGATCTGTGTGGCAAGATAGATACCAATTCCGAATGCCGCGATGAAGAGGAGATACGCAACGACCTGAACGATGGCATGGAACCAGAGAAGCCCTGGGAAGCTGAACAACCGAATGCTAATAGCACCAAAAGGAAAGAAAATGACGAAGGCCAGCGATGCAAGAACACCATGAGCGATCATAGCGCGTTGAGCCTTCTCGAAATCACCGCCGAATGGGATCGAGAAGCCTGCAGAGCCTTGACCAAAGCCTGACCCGGACGACCCGTAGGAACCAGAGCCGTATCCTGATGAGCCAGAAGAGTCGGATCCAGAATTAGAGTCACCGCCTCCATTCCATCCCCAGGCATATGTGGAGCCTGACTTGAGAATCAGCACTGCAATTTGCCATGAAAAAGCCACAACACCAACCTAAGCTCAATGTGATAGCTGCAAGTGTTGATAGAAGTCCCATTCTGAAATCTATGCGAACATATGAATCCAAAGACTCAAAGATTGAAGAGGTGGGCAAGACTAGCTTATAAGTCTACAGCTAAGTCATACACTAAGAAAGGCTGTTGGATGTGAGGTAAGGCAAGCAGAACGAACACTCAGCCTCGCGGTTACGGAATCATACCAATCTTTGTATTCTGAGGTCCGAACGTGATCAGCGAAGTAGATGACTACGCCCAGTCTCAGATCAGGAGCCATAGCATGGGTACGCATGCACAATGGCGTAGGCTGTCTCCAGTACTGCGCCTTCGATGGAGTTTCGACTTATCTTTCCCTGTCCGAAGGCTGGTAGAAGACCGACGGATTTTCAAGGGTTGGTGGGGATCCGAAGACCGACACTGGATACTTGAACCCCGGCCACGCGTACAACATGACCTAAGAAGACCTCTGTCCCAGGACATATCCTTCGTGCTTCTTGGCAGAACCATTGACGTGGTCAGCAATAGTGACTATGTTGTGGACCATGAGAGCTGTTTTATCTCGGGTCATTGCTCGTTCGCCAGAACCATATCTGCCTTCGGGAAACTCTGACAGGAGTAGCACAGTCAAGCAACATGGCGACCCGGATCGGTTTTCGATCCTCTTTGGACCTTTTCCTGTACCACAGTGAAGACGGCCAAGATGTCATGAATTCATGGTCGCAGAAGCCGTGGTCTGCACACGTCGAAATAGAGTGTCGTTTCACCGTTGAGAGACCCACACGGCAGCCACCACACAAAATGCGGGGATCGGCGCAGTGTCACCTTGCACCTCTCCTGCAGGGTCAAGGGAGACGTCTTCTCTTTGATAAGTCATCAATTGGCCATCGTCATCTCTCATCAGCAACATGGTATCGACTCGCAATCACCCACAAGACTTCCCTGCGCAAGGGTCCACTGAATTGACTCCACAGACACCATTGAGAGGTAACTTGTCTTCAATGGCATTGCAAACTCCCGCTCAGAAAGGGGACAACGACCAGGGGTCCTGGTCTCATACACCGTCGCTTCTCACTTTAACTTGGCTTGCCATCTCGTTGCCGTTGGTCATCTGGGACACTGGCTATGTCTTCCTTCGTCCACACTCCATGCCTGGAGGCAAATACCAGAAGCCTCTGTGGGTGCCTTATGAGCTCTACGGTCAGGTTGATCACGTTTACGGCTGGCCTGCATACAACTCGGGCAACGGGTTCACCGCTGCTCAGTCTGCTGTGAATGTCATCGAGTGTGTAGGTTATTTCTACTATCTCTACCTGCTTTGTGTTCACGGCAGGACCGAGAAGAACGTCCAGGGCACTGGCGCTCCTGACCAGCAGAAGATCGGAAAACTCGCACAGAGTCGAACTGTGTACGGAAAAGCTGCTGCACAGGCCGCCGTTCTGCTGTACGGCGTTGCTCTCATGACGTTGAGCAAGACCGTGCTGTATTGTATGTGACGCCGAATCCAAAACGCATGTCAATTCTAACAGTGCTGGTAGTGCTCAACGAGGTATTTTCTGAATTTGCCCATATCGGCCACAATGACGCCTCGTCCATCTTCTTCCTCTGGGCTCTCCCCAATGGTGCCTGGATCGCCCTTCCAACATATCTCGTCTACGTTTCTGCCAAGGAAATCATGGAAGGCTTACAGGTTGCTGTGAGCAGCAGCAAGAAGACTCAGTAAACAACAACTCGATACTTCTAAACGCTCCAGACAAGCCACCCGCGGCAGCTGATGCGAATTGACATGGTATGCTCGAACCACAGATCGGATGTGTCGCTGTCTTTCGAGGTAGACGTTCGGTGTCAGAGTCACGCGCGCTAGGCTTTCGGGATATCAGACCCTGCCCATCCTGTCTGATCATCCGTGCTCCCGCAACTTACTATTTACCCTTGTATACTATGTTTCTTTGTGTCCTCCTGTCCCCAGCCAAGGACGGTGCCCCGCCTTCTCGCCTGGTGGAGTGGCACATTTGGCTGGCGCCGACACTCGACAATCCCCCGGTCGCGAGTTCAATTCTCCGACGGGCGGACACATTTACAACTGGAGCTGGGAAATAATAAGGAAACGCGGAGGCTGCCGGTTTCTTTCCACCTGGAGGGGGTGGTTTCTTTTGCTCCTTGGTCGGTCAGTATCCTTTTTGCTACAGTCAAATCGTGTTTTCTTCGGTTCGATTCTGCTGTGTAGACATGATGTTTCATGCTCGATTTTGCTGTTGCGGCGTGTCCTTCTACGCTCCGTAGTATGTACCTCGTGGTACCACCATCGCGTTCTCCTTTTGTCATCTTGTCGTGCTCTCCTGTTCTTCATATCTCCAATTTCTCATCATCTCCAGACGTTGCAATCAGGACGCGCATCGCCGTGCAATCCCCAGACCGATATTTTGTCATGCTTTGTCACCTTCACCACGGCCGAGCATCCAAACGGATCATGGCACCGACCAACTTCGCTCTCATCGACCACCTCTATTTGATACTCGCAAGCTTTTGCAACTTGAGTATGATTCATCTTTAAAGATCTATGAGATAAGACATTTTTGGACGCGGAGTGGTAGACTTTGGAGATGTATCTTGAGAGGGTATTCTTCACGCATGAGACTACAGTGGATGCGCTGAATATCGTTAGGTTCAATGCCACTCGATCCACTCCAGAAGCAACACCCAGATATCACGGCTGTTCTTCTCCATAAACATCATATGGCCGTTCCCATGCACGCCTGCGTTGCCTAGCTCCAGATGATCTGTCCGAGTGCAGCCAGCCTGTCGCAAGTATGAGACTGTACAGTGGTCGTAGACGGAATGATATGATGCTTCTGCCGTAACGACGAGGATCGGCTTGGAGGCGAGGTTGAAGAGTTGTCTGGGAGTTGGTGAGGTCGCTTGTAGAATACAGCCGTCGTGATTGTCAGAGGACGCCGGAACCAGCTCCTTGACAAGATCGATTGTCGGATCAGAGACAGGTGGCGAGTAGGAGAGTGGTATCTCGGTCAGGCCCCATGGACGGGCACTGGCATTGTTGAACACCGCACCTCTAAAAGGTGGACCGCCAGGCTCGAGCAGAATGATAGCTTCGGTCAGGTTCGGTCGAGCATCGGCAATCAATATCGCCATCGGACCAGCTTGACTGTGCGCGACGAGGATGGCAGGGCTACCGATCCGATCGAGAAGGGCAGCGCCTGCAGCTTGGACAGTTGCTTGCGAATAAGTATCGTTGTTGACAAGCTGGACGTTCGAGCTGTAAAACGCGTCAAAGATTGGATCACCCATCCGTCCAGTACCGGGCCATTGAGTGTGATTGACTGCTTGAGACCAGAGTTTGTAGTCTTGAGGTGCTGTGAATCGTTGTTCGATCATTTCGGCAGAGAATGTTGCGAGTCTCGGAGCCTCGGGGCCAGGTCTCCAAGCAGATCGACCACGAGATGTTTGCTCAACGAGATAGACCTCGAACCCTTGCATGATGAAAAGCGAGGCCCAGCCACGTCCGCCATCTGGCTTGTTTAAGAAGTTCTGCATACATGTGTCAGCATGCCGAAAGATGGCAAAGATGGAGTAAATCATACCGTTCCTGTCTGACCAGCGCCTGGTATGAAGACGAGCGGAGTCTGCTTCTTTGGTCCCCCAAGAGGAGTAAGTCTCTCCACATACATCTGATCTTGGAAGGCGTGCCCACCGAACCCATCTGGCACGTACTTGCCGCCGACATAGAAGTAATTGCGAACATATGGTGCTTCCGGATTCAGGTCTGACGAGTCTCTATACTCATATGTACAGGAGACTTGGGTCACACACAGTAAGGTGGAAATCAGTGTAAGAAGATAACGGAAAGAAAGCATTGTGCATCAACTCCAAAGCCGTATGAGGTGCGGAGTCAAAGACATTGAGAGAGAAAGCGGAATTGAGAAAACAAACTGAGGTCGACGCGCACTTATCTACACTTATGACAGCGGGGGAAGATCGTCTGATGCTGGGCCACTTCACCGGTCGCTACGTTGTGCTGAGGAAGGAACTTGGAGAGGGGTATATGCAGTGACGAGGATCATTTCTTGGCTGGGCACAACTCTTGTGATGCATTCTTTGTCTAGATGATTGATTTTCTTGCAAACACTGGCCATTGCGATAGAAACAACCTCAATCTTGTGTATAGAAGAACCTCGATCGCTAGAGGACTCTGCTGCGTTGATGACTACCTTGTTGACCCACGATTGTTCTCGGCGCAGACGCGGTGAACCCAAAAGAAAGTAGCTGGGACAACATACACGCCAATTCATTCAAGAGCTCTCCTCCTTCTTCTGGTCCCTCTCTCCAACCCACAGTCTCAATCCTGCATTATGGTTCTGGATGCTCGACTTGACTTCCTTGCCGATCGTCTCAGTAAGATGGTTCAAAGCAGGAACAACCTCAGTCAACAGACCCAGCATGAGGTCTTCTCTCTGCCTGTATGCCTCGACATTGGTCTCTGGAAACGGAGGGGACTGGAACTGCTCCTCAACTACGCGGGCCAGCTCGATGAACAACTGGTTGTGGAGCAAACGAAAACGCTCGAGAGAGGGTGTGTCGTGTTTGAAGAGGATAAGCGAAGACGTGTTGAGCGAAGCGGATAGCGGAATGTGGAAGTTGTGGTTGGCCAGCGTAGCAAAGGTCTGATGCTCGCTTGTGCTGAGCGAGACACTGGCTGGAAGTTCTGTGATGTGGCTTGGATCGGTCGATTTCACCTCGGATGCGTCTCTCATTGCTGTCTGGGGGACGATCTCTGTGGTGTTTGCAGTAATGAGTTGCGCGGCGGCTTCGACAGGCTCGGAACTGGTTGACTCGAGAGCAGGTGGATTCAAAGCGATGCGGATGGCAGAAGGCGGGCAGCTCTTAGTAGACCACTCCTCCGATACAGTAGGAGGGGTCAAGAGAGTCGAGCTGGTGCTAGAGTCTTGCACGCTTGCTCTGCGCTGAACACTAGTCGGAGATGGTACGTCTGAGATCGTCTTTTCTTCTGCGCATCGATCGGATTGCTCTAGATTTCTTCTGCCGACTTGGACTTGTCGTCTTTCTCGGACCCAGGTCCTTCTCTTGCTGTTCATCTTTGGGGTCTTGTTGGTAGCTTGTTGGATCTCGGACATGTCAGGCGGATGGTTGAACGTTTGTTTATGGATTGTGGAGTTCAATGCTCTTGTAAAGTGTAGTGTTGTTGGATTTAAGGTGAAACGCGTTGGCTCGGAAAGTCTGGATGGCAAAAGACCAGTCTGCTCTCACTAGACGAACATTCACTACTGAAGAGAAATGCACGTGCATACGTAAGACAATCTGGCATGCGTTTATGTCTTTCTTCTGCGATCATAATCACTTACTGGTCCTGATATGACACAAACCATCATCAGGACAGACTTTGCCAAATGGAAAGTTCATACAATGCGCTTTGTCTGCTTTGCTTCAATGGCTCGAGCCGTTGCTTATCCAGCGTGTGCTTTCGTAGCCGCGCAAACCCATCATTGAACAAGGAGAGAGACAACCACTCGTCATCGACAATACTTCGAGATGTTGTACCTCATCGTGTTTTGTGTTTGCCTCTCTCGCTAGAGCTTTGTCACATTTGTTTGTCTAGTTCGCCTCGATCTTCATCATCCGTCCTGTGTACGGCTCATTGAAGATCAAGCTCAGGATAGTGTCGGAAGACTCCCATGGAATAAGGCTGTCTTCTCTTGCTGTCCAGGTACTTCTTCAACCAAGGTTCATCCTTCAAGCTTGGGTAGAAGTGATCGAATAGCAATGGTGACTCTGAGCTTCTGTGTCTCATTTCGTTTGGGAAGGCAAACTTGAGACCATCGATGACTTGCCATAGCGCAAGGTCCGCATATGTCAAAGACTCGCCCACAAGATGTTTGCCTTTCCCAGTCGATTTGTTGTGCTTAAGTACACGTTCGAAATAGCTGAAGAACTTGGGAAGACGGTTCTCGCGGAAGTCAGTAGCTTTTTTTAGTGCTTCGTCCTTTTGCTCTGCAAATTCATGTTAGTTGATGTCAAACAACAGACGTTTGATGTCTCTACCTTCATAGTACTTCATGACAGCAACAGGATGATGTGTATCGTGCGTCTCGTTGTTGAGATCAAGTGCAGTCAGTGCAAGCTGGTTGACATAGTACTTCTCCGGTTCGTCTGAACCAGCGAGCTTAAGAGGACCACCAAGATACAAGAGGATGTTGGGAGTCTGATGGATCAGAAGTGCCTTTCCGTTCTTGCCAGCACCGTGAATTCGCAAGGCAGGTGGTGCAAATGCAGGAGGGTTGCCGTCATCATCTCCGGTGCTCTCGGGACTCGTGATGGCTTGTACCAGACCATAACCATTGGGACCGGACTCGTCTGGTGGGTTATCCCTAGCAACATCGGCATATTTGACACCTGCGGCTTCGAACATCAAACGAATGAACTCGCCTCTGCCAGGAATTCCTGGGTGGTAGAGCAGCTCGTATTGAGGTTCGGCCATGATGTGTATTGTCGAGAGAAGAGATCGAATGCTGTGAGGTGGAAAGTAATGCGTGTACGTATGAGGTGATCGAGGCAAAGAGCGAGCAACACTTCTACAGGTTGACAGAATGGTTGTCATGGAACAAATGAGGAAGGAATTACACAGCAGTGACCGCTCCACGGTTGACAGGAGCTTCCCCACACTGCATGACGTTGAGTGCGAAGCTCGTCTCCACTCGGGTATTGATTTCATAAGGGTATCATAAATTAATCTACAGTGCAGACATCCGAGGATATGGCTTGAACATCAGTCCAACACACTCAGGATCAATTCGGGCACCGCTACACCAGCGGCTCTCATCCTGTTTACACATCTCTTGGCCTTGGAGCGCTCCATAGCAGCACGTTCCTTGTTCTCATCGCTGTCGTCTTCAGATTCGGCTGTAGCAGCAGTGTAGAGATCTGCGAGCCAGAGAGCCACTGACCCTCGGAGCTGTAAGAGTGGAGGGTAGGTATCAAAGGGAGGAGATAACATCAGCTCATCCATACGAGCTGCAAGATTCGCTGCAGAGTTTAGTTCGGAGCGTTTGACGGCAGAGACGTCCTCTGACTCCTGGTCTTGGTTTGATGCCAGCTCAGAATCAGAATGATCCATGTCTGGTGAAGATTTACGAACGTTCTTGAGAGCCTGGTTGCATTTTTGCTGAATCTCGTAGATGCAAAGTCCAAACATTGCAGGATAGAAAGTTAGCGATGATATGGCATTCGGATTTGTCTTTTGAAAGGGAAATTGCAGGATTAAGCGTTCATAATAATCTTTTGCGGCGTCGAAGCCTTGGTCACTGATCATTGCCGAGTTGTCAAGCGACTCCTGAGAATTGGATTCGGGCGAGGATCTTCGCATCAGAATCTCAGCGCCAATACCCCATCGACCATGTGTGCGCACATCCAATGGTCTACCATGGATATTTGTACGTAAGATCATGCCCCATGCTCTGCCTGCACGCACAAAGTCATGCTTCAAGAGGCTCGTGTGCAAGACGGTGGTAAGTACGCCTAGGTGATGACGGCGCAGTGATTGTGTACTATCTTGTTCGCCGGGAGGTGGGACGTACAGGGGAGGCTTGAGAGCTGCGAGGTCCTTTTGGAGGTTGTTGGATAATGGCTGGCGAGTTCTCTGTTTGGCAGCAGGGGCATGGGGGAATGAGGATCCAGGCAGCGGTGTGTCTTCAGACCATCCGGCAACACGGTAGGGGTCATTAATATCGTGAGATGAAACCGAAGGCTGGACGGAATTGACGTGCAAATCGTCGTCGTCGCTTTCATCGTCGTCGTTGAAATCCTGGTGTCTTTTCCTTTTCCTCGGAGGAGCGTATTGCTTGCTACGAAAAGACTGTTGGGGTTCATGCAAAGAATAAACCGGAGTAAAATGATGAGCTGTTGGCGGCATGATGGGTGGGAAGGTTGTGCAGAAGGAAAGTGTAAGGATAGATGGAGGGGTATCACTGTTTGTACAGTGTGACGTGTCTCAGGATGAGACGCGTGGTTATACGGTATGGCGTGGTTTTGCTCAGGCAGAGGGTCAGGGCAGGGCTGAAGCTTAGTTTTTTCAAGGAGATCTGCGAGTGCGGGAAGCTGCTTCTAAGGACGAGCCTGTTTGGCAAGAGCGCGGGAACTGGCGCGGGAGCTGGTGCTGGACTGCAGCTGGTCGAGGAGTCGATATGTACGTTGGCAGGACAGGGGCCGCGCGGGCTATCAAGCAGTTATGTATCGATAGGGCAGCAGCAGCAGCAGCAGCAGCAGGAATTGAAACGGGCAAGACAATGTGTCGACAATAGATTAGCTTCCGGCGCGAGTCATCCGGGGCAGTGCCAAGCGCAGGGCATGTCGCATGTCGCATCTCCCATGTTGCGCTGCTGGAGGGAGCGGTAGCGGGAGCGGGAGCGTAGCAGTAGCAGCGTTTCGGTGTACAAGTCGTCAGCCTGTCGACACGCTGCTCCGTCCACACCCCCGACCGACCTTTGCCTTGTTCTCCTTCGTCAACACCCTCGCCCTTATTGCTCCCGTTCATACCGTATCTTGTCTATCCTCAGCGCCCTCGCTCCATCCGCGGGCCCCTCTCGGCTGCTGATTCATCCTTTTGCCGTCTCCCCATCCCGCCATGGGTCAGGCTGCGTCCTCAGCGACGCCCTCGCTGCCCACGAGGCCTATCGATGCCCAACCTTCTCGCCGCGAGTCCTTTTGGCGCCGCTCGCTGACTCCCTCTGCCGTCCTCGCCCCCGACAGCCACCACACCAACGATCATGGCTCCCGTCCACATTCTTCGTCCCGCCGACCTTCGCCCAGTCCGCACCCACGCCCGCGTCCGCGAGCCGCTCGCTCCTCGTCTATTCATAGGCTCTCCCAGATGCTTCGCTCGTCCAATTCCAGTCCCGATCGTGCACAAGACGTAGGCCTCCATCGTCCTTCGCGCTTGCAGCGTGCTCGCACTTCGCTCCACAATTTTGGCTCCCGCCATTCTCCTTTCTCACGCCCTGCGCAAATCTCTCGCTCACGGACTGACGACTTTGGCTATGCCTATCCACATGTTGAGCTCAGTTTTGACAACTTTGAGCTCAACCTCGACCTTGCTACTTCGGATCCCGAGCCACGCAGCCCTTCATCGCCTTCCAGCTTCCGTATCCCAACCTCTCTCTCCGAGCGTCTGTCTGCCCTTCGCTCTGACAGATCATCACGGAGTCCTCTTACCCCGAGGCTCATGCCTGTGGATTTGCCTGAATCTCGACCGACCCTGGAATCCGAGCCATCCCAAGCTTGGACATCTGCTGCAGCATCGCAAGATTCACCGGTACTGGGCGCCACAGCTGCGAGCCCAAGAACAGAAGGAGAAGGACAAGTCAGATCTGGGGAGGATAACACAGCTTTGATATCTCGCATCTTGTCAGTTGCCGCTGCCACCACAGCTGCCACACTGCTTGACGGTGATCAGGAAGCAATCGCCGAGGCTCATAGCGTGAGCGGCGATGGTACCTTCAGCAACTTTCTCCAGTCGTTGGAGAGTGGTCGTTTGGCATCGGCTCTCAGACAAGGGGGCCAAACTTCGGCTAATGCACCGCTCAACTTCTTTAGGATGTTTCGTTTCGGTTCGGCCAGAGATGCTTCACACGATGCAAACGACTCGTCATCTGCTCAGTCCGCTGGCCCCGATGGACGCATGGTTCCAGTCATCATCGTAGGTATTCGCTCAGTGAACCAAACGAATGCGAATGGGGCTCAAGATACCGCCATGCCGCCTTTCCTGGATGCCCTATCTGCTCTACCAAGACCACCGTTCAATGGAGAAAGCGACAGTATCGATCATATTCTAGATCCATCGCCGACGCACCGTTTCAGTCATCGTCGGCGAGCTTCCATGGGAGGTCTCTCCAATTTCCCTGCTGCATACGACTCCCAACGTCACTCGTCGATCCCTGGTCGCGCACGCTCGCGCTCCATAAACACCTCTCGGCCACCACTGAGTCCTACGCTGTCACGCGTGAGTTCGGCCAATTCTGCTATCCCGCCTCAACGCCCTCCTTCTAGCCGTTCAAACTCAAATTACTCCGACCGCCGTGAGAGCATCATCCGGACCACTACTACAACCACAACCCTCGAAACCACGGCAGAGAATGCTCCATTACGACCTCGCCCGCATCGACCACGTCGACTTAGCGAGTCCGATTATGGCCACCGTGGTTATTCTTCTCGACGTAATGGTTTTGTTGAACCTGATAACGCGCCTGGCGAGAATACCCGTAGTTGGATCATCTATGTCCTTGGTGGCAGTTATCCCGAAAACCACCCCATCATCACGACTCCGAGTCTTTATACCGATTCGCCCACCTACGAAGACATGATGCTGTTGTCGGCCCTCTTGGGTCCCGCCAAGCCTCCTGTAGCTAGCGAGCAAGATGTTGCTGATGCTCCGGGCATTTTCAAAATTCAGAGTATTGAGAGTTCACTCGTTGCCGTTGCACTCGAAGGCGAGGACAGGATTGCTCTGACCTCTGAGCAGCGCTGTCTTGTCTGTCTCTGTGACTTTGAGCACGACGAGGACGCGAGACGCCTCGTCAAATGCAACCATCTGTTCCACAAGGAGTGTATAGATCAGGTACGTTGATATGAGCATCGTGAGTTAGGATATTCTGCTAATTAGTGTTTGACAGTGGCTTACTAAGGGTCGAAACTCTTGCCCACTATGTAGAGGGCAAGGCGTCGATGAAAAGGAGAAGCCCTCTACCGAAGACACTTCAATTCCCACCACGGTGGAGCCTTCCACTCTGGACACCCCCATCACCGCCTGATGAGCAGTCACTCGACCGTCATCTTTGGCAATCGGCGTCGTGTCTTCTCAACCACCAAAACGCCGGCATGTTCATGTTTCGACGGTCACATATCATTCACCCGCCACTCCCACCATCACTTACGAATCGTCTACGAGTTTCCTTTCTTCTTTTAATGTCCATCTGCATATCCATCGGCGTCTGAGCGTTGCATATTTCTTCTTTGCTTGAGTTGGCGCTTTCTTTCGTTGCTCATCATAGCCAGCGTAATCGAGGGCAGATTCTATCGTTACATCTCGATTCTTTTCTCGGATTCTATACCGTTGCCAACGCTGGAACATAAGGTGGTTAGGAAGGCAATTGTGAATAGCAAGTCTTTGAAATGCGGTCCGAGTTCAAGAGATTTGGGGCATCTAGTTTTACAATCGTCCACGTTCAGTAATCACCCTGTGCCGTCGCGACCCAAGTCTGGATTCAACATGACCTTCAGGGCTGTTGGTTGTTTGTTGACGGCGAGCAGCTACACCCCATGACTGATCTCTTCTGCATCGTCTAGGTGGCCTAGCCATGATTCGAACACGACTGGTCATACATACCGCTGACACGCCTTGCAGCATCATAATTGTTAACCTTGTTTTCTGACTGCATGAGAAAAGCGTGTGTTTATGCAGGAGCAATGGAGACCGCTCACTTGATTAGCTCTAGGCAAATTACCCTTACCATGCACCGTCGTACACATGGTTTCCTGCTGCTTTTGTTGACAGTGGCCAAGCACCCACGAAACCACATCATCTCCGGGCACTGTATTCATCGCGGCTCATTGGCGTGTTGTCAACCTGTATCGCCACAATGTAGCCATGAAACACGAGCTGGGAGGGGGTATGCTCGTTCAACGCGGCGCCGTGCCTATGTCACAACTATTCCTCCTTGACGTCGACGCACATGGTAGATCGGGATATTCCATGAATGCATATCCTTGATCCGCCCAAGACCGACGCGCAAGGCACATTTTCTCCGGAGGACTGTCCCTGCGGCTGAGTAGTTGAACAGCAAATTATGATGTGACGATGGTGCATTTCTTAGGCTAAGAGCTCTGAGACTCGAAGCCTCGATGGTACTTTCCATACCATGCTGGTTGATCCCTCGCGATCGACATTTTGTAAGAGGCGTTCTTCAGCGGCGGCTAAACAGAACATGGACCAGTTGGAAACGTGGCTCTGCCTCTGGTTCACGCAGGATCTTCAGCACATTGGGCATCTTTGCGCAATCGCATCAAAATTCCCGTCAATGAAGGCTTGCGAATGATCGCCCGAGCCTCCTGGTTTGTTCATCAATTAGCAGCTTTCGCCCTTTCACTTTGGCTGGTGCGACAGAACTTCAGGCGCCTCGAGTGAAGTCTCAACGGAAAAACTCATGCACCCAGACCAATCAGATAATTGCAAAATGTCGAATCCTGCAAGGGAAAAGCGATCTGAACTCAAGTCCGGGCGCCGACCTACTCCATGAACAAGTCAAACACCAAGCACCGCTGCACCAGGCAGGGGAACGGCTACTTGCGGAGAGGAAATGTGACATGACATGGCAGATCCCGAACAACAGGCACCTTTCTCGAACTAGCAAAGCGACTTCCAAGATCTTTGGTGCGGAAATGTTTGGGATAACGAGGGCTCGCTGCACGTGTATGACCCACTAATCTTGCACTCTAATGCCAAAGCCACCTTCCGCTTCAGGGAAATGAATTGCCACATCATTGTGCTATACAGAAAGATATACCATCAACCATGGATAAAGAGAAAGCGAAACAAAGTCAGTGTGGCTGAGTGATCTTCGGCCACGAGAACTTGATCCTTCGATCTGATACGCAATCTCTAGAGCAAAGGGAAAGCGGTGCGCCTCCCGAACTTCGGCGGCTCAGATCCTTGGAGGTGCTTGACTTGACCATCACGTCACCTCACATTGGAAGCACTTGGAATAACGCCGACTAACAACTTCGGAGACGGCCCTTAGCACAACCAGGTAAGGGTTCGGGATCGCAAAGATGTGCCTTCTATGATGATGATGGCACCGATAGACGGCGACAGTGGATAGCCAGATATGAGACATGTGCAAGCTTCACTCTTACGTCCAGAGCCGTTGTTTGGCACGGAGCATTTGGGTGCCCAGGAACCGAAGCGTATTCACGTAATTGTCGAGTACATGTCTTCTCCGTACCTTCGTTCGGCTGTCGGTGTCGTGTTAGATTGCTTTCACATGCCCGGCCGAGGCCAGGGCTCCCGGTGGTGGAGAAAGAAAGCTGGGCTGTCGTTCCTGCCAGCGAGATTGGTTTGCGAACGCGAAGGGGTGTGTGTGTGTGCCTAGAGCACACGATTCAGGCGGACCTCAATCAGCCACGGACGGTGAATATGCCGTGATCCGATGGACGGCACCTTGGTAGCAACAGAACAGATCGAATCTGTCCGGCCTGAGACATGCCCGCTGCTGCTCAGGGGGCATGTAGGGATATTCTGTACAGAGTGATGATACTGTAGCTGCAAGTAATGGGAACAAATGCCCCAGATTAGATCTGCGCGTGTTTGGAAGTAAAGTAGACGGCTGAATCCTGAGTAGGCGGAGTTCTATTGAGAGACAGCAGCCTGCAGCAACACCCGACCGGGCCCGCCGTGGCCTGTCGCAAAAGCTAAATCGTAGGTTCTCTCCACCAGCATCCCATAGAGGTCGGAAGTTGCCTTGTGGGAGGCGGTAGTCGTTCATCAAAAATCTCCCGGCTTGTGCTGTACGTCCAAGCTTCAAGAGATGCGCCATCAAGTCGATCAAGCCGTTTGGCCATGGTGCTCTGGAAGCTCATTCTTTGCCGTTCTCTCGTCGGCCAGGAGCTCAGAAACAGTTGACATCTGAAACGGGGCTTTCCTGCATACAGTGTGCGCTAAATCGTGCCTCTTTCCCCCTCGCACAAGAAGAGGGAGGCTTGCATCGAGCGTTTCCTTGCCGGTCTCACTTTGCACGCCGAACATCCTTTCTCTTCCTTCTCATTGTGCGCGACAGCCCCAACCACTGTGTGACGCCGACTCCAGCACCTCTAATCATCTGTCCCGCAGATCATCGCCCGGGTTTTGTGGCCAGTGTCCGTCACTAGGTACAGACTACGATCATCAAAGCACCCATCCCTGCCGTGTAGTGCGTCAAGGACCGACATATCATCAGCACACATAATTTTTACCCAAACAAAATCCTGGATCCCATTGGCTCTAAACACAGTCAGTCCCGGCCCTGGTTTTTCTCCCTTCAGGACTTTTCTCTCACACAACCACTCAAATGAAGACACTACTTCTCGGCTCTTGATACCATTCAGCTCTTACCACCCATTCGTTAGCTCTGATCTTTCTTCTTACGCGCGCTGAGACCATTCCTTGGCCAAGGTGCTGGAATTCCCATCCCCGCACCCAATTAATATCGGTGATCGGTCCAACTCAGCCGGGACTGTCAGCAGCTCTTTCCTTCGTCGAGCTGTTCTCTTGCAACGACTATAGTCTGGCCTACCTTGCGTTGTGGACATACTTCCGCCTTGGCTCCTACGGGGTACACAGACCGGACCACTTATCCTTGATCTGAAGCTCTTCTGGATCCACTGTGCTATCCTCTCATTCAGGAGATCCATCCAACAATCTACTTATCACATAATCAGACAAGACTCCCTGAAGGTCCTTGCTGTATATCCGTCCTCATACCAAATCCCGTCCCTCGGGTTTATCCCGTTTCCCTTGCAGTGGGATATTTACGCACCATCATTCCCAGTTCTTTGGTATCCTCCCAAGAACCTTTCCATGTTAGCGGCCTGAATCCATCCAACCATTGAGTCAAACTATCGCGAAACCATCTGAGACATGGACAACCACTACTACCAACCTATGGGAGCCGGATACTATTCGAATGGACAACCTATGATGCAACCAGCAGGCATGCTACCTGATGGAATCATGATGCCGGATGGATATGTTCCAAGGCTCTATCAAATACCTTCTATCTCGCAAGAAAATCTAAACAGTTACTCCGACATTGAAGATCCTAGCCGGACGTCTATCTCGCAACAAGGAGGATCGCGTGGAGGAAAAAGGCGATCTGTTACAGGCGCGGATCATGTCAAACACCGCAGAACACGAAGCGGCTGTTTTACTTGCAGGCAGCGTAGAGTCAAGGTGAGGTTATACTAGTCATGACCTTGACAAGTGGCTAACCTCTTGTAGTGCGATGAAGCTCACCCTATCTGCGAAAGATGTCGCAAAGGCAAGCGTGACTGCCATTATCCCGAACCCACTACAGGGTCATCAACAAAGCTCTCGAAGGGTAACAGGAACAAAGGCTCCGCTGGCGAAGCCTCTAACTCATCTGGCGAAGAGTATGACATCCACGAAGCTGATAGACTCCCTTCCATTCCGGACGACGAGGAGATTGAAGAGGGTGCGTCAAGCTTGTGTTCTAAGGAGGATCGCAAACTGTCTGATGCGTCTTCCAACTCGAGAGACCAAAGTCCTCTAATCAAGAGCCCTGCAACGACAGACAGCTCCGTAGCATCAAGCCGTCCCGCTACACGCCCACAAATACCCCGCCAAAGCTCGAGGAAGTCACTGAAGTCCAAGCAACCACCAAACAGCAAGTGGGCACATTTACCAAAGGACGTCAAGTTCTACATGGCTTACCACCGGGAAAAATTGACGCACCAACACTATGCCATGAAATATGACTGCGGAGACTTTCTGAAGACAACGTTCTTGGAAATTGCACTAGGATATGAGCCGCTTCTCTATGCGATTACTGCGTTCTCTGCCTATCATCATACCTTGAGGAAACCAGATGGCAAGCTCTCGAATTTCCTCGGTTACTACAACAAATCAGTCTCTCTGCTACGTCACTCTCTGGAGAGAAGTCCACGGCACACTGTGGCCACCCTACTTACCATCCTGCAGCTGGCCACATTTGAAGAGTTCCTGGGAGACTGGGTCAATCTCATGGGTCACCAAAGGGCTGCCTACGAGATTCTCACCGAGCTGTTTACACCACAAACCATCATGCAGAGCGAAACACACCGCAAGATCATCTCGTGGTACATCCGTTTCGACCTCTTTGCCGGGTTCATGCATGGATACGGGATGGTTCTGTCTCGTGATTGGCATGTGGCGTGCAGTGAGTTTTATGTTCGACAAGCTAGGGACAAGCCTCGTGACCTGGGTTCGCTGTTCGAGGAGAAGTTTGCACGATCGAGACTGCTGGCGACTGACATATCGCTACTATTCGCCAGAGGCAAAACGGAAGGTCCCAGTCAAGAGCTCATCATGGACATGGGCAAATTGACTGCTCAACTGGAGGATTATGCTCACGAGCTGGAGGACGCCTTCAAGGATACCCGAACGTATGTCAAGGAGTTCCCGAATGCACCGAAAGGAGAATGGGATGATGTGGTCGGCTCGACAGACCCCGAATTCTTGTGGGCAGGAGAACTCTTTACCTGGAACTTCATTCTCATTGACTTTTGGGCCATCCATCTGCTGTTCAAGTCGCAGATCGCTCAATTCGACCCTACGGTGGGTGGAGAAGAGGTTGTGGCGACGGCGACCAAGGTGTGCAAGATGTTCGAGGCGCTGCAGTACTGTGGAGAGGATTCGACAGCCATGATTCTGGGCGCGCAGGCAAGTCTGGGTATGGCTGCAGCATGCATGCCAAAGGATCAACGACACACCATGTGGTGCCGCAACAAGTACGCTCTGATTGAGCAATGCGGGTAAGTGCTTTGAGAGCTCATGTTTCAAAAACCAAATGTTTTACACATACACAAGGCTAACACTACACGAAACAGTTACATCTACCCTGCTGCACTGCGACAACGTATGACTGGCGTCTGGGGCGCCGATGTGATGCGTTGGTGGCTTCCCAACGACGAGGGCTACTACCCCATCCTCCAAGCCGTCCGCGAGTTCATCGACTACCGCGCGCGGGTGCCGCAGGACAATGTGCAGTCTGACCTGCGCGACATGAAGGGTCTGTTCAAAGCATTGCAGTTGGACGATACCGACTCCAAGAAAAGTGCGGGCAGTGCAGGAGGCACAGACTCTTCGAGTCCATTCGACTTTGAACCTGCTGGGCCCATGCCGTGGGAGAGCAGTCCGGAGATGAGTTGGCCCTGAAGGCATGGCCGGAACGGGAAGCTCCAGAGGTAGAGACGGCTTGCGTGTCAGCGTACTCGAGATATATCTTAATGATCTAAAAGCTGCGGTTCGAAAGACGGCATCTTCACTCTATACACTCTATGTGTGATGTGTGATGTGCCCAAATGCCGGGCTGACATTGCTCGAGCAAGTCAGGCCCGCTCGAACAATGATGACCGACCACACAAAGCACATACATAAAAGCAAAAAAAGAAAAAAATCACAATCCATGTAGCGAGATAACTCAGCAATGCCCGTTGATGGCAAAGACGGCACAAAAGCAAGATCAAGATGGAAGTCTGGCTCGGACCGCATGAGATCAATGCATCATGTACAGTACTGTACATCCCCTCCTTCCTTGCTTCGTCGTCTCTTCTACGGCTAATTGAGATTCCCGAAGAATCGGTAACGTAAGTATTTGGCATGAACGGCGGGTTGGTGTGCTTGTTACAGACTAAGACCTCGATTGCCCGTCGCGGAGATATTTGGCTAATAAAGACACAGGGCGCAAGGCGTTTGCGCAAAGAGCTGACGCCATCGCGAGCTACTCCGTACTGTAGAGGTTGTGTCAACTCAGTGGCTGAGTCATGCTCTCCTACTATACTTGATCCTTGTTGCGGAGCCGCAATTCAACAGGCAATCTAGAAGGAGTGACCATCAAAAAAAAAAAGCTTGGCATCGAGAAAGGTCCGTGAAGCCTTGAATTGATTGAAGTGGTATCCAGAAGCGAAGGCTTGCAAGAGAAAGACAAGACGTGGAATCAACTAGAAGAAAAGGAATAAAACAGTGACGACAAGGTCGAGGCGAAGCGAGTTTCTAGTATCATAGAGATTGAAGATTGTCAGAGAAAGGAGGACGAAGCTCTGTTGGGATGGAATTAAGCAGAGTCGCGGGCTCTACGATAGCTGGCCTGAGAAAAAGGGAATCAGAATTGGGTGACTTGGATGGAGGGAGGGATGGAGCGGGCAGACGATACCTCCTGATCAAGCTGCAGCTGGTCGACCTCGGGAGCCAGCTCTGACAGAATCTCGTAGGCTCTCTTGTGGAACTCTAGCTGTGCAGCGATCAACTCGGCCAGGTTCTTGAGAGGCTCGGGTGTGTCGAGGACGTTCTTCATGACACCGACGGCTTCCTCGGTCTGGTTGACAAAGTCGTCCTCTGCCTTTTCGATCTCGGCGCGCTGGGCTTCGGTGTAGTTTTCCTCGCCGTGGGACTGGGCCTTGTTGTTGTTGAAGGGGTTGTTGATGCCCTTGACACGAGCCTTGGTGGCATCGAGGTTCAGGCGGGCGTTCTCGACATTCTTGCGGGCGCGCTGGGCGAACTGCAGGTTGGTGTTGAGGGTGGCACTCCAGCCGGCAAGGAAGCGTTGCTGGATGCGCTCGTCTTGGGTCAAACGGGCCTCACCAACTCTTTCCTCGGCGACAGCGTACTTCTCCAGAGCCTGGGCAAGCGAGTCATCGGCACCAGCGCCACGAAGGTCGCTCTGGTGCAGCAGCTGGCTACCGGCCAGGGAAGCGCGGGCGATGGCGTGGTTGAAGGTCTTGGGTTGGGGCTTTGCTTGGGGAGTAGCTGTGAAGGCAGCCTGGGCCTCGGCGGTCGAAGTTGCGCGCGACAAGAGCTGGACCTTCTCGGTGACGTTCTTGGACAGATCGGTGAAGGACTCGCGGATGTTGGGAGGGTAGTCGTATGCTTCGTTGGTGTACTGAGATGTGACGGACAGCAGCTTCTGGTGGACAAGCTTCAAGGCATCGACACGCTTCTCGAGTTCGATGTAGTCTGGGGGTAGCTCGGTCTTGTCCTCGGTCTGGCCGAACTGTTCCTTGACATACTGCTGGGTACGAGCTGCAAAGGGAGTGAAGGATGAACTACCCAAGTAAGCGTCCTATCCAAACCGAGCAGAAGGGTGCGGCCTAGCATTACCCGATGTTACCGAGGTTCTTGCCAAATGCTGCAAACTTGTCCATGATGGCGGTTGATGGTGTTGGGCTCGTCTTGTTCGTTGATCTGGGGTGATGTGTTATTGATCTTGTCGTCCGTTTCGCACCATGTGAAGGAAGGAGCTCCTGGACCCTCATCCCTCACACCGTTGCCAAGACTCTCACATGAAGACCACGAGTGCGCCTCCCCAAACCTTCACCAATCCTCGCTTGATACTCCGTGCTAGCATCATCGACATGCCGCATTCTCACCACTCCCACTCGGGCCAGTTCTGCGCCCACGCAACATGTACTCTCGAAGAGATGGTCCAGCAGGCCATTTCTCTGCACATGGACACCCTTGCGCTGACCGAGCATATTCCCCGCGACACCGCTGATCTTTATCCCGAGGAAACCGATGCCAAAACACTTGTTGACCTGTTCGATGCCTACTATTCTGAAGCCTTGCGTTTGCGTGAAAAGTATGCCTCACAGATCAACGTCCTGATTGGTTTCGAATCCGAATGGATCCGACCTGAGTCTCACAACATCATCAAAGACTTGCTCAGCCGCTACAAGTTCGACTTATTCATGGGTAGCATTCACCATACCCATACTAAGCCAATTGACTATGACCGCGACATGTATCATGAGGCCAGACAGATCTCTGGTGGCTCCGACGAAGACGTCTTTGCTGCCTTCTTCGACGAGCAATATGATATGCTCAAGACCTTAACACCCCCTCTTGTCGGTCACTTCGATCTCATCAGACTGAAGAGCGATGATCCCGAGCGTAATTGGACTACTATGCCAGCAGTTTGGGAGAAGATTGTCAGAAACCTCGACTTTGTCGCTAGCTATGGTGGCATCCTCGAGCTCAACTCTAGTGCCATTCGCAAGGGCATGTCTGAGCCATACCCCAAGGCTGAAATCTGCAAGGTCCGCGGTCTCGAGCTCCCTCTTTTGATGACCATACTGACATCTACTAGGAATTCTCCAAGAAAGGAGGACGTTTCGCTCTTTCTGACGACAGCCATGCCACAAGTCAGGTAGGCCTTAACTTCTCAAAGGTGCTCGCCTTCATCGAGAGCACTGGCATCGACCAAGTGTACGAGTTCACTTCCAAGACCGACAATTCGTTCGATACATCATCTGTCAAATCTGTTTCTCTGGATCAGCTGAAGAAGCACAAGTTCTTCACTACCTAACTTTGACTCCCAAAAAATGCTAGACCGAATGCATGTACCGAGTTCCATGATAAAAAGGGGGTATTGTCCTTGCCTTTAGCGCCGTCCATAACCTACTCCAAAACGATTCCCATGAAAAAATCAAGCCATGCATCATAATCACACCTCTTTCCACCGGTGGCGTTAGCAAGAACATCATTGACCACAGCCCCAAGCTTGTCATCAGTATCTTTACTCTTGCCTTCTCGCTCCAGCCAATCCTTCTCGGCCTGGATCGCAGCCCTCCGGATTGTGCCTTCTTCGTCTTCTACAATGTACAGATCACAACGATCGCACTCTGAACACCGACCTCCGGCCTCCCTGAAATGCTGGCAAAAATGACCGTAGCCTTCTCTCCCAATTTCCTGACGACAGACATAACACATGGTGTATCCGCAATTACATACGAGCTTGTTGCAACCGCTCGACTTGACGAAGCTGAGATTGCACTTTGGGCAGGTCCGCTTGATACTGCTTGTGGTTGCAGTCTCGATGGCTTGTCGGAGAGACTGCAGAGAAGCTTCATTGCAGGCGTGGGGATCTGACCATGGGCTACCGCAGTTGGTGCAGGAGCTCTTGCCGCAAGTCGAAGATTGGCAAGTGAATTTCAAACCCCTTCTCCGGCGGACAGTACGTGTTCTAGACGCCTGGATACGAGCATATGCTGTCTTGTCGATCATAGCAACAAGGATCAGAAGAGGGTACAACATGACCCACACGATGGGGTAGACAAAGATAAACAGCAACGCGATCAGTGATTTCAGCGGGTCCATCGGCATATGAACCAAATGTGCTGTCAAAGTCATGGGGTCTCTGAATCTCAGACTGGCCGGCTCATCAAGCTCAGCATAAGGACAAGATAAGCATCTCAACAGAGGCAGCTGGCTGTTGATCAAGTTCTCGGATATGACGCGCTCCTGAAGTTTTTGCCAACTTGTCACACCGTCCTTCTCTGTATACAGAGCTCTTCGAATAAGATCGGGGTTGATGCATCCTTGACATTCAGGGACAGACGGGGCCAGACATCTCAAGGAGGATTTTGCCAAGTCGATGTTCCTCGCCCATCCTTGACCATACAGAGCCTCATTTGCGGCGAGCTTTATGCATCGGAAACAGATGAAGTGGCCAGCATGGGAGTCGCAAGTAGATATGTATTCAAAAGGGTAGGCGGTGAAGCAGCATTCGCAATCAAACAGAGCGTCAGCCTCCTCGGCCTCGGTCTCGTTGAGTTGTTGTGCCAGAATTTGATCCCGATCCAGTCTTTCCTGGTTCTGGCGAGCCAAGACAGGAGCAATGAACACACGGTACAACTCTTGATCCAGCTCTGTGCATCCAGTTCGCTTGAGGTACGGAAGCGGGTTGAGAGGTTCGGAAGGATTGGGTAGCCATTCGACGTGGGGATTAGAGACAGGATCGGCGGTGACAGGACGTTTCCTAGTGAAGAAGGTGGAGATGGTGGCTCTCCAAGATGTTGAAGACAGGTGCTGGAGAGTAGGGCGTGCGAGGGCGTATGAATAGTTGTGTTCGGCGAGAACAGCTCTGATAGAAGAGTGACTCAGACCCTTGAATTCGAGATAGAACAAGTCCTTGACAGCGCGCTTGTATTTGTCCGAGCGGAAGGTGTCGTCCTTGGGGAGTGGCTCCGTGTGGCGTGGCTGGCCAGTTTCAGCGTCGGCTGCTTTCTTCCTGTATCTTCCCTGTATGTACTGTGCTCCATTCCGTAAGAGGTGTTCGGTCACAACCTCGAGTCTGCTCTCGTTGGACAGGCTCAGGAGCATCTCACGAAACACGTCGGGCTGCACATCGGGAAACACGTCGACCAGGGCACCAAGGGCGGTATTCAAGTCGCTCAGATCAGACTGCTGCTCTTCCTCAATCTCTGCCAACACTTGATCCGGGTCCAGAGGTTTCTTGGCTTTCGAAGATATGGCATCGTCGGACTGGCGGGACTTGAGGAAGTCGGGTCTGCGGAGGAGGCCGCCTTTGGGCATCGAGATGGACAGGATCATGTCGGCTGGTCAAGGGCTTTGTTGGCTGGACGCATTTTCGATTGCACTGTCGACAGGAGGATAGCAATACGCCGCCTCTTCTGCCTTTGTCGGTCGAATGTACATGTGCTTAGGTTCAGTCCTACTGATCGTCTGACGCGCGGCGCCTTCCGGATTCCACGAACCATCCAGGTACTTCCTTCTCCTCCATCACCTTAAAACATGAACTGCCATTTATCGTTGTCATCTCAACACGAACAGTTCAGCTGTAGGTCTATTTACTCACCAGATTTAGACACATCGCGACCGATACGAATTCTTGCCCTTGTCTTGGTATCATGGACCGAGCAGAAACATCAATCAGCCATCTGGTCGAGTCGCGTGATCCCAATCCCCTATCGCTAACCACGTCTCTTTCCGATTCTTTCCTTTACCCACCTCGGCCAGTCTCTTTCAGTTGCCTTCCTTTTTGTTACCTTCCCAGTACAGTCTTTTCTCAAGAAGCCATCCGACTTTCCTTCTTCACCTTCACATCCACCACTTTCTCCAATCTTGTCTCCCAACTCCGTCCATCACATACCTCATTCAAAACATGGTCCTCGGTCCCACCGCTCGCCTGTGGCTTCCCTACCTCAACTTTACCGTCGCCATCTCGGCTTTGGGTTTCCAGACTGCTGTCTTGTATCCCTGGCACGAAGAGCTTGACAAGGAGTTCAAGATTCTCAAGCAAGAGCACAAAGAGCAACTCCATTTGCATCAAAAAGTCACTCTCAAGCAACTTCAAGATCTGGAGACGAGGATCACGGTGACTGAGAAAGCCATGCCAGGTGTAAGTTTGAGCCGAATGCCATGACTCGTACCATGTATCGCTCACACAACACTAAAGGCTACCCGATGAGTCTCTAACATCATATTCTCTATTGCCACGCCTCTTTTCGAGTTCTCTTTGAATACAAACAAAGTTGTTATTCTCTCTGCATTTACACAAAACAGGAGACCTTACTCATGCATGATCTGCTCATAATCTATGTAAGTCCAGTACGCTTTGGAAGTCAAGTTGTATACTTTTCGAATATATTGCCGTTCCTCATATGTGATTCCTGCCAAGTCAAACATGCCTCACTAGTGACCCTGCTCACCAATTTGGACATCTGATATCGCTACGTTTTGCTCTCCCATATGCTTTGTATCGTTGTAAACTGCATTTAGAGGCATTTCCGTCCTCTTTGACGTGTATCTAGGATATATCGATGTAGGGGTCGATGGTGAGGTGGACTTTATCTTTTGTTCTCGGCACAAGACGTGAGGCCTCTCGAACTTCCACCGACATCTGCCTAGGTTGCTACCTCCGCACATCCTTCAGAGTCAACAGCGACAACAGCGTTGAGACCTGTCTGGATGTTCTCAACTACAACGATAAGATTGCCCAGCTGTCATACCACTATCGTTCAGTGAATCAAAGAGCTTCTAGCCTTCCACGCGCAAGAATTGCCCTTTTCGAGATTGCCGCCATGTAAGACGTCCCAAGAAGCTTTCACACCCGTGCCATCTTGCACCAAAGAACAAGGCCAGGGACTTGTTTCCAAAGTTCCATGGTTAGAGAGCCTCATCGGTACACTGACTAGCCATTTTGTTCGGTACGCTCATAGGAGAAGCGAGTGCCGAAAACTGGTTTCCACTCACGACATGTGTCTGTGTGGTTTCAGGCGTGCCTGGTACAATTTTTAAACGAAATTACAACTTTTCTTTATGCTGGAAGAAGGGATAATTTTTGTGGAGTGAAGCCATCTGACTCGTGGTACAATTGAAAAATTTTGGTTAAAGTCGGGTGGTAGTCTAACGGCCCGTGGTCCGCATTGTTATACAAAAAGCCGCTTGCGTCTGATACACTTCTCCATTGCTGCTCTGTGCTTGGGCAGGGTCGATCGCGAGCTTGCGTGTACATGTGGCAGGGGCACAGATACCGAGCGCTCGGTAAGCCCGATGATTTTATCACTGTCTGCCATGACTCTCACGACGGCCTTTCGATCCGATCCGACCATGAGCTCAACTCGGAGATAGTGGAGGACATGGCGGGCGGTTGGAAAACATAATCGAATGGGAAAAGACAGCGACAAGGACATTGGGTGTTGCTCATATCAAGCCCATGGAGATACTACCGACCGTAGTCAGGGAATAACGACATATCACCTCTCATCCTCAAAGGACATGGCCTGCTGCAAGGCCTGGTGTTGGAGTGCTTCGTCATGCTCAGCAGGAATAAACTTGCGCATAACCTGTTGCACGTAATCCTTGGGAACACCTTCCTTGAGAGCGTCATCGATGCCCTGGTTCATGCGATATACGTATTCGGGCTTGGGGTCGGAGTCGGTGACGTGGTTACGACTGATGTAAACGAGCATGTCTTGCTTCTTTGCGGGCTTGTGTAGATCAACAGGTTCATCTTCTTTCTCCTTGGACCAGAAAGAGACGGGTAGATATTCTTTGGTGTATGCATATGGAACGCCCTCGTTCTTGTCGAGACCCTTTTCATCGGATGGCTGCAGCGAATAGACAAGACCGTAGACGACGTTGGCGTAGTTTGGTTCGGCAGAGGAAGGTGTGTGGACTTGGACGACGTTTGCATAGCCGCGATCATTGATCATCCAGCGATAGTCGTCGAGACGAGCGACGCCGAGATAGTTTGAGTCTGGACATCTTTTGCGCATCTGGGACAACCAGAGGTTACTGCCATAGCCGAAGTAAATGGTCGCGTTTGCCATGACTGCGGTGCTGATGAACATGGCAGAGCTGTGGCAGGACGAAGGCTGCTTTTATTAGTGATCTGTCAGATGCGTGTCTCAAAAGTGTCTTGTCTGCTTCCACAGAGCACTGTGACTCAGTTGCGTCGACGGGAAAAGTATCGGCTGGCAACTTCTACTGGTGGCCAATGGATGGTGACTTCGGTAGCTTTTGACGCGACGCACACGCACGTGGTTCAGACTACGAGCGACATAGAATCCAAGACCGGTCCCTCTTTAGGATGGTTGTTGAGATGCACGTTTGTCTTGTGCAGGCATTTAGTCCTATGGCGATGCGGAGAGAGAGAGCACGCAAGGAAGTTACAGTACTGCTCCATCCTTTAGTGCGATTTGACAGGCGGCGTGGCCGAATGAGGCAGGAACAGCTTCCCAACAGGGCAGTTTGGCCAAGAAGCACAGCAATGGAAGCTGCGTAATACAATGGGCCCCGCCGAAGCTCGAGTCTGCCCCTCGGAATCCATCTCTCACACTATCATGCCTCGCCTTCCTACTTCCATCCTCTCTTCCATCAGACCCAGACAGACTCCTCAATTCCTCAGATCCTCATTCCACTCAACAGCAATCAACATGGGTGTTACCAAGCAAATCATCAAGCAGGGCGACGGCGTCACCAAGCCCAAGAACGGCGACAACGTCACCATGGAGTACACTGGCTGGCTCGAGGAGAACGGCAAGAAGGGCAAGCAGTGAGTCTATACTTTGCATCCTGCTGCAGCTTCACATTCTGATTCCATCTAGGTTCGACTCTTCTGTCGGCCGTGGTGACTTTGATGTCCCCATTGGCACTGGCAGAGTCATCAAGGGCTGGGACGAGGGTATCGTCTCCCAGGACGGCGGCATGTCTCTCGGCGAGAAGGCCACCCTTACCATCACCAGGTACGTCTTTGCTGCTAGTCATCCCTCTGCTTCCACTAACCAATTCACAGCGACTACGGTTACGGTGCCCGCGGCTTCCCCGGTGCCATCCCCGGTGGTGCCACTCTCATCTTCGGTCAGTCCTTGCCAACTCCTCGTTCCTTGATACACCTGAGAGAATCAAGGCTTTGCTCGACGAACTTCATCAGCTAACTTGAACAGATGTCGAGCTCAAGGCCATCGGCAACAAGAGAGCTTAAACGACGCAATTTACGACAAAGAAAAAAGATCAAAGCATAGAGATATCTCGATCGATTCTATAGATTATCCGAGAAAAAATATACAAGAAGCTTCTACAAATCGTTGCCTCTCTACCTTCGTGTTCCGAAACACTACACGTCCTCATGCTGCCGAACTGTACATGTCACGCAATCGACGACGCCCATGAATAGAAGAGGCTGCTGCGTGTCATTGTGAATACATGATACTGTCTAGCATCTAGTTCTCGAACTCGAGGTCTGCCTCTTGTCTAACAGCGCCGTAGATACCAGCGATATCGCCTTTGCTACCCATGTGCTTTTGAACCTGTGCGAGATGCTGGTCGGCAACCTCGACATCCCTCATCTTAACACCGTGGGTCTTGGCCAAAGCTAAAGCATGTCCGGCATCCTTTCTTGCAAGGTCAACGGCAAAGAGTGGCTCCTCACGCTTGTAGTAGTCGCCCTGGCGCAAGCGGTTGCTGTATGCAGTGTAAGGGCCAGGGAACATTGTCTCGACGAATTGATGAAGTCTGTCCGAACCAAGACCCGACTTTTCAGCAAGCGTGTGGCCTTCGGAAAGAGTCTCGACCATGTTGAGGATGAACGTGTTTCCAATGATCTTTAGTCTTGTAGCAGAACCGTGGGGTTCGCCAGAGTAATCAATGACGGCACGACCCATGACACCGGTGGTATAAGGCTTGACCTTGTCGACTGCATCCGCAGGACCAGCAAGCACGCATACAAGTTGACCTGCATCTGCCATGGCAGGAGCACCAAAGACAGGGCAAGCCACAAACTCGGCACCCTCGTTATTGATGATCTTTGCGAGCTTGTCTGTAGTGTCGGGATGAACAGTCGAGCAATCCACAAACAGTTTGCCCCTTGCGTCTCCCTTCAGAGCAGAGTCGATGGTATCTTCGATTGCCTTGTCGTCTCCCACGCAAGTGAAGATGATGTCCGAAGCGTTGACCGCCTCTTCAATGCTAGAGGCAACCTTGGCCTTGCCAGATCCGAGACTCGAAGCGAGCTGATCAGCACGAGATTGAGTGCGGTTGAAGAGGATGATGGGGTTGGAAAGATTGCCCTTTTCGACAATGTTCTTCACCATATCCTGTGACAACCCATCAATAAGATGCTATCGTTGTGGTTGGAAACCCGATCACTTACGCGGCCCATGTTGCCGAGGCCAATCCATGCAATCTGAGGAGCCATTGTGTAGTATGGTAATTCGTTATCTGAATTTGGATTGTGATGGAAAACAGAGCTTTTTGCAAGAGAATCAAGGTGTTTATACCAGCTTCAAGGCAATATCCCGCCGGTCCCTGCCGCCGGTAATACCGAGCGGTAGAGAAGCACTTTGTATGAGCTTCAATGACGTCTTGGCAACTCTAGTGGGGGTGATCGCGGGGCAATCGGGACCCGTAGGACATTCTCGGCATTTGAACCAATAACAAGCATAACTAATCGGCTCTGAGATGAGCTGACATGGCACCAGTCGAGCTACCGCAAAGCTACACGGTCGTCCAGCTATGCTAAGGAACGCTGACATGTCAGGAATCGAGATGGCTTGAATTGATTTGGTACTGAGGATGAGCCGCTGTCGGCAGTATGAAGAAGTAACGACGGAGTAGTTTGAGGATGAATTGATGTGTAGGAGCGACGAGCCTCTACATGCCTGGATGGATGAAGAAGCCGAGTATATAATTGAATCATGAACTCGCTCTTCGTGGATGGTATATGGCAACATGTAAACGGCGATACAAACCTCTCGAAGAGTCCGTAAATGCTTTTGATCATTATCGGGATGATAGGTCTTGCTTTCCAAGATCGATCAGAGATCCGCTACCATATCTTCTCCTCAGATGGGTTTGATGGTCACCACCATGCAAAGCTGACCGTAAGAACCTCGCGCCAGTGCACCCGATCACGTTGGGCCCTGATCTCTGCAGAGGTCCTGATCCTGCACGGGAGCCCTGCGAACTCAACAGCTCGATGGTACACTGTTGCCAGAGCTTTGAAGTGCACCGACCATATTTTGTCGTGCCGTGGCGGAATGTGCGCCCTCGATGGCTCTCCGGGCATAGTGTAGAGCCATCGTGCTCAAAATGATGCTCTTATGAGCTGTAGAACGTGGAGTATGTACGTTGAACATGAGAGGTCGAGAGCTTATGCTTTCTGCCTGCTGGGAAGGACGCGATCTTCGAATCTGCGCATCAACTTGTTGGTTTGTTCTGCCAAACTCAAGGTCAAAATCTAGAAAAAGAGTCAGTGAAAGCCAAGTCAGAAAGCAAGCGTTCTACATACGGTGTGCGGCAAGATTCTGGCCAAATGGGCAAAGAAGCCCTTGTAGACTGCAAGCGGACCTTCGGTCTTGATGGTGCGGAACAAGCAATCAAACGCGCTAGAGTATAGGTTGCCAGTCTGATTGTACATGCGACCCATGACGGTGTCCGGAGGGTGCATGACGCAGCATACGACGAAGCCGGAGCAAGCAGAAGACATGAGATGCAGAGCAGGACTCTCTTGCAGACCGAAGTGTTTTACAAGGTTGCGCTTAGCGAAGAAGTATGTTGGAAGTTGGACACTAGATCCGAAACCGGTTCTGACCATGGCGGGTACAACACCACGATACAGGCCCTTGATTCCCTCGGCGCGGTAGATCTGGGAGAAGCCATCCGCAGCGCTCTTGTACTGATGTTGTGCACCCACTGGTAATGCAGGACTGTAGCTCTGGAGGCGAGTCTTGACGAGGAAAAGCGGAGAGCCGAGAGCTGCGCCAATGATACCAGATGAGGCGCCGGAGAAGATGTTGACAGGGAGATTTTGCATAGCGACGGCTTCCGGGTCGTGGGCATGTGAGAAGTCGCGATTCAGGAGCAGCGAGTTTGTGTGGGTGCGGATGGGGTCGTAGAATCCGAGACGGCAGCCATTGAGCATCATTTGATAGACGTAGGCGCAGTTCAAGCCACGTAACAGGCCTCTGATTCCCTCGTTCTTGAAGATGACTGACATGCCGTGGAGGACACCTCGGTACATCTTGGGGGCATCCTTTTTGGCTTGCAGCTCACCCTGGAGCTGCAAGCGCACCTTGACCGTCTCGAAGCTGTGAGTTACTGTGACAGCGCCGCATGCTGCAATGCCGCCAGCGACAAAGGAACTGTCGGGACTGCGTCAGTCATGGGTGGGTGTGTGAGGATGGGTACAGATGCAATACCCAATGCCGGTGGACATGGCTAGTGGTCAGATAACCAAAAAGAGGGCGCGAATGGTGAGAAGGAAAGACGGTATGGAATACAGGCGCAGCAATAATATTGACAAGAAGCTACAGACGAGGCTCGAAGGCAGATGGACTCGAAGCAAACAAGCCGAGATCGGAGGTTGGGTCAACGCAGCAAAAGGGAAGGAAGGCGAAGGGATGACGTCGTGCTTGGTCCCTGAGTCGCAGCTCCGACCGAAGATCCGGGGAAGCCGAACATTTTGAGCTTGAGCCTGTCTCGCGCGCTTCCACCATCATCAGAGCCCATTCGACTTTATCTCCTGCCCTCGACCATCACACCAATCGGCGACATGGGAGCAGAGAACGGACAGGCGGGAGCGACGGCCAAGGTCAGCGACGTCGTGGCGACGTACCGTCCGACGAGGGTGAGTGCCCCCTCCTCAGCGCTCAGCGCGTTTATGCACTCCTCCCCAACCTCAACACTGACGCAACCAAACAGCTCTTCAAAGCCCCCAACCTGCACTACACCTCGCTCGACTTCGACACGACCGGCGAACTCATCCTCCTCGCTCGTACCGACGACACGCTCCATATCTATAACACAAAGGCTGGAGCCCACGCAAAAGAGCTCAAGTCGCAGAAGCACGGCTGTGCCCTTGCCCGCTTCACTCACCACTCGCAGTCTGTCATCTATGCCTCCACCAAGCTCAACCATGATATAAGATATCTCTCTGCTCACGACAACTCATACATCCGTTACTTCAAGGGCCACACCGACAAGGTCACGTCCATCCAGCTCTGCCCTAGCGATGACACCTTCCTCTCCGCATCGCTCGACAACACCGTCAAGCTATGGAATCTGAATTCTTCATCTCCCCATGGTAGTCTAAACTTGCACGGTGCCGTCTTGACCGCTTACGATCCCTCGGCTACCGTCATCGCAGTCGCCTCGCCCGCTACTCAGACCATTGTCCTCTACGACGTTCGCAACTTCGACAAGCCTCCTTTTGCAACCTTTGACATGCAGGATATCGAGCGCCGCTTCAGCCACTACGGCCAAGCTCAAGCCCAAGGCTGGACCACTCTGGAGTTTAGCAACAATGGCCAATACATCCTGGTGGGAACCAACGGCCCTGGCCACTACGTCCTTGACGCCTTTGAGGGTGCCTTGAAGGCCTATCTGTATCGCGCTCAAGGTCCTCCACCATTCCCATCTCAACTTGGTCAGAGCGACAGCCCCTTGCGCCATACCCAAGCTTCGCTACAGGGAGACGCCTGCTTTACCTCTGATGGCCGCTATGTCATTTCGGCTTCGTCTAAGGGTGGTATGCTGGTGTGGGATCTGCTTGCTGACAAGCGCTCTGATGGCACCATGAACCCCATGACCGATCTGCCAGGCCCAAGAACGTCTACTGTCGTCGGTGTGAACCCCAGATACAATAATCTTGCCAGTGCTGGTCAAGACGTTGTCCTCTGGCTGCCTGACCCTGAATTGGCTTGATCCCGGCATCTGAATCACATCTGTACATTAGCGAGGCGTTGGTGGTGCGATTTCTTGCATATCTTATTTTGCTCAGCATCTGGATCCAAAAACTCAAAGGACGCACCAATACCGGAGGACTCTAAGGGAATCAATGATAACTCACTCCAAGGTATATCACTGCTACCTCCAGCTTATCCAATTTTGTTGTCCACCACATCCGTGGTCAATTGTCACGACGACACAACATGATATGGTCCAAGAAGAAAGATACTTCAATATCGCTAATGCCGAAAAATACGAAAGAGGCCGTCCATGCTCTCAACATCTCGTATGCAAACTCCTGTCTCTGGACTTCCAAAAATCAAGTCTCCCACCGCTTCCTAAAATGCCATGAATCAACTCCCCCAATGAAACCATCCTTCATAAATCAATAACTTTCTTGCTCAGAATAGCGTCGCAGGTAGTCGTTCAGCCCACTACCAAAGTCTAGTGGCTCGACATCGTCTACGCCACCCTCGCTTCTGAGCATCGGGCTGGTACCGGAACCTCCTCGCCTCTGTTTCGCCAGGAGCGAAGAGAGGCCATTGATGGATCCGGAGAACCATCCGCTTTCGGTGTCGAAACCGACATGCTCGAAGTCATCAGTCGCATGAGACTCGACACTCTTGTTCGGTACGCTAGTTCCCGGGACGCGGAACTCGTAGATATCCGATGTCGAAGGAGACACCGAACCAGACGAGGCAATGTCGCTACTGTCAAAGTTGTAGTACCCGCCTTCTTCACCCTCAAAGCCGCCAGCAGCATCGGGGTAAGAAGCATCTTCCATTTCCTCATCGATTGGGTCCAGTGGCATTTCGTCTTCCTCTGGTCCAGAACCTGCCTGTGACAGTTGTTTGTTAAGATTGGCCAGCACTTCTCGAAGACGAGCCTTGCTACGCGGGTTCGAGATCTGATCGAGTTGCAGCTCAGTCTCTTGAATCTTGGAGACCAGTTCCGAGATGAGCTCCGAAGTTGGGCTTTGAGTGCCAGTAGCCTGTGGCTCTGGAGTAACCTCTGCAGGTGGTGATACAGCCTCTTTGGTCAAGACATCTCCGAAGCATTTTTCGAACTCCTTCAATTGACCGCGATCGGTGATTGCAAAGATAATCTCCCTGATGCCTGGCCAGGATTCTGCCTTTCTGGTAGTACCAAGTATAACGCGCTTCCAGATCTTTGCAACTTCGCGCACAGGATTTCCATAGGCACCACAGCCCCACGCTCCGAGAATAAGCTTTTCAGCTCCGCGACTTTGCGCCATGCGAAGCACGCCACGCATCTTGTGTGTCACAAGTTCGCGGTCACGGTCGCAATAGCTCACACCACATGAGCAGCCGCCTTCAGCATCTTCCTTCTCGGCGATGCGTGCGCTGTTGGTCTCGGGGAATCGGATCATGGCCGCGCTGATCACATCAACAAAGAAACGTTCTCGCTTTGGCAAGTCTTCTGCCTCGGGAGTACTGTCTCTGTGTACCAGAACATCTGGGGTCACGACACCGCCAACCTCTGGTAGTCGGTAGAAGTCATCCCAGAGTGATGCATACAAGGTGGTACGCATGCAAAGAAATTCCTCAGCGCTGGTTGCACCGTCCAGAAAACCACCACCAGGGCGAAGAGGGGAAGCCATGTTTAGGATACAAACGTTTGTCGACCTGGTCGCTTGCTTTGAAGTAGCCAACGCAGCTGCTGCAGATTGCCGACGGGACGAGTGGGTCAGACGACGAGCTGCAGTAAGGGAGTCCGTGTTACAGAGTCGGATCGTCAAGTCCGACGTCGACGGTTTCTCGATATTGCTATCCAGCTTGGGATCTGTTGTCAAGACAGCGTTGTGGATGCCATGCCTGGCCCTCGGACTCGACTTGAGAATATCCGGAATTACTCTGTTGACAGTATCCTTTGCCCTTTTGGCACGATCCGAACGTCTGTTTGCCTGAGGAGTGACAACGACTGTCGGTTGCAGTCGTCCCATGATTGCTTTTTGTCAGGAAGAATCCTTGGCAAAAAGTCGGACTGTGATCACGAAGTGGACGGAACGAAGGACACGACGAGACCAGTAGCCAGATAAAAGAAGGGAGCTGGGAAGAAGGAGAAGGGACAAACGGGAAAATAAGACAATGATGGGCGACTCAGGTGTTGGCTGACGTTGGCGGGCCTGACATGTGACAGCGTACTATATTAGCAGGAATGACGACAAGCTCCACTGCCGACAGACGGAAGCGTGTGCAGGCCGGTGAATACAAGAGGAGAGAGGTATGGGAAATGGAGAGTTCTGCGAGACGGTTGGTTGGAGAGCCGAAGGAAAAACGGAGAAGCACGAAGGGATGCACATGGGAAGAGAGACAAGTGACTGCATCACAACTGCATGCGGCATCTTCGATGAATTGACTCTGGCCGTGGAAACGCCTACGATGGCCGCCAAGATTAGCATGTGAAGACGCCGGAAGCGGGCTACAAGTCGCGGCTGTCGGCCGTACAGAACGCAAAGCGCAGCATCAGAGACATGTGCGTAATGTTCAGCACCGTTTGTGCTCTCGATTTTGGATCTTCTCTGCCGCAAAAACATGTCTTAACTCTCTGCTGGACTCCGCCGAACCATGTGTACTAGGATCTGTGCTTATACACGATGGGAGGATTGAGTTTCGCACATCAGCGTCGGTATATAGTATAGATGTTCGATATACAGTCGTATGTGCGGCGGATAAGTAGTCATGCTGCGGGTTTAACCGATATGGGAATACGAAGGCTGGCTGATGAGAGAGCGTTACGAGCAGCTCATAGTTTGATTTGGAGCAGCACCTGATTTATCGATAAATACAAGTCCAGTCTTATTGGAGCCCCAAGTGACTGCTTTTGTTAGGGCACGCGAGGTACGGCGTGGACAAGGCTAGATCAGCAGCGTGCGTCACCGAGGTCGTCTGACAGCTGCTAATATCGTTGCTTATACTTGTATCGTACACAATATTGCCCGACATGGCTACTCAGCAGCACGCCCAGCAGCAGCAGCAGCCACAACAACAACAACAACCGCTACCGCTACCGCAGCAGACACAGACGCAGTCGCAGTCCAATGCGGTGCCTGGTGCCGTCAGAGCGAGCTCGTACACGGCGCTGCCTCCACCAGCTGCTTACACGCCGCTACGCCATGCCAGTAATCGCAAGACCATCTACGACCGCAACCTCAACCGCGCTCGCACCTCCGAGCTGAGCCTGGCATCTTTTGCCCACCTCTTCAACACTCTGATTGCATACCACCAAGCTCGCGCCCCCTCAGTGTCTGATCTTGAGGCCAGGCTGGCTCAATCTGCATACCCTATCGGTGTCAAGCTGCTCGACCTGCTTCTCTTCCGCATGCCACCACGTACAGCCTCTCGGCCGACCCGCTTGCTCGATCTTCTACAGTTCATACACACGACCTTGTGGCGTTCCTTGTTTGGCCGTCCTGCCGACGCTCTCGAGGCCAGCACTGGCAACAACAATGACTACATGATTGTGGACAATGATCCCCTTGTCAATACATACATCAGCATTCCCAAGGAGATGAGCCAGCTCAACTGCGCCGCCTTTGTCGGTGGCATCATCGAGGGTGTGTGCGATGCTGCTGGTTTCTCGACAGACGGAGTTACAGCACATTGGGCGGAAAACGACGAGCTTTGGCCCTCAAAGACCATTTTCCTCATCAAGTTCAAGCCTGAAGTCGTCGAAAGAGAAGAAGCACTCAAGGCTGGAGGTGGTTGATCGTCAAATACTGTTTTGACTCCCTGGCAGCTGTCGAGAAGGCTAGAAAACCTCGGAAATTATCAATGCCGAAGAATTGCGGCTATGGAAGGGACACCCAAAAGTCTCGCTGTCCCGTAGAGCACTCGCCTTCCGCCAGCTCATCTGCTAACAAGCTGACATCGTCTGGCCATATCCTACTCCGCTACCATACCGATCGGCAAACTTTCCCATGCTCCTGTCTCCCGTCGCCAACCCCCTTGCTCTGAAGGAACATCCTCCATTTTCACATCATCCGTCCTCTTCGTCTCCTTCGTTGCCTCTTCCTCGACCTCCGCATCGTGGTCGCTCAGCAAAGCGCTAGCTTCCACCAAACTCTTCCAGGTAGCTCGGACATCCATCTCGGCACCTTCGAGGATCTCCTCGGCCAGTTCGTGGCTCCATTGTGTATTGGGGTGCAATATACACTCTCTCAGCGCCAGAATTTCGAAAAGCACTGGACTCTCGCCACGCATCTCGAGCCAGTTGTCCGAGTCTAGCACGTGCATGATCCAGCGGTAGATGGCCCATTTGGTTGGGTCTGCTCTGTCGCGGTCCTCGTCCGTAGTTGTCAGTCTTGCGTTGTGTGCAATAGCTCGTTCTAGGAAAGCCTCAATGAATAGTGGAGACCCGGCTGCAAGCATGATCAGGAGGTCATCCCAGATCAGATAAGCACCTTGTAGTGCCGAATCGGCAAGAGGGCCTTTTTTCCTGTAAACGCAAATTAGAAAGCAGAATCAAAAGTTTAGTTCGACCACACATACTGTTTTAATGAGGGGACAATCAGGCCATCGTCGATCAAGACTGATGCCACTTGTGTCCACTTTGCTGCTTCATCTTCGCCACAGCACAGATTTTGGCAATGCTGTTGTGCTTGAAGTGATGGGCTGGCAGTGTCCTTGGCCTTTGCTTTGCTCTTTAGTGCCGTGACTCTGCGTGATCTGAATTTCTTGAGATACTCTGCAGCCTCCAGTCTCACTGCTGCCAGAGACTGCATATCAACCTGTGCTGCAGCCTCCTCTCCGGCCTCGGCTTCCCAAGCGTCCTGAGGTAATTTCGCCCAGTACACGCCCCAGAGCCAATTTACTGCTTCGCGAGCACTGCGGACGAGTCTTGCAAGACCAGGCAGATCTTCGTGTGCGACTTCATGGCGTAGTTCGACGAAATGCGGAGGCAAGCCAATGGATCTGGCAACATCAAACATGCTCTGTCCAGGTCCGTTTCTATGGCGTCCCAGATCCGCAAAACCAGTGACGAATCTAGAGAGTGCGGTAGTGTAGGCGGCTCTGAGGGCAAAAGATGAAGCGGTAACGGCAGTGACGCCTTGATGTGCCCATTCTGCAGGGTCAGCGGCGAAAGAGACTTGACGTGCGTTGGAGGTCGAAAATTGAGCGTGAAGGAGCATGGCGTCCATGAGAAGGGCAGTGCTTTCGACCGCGTGAGGAACATTGCCTCTTTGTTTCCAGGCTGCTACCGTGGCAATGGCATGGCTTTGCTCTGCTGGTGTCGAAGGGCTGTAGAGACCATGGCGAACATTCAGAAGGTCGGCATGGCTGCGCCAGGGTGTGACGAAGTAGTTTCGTTGTAAGGTCTGTGGAGACATGTCGAAAGCTTTGCGGTGCTAGCTACCAATTCTAGATTTCTGGGTCCAATGATGTTTCTTGACCTGCGTAAAAGCCGAGAATCAGTATGGTTTACTAAACAATTTTGGTTGACCTTGCAGTCATTTCAGTTCCGAACATTCACAAGAAACTCCGAGCTCGCAAAGATCTCGTGCATGAGAACGTATCCTCTTAACTGGCTGTTTCCATGGATTTCTGTAATTCGCAGTCTGCCGTCGTTGATATCTGTCTGTCGGGTTTTCGCTTTTTTTCTCTCCCCAAAAAAGTCTGCGGGAGGTGGTATGGATATTTCAGAAGGTCACATACAAAGAAACCACTTACTTTTGTTATCTCGACTGTTATGGGCACTATTGATCCGAGTCCGAATAGACTAGGTAGTCCGAGATCCAGATATTGACGTTGGTTTTTGGGAAGAGTGGTCGATCTTCAAAGTTGTTCGCTGCGCTCCCAAGTCCGCCAGGTCCGGAGCGTCGGCCGATACCACAACTCCGCAACTATCCTAACATTTCGCGAATTCTGATTTTTGCCAATTCACTAATTTACAACTTTACACGCTCTTTACCTTATATAACATTGATAGTCTTGCATGAATAATTGTATATAACGATAGCAAGGTAAGCAGTGTTACGATTTAACTCAAGCATACTTACATATATAAGCTATATACTAAATTATAGATTATTCTTATGCTACACTATATATGTATAAATCTATACGCGTATATAACATAACGTGCTAAGATATCTCTAATCTAGTATACTCTAATACGCTTAGACTACTTAAGTTTAAGCGATGACGAAGTCCGTACGTTGCAACTCTTCTTAAACGAGCAGTGGTATGGATTTGACACTCTGTATCTATTTTCTGATCAAGTTTGTACACAATTCTGTATGCAGCAAGTCGCTCAATCAAGCGCAGAATTGGATGATTTGATACAGGCTGGTCTGTGCCAGGTTTTGGTCCGTTTATGACTGGTTGCAGATGTCGACGCAAGATGTCTAAACACTCGACATGCATCCACCATTTTCAATATAACGACCTTGATGATTGCAAGCTACTTTGTTTCAAGTTATCCGAAAGGCTGGTTTGATGGTCCACAGGGTTCCTTTCTCTGTACCTTCACCATGCGGACGATCACACCAATAGACCGCGTTCTACTCGGCTCTGAGTGTAGCAGGCTTCGAGACGAATTGTAAGGTTATAGGTTAAATGCCACGTGCTAATCAAACGTCATCTCTATAACAACCACCAGGTTGCTCCTTCTCTCCAAGTTTGTGGTAAGGTAATTGGTGAACATACTTACCTGCCGCAGCTCATGCGTTCCTGTGGTTTTCTGTTCCCACAATCGAACTTGAAGAACAGTAGATCGTATGCAGCGTTACAGTTGACAACACATGCAGCAAACATCGCATCTGTCAAATAAGAAGGGATATGCAACACACCTTGACAGACAATAACAAGAGTTCTTCGTCTCCTGACTGAACATCATGTCACCACGCAAGGATCTACCAGACACGAGATATCCATCTTCCAAACACGACCCTCCCACTGCAGACTCGCGTCCTCTGACCAGCTCAAGTTTATCTTCCTGGAAGAGAGTCCGGAGATTCCTCCAAGGCGAAGTCTGCATCATCGATGGGGACTCACTCGACATCGCCAGTGTTGTCGCTGTGGCCAAGTCTGTGTCAGGTTTGAGTCCTTTCCAGATCATGTCCGTCTAACTGTGATTCAGGTATGGCACTTCGGCAAAACTGTCGACCGACGATGATCTTACCGAACGCATCGACGGTAGCGTTCGTATGCTGAGGACTCATCTTGACCAGGGTCATGTTGTGTATGGTAAGTCGCCTTGATGCCTCCCCTGCTGCTGCGGAAGTGTTGACCAAGAATGATAGGGGTCTCAACTGGTTTCGGCGGCAGTGCTGATACTAGAAGCAATAACTTGGAAGACTTACGGGGAGCACTCATTCAGCATCAGAACTCTGGTATCCTCATAATCCACGATATCGGCCGCTCTCAAGATGCATCAGCGAAGGATAATGCTTTACAATCACGAGATATCGACCTGGCTTCCAGCACAAACTCAATGCCGACGAGTTGGGTAAGAGCCAGCATGTTGATTAGATGCAACTCGATCATTCGAGGTCACTCTGGAGTACGCATGTCTGTGGTACAAGCCATTCTTCGCCTTCTCAACGAAAACATCATTCCAGTCGTACCGCTGAGAGGCAGCATATCGGCCAGTGGCGACCTGAGCCCTCTCTCGTACATTGCTGCAGCGATCGAAGGCTCCCCAGATGTTTACGTCAGAGTCGCTAGCGGCAAGATCTTTTCGGCAGCAGAAGCATTGAGAGATGCTGGTATTGAGTGTGTCAGATTCCAGCCCAAAGAAGGGTTGGGTCTGTTGAATGGAACGGCATTTTCTACTGCGACGGCATCTCTTGCCTTGTACCAGTCCCAAGAAGTCGCTCTTCTGTCGCAGATCCTGACTGCAATGAGTGTTGAGGCGATGCAAGGATCCGCAGAATCATTCTGGCCTCAAATTGCTAATATGCGACCTCATCCCGGTCAAATCGAATCTGCTGCCAATATCCTGTCGTTTCTTCAGGGGTCGAAGTTGGCAAAGTGTGTGGGATCATCAAAGGACACAAATATGACTGGCCTCTACCAGGATCGTTACCCCTTGCGAACTTCATCGCAGTGGATCGGACCTCAGCTTGAGGATATCTTGCATGCCACCACTCAGATCCGCACCGAGATCAATTCAACTACAGATAATCCTTTGATGGACGTTAAGTCAGACCACGTTCTTCATGGTGGCAACTTCCAAGCAGCTATCGTCACCTCTGGCATGGATAGGGCTCGTCTTTGTTTGGAGCGGTTGGGAAAAATGCTCTTCTCTCAGGCAACAGAAATCATCAATCCATCGTTGAACGGCGGATTGCCGGCAAACCTGTGCGCAGACAATCCTTCAACATCTTTCACTTGCAAGGGTATCGACATCAACATGGCGGCGTATCAATCGGAGCTAGGTTTCCTTGCGAATCCTGTAGGAAACCACGTTCAATCTGCCGAGATGCACAACCAAGCGATCAACAGCCTTGCTTTGATCTCTTCGAGATACACACTCCAAGCACTTGATACCATCTATCTGATGGCGGCCGCTCACCTGTTTGTTCTCTGCCAGGCCCTTGATTTGCGGGTCTTGCAGATTGAGTTTCTCAGAACCATGAGTGCTGAGGTCAATCGCATTGTCCAGAAGTTGCTCATAGGCATGCAAACATCCAATGGTCTGTGTGAGCTCCTTGAGGATGCAATCTACACGCGCATGGAGGCTATGTGGCCTACCACCAATACTGCTGACCTCGATCAACGATGTAAGACGACTGCCGATGCCGTCATGCCGGACATCATCAAAGTACTCTCGAAAGCATCCCCCACTGTATCCCTTGACCCCACCGAACTGGTCAATTTCACGACAGAGTTACAAAATCAGATGCAGACTCAGTACGAACATAAGAGGCATGACCTGATCGATCATCATGATGAGACTACTCCGAGGTTCCTTGGAAAGGCAGCCAGTCGCATGTACAGCTTTGTTCGCAGCGATCTAGGGGTCAGCATGCATCGTGGTCTGATCGAACACCCAACTCAACCACTGCCTCCGGATGTTGAAGTAGAGGAGCCACGCAAAACTATTGGTAGCAGGATCAGTGTGATCTATGAGGCATTGAGAGATGGACGTGGGAGTGCAGTGCTCATAGCTTGTACCGAGGAAAGCTTGAGGGACGAAAGTTCAGATGCTGAGTTTGATAGATAGCATTTTTCTTGCTGCACGCTTTGCTGTGCCACAGGGTTGCGGTCAGATCACCGCATAGACAACTGCCTGATCGCTCCAAGCATGTTTTCCGAACCTAACATCATGTCTTCAGTCCGTGAGAAGTAGTAAATTATCACAGCCAGGGTCATGGTAAAGACATGGCTTTCGAATGCTCGCACCAACCGATTAAGGTTCACTGGAGCACCGTGACGAGGAGGAAAACGTAGAACAGCACTAGATTCACTTGCAAAGATGGTTCGTGGTTTGATGGTAAATAAGGATTTTGTCAAAAGTATATACGAGAAGAATCGTGCCTTGATGATACAGATATCGAGACTTGCGAGTGTTCACAAACTACTCAAAAAAAAAAAACAGTTTCTAGAAGCGTCATGGAAAGAAACGCATGGTGACCCAAAACACCGGGAATGCAACTGAGGGCAAAAACGCAAGGAGAAGGAACGGATGTGGAGAACCCGCTTAGAGAAGAGTGGCGCCAAACAGGGTGGACAGGGCAACCACACCGGTCATGATCAGAGGAGCGAAGGAGACCTCGCCGACGTTCATGCGCGAAGCGGCACCAGAGTGGGTGGCAGAGCCGCTAGCTCCAGAAGCGGTGGAAGAAGCGCCAGAGGCAGTGCGGGTAGCGGAACCGCTTCCAGCAGAGGCGGTGGCAACGTTTTCGGTACCAGAATCCTGGGAACCGGCACCAGCGAGACCGGGGCCCTTGCCAGCACCAGAGGTCATGTACTTGGTGGCGTCGGAGGGAATGGCAGGAAGAGCCTCACCGCTGAAGTCACCAGTGTTCCAGGTGTCGCTCGAGGAAGGGCAGGTGGAAGCAGTGCCGTCCGAGTGGTAGCCGCCGTCACCAGTGGGAGCAGTGTTGTTAGAGAATGCGGCCTGGAGGTAGGTGAAGTCGTCGTTGGGGGTAACAGTAGAGCCAGAGATGGTGACGAGACCGTAGTCAGAGCCCTCCTCGGAGTACTCGTAGACGAGACCACCACTGTAAACGCCAGTCATCTCGGAGTTGTAGAGAGCCGAAACCTCCTCAAACTTGCGAGCGGCCTTGTTGCATCCGTACTCGGAAAGGAAGAGGGGCAGACTGTAGTTGCCGTAGGTGGCAACCTTTTGGTCCCAGCCAGAGATGGTGTAGGACGAGGGGTCGCACCACGAGTAGTCGTTGAAGGCGAAGAAGTCGCTGCGCTGGTCGTCGGTACCGCAGTTCATGTATTGGGCGGTCTCGTAGCGGTTCTCACTAACATCAGCAGCCGAGTAGCCGATAGGGATGGCACGGTAGCCTCTGTTGTTGCGGTACTGCTTGAGATCGCGGGTGACGGCCTTGATGTAAGGAGCGCAGTTGGTAGTGTTGACGTCGTTGATGACCTCGTTACCAGAGAAGAAGAGAAGAGTGTTGGTGTAGTTGGCAAAGGCATCGACGGTAGCGAAGAGACTTTGCAAGTAGACAGCGTTGTATGAAATGGCGGGGTTAGCACGGTTGATTGAGTACAAGGGAGTGTTGACATCGAGAGCAACGTAGATACCAGCTGCGGCGAGGGCGTTCATGCAGGTGTCGTGGCTGGCAGTGTTGTCGACAGTGTAGACACGAATGGTGTTGATGCCGAGCTGCTTGAAGTACTTGATGTCTCTCATGCAGCCGTCCTCATCAGCAAGAGGGTCCTTGGCGTCAGACGAGCCACCGGGCTGGTAGTCGACACCACGGATGTAGAAGCGGTCGTTGCCAGCGAAGAAAGCGTTGCCCTTGACGGTGACGGTGGGGAGACTGCCCGAGGAAGTGCTAGTAGCTCTGACCTCAAGAGTGGGCGAGGCGACGGCCAGGGAGGCGCCCAGGGCGACCGAAACAGCAGCGAATGAAGCCTTCATTGTGCAAATAAGAGAATTGGAAGATATCAAGCTAAGAGGTGAGAAAGAGTCTAGTAAGACAAAGAGAAGAAGCTCCCGGTAAATGAGTGACGGGAAGAGAGGTCAAGAAGTCGAGTATTAGAAAAAGCGAATTAAGCAAGACTGCACAACGAGAGTGGCAGGAAAGATGATGGAAGCGCGGCAAGCAGGGGATGATGCGAGGGTTTTGTTTGGCCCAGCATTTCTAGACGTGACCAGGCACGGATCAAGCGCCAGCCGCTGTTTATTCGTTTGATCCGCGGACGCCCCTTCCAAGACTTTCGTTGAGTGTGCCTGTTTGATCGTCCGCGACTGTTTTGACAAGGCAAGCAGTCGACCATCTCGCAATCATGCCTACTCCCTGCTTCAACGCCGGTCTATCCGCACACTCGACAGTCTCGGCGGCCATATCCTCTTGTTGTCTGCCTGCATCTCAAGTTCGAGATGGTCGTTCTTCTCAAATTGCCTCAACGTGCTCCCCGTATTCCCCAGAGCACGGGACATGTCTGAGATTACACTCCCGCTGCTTCTGAAACGCCACCATCTTACACTGAGATCAGCAATCCTCGGCCTCCGATCGTCACATCCGCATATGTTGACCTGCAACTTCTCCGACAGTGGTGCGCGTCCTCGTGTGAGCTCGGCCTCAAGGCCCGTCATTGACATTTCTCTTTCTATGCTAATCTCTAATTTCGCTTGTGCGCTCTTCCCTCCGCCGCTTTGCGCTTGCACAGCCATAATTGAAAATCATCCCAGCCTTGCCCATTCTCCACCCATCCATCTGACACTCCGAAATAAAACATCCCGTGAAAAAGCAAGGTACTCCAGATGTTGCGCCGCATGACGTTTGAAATCTCTCATGCCCCACAGCATGCATGCCACACCAGCTCCTGCAACATGCGAGTAGAAACGAAGGAAAAGGGTGATGTAGAATAAAAGAAAAGAAAGGAAAATCGTGCCCGCTTCTCTACCATAGTTTTCACTTGGTCTGGAAAGGGTTGGTACGTGAGTCGCTCTTGGATCTCCAGAACATCAGCTTGCTGAGGCGATTCTCCTTCTTCCTCTTGCTGTCCTGATGGACTGATGCTGCGATGGCTGTCTGGGGACGTCGTTCGCTCCTGAGACTGTTCCTGCTCTCGCCAAAGGGACCACCTAGGAGCATGCTCAAGCTCTGAATGCTTGAGCGCTTGCGACGACGTTCGGAAGCTTGCATGTCTGCTTGACCATTGCCACATGCCACCGAAACCGGTCGTTCCATGGTTTCGCGGCGAGGACTGGTCTGATACATGGTACTAATCATGGTCGAACGACTGCTAGTCAAAGAGGGAACATCATCGGCGGACATGTATAGCTCAGGGGTGGGCTCTGCAGTGGTGAAGGAGCTCATGGTACGAACGTCGGCAATCGAAGATGCCGACGTACCAACGCGTAGAGCGTCAAATGAACCTGGATTGTGTCCGAGGTCAGGAGACGAGAATGTCGAAGCAATGTTGGATATGGGTGTAAGAGGACCGTCGTTTGGAGCAGGAAGACCAAGGCCAGTGTCCTCTGCTGAGATAGTGCGAGCACCACTAGATTCAGAGGACTTCGTAAGGGACGAAGTTCGAGGTTCTTCGTAGTCTGACACAGTCTCTGCCGATGTGGGTTCCTCAACGATGGTATCCTCAACCAACGATGTGCGAGGCGGAGTGGGCTGACGCTGGGGGCAATCAAAAGTTTGAGCATTTCTCAGCGAACCTTGATGTTCGATTCCAAGACCATCTTCAAAGCTCCAGTCAAAGTTTGGCTCGAGCTGCGCGTTGGCGGCATCAACGATCTGAATACCAGTGCTGAACTCCTCATCAGTCTGGCTCGATGTGTCGCAGATGCTTGGTTCTCTGACGACTGCAACAGGGGCCTCGTCTTCCTCTTCTTCGAAAACGTCGTCCATAGGCGATTGTCCTGGCGAGGTGGATCTACCAGCGAATTCGAATGGGACCAAAGCAGGGGCACTTTCGGTTCTACGGTGGTAGTGCATGCCTGGTCCGGTGAAGTCTCTGGCCAGTCGACTGCTGTGCAGTTGTCTTCTCTTCGTAGCAGGACGCGATTCTTCCCAACTCATCGTGGGTGTTCCGTAAGGTCCGAGAGCGGCGTCCAAATCAATGACGGGGCTTGTATCATCACCACCTGGTGACGAAGGCGACAGGAAGGGGAAGAACGAATCAGACATTTCCGATTGTGGTGAGAGGATTGAAGGGCTTGCGAAATCATCGGCATCGGTAAAAGGATCTTGGCCAAACAGAGCATCGAGGTCAGGCTCCTCTCCAAAAGGATCTGCCAGCTGAGGTCCCAGATCAGGAGTCTGTTCGCCATTCTCACTCTCCTCTGAAGCATCGGCTGTTTGTTTTGCCTTCTTTGCATCCTTAGTCTTACGCCCAAGAATCGAGGTTGCCCACTTCTTGACTCTCTTCCGTGAAGACTCGCGATGCAGGCCTTGATCGACAGTTTCTGGCTTTCTTGCAGGTATCTGGGAGTCATCACGGAAGACAGGCTCCTGCAGAGAGATGGTTGAGGTACCAATATCCGCAGAAGCAGTTAGAGAGATCAAAGGCTCACTGCGGCGGCGATCAAGCTTCAAGAAGGTCTTCTTCTTGGAGAGCCGAGGAACTTCATTGGCGGGGTCCAGGGCGAAAGATAGGCGGTTGGTGGGAAGATTGAAGGTTGGGGGAGAGTTCAGAACAACCGGCTCTGCAGCCACGGAGTCAGATGCGATAGCCAGCAATGATCTAGGCGAAATCTCAGAAGCAAGATCGGGTATCGTAATCATTGTCCTTCTAGGAGAAGGATTTCCGATACCACCAAGACTGATGAGCGAAGACATGCTGTTTCCAACCGAGTGGCCACGCACAGTTGATACGGAGCTGGCAGTGTCTGCAGAAACGGTAGAAAGAGGACGTGGAATGAATTCGATCTTTTCGGAGAAACCAACGCGGGGCCTAGAAGGGGGGCGTGCAACGGATTCTTCGGCCAGAGGTCCAGATGAAGATAGCACGGTCATGATGCTTTCGCTAGACTTGCGTCCCTCAGTCACTGATTTGGCAGGCGAAGGATATTGTGGTTGAGAAATAGGTTCGGCAGGCGTCTGAGGGATGGCGGTCTGAGGTCGTACATTGGCGTCTCTGGGTTGGAGTATGCTGGCTAGATCGTGACCGGATATGGCAGTTGATCTACGGTGGGTATGTCCGCGTCTACGAGATGGTGAACCAGTGATGTCTGGCACAGGCAGAGCGCCGAGATGTTTTGATGGACTAGGTCCTAGCATCAAGCCCATTCGACTGTCTCCGCCAACCAGCTCACTCGCTCCTCTACGGTGTCCGGCGCTCTTTGGTGGGCTGACAGGGGGCGTGAGAATTGTGGGCGATGAAGGTTGATTGTCCAAACGGCCAGAAGTGTCGGACGAGTTGAAGCTGAAGGTTGGCAGTGCGGATGTGGACTGTCGCTTTGAACTAGAGCGGCCGTGGTATGAGCTGGGAGCCAGGTTCATAGATGCGGGTCGTCTAGGGTTTGACATGGTGGACTGCTCTGTGATAGGGCGAGGAGGGAAGACAAAGTCCGGCACAAGCTGCAAGGTTTCCTGGTCCATGTTGGCGGCGGATCTGTAGTGCTGGTCGCTCATGTGGTGGAAAGACATGGTCGTGGCCATAGCATCTAGTGAGGCACTCGTGAAGGTGCAGTGGTGATATTAAGTGAGGTAAGATAGTGAGGTGGGTTGTATGCGTTTGCGCGCGCGAGAGACGATGTCGCTATGATGTCGTCCAAAAGACGACAGGGGATAAAAGAATATTAATCTATGAACAATGTCAGCGGACGTGGTTCAATAGCAGAGAGTGGGCTATTGACAATACCAAGCTAGAAACATGGGACGCTCACAGAGCTAAATCACTTTGTTACGATAGAAGGAAGGCGCAAACAACAAATAAGCAAAGCAAGCAGTATCTCGAATTAAAGAAAAAAGGAATGGACGCAGTCTCGACTACAGACAACTTTGAGCAAGCCGTCCGAGAAGATCCCACAGAATGAGGTTGTTGAACAGAGGTCGAGGAGGAGGGGTCGCGGGAACAAGAGGAAGGAGCAGAGAGAAACGTGAGCCTGGAGGGTGCAGATGCATGTACCAAGTTGGTCGCAGGCTCAGGCTCTCTCGGGCTTGGCTGCGCTCGGGCCTAACGCTAGGGCAGAGATAATCGAAGCGTTGCGAGTGAACCGTTTCCCAAATCCTAAGAGCGAGGGTCGCATTTCGTATGCGGCATGCCACAACAACAACCCAGGCCAAACTGCCTTCTCTGATCCCACGCGACGCCCAAACGGTGCATCGCTGTGATACGAACGTGGTGGATTCTCTGTTGTCGCGCCATGTCTCTGCCCACAGATTGCCCACCGTAGATCGCACTTTGGGTGTGGGCAGCGAATGACGGCGACTCGGGAACGCCCTGGTCACTCTAGATCGTTGCCGGGCAATAAAATACCAATATATTTTCGCTTTTCGCTGCCTGCCTTGCTTCCCAGCTTGGGCCGGGCAGTACGAGCAGTGCCACTAACGATCCCGCTATTGTATCCTACGTGCGCACCACGACAGACACAGCTCTCAGGCCATACGTTCCTGTCTTGTTATCTCGTTGCCATGATACCGATACCGCGTTGCCAATCGCGTCGCTCACTCCCAATAGTAACGCCTCTCGGCACGCGAACTATGGCAACTGTCAACTGTTTAAGCCTCTCGTACCTACTATCCAAGCTGGCTATGTCATCGTCTATTCACGGACACGCTCTCTATCTGCTACTCTGGGCATCTCCCCCCCCCAAAGCGCATCTGCATCTCTTGCGCTCGTACCTACCTAGCACGTCTTGTCTCCGCGCGTCAATCGACCAGTCAGGTTGCTTGTTTCAGGATCAGACCCTTCCCCACAAGGCCATTGCAGTGATCAACTGGCCCCGCAATAATCAAACCATAGCGACCCTCTGACAAGAGCAAAAGTTTTTGAGGCCTCGAATGTCTGGTTCCTGAGTCGTAGAGGCAAATCCTCACGCAAAATGTTTCGGTCTGGTTCGTCTTCCATCCGTCCGGTCTCTGCTTCTCGAACACAGCACTTGGAATCTTTCGGTTTTAATTCAATGTCTGGGCCGAACCATTCCGCGGCGCCTGCGTGTCTCAAACCTGCATCTGCAAGCTGCACGTTTAGCATGTTGCAAGCACCTTTCGGGACACTCAAGTACCTAACCACCATCCCTAAGCTCGAGCCAATTTTCACATGTTGCGTGCATGTACTCGTGACTTCATGTGCACTACAGTGCGTGAGATGCTGCTACCCGAGTGCACACTGCGCACGCAAGAAGACTGCGTCAAAATGGAAATCCAAGTCTCGACTAGTGCTCACATGTCTAGACTGCATGCTAGTTATTGATTAATCAACCATGTGTGGGGAGAGGACTTCAGTCATACAGGTAGGTGATAGGCTATTCTATCTGGATACTGTTGAGACAAAGCAGGGTCTTTGTAGACTGCCAACAAGTCTCGAGTTTACGCGGGATCTCTTGCCGACGCATGCACGTTGTGCTATCTACAACAAAAGCCCAAGCGGATAGGCCGACGGGATACTGTTGCTATCCTTTGGCATCATGCTGGGTACAGCTGCATATTCTCGAACAGGTATGTGCCGATTAGTCCACACAGGGGGCTTTCTGATCTGCGTTAGAGCTTGTATCTCGTGCGCAATCTGCAGCAGTTTTGCTTCTGTCCATGGTAAGCCCATCAGCTCGATACCGATAGGGATACCGATTGGGGCGGAGTCGGTAGCCTGACTGAAGCCCACGGGTAGCGCCAGTGAAGGGAATCCAGTCACTCCGGCCAGAATGCCGTTACGTCCATGTTGAGATGCAGATCCAATCCTCACAGGAAGATTCTTCTGCTGTGGGTAGATGATTGCATCCAGGTGGTGTGCAGCAAAGGTTGCATGCAGATGCGTGGTCAGATCTTGGATGTTGTTCAAGACTGCCTCGTACTCGAGATCTTGTGTGCTACCCTTCAATACAGCCTTTATGAACTCGTACTGCTGTGGGAGCACCAAGAAAGAATTGCCCTCCCTATAGAGATCCTGAAGAGTCGCAGGATGTTGCCCTTTGAGGCTCGCTCTCGAAAGATACGTGTCCACCTCCTGCCTGAGCTCGAATCTCTGAGTCTCGCACGACGCGATTATAGCGTTGACATTGTACATTGGATCATCAATTGGTACAACAGTGGCGCCGGCTTCTTGCAATCGCGCGATCATTGCATCTATAGATTCATTGACAGGCTCGGTCTCGTTGGTCGACGTGCGATCAAAAAACGTTTCAAGAACTCCTATCGTCTTGCCACTGAGAGAGCCAGAGGCAAGATCCATGTGGTAATCCGTCCCACGAATACCCTGAGGTACAAGTGCAGTGCTGTTGTCTTCAGGATCTAGCTGCGAGCTTGCAATGACCGAAAGAGCGATAGCAAGATCCTCAACGCATCGTGTGATAGGCCCAACGGCATCCTGTGTATGGGAGTTGGGAACGACACCAGCTCTCGATACAAGCCCTCTGGTAGGACGTAGCCCGAAGAGGCTGTTTGCACTTGCTGGATTACGTACACTGTTTATCGTGTCTGTACCCAGGGCGAAGACCGCGAATGATGCAGCAACACTGGCGCCACTGCCTCCAGATGACCCGCCCGGGGTCCTGTCGGCATCATAGGGATTGACCGTCTGGCCACCAAGAGAGGATACCGAGATTCCTTCCAATGCGAGCTCCTGAAGATTTGTTTTGCCCAAGATGATAGCACCTGCATCTTTGAGCGCTTTGACGACCGCAGCATCAACCGAAGGCCTCGAGTCAGCAAGAGCAAGGCTTCCACTGGTAGTTGGCAGAGATGCAGTGTCAAGATTGTCCTTCAAAAGCACGGGGACGCAGTACAGCGGGCCTATGCCGGCATTCTTGCTAGCGAGCAGTGCATCTTGTCGTGATGCGATTGAAAGAGATTCGGGATCCAGAGATATAATGGAGTTAACGTATCCGTGGTCCAAGGCTTCAATGCGTGACAGGAAAGCAGAGACGATACTCCGACAGCTCGTGCCAGAATACAATGCATTATGGACAGAAGCTATTGTGGCCTCTCTTGGGTCGAAATGCTCTTGAGCATCGACGATGACTAAACTGGACAAGGCCAGTAGAAGCCGGTGCCTCAAACAACGTAGTTGCATTGTTCGATTGATGGAATACGAAGGTGTACAAACACGATGTTCACGAGAGCGTCAAGACGTGAGAGGCTGGGAGATGATGACGATCTGCTTCGGCACATGTGCACGGGACAGACAATGGGCATTCAGAAATCAAATCGTGATCAAATCACCTAGCATATCATCGATTACAGGTGCGAACATTGCAGAGTTTTGGTATGACCGGACAAGCAGTAGAACACTTCCCAACCACAGATTGCTTAGGAGGTATAGATCTAGGCCTCCCGCATAAATCACCGAAATGACGAAATCAATACAGCCTCAGTAGCCGAGACATTAATTGATACCGCAGTGAATATAGAAACCAATCTTGTACCCATCAAGTACTGTTCTAGCTAATGTGAGGCTCTCGTCAGATGTCTGTAAGAGGGTTCCCGTTGAATTGCAATTCATGCTCGCAGGAAGCTATTGGCACTTCTCGATCAGATCTGCGAGAGCAAGATCTTAGCACGTCTGAGGCGTAGTTGCCGGCTTGAATCTTTGGCGAGCAGCCTGTGGCTGGGAGAGGTGAATCTGGCGCTACAACAAGCGCATAGTAGATTGCGCGTTGGTATTCTGGTCGGAGAACAAACCAAAAGACAAGGTCTCCTCAGGCGCCAGTCTTTGTGGTCCCGATCATTCCTTGTTCCACGCCTTGAGCGCCTTGAAGATCCTCGAGGCCCTGGTCTTGGAGGACATCAACATCGAGCTCCTGCATGACTTGCAGGACGACATTGAGACTCTCGAAGAAGCCATTCACCGAGACACGAAGCATACGGTTGGTAGTGGCACGGTAGACAGTGCGAAGTACGGTAGCATCGTCCTGATCAGATGTGGGCTGTGTCGATTGAACGGCGTCTAACGAGGAAATGGGAGCGGCATTGGTCAAGAGAGAGGCGCGAAGAGGATCATGCTCGACCGCATTCGGAGGGGCATCTGAGGGACGATGAAGCGAGAACTGGCGACGGACCAGAGGCGAGAGCTCCTGATCGACCGACAGGGAGCGGATTGCGGCGCTGGCTAGGCGATGGGTAGGGAAGGGAGTGTCGATGGTTCTACGCCATGCGCATGAGCTTCGTGGGTTGGTCCATTGGAATGCTGAAGCTCACAGGATACACGGAAACTCGTCAGACGTGGCCATGACGATTGTGGTAGGGACTGACTGCTTGTGTCTTCTTCTTCGTTGTCGGGCGCAATTCGCATCGTGACTTCTGCGTTCGCATCGATCAAGCTCGAGGCTTGGCATACGTAACTGACTACTCATGCATGACCATTACCACCAGGTAACATTGCCTACTCCACTCGTTTTCTACACAAACATAGCTGCGTCTTCTCTCTCAATTCCAATCACACCAAAGACGTCAATCTCAAACTTCAACATGCCGTCTCCCTCAGAATTCCTGACCTTCTACCGCCGCACTGCTCGCCTTAGCACCCTGAGACAGTCTCGCATTGTACCAGCTTCTCCCCGCCGCACCTTCGTTTCGTCAACATGCCGTCGCAGCAGCGGTGGTAAGCTCAGCACCGACGGCTCTGTCGCAAACGAAGCATACCCCGACAGCGAGCACGCAACCGACAAGAAGGACAAGCTCGACGTTCAGAGCGCCAATGCTGCCGAGGGCCAGAAGTACATACCCTTTGCTGCCCGTGATATTAATCATTGTACTGACCCAGCACGTCTCTAGGTCCAAGAGCCGCGACGAGGGCGGCACTGCCACCCAGCGCAGGGACTCGAACAACAGCACGGCAAAGGCCAAGAAAGAGAACCCAGAGGCCCCGGATGTTGTCATTGGCATGCAGGACGAGAGAGGCGGAAAAGGCGCCTAAATCTTATGAACAAATAATGATCCTTTGATTCTTTCATCCTATCCAATGACGAATCGTCTCTTAACCTCGGAGAAAGTTTGTGAAATATCGACCCATTGCCTGCCAACGCCTTCGCTATGCATATCAAATAGAGCATCCAATCCATCATCTTCATGCTTGTTGCTTGGCGTTCCACTTCTTGACTCTCTTCTTGAGATCACCAACGCTCTGCTGGAAGGGGTTGAGCTTCATGTCGCGAGCCATGGCGGCGTAGTTGTCGCCGTGCTTCTGCACCAGTCGCTCAATCCATTCTTCTTCGCGGTCACTCTGCTTCCTGGGAGCCTTCTTGATCGGGCGGGCGGCTTGCTCCTCGAGTTGGCGGACCACATCGGTTCTTGCATCTCCTCCCTGTTGTGCTCCGTCCAGAACACCGTGCTCGTTGACGAATCCCTGCCAGCCCTCGTCGTCACTGTCCTCAATGTCGTTCAAGGGGTCGTTCAGCGGGTTGGCCTTTCTTTCACCACCCAGGACTTCCAGAATAGCGCCAGTCTCGGGGTCTCTTCTAATCTTGACTTCGGAGATGTTGATAGTAGTGGGCAATTTTGTGCTGATGTTGAGGTTGTCGGGCGTGGGCTCGGGTGCAAGGCCATTTGCAGCCTCGACTAATGTCTTTGATGTCTTCTCAACACCACCGGTGGGGTGGTTCAACTTGGAAACGAGTCCGAGACGGCGGTAGTTCTGGCTGAGCGTCTCCTTCTGATTCCTGTGTCATTGTTAGATCTTGCATTCAACAAAAGCGCAATGCGATGGACCTACCAGTTGGCTGCGATAATGGGGTTCTGCAACAACTTTCTCTTCGACTTTGCCTTTTGCGTCACCTTGGCGGTTGACGAGCGGTTTTTCCTCTTTTGCAATTCGCGACCCATCTTGTCTGATTTGTCTGTATGATTGTACAGAAAAAATGTTGTAGAGCCGCCATCGAGAAAGCCGGTCCCCCGAAAATTTGGATGCAAACACCTTCGCGGCTTCCCCATGTTTGCTCTCTTTCCTTATCTTATCGCTCGCTCCACCTCGCGCTCTGCCTCGAGTACAAGTAGAGTACAGGTGACAACTTGACCGTTCACGTTTGGAAGACATTATTGTGGGACAGAATCACACAAGATGGCCATCATGAATCGTGTGTATGCCACTTTGCTGGTTGTCCTCGTAGTACTGTGCCAAGTCATCACTGCATACTCGGAGAAGACTCCTGTTGGAGACCTCTCATCTGCACAGATTGAAGAACAGATCCAGGTTGGTCCCTTACAATTCAATGTCAAACAACCCATACTCATTCCGCCAGCAATGTCCTCTGGTCCAATCTCTCAATGCCCACAAGGCTTCAACAGCACATGAGGCCGCTACAGGCTTCACAGCTAGAGCATTTGCCGTCTTGTTCCCAGGATCGCCTGCTGTAAACACTCTCTTGTCAGCTTGTCAATGTTCTCGGATGATCGTCATTGTACTGATGATATGATAGGAGCGTTCTCTACATTTCTGGCCCACCCAACTTCTTGCTGGCCCTATGCCCCTCTGACATTGACCCGGCCTCCCTGAACACCATGGTTGCATTCGCCTTTGGTGGCCTCATGGGCGATACACTCTTCCATCTTCTGCCCGAGATCTTCGTTGGCGAAGACAGCCCAGAGCATGTGACCTTGGTGGTTGCTGATGGCAACAAGAACATTCTGCTCGGAATTGCCATTATGGTAGGCTTTGTCAGTTTCGTCATCCTCGACAAGGCTATCCGTATTGCCTCTGGAGGCGACGAGGGTGGTCACTCTCACGGCCATGCCCATGGTAAGATTGAAGGTGGCGACAAGGCAGCCGCCTCTGCCAAAGCATCTGGCTCTGACAAGGGCGCTCAAACCGATGGTCTGCGCCAGCGTGGCGGTGAGAAGGCGAGCACGCAGAGCGTTGTGCCTGTAGAGCAGGAAAGCGGTCCCAGCTCCAACAGAGGCTACTTGAACATCATCGCCGACTTTACCCACAACATCACCGATGGTCTTGCAATGGCATCTTCATTCTATGCTTCTCCCACCGTTGGAGCACTGACGACTACTGCCGTCTTTTTCCACGAGGTTCCTTTCACATATCAAGATCTTGGAGATTCTTGCTAACTCAAACACCAGGTCCCCCATGAGGTCGGAGACTTTGCTCTCCTCATCCAATCCGGCTTCTCCAAGCGTGCAGCCATCGGCGCACAGTTCTTGACAGCAGCAGGAGCCCTCACAGGCGCACTCATGGGAATCGCAGTTCAGGAATACGGCGGCAACAGTGCTGATGCCCTTCCCACTCCCGGACTTTTTGGCACTAGCCTTCACTGGGGTGATCTCTTGTTACCCTGGACTGCAGGGACCTTCATGTTTGTAGGCATGAGCGTTGTGCCTGAGCTCATGGAGACTGGTCCCAACAAGGTCGCTGAGATCAAGAAGATTGTTACTCAGCTGGTGGCCATTGCTGCTGGAGCTGGTATCATGATTGCGTAAGTTTTGATCTCCATCACCATGCCGTAAAGAGAAAGCGCTGACTAAAATATAGTATCTCGTGGTCTTGATCAAAGATTTGGATCTTGAATGAATGCACAATGTTGGCATTCTCAACATGTACAATTTGGAAGAAGATGTTTTGGAAAGCCTGGTGTAAAAAGCATAACAGAGGCATTAATGCATATAGTTCTATCTAGGACCTGGGTCGTTTGATAGGGGTATCGTAGCGTGAAACGAAAAATTGAAAAACAGTCTTAACGCTGCATCGAACCGAAGAATCTGAGGTCCTTCCAAGTAGCGTAGAAGAATGAAAAAGAAGAAGAGAGAATCGGAGAGCGCCAAAAGAAGCATCAAACCCAGAAAAGCGTCGCTAGAAATGACGAATGTTTTCGTTAATCCTCCCAAATGGTTTCGAGGTCCAGATCGACTGTCCTCTCACCACCACAGATACTCCATCTCTTTCGACCGGCGTCTCCACCTCGTCTGCCGAAGCCAAAACCGACACTTCTGTGGCCTGGGAGATCCAAGCTGCCCCTTCGTCGCGGCTCGTTGTCGTTGCCTTGGTCCTCGGCTTCTGCTGCAGCACGTTGCTTGGCCGAGCGGTCGGCCTCGATAGCCTCCCACTCCAAGTCGGGGTTGTCTTCGATTGTTTCGAGAGATGAGATACTAGGCGATCGCGAGCGAGCAGAGGAAGGTGTGGTGGAGATGCTCGAAAAGGAAGAATTGCTGGAGTAGTGATGTAGCGGAGGAAAATTTTCGTTGAAGCGGGCTGTAGCAACGGCGGGTGAGGAAGTAGCGGATGCTGAGCGGGATGTTGCGGCCGAAGGTGTGAGCGAGTGCAGAGGAGATGATGGTCGTTGTCGGCGCAGAGATAGCGAGCGTCCAAAGGGAGCCGGATGGGGTGGATTGTCGAGATGAGATCGTGGTATTATGCTGAGCTCGGCATCCTCGGAAATGCTTTGGAAAGCACCATCGTAGGTAGAAGAGTGCTGGGCATAGGAAGCTTCATCCAAAGGTAGGGGAGATCGAGGACGAAAAGGAGAAGTCGGTCGCATGTTGGGCGAATATGGCTGGCGCGGCGACAAGGAAGACATGGGACTCGAAGGGCGCAGCAAAGGCGATGCCGAAGGAGAAGAAGGATATTGGTGGCCGGCCGAATGGACCGAAGGAAGAGAATGTGCTCGCGGAGCCATGGGAGGAGCGAGAGCAGAAGCGTGCGACCTGGAGCGTAGATGGGGCCTTGTATAGGGGGTCTGGGTGCGCGGCCGCAGAGGCAGGCTGTTGGAGCTGTAGCTGGACGGGTTGTTGTGGATGTTGTTGTTGGGACGAGAAATAGACGAAGAGTCGGTATCGACGGCTGCAGGCACAGGCGACTTCTTCAGGGCAGCAGCAGGATGCGTGGTCCGCCGCGGCGCATCCGGGCGCGGTAGCACACTCCTGTTGTCCATGGTATCAACAGACTTCGGGGTCCTGCCGTCGCTCGTTGCGAGTTCCACTTGCTCCATTGGAGGTGACGTGGGTGGGTGGATTACGACCGTTTGCTCTCGGATCCCTCGTATGCACCGTCCCGAATGTCTCGAGCAGAGAACGTGCGACACAGTACACTTTCCTTCGGCGCCGAAGAATATGTCCACAAGTCGTGCACTGGTGGTCGCAAGCACAGGAAGACTCTCACCCCTATTGCGACTGTGTAAGCGGGCGGCCGTCTTCGCTTATGTCTGATACGTGACTGCAACCGCGAGTAAACTCTTCACCGCAGCGATCATCGGCGGCACATGTCAACACGCCCAAAATGTCTCAGCTTGCGCGTGCTGGTCTCCCACCGCGCTTGTACGTGGACTGTGATTAATCACAAGACGCCCGTATGCACTGAAACTCGGTCAGTCGTCAAAGAATATCAATCAGGACGAGAACAGCTCCGCGTCCGCCGCCGTCTGTCTGCAATCTTCGGTCGTCGTGCGCCTAGGTCTCTCTGCACGAGGCGCAGGACAACCTCTGCGCTGCTTTAATAAGTTCCTTCGCTCAAATCTTGCCCTGAGCGAGCCAAGCATCTCGGCCCAGACCAAAACGTCTCTTGCTGATGATCATTTCTGTCCGTACCCGTCATCCCTTGATCTTCAAACGACCACCTGTGTCTTGAACTCTTGTCCCTTAATCTGCAAACGACCACCGCTGTTGAACTCCTGAGCCTTGGTCATCTCTCGCGCTGCTGTCTGCGGTCCGTGAACAAGTGCGATCCGTGCCATTCTTGAGACCAGAATTTATCCTCCTTCTCACCACCTCTCTGCTACGACAGATATCCACGAATAAGCCCGGGATCTTGAGGTAGGGAAGACTATAGACTACAAGCGAGATGTTATTCTCTGTAACCTTGCTCCGCCACTCTTTTCGAGGCCCAAAGGATAGCAAAGCGCGTAAGATAGAAACACGGCAAATATCGTCTGACGATAGCCTCGTTTCCCCAAGGTGTCCATACAATGCTCTGTAGAAAGCAAGGTAAGATGGTAGTACTTTCTGCAGTGTGATGTACAAGGTATCGAGCGAGGTTCTTCCGAGACAATGTCAAGAAACCGAGATCAGTCAACAAGGCAAGGCTATTCAGAGATTGACCAAGGCAAGTCTGGTTGCAGGTCGCGTTCCTGGAACTTGGTGGCCATCACGGAAAAAGTGTTTAGAGTATCGTTTGTTTGCACTCCCGCGTTTGCATACTCCGAACGAGTATCTCAAGTCCACACTATCCACAACAAACGCGACTCTTTCTGCGTCTGTGCCTTTCCATACACACAGGACTAGACCATGCTGTTGCGTTGCGGCCACACGGTCAACATGGTTCTCACACACATTATTTTTCTCTGGCTGTCCATTGCCACCAACATATTCGGCCAAATGACTGCAGCACCCTCCTGTCCAGTCCAAGCAGACCCCTGGCACGCACAAGTTGGACTGCTGCTCCAAAAACGCGATACTTCGTATTGCGTTCCGAACAGCAAGAGTATGTCGATTGCTTCATCGATTATCCTGTTATCGTTGAACTAACCATAGTTAGTCTTTTGCTACCAGCCAGCTGCTTGCGTCTCAGTCAGTGATGGGTACGCACGCCTCCCGTTTCTACGTGACCTCGACCACTAACTAAGATTTGCAGATACGTCGGCTGTTGCACTGCTATCGGCACTACTTGCGAGCCTCGAACAAGATGTATTGACTACACGCTGGGCATTACAACCTCTTGCGACTATGTTACCGGAGGATGCGTCTACTGGTGAGCATCATGAGATGTGCCGTCATTCAAGACACTAACCCGTGGCATCTAGCTCCAATCCTAGTCGTCCCTTCTGTATCAAGGCATATCGAGACAATAACTACATCTTCAGCTGCGGCACCGAACAATTGACTACCACCTACGCCGACACCGAAACCGCGGATTCCATCTCTGGATCTGCTACACCTTCGGCTTCGCCTACGATCGACTCCCAACCAACAGAGACCAGTGCGTCTGACAATCTCCCAGCGTTTTCGTCTCCATCAACACTGTTGTCTGTGTCATCAGCTTCATCGCTGTCCTCGTCAACAACCTCGCCATCTTCAAGCACAACCATGAATACCACGACACCTACATCAGCTCAAAGTGGTTCTGTGGGCAGCTCTCGCAAACTTATCATTGGCGTCATCTTAGGCGCTGCTGCTGGTTCAATCCTGTTGCTGGTACTTCTTTTCGTTGGCTGGAAGTTTTGGAAGCGCCGCCGATCTGGTGCAGGAGGAGTGTCATACGAAAAATCGAGCAAGGCTGGCTACTCTCTCGGCTCGGGAGAAGACAGCATGGCGGAGCACAACAGCAGTCAACGTGGCATGACTAGTGAATTGTCGAACGTGCAGGGCCCAGCAGAATTGGAAGAGCAGTCGCATCGCTCGGCTGATGGCAATTTTGAATCTACATCTGCTCACAATGCCGCCAATCGACATCCATACTCACCGGAAGATATTCGTGGAGCAGCGGAGGCGCCATCCGATGCTCCTGTCCACTTTTCGCCCAGCATCGCCATGACCAGCCCAACCCCATCCAATTCGTCGCTATGGATGACGACCCCGGGGATGGGAACGCCCAGAGCGCCATCACGATACGTCGCATACACTCCATCTTCAGCCTACAGTGCCAGCGGACAGCCGCCATCTAGTCTTCCTCAGCCGGGATATCGAGATATAAACACAGCATTTGGTTCTTCACTGGCAGAGCTGGAAGCACACGAGGTTGGAAGGTCACAGTGAACGAAGACCAAGATGGCGTCTGTGGTGTTTCTCAATGGACCAGAGTGCTAGTGTAGAGAGATTGAAGTAATTTGTTTTGGTGGGAGTCTAGGAGTAAAGCCTACATAGTTACAGCATTCCCGGTGCGGAGCGGTCCTTTGGTGCGAGACGTTTAGGCAGTAATTCTCAGGTTCTGTAGTTCATGGAAATCCGACGAGGTTCGCGACGAAGAGTTTGAAGCGTTTTACACAACGAAGAGTAGGAAAGAGGTTGGATTCTGAGGATTAGACACAGGCGTAAGAAGAGGGGGTGTATGTGCTTCGCGAAGGCATTTATTGTCTCATGGTTCTCAGGCCGTCTCTGGTGGGGGCAGCAGCGCGCTTGAAGCTCTGTGTATGGTCAGAAGGAGTCTCCAATGAGTCTTGCTGGACGTACGTTGTCGCACTCCTCCCAGGCTCTACCGGCACCGAAGCCGAAACCGACAAAGGCAGGCCATGCGCGACGCTTGAAGAGGAGGACGGAGAAGATGACACCAAACGAGGCACCGAGGGTGGAGCGGATGAGCATGGTGCTCAGGCAGTGGTCCCACTAGAACAGCAGAGTCAGTCGACGGCGAGCAATTGGTCGGGGCAGATGGTCGCATGCCTTCTCATTGAGCAGGGCTTCGCTCATGGGTCTGTTGGAGCGCAGGGAGCCGGGAGCCTGAGGCGATGAGGGAGCAACAGAGTCGGACATTGTGGATCGTGTAGGTTAGAGAATTGGACAGTATGAAAGAGGTCGAGGCTTGTATATCGTCGTCGCTGTCGTCGTCGCGAGGAGGCCTTGGCCTGGCAGCTCCGGGTCTTGTTCGCGCTTTCCCGCTGCGGCGAGCTTGGACCAGTTCACATGCAAAACTGCGTCTCGATGATTTCGAGGAAAGAGCGTCAAGTTTTAGAAAAGAAGAGCGTCGGCTTTGATTTTTTCCAACACCCTGCTCGAGCCGGTATGGCTACCCGCGACGACGATTCAAAGGTTCGTCAAGCTTCATCTCTGCATAAAGTCCGTTGCTGATTTGACTAGTCGTCTTTGCAACGCCTTCTTTCCCTCGACAAGTCGTTCGATTCTTTTGAAGAGCGTGTTCAGGAAGCCGCCCGCATCCTTGACATCTCTCTGGACCCTCAATTCATACCCGGATCGTCTACCTCGTCCTCGCTCTCACACATCTCTCGTCTGGACTTTGTGTTGCGCTGGCTTCTCGACAAGCTCTCTGCCCTGCCAGAGACCTGCCAATATCTTCCGTCATGGATCCTCTTCCGTCGCATCCTTGAGCGCATGCCGTCTGCTGCTCTGGCCAAGTCCTTGTCTGTCGCCAGTCCGGTCAACATCTGCTCAGGCGCCCTCGCACACCTCTTCCCGCCCACCTCTACTCCAGCTCCAAATACTGCAGTCGATGCAAAGCCTTCCACCAAGAAGAGAAAGAGGCAAAGTGCTGCCAACGACACGACATCTGATCACCCAGCTTTGATCTTTGCCCAAGTCACGGTTGCCATCCGTGTTCTAATCTCGCGTTCGACCCAGTCTCCTGTTGCTACAGATGCTGCCTCGGGAAATCGCGTCCACGCCCTTCTTCGTCTGGACCATGCAGACCTCGTTCGTTTCGTCAAGCACACTCTGTACGCCTTGTTGCATCTTCGAACTTTGCATGGTCTTCCCCTTTCTCATGTGGCCGCTACTCTGACTCTGATCCAAGACTTAGCCATCCTGCAACCGAACGCTTCAATGGATCCCATGGATATTTCTTTCTGCACCGAGTGTTTGTGGCCAGCTGCTCTTCTTCTACAATCCCTGCACTCAGAACTGGGCTCAGAACTTGCTTCACAACATAATGCCACCCGATCGCTCGACCGTTTACTGGCCACACATCTTTTCGTCCCAGCAAGGGTCGCTTTCTACACTTCTAAGGCTGTCGTACAGAAGAAGCGTCAACAGCCAGAAGTTCCTGGGCTGGTACAGAGACTGGAGCCTTTGCGCTCGCAAATCACGACCCTTGTCAATGGAGACACTTCGGACTCCGTTAGGCAGGGTCAGCTATCCCAAGTCTACGGATGTGTGCCATTGTTACTGGATCTGGCAGTTCGCTGTGCGCCTATCGGCAACCCTAAGCAAAGGATCATTGAAGCTCCTTGGATCCATCTTCTGTTTAATTCCTTATCGGAAACCATCACCAACGCTCCAGACGCTACTATTGTTAACCAAAATCTGAACGAGATGTTCGATGTATTGTCAGACAGCAAGCTGGTGCTTGATGCGGACGTGCTAAGCGAGGTTCTGGATCAGCGATGCAACTTGTCGACATCGAAGCCTGACTTTCCCCTCACTGCTAAGATTCTTAACATGAATGCTAGCATCTTCACAGATATCAACGCCGTCCCGGCTAAGGCGTTATTTGATGCATTAACGAGCAACGGAGACGCAAAAGCCTCCGCTGTTTCGGGCCTAGTCTCTAGCGATGACTGGTCGAATCCTCGCAATATCTGCTACAAGATTGTAGTACCCCTGATGCACGCTTATGCGCGAACTCGCAATCTCCCTGCGTTCCTTGATCAGTGGTCCGCCTGCTTAAGCACTCAAATCTCTTCGAAGAAGTCGTCCAAGTGGCTTCTCTGGGCTGACTTGTCATTGGAGGAGTCATTGAGGGACATCCTGGAAACGTCCCTGACATCGGCACAAATCTCAGAGTTGCTGGATTCTCGACAGAGTACGCTGACTCAGTCGGTTGCATCGTCTTCTGTCGCAAGTCCGCAGGCCTTCGCAAACATCGTCCTACTCAATGCCATCGTTAGTGCTTTGAAGACCGACGCCACCATCGACGTTCTCATGCCCTACTTGGAGTCACTACTTTCGGCTGTAGAGAGTGCATTCCTCCAAACTGCAGACATCAGCGAGCTTCTCTCTGCCTATATGCTCGGTCTGGCTTCGCGGATCTATCAGCTATGGTACCCACTCTGGTCAACAACCAAATCGAGCGAAGAAGTTCAGACGAGAAACGCAACACTGCTAGACGGACCCATTACACAATTTGCGCTGAAGAAGATTCAAAACAGCTCAAAGTTGAAGCTGGGTACCATATCTGAGGCCGACTCAGCGTTTGTCTTCATCGCTTCAATCTGTGACATGCAGAGACAACTAACTGGCCACGAATCTGATTATGCACATCTGTTCTGCCGCGCAGCTTTGCCCTCTAAGGATGATAGTAAGATTAGCAGCTACGCTTCTCGGCGGCCAGCCGCTTTCTTGACAATTCTCTCTGGCTTCCCTGGGCTTCTGGCCTGCATACCCGCGACCGAGAGGGTCCAACTTTTCAAGGATTTGTTTGACAGCTTCTTCTCTGATCCTTCGTACTCAAGCTCGGTGCTGTTTGAGTTCCTTGACGCACTCTTTGCAGCTAGCGACCTTGCTACTAAAGACGACCTATTCAATGTAGTATGTGAAGCTGTAGAAAGTTATGCCACATCAGAATCTTGGCTTGATCTCCTCCTCCAGTGGCCATTGAAGGGACTATCTCGTCAACAACGCGAGAAGATCTTGGATCTTACTGTGTCAGCTGTGACTCAGAAAAAGTTCGTCGGACAAGCGAAGCAGCAAGCCCTCGATCTGATCGCGGCACTTCTCGAGCTGCCAAACGCAACAGCAAAAATTTCTGTGGCACCCGGTGCACTATGGGATCTTGCAGGGGTCTCTTACACCAGCACTGAACTGGATGCTTTCGAAAGTGTTTGTCAACGTCTCCTGGGACATATCCTGGATACTAAGGAGCAAGACCGAAGCAAATCGTACCTGGAACAACTCTCTACGCTTGCGTCAGACTTCATCAACAAGCAGAAGGATTTAGGCTTGCCCTCAAACCCGGGCAGAGTTTTTCTTGTGAAAGCGCTTTTCGAGGCGTTTGATGCTCGTCTCACCCATGAGGATATGTCAAGCTTCCCACACAGTTCATCGTCCACAATCGATTCTTTAGCTAAGCGACTGTGGGAGATCCTGTCAAGTTCGACAGAGGACGAGCTCAGCGGTTTAAACGTGGATAAAGCTCGTATCGCCGTCCAAGTGTACACTGGAATCCCTGCATCGATCTTGGCCTCTAGAGGATCTTCAACCGAGAAGTGTGAGTATTCTACAGATAACTGACGAGTGTTGATGATCGAACTGACAGTCATTATTAGATGCCAAGCGCTTCGCGAAAAAATTGCATGCTTTGATTGAAGAATCGAAGGATGTTCCCATCCCAATCTTGGTGCGATGCTTCCAGCAGCTATCTTCAGCCGCTTCTCAATCCAAACCTGTCGACATTTTTACAAGTGCCGAGCATCTATTGAAACGAGAAACGGATGCTGGCCAGTACTGGTCTATCACTGATGCTGTCACCAGAAGTGTTCAGAGTATCTCCGAGAATGAGAAGCTCTCACTGATGGAACGGATTCTGCCTACTTCAGTCCAGCAGTGCACTGCAGAGAGAGTCATGTTGGTGCGATGCATTCTCTCTGCTATGCATGGCTCTCGTAAGCACGGGGCAGCTGCTTCCGAGATTGGTTCAGTCTCTGTCCTCGTAAGACTGCTAGAACTCTTGAACACGTGCTCTGAGTACGCCGTCCATCAGCAATTGGTCGCCTGTGTCACTATGGTATTAAGAGAACAAGTAGGTGCCAGAAGTTTCACGTATCCCGGACATCCGACTAACAACACATTTAGCCTCGGCTCGTCACACAATACTCCGCAGAGATGACTATTGCGACTGTGACCACACTTGCGTCTCCCCTGTCGCCGATCAAGCGTGTCAAGCAAGCGTCGTTGATGTTTGAGGGTCTTTGCACAATCGTCCAAAGTCTTTTGCAGTTCCACCGTCCCAGTCTGGGTGGTCGTTTCCATCTCCTCGTTCCGTTGATGCAAAGACTTCTTGCCTGCCTCTTCTCGCCAAGCAGTAAGGACGCGGGAACTGTCAACCGCTTCAAACACCCTGCATGGCTTGACCCCACAAATGCTCCATTGACTTTGAAGCAGGCTCAAAAGTATTCGAGGGTTCTCGAAAATCTTTGCAATCCGCCGCAGTTCAACATGGTGGGCAGCCGAGGAAAAACACCTGAACTTGTCGACGAGACACGCAAAGCTCGCATGCATGTGGCTCAACACGCCCCTCATATCCTTCATTATTACTGTACTCTGATCCTGAACGGCAAACCGGGTGAAGGCATGCGAGATGCTCTTACACCAGGCATGTGGGCAATCATCGATGTTGCCGAGATTGGCGCAGATGATAGTCGTGGCGTCAAGGCATTGAGTTCCAGCATGGGCAACGCCGATCGTGCTGTCTTGCGAGGCATCTGGGAGGATTGGCGAAGATTCGGCGGAGCTTGGAAAGGTTAGATGAACTTGATCAATCAAGCATGAGCGCTGGACGTTCTTTCCGTCTGTATCGCATCATCATGTCAAGGTCGTCCCCGCTCGATGCTGTCAGTTGGCTTCTTACTTTGTTTGACCTTTCTTGTTATCACAACACATCAGCGACATCATATGTATGAAGTTCCACGATTGTAAGCTCAGATGTTGGAGCGCTTGTAGGTTGTTGCAAACTAACAATGCCTTCAATCAAAAGATGAACCTGATCGAGCAGCAGAGATGAAATGTCACAGTGGCAGGGTCGCCCCAGAGTCACGGACAAATTTAGTCATTTCGTGCAACAAATGTGCTGATTCCAACGAATCGTCATATCTGGCCTTGTCCGCTTCCCTGGCAGTTCTATCGTGCTCACTGATCATTGGTATATCAAGTAGCAACATACCTACCTCGTATTTATATACAATCATCGAAAAGCACGTGCCAAGGCTCGGATCCGTAATAACGTTACCGACGACTGTTTGATCATCTTGACTTTCAACACCAACACATTCAATTTCTCAAGCAATGACTGTCCAAACCTCAGAAATAGCGGCGAATGCCCATGCCAGATGGAATGGTAACGGCAAACCAGTGGCTCTCTGGTTGGACTGTGATACCGGGCACGATGTACGACTCCTATATCCATTCCCCCTGGACCCTGGTTCCTAACACTATAGAATAGGATGCATTTGCAATTTTGCTTTCTGCTCAATGTCCGGCTTTGAGATTGTTGGGAATCAGCACTATCTATGGCAATGCTCCTCTGGTCAAGACGACGCAAAACACGAGATCTATCTTGAGGGCGATTGGCAGAGAGGATGTTCCTGTGTATGCCGGTGCTAGCAAGCCTTTTTGCCGTCCGGCAGCTTCAGCTCCTGATATTCACGGAGAGTCTGGATTGGGTATGTGGGTATCGAATCCTATCAGTAGTCATGATTCTGATGTATCTTGTGGCAGATGGCACTACCGTTTTGCCTGAGCCAGGGGCACCAGAACGAACGGATATGTCTGCAATGTTGGCTATGTACAAGGCTCTGATAGCAGAACCACCAAAGACGGCATGGCTTGTCGCAACAGGTGAGTTTTACTAAATATCAGTCATAGTCCATCTGGCTTACAAGTCACAGGTTGTCTCACAAATGCTGCATTGCTGTTCAACACTTTCCCTGATGTGGTCGATCACATCGCTGGTCTGACCATTATGGGAGGCGCTGTTGGAGGCGGTTTCACAAACGCTCCAATGGGTTCACTCGAAGGTCAGGGAGAAAGATTTGGCAATTGGACGCCCTTTGCAGAATTCAACATCTACATTGACCCCGAATCCGCGCAATCCATCTTCAGCAACCCCGTCCTTGCGGCAAAGACCACAGTTGCTCCACTAGATTTGACACATCAGATGGTAAGTGTACGTGCCAGGTCTTACGAGCACTTCAGCTAACAGTTACACTAGTTGGCAACACCAGAGATATGTTTGGAGCTGCTCTACGGGTTTGACGCAAAAGTGGATGATGGCACAGAAGCTTCGGTCCTCCGCGTTTTGTTCAACCAAATCCTCACCTTCTTCGCAAAGACATATGCCGACGTCTTTGGATTGACAGAAGGACCTCCGCTACACGATCCCTTGGCTGTCGCCATGGTTGTTTTCCCTGACCTATTTGACGACAAGGGTGGTGAAAGATTCGCGATCAAAGTTGTCATCGACGGCGAACATGGTGTCGATGAAATTGCTAGAACGACATCTCAGTGCGGACGCACTATTCTGACACCGTTGAAGGCGGGTCAGGCTGGTGTACGTGTGCCTAGAGGGTTGGATGCAGGTCTCATCTGGAGGATTTTGGACTTGTGCTTGAAGCAGGCCGAGGGCGAGAAGCCCGAAACCATGGTCATGTCGGCACTTTGGATCGCTGCTGATGACGAGTAATGTTTGTGTAAGCATTGGTTCAGAGGTAGTTCAGATATATATAGATCTATGCATAATTGACGCCAAATGTCACGGCGACGCTTTTACGCTGCTTCAGGGTTCATCTTTGCCAGTTGTCTGCTTCTCGATAGCCGCTTGATGGCCCTTTTGATACCTGCAGCGAGTTAGCCTATGAAGATCATTGCTATCTGGGTCAACATTACTTACCAACTCCATATGTTCAGACCGATCTTGACACCACTGTGCACAGGCATACCGGCATGAAGACCCTGCTTCCATCCCTTCCCATCAACATCGAAGTTCTCCCAGAAAACAGCAGCGCCCGCTTTCGGCAAGAACGTAACACCATTCTCTTCGGACTCCTCGCAGTCTATAAACTCACACCAACGCTTGTCCTGTGGTCTGACAAGTAATGGGAAGTTGGTGCCTCCACCTGTGCAATTCGCTTCTATGTACACCATGAAGGTACTGACTCGGTGTGCTGTCTTTGAAGCAAAAGCCCAATCGTAGTGGTGAGCGTAGTGGCCAGATGTTGTATATCGTTGTGTCCACAAGCGCTCGATGAAGGTGTCTACAGGCCAGCCTTGAAAGTCCAGAGCGCGCTGTTCGATGCATTGAACTGTGCTGTCACGTTCGATCATTGCCTTTTCCGACTTCCGAATACTGGTATCCGTGGATTCGACATTGTCGCTGTAAACTGTGGAAGGCTGCCACTTATCCTCACTGTTGTTTTGGGTCATATGAGCATTCAGCACTTATGCTAGTAGGTGTTTGATTTACCTGATGTTGATCATGTGCTTTGATTCTACTTTTGACAGAAAGTCAGGAATGTATATCACCAGAGGGCTTCTCGAGAAGATATGGGCATCGTATGTATGAGCATCACACTGCAGGTCAGAGTCCGGATAGACGAGTTGATCGGCCTTTTCCTGAGATAGTGGTATATCAAAACTCTCTTCGGGTGAGGATTGGCCTTGTGAGTAGCCTGAGAACGGCCCATTGAAGAATACGTAAATCGCTGCGAGAATGGCAGCATATTGCAGCAGTGTTGATGGGTGGTACAGTTGAGAGTTCATTCTAAAATGCAAAATATGGAAGGAAGAATGACCCGCACTTGGGAAAGCGGACTGTTGGCAGATGGAGAGTCAAGTCGACGCGGGAAGGCACGGATGCACGGTCAATGGTGGTTTGTCTGCTGTTCTCCAAGACTGGCCTTGACAGGCGATCTGAGACTAAGACACATGTTGGACATCCTGATATCGTAGGCTCTGATCACTGAGATAGGTCGATGATCAAAATGGCAGAGGATTAGTTGACTTGCTGTAATGATTATGGTGCTGGTGAGAGGGAGAGCAGAAGCTAGGGAATCATGTGACCGGAAAAGTCTGCCAAGGCCTCGCTTAGCGCACGCTCGACTTCGCACCTTCGGTCCCAAGTTGTTCAAGAATTCGTCTCGCGCCGCCAAACGATTTCACAGACCGGACGTCCCTCAACCTCGACTACCGCCAACATGTCGCACCTCAACAAGATCGCCCCCAACTCGCCTTCGCGCCAGAACCCCTCGGAGATCGAGACCAGCATTGCCAATGCTCTCTACGAGCTCGAGAACAACATCCAGGACATGCGCGCCTCCCTGCGCCCCCTGCAGTTCGTCTCTGCCCGCGAGGTAAGCAGCAGCGCTACATGAAGACAGCTGCCATCGCTTCGACGAACGACAACGCCGGGTCATCGAAGAATGTGAAGAAAAATTATCAAAACTTCAGGAGCAAATTGAGAAGGCTCGACACAGAAGAGACGGCATGGGCCCATACACACATCAGACCAGAGGCTTGATCAATCGAAGAGGCGGTGGGCACTGGGCGGCGAACTATTCGCTGACACCAGGATTCTTTTAGATCGAGGTTGGTCACGGCAGAAAGGCCATTGTCATCTTCGTCCCCGTTCCCCAGCTCCAGGGCTTCCACAAGGTCCAGCAGCGGTAAGCACTCACTGTCTCCACTTGTCTGCCGTCGTCAACTAACGCATCTTCAGCCTGACCCGTGAGCTCGAGAAGAAGTTCTCTGACCGCCACGTCCTCATTGTCGCTTCCCGCCGCATCTTGCCCCGCCCCAAGCGCAGCAACCGCTCGCGCACCAGCCAGACCCAGAAGCGCCCTCGTTCGCGCACTCTGACTGCTGTCCACGACGCCATCCTTGCCGACCTCGTCTACCCCGTCGAGATTGTTGGCAAGCGCATGCGCACCAAGGAGGACGGCACCAAGGTCCTCAAGATCGTTCTTGACGAGAAGGAGCGTGGTGGTGTTGACTACCGCCTCGACACCTACTCTGAGGTCTACAAGAGACTGACCGGCAAGGGTGTCAACTTCGAGTTCCCCGTCGCTGCCGCCGAGTACTAAATGTATTCTAACTGAGGGATGATTTGCGTCCAAATCACAAAAAGTCTTGGTCTCTTTCAGCTTCTTCATTTCCAAAAAAAATGTGTTGTCACGTGGGGGCGCCCGGCGCTGGGAAAGTTCGGGATGCTTGTTAAGGTAGAAGAATACCACGCATGACACCGTCAGCTATACCCTTTCATCCTTTAATCCGGTCAATCATGAGTTATGTCCACCCATCCTTGCCTGTCCTGTTGCTGTCATAGCCGTTCTATTGCTGCCCTAGCTGTCCAATGTCGATTGCCTGTCTGCGTACTGTGGCCTCTGACCTTCGACTTGGTCCCACTCGATAGAAGACTCTCAGGATATACTTTGAGTAAGTTCATCAGATACGTCTATTCTAATTATGCCATAGATCAACAAGTCATTCTGCTTTGAGATACATAAACCCAGACGCCAACATGCATGGATATCATCTACAGACTCTTCTCGATCTTCATGGCCTCGGCAATGCCCTGCTTGACCTTCTGTCTGGCCTCCTCACTCAGTCTCTGTAGAGGGCGTCTGGGGAAACCACCGTAACCGTACTCCATCTCGATGGCAGCCTTGGTGCCAGGGATAGCCGACTTTGTGAGCACCCAGTCACCCTTGGACAGGATCTTTTGAAGCTCGACGGCCTCGTCGTACTTGCCCTCAGTCCACAGGTTCCATACCTTGACACAGAGCTTGGGCATAACGTTGGCACCGCCAGCAATGATACCACTACCACCTGAAGCGGCGGTCTGGAGGGTGAAATCGGCGATACCACCGAAAGCCATCCAACCACTGCCCTGGCTCTTGGTCGAGGTAGCGTCGGTCTCAAGAGCAACACGGGTCAACTTGCCGGTCTGGCCACAGGTGAACTTGGCACCGACAATCTTGGGGTGCTTTGCCAGGTCGATCATGAAGTCCGAGTCCATGTCAATGCCAGCGACGGCACCAGGGTAGTTGTAGAGAATGACGGGGCAGGGAGATGCATCGGCGACAGAGATGTAGTACTCCTTGATGGTCTTCTCATCCATGGCGTAACGGTAGTACGAAGGAGGCACGAGAAGGACGTACTCGGCGCCAACCTTGTGGACTTGGTTGATGAGCTCGAGGGTGCCGCGGATGCTCATCTCTGAAGCACCAACAATGACTGGCACGTTCTTGTAGCCGGCGTCGTCCAGAGCTTCTCTCGTTGCTTTTGTCACTGCAACCTTCTCTTCGCGTGTGAGGTGGACAGCTTCACCGTTGCTGCCCATGCATACCAGACCGACAAGGCCGGCTTCGGCCAATCTGACGGCGTGCTTCTTGATGGTAGGAATATCAAGGTCTTCTGTCTCGGGGTTGAAGAAGGTCATGGTGGGGGCGTAGATGCCATGACGCAAAGGGGTGAGGTTGCCGTTGGCGGCCATTTTGGTAGATGTGTCTTGTTTCTGGAGAAATTGACGTGGTACAGAGATTCAGATGGGAGTATCTCGCAGGAGGATGTACAGAAGGAGAAAGGGGAGGAAATTGAAAGCGAGGGAAGTGTCACTGGGCAAACCTTGTACTTAACCAGACGGATAAATGGTATCCATCAGCACACGTCCCCATGGCCTCGCGATATTTACCCCCCGCCATGAGCGGCGGGACAGCGCGTGGGGCAGCTCGGGCCATTGTCACCAAAACGTGTCTTGGGTCAGTTGCCGACGGGCGTGCACAGGCGCTTCTTGACAGAGGAAAGAGATGTTCCACCAATGGCGTGCCATATCTATTGCAATCGTGTCGGCAACGGACAATCGCCAACTCCACAATTTACACCCCGCCATGTCTGTCCGCGCAAGTAATCCTCCGTCTTGGTGATGCAATTACCCTTGGACTGGTTGTGCCCTCTTCTCCTCCTTGTCCCTGCTCTCTGTTCTTTGCATCTCTTTCTCTGGATCTTGACACTCCTCTCTGTATTGCACTGAGATCACGACAGCCTAAGAGCTCATCCCACATCATGGCCCCTCTTAATGTTTGTATGGTCGGTACCGGCGAGTACACGACAGGTTTTGTTGGCGGTGGTGCCTCAGGCTCTGACAAGAAGGTTGGTGTCGTCGGCCTCACCCTCTTCGACCTGAGACGACGCGGCAAGGTGGGCAACCTGAGCATGGTAGGAACTTCGGGAAACAAGTTCCCTGCGATCCGTAAGTGTCCAGTCCTTGACTTGGAAAAAACACGACTAACCGGTGACAGGCGAGCACTTGAACAAGAACATCTCCCAAGTCTACAACGGCCTCGACACATCTTTCGAGTCGTACCCAGCCAATGACCAACGTGATCCCGAAGCCTACAAGAAGGCCATTGACGCTCTCTCGCCGGGCGATGCTATTACCATCTTCACTCCTGATCCGACGCATTTTCCCATCGCCATGTACGCCATCGAGAGAGGCATCCATGTCATGATCACCAAGCCTGCCGTCAAATTGCTGTCAGAGCACCAACAGCTACTCGAGGCTAGCAAAAAGAACAATGTTTTTGTCTACATTGAGCACCACAAGCGATTTGATCCTGCCTACGCAGATGCTCGCCATCGCGCCCTCAAGTCTCTGGGTGAATTCAACTACTTTTACAGTTACATGTCACAACCAAAGTCACAACTCGAGACTTTCAAGGCTTGGGCTGGCAAGGAGTCGGACATTTCATATTACCTCAACTCTGTAAGCTTCATTGATACCACAGAGGACAAACCTCAACGCTAATGTTCCCAGCACCACATTGACGTCAACGAGAGCATGGTCCCTGATTACAAGCCTGTCAAAGTGACAGGCAGCGCTAGCAAGGGCATTGCTACTGATCTGGGGTGTGTTGAGGAGACCGAGGACACAATCACTCTCCTCGTGGACTGGGAGAAGAAGGATGGCAGTGGAAGACGTGCTACCAGTGTTTACACAGCAAGTTGGACCGCACCACAGAAGGCAGGTGTCCACAGCAACCAATACTTCCACTACATGGCCAGCAAGGGTGAAGTTCGCGTCAACCAAGCCAAGAGAGGATACGACGTCACCGAGGACGAGTCAGGTCTGACCTGGTACAACCCGTAAGTTGAGCTTCCTTTCATTACTCCTCTAGCACAGAGACTAACAAACATGTCCAGCTTCTACATGAAGTATGCTCCTGACGAGTCGGGCGACTTTGCTGGTCAAGGAGGTTATGGTTACGTTTCTTTCGAGAAGTTCGTCGATGCCATCAACGCACTCAAAGACGGAAAGGCTTCTCTAGATGATCTTGACAAGCGTGGTTTGCCAACCCTGAAGAACACCATTGCAACTGGTGCTATCCTCGAGGCTGGAAGAAGGAGTTTGGACGAGAACAGAGCCATCGAGATTGCGGAGAAAGATGGCCAATGGGAACTCAAGTAGATATGACCGCTACGACACATGTCCCATCCAAGACCGATAATAGCACACCTAATCGTGAAAAAATGTGCACAACTGATTCTGTGTGTGAGGGCAACAGAAAGTGTTCATGTATACAGATTTCGTCCGTGCTCCAGAGTCGCCAGCCAATTTTGATACCCACTCGTGTCCTACCTCAATGATTATCTCCGGTCATTCATTCTTGGAGTTTTGCAGTACTTTTTGATCTCTTGCTGTCGATTTCGTGTCGCTCGACTCAGTGATAGAGGATGCAGGCACGCCGCGCTCTCTGCAGGATCGCCACTGCCCAGAGAAACGTGGTCTACAGACCCAACTTCAGCGCCGCAACACGACCGGGGACTACTATTCTGAATGCTCCATCTCTTCCACAATCAATCAGTTGGAACGTTTCAGCCGAAATTCGTGGATTTGCATCCGTGTCTGGTAACAACGACTTCCTGAATCAGCACAATGTCGCCGTCAACGACCTCTCCGCCCGCGTTGCCGAGTTTCACTCCAACAAACAAAAGTTTCGCATTTCTCATGGCTCAACAAACAGCACCCGCCACACATCAAAAGGACCTCACGTTCTTGACGTGAGTACTTTGAATAAAGTGCTAAAGGTCGATGTCGACAGGAAGATTGCATTTGTGGAACCGAATGTACCAATGGACAGGCTCGTCGAAGCGACACTGCCTTATGGTCTGGTTCCTCCAGTAGTCATGGAGTTTCCTGGAATCACAGCTGGTGGTGGCTATGTGGGAACCGCTGGCGAAAGCTCGAGTTTCAAGCATGGCTTCTTTAACCACACCATTGAGTCGGTTGAAATGATTCTCGCAACGGGTGAAATTGTCAAGTGTTCTCCGACTGAGAGATCTGATCTGTTCTACGGAGCGGCCGGCGCGGTGGGTAGTTTTGGTGTTACTACCTTGATCGAGCTGCGTCTCGAGCCTGCAAAGAAGTTTGTCGAGACAACGTATCATCCTGTCACCGATATGCAGGATGCAATCAAGGTTCTCGAAAAGGCCACCCAAGACCACAGTCTTGACTACGTCGACGGTATCATGTTTTCCAAGAACCAAGGAGCTGTTGTAACGGGCCGCATGACTGATACGCCTTCGTCCGGTCTACCTGTACAGACCTTCAGCTCTGCTTGGGACCCTTGGTTCTACCAACACGTCCAAGGTCAGGTATCTAAATCAGGAACAGAACCTGTCGTAGAAGCAGTGCCACTCCCAGAGTATCTTTTCCGCTACGATCGTGGTGGATTCTGGGTCGGCGACATGGCTTTCAAGTACTTCAACTTCCCTCACAACAAGTTCACTCGCTGGTTCCTGGACGACTTCACCCACACACGAATGATGTACACAGCGCTACATGCTTCCGGCGAGTCCAAGCGCTGCATCATTCAGGATCTTGCTCTCCCTTACTCCACGGCTGAGAAGTTCGTTGACTACACATCATCTGAACTCGACATCTTTCCTCTTTGGCTATGCCCGCTGAAGAGAACGCAACAACCCACAATGCACCCATACACCAGAGAAGACAAGGAACTAATGCTAAACATTGGAGTCTGGGGCTTTGGACCCAACAATCGTGCCGAGTTCGTCAAGGCAAACAGAAACCTGGAGGCCAAGCTACGCGAGTTGGGAGGCATGAAGTGGCTGTACGCCCAGACTTATTACACCGAGTCCGAATTCTGGGAGCAGTTTGATCGCAAGTGGTATGATGAACTCAGAGAGAAGTACGGCGCCAATAACTTGCCAAGTGTTTACGACAAGGTCAAGGCACCACCGGAAAAGGCAGCTGCTCCTGAGAAGTTCCTCGAAAAGTGGCCATGGGCTGGCTTCTTCGGCATTTGGAAGGCTATCCAGTCCAAGACTTATATCCAAGCTAGAAGTGCCGCATGGAGGCAATGGGTCAAGTGATAGGGTTCATATATATATATATCCTTTGTAAAAAATACATAGATGATTAGATATTAAACACGATTACAAATTGTGCACAGCCGAAACGCCTTGCAATCTCAGAATCTAAACTTCCTGCTTCTCTTCCATGCCAACTGGACTACCGTTAGATGACGAAGTTCGTTGCTCATTGGAACTTCTCTGAGTATCGGCAAGATGCTGGTGCCAGTCACTTTGCTCGTACGAGAAGGTGTTTTCTCCACCCTTGCCGTACCACAGAGGTTCCTTGTTTGCAACCTTGACCACACTCGTCCAAGGGCTCGAAGTTTGGGATGCCTGGTGGAACAACACATCGACTTCTTCGAGACAGCGGCATCCGGTCTCGGGCTAGTACAGGGTCAGTCGCTGGGAACAATTTGAGAGTTTTGAATAGACTTACGTAGAAGAAATAGACGACCGGGACTATAGCAGCATTGATGACTGCAAAGATGATATAGGTCCGGTAGCCGATGTGATGGAAGGCAATGGGTGCAATGAGCACGACGATGAAGTTGCTGAGCCAGTTTCCAGCGGTCGACATGGCATTAGTGGGCCCTCTAATGGCTAGAGGTGTCAACTCAACAGCCCATAGCCATGACATTCCTTGCCAGCCAATGGCGAAGAAGGTGTTGTAGACGAAAATGAAAACGACCATGACTATGTGTGTGGAGCGGTTGTCGAGATAACTCATTACCGTGAGAATGATGAGCGAGATTGACATGCCGACAGCACCAAACATAGACAGAGCTCGTCTGCCCCAGAAACGATCAATGCCAATGACAGTGACGAATGAGGCTATGAATAGCTCGGTAGCACTGCAACCTGCGAGTAGCCTGGCCACCCATGGTTTGTAGCCTGTTTGCGTGTTGAAGATGAGAGCGAGATATTGGGTAAACAGGTTGATGCCCGTCCACTGTTGCATGACCTGAAGCAGGAATGCAAGGATGGTGCGATGCAGATATCTGTACTCGTTCATCGAAAAGGCAGAAGAGAAGCCACCGCGAGCCATCTCGAGGATGGCATCCTTGATTTGAAGGAACTCCTGGCGAACTTCTTCATCGTCGGGCGTTGTGTCTGAAAGTGCCGAAAGGACGCTCAGTGCTCCTTCCTCTCTACCCGTGAGGATGAGCCAGCGAGGTGATTCGGGAAGAAAGATGATAAGCATGAATGCCAACATGGCTGGTACGATCTGGAATGCGGTGGCGATTCTCCACGAGGCCGAATTTGGAGCAAGCCATGCGAAAGCGAAGTCAACCCAATAGGCTACAGCGACACCAAAGGCGATACAAGCTCCAGAAGAGACCATGAGCATGGTACCGCGCCTGTGCGCACGAGTTGATTCTGCTTGCCACGCCGGCACGGCTGCAGTGTTGAAGCCATTTCCGAATCCAGCGACGAATCTCCCAGCAATCAATTGACCATACGAGTAGGACGAGGCTTGGATCACCTTTCCAAGTGCCATGATTACCAGTCCAAGCATGATCATTTGTCGACGACCAAGGAAGTTGCCGAGGAAGACAGCGATGATGGCGCTTGCAAAGCACTATGGTATCCAAATCAGTATCTGTCAGTCAAGTGGCAAGATTTACATCTCATACTCCGATATTCCATGTCGCGTTTGTGATTCCTTGGATGACGGCGACATGGCTGCTATTGGGATGTCCAACAGTGTCGATCTGAGGAAATCTCTCTCTAAATGTCGAGACTGTAAGAAGACCTCCGAAATCACTCTGGCCGTAACCGAAGGCGACAAAGCAAAGTCCAGCTGCCAATGCAATAGCAGCTCGAAGACTTGAGCCCTTTAGGCCCAGATATGGAGCCATTGTTGATGATTGGGATTATTGAGCAAGACTTCACCAAACTCGACCGAGAAAAGCAAGAGAGACGGGTGGAACAAATACATCTGGACAGCGCCAGGCCCTGGCAAGCCTTCACGTCATGAACTCACGATGACAGAAGTTCACCCAGCAGCGCAGAGGGTTTACAGAAATTGTACAGGGGTGCGATGATGAGTCGTGCACCAATTTGATCGCATCGGTGACCAGCGTGCGGCTGTCGATCAAAGTGGAGCCAACCAGATCGCTCGGATGTCAAGGATGAAGCGACAAACGCTCCTGACTCTTTTGTGAGGCTCAAAATTTGACATCAACTTCCGGCAGCACTCGAGTTCCTATACCCTCGTCGAGGACCCGCCCCTTCTATTGCTCCTTCTCTGGGGGAGGAGTGTTGCAGTCGTTGACGTCTCATGCCTTGCGTTGCATTCTCCGGACTTGCTTGCACTAGCGGATAGTGTATGCAAGACGACGTCGATCTCGCCTGCCGTTCATCGACCCTAGCCACATGCCTTGTTGATAGCCAAACCACCCCGACCTTTAAATCATCAGCGCGCAACTCCAGGGTATCACGACCTTGTACCTCGTATATCTCTCACATTGCAACATCCCACGCTCCTGCATTCCCCTCGGCTTCCACTCTGCAAGGGCACGTTGATTTCAGCTCGGTGCCGAGCGCCTGCCCACACATTCCACGTGAACCCAAAACGTTCATCACAGTGCGGCCGGGCCGCCTGGGCCGCGCCTTCAGAACAGCCATGTGTTACACAAGATCCTTCGGAGCTCGAGACTGGCCACTCTCCTGCTCAATGTGAGCGTAGCCACGTGCCAATGTCTCGAGCAATCGAGCAATCTCGTCCACACACTCTCTCACTCGACAGTGCACTGGTGGTTGCTGCAGCCCCATTCTCCCATCCGGGTTCCTTCATTGTCTTACATTCTTGATGTAGAAACTCAAATGCTCACACCCGACGAATAATGGTTGATCCTGCTCGCACTTTGAGTACCGTTGTCAATGCGATTCTCAGTCTGGTTCGGCACAGCACCATCCCTTGCTTCAATCCGTGAAGAAAGCTCATGCAGCCTTCAACGCACGAGGACTGTTTCAGCGCATCATCTCACGCAGGATTCAACAAACGCTACCTGGGGTCTTGCATTTCGAAATGTGTGCCTTGTAGGGTCGTGAACGTTATGGTCATGCATTTGCCCAAGGGAGATCTTCTATAACCGGTGGGGTACTCCTCAAGGGATAATGACCTGTCACTTTTTTTTTTCTTTACCAGAATGCCTTGTGGAATCTCTTTTCTCTCTAGGATGCAATGACTTCGTCCTTCGTGGACCCTCCCACGGTGCGACCTAATTTCTGCCGTCAGTCTTCGTCTTTAGCCAATCAACAGGCATCATTTACCGACCAATCTGTGTGCTGTGGAAGCCAGGAATCACACTATCAACAACACCACCGAAATGTTTCGCAACCATCGCTGGACGATCGCAATATACAGTTCCAGTGGTCGGCTCATGATGTTCAACCTAAGCGTGAGTATATATTGCTTTGTGGTTACCGAGAGCATCTACTAACACGAGCAGCATGGCTAACCTCGTCAGATGATACATGGTATCCTCAAGCCTCGCCAGGAGCACATGAACATGGATACATGCCTTCGGGTTGGGACAGTAGCGTATCCCAAACATACTTGAATCCTACTATGGCTGGTGGGCGCTACATTCATATCAACCAGCCAACCACGAATGACTGGCTACTCCAGCGCTCGTATCATGGGGCTCAAGACGTGGCTGGCCATCAGATTCCATGGAACTACAACCCAATACCCACCAACTACAATGATACACATCGGCAAGAGTATCAACCTTACGCGCAAGGTATACCTCTCCAGGGACACACTGCGGATGTGTCATGCTCTGACACAGGAGGTGGACGGTCTGCGAACACGTCTGCAAGCATCAATCACCATACCTTCGCCTCTCACGATGAAGCACAGGCACGCCATGGCTACTATCCGACAAAGCATGATGTCGGTTTATGGGACTGGTCGCAGGCCATGTCACCTCCCGCACCTCCGTTCCGTACAGATCTCCCTGTGCAAGATGTTGGCCACTCGCCCGAGCACGACGGGACCTCATACTTCTCCAAGCTGGACACCTCTATGGTCATACCGCGCGCCCAGATATCTCCAACTTCCTCTTGCTGGGATATCGACGACAATGCCAGTCTGGCAACCACGAACACGACAACCCTGACAGACCTGATACCCGACCCTCCCACTAACATGGTGGACCCGCCATCCGAGGATATGAATCCCAGAGACCAGACCATGATGCCACAGAGACGCAACCTGAAGGATCCAAATCATCTGTACATGCCGCGCTGGATCAGAGGAGACGGCAAGCAGCGAGAGGGATGGTGTGGAGCATGTCGCCCCGGTAAATGGCTGAGCTTGAAGCGCAGTACTTATTGGTGTAGGTGATATCCTCTTGCTGTGTGAACGATATGCTGATAGAATAGTAGACCACAAGAACTTCTGCCATGGTGTCACTGTCATGGGCACGCCGTTTCCACGTCCTACTCGTATTCGAGCCTTGGCCGATGATAAAGGATGGGAAGGATATTGTGCGACATGCAGCAAATGGATCATGCTGAATGGTGGGAAGAAGAGCCACACATCTTGGTTCAGACACGCCTATAAGGTATGCCTGTCTCTCCACTACACTTGACCGCAGTCTGACAGTACATAGTGTGATCCCTCTGCCGTAGCCAGGAGCCCGCCATCTGGTGAATTCACGTACTAACAACAGTATCGCAATGCTCACGAACTTGAGCTCCGCATTGCCATCTCATGTACGCTTCCCTCTTACTCGGCTTCAAGTATGTCTGGCTCCAGATCGCTCTACTCCCACAACACTCTTCTCCCCGGTGGCTATCTGTATTTTCTCGAGCTGGTCAATTCTCAATGTTTTTACATCGCTCACGTTCTCCTTTCTTCCACTTCGATAGTTCTCAATTTCTCCGTCTTCTTTCTAAGGCAAGGCCATGGTCTTCACTTCTACATTACTCTCAAGAGGTTTTCGGGAAGGAAAGAGCATTAGCGGCAGACTTTTCATCATAGCGTTCTTGCCTGTTCGGTTTCTGATAGCGATGCATGCGATTTTTAGTTTTTCTGGCTTTGTTCTATCTCGGCCTGTTCAATCAAATGCTACCTTTTCTTTCTCTTTCGCATGTCAACGATTCCAACTCCTATGTAACACTATTCCCGTGTCTACACTTGTGATTGTACTCGAGACCAAGTACTATATTCACCGCTCTGTGATCAAAGGCCTATGGACACCGCATGAGCAGAGGCGGTGAAGCCGAGGACGACACATCTTCGGAGTTCTGACAAGTTGTCTGGCCATTCTGGAGGAGAGATGGTAATTCTAGGCCTTGGTTCTAGATTTCTATTTCTTAATGAATCATCGAGACTAGGTTGCTTCTTACACACACGCGGACACGGGTCTCCAGGCCGTCCGAAATGCAAAAAAAGTTGCTCTCATCGGCGATCCTCGACACTCCTGTCCACGGGCGTCGCACCCAACATCCATCCGATTCCAGACGCCAGACCACCAGTCACGGTGTTGGCAATCATGTCTCGCCTGCGCACTCTGCCAGCATCGTCCATGCCTTCATGCGCCGCGGCCTCACCGGTCAGCGTTGGCTGTTGAGCATGCATCTGCGATTGCTGTTGTTGCTGCGATGCAGCAGCAGCAGCACTACTCGGACCACGCAAGGGGAATGCATTCCTGCTGAACGCCTTCGCCGCACCCCGAGCCACGTCGAACAGTCCCATGGGTGCTTCTTCGTCGGCGCCGCGTCTGGCTTCGGCATTGGAGCGGCCGACTTCACGGCGGGGCTGCCCAAACACCATGCCCTCGGTCGACACGTCTGAGAACCCGCCGGGCACGCTGATGCGTTTGTCTGCGCGGTCGTCGAATTCTTCTTCTGCTTGCGTTTCGGCGGCGAGGAGGGCGTTGGTTTCTTCTTCGCAGCGGCGCCATATGTTCAGAACTTCTGACAGTGAGGCTGGAGGGGCGAGGAGTAGAGCTAGACTGAGCAGTTCGGTACGTTGATCCAAGCGGCGAAGGGTGGGTTGGGCGTTTGATTGTGGTCTGTAGCGGCCGGCGAGGAAGGCTGCGCGCCAAGATACGTCGTCTTCTTGTGGTTGCCCCTCTGGTGAGGATGAGGGTATGGTGTCTTGTGGGGCCAGCCTATTGACAACGTACGAATACGCAGTCTCGAAGTCACCGACGGTGAGTGCTGCCTCGACGCACATGTATATGACTCTCTTTTCAGCAACCAAGAGCTTAGTCTTTTTGTCGTTGTCGGTTTCTAGGGTTCGATCAACGAGATCGCCGTCAGCATTGCGAAGTGGTAGACCAGCTGCTATCAGGTTGCGACCGATTCCTATGAGATCATCGAGTTTTGTGTAGCTGTTGGCGTTCTGCTCAAGTAGCTTTGGAAGGAGCGACAGAGGATCCAAGCTAGCGCGGATGTTCACAGGCTGGAAAGGAACACCGTGTTGCAGCGTCAGGGAATAGAAAGACATTGAGTGTGTTGCTGCGATTAGTGCCAGAGCCTTCTTGAACTCGGCGCTCTGAGGAAATTGACTTTGGCAGTGGACAATTCTGGACATCTGTCAGTCGAATGCGGTAGATCGGTCTTGTTTGGCGAACGTACAGGTCTTGAGCTTTCTTCATGTTGCCCCTTGTTCGGTTACCGTTGCTGGCATTGTCGTATAGCTGCATTGCTTGATCAAGGACGACTTTCTCGATGTCTCCTGACTCGATTCGGCGAGTATCAGAGGGAGAAAAGTATAGGCTGTCGACTAGCGAGTAACCTATACCACCAAGACGTCAGAATTTAGTTCTTTCGCAGACTGTCCGACAAAACAGTGATGATGAGTAATGAGAAAAAGTGTGATTGGTAGCTAATCATCAGAGATGTGCAGAATCCTATCAATGTCTGAAGCAAGACTTTCGTCTGCAGACTTACATCCGCTTGAAATCAGGACTTTGAGCAATTCGCGTTCAACCGTCGTCTTTTCGATTTTGCCAAATATGCCGGCGCCTCGGCGACCTTGGTCTTCGAGTTCGATATTCCAGTTCCACAACCAAATTAGTTTGTCGTAATCGTATTGCCATTGCTGTTCATCACGTTTACCTTTGGCAGCCAGGCCGTGCACAATCTTGAGCAGGAGAGCCAACTGTTCGTCCTCATCTGAAAAGAAGCGCAACTTCGCAACGTTGAGTATCGAGATACTGTGACCAAGGCCATTGAGCTGATAGGCCGAATAAACCATCATTTGGAGAAGCATATAAGTTTCGAGTCGTGGGGTGGCCAGAGGATGTTCGGGGCGTAGAAGGACATCAGGCTCGAGGTATATGGTAGAATCAGTAGCATGCAAAAGCTCGGCGTGCTTATCGACCTTCGGTAGCTGTTTTACAGAAGTGGCGAGTTCTGGAGGTGGCTCGAAATCAAGCAGTTGAGCCAGGCGCACAAGGATTCCATGAGCGCCATCGATGATCTCTGGACTATCGGCTTTGGCGGCGTAGCAGCAAGCAAAGGCAGCTTGTGCGTACTGGCGTTCTAGCTTGGCTTGGGTATCATCGTCGAGGTAGCCTTGAGGATTGTGGAAACCACCAAGATCAACGTCACCAGGGCCATCCCATTCTTCGATGAGATTCGTTACTAGAGCAAAATTGTCGACAGCATTGTGTACCATCCATTCAAAGACGTATTCCCAATCGTGACCTGTTTTGTCCTCCTTTGAGACACCATCGAGTTTGATGAAAGCGGTACGTGGAGGAGAGCGGACCGCGCTGTGTTCGTCCTGCTTGGGCTCTTTCTTGTTATAGAGGCGACGTCTTTTGCGCTCGGTGTGGCCGTACATCCATGGACCAACCATGGCTCTAGTATCTCTGGCGATTACACCTTCCGAGTCGGTGGACGAGGTAATGTCATGTTCGACGTTGGTCACATTTTCAAGCAAGAGATGGATGCCTTGTTGACCATCGAGTTTCTCAAAGGAGGAGATGATTGGCGGGTCTTTTGTTCCGGGATAGTAGTCGTAGCGGAGACGTAGCAAGGGCAGGACGACAGAAATGTACCAAGTGCGTATGTAGTCGTTGGTATCGAGGAACGGCTCTACCAGGCGCGGGACCAGAGCAAGGAGGCCCGTCTCGGTGTCGATACGACTTGCGCGGTGAATGATGAAGCGAGTCAAGAGGTCGTTGGGAGCATGGGGAGGAAATGCCGGAGGGCTGAGGTCTGCAGTCGAGAGCTTGTTGACACGCTTCTGGGCCTGTTCGGGTGACAGAGACGTGACGGGGGTTGTGTCTATGTCCAAGGGCTCATGTTGCTCCAGGTAGATGCGTGTGGCGACCTCGCGCACATAGGTCGTGTATAGCGAAGGATCTGTCGTCTCTGGCAGATAACTGAGCACGATGCGCAGGACCAATTCAGGTGACAGCACGTCCAGACGCTGCGGCGTGAAGGCGTGTAGGGTGCGGATGTTGGCCTCGCTAGCATAGTGCACCGCCAGCAGTATACACTGCGCCGACGACAGTTTCGCTGCCTCGTCGCCCGCCATGTTCGGCTTTCTATCGCGAAGCATTCTGAGCGACCTAGCATGCCAACAACTTGTCCGCCCGCACTTCGCTTGCGTCACACCCCCGGCCCCGGCCCCGGCCCAGCCCAGGCCCAGCCCAGGCCCAAAGCTCACACTGTCTCCTTCACGCTATTACATGGTCTCAGGAGACAATGGATCAAACACTTGTTGGTGAACCTCGTCAATACTACTGCCTATCTACATGTCGTAGCTATTCCAGTCTTTCGCCTCTGCCAATCTCCTTCAAGCGCCTGGTGGGGGAGGGGGAGGAGGGTTCTCAGATGGGGGTGGCGGAGGGGGAGGAGCATCGCCAGCCGGAGGAGGTGGGGGAGGACTGCCTGCCTGCGCACCATATGCTTGTTGTTGCCATGGTGCCATTCCGGGTGCTGAAGCCTGTTGCCCGTATGCCTGATCGTAGCCGGGCGCTCCGCCATAATTGTAGCCACCATAGCCACCATATCCTCCTTGTTGAGGTGCTGCATGGCTTTGCTGTTGCTGCCATGGAGCTGCTGAAGAGTGCCCACCGCTGTAGCCTCCTCCGTAGCCGTCATTTGCGCGCCCTCCACCAGAGCCTCCAGCTGCCCATGGTGCAGGTCCCCCAGAGCTACCATTGTCACGCTCGCGACCTCCACCATTGCTCCATGGGGCAGCCGCACCCGTGGGTCCGCGAGCCCATGGTTTAGATGCATTACGATCATCGCCATATCCACTAGCTTCGATGCGAGCAGGAGCTGCGCTTCCAGTGATGGCGCCACCAGCCCCCAGTTCTTGCATGAGATTATTGAACTCGGTGTCTGCGGGTTCGAGTGCGCCGGCAGGGCGGCCAGGAGCTCCGGGAGCGCCGCGGTCCGAGTTGCGCCAATCTTGTCCGCGCTGTCTGTCGGGACAATCTCTGGCCATGTGACCAGCGTTGCCACAGACGCGACAAATGATGTTTGCGGTAAAGTTGCGCTGCTCGGGGCAGTCGTACTTGCGGTGTCCAATCTGGCCACAGTTCTGGCATGCCTGGTTCTCGTCGTCACGAAGAGTACCGTTGAGAGCTGCGAGCTCACGTAGTTGGTTGCGCTTGAGCTCGTTCTGGCCTTCGGGAATGGACGCAGCCTGGAATCGTGTCAGCGTGCGTTCTCTAGGGTAGCGTGGCAGGTCTGGTGGGCGGTTGATTACCGTCTCGATGACATTGTGGATCAATTGCTTGGCTTTGACGACCTTGTCTTCGGTGTCGGCCATGATGAGACAGTGCAAGTCTTCTTCCTGGTTGCTGGTGTGGGCGGCGTCAGAGCGGCCCTTTCCTTCCTTGACGGAACCCTTGCCTCTGATGGCAATCTTTGCGCCAGACTCTGTTTCCATCTTCTTCAGGGTGTTGCCACGAGGACCAATGAGTAGACCAACTGTTAGTAGGAAAAACCCCTAAATGTTAGTATTTGTTATGGGACATGTTTGCAGTGAGTGGTTAGGGGCAGAAGAGCAGTCAACTGTAGCTGCACATGCATCATCATGGGGAGGATGAGGGGAAAGAGGTTAGCAATCATACTGAAGTTAATTTCTGGATAGTCGTTGACAGGCACATAGACCTTTTCCTGGGTCTTTGTGGGACGTCTGTAGTCAGAGGGAGGGTGGTAGCCAGGGATGGTCTTCATGGCCTTCTCGACCAACTTGTGGCGCTCTTCTTCGAGACGCTTCTTGTAGCGGTACTCGCGGGTGTTGACACGACGACCGAAGTTGTCGTACTGCGGAGGCGGAGAGGGTGATCTGCGCAATAGCGTAAGTTCTGTGTAGCAGAGGAGTGGACAAGGATCGGACTCACCTGTCACCGTCGGCTGGGACAACGTCGTTGATCCTCAGCTTCTGGCTGATCTCCTCAATACGCAAGTGCAGTGTGTAGGCGTCGAGCTGCTCGCTTGTCATGTTGCCGAGGACGGCGGTGGGCAAGTTCATCAGACCAGCGGCCTTGTTGTCAGTCGCGTCACCCCATCGGTTGCGCTTCTTTCTCTTCTTGGTGCCGTCGGGGTTCAGCTCTGCAGGCAGACATGAGTAGGTTGCAGCGACTGGAGATGGAAGATTCATACCTCTGACAGGGCTGCGACCGCGCTTGAGGCTCTCGCCTTCGACGGGGCCGCTGCTGTAGCTCTCCTCGACGGGAGGTGAGCCATCTTCGCCTCCGAACCTGCGACGGTTACCCAGAGGAATGTTGTTGCTACCAGTGATGCCTTGACCGCGCCACGACATGGTGGATGATTTGCGATTTTGGTAAATGTCCTTGTCTGGCGCAAGTTGTCGCTCGAGAACTGGAGAACCGTCGCAATCCCGTTGCGCACAGACCACCACGTCTGCCTAACCACTTGCTCCCTTTTGACAGTGAACTTGAGTGGCCTTCCTGCACTCCTGCAAGCTGGTGCCTTGCACAGTAGTCTTTGGCCCTCTCTTCTTCTCCTTTGAGATCATGTTACTATGTCAACCTACCTAAGCCACTAGAATCCAAAACCAACTGAAAGTGCACAACAACCCTTACCGTCTCATCGCTGTATCTCCCAAAACGACCGTCGGAACAAGACGGTGGTGGATGCATCCAAGCCTTGGCTGATATTCAAAAAATCCGTATGTTCGACATTCGTGCATATATCGCACCACATGGCATCCCATTCCTAACATGGACACGGCACTCAAGCGTCATGACTTGACACGCGTTTCTTCTCTTGAAATCGGCAGATGACTGGCCAGTTGATCTAGACACTCCTGATACGGCACCCCCGAGGGTTACACGCCGAGACTGCTGTCTAGGCCTGTCTTAAGTGACCATCTCATTCTCCGCTGCATACATGTCATGAACACAGACTACAGAATGGGGGACGAGAGGCTTTTGCCAATGTCCGTGGCTCTACATCGGCTTCAAAGCCAGGCGATAATTGTATACCCAACGCACCTTCTCAACCCTACTGCTGATCTTGCTCAGCGCTAGAATATGCGATTGGTTGCGGATCTTGTCTACAGCCGACATTGTGGCCAAGCAGCTGAAACTCCTCGCTAACATAGAACTTGGGATATGTTGCTGTGGCCCAATCAATCATACTCTAAGCGAGTGATTGGGCTTACCTTTTTGAGTGATGTCAAGAGACAAGCAAACTCCGAGGCCAGCGGGAAGCTGAAAAGAGTGAGGAATGACAAGCTCTGTTGTGTGAGCCACGGAGATGTGCGATTTGGGCGCAAGGTTCAAGTCTTCAGACCGCGATCATGCAAGTCAAGTAATTTCGTTGTCCAATTGACATTTTTGCCTGGTCAACACAGAACAACAGGCTATGGATATCCGAGCTAGAGGCTGTAACACTGTGGCGCTCGACGAGTAGGACCCCCGCTGGTCATACTACATTTGTTATTGTCTAGACCCGAGAGGAGGACAAGACTTTGAGTTGTGAGCTGTACTGTGCAGCGGAGTATGCTCTGACCATGGTTTGGAACCAGGATGTAGAGATCGATCCCAAGTTACGAATCAAGAGTGTGCCTGGCAGGGGTGTGATGCATGATCGACGAAGCGCCAGCGAGGCTAAGGAGCAGAAGCTCGGAGCTCGAAACTTGTGGCAAGCCAGTTTTGGTAGGCGCGCTGGCGACAAGGCCTCCAAGAGACTGCTCCTTAGACTCGGTGACCCGCCATTCGTGTTTCAGGTTGCAGCCCCAGTGCAGCAGGGGATCAAACGTACAGCGGCCAACACCAAGACAGCGCGAAAACGCATTGAAGGCACCTGCTGACAAGGGAAACGTGCATGGATGGGTTAAGAGTCCAGGTGTTTGAAGCACGATAAATCTCTGACAGTCCTTCTACCTTGCCCCCCTTCCCTCGTGCGTGCCGTCATTCTATTTACGTGATCGGGAGTCTTTACCTTTCGTGCCACCACCCCCGTTCCCTTTCCGACTTCACACCCCCAAGACAGCTGTGCTAGTCGTCCATTCGTTTTCTTCCGACACCTTCAGGTCCAGCCCTCTCAAATCCTCTCGTCCTTGAAGCCACGGTGCCGGCCACCTGTTTCCATTCTTCAGCGACCTTTTGGAAGTCTAGATTCCGCAATCCTTCCACACTGTTTACCACCGTCTCCTGTTGACCAGCGAGGATCTTTCAACATGGCACCAAACAACACTCCGTTGCTCGTCGCTGCCCTTGCGACTGCTGTGACCGCCTACACTCCCAACATGACCCCCGAGCAAAAGGCCATACTCTACGACTCTTACTATCAGAACCACCGCATTCAATGGTATCTTGGCTATGTCTGGGCCGCAACTGTCGCAGCCATCTTCACTTATCGCATCACCGTCACTGGATTGCGTTATGTCCGGACGCTGGCATGTCTGGAGAATGAGAAGCAGCATTACTTCGTCAACCCCCACGCCGGCTGGGCCTCTTTGAGGCGCAACATTATTGACGCTCCTCTGTTTCGTAGACGACACAATCGCGAGTTCAAGCTCTCGGCTGCAGCCAGCATGGGAACTTTGCCAGGCAGACTTCAAATAATGTATCTCATTGGTTCGTGATTGCATGTGTAGATGCAACTTGTGGATTACTAATCTTCTTCCTAGGCTACCTAGCAATGAACATCGCCTTTTGCGTCGTGAGCATTCATTGGAGCGGCGGTAATGTTGCTACCGAGATTAGAAACCGTACAGGTGTATTGTCGGTCATGAACATGTTGCCGCTGTTCCTGCTGGCCGGTCGCAACAACCCACTGATCAAGTTGCTCGACATGTCCTTTGACACTTACAACCTCATGCATCGCTGGATCGGCCGTATCGTGGTTCTTGAAGCAGTGGCTCATACTGCCGCATGGATGGCAAGCAAAATTATGGCCGGTATGTAATGTCGTTGCTTATGATTGTAACTTGACTAATACTGATAACAGCTCCTTCATCTGCTGTCGGTTGGAATATCATTGGGAAGGCAATGGCCAGTAGTCAACTCATTCTGACTGGCACAATCGTAAGTCATCTGCTTCCCACATCCTTTCCCCACTTACTCACCATCGACTAGGCTACTTGTGCCTTCGTTACACTGTTGCTTCACTCACCGTCTGTCGTTCGTCATGCATTTTACGAAACCTTCCTCCACGTCCACATCGTCTTGGCAATCGTTGCTATTGTTACTGTATGGATCCATCTCAAGACACTTCCCCAGCAGATATTGATTCTCGGTGTGATTGTCATCTGGGTCTTTGAGCGTACTGCGCGCATCGTGATCTTGATTCGTCACAATGTCGGTCGTGGCGGTACCAAGGCTGAAATCGAGGCTATGGCTGGAGAAGCCATCAGAGTCACCATCCGTATGGCTCGACCCTGGAAATTCCGTGCTGGCCAGCATCTTTACCTTTATCTGCCTTCTGTCGGCATGTGGACGAGCCACCCTTTTACCATCGCATGGAGTCAAGAAGAACAGGATCTCGCCTCTGAGAAACTTCCAACTGACGCACTCGAGGTATTGGCTAGACGCAAGACAACCATGTCTCTGATTATTCGTCGCCGTACTGGTTTCACCGACACGCTCTGGAAGAAGGCCGAGAATGCTCCAGATGGCAGATTCTTTACCAATGCCTTTGTCGAGGGTCCTTATGGCGCTGCTGATTCTTACGAGTCTTATGGTCATGTCATGCTGTTCGCCGCAGGTGTTGGTATCACTCATGCCGTGCCACATGCTCGTCAGCTCGTGGGCGGCTATGCCAACAATACCTGTGCCACCCGCAAGGTTGTTCTCGTATGGATCCTTCAGAGCCCAGAGCATCTCGAATGGATCCGTCCTTGGATGACCGAAATCTTGGCCATGGAAAAGAGACGCGACTGCCTTCGCATTCTCCTCTTCGTCACTCGCCCTAAGAGCACCAAGGAGATTCACTCGCCAAGCGCATCAGTGCAGATGTTCCCTGGTAAGCCCGACGTTGGTGCCTTGATCTCCGCGGAACAGGCCAAGCAAGTTGGTGCAATGGCAGTCAGTGTCTGTGGCACTGGAGGTCTGGGTGACGACGTTAGACGTGCCGTCAGAGAACGTTGCGAAACGACAACGATTGATTTCTATGAGGAGAGTTTCACCTGGTAGATGGTTGTGTTCCTGGATGGACATATACTAAGGTTGAATGTGATGATGGCACGAATGTAGACATTTGACCGACAATCGGGAATCTTCATTGGGATCTTGTGTTTTTCTTTTCTCTTTTACCTCGCTGGGGTTTTCTTCCTATTCATGCTCTTCTTACACTCCTTTTGGATGCACCTCAGACGGCATTCCCCTCTTTGCAAATCTCTTCGCTAGTCGATCGAAATGTCAGACCGAATACTCTCGCCTTGACTCGAACCAACTCCAATGAAGACAATCAAGAATAGCATTGGCTACCGCTATTTGACCTTCTGCATCGTCCGTAGCATAGTGTACCTCTCTACTTTCTGCCTTCAACCATGATAATGTGGTAGCCTTCACTGGTCTTTGCTTCGCCCCATTTTGGGCTATTAGTAGTGCTGGCCTGCAACTCGAAAGCAACATTCTCAAACTCGGGCATGAGGTTGCCTCTGGTCTTCCAGCCCAATGAGCCACCTGTGACAAATCTGATCAGGATCCATGTTTCAAAAGCATGTGGTTGAGTCACTGACCTTGGCGAGCCTTGTCTTCGGAAAACTCTCTAGCGACTTCGTCAAATTTGACGCCAGCATTCAACTTGGCAAGTGCCTCTTCCTTCTTTGCGTGCTTTTCACATAGAATGTGGCGAACATTGATACTCTGGGCTGGATAGCGGATAAGTCAATATGCTGGATGGAGCAGCCATCGCGTAGACCACTAACCTCCTTTGACTTTTGCTGCGCCTGCCTTTTCGGGCTCCTTGGCCTTGCCTTTATTATTTTTCGGTGCCATATTGAAGAAGTGTGATGTTGTGTGAGAGAAGTGGTCTTGCGGCTGATGCGCAGAACAATCTCACAGCGAGTAGCTCGAATGTTGGCAACGCCGACAGTTGACATCGTGTCCGCTTCGCTGTGCCATTCGAGTCTTGCCCATCGTGTTGGCATCTCACGGACGATTGTCAGGAACAATCGCAATTGGACACTTCTTCATCGATTCGTCTACCACTCTTCACAGTCACACCCAGCTCATCACATTCCAACATGGCAGCCGACAATACCCTGGATGATTTCAGGATCACCGAAGTGCCTGGTAGCATGTTCTACGTTCCGGACTTCATCAGTCACAAGGAAGAAGCAGATTTGCTAAAAGCAATACCATCAAATCGCTGGATCCAATTACAACACCGCCGCTTGCAAACCCATCCGTCCTCACTATCAAAAAGCAATACCTTACTCGAAGCTCCACTACCGGCATGGCTTGTGGACCCAATCATCTCGAAATTCAAGTCACTTGGTCTGTTCAGTGACAGTCCACATCATGCGCCAAATCATGTCTTGATTAACGAGTACAACCCAAATGAAGGAATCATGCCGCACGAGGATGGCGCAGCATACTATCCAATCGTCGCCACTGTGAGCTTGTCGAGCACTCTGTGTCTTGACATATACGAAAAGACTCAGGATGGAGAAGAAACTCGTCTCAATTCAACACCCAAATGGCGGGTATTGCAAGAACCACGCTCTCTGCTTGTCACCTGCGGATCCGCATATACCGACACTCTTCATGGCATCTCGGAAATTGAGGTTGACGAGGATCTGAGAGCCGACACAGTGGCTAATTGGGGTCTTCTCGGCGACAGCAACATCTTGGTTGACAATGGAGGCAAGAACGTGCGCACGACTCGTGTCAGTCTCACGTACAGAGATGTTCTGAAGGTTTCAAGGGTTGGAGCGAGAATTCTGGGTAGACCGAGAGGATGATTCTCTAAAACTAATGTCCAACTTGTTCGGGCCTTTGCGACCTCATACCGGTCTCAAATACAACTGCCTACTGAGTGGTTCGTACTGTTCCCTCAGCGATTCTTCCACCATGAACAACAAATGCGACGTCCTCAATACAACCTCTTCGAGATCGACCGTGTACGAAACTGCGATTTCCTCTTCGGAAGAGAACAAGACAGGATTGTCCCTCTTCCACTTCCTTTCCTTTACTCGAAATTTGACACCAACAGCATTGTTTGCTGTGTTGGTAACCCAAAGAATAGACGGCTCACTTGGTGGAGTACTAGAAGTCGAGTTGACGCCCGCGTTAGTCTGCTTGGCCAGCCAGTCTCTCCAGACTCTGATGGTACCCTCGGAAACCTCGACAGCTGTAAGTATCGTGTCTGGACGTGGTCCAGGCTTGACTAGCATGAGCGTCGCGATCAGTTGAGTGAAAAGCTCATCCGCATCCAGAGATACTTGTTGAGAAACCAGATTGCTCTCTGTATTGTGAACGTGGATGCTTGGGTCAGCAGAACTCGGATGAGTCCTCGAGCCTGGAATGTCGCCAGCAGGATGTTTGAGAGAAGGCCTTCGAATCTCTTGATGTTGAGGTCTGAATCTCGAATACACTGCTTTACCCAGATGACCGATCCTTGCCGAGTCAGGGAGACTCTTTAGGGACTCATCGTCCAGACCCGAGGTACCTAGCGATGTGCAGAACAGCTTACCAGCTGTCAGTCTGGCACTTGGTGGATATAACTCGAGCATCAAAATATGGTCAAGCAAGGTAGCAGCAGCGGTCAAGCGGTTCTGCAGGATTCTGACACAAATCGAATGAAATCTACGTGAAACTGGAGCGAAGGTCAAGACATGTTCTGTGGTGAATGATTGCAATATGTCGTATAGAAGCTGCCCCACCGGTTAGCTGAGCACCAAGGAACATCAATGTGGCGTGTTGATGGTACCTCGTTTGGCAATGCTTCGAAGCCTCGGAGCTGCGCACTATCCATCTTGTGCGATCTACAGTGATAGGCGAGAGAAAATTCGTTCGCTCAAGGCGGGTAGGCTCGACTCAGGAGAGGGTGGCTGGGTGGAAGTGACGTGCAGGAAGGCGCGGGGTCGACGATAAGGAGTCTTATCGCGTTGTTTATTTCCGTTTTGGGCGATCAAACTCAAGTTTCTACCATGACCTTCATCACGTCGTGAAACAGCAATTCTCGAAGCACTTGTCACCATGGCGGGCATGGGAAACTTCGCTCTCCGCAACGACCACCCGAATTCACAAGATGCTGACCGGCCGGCGACCGCCCAAAAGACGCGTGATGCCGTGGAGCATAACGGCAATCCTGTATTCGACACGGACACGGAGGAATTCGATGCGACTCAAGATAGCCTTGATGAACCAGATCACGCTGCTTCGGACGGCTCCCAGGATGGCTCGGAACACGATCATGATGACGAGCAGGCTGATCAAGGCTACTATCAACATGGGATCGCTCAACTCGATGTTATGATGTCGCAGATGAAGAGGGACAATGCTCAAGCTGGCTATAACAATACAGACTCCTACCCACCTACCACTTCTGGCGAACCAGACCAACTTGATTACTCTGAGCATGAAGTCGAACTTGACCAGCCACAAGCTCAGTCTCGTGCCAAGCAGCATCGTGACCTTACTATGATCAAACCCGCACAGAGAAATGTGGTTTCCACTCCTTTGGTCACTCAAACCGAGCCACCTCACACCCAACACACCAAGGATGCTCTCAAAGTCACCGTCAAGCCCACGAAACTTCGGGTGCAACATCAGAAGTCACGGAGCAAGACACACGGAACTTCTCAGCCCATGGCCAAACATGCTCCGGGCCAGTTTCAGACTACCACCCACGCTGCCACGACGCACCAAGCCACTGTCAGAGCTCCTCTTGAACAGCCTGATCAAGCACTTCGACAGTCTGCCCGTGCCCAAATCATCACAACCGACCATCGCCCAAAGCACATCAACGAAGTCGGCAGTCACCATCAGCAGTATGCGAGAAGACCTGATCCTCACGAGCAGCACCTTAACAACATTCATCCTCAGCAACACAACGGTTTTCATCATCAGCAGCAGCAACAGCAGCAGCAGCGAGTTGAAGACCTTCCGGAAGAACATTACGAACATAACACGTACGCAGAAGATCTCGATTACGAGCTAGGAAGATTGTACGAGAAGGACTTTGATGATCTGCAGAACGAGCCTTTCGATGGACCACCACGTGAGGACGCTCATGACGCTCCATCCGATTCCTCTTCAATGCCGCTCGAAGAGAGACTCGCAGCCTTCTCTAGACTTGATGTACAAGATCAGAAAGAGCTGTTCTCTTCATTGGACATTGAACAATGGGAAGAGGCCGGTGACTGGTTCCAGAAGCGCTTCTCGGAGATCTTTGACAAGCTCAAAACTGCACGCAGGAACAGGCGTGACAAGGCTTCTGAGTTTGAGCAGCGTATTGCTCAGAGACAGCAGGCGGTTACCAAGAAAAGAAAGATTACCGACGATGTGTTGTCAGAAATGAAGAGAACAGGACAACTAGTCCTGGTAGGTACGCCAAAGAAGAAGCAAAAAGTCACAGAGTGATATGGAGGAAGGTGTTACTTTGCTGGAGTGCTGATGATGATAACGACTGCATGATGGGAGTGTCCTTTGTTTTTGCTTTCTCATTTGTGGCATGCTATAACGCTCTATACCCTATTTGCTGGCCGTTACTAGGTTCTACTTTACTACTGTTGCTAGAGTGGACAACGAAAACACGGGCATTTTATAAGTCACATCGTTGGTCGTCCGGGCAGCGTATTTTCTTGATCGACATGAACGAACAGAGGGGGACGATCGAATTGGCCATGTGGCTTTGCTGGAGGTACAACCCTGGCGCTATAGCATGATCTCAACTTATGACTATACCAGCGAACAGGTTGTACTTCTTTTGCATCTAGAGCTTCGAGCATCATCATATCCCTATAAAGGTTCTGCTATTGCCAAGAGAGGTTGGTGTAGGCGTGATGTGTCTTGAATTCCGATGAAGCGACAACTATTTGAAGTTTGGACGTGAATTACGTGCGAACCACACCCGCCATCACAACCTCAACAGTACCCCTACAGATAAACGCTCATATATGTCCGTTAGTGGCTAGGCTCTAAATGGACGCTCGATGCTGTGAACCCTGTGAATACATGAGAAGGCCGCGCGCACGGCAAGGCTCAAGCACAAGGTTCTTCGCAGACGTTGACCTGGCACAGGATCCACAAGGAGACTGGAACCAGGTAGTTGGGGACAGCAGAGTCCCCAAGAATCAGGTAGCGGGCTCGCAGCAGAGTTCATGCAACGATGGAGTCTCGTGCCCAGAAGCCACGCAGGGAGCATGCAAACACGTATGAGCTGAGGTACAGTAGAAGGCGAAGGAGAAGGATTCGAGCGGAGCTGGATTCAGTTCTCTGCAGTAGTCACTACTCAGAAGGAAGGCATCTGCGAGCTGAAAGGCACCGTGCTGACTCATAATGTTCGAATACTCCGCGAGCCAAGAGAGTAGCCAAACCATCACTGAACAATTGGGACAAATGTCTGGCGAGCGATTTTACCCTCTCAAACGTACAATCACTTGCCGCTCGACGCTCACATCTTCGAGTGATGCAATCGTATGCAGCTCTAAGGAGACGGTTGTCTCATCTGCTTCGGATAGCCGCGATGGAAGAGGTCACCATCATTTTTCAGGCCTCCAGTCGAGTACTGCACACACAGAACAAAGTCTAATCCGGGAGTTCGGCCAGACCAAAACGACGATAGTGGTAGAGCGATATGAGAGGAAACCCCACTAATGCAGGTGAGAGAACACACCCAGAATGTGTGTGATGTACGAAAGAGCCGATGGTCAATGCAATGCTCACATAGCCCTTTGGTTTCTTCTTTGGGATACTGAAATAATTAGTACGAGACTGTGACGTCTGTTTCAGACTCGGAAGCGTGTCTCTGAATGCACATTCTGAGGCTCGAGAGGAGTTGTCCACTATAGAGGTGCCTTTGAACAGGGCTGAATCCACAGCTTCCAGAAATGGGTCGTCGCGACGATTGTGCGGTCAACCAAATTAATTGTCGGTGTGAGTCGTCCTCAGTTCATTTAATTTGCGTGTTGTCGTCGAGTACGAGATGTGAGCGGTATACGTGATCCAGCCACCAGCGATTGAACTTGAACTGGTCGTTTTCGTTCACAAGGATTATCAACTACTCGTAGAGACCTGTCAAATTCGCGGGCCACAAGAGCCCACCATGAAAATGCGACAGAGAGCTGTCCGGCATCCTGCTCTTCAGACCCGGGCTTCGATTGTGCTGAGGAAATTGACTCTCGATGGTAGATTGATGCATCATGCAAGTAGATGCAAGAGACTCGTTGTGGAAGTCGGTTACGTGATCGGTTATATCAGAACCGGATGTCGCCAAGCCAGCGGCAATCTGCAGCTTCGATCTGATGGCTTGTCGTCAATCTTTCTAGCAAGATGGTCATAGAGCAGAGTACTGTACGTGCGTAAGACAGACCAGAGCAATCAATCTCTAGAAATTCGAAGGACGATCGTGGTGTGTTGGTGATCTGTTAAGTTCGATATGACCTCACCCAAGATCCATTCCTCCAAAATCTCTAGGATCCCATGTCCCGCTCTCTTTGCAGTGTATCTCCCAAGAAATCGGTGTGATCGACAGGCTTCTCCGCCAGCTGAATGGCATGCTCATCTCATAGCATGACCACGAAGATGTCGTATTGTATTGTAAAAGCTCTCAGAGATTGACACTCGAAGGCTGGGGATGTCCAGAGCGGTATATGCAAGCCCTACATGACGCCGGCGGAGCACAACCGTTGGTCTTTGTTCCCCGAAACCTTACGAGGCTCAGCCTTGTGTGCGTACTATCCTCCGAGTGCATGTGCATCGACTCGGTGGCATGAGCTCGCGGTTTCTCGTTGAGTGGTGTATGCACAGAAGATTTGGAAATGCCACGCCCAGCTGGTACATGCAAGCTTCGTGATTGCATAGCCAGTAGCATTCAAAACCATGCGCTGCAGTAGATAGTCAACGCCGGCGGCATTGCTAGACATGATTGCCGCAAGACAAGTCATTTGGCCGGCAATTTCAAAGACCCATATGGGGTTATATCTCCACATGGCTCCTTGTGATGCTGTCTAACATGACTCTGTAAGTCGATAGCAGACGATTTTCCCCTGGCGAGATCCACAAAAAAAGAACGGACACTTACTACGACCCGCAGCTGATGCGCGTTGACAGAGCATGGCGGCGGGGAACACACGGACAGAAGAACTAGCCCGTGGCGCGATCGCCCATGTCGACAGGCAAATCCAGGTAGCTGGGACCTCGAGAGGGACGAGTGCAAGAGACGCACCGACACCCTGCCACTTTCTGGCCGCTGTCAACGCACGTCTTCCTTCCTTGTTGCGCCATCGCCAATGGCGTCACCAGTTCAGGTATCTTTGTAGTGCGAGCACTACTGGTGATCTTTGGTCCAAAGATTGCCTCGATGAACACCTAGGACGTTGCACGATCACGCCTGCCTGTCCGCTCATATCTAGACGCAACATGATAGCGATAGCTTGATCGAAGCCCTCGGCCAAGTTTCTTTCGGCGGCTAGATCGGGTGAGTAGAAGGATCTCTAGTGCAGTCGGCCTGACGCAGCCGGGACATTTCTCTGATTGCAAGTCTATTGGTTGTGATGAGAGGACACACACACACAATTAATGAGAGCAGCCCAAGGCCGAGTGTGCATGGTTGCAGGATACCACGAGTTTGGTGTCCTGCAAAGATGCGTCTTCGTGCATCCTCGCGAGTGTTTCAGAATGGTTCCTAAGTCGTGAGTAGAGCTTCTTGGATAGCAACGGTGTACACCACCCGAACACACGAGCGTGGCCGTTTGTGGTGCTGTTGCTCGCTTCCGCACATCACGCTGTATCAGGCCTTTTTGTGCTCCCAGGCTATCTAACCTTCTGAACCCTCGAACCGTTTTGATAAGCTCTGATCATGGCAGTTGCTCAGAGTTCTGTCCCTGAAGGGCACACAAGACTCGAATGCGCACAGTGCTCGTCGACTTGGCTTGGGTTGTATCGTCGACCGGATCTGTCAGGGCAGGGCTGGTCCGTCCCGCCGTCGCCAAAGCTTTCCTAGCACAGATGATTTGCAAAAATGGGAAATCTTTCATGCAGGTGTGCAGTGTGCACATTTTGAAGCCACCAACTTACCAAGCTTCTGGGTTGGTGGCGGAACTGACTTGTCCCAGGTTGCGTATTCTTGCTGCAAGCATCACCCATCCGTTAAGTGCATGGAGGGTTGTCAGAGCGCATCGACCACCACACGATCCTCTGGCTGGTCGAACAACTGCTAGACTTGTTGTGAACAAGTTGGCGCATTGATCTGTTGGTAGACGGGGTGAGTGATGTTGAATCATGATTCGACCGTCGATGTCACGGCCCTCAGATCTGGGCCATATTGAGATTGACCATGCGCTCATCAGAGCCGTATCCAAGTGAGATTGATGGAGCAGCGGGTGCGGAGCATACATGCTTATTTCGAACCCGCTTGCGTACTGGTCAACAGGGGGACGCTCAGATCAAGATGCAGTAGTAGAATATGGCAAAGACCAGTCTGAAGCCTCTCTTTGCATCATGGCAACATGATGCCGCCGTTCCTGGCTACTTTTATCCCGTCCCATCTCCCATAACTTGACCACGTCCTGTACTCTGCATCCTGCTCGCTCCTCATCATTGAACTTCACCTCGGACCTGCCATAATCCAATCATCAACCTTACGACTTTGCTCGACCATTGATCACCTGCCTTCACATCAACGCAGAAAACAGCTACATATACGAGCACATATACTGCAACATAATTGACCGTACGCTTTCCGCACAGGCCTGCCGGCAGCAACCGTTTAGCGCATACCAATAATGTGAGATACATGGAATCGATCGCATGAGGTTGCAACTGACAGGAAGATCAGACGTCAACTCCACGGACGTGTCGTGATCCGAGAACCGATTCGGTCACACGGAGAGAATACGCGCACCCTGGAAAGAGGAGACCGACAGCCGTCAGCAACGACACGACTGGAAACCCACGAAAAAGGAAAAGACGAAGCCAAATCCCGTAGAGAGCCGGACAAGCCTGCGAGATTACGATTGAAATCAAGACTGGACTGGAAACCAAGCAGGACTGGTTGATTCATTTCCCTCGGAGAGCCTCGAAACAGCGCCCAGAGATTCGTTGCAGGACATCCGCGACTTGTCAAAGAGTGAAACGGACCAGGGGGCGGTATTCCTCGGGACTTCGCTCGACCTTCTCGAAGGTGACTATAATAGAACCCGGTGACGTCGTTCAGAGGCACAACTGGGTCGGCAGATACTCAACCAGAAAAGGAGAACAAGGACCCCTTCGGACGCAAGGCACGAAAGTAAAAGTGCACAGCACACAGAGAATCTGACACGAGGCAATCTCCTCAAGAGGCAGCATAGCAGAAGTGTAATTGAGCAGAAGGAAAAAGTCGACGAAGCCAGTGTTAGAAGCCATCTGGATTTGGTTAGCGTCTTTCACAGTGCCAGCCAAGCCACAATTGGAACTTCGCGGGTCGCTATCACCGGTCGCATCTTGGTCTTCGCTCCTTCCTTCCAAACCATCATTCTGCGCACTCTCATCGACCAGAAGATCAAGAAAGAGTCTCCGTTAAGTCGCGGCTTCTTCTTTTGTTTCTTTTACACACTGTGCGCAGTTCTCCCCATTGTCCCCGCCAAAGGTATGCTTGTTGTCTCTCTCCATCCTCGCCTCCCTATCATCGCCCTCGTCGTTGTGTTTTTTTTCCATCAACACACGCGTTTTCCCGATACCCGTCCCTTCTGTGCTGCATCCATCCATCGCGCGCATCGACCGCATATCGACCGCAACGCCTTGACGCTTTGTCGGTCCCCCTTCCTCTATCCACACATCCACTCATGTTGTCGTCGACTTCGCTGCCCCCATCTTCACTTGACTCTTTCACACCGTTACAGATGCCCAGCAACTAACATGATTTCAACACAGCCTTGACCGCTTTTCCGACTCTCACTTCCTACCCGATTACAATAGCGCCGCTCGAATTTTGTCTTCGACGCGTTTGTCTCGTTATTCTCTGCTCTCTGCTCGTCTGCATCTCTTCGCGCATCTCACTACGACGCGTACCTGGTGAAGCAAGAAAAACCCCTGCCTATCAGTCAGTAGTCCCAAACACACACGCGCCGTGTGCCGAAAGTCTTCTCTGCACACATCTAGACGTTCAGTCTTACACGCCCACATGTTGCTTCCTCGGATAGATTCGCTCCTGTGGCCCAGCATGAGGAGGGATAGCGGCATTGTCGGCAGAATGAAGTTGAATAGCATCCTGAATACTAACAAGTTTCCGTCAGACACTCCCGACAGAGTCATGCAGTACGAAGTTCCTCACTACCCCCCTCCCGCCCACCACGACATGTCGTCGTCGGCACCCGCGCCCCAGTACACTCAGAACCTATACGTACCTACTGGTAGAATCAAGTCCGAGAATGGTTCCGAGCGTGGTGTCTCACCTCACCCCTCGGACCCTTCGTCACGTTATTCATCTCAAGCTCCTCCTGCCATCCACCCGGCTGCCTATCCCCCTCAAGGCCTGAACAGTCTGGGTCCTAGCATGCGCTACCCTTCGCCCTCTCAGTTGCACCAGCAGATGCCTTTGATCCAACACAGCTACCATCCCGCCTCAAACGACCCAACATATGCTCAACCACCCATGAACGCAGCCCCGCCACCGGTTCAAGATCAGCAGCCTCAACAAGAAGGTACCCAGCGAAGCACTGGCAGCGGTCTGCCCAAGGCTTTCGCATGCTCGACCTGTGGCAAGGGATTCGCTCGCAGAAGTGATCTCGCCAGACATGGTATGTCAATCATGAGATGCTGGAGAGGTCGTTGCTAATACGTATTCTAGAACGCATTCACAGCGGAGTGCGTCCTCACGTATGCGACTATCCAGGCTGCGGAAAGCAGTTCATTCAGCGTTCTGCTCTCACAGTTCACTCTCGTGTTCACACCGGAGAAAAGCCTCACATGTGTGAGCGCTGCGGCAAGGTTCGTCAACGCGTCTTGAAGTTGTATTGTCGCGCCAGGTTTGCTAACAGCGTCTGTACAGCCCTTCAGCGACTCTTCGTCCCTTGCGCGTCACCGCAGAATTCACTCTGGCAAGAGACCTTACAAGTGCCCCTATGCCGACTGCCAGAAGACTTTTACGCGTCGCACAACTCTGACGCGTCACCAAAACCACCACACCGGTACCATTGAAGAATCAGCCGCTGCCACAGCTGCGGCCTTGGCCTCGCGTGCCTCGATGCAGACGCGTGGCTCGCGTTCTGATGGAGAAGAATACTCGGAGAACAAGTCGCCAATGCCTACACCCTCTCCTCACGACCGCCCTGTCTCGATTTCACCTGCTGGAGGCATGAACGGCGTTGCTGCGCTTCAGCGCTCGACTTCGGACTACTACATGAACGCCATGAACGGCGGCATGACGATGCCTCCACACATGCGCAACGAGATGGCCACGCACAGCCCGCGCTCCGCCTCTCCAGCCAATTCTCACTACTCAATGCCCAGCTCCGCCAGTCAAGCCCGCCAGCCATTGACATCTCACCCGGGCGCATACCCTCTTCCTTCGACGCTCGAACCCCCTACCACAAACCCCCCGAGCCAGAATGGCAGCGTTGGTGGTAGCCCCCACATGGGCGGCTCCGGCTGGCAATCTCCCGCTCATCAATCGATTGGAGGGGCCCAGCAGGCAGACTACTCGTACCCTGATCCTAACACGCAGCAGTACGTTCAAAACGCACAGAACCTGTATTACCAGAACCAAAACATGCGTCGTCCTCAGAGCACGGATCCCATGGACCCTTACCACGCACAGCGCATTGGCCACGTTGGACAGGAGCTCTGGGCCCAGCACCCGCAATAAAGCATGTACAAAACCAAAGGGCGGACAAGATGGGACGGGAGTTTTAACAGATAGGCACACTTGGTGTGATTAGCAGGAAGGAGTTTGTTTCGAAGAGTCTAGTCGCATTTTCATTTGCTTTTCGCACACGGTAAAGCTGCAGCACACGTTGCGGGCAGATGCACAGGGCGGCGTTGTTCTCTATTCATTCGCTTATCTCTTTTTCGAGGGAGTCTGGCGACTCGGGCTTGGGTGTTCTGGTGTGGGACGTTTGTGGCATTTGCTCTTCTTTGTCTTCCAGCGGCATATATGCAGGGCGAGGCTGCTTCGGAGGCTGATAACGACTTGACGTCCGTGTAACTATATTATAGAGACTGCTCCAGCAGTGAGAAAAGCATTCATTGTTGCATGGCAAGACAAGTACACCACAACATTATTGACCGGCTACGTGTGGATGAAGCGGGTGATTTGACGGGCCCAAAGCGGCAGCAGCGCCGAAGTTCGATGCTTCTTGGCTTGGGGCTGCACAGACGATGACGAAGATGGGAAACGCCTTGGACCTTGCACCGACCAACCTCCCCACGCCAACTTGGATTGTCGACGGTCGCTGCATGCACATCCAGAACCACCCTCTGCACCTTCTGCCCTCGCATCCAGCAGCAACCCCGCTACCGCCGCCTGCCTAGTCGCTGTCCTCGATCGTCTGCATTGACACGTGCATACCGCGCCCGCTCGCTCACTCGTCCCTTCTCGCGCAGCACACCGGGCCCGCCGCGAGCCCCAGTCCACCGCACATCATGTCGCAAATGCTCAGGAGTGTCAAGAATGTCACCAAAGGATACTCGTCCGTCCAGGTCAAGGTCAGAAATGGTCAGTGCCACCCACTCTCGTCGTCTTCCAATGCTGACACTGTCCACAGCGACCAGCAACGACCCTTGGGGCCCAACAGGCACCGACATGGCCGACATCGCCAAGATCACCTACAACAGGTCTGCAGCTTCCATCGCCCCATACCTGCACTTGGCACTGACAGCATCTTCTCAGCTCGACGGATTTCTACGAAGTCATGGACATGCTCGACAAGCGCCTCAACGACAAGGGCAAGAACTGGCGCCACGTCCTGAAATCTCTCAAGGTCCTCGACTACTGCCTCCACGAGGGCTCCGAGCTGTGTGTCACATGGGCTCGCAAGAACATCTACATCATCCGCACCCTCCGCGAGTTCATCTACCTTGACGAGGAAGGCCGTGATGTTGGCCAAAACAGTACGCTAGTCTCCAAACCTTTGCTTAGACCATTCTGACCACGCCTGCAGTTCGTGTCTCGGCCAAGGAGTTGACCTCTCTGATCATGGATGAAGAACGCTTGCGCTCCGAACGCCAGAACAGACACTCGTGGAAGTCAAGAGTCACTGGTCTCGAGGACATGGCTGGCGGAGGCTACGAAAGCGAAACACAATCGACGCCGAGAAAGCAACGCGAGCGCCCCGCCAACAGAGCACGCACCGAGGATGAAGACCTCGAGTACAGACTTGCTCTCGAGGCAAGCAAGAATGAGGCCGAGGAAGATGCCAGACGACGTGCCAACAAGAACAGAGGTGGCGAGGAAGACGACGACCTGGCCAAGGCGCTCAGATTGAGCAAAGAAGAGGAAGAGGCACGCAAGCGCGAATTCGACGATGCAAACGCAAGTTCGCTGTTTGACGACACGCCAGCTCAGACACAGCAGCCCACTGGCTTCAACCAAGGCTACCAGCAACAGACAGCCGTCGACTGGTTCGGCAACCCCATGGGACAGCAGCAGCCTCAATCCACTGGTTACCTGAACAATGCATACAACCAGCAACCTCTCCAAGCTCAGCAGACGGCTTTCCCTCAAGACTACTCCGGCTACTACCAGCAGCCTCAAGCCACTGGCTTCGATCAGTCTTTCCAGCAACAGCAACAGCCGCAGCAGCAGTTCCTGCAGCCTCAGGCAACCGGCTACAACCCATGGGCTACTCAGATGCAGCCCCAGCCCCAGCAACAGCCCCAACAAACAGCTCAACCCGGTTCCAACAATCCTTGGGCGCTTTCGTCCCCCGCCTCGCAAGAGGCCCTACGCCCTCAGGCCACCGGCTCAAACAATCCCTTTGCCTCTTCTTTCAACCGCCCACAGCAGACTCAACAAAGGGCTCCTACCTTGTCTGCCTTGCAAGAACAGAAAACCGCCACCCATTTCAACCAGCCCGCATATAACCCAATCACCAGCTACCAGGCCCCTCCACCCGCAGCTGCTCCTTTCCAACAACCAGCCCAGACCGCCCAGCCTGCCCAGCCTATGGACCCTCACCGTGCACAGCTCAATGCCCTTCTTTCCTCCGGCGAAGGCCAGGATACTTTTGGCAACGTCGGAAACATGCGCATTCCCGCTCAACACACTGCTCCAGGCACTTTCGTCAACAGCGCTGGTCAAGGACTTACCAAACTCGAAGCTTCGCGCACTGGCAACAATCCCTTTTTACAATCTCAATTCACTGGTATGCCCCAGCAGCAATTCCCTGCACAGACCGGACCTGCAAACGGATATGCATCGTCCAATCCTTTTGGCCAAAAACAGCAAGGCCCTCAACAGTCGGGCAGTCTTATCGACCTTTGATAACCTTCTCTGCCGTGCCTTTTCCCTTGTTTTGTACTGTTCTCACCTGCCAAACTACCCCTCGATTATTTTCTTCGTCCTATGTTTCCTTCAGCCGTCCCATCATCTGTGTCATAGACTTTTTGGAGCGGTGTGTTCTTAGGACCTTTTCCCCTGCTTTTGTAACTTGAGATACCGCTAATCGTTTGACCATATCATGTACCTTTTTCTATTCCAAAATCCAGAGAACTCTTCCTATCAACCATGACATTTCGGAAACACACCTTGCTTGTCATTGCTGATGATGTGATGCATGCCTCTCAATCTTCTCGAAACATGAAGCATCTAAACCCAGAATATCGACACGCATAACTGTGTTAACTTGATGTGCTAGGCTTGTCGTTCGGGAATACTAAACATCCCTAGATACCCTCTATCTACCCTTCTATTCTAGTTCTGTGCTGTCCGATGCGCGTCCCTCACAGGATCCCAGTATCCATTGCTCCTAGATCCGCCAGAACTTGCTTCATCAGTCGACGGCGGCTTTGAGTGTATCTGGCTTGATTGTGCGGATTTGTTTCTATTGTCGCGGAATCGGAACACGTGCCCTTCGGTGTAAAAGATCAGTCGAATTCATCGTTCTCACACTTGTCAAGCTTACACAGCATCCATCGTATGATCCAGTTCTCTTCGTTGAAGCTTTCTGTATCATGGCCCTTATCGTAGACTGTCTTGGTCTCAGGCATTGCCTCACGATAGATTCTCAAGATCTCGTTATGCACTGCCGATTCGCAGATCTGAACATTCGAATAGGGAGGTCGTACCTGCGTCTGTCAGCCAGGGGTGAGTATATCCTCTACTAATTCCCTTGTACTTGCATCCGGGCCACCTCTCAGTTGAGGCAACAGACTGTCAGGATTGCTCAGGATTCGCTCTCTTCCCAGAATCGCTTCGTTCTGCCAGAATCGTCAGTAGATAACTCTTAGTTCTTCTTAAATTGTTCTATCGTACTCTCATCATTTCATAGAGACGATTGTCAGAGCTCTCCTGCGAGGACAGTCCAAGACGCTGGAAGAACTTTGCTTTGGAATCGCTGCGTGCTAGAGGAGGGAGCTGTGGGGCCATTTCAGTTCAACAACTCTTTGGACAGCAATATGTTCTCCGACATCACTGGTGGCAGTCGTTAGCTTTTCAAGTTTCCGAAGGTCATGTTTAGGTCTTGTCTGTATCAACACCGACTCTCAGGCAGTACCGCTGTTGGAGCCCGTAGGAGATAGCCGCTCGTCCCGTGCCGCCCATTCAATCTACTCTGCATTCTCATGTGGAATGCTCCGCTCTTAGGGTTGTTTGCGGCTCCTGAGCGAAGGTCAAGACGGCCAAGTCATGACATTCATCCCTAGCCTAGCGAATCGAACCCCGGCCAATCGTTTGCTATGGCTTGAAGCTACGCAAAGATGGACATTGGACAGTGCCGTTCTGCACGATAAGCAGTTCAGATATCAGTGCCGACATGGAGCTTACATACATCGGCATGAGATCCATAGAGACCACGTCTGCGTCGTGGAAGAGTCAATCTGTGATAAATCTAGCTAACGCTATCAGTATGTTCGATTACGTACAACAGTGACCGTTGCTGTATATCCGTGTATGATGAATCAAATAAGTTCAGCTCCAGCCTAGCAACTGCCTGCAGCGAGCTGAGCACTACGATTGTCCTCTGTATTGGGTATCTCGAGACTCCATGGTTACGACTAACTATGTAGATTATATGCAACATCCTGGTTTGACTTATAAGCGTCGGGCAGCAACATGTCGACTAATATACAGAATCGTTGGGTCATGCAAGTTACTTCAAGCTCGACCCGGCAGGCAGGAGAAACATTAGATGAGGGCAGTTCTAGAACTCGAACTTACTAATCAAGTGGATGCAGTCTACGATGGGGCTGACTTGGCCCATACAACTGGCCGGTAACTCCTTCTATCGGAACTTGAAGTCTACACGAACCCTGATCACATGTCACGAGGAAAAGGAAGGTACCCTGGGATGTCAGCAACACACCACCTGGCGCAGCATCTCTCTCCCACGCCAAACCATAATTCACACCAAACATCCTACCGCAAACAGCAATCGATTAGCATGCTTCTTTTTCCCCCATCTTCAATCCAAGAACCACTTCGTGATAGTACTAATGGCAAATGCCTCGATCGTTCAGCCGGAAGCTGGACATCGACTTCGAGGAAATCTTGTCACCTTACAGACCTAGCAATCTCGGAAGTCGGCTCGTCTGACACATCGATATACAATGCATCAAAAGCGCCCTCACACGCATCAGATGTTGCTTCGGATCCGGATCACCAACATTCTTCCAACAACGCGTCTGCTACCGATCATGAAATCCAACCCCTTCACGTGCGAGCAAAGAGTGAAGGAAGTGCTCAGCATGACACGGTCCGGTTCGTCAACCGCCCGAACGGCACACCTCTCTTCACCATTGCCGAGCAGATGTCTCTTGCCACCCTTCGGACACAGATATCTTTCGCTTCTTTCAGGAGGAAAGGGTCCGCTACTCTGATCGCCACTTCTTCCGGAAAGCTCAAGGCCGCAAGCGTCGATGACACGGTACTTTACATGTCTAGACACGGTCTCTCTCGGAATACTCAAGCATCTTCGAGTCTAGACATTCCAAGCTCGGGGGAAGACCCAGTGCAGCCTTTGCAACCACCGTTCGTGCCACCTCATCGCGTGAAGACCCCCGATGGTGTACCGCACTGGCCCCTGACCGCCCGTGTATCTTTCGCACGAAGGATGGCAAGGACTCTGAGCTCCGCGACGTCACTGTCTCCAAGAGAAGGTGCACTTCTGATCTTCAGAGCTGTGACTGGGGAGGTCCGATCACGCCGTAGGCCTCAGCCTTCAGCCTGGCGTCCACCTGTCAGTGGGCATTCGACATATCGTTACGACCAACCTTCTCGGCATCCACTCAATAGTGTACGCCTCGCGGAAGTCACACGAGATGAAGATGATAGACCAGATGAGACACAAGCTCAGATGATTCCGGAACCAACTCTCATGGAACGGCAATCTTTGGACAGAAGGTGTCGTTCAAAGTCGGCTAACGCCTCCCACGCTCAAAGAGCTCTGGGCGCCATCGATGGGAATGCCATTCCTATAAACCCTGCTCGAGCCATCAGGGCTCGTTCGGTCTCGGTGCCTCAACGATTGACGGTGCCAGAGGCCGATTCGACTCTAAGATCACCGACACAGAACACAGTACAACCGGGTCAAAGCACAACAGCGTATCACTCTGATACACTGCGAACAATTGACATGATTGGGAGTTTTCCATCGCCGCCATCAAGACCGCCGTCGAAGAGAAGGGACAGATTACAATGTTTTGCGCCCGTACCACAGAGAGCTCCGTTTGCACACTTTCTAGGCGAGAGAGACTTGACGACAGACCCTACTGCAAGTCAAGACTAGGCATCCAACGACGACATCTCGGGTCCGCAACAGGCAAATAATTCGTCACTCCCAAGAATGGGAGGTACCCCACCAATCCGCGGTGAACAGGACAGGTACACCTTCTCGGGTATGCCGATATATCGTGATGATGCGGCATCGCTAGAAAGTCACGATCGCTTGCGTTTCACGATATCTGACCCGGAATCCATTGGTAATCGCGGCATAGACGCAGGTCAAGTCGAGGGCGAATATGGTGCTGTGCCCCAAAGTGCGAATCTAGTGGGATCAACACAGCCTTACTTGCAGGATGCAGGCGATACTGTCCTGCAGCAGGATGATCTTGACGAGAGTCCAGACAATGTAATGCTGAATGGTCAATCATGTCCTGCTAATGCCACGTATCCAGCCTCGGACACAGGAGGACACGGCCAGAATGGACAGTCAACTCATGAACCTGCGAGCAGAATCCAGATGGAAAGAACTTGGAAGGTCAAGCTGCGGACAATGCAATCGACCATAGGATGGAGGGACGGCGGACTCGAACGCAGGAGATGTCAGATCACCAAGCCTCTTGCTAGAGGCATGCGCTGGATTGGAAAGAGTTGTACGTGTCGGGACAAGGATGATGACGAACCAGACGAAGAGCCCATTCGGCAAGGAATCCGGCTTGTTGAGGTGTGATGCTTGGCTGCTGAGGGGCTATCACTGAACACTCGAAACACCTAACTACTACTACTACAACATTGTTGCTGTCAAACGGAAAGACTGTATTTTATTCATCAGGTGTGTCATGTGGAGAGTGGAGCCGTGTGATCGTGAATAGATTGGACATGATTCGTGAAAAGTTATACGGACCATTATCGAGGGAGACGGATCCGCTCCCAAACGAATCCCAGTATGCAGATGTATGAGATATGTACAAGGGTTGTTACAGCCGCACTAAGAGAGCTTGACGCCGGCTCTTTTTCTCTTCGCGGGAGAAGTCAAGCCTGGTAGTTCGCTGTCCTTTTGTCCGGTTGCCGGCCTCACCGCCCTTCCCAGCGTGGTCCTGACTCGCTTCTTTGCGGGGCTCGACAGGCCAGGCAGAGAAGACGTGTGAGCAACTGTTGAACTCGCTACGTCGTTTTTCGAGGGAGCGAATTCGAGTCTGGAAGACAATGACGGAGGTTTGAGTGCGGTGAATGGAGTAGGCGGCTTCTTGGGTGTACCAAGACTGGTGGTCAGAGGTTCAGAAGATTGGTGTGCGGGTATCGTAGGTGGTTGTAGTAGTGGGGCAGTGGATACTGGCTTCGGTACAGCAAGCTTAGAAGAACGCGCAGGAGTTGCGATTCGAGACTTTCTCTTGATAGGCACAGTTTTGGCACGCGGTGCCGGTTCACTTGGCGGCTGGACTGCTGGTTGTGATTCGGGCTCAGGAATGTCGACTTCCGTCTCGACAGTCTCTTCGAGCGGTTCCTCGGCAGATGTGAGGGGCACAAAGGGTTCCAAGGCTCTGGCAGACACCCTTGAAGTACGAGCTTTCGTCTTTGGCGGGTCATCGGGCGAGTCTGATTCAAACTCGCGTACGTGTGTCAGAGTCTCGTTCCATTGCACACTTCTGCGTACTTCTGGCTTGTCGCTTTGCACATTTTCGACTGCATCCACTTCAGCCAAATCCCCGGTCGAGTCCTCGGGTGAAACAATCTCATCTCCGACAACCAATAGCCTTGCTTGAGGCATGAGACTCTTGCCCTTGTTCTTGCGCGTGTTGGCTCGCGTTAGCAAAGCCAACTCCTGTGCTTCCGTTCTCTTCAGCGCAATGTGATCAGCTGCACTTCTAATGGCGATCTTGGCTGGCTTTTTCGGGGCAGCAGCTGGTGTGCGCGTACGCGTCGTCCTTCTCGGTGCTTTGGATCTAGTCGGTGTCGATGTTGGCACTTCAGGAATGGGATCGTCTTTGACAGGTTCGGGTTCTGGCTCGGCGTCTTGTACATCTGACATAAGATCTGAGGACAACAGAGGACTGGCTGGATCGAGATCGGTCAAGGCTTCGGGCTTGTCGGATGAAGCAAGGGCATGGCGCACAGCGTCCGAGTCTCTGCGATTCTCGAGGGATTCGCGTCTGTGAACGGGCATAGATCGTTTGCTTGCAGCGGCGCGGCTGAGGAAGGCATGGAGGATGGCAGTATCGTCTGATATCCTAGGCACTGAAACGGCGTCGGGGGTGTTAGTGTCCTCTGGGGGAGCTGACGAGGAGCGTAAGTCTTGGAGAGAGACGGGGTTGGCATGCTCGGTGTCAGTGTCATCAGAGAACGAGTGTCGTGGGTGCAAGGGGTCCGAAGCAGCATCGAGGCCCACGCACGGTTTCTTCTTCCGCGGGCCTGGAGATTTTGGAACAGTGGGTTGGGCGAGACGAGGTTGGGAGTGTAGGTGGTGGTATGGGGCCTTTGTCGCGCGTTGATAAAGACGAGTGATTGTGATGCGTGAAGGCTGCAGGTGAGCGGCGTCGGTGGGGTTCCACGAAAAATGCTTTGGACGCGACAAGACGGGGGCGGCGGGTGCAGAATGCGAACGAGCAGACGGCGACAGTGTCAAGGGAGGAGCAGACGCGTCGACATCCATAGTCGAGGTCAGCAGTTGTGCATACGAATAAAGATGAGGGTGGGGAAAGAAAGTGCGCGGCACGAGATACGAGGCAAGCAGCAGACGGGCACATGCAAGATGATGTTTGATGACAAGCACAACAAAGCCCGCCGTGCATACGGCAACGCCGCCTCGCTCGGTCACGCTCGGGGAAGGTGTGCCGACGCCAAGAGGGAGATTTCGAGAGGTGCTCGACTTGGTGCTTCTGGACATACACCAAGTGCATATCATTGTCGCCAGTAGCTCGTCATGGTCGTCAAGAATACCCAAGCTGTCGCAAAGGCCACCGCGCCCCGTCTGCCACCCCTCCACAAGCTGCGCGTCCGTAAGCCCGACCAGGCTGGTGCAAATCCTTGCATCGGTGTCATGTCCTCAGTCCTCGGTATCTTTGCGCGCATCCCTCTTCCATCTGTATACTGGTCTGACACACTCTCCCAGGATGCTGGGCTTCGTCTGGGTACACAGCTCAAGGATGTGCCGCTCTTGAGCAACAGCTACGCGCATGCATGGACGCCCCCGTATGTCTTTCTTTGCCGCCTCAATCCAATCCTCGACCACTTTGACTCTAATACTCTTGCAGAAAGCCGGACAAACCAAGAAGAGTTCCATCAACTACCATCTCTCGAGACTCTACCCGCAAATCATCGGCCCACACAAGCGAAAGTAGGCTCGAGTCGATCCTTCTTCATCTTCACGACTGCATCCCGGCATTACACGGCGTAACGGCGACAAGAATACTCCCTCTTGATCTTTGCTTCTCTTTCCAGGCGGCGTCCCGGAACTCTCTCTATCCAACAACTCTATCTTCGACATGTACAATTATTCTCAAAACTGCTCCTGACATCCAGGACCTTTCCTCCACAATCTATCTCTGTCCGGTCTTGATGCTCACACCATTATACATGCTCTGTGCTATCTCAAGACGTAGTCGAGATCTGAACACTGTGTGTACACATCAAGAGCAATTGTTGTGAAAGGGTCGCTAGACAAGCCCAGGCATAGCGGCATGCAAAGCTTCCTTGCCGCGGCTGTGTCGAAACGTGAAATGTTAAGCAATTACCTTCCTTGCCAGAATATCGGATTTTGAGCATAACTCGTGACACATGATTGTTCTGATCGTCGTCGTTGTTGATACTGCTGCCGCTGCTCCTCCGAGACTCAGACTCCCCGCATGATTGGCCAAAGCTTGGTGCTTCTAGACGTTTCTGCAACAATATTTCCTCGCTGTCCCGGTCTCCTGTCGCTCGACCATCATCTTGAATATCCATCGTCTGCCTGTCTGGTTGTTGCGCTTGCTATCTTCTTCTTTTCCTCCTGTTCCAATTTGCCCTACTGTTTGAGCAATGTAAGTCCGATGACTCTGCCTACATCCCGCGTCACCATTGTATGATGAGACACCAGCTGGCACCAGTCCTAGAAAGACTTGTACTCTTTTTGCTGCGGAATAGCTTGCGGGGACAACGTCCCTATCTCTGATACAGATACTCATTCACATCTCTCTATCCGTTTCTTGAGTCACGGTGCATTGGCTGACCTTTCCATGTTTAGACGCGCATAATCTACCCTCTGATTTCACAAAACCCTCCACGTCGCCGACATGGTTCTCCACAACCCCAACAACTGGCACTGGGTCAACAAGGATGTCTCAGGCTGGACCAAGGAATATCTGGAAAAAGACCTCGTCGGCATCAAGGCAGAGAAGGATGGTGCATCCGCTGAGATCTCAAAGCTACTGAGCCAGGAGGGCGATGTCGAGGTCGCACAACGCAAGGGCAAGGTCATCACCATCTTCGACCTCAAGTTGCAACTCGAGTACACTGGCAAGACAAAGGACGACGAGGATGTCAGCGGTACCATCACCATCCCTGAGGTTGCTCATGACACCGAAGAGGATGAGTACGTGGTGCGTGATTCCACACTCTTCACACGCTTCAGCCTTGTTGCTGACATCATGTCTAGTTCGAGATCGACATGTACTCTGAGTCTTCCTCCAAGACCCCCGTCAAGGACCTCGTCCGATCGCAAATTACCTCGCAACTTCGCGCTAGATTCCAGCAGCTGGGCCATGCCCTGATGGAAGCCCACGGCAAAGACATTCAGCACGCTGCTGGTCACAAGCCCGCCTTCACTCCCGCCAAAGTCTACTCGAGCTCATCTGTCAACAAGTCAAGCGACGACTCCAAGTCCTCGACTACCACCACTACCTCCAACGGTAAAGGCCCCGCCGTGAACGTGACCAGTCTCAGCGACCAGCAAGAGTTCCGTTGCGACGCTCCCATGCTTTTCCAAATTCTCACCGACCCTCAACGCATCGCTGCATTCACCCGCGCACCTCCGAAGGTCTTCGAGGGCGCTAGACCCGGCGGCAAGTTCGAGATCTTTGGCGGAAACGTCAGTGGAGAGTACGTCGAGCTCTCGGAACCTACAAAGATTGTCCAGAAGTGGCGTCTGGCTCAGTGGCCCCAGGGTCACTACAGCACTCTGAACATTGCCTTTGAGCAGAACAACGTCGACTCTGTCACCATCATGCGCGTCGACTGGGCTGGCGTGCCCGTCGGTGAAGAGGAGGCCACCAAGCGCAACTGGGAGAACTACTACGTTCGCTCGATGAAGCAGACATTCGGCATCGGCTCGATCCTGTGAGCAGAGTCAATCAGCTTTTCACAGAAATGCGACAAGAATTTTACGGGTACACGAAAGCATTTCAATCGGACTCCTTCGGTTCGTTCTCTTTGATTAGAGATACATTTAGGTTCGAGAATAATCATACAAAATTATACACATCAAGTCGTCTCAACTTTTAGACTCTTTTTCTCTTCAATCATTGACTGGGCGCAAACTTGAAGTCCTCGTTATGCACCCAGTTTCCGCGATCGTATTTGAACAGGGAGAGACCGAGGACGGTACCGTGGCATCCTTTCCATTCCTGTTGCACCTGCTCAAAAGCCTTTTGTACCTCCTTCTCATCATCGACCTTGTTCATGATGGTGTAATGCGCTGCAAACCCGCCAGCGTCTTGACGACTCAAGAAGTCCGCCCAAGCCGCCTTCAATTGCTGGTGGACTTGTCTAGCATCGTCACCACCAGAAGATTTAGGCAGGCCGATAGCGATGCCTTTGTTGAGTCGGAACGGTGTTGCGGCAAGGAGATGGAATTGCGAGGTCTTGCTCGAGATCTCCCTCAGAGTTGGCTTGATCGATTCCTCGAGCTGACTTCCGGGTAGTGCATGGAAGAGAGTGATGTGTGCTTCGAGTCTGTTCAACCGAGGAGGGAAGTACTTGTTTCGTGTCTCGGTCAAGGTGCGGTGGTGTTTGGCGTCTGTTAGAAGAGTCAAGACGTAGACTGCTTCTTCTGCAGATGATGTCTGCGGGATATATGAAGGCGACTGATTCCTTTTGTGGCTTGGTCCACCATGTCGGCTGCCTTGCTGCTCTCCAGAGGCATGCTGACGGTGATTTGACGAGGACTGGTTGGCGGGTGGTTTGTTGACCGGCTTTGGTTGCGGCTTTGGTATATCTGCGGACCCTGCAGCTGCAGAGTATGAAAGTCGAGTGTTTTGCGACATGATTGTTCGCGTCTGTCCGATTAACGTTCTTCGCTGAATGACCGAAAGACTGTACATGGTCGTCGAAACAATACTCGAGTTGACAAAAAGACTTTATAAACGTCCGTTGTCCATGACGTAGTAGCCGATCTCTGACGCATTGTCAGAAGCACTGTTGCCGGAACTCAGCTCTATAACCAGACGTCAAGAATACTTTGATATTCTCGTGAGGTCGAGACTGCTTTGTGTTTTCGATATGGCCGTAGTTTCAAGGCGATTGGGTTAAGACAGCCATTTCATGGTATTGCTGGGTACCAACCGCTTCAATGTTTCGATATGCATCACTTGGCCCTTGAGTTTGAGGTCTCTGACATCTGGTCGGTTTTTTGCAGTAGTGTCTATGCGTCTGGCATTTCCGCCGTAGACAATAGTGAAATCAGGCAGGTTTTCTGATTGAATGCTGGAAGATGCAGTTATCTTGCAGAACTATAGTCTTGAGGTCAGCACACAAATGGTACAGACATGTTTGTGAGTATAGACTGGTCACTAACCTTGCCTACGATTACGCCAGGTCCTAGAGTTGAGTTGGCCTCAACCGTGCTGCCAGTCCCTATCTTCTCGGCCTGCACAATTGATCCGCTCTCGACGCTGACACTTTCCTCGAGTTCGACCGTTGTTCCGGCGAAAGCTCCAGGGCTGTCACTCAAGCCAACAGTAGCCCGATCTTCAACCACACAATTCTTCCCTATGCGAACAGCTCCTGTGTTTGATACAATTTTTGCGAACGGGTGCAGTACCACGTTCTCACCAATCGAGACGGGATGCGTACCAACAATCACGGCCTTGTCGGAAATTATGGCTGACGGGTGAATTGAGCATGGCGGTTTGGGACCAGGAGCAGCTGAAGCCTGCCGACGGACGCTACCTGCACCAGAAGACATGGTAGATACCTAGTATGTTCGAGTTGAAGCGCAAGCAATTGTATCGATGAACAAACAAGGTGGTGGAGGAAGAGTGACACGTGCAGCGGAGATGTGGCTGTTGCCGAGAAATTTGAGGATGCTCAACTTCATGTCCCGGAGAGAAGCGACACAACTACACTTGCTAAACTGTCAATGTGTTGTCTTCGTACCTAGTCAGACGTGCGATACCCAGCTTTGACTCTGTCTGGGAATACATGCGGTTTGACACTGGACCAATCAAGTGCTTCCCGGTGTGAGATGCGCAGCTGTTTGTCTAGCACAGCAGCAATCAGAGACACAATAGGCTAGATATGCTAAGTAACCTGATGCCCGTAAGTGTACGTATCTGTATCAATGTAGGTCGATTCAATGAGTTAGGTGGCTCTTGTAGAGGAGGGCGCGAACCTACACAGTATGGTAACAGCAGGTACGATGCAGAGAGAGCCCTCAAATTCCCGTTCTTTCCCAAATCAACTTCGCTCGTTTGCAAAGAAAGAAAAAGACTGTTCCAGAGCCGAGCAGAAGTCTCGTGGTCATGGCGTGGTTTCCCATGTCTTGTTTGTATCGGCGTTGTTTATACCTACACCGACCAACACTCTTTTCATCGCACACCACTCGCGTATTGACAACGCGTCCACGTCGACACACCACTCCCAAGTGTAGATCGGCACGACTAAATCATGGTCAAATCCAACAAGTTCGACTACACAGGTGTAAGTTCGATGGCACGCACACGAGATAAAAGACCTGCGCACACGCTGACACGGCTTCCATGTAGCGCACATCATCGGGTCCGAAGCTGGGCAAGTCAATTGCGTCGGACCTTGAGAAACGTGCAGACAAGAAACAGCGCGAGGCCATCAGATCGTTGTCGTCGGCCCCTAGATTGTCATTGAGGTTGCCCGCCGCGGCCACGCGCACTCCCAGGAAGGATCGACTCAAGATCAAGGACAGAGAGCGCAATGACTGCGACAACGACGCAAAAGACAGCACCCTCCACAAGCTCGACCTGAAAGTGCCTGGCAAATCTCTGACTGATGAGGGCTTTGCTCTTCTCGCTGACGGTCTGCAAAACGCCTTCACCACATGTCGAGACTTGGCTCTGGTCGATCTCAACCTCTCCGACAACCATCTCACTACAAGGTCTCTGGCTCGCCTGGCCCCTCTTATCCAGGCCTCTCAATACACTCTGCAAACTCTCGATCTGTCGCACAACAACTTCCACGTCTCAACCGACAAGCAGGCAGAGGAATGGCAGTTGTTTCTCCAGTCATTCCGCAGCTGCATGACCCTGCGCAGGCTTGATCTCAGTGATAATCCTTCACTCGGATGCCGTGCGTTTGAGATTCTTGCCCGAGTCTACTCACGCGAGCCCGCTGTGGATCCCGAACCAGCCACCGGCAACCACTCTCTCATCACCTTACCTGACAGCTGCTCTATACTCAGCCACAGCAGTCTCGATGCCACCCACTCCACAAACACCAAGGATCCCAGCCTTTCGACATGTGCCAACGGAAAGACGCTCGCCGATGCTTGGCTGCTCAAGCACCGCTGTGGTCTTCGATCCATCCCATACTTGACCTTGACCAATGTTGGCTTGGACGATACGGGCGCCCTCTTCCTGTCCTACGTTTTAGAACAACACTATTATCCCATCCAACTTGTCACAGAGAACAACGCAACCGAGGCCTCGTCTTCTATCCGCACCTACCGTCAAGATGCCAACACCAAGGGCATTGATTGGGACAAGAATTCCGACTCCCTATCCAAAGACGGCCTTCACTTGCTCCAATGTGCTGAAAAGTTGAGAATGAAGATGCTTTTGGGGGATTCAGACAGCATGACAAGCTCGTTCATGTCGGCCGGCTTCCCAGACGCACCTGACACGTCCCCTAGAGCCGCATTCGGTGTCGGCCTGCGCCGTTCGAGCCTTCTTTCGGTTCAGTCCATGGACTACAGCATGTTTGACAAGTCCGACATTCAGAGTGCTCGCAAGAAGATTCAACGCAACACCATCGGACACGCTGGTTGTGAGAGTGTCGACCTGTGGCGTGCATCCCTAGCTGCCATCATTGCGTCCCGCAAGGTCTTTCTCCTGGCGCCCGTATTCAAGACGAACAACACCGCATGTTCGCTTCTCGAGGAGAACGAGCACAGTGTCGTGTCTAGTCAGAACAAGGATGGCCATGCTGACCAAGTTGACATCAACCAGCTGATTGACGTGCCTGTCACCGATGAACGTTTCAAACATTCTCTGAGCTCGCTGTCGCTCCACTCGGGCCCACTGGACTTCGAAGACGGCCAATCCAAGCGTTCATATGCCGCCACTCTTATGACAACTTCGCCAGTGGATTCCATGAGCCCTGAGCCGACCACTCCTGACGGCATTCCAGTCTCGCACACCAAGATTCTTCGAACCAGCGCCTCGTCTCGTGGCCACTCTACAAGTTTCGGAGGAAATAGCTCGGACGGTAGCCAGAAATCCGAAGGATTTGTCAACGCCGAGGGATACGTGCGATTCCAGCAAAACAGAATGGAAAAGTTGAAGGCTTACCACAAGGGTGAGAGCGATGGCTACAGAGATGTCAGTCTGCGTTGTCACCTTCCTCTCCCAGTGTGCCTCGAGATCCTCAGACTCAGCATGAGCCCTGTCGATCTCAGTCACCTTGGCGTAGACAAGCAAAAGAAGGCGTTCACGTGGGGCCAGAAGAGGGAGACTCTGAAGAGCGGACACGACTGGAGAATGAAGGACGAGAGTGCCCAACTTCTGATGCTCCTTTCGGGTGCAGGTTGCGTCGAGTATTGAGCCTCAGCAACAGATGGAAAGGCGGATTATCCCAGCAGCAGACGAAAATGCAGATCGAATAGCTCGTAGGCTCAAAGGTGCTTTTACACCCAAGCATTAAACAATGATAGAAAGAACATTCCTTGTACAGAGCTAGTCGTATCGTAGATATCACACATCCATCAACGAGTCTCGGTGCTGTGCTTTGGTGTTTTCAAGAGTGTTTCGAGCAAAATGGTCATCACATGCTTATCGGTGACGTATGTGCATATGGACTTTTTCGTCTCTTCCGGCGGCGACCTGTCTTCACCTTGACAAAGACATCCATCATACGGTCTCACGGCATATCGAAATTTACATTCGCTACAATCACGCTAGCAACCATAGTCATGGTTCGAAAATCTTACAAGGCAGTCGAAACAGGCGACGACAGCACAACCGTCACGGCTCCAGCCTCCGAGGTCGAGGCACCTTTGACATTCAGCGATGGACTACCACTACCGCAGGTCATGGTTTTCGACTTGGACTATACGCTCTGGCCTTTCTGGGTGGATACACACGTCACTGGCCCATTGAAACCTACCAAAGACGGCTTGGTGGTGAAAGATCGCTACAACGACTCGTACGGGTTTTACCCAGACGTTGCTGGTATCTTGGTCGCAGTACGTTCTTTTATGACAACTACCAGACACACGTGGGAATATCAGCTTAACTCGTTCCATGTCCAGATCAAAGAGAAGAACCTGACACTGTGCGCGGCATCGCGGACCCAAGCACCAGAACTCGCTCGCGAAATGCTATCCTACCTCCTCGTCCCTTCCTCACCGACATCCCCTGCATCTTCGCCAAAAGCTCTGTCTGTTTTCGATGAATTGGAGATTTACCCTGGCGACAAGAAAACACATTTTTCGCGTATACACAAGAGGACGAACATCCCGTACGAGGAAATGCTGTTTTTCGATGACGAGTCGAGGAATAAGAATGTGGAGACTTTGGGGGTCACGATGAAGTTGGTAAGAGACGGTGTGTCGAGGAAGGAAGTTGATGCTGGTGTCAAGCTATGGAGGGAGAGGAATCACAGGTTGAAGAAGGAGGATTCATGATTTGAAACTCTATACGGCCACCGCAAGCACCAGCTATGAGCGTGCATTGCGAACGAATACATCTTGGACCGCAGACAACTGTGCATGTGTGTCATGTTCGCTTCTATTCTCCATCTATATTGCAAGACGACTACTTTTTGCTGAACCACTCCCTCCAAAGATCTCGGAAGCCAAACTGCGGACGCTGTTCGTCATACACCTTACTAGCAGGGCCAGCCAGATTGCCCAGAATCCTACCAGGGCTATTGCTAGAAGTATTTTCAAACCTTGGCTTCGGTGCCACAGCACGCTCCTGAATAGCGCCGGCTACTTGAGGCGCGACTTCCGCATAACATGCATTCAACTCGCGGTCCAGGAAAAAGTAAGGTCGCTGGGCCAGAGCTGGACACATGAGGTTGTATGAGCGTGTCAGCTGGTTGAGGTTGTCGATGGCGGCTTGATGGTAAGCTCTCTCGGTGCGTAGCCAATCTGCATCCCTAAATGGTGCGACTTTTGGTGCAGGAGCCTTTGGTTCTTCTACTACAGTTTCCAGAGGTGCGTCGACGGATACCTGTAGCTCACTCTCTTTCGACAACGGCTGCGCCGCCTCGTCTATGGGAGTCTCGGTGATTGTGATATGCTGCGCATCTTTGGTGGTTGCAGTGCCAGATGCTTTAATCTCGCCATCTACCTTCATTTGAGTCAGATGACCGGCTTTGTCGATGGTGTTGATCTTCTCGGTGCGTTTCTTTGCAGGCGGGTTTTCAATGGCTTCTGCGCGTGCGTATTCTTCAGCGAGTACCAGTTGGCTTTCCAGAGATCCTCCTCTGCTGGCGATAGACCTCGCAACATGTCTCCGCCAATCGGCACGCAGACGAGCTCTGAAGCGATTGGAACTGCTGACGATATCTTGTTGCTTTTCGATCCAGGGGGGCACAATGTCTTGTCGCTGGATCATACGGTTGAGCATGTACTCGGTGGTGTTGATAAAAGGACTGCTAGCATTGTAGTCACGCTCGATAGCCTTTCCTCTGGGCAAATTCTTGAATTTTCCTCGAGCAATTGCATCCTCTATGCGCTCATTGGCAAGAGACTCCAAACCTTTCAGCGTCACGGGTGCAGAGCGCGCGGTGGGCGTGAAGCGTTCCTTCAACTCTTTGCGAAACTTTTCTCGTTCGTCATCGGGCAGCTCCTTCATTTCGGCATAGATTGATGTCTTGTCGCGTGCATTCGCCAGCCGCATCCCCGAAGACGGAGCGTTCTTTGGTCTACCGGTGTCGATCTTGCTTGGAGGTCCGCGAGACGCTCCTCCTGAAGATACACGAACGGGCTTCGGAGGCTTGTAGGAATCGTTGAGCATGCGAAGCGATGCATCATGCACGCTCTCGGTGCCAGACCACGGAGTCGCGCCAGCTACATCTCTGCTGTGACGACTTGCACTGCTGGGCATTTCTGCCTGGGATATGGCACCGGCGTGTTCGTTTCGGAAAGAAGCTGTAGCAATCCGCTCGAGTAGGTCCTGCTTAAGGCTTTCGTCAAAGCCGGCTTCTTCCACGGCTCTACGAGCACTTCGGCCGCCTGACTCGAGTCCTTCTTCGCTCAATGCAGCCAGTCGGCGGGACATGGCTCCTTGTTCCTTCTCTTGTTCTTTTGCTTCATGATTCGATTGAGCATCAGTGGGTGGCGTCGAAAGACGGCGGACCTGTTGGGTGTTTCGGGCAACCCGCTGAGCAAATCCCGGTCGCATACATCGCGAACAGACAGGCAGGGCTGAGGACGGCAATGGTGGCATAGGCTGGTGGTGTGAACGTGGATAGAATGTGGCAATGACGAGTTCGTCATTCTTATTATACCATCGGCGATAGAAGGATATCTCCGAACTTTGCGCTGATCACAGGGTTGTACCATCGACCACAACTTTTGGGCCTGCATCCTGGAGGTTTTTGCTTCATAGATAATGCTTCTTCGGTGATTGAACGGGTGGAAAATATAGACGTAGTAGATATCTCCGTACGTGGTACGTACACCGAATTGCAGATGACAGCGATACATCCTTAAAGAATACTTCTGAAGTCTTGAGCAAACCCATCGAGACAGATTTTTCTCCTTCATGCACCAAGCATGGACACTCGCGAACGATGTCTACTACTCAAGCCCGTACAAAACCACAGCACAGGAGTGATACTATCGTGTCATCTTCCCTAACATGGGTAATTTGTAGAGCAGCATCATCTTTGATCATGATGGTCCAGCAGCATGATTCACATTAATCATGATCGAAGAGCAGCATGACACTCTCGGGCCGTGGACTCCGCAACCGAGAAGACGGGACCCTTGATCCAAGATGACTTCATCGCCCCATTGTTTGTGCCGAGCTGCGATCAGCAAGAAATAGAAATTTCCAAAGTCCAGATCATCGATCACTCTTCTGTTGAAAATGCCGACTCGGCCTTTCACACATGCTGTAAACAGAGTGAGAGGTTTCCCAGATAGGACAGGGAATAGAGATAAACAATATGTACAACAAATTTTATTTCTTTCTACAGGCTTTACTTGTGTGGAGTCAAAAGATACCTGGAAAGTAGCATTCATAAACCCATAAATGATTAAGATAGTCATCCTGTTTCAAGTGATGATAAGGCGATTGACCTCCATCACGTTCCAAAAAGCAGGCTGTGTCTTGTTTCGTACATCCTCATCAAATTCTTGATGTGATGATTTAGAGCTGGTTGGCGGTGTTGAAGTCCTTGAGGGCGACGGCGACACGCTTGGTCATGGTCTTCTCACCTTCACGGACCCAGACGCGAGGGTCGTAGTACTAGAGGAAGAGAATGTTAGCATTGGCTCGAAGGAACAATTGAATGATAAGATGTGAGTTGTAGCGTACCTTCTTGTTGGGCTTGTCAGCACCGTCGGGGTTGCCGACCTGGCTGCTGAGGTAGTCCTTCTTGCCGACCATGTAGTCGCGGATGCCCTCAGTGTAGGCGTACTGGAGATCAGTGTCGAGGTTGACCTTGCAGACACCGTAGGAGATGGCCTCCTGGAACTCCTCGACGGAGGAACCGGAACCACCGTGGAAGACGAGGAAGACGGGCTTGTCATCCTTGGAGCCAGTCTTCTCCTGGACGTACTTCTGGTGCTTGGAGAGGAGACCGGGCTGGAGCTTGACGTTACCGGGCTTGTAGACACCGTGGACGTTACCGAAGCCAGCGGCGATGGAGAAGAAGGGCGAGACCTCGGAGAGGGTCTTGTAGATCTCGTAGATGTCCTCGGGCTGGGTGTAGAGGGAGTTGTTGTCAACATCCTCGTTGTTGACACCATCCTCCTCACCACCGGTGATACCGATCTCCATCTCGAGCCACTGCTTCATGGGGGCAGCACGCTCAAGGTACTTCTTGGTGGTCTGGATGTTGTAGTCAACCTCCTCCTCAGACAAGTCAATCATGTGGGAAGAGAAACTGGACAGTTATTAGACGACGTCACAAGATCAGCAATGGATGGCCAAACTCACAGAGGGGTGCCGTTCTTCTTGAAGAAGGCCTCATCGGCCTCCATCATGCCGTCGAGCCATGGGAGGAGCTTCTTGGCGCAGTGGTCGGTGTGAAGAACAACGGGGATACCGTAGGCGGGGGCAACGGCGCGGATGTAGTGAGCGGCAGCAATGGAACCGGCGATGGAAGCCTCCTGGTTCTTGTTGTCGACACCCTTACCGGCGAAGTAGGCGGCACCACCCTGAGAGACCTGTTGTCGCTGTGAGTTGGCTGTCTTCTGCTCTGTTCACTGTGATACTCCTTACCTGGAGGATGATGGGGGCCTTGTTGTCGCGGGCAGCCTCGAGCGAGGCAACGACGGTGGAGGAAGAAGTGCAGTTCTGCAAGAAGTTCAGTAAATGATCAATTCATCGAGATTGATCTTCACATACGATGGCAGGGATGGCGAACTTCTTCTCCTGGGCGTACTTGAAGAGCTACAATCGGAGAGGTTAGCGAAGGTTCTGTCAAGCCTTTTAACTTGCAAGGTAGCTTACGGTCTTGACGTCCTCGCCGTAGATGACACCGGACTTCTTGAGAACTTCTTGGGCAGACATTTTGAATAGATGTGTATAGAGAGTTGTTTCTTGTGGAATTGAAGAAAGATGAAGATGAAGAAGATCGAGCGAGGAGTGTTGAGCTGAAGATTAAGAGGACTCAATTAGCGGGGCACTCTGCATCATACTGTCCCGCACGGGCCCGAGGGGCATGAGTTTGGTTGCATCACACGTTTGACAACAAGACGAGTAACACCGAGGTCCGCCGACGGAGGAAATCGGAATCCAGGCGCTCTTGACTGCTTGCGCTGTGCGGTGCTGCCACAGAAAACGCACGAATGAGCATTCGTCACTTACCATGCGTCCGGATAAATCAACTGTCAACCTCCAGAATGTTGCGTCTCGTTTGAGCTTCGAGAGCTCTCTACAGCTTCGACAACGCGCAGAAGCGGTCAGCCCTCCTTCCTCAGCAAACCAGCCAGAGCTTGGACGTCGCACACAAGTCAGGCTTAGAAACACCGGTCTCCGGTCCCAACAGTTCACTTGCCATCTCGTGCCAAACCTACGAGCTCTGTGAGCCTCACCGAAGCCGGTGACAGTTCTATTTGCAGGGTATGACCATCCGTGATAAATGCATTATGGTGGAGCAGAAGCCAGCCCTACAACCACGTGTAGGACATACAACGATCACCAGCACAGGACCTTGATTCATATTGGAACAATCATTTGATGAGCAATGTTATCGATACGGAGCCTCTGCGAGCAGCTTGTATAGAGCGACAAACCATCTTAATCGACCCGTGCCTCCATCTGTAATGTACATACTGAATTACAGCTATGAAATACCATGATGCATAGTCTTTCCCCACTTCTGATGTCAGTTTCTTTCCGAGGAGCCAGTAGTAGGGTCAACAACAGAGGGGTCTTCGTCCCGAGCTCTTTGCGGTATCAGTCGAAGAGAAGACATGATACGTGAACAGAAAGATACCACACGGTAAGCCTTCATCAACCATCGAGCGTGAAGTTGCAGATACCGGCAGCGAGGTTCGCAAGAACAGTAGAGACTTGAGCTCTGGTGCTGGCTGCAATAGTCTTGTCACCTCCTTCGAGCCAACATCCGTTCGTCCCGTCCCAGAGATTGCCAAGCTTACAGGACACCAAGACGTGAAGAGAGATTGTTGGTTCTGCGAAAAGCGACATCCAGGATTCAGATTGTCCATACATGGTTGTCCTCAGGCGGACGTCATACAGTGACAGGCGTTGAATCGTTTGGCCAGAAGCAACCAGCAATTTGTATATATAGCTGCCGTTTGTGTCGCAATCTTCCAAGACAAGCTCGCGGAGGTTCATCGAGTATCCCTACTGCAGATGGCGCTGCCATGCCCAAGTGCCAGCATTCAAAACTTCCAGGCGCTTGTCGAACTTGTCGACGAAGATGTGGCCTAAGCTGCTAGAATCCGATCCTGTCATACCTAATTTGATGCTCAGACCGCTAAACTGATTGTGGCCCACAGCGCCGAATCGTAAGTCACGCTGGATAGCCAAACTCCAGTCGTCCGTGACCGAAGGGAACCTACGCTTTTGTGAAGCGCTCTGAAGGTCTGCGACAAAATCTCCAAGAGGCATTCGAGCGTGAACAGCAGCACCAAGTACTTTCTCCCGGAAGAACCTGAGCGTGTGGCGAAGGACCACACGATGTCTACGCCGGTAGTTGCGACATTTACGCACCTGACGCAGTCCGAGAGAGATGGTGTTTCCGATGCTAGCGAGATTCTGGAACGCTTGTACAAGCAGATCGCGGTGCTCGCCAGGATAGACCTTGCCACCATGACCTATAACGATAGTCTTGATGTGGCGAGCGAAGGTCGGCTGCTCAGTGATCTTGACCAGAGCCTCGAGTCCTTTGGTTGACATGTCGTAGGCGCGACTCTTGAAGAAGGTCACTTCGAAACGGTCGGCTGTGACGGAGTGAAAGGTCCTGTCCGAGAGCCGGAGATTTAGAACGTCCTCGTCAGCGACGTAGCTAACGATCTCGTACAGGATCTCGTTGGGGAGATGGGGTACGTGCGTGTCGGTCATGATCGCAGTGTCTGGTGATGAGGGTAAATGGTGTGTTGATGGGGGGTCGGTCATGTTGGTGGATGACCGCAACGTATGAAGGATGACCACGGAGGTCAGGTGGCAGATGAACGCAAGTTGCGGTTTAGGGGAGCAAAGAGAAAACCAGACTCTCGTCGTGAGGAAGACTTCTTCAGGAAGGGGCGAGGCAACAAGGGAGAGCAGGATTGAAGAGTGAAGGAACGATCGGAAAGTGATAGCTGACAAGCGCGGTGCAGACTGAAGCCGACCAAGCTCTTTTCAAGACTTACGGGCTCTACATGTGAGAGCTTGTGCATCTTGACAGGCAACTGTAGACTGATCTGATTTGATCACTCTTACGGAAATGCACTCGGCGAGCGTTATGGGATCCGTCTACTGACCTTCTTACGACATAATCTAGACTATAACCATTGCACATGAAACGCTACCTTTGTCGGATGTAAGACTACATTAGAATTGTTCATTGCAGGAAGAGGAAAGAGGTAGTAGGAAGAGGACGAGTGAAGGTAGTTGCGAGCTTGGCAAGCAAACCAAGCAAACTCGAATCGCGTTGGATCGAAGAACGAATGTAAGGACTCCAGCCTTTGACCTTCGCAATTGGCATCACATTTCGCCAAACCAACTCAAGATGTTGTGTGCAAGTACGTGATAGCATTTAGTCGATACGAAGATGTTCGCTAACAATTGTTACAGTCTCAGGAGAGGCCCCCCAGCAGCCTGTTGCGTCGCGCAAGAGCGGTATTATCTCACCACGAATTGCGACAAGGTTGCGCCAAATCTAACACCGTGACCAGGCAACGTCTTCGAAAGAAGATTGATCGAAACATACATCTCCGAGAACGGCACGGATCCGGTGACTGGAGAGGACCTCACAGTCGAGGACCTGGTCGAGCTCAAACAAGCTCGCGTAGTTCGCCCTAGACCCCCGACCTTGACCTCGATCCCCGCTCTTCTTTCCACTTTCCAGAACGAATGGGATGCCCTCATCCTCGAGACATATCAGCTCAAGCAGCAACTGGCCGAGACCCGCCAGGAACTCAGTACCGCCCTCTACTACAGCGACTCCGCCGAGAAAGTTATCGCACGTCTACAAAAAGAGAGAGATGAAGCTAGAGATGCTTTGGCCAGAATCTCCGTTACTTCGACTTCGAATGGGGCAAATGGAGATGCTATGCAGGTGGATGGACAAGGCTTGCCCAAGGCCATTGTCGCAAAGATTGAGCAAACACAGACAGAGTATGTTTAATCGCGGAAGATCCGTGCTTGTGTACCTGCTAACGTAATGCTATCAGATTGTCGTCAACTCGACGAAAGCGCCCGACACCTGAGGGCTGGGCAACCCCCGATTCTCTGCAGGCCATGCAATCCACCCAGAACTCGGAGCCCTTGTACCCTGGAGGCCGCTCGATTGCTGTCAACGAGACAGGCGACTTGGCACTTGTTGGAGGAAGCGACGGCGTGGTTGGTGTCTACTCAGTATCACAAAGGCAGGTTGTGCAGACATTGAAGTGTGGTGGTGGTTCTGTTACCGATGCTGTCTGGTGCGGCAACAAGCCTGTGGTTGCCCTCTCGACTGGAGCGATCAAGGTGTTCGACAACGAAGCCGAGGTTGCTAGCTTTGACCGCCATGCAGGTGCAGTCAGTGCAGTCGCTCTGCACCCATGCGGAGACATCCTGGCATCGGTCGGCGTGGACAAGAGCTACGTTCTCTATGATCTGCAGTCGCTTCAAACCATCACCCAGGTCTCTACTGATTCCGGTACGTTTACTTGTTTGAAGGAGAAGAAGCAGTTACTAATTTCGCCCAGAACTCACCACTGCTGCTTTCCACCCCGACGGTCACCTGTTCGCAGCCGGCAGCAGCAAGGGAACGATCAAGCTCTTCGATGTCAAGACGTCAGAGAACGTGGCCAACTTCGATTCAACCTTCGGACAATCACCTCTTCAGACAGTATCCTTTTCAGAGAACGGCACATGGCTTGCGTCGGCAGTACAAGGCCAGACCAGTGTTAGTGTCTGGGACTTGCGCAAGATGGCAGAGATCAAGGCGATCGACTTGGGCACAGTCGTGACAGGAGTCAGCTGGGACTACACTGGACAGTACCTCGCAGCATGCGGACAAGGATTTGTGGCAGTTGAGCACTACTCAAAGGGCTCGAAGAGTTGGTCAGAGCTGGTTAGAAGGGCACTGAACGCAGTTGATGTGAAATGGGGACCCAAGGCACAGAGCATTGTTGCATTGGCGACCGATGGTAGCGTCAGCGTCTTGTCGTCGTAAAGGATGGGGATGGGATCAATGTCGATATGTCTCAAAAGCAGGTATTTAAACAAGGAGACAATAGCTAAAAGACCAAAAATGGCATTGACAGCTAGAGGTTAAGATGGAGGGAATGTCCAAGAGAGACTCTACAGCAGAACAACGTCCTTAGCTTCAGAAATCCTTGTCAACGGTACTGTCTCCCAAGGGTTTATATGTTTACTAGCAGGCATGACTGCACGAGCATATCACATGCGAGTTCCGAAATGTGTTGTCGGAGATAGACATGCGTTCTCACACCAAGGCGGCGAACTCAGGTCACCAAACAAAGCCATGCATCGTCACATCTCCCCACAGCAGCAGCAGCCATTCACGCATCCATCAACGTCCATGCTGGACTGTGAATGGGTTTCTTTCACACCTTCCTTGGTTCACCGACTATTTCCTATTGCCACCGACCGCTCAGCACCTGCGAGTTTGGTGGTCCAGCACCTTCCATCAACCGTCTTTTGTCCCCTCAGCTGCTAGCCGCGCAGCATGGACGGCGGCCGAAGAAGACCTCCATTTGACTTTCAATTCGACCGCTCAGGTAGCGACAAGGTGCGATACCATAAGCTGCAATTTTGTCACGATCTATACTAACCTCGTACCCAGCGCTCCTACACCCGCACCCAGATGGATTCACACAGTCGCTCATCGCCCTCGCCGCTCTTTGTCCGCCAAAACTCCAACTCTCCACATCGCCGCGCTCCTCCGCCCAACCCCCGCCTCACTCTACCTCTGCCTGTACCTCTGCCTTCGCTACCGCCTCACTTTCCGAGAGATGGATACGACTATCGCCGACCAGTATCCTCTAGTCGTTCAAGCACCTCGGCCAACCATGTGATCGACTTGACGTCCGACGACGAATCTACCGCTGCTTCTGCAGTTGCTCCCACACCGCTCCCACAAGCGCAACCACAGCCACGACCCCAACCCAACATGGCCTCCGTACCCTTGCCACGCTTCGGACGAGAGATCATAGACTTGTCTGCAGACACCAGCCCCGTACAGCACACCCATCCTCAGCATGCGCGAACATCATCAAGTCCCGAGGTCCAGTTCGTCTCGAGCAGACAACGATCACGCACAGAACAACGTCCCGCACAACCTCCTCCTTTCCTGGATCCCTACCCCGAACAGCGCCGTCCCGTTCAAGAACTGCTTCTCGACGATTCGGAAGATGATATCATCATTGCAGGTGAACGCAGCGGCGTCAACTTACTGGCTCCGCTTGGTGCACACGGGAGACCGGAGCTCCGCACGCTAGCTCAGAGGATATACGAAGGGTCTCGTGTCTCAGGCCCAGTCCGAGCTGCATATGCTGCTATGATGCGTATGCCAGACCTCTTTGGGACTGTAAACAACAATGGCGACAACACCCGTCCTAATCACATCTTGGGTATCGGTGGGCCGGCGTTCATGAACTATGAAACTGTTGCTTTCGATTATCTGAGAAACGGTGACGATGTTCAATTACCCGCACCGAAATTCGACCCGCCTCCACCCGCGCCAGAAGGATTTACTAGGGATCCAACCGAGGAAGACACAATCGTGTGTCCGAATTGCGAAGAAGAGCTGGCAGTTGGCGAAAGCGAAGAAAAACGACAAGTTTGGGTGGTCAAGGCATGCGGTCATGTAAGCGACATTCTGTCGAAATCGGACAGCTTGAGGAAAGTCACTGACATAGCATCTCAGGTCTACTGCGGTACATGCATGAACAATCGCAAGAGGAAGACTAGCACCAAAGGAACCAAAGGAAAAGAGCGGGCAGACGAAGCGGAATTACCGCCACGCTTCGCACTCTGTAAAGCGGACAACTGCAACCTTCGCGTATCCCACAAGAGCGACGTGATGCAGATCTTCCTTTGAGCTGCTTATCTTCTGGTGTATTCAACTTTCTCGAAGCTCTTAGTTGCCCAAGGCCATGTCGTTGGAGCGTGGAGTATTGCAGCAGTTATGGAAATGAGGGCATGTATTTTTCGGGTGTATATCATGGGCACCACTATGTGTTCTATGGGCAGGTGGACACAATCATGTCTTGAAGCATGCATAGCGACGGCGTTATTTCATAATCTTTAAAGGGGAGAAGGAGCAGAGGAAGAAGGTCTCCTCAAGGCGTATGTCAGTGGCTTTCGGCGCTCATCTTGCTAGAGAGGATACTCAAGAGACGAATCCTTCGTTCAATCGTATCTTCATCAAAGCAGTGTGAGAGATACAATGCATTGAGGTCCAAAAACAAAGGCATTGTTCTTTGGTGTCTACAGTACAAATGACGGCGGAGCGTTCCGCAGTCAAACAGCGATCGGCGCAAGTCTCGAGCTCCTGCCTCAGGGTCCAATCTCCAATCTCCAATTCCAATTCCACTCTGGCCAGTTTCAATCTCTCACCTTTCCAATTACTTCCACAACCATGGCCGACAGACCTCAACAACCCGTGCGCGTAGCCCGCGAACGCAAATCCTCGCCTGTCAAAATCGGATACCTCGTTCTTTACAATGCCGTCTCGACCATTCTCTGGGCTACCATCTTAGGACGCGTGTTGTTGGTCGCAAATGTGCATGGCACGAAGATGGTTTTCCCTGCTGTGGGCGAGTTTGCAAAGTGGACTCAGACGTTGGCGTTGCTGGAGGTTGTGCATGCTGCTGTTGGTGAGTTTCAACCCTCTTTTTTGGGATTGTTGGCCGAAAGAGATGGAATGGGACGAGTAGGGAGATGAGAGTTATGGTGGTCCAAAAGAGACGGATGGATCGAGAATGCACATAGACCATCGAGGAAGATCGAGAGACAGATACTGGATCACTAGACGACGGAACACACAGCTAATCCTTTCTCTCAGGCATCGTCCGCGCACCCCTCTTCACAACCCTCATGCAAGTCGCCAGCCGTATTCTCCTCATCTGGGGCATCGTCCACCCCTTCCCCAACACTGTCGCCTTTTCTCCCGTCTACAGTTCCATGCTCATCGCCTGGTCCGTCACCGAAGTCATCCGCTACTCCTACTTTGCCATCAATCTGTCCACTGGCAGTGTCCCTGGACTTTGGCTGTGGTTGAGATATAACACCTTCTTTGTCCTGTATCCCCTGGGTATTAGCAGTGAGTGTTGGTTGGTTTGGTTGGCTGCCACTGGACCCGCCAAGCAGTATACTGGTGTTAGAGAGGGTTTGTTTGCTATTTTGTTGATCTATATTCCCGGTAAGTGGCCGAAGCATCCTGATGAGTTTCGGGAGAGAAGAGGGCTAACGGAGTATTTGACTGCAGGCTCGTACATTCTGTTCACGCATATGATGGCTCAGCGCCGCAAGGTCATGCGCGGAAGCCACGCAAAGATCACTTGAGGAGATCAATCACGCCATGGACGCTGTGTTTACACGCGTGGGCTCTTTACTCTGGCGAGACTCTTGGAGGACAACCTTGTCTTCCCAAAGGATACATGCTATGCCTCTTACAAGCAGAGATAGCCCAAGCCATCCGCACTCTGGAGCCCATTGAATCTACTCATAATCACTGGCCCCAATTGAAGAACCCTCAGAGCAGACCAGCACAGAATCCGAACAAACGCTCATCTGTAGATGATTTTGGACAAACAAGAGCATGATCAAAAGTGAAAGGAAGAGCAAAAGTCGATAACTGTAAAAAGATGAATTGTAATACTACATCATACAAATCATTCACATTTCTCACAGTGGCACAGAGGAGAAAGCGCAGCGGAAGATACAATGCTGAGAAGCAAGTCGATCTCTACGGATCTTTGATATGGTCTATCACATTTACGCCGCGCTATGCCATCAAGCCCATCCAGAACAACAACAAGAACATTCAGATACATGCACATGACACCCGAATCAAACCATACTCTTCGCATCGAAGCACTTTTCCCCATCCCCACGCACCTCAACCACCTCCTCCACCTCTTCCTCTTCGGTAGCTTTCACACCACTCGCTTCACCATCATCGTGAACAGTAAAATTGACAGCGCCAATGCCACGAGCAGCCAACGCTTCTTCGATTGCCGAAATGCTGTTCAAAAGCTGATCATCAACCACAGCAGGCACTCTAGGAACCTCGGGTACAACTTCGGTCTCTGTGATCTCAACCATTGGTGCCATGTAAGAGTGTCTGAGTTGAGACTTGCGCTTTGAGGCACGTTTGGACTCGACATTGGAGGTTGCCGTTGACTTTTTCTCGTTTGTCACGTCTTCTTCCTCTTCCTCTTCTTGAATGGTGTGTGATGAAGAGCGCACCAGGGCTGGATGAGTGTTGGATAATCCGGAGACACTCTTGGGCGGGAAAACTTCAGTGGTGCTCTTGGACGCGGGTACGTCGTCGATGACGGTTGCAGCGCCGACGCTAACACGGCGACCATCAACGATGATGGAAGGTCTGCGCGCTTCAAAGGGAGCAGGTGCTTCGCCAGCTTTGACCACACTGATCGAAGCTCTGCGCACAGGCTTCTCGATGAGCTCTTCTTCCTCTTCCTCGTCTTCTTCCGTGATGGTGATATCAGGATTGCTGAAACGCTGTCCCATGGCTGTAATGGTCATCCTACGGCCACCAGCTGCACCACCAGGAACGTCGACTTGCGAACCAATGGCAGTAACGCTCATACGGCGACCCCCCATAGGCAAGACTGGGCCCTCGTCATCATCAACGTCCTCTTCCTCGAGCTGCAAAACAACATTGATAGCCTTGTCATCTTCAATGATCTTGGCATGGCGAGTTGCGAAGTAAGTCGCGTACTTGTAGATGGCATAGTAGCAACTTGCGACATTGACGAAAGTCAAGACGAGCTTGTAGGGCATATAGTACAGCCAAACACACTTCTGCGGCACCTTCTCATTCTTGCGTCGAAGGTGAATCTCGTTGAAGATGATAGCGTTGCCCATGTAGAGGACAAAGGTAAGTGCCATGAGCTCGAAGAAGAATTGTGGGCGGATGGCGAGAGAGACAGGGACGACGATGGGTGTAGCGAGATATAGCAGCGTCTCGTAAATCTCCTGGAAGACAAACAACTTGGTGCCGAGTTCCCACCAACCCAGCTCCCACGAAAACAGAATGTAATGCAGATTGTAGTACATTCCATTGACGAAGAAGAAGTTCCAGCGGAGAAAGCGTTGCTTGAAGACAGTCATTTCACCAAAGCCACCCCTTTCGCCGCCAGAGCTGAAGAAGACGGCGTCAGGAGTCTCGGTTTCGATAAAGACAGAGGTTGCCATCTGAGTGCGACATCCAAGTTGACGAGCAACATGCCCGAAGAACCAGTCCTCAGACACGCTGAATCCAGGATGCTTGTTGAAAGTCTTGATAAGGAAGTCTCTGTCCCATAGAGAAATGGCACCATGTGGGAAGGTCGCACTGCCAATCTTGCCAGCAAGTGCGCGTTGGATGCCAGAAATTTTATATTCCAGATCTTGTGCTTGCTGGCAGAGCGTTCCTTTTGAAGAGTTGGGACCAACGGACTTGATGGTGTAGCCCATGCACATGACTTTTCCCTTCAGTCGATCGGAGACGATGGGAAAGTTGGGCGGTAAAGCGCAGTCGTCGTCGATAAGCAAGACATTCTTGAAATCCTTTGCAGCATAGCAGCCAACGAATTGTGCAACAATCTTGCTACCGACAGGACTCCAGATATGGTTGACGCCGTATTGAGTACAAATCTCTTCGGTGTTATCTAGAGGGACCGGACTGTTGCCTATGAGGACATTAGTGAGAAGCCCACACGCACGCGAAATGCAACTTACCATTAGCAACGACGAAAATTTGCGATGGCGGAAAGACTTTCGTGGCAGCTTCCAAGGTTGGACCAATCAATGTAGCAGCTTTGTAGCAGGGGATCATCAGAGCAGTGTCGGCGATATTAGGAGTTTTGGTAGCGTCGATTGGCTCTTCAGGCATCGGCGGGTCGGGCTCGAACAAAACGAAGAGCGGAGAGTATGCGTAGCTGGATAGGCAAGTCAGTGTCGGTCTTCGTCATGTGCCCCCTTGCACTAAGCAAGGTGGAAAGAGCGAACGATGACTTACGCAACGGCAACTGCGATGATAATCGACCAAGAACCATTAAGATTAAGCTTGTACTTGAACGCCAAGTACAGGCTCAAATACGTCCCCTTCCAGAGGGGCTCTCCGATGAGTAGAAAATAGACCAGAACCACCAGCATGAAATAAAAAGAATATTCAAAGACGAGTTGCACCCAGCGCTTTCGTCGGATTTCGAGTTGTCGTTTCTTTGCATTTTCGTACACGTCCCACATGCTGCTTCGGCGAACCTTTTTGCGTACGTTCTGCATGGTATCCTGGAAGACGGATCCTGCTCTCTGGAATACTGAAGGTCTTCTTTGTCCAGCTTGGGACAGATGCCTATCTGCAGTGTTGTTGCCCCACATGCTGGGTCTCCGTGTGCTCGAATTGTTGTTAGTAGAGGTCTTGACCAAGCCCAAAGCTGCTCCAGCAGCTGCCAGCGGGTCACCAGGGTCCATGGCGGCACCAGGCGAGATACCTCCGTCGCGATAGTCGAAGGCAACGTTTCCCCAAGGATTTAGGCCTCCAGGGGCTTCACCCGGTGTCAGTTGTTCACCCGTGTCTTCTTCCTCTTCTTCTTCATTGTCCTCGGGTGCTACCTCAGTCTCGTCAACAGCGGCAAGCGACTTTCCTCTAGACTTCCTAGCGCTGGCTTGACGTTCTCTCATTGCAGCGAAGGGATCCGCGTGAGACAATGCTTCCATGGATGCACTGACAAAGCGAGGAGCTTGTTGTGTCGTGTTGATAATGTTCTTGACCTCTTCTTGCTGTTGTTGTGCCATGGCTTGGATATTGAAAGACTTGCGGGAGTCCTCGCGTTGAAATGCTGATTTGCGTCTACCGACAATCTTGTCTTCGTTCCAGTTGATTTCGACGTGCGTCATCAGATGAGCAGGAATAACAACATTGGTCACTGAGACAGAAGAGCGGCGAGGCCCAGCTAGAGATGCACGTCTGCTAGCTGCAGCGGAAGGAGGCCCTGCGGTCGAGGTTCGCCTGCTGACTGTGCTTGCTGAGGGATGACGGCTGTTAGAAGGGGACACGTCGATGGGTGTTTCTGGTAGAGGAGGAGGTAGGCTGGCGAATGCCACAGAGCTGGGACGAGACTTCTTCTGCTCGAAAGCAGAAGCGAATGATGCCCTTATGGGCGTCTGCATAGGTGTGTCCTTCATGGTAGCGCTAAGTGGGCTTTCAGCTGCAGATGCGTGTCTGCTGAAGGAGGCGCCATTTTCTGGCAGCGTGATACTAGGCAACTTCTTCGAAAAGTTCCTCGAAGCTCGGTTGCTGAAGCTCGTGCCTGGGACTGGGAACTGTTCTGTACGAGATGTTGACTTAAGAATACCGGGTCTCTTTGCGAAGGGATTCGTGGATGTAAAGAAAGGATTTTCGTTGTCGACTGCGCCGCCAGCAGCGTAGTCGTGTGCAAGTGATTGCCGGTCGTTATCGCTTGTTGTAGTATCAGGTGCCCCAGGACTAACGTTAGATGACTCCCAGTCTCCAGGACCCAGAAACCTTTGGACTGGAGCTTGAATTGAGGGAGATTCATCGGGATCAATTTCGGCAGAATCTCTGCTATTGGCAGTTAGGATAGTCTGTTGAGTCGTCGGGACTTCATCAGGCGCGAGATTCCTAGAGATCCTGTTCGCCTTACTAGGTGAACCATACGACAGCCTCGAGAATGGCGATAGATTTGTATTGACTTCATGCGGTGCGATGTGCGTCGATTTCCGATCCGCTGACCCCGGACGGTCGTATGATGGTTCAGAGAAAGGAGAGGAAGGAGGTATGTCTTGCAAGCTGGCGTTTGCAGACTTTCTATCGGCTGGTGTGTATGCCGTGTGTACTGGGTCAGGCTTGACGATCTCGTTCTTAGGGGAAGCCACCTCTCCTGATCCAGGAAATGTTGATTGATCATATCCGGTCGTCCGCCACGGGAAAGATGATCCTCTATCTTGTGAGAATAGTGATTTTGAAGGAGTGAATCTGGTGTCTGAGGGAGCGACTTCGTCGGGTCCGAGTTCGTCAGATCCCTTGCGTTCAGTACTGGAGCCAAATGTGTAAGGGCTGAGGGCAAAAGGGTTTGACATGGCGTGAAACCCTGCTTGCCTTGAGCAAGAGAGAAATGAACAGAGCTAGACAGGACGTGGGACACGGAGGAGGATAATACTTGCCATACTGCCACCGACGTTGACTGACCGCTGGTTGGAAGCGAACGTGTGGTTCATTGGCCCTACAATAACGAAGAACCAAATGAAACAAATACTGTCTAGGCTCTCAATTAAGAAGTGGGGGCCGTTATAGTCTCTGTATTGCTCTCCGGATTGGGCCGTTATTATCGAAATATTGTATACAACGGCCGCCCAAGCAGGACCTGGATACGGCAAGATACTTAGAGGGCAAGGTGGCCATTGAGCGATATGTCAAGGTAGTGAGATCGAGTATGAAGGTACTCGGTGATACCCCAAATCAACATTGTGTAGCCATCTGGCCCTGTTTGATGAAAACATTTCGGACGCGACAGAGATGGCTTCAATGATAAACGGGTGAGGTGTACTTGTGATGTCGTCAGACGTCCAATTCTCGAAGCATTCCATCATCCCATACTTGGTCAAGTGTTGTAAATCGCGTAAATCTAGGCTGTTCATAGACAGACCTGAATGATGCTAAGGCAGACCGATGCCCGTTGGAAGAAGCCTTACCCTTCGATATGGGAAGAAAACGGTCGGTACTTGTGTTAATGTGGCAGAAGCTCGGAGGAACGTACTGCGTGGTCTACTATACCTTTAGAGCACATCATAAAGGAACAATCGCTTCACCGAATGCTGTCTTATGCACATGCGATGCTCGTAGTGTATTGCAAAGTCGGAGGAGCTGTGAGAGGATGGCATGGAGTTCGAAACCCGAGACAATTCCCAACGTTGCACTCCTCGCGTGGCAGCGCACGGATGTCCGAAGTGCCGATCCCCGTCCGCTACGTCTCTCGAATAGGTATCAACCTTCTATCCAGCATTACAGATACATTCACCGGAAAGTCGTTTCAAAGGCGAGCTCGCATGAACATCTGTACACGTAACAGAGTTTCTTCGTGGACTTTGACTCCGACTATCATGACTCGACCTTAGTGCACAGATACCCTACAGCTCGTCCTTGATCTTGCGCAGGAAGCCCTTGATACCGTGACCTTGTTTCTTTTGACTTCCATCAGCTTGGTGATGCTCGTTGCCCACAAAAGCAGCCATAGAAGTGGTCAGAGGACCCACACCGTCACCCATCCAAGGACCTTCGGGGGTGAAGACGACTCGTTGCATTCTAGCCTTTCTATTGTTCCAACCATCATCAGGACGATCAGTGGCGTGGTAGCTGGAAGAACAATTAGCAAGCATCCTTGGTATGTTTTCTTTTATAGTGTACTAACATTGCGACGACGTCATGGTCGATATGCATGAAGGAGCCATGGCCAGGACCCCAAGGTCCATTGCCATGAGGGCCGTTCTGGATCAAGGGCTTCATACTCTTCTGCCAGGAGTCTGGTCTCAGAGGATCGCCCCCAGTCCAACGGAGGCAGTTCATCTTGTACTCGTTGGTCCAACTACCTGAACAGCTGTAGACCAGCCCGATCCACGAGTTATCCGGAGAGGCAAGGTATTGTGGTCCCTCGTTAATGCCGTGGTCTCCTGTACGTTCAAAAGCTTCATCTGGTCTACAGATCTCCACAGGGTCCGAGGATGCGGTTACTGGATCAGACAGGCCGATGATGAAGAGATGCTGCTGAAGATCTGATTCGTTGGGGTTGTCGAAAGGCCATCCAGAATAGACAAAGTACAACTGCCCATGTAGTTCGATCACAGTACCGTCGATAGCCCATTGATCCTGTTTCATGCCTCTGATCGGACCCACGAACTCCCACGACCCAGTAGCGGGGTCCTGATCTGCTGGCGGTCCGGCGAGGACGAACATTCTATGCGACTTGTTTCCATGTTTGGGGTGACAAGCAGCGTAGTATACATACCACCTGCCTCTCAGACAATGGATCTCAGGTGCCCAGAGGTCGTTCGAGTGTTCTGTGTCCGGTGGTGGTCTCCAAATGGTGTGCTTGTCCGGGTGATCACGAAAGCCAGGCAAGCTATTCGCTCTCCAGATCTCTACCCGGTCACCTGCGGTGAATGTCTAATATTATTAGAGACATGCGTTAGAGGCTTGGTCTGTATACCTAACTCACGAGATAGAATTGGCGCGTTGCTGCCGAGTAGGTGACATAAGGGTCGGGTGTAGTGACGGTAGTCAGCGACAAGACGGTGTTATTATATTGAGCCATATTGAGAATTGGGATGTCAGAGACTATATGAAGAGAAGAAGGGAAACAATGTCTGAACAGAAAGTGGAAGTCGTGATTGCTTGTTTTAAACAATCGAGGACCTCGACTTTCATGCTCATGAAGATCAACACGCAAGCTTATGAAGTCATTGTGTGTGAACCTTGTCCAAGTCCAACCCCATCCCGTGGCTGGTTGGCAAATGGTTCTTCCATCTCACACACGCGCCTCTTTGTGTTAAACACGGCACAATGATTATCGGGTTACGTTGATATTGACGTGAGTTTGGGAAGCGCCTCCGAAGAGAGCTTGGTCGAGGAGCGGAAATCTATTGGGCTATCAAGTATACAAGAGACTCTCATTAGAAATCTCTCTATCAAAAGCATACGTTCTGCTATCGAGCAGTCTTCTCGAGCGCTTATCTTGGTCAAGGAAACACTCGCACTGTGCTCGGGGCGATATTCCAGAGTATATCTCAACACTCGTAAACTCACCCGCTGCCAGTGTTAGGGCTAGAAATGGTCATACAATTGTCATCGCTGTTCGCTTCGCTGACCAAAAGGATCAAGAGACTAGAGTACATACTCACTCTAGAGGAAAGAGCAGGAAATAAAGGAGATGGACGACGAAAAGGATACCGCCCACTGTTACCATTGCATGCAATTCGATACCTCCCCAAAGTGATTACCTTCGCCTATGAATGCCGTGCGCCTTGCTGTGCCGAGCTTTTGGTGGAAAAAAGAGTCCTTGTTCTTTTCGTATGATCCAGAGAGGAGAGGCATCGAATTGCATAGGATCCACACTCGAAGTGCTTCTTTCCTGGTTTCTGGTGCCTTACCGGGTGCTTGACTGAGGCGTGAGACACGGTTGCTTACCGACGTTTTGCGCATGTGGTGATGAGCTTACCGTCGATTCTCAGAGACGAGGGAGAATGAAGCGTCCTTAAGCGTGCAAAATCGGAGGTTGCAACACATCCAAACAGCGCTCAGTACCTTCTTTGCTTGCGCGATTCGTCGTAGCCACCTTGGCCATCGTAGGGGCGTTTGCGGTCGTTGTCGCGTTCCCGATCGCGGTCACGGTAGCCACCGCCACGGTCTCCACCTCCAATGGGCTCGCGATTGCCGCCGCTACCGCCGTAGCTGTCGCGTGGGGGTCTGTCGCCGCCGTATCGTGAGCCTCCGCCGGAGTAGCTGTCGCGACCACCGTCACGGCCGCCCGAGTAGCCGCTGTCACGACCGCCTCCGAAGCCGCCACCTCTAGGGCCACGGGGACCGGATGGGGCGCCCTCTGGGAAGCCGTTGCCGTAGCCGACTCCAGATCTGCCACCACCATACCCACCTCGGTCACCTCCACCAAATCCGCCCCTGAATCCGCCCCGATCGCCGCCTCTTCCGCCTCGGAAGCCGCCTCGGAAGCCACCGCCGCCAGCGCCGAAGCCGCCGCCCCGGCCGCCGCCAAAGCCTCCAGGACCAGAGGGAGCACCGTAGCCAGAGGGACGAGGCGGTGCGGCTTTTGTGTAGTGACGGCCACCAAGACCGCCTCCGTATCTGCGAGGACGCCATTCCTTGACTGTGCGACCGCGCTCGACGTCGACGAGGATACGTCTGTCTTTGATGCGGATACCATCGGCGTCTTTGTAGGCAGCTAGTTTGGGTTAGATCTGAGTATGTCAAATGGTCAAGAATAACGAATTACCCTTCATGTCGGAGTCTCTTTCGAAAACGATGAATGCATAGCCGCGATGCTTTTTCTTGGGAGTGGGAGTGGTTGTGTCCTCGACCAAGCGAATCTGGAAAGGTCAGCATTGATTCGAGCAAAGCAGTGCGGGTGATGGCGCACGCGCTCAATGGGACCGTAGCGACCGAATTCGCGCTCGAGGTCCTTGACTTCGGTGTTGTAGCTGAGTCGAGAGACGAAGAGGGTCTTCAACGGATCGCCGACAACGTTGGGATCCTCATGAGGCTTGACTGACAGCTGTGTCAGTGACGATGTGAAGAATGGAGAACTGGCGGGTATGGCGCACATTCGTTCTTGTAGCCGTCAGTGACGCGGTATCGAGCAGCGTCGTCTCTTTCCATCTTTTGACGATCCTTCTTCTGCAGCCAGCTCTCGGTAGGTTGATAGTCGTCATTGTATTCTTTTGCGGCTTGAAGGTATTGGGCGACGCCAGAGATGGCAGGAGTGCGACGTTCCTCGGGAGCGTAGTCGCATGGTGGCAGGTATCGCAGAGCGGGTCTCGGAGCGAACAGCTGCAGCAGCTGAGGGGGCAGTTTGTCCGTCATGGGTGACAGACAATGTGATGATGTGTATTCAATAGACAGGGAGAGCGTACCGAGTCGGCGGTCATGGTCGGGCTGGAGCTGCGAGTCTCGACGCAGGACACGGCCGCGGCTTTTGCCGACGACTCGCAGACATTCTCGAGCGAACATTGATGTCGCTCATAGTCGACTGATTCACACAATTCACGACTGTCAGCATGCCCCTACAAGCTCTGCGCACCGTCTCCAAGGCTCAGGTAAGTCGCTGCATCTCTATCGATTCAATGCGATCCGCGACTGACTGGTGACTGTAGAACGGCGTCGGCGCCTTCATTCTGCAATGCAAGCGCCTCGACTTTCACTACTGCGACTGGGCCGGTAGTTCAAAGGGCATGAAGTTCGTCTGATCTGCGCCTCTTCAATCTCCGGTTTCTGATACCTTTGCTCCAGCTCATTCCTCAAGTACGACCTCCCAGCCTTTGCCCGCGCAAATCCCCAAGTCGAAATCACTGTCTCGCCTCGCCCGCGCAAACACCCCGTCATCAAGGGCACATATATCAACGGCCGTGAGAAGGCCATCTGTGTACGCAGTCTGGAGAAAGAGCAGATTATGAAGAAGGCCGAACTGCTGCGCGATGCCAGCGGCGACAAGCTGAAGAAGGTCACCAAGCCCGTCAAGAGCATCAACGAGAGTGTCAGAGGTATCTGGGATCCTTTCCACGGCTCAAAGTGGTCCGTTTGATCTGTTCAGTGCCTGCTTTCACTTTTCCACGACTTTCTTGTACAGCATTTGCAATGGCGTTTTGGGGAAATACCAAGGGCTCAAAAGAATGCCCTCTTCAATCGTATACTATACTTTTTCTCCATCCTCACACTTGCCTCAGAGTCCAGAAAAGGCCGCAATTCGCATCGATGCGCTGTTTCATAAGCGCTCACATTATTTCTCCATCCCATGCCAATCTTCTCGGTACTACGACAGTTGGTGTCTAGCCAGTTCTACTATTTTACCACATCCCACAGCATTTCAGTATCACTTCTTGTCATATGCGAAATGCTCCCATCAGGTTACATAGTTTCAGTCGGATGATGCTGCGGGTAATATATGTTTGGTTCGTTAGATGTTTTTATTCAACAATCATCTCTCATAGGTAGCCATGCGTTTGCCGCATGGCACCCTACCAGTCTCTTCTATGTACAAGTTTTTACGAGGACTGGGCGTTGATGATGTCAACAAAGGCAGGCTTAAGGGAGGCACCACCGACGAGGAAACCGTCAATGTCCTTCTCCTTGGCGAGCTCGTTGCAGTTCTTCTCGCTGACACTGCCACCGTAGATGATTCTGGTGTTGTCCGAAGCGGTCTGGCTGACCTCCTTGGTGAGGTACTCGCGGATGGCGGCGTGGACCTCCTGGGCCTGCTCAGTGCTGGCGACCTTGCCGGTGCCGATGGCCCAGACGGGCTCGTAGGCAATGACGATCTTGCTCCAGTCCTGGACCTGCTTGGCGACAGCGCGCAGCTGGTGGGTAACGACGTCGATGGTCTGGTTGGCCTCTCTCTGCTCGAGGGTCTCGCCAATGCAGAGAATAACACCGAGTCCGTGGTCGAGAGCGGTCTTGGTCTTGGAGGCGATGAAGTCGTCGGTCTCCTTGAGGATGACACGGCGCTCGGAGTGACCGGTCAGAGTCCAGGTGATGTTGGACTCCTTGAGCTGGCTGGCAGAGATCTCACCGGTGAAGGCACCGTTGGGCTTATCGAAGACGTTCTGTGCAGCGACCTCGAGACCGGAGCGGAGGTGCTCACGGGTGAGGAGAAGGTAGAGGGCAGGAGGGGCAATGACGACCTCTGCGAGCTGTCAACATGGGGTCTTGTTTGTCAATGGCACAGTGCCTACATACCGACGTTGGGGTCGACCTTGGCCTGGTTCAGGTTGTTGACGATGCCCTTGATCGTATCAACGGAACCGTTCATCTTGAAGTTACCTCCGACGAAGAATTGACGACCCATGTTTGCGGTGTTGTGTGGTGAAGAGGTGTTTTGAGAAAGTTTGTATGGACTTGAAGTTGTGATGGCAAGAAAAGTGTCAAAGCAAAGACTGATGTTGAGGGAGGGGAGCACGACTTGAATTTTGTTGGCAACTCCGACGCATGGAGGGGCATAGCTTGACGTAGCTGCCAAATCGGACGAAATCGGCCCTGCGTCTTCGAAACAACGAGAAGGGCCGCGCTCGATTCATCGCAGCTTGGAGCCAACGGTGGCCCTCGGGTCACGTCTTAGAGATGAATAGAGATTTCAGCTGTTGGCCATGGTCAAAGAGCGTGCAGAACATCAGATCATCGACTCGCTCGCTGCAGGCACAAGTGGTAGCTTAGGAAACACGAGGAAATGTGTAGAGGAGCTCATTGGACCGATGTCAGATGCTTTCAACGATGATTTGGATATCGCACGTAGTAGCTGTAGAAGTTTATGAGCATTCTCGTAACAACGTGAACTCTAGTAGGAACCATCAATTTTGTGCGCCCTTAGACCGAGAACAACTGTGTGTTATCGTAGGACCACATCACTCTAGATCGTTGGGACAGTGAGCCACAACAACAGGCCATCGAGTCCTTGGGAGGACAGATGTGCAACTGCTTGTGGTACACCAGACCGAAGAACATGGTGATTCATCACGCTTTCTGCAACTTGCTCGCGCGATCCGCCGCAATTTCACACATGGCCTGCATTACAGTCAACATGGCTCGCCACAGAACGTGTTCACACTCATGCCTTAATTGCGGCTGCTCGCTCCGCGACAATATCCCCGGCAGCGATTCTCTGTTTCATATCCTCCATGATGATCGGTCTGCTGCGGCCATTGACAAAGACAACGTATCGCAGTCCAGGGTACTTCTTTTCGTATTCTTCGTTCAAGTCGTGTAATTTGCGGGCTTCTTCTTCGCCGCCGGTGTTGAGTTGTGCTTGCTCTGCCTGGCTCTGCGCACTTTCAACCTTCTTTGCGCCGAGTCGAGGGTGTGATCCCAATATGCTCTCTAGCCATTTGGTGTCACTGGCAGAAGATGACTCAGAGAGCTCGGTCAGCTGAACCCCAACAGCTGCGATCAGGTCGTTGTACGATGCGAATGTTTGGTTACGCAGCAGCTCGACCGACAGTGTGTGCAGAGGGACGCTGGGCTCAAAGAGCAGGTCAAGGACACCTGCTCTCTGTTCTGTGGGTAGCGATGGCAGTGAGGAGATAGAAGGTAGGCCGGACATACTGGAGCCTGAGGGGTACAATGATGGATTGGTTATATGGAGACGGCATTGCGGTAATTGTCAGAGTTGCAGTATAGAGACCCACACTTACCCCGTACCGGCGATTGTCTACCATGCAATATAAGGATTAGGTTGGCTATACAAATGCACTACCACTTCAATACAAACAACCTTCGATACAATGACCTTGGACGCTTTTGTTCGTTCGGCTTGATCTTTCACCGTAGTTATAGTGGATTGTGTGGATCACACAGTTGGCATCCTCTGTAGACAATCCAGCTCATCTGACGGTATCTTGCAATTTGCAGCGTACGCCTAGAAACCGGAACGCAAGAGATCGCATCGACCGCGTACTTGCAGAGCTGTCTCTTGTCTCTGCGTGCCTGTGCGAAAGATTCGACGACTTGATCGAGCTCAGTATCCAACATCCCGCTCCATCGCTTAGAGCTCGGACACATTTCATACAATGCTGAAGCCATGCGCCATGCATGCTCTAGAAGGGTAAAAGCAGCTCACATCTTGGTTCATGCGGCCGAGGCACACGGACGGCTTCGGTGGCTTGAGAAGATTTACAACAAGATGATAAGATATTCGGTAGTCCGCAGACCGAAAGGTTAGCAAGTTGGGACCTTGCGGGCTGAAAGCCATACCAATTTCAGAGAGGTGGGGTGCACAGAAGCGGCAGCTGCTCTGCCGATCAAAGCTCCCTCGGAGACTTTTGCAAACGTAGATCTCGAAGCGTACCGGCGAACTGAAGAAAGATGTACAGTTTACTGCATGCATGCAGTAAGAAGACCATGGAGTAGGTTTGTTTCTTGGAACTTCTCGTGGGTCACGGTTCAGCTACAAAGATGATTTGTGGCAAGTGTCTTTCCAGAGCAAGATTGGCCTGGGCGCTGCCACACAAAGTCAGGGTCAACCAATCATTGCTGCAGTCTGCCGAGAGGCTACGGAAATGCCTGGTCGAAAGCATGCGACGATCAATCCGATTCGTGCTGATGGCGAAGTTTGGTTGAGGGCGAAGTGGGAAGGTGGATGTGTATGTATAATAGAGCAGTCCTCTGTTTCGAGTCTGAAAGTGAGGAACAGCACCAGCGCACAATAATGCTGGCCGACAATAAGGGGCTCACTCAACTCGAAATTTGCGCGAGACACGGTCACACGCGCTTCTGGAATTAACACCCCTGAATCTCCCTGCAGCAAAGGCTCAAGGTCTTGTAAAGTTGGAAGACGGCCCAGCGAGGACTGGCAACAACCATGTCTTTGAACGGACTGGATGTGCCAGAAGTGCAGCAGGCCTATGAGGTTACCCTGAGCGAGGCTGGAGGATGGATCCTGGTGAAATACGTCTCTCGCGACGAGATCGCTCTGCTTGGCCACGGACAAGCAGGCTTGAGCGAAGCGAGAAATGCGATTTTGCAATACGACGAGCTGTCCCCTCTCTACGGGCTGGTGGTCTACCGGCGCCGAAAGGTACTCGTCAAATATGTGCCCAGAGGAACATCGCGATTACTGCAAGGTATGAAATGACCCTGGGAAACGGCGCCGACAACAACTGACCGGGAGCGATGCAGCGCGGACAACGGTCCACCTCCGGGAGGTGCAGGAGAGATGGGCCCCGTACGAGACGATGCTCGAGATTGAGACGGCTGACGAGCTGAACGACACGGCTCTAGCAGCGGCCTTTCCTCTTCACACCGCCTCACCCGCACTGTCCAGCAATCAATTTTCCCTGAATGAGATCACCGAAGACAACGAGGATGGCGACGCCGCCCCCAAGCCGCTGATCCACAGTCGGTCCATATCGTCGGTATCGAGCCGGAAGCCTCCACTTGAAAAGCGACCTCCTTCGCAGCGTTCTTACCGCGCGCCCTCGTTTTCGAGTGCCCAATTCGCTGGCGAACACTCGCCCGTCCTGAAGAACAAGTCGTCTCTGTCACAGTTTCTGGTCCGGGAAGAGCTAGGGCACAAGTCAGTCACACAGTTGGACGGATACTCGGCGGGCGAAGATAGTGCTTCGATCAAAGACAAAGACGACGCTGCTTCAATACTCAGCACTCGCACCGAATCGGCCGTCCCGTTGACGACTTCTTCTACCCGGACACACACCAATGAGTCGGCTGATTACGATTTGGAGAGATACCTTGATACGTTCTTCCAACCGAAGATCAAGCTTGGTCCGCGTGTAGTCAACGTGGTCGAGAAAGGCAAGCACGCATCAGCGTCAGCACCTGTGTCGAGCCTTCCCGCCGGAGTTCAATTCAGGCCAAAACAGCCTCTGTCACACCCGCAACCGCAGTATCCAGTGAATCGCAATCGTCCTACCGACTACGCCCCCCTGGGTCTCACGGCGCCCCCGAGGCTGCCCTCTCTCCATTTCTCGCCTCAAATCCCCGACATTCCCGAGTTCCTGCCGCCACGACCCAATTCAAGAGGCAGCTCTCGCTCCTTGCCAGCGTCTCGTGCATCTAAGGCGTATTTGAGTCCGGAGAAGCAGCGCCTCATGAAGGCCCTTGAGATGAGGAAGCGCCAGGTGAGAAGCTCAGCTTCTGTAGAATCAATGCCACAGCTGGCCGTTGCGCAAAATGTCGGTCCGCCGACTGCTGACAATGTGCACGCCCAGGCGCAAGAAACGCAACGACAGACGGGTGCAAACAAGGCCGATTCTGGTATTGACATAACGCATACCTCGCCTGTCAAAGAATCTCTGCCTTCACTTGTGCAAGAGGATCTGAATCATGTAGCCGAGGCAAGCTTGGAACGATCTGATGCCCAACCCGTCTCAGAGCGGCAAGCGACCACTCTTTCGACAAACTCTACCGAACAACCCACCATGGAGGCTTCTACCAGTACGACTCTCGACAATGCAGCTCCGGCGCAGCACCTTATCAAGGCACACCGACCATCAATTGTAGACAAGATCATTGAACTTTCCATTCACAGCCAGGAACACATCGCTGCGCACGGACCAACCGCAGAGGTGAGAGAGCCTACACGTCCAGTCGCCGGTGGCATCGTCACTGAAGATCAGGATCATTTCTCGTCTGATGATCTGGTCCAGAAAGCTGGAAAGCCGTTTGATCCCACGACACCCACCAGCGCATCTAGACCAGAAGTTCGACAGTCGACAGACACTCTTTCATCCGTCGTACCCGAAGAACATGACAGTTTTGAGCCAGAAATTGAAAACAGCTCAGACTCTCCACAGAAGATGCGCCGCAGAGGTTTGCTAGAACCCTTGCAGATTCAAGTACGTCTTGAGCGTCACACCTCCGAGCATAAGTTTCTTGCAGACGACGATTTCATGGATGAACTCCAAACTGCCACTTTCGAGCAAGCCACCCCTATCGCTATCTCAAAGTCTCCTGCAAGTCCTTTCTTTCCTCCGAGACGCCCGAGCACGCGTTCCGCCAAATCATCGAACTCGATCGTCACAGCAGTCTCCACCGAATCTGTGCCCCTCGTGCCTTCTGTCAGCGACACTCTGGACAAGCGTCAGATTGCTCACGAGTTACTACTGCCCTCGTCCGAACCGCAGTCATATTTACCAACCCGGACGCCATCAGTCTCCTCGGTAAGAACAACCGATTCGTCTATCCGCATGCGCAAGTCCAACGTATCATCTGGCATCTCTGCCAGGATTGCCGCCCTCGCCGAGAAATCGACCCGTGACGGAAGTCCACCAGTTGCCCCTGCATCTCGCAAATTGTCTGCCAATTCGACTATTGCACAGCGCAAGAGCTCGTACGTCGAACAATCGGCCGAAGCCCAAGCTACTGGTGGGGCTGAAAGAAGACAAGTCGGAAAGTTGTCTGTCTGGCCTGCTGCTACAACGTCAAACACGTTCAATCAGAAAGCTAGAAGCGCGCAACCAGGCAATCGGGACTCAGTCTCGGTCACCGCACGCATTGTCCGTGTCCCTCGTGCAGGTGAGCCAGTCAACGCACCTGAACTTCAGGCTTCGCCGCTTCTTTTCAATCATCAGCGTCCTACACAGGACAACAACCGAGTGCCTCCTGCCGCAGCTGTCACCAATACCAAATCTTCTCAAGGAGAACATGACAGCGTCATGTCTCCCCAGAGCAGAGATGGTTTGATGTCCCGCGGGTCAGTTGACACCAGCGCTACTGGCAGACGCAAGTCATTCGATCGCAAATCCTTCAAGAGCCTGAGCGGCCCGACCAGCCCAAAGAAGAACGCTCTCAAGCAGACTATGACACAGCCACCCTCTGACGACAGCCCCGACAAGACCAGTCGCACCAGTCGCTTCTTCAAGCGCATCTCCCATCTTGGTAAGGACAAGAAGAAGAGCGCTTCCCAAGTGCCCACGATTACGACCACGCCTTCCGAGCCTATGTCTCCCACCTCAGCTACTCGATCGGGTCCTACCAGCCCTGCAACTGTCACCTCCATCCCCGAGTCTGCTATGGAGAATAAGCCTGCCCTTGCACCTCCTGTCGTTGCTCGCAACCAAGCAGTCGCCGCGGTTTCAGCCTCAAAACCTCGTCCAGACTCTGTTGCCGATGTTCCTCCTCCAGTGTCGATCGGAGACTTCAATGTGCAGTTCCCCGATGCGATGCTTTGGAAGCGACGCTGGATTGAAATCGACGGTACTGGTCACCTCATTTTCACCGCAGCTGCTCGTCACAGCAGCATTGGAAAGTCATTCAACTCCAAGTTCCACCTTAAAGAACTTGGGCCTCCTTTCATCCCTGACATGGACAGACAAGAGATGCCACACAGTGTGATATGCGATCTCGTTCATGGAGAGGGTTCTATCCAATGTGCCAGCGAGGATGCCATGTCGCAACGCCAATTATTGTCTCGTAAGTCCCAGCTGCTGTTCGCTACCTCATGTTCGTTGTGCTAACAACTTCTCTTGTAGTTCTTACTACTTATCATCAAGCTTGGAAAACTGTTTGATTCTCGTTCTTGGAAACAGAGAGTCATTTGTCTTCCACCAAAGAACTGGCGGCACAGGATAATGTCGCTCTTCACCTTCGCCCCTACGCTCCAGCAGTTTTCCCTTGGTCAAAAACGCATCCAGTCGCTCCTTCAACTCTCTTACTTGTCTCTTAGATACCCCTTTCTCATTTCTTTTCGCTTTTACTCCGCACATTGCGGTTTTCTATGTACGATAATTCATCCAAATGTGGAGGCTTGCCTCCCATATCTCTCCTAGATTTTCATGTGCAGTGTATCTTTGTGCTTTTGGATTTGGAAGGCTGTATTTGCTTCTTTCGTGAGCGATAGTTGACCAAACCAGCCTCGATGGACATCGCTTCGATCCTCTGTATCATTGACTTTATTGTTGTCTTGTGTTGACCTGGGTTCGGCAACGTCATCGAAGATGCCGAAAGGCTCGGCGTCATTTTTGGCGACGCCATGGGCTTGCTTCCACAGAGATACCCCTTCCTTCTCCCGACCACATTTCTCACCGAGTGGAGGATGCTGACGGTGATCACTACAATCATCAAGTTCACTAGGCGTTTCCCATGCTGGGTGAATTGCTCTATCCACTCTAGATGTCGAACATGTTGCTGCTCGCCGAGGACGGCACGGCAACAGGTGGCCGAGTCGGAACTCCATGCGGCGAAGAAGTGCGAAGTCGCAGCTCTTGGTAAAACCTCATTGATCTCGGGCTTCTTATCATTTCACCGTAAAGAAGCATGGAGACTCTTCTGTTGATGTAGATCGAGTCTCTGACTCTCGAATGTACATCTATCCATCTATCCTGTCATATGCACACCTTCTCTCTTGCACAATCTTCTGAAAATTTCTCGTACACTACAAATTGATGGTTCGAACGCTCTAATCGGAAACCTTCAACAATCAATGCCATGATGGAGACTTCAACTGCACCGCCGCCGGTAGCCAAAGATGCACACAGGAAAGGAATGGACCTACCCAGCTGGCATAAATATGTTATCCTCTTTACCGTCAGCTTTATGTGTCTGGCCGCCACATTCTCCAGCACATGTCTATACCCAGCAACGCCAGAGATAGCAGCCGAGTTCGGGACCACACCCGAACACATCAATGTCACCAATGCTGGAGTACTGCTAGCTATGGGATCGTCTAGTTTTATCTGGGCACCTATTGCTAGGACTTTAGGACGGAGAACGGCATACAATGGTGCCATTGCTGTCTTGTTCTTGTGTTCGATCGGTACGGCATTGTCGATCAACATGGCTATGTTTACTGTTATGAGAGTCCTTGCTGGGTTTCAAGGTACTTTTAATATGGTAGCTGGTCAGACTATCATCGCCGATATCTTCGACCAACGAAGAAGAGGCACTGCAGTCGGCTTCTTCATGGTAGGCTCAGTCCTTGGACCTGCGTTAGGTCCCTTGGTGGGAGGCATCATTGTGACCTATACCTCGTAAGTTGATAACATTTGTCTAGAATACGTTGCTTTGGCTCACATTTGCATAGCTGGAGAGTCATCTTTTGGGTACAGACGGCCATGGTGGGAGCAGGCTTGTTGTTGTCCTTCTTCTTTGTGCCTTCGATTGCTCAGCCGCATCAGACTACTGAAAAGCCTAGTTTCAGGCTTTGGGGAAAGTCGCAGGTTGAGATGCTGAAGGTGTTCACATTGCTGGTATATCCTAATGTGTTCTTTGCGGTATGCTTTCTACCTCTTTTACATATCTGCAGCTTTGACTGACATGTCACCCAGGATCTTGCTTGCGGTCTACTCGCATGGACCCAATACTCCCTTTTAGCCGCACCTCGCCATTTGATCAACCCTCGCTTCAACCTGACCTCACCTCTGGTCAGCGGTCTCTTCTACATATCACCTGGCGCAGGATTCCTCCTCGGTGCCATAGCAGGTGGTCGCTTCTCCGACATGACCATGGCCAAAAAGATCATCGAAAGAGGTGGTAAACGAGTACCTCAAGACAGACTCAACAGTGGTCTCTTCGCCTTCTTCCTCATCATACCTTCTTCGCAGTTGATCTATGGATGGTGCTTGCAATATGATGTCGGTGGCTTGGCTCTGGCTATCGTGGCTGCCTTTTTCACCGGATTCGGGCTCATGGCTGCGTTTAGTTCGTTAAACACTTATTGTGCTGGTAAGTTCTCCAAGCCTTTTTTGAATTTCTATTGCTTGTCCAAAACCCCTTTGTTGTAACTGACACTTGCGTCTTCAGAAGCAATACCCGAGCAGCGCACTGCAGTCATTGCGTCCAAATACTTTATCCAGTATATTTTTGGTGCGTCTGGCAATGCGGCAATTGTGCCGTTGATTGATTCGATTGGGATTGGGTTGGCTGCTACGATAGGCGTTGTTCTGTGTATTTGTGGTGGTGTCTTGGTTTGGATGCTTGCGAAACATGGAGCTGCGATGCAGGCTTTTGTTGATGCAAAGTTGGGTCATTTGGATACGGATGATGAAAAGTGATGGACAGATAGACATAGGAGTATGCAGACATGTCTCTCGATTCTCAAGTACAATATGGATCAGGAACAGGTGAAGATGTTTGGTCAACAGAAGAAAGCAGTTCATGATATATATGTGTGTGTGTCTATGTGCAAAGCAGATCTATATTGAACATAACGCTCAGAATGACGACCAATAAACTGGCTAAGAAATGGAAGATGTGACATGGTTCGTATGAACAGGTGGTGACAAACAGTGATGACCATAAGGAAAACATGAGAAAATCTGCGCGTGGAGGGTATATGCCAGTCGTATCTCGACAAAGCGAAGAACACGTCAAACAGAAAGAGAAAAAGGAGATGCAGGAATGACTGTTCAAGCCTCGGCCACGAGAGTGACTGGGCCATTGCGAAGAGGTGCACGTTGGCCCTCGAAGCCTTCTGCAGGCCACCCTTGGTAAGTGACACCGTCGTCAACGACATCACCAGCCATGACGAGAGTGTGCTCGAGCAACATGGTGTCCTGGCCCATATTGGCTCCGGACAACAATCTGGAACCACTTCTGAGCACACTGCGGTCACCAACGACCAAGGGATTGAGATTGAAGACACCACGAGAGTTGATGTGCGAAACCAGGGATGCATCATCAACAGCAACGCGGTCACCAAGGGTAAGAAGATCGGGCTCGGTGAACATCAGCGAAGGCAGACCACCTGAGAAAAGAGAGCAGTCCTTGCCAATGGTAGCACCAAGAGCGCGGAAGTACATGACGGCGTAGTGAGAACCAGTGAGGAGACCGACGACACCAGCGTTACCGTAGCAGTGGCGACGGAGCTTCTCAATGGTGAGGAACAATTGCCAGCGTTGGCAGTAGCTGCTCTTGTCCCAGTCGTAGTTGCCGACCTGGCGTCTGCCAAGAAGAATCCATTTGGCAGCGACGACGATGGTAAGAGCGAGAACGGCTTGGACAGTGTGGAGAACGGCAATGAAAGCGGCGAAGAGAGCAAAGATGAGGACGGGACGGAAGGGAGTGTCGGGCTCGTGGACAGGGTCCGAGGTCTTGATGAGCTTAGCGACAAGTTGCAGGGCACCAATGGATGAAATGTTCCAGTAGAAGGCGGTGAAGATGGTGGTGAAGGTTGAGTAGAGGAAGATGGTCCAAGGGCCGAAAACGTGGTAAGGGGCCTGGCCTTCGTAGAAGGCGCGACCGAACGGAGATGAAGACTTGGCTGCTGCCTCTTCCTTTTCGACCATTGTCATCGAGGAACTGCTGCTCAGCACACCTTCTTGGATTGCTTTCTCATTGTCGTTCTTCTCCTTTTCGCTCAGGGTTGCAGTGCTGGAGTTGGTGGTGCTGTTCAAACTAGGCATGCCGTGCTGTACATTGGCAGTGTCCGCTGTGGTAGGACGCTTGTTACCACTGAGGCATACAGCCTCGCCGGCCTTGCTTCCAACCCAAACAGTTTCCTGCTCGTAGTACTTGTTCCTGCGAGTCAAGGCACCACTTCCAAGGACACTCTTCTTGCCGACGGTGACACCAGGCAGGAGTACCACACGATCAGAAATCATGGCGCCATCCTGAACGCGAACATAGTCGCTACCAGTACCATCGGAAGTTACAAGATGGGATCGAGAACCAAAGACGATGTCGCTTCCAATGTCGAGGAGATCGAAGTCCTGGAACGAGGGTCCAGTGCCAGGCCAATAGACACGTTGTCCGACCTTTGCACCCATGGCACGATACAGGACTGACGTGGCCTCGTAATGGCCACCAAACAGCTCAGTAACTTTGTGGAAGGCAGCAGGAGATGCGATGGTCTTGAGCACGGCCATACGGAAACGTTGGGCTTGGGATCTAGACTGGGCGGGTCCTGGGGTAAGTTTGCCGATGGTCAAATCCAAAATCTTCTTGATGGTCCAAACAGCAACGAACCACGTGAGAGGAGCTGCGCCAGCACCGAAGATCTTTGCGGCGAAATGCCAACCGATACGATGAGGAACGGCAAACCACAAGATGATCGACTTGACTCTGTCGGCGCTGGGCTCAGGCTGAGTCAAAACGAGACCGACTAGACCGCCAATCCAAGGACCACTCTTGCAAAGAGTGACAACCAAAGAGATGGGAGTGATCAACAACGACAGAAGGAAGTGGGCGCCAGGAATCTTGCTGGCAGACAAGTCGCGGAATTCTTCGCTAGCGTCGTCGGCCTCCCAGCTCGAAGAGTTGGGTCCGATGCAGGCGTTGTCGGGCACTGATGTTCCAGGAGCGACGATGGAGGCAAGACCGACAGATGCTGCCTTGCCCACGCGGACATGACCAAGGTACATGCTGGTGTTCTGCTCGGCACCGAAGCCTCTGCAGATGCATGCGTCCAAGTTTGCTCCATCTTCAAGGACAACGAGATCGAACTCGCGGATGATGGCACGCTTAGCGAGCTTGACGCCCTTGCCAATTTTTGCACCCATCAATCGATAGTATAGAATAGTGCCGAACTCGGATTGATCGAAGACACCTTTTCCCAAGATAGTAATAACTTTGTCGGTGAACCACCAGCGCATGTGGTAGGGCCCCCACATGGGGTAAACACCCTCCTTGTATGTACCCATAATAATCCATTTGAGTAAGATAGCGATGACTGGGCAGACGATGAGAGTAATGGCTTTGGCGATGCCAAGAGACAGGATCAGGTTGAAGAGACGTCCGATGAGTCTGGTCGCTGTAACCCAGTCACGAGTAGCGCTGAGCATGTACATGAAGCATGTCCAAGTCAAGGCGCGCTTCATAGGGTAGACTAAGCCGAGGGGAATAAGCTGGACGAACAGGACAATGGGGTTGGTCGAGCTGTATGTTTTCTCACAACCGACGTTGACAAAGGTCTGCTCGACTTCAGCAGTAGCATGCTTCTCGTCGGTGGGACCACGCATGTCATCAATGTTCTTAGCTAGAGCGGCAATTCCGCTGTGAACGAAGAGCAGATCGATGGGCAGGCGGACCTTGAACTCTTTACGAAGTTCCGACAACAGGCGGCCAGCACGAAGACTGTCGCCTCCCAGAGCGAAGAAGTCTGACTCAGGTGTGAGCTCAGAGGCAGCACACGAAAGGATGCGAACAAAGACTTCGGCAATCTTGGCCTCAGTCGCGGTCATGTCTCCAGCAAGTTCGTCAGAATCGGATTCAATCAAAGTCTCCAGCTGAGCGTTGTCAACCGATCCCTCTCTGTCTCTGGGCAGAGGAACGTCGAGACAGTGCACCTTGCTGGGAATGAGGTAGCCATCGAGCTCAGCGCGCAGAAGAGAGTCAAAACTGGGGTAGCTTGACATGACTGGTGTGACGGTCGAATTCTTGCGAGGAGCGAGGAAAGCTTCTGGATATCCATCGTGAGAGGCCTTTCTGACGGCGATGTCAAATTCTGTGCCGAAGACCGTCGAAAGCTTTCGAGATACGTATGCTGCATCGAAGGAACAGATTGAACCGCCGATACGAGTGCTAAGAGGGGTATTTACTGGAGGGCACACTGCTTCGTAATGACGGTCTGCAAGAGGCGTCTCATCGGTGATCTCACCCAGACCCAGGCGTTCGGCGAGCTTGATACGAAGCACCTTGTTGTTGTTCTTGGGAAGATCGTCCATGTACACAACATAGGCGGGCCACTTGACTTGGCTCAAGGAGTCCTTCAGGGCCTCTTGAACAGTCTTGATGTCGGCACGGCGAGCACCGAGAGGGGTGACGAGGACCACGCCAGGAACTTCCTGCAAAACGTCGTGAGGCATCGAGAATGCCAAAGCAGCGGAGACGCGACCAAACAGAGGGTTTCCCTCACGCTTGGCAGCAGTGACGACAGCTTCCTCAATCTCGAAAGGAGAGATCAGTTCACCACCTCGGTTGATGACCTCCTTGCTTCTGCCGGTCACGTACAGGTAGCCATCTGCATCCAGATAACCCATATCACCAGTATCGAACCAGCCGTCGGCTGTGAAGCATGAGGTATCCAGCACATCGTTGTCTTTGAGGTAACCACCAAAGACAGGTGCGCCTCTCACAGCAATGCGGCCGACTGTGTGAATCGGGAGTCTGCTGTCGTTGCCATCCAAAATTGCCATATCTGGACCAACACTGACACCAGATGTGCCAGATCGGTCGAGCTGGTAGTTGAGGGGAGGACTTGAAATAGGCATACACTCTGTCATACCGTAACTTGGAAGAACGATACAGTTGAATGTGTCTCGTAGCGTACATGCGAGCGAAGGCAAGAGACCACCAGCAGCGTTGCAGATCAGTCTCATGTTGCAGTTATCCAGTGCTGTTGGGCGGTTGCGGCCTTCTTCCAAGATGACCGAGTGCATTGAAGGAGATGCGTAATACCAGGTTGGTTGCAGATCCTCAACAACATCCCAGAACAAGTTGGCATCGAAAGCCGGGCAGCAAATCGTTGAGCCACCGGCCATAATGGGAGCGAACAAGTTTCTGACGATACCACCAACGTGGAAGAGAGGCATCATGTTAATGCAGATATCATCCTTGGTCAGTCCCCAGGATTCGATGACGAAGCCCACACCAGACATGAGAGTGTGAACAGTGTAAGGGACAACCTTCTTCTTGCCAGAAGTTCCTGATGTGAAAAGTACGAGTGCGATATCATCAGATCCGTTAGGCTTCGATTTTGAGCTGATGACCGGGGTGCCGTTGGTGTAAGTCATATCGAAAGTTGCGTCGTCGTTGGCTTCAACCAAGATTACCTCGATTCCAGCCTCGCGGACCCAAGCGCCATCCAGTCCTAATCTCTGAACATCCGGTCGGGTAACGAGGACCACACTGGCTCCTGCTTGCGTTACATCGCTTTCAAATTGTTCCGGTCCAGAAGCTACTGTTACAGGCGCTGCTGTGTAGTAGTTTGCAGTAGCCAGAAGAGCCAATCCTAGTACGGGACCATTTGGTAGAGCCAAGGCAACCACTGATCTGGTTCCATGGGGTTGCTTGGTGGGCAGACTGAAGTCTTTCACGAACTTGTGCAACTTCTTGTGGCTGATAGGCTTCGAGGATGAAGCACCGTAGACCGCAGGCGCATCTGATTCGGGAAGAAGAGAACAAATATCCGAATATGTGTTCTTAATTTGTTGTGATGACGTATCCAAAAGGGCGTTGTATTGTGTGTCTCTACCCGATTTCACATCTTCGGGTAGAAGATTCCACAGTCTCGAGAAACAACATGAAAGATCGAATGTCGGCCAGGATCCTGGAAGTGTGTCGAGTAATGAAGTGAGGAGTCGTAAAGAAGCGAGTGCAGTGTCGTTAGATAGAGGTATCGAGGCAAGTAAGTTGGTCTTGTTGATAAAGGGATTGTTCATGGCGGCATTCAAGCAGTTCGAAAGAGCAGTCTCATCGTGGCTCATGCTTGCTGATTTGTCTTGAAAGACGTAATCGGCAATTGAAGTCCTGTCCATGGTGTCTGATATATGCGAGGACAATAAGGACTTGAGCACACACTACGGGTAAAGGGAGGGGGTATTAACAAAAAGAAAGGATACAACTGCCAGCCACGAAGAGGCGTACGGAGGACCTATATGTATAAAGGGATGAACAGACACAGTGCCAGGATGATGGCAACGCACGTTGGCTCGGTACACCACCCACTTCAACGGTTCCTTGCCAGTCAACCCAAACTTTACGCCCGTGACTCGCTTGACATGATCGGAGTCTGCAGCTGAGGCCGTAAAGACGCTTGAGACATGGCTATCTTTAGTGGAGAGCATGTGGAAAAACAAGCATAAAGGAGAACGATGGGCTAAGAACGCGTGAGCGGCGTGGGTCCCAGGTCCAGACAGACTAAACAGGCGCGAAGATCGAATAGTCAGAGTCTGGTCAGAACAGGCAACTGATCAGAGGACTGGGCATCGACCAAATCACCTATCCTTTAGTGCGTGCTGCAGAGGCTGCAGCTGGGTTGAGCACCTAGAAATCTGCAGACATGCGGTCACCTACCGAGCTTGGATAGTCGAAGGCCACGCCGAAGCCGTTTTGGGCACCGCGTCCGTGCCTCAATCAGTTGAGACTAACCTTATTGACGTGCTCGTGGCTCTTCACGTGAAGCTAGCAGGGCTGATATCAATGGCCTAGAGTCAATAACACGGCATACTCTAGGGCTACACGACGAGGTTTCAGTTTGAGCTGGAGCAAGCAGACTGAACCGCGTCCAGTATGGTCTTGACCAAGACGGTTTGTTTATCCCTGCAGGAACCCGAGGGCAGAACGATGGACGCCGGAAGAACCTGGTCAACAAAACATGGAAGCGCCGGAGTGCTCACGTTCCACGCCGTCGCCGGTTGAACACCCGCTGCGGTTGAAGATCTTTTTTCTGTTCAAGCTCGGCAGCTAGTCCGTAGTCCGTGCGGCTTGGTCCGCGAGCTACTTGGTCTGCAAGGTACCGTGCATGAAGCATCGCTCTTCAAATACTGCGTACAGCTGAGCTGAGGACGGCCAGATTGATAGGGGGTTCTAGGTTTTGTCAAATTATCACAAGACATCAGGGCGGGCAAATTACTATAGCTCAGCTGGCTTCTGTTATGAGCTGAGTTGAGCCGAGCTGAAGAGAAAATGGTGTCGCTACATCTTATCAAAGAAACGAATGATGCGAGATCCAAGTCGAGTCACGTCGAGTCGATGGAATGGGAATCGCGTCGTCCGGCCGTATAGAATTTTCGCGAGGCTCCTGGTTGCCGAAGGTTTGTGCGCTAGCGATCAAAGAGCACCTGCGGATTTGTATGGCGCCTCCCACCCAGAGGCTGAGAGACACAAAGGAGTTTAATACAACATTCGATAGCCCAGTATAATCAAAGCAGTTAGGCGACTCCGCCGCAATGGTACATATGACATGTCGCTCCCCAATTCGATAAGGACCATGAGATTGATTAGATGATTGTAAGTGCCGACGATGAAGTCTTGTCTTTGAGCCACTGACAAACCGCTGCAACGTCATGTCGGAACAGCCGTTGCGTGAGTTCTTCTGTCTCAGCCTGCAGCGCCGCCGCTGTAGAACGGTGGTTGTACCTGCGTGTTTTGCGGACAACTCTGATCTCTCGGATGAGGAGGTCTCAAAGTCTCTTTCGGGGCGTTCCTCGATGCTTGTGAAAATGTTGTCATAGTACATGCGCATCGAGGATAGGTATGTAATGGCGTGGGACCGATGCCCTTACCTTCAGTCAACCAAACAGGAGAACGAAGATCCGTAATCTCGTACGTGCGAGAAGCCAACCCGAGTATCTTGCGATCGACACCTGCATAATCAAGGCGCGCTGCCAAGCAAAGGCCGCCGATATGCGAGTGCGCACGACAAACTTTTTGGGTACCTACACGAGCACTGTATGCACGAAAACGATAGGACAGCATATACGATTTATCGAAATCCAAAAGCGCAATCTATATCTATCCCTTGCAGGATTCTATTGTCTTGGAAGCACAGAGTTAGATCCCACCTCGCAGTTTGACATGTTTGCTGTCAAACCCTCGACTTTCGAAACGACCGACCATGGGGCCGGGGTTACGTGCGGGACGACAGACGGCGACATGGAGAAGTTGGTTGACAAGATAATGATAAACAGAGATTTACGCTACTGCGAAGTCAGATCGGAGTCCAAGAGTGGAGCAGCAATGTAAGCAACAGACAAGCCCGTACGTCAACCAGGATATTGAGGACGCATGGTTCATGACTCTATACCATCCTAGCACTCAGCATGTTTGATTGCATGCGTACGTACGTCGAGCATCTACGAGTGGATACCTTTGCACAGACTACAAATTTTCCTTGTTGCAAGATTATGGGTAGATCCTTGAAGATAATCGCACACGGTTGAGGTGACCGTTGATAAGACGAAACATCCGTCAGTCGGGTCGAAGTGCGAGCATATTTGCACTTCAAATGCACTTGACAGTTGTCGCTGAACCTTACCATACACACACAAGGACAGAGAAGATCATCCAGAGATCTGATAACGACCTCAACGAAACGAAGGTGCGTAGCAAGTCGTCTTGACCATGATGGAGTTGGACGATCAACATCATGTCATTGGTATGGATGTTATCACGCACATTGGTTACGTTGAGACGGCGATGGCTCCGTCGCGCAGGACTGGTCTATCATCATCAAAGAACACAGCACTCTTGAGCCTAAAAGTTTGTGTCTAGGAGAGAATGGGGGCTGAAGGACATTAATCGTCAACTCTTGCTCTCCAAATTTCAGAGCGTTACAATGTCATGGTCGTTGAGGAGACTGATGCTTGCACCATGAAGACAAAACGTCATGAATTGGATGTTGGTGAGCTTGACGTGTTTTCTCGCCCCAACTGGACTCGAGAGTCCTTGACCCCATGATGGTTGCAAGACAACTTTGCCAGTGCTCAGAGTTAGTATGTAATCACGGACCGGACCTGACCATCAGGTTACACTAATCAGTGTATACCGTACGACGTCCGTTGGAGAGACTAGACTTTATCGGATGTTGCCATGACTCTCCCTGATCTACACCACAGCAGACATGGTATGCTCACAAGTCAATGCTCTGTACAGACCGGCTGAGATCGTCCAAAGATCACCAGAGATCTACTGTTGGCCTCAGCAAGATAAGAGAATGTGCATACTAACGTCTCACTGAGACCTAGTCAACATGTGGCCTAAGGTAGGCGTCGATACCAATTCATCATCGACGCGTGCATACGCTTGAGGAAAAATGTAGCGACAATGGCTGATGAGTCTCATCACTTGTCGGCGATCATAACGTGGTGGAGCCTTTCATCATCGTGGGCCTTGCCAATATCCAACAGGATGTTGAAACGTACGTAGAGGACAACAGTGGCCTGTAAGACGCGGTATAAGACGCGGTAGTATCCACTGTGGAAGATGGGGTGGTAAGATGTAAGTTTGGCTGGTATCCAGTGAGGGATGCGACCTCGTCGGCTCTCTCGACTCCTTCTTTTTGGAGGATGTCCTTGCATCATCATAGCTTGCAAGTTTACGATATCCGCCGTAGAAGTGGGTTACGAGACAGCCTATGGTGGGAACATATCTCAGGACTGCTGAGTTCAATTCTGCGATAAGTCTGGTGGGCCGGTGTGTAAACGTCCTAGGCTAACCAGAGAGCGCTCAATCAAGAGTTTCGTCGGCTTCGTCGAAAGTATGGTCCTAACTGTCTAGGAAACGGAGAATTGGAGGTCGATTGCCGCGAGGCTGAGAATTGAGAAGATTTGATAACGATTTGTTGAACGAAACCTGGAGTTATCCTGACATTTGCAGTCGACACCTTACCAAAATTCAAATTTAAAGCTCTACAACAGACAAACAGTAAGTCGGACCAGATTTGAGTGATAGCGCATCCAGATGACTGTCAACGGCTGTGATATGTCCATTGGGCAGTCGCTTCGGTAGCGTATATGCCCAGTGTGTGATGCCTTATGTGAGGAGCCATCGTCGGGCCAGGGTGAGATGCTCGGCCACAAACATGATTTGCGTCGTACTCGGGCGACAAGGGTGGGCGGGTAACACAGGAGATTTGAACGAGCAGGATTGGCTATGGCGAAGCTCAAGTCAGAGGTCGGTTAGCAAGGGACGGCAGACAGCCATGTAGGATTCAGTTGTGGTTCGGCGAGGGACAATTCAAGAAGTTGGATGGTGGAGGTTGTACAAAGTGGTTGCTGGGCAACGCGGGCGGCGGCGTACCAAACAACAAAGATGGACTCTGGTTGTTAAGTACGGCGCATGGCAGAGTGCTTTGGCGCCGACGACCATTGCAACTTTGGATCTCTTTGCCCCTCCTCTCTGTTGACATCTGGCCCCGTGGAAGAGGAATAGGATACTCGGCGTCTGGAAAGATTGGACAGGTTTAGAAGACGACGTCGTTGCATCTCGAAGCACGCTACTCCAGACTGCCGGCATTGGCGTGAACGACGCGCCTGTCCACGACTCGCTGGGCACCTTCCTGCAAGCAGAAGCTGCTACATGCCCTAAAACACCGACATCTGACGTTTTGGACCTTCGCTCTTTCCTTCGCAGGCTGCCGGCAGCTCTCCTCTTCGCCGACCGCTCTTCCCCTTACCGACGACATGGACACTGGCCATCTGTCCCACCAAGTTACGACCATCATTAACCAGCTGCATGGCTTCTTCGACGAAATTGGTCTTCCCACACACGAGCGAGACGAGCGCGAGTCAGAGCTGTTTGCTGCCCTCTCCGAAACATTAAACAACCAGCTCAAGCTAGTTGCAAAGTGAGCTTCCCCAACGAGTCGGCGCGTTCGTACGATAAACAGTGCTAACGCGCGCTGCCAGAGAAAAGCATGATTTGACAGATGAGGCCCGCCGTTTGATCAAATCGATCCGCCAGATGGAGGCCGCCCTGGTCGACGACAAGCCCAACAGAGACAGCGACTACCAAGACGCGGATCTAGCCATCACACTGCCCCTGCGCGACTGCATTACCGAGCTCAGAGAGAAGCAGAACACTGTCGCCAAGATCCATCGCGAGCGTTACGAACAGATCAAGAGTGCGTACTGTCAGCTGTACTGCCCATCCGCTCTTTACTGACCTTCGACACAGAACTCGCCGAAGCGCTCGAATCTTACGCCTCTCACCTCGAACCATCTTTCCTCACCATCAAGCTCCCTCCCACCTCGCCTAACTTCAAAATTCCTGCCTCGTTCGATGTCTCGCCCTCATACGTCAATTCTCTGGACAACGCTTTCACCCGCGTTTACGAGGAATACAACAAGCGACTGGTCACAGTGCAGTCTCTGGCAGAGGAGATCATTATGCTCTGGGGCGAATTAGGCACTCCTCAAGCCCAGGTCGACAGCACTATCGTTAAGCACGCTCGTAATGCTCCCGAACAACTAGGCCTACACCAAGACGATCTGGCTCGATTGAAGAGCAAGAAGGAAAAGCTGCTGGTCGAGAAGCGCAACCGCGAAGTCAGATTAGAAGAGCTAAAAGAGGCCATTGTGGCATTATGGGACAAATTAGGAGTTGATGAGAGTGAACGCAAACCATTTTTGGCCAGTAACAGAGGATGCGGTCTGCGCGCCGTCAACGAGTTCGAGGATGAGCTGGCTCGTCTGAACGAGCTGAAACGCCAGAATTTGCACCTGTTTGTCGAAGATGCTAGATTCAAGCTGCAGGAGCTTTGGGACGGGCTCTACTTCTGCGAAGAAGAGATGCTCGAATTCACCCCAGCATTCTCAGGTGAGTCGAGCAGCAGCTCAGAATGTTCGTATGACTAACCACGAAGCAGATGTCTACTCGGACGCCTTGCTTGAAGCTCACGAGGCTGAGATTGCCCGACTCGAGGCTCTCAAGGAGCAACGTGCGCCTACTTTGGCTATGGTCGACAAGTACCGCTCGCTCGTCAAGGATCGTGACGACTTGGCTGCCTCGTCGCAAGACGCCTCTCGTCTAATGCTCCGTGGTCAAAAGGGTGAAAAGCGTGATCCTACACGGCTTTTGCGCGAGGAGAAGATGCGCAAGCGTATTGCAAAAGAGTTGCCCAAAGTGGAAAGCGATCTGCGCCAGATCCTCGAAGAGTGGGAAGAAGAGTACGGCCGTCCTTTCCTTGTTCACGGCGAACGCTACTTGGACGAACTGGAAGCCACATCGCAGAAGCCTTCTTCCCAGGGCTCAGTCCGATCCAAAACACCCTCCATCCCTCCTCGATCCAAGACGCCGTCTTCGGCTGTCCCGCCCTCGACTGTTCGTCCCAAATCTGCAGCTGCAACCGCTCCCTCGACAGCCATCAAGAGCCAGACTCTGCGCGGTCCGCCTCGATCAAAGACACCTACCGCCTCGCGCAATCCTTTGGCCTCGTCTGTCATGGGTCCTTCCTTGTCGCATTCATCGTCTAACTCGTCGTTTGCAGCTTCGGTCGGTCCGGGTAGTATCCGCAGTCCTTCCAAGATTCCTGGCCGTCAGCCCCTGACCAACATGCTTCAAGCTGCCAATTCGACCGCACGTCGTCCTCCACCTGGTCCCTTGGGCCACTGCAGAACAGAGTCGGACAGCAGTGCTCTCAGCAGCACTGTCCGCAGCCACATGGCTCCCCCTCCCCGACCCATGCCCCTGTCACGCGACTTCTTCTCGCCGCCCGAGACTCCGTGCCCTATCAACAATGCCGACATATCCTTCGAGCGCAGTGGCAGCATCATACGCCACATGAGTCCCGAAGACCGCTATAGTGACCGAAGCTCTTTGCGCTCTGTTCGCACCTTGCACTCTACCGCTTCCTCACGTCCGACATCTCAAGCTACGCACCACTATGCGGCAGCAGTGCCACGACCCTCGCCACGCTTCGAATACCCTGCTGCACCTCCAGCGCCAGCCATGGCCCGACAAGCGTCGAATGCTTCGTCCGTTGAGACTTCCAATTCGGCCGTCTCTGGTTCTGAAAACTGGGAGACTTACACCGATGCTTCTGACGATGACGAGCCAGACGCCCAAATGGCGTATTATGGCAAGGTCAGGACAGTCAATCGCGATTCGCCCGAAGACAGCGCATATGGCGGTACTGCTAAGGGCTTCGGTGCGAAGGTCCGAGCAATAGGTGCTTCAGATGATGCCAGCGAGGCTGCGTGGTCTGATGTTGGTGAGACATTCTGATGACCTTTCTTCCTCTTCTTCTTACGACCACTTTTTCCCCAAATTCGCAATGTCCGGATCCGCTTTGGTAGACTTCGTCCGGACACATGATGGTTTTTCTGTTCTTGTTTTTTCTTTGTGGAAGGGCGCTTTTTCTTCTTTTTCGATACTACTCTCTGATGAGCGTCCTTTTCTTGTTACGCTTTTCTTCGTCTTAGATGATTCATCACTGTTTATTGTAGTACTAAACTTTTGTTCCTTTGCAAATGAAGATGACCGCAAGATATGAACATCTCCTTCTACTACCCCGTTCCCGTCGGCATGTAAATTCGAAACAATGCACAATACACAGAACCGGGGTGCAGGGTACCTATACCTATGTTCTCTCTGTGCGCCAAAGTATGTAACATCCACCGTGACGATGCGCAGAGTCTCTCAGAAACAGCATATATCTCAAGGGCGACTGATGATTTGCTCGGCTCTCTTCGGTCATGCCCTTGGTCTGAACTTCATGGTTCATAACACACATCATTCTGGTAAGAGTGAGATTCAGGCAAGACATCTTTCATGTTCTCGTACATCACTCTATAGGAGGGGATTATAGTTGACAGGGGAAAACAAGAAGTCTGGATGAACGCCTTAGAATCCAAAACACTCGTACACATCACTCACAGGCTTCTGTCCGGGCTAGTCCTGCGCAGAAGATGAGAGTCATTGAGTGTAGAGTAATGTATACTGCTACTTGGATCGAGAGATACTCTCGTCGATTGCAGCCGTCGCCAACACCTTCCTTGAATTCAGATATTGAAGCAGGTGGGCTGACGACAGAGACTATGTTGTAGGAGATGGGCGAGAGGGGCGAACTAGGTAGATGTAGCATAGGATACGAATGTGTTTCCCGGAGAAGCCTAAATGAGTAAGTCCTTTGCACAAAACACATTCAAGATAACGTTATAGCTCAAAAGGATCAATCAGTGTTTGCAAGATCGATTGGCATCAGCTCTTATGCTACAGGCGTGAACCAGCATGGTGACATTGACAAGATTGGGTAAGAACTTTGATGACTAAAGTTGGTTTGCATTCAGCAAGGTGTCTTGGTTAGAGGACTATGTAACATGCTGTCCATTGAATATGGTTTGCGAGAGATAAGCTATGGACTGCGAACAAAACAATAAAGTCCGTGACTCTTTGTCATACAGCGATACATCAACACCGCGTACGAATAGAACGTAGCCTGTCTTTGACGACTGGCGGTAACGTCACTGTTGCATTTTGCTAGAGTCCAATCAAGGACCAGAAATGGTTTGAGTGGCTAGAAACATCAACTTTGGCCACTGGCTCTGCTCCAAATCTTTGATGCGTCTTGTAGTGACAGCATCTCTCTGTGCGTTGTCCTGTTCAGACCCTTTCTTGGTTAAGGCAGACAGGGAGGTTTGCTCTAGCGACCAGGGATTGTCGATGGTAGAGTTTGCAGATAGTTCTTTCTGGAATTGAGATGGGTGTACTGATGGCTCCAAGGCAAGTCTGCACAATGCTCGAGCAAAGCGTCTTTGGTGCTTATCGGTCAGATTCAATGACTTGCGATCGACTAGCATGGATATTACCGATTCACCATGGTAGTATTCGAAGTCCTCGGACGATTCGTCGAGGCGTGTCTTCCACTGTGCATTCCGGGATGGCAAGACGAGGAGACATATAGTTGTCTTCTCAGGCCTGGATCTGGAAGAGTAGCGCGTGTCGGTTCTCTGTAGGTATTTGATGGTGGAGCTGTCAAGGGTCTCATGCATGATGTAGGGGTCCAGACCAAAGTGCTTGCGTAACAACTAGAGCATTGGTCAATTCTGGTTCCAAGATTCTGTAGATACTGTACATGCATCGTTGTTCAACAGCTCTTGAATATCGGACTGCCATCGATGTTTGATCTCGAAGCAGAGGTCGGAGAGTCTACCATCCACTTCCTCATTGAGTTGTAAGGCCACCTCATCCTCGAAGCGCTCCTGGTAGCGTTCAGGTAACGCGACACCATCTTTGGTTTGCCACTTTGGGTGGTTGTATAGGATCTGCCTCTTGACATCCTCGATCTCGCTGTCCGAGAATATCTTCGGACGCACCTGCTCTACGTGAGAGTGCAGACGACAAGTCCCCTCGAAGCATTTGTAGGCGTTGGCCCATCCATCGACTGCAGATTTTTCTTCCCGGCGGAACAAGGCGATGAGCTCTTTTGGAAGTTTGGTGAGTCCAGCGTTTTCGCGTCTGCCAAATTGGTTGCACAGGCGTATGGTGTTGATGGTAGGAATGGCCTTGCGGAATGCGTTGAAGCTACAAAGAAAGTCTACAGGATTGACTGGTATGCCTCTACGGTGAGATGTCAGCGAATACAGTGAGTTGGTGGCAGACCCAGAAAGCGAACAGACCAGGCGATGGCTGCGGTAGTGTCTCCCATGGTGCGCCAGCTATAAAGACTGGGATGCTTGCGTGGATGAAGAGTATGATGAAGGTTGATGGATGAAGTGTAGAGCGCCGTAATTGTTGTGATATAAAGAGTGAAGCGGTGCAGGACAGAAGCTGCGAAGAAGAAGGTGGTTGCCTTGGAGCCAGCAAGAACTAACTCTTCGTTCCTTCCATTGAACGCGCTTTACCTCAGAAGCAACCGCGACCTCTTATTTCACTCTCCTTCACAAAGCACTGTCAATCGGCGCTGAATCAGACCACCGAACTACGCAGCGCCTGAGACAAAGTATACTAGTTTTCAGGATGTCAGCTCGACGATTCTTTGAGACGCACCTCAACTATAGCTTACAGATGCTGCTCCATGTTGCCATGGAAAAGCAATTGAACACGACTATCTGTATACTGTCTGGAAGAACAGTCCGTGATTGCATTTCTTTTCCTGAACAAACTCTGGTTGACAGAGGTTACAGGCATCAATATGATGAGTCTGGAAGCATAAAAGAAAGCAGCCTGATACCATGTTTTGCTTACTTTGACAAATTATCTGTAAGCATCTCTATCTACCTTGAATTTGTAGTCCGTTCCCTCAAGAGGTCAATTCTTTCGCCCTCATCTACGATTGACGTCCAGCAATACGCAATTACGAACATGCAAGAAACAATGCCGGGACGCCGGGCGTCCCACCGAGCTTCCTTTCTCCCGTGGGGTCGAATTGACATGACATTATTGCGTTTCACGAGTTGCAAGACATGCGTTTCTGAGCGTTGTGTCAAGAGTAGAATTTTCAGAGGTCGAAACTTGGGTGGGAGAGAAATGGTCAAATTGTTTTGTCCAACGTTTTCGAGTGCCGTCGGTATGATTGCGGCGGGTTGCTGCATGGTTTGTTGACACTCTGGCGGATGCCGTGAAACGCAGGCTAGACTCGTACAAATTTGGAGCGCATGTCAACAAGTCAAGTTGTCGGGATCATTGATATTGATTGAGTGTATACGAGGGGTCATGTGCATCCATTGGCGCAAAAACTCGAGTGTAGAGTTGAATGGGAAGGGCATCGTATTTCGTGTTTTGGGATTTGACAGGATCGGAGAATTGATTTGTTCGCAGGCAAATGAGAGCGATCGGAGCGAGAGGCACTAATTAGAATCGGCACAGAGACAGACCGGAAGCCGGGTGGTTGACATGTTGACCCCTGAAGGGTCTTTTCCAATCAAAGAGCTGTTGGTTGCTAACGCCCTGACCATCACTTTGGCGAGCATTTATCATTGATACTCGGCGCCTCTCGCAATCCTGAACCTCTGGGCTCTTCTACCATTCCTCGATACCACCGTTCCTACGACACGTCACGACTGCTCGATCGCCAGGCACTGCAGCAACCGCACACGAAAGAGGCGCCAGATTGGCTTTGCAACATCAAACGTCTGCAACAGGTTTCACACTCAGACGAGCGTGTATCGTGGCTCTGACCGCAAAAGGTACGTCAGTCTGGCGATAGGCACGCTGTATCATCAATTGTGCATGACCGCTGCATTCCGGCAACGAGGCAGGACAATTGGCGCGGCAGAGAGCGCGATTCAGAAGGCGCATCACGATTTGGTCGTCGGCCGGCAGCAAAACAAATTGCAAAAAAGGCTTGAACATGGGCTTCTCCGCCAAGTTCCGAATGCACTTGTCGTTCCGTCATGGCCGTTCCCCTTAATCAGCCATGACAAACCCCCGATTTCATCGTCGTCCCAGCCTCTCGATTGTTCTGCCCTTGTTGTCGTTTTTGCCAGCCTGCTTTTGTTCTGACTCCTGCTCGCTCGCCATATCGCCTCTTTCTACCACTTAATTCTAATTCCTAATCGTGCAGGCGCACGCTTCCTCGAGCCATGCCGATACGCACCGTCAATCCCTTTGTCGCGAACCCTTCCTTACCCTCAGTCGATGTGCTGAGCGAAAAGCCCTCCCTCCAAACCTTGAAGTCGTCGTCGTCTGCCACAAAGCCCGCAAACCGCCTCGCCAGCTTCTTCTCGTCGCCCAAGTCCTCTTCTCTGCACCCAAACCCCCAGCTCGCGACCCGCCGCCCGCCCTCGCCTCAAGTCAACCGTGCTACTCTGTCGCTGCCCACGATCAACCTCACCACCGCTACCGGCGAGAAGAGCAAGATCGAGGATAGACCAATGACCCTTTTCCAGCCTCCTTCACCTGAAGAGGCCCGCCGCATCGCAAAGGCACACGCCGCTTTTGGTCCTCTCGGTTCGCAAGAGCACCGCTACTCGAGTCGTCACGATGGACAAGCCTTCCCGGAACCCATCGAGGACACCCCGCCCTACTACTTCCTCCTGACCACCTACTTCAGCTACCTCGTTCTCATCATCTTCGGCCACGTACGCGACTTTTTCGGCAAGCGCTTCAAGCAGGAGCAGTACAAGCACCTGTCGGCACGAGACGGATATGCACCGCTAAACAGCGATTTCGATAACTTCTACATCCGTAGACTGCAGCTGCGCATCAACGACTGCTTCAGACGCCCCATTACTGGAGTGCCCGGTAGATTCATCACTCTGCTCGACCGCAAGTCTGACGACTTCAACCTGAGCTTCAAGATGACGGGCACTACCACCGAAACCCTCAACATGAGTTCCTACAACTATCTCGGTTTCGCCCAGTCTGAGGGCGAGTGCGCAGATGCTGTAGAAGTCGCTACCAAGAAGTACGGCGTCAGCTTCGCCAGTCCCAGAGGTGACGCCGGCACTTCCGAGCTCCACGTCGAGGTCGAGAACCTGGTCGCCAAGTTCGTCGGAAAGGAATCGGCAACCATCTTCTCCATGGGTTTCGGTACCAACGCCACTACTTTCCCTGCTCTCGTAGGAAAAGGCTGTCTCATCATTTCTGACGAGCTCAACCACTCTTCCATCCGTTTCGGTGCCAGACTCTCGGGCGCTGTCATCGAAATGTTCAAGCACAACAACGTCAATGACCTGGAGCGTGTTCTTCGCGAGAGAATCTCCCAAGGCCAGCCCCGCACTCACCGTCCCTGGAAGAAGATTCTCGTCGCTGTCGAGGGTCTCTACTCGATGGAAGGCACCATGTGCAACCTCCCCGAAATCGTCGCTCTCAAGAAAAAGTACAAGTTCAACCTGTTCGTCGACGAGGCTCACTCAATCGGTGCTCTCGGTATGCAAGGCAGAGGTATCTGCGATTACTTCGGTATTGATCCTGCCGAGGTCGACATTCTTATGGGCACTTTCACAAAGTCGTTCGGTGCAAACGGTGGCTACGTTGCTGGTGACAAGGCCCTCATCGACAAGCTTCGTGTAACCAACGCTGGAACACTCTTCGGTGAGGCTCCTTCTCCTCCTGTCCTGGTCCAGATCTCTTCGGCTCTTCGTTTGATCATCGGTGAAATCGCTCCTGGACAAGGACAAGAACGTCTCGAGAGATTGGCCTTCAACTCGAGATACCTCCGTCTCGGACTCAAGCGTCTTGGGTTCATCATCTACGGCCATGACGATTCGCCAATCATTCCTCTGCTCCTGTACAACCCCGCCAAGATTCCTGCATTCTCTCACGAAATGCTCAAGCGCAAAATCGCCGTCGTCGTCGTTGGATATCCTGCCACCCCACTTATTTCTTCTCGCGCCAGATTCTGTGTCTCTGCCGCCCACACCAAGGATGATCTGGACCGTCTTCTCGCAGCTTGCGACCAGACTGGCGACATTCTGCAGCTCAAGTTCAGCAGCGGTATTGCTGGTGGCAGAGAACCAATTCCGGATGGCCTCATGAACGTTGAAGAGATGGAGCACCGCGAAGAACTCGCAAAGGGCAAGACTCCCACTTACCAACCACCGCGCTGGAAGCTCGAGGACATCGTCAAGCGCGGTGTTCAGGACGTCAAGGCACCTCTCTTCTAAGGGTCGTACGAATATTCTCAGCCATTTTGGGCTCTTTTCTTATTTTTCGGGGCTTACATTTGGGACCTCTATCCCAACCGGCGTAACAAGGTGTTTGCGGAACAGCCATGACCGATGACCTGGGACTTTGAGGGGATTTTTTGTCGTTTGGGGCTTTCCCAATTTCTTCTTTCTTTAATTCCTCCTCTTAGCAGCGCGAAATTATTGTACCAGCACCCTGCTTCTTCTTTTGATTCTTCACAAGGCAATGCCTATGCTTTTACCCAGTTTTTACAACACCTTAGAACTATTTTTGTAGTATACCACTGGCAACTTGTCAGCATGACCAAGGCTATCAGGCTTATGTCTATTACAGCTTTGCTGTCAATCAAACTTCTCAATCATATCTCCATCATCCCCAGTCTGTCTTGACGTGTGGATCGGGCTCGACTTGACATCAAACTCATGGCGCGATTGTGGAGTTCCGATGATCACATGGGGATCAAGTGATGGGCGAGCTGCATGTGTAGAAATCGATATGCGGATGGCCCTGAGGCATCCCGGCCCGGGACCCGATCTTGGCCGCGGTTCTTCACACTTTCTGCTTCCACCTTTCCATATCTCAGATCAGATTAACACACAAACATTTCGCCAGCTCAGTCAGCCACATCTGTCAATCAATCTTGAATTATCTCGCTTGAATCCATTACGCTTCCTCCATCGAACCTCCATAATCTTCCGACGCGGACTGTGAACGGCTTTCTCGATTATCGTCAACAGAGTTGGATCCATGGCGCATCATCTTTGGAAAGCTGTCGGACTTTGCAGGCCGAGCGTGCAGTCCTTCATCAGCATCTCGAGGGTATCTTATTCTTCGTCACACCCAGTCGACGAAAGCACTTCCGAACTGTTGGAGAAGAAAATAACGCGTGATAAAAAGAGGGAGTTTCGCCGAATGAAGCTTCTCACTGATCCAGAATGGACGCTCCACATTAGGAAGAGGGCACAGAAAAATCACACCAAATACAGAGCGAGCCGGACCGAAGAACACTATCAAGCGATACTTCAACGAAATGCTGAGGCACGGCGGACAAAGCGCGCCGAGGATCCTGAATTCAGGTTCAAAGAATGGGTTTCTAGTATCGTGAGATCGCGTGCGTGGATCAGGGAGCGTCTGCCTTGGAAGACTCACACACCCGTCCTCTACTAAGACAGAGTCCAGCATACTTGCAGCACTTGTCTGGTCCCAAGGCTTGGATCGGCCTATAAATTGTGGTGGGCTAGCCATGACGGCAAACATTATCAATGCGGCCCATGCTATCTCAACGGCTCGAATATAATGCCTGAAGGCTATGAGGACGTGTCATCGATGGCAGAGCTCAGAAAACGGATGGACGAGCTAGGACATTGACCACGGTCGCTATTGAGGTTGACGAGAGGTTTATTGATGGCTGCCACCCTTCCCACAGCAACACAGCGACATGCGACTTTGAGCATGCAAAGTCGCTTCCAGATGTGTGACACTGTCCATTGAGGGTTGGCGAAACAACGACTCTCAGCGGATACTATCCTGATCATAGCAGCACTACGTGAGGGTCTACCTTAAAGCGTCCAGAGAGTCTTCTGTTTGCGGCGCTTCAGGAACATTGCCCAGGCTACTCGCGACATCACCTGTTAATGCGAGAGTAAGCATCGTCAAGGAACTCGAGAAGAGGAAACAAGGGCACGTCGTGCTGAGCCAGGATCTCGTGTCAAGAAAAAGGAGGTTGGATGAATCGCACTATGTTACCAGAGTCGAACGGCCGCTCTCATCTCGAACGTGTCGGTGTTTTTAGTAGTATCAATTACTGCATGCTCAAATGGCTACATTGAACTCATGGCGGGCAGCTCGAATTTGACTGTATTCTGCTTAACGATACGATGTTATCTGATGTACGAGTACGGAGTACCTTGAAATGATAGAATGTGTTGCTGTTTTCTCGCCTATAATTTCCATGACAATTGTTGCTCGGAGAGCATATCGGTGACCGCCCGAGGTACAGGGACTGTCACTTCCACGTTGCTGCAAGGCACCTATAGACTACGGCGGTGCCGAAGAACAGGGGTCCTCGAGACTCGGTGGGTCTATGCAGGAGTCGGGCCAATTTCTTTCTTTCAACTGCTCCACTCCTGTTCGGCTCCTCGAAATCCGTCATGAGGGAGAGAAAGACGGCTGGTGGACGAGCAAGATGTGACGAAGAAATCTCTTAGAGAGCAGATAGCAGGAGAGTAGTCAAACCGAGATGGCAAACGGTCTCCCCTGTGGTGAGTTTGGTCCCTCGACAATCGGGTAGTCGTGATCCTTGTAATTATAAAGTAGGGCATGGCACATGCGCATCCAACACAAGCTGCATTGCAGGACACATGTCTGTTGTTGCAGACTGCAAGCTCAAGTCATCCAAGATGACTTGTTGATGGTCATGTTGAATATTGAGTCAGCTCTTGTATCACCATCCCACATGCTTCGAAGGCCCGGAGATTGGCTAGGGCTAGGCTCGGGGCGAAAAACGTCGCAATAGGGTGTATCTGAAACATCAAATGTGTTGACGTGCGTTTGGTAGCAGATGTGATGCGGGATGTGTGTGTGGGTGAAGGTTGTTGGCGCTCAGAGCTTGGCAGTTGACAGCAATCTTGCAAAGAAGCACACCAGCGCTTAGTACTCCTGTCCGCCTGACGCCTATGCCCTACTAGGGCAGCACCATCGGAATCTGGATGTCTGTCTACAAGGAAAATGATTCGAAGACCCACAGAGTTGGGTGGTATGGAGCCAGTGATAAGAGTGTGCGACCTCTGATGCATGCGCTGGACGCCGCATGATTTTCTTCACCTACCTATACAGTAACGACGCTGAATTCATTCGTCCCGAAGTGAACCTTCCTGGTCGCGGACTGAAGTGTACTCATACACATTGGGGCCTCTGTGGTCTGCCGGGCGGGTTCGTCTCAACCTCGATGAGACGGTATAGCTATTATTCGATGTGGCTCTGGAAGCACGGCAATGAGCAAACAGCTTCGCGGCTCCTGAAACGCTTTTGCATCTCATGCAGCCATCTATGTCTGATACACCAGATGCGGGTCCTCCCGACGACTGTCTGCTGCACCAGTTCTGGAGCCTCCATCCCTCTCTCTCCCTTCCGGACCAACCGGTTTGCGAGTAACGGGAGTGCAATCAAACTCGGGAGCATGGCATTCTCGGGGTGTGGAGTCGGGATGCTGGTTGCCTCCCTGGACTATCTGTAGACTTTGTATATAGCAGCCCTTGTAGGTGTGCATCCCTTCCCTTGCTCTTCGTACCTTCATTCTCTTGGTCGATTTGCCTTCTATACAGCCTTTTCTTTTGGCGTTTACGCCTTTCCATTCATTCAGTCACTCCTTTGACCTTCCCTTGCACTGCTTTGATAGTAGTGTGCCACTCCTTTCGCTTCACTCTCTTCACGCAAATCGACATTCTAGAGCGCCTGCGCTTGTTCAAAACAAACATCCTTCTTTCAGCCCCCCAATCACTCTAAGATGTTCTCCAAGTTCTGGACCGCTCTGGCACTTGCTGCTATCAACATCCACCTCGTTGCCGCAAAGTCTGTTGTGGCGCATTTCATGCTCGACAACTCCTATGCCTACACTGTTGGACAATGGATGACTGATATGAAGACTGCTCAAAACGCCGGCATCGATGGCTTCTCACTCAATTGGATCCCCCCAGACTGCAACTCGCCCAGCCGCTCGTGGCAGATGAGCCGCATCGACGATGCTTTCCATGCTGCCGAAAAGACCGGCTTCAAGCTCATGTTCTCCTTCGACATGAGCTACACGACCTGCAACACTTTCTGGAACACGACATTCATGACTGACATGATAACCAAACACTCTGGCAGCTCGGCCACTATGCGCTGGAACACCAATATCCTCGTCTCTACCTATGCCGGTGATAACAACAATGCTTATGGCAACCAATTCTTCCAGGACCTCAAGAACTCTTGCAAGAATGCGGGCAGCCCTATCACTCTGGCTCCTGCTCTTGTCTCGTACGCCCAGGCTGCTCAGACCGATGCACAAAAGTCTGCTGCCAAGATGATGACCGACTACCCTGCCATCGATGGCTACTTCAACTGTGAGTTTATCTTACATACCTCATCGCCAACGTAGACTGACAATCTGCCAGGGCAAGCATGGCCCCTCATGGACTCGAACATGACTTGCACAGCAGACGAGGCATTCAAGGCCGCACTCACCAAGAACGGCAAGACGGGACCTTACATCATGGCCGTGTCCCCCTGGCAATACAAGGATCTTAACAACGGCATCGCTTCTGACTCTTGGGTCGCCTACTCCGACACTCTCTTCGCGCAGCGTCTCCAAACCATCGCCACCAACGAGTTCTCCCCCGACATCATCGAAGTCCTCACCTGGAACGACTTTTGCGAATCCCACTACCTGCGCGATCTACCCAGCATGACAAACACCAGCGCCACCGACTACGTTACCTACAGCAACGGCATGCAAAACTATGTCGATGGCATGAACCACGCTCCCTGGCGTGTGATGGCGAAGTACTACCTCAACTGGTGGAAGAACGGCAAGGCCCCTGTCATCACCATGGACCAAGTCGTCTACTGGTACCGCGTCCACCCCAAGGCTGCAGCATGTTACGGCGGCTCCTCCAGCAAGATCAAGAACCAGAACTATCCCGTTGACGCAGTGTTTGCTTGGGCACTTGTCAAGGACAGGGCTACCATCTCCATCAGTGTGGGTGCAAATCAGTACTGGGAGTTTGAGGCTGACGGCTCTGGTCCTGCTCTTTCGATGGTGCCTTTTCCTTCGGATTTGGGGTCTGGTACTGCGCCTGAGGTTAGCATCAACAGGAACAACAAGGTTGTGCAATATTCAAAGGGTAGCATGCCCATCACTGCTTCTTGTGTAAGTTTTCAATTGTCGTCTTTTGTTTGGAGTCAACACGTGCTGACATGTCATCTACAGAGCTGGAGCAACTTCAACGCTCACGTCGAACTTTGCGGCGAAGGCATCAACAAGGGTCCTTCTTCCTCTTCCTCTTCCTCTTGATTCGACTTTGAAAACGAGAAAACAACTTTTACATTCACCAACACACACCTTACACTACGGGAAATAAAAAAAAGAAAATGAGATCTGCTGGGACAGAACTCAAACTTTGCAAACGAATTCTTGGAGACAGAAAAGAGTTCTTTGCTATTCTAAAGGAAAAAGACATTACGTTGGGGAATGAGGATTGGGCAGGGAGGTATTGGGCACGGTTCAGATGACTTGGGGATGGTCACGACAAGGGGGTTTCTTTCTTCTCTTCATCTTCTTTTCGTCGAATGGATAAAGGTTCTGGATGATGGAGTTGTCTTTCCGTCTTTTTGATAGCTTTGTTCAATTGACTAGAAACCTGATGGTGTCTTTTGGTTGACCACCTTCAAGCGTGCCTTTGATGGTTGAAATCCGTTGGAGAACATTGTTATCAGCGTGTATAGATGAGATGACGACAAAGGATGTGAGATCCTGCGATAACGAGGTGACGAGGATCGCGGCCTCATTGTCGTCGTTGTTATCATCGCCATCGGGGTGGAAGCAGCGGAAGGAAAGCAGGTTTCTCAAAAAGGACTTGAATGTGTAATTGTTTGTAAGACGATGTGATGGGCGTGCTTTGTTGTGGTCAAGAAAGTGATGTTTGGAGTTGTCTTGCATGTAGCGAGCGAGCAGATTTGCTATCGTGATGCTCACGAACCAATTAACGAACAATTAATCTGTTCAATCCTCCTTCCCACAACAATTTCGTTTCATTTCTTCGTGGAAGGTTCTTCACGCCACTAAGCGTATTGAAGCTTGTATGGCACAGCATTGCCCAACTTGCTAACAATGATCTTCTCGGTCAGTTGCCACAAGTTTTCGCCGAGTTGCTGGTCGCAAGCCTGGCTTGAGGGATCAGTGACTTTGCGGTCGGGCACAATCTGATTTCTGTTAGCAGACATTCGTGTGGTTTGATCTCTGTCTGAACTTACGTATTGTCCTTGGACGCTATCCTTAACGATGTCTTCGCTGGTCGCTGCAAAGAGTGCTGGGCGACATCCGGCGTCGACAGGGTCCTTCAAGAAAGGCTTCACCGCTGCAACACCGATTGCACCGAGAGTTCCGTAAGCGTCGACGGCCTGCTTCTGTTGGTCGGTCTGAACACCGCCGGGGTGCACAGCATTCAACCAAGGTCCTGTGCTCTTGTCGGCATCGAAACCCAGTTGACCCTTCTCCTTGCGGGCTGCCAGAGCACGGATGTAGAGAACTTGAGCAAGCTTGGTTCTGTTGTAGAGCATCATGGGACCGATGTCTTGGTTGAGCTCCTCGATCGACTCGAACTTGACATCACTGATACCGCGATGAAGGTCCGACGATTGCAAGACAAGGCGAGAATTAGGAGTTTTCTGTAGTAGAGGAAGCAGAGTCTGGGCCAGGTGAAACTGGGAAATGTGGTTGACTTGCATGTGGGAGTCGATATTATCTTTGGTGAGGTTAAAGACACCAACACCGAGTCCAGCGTTACAGACGAGAGCGTCAAGTCTGTCGAGTTTCGAAGCGAGCTCCTTGGCTACCTCGTCGGTCTGCTTCAAGTCTTCGAGCTCGATTTGCATGGTGTGGACCTTTGAAACATCGCCATACTTTTCGAGTCCTTCTACGGCTTCCTTGATGTGCTCCTCCTTCTTGCCGAGGAGGTAAAGGGCGGCAGGGTTGTGCTGAAGAATGTGTGCGCAGATACCGAAACCGATACCAGCAGATCCACCTGTCACGACATAGACCTGCGATGTTTAGCAAATGGTCAATTCGTACTAGCCATATTCAATACCTTGCCTGCAAGATCAGGAATGTCAGTGTTGGGGTCGAAGGTGTTGCTGCTTCCAAACATGTTGATGGTATTGATGAATATTATGTTAATTGACAAGAGGACTGGTGTTGATCAAGTTAGAAGTCGAGTTGATATTTGGGAAACATGTCATATGTTCCGAGTGTTGTCTTGTTGCCATTCAGGTGCTCCGCATGTCATTTGCTCAGCCTGACGTCAACCATGATGAGACCATTTCTTGGGAAACGCGAATGAACGCAAGGTAGGTACAGATTTGCATCTCGCACAATGCTTGCACGTCTCGGCCGGAATCGTGAGAAGCGTACATTGAAACGAGTAAAAATATATCACCTTTGATCAGCAATTCAGGATGGTGTGAGCGTGCCACACAATACATGGAGAGGCATCACGATAGCTGCCTGTCTGCATGCGCTCTACTGATTTGACGACTACGCGTTCTTGATGCTACAAGGCCGTTTTCTCTGTGGCATGATCCATGACATATGAGTTGTAAGAAGAATTTCTCTTGAAGTTGTGGAGATGGCTCGGTCGGAGATGCCCCAGACTTTCAGCAGGCGCGTGTTCGGGCCGCAGGGTGGAAAAGCATCAGCGTGATCGGGAATTGAGCGCGACTTTGGACCTGTCGATACTCTGAACAGCTCCCTCTTCGATTTCATACCTACCGCTCATACGCAGACGAAGACGACCGTCGACATGGACACCGCACGAGAATGGCTCACGTGGAGCTTCAGCCCGACCATCGGAGCCATGCTCTTCACCCTGCTGCTGGCCTTGTCGCTACCCATAATCTTCCACTTGATCTTGTACCGCCAGAGCACCGCTAATGTCGTGCCTTCTTTCGTCCTGCTAGGTCCTAGTGGTGCCGGCAAGACCACTCTCCTTACCCTAGTGCGTCGACAAGACTTGCAAGCACATAACAAGGATACTAATCATACGCACAGCTCGAGCGCGGCGCCCCGACTGCTACACACACTTCGCAAGCTCCCCAGACCGTCACCTGCACACTGCCTACCGGTGTCTCGGCTGAATCGCAGAAATACCGCGCCTCGGACGACCCTTCCAAGAAAGAGCGCCAGGTCCAAGTGACCGACACACCCGGCCACGGCAAGCTGCGCCAGCACGCTTACGACGCCATTACTTCCACCACCTCTCTCAAAGGCCTGATCTTCATCGTCGATGCGGCTGCTCTGTCTAGCCCTCAGGGACTCTCCGAGGCTGCCACGTACCTTCACGACATACTGCTTGTACTGCAAAAGAGACACACTGGAGCCAAGAGCAGTAAAGGCCCCGCTGGAATCCCTGTGCTGATCGCAGCCAACAAGCTGGATCTATTCACCGCACTACCCGCTCAACTTGTTAAGAAGCGGCTGGAAGATGAAATTACAAAAATCCGATCAACTAGGGCAAAGGGACTGCTCGACAGTGCAGTCGACATGGAAGATGACGAGGATAGAGAATGGCTGGGTGAAGGCGGTGAGGGCAGCTTTAACTTTGGGCAGATGAAAGAGGCCGAAATCGAGGTCAGTGTGCTCGGAGGCAACGCCAGTGCGAAGGGCGAGGAAAAGAGTCAAGCGGATGCGTGGTGGACATGGATTGCACAGCAGATGTAAGCTCTGTTGCTGTAGGTATGTATCGGCTGAATTACTGTGTTCGCAAGAGGCTGATTAGATGGCGTTATGCGTAGGATTCGGTCGTTGCGTCTCGGCGTTACTAAAGAAAAGGCCAAACAAGCTTTGGTCCAAGGGTCCGAAGCTGGTCAAAGGCCCTTCACAGGGCGTCCTACCGGGCGTCTTCAAAGACAAAGTGTTTTTCTCTGCTCCTCTCCTTTGATCTGTTTCCATCTTACTTTTCCTTTCCTCCAATACTGACCGCACATCGACCAACATCCATCATGTCGATCAAATCACACCCCAGACACCCGCCCGTCGTCATGTCGACCATCACCGAGCAGATCGGCAACACCCCTCTTGTCCGCCTTAACAAGATCCCGCAATCTCTCGGTCTCAAGCCCACCATCTACGCTAAGCTCGAGTTCTTCAACGCCGGTGGCAGTGTCAAGGATCGCATCGCCCTGCGCATGATCGAAGCTGCCGAGGCCTCTGGCCGCATCCACCCTTCCAAGACCACCCTGATCGAGCCCACTTCTGGCAACACTGGTATCGGTCTTGCTCTCGTCGGTGCCGTCAAGGGCTACAAGGTCATCATCACTCTTCCCGAGAAAATGTCACAAGAGAAGGTTGCCGTCCTCAAGGCTCTCGGTGCCGAGATCATCAGAACCCCGACTCAGGCTGCCTATGACAGTCCCGAGAGTCACATTGGTGTCGCCAGAAGATTGGAGAAGGAAATCCCCGGTGCTGTCATTCTTGACCAGTACGTCAACCCCGACAACCCGAGAGCCCACGAGCTCGGCACAGCTGAGGAGATTTGGGCACAAACCGGCGGCAAGATCACTGCCCTTGTTGCCGGCGCTGGTACTGGTGGCACCATCACTGGTTTGGCAAGAGGCATTAGAAAGCACAACAAGGACGTCAAGATTATCGCTGCCGACCCCCATGGCAGTATCCTTGCCATGCCCGCCGCTCTGAACGAGGACTTCAAGGACCAGCCCTACAAGGTTGAGGGTATTGGCTACGACTTCATTCCCGATGTTCTGGACCAGTCAGGTGTTGACACATGGTTCAAGACCGACGACCGCACAAGTTTTGAGTACTCAAGAAAGCTGATCAGAGAGGAGGGTCTCTTGGTTGGTGGAAGCAGTGGCAGTGCCATGGCCGCCTGTGTCAAGGCTTGCACTGAACTCAACCTAACTGAAGACGACGTCGTTGTCGTTGTTCTGCCCGACAGCATCAGAAGTTACCTGAGCAAGGTTCGTTTCTCCTACTCATCCAACCTCCGCATGTTACTGACCACTCTTACAGTTCGTTGACGATGACTGGTTGGCCGCAAACGACCTCCTCCCTCCCACTCCCCCGCTTTCCGGCCCTACAACACCTGTTGCAAAGTCTGAGAACAGCAAGAGCAAGGATGGCTACGGTGATGCCACCATCCGCGATCTGCGCTTGAAGCCCGTTACCTCCATCTCGGCAGACTCCGCATGTGGCGAGGCTATTGAGACCATGCGTGAGAAGGGCTTCGATCAACTGCCCGTCTCGGCTGGCACTGGCTCGCGTCTTGTCGGTCTCGTCACGCTCGGAAACCTTCTGTCATACCTGTCATCTGGCCGCGCAACTGGCCACTCTCGTGTCAGCGAAGTTATGTTCGACTTCAGAAAGATCGATGAGGTCGTCACCAGCACACACGACATCAGCATCAAGACCCCTGAAGAACGCAAGAAGGCTGCTACCAGCAGCGAGACCGAGAGTCATCCTGAGCGCAGACAATTTGTCGAGATCACAAAGGACACCAAGTTGAGCGCATTGAGCCGCTTCTTCGAGTGGAATAGCGCTGCTGTTGTTACCGAGAAGACATCGGAGAAGGGTGGCTACAAGGCAGTTGCAGTTGTGACCAAGGTCGATCTCCTGACTTGGTTGGTCAAGTCATCGAAGCTGGATCAGAGCAACTAGAGACGACTGTTAACGAAGGCGTTCAGGAGTGGGATCATGATGGGATCGTAGCTTCATAGCAAGATCCTGATGTCAACTTTGGGAAATAGTTTGAAGGCGAAGATGTTTTTAGATGAGTATACCCATGCATTTTCTTTTTCCAACTCAAGCTCCGTGTGTCTCATTTTCAGTGTTGGTCTATGTTGTCGAGGAAAGAGCAGTCATGAGACTGAGGGCAAGTGCAGGTTGGTTGGTCGTGCTTGACGCGGTAGGCGTGTTTTCTCTTTCCTTTTGTGTGTCTCTTCTGGGAACTTGTATTGGGTGAGCAATCTTGAGACATTCTCTCAGACTCCAAGCAAAGTTCAGAAGGTAGGTGATGGGCGTCACGGAGGCTCCTGGTGCCTAGAGATGGCTGATCATGGTCCAAGCAGGTTCATGGACGCTTTGCAACCAACACATGCCCGACAGCGTTCGCGTCGCCGCACAACACGTCTGCCTCTACCCAACATCCGCTCTTTGTTCCAACGCATCCAGCGAAGCGTCCGCTCGCATCTACACCTCTCCCTCCGTCGTTCAACCACAAGTCATATCAGAGACGCTTCTAGAACCACTGTCACTGCCGCTGTTCCGTCCGTTTCTACCGAACCGGGACACAGCCCTCCGGAAATGTCTATACAGCAACCATTTGCCATCGGCACTTTCATCATGTCGTCCTCCAGGGGCCTGAGGCATGCAGCTCGTCAACTGCGTAGAGTCGATGAAAGTCCCCTTGAGCACGCACTCCGCAGATCCCGGCGCGTGGCTGGAGAGGCTCCAGAGTCGGGTCCCTATCATCCTCCACCTCGTCTTTCACCTCGTCGTCGGCCACGCCAAGAAGCTGCGTCTCGCCCTCTTGCTCAATCCGAGCCAACACTACACCCTCCTCCGCCAGCTTCGACTTTCACTTTCACTCGAACTGCTCCACCCGTGCCCTGGCCTGGCTTCGGTTCTGCCAGACTTCCTCCTGACGTATCGCCTGATCCAATTCAGTCCTCACATCTCCATCCACCACGACGCCCAGCTATGGCTGACATCGCCCGTCCACAGGCGGCCCTCGCATCTGCACACTTACAGATCCCTCGAAGTCCATCGGTTCCTGTCAAACAGGAGGAGCCCCCGCCCACGGCAGAGAAGAAGCAAATCGTCTGTGAAATTTGCTGTGAAGAAACTGAGGCCCGGATACTACAGCCATGTCGAGGTTGTGATGTATCATACTGCGAAGACTGCATCAGGAACATGTTCTTGCAAGCCACTCGAGATTCGACTTCAATGCCGCCTAGATGTTGCTTCATCTTTTCAACCATGGTTGCTCTTGAATTTCTTACCACCGCTGAAGCTGATGCATATCGCCTCAAGTTCGAGGAATGGGTTTCAACCAAGAAGACCTACTGCCCCGTCCCGAAATGTTCCCGCTTCATCCCAGATCGTGCAGTTCTTTCCCCACCTTCTACGGAGCCGGTCAACTTTTGGGATCTCTTAAAACCGGAGCTTCCTGCTGTCCTAGCAAAACTTCAGAAAGAGGATTGTGCTCGATACCTTCTGAATGCTTCATCTCCTGGAACCCATGGTCTCGGAAATTGGAAGGAGCGCGGCAACATGGTCTGGCTTGAGGATATCGCTGCAAAACTACCCCGGTATTCCGACTTGGCTGCATTCGCGAGCGATTTCCACCGACTCTACGCAGGCGGCCGTTCCATGCCTCCACAACCCTCAGCTTGTGCTAGTGTCTTGCGAAGACACTTGTGGAAAGAGATTGGTAAGATCAAAGGTCGGGTCAGCGCCAAGTTCGCGACTTTACCTGCTACTGCTTGCTTTTCTTGTCCAGAGTGTCACATTGGTATATGTCCCAGCTGTAAACAGGTTGCTCATTCTGGAAAACCTTGTGATAACACGGCTCAAGACCACGAGATCGCAATGCTCGAGACTTATGGCTACAACAAATGTCCTCGTTGCGGCCACGGTGTGAAGAGGATGTACGGCTGTCGCCACATGCAGTGTCGTTGTGGTGCTCATTGGTGTTGGGGGTGTCTTCGTTCTTTCGAGGAGTGCGACGGAGGTTGTGACTACCCTGGCTCCGAAAGCGAAGATGGCTATGACAGTGATGAAGAAATTGACCCTGATACTCTACAAGCCAACACTGCTCCTCGGGGGGCTCGAAACGATGTGCAGAATGGTACGGCCACTGCTCCTACTCCGGGAAATGTTCCTGCTATGGCAACCCAATCTATCGTCTCTCCAGCAGGAGAAGCACGCTCTGGCTCTTCTGTTGAGCCGCCAGTCAACCTTGATGCCGGTGGTCGTGTTGTTTGGGAGGCTGCGGGTGCTGATTTCGGGGGCGAGCCTGACGAGGAAATTCACGATCCAATCTGGTCATGCTCGCATATCTTCAATCCTGCAAAGCTCTCAGTAGAGGCACACAAAAGGGGTGTACCTCTTGGATCAGAGTGCTTCCGCTGCTTTTCCAGAACTTATGCGACTATTAAGAAGTCGAACGATGATCCCTCTCGCAAGAGTCAGGACTTTGGAGACGATGTCCACAAGCACAGTGCAGAAGAAGACGTGGCATGGGCATGTGTTGGTTGCGAGTTGATACTGTGTGGTGTCTGCAAGAACGATGTGGTGAGAGAGCAAGGTTTGTGAGTTGCTTCAGCAGCAGCAGTCTAACAATATCGATGTTGATCGAGGAGGGTGGACTCAGGAGGTCCCACCATGGAGACGCTGGTCGAGGTCAATACAGATTGACTATTGCTACTTTGCGCTACAAGAAGAGAGGCTTGATCATGATTCAGAGGCATATCTATCAGCTGCGGCATTGCTGCATCGCTCCTGAGCGTTCCTAATATTCTAATTGGTATTTTAATCTAACACTTTTTACTCTTTTTCTTCTCGTAGCCCTGTCATTTCTTAACGTATGTCAACTGCACAATAGGCGAGATGCACAGCATTCCGTTATTCGATCTTTTGTCGACTTTTGCGTTTGGTGCAGCTAGCGCAATAACAGCCCAAGTGCCCATCGCTTCTTGTGTCACCCTGTCATTAAGATCATCTGGGTATATCTCTGATCATATCATTCCCAGATAGTCACTGGATCTTTTGTGTGCTCACTCGACATTTTGGATGATAGTTATGACATATCCTATCATCTATCGCCACCGTGGTAACTGTTGGTTGCGTGGAGAGTGAACAGCCGGAAAATGGGCGTTCGTGCGTGCAATCTTAACATGAAAGTCATCGACAGACAGCTGCCCAATCTGAATCCAACACTCTGACCTAATCTGCATCGTACGTACTATAATACGATGATGTGGTGCTTTGAGCGTCTCTGAAAGTGGTAGAATGAGAAGTATTGTGGTTTGAAAATCCTAGGATATGGATGTGGCAGGGAACGGACAGGGTTACACTTGAGCTTATGTCCACCGTTGCCGAGTCCATTTCAAAAACCACAAATCGCGACAGCAATGGTCACACGCTCAAAACATAACGTGGCACAAAGACAACACGAAGCAGGAACAAAAAGTGTAGAGAGTTGATAAGATCATTTTTGAATTGTGATAATTATCGAAAACCAGAAAACTTCCAAGGACCGCTGCGCCTTGAGATTTTCCGTTTCAACCCAGCCTATGCAAAATGTGAAGGCTGGCACTAACTAGAAGAAAGCAAGAGGTGTGTCGTCTCATATCGTAAAAGAGGTGTGTAAAGCGCCAAACAGCACTTTACATCTTTCCCTTGACCTCAGCAGCCTTGCCCTTGGCCTCGCCAGAGAGCTCAGCAGCCTTGCCCTTGGCAGCACCAACGACCTCGCTGACCTTTCCTTTCACCTCGCCAGACGAGCCAGTGGCCTCGTTGACAGCGCCCTTTGCTTGGCCAGCAAGCTCAGAGGCCTTGCCTTGTGCCTGACCCATCAACTCGGAAGCCTTTCCCTGCACTTGGCCCGAAGTGGGAGTAGAGGCGGAGGCGTTGTTGGCGGCGCCCTTGGCTTGACCCGAGATCTCGGAGGCCTTGCCTGAAGCTTGGCCGGCGACTTTGTTGGCGGTGCCCTTGGCTTCGGCGGCGTTCACACCGGCGGCGGACTTGATTGAGGCGGCGGCTTGCTCTGTGACGCAATGTGTTAGTGGAGGTAGTGAGAGAAGAGGGAGTGGGAACACGTACCACCGGTCTCGATGCCCTTGACGGCGGCGTCGGAGATGGTTCTGTCGACTGCCTGAGCGGCCTCCTTGATGGTGTCGACGGCAGACTTCTGGAAGCGCGCGTTGGTGCTGAAGAGGCGGGCGTTGCGGACGATGCTTGAGCGGAACATTGTGGCGGTGGTATGTGTGTGGTTTGTGTTTTGTGAAGAGATAGGTTATTGCAAGAGGATTTGAAATGTGAAGGCAGTAAAGAGAAAGGGCGATCTTTCTTGTGTTTATAGCTTTCTTTTCCCTGCCTCGGTGGAGCAATGTACGTCTGATGTCGCCATGACATCACTGGTGTTTTTGTGGGATGTTATAGCTGGAGCTTGGACCCCTTGCTATACGATTCTACAGAAGGCCATTCATCTCGATTCCTGCATTGAAGGACATCTGTTCACGGCTCAAGCGCTATTGATGCTGTTTGTGAACACACAGATTGTGCCATGTAACCTCCCTCTCAAAGATAATACAACTCGGCTCGCTCGTAAGACTAGACCTTTCGAGCTCTCGATTCTCGCGATGCACCTGAAAAAGCCACACGAACCAAAAGGCCATGCTTTCCAACGGCCACTGGCTGTTCCGGTCAGGACCGTAACTTTGTCATGGAAACAGGTTCTTGCAGCGAACGCAATTCTTCGATTGATCGCGAGTGCTGCTCGGGAGCATCTATACCCGAGACCTTAGACGCCCTATTCTAATTAATCTACTTGAGGGTTGCCTGCACTCTCCTCCATGTACTCTGTCGTGCAATACTATCAGGAAGACTTCTTCACTTCCTCCTTCTTTGCTCGGTCCTTGGCAAGCTTCTCCTGCTTCGAAAGTTGTGCTTCGACAAAGACACCTCCGAACACCAAACCAACACCAACCCATTGCATTGGACTGAGACGATGACCGAACCAGACAACTGACAAAATCATGGTAAGCATCTTTCTGGTTACCGTAACGGTGACCAAGAGGAGCGATCCAAAGGTCGAAAGAGTGTAGACTAGCATATAAATTAGCTCTGATATACCCTGTTCGAGTGAGGAGATTGTAGCCTTACAGATGAACATTTGACCCAATGCACCACAGGCTGCGAATGCAAAGATGTCCCAACCAACACTTGGGTATCTCTTGACGAAGTCGATAGCGTACTCCAATTCTCCTCCAGAAGCGGCACTCATGCCGAGATATGCTCCTACCGGTGTAGTGGCGATGTATGGCGAAACCATCAGATACACCGAAGTCAAGACTGTGCTGATAGAGTTGAGTGCACACATCATCTGCTGTCCAGTATACGGTCTGTACGACTTGTAGATGTGGTCCTGAGTCGAGTTGGTGAGACCGTCGAAAAGTAAGTTGATACCAAGAAGAAGCAATCCCCATGCACTGCTACCATCGGCTCCCTTCTTTTTGGACGATGTGGGGTGGTGCAGAGTAAAGACTGCCACGCCAGCTGTGACGAGCGCGACAACGCAGTACTTGTAAAGAGGGTACTTGCGGCGGAAGAGAGTAACATGCAAAGCCATGACAGGGAGAAGCTTGCAAGACTTGGCAAGGATGAAGGTAATGTAGTCGACATGCTTGAGGGAAGCATATCCAAAGGGAGAGGCCAGAGAAGATGTGATGGCTACCAGGAACATGGGGAATATGATACTGCGGCTGGGGAAGACAGGCAGATCATTGGACTGCTTGCGCGTAAACAGCACATAGAGGTACCCTAGTAGTGCTGCGAACGTCGATTGTACTGTGTTGATGAAGACGGGAGAGTTGAACTTTTCCGGAGATATAGAGCTGCCATATTGAGTCGTTGTGATGCGTTCTTGTAGCACGCCCCATGTCAAACTAATGAATCGTCAGCCCGACTGTGTTCATGTCTTGAGAGTGTATGAAGTGTACAAGGAAGCGTAGATTCCACCAACACAAATCACGAGGTTCTTCGTCGTTTGCGCACTTCTGGACGAGGATCGATCCGTCGCAAGACCATCAACCTGCCTTTGCAGCAGGGCCTTCTCATCCAGTGCTCCATTCCCACTCCTCTGTTTTAGTCCGCCGTTGCTCGCCATCCTGATTATGTAGTTTTGTATGAGAGTCAAGAGCAAGACCAGAATCCAGTTGTTTGCGAAAAGAAGTTGTCCCGGATTGCCAGTGTTGAACAAGAAGAAGAAGAGTAACGGATTTCCAGATTATTTGACGGGTCGTCGATGACTCGATGTATTGTTTGGAATTTCAGACATATGTTCAGGGTCAACATCCAGCTGTCCTTCTCGAAGTCGCTCGACGCTCAATTTAGAAAAAGCTAGACCGAATCAGGTCAGAGTCGGCTTCACGCTTTTCCATGACAATTTCGAGACCACTCAATCATACTCAAACCTCTCTCTCGTTCCGACAGGCTATGACAATGCAGAATCATGTTCGAAGTCGAATCTGTTACCATGAGATAGTCACGGCACTTTTCCAAATGCCGCCATAGATGGTTTCCGAGACCCACACCTCCTACGATGAGATACGATTAATATTCGAAGCTATAAAGATGCACAATGGCCACTAAGAGAACGGCACGGCCAAGCAGATGTCCTACCAACATACCACCGCGAGCATCACTACAGCAGAAAAGTATCATGCAGGCCTATAGCTACTTACGCCAGTGCTTAGTATAGCAGGAGACACAGCAGCAACAATACTAACGCAGATACTGGATTTATCCAGTATCTGCAAAATTTATAGCCCGAACGAGCCTCGAGAAGCGCAAAAGGTATGTGTGATTGATCATCCTGGGGCTCGGACCCAGAGCCAGTAAATTTCTCTTGAGGATGCGACCCGTCGATTGGCTTAGGAAGATTCCTTCGTAGGACAGTTTCTCGATGTACAGAATACATGAATAGATTTCACACTGTCTGTGTATATGTTGGTTGTTTGGCGCAATGGTAGCGCGTTCCCCTCCTATGCTCACATCCGAGGTAGTGTCCAAAAAGGGAAAGGCTCTGGGTTCGAGTCCCAGGATGATCAATCACACATACCTTTTGCGCTTCTCGAGGCTCGTTCGGGCTATAAATTTTGCAGATACTGGGTTTAAAGATCGATGGTGCTCATGCAAAACAGCTTTGCATCACACTCGGCGGACAGGAGGAAGCCTCTTGTGCTCAGGAGTAAGGGCGTGGCGGAGATGTAAAGCTCAAGACAAACATAGACATCAAGATACAGGCTTCACAACACCGCCCTCTAAAGCTCGTGTCATCTGGCCAGCACGCATAGAAGACAGCTAGCTTCCGTATCACACCCGTCTATACGTAACGCACCGTACTTCTAAGCTATAGGTAGGCACAATAGTCTGAAGAGACAGATTCGTATCCATCGAGAAGCGACATACTTTCTGCTTTCCTTGGGCATATCTTTAGTCTGAACATCTTCATGTCTTTCTATAGCGAAGACCTCGCTATAGATCTTACAAGAAGAAAGAGAGAGATACAAAAACTAACACACGGGGAGACAGTGAAAGATGGCCTCGCATCAATTTACTCCAAGTATCTTTGTTCGCTCGCTATAGATCCACCCTCACTACCTTCTCTTAGATCATACTGTGTGCAAAGACATACCAGTTAGGTAACTATAAAGTTGCACAGTATTTTCATAGATGAAGGGGAATCAGATGAGAGCCGCATCATCATCAGTTTCTCATTGGACTAGTGTACTATCAGCGAGCAACTATGCATTGTGATAGCTTGGTTATTCCTCTGCGTAGCACGTAGAGAGGTCGGTAGTTGAGTGGCTCTTATTAAATCGATTTGCTTCTGTAAGTAATGTCACATGTGAGGGAATTTTTGAACTGCGTAGATTGTAAAAGCCAATTTTGGGCTATCAAATCAACATTCTGATTTGTCTCTGCCTTGTATCGTCCCCTTTTCATCTTGCATTCAAGATATCGTGTCCTGTTCTCGTATCCTCTCATTGTCATCAACTTCTGCCATCTTCGGGTCCCATATCGTCTGCCGAGATGCGTATCTCTCGTTCCAAGAAATGATGTTTTTGCTCGTTCCTCCTCAAATCGGAACTTCATTAACTTGGTAAGCTCATATCACTTCTTGATCTCCTTTCTTTCCTTCTGGATCTCTTCCACTTGCGACTTGTTTGATCCCCGCCCTATAGTAGGTCCCGTGTGCATAGTAAGCGCATTTCTGAACCAATCTGGCGCCGACGAGAAGGGGTCTATGCCCTGTTCGCGGAGACGTAGCTCCAATTCCAGATAACCCTCCAGCTTGCTCAAATCGTGACTCTCGTGCCTTCTGTGGCTGGGACGTTGTGTCAGTGACCTCCGAATCCACAGTATTTTCAGACTTACCTCGTGTTGGGCTTCTCTCCACCAGGTTTCGAAAGGCAAGGAATCTGTCAGCCGGAAGGCGTCGTTGCGGTCTCTTGACTCCCAGTATCCTTCGAAGTCGCTCAAGCTGAGCGGCTTTCAGGATTAGGCCAAGGTTATCAATCTCACGAACTCCTCCTTCTTCGATTGTTCGAACTCTAGGACGCCCCCCTCAAGGATACGCCAGAGATCTTCAGCGGTCTGACGCTGCAGGTATTCAAGAATCTATCATGAAAGGGATACTGCGTTGTCTTTTTCTTGACGGAGCATTGTTTTGCACTGTGACAGGCAGGGATGGTTGATGCTAGATCTATTGGAGCTTACGACTTTCGCCAACGAGGTATCCTGAAGGGGGGTTAATGATGATACCATTTTCAAGGTTTGTGAACTTCTCGTGACGGTCGATGAGAAAAAGTCGGCGAAGGAGTCGAGCAAGAGTGACTACGTGCTAGCCAGCATCTCCGCGATCAGCCAGGAATACGCAGCCTCGCTTCTTTGTGTTTGGCCTTCTTTCTGGACTCTTCAAGGCGCGGTTGGGCGACAGATTCTTTGGATGCTTAATTAAGTAACTCCTTATAGATTGTCATCAGAAGTTGGACGCGAGGGTCCCTAGAATTGAGGGAACCACTCCTTTTTGCTCATGACGTCCAAGTAATGGTGAACAAACTTGACGGCGGCAGCAACTTTCATGCTATCTTCCTTCCCAGCGACTGCATCATCCACTTCTCGTATTTTCGCCTTAGCATTGTCGATCCTCCGCTTGGCAGCTTCGACCTCTCTCTGCGCGCCAGCAAGATGATCGTCTAGAGACTTGATTTCTGCGTCCATCTCGGCGATGCTTAGATCTGAGATATCCTACAACACGTTATAATTGATTCTAAAAAGAGCACAAAGACGAAAGCATGCAGTGTCTACCTTTTCGACCATGTCGGGCGCTATTGCGGTATAGACAGGTTGTTATTAAAGCGGATGATCTTCTTTTGTTGCACGAATGACAACGCTGAATGCCGTGACGAAGGCTGCAAATTAACTGCAAAGCAGTGTAGTCACTCAGATTTGAATGGCAAGCGGTGGCAGAGATGGTTTAGCCACACAGATTTGAATGGCGGACGGTGACAGAGTGGCATAGCCACTCAGATTTGGATGGCGAACAGCCTATGTTTCGAAAGGCCCTTGACGAGCAGTTTTTGTTTTAAGAGAGTTTCGTGGTCAGTGACCAGAAAAACCACACCGCAGAGTCTTTGGCTATAGCGCTACTGTTCACGGTCAGTGATCAGAAAAACCACACCGTAGTGCCTTCGGCTATAGCGCTATTTTTCACGGTTAGTGACCAGGAGAACATCCCCTCAGGATCGACTGCTTACTTGTACTGCTACCGTTCATCCGTTCATGTTTTCTGGTCACTGATCATTGGGACCCCTAATAGGAGCACCTTTTCTTAGCTCAAATAGGTCCTGGAGCTAACGGAAACGCACTCTCAGCTCAGAGTCGTCCTGGACGTGACATATATTTCAATATCGTCGAACCCAGTCTCGAGGTAAACAGTACCACATGGTGATGCTTCTGTCTCGATTCCTATATGAAGCCTTGCGACAGCTTGTTCACCCCACATGGAGGCTTCAAGCATATACGCTTCCTTTCTATAAACTTCCTCATATCTCTCTTTACTTCTTCCTCGATCCTGCATCCTCTCTACCTATCTTCTTTCCCTCTTCTACTCATTATTTCTGCACCTCGATCTTCCCTCGAATACTCCAACATCGATACCTTACATATCTATTAACTATCAGCCAATCTCTGCCATTCATCCACGTTCTACGACACATTGAGATACGGTCAGCATAAGCGATCATCAAATCGTTCAACTCTTACCACAACTCTCATGGCTCACAAGTTCACTAATCCGCTCGAGAGGCTCAGCGATCCTCGGAGTCTCGAAGACGTGTCCAGACTCATAGCTGGAAATCAGAAGGGCCTTGAGGTCACAAATCAGTTCTACTATAAGGAGATACTGATTCTAGAGGTTGTCTCGGAATCTGATTCTCGACTAAAAAAGAGCAACAAGAACAAGAACGAAAGTATATCGAGGGTAATACGCCGCCGAATCTTAATTCTCGGTCATACTGTCGACAGCGACGATCTAGTGGCTCTCCAGGTCAAGCACAAAAACATCTCCTGGGTTAGCCATGGTCTTCAATTTGGCTCCGAGAAACGTTTGAAGAAGCATATCCACCATCCAGCAGTTGCTTGGTGCAAAGGTCTTGCCATGGTCCACACAGGAAGCAGCTTTGCACACGCGAAGACAAATATTCACCGAATGGAGCAAGTCACGGAGCTAATGCAGCTTGTGTGCGACAATTCTGTGGAATGGCGTGAGCTGGATCTTCATGCTCTGGAAGTAAGTCAACACAATGGCTTGACCGCGGTGCACCACCGCTAACTTCGTATGCAGGCCAAGATTGACACTTTCGAGCAATACCTCGATCCCGAGTTGTGCCTTGAAAATTCGGCGCAGGACCAAGAAAGCGAAACTCCCACAAACACCGCTTCGCCCACATCTGGGTCATCTGATGAGATGTATGGGACTACTGAAGGCAGGATATCCGCTACTGATACGCAACTTCATATCGATCAACAGTATAAGGACGAACACAATCCTGCTCTCACGGATCATCTGGATGGAACGAAGGAATATACACCTCTTGATTTGTCTACAACAAGTACTGGAAGCAATGTTGGTTCGCAGATACGCCATAACGGACAAAAGAGGTCCCATGACATTGCTTTCAGTACAAATGCTCAGAGGATGTCTCCTGCCACAACGGAACCCAGTGACCCAGAGAGAAGAGTTCAAGACCCGGACCGACTCTGGGAGCAAATCGAGACAGACGTGGGAATACTGGCGGAAGTCTACCAAAAGTTCGCTATGATCACTGTCAAGAGCGTGAACGACCCAGTAGGCCCTCGCCGCCTCAAGGTACTGGATATGGCGAGCCTGAAAAAGCCGACTTCATACCCTGGGTGTGTTGAACGATTCATGACTGCAATTAGCGCAACGGCCCTACATAATTGCTTTGATGGTGCGCTTGATGCCATCGATTACGAGATTGCCGACAATGTTTGCAAGGCAAGCAGGGTGCTCATGGATCATTGCCGCCAAATTCAAATTGCCGATACTCGAGGCGATGGTCCATCACCAAACGGAGCCCAGAAGCGTGCTTGCAAGAATTTTATGGAAGATGCTAGGAGATATCTGCAGATGTGGCAGTAGATGACAGAGCGCGATGGTATGGCGACTCTTATCGACCTTGAATGGAGCGACGACTCATACATCAGATTTGAGCAGTTCATACAACGCGCTGCTGCCGATGGAGTGGTCACTATCACCGTGGATGTGGTCATGCAGTACATGCAAGCTGCTCAGTCAAGTAGGGCAACCGACAAACTTCAGAATTTCTTGGTTCAAGTCAACCGCATGACCAGAGCATTGGGATCAGCAATGGACGAGCTGGAGGAATTACAGAGATAGGGATAGGAGGATGCTGGGGAATGCAAGCATTGATGGCACAGCAGAAGAATCGGTATTCAGTAATCATACGAACGACGACAAGGCATGGGGCATGAGACAGAACAGAACAAAATAGCAGAAAGACGATGCAGCTATCTCCAATATTAATTAAATATCTGTTTCTTTTGCATTCGACAATGCTTGGAGTGATGAAGTCTACCGATGTGTGCTAATTGACCCACATTCCTGTCTATATCTTGCCGTTATTCAACTATGCTACAATAGGCTTGACACTTTCTTTGCTCAAAATAATACGCCTATGAGTATTAGAATGCACAAAGTTACGAGGAAACACCCCGCATCCACTGAGAGACGATAATCATATAGCCTTCCATGGACTACTCGGTCTTCTATACAAGACTGCGCATTTTTACAGCACTGATTGTACCATGTGTCAATTGGAGAATCAGCGAATCGTTCAACTTCCTCCACATGCTCACGACTGTCACGCTGTAGCTATGAGAATGCATAATGTCTTTGGAGGCGAAGTCACGCCCGCTGAGAAGTCATGTTTACACAGCTTTCTGTGGGCTATTCTCCCATCTGAATAAGACTGTGCTTCCTACAACCCGAAATGCTTCCCTTGTGTTGCTCCCATGGAAGGACGAGGAAGGTGAACCAGACACAGGTTGTTCAGCTTCCTTCCTCTGTACAAGACTACCAGTCCGGTAGCTATAGAAATGCACCATGTCTTCGAGTACGAGGCCATGTCCGCTGAGAGAGTATATCTTCACAGATCCTCTTGGACACAAGTGAATTCCAGTAGCGACTGTGCATTTTGATAGCTCATGATATTGCTATATGTCGCTGTGAATAAGAGGTCGAGTACGACACTAGGACTTCTCAAAGTCCAATGTTGATATGCCCAGGTGTGGGCTCCTGATCGGCTAGAACGCCAGCCCATGCGCTCCAATCCAGGGCGCTGTCGTCAAGAAGCAGAGGTACCCCGAGCTCATTCTCCGTCTGCGTCAAGAAGTCTCCGACCAAAGGACCAAACAATGCCATCTCGGTGGTAACGGTATCTGGACGACCAGCCGCAGGACTAGCCTGAACCATGGTCGATGCTTCACTAGATTCACCTCTTGAGGCTTTGAACGTGACGATGGATCGAAGTACCGCATCCAGATGACCACAGAACTCCGACGCGGCCAAATTGCCTAGCATACTCAGCTGACGCAGAAGATGGGTAGCTGACTCCAGATCATTCTGGTGTGACTTCGCGTGACTGTCGCCAGAAAGACTCGATAATGCCAGAATCGTGGCCGAAGCGAAAAGATATTGGACACTGAGATAGTCAAGCGTGAAGAAGGAGCCATTCAACCAACTCCGCATCAACAAACGATAGCTGTGACCTGCTGAATGGGTACAGGTTGCTGCCAACGCCAGGGTAGCTTGTGAGATCTCTTCTGTAGCGCCTCCAATCTTATTCGAGATTCTGAACACGTGAAGCAGTATGGGTCGCGTTGCCAATACGACACATTGGTTGAAAGACAGATGCAGCATCACAATGTGGCGTGCAACCTGACTCGAAGCATCTTCTTGTCGTAGTTGCATACTTGGAGGCAAAGCCTCAACCCAATCTCGAAGCTTGCGGAAGACGGCTTGTACTCGTTGCGAAAAAGAGTCAGGCTGTTTTCTCCGGCTGTACAGGCTGCTGATGATACCGCCGGCGATACGAGCTAGACTGATACTAGCAACGAGATAGTCGGCATCGATAAAGTCATCCTTTTGTGCTTCAGTCAGACCATCATCGCTTGGAAGGTCTACCTCAACGTCCTCATCCTTGAGAAGGGTTGGATACCCAACTTTGGAGCTCATCATCCGGTCCAGAACATACATTGTCCACCACAGACGGACTCTGCGTTGTCTAGCAGCTTTATCCGGCAACTGTCGCTCTGCCATGTTTTGGTACATTCCTATCGTTAAAGCTAGTCTGATGGCCGAACCGATGTATCGGAAAGCGCTGTGTCGTCTGTTCATGACAGAATTGTACAAAGCAAACATGACGAGAATTTCGATGTGGTCAATCTTTGGGCGTTCCGGAACAACTCGAAGGATGGTCTTGGCTCTCGCAAAGTAGTGCAGTCCGGGTAGCACACCAGTATTGTCAAGCGGCGATCTCATCGAGTACGCCTCTCCTAATGCGAATAGGACAAACAGCTTACATATTGCCAGCTGATCGAGAGATCGCAAGTCTTGGTAAGCACGGTCGAGAGTGTTGCGTACTGCAGAGGCGGGAGACAGATGATAGCACTTGCCAATTGTGCTGAGAGCAGTGTTGACCAAGAGGAAAGCTTGGGGTCTGCTTGGCCATTGCGCGGTCGTGTTCAGAGCGGCATCCAATTGATTATCTGATCACACGTCAGATATCGTACCAAGAACTATAGCGATATCTGGACTTACCTTTGATGAAAGAAGTTCTCGGGATGTGATTTTCAGCTTCAACACTCACGAGCAGCTGTCGGACTCGTGTTGAGAAGCCTGTGCAAGCAGCTTCGCCAATGTAGATAGGACTGGGGTCATAAGGCATGAACCAAGCCTCTTTTTCGATCAGAGGGTTATCTCCTCGCCTCTCATCGTCCGCATTTGTGATCTCGGTAACATCCTCATGACTAGTATCGTCGTTGACGCTTCTCTTCAGACGCTCGTTTTCGTCGAGTAGTTGCTGTATGTAACTGGATTGCATCAGGGTCGCGTGCTTCGCTCCTTCTCCATCACCAACTCACCTCTCGTTCACAGTGACTTTTCTATCCCGCATTGGATATTCGCAAGCCTTGTCTGCTTGCAAGCAATTCTTACAAGGCTTTTCGCCATCACATTTTGTCTTTTGGTCATGGCAACGACGACATCTATGGCATCATGGTCAGCTCATGTCCAAGGTCTGCCATGTCTGGAGTTATGCGCACGCAACTGTCTTTCTCTTCTGGCGTTTGCTCGGCGGTTGCGAGCCTTCGATAGAGGAACGGAGAGACTCCATCGTCACCGAGGCTTCGATTCGTGACACGCGCAGTAGGTGCGAAATGCTGTTCGGCTTGGGAAGCCGGTTAGAAGCAGCAGGCACGGCCTCCGACCAGCCTCCCCACCCGGTATCGCAGTCACGTTGCCGAGTTCAGCCATGCTGTCCGGATTTGAGCATCACGCGAAGAAAGTATCAGAAGCGACGACATGTCCGGCAAATGTCTCGTAAAGCTGAGTCTGAGGGTCGTAACTCAAACAAGTTCGAGATACGATCGTCAATTCTCCATGGAGATGTTTTGATGGTCGGACCTGACCGTCGGCCGACGCAAGCCGCTCTTCAATCTGGCCATCAATCTGGCCATCTCATGCAGGCCATGCAGAAATTTTTCTTCTGGTTCAGCCATGGAACCAATCTATCAGGATCTGGATAGGTCTCTAGAAGAAGCTGCGAAGGATCTGCCTTATCGTCTCCTCGGCTGTGGTTTAGAGCATAGAGAGAGACGCACAAGATGCCTGGCTAGCAATAGTAAGTGGTGCCGACGGTGGCATGCTTGATGCCGATTCGTGCGCAGAAAGCGCGGCGCCTTACCGGATATGGGTTGAATCATGTACCCGACCAATCGAATAGGTCTCCTGGGGCGAGACCGGCGCCTCTATCCGAGCGTGTTACTCGATCGTATCGAGCAATTGTGCATATATTGTACACGTTATGCAGCAACGTCGAGCTTATCCACCCTTCTTACTCGATGTGATCGAGCAACCACACGTTTTTGCTTCTCGCATGGTAGATATCGCCAACATCAACGGCACATCATGGCTGTAGTCGCAGAGATAAGACTGCTTCAGTCTCGGGACGTTCAGGATGAGTTGACATACATAAGAGACGTCTGATCCGCACAATTTCAAAATGGATATCATTGACATTCAGTAATTCATCACGACAACCATACATTGGGTCAACGACAAAGAGTGTCTTGCGTGCATACCTCAAACGACGACTATACCCTTTTTTGTTCCACCTGTCCCTCTCAATCCGATAATTCACAATGGAAAAGGACTCCAAGGTCTCTCGTGCCTTGAAGGCACTTGAGGTCCGTCACGAACCTGGCCTCACCGATGTCCAACTCATGCTCAGCAACGAAGACCTGAAACCTGTCGAACCCGAACGTAGACAATGGGGTGCATGGCACTTCGTCGCCTTCTGGATGGCCGACTCTTTCAACATCAACACATGGATGATCTCAAGCGCCAGCGTCCAAGACGGTCTCTCATGGTGGCAGTCATGGATCTGTGTTTGGATCGGATACTCTATCGCCGCCGTTTTCGTCGTTCTCACTGGCCGTATCGGAGCAAAATACCACATCTCTTTCCCAGTCGTCTCTCGATCCAGTTTCGGTATCTGGGGAGGTCTATGGCCAGTCTTCAACCGCGCAGCCATGGCTTGTGTTTGGTATGGCGTACAAAGCTGGATTGGAGGCACTTGTGTCTACCTCATGATCCGCAGTATCTGGCCTAGCTGGGACAAGTACCAGCTCGGTGGACCCAAGAACTCGTTGCCCGAGTCTTCTGGCACCAACACTCGTGATTTCGTCAGCTTCTTCCTCTTCTGGCTATGCTCTCTGCCTGCACTGTGGTTCCCCGTCCACAAGATCCGCCATCTTTTCACAGTCAAGTCGATCGTTGCACCTGCTGCTGGCATTGCCTTCTTCATCTGGGCTATTGTGAGAGCACACGGTCTGGGCCCTATCGTTCGTCAGCCTGCTAAGCTCGAGGGTGGTGAGCTCGCATGGACTATCGTCAAGGGTATCATGAGCGCCATCGCCAACTTTGCTGGTGAGTCCATATCAAATCCCAGCTTTGGAGGAACACGTTACTGACCATGAGTCCACAGCCTTGATCATGAACAACCCAGACTTCAGCAGATTCGCCAAGCGCCCCGAGAGCGCCATGCTTTCTCAACTCATCACCATCCCCGTCGGTTTCGCCGTAACCTCGTTCATCGGTATCATCGTCTCCTCTTCTTCTGCCGTCATCTACGGTTCACCCGTCTGGTCGCCCTTGACACTCCTCGAAAACTTCCTCAACGATGCCAACGTCAGCGGAGCCACACGCTTCGGTGTCTTCGTCATCGCTGCCGCCTTCTCTCTCGCTCAACTCGGTACAAACATCGCTGCCAACTCCGTCTCTGCCGGTACAGACATGACGGCTCTGTTCCCTCGCTTCTTGTCCATCAGACGCGGCAGTTACATCTGCGCGATCGTAGGTCTCTGCATGTGCCCTTGGAACCTGATGAGCTCGAGCAACAACTTCACCACATACCTCTCTGCCTACAGCGTGTTCCTGTCGTCGATTGCCGGCGTCATGGTCTGCGATTACTACCTCGTCCGCAAGGGATACCTGCAAGTCAGGAACTTGTACTCGGCAGACAAGACTGGACCATACTACTTTACTTACGGTGTGCACTGGAGAGCCTATGCCTCCTACATCGCCGGCATCCTCATCAATGTCGTTGGCTTTGCCGGTGCAGTGGGTCAGAAGGTCCCCAAGGGCGCAACATACATCTACGACCTCAACTACTTCTGCGGCTTCTTCATTGCAGCCATCACGTATTGGTGTTTGTGCAAGGTGTCGCCTATCCCTGCGACTAGCGAGACGTGGCTTGAGGTTGATGATGATGGTGAGCCCAACAGCTTGGCATACGATGGACAGTATGATGAGGAAGCTATAGGTGATATGGCCGAGGATGGGAAGAAGCCTGACACCAAGGTCGTGCAGTACTGAGCGTTCTACAAAAGTTGGGATGTCGAGTGATGAAGTTATGATTTAGATGTGTTGAAGTAATGATTTTTGTCGGTAGATTATATCAGGGTTGGAGAATATAAGAGCCCTTGTTCGGAAGACAGTTTTTCGTTTCAAGTCTTTTGCACCGATATGTGACCAGTGATTGGAGTATATGTGTATTGAAGAGTGTCTGTTGGACACCCGGTGCCTTGATTTTGTATCCTGATGCAAGTATGTGAAGTGGGTATAGAGAGGTGAAGATCGGATATAGACGAAAAAGTGTATGTACAAGACCGCGAGCAAGCAGTCCGAGAAGAGAAGGTACCTGGTCTCACAGACTCACTGGCGATAGTACCTTTCCAGAATGCGATTGCGATGACCGACCAGATTGTGAAAGCCAGCCAATTTCTCAGCCAGCGGATTGAACCTCCACCCCATGCTCTCATCCAACAACAAATGCGTATAAGCAAACACACCCGCATCAAACAATCCCGGCCCTTTAGCCCCAAAGAACCAAACTTCCTCACCCAGCAACGTCTCCAGTGCTGCAAATGCATCAACGGCTTCCGTCAAAATATCCTCAGCTTTGACGACCGGTGTAACCTTTACCAACTCTTGCGTAGCCGCATCTTTTAATTGGTAGGAGATGGCCATGGCAACAAATGTGTTCGAGGATGAGGAAGTGACGTAGAGTCTCTCAACGACGTGGGAGAAGTTGTCCGGGCAGAGGTAGAGGAGGTATAGCCATGCTCTTCTCACCGCGTGGTCGAGCAGCGAAATGTACACTTCTTGCCTAGCAGCAGATGATTGTGTTGTACCGGATCCAGAGGCAGACGTTGTACTCGTGCTGTTTGCAGCAGTCCAGGTCTCAAGTTTGGCAGATGCGATTGGAGCAGTCGAGTTTGCTGGTAGCAGAAAAGGCAGAGAGCCAGAGGGCGAAGCGTGGTTATTGGAGGGGAGGGCGCGGAAAGCAATGTCGTTGAACAAGAGGTAGGTTTGCCATTTCAGACATGTGGGGTTGAAGGAGGGAGTGTTTGCGCTGTTGCTGTGTGCTTCTTGTCGTGTTGTCGTCCATGTGTAGAGAGTGTGCTGGTCTCTGTGTGTTGGCGAGCGCGTCGGTAGCGCATTGGCTGTGTAGGTCGACAGAGGGAATTTGGCAAAGACTTGTTTGACTACTGGTGGGACGACGAACATGTCTCGCCAGTCGCGGCTGCTGCTGTTGCTTGCGTTCGTCATGTTCATGTGGTCGGTGGACTTGTTTGACCTTTGGCACATTCGGGAACGACCTCATCTCAAACTTCCTTATCTTATCGGAGCGGAGCAGGGTTACCCCACATCTCTTTTGACATGGCCTTTTTTGACAACTTGTTGGAAACGATATGACTGTGCTTCTACATTCTCAAGTCAACACAATCTTCGTTCAATCTATGATATGTCAAGCCGATTTGCCGGTGTTCGTTGTCTTGTCATCCCCCACTATCTCTAGCAATCTCAATGATCTCCGTCATATGTTCCTCCAAGCAAATCAGACCTCTCAATGCCTTGTCTCTCCAGCAAGTAGCTGCACAAGCTCGTCTCGTAGAACAAGCAACCGCTCTCCGTCCCAACGCTCTCGAAGCCTCCATCACTCGAGTACTTCGGCAATGACCAGCTTGCCTACGCGTGCACTCCACCAGAATCGCAGCGTGATTCGCACATGAAGCATTCGGTGCTCTACACTCTTCAGTGTACTTGCACTGTTTTGGACCAACTCTTCACTACTTCTTCCTAGAAGCTGTGTCCATGCATGGTCTGACAGTACAAGCTTGCCACTCGTAATGCATCCGCTTTCGTCCACCAATCTACCGATCTGATCATGTCAGCAATGTTGTCAAGCCCCATCATTCAAAGCTTGACTCACCACTCGTGGGTTGATTCTCAACGGTACCTGCTCATCACATTGCTTGCATTTGACCACAGTCATGTTCGCGTACAGCGGAATGCCACAGCTATCCAGCTTGTTAGCCCAAGAGTGGTTCAATAGACAGACCATCCAAGACAGACCATTCGTTGCACATGAGCATATTCTGTTGTCTAAGAGTGGATATGTTGAGTTCCATGATGATCATACTCAGATAGCCCTCGAATTCTTCTTCCGGTGTTTCACGAGCGCTGTAGACGTTAGTCAGAACTGCATCGAGGCGGGTAGCTCTCGACATACTAGTCATCAACATCCGCAAGCGAATACAGAATATGCTCATCCGGCTTGGTCATACTCCAAGACTTGTACTCTACCACGTGGTGAGACAAGGTCATATACACACACAGACAAATGCTCACCTTCGTCGGGAAACATCGGATTAATGTGCTGTCTCCTGATCATCTGTCCAGCGAATGCTCGAAGCCTTTCTGCCTCCGGAATAATGGGATCCACGTCGACGAAGGTGTTTGATGTCAGCGCTAGCCAGTTTTGATGCGAAACATTCAGGCTAGGACTTGTGATCAGCAGCGCGGTCTGCGATGGCTGCCAACCCATCGGGCTTGTCGAAGTGACACCCCACAACGACAGTATCGCTTCGCTTGTATCGTCCATCACGCCGACTTTTACGAGTTCTGCTGTGGTTCCATCTTTTCTCGTGACTGTGATCTGTCAGCTCGGTGTTGACTTCATGTTGTATAGCACCCTAACCCTTCTTGCGAGTACTGATGCTCTTCACAATGACAAGGATCTTGGCATCAGGAACCTCGAAGCCACCTTGAGCAAAATCTTTCAAGGACATGAGAGTAGAATCATATTTCAATGGCTTCCGGCACACTCGAGCGGTCCCCGGGCCATCGAGCCAGCGGATATGGCAGCTCTTGTCCTTTTCTGGGAAGATTCTGATATAGAGTGGTGCAACAGCGCATGGGAAGATACCACGGTCTCCGTTTGTGATGTAGGCGGCCCAGACTGCAACAAGTTGCCCAAGCTGTAGTCCGTACGAGATCAGCGTGTACGATAGCCTGATCTTCAGTCGGTTTAGTATATGCGCTCGCAAAAACAGTGAGCAGTCACTTACGGTAACAGCATCTGTGTTGTCTTTGATCACGAGATGAATCGCTCCTTTGGCTCCAGTCGGTAGTTTTGCCTTGGGTGAAATTCCGAACATGTTGACAATGCGGCCGATAATCTTGATTCGTCCTGGTCCTGCAACGAGCGAATCAATCTCATACTCGTCATAGACAGCGGGTGGAATCCAGTCATCCCTTGGTGCGAGAATCAAGGATGTGTCGAGCTCGTCGGAGTTGAAGCCATCACCTGGTGTTGGTGAAGATGTTCGAGGTAGAGCCTTGGTCGGCGAAGTTTGTGGTGGAAAGAAGGACTGAATGGAGGTGTTTTGCTTCATCATGCTTGCTAGCTTTCTGCGCGGCCGACGGACGATTTTTAGCAGAAGTGTGTCAGTCTCAGAGCTGGAATGGCCCAGCGCAGAGCGCGTCTGCCTGGGAGAAAGGGGGTAGCGCATGACGCGATAAATCAAGAAGGCACGATCTAATCTGTGTTGTCGGAACGGCAGTCGCGCTGACGGTTTGAATGAGGAAGTTGCTAAGGCTCAACGAAAAGATGAGAGACTCTACGCGCACCACAGATCTTCGAAAAGTGTCAGTCGCAACGTTAGATTGAGGTTTTACTTAGCCTTGTGCTTCAAACTCCCGGGCGACCCTCTCACTCTCTGCCTCTCCAACCCATTGACAGACTCTCTCGCCCACATCACCGATCAGTTTCTCATATCTGTCGTCATTTGGATCTGGAAAGAAAAGGCCACAGTGCGCTTCGACAAGATCGACGTCTTTCATCAGCACACGAACCCAAGTGGGATCTCTGATACCGGAGCCGTCCTTGGGTGGAAGAGTACAGAATGTGCGATCCTTGAAAGGTTTCTGCTCTTCACCGGGAGTTCTCGTTTCTTGGGTCGATAGTACAGTAGACTGTGACTGCATGGAAGAATGATGCTTCGAAAGCGGCTCGATCGTGGAGTCTTCATCGTTCCAAGACTGATTCAGAGCAGCTCTCCACTCCTTGTGCGCATCCTTTTGCTCAGCTGCTAGCACATTCTCGTGGTCTGACTCTTTCCTCTCGATGGTCTTCTTGCGATCTTTCTCCTTGTTCTTGTCACCCTTGGCGACCTCTTTCTCGGCCTTCTTTCCCTCCTTGATTGCTTGTCGCTCACGCTTCTTCTCCAACTTTTCACGGTCTCGCAGTGCCTTTTCGCGATCCTTGACTGCCCGGGAGTACGATTTCAACACTCTGTCATACTCTTTCTCGGCCAACTTCCTAGACTCCTTGTCTGCGTAGAATGGTGGCTTTTCTGGTTTTGCAGGAGGATCGGGTATAGGCGGCAACTTCTGGAGGGCAGGTCCAAGAACTTCAAGCGATTCGTTTGGCGAGGCTGTGTCGATTTCTAGAAGCTGTTCGAGCTTTAGGGTACCATTCATTGTGTCGCCAGTTGAATGTGACGTAGACTGTGCAATCTCCATGTTCTCTGTTGCGTCGACCCAAGATTCAACGTCCGAAGAGTCACCGCCAATGTCGAACATGGGAGCAGGCTCTAGGTTGTCCATTGATATCCGTTCGTGGCTTCTTGCTGCTTCAAATTCTTTGATGTCGTCATCGGTCTCCGATATCTGGTCATCTCTTGGACTGAACTCTTCGGAAGATTTCTCATCGTGCTCATCAGTCGTTTTGTGATCTGCTTCAGAATTGGAAATTGTCAATGCGGGAGTCTCCATGGATGGTTCGGGTGATGTTGGCGTTTTTGGTTTCTTGGGCCGACCTGTGCTGGATGTGTAGTAGTTGACAAACCGCACTCTTGGTGGAGCGACAGAACTACCTATCACTGCTTTTCTGGTTCTCTCGCTTTGCTCTTCTAGCCCTCTGATTCGAGTATAGCGCATCTTGAGGCCGCTGTAATCCGCCATGGCACCTCCGAATTCTAGATGGGACTTGACCAGTTGCTTGGTAGCCGTTCTCAGATCACCAGAGTGCTTGTTGAGGAAGTACCAAGCTCCTTCCCAGCCTTTCCTAGCTGGAAGATGTACATCGTTCTTGAAGGCTGGATTGTAGTTTGGGTCGAGTTGAGAAGGTGAAAACATACTCTGGGGACTCTTGATGCTGGCCGTGGAAGTGCTCGCGGATGGTCTGTCGTTGAAATAATCTCCACAAGTTTGCATGCTTGAAACAGATGGCGTTTCGTCACCATTGGGAGGCGATTTGGCAGGGGCAGGGCTGAAGATGCTGGCCAAACCAACCTTGACGACTCTGGGATGCATACCCAAGAATGGTACGTCGAAGTTGACCGTGCCGATCAGACGGTGGCGTAGTGATCCATCGGCGAGGGATGGAATCAAGGCTACTTCGGCGCAAAGCAAGCCACCCATACTGTGACCCAGTAGGATCACATCTGTGGTTGGCCCTTCGTGTGGACGCAGCCTGAGAAGGAGTCAACTGTGTCCAGACTGGGAACATTGTTTTATGTCTTACCAGCGACTGAAGTCATCTCGTGCAAAGTCAATCTTCTTTTTCGATCTGTACCTTGGATAGATCTTTGTGTGGACGGTATGCGTTTCTGAGAGTAGAGCAGCTACAAGACTATGTACGTGAGCAGGGAAGCTTTGAAAACTGGTTTCGTTTCCCATGAATCCATGGATGAAGACCAAGAGCAACTTTCTCCTGTCACCTTGTTCATCCGATGGTGAAGGAAGCAATGATTGTGTTGACCTCGACCTTGGGTCATTGTGAGAAAGCGAGGGATAACTATTCCCAAACGACTCGGCCGCGACAGACTCGTAGGAAGGCGGGGGCAAGTCGTCGTGCTCATAGTCTTCTGCTAAAAGAAGGTCTGCGCCAGATGGCTGCCTGGGAGGTAATGGTGGAGGTCCACCAGTCCTCTGATGGCTGCTTTCTTTTGACATGCCGAGTGAAGCTGTTCTAGAAGCTAGCAGACTCTGATGTCAAACATGCGCCTAGTCTTTTGGTGTAGTCACGGGGTAGTTGCGGCTCAGGAGGTGTTGTTTGGAGATGGCATCAGTGATCACGGGCGGTGAGGATGGTTGTGACGTCGGGTAAAGCGGGAGCTTGAATCTCTAGCGTACTTTTTTCAGGTTCAACGGAACTATTTTCCGGAATTAGAATCAGATAGATAGGCCCTTAGAGTTCTTCGGCAATTTCCTATATCGAGTGCCCAGCCGTCGTGATATCGATTTTTGAATGTGAGGATACGAGACGTAGCACAAGTTCCGAGTGGCAGGATTCGCTGCAGAACTTAGAAGCAACCGTCGCGCGAGGGCGCCATTGTGCGCACGCGATGATGCCATAATAAGCAAAGGTCCCTTGCGTGTTCAAGTAGTGGAAACTTGAAACGAGAACAACCACATCTCCCTTACAGCTGCAGCGCGCAGGGCCTTTGTTGCAGCATCTGGGCGGGGTTTCGACGTCAGACGGCGACTCGCATGTTGACTAGGCCACAGAAAAAGATGCAAGTGGAGCAGAACCAAGGGCAAAATAGCCACGACTTGCGGCAGTACCTGCAGGGATAGTGATGGATCATGGGAGCAGAGACGATCGAGCCATGAGCACTGAGCATGCGTACGCGAGCCACAAAGGAAACGAGATAGCCGCGGGAGACGACATGGCCTCTTGAGCAAATCGAATGGAGGATTGGACGATGGAGCATGTCCGCAATCTCGCTGGCTTGCGCAACCCTAGCAAACGAACCCATGTCGCAAGCCATGTCCTGGGCAGCGGAGATTTGGGCTGGAATAGCAGAAGTGGACCATGTTTGGCGGCGGCGGCGGCGGGACCGTTTGAAAGCCAGAGGGTCTTGGTGAGAGTCGTGCAAGCTTGAAGCACAGGCTTCCTTCTGCTTTCTGCCGCTTCTTCGCTCTGCTTGCCGTCTGTCGTCGGAGACTTTCAAGTCAGACGTCGACGTCGTTGCTGTTGTTTTTTCTGTTCACCACGTCTTTGCCCTACCACCCAACCGCGCTCTCACCACCCTGGACTTTTCCTCTCATCTTTTCGTGCACCTTTGCTGTCATTTCTCGACGACCCGACTGCTGGCTGGTGACTGATCCCGCTCAAGCGGCGAGGTCTCTCTAGTCGTCGTTACATAGGCAGTAAATTCCAATACTTGTAGACGACGCCAAAGAATATCATCAAAAGAAGCCGACTTGCGCCCGCGCTGTCTGTCTTCTGCTTTTCTCCAAGCACAAAGCGTACAGACTCTTGCCTGATGGTCTTTTGAGCTTGTGCCAAGCATCACGTTCACACTGTAAGACGCTGCCCTCGACTGTTTCTGCTGTTCGCTGGCGTTCACCAACAAACGCGTACTGACATGGCTCCACAGAGGCGGTTTGCTGGTTTGATTACCAGCGTCCATTCGTTTTCCCAGCCCTCGACAAGCAGACGACTGTTTATCTCGAAAGCCTGTCCGCTTGTTTGGTTTTGTTCTCGACCACAAGACACAATCGACCTCAAATTACCCAATCCGGCTCTTTGATAGTAGCCATCTCGTACTCGTAGAGTCCAGTCTGGACCGGACCCTACCACTGTCGTTCCTGTCAAGCGCATTCACTGCACTCATTTCCTATATCGATAACCGCCCGAAAGCATGGAGCGCCTCTTCAAACGGCGCAAATTGACCACGTCGGCTGCCACTGAAGCCGCCCCGCCTCCGACTGCCTTTTCACACGGCTTGCAAGATGTCCGCTCTGTCAAACGAGTAGAGGAAGTCCATGTACACATAAGGAACCATAGTCCTGGCCGGAGTGGTGTCCAGCGCGCCGAAGAGCTGCACCAACGGCTGCACAAACGCCAAACGCCTCTTCTCAACGGCACTGTCGAATCCACAACGTCTTCGCTGTCTTCGTCCACTTTGACAACTGACGCCGAATCCTCGCTTCCTGCGACTTCTCTCGACTCTGTCACCGATCTTCCCTTGACCTCTGTCCTGGAAACCTTGTCGTCCTTGTCCGCCTACTCTTCGACCCTCGCAGGTATCTCGCCGTCAATTGCAGTCGCCAGTCCTTCTTCGACCGACACAGGCTCATCCTTGGACGTAACAACAACCGACGCTCTGTCAACAACAGAAGCTGCGCCCACCTCGACAGCTTTGGATCCTTCATCGGCCATCCCAGCAACTGGCTCTTCACCGACTTCGACAGCCACAGATACAACACCTACCTCGACAATTTCCGACACATCCTTGGCCGTCATATCGACAGACGCACCATCTACTACCACATCATCTATCGCAGTACTCCCTCTAGCTGGCTATTCTGGGCCCGGCACCGCAGATTCGGCTCTACCCACAAACACATCCCCAGACACAGCTGTATCGACTGGCATACAATCAACTGCCGATTCGACACCCACTTCAACTTCGCTCGATTCGTCTGCCGCAAACATCATCACCTCGGCTGCTGCGATAACTGAATCATTGGAATTATCTCTATCAGGCGCGATCGGGACTGGCGCAACGACAACTCCTGAAACCTCCGTGGACCAGAGCTTTCCTGAGCCATCATCCTTGGCTTCGTATGCTTCTGTGCTCAACACGGTCGCTTCAGCCATCCCTACCAGCATTGCTTCTGGTATAACCTTGCCTGGCGTGGCTGGAACCGCGCCTGCCTCTTTGGCTACCTCCGCCGACATCCTGCCACAGACCACCACTACATCCGACGATGGAAATTCAACCCTGACCTCTTCTGGTTTGCTCACAACAGCTGTACCTGAATCTGCTATCACTTCAAACCTAGCCTCACTCTCAGCATATGAGTCAAGCTTCATGGTCAGCTCAGCCTCCGCCAACCAGTCAATGGTTGCCACTGTTGACCCAGTGCTTGGATCACTTGTTTCAGTCAGCGGTTCTCTTACTGCGTCGCTCAATCCGACAGGCGGCACTGTCACTGCCACAACGAGCTTGCCGAGTAGCGCCGTCGCTATCTCAACAGGCTCGACGGATGGTTCTGCTGGTCCATCCATCATCTCCTACACTTCATCTGGCGTTCCGCTTGTTAGCACCATATTCCCTACCGGATCGAACTCGACCATCACTCGCTCAAGCTCATCGCAAGCCGGTGCTTCTGGTGGTGTCGTTTTTTCTGGATCAAGTTCTGCTACTGTCTCTCAATCAAGCATCTTGTCACCATCTTTTGCTAGGAACTTGACGACATCTGCAACGATCATCTCCAGTCCTTCCACGACTTACACCTCATTTACTACCTTTCAACGCAATAGCGTCACCATTTCATCTGCCAATCGATCTGCAACGACTAGCTCCACTCCTCTGGCCGCTGTATTGGGCTTCTTTACTGCGTCTTCTTCCACTGTTGAAACACTGTCTGACGGTTCTCTTTCCACCGTGGCTCTTGTTGCGCAAGCTTTCGCTACCACTCTTTCCAATGGTCAAACAACTACTTCGTATGGTTCTTTCAAACCAATCACATCTTCTGCCTCGGGCTATGCTACTTTGAGTGACAGCTCAGATGTTTCCTCTGCCTCTGTCGCCCTCTCGTCTCAGAACGCTGACATTAGCTCTCGACTTAGCTCACTCAACGCTGCTGCATCGACTGCTACCGGATCAGCCAGGAGCTCATACTCCTCCCAGGCGGTCGTTCTTCAAAGCTCTGCATCAGTGGCTTTACAGTCGGCTAGTAGCGCTCTAAGCAGTGCCGCATCACGCATCTCCTCAGAAGCCTTATCTACATCCGCTGTCGCATCGTCCTCGGGCGATAGTTCTTTCCCCTCTTCCAGTGCCGCTCAGAGTTCTGATGCTAGCGTTATTGGCGGTTCCGCAACAGCCACCGCTCCCAGCTCAGCGACCAGCTCCGCATCCTCGAACAACAACAGCGATGATACCCCGCCTCCTTCTGTGCTCGCAGGCGGCATTGTGGGCGGCGTTGCTGGACTTGCTGTTTTGGTTTTGACCGCCATGATCTTCCTGCGCTGGTACCGAAAGCGCATGGCCAGCATGAATTCGTTGACTGGAGCCGAAGCTGCTATCGGAAGTGGTGGCGCTGGAGGCATGTCCGAGCGCGGCGGCCGAACAGCTCCCGTGTTAGCGCCACTTCTGGGAGGGGTTTTCAAAAATAGAAAATCCCGAGCCGTCGAAGAGACTACTGGAGAACGAGGCTTCCAACGCATCAGCGGTCGCAAACTGCCTAGTGCTTTCTCAGCCGGCATGACTTCTGCTCCTCGACCCATGCTCATGCCGTCTGCTTTTGACAGCGATCGTAACATGAGCACTACTTCGGTGTATCGCGATAGCACTTACTATGGCGCAGGCGGCTCGCCTTTCGAAGATCCCGACAATGAAATCGGCACCAACGAAACCATTATGCCTGGACCAGCCCGGCAAGCAAGAGTTCATCCTCCTTATGCCATGAGTCCGACCAGTGCATTGTCCGAAAATACCTCGCCTACCAGTCCAACCTTTCCCATCCAGGGATACAGGCTGACACCTGAAGCTGGACAAAATGCTCCTCTCATGAACTCGCATGGTATGGCCCGCAGAAGCGTCACTCCTGCCACGATGTCAAGCTTCGACGGAAGCAGAGGGAGCAGGTTCACTGAAGAGGTCTGATCGCACATTCAGTGACTATCCATTTTCCATGCATACCAAAATCATTGTACGTTCCTTTTTCTGTCATGCTTAGTCTGACAGCGGGATGGAGTTCGAGACTCTCCCTCTCACATCATTGCGAAAACTTTTTGGCTCGTCTCTTCTCTTCTTCTACTCTACCTTTTACTTCACTTCTTCTCATCCCTTCTTCTGTTTGTCCTTCTGGAAGCTCGATACCCCCTTTTTTGTAACCTTATGTAATGTGTGTATAGTGGTCATGAGACTTTTGAGGCATGACCGGAAAAGAATTCAATTCATGTTCGACATTTGAAATATGCTCACTCTTGCTTGCCTTGTTATTGTATCTCGTTTTGTCGAGCAATGGCTTGAATCGAATAAGGTATGCAAAACTAAAGCTACCAAGGGAAATATGCATGGTAAACAACACCTACCATTCCTCATGGAGAACGACCAGATTATAGCTATATGCGCTACAGACCTTAGCACATGGAGAGAGAGCAGATAGTCCTGACCACGAGCAAGAAAAATGCAAAACATACAGTAGCAGGGATTCCCACGTGGTCACCCACCGTAGTACTAATCTGCCGTTCAACTGCTTATGTATGGCAGAGCGGACGGGATGCCCAGTTTTCAGCTGACTGTGGCCGTATGTGCTCAGCTTCTCAAACTCTTCAAATATAACTACAGCTCAAGAAAAGGCACTAGGATCAATTCCCACATCGTCGCATCATCCGTGTATCGGTGAGAACGTCGGCTTCTCATCCTTGGACTTGTTGCGCAGTGTATTGGCCGAAGGAGCATTGCCACGATACGAAATCGTCTTGTGGAACCTCTCGTTTACTTGCTCCGGTTCTATATCACAAAGCATGCCCCCTCTAATTACTGCGCACGTAATTGAATCACATCCATCTTTCAACATCAAAGCTTCCAGCAAAACCTCATGAGGAGAGGAACAACCGTGTTTCGCGCTGTCTCTCGCTGGTCTCGGGTGGTAGCGCTCACATCGATATTCGATATATGACAGTTTTCTCGCAGATTCTCCATCGTCATCATAATCCCAGCGTCCGAAAACCGTTCTGAGGCATCCACCCAAAGGAACGACGCGCCTGTACTCCTCACACCAGCAGCAACAGCTCTGTGCTATTTTTTCACATCTGGCGGCGAAGCCTTCTGAACCAATACGTCGCAGCGATCTTAAGCACTGGATAATAAGACGACCAGCATTGTCGACTACATCATCGCTGCTGTTGCCACATCCATTGGAGCGTATGTGATAGCGGCACGCATTCGGGATCGAACCAGCCAGTACAAACACAAGCATCAAGGCCCGTGTAACAACAAAATCAGTTTGCCGCTTTTGAAGATTTCCTTCTGGGATTTGTTCATGCCAAGTTTGATGTGCTACCCGGAGATCGGGCACACCAAAAGCGGAGAGGCCTGAATAGCTGAACCACCCGATTCAAAGACCTCCAGCACATTGTGAATGAGGGACCAAGGGCTACCTGCCATATCATGCCACTTTTCTCCGTTTGTCCGCAACCAGCGGGACTGAACACTCTTAGAACGACTAATGGAGGGAGTGGATTCAAGGTCTACACTGTGTCCCATCTTCTTGCTCCCGTGACAAGAGCTTGTCTATCGCGCCGCCAGATACTATCGACTCCATGCATAGGACCTTAATGGGTCTCATTTCCTGGAAAGCCCGTTCCAGTCACAAGATTTCGTTCTGACAGTCCGTCAGTCTGCAGGTGACTAGGGACAGAATGTCGGAAGATGATGGATGAGAGTCCCCGGAGCGATGTGAAAGAACTACGGAAAAGACATTGCGAGTCGTTTCAACGCGGACTGCATATGGCTTACAGCCGTCGTGTTCGCCTACTATCTTGATCAACCACGCTGCCATGGCTGGTCAGGCGTAGATTCAAAGCTCAGTTCAGGTAATCTTGGAGCCACATAGGGTACTGCCTATATTCCTCTGCCTTATCTCCTGTACCCAATTCACCACGTCTTTCCAGACCCGCCGATCATGCAAATCTTCATTACTTTCGGATTGCATTGCAGCCACAATCTCGGTAGTCAGGTTCATCGGCGGCACCTCTGCACTCTCATCATCCTTCATACTATCTCGTCTTGGAAAGTATCTCAACCTGGAACCTGGGATGGCATAGATCAACATCGCGAAGCACAAAGCCCTTTGCCTCCACACTTACGACATGCGTGGCTCCTGACATCGTTTGCACCACCGCGAAAGGAATCTTGCGCATGAACACCGCTGCGAGGACTAGAGTTGCGACCTAGCAATCGATGGCAACGAGCTCTTCATCTGCCATCACATCTGTATGATGCTGCTTCCTGTTTCATCGCCGATGAGTATTACCCTGGACTCGTCTCCACGGACGGCCCTCTAGACAAGCTTTAAGAGTGCGATGGTCTCGTCCGTCGCGTGGTGAAAACTTGCTGTCAAGTTAACATAACAATCACTGCCACCACGATCCAGGAGGCTAGTTCAGCCTTCAAGACCGCTGAGATTAGTGTTTCCTCGCCGATCACGTATGCACTCTCTCCATTCGATTCGGTCGCAGAGATCTGGGAGACGACATGACATTAGAGAGCCTCAACAGTCTGCAAGCCTATCAAGTTCCTTATTGCAAGGAGGGCATTACTCACGAGCACGAATCTTATGATCCTGGGCTACATCGCCTGGCCGTGTTGTATACGAAGACAGGCGCAGGTCATTCAATATACCTCGGCTCAGTCATGCGGACTTCGTTCCAACAGAACTAGTAGGCTCACCCTTATGGCCGATCCCTGCACTGCTGTTGGATACCGACATGGTCATTTCTAGAGTCTTGATTGGCAAGTGACCTGGGCAGCACCTGTAATTCAACCGCCGCTCGAGTGTGGGCTTTGTTCCGAATCGCGTCATGGCAGACATGACATATCGCCGGCCTAATGGAGTTGCGTTTTGGCATTTAAACTCTGCGTTACGTCGAGACACCTTCCAATCAAAAGCATTCAAACTCTAATAGCCCCGTGGCCCAGGACTATTCCAGTTTGTCTGGGGCTGTAATTCCGGGGAAGTCTGGGGTCATGCGGGGCTTTGAGAAATACCTAGGTGTAAGGGAGCAAAGTTCATTAAAGCATGACCATGCCTGGAGACGCCGACTTACCCAAGAAGGCGAGATCTTCAGACTGATCTTCGTTGTTGTGCCATAACGTCTTGTACATGGCGCAAATGCAGAGAGTGCCGAGGTGCGATGCTATGCGCGATCACTCACAACACCTCAAAGTTTTCTTCCAACGTTGCAGTTGGCCTGCGAAGCGTTCCCTTTCAACCCATGAGCACTGCAGATCTATACCAATTTTCGCCATCACGACCCGCGTCGGAAGTGCCATAGTATCAGCAAGACAGGATGTGAAGGCGTATAAAGGCAGGGGCAGATTGCCTGGTGGATTCCATTTCCTTCCTTCCAAGATCATCTCGACATATTCTTACATCAGTTGATCATGTCCAACACTCTCAAAGTCTTGTTCGGCCTTGCGCCTCTTGCGGCAGCTTTCCCTGCTAGCGTTCTGGAAGCTGTCAAGTTCCATCCAGGTCTCCAGGCTCGTGCCAACGAGATTCTTCAAGAGAGACAAGCTGGTGCCGCTGCTGCTCAGGCCATTTTCGAGCCAATTCCCCTGTTCAACGCGGCGGAGCAGTATGTCAATATCAGTGCTGGCAGCGGACATGAATATCAGGCACCAGGACCGAACGATCTGCGCGGTCCTTGTCCTGGGTAAGGCTCACGTTTGATGCTTACTCTCTGTCGTGTAGTAACATTGTGTACAGATTGAACGCGTTTGCAAACCACAACTTCCTGCCACACAATGGCTATGCTACCATCCAACAATTCATCGACACCACCGCGGAAGTTGTGGGCATGGGCACTGACCTCGCCGCCTTCCTCGCAGTCCTGGGTGCCGCTGTCGACGGCGATGGATTGTCGTGGTCGATTGGAGGTACGCCAGGCCCAGGTGTTGGTGGACCCCTTTCTGGTCTAGGCAACGGCATCTCTGGCTCGCACAACAAGTGAGTAAACTCATCATCACTGTCAAGATGATTTGCAATGCTGAACAAACCAGGTATGAGGGTGATGCCTCGCCGACACGCCCCGATCTGTACGAAGCGGGCAACGACTACAAGACTGTCGCCAGACAATTTGAGCAACTCATCAGCATGTCACCCGGCGGCCAGGTGACCCTTGATAGTCTTACTGCGTTCCGCTCAGTAAGATTCGACACCCAGATTGGTGAGTAACTACATGAATCTGCAACCACCTCTGAATACACAAACAGATGCTGACGATACACCCTCTCACGGCAGCCAACAACCCTTACTTCTTCAACGGTCCATTCACTGGCGTGTTGGTGCAGCCCGCAGCGTAAGTAACGTCGACTTCCTGTAACTGATTTGTACTGAAATTTTCTCCGACAGTTACACGTTCATCTACCGCTTCATGGCGAACCACTCGGCTGAAGCCCCATACGGCGATCTGAGCTACAGCACGATTGCTTCCTGGTTTGGCATGACCGGCTCACCGGGCTCGTACGTGGCCAACCAAGGTCAGGAGAGGATTCCCGACAACTGGGTAAGTTTAAACAAACAGGTGAACAATGAAATCTGGAACCAAATCTCACCACTGTTTTTAGTACAAACGCGCACTCGCATACCCTTACTCGATCCCCTATTTCCAACAAGACGTTTTGTCTGCTGCGGCTCTCCACGTAAGTACATTTGGCAATTTCCCAATCATTCGGGAACTATCTGCTAACACATTTTCTTCTCTCGAATGCAGCCCAAATTCCTCAACATTGGTGGAAACACCGGCACAACCAACTCCTTCACCGGCGTCGATGTCGACAACCTCACCGGGGGCATCTTCAACGCTGCAGACTTGCTCAAGGGCAACAATGCAGCTTGCTTCGCTTACCAGTTCGCTGCTCAGGCCAAGCCCGATATTGCGCTCAGCGTGTTCAACCTGGTGAACCAGGCATTGGGAAGTGTTTTGAGCGTTCTGGGCTGCCCGCAGTTGCAGCACATTGATGATGCTCAGTTGGAAATGTTCCCTGGATACCAGAAGAGCACGCAGGCTGGTATTACCAAGTAGAGGTTGAAGGGGGAGAATTGATGGATCAACAGTTGGAGACGATGTGAATTATGACAATAGTGATGACTGCAATCTCCGAAATGATGATTACTCCTTTCCCGCGACTATCCTCTTCTTGACCCATGGCGTAATTACTTACTCTACTGACTCTGGGCATCGGTGTTGTAGCAAAAAGAACAAGAATTTATAGCAATAAGGATTCCTCGGGTGTCTAGTCTCCATCTGACTGCAGTCCCAAGTGCTTCGAGAGAACGAGAGAAACAAGCACTGAAAAGAGGATATCACAGAGTGAAAGCTGCTTTACGATGCAAAAGGAGAAGATGGCCGGGGCTCGAGAAGAAACTTCGTCTCAGCGGACGAAAGAAAAGAAGCGCGAATATATGTCTATCGTGATAGAATCGATATATGGACAGCGAAAAGAAGAAACCGGAAGGTCTATCAGGTCTAGACAAGAACAAGGAAGAGTCTGTCAAGTTCAGACAAGAACATACAGAGGACGTGGTAGCTCCTCGAACGCTGGGGCGGTCTTGTGCTTGAGGCCTACGTAGGCCTCGCGACGGGCTGGACTGCCCTTGGTGACTGACCACGTCTCCAAGCCGTAATAAGTCGCGATAGAATGTACAAGCCAGCGTCTAATCAGTGTCAGCAAAAAACTGCCGCTATTGAAAGCTGAAGCAGATACATACCCGAATGCAGCATTATGGTCATCAGCAAGACTCTCGAGGATCATGCGCTCCCTTGCTAGATCCTCACTGCTGATGCTCGTACTGCTATCGTCGCTAACCACGCTCTTGGAGCGCTTGCGATCATCGCTCATTGCGCCATTACGACCGACAAACACAATCTCCTCGTCTTCGCTGTCGCCATCGACCAGGCCGTCCTCAGCCATCTGGCGCTCCTTGGACGACCATTGCCGTACGAAACTTCTAACCTCCTCTTCAAGGTCGCGCAGCATGTTCTTCGCACCGCGACCCTTCTTGAGCTTCTCGCGCAGCTCACGCGGTACTCGGGCTGCAGCCTGCTCTTCCTTGGATCCGTGTGCGCGTGTGTCGCCAACGTTGTTGGCACGACGAGTAGTCACCTTGGCCTGAGCCTTGGCCTTGTACTCTGCATCCCACAACGGGGCGAGGAAGTACGGAACGCTGTGGATAGGGTACGTAGGACGGACCTCCCAATCGCTAGGGAGAGGAGGTTGAGCGTAAGGGTTGCTGAGCAGACGATCGTTCTCCCATCTCTGTCTGCGACGACTGCCCTCTTTGCCCTTGAGCAAGGCTTCGCGGCGTTTCAAGCTGTCGCGGCGGACGGGCGCTTGTCTCTTGTATACAGTGTGGACTTCTTGCTTTGATCGCGGTTGAGCAGTGGCCATGGCATTGGCGGCAGCGAGAGCATCGTCGTCCAGCGGAATCTCTATCGTGACGTTGGCGCGGGGTCTGGGAGGGGTCGGCGTCGAGATGGATGCGGCCTGCAGCGCCTCGGCGGCCTGTTCGACTGTCCACGCCTCGATATCGATGCCGGTGGGCGCTGCGGTGACGGGGTCGTGCGAGATGGCCATGCTGAAGAGTGTAAAGTGAGCGAAAGAGGGGATGCGAGGACAATCAACGAGAGTGCAGCGGAAGAAGGACGAAGAGGGCCAGGCAACAAGGAGAAAGCAATCATCATCATTGATCGCTCCCACTCGCCACTGACCAATCGAATCTCCCCGCACTCGCACACGCCTTAGCGCCGATCTATCCGATGTCTTTATCTCGTTTCCCTTGTCCGTTCCGTTATCGTCCTGCTTTCGGCAAAATCACAAGACTATCACAATACTGTCCATGTCTTGCACAAACCGCACATGCTTCTGCGCCGAAGCATAGAATCCAAGATCGAGGCTCGCAGCACAGATGCTCAGCAAAAGCAAAATATGGAGTAGCTGGGAATCGAACCCAGAACCTTCTCCACTCAGTAATGCTCAGAAGAGCAATGCTAAGAAGATGTCATACCACTAGACCACAACCCCAGTTCTTGAAGCACTTGCGCCTGTAGCCAAATATATCCTCTCTAAGCGTTGTTGAGGCCTGCCTGGTTATCGCATCGTGATCTAACCCTCAGTCTGCCAACCCTCACCACACACAGCCACCTCCACCACAAACACCATGCCACGAGGAAGCGAATACAGCGACGAAAAGCGCGCAGCAGCGCTAATCATGTTCCTCATCTTCAAAGCCTCCCACAGCGACGTAGAAGCAAAAACCGGCGTCTCCAAAACCGCCATCCGCCAACTCTCCTCGCGAGCACACAAAGCCGGCGTGGACAGGACAAGCATAGAAGAGTTGATTGTCTTTGCGCGCACGAAACCCAGAAAGGGGAGGCCGAGGAAGGATGCTGCTGCGAAAACGGACAAGGCAGCAACAGAAAAGACACAGGCACAGGCACAGACACAGACGCGGCAGGAAGAGGAGACAACATCACAGCAAGCGCTTGAAGGTCATGCGATGGTAGCGAACCAGGAACCTCTGGAACCGCCAGCACATGTGATAGCTGCAGCCAACGCTCGAGCAGCCGACGGCGAGAACTTGTTCGAGATCATCAACACTTGGAACCACCGCAAGAATGAGGCGATAAACGCGTCCTATGCTGCCATCGCAAGGGAGCAAGCATGAGCAAGATACCATGTTTGAGAGCATCTACTTCGCCTGCTTTCTCATAGCTGTATACTACTTCTCTGGTCTGTCACAAGGACGACATGACCTATGGCGGCTCAACTACTTAGAGCAGGGTGGTGCCGCTAGCAAGTTCCGTCACCATTGTCGACGATATAACGACATCACGAATCAAAATCATGCCTCTATAATATCATCATATCATCTCTTGACGTCTAAACTGTCCACTTGGTGAGCACTTGTATCAACATCGAACCTCGTTGGCAGCATATGCTCAAACGAGACCCCATGTAGAAGCTCGACTCGGATTGGGCCAAGATCTTGCACAAAGCAAGGTAAACACGATGATTTGTAACAGAATACTGAAAGTTACAGTGCTCTATACAAACATATCTGCATGTGAGATACCATGACTGCATCAGGCAACTATCGGACAATGACTTGTTGATGGCGCTGTTTTGAGATCAGGAGACGCCTGGATCATTACGGACAGGGTGGCCAGCCTCAGCAAGACGTACTTGGGGACAACACCAAGCACCAATTCCACACTGACAATGACGATTTTCGTAGAATGCTCATTTTGAATTGCCATTATATATCATAAACAAAGAAATCTATGCACCATGCGAGAATGAATAAGTTATATCCTCTCACCCTCGAGGATAGGTCTAGCTTCCTCGCTCTTCCACCAACTGACACCCTCCTTGCCAGGGTACTCGAACTTGTCCATACTCTCAGGCTTCATCTCGACACTGTATCCAGGCTCGGTGGGGGTAGTGTAGTAACCATCCTTGATGACACTGGGGTTGAAGAAGTGCTCGTGCAAGTGGTCGACGTACTCGAGCACACTGAGCTTACCACTGACAACAACGTAGTCGATGGTACTCAAGTGTTGAGTGTACTCAGGAAGACCAACACCACCAGAGTGAGGAACGATCGGTACACCGAACTTCTTTGCGATGAGGAGGACAGCGAGGACCTCGTTGACACCACCCATGCGGCAAGCATCGATCTGGCAGACATCGATGGCACCCTGTTGCAGGAGCTGCTTGAAGATGACACGGTTCTGGCACATCTCGCCAGTAGCGACACCAATGCCATAAGGCTTGAGTGCCTCGCGGATAGCCTTGTGGCCGAAGACATCGTCAGGGCTGGTAGGCTCCTCGATGAACCAAGGCTTGAACTCAGCAAGCTGCTTCATGTACTCAATGGCCTCCGGGACGGACCAGACCTGGTTGGCATCAACCATGAGGAAGTTGCCCTTGTCGTAACCAATGACCTCTCTGGCGATGCTCAATCTCTCCTTGTCTTCGGCGACGCTGGTTCCGACCTTGAGCTTGAAGTGTTTGTAACCGGCGTTGAGAGTCTCTTGCAGCAGGCCCTTCATCTTGTCCTTGCCGTAGCCCAACCAACCAGCACTGGTGGTGTAGGCAGGCACAGCTCTGTTGGCCTCGGCGTGCTTGATACGCTCAGCCTTGCCCGACTCCTCCTTCTTCAGCATCTCAATGGCTTCCTCTTTGGTGATGGCATCGGTGATGTATCTGAAGTCAATGCATGAGACAAACTCCTCAGGAGACATGTCAGCAACGATTCTCCAGACGGGCTTGTTGAGGGTCTTGGCCCACAGGTCCCAGATGGCGTTAACGACAGCACCGAGAGCAAGGTGAATGACACCCTTCTCAGGGCCAATCCATCTCAATTGACTGTCCGAGACGAGGTATCTCCAGGTCTTACCCCAGTCGGAGACCAGGTCCTCGAGCTTCTTACCCTCGACACGGGCGGCAAGGAGGGAGATGGCCTGGCAGACAATCTCGTTGCCGCGACCGATTGTGAAAGTCTAACAGAGGTCAACACCTGTGTGTGGGGAAACTGGGGAGGTTTGGTGCGTGACTTACCATACCGTGACCGGAGAAGTCGGAATCGGTGTGAAGGATACAATAGGCGGCTGAGTAGTCGCCAGCAGCGTTCATGGCATCAGAGCCAGTCTTGTCAAGAGACGTCTACATTGATCGGATCAATTGCTGTTCTGGAGTGGAGAAGTTGGGTAGAAATGTTTACTCACAGGGAATCTAACGTCCCTCGTCGTGGCCTTTGTGATGGTAACCATGATGTGTGATATGTAGAGTATGAACAGAGAGTAGGGGAGAGGAGAGAAGAATGAATTGAGAGCACACGATGCCCCAACAGTGGGAAACGGACAGGTTTTGTGTAATGGCCAACCTCTCATCTACCGTCAGAGCGCCCCCACTAGTCCACCATAGTGGGGGCGGGTCTGGGGCTCCAGCTGGCGGGTTTGCGATAAACCTTTACCGCTATTGGTGCATAATTTAGGCTGGAGTTCTTCCGCGAGCTTTCAGTCGCCGAGAAGACGGACGTGCTGCAAAGGTTTCCCCGAAGCAGGGTCAGGCGTTGGAGAAGGTGCGGACTGCAACCACGTCCGAGGGTTCATGAGATCCTTGAGCACTGCTTATAACGACCTTGGTGAGCGTTGTCATTGGCTGAATGCCTTTATAATGCGAGAAAGTGGACTCGTACGCTACACCACGCCAACCGACGGATGTGATTTGAGTCTGTATGGCGGCCAGGGGACGTGGATCGTGTGATCACTATTACCCGGATGTCTTTTTTGGTGAAGTTAGATTGATGTCGCGCCGACTTCTGGAAGGAAATTGGCAAGTTAACAGGACTTGCAAACACAAAATCGCAGTTGCGGCCTCGTATTCTCAACTGTAGAGCTTGGAAGTAGGCGGAGAAGACCTGATAGAGCGACGGCCGCAAAGAAGGTTTTTGCTGAAAAGGGCTGTTCCGAAGACCGTCGAAGCAATTGCAGCTTGGTGATTTGCGTCTTTGCCATGGCATTGACTTGGATGAAAGCCATCTACCAGCCTTACAAAAGCATATTTACAGAACCTTTTGCCGGCCGTACTCGGAAAGCAAGAAGCAATATAGTTGGCGACAACCGTGATGAAATAATGCTAGGCCTCGACTCTGGAGGGTTTAGGAAATTGGCAAAGAGTGCAGATTGTGGGGAAAGTGGTTGTTTGATGTTGTTCGCGTGGCTTCAAAGGAGAAGCAACAGCAGCGGCAACAACGATCCCTGATCGATCTGACAGAGCCAATATGAGCGGGCGAATCTCTTTGCTGCTTCAGCTGTGCCTCGTCTTCTTCATTGCCTTGACGAGAGCAGCGACTCAAGAACCTCTAGTAGATGAGAAGCCTAGCTATCGCGTAGGGGATGCCATTCCGGTGACATGTCGTAGGTCCACCTTCTGTCTGCTCCATGCTTCCCTACTGACCTCCCCAAGTCAACAGGACGTCCGACACTGGCGAGCATGTACGAATCAGATACCTCAACGAACGATACATCCTACTGACATGGCATGACAGGTCACCGATGCCTCTGGACAACTCCAATATGTACCCTTTCCCACCTGCAATGAGACCGGACGGCCACTAGAGATCTACTTTGGTGTCGAAAAGGACATCAATTGCACCATCGACTTCATCTCGGATCCCATGTTCCATCTCCTCGAATTCTACGTCCACAACGACGCTCCCATGACCTGTCGCATTCCCACTCGCCCCTTCTCCGACTCCTACAAGGCCCCGAAAGAAGACGCCTCGGTCGAAGGCCAGGGCAGTCTGAGCGATGAATACATCCCTTTGATCATTGCTTTGACGGGAACACTCCAGCTCTCACATTTGCACGTCTCCTCACACCTCAACATGTTGCTACACGCGGCTCCCAAGTCCGTCTCGCCTGGTGTTATTGATGCTGCCACCGCATACTCCATTTCTACCCGTCCGCCGACCCGGATCGTCATTGGTGACGCTCTGCCATTCACATTTTCCATCCGCTGGTACTCTGGACAGCAACTGCCATCTGGCTGGTCCGGTGTCGGCGGCCACATCTACGCCAGCACTTTGATCTACTGTTTGTTGAGCGCTGGCGCCGCAGCTGCCATCTGCATTGTCTACTTCCGCGGCGTCGAACTTCCGAGAAGACTCAGAAATCATGGAAAGGATAGAATGACAGGTGGAATGGAGGGAGGCAGACTTGGCGGATATGGATACGCTGCTGGTACTAGCAGTTACGCCCTGGGTGCTACTGGAGGCAAGCGAGACTGAAGATTTGTATCATCTTGTTTATTTCTTGTACAATTGAATATAAAAGATACAGGTTACAACATGACACCAACTGTCAAACATTCATACACTTGAGAGAGTCCTCCCCGATCGTGGAAAGAAGATACATGAATAAGCAGCGGCAAGCTGAGAAGGAAGCCACCCTCGTCCCATCTGCCACTTCTCGTTTCTCGCAGCGTCAAGAAGCGGTGAGAGTCTATGAATATCTCACAGTGATCCCGGGACTGGAACATTTCCAGAGCAAATCAATCATACGAAAAATGCCCTCGAGTCCGAGTTAAGACAACTGACTGCCGTTGGCAAGAAGCACTTTCCAAGCCGAGAGGCGATGGCACTATGCTACGGACGTTGCCGCACCATCGCGATGCGTCAACGTGATCGAGTTTCTTAGATCTCTTGACCACTTACACGGCTACCAGCAGCGCCGCCTTGGTCCATCCGGTCCGTTTCTTGCATTACGAGTAATATCAGCAGCATGTCATCAGCTTGCGGGAAGCCATATCAAGGTGCAGCAATTGCCTCAACCAGAGGGAACATGCTTTTTGTTGGAAGGAAGAGGGGTATATGATCCTGTTGCAGCAGGGACTCGAGCCCTATGCATTGTACCATCATCTCTGACCGCGAAAGGCCAACGCGCTCTGTGGTTACGCGTTCGTCCAACGCAGTCATCAAGTGGATGTGTTCTTGCAAGTATTCGCGGCCAAGAAGTTGGTATAAAGTTATCTGCACGTGCTCATGAGACACTTGATTGATGATCAGCGACGATGACAACAAGGGACTGTCGATCGTCAGAAGAGAGGGCGCGTCGAGGCAACCGACGGCTTACCGCTGAAGGTCGAAGAGGGAGTTACACATACAGGACCCTCATCCTCTCGAGCCCCGACTCGACACTTCTCAACAAACTTACGGCTCGTTGCATACTTGCTCCGTATCTCCCGTCCGGACAGCGCTTCCCTCGAGGGAGCGCCTTCCAAGCCCCACGCAAGATGATCTTCTGATAGCCAGGTCAAGTGGCTGAGCGAGATAGAACAGGGGAGAGGAAAGACTTGAGAGATCGGCACTGTCGAAGGAGGCAGGTGAGCGTAAGGCCAGAGGAGTACGCAGAGGACCCGAGGGCATGGACGAGAGTCTGCGTCGGAAAGCATCGGGTCCATGGTACGCTGCCTTTCTTCAGCTTGCCTCCATGCGTCCTCTGACATACAGTTACTATTGAACTGCGATGCCTGTTATCGGTACTTTCCAACCACGATGACGGCAATGACGCGTAATCGATTGACAAACCTTTCCCTCTTCTGACCCTCCCAAGGGTGATGAAGACTTTGATACTCTTAAGCCTGTTGGCATCGGATTATGCTAGGCAAACGTGTGCGATGCAAACTGCTCAGGAACTGGATGGACAGGACAGTCTATCCAGACAGCGCTGACGAGTTATCCCCACATACATGTGAGGAAGTCACTGGATCATCGCAAAGACATGTCTCGAAGCTTGTGAAAGAGGTCAATAACCATCAAAGCTTTCCAAGCCACCACAGTGTGTGTGTGTGTGGTTGATCCCATGTTTTCTTTGAACATGCACAGGCCAGCAGTTCGTTTCAGAAGGGGCTGACGAGTCCGTGGAGACCGCTATAAGGCGACTGGTGTCATGGAAACAAGGCCATGATTGCGTTCTCGGTGTTGTGCAGAGCTAAAGAGTGCTTCCCGTGTTGCTCAGCGTCAGTTCGTGACACGGAAGCCTCAAATCTCCGTCGTGCACCGTGTCATGACTTCTGTCCACACGCTACATCTGGAGTGTGAGTATGGCATGAGCGTGGAGAAAGAAGGTCCGTTGGATATGCTTTGTTCTGTTCCGACACCGAGGTATAACTTTAGGGGAAGTGGGTCGATCGGATCACCTGGGTGTCGTTGCCAAGTGCCTTGCTCACTGGACAGCGCTGCGAACGATAACTGGCATCTTGACGAATTCCTGTTGTTCTTCCTGCAGATCCAACTACCAGGCCAGAATTGTTCATTGGGAGCGATACAACTGCAAGAGCATAGCACGTTCTAGTCAGGCTGTGCTGCGCCAGATCGTCGCAGCACAATCAAGTTATGCCCATGTATTGTGCATTAATGTTTCCCTGGTTGAGATGCTGCAGCTCGCCGCTCTATAGACCCTCGATCCGTGAGTCGCCCCGTGCGGATTTCGGACCGGCACGGGTTATGGCAGGTTTTTTTTTCCAGCCATATGCTCAACAAAGGAAGCTTCCCAATGAAGCCGCCGGATGTGCCTGAATCTATGGAGCCCCGCAGTAAGATGGATATAGCACGCACGTTGATCCTCGAGCTGTTCACGAGATCAGCGGCAAAGTGCTGCGGCAATGTTTGCCTGTAGCATCGAAATGTCCCCGACTCCGGCACGGACGCATGTACAGCTCGAGTACACTGGGCCTTTTCTTTGAAACGCTCCCAACACGCTGGAACCCATCGATATTGTCAATTTGGGTAAGAGCAGAACTTGACGAGTCATCCTGATTGCCGTGACAAATTGGCGTGTCGAGGCAATGGACCATCTGATCAACCAACATGTTAGATGCCAGGAAACTGTTTTGGCCTCTGATCCAGAATGCAGTGTTCAAGAGACATGCGCTCGACATTTGATGCTTTTCAACATGCAGAGTCGATTGGGCATCAGGATGTTTGGCGGAATAATATCATCTCTTGACGTTGAAGCCACACTTGCACAAGAAGCCATCTGATCGGCGCACGCTGATTGTCAGCAAAGAGTGTAGTCGTTGCATCACAAAGAACCACTCCATCAGATGCGAGTTAGCAGGGTAGTCGTCGTGTGAATGTCGAGTCACCAGATTGTCGCATTCATCGACAAGAATAGACCGCGGCCAGAGCTTGCCAATAGACCAGAGAGCGCTTCTTTGAAACAAAGAAATCTTTCCGACATTGATCCCTGAGCCGAAGCTCTTCTCGTAGCTACGGACGAAGCAATACTGACGGCACGAGACGAGACGAGTTGAGGCATGGAGATTGCGGTAGGATGCATAATTGAGCTGCAAAAGGCGACAGCAGCGTGTAACGGTGAGATGATGTCCCATATGGGCCGGTATGTCAGACTGATATGGGTTGGATGCTGATGGCCGTCGCTGTACCAAAGAGATTTGTTGAGGTTTACGGCCTTGACAAATCTCACAAGGGAAGCGGCCCTGGAGCAACAACTTCCCAAGTCATTCTGACCCGATGCCCTAATCAGAGCGCCATCGGGTATGAGCTGTCACGAAGCTATACGTTCGCACTTCTTTGTTCTGAATATAGAGCAGATAGGTAGGCCCTTGATGGAATGTGAGGTGAGAGGTAGAAGATACCGAGCTAAGGCATGCAAGGCAAGTGATGCTGTCGCTTACCTGCCCAATCACAGCGCGCGCTCATTTTTGAGCTGCTCCAACCACCTCTGCCCCCAATCCTCCAACTTCCAACAAGACATTTTACGGGACAGCCTGCACGTCACAATTCTTGTGGCTTGAGCGTCCACCAGGGGCGGGCGGCGTGGTTCAGATCGGAGCAAGGAGAAGCAAAACATCTGATCCATTCGTCATCCCCCGATGGACCCGCTGCCGGTTGGCAGACATAGGTCGGGACGCGACAACCACCTCGTTTTTTTCTTGCTCACGTACACGTTTGTTTGCCCTCGACCACTCCTCGCAATCGCGCCCTGGATGTTGGCAATGCCGTCGGCCATCCCAGACCCCCTCCGCATGAAATGCAACTTGACGCGAGCCGTGGCTTGCTTGCCGCCGCCCCAAGATGCGCCCTCTCGCGCATCTTCTGTATCAGCCCGGTTATGGGGTTGACTGACAGGAAACGGCTGGTCCAGCAACTGACCCAGACGAGACGAGTGCAGACCTGCCCTGCAAATGTCTGCATTGGATCTCTGTCCGGATCTGCCGGGCCGAGCGGTTTGTTACGGACCTCTTGTCTTGGATCGACTTTGCTGTGCTGACCTGACAAACATTCTACCCTCTTTCTTTTTGCTTAGCATGCTAATTCAGCCCATGGTCAAACAACAGGGACATGTCAGTAAGTAGACATGATCGTCCCTCCAAGCAAGACGTACCGACAGTAGCCCGGCTAGACGTATATCGCGCTAAGTTCTGCCGACCCAGGCGCTGCCAAGTAGTAGTTGTTGTTGTTGATGTTCCTGCATGTGTATGAAGGGATCACCTGCATTTGCCGGCTCATGATCGAGTCTCTGATGATGAACCTTTGCACTTCCCAGCAAGGAGAATCGCGTCTGCGTGATCAAGGCCGAAAAGGCCTCTGTTGCATTTGAGTCGAATCATCCTCCCTGGCTTCGGAGTCAGATAGGCAGCCCAAATTCGGCAACGAGGCTACTGCAGCTTTCCCGCGTTACGCTTCCTCTCCCCAAGAGGCGACTAGAACAGTCTAAGCTGTCCATGGCTATGATCATACTGAGGCTGAACTAGTCCCCGTCAATTGGGTTTGGTTACCTTGAAGACGCAACTTCTGGGTGAGAAGTCGCCTGGTACCCTGTGGTAGAAAAAGAGGGCCGAATCCTTCTCAGAAACCAGATGAGTTTTTGAGTTTCGCTGGCTTTCTCACAAGTAACCATCTCTTTGTCTCGTAGTAGTTGACTGGTAGATCTCTACTGGTCTCGAGTAAGTACGACATCCAACCAAGGACATCATGACACCGATGGTCTCTCTCATCATTGCCGGTTGTTGACCTCTATCACAGTTCCTTTCAGAGTTTACTTTCGTACGATTGATCATCACAAAACACCCATACACCCTCATTCTCTCAACGACCGGTCCCTCGACATTCGTTCACCCTGTGTCAATCTTCTGCACGAACATATCATCTACTCGCCGCACGTCTTGTCACCCTCTGGAGATCTTGCAATCATCCTGAGACTGACATCCATCGACGTGCATAAAGGCGCTTGCAGGTCCAGCTGCTCACGCTCAGACCATCAAACATCTTGTGTGGAGAAAGAATCCTTGTAAGTCTTCCTTCTGCATGACAGATGCCGAGAGGCAGGAATGCATCCTTCCTCACCGCCATCTCCAACAATTTCGGGGCTTTTGTTTTCCCTTTTTTCCTTCTGGTTTTGGTCTGCAGCATACCGAGCCGACTCGCATTCTCGATGACAAGTCATATCTGTCTTGTATGGAAACAAGACCATTGCTTACCATGGCTACTGTGCAGGTCCTATACATATTCGCTTCCCACATTTCGTCTCGATTATCTTGAGGACCTGCTGCCTTTGCAAATTCAACTTTCTTAAGTAAGAATACTGCACTTGCACCTCACGACCGGCGCAATCTATTTTGCTTCGACCATACATCTTGATCATCTCTTGATTCAGATTGTGGCGTCGTTTGAGCTTCGGATCTAATCGTTACTCATCAAGATCGCAGTAGTCTACTGCACCCCATACACAGCCGCCGAACCAACGAGCGCGATCAACAGATCCACGCAAGTGCCGAAGAAGCCAAAGTCTAACTCTGACAAGCTTCTCGGAAGAATAATTGTAAGTCAAGAATCTTCTGTTCCTACACTCACGTCTTTTCTCTTGTTCCAATTGTTATCGCGTTGGTGCGACGTTCACTTTCCTCAATCCTTACTATGCAGTCTGATCTGGCGCTGATGAGCTGCGGCACAGCCAGCCCCACTTCCTGCAAGAAGATAGCATAATCAATCTGTTCACATGAATCTTGTCGCTTCGATGAATTCTGGTATGCATTTCCCTTTTTCTTTATTATCTTATCATTACACCTTCTTCATCCGGCAAACAAACCACCAACGGCTCTGTCGCAACTTTTGGCGAGTTCGCAAGGCGTTCTTTGATCCTCCTCTGTTGTCGTCAGGAGCTGTGTATCGGCAAAGTTTTGGGGTCCAGGTCCATTCGCTGTACGACGATGGGGTCTTTATTGTCTTGTCTTGGCCGAAGTATGACAGACAGCGAGCTGTCTACGAATCTCGAGGGGATCATCTGGTTCGGACAAATTTGCTAATTCTTGATTTCGTCAGGGACAGCATTCTTGCACCTACGGCACGATTATACACTGCCACCAGACCAAGAATGTCTTGAGCAGCTCGGAGTTCATGCACATCAGCCTGGCTACCACAATCCTGGAAGCGGCGATCCTCTCCGACGTGACGACGGCTTGGGACATTCGACTGGCAGCATGTTCTCGCTATCCAACAACTTCATCGCAGACCGATCGGTAACCACAACTGACCAGTAAGTCTCTTTTCTTTCTTGTCCGGGGTTCACATGGGCTGTGTACCTTTGACCCCTCATCTGGTGCCGCCGCGATGGATAGGGATTCGCCAGCCTAAAAATGATTGGTGTGGCGTGCTTCTTCAGCAAGAGTCGCTCTTTCCCTTCAGGTCTGCAAAACCTCGGGGCTCCGCTCATCTGTATTCATTCTGGTCTTGGTCGACAAGATGCCAGCAACCTGCCGCGCATCACAAGCCTGGCGTTGCAAATCAAGGTCCGCGGTTGCTCATGCACCTTCTTTTCCCAACATCATACCTCGCGCGCGGTGTCAGCCTGATGTCGTACATGCAAGCCTTTTTCTGCACTGCGTACCGCCAGAAAATCTTATTCTCCTCCTCAACGACATGAAACACACGAGGAAGAATGACTGACAATCTTGCAGCGAAAGGTATCACCCAAGTGCGACAAGCTTTGCTGCCGCTGCCGGAGATAGTTCTGGTTCGATTTCAACCAGTCCCAGCTCTGCCACGTCCTCACTGGCCTACACTGCAAACTATCCAAGCCATTACACAACGTATGCCGCGCCTGTCGCACCTGTCCAACACTTTGTCAACCATCCTGGGCTGAGTGGACGCATGTGAGTCTGGACCCTATTCCCGTTATCTGACATGCCTTGACCGGCATCAATGTTTATTCGTTGTTGTTCTATACTCGACATTCGCTAACAAAGCCATTGTAGTCTGGATGATCCAGCACAAGGAATTGCTGCCTGGCGATCTCCAGCCCCAGCTCTAGGACACTCATTGTCGCCGTCCACTACCAACATCACAACTCGTGACTACATTCACACAGGTAACCTTCCTGTCCCCAGTCACCTGTCTTCTCCTCCGGCATCTACCTACACGGGATACTCGGAGACTCCACGTTCGTTGACTGGCATCGCAACCCCCCTCTCCCCCTCTTCGAACCCACTTCTGACCGCACAAATGGCTTCTTTGAGCACTACCGGGTATGGAACACATCGTAGCGAATGCCAGAACTTTCCCTGGGTGCAACATGAGAGTTTCCACAATCTCGAATGTGAGGGTCAAGAAGTTGTTCCCAGAATACACGCGAAGATGGAGAAGGGGTTCTTCCTCTCCCCTGATAGATCCTGGACATGCTACCGACGCAACTACTTCTCGGTCACTTGCTCATTTGAGCTGACACCACACATTGGAAATGGAAGACTCTGCCTCAATGGTCAAAGAGTCCAGGCCATGGGTATGAAGTTGACTGCGGCTGTCGATGGACAAACTGGAAAAGGTGTCGAGCTTATCCAACATACGCCCAAACGCGACAGAGGTCCCAAGAATGCGATCCCGATCATCAAAATTTCACCCACGCCGCCGAATGGACGACCCGCCGAGTCTACTCTCAGCCCACACGGCGTCTACCATGTACCGATGTCTTCATTCCATGCCACTGGAGTCCCCACTGGTCCCCATCTTCCCTTCCAAAACGCCCGCGACGAGTCTCCCGCATCAAGCCGATCAACGTCCCCTGCCGGCCGGAGACATGAGTACACCTTTGGTCATCTTGCCAGCAGTCAACTGCCAATGCCAGGCCAGAACATCCAGCACACCTTCGAGCGCGTGCAATTCAAGTCGGCAACAGCCAACAATGGCAAGAGAAGAGCATCCCAGCAATACTTTCACCTTATGGTTGAGCTCTGGGTTGACGTCCGCGAAGACGAAACCAGGAAGCCGAAGTGGGTCAAGATTGCTTGTGCAATCAGTGACAAGGTTGTGGTGCGCGGTCGCAGCCCCAGCCACTACAAAGCCGAGAATCAAGGTGGTGGCTCTTCATCTACTGGTCGCGGTGGAAGCACTGGCGGTTATGGAGGCTCAAGTGGAGGCTATGGCGGTATGAGTCGTGGCAGCTTCAGTGGAGCTGGCTATGCCACTGGACCAGGCAACACGGGCGGGTTCCGTGCCAGTCAACAATACCAATCGGCAACCTCGCCCGAGCAAGGCTATTCCTCCAGCACTGGATCGAGTGTGGCCGAGATTGTTGACGTGAAGCACCCCATCGAAGCCGAGCCAAGCCATGACGAAGACAGCGCCATGCAGGACTTTGCTGGCTATCAGTACATACCAACGACCTTGTACGATGGCACTTCAGTGCAGGGCAAAGGCGAAAGCCCAAACTCGACCGCAGGAGGCGGACAGACAGTCGACAAAAAGGTGTCGATCTGGGACGAGTATCCCGAAGCGCTGCCTGGAACACAGTGGAGTATGGGCAACTGCAATCGCTTCCAGGGGGTGGAAAGCAGCAGAGGCTACTATCCAGCATTCAGCACGACTGGGTTCTGAGATGAAGTGTAGGGCGCAACATGTTGCAAGGGACAATTTCCTTTCCTTGTCTAGTCTCTGTTCATGGCGATTAATTTTCTGTCAACAAGGTTCGTTTCTCAAAGTCACAAGCACAATGCTTCGAAGGTCATGGTATTAATGGAGTCATGGACACAGGAAGAAAAGGCAATCAAAGGAGAATGGCGTTCTGAGAGGGACATGAGGATGAGGCACGGTAATGATACCCTTGGACGGAGTTTGGGCAGCAGTACAGCATGCAGAGGAAAAAGGAACCAGGGCTCACGGAACATGATGATGAAGGTTATGAAGGGAGGCAGCGCTGATGTAATTCCTGATTTACAAAATGCATAAGACACAGGGTGTCTGTAATATCAACTGCTTGGCAAAGAAGTTTTGCAGTGATTGTGATGGATACAAGTGAAGGTGGCGGTATGGGTGCTGGAGTGGATATTGGTGCAGTGTGTGTGGATCGAAGCTTCCAGAAAGGCGCGGCTGGCGGAGACGGCGACTTGTATGTGGGCAAAAAACTAAGGTTTCGGGAGAGCGTTTGACAAGAGTCATTTGTCGCCCGCTAGACGGCAGCGCTTACCAGATGTTCCCAAAAGTCTTTGGCAGAACCACCCCGTCGCCCTCGCTGTCGTCCTCTACGCCGAGAGCCTCTACTACCGCTCCCGACCACGCCCAACCCTCGGCCAGAGACACTCCCGACCCACGCCCGTCCTCGGCCTCTCAGCGCCCCCCAACCTCCCGTACTCCAAGCAGCCGCCCGCTGTCCCGCTCTCCGGAGAAAAAACCGAGTGCCAAAGCCGACAAAAAGTCGTCACTGTCGCGCTCAAAGAAGGACAGAGCACACGACCCCGACACCCACCCGCTCAATCTATCTCCCGAAGAGCGCGCCCGCCTCTCGAGACTCTCCGCTAGGATGGATCAGGAAAAGCAACAGGCCAATGGCAATAGCACCGCCGACAAGCCCACCCAGAATGGTGATGCTGCTCCCGCTCCTCCACCGCACAAGACTCCCACCACCCCTCCGCCACTAAGCACCGAGGATGCTGAGGCCTTCAAGGCTGCCGGAAACAAGTACTTCAAGGCTGGAGACTACACAAAGGCCATTGCAGAATACACAAAAGGTTGATCCTCTCCATGTCTGCCCGGTCGCGCGTATGCTGACACGTTGCCCTTCTCAGCCGTCGAGGCCGATCCCAAGTCTTCGACATATAGATCCAACCGCGCCGCCGCTTACATGTCCGCTGGAAAGTACGTCCAGGCTTTGGATGACTGCAAAGAGGCCGATGAGCTGGACCCGGACAATGCCAAAATCTTGCACAGAATGGCCCGTGTCTACACATCTCTGGGACGTCCTAGAGAAGCCCTCGAGACCTACGACCGTATCACCCCTGCCGCGTCGCAAAAAGACCGCCAACCTGCAGTCACAATGAACAAGCACCTTACCGAGGCCGAAGAACAGATCCGCGAATCTACCTCTGGTTCCATGGCCATTTTCGCTCTTGACCAAGCGGAGAAGGGTCTTGGGTCCACCGTCACAAGACCACGAAAGTGGGCTCTGCTCAGGGGTGAGGCATACTTGAAGATGGGAAATGTAAACGCCCTGGGAGACGCACAAAACATTGCCATGTCGCTGTTGCGCAACAACAGCGCCGACCCCGAGGCTCTCGTACTCAGAGGACGCGCTCTGTACGCACAGGGTGAGAACGACAAGGCGCTGCAACACTTCAGACAAGCCATCAGCTGCGACCCCGACTTCAAGGATGCCGTCAAGTATTTGCGTATGGTGCAGAAACTCGATCGCACAAAGGAAGAAGGAAACGGCTACTTCAAGTCTGGAAAGTACCAACAAGCTGTCGACACCTACACCTCTGCCCTCGAAATCGACCCCCAAAACCGTGGCACAAACTCCAAGATTCTGCAAAACCGCGCGCTTTGCTACACCAAAGTATGTTTTTTTCGAACCGACGATACCGAAAAGTTCTGACTCTGACAACTTCTGCAGCTCAAGGAATGGCAAAAAGCAATCGAGGACTGCGAACGCGCACTGAAGCTCGACCCCAGCTACACCAAAGCCCGCAAGACAAAGGCCAAAGCCCTCGGCGAGTCCGGCGACTGGGAAGAAGCAGTCAAGGAACTCAAGTCCATTGCCGAGAGCAACCCCGAAGAACCCGGTATCGCAAAGGAAATCCGTAACGCCGAGCTCGAGCTCAAGAAGAGCAAGCGCAAGGATTACTACAAGATTCTGGGGGTGGAGAAGGATGCAGATGACAATCAGATCAAAAAGGCGTACAGGAAATTGGCTATCATCCATCATCCTGACAAGGTTTGTTTTGCCCCTACTAACCCCCATAGCCGCCGTGTCAATCGCTGACAATATCAAAAAAAAACAGAACCAAGGCGACGAAGCAGCAGCCGACCGCTTCAAAGACATCGGTGAAGCCTACGAGACCCTTTCCGACTCTCAAAAACGCGCTAGCTACGACAGCGGCGAAGACCTCATCGACCCCCATGAGCAATTCGGCGGCGGCGGTTTCGGCGGCATGGGAGGCGGCATGGGTTCGCAGATTGATCCTGAAGTGCTGTTCCAAATGTTTGGAGGCCAGATGGGCGGAGGTGGCGGCTTTGGCGGCGGCGGTATGGGTGGCGGCGGTGGCCGTAGAGGTGGCGGTGGAGGCTTCCCCGGTGGGTTCCACTTTGGATGAGAGGATGTCTGATTGGATTATTGGAGGCTTTGACGACTTTCTGGACGCGAAAAAAACTAGGATTTCTTGGATGGCTGGGAGGGAAAAAGTCGAGTGTCGGAAGTCCCGAGTTGACATGTTGACCATCCTTTCTTCCCATCTGTTTGCGGTCTGTTCCATCACCACCCCTTTTGTTCATATGTTTCCAGCATGACGGAGCGAGCGAAGGAATCCAGATACTCGTTTTTTTTTGTTGCATGTTATGGAAGTTGGAGTTTTTGTTTGCTTTCTCTTTTCGCAAAAAGCTCACCTATGTGGAAATTAGACTGTTCTGGAAAATCTCGCTTTTGCAATATACGCAACAAGAACGTTTTGTTCCAAAAACAGATCAAGGAGATAACGTGCACAGTTATACACTTTTGCTTCATCAAACACGTATATCTGAAATTGCAGACAAAACCTCAGCTTGTGTGAAAGATGCTAGGATGTAAAGTAAAGCCTGTCCGCTTGGTAAAGCAGTATATGATTATATTGGCCCCCTCGATTGGCTTGCACTACTCTCTCTACATTGACGTTGATGGAAAGGGTGAATAGCTTTTCCACCTCATGTTGTGTTGGGTGTTCTGAGTCTCACCCTTCCATGACAACTAAGTAAACCCAAGTTTTCCAAGCATAAGAAGTGTGTGATAGGAAAGAACCTCAAGTTTGACATGTTATCAACACACATCCATTTACACATGCACGGGTACCTCTTTTGATCCTGCAAACGACCAGTACGAAACACGAGATCCCGACAGCAATTACGAATGAGACGAATGTTGCCGTGTCAAGATCAAGTGGACATTTTCTCTCAGTCTGCTGCTACCCCTTCTATTCTGGCCTGTTCTCTGATCTTGCGGATGATGAATATTCTAGAGATTCAGTCGTGTGAGTGTTCTCGTCATGCGAGAAGTAATCTCGATGGAGCGCAAGCACTCTCTTTTGACTGAGCCCTGCATGAGCAAGCGTCGAGCGATGCCTAGAGAGCTGGAAAGCATGCACCGCGTCGAAAATGCCCTGAGCAATATGATTGTCGATGAGTTGTCGCGAAGGAGGCGGAGAGAGCAATACGTGCAGCCAACACGCCCACAAAGCGCTTCGCAGGTGGATTCGTGTAGCATTGTATTGTCGTGCCAAACGAAGGCCTCAGCGCTGGCGTAGCGAAGCTTCCCTTTTGTATCACAGATCAACCAAGAGTCTTCGAGTGTCCTGCTAGAATATAGTCTTCCAGAGTCCTCGACGACCACGGCCCTTTGGTATCGCTTGAGAATGTGCCATATTGGTAGTCTGCGCATGTTTGAATATTCTGCTTTGGAATATGATTGTTCTCAAACACCTTCGATAAGACGTGTGGGATCCGAACGAGGAGCTTCGTGAGGCTGAGCCATCGAAAGCTTCTTCGCCATCTCGTGCCAAACGACACGCGATGGGGGCGAGGGAAGATCGTGATGTGGTGTTCTGACACTTGTAACATCGCTGGCTGCTGGAGATGCACCGGCCTCGCTAGCTGAGTACGGAAAGAGCGACTGTAGCTGTTCCAGCTTGTTTTGGAGAATGTCCCTCTGGACCGGGTCGAAGGTTGGCAGCGAAAACAAAAAGCCGATCAAAAAGGTGAAATCGTCGACTCGACCAGCGGTTTCCTGAACTGTAGTCGCCGGAACAGTAATAATGACATTGGCGATAGTATCGGTCAGCTCGAATAACTTTTGTTGGATGCCTGAGCCATGGATTGCGATGGCTTGACGGGAAAATCTCGTCATGAGTGCTCGTAGTTGTGTTGACAAGCGGACTGGGAAAGACAGAGATAGAGATTCTTTTGATGAAACAGAGCTCAGCAAGCATTTTGACATGGCCATCTGCCACACCAACATTCGCAGCCAATGTTTTGTTACGATCAAATCTGCTTGTTGCATGTCTGTTAGAGGTGTCACACCGGCATGAGCTTCGTTTCCGACCGGCTCCTCATCAATCTCTTTGTGTTTGCTGTCAATCCATTCTCGCGTCACGGTTGTGGTGCCGAACCAGTTGGCGAGGAAGTCATCATCGATGAGGCGGAAGAGACGGATGATCTGCAAAAAGCCTTCGTGTACACCTGGAGGGATTGACGGATCGAATTCTGGAAGGTCGTGCAGAGGTGGCAACACTACCGGCCGGTAATTTGAGATGGCCAGATATCTTTCGTGAATAAAGACCTCCCAGTATAATCTCTGTCTGCGAGCACGCTCGCTCGAATTGAGCTTCTCCATGACTTCTGGATGGCCGATGCGTAGCATTTGAATCATGGTGATGGATTCGCGAACGTAGTAGAATGACATGTCCATGTTGGCGAGGCACATCAAAGAAATGTGAGCGAACTGGCTGATCATAACCCTCCGAACGGACATTTTCTCGTCGAAGGCAATAGCTGCTCTGGCTTTGATGAGTTCTTCGAGCCAGTATCTCACTTGCGACTGGGAGTCTGTGGAGTCATCCGGGCTTTTGTTGGTCAAGGCGATGGTGATGGCTGTATAAGCATATACAAAAGTTTTGGCTTCTGCGCTCTGATCCATCTCTCTTATTGAAGCAAGTACATCATCGACGGTCATGATGGGATTGACTGGGTAGACAGAAAGGTCATAATCGTCCAAGAAACTAGTAAAGAAAGAAGCATCATGGTTGATCAAGGAAGGTGACGGTTGAGCAGGACTTGAATCCGAGGTTTCGGCGCGTCCATTTGTGGTCTCCTTGTACTGTGCGATGAGCTTGCCGCGTTTGAGTGTTTTTGTTCTGGGTTTGGGCGCCGAATAGACGCAGCGGAGGTTAAGATGACTGCATTGCTGGCATTTCTCTTGGCCGTTACATTTGACCTTTCTGAGTTTGCAAGCATCACAGGCTTGATTCGTCCGACGAGTAGGTGGTAATGAGAAGGATGTGTTCATTTCGATATGCATACCAGCGTTGGAATGGAAGGAGAGAGCGACAGGATGGTCATGTTCACCTGACTTAGCAAAGCACCCGCTCCTGCGGAGACAGCTTGCGCTTTGACCTCGGCCCGCTATTTCAACGCTCTACGTGAACCACTCTCGATTCTCGACCCTTGTCGACCATATGTCGCCTCGAACGTATAGACCAGCTAATTGTCATGTTGCAAAGTGCTCAGCTGAGCCCTTTCCTGACAGCTTTGGCCAGGTAGACGGATCTGGATACCATCTGACGGGCGCGCAGTAGACGCGAAACACACGCATCGTGGGCCTACATCCTGGTGTCAAGTCGACGGCTGATGCAACCAAGTACTTCCAGCATGCAGCCGCGTGTCTTACTGTCCAATCGTGCCCCCCTCGATCCATCTGCTTCGACACATGCTGCTCTATCCAAGTAGTTTGTCGCGTCAGCAACTTCGGCGATCACGACTGCTCCAGATTATCCATCGCATCTGGAGCGCCATGACATATGGCCACTCCGGACAATCATTTCGCTAGTTATATCCAGTATCAACTTCAAGTTCCCAATAATTACTCTACTTCGCCAATACTGTTCAACCGCAGAAACAACTTGATGTATCAATTTTGCGGGTAGCTGCTTGGCTCTGTCTTGCATTGTGGCCTTGGTCGTACGCTTTGACACTTGACAGGGCGTACAGTAGAGCAAGAACCCGTCGGTCGACTTGCCAGCGCGTTTGTTGCCTACCTGACGCTCAATTTCCATCAATCGGTGGCACAAAGACTTTTGAGATGGAGCAATGCAATCAACCAAGCGATGTAGAACTAAGTACACTACAGTGGAGAGTCTAGAGCCAATCGGCGACGACTGTAATGTCTATGGTAAGAAGTAGCAGCCCCGAATCCTGGGAGTCCCCGACGAGTCGGCGAGCAGAAGAAGCTAGTTTTTGCCAGGGGGGTGTTCGTATACCGTCAACCCGGCCATTGCTTTTGCTTGAAAAGACTTGTTTGCTTCTTCTGTTTCTCTTCCTCCACTTTCGTCTACTCTCATATCTGCCAATCATGCACAACCGAATGTCTGCCAATCTGTCTTCGGACACCGAGAGACAGAACAGCCATGAATCTTACATGTTCAACGATGTTGTCCACTCTTTGTCATGGTCAAATATCACCTTGACCGTGGAGGACCGCTCCACCCAGAAGCCCAAGGACTTGATCAGCAATGTCAGCGGCCACATGAAGGCTGGTAAGTACCTAGCTATCTCTGCTATGAATGAGAGCATGGTTGACATCATATTAAGGTGAGGTTCTGGCTCTCATGGGTCCTTCTGGCAGCGGAAAGACGACTCTCCTTAATATACTTGCAGGCCGTGTCCCAGCTACCAAAGGCACCGTGCTCGTCGACAACACTCGCGTATCAAGTCCAGACTACAAGAAGCTTACGTCTTTCGTTGAACAACAGGACACGCTCGTGGGTTCTCTGACCGTGCGCGAGACTCTTGACTTTGCAGCTCGTATTGCTCTCCCCAAGTACGCTCAACATACCTTCGTTGCTAATACACATTGCTGACATATCAAGGTCTGTTCTCAGGAACGAAAAGAACAACAGAGTCCAGACCCTGATCGATAGCTTCGGTCTCAAGAAGCAAGCTGACACCCTGATCGGCACACCTATACGCAAGGGCATATCTGGAGGCCAGAAGAGACGTGTCAGCGTCGCAAGCCAATTGATAACCGCACCAAGCATCCTCTTCCTGGACGAACCCACCAGCGGACTCGACTCTGTGGCTAGCTTAGAAGTCGTGTCCTTGCTGAAAAAGTATGCTCAGAAACACAAGCTCGTCGTTGTAGCTAGCATCCACCAACCGTCAGCCTCCACCTTCCAACTCTTCGACAAGCTGCTGCTCTTATCTCAAGGTCAGACATGCTATTTCGGCAGCGTATCGAAGGTTTCGTCCTACTTCTCCAGCCTCGGCCTGCCTGTGCCACCTCTCATGAATCCTTCGGAGCATATCCTCGACCTGACAAACACCGACTTCGAATTGGATGACAACGAGGAAAAGGGTGCCTCCCAACGCCTCCTTACTATCCAGTCCGCATGGAAGGCGCACGACACAGAGGACCATGACGCGACTATTGAGCTCGACAAAAACGAGTTCTTTGCAGGCTCTCAGGGACCCGGTTTGGCCCATGATTTAGGCATACCTCTCACCCTGCTGCACCGTCTGTTTCTCAAGTCCTACCGAGACATTGTCACTTACTGGATTCGTGTCGCTATGTACATGGGCCTCGCGATCATGATGGGTACCGTGTGGCTCCGTCTAAGCACAGTGCAGAAGGATATCCAGTCTTTCGTCAATGCACTATTCTTCGGAAGTGCCTTTTTGAGCTTCATGGCTGTCGCCTATGTGCCTGCCTTCCTCGAGGACCGAGCCATCTTCATCAAGGAACGTGCCAACGGCCTTTACGGACCGTTGTCATTCGTAGTGTCCAACTTCCTCATCGGCCTACCCTTCCTCTTCCTCATATCCATCTTGTTCGCGAGTGTTACCTACTGGCTAATCAACTTCCGTCCTGATGCCACTGCATTCTTCGTGCACGTCATGTGGCTTTTCTTGGACCTGGTTGCGGCAGAGAGCCTCGTTGTCCTCGTCTCATCTCTCTTCCCCAACTTCATCATCGCTCTTGCCCTCGTGGCTTTCGCCAATGGCCTCTGGATGTCAGTTGGAGGATTTCTCGTCCCTACAGGAAGTCTGAATGTCTTTTGGCGTTACGTGTTCCACTACATTGACTATCAGGCCTATGTGTTTCGCGGTATGATGGTCAACGAGTTCGATGGCCGCACTTATCGCTGTGCTGGCGATGTTGTCACTGGATGTTCGTGCGCCTACGAGAGCGAAATCTCAGGTCAGTGCGAGATCGATGGCAGGGCTGTGCTGCAGTACTACGACTATCCCACTGGTCAGTTGGGAAAGACCGTGGGTATCATGATTGGCATCATTGCTGTCTATCGTCTGCTTGGATACCTGGCCTTGCGCTTCAGATAGTAGAATCGGTCTGTGTGGGTTCAGGGACAAACACGACAGTACTTTGTGTTCGCGTGCAGGAAGATCGGAGAATATAGACATCGATGCATGGTTAGGGACCCGAGGCCGTCTCCACAGAACTCCATAGCCTATCACCAAGCAATGACAGAAGAACAATATTCATGAGACGACTCCGGCGTTCTTTGGGTGCTTGCATAGTGAGGAACCCCGGGTTTTGATTGATGGTATTACTCCGGGTCTCCGAGTCAGGCTTTTGATTGATGCTGCATTTTGTACCGACTCAGGATTGGTGCCCTCTTGAGAGAAGTGCCAGCCGAGACCAATAGATGGACAGAGTTGATTACAACACATCATGATTGAGCCCCTTGTGGGTTTTTGGAGTGGACGTTGTCAAAAGTGTGGCTTATCTTAAGGCTCAAGCACTGATTCGGAGGGGCTGTGGTCGATCACCGGCGAGAATCAACTGTCTGTGCAGACAGGGCAAGATACTCTATTGCAGGTATACAATTATGGCCAAACCTTGATGGGCAAATGCATACGTCGAGGGTGGTGAGCTGGAATTGCTTGAGGAAGGCGAAGACGAAGACGGCTTTTGCTCATCTTGCGACACACAAAATTGTTGAGGCTTCTCTGCCCAGCACAAGCGACATAGGCCACGAGGTGGCTACAGATAGAGCAGAGAGTAACTTGACAGGGCTCTCTTGTTCCAGAAAGTCAAAGAAGGTTTGATTACATGATCAGAGACTGTCAGCCAAGAGGGGAGAAAAGCCACGGCGGGAGAGGGTTGCAGGTCAAGGATTGTAGGATTCTTCGGGCGGTATCAACCAACCAATAGCAACGGTGCACTGAAGGAGCTGGGTAAAGACGAATTGGGTGCTGCCTAGCTGCCTCATCGTATCTACCATGGTCGTTGGATGCAGGCGCTTTGTCCCCATCTCCTGAAGACTTGGTCTTTGTCCTGAGGAAGCAACGACTCGCACCAACCTGAGGCTGGCACCTTCCAACGAAAGCAACAATGCCGTCACCAGACGAAGCCGTGTCCGACGGCTACTTCAATGACCTGAGCCAGCAACTGCCCGACCAGCCCAACCAAGCCCAACAACCCAAATCCAAGCGTGTAGCATGCGTGCTGTGTCGCAAACGCAAGCTCCGATGCGACGGAGCGAAACCCTCCTGCGCGACATGTACACGCCTCTCCCACAACTGCGCCTACGATGAGGTGCGCAAGAAGTCGGGTCCCAAAAGGGGCTACGTCAAAGAGCTCGAGGCCCGTCTGGCCCAAGTCGAAACACTGCTCCACAACCATGCTGGCGTCGAGATGCCTCTGAATGCCGTCGACGAGACTATAATGACCGGAGACGACCTGCCTGACTTTGGCGGTATCGACCCCAGTCAAGGACGCCTGTTGCAGGAGATGCATGTAGGCCAATCGCCGCCTCCAACCACCAACTCGATGCCCAACACACGTCTGCACTCGATGGATGCATCATACGATACCGAGCAACCCGCCTTCTGGCAGGGTGACATCAAATCCCCCTCTTGGGTGCCAAACTTCTCGCTGCTTGCGACCGGCATGGACGAACCTCTGCCTCCTCCAGAAGTCTGTGCCGAGCTGACCGCCTTCTACTTTGAGCGTGTTCACCCCTCGGCTCCCATCTTACATCGACCTCGCTTCCTCATGGCCATGCAACACACGTCGCCGGCTCTCCGCCCCCGTCTGTCTCTTCAGTATGCTGTCTGGACCCTGGGTGCCAGCTCTCACCCAAAGTACGAAGACATGGTTGATACCTTGTATCGCCGTGCTCGTCACTATCTCGAGCGTGATGAGATGTCTGGCGTCGGCGAGAAGATGATCAACATAGCCACAGTTCAGGCTTGGCAATGTATAGCAGCTTTCGAGTTCAAGATGATGTACTTCCCCCGAGCATGGCTCAGTACTGGAAGGACCGCCCGCTTGGCCCTCATGATGGGTCTGCACCGCGTTGACGGCCCCAACATCGACGTCAAACAATGCTTGCCTCCACCAAAGGACTGGATCGAAAAGGAGGAGCGCAGGCGTTTGTTCTGGATGACCTTTGCCGGCGATCGATATGCAAGCATTGGTACTGGTTGGCCCATGACCATTGACGAAACCGACATTTACACAGATCTACCTGCCTCAGACGAGGCCTATGACTCTGGCACACCCGAGCCTAGTGTATCCCTGAAGGAAGCTCTTACGCCGGGCGGTGCTGAAGGTCTGTCATCCTTGGGATCGGTCGGCGTCATCTCTGCTCTATTCGGTCGTAACTTGTTGCATCTGCACCGAAATACTGACGACCAGAATGACGGCGATATCAATGGCATCTTCTGGAAGCGTCATAGACAGATGGATGGCATAATCCTCTCTCTGTTACTCGGACTTCCCGAGTCACTACGACTGCCATTGTCCGTTTCTGATCCCAAGGTCGTCTTCATGAACATGTGCGTCCACACTTCCGTAATATGCCTTCACCAAGCTGCTATCTTCAAGGTAGAGAAGCACCAATTGCCAGCCAAACTTGCAACAGAATCCAAGATGCGCTGCTTGACGGCAGCTGCTGAGATCTCAAGCTTGATGAAGATGTCTAGCCACATTGACATGGCTCAAGCTAACCCGTTCATGGCTTTCTCTCTGTACGTCGCTGCCAGAGTCTTTGTGCAGTATCTCAAGTCACGACCTCGTGACGACACAGCTCGCGGCTCATTGCACTTCCTTCTATCCGCCCTTCAAGCCATGAAGAAGACCAATCCTCTCGCCGAATCCTTCATCGCACAACTAGATGTCGATCTTGAAGTAGCCGGCCTTGATGAATTACGCAGCTTACGTGTTCGCGCCGCCCGAGCGGCTCAGGCCCAAGCCGCAGAATCCATGCAATGTCCCTACGCTGAAAGCAACAAGGACGAGGCAGGGAATACCCATATTCCTACTTTCGGCGATAGCGGATTAGCCGTACACTTGAACCCGAAACCAAAACGAGGAGGCAACCACCCATCTGGCGGCACTTTCCCTCCAGAGATTGCAGCAGTCATGGCTCAACCCCACCAAGGCAATTTTAAGGGTATCTTCCCCGTCAAAATGAGCATCTCGTCAGACAACAACTCTACAGCACATACCTCGCCCCAAACTCTTGGATCTAGTGATGCAGATGTGATGGAAATATGTAACAACGGCGTCTCTCCCTCTGATTCATCTTCCTCATCCACAGGACCTGCAAATCACTCTACGCTCATCTTCAGACAATCAAACAACAACTGGCAAACTCTACAACAAGGACAACAACAATCATCCGAAATGATGTATACCACACAACTCTCCCAACAGCAGCGGCTACCACAACAACAATATCAACAACAGCAATACCAACAACCACAGCAAAACTTGCAAGAAACACCAATGTCGTCTTTGCTTCCTCAAATGTCTGATTTTTCAGCCAACGAATTCTCGGCGAGTGAGTTTATGAATTTCACAAAGATGGGGAACGCGACGACGACGGTGTTGGAACTGGGTGCTGTGGATGAGAGTCAGTTATTCCAGCTCAGTGATGCTGAGTGGGGGCAGGTGATGGGAGAGTTTGGGGATACGGGTGGGGAGTTTTCGGTGGAGAGTAATCTTCTTCAATAAGAGGAAGAAGAGCGTTTATATTGTACTTGGGTAGAATGGAGGAAATTGTATGAATAGGAAATGAATGACTGGTTGGGGGGAATACACGAAAGGAGTTTTCAGGCATCATTGAAACTCTACTCGGGACTGGTTATTTGAGACGACTGTAACGAAACACTATGAAATATACTTCTCATCTCATTCTAGTCATTTTTTTTCCATTGGCAATCATCATTCATTCAATCACGTTACGGAAGGAAAGAATTCTCTGTGTTGCATGTCTTTGCATGTCTTGGTATAGGTATCTATCTGAATGCTCGCTTGCCTCTGATCTAATCCCAACAAAAACCGTCTGCAAAATGATAATGTTTTCCCTCCCTTCTGCCATTCCGATCCCAAAGTCTTATTTCCTTTGGAACCATAAGCAGCTTCTCACATATCAGCCATACTAAAATCCCCATCAGACTCCTGACTAGCGGAGGGCGGCATCTTCTTGACCGGCACACTGCCCACTCCCAACTCCGTCTCTACGCCTTCGACGCCTTCCGGCGGCGCAGCGGGCGTGGCACGCATGAAGATAGCAGGACTGGGGCTCAGCGCTGTAATCGGCGGTACCACTGGCGTCTCGGCAATGCTGTCCCTGGAGCGAGGTCGTGGTGTATCGTGTTTAGTAGGGATAAGAGGAGTGGAGCCAGAAGGCAGAGGTGGCAAGGGTGAGCTTTGCATGTGTGGGCCTGCGCGGAGTATGCTTTGTGCAGCTGCTGAGGCAGGAGTGACGTGGGAGGTGCTTTGGTAGGTATAGGGAGTTGCGTTTGCAGCGGGAGTATTGAAGGACTGGGGATGCGAGGGCGAGGAACTGGGTTGTTTTGTTGGCGAGTGGGCGGCTGCACGCTGTTGTTGTTGCAGCTGGGCGGGAGGTGGGAATGATGTGTTCGGACTTTGGAACAAGCGTTGGCTGGAGGGTGAAGGACTGTTCCTTGATGGGTGATGGTGGTGTGGTGTTGCGGAGCCGTTGGTGCGCTGTTCTGGGAGTCCGTGCGATGATGAGGGTCGAGAGCCTTTGGTGGGTGAGGGCGGGCCCATCTGCAGACCACTAGGTTGCAAGACTGGAGGGTGGATAGAGTGTGCTGATACGGCGCCGGCATGGGCTTGGGCGTGTAATGCGGAGAGGTCGTTGTCGTTGGACTTTCGCGTGGGTGGTGGAGGAGAGCTGCCCTGGTTGGAGGCTGGGCGAGCAGGAGGTGGTAGAGTGGTGCCGTTCCAAGCTTGCTGGGGGATGCCAACTGGTGTAGCGCCGCCAGCAGGACGATGGTAGCCTGGCGGGCCAGGGCTTTGACCTGATGGTGATAGCGAAGGGCCGTCAAGCAGGTTGTAGCGTCGAGCTGCTGAACGAGGAGTCGACGTTGTCTCAACAGCAGCTTCGAGCGTGCGACCACGAGAAGCGTCTTGTGTAGTGGCAGGTGCATCCTTCTGACCTGGGAAGTGCAGGTGCAACGGAGGCAGCTTGGGCTTGCTGCAGTCGGAGCAGATGAAGTGGAAATCGTCCTTCTCGGCGTCCTTCTCGTCAATGCCATGACATTTCGAGTGTTGCCAGATGTTGCACTTTTCGCAAGCAATTGAATGAGTGCCGTCGTCAAAGTTCTGGCCGTGCTGGCCGCAGACCGCACAGTCAAAGATCCACTCGTCCTCCTCTTCGGCTAGCGCGTCCAGCTCTTTCTGTCTCCTATCCATCTCGGCCTTGAGGTGACGCTCAGACAGACGACCCTCGATCTCACCGCCATTTTCCAAGCTCTTTTGGTTTTCCTCAAGCTTGCGAAGCTCTTCCTCGTGCAGGATGCGCTTGACCTCGCGCTCTTTGAGTCTCTGTTCTCTGGTAAGCATGCGTGATTCACGGGCCTGCGTCTGGTTAGTCTCCTTGTGCTGGTTGCGTCATTAGCTACGCGACTCACATGTTCCATCTTGGTCTGTTTCTGCTGCTCCTTGCGAGCCATATCAAGCTCTGCTTGTCTTCTCCTCTCTGCTTCTATTGCGTCCTCTTCGGCCTTGCGCTGCTCTGCCTTGCCAGCAAGTCTGCTAGATCTCTTTGCTGTGGCCATTTTCTGCAGGTTCTCCAATTCTCTTTGCTTTTTCAACACCTTTTGGCGTTGTGCTTCGACGCGCTTTTCAAGGATGGGCATGATCTGCTCATTGATACGCTTGACCAGCGCCTTCTCGTTTGGATCGCGACTCTTGCGGAGAGATTCCAGGAAGATGGTGTAGTCGTCGTGCGTGACAGCAATGCACTCCCATTTCATGCCACCGAATCCGTCGTCTTCGGGTTCCTCGTCATTCTTTACGTCGACCTCGGTGTTCTCGTGCTCATCTCCTTCGGCTTCACTCTCTTGGGCAGAAGTGTCCAGCTTGATGCGTTTGCTGGCACGTGAGCCACGAGACTTGCGTGCTTTGGCCTTTGCTTTCGGTTTGGGCGTGGGAGCGGGTGGTAAGGGCGCTTCGGTACGGCGGTATAGGCGGTCGTCGTCCAGGACGAAGTAGGAGCGGTCCTGAGAGTCCCAGCCAAGCTCTTCGATGCGCCATTGAGTCTGCTCATTGTCCTTTTCTTCCATCAAGCCACGCATGCGCTCTGCGTTCCAGAGAGTCCAGTTGGATAGTTGATGCAGGACACGAATTTTGGTGAAGACGTCGAATTCGGCAAACTTGTTGGGGGTCTCGTCGGTGCCGTAGGGGTTGCGCAGGGGTGCTTTTGCTATATACTGGCGGCGTGTGTATTCGTCATAGTTTTCGTAGCTGATGTAGGTTAGTGGGGAGTTCCTGGAATAGTGGGTGGGTGAACGCACGTCAGGCCTCTGTGTGAAGAGACGAATTTGAGCAGGGTAAGGGCAATCTCGGCCAGCTTTTCTGATGCTTCAGGTCTCAGACATTCGTGCTCCAGATCCTGGTATATAGTCAGTAGTTGGTCTGTGATGGAGTCGGGCTGGGCGCATGCCTCCATGTCGAAGTCTGGATCGATCTTGACGGGTTTGCCAAAGATGTACATGTACTGCATGAGAGCAGCAAACTGCCACATGTTTCGTAGTCGGACCAGGGTCTCATTGTGTGGTTTGGCCTTTTCTGCGGCGGCAATGGGCTTGTCCGGTTCGGCCTCCTTGCGGGCGCGCTTCCTGGCAGGCATCTTTTCTACACAGGGGCCAAGCCCTTGGTTTGATGGGTGGAGGAGAGGATTGGTGTATGGGTGACAGAGTTTTCCAGACGGCTTGACGAAGGCGAAGAGCAGAAATGGATAAAAAGTCGTCGAGACAGGGATGTGAAGCAATTCGGGGGTTGCAAAGAAAGTGAATGCCTCTGCGAACAAGCGCGCGACCGACGTGAAGCTGCATCCACTACCCACCATCCACCAAAGTGACGGGCGCCGAGGCTTCCCTTATTTCTTCCTTTTTACTCTTTTTTTTCCCATCGTTCCACTTTTGCTTTGGTCCACGGTCTTGGTTCTTTGATACGAGACTGCCCTTCCCCATGTCATCTGCAATGCTCGTCTCAGTAACTAACATCGTCTTCTGATATGCTTCGTTGTTCTATTCGTCATCATGACCCCCCCGGACTATCCTTCCCATCCCGTCCGCAACAAGCTATACATCTCGCACTTCCTCTCAACGTGGAACTCTCGCCTGTTTGAATTTGGCGCCGTCCTGTTCATCTCTACCATATTTCCTGGCACCCTGTTTCCTGCCTCCATCTATGCCTTGACTCGTTCCGCCTCTGTCGTCGTCTTTTCGACTGCAATCGGTCATCTGATTGACCGTTCTGAACGCATATTTCTGATTCGTTTGTCAATCAGTAAGTCGACTACCTTTGTCACTATCATCTTCTTTTGTCCACTTGACCATTCTGTATCTGTTTTTAAATCCCATCTTACTTGTCACTCCTTCTCCTTGATCTTGATCAATGCCATTGACCAATTCCAGTTGGACAAAGGGCAGCGACAGCAGCATCATGCATCTTTCTCTGGCTGTTGCTGCACTCTGGATATACTTCTCTCGAAACATGGTCTGCAAAGCTTGCATTGGCACTTCTTTCCCTGCTTGCATGCATCGAGAAGCTCTCATCCGTCCTCAACACCATATCCGTCGAACGTGACTGGGTCGTCGTCATATCTCAGAACAATACCGATGACCTACGAGAGCTCAATTCTCAGATGCGTCGAATCGATCTGTTCTGCAAACTCGTCGCTCCCTTTAGTATTGCCTTGGTCGCTGGATACTCCACTAGCATAGCCATCCTCGTAACCTTTGGCATGACTGCCAGCTCAGTCTTTGTCGAATACTATGCCATTGCAAGAGTATACTCCCAAGTTGATGGCCTCCAATCCCGGCCCATACCCTCGCCAGCCACCCAATCGACGAACAGCACCCATCAAACCTTCCGCAGTTGCATCTCATACATACAACATCCAGCGTTTCTTCCCTCATTCTCTCTATCCCTACTCTACCTCACCGTCCTAACCTTCGGCGGCCAGATGGTCACATACCTCCTCTCCCTCGGTTTCACCTCCACATCCATCGGTCTATTACGCACCATATCTACTGTTTTGGAACTCTCGTCAACCTGGCTTGCCCCCAAGGCCATGCACAAGATTGGGGCTATCAGATGTGGAATATGGTTTCTCAACTGGCAGATTGTGTGGATCGTGCTTGCAGTGCTTATGCTCTGGGTGGATGTACCGCAACGATATGCTGTTGTGGGTTTACTTGCTGGCACGATTGCTAGTCGAGTGGGACTCTGGGGCTTTGATCTATCAGCTCAAGTCATTGTTCAAGAGGTTTGTTTGTTTTAGCAGAGATGTTTTCTAACATCATACTGACGTGAAAAATCAGGCTGTGGAGTCCGATCAGCGAGGCTCCTTCTCTGCCATGGAGGCTTCTGTACAAAACACCTTTGAACTGTTGTCCTTTGCCTCGACCGCTATCTTCGCTCGGCCCAATCAATTTAAGATCCCGGCTGCAGTCAGCGCCGCAGCTGTTGTGCTAGCCGGTTTGATTTATGCTTTCTTTGTCCGTCAGCAGAGAGGTCATCTGTTCCACGCTTCAAAGTGTATGCAGCGAAAACGTCCTACATGGCAGCAGGTTGCTCAAGACGAAAATGTTGAGTTGAATTGATGCACAATTTATCCAGGCACGGCATTTGGAAACGACAGGGGAGATGAATCTTTGTATCATTCGTTGGCTAATTTCGCCAACTCCCCATGGTGCTGACTGCTGCCGTCACATCATTTCTGTCTCGTACGCCTTGACATTTGGCATTTACCTGTCTCCCTTCAATCTGACTTCTACTGTCTCTTTTGTGACCCACTTTTCACTATCTCCCATCCGGTCTAGGTCAGAAATTCTCGGGAATGAAGTCCTTGAACGCAAAAGCGGCTCCCTCAAACTCGAAGACTCTTCCCGGGTGTCTCTTTCCTTCAGTCAGATCTTCATGGAGACTTTGCAACATCTCATGACGCTCCCTGGATAGACTTTCGATGAAGTACTCAAGCTCTGTCGGCGACAGCGTCCTTAACGGGCTCTTTTCGAAGTGGACCTCGGGTGTCTCGATGGGCAGTATGGCGCTGTACCTGTCTGTCTTATACCATCCGTCGGCTTCTACAAAGACTTTGAGTAGCTGTTGATCGCCCATCGCGAAGTCGCCGGAACGGTCAATGATGGCGCGATCTTGATCATACTTATAGTACTCGTTGGATGGTATGAAACGAAGTGCATGAGTTTTGTCGCTGATGCAGTCTCTGATGAGTATCATCTGATCACTGACTCTCTCTGACCACAGATTACCACGGCGATAGATCTTGTGCGGCGAAATGATCTGGATGCTCTCGGCTTGAGGATAACATCCCTGACTGTACGCCTGTTGGAGAGCTCCGGCGAAGCGAATCGTTCCCGATTGGCCGGTCGAGCTCAAAGGATCGTCGTTGGGAAGCTGTGTTGTGGCGTCGAGATGAGTTCTTCTACAGACGTTGCGAGTGTACATCAAGTCGAACCAATGAGGGATCTCCCTGGTTACGAAGGAAATGGATAAACTACGCAAATGCGGTGCTTGAACGTACTCGGTCTCTTCGTCTCTCTCTTGCGACTTTACTATCATGGACTCGCAGACGTACGATACTCTGAGCGACAAACGGCGCAGTCTCGGCATCATCTCTCGAAGCAGCAGACACATACGAGGAGAAGTTGCGCCGAAATGAATATCGCGGGCGTTGGTGTCGAGTAGAAGGTTGACGCAAGACTCTGGCAACGATTGGACAATCTCAAGGATGACCCGAGTGTCCAAGAAACCGGGCCCTTTTCTCTGCATCTCCGTAAGGTCTTCGAAATGCTTTTCTTCTGTGAAGAGCGAGAAAGTTTCAAGAAGTGGGAATTGACGAGGCGACATGCCTGCCAATCTCATCAGTTGAACATCCACCGGAGTCAGTTTACCGCCGTTGCGTCTGGTTCGCTCTTCCCAACGGAGATTTCCAGTACCCTCGGGTGTGATATTCAGAGTCAAGGAATGAACGTGATCCCAAGTACGCTTGCGATTGCGGATGCGTCTCTTGTGCTTAGCCCTCAACTGCTCTTCAGAGAGCAAAGGCTTTGCGTACATCTCCTTGGCCTCCGCGAACGTGCTCGACGCCGCTCGTTCGCAAAGTTCGTGGCCGAAGCACGTAAGGTTGTGCAAGTGGTCAGTCAGAGCCCAGATGTTGATGTACTTGTCGAAAGTGCTGTCGAGGAAGGCCTTGATGTTGGCGTTGTCGAGGACCACGTGCTCGTAGAGCACTGGTGAGCCCGCGTCGTTCCAGAGGTGAGAGACTAGGACAGCCATGCGCAGTGCGTCGTAGCCGCCTTGTTCGCGGACTTTCACCAGAATGTCCTTGAGCACTTCGTTGGGTATGTCTTTTATGGTGGTAGGCATGGTTGCTTCGAGGATCGTGGGTGATCTTGAATGTTTTGCGTCGAGTGGTTAACGGAGAATGTGAGTCTCTCCGGGGAAACCGACTTGAAAGCGTGCTGGTGTCGAGGAAATAAAGGAGGAGTGGTCGCTCCCTGTGGGTTTTTAAACTTGTTTTTTCAGCAGTCGCTGCCTTTGCTGATGTCTTGTGACAATTGCTTGGGTCGGTTGGCGCCTTGCAGATGCCCTGTTGGGTGCCTGATGTCGCTGCCTTGCTGGTACCTGGTAACGCTGCCTGCCTCCTCGCTCCCTCAAAGCTACTTTAACGTCGGAAAAGTTCTGTGATACAGCTCAAAGTGGTAACCAAGCCTCGGAAATCAGATCTAAGCAACTTGCAAGGAGAACAAAAAAAAAGGTCCAAAGCAAGCGATACTCCCCTTTATACCCTTGGATTCTGTGTTTCTGATGGCGGCTTGCCAATTCCTGCTGCCTTCCAAGTCCTAGTCCTTCGACCAAGGTTTGATTAATGGTTGTGATTATCGAGCACCACAGGGCTATTTGTGGTATGTTTTTGTGTTTCGAGGTGGAACAGCTTGTCTTGGAGAGTTTCTTTCATCCCTTTTTCAAGGTAGCACAGACACGTGACATTCATTCCATCTGCAATATACATTCGGGCATGTTGATTTGCATGTTTCTTTTCCCGATATTGTGGCGCTTATATTCAAGACTCTCGGTGGATACGCTTTCTGCCTGTTCATTTCTCAAAGGCACGCTTATGTACTGTGTTCGAAAGTGATACCGACTGAAAGACATAGTATAAACATTTGTACTTTTGGCTATTCTACTCGTCATCATCATTGCCATCGTGATAAAGTGATACTCATCCTTGTTGCTTCGTAATCATTGGCTTTCGATTTCTGGTCTTTTTCCCCCACGCCTCCATCTCTTGCTTCTTCATGCTTAGTACTCCACTCTATCCTTCCAGATGGGAGCCTGTCTCACATCGTCCTCATCCCACACAATCTTACCCTTCTCATTGAATCGTGCGCCATCGTCAGAAATATCAATGACCTTCTTCGTCTCCTTGATTTCTTGCGTGGAAACACCGAGATCATCCTTGACGATCCACAGCTTTGGTGGTTCAGCGGTGATGGCAGGGTGATGATAAGCGTGCTTCATTGTTTCCTCAGGGATAGTAGGTGCGGGTTGACCGGGGAACGCATCCCACAATTGGCGGCGGATGGCTGGGTACTTGCTCTTGGAGCCATTGAAGAGGAAAGGTGCGAATAGACCACCTCGCTTGAAGTGTTCGGCAAAGGCATTGACAGTCTTGTTGTCAGAGTAGGGCGAGGTCTGCTTGGGTTGCACGCCTTCCTCGTTCACATCGATAGGCACGGTTGTTCCTGCTTCGTTTGCGTGTGCCAGTGCTTCCTCCTCGTTCTCGGCCATGAGTTTGTCTGAGAGTGTGTTTGTCAGAGGAACTAGAATCATGTTGAGGTAGGTCTGGTAGATGGCGGTGAGGATGAGAAGGATGACCATCAACTTGGCTGGACCGTCCGCCTCTCGCGCACCCATCAAGCCGATCAAGCAGATTTCTGCAAGGTAGACACCAACACTGAGGTGTTGCAGAGCTCGACCGTAGGCATCACCTTTGGTGTCGACTGCCATGGTCAAAACGTAGAAGACGTTGTAACGGAAGGCCAAGTATAGGAAATAGATGCCGAGCAAAGCAAATCCAAGAACAAGTGGAGCGATGCAAGAGTAGGAAATCGCAATGACGGCGAAAAGTGTGAACTTGGGGTAGGTATCACCCCAGCTGAGTCCAGTCAGAGTGATAAATCTTTCGAACTTTCTGCGAGGCGTGGTGTCCAGGAACGGCGACAGAACGTTGAAGACAAGGAAAGGGACAATCTGGAAGATGGTCGAGGCAGTAACGGCAACACCTTGGAGGACGAAGAAAGAAAGGTAGAATGTGGAAGCGGTGGGCAGATTGTCAGCAAGAAGTTTGGGAGCCTGAGCAGGATCGTTCCAGATTTGTTCTGCGAAAATGCGTTAGCTTGCACAGATCGGGCCGTGTGACATGAAGACACTTACTAGCAACAGTCGATGCACCCGAACTGAAAGTCGTGATGAGGAAAACCTGTACAACTTGGAAGGCAAAGTACCATCCTTGCGTGCGAAGCTCAATCTGAGCGAGGGTGATAGACCCAGCCTTTCTGGCGGCGACTGAGCAGTGTTAGTTTACGACCTTTGTCCATTAGTGTACACAACTTACAACGACAGATGATGGGGACAAGAGCCAGAATAGCAGAGATCAACAGAGTGGGGAGAAGACCACTGATAGCACCCTTTGTCGAAGACGGAAGCTTGTTGACAAAACCGAGAGGAGGGAAATTCTGAGCAAGGTTGTCGACATCGGCGAGCGAGCCAACAAGACCAACGGGGATAGACCAGAACACGATCAACAGTATGACCATGGTGTTCGCAATGATAGTGCGAGCCCAACGCTCAGGCTTGCCCATTGCCAAGTTTGCCCAGACGATTTCATCAGGGCTTGCGAGACCAATAGTCGCTGCTTCCATCTTGCCTGGCTGCTTCCAGAAGGGGTCAGAGTAAGCAAGCTGCGCAGCGCGCTGGGTCTCAAACTCGACGAATGCTGCCGGGAGAAGTTTCTCGTAGCCTTGCACATGACGCTTCTGGAGAGCTGCAACCTTTGGGATGGTTGCCTTTAGCTGCTCGCGGTACATCTCGATAGCATCCAGTTTCCTGCCAACGAGTGCGATGCGCTTCGAAGGTCTCTCCTTTGGTGCGATCCACTGCTGAGTGGCAGTACCTGCTCTTTCGGGATCGTCTGCGAAATGCTTCTCGCCCTTCAGGTGCTTCTTGGTTGCGATGGTAGACAGCTTGATCTCTGCTTCTTCCAATGAGATGGCTGTATCGTTCATGTCGTTGACCAGAGTCTCGAGCTCAGTACAGTCAGTAGCCAGCCAGACACGCTTGACACCGAAGAAATCGGCCTTGATCCATTTCTCATGACGCATATCCTCTGGGACACCTGTGAAAAGCACAACCCGGGTGGACATGCGGGTGGCATTGCGAGGAGTTGTGAGATATGCTTGACGGAGGTTGATGTAGTAGAGAGTCTCCTTGGTGATGATGAATATGACAAATCCAAGGAAGAACCATGCACATCCAGCGTGCCAGTAGAACTTGCTGGGATCCGTGACATTGCTGAAGGTGAATGTGTCGAGCTCAGACTGATCACCACCTCCATTGTAGTTTACACGGAGCAGGAAGACCCAGGTGATAATGGTGCCGACAAGACAGATGTATGTGAGCATACGGAAGTAGCGAATGAAGAGGTAGTTGTCGAGTGTTTGATGATTCAGGACAAACTGATCCGGCAGCTTCCTGAAGGCAGAGATCCAGTTGAACATGCCGAACGCAGGCTTGGGTGTTTTCTCGCTGCTCTTGTTAGTGTGTTGGCTCTTGACAAGATGGATCAAAGGCTTTCTTACGCATCTTCTAATGAGTTCAAAAATGTTCTAGGTGCGTAGATGCGATGTTGCTTTTGCCTCAGGTAGAGAAACGCCAACACCAGCGGGATAGAAACGACAAGCAAAGGCACGACGGTAAAGATCAACTTGTCGTAAGAAGAAGAACCTCCACGGTTATCACCTTCCTTCAGAATACCTATCAATCAAGTTAGCATATGTCCGTCGCGACTGCAACAAGATGGCAATCTGAGGAATTGTAGATCATGGCTTGTGCATACCTATCACATCGTTGAGCATGCCTGTTTCCAGCACATGCTGGTTGTTGGATGCCATGATAGTCGCTCCTGAGTATACAGCGTTACTCTCGAGCGTGATGTCTAGATCAAACTCAAGTTACTCGTGCTCAACATGCTTTTTGGTTTGGCAAGGTGGTTGACGCGGAATGACGAGCGCTGACGCATCCCCAGCCTTTTTTCCTGGCGGGGCTGCAGCCAGCAACGAGAACAGGACAGTGACATCTGCCATCCTTCCGCTCGGCATCTTATTATTTGTACACCCCATAAGATATTCAACGAGTCACACTTTCAACGAAGATAGGCTCAAATCGAGGCCGCGTTCGACAACGAAGATGTTAAATCCTGTTGTCTCTCCACCACGATGTCCGTAGAGAAGAGAACGCTCAGAAGGAAGCTGAGGCGACGTCAAGAAAAAGCTGATTAATTTTGCGAAGAGCTGTGTGCTATGCACTAATTGAAGCCGTGGTAGCTGATGGCTGAATGCCTGTGACATAAACGAACACCACCCAAAGACAAGTGGGTCGAACTGAAGACTGTGCATGAAACACACTGCATACATTGGACGAAGACTGAGTAAGCGTATAATCTTACGACAGACTCATAGGAAATAGGTTTCTGCACCTGGACTCGAACTGTGCTGCTCCTCCTCTGCGAACATAGAAAGGAAATGGAAACACGAAGACAAGACTGAAAGAGTGGCGCGCAGTAACAGTGACTGCTTACATAGGAAATCCATGCCTAGTTGAAAGGCCGCTGCAAATCTCGATCGAAGTCATAACGCAGAGTTGAGTACTACGTCTCGACAGTCGTACACATGTTGGTGTGTCGTAAGTGCTCACTGTGGCTCACAGTCAGTAGGTGCCTCAATGACGGACAAAGAATCCATCATCGTCAGCACCTACTTATAGCCGTTATCGCTCAACGGAGTTTTGAGATAAGCCGACGACACAGCTGCTCAGTCCAGTCGCACCTGAGTTCAAACAGAGCATTGGCAATCCGCAGTCGAATTCGCAAGGCATATACTGACAAGAGAACGCGTCCACGAATTGGCAAAGGAACTTAAGCACGACCGGACTCCAGCGACTGTGTCATTGGCTCGACCCGGAAGTCCCTCGTTCGGGCGCTACTTGTTGTAGGCGTAGATGGGTTGGTACAGCACACGCAGAAGAGTTGTATCACGTCCAGTTGCTTGGTCTTTGGCGTGCCAATGACTTGGCGTAGCTCATTCTGAAGCACCACATGGTACAGTTAGATATGGGGGATTGACAGCAGACTTACCAATGCGATGAGACGAAGAGTCTCCATGACTTGTCTGACAGCGTCGATGCTCTCATCAGAGTCAATCCAGACAGCGCCGACAATTGCCTCAACGAGGGCAGCAGCAAGCTTGGTAGAAGCCTGCACAGGGTTGCGTGGGTTGACAACCATACAGTCGACAAGGCCACTTTCACGTGCGACTCTTGCAAGGTTGTTGTTGGATAGCAAGCGCTGTCGCTGAGAGTCCCAATCGCCTTTTGCAGTCAGAACGTGAGATATGCAGTGCCTGCACGAAGACAAACCTAGAGTCTCGTCTTTCTTGTACCAAGGCCTGGCAAGTGCGAGTGCCATCGCGGTATCGCCAACGATAGCAAGTCTCTTGTTACCGTCGTATGCAGAACGTCCGACGATACGGGTGTGACCAGAGCCGGCCACCTGGAGCGCTTCCCAAAGGTAATATTCCTGGGGTTTCTGCGGATGATATCCGATTATGGCTTCTGCTCTCTCGAGCTTCATCTGATATTGATTGGAGGACATGTTCTCAATGAGTAAGGTATTTGACGCTTGCCGCTGGGTCAGGGAGTTTGCTGGCTGACCGGCATGTGCGCAGCCGGTCAAGATATACCTCTGCCAATTACCTCGTCCCAGCCACACTGGAAAAGGTGATGCCGAACAAAGGGATGTGACGTCTTCGATATAGCTTTATGCATGCAGATAACCTCCTCCCTGCGTCTTGCTTACTTGGAAGTTGGTACATACGAGTTGCATGGCGTACAAGCTTTCGATCTCGATTTTGCAGGCACCGTTGTTCCGCAATAAGAGACACGTGGGTGTGTGTCTCACGCGAATTATCTTCTCTGGATGTGCTGCAGGAAATATTGCGGCTTTTCGATTCGTCTCTGACGAGGAGATGGAAAAAGGTGGCTGGGCTGGTGCCCTGTGCTGAAGCTCCACTGCCTTGGATCTGCTTCAAGTTCATTCATCCACCACCTTCATGGTTGCATTCCAAACCCGTCAGGTAGGTCTTCCGAAACATGCCATAGTATGCACTGCGCCTAGGTATGTTTTTACAATCAGACGTTACCATTATCTCAAACCAGCAAGATGAACACACGCGGCAGCGTCCGAACAGAGCCCACTCATGGTGCAACGAAGATCACCACTATACGATGCCTCTCATATATTACACCACAAAGCACGTGAAGTGTTCTGCGAGCCACACTATCACTCCGAGCAATATCGAACAATTACACTGCATATGAATACCTGCCAATTACAGTAAGCGAACAGGAAAACACTTATGATCTTCACTGCGGGTCGATAGGCATCAAGATGGAATTTTCAGGAGACTCGTTACTCATAGAGGGACCTTCGGTCGCTTCGAACATGGCAACGATTCTCACACGCCATGTTGGTATTTCAGACCAATTGTACGCTGCCTGCGTCGACAACAACTTTTGTTGAAAGTCCGAATGTGCGCGGTACTCTCGACATCCTCTGGAGCTGTCTAGGTGTACTGCTTTTATGCACTTGGTCCATCCAACACTTAGCCATTCCAAATCAATGTCGCCCTCGAAGTATGCGTCAGCGGATCAACAAGTTCTTTGTTGAGCTAGGGATCAAGCTGAGATGGATGCTGGTTACACTTATTGCTCCTGAGTTACTATGCGGTGTGGCTGCTGAAGAGTGGTTGAGCGCTTGCAGATCTGCCAAATCCATCAGTCAGAGAGCAAAAGATGATGGAGTCGATTGGACGTCAAGCCATGGCTTCTTTGCGCAGATGGGAGGTTTCAGACTTCGATTCCGTAAGGTTGATGCCCAAGAGCCTCGAAGGATATCAAGTATTGCCAAGGACTCATTGCTGGAGAAACGCAGCATCGCCGCGCCTTTCCAGGAACCATTGCTTGGTCGACTCAGCTTTCCACATGCCAATAGCTGGGGTCACCATGCCGAGACTTCTTCGACAGTCGGGTCTGAGAGAGATTCTGTCTTGAAATCCCCTGTCAATGTTGCGATCCGAGAGAAGAGTTTCAAATCAGTGAATTGGGATCTCAACATCATGACCAAACAACACGACAAACTGTCAGCATCGTTTGGGCCAACGGACTGGACTCCCGATGTTCAGAACGGAGCCTTGATCGAACAAATGATGTTTCACCATCAGAGCGACCCCAAGGCAGAAGATGTTGCGTTAACGGCCATGAGGATGTAAGTGGTGCTGTTGCCATGAACTTTTTGAGATCACGCTGATTGGATGCTCGCTTTAGGACGACGGATATATGGACTCTAAGCCTTGAACAAATCCAGCTCGCACGGAAATATGGAATCATCGAAACGTTTCCGAACATGAGCAAAGAAGATTTGGACGCGATTAGCAACAGCGATGGCCTCGCCAAAGCACTGGCCGTGTGTCAAGTCCTCTGGCTTATCATTCAAATGATATCGCGTGCTGCATCATCTCTTGCTGTGTGCCAGCTGGAAGTCGCAACTGGAGCTTTCGCAATCACGACCTTTTCTACTTACATCTGCCTGTGGCAGAAGCCTCAAGGAGTCTCGAGACCAATCTACCTGGAAGCCGTACGCAGACCCACAATCGGCGAAGCTTGGGAGCTGGCACAATGTGGTCTGGAAGAGACGAGCTCGCTTCTATACCGTGCTAGAAGCTGGAGGCAGTCTCGCGAGCACTTGAAGGCTAGAGCTTTCTCCAACACCATCATGTTAATCTGTGCAACAGCGCTTGGAGCAGTGCATTGCGCTGCATGGAACTTTGAATTCCCTAACAGAGTTGAGATGTGGGCTTGGAGAGGTTGCGCGTTGGGCTCCACCATGCTGCCACTCTTCTTGTTAGCGTGGCACGAGCTGTATTTGCGCTACGCCTTTACGAAACATATTGTGTTCTCGGTGGTCATTCTGGTTGGGTTCATGTTGTATGGGTTCACCAGACTGTTTATCATGGTGGAGATGTTCCGATGCTTGTCATATCTACCTGTGGAGGCGTTTGTAACGACGTGGACGATAAATTTGCCGGGCATTTCTTGAGAGTCATGTAAACTGTGCAAGGCAGTAGTACAGATAGCACAAAGTACACGAAGTGGTATCGGTCATGTTGTAATTCGAGCGAGCGGTTCGTGTGTGCAAGAGTTTGACAAGGGACCGTTTAGCTGACGACAGCGACCATAAGCCTTCAGTGAGAGAAAGAAAGAAAAAAAGACGTTTATTGAGATTGAGATTGGGATGACGAGAGTGCCGGAGTTGATATTAAAGAAGCACGCCAAGAGTGGACAGGATTGGGAAGGCGCAATTCGGGCGTGATGTTAGCGCGCGTAACGGCGGAGGGGGCAGGAACGACGAGTTGCTCGTTGCTCGTTGCATGTGGACGAGATACAAACACACACGCAGCACACGGCAACGACCTCCTCGCGACCGACGCTGTGAGAGTCTCTGGCACACGACAGCGCATTGGCGTCTATCATCGAAAGCTCGCGTTCTTCTGTATCGACCACACGCTCATTACCCCCGTCCACCTCGGCCACGACCAGCGCCAACGCCAACCACGCCGCCATCAACAAGCACGAGCTTGCATCACCACCACCACCGCCGCCCGCGACCCGCCATCACAACCAATCACTCCCCTCCAAAGTCGAGCCAGAAGAAGAACCCCAGGACCCTCCGCCATTTGCGTCGCACAACTTTCCCTCACTCTACTTTCCCTCCGAGCCTCAACTCGACGTCGTCCAAGCTGCGCCGCCGCCCGACTTTGAACAAGGCCCGTCGTCGTCATCAGCCGTCTCGCCCTTCACTTCTGTAATCGACGATACCAAGGCCGCTCTTCCGCAGGACACCAAGCCTCGTTCGGACAAGTCTCCCGACGACAGCGAACCTCCGCCGCCCTACACCGAAGGCACTAGCCCGCTCGACGGCTTCACCTACCTCATGGCCCAAGCCGGAGGTGCTGCGAGCATCATCACCCAGGTCTCTCAGGGTGGTCCCGCTCCCCTCAACACAAACACCTTCCACTCTTCTCCCGATGAGCACATCAACATCGACCTGAGGTATCCCGACTCGTTGACCACCCCGTCACCAGCACCAGCTAACACCTACTAGGGGCACCCGCTTCACTCTCTCGCGCGATGAGCTCCTCACCCTCCCCGAGTTCGTTCTGCTGTCGCTCTTCCCCAATGGACTCCTCCCCGAAGGTCACATGAACTCGTTCCACGAGCCCGACGTCTATCCCGTCGATGTTAGTGCCGCCCCACGCCTTATTTCCTCCTTCCGTCCTCAAGACATCGCTGCTCTCCAAAACCTCCTCCGAAACCCTCATGTATATTTATCTGACTCGATCTATCATTCCCAGTATGACCCCACTTCTCTGCAATACATGCTCGAGTTTTTCCGATCCGTCGCCCAAACAATCCCCACCTCCCCCACAGACGACTCCCCATCTCCCTTCTCGGGCGACCAAGCCCCTGTGCCCATCGAGCCCATGCAAGGTAATGCTAGAGACATGCTGCAGGACAGAGCTGGCATCATCGTCCTGCGTGAAGATCTCGACTTTTACGTCATTCCTCCGAGACGCGACATTGGTCACCCCGAGATGGTCCAGGTCAAGCGTGCTGCCGGTCGCGCTTTGTTGAAGCAGGCTGGTATTTTCAGTGGTCTCCGTAAGAGCGAGGAGCCCGGCACCACTGAGCAACATCTTATCGAGATGCTGACCGCTGGGTGAGTTTGACTCTACACATCTGTCTTCGCTCCGTCCTACTAACTCTTGATTCTTAGCGGCTTCAACCATGACGACACCTGGGGTCACCGTGCTGGAGAGCCCAACAAGGCTGTCATTTGCAGTATCGCTCTGGCTCGTCTCCGCACCGATGTTCGCGGCGACGCCAACTCCAACGCCGTCGGCATGGCGCAAAAGCTGCTGTTGTTCTGGCGCAAACCCGCTCGCCGATGCTGGTGGGAAGGCGTTGATCTTGAGAATGTCGAAGGCATTGACGGCACACTCAAGGTTTGGATCCGTAGAGTCTGGACCCTCGAGATGGTAAGTCTCATGTCGCGAATCTGCATGTGTTGAGCTGTGCTAACAGTTCCTTCCAGAGCGTTATCGGGCTTCGCTAAAAGGAGCTGGAACCACACCCTTTTTTCTTCTTGTCCTAATTTCCTACTTTCGATTCGACCACTCATACCCCGATACTACCGAATTCTTTTTATTCTTGTTGTTTCTACTTTCTCCTTATTCGGCCTTTACAGTGCGCTCGGTATACGGGTGCACCACAACACAATCTGCTGAATCCGACAACGCATTTCTCTCTCATCTTGGGTATCATGGAATCATGGACGCATCTTTGCTCGCAAATTTCTTTACTCGTCTTTTAGGAATGCATTGCCGCAGCAGGTCGACTCGCATTTGGCAATTGTTCTCTCGTTTGGTCTTGAGTGTGCTTCTTTTTTTTTCTCGTCTATCTTGTCCTGTTCAGGGGGCTTCTGTATTGCTCTGTGCGATTCTTTCCGTGTTTACCATCAATTGATATCAGAAAATAATATCTTGTTTCTTCAATGTTCAATCGTGATTGGTGAGTAGGAGCTGGTTGTCCGTAGAATGCTTGATGGGATGTATTCTGCGTGTGCTTTGTGACTGAAGCAGCTTTATATTTCTCTGCAAAACAGATATTGAAGGATATCTCGAGCTTGATCACGCCGGTATGTATAAGACCTTGATATATGAGGCATCATACGGTAAGTCTAGGCATATATCAAGGCAGGAAGAGGAATGATTCGTGTTGTCGCCTGCGATGATGCTGTTGACCACGAAAAGCATTGGCGTGGGTACGACCCTGCTCTCAAAAGCATAATATCTGCATAGTCCCGTGCACAGCACCGTGTACACTCGCACAAATGTGCAACGACAGTGCAAGTGATATCATGATATCATCATATTCACAGTTCAAAACCTGTCTTTCAAAACGCTCTTGGAACCAATGTCTATTTACTCCAAGATAGCAATGACTGAGTATTCAATATTGAATGGATGCATGTGCTAATACCGGGCTAGGCAGTATAGCTCTTCCAGAAAGCTGGTACAAATGTCAGTTGCTGGTGGCCAGAGCGGCGAATCTACTGTAGCATCACTTCTGTTATTGCATGGTCCAGAATTGTGATGATGTTTAGTTGATTTATGGTCCACGGGAAGTGACCCTTGTGTCACGAACAACATGCATGTGATTCACCAGTGCTATGGGCGGCCTCAAACGGACAGTGGAAGATGAAATGATAAAAAATGCAGAGTTAAAATTTTTGATACCTCGAGCCAAAACAGGAAAAAGGGAAAAGAAAAAAAGTACAGACAGCGCAACGGTGGTAGTGGTGTGTTCGGGGTTCGTGGCAGCCGTAATCGTGTTTCATCGCAATAGTTCAAAGGCTGCCAGAGCCTTTCTCTTCTTTCTTCTCAAACCCAGTCAAGAGGAGTCCGACTGGTTCAAGAGAGAGAAGGGGGCATTCAACTAAACATTTCGGCAGTGTAAAGGAAAAAGTGTGTGACAAGACAAGGAAAATCGATTGATGCAAAAACGAGAAAAAGGGGAATCCACCATTAGTAACGCCGAGTATCTATGCACAAAGAGTTCTCATAGCCCAACGCAAAGAGAACAGAAAAGAGACAGAAATTGGTTGCATAAAAGGGCCCGGTGGGAGGCAGAATGGAAGGTTGAGGGGGACGGCGCTGCGGTTGTTGCTGACGGCGGCAGGTAGACAAGGATGCTGGAAAAGGTGGGTATCTCAGAGACAAAGGACATGACGATTACAAAATCAGACAAGCCTTTCTCTTCTTCTTCTTGCTGGGAGCAAGCATGGGAGCAGGATTATCTGAAGGTCTGCTGGCGGTCTGGGGACGTTTTTGTTGTTGTTGCAAGGACGAGTTTCCAGCGGTGAGACTACCACGGCTGGCAGGAGGAGTCGGGTTCAGGCCTTCAGCCTCGGCAACGACAGTGTTGATGGCGGCTTCGAAGATTTCGTGGACACCGGTCATCTCTTTACTACTGCATTCCATGTAGAGGGCGCCCATCTTCTTGGCGACAGCCTGACCTTGGTGGTGTGTAACGGGGGTGAGTCCTTGAGTTCTGAGAAGGTCGATGCAGGTACGCTTGTTGCGCAAGTCGGACTTGAGGCCGAGGAGGATGATGGGAGTGGTGGGGCAGAAATGGAGGACTTCGGGATACCACTGTACATGTGTTAGTCGGAGTATGTAAGTGACAAGAAGGGAGACCGCGTACCTTGTCCATGACATTTTCAAGCGAGTTGGGACAGTCGATGGCGAAGCAAACGAAAAGCAGATCGGTCTCGGGGTATGAGAGAGGGCGCAGTCTGTCGTACTCTTCTTGTCCAGCGGTATCCCAGAGGGCCAGCTCGACAACCTTGCCCGAGGGCTTGTGTTCGCAGTGGGTGATGTAGTTTTCGAAGACGGTGGGCACGTATTTCTGAGGATTGTGTCAGTCAACTAGTGCTTGGACATGGACGATGGAGAGAGGTACCTCAGGGAAGACACCCTGACTGTAGCTGATCAACAGACAAGTCTTGCCGCAGCCACCGTCGCCGACGACAACAAACTTCTTGGAGTAAGCAGGAGGCTCGGTCAGGCCAGTGCCGATCGACTCGCGGCCTGAAGATGTGACTGAGCCATCGCTGCGGCGGCCGCTGTCCCTTCGTTGGGGACCACGGCGGAGAGATGTGACTGAGGCGTTCTGCAGCCTCGAGTTGTGTCGGTGTGTGGCCGACATGGTGTGGGTGGTGATTGTTGATTGCCGGAGGGTGATTCTGGCTGTCTAGTTATGCGAGGAATGTGCTGGCGGGGGTGTATAAATTTGGCTGGACGGATACGAATTGTGGATTGCGGATTGCGATAGGATTGGGGAAGAACGAGAGACAGTTGGGGGATTGCGAGGTCGAGGTCGAGAGATGCAGGCCAGGGCGGTGATTTACATGTGCCAATGATCAAAAAGACGCCCAATGCTCTGTTTACACACGGATCCGCCGTTGCCACGGCACCGTCTGTTCCAACTCGCCGCCAAGTCCGGCCGCACACGCCCACCCACCGCCGCCCGCGAGCATGTCCGCCAAACCTAATGCCACTGATCGATCGTCCTCGTACACTGCCCTGCTATATCCCGTATCCTCTTGCCTATATCGGTTCTTGCAGCAACTACCTAGTCTGTAAGCCGCGAGCTTGTCGATTGCGAGAGAATCCTCTCCATGGACCTCAGTGCCCCGCAGCATAACTCGCTCTGATTGTACCTGGACAGCCGTCCATAATAAGCGTCCCTGTTCTCAAACCTCTCGTCATTCTCAAGCCCGTCTTGTTCTTGCCGCGCGCTTTGCTCGCTAGCTGCGCTAGCTGCACTCACCCCCGACCAAATCCTCCGACACTGGTCGTCCGTCACCGCCTCGACAACAACATCATGTCCAATGTTGCCCTCTCTACCCCGCCTACCCATCCTGTTGAACAAGCTCGTGCCTTGTCCAAAAACTTGCCAGATGCTGGCTTACGAGGTCTTGACCATTGTGCGTCATCAAATCAATCACATCCTTCGATATCTCCTCCACCTTGCTAATCATCCAAAGACGCCCGTAAACTCCCACCATGGCGCTATCGTCTAAGGCAATCACTCCTACCGCTCGTCCGATGGGAAACTCCCTACCTGGCCAAGCTTCAACAGACATGCCGGACTCCTTTCCTTGATTCGTATTTCGCAATGACGGCGAATCTCGGCACCCATACCTTCTTCATGGCTGCCCTTCCTGTGTGCTTTTGGTGCGGCTACACTGGCGTCGGTAGAGCGTATGATTATCGCAATTCTCATCACATCCCAAGTCTATACTGATTCCGTTCCAGCTTGGTGCATATGCTTGGCTTGGGTGTCTTCTTGAGCGGTTGGATCAAAGACCTGGTATGCCTACCAAGACCCTTATCACCTCCTCTTCAAAGAATCACCATGTCTGGTTCTGCGGCCCTGGAATATGGCTTCCCATCGACGCACTCGACAAACGCTGTATCTGTAGCCCTCTACTTCTTGTACCACTTGCACACCTCGACTGATGAGACTGCTTCATTGCAAAGGATCGCTGGTTTGTGTCTAGGATACTTTTATGCAATTTCCATCGTGCTTGGTCGCATGTACTGTGGCATGCATGGCTTCTTTGACGTAATCGTAGGTAGCGCTCTTGGTACTTTGATCGCTGTACTTCAACTGGCGTACGGCACGCCCTTCGATAACTGGATAGCGGAAGGATCATGGACTCATCCGGCTATAGTCTTCTTGATTGTCCTTCTTGCGGTACGTTTCCACCCAGAGCCAGCGGACAACTGCCCCTGTTACGACGACAGTGTCGCTTTTGCTGCTGTAGTGCTGGGGTGCCAGCTGGGACATTGGCATTTCGCAGGAACAGATATCGCAGTCGTTGGTGAACCTCCGGCCACTGTATTCTTCAGTCTCGAGAAACTCGGATGGTTCAAAACTTTGGCGCGTGTTGTCGGCGGCGTTGTTATCGTCTTCGTCTGGAGAGCCACAATGAAGCCACTTCTTCTCAAATTCCTTCCTCCGCTCTTTCGATTCCTCGAAACCGGCGGTGCAACTCTTCCTCGACGATTCTTCACGCGAGCAAGGTAAGAGAGAGAGAGAGAGAGCTTGAGTCTCAGAGTAGCCGTGTCTAACATATAGCAGCGAGTACAAGAGAGTTCCACCTCTTCGACAAGATGACAACGTCATTCCATCTGCTTCGGACATTCCAGGCATGTTATCTAACCTCCGCCATCCCCGCAAACGTGGTATCTCAATTGGACCACAGTCAGAGGCAGATGCTCGTGAATTCATTGCCAACAGAGAGCGAAAGCGCAGAGAGAGCCGTTCGTCTGCAGACGGCGACGAGTCTCGGCCACAGTTAGTTAAGCCACCGGGCGGGTCGTTTTACATCTCAAAGGTAGCAGAGGAGTCCGATGCTACGAAACAAAAGCGCTATGAGAACAATTCTGGTTCGGTCGGAGTAGCCACACCGCTTGCGACGCCTGGACAGAAGGGCGAGCTTCTCCAACCTGATCCATTCAACACGTTGCCCTTGACACCGCCAGCAAGCGATAGCGGTAACGGGAGCGATGCAGGAAGGGAAGAAAATGAAGAAAGAGAGGACGCAGAGCAGGATCACAAAATGTTTCTCGCACTGGCAAAACCACGAGTGCGGTATGATGTTGAGGTTGTGACCAAACTGGTCATCTACGCAGGTATGAACTGGTTTTATGAGAAGAAGCGAGCTCGATTAACACATTCACAGGTATCGCTTGGCTTGCAGTGGAAGGCAATCCTTTGCTCTTTGAAATAACCGGGCTCGGGAAGCCCAATGTGCTTTGAGCGGAGGGGTTGTATAATGACAGCTGGTACATAATGTTTAAATGACAGTTACGTGTGGGTTGTGGTATGATTCGAGCTCTCCAAGATATGGCCGATTCGATGAAGAGGAGCGATGAAGGAGCGTTGGATGCTTCAGAAACATGAAACACGCGCGGAGTGAGGTGTGGCGCGCTGTGGCTCAAGTTTGTGGCGGAGATTCAGGGCGCGTCAAACACCAGCGAGCTACAATTCCATAGACCGACCACTAAGTCAATCCATCTACCTCGGTCTCACTGTGACTGTCCGCAAAGGGAGAGCGATAACGCTACAGCCGGCTTGCGCTCTTTCCTCAACTTCTAACCTGCGACGACAACCCAATCCAACTCCACGCACTTTCCGCGCGCGCAGCACCTTCCCCATAACGGCTGTTCTCCCTATGTCGGATTTCTCGTCAGCAACACACAAATAAGATGGAGGACCCTTTGGTTCCGGCCACGAATGGAGCGGCCATTGGAAGACCTGTTTCGCCTGCTCCGCCGGTCACATCGACGATAGACCCTCAATTAATCATCTCATATCTGGAATCCGTCCTCCATGTCACCCTAGGCGCATCGAGGGAGGAGCTACAGGCCAACAACAGTTTCCTGAGTCAGGAAAACTTGCCAGAGACACTTGCGCGATGTCAAAGATTCGCCTCCGACGCCCAGGTTGCCATATATGTCCAGCAAGAGGCCCTGGACACTGCAGATGGCATCCAGGGTGATGGTGATGCTCGTGAGTAGCTGCCTTGCACATCAGAGTACTGCCCCTGGCTTATTGACTGTGTCTAGTGATATCGACGCAATCTACATATCTTCTCGACTCGAAGCTCACCTACACACCATCAACGGCCTCATGCGTTGCCATTCTCAAACGCCCTGTGCCCATCCTACCCACCGTTCCCATCAGCAGCCAGCTGTCAGTAATCAACCTGCCCGGTGCAGGTGCCTCCTTATCGACGAACCCCAACGCTGGCTCTTCCGCATCACCATTTGAAGCCCTACACTCTCTCGTACATTTTGCCTTGGCCCCCTACTTCGATGCCTGCACAAAGAACCAAGAATCGAATCATGCATACACCAAACACACAGATGCCGAGTCTCGTACTGGTATTCCTGGAGCAAAGAGGAGGATAGCTGAGCTCGAACTCAGTCTGCGGAATCTACAACAGAACATCGATGTGCCCGACCTGCATCTACCTATACACCCCGTAATCCAAGCCGCTGTCGATGAAGCTGCCGCCCGCGCCGAGAAGCCCACTCCAGCACACCTACCCCAATCTTTGCTCACCGATGCTCACTTCCTGAACAACCTGCAAGCTGCCGTAAATGGCTGGATCAAGGCGATTCAGGAGAGCACCCAGCGCTCCCGCGACCCCAGCACTGGCACGGCCATGCAAGAGAAGAATTTCTGGTTGTCCATGGAGTCCGCTTTGGACAGCATTGAGCGTCAGCAAAACAGCGATCCTGTACGTCTGTCGCTCGACGTACTCAGTCAAGCCAAACGTCACGCGACTGCTGTCAGTTTCCACGCGGATACTGGTTTCAAAGAGGCTGCCGATAAAGTGACCAAGTACAACCAGCTAATGCGAGAGCTTCCGTTGGAGGAGCTGCTTGCCGCTGCTACTTTGGTCAAGATTCAAGAAGCGCTTGACCAAGTCTTCCAGCATATCAACAAGAAACTGAGAGTGTGCGCATACCCAATTCGCCGTGCTTTGCCCTTGGTTGAAGCCATCTCTGGTGATCTGGATACAAGACTCCACGAATTGCTTCACGGTCGCAGCCTCATGCATCTCGACTTTCAGGAGTTTCAAAGCCTGATGGCTGCGACGGATAAGATTTGGGACATCTGGGAGGAAAACTTCAAGGAGTTTGCTAATGCTGCAAGAGAGGTAATTAGACGCAGAGGCGAGAAGTTCATTCCTATCAAGATCGACCCATGTCACAAGCAGACCAAGGATCGCCTAAGGTACATCAACACTTTCCGCGTCAATCACGAACAGCTTCGCGACACCATCGCCAACGTGCTGGGTGAAGATCAGGACAACATCCACAATGATGGTGTCTCTGGCTCGGTCATTATCGAAGAGATGGGCGACGTCGACGCAATCGATGAGATCTCTCAAGCGTACTCTGTCCTGAAAGATGTGGATGTCCTTGATGTTTCTGAAGAGGGTACTCGCATCTGGGTGCGTGCCGAAGCCACATACAATGAACGCACAGCACGAGTCGAGAATTCAATCATTGCTCGCTTGAGAGACCGCCTAGCACTCGCCAAGAACTCGAACGAGATGTTCCGTGTCTTCTCAAAGTTCAATGCTCTTTTTGTCCGACCAAAGATTCGATCTGCCATTTCTGAATACCAAACGCAGCTGATTGGGAATGTCAAAAACGATATTGCAGCATTGCAAGAGCGTTTCATGCACCCGTATGGTCATACTGAGACACATGCCATGGCTCAGCTTCGTGATCTGCCACCTGTCTCTGGCGCCATCATTCGTACACGCCAGATAGAGAGACAACTGAACGCCTATATGAGTAAGGTGGAAGACGTTCTCGGCAAGGACTGGGCCCTCCACGTTGAGGGTCAGAAACTTCAGACCGAGAGCAACATGTTCAGAAAGAAGCTCGATGTCAAGCCCGTGTTCGACGAGTGGCTACGAGACGTCAACCGCCGACAACTCTCAGTTTCTGGCCGCTTGTTCGCTATCAGCCGCAACCGTGCCAGTGGTAACATTCTTGAATTGAGTGTAAGCTTCGACGCCCAAGTTATTACCCTCTTCAAGGAAGTTCGCAATCTGCAGTGGCAGAAGTTCACAATCCCTCACGCCATCAGCAACACTTCCAAAGAAGCAAGGCGCGTCTACCCTTACGCCGTCAGCTTGATGGAGAGTGTTAATACCTACGCTCAGACCATCAACGCGATCGACAGTATGCCTGAGGTCTCGATGCTTGTAAACGGCGTTCGAAGTGAGGTGCAAGGCCTCATTGCAAAGGGTACCCCTCTCAAGTGGGACAGTCTTTCAGGTGCTTACGAAGTCAACGTCCGTCAGATGCCAACGGGCTCCTCGGATCAGACAGAGAGCAAGCATGTCAAGTTCATCAGAGATTTCGCCAAGGCGATTCGTGATTTGCAAGAAAAGACGTCGCTATTATCCTCGATCAACATTGCTGTCCAAACTGCGCTGACTGAGCTCGAAACATGCTCTTACACCCAAGAAGCATTTAGACAACAGATTGACGTCATCCAAAAATCCGTCGACCAACTGAACCTGAAGAACTTCTCCAATCTCTCCCTGTGGGTCGCTGAGACGAATAAGAAGGTTCAACTCGTCTTGTTATCTCGCCTGCAACACGCTCTAAGGCAATGGATTGCTATTTTCGCTGCACTGAAGGATGATGATGACGATACTGAGGATGCAGAGCAAGACCGCGATGTACCTCACTTCGAGCCCTGTATGCACGAGATGGCTATGCGAAACCAGTCAATCTATCTTGATCCTCCGCTTGAAAGTGCAAGAGCTACCTGGCTTCAGCACCTTCATGACTGGCTCAGTATCGTCTGCAGTCTACCAAAGATCCAAGCCGAAAGATTCGAACTTGCTCTCGGTTTTAACCAAGATGCTGTCGCTGCTACTTTCTCCGACCTGCCTTTGCTGTGTGTTGATCCTCTGTCAAATGCCTACAACGCAGTGGAAGACAAGATTTCTGTCATTGGCGGATATGTAGACCAATGGCTCCAGTTCCAGTCTCTGTGGGATCTGCAATCTGAGCAGGTGTATGAATACCTGGGTGAAGATCTCGCAATGTGGTTACAGCTTCTACTCGAAATCCGCAAGAAGCGTGAGACCTTCGACACAACCGAAACAACCCGCTCATTCGATCATCTCACAATCGAATACGAGCAAGTGCAACTCAAGGTCAACGCCAAGTATGACCAGTGGCAACACGAGTTGCGTACACAATTTGCTCAGCGACTCGGCAACCGCATGTCTGAAGTATTTGCTGCATTGCAGAAGGCCAGACAGGAACTGGAAGGACAGTCGCTGGAGGCCAGTTCTACTGCCCAGGCTGTAACATTCATCACCACTGTACAACAATGCAAACGCAAGGTCAAGGCGTGGGAGCCGGAAATCAATACTTTCCGCGACGGACAAAAGACTCTAATTCGACAGAGATACCAATTCGCTACCGACTGGCTGTATGTCGAACAGATCGATGGCGAGTGGACTGCACTCAATCAGGTCCTCGACCGAAAGAGCAAGGTTATCGTAGATCAAACCGATGCTCTCAAGGCCAAGATTGTCGCAGAAGACAGAGTTGTGGCTGGCCGCATCACCGAGATGACCTCTTCCTGGAACGATAGCAAGCCTGTATCTGGCACTATCCCGCCCGAGGAAGCAGTCTCGACCCTGGCTGAATTCGAGACTGGCTTTGCACAGTTGAACGAGCAGTCAGAAATGGTCGCCAAAGCCAAAGAGGCTCTTGATTTACCGCCTAGCGCCGATTACGGTCTTGCCTCGCTCCTGGAGGAGGTACAAGATTTCAAATCTGTATGGGCAAACCTGAAGATGGTTTGGGATGGACTTAACGAGCTCCGCGAACAGCTGTGGTCTAGCATTCAGCCCCGAAAGCTTCGCCAATCTTTGGAGAAGCTCATCCAAATGACAAAGGAAATGCCTAGCAGAATGCGTCAATACGCAGCATTTGAGCATGTCCTCGGTGTGCTTCGTAGTCTCCTCAAGGTCAACCCCATCCTCTCTGATCTGAGATCAGATGCCATCAAGGAGAGACACTGGATCAAGATTTTCAAGGCTCTCAAGCCATCTCAGCGCTATTCGTCCATCTCAATGACACTGGGTGACATTTGGGACTTGCAACTTGGGCCCAGTGAGGTCATCATCAGGGATGTGATCACCCAAGCTCAGGGAGAGATGGCTCTTGAAGAGTTTTTGCGTCAAGTCAAGGATACATGGCAGAACTACACACTCGAGTTGGTGAACTATCAGAGTCGCTGCAGACTTATTCGTGGCTGGGACGATCTCTTTGCCAAGTGCAGTGAGCACCTCAACTCATTGCAAGCGATGCGTCACTCTCCCTACTACAAGGTCTTTGAAGAAGACGCATCTACGTGGGAGGAGCGTCTTAATCGCGTCCACCTTCTGTTTGATGTATGGATTGATGTGCAGCGCCAGTGGGTCTACCTGGAGGGTGTTTTCACCGGCAACGTTGACATCAAAACTCTGCTTCCGATGGAGTCCAATCGCTTCAACAACATCAACACCGAGTTCTTGGCTGTTCTGAAAAAGGTGTACAAATCACCTTTGGTGCTTGATGTACTCAACATTCCTGGTGTGCAAAAATCTTTGGAGCGTCTTGCCGATCAGCTGAACCGAATCCAAAAAGCTCTCGGAGAGTACCTTGAACGCGAGAGAGTGTCGTTCCCTCGTTTCTACTTCGTTGGCGACGAGGATTTGCTCGAAATCATCGGCAACAGCAATGATACTCTGCGCATTGCTAAGCACCTGAAAAAGATGTTTGCTGGTATCTCCGGTGTTGTCACCGATGAAGAAGCCAACATCACTGGCATCACATCACGAGAAGGAGAGCGGGTCATGCTCAAAAAGATTGTTTCTCTCTCCAAGACACCTAGAGTCAATGAATGGCTTGGTGCACTGGAGACAAACATGAAAGAGACTCTCGCGGAGTCTTTCACCGAAGCATACACTACCTTTGATGAGCTTGCTGGTCAAGACAACATCGATGGTTCTGCTTTGGAGGCTTTCATCAACGACTATCCTGGTCAGATCGTCGTACTTGCCACTCAAGCATGTTGGACAAGGTGGGTTGGAACAGCGCTCAGCGAAAGCGGTGCTTCATTGCCACAATTGTTTGATCGTCTAGTTGAGATTCTGCGTCTTCTCGCGGCTTCGGTCTTGGGCGATCTCAATGCTCTGTACAGAAAGAAGTGTGAACACCTCATCACTGAGTTCGTGCATCAAAGAGACACTGTAGAAAAGCTTGTGAACGCCGGTGCTGACTCCCCTACTCACCATCTCTGGCTCTTGTCGATGCGCTACGAGTACCAGCCTGAAGCCGAGCTGCTGGATCGCGTTCAGATCAAGATGGCAAATGCTGTTCTTGCGTACGGTTTCGAATATCTTGGTGTACCCGACCGCCTTGTGCGCACTCCTCTGACAGATCGTTGTTTCCTTACTCTTACTCAAGCTCTCTGTCAGAGGCTTGGTGGTTCGCCATACGGACCTGCAGGTACTGGTAAAACCGAATCAGTCAAGGCTCTCGGTGTCCAGCTCGGCCGCTTTACCCTGGTCTTCAACTGTGACGACACCTTCGACTACCAAGCCATGGGTAGAATTTTCCTCGGTATCTCGCAAGTCGGTGCCTGGGGATGTTTCGATGAATTCAATAGACTGGAAGAGCGTATCCTATCTGCTGTCTCACAGCAGATCCAGAACATCCAGCTTGGTCTACGCAAGAGCACTAGCGAACAAAAGGCACAGATTGAGCTCATCGGACGCCAACTCATCGTGCACCAGAATACTGGTCTGTTCATCACTATGAACCCTGGCTACGCAGGTCGTTCAAATCTGCCCGACAACTTGAAGAAGTTGTTCCGCAGTGTTGCTATGTCGAAGCCCGACAAGGAGTTGATCGCCGAAGTCATGCTTTACTCTCAAGGTTTCTCACAAGCCAAGCCGCTCTCAAGACAAGTTGTTCCCTTCTTCGACCGCTGCGGTGCTAGTCTTTCGGCTCAGCCTCACTACGACTTCGGTCTTCGTGCTTTGAAGAGTGTCCTTGTCAGCTCCGGTGGCCTTAAGCGATCACGCCTTGTGGACCATGCAGGGGAGACACTACCCGAAGAGATCGTCGAGCCTCAGATCATCGTACAGAGTCTTCGCGAAACCATTGCACCCAAACTTGTGCGACCCGATGTCGACATCATGCGTCAAGTCGAGGATGAAGTTTTCCCTGGCGTACAGTATGTGCCAGCTGAATTGGCAGACCTTAAGAAGGCAATTAAAGACATCGCTGCCGAGAACAAGCTGATCGCGACCGACTCATGGATGACCAAGGTACTCCAGCTTTACCAGATTCAGAACATCCATCACGGTGTCATGACTGTTGGTAGCTCGGGCACTGGCAAATCCACTGCCTGGAAGACTTTGCTCGCTGCTCTGCAACGTGTCGACGGTATTGAAGGAGTTTGTCACATCATCGATCCCAAGGTCATGTCAAAAGAGAGCCTTTATGGCACCCTTGATGCGACTACCCGCGAGTGGACCGATGGTCTTTTCACCAGCATCCTCCGAAAAATTGTCGACAATCTGAGAGGTGAAGATAGCAAGCGCCACTGGATTATCTTTGACGGCGATGTCGATCCTGAATGGGTTGAGAACTTGAACAGTGTTCTTGATGACAACAAGCTGCTTACCTTGCCTAACGGTGAGCGTCTCAACCTGCCTGCGAACGTCCGCATCATGTTCGAAGTCGAGACCCTCAAGTATGCCACCCTTGCCACTGTCAGTCGTTGCGGTATGGTCTGGTTCAGCGACGATACTGTGACTACTGAGCTGATGATCTCGAACCATCTTGCCGAGTTGCGCAGTGCAAGCTTCGACGACCTAGATGAAGATTCGATCTTAACCACCCAGACTGCTGCTGCTGTTGAAGCCGTGCAAAACCAAGTCGCGGATCTACTCCAAGAACGTCTTGCTTCCAACAACTTCTGTACCCAAGCTCTTAGTGAAGCCAAGGGTTACAATCATATTATGGAGTTCACAGAGATCAGAGCTCTAACTACCTTGTTCTCTCTCCTGCGCAAGGCCTGCAGATCGATCATTGAGTATAATGTACAACATCCCGATTTCCCTCTAGAACTCGAGCAGATCGAGTCGTTCATGTCCAAGAAGCTTGTGCTCGCCATCATCTGGTCTTTTGTTGGAGATTGTCCTCTGACAGACCGCAAGACTTTCGGCGATTACATTTCCAGCCTTGCTTCTATCGATCTGCCACCATTGGTAGACCAAGGCTCGATGATCGACTACGATGTGGTTCTTCCTGAATCGCAGTGGGTACCATGGCAGAACCAGGTTCCTTCGATTGAAGTCAACACTCACTCCATCACTCAGACCGATGTTGTCATCCCGACTGTCGACACTGTACGTCACGAAGACGTGCTCTACTCATGGCTTGCTGAGCACAAGCCACTCTTGCTTTGCGGTCCTCCTGGATCTGGTAAGACAATGACCCTGTTCAGCGCTCTCAGAAAGTTACCTACTCTCGAGGTGGTCGGCCTCAACTTCTCGAGCGCTACAAGCCCCGAACTTCTCGTAAAGACGCTTGAGCAGTATTGTGAGTACAAGAAGACGCTCAACGGCACTACACTTGCACCTACACAAATCGGTCGCTGGCTTGTGTTGTTCTGCGACGAGATCAACTTGCCCGCTCCTGATAGGTATGGCACTCAAAGAGTTATCTCATTCCTCCGCCAGATGGTGGAACATGGTGGATTCTGGCGTACAGCTACAAAGACATGGGTTAGCCTTGAGCGCATCCAGTTTGTCGGCGCTTGTAACCCTCCTACTGATGCTGGTCGTACCCCACTGGGTCTGAGATTCTTGAGACACGCTCCGCTCATCATGGTCGACTATCCTGGTGAACTGTCTCTCACTCAGATCTATGGCACGTTCAACAGTGCTGTACTCAAGATCATTCCTTCTCTGCGCGGCTACTCGGACGCCCTGACAAGAGCTATGATTCAGCTCTACTCTGAATCGCAAAAGCGTTTCACTGCAGACATCCAGCCTCACTATGTTTACTCGCCTCGTGAGTTGACTCGCTGGGTACGTGCTGTGTACGAAGCTATCAAGCCTCTCGAAGTCCTTAGCCTGGAGGGTTTGGTCAGAATTTGGGCTCACGAAGCCTTGCGTCTTTTCTCAGACAGACTCATTGCCGAGGACGAAAGACAATGGACCGAAGAAGCAGTCAACAGAATTGCTCTTGAGCACTTCCCTAACGTCGATGAGGTCACTGCTCTGCAGCGCCCCATTCTCTACTCAACCTGGATGTCTAAGCACTACGAGCCCGTCGATCGTGAGCAACTCCGCGACTACCTTCGCATCCGTCTTCGCCAATTCTGCGAAGAAGAGCTCGACGTACCTCTCATTCTCTTCAATGACGTCCTTGACCACATCCTTCGCATTGACAGAGTCTTCAGACAGCCCCAAGGACATCTCATTCTCATTGGTGTCAGCGGAAGTGGCAAGACTACACTATCTCGCTTCGTTGCTTGGTCGAGCGGCCTCAAGGTGTTCCAAATCAAGGTCCATGGCAAGTACACAGCCGAGGACTTTGATGACGATCTCAGAAACGTCCTCAGAAGATGTGGTGTCAAGGGTGAAAAGATTTGCTTCATCATGGACGAGTCAAACGTTCTCGACTCTGGCTTCTTGGAACGCATGAATACTCTTCTCGCCAACGGTGAGGTTCCTGGTCTCTTCGAGGGTGATGAATTTGCTTCTCTTATGACTGCCTGCAAGGAAGCTGCCCAGAGCAAGGGTCAGCTTCTGGACTCTCAAGAAGAGCTATACAAGTGGTTCACGCAGCAAATTGTACAGAACTTGCACGTCGTCTTCACTATGAACCCTCCTACTGAAGGCTTGTCCTCAAAGGCAGCTACCAGTCCTGCTTTGTTCAACAGATGCGTGCTCAACTGGTTCGGTGACTGGTCTGACCAAGCGCTCTTCCAGGTTGGATACGAGCTTACTCAATCGGTTGATCTTGACCGGGCATCATATGCCTCGCCAGACAGCATCCCTGTCGCTTACCGCCAACTTCAGCTCCCTGCATCTCACCGTGATGCTGTGGTCAACTCCATGGTTCATGTCCACCACTCCATGCACAAGTTCAACGGCAGACTTCTTCGTCAACAAAACAAGACAACCTATCTCACACCTCGCCATTTCCTTGACTTCTTGAACCAATTTGTCAAACTATATAACGAGAAGCGTGATGACTTGGAAGAACAGCAACGTCATCTCAACATCGGTCTGGACAAGTTGCACGAAACTACAGTCCAAGTTTCTACCATGTCAAAGAGTCTGACTGAGAAGAACATTGAGTTGCAAACAAAGGATGCTGAGGCCAACGAGAAGCTGCAACGCATGATTGCTGATCAACGTGAGGCTGAAACGCGCCGTGCTGCATCACTTGAAGTACAGAATGCACTAGTTGAACAAGAGAGAATCGTCGCAGAGAGAAGAGAAGTAGTTCTTAACGACCTGGCTCAGGCCGAGCCCGCTGTTATCGAAGCCCAAAAGAGTGTCAGCAACATCAAAAAACAACATCTGACCGAAGTCCGTTCCATGCAGAACCCTCCTTCAGGTGTCAAGCTCGCACTCGAGTCCGTCTGCACTTTGCTCGGTCACAAGGCACCCGACTGGAAGACCATTGTATCAATTGTTCGACGCGACGACTTCATTGCCAGTATTGTAAACTACGACAACGAGAGACAGATGACTGGCAGTCTTCGCACCAAGATGCAGAGAGAGTTTTTGTCCAAGGATGACTTCAGCTTCGAGCGTGTCAACCGTGCCAGTAAGGCTTGTGGTCCTCTCGTCCAGTGGGTTGAAGCCCAAGTCAACTACTCTGCCATTCTCGACCGCATCGGTCCGCTCAGAGAGGAGGTCGCTCAACTCGAGGAGGAGGCTCTTCAGACGAAGGCTAACGCCCAGGCAATATTCTCCGAGATCAAGAAGCTCGACAACAACATCGCTACCTACAAGACTGAGTACGCTGCTCTCGTCAGTCAAGTCGAGGCAATCAAGAGCGAGATGGCTCGCGTTCAGAGCAAGGTGAATCGCAGTTCGAAGTTGATCACAAACTTGTCCTCCGAACGAGAAAGATGGGACCAGACCAGCAAGTCTTTCGATGCACAGATGGACACCATCGTCGGCGACGTCTTCCTTGCCGCTGCATTCCTCGCGTATGGTGGTCTCTATGATCAGCAGTACCGTAAGGCCATGCTTGAAGACTGGGCATTCCAACTCGCAGCGTCCAGCATACACCACAAGCCGCATAATCCTATGGCTGAATACCTCTCTACTGCGGACGACAGATTGCAATGGCAGCAAAACTCGTTGCCTGTGGACGACCTCTGCACAGAGAATGCCATCATGCTTCAGCGTTTCAACAGATATCCTCTCATCATCGATCCTTCGGGTCGTACTGTTGAGTTCTTGCAAAACGAGTGCAAGGATCGTAGATTGACCGTCACAAGTTTCCTCGACAGCTCGTTCACCAAGCAATTGGAGAGTTCGCTGCGTTTCGGTAATCCTATTCTCATCCAGGATGCAGAGCATTTGGATCCTATTCTCAACCACGTTCTCAACAAGGAATACCAAAAGACTGGTGGCCGTGTGCTCATTCAACTTGGAAGACAAGAGATTGACTTCTCACCTGCCTTCCGTCTCTATCTCACAACAAGAGACCCTTCGGCAACGTTTGCACCAGACATCTGCAGTAGAACCACCTTCGTCAACTTCACGGTTACCCAAAGCAGTCTGCGCACCCAAGCTCTCAACGATGTACTCAAGTCTGAGCGTCCGGATGTTGATGAAAGACGTACCAACCTTGTCAAAACCCAAGGCGAATTCAGATTGCGTCTTCGTCACCTTGAGAAGCAGCTTCTTCGTGCTCTCAATGAGTCTCAAGGCAACATTCTCGACGATGACAAGGTTATTCAGACGCTCGAGACACTCAAGAAAGAAGCCAGTGAGATTGCAGTCAAGGCCGCCGAGACCGACGGTGTCATGACAGAGGTAGAACGTATTACCATGTCTTACGATGTCATTGCACAGTCGTGTTCTGCAATCTTTGCCGTGCTCGACCAATTGCACCACATCAATCACTTCTACCAATTCTCTCTGCAGTACTTTGTGGATATCTTCCATACTGTGCTTCGTGATTCAAAGAGCAGACCTGCCGGAAGCCATGAGAACAGAGTCGATTCCATCATCAAAGAGATATTCATCAGCACTTACCGTAGTACTGCCCTCACACTGCTGCAGAAGGACCGCATCACCTTCGCCATGCTTCTGGCACAAGCCTCGCCTCTGAAGATGGACAAGACCTTGATCGACAAGGTGCTGGACGAGGATCTGAAGGGCATCGACTTGTCGACCAACCCTGAACTCAGAGACGAAGCCATGACACGCGCTTCATCCATCAGACAATTCAAGGATGCTCTCAGCCAAGTGTCCGAAGATGAATGGAGCACTTTCTTCTCAGCTGAGTTCCCCGAGAAGAACGTGCCGATGCTTGGAGAGACAGACAACGAGCTCGACCGAAGACTTCTCAACCTCTTGCTCATCAAGATCCATCGTGTCGATCGTCTTGTTCCTGCCGCTGAAGTGTTCATCACTTCTCTCTTTGGTGCAGCAATGCTTGACGTCAGCGATGATCTCAATCGTATTGTCAAGGAAGTCACAGCAAACACGCCCATCGCACTTTCCTCATCACCTGGCTTCGATGCGAGTTACAAGGTTGATCAACTTGTGGAGCGCACGGCTTCTCGTTGTGCCAACGTCGCTATGGGTTCTAACGAATCACTGGCTAATGCCGATGCCGCTCTTGCAAATGCTGCAGCAACCGGCTCGTGGGTCATGGTGAAGAACGTGCACTTAGCTGCTCACTGGCTACAGAATTTGGAGAAGAGAATTGACAGTCTCAAGCCTCACCCAGACTTCAGGCTCTTCCTGTCGATGGAGAGCTCTCCCAAGATCCCTGTTAACCTATTAAGAGCATCACGAGTTTTGAGTTACGAACAGCCTGCTGGTATCAGAGCCAACATGCGCGATTCTATGGCTTCTCTCAAGGAGGCTGGATCTCAACAGCCTGTTGAGAAGGCCAGAGTGTATTTCCTCCTCGCCTTCCTGCATGCTGTAGTTCAAGAACGTCTCCGATATGCTCCTCGCCTTGGATGGAGTGGCTTCTGGGAGTTTAACGACAGTGATTTCGAGTGCTCGATCTTCATCATCGACACCTGGATGACCACCGTCGCCGGCAATCGGTCCAACATTGCACCCAATGCCATTCCTTGGTCTCTGTTGCGTATCATGGTCACCGAGACTTACGGTGGCAAGATTGATAGCGCCTCCGACTTTTCGGTGTTGTCCCAATTGGTGTCCTCTGTGCTCACCCCCGCTGCCTTTGAAGAAAACTTTGCTCTGCAGCAGGGTCTCACTGTGCCTAATGGTACCACCAAGAGAGACTTTGAAGCATGGATCAAGGGTCTTCCCGAGCGCGAGCCTCCCACTTATCTTGGTCTTGAGGCCAATGCCGAGAAGTTGCTGCTTGTTGCACATGCGGACGAGATGTGTGAGGGTCTGCGCCGTGTCATGGAAGTGTTGGATGAAGGTGAAGCCGTCATGGCGGAAGCTGCCGAGGTTGTGGAAATGCAGTAGATGGCGGTATGGCTCAGAGAGAGTATCACTGGTGGTAGATGTTCATATTTATTGAACACTTTTGTATTTTTAGATCTTTGCATTGCATTGGTGTTTTTGTTGTTGTTGTGGATTAGCGGTATCACAAATGTTTTCTTATTTTTCGAGTTCAACTTTCTGCTGTTTTTTTCCAGATCGTTGTAACATGCCGTGCCCACCTGGACATATTGAACAAGCGTAACTTCAGAATACACGGTCGAGCAGGTCAGCCTGCGACCGAAAGATGTAGAACATAGACTAGACACATTTAGGTTGTCACGGACGCACTGAACCAAAAGACGGGGAAGGATCGAACAGGTGTAGTCTAGGTATCATAAAAATGTGTCTTGCGGTCTTACAGTCACCGAGTGCTCGAGCTCAGGCTTTTCTCATAGTTGCCGTCGAGTAACAGATCACACCAGCCATCGCTATCACGACACCGAGGATGCTGTAACCACTGATAACACTGCCTGTCCAGATCCAGCCCAGAGTGACGATGGTGACAGTCTTGGAGTGTCCCACCACTGTGCTGGCAACCGGACCCGCTCCAGCGATGATAGCAAATTGAGAAAGGTTGAGCAGACATGCGCAAAGACCACTCTAATTCTGCTGTTAGCTTTTGTGCGAGAGAGAGAGAGGAGTGTACTGGAGATCTTACCATCATGATCATCATCCATCGGTGGAGAGGTACCTCGCTGAAGACTGGAAGGGTGTCCACGAATGGTATCAGGTATATGAGCAACATGCCTCCGATCAAGGACTGGTTGTGGAGAAGTTGTAGACTCGTCATCTGTAGCTTCTGGTGGTAATGGCCAATCCAGCAGGTGTAGATGCCGCTCATGAGAACGCCACTCATGGCGAATATTACACCATAGAAGCTTGTTCCTTTGCTCGTGGCTCCGGGTCGGACATCGAAGTAGGTCACCATGGCCACGCCAGCGCAGACAGGGACCAGCGCGCATACAGCTTGCCTCGGAATGCTCTTTTGGTATAGAACATAGTTGAGGAATGCAGTAATGGGTGTTAGCAACACTCTGGCGGTTTGGTAGAAGGTGATGGATGAGTAGGCGAGAGAGAGATTCGGGAGGATGACGTTCAGGCACATGGCCGCAGCCAGCGGAAGGATATCTCGTAGCGCAGCCCGCTTCCGATCGAAGAAGCCGAATCGTCTCGAAGACACAGTGTGTAGGGTCGCGAACGTGACGAGGAAGTGGAATGTTGCGAACGAGACTTGAGCACCACGGAAGGAAGGGTCGTCGAAGATGGATTTGTTGATGAAGACAATGGCGGTCGTGGCGATGATGTTGATGGCAATCCAGACCAGCAATTTCGATGGCTTCTTTGCTGGAGCAGGCATATCTCGACCTTCCTCGTCGAGGTGCTCCTTCTCATCTAGCAGCTCATCGGTTTCCTGATTCTCCATCTCAATGTCGTTGTGCTGTTCAAAAAATGCGGGGTCCTCGATTTTGACAGCCTCAACTGCCGTTTCATGTGTAGTAGCCATGGTATAGATAAATTCGCATAATTAATCGATTCGCTCGAGGAAACCATGTGCCTTTTATCACACTGCCAGAAACGCCATGGCAATATACCGACACGAGGACGTTGGTGACCTGCGCCATATTTGGGTACCTACAAAGGGAGATTACGAGGCCCGGCGTACATGACCGGTGGATTGTGGAATTTCAGCTCTCGAGGATTCCTCGCAAATCAAGAAAGAGGTGTCGGGCATGTGCAAAGGGGTGAGAACGGCGGAGAGCAGGGGGGCTCTGTGTGGAGGTTAGGGGTGTTCGAGCACAGGCCACATGCTCTCGAATCTCGGCCCCAACCACCTAGTTCTGTCGCGGATGCCTTTCTTCACAGATAACATCGTACTCGGAAAGTGCAGCCTTGCCGTTTCCTGTTTGCTCCTGTGATTCAGATCGAGCTTACGCACGCTTTGGTTCTTCGCTCCATGAACGATGGTTGTCAGAAACGGTCTCCTATAGCGTAGGTTCGGTTTTACGCGCAGTCGTTCTTCAGGAGAGTTTGTCCACAGCCCTTGTCATGCGAGTCTGCTTCTGCTCGCTTCCATGCCTCGCAGGCATGAGTGTGGTCGCAGACGAGATTCCTCACACATCGATCAATGTAGGATGAATTCCTTTGACCTTCGACTATGCAAGGAGTGCCATACTTCCAATCATTCATATCAAGATGTCCGCTTGTACAGAGACTCTGTCTTTCTGCGAATATGCTAATTCAATATGCCCTGCTCGATTCCATCAAAGAGTGTGTTAGATTACGAACGTAGGCAATGGGCTGACTGACCGATTTTCAGCGTTGAAAGATCATGCATCCATCTGGGAGGATGCCCCCTTTCTCAAAGGATCAACTAGGTTTGAGCCTCAACCCGACATCAACAATATCATGATTACGGGTGGTGCTGGATTCATGTAGGTAGCTAGGCAAATTCAATCCGACTGCGCTAAGATCTACAGCGCATCGTGGGTTGTACGACACCTTACCAAAACTTATCATGGCCACTACAACATCATATCGTTCGACAAACTGGACTACTGCGCGACACTCAACAACACGGCGCAGTTGGACAAGGAATCAAACTTCACCTTCTACAAAGGCGATATCACCAAACATGAGGACGTGATGGACTGCTTGCGAAAGCACGATATCGACACAGTCATGCATTTTGCCGCCCAAACACATGTTGACCTTTCTTTCGGCAACTCCAACGATTTTACCAGTACAAACGTCGTCGGGACACACGTCCTCCTCGAGTGTGTCAAGCTGCACGGAGTCGAGAAGTTCATACACGTGTCGACCGACGAAGTGTATGGAGAAGTCAAGGACGATGGTAAAGACCTTTTGGAAGATGCGCTCCTTCTACCAACAAATCCCTATGCGGCATCCAAAGCAGCTGCAGAGATGTACGTGGAAGCATATCGCAAGAGTTTCCAGGTCCCCGCCATTGTCGTGCGCAGTAACAATATTTTTGGTGAAAATCAGTTTCCCGAGAAGGTCATTCCCAAGTTCTCTATGCTCCTACAACGTAATGAGCAGTTGTCTTTGCATGGCGATGGAACACACACGAGAAGGTACCTCTACGCCGGCGATGCAGCTGACGCCTTCGATACAATCCTCCACAAAGGTCAAGTCGGCCACATCTACAACGTTGGCTCTTCGGATGAAATCTCCAACTTCACACTCTGCTCTATGCTGTTGGGCGAATTTGGATTCTCCAACGAGACCAAAGAGGAGGTTTACCAGCATGTCGTCCATTGCGAAGACCGTCCTTTCAACGACCATCGTTATGCTGTTGACGGCTCGAAGCTCAAGAAACTGGGATGGCAGCAAAAGACACCGTTCAGAGAAGGTCTTCGCACCACAGTCGACTGGTACAGGAAATATGGCGAAACATGGTGGGGCGACATTTCCGATCGACTCACTCCCTTCCCTACAATACCTTCCGATGAGCAGACTGATCAGGCCAGAGACACAGAGTTGGCAAACTCTCCTGTTGGGTCAAAGAAGAATGACAAGCGAGGGTATGATGAAGTCGATGGCTCGCCAGATGTCAAGAGGCTCAAAGAAAACGGGCACACGGATTCTGTTCTTGGTGCGGTCAAGGTGTGATTGAACCTAGCAAGTACTTTGTTTGTCGGTATACCAAAGATTCTGGTGAAAGCATCTCATCTGTTGTGTATTCTAGTGGGTCAACTATGGAAATGCACAGTGCTCTTGAGAAAAGCCGCAAAGTCCATCGAAAGCCCGAGAGCCCTTTCCCAGCAAGCACTGCCTACTCGGGTCCAGCTATAAAAATGCACAAAGGTATTCAAAACAGAGCCAGCTCCAGAGAAGCTTCTTACTTGGTCATGTTTCATGTCAATTGCCTTACCCCATCCCGTCTCATCTCTGCCGGCAGAGATCGTGTATGAAAAGGCACAAACTTGTTCATGTGTAGAGCAAGGTCACAGAGACAAATGACATAGTCATATTGCCAGACTTCAACTTCTCATCTCATCTCTCTCAACGAGGAGGAAACCACTTATAAGAATGCACGAAGGTATTCAGATCTGGGTCAGCACCATGGAGACAAATGACATAGTCATATTTCAAGACTCCTACTTCCCATCTCAGCTCATCTCATCTCCGCTGGAAGGCATCAAACTAGCTATAAAAAGGCACAGAGTTGTTTAGGACAGTAGAGGGGCCAGATAGAGCGGTGATGAGCATTGACATAGTCAAAATCGGGAGCTTGTTTTGGGGGTACAGTATTTTTTTTGGGTTATCTTGTGCTAAATATAAAGACTTCTAAGTGTACATATCATAATTTGCTGCCTATTCAGAGGCGCTTTCCTCGGAGTTCTTCTCCTCCACGGTGGGCTCAAAAGTCTTGAGCAAGTCTTTCATCGTCAATTTCTTGTGACCAGCAGTAACCTGGTCGATCTCCTTCTTCTTGCGTTCCTTGATGCCGTTCAGATGCTCGTCGATTGTACCAGCCAGAGTCAAGTTGACAAATTCGGTCTCTTCTTGTTGGCCAATGCGATAGACTCTCGAGAAGGCTTGGATCTCGCCGGCCGAGTTCCAGTAAGGGTCGACGTTGATAACATATCTGGCGCAGGTGAGGTTGAGACCTACACCGCCGGTCTTGAGTGTAGCAATCAGAATCTTGACGCTGGCGACGTTCTTGAACTTTTCGATGTTGGCGTCACGAGTCTTCTTGGTCATGCTACCGTGCAGGGTAACGTAGTCCCATTTCTCGGTCTCGCAGATCTGGCTGAGGAGTCTTAGGAAGGTTTTCCATTGGCAAAAGATAATGCATTTGGCATCAGGATCGCCTCCACTTTTAGGGTCAATCCAATTGAGAACTTGAGCCTTGATTGCGAGAGTCTTGGTGGAAGGAAGGACGTTACCGTCGGCATCGAGATATTTGGGCTTCATGGCAACTTCTGGGTCGATGATTAAAGACCTTGTGATCACCTTCCCGCAACCTTCTTTGACGCAGATGGCATGATCGACGTCGCGACGAGCTGCCTCGTTCAACAGATCTTCCATATGCGTGTGACAGTAGAAGTGGTAGCACGAGGTCATGACCGGATTGTCATTAGCGCGACCGCAATAGCAGCAGGCCGTGCGCTCGCTGTTGACGTGATAGTTTGCGCTGCGTTTGAAACATCCGATGTAGTCTCCGTAAGCGACGTCCTTGCCGTGAGATTTACCGGTTCCTTTTTTGCTCTTGTTTCTCTTGATGATGTTTGGTGCTCTCAGTTCCTCGACGTCGTCAATTCCTTCGTCATATTCATCGATAGATCCAGACTTCCTCATATCCAAAGTGATGCCGTTCTCCTTTCGAGCCTTGACCAGTGTTCGCTGACTCTTCATGAGCTCTTTGAAAGCATGAATCGTGCTGACTGGAGTGTCGCCAGAAGCGGCTTGTCTTTCGACTGCTTTATCGAGTTTGACAAAGTCCTCGGGTTCGAGATAGTCACAAACTTTCATGGGTACCAGTAAAGGGTGGGCTGTCAACTGACGTAAGAGAGTAAACATGGCCCAGATGTGGAACTGCTTTGTTCTTGGCTCTCCATTCTCGTCGAAAGTTTGTGCTCGCTCCTTGAAGCGAGTACGGATGATGTCGTAGATCTCCTTCTCCAACTCAGTTGGGTTGATCTTCAGAGATGTGTTGTGAGGTTTAGGAAGGGTGATGAGCCTGGCGTCGAATAGTTTGTCTTTGTGAGTGAAGCACGCAACACTGTCTACCATTTCCTGGCTTAGTGCGTCGAGACTCATAGGATCTCTGGTGTTGCAAAAGTGAGACTTGAAGGATTCAAACTGCATGTTCATCACCGTAGGGTGCTCAATAAAGGATAGCAAACTGTATAGATCTTTGCTTCCATTCACCATCCTAAAAAAGTGGTTAGCTGTGCGTATGGTCGATCGTTTGTAAAATTACTCACGGCGTGCCTGTCAAGACCCATTTGTGGTCAGCCACGAGATTGAAACAGGCGTTAGCTATCTGCGTCTCGGGGTTGGCGATTACATGACCTTCGTCAAGAACGATCCTAAGGAACCTGTATCTATGAAGAGGTCCTCTCTTTTCGTAGACGTTTTCCATCCAGAACGCTTGTCTTTCGGCCTCTGAAAGACCTTCAGGTATCTCGTAAGCCGGCCAACTGCTTCTTACGTCGTGATAGGTGGTCAGGATGATGTCTTGCGATTCGAAGTCCATAGGGTGGTGTTGCTCGGATTCACTGTCCCTAAACACGGAGACCCAGCCGAGCCCCCAGTCCTTGCGGCGGAATTCTTGTTTGACGTGAAGCCTGATCTCCTTTTTCCACTGTCCGAGCAGACTAGAAGGCACCACGATAAGGGTAGTATGCGATTCCGGCTGCAGATGAGGGGGAAAACTCTCCAGAGGCCTTCCGTTGACGATGTTGGCTAGACATGTGACGGTCTTGCCAAGGCCCATCTGATCGGCCAAGATACCCCCTCTGGGTGCGCTCGCGCGCATCTCTCGTCTTCTCATCCATCCGCAGTTGATGATTTGATAGTTTTTGAGTGGCGTGAGCATGCCACTGAGAGTCCATCCCTTCTTGCGCATTCCGACACCTCTATTATACTTGGCGATTCCCTTCTTGCCTGTAAATGATGATGTCGCTATCCTGAGTCGTCTCTTATCTATACGCCTGACTTCGGGACGAACTCGCTCGGTGAAACCTTTTAGAGCAGCAGCACGACCTCCTTGTCCTTTTCCGATGTTCTCGTAGTCGAGCTCCGTTTGAATATGTTCTGCAGCATCGGCATTCTCCCAAAAGTCGGTGTGGCCTCCGAGGTTAAGAGTTGTCGATTGTCGGGGCATGGAAGCTCTGAGGATATCATTGCGAGATTGTGACTTGGAAATTCTGGCCTTCTTCTTGGGGCGATTGCTTGACTGCACAATGTTCTTCCTTCCAGATTCGGACTTGACATCAGGAGGCTCGAATAGAGGGTTCTCGTCTTCTTCTTCTTCTTCCATGAGAGCGGCAAGATCGCGCTTGCTTCGGGTGTAGGAAGATTCCTTCCTCATGAACTCCAGTTCATCCTGGTCGGTGATCTGTCCAGACCGCTTCTTTTGCTCGAAGGCGGCCTTGTCTTGGAAGTACTGGTATTCCTGTTCGATTGGGTTTTGCATTTGCTCTTCAGGCTCCTGAGAATCCTCAGGATCTTGCTCTGGTCCTTGGTTCTCCTGACTAGCGAATTGCGCAAATAAGGCTTGCTGCTGAGCGTGCTGAGCATCCAGGTCCATGGGTTTAGGAGGCGGTGCGGCTTGCTTGCGCTTCAGCATACTGTTGCCCAGACCAGCGATCAAAGCCGATGTTGATGACTCAGATGCCGGCTCGGTCTTGATCTCGACCTTGATATCGTCGTCGATTTCGATGTGTGTTATGTGGGAATCGGGAAGGCTGTCAATGTCGATAACTTCGACGTTTTCAGGAACCACGCCAAAGAGCGGAATTCTGCGGTTGCTAGGAGCCATAGTTCTATAAAGTTAAAATCAGTGATTGGTTCAAAGGCTCTCTCTGGACGCGACTCTGATCTCAACACAACTGTGCAATTTTATAAGTGCCCAAAAGCCATGTGCATCCGTAGGAGATGAGAGTGATATGAAGTGGTGCTCAGTGAAGCAGTGAGAGACTAGTACTTACGATGACTTGGATTGTGTTGGGTTGGCTGTTGGTGGCCGTTCTGAAATTGATACTGCAGGCCAAGCTTGCTCTGATGGCAGAACAAGCTCGAGAGCAGCTAAATGGTATGTGAGTGGGAGGATCAGGTGGAAAGAGGAGAAAGTGTTGGCTGTATGTGGTGATAGAAGGAAAGGTGGATGATAGATGAAGATGGATTAGATGGAGATGGAAGGAAGAGTGGAAGTTGGATGTGGAAGGAGAGGTGGAGGTTGGAAGTGGAAGAAGAGGTGGGGGTTGAGGTTTATATAGAACTAGTGGGCTTGAGATGTGAAGAGAGGCTTACCTTGAGTGACGAATAAGTTTTGGAGGTGGTAGTGTGAGGGAAGGAGGAAAGGAGGAAGGAGGGATGGAAGGAAGTTGGGGGTGGGAAGAGAGGTGGAGGTGGAGGTTTATATAGTCTCAGTGGGCTTGAGATATGAAGAGAAGCTTACCTTGAGTGACGAGTAAGCTTTGAAGGTGGTGGTGTGAGGGAAGAAGGAAGGGAGGAAGGAGGGATGGAGATCAGAAGTGGAAGGAGAGGTGAGGTTCAAAAAGCGGAAAGAGAGGTGGAAGTGGGCGTTGAGGTGTAGAAGTAGAGAGCGACAGACGAGGTATATATAGGACCAATGGGCTCGAGAGGTGAAGCGTGGCTTACCTTGAGCGATGAACCAAGTCTTGGTATCAGTGTGAGGGAGGAGGGACGAAGGAAAGAGACCAAGGAAGTTGATGCTGTTGTTGTGATAGAGAGGTAGATAAGGTGAAGCCCCAAGAGATTCATGGCGCCGTACTGCTCATGCTCAGCCTACCGAATGTGAGGCTTGTCTGGAGTGATCGGTAGCTTCTTGAGACATGTGAGAATGAAGGAGAGGGGTGAAGTGGTAGTAAGACGCTCGGGAAGGAAGTTGATGTCGAGAATCAAGATCCAAAGCCTTTGTGTGGTGCCTTCCCATATGCTAAATATCGTCATCTTCACCTGCTCTCACGACCACAGGCAAGCGGAGCTGACATTATCACAATGCACAGTTCTTTCTGGATGGTAGCAAAATCCATAGAGAGCCGATGATATCACGACTCTCAGCGGACGCTTCCAATCTACCACAGAAACTGTGCATTTCTATGATCATCCGCGTAACATGTCTCCGCGCACAGGAAAGTGGTCTGTGGTGACTGATGTGATGAAATAAGACAGGGTATCAAAGAAATAGTAATAGTACTTTGCAACAGCGGAAGCGGAAAATCAGTCGATGCGGCGCCAGATAGGAGATCCCAAGAATAACAGAATTGACAGAAGGAAGAGAATCTTATCCGACCAGATCGCCTGATGCCGGATAGAACCATGCGCTGACTGCGATGATGATATAGACCGCCATCAACAAAATTCCCTCTAACCAATGACTTTCGCCGTCTTGGATGAGGTAGTTGACCAAAAGCACAGCGATGAAGAGTACTGCGACCTGGAATCCGTCGAAATCGAGAGTCATAGCGTCGTTGCCGAGACCGCACCAGCTGATGACTACCATGAGGGGAAGGACGAGCAACGCAATTTGCATACTCGAGCCCACGGCGACGCCAATTGCAAGGTCCATTTTGTCCTTGATAGCCACAGTGACCGCAGTCGCGTGCTCTGTTAGTCAGGTTAGCTTTTCGGAGTCCCTCAGACACTTACGGCGCTACTTACCTGCAGCATTGCCGACGATTGGGACCAATATAAGGCCAACAAATTCCTCAGAGACTCCACCTTGGTCCACAATGTAGTCAATACCACTGACCATGAACTCGGAGTTGAAAGCAATAAAGACCGTCGCAATAGTCAAGGTGATGAGAGCACCAATAACAGACAGTGCAGGTGTTTCTTCCTCTTCTTCCTCGTGGACGAGGTTGGATTGGTTGACTTGACCACCAGCTGAAGCAGCAGTACCGGCACCAATACGAGCAATTCCCATCAAGGTCTCACCCTTCTCGCGAGTAGAGCCCTTCTTCTTCTCGGACTTCTGGCTGGGGGTGTTGTAGATCTCAACATGAGTCTTGAGCTGGAAGATCAGGTAGGCGAAGTAGACGAGAAGCAAGATGATAGCCGTTCCTCTAGAGATAGGTGCAACACCACCAGCAGGGTTGTTGCCGAATCTCTGGAACGCCGTGGGGATGATCAAAGAACCGATCGAAACAGCAAGCATACTTGAGGCCGTCTGAGCGACAGTAATATTGAAGTGTTGAACGACACGGTTGATACCACCGAAGAAGAAACACATACCCAGGACCAGGAGCAGGTTGGACAGCATACTTCCAATCAAGGAAGTTTGGACAATGAGGATCTTGTTCTGCGCCAGAGCGATGATACTGACAATGAGTTCCGTAGCGTTACCGAAACTGGCATTGAGAAGACCGCCCAAGGTTTCGCCAGTGTACAGAGCAAGCTCTTCGGTAGCGAAGGACAGCATGGCTGCGAGAGGAATGATTGCAATGAAGTTGACAATGAAGATAGCATATCCGTTAGAGTGTGAGTATCGGAGAGCAAACCCGATGGGAACACAGACGAGAAGGACATTGACCCATGAGCCAAGGATAGTGGCCTTGAACTGGCTGACAACGCTGATCTTCGGGTGCCTCTTCTTCTTCTTGCTCTCGCCAGTGTCGGCACGCTCGAGGTCAGAGTCATCCTTCTTGGTGCGATCGGGTGCACCGAGCAGGTTCATAAGGGCCAGACGCTTGCGGGGTTTGTGCTCAGGCTCGGTGACGTTCTTCTCTGACATGGAGCGAGAATTGTCCCTGTCCAGCGGTAGAGTATCCTTTTCTCCAGATGGCTTAGTGTCTGATTGGCCGACCAGGGTTCCATTGGATGTAGGCGTGTCGGAAGATGTACTAGATTCCGGCGGCGCAGTGTTGGCATGATGCGGGTAGGCAAAGTCGGCATCGTCTACATTGCGCATATCGTTGCGCCTGCTGGTGCCGTCCGACATGACTTGGTCTGCTGTATGGCGACGCTGCAGGTGGTTGTCCTCGTCCTCGGGTCGTCCAACATAAGACCGAGAGCGTCGGGCGAAAGGGTTGTAGTTTGACTCGCCGTCGTTGTATCTCCAGGCAATGTTGCGGGCCTGGTGCTTGATTGAATCTTCAAAAGGCTTGTCAGTTGGTGTCAAACGGGACAAGATAGACAAGAATCTGGGCTTACGCATTTCAAATGCTTGGTTGGAAAAGGCGCCAAGAATCAAGTCTCGTGATAAGTGTTACCGAGGCGCAGATACGGCAGAGCAAGAGAAGAAAAAGAAAAGGGATCGGAAAGTACAAAGTGGTTGGGAGGAGAGCCTTGTATCTTGAGCGGAAAGTGATGTTAGCACCCAAAGCTTCGAAGTCAGAATGAAAGAAAGGTGCCGCCAGCGGCAAATGGCATTGAGCTGGCAAATTGAAGTTCACTTGAGCGGCCGAGGCGCGAAACAACAACAGGAAAGCGCAGTCCTTGCGTAACTGATTTTCGCCTGCACTCGAGGGCAGGGCGATGCTCTCTGATGTGATGAGCGTGGCTGTGCCCACGAGAAGCTGGGGAAGAAGTGGGTCGCTTGAAACATCGATACATACCAAAAGTGATGATGCGCGAGGCCGGTTTGACGATTGAGCAACGAGCTGTTCGGCGTGTTGCAGCTGGTCGAGCGACTATGGCATGCTTAGGGAAAAGGGAGGAGAGAAGGGAGGGTCAAATGATGGAGGTAATATTCTCGCCCTACGTTGGTGGTAGTGCAAACGAGCTCTTGCAACTCATTTCCTTCCTTGCTCGCGCCAGACTCACTTTCCTGCATCGCAACCGCAGTCTTGGCTTGGCAAGCGCCCAATCGTCACTTTGGTCGTTATTGGCTTTTTTAACTCGGCCTTGGACTTTCTTCTTGTTACCGCTCTCCCAAAATCAAGCTTCATGACATCAAGCATCAGCCACTCGTCCGACTTGCTCAAGTGTGGCCACGTCGAAGAGCGTCACGCAATGCGGCTGTGCCTATGTGTTGGAGCCATAGCAGCCAGCGCTATTGCGAATCGATACGGCGAGGAGATACTTCAGCAACGTCGACATTTGACGCTGAGGGGAAGATGAGCGCGCCAAGGCCTGTAGAAAATCGCCAGGTCGTTTACTGGAAACACAACACGTTCTCTCTGCAACATGGCAGCAATGTGACACCCACGCGAGGCCTCTTCTGAGCTCAACAGTTCCGGTGGTTGGAGAGCCGACTCTAAGTCCAGATCGACTCCCTCTTATGTTATCGTTGTTGGTGTTACTCTCGATACATTATCACGTCAATAACCTCCGGAGGAAACTGTGGTATGGCTTACGGACAAACACTCGCGGTTGTAATACATGAGGTGACACCCATGAGACAACACCCACCACGACTAGCGGTTACTGGCGTTCGCGTACGCTTGGCACAGAGTCTGACTTCGATAAGGAAACACTGGCAGAAAACCGAGAGCGTGCGCAGAGTAGGTGGTAAATCACACCCTTCCGAGTCCTAGGTCTTAAGAACATAAATAACGTAAGGCCCTATTTACTTCGGCAGTATTTAGGCCCTTATTATAGTTGACTTAGATAGTAGGTTTACCTATGTTATAGCTAATTAGAAAGAGTCTATATATAATAGTAAGGTCTTTAAAAAGGCCTATTAATATAAATTTTAAATACCTTAACTTAGCTAGTACTTTCTTAGTAACTCTAGATACGTACTATTATTAATAGTACTTACGCTACACTAAAAGACTTAGTATTACCTTTATAAATAAAGTAGTAATAAGCTATAGTTAAAGAAAGAGCTATATAATCTAAGGCACTTTAACTTATATATTACTATTAAGATAGCGCTTAGTAAGTTTAAAAGAAAGTAAAAGGTAATATATAAGGCTTTAAAGTACCCTTTAAAGATATAGATTATATTAATCTATACTCTTACTATAATATTAAACTTCCTAGTTAATATTAAGAATAAAGTAGTTAATTATAATAGTAATAATAATAATAATAAGAAAAAGAAGAATAAGAAGGATAATAATAGTAAGATTATAGCTTTTATATAAGTAAGAAAATAGCTATATAGTAGTTAATTAAAAAAGGAAGTAAAGAAAAAGTAAGATTAAATAGTATAAGTATATTAGAATAATTATACTAAGAAATTAAGAAAAAGAGGTATAGTATAAGTAAGAATATAAGAGCTACTAGAAACTAGCTAAAATAGTAGGGTTTTAGCTATTTCTAGTAGCTCTTATATCCTTAAGATTAAGAGATTATATTAAAGAATTATAGTAACTAGTAAAGTATAAAGGAAGCTAAAAACTAGCTAAAATCCTACTATTTTAGCTAGTTTCTAGCTACTAATATATCTTTACCCTTATATACTACTTCTTACTACTATTTTTACTAATTTATTATATTTAAATACCTTAAATAGCTTATTTATACTTAGTATACTATCTTTCTTCTCTTAATACTTATACTAATATAGTTTCTTTTATTTAAAGGAGTATACTTTACTTAAAGAACTATTACCTTAAGAGCTAAAAAGACTATTATTAATAAGGTTCTTCTTTATATTCTTTTAGCTAATATAGTTAGCCTTAAGAAGGTAGTATTATATCTATATATACTATATTTTAGTACTCTTAAAGTTAAAAAAGGTCTTTACTTATACTAGTTCTTTAAGCTAATAGTAAATATATAGCTACTAGAGCGCTAAGAAGTTTATATACCTTATATTAATACTAAAGGCTATAGCTAAGAATTCCTTTTAAGTATAAGTTTAAATACTAGTATTAGTAGAGCGCTCTAGTAAGGCCTTTATTATTATAAGAGCTTTAATAGCCTTATTAAGCTTTTTTAAGAACTCTTTAATCTTGTTAATAGTAGTATTAAAAGCGCTTCTTAGTCTCTTTCTTACGCTTACCTTAGTTCTCTTATATTACTAGTAAGTGCCTTTATTTTCTTATAAAGAGTAAAGGGCTTTACTATTAGTACGTATTTCTTAAAGTACTAATTCTCTTACTTCTTACTAGTATAAGTACTAGTACTATTATTTTACTTCTTTCTTACTTAATTTATTATTAACTTTTATACTATTTATATAGCTAGTAAGGCCTTTTAATCTAAAGCTCTAGGTATTACTTAGTCTAATATTATTTATAGTATTAGTCTTATTAAGCACCTATAAAGGCTAATTCTTTTCCTTTTTATTTATATCCTAGTACCTTTAGTTTTCTAATTACTTATAGAGCGTAGTAGTAGTTACTATATACTTACTAGTTATTATATTATTACCTTAAAGCTTCTTATAGAGCTTTTTATAAGGTATACCTTACTAGAAAAGGTAGCGTAACTCCTTATATATAGTAATATACTTATTATTAGCCTTCTTACTAAGATTAAAAGTACTATTAGTAAGATAACTAATACTAGAGTACTTAAGTAAATTCTTATACTTCTTAAATAAGGCCTTAAGAATGCTTCTCTTTAAATAGTACTACTAGCTACTAAGCTTAATATTATACTCTATTCTTAGCCTCTTAGTAATAAGAGTCTATACTAGTATTTTATAGCTCTTACCCTAATAGTTAGTACTCTTATTACTATCTTTAAGAGTATAAAGTAAAGTCTCTTTTTAATTAAAGGTTTATATATATACTATAGTATAAGGAGGTATACTAAACTTTAAGGAATTAATCTATACCTTAAAGGCTATCTAGTACTTAAGATTTTAGTAAGAATGCTATATAAAAGAGAAGTAATTATATAATTAGATAATATTAAGCATATTTAGCAAATTTAGTGTATAAGGGTATATTTAGTAAGTATAACGCTAGTTAAATTTACAGTACTAGAAGTACGCTAACTTTAAAGTAAATAGGGCCTAAGAGACTGTTATACATCTATTATGCCCTATAGTAATAGCAGACATCGTGTTGTCTAAGAAACCATGTAGTTCCATGTTGATGGAGACACCCTGGCTCTCTTGATAATAAGGTCTCGTACTGACTGAATAACCCACACATAGCGTTTCCTGTTATTGTCTTTTCGATCGGCTTCTTCTCCTTGTTGTTCGTTGCAAGCAACAACCTTGTTTTGAATAAAAGTCACACGTAGCAGATCTCTAAGAGGTTGTGTATAGTTTTGCTGACTTCCAAAGCTTAATTCAAGTCTTTCTCCAACCACCATCATTCTGAATGTAGCACAAGACGTGTGCGAACCACATTGTATCCGGTCACATTGTTGAGCGATAACGACAGATATCCCGTGATCGAGTTGTCCTAACTACAGATTATGCATCAATCGTCTCAACCCGGATATTATCGCTTGAACACGTCACATGTATGCTCGTTCCTCACCATTGCGTTCATGTTCAAGTGCCGCATGCTCAGCAAAGCTCACACGGCCAAGCATTCAAGCCAGCACAAAATATGACGCTTTGTTCATGCAGACGCACCAGTTGAGATAGTCTTTGTCGTGGCCAGGTTCCTGGGTCTCCAAAATTCGCATTCGAAGCCTTGCTCCTTTCTCGAAACGGACGTCCAGAGCATTGCAAGAATTCGATCGGTCACCTTTCCTCTTTTTCAATTTAAGCGATACAGCCGCACGGCACACCCGCTGTTACGCAAGCCATCTTGCAGTGTCTTTGAGACTAGAGCGTGGAAGAAAGCAGTCTAATGCAGGTTGACAGGTGTATTCCGCCAGCCATGCGACCCCTGAGAAACGGCGGCGTGCGCAAATTCCTGGAGATTGGATCGGGTCAGGCTTCTTGCATGCAGAGAAGCTATGCACAGGTGCATGCAAACAATGATCCACGACAAGCAAAACAGCTGATACGAGTACACAGACTGAGATGGAAGATTGAAGGACTCTTACGAACAGAGGAAGATGTCAGAAAGATGGCTCCCGATGTCCCATCGAAGCTATCGCTCATTCTAGCTAAGGGATATTGGTACCAGCCAATCATGTCGATCGGTGGAGTTTTTGTTTGTGGGGTTGACAAGGGGTGGTTGGGTTTCTGACTTCGATCTTGTCTAGCATCTTCAGCCAAGGCATCCCGTCCTTCAACAATGGCGGCGCATGTACAGCATCTCAAATCAACCCGCCCTTGCTCGGGACTGCAGGCCGTTAGCCAGCACAACCGTCCGGGATGATTGCGGATACAGGAGGGTAAGGAAAGTAACGTCCTCAGTCTACCTTATGATCTCTGTTCGTCGCTCTCAGTGTGTTGACTCTTTCTCCCTACTTGCTTTGATCTTCGTTGCTTCACAGCCGACAGCCGTTTCGCTGTCTTCCACTCCTTACAGTGTCTATCTCTCTGGACAAAACAAATGACCAGTATGCCGTTCTTTAACAAGCTTCGCGTACTCGCCATGGCCTCTCTGCTATTGAGGGCTGTCTCCGCTCAGACTTGCTACTACCCGGATGGCTTGACTACTTCGGACGACATACCATGTAACAGCAACGCCGCAACATCATCATGCTGTCCTACCGGTTCTTTCTGCATGGATAATGGATTGTGTTTCGGAGGAGGTGTTGTTTCTCGGTCTTCCTGCACTGACCAAGCATGGGCATCCCCAGAGTGTGCCCAATATTGCACTGATGGTACGTTCAGATGATATTGCAACCATGAGATGTTTCTGACATTACTATGCAGTCAACGAATCGACTGCTATCGGCTTGACCGCCTGTGATGTAAACTCACGGACATTTGCTTGTGGTTTGAACGGTGGTCAGTGTCAGAACACGCACTCGACTTTCACTATGGTCAAGGGCGATGCTTTGGTGCTACGTCCGGCACAAATTCAAGTCCTCGTATCGAACTACTCGGCCCCGGCCAATCAGGGCAGTCACCAATACGGTGTAGGATCGATGATTGGAGTCGCTTTGGGCGTTGGCCTTCCCCTGGCCTTCTCTCTGCTCATGGCTCTCTTGGTTCTGAGAAAGGAAAGACAAAGATTTGCTCTTCAGAACATATTCGAACAGCGCCTGGAACCGATGGACGCTCACGGAAACTACCGCAGGCGTTCGTTTTCTACGCTTTCAAAGTCTGGAACGATGACAACTATTGCGTCGACTTCGACGTATGCGCCCAAACAACCCCAAGCATCTCTTCCGAAGTATGGCTTCCACAAGGGTTACTATTCCCACGGCAGCAACATCAGTGTACCGGTCTTCGAGCTACCCTCGAATCCTCCGGAGAGACACGAGAGGGTTGAAGCCCCATGATATCGTGTCGAAGCTATAATGTTTGGTGTTCTTGTTCTTTGTGTTTATTGGAGTTTGGGTCAATCTCGGGCAAGATCCTTGAGGAAATCGGAAGGCCGTCATGTTTGTTTATACCCACGCTTGCGTTTTACGAAGGTCTCCTTGTTCACTTTCTTATTATGTCGATTCGCTTCTAAATTATTTTGTCACATTCGTTTCCCTATGAAAGTGCCAACGATGCTTATTCTTTGGCAGAACGCACAGAGCGGGAACGAGCCGCTTCCTTCCGATCATGCTTTGAATTGTTTCGGGAAGAACTTGGAAGCCTTCGCATGCTAATGCTTTCTTTTTCCGCCATCGACGGTGGCAGCTGCCTTGATCTGATGACGAAGCCGCAACTGAACTTCGATTGCCTCTCGGATTAACGCATCGAAAGAGACTTCGCCGACACCACCTGCATCCAGATCAATTACGCATTACCTCTTACAGTGTATCTTCCAACAACATGAATTTGTTTCTTGCCTTCTTACTTTGCATCTTGCACGCAGCCGAATGTCTTCCGCTCAACTCTCCGTTGCTGGACTCGTACGACTACATTAGTGAGCCAACATTTACCTACTATGCTTGAACAACGGCGGCTGACACAGCTAGTCGTTGGAGGTGGTCCAAGTGGACTTACAGTCGCGAACCGCCTTTCCGAGAATCCTGCGACCAATGTTCTCCTGCTCGAAGCTGGCCCAGCCGACAGCAATGAGCCTTGGATCCAGATACCCTTCTTTGCAGGACAAGGTGTTGGTAGCTCTCTTGATTGGAATCTCCAGACGGTACCTCAGACATTTCTGGACGGCAGGACTCGTGCACTGCCCCAAGGCAGAGTTCTCGGTGGTGGTACCGTCCTCAACGCTATGCTGTAGAACAGAGGCGGCATTGGCGATTACGACGACTGGGTGGCTCTAGGCAATCCCGGATGGAGCTTCTGGGATCTGCTTCCGTATTTCGTCAAAGTAAATGTCTCCGTCCGAGTAATCTAGAACTTGAAGCTGACAAGGACCATCTCAGAGCGAGACCTTCACGCCTCATCCACAAAGCGACGCTGCCAACGCGGTCGGCATCAATCAGAATCCACTTGTCCATGGCCACAGTGGTCCCGTCAACGTCAGCTTCTCGAACCATATCTATAACGAGACGGTCAACTTCTTCTCGGCGCTGAACGAGCTGCAAATGCCAGTGTCCTACGATCCCAATGACGGCACAACCGCTGGGGCATCCTTTCTACCATTATCACTCAATCCAGCAAATCAAACCAGGTGCGATGCTCGCTCGGCGTATTTCGAGCCATACGCCACGAGGCCTAACCTCTGGATCTCTACAAACCAACACGTCACCCGCGTCTTGTTCGAAGGAGGATCCGGCAATCCCAATACGACGATACCTACTCCTGGCGATTCCAGCGTGGGCCAAGGCAACTCATACTCCAGACCTGATGGCTTGTTCTCCAACATCACTCAGAACGCTATCGTGTCAAAACGCCCAAGACCATGGCCCATCAACTTAGTCCTCAATGCGTTCACTTCCCGCTTCCGCAAGCAGAAGCGAGAGCCAACCAACACACCTATAACTTCTGGTCCAGGTCTTTTGAAAGCTAATGGTGTAGAGGTCAGTATACATGGCGATCCGAAGTTGCTACACAAAGTCCGGCCATAGCTGACTGTCTTTTAGTTTGCTTCCGCAGCCTCCGCCCCCAGAAAGAATATCACTGTTGTCAGAGAGGTCATCATAGCTGCGGGGGCAATACATACCCCCCAAATCCTCAAGCTATCAGGCATCGGCCCGTCAAGTGAACTGCAGCCACTCCAGATACCCGTTATGGTAGACCTTCCAGGTGTTGGTATGAATCTACAGGATCACGCTCTCGTTGGAGTCTTTTGTGAGCAAATTACTCCTCGTCTCAAAACACTCTAATAAAATAAACAGACCCCTACCAGAGACCTACGTCTTTGACAAGTGTGCAAATCGCAAGCAACTATACGCTCTTCAACCAATTTGGTGCCATCTACCAAGCGAACAGAACCGGACCTTGGACTGCTGGACCTCCTGACGGCAATGCATTTCCTGCCCTCTCGGTCTTGACCAACAGCTCGCTTTCAATCATTACCAAAGCTCAGACTCAGAAAGCAACGCATTGGCTGCCAACAGATATTCATCCGAACGTGCTCGCAGGCTTTGACGCTCAGCGTCAGCTCTTGACCAAAGCTTTACAAGATCCAAAGAGAGCGGTCTACGAGTTGCTAAACTTCAACTACGGCGCTTTCTCAAACGTGAACATGAGGCCCTTCTCTCGCGGTACTGTCAAGGTAAGCATTGTGACCTGATTGTGTCTGTTGGAAGCCGCTCACTGTTTGTGTAGTTGATCTCGTCGCGCCCGTTCGATCCTCCAATCATCGATCCTCGATACGGCTCGAACCCAGTTGACCTTGACATCTTATTAGCCTCGATTGTGTACAATCGCAAAGTGCTTGCAACAACACCAATGAAACTACTACAGCCTCTCCAACTCAATCCTAGCCCGAACGCTACAGACCAGGAGATCTTAGAGTTCATCAAGGCTAATCTACAAACAGAGTTCCACCCAAGTGGTACTTGCGCCATGTTGCCACTGGATCTGGGAGGAGTCGTGGATCCACAGCTACTCGTTTATGGCACTCAGAACTTGAGACTGGTGGACGCATCGATCATGCCAGTCATCCCCGCAAGTCATTTGCAAGCTGTCGTATATGGTGTAGCTGAGAAGGTCAGAACTGAACTGCGAGAGCCACTTTGACCCCACAACCATTGACAACTGAGTAGGCCGCAGACATGATCAAAAACGCAACTTCAGGAGCACCGTCCAGAGTGCAGCCGCCAGTACCACCGTCCGCACAGAGTGCAACGCAAACTACTGCCCCTGTACCTCCGTCGTTGTCTGTGTCTTCGCCAGCCTCTCCACCGTCATCGCTTGTGATATCTCCACCATCCCCCTCAACGTGCCCAGCATCAACTTCGATAAAGTCGACGTCAACCTCGTCACAGCTCTTGACAGTGACTCCTTCGCAACCATCGACACCGCCTCTAATTCGCTCGTCGCCACCTGGTGCAATTCCGTCACTTCCACTTGCAACGGTCGTCTCCTGCACACATGCATCAACATTCTCATGCACATGTGTATCGATATGCACATGTGGAGCAACCATTATGCCAGCATCATCCAAGACAATGACCATCACAGCATTCTCTGTGTCATCATCCATCTCGTCAACAAAATCGTCTTCTTCACAGAGCTTGAGTCCAGCAGTAGTGACTTCTCCGCATTCGTTGACGACAGTCTGTCCACCTACACCCGCACCGACGACGACGGCTTCGCCAGCCGTAGTGTTCACATACGCACCGATGCCTTCTCTGACATCAAGCACAATGCTGTCTTCCTCTTTGTCGACAATGTCCGTGTCTCGAACGTCGACAGTCTCTTCGGGATCACTGTCTGCACTGTCATCGCTATCATCGCTGTTATCTTCTGTACGCTCTAAGAGCTCATCTTCGAAGCGCTCTTCAAGCTCAAAGTCGTCCTCCAGGCGGTCCTCCAGGCGGTCCTCCAGCACCTCCTATGGGCGCTCATCAACGTCGAGTCAGACAATAACAGTAACACCGACATCGACATCCGCAAGTCAGTCGACGCGCTCATCGTACTTATCCTCCTCTTCTTTCGGGACTAGCTCTCATACATCAGCCAGCACATTGTGGGTAACAATGTAATTATCACGATCCTAGTCCCTGATGATTGGTATCAATACGCTGACACATTTTACAGATGCCGCACAGTGCCACTTTTCTGATCCAGAACTGTGTGATAAAGGCAACTTGCAGTTGAGGAAGGAGCTTGAGCATTCGGTTTGTAGACCACAGTTCGAGTAGGGTGTCCTTGCAGACATGATCAATGTGTGTGGATCTTGCGATTGGGCGGCCTCGACCGTCTCCTCTGTGAGCTGGATTCTTGTGTGAAAGACAATTGTTCAAATACATACATAGCAGCCGATATGATAGCACATTACCAGTGTTCGATGGGATCGAAGATGTGGTGGACATTGAGGAGGTTGGAGTGAGCACAGACCTGGGAGAGGCATCACCCGTCCACCGATCTTTTTTCTATACTCTTGTCATGCACTATTCATCTCCGAACATCTTATTGAATATATGTCCAAGGATCGATAGCCATCAACGCGGTGACATTCTTGACGTGCTTGTACGCCGGCATCGCTCAGGCGGCTCCGCATTTGTTATGGAATGCGCCTCTCTTTGTTAGCCCACCGGGATCCACGTTACTCTTATTTCTCTTTGTTGCGACATGAGTATTATTCTTTTTTCTTTACAAATTCTGGTAAGTCTATTCCGAATATGCGAGAAGCAGCACTGTCAGAGTATCATAGAAAGATATGCACTGTTCGCCTGAGAGTCAACTCTGCCTTCGCAGACAAAACCTCATTGCCTTCACTTCGTCAGTATCTGCATGTTATGGACATTGCCATGGGTTGACCAATTACTGAGATCTCAGGTCCTTTGTTGTCCGTTTATTGCAGTTGATGTCATCATCAATGACCATAATCTGTCGCCTTCTAGGGCGGTCCAAGTCATGAAAGGATTGATAGCTTGGCTGCAAGCCACCATCAACAATCAAAGGTCATTTCCTATGCCGGACATATGGTTTCGAGTCTCCGCACTTGCACAAAGTAGGTACTCGTTTTCGACTTCGGATTCGGACGCTGATGTTGTACAGCAGGGAAGCCTACGGTTGATCGCTGTTGAACGATATACCTTGACGGCCAGCAGCAGTCACGACGTATCTATTTCCTCTATTCCTGATACTCTCCAGCAGGGTTCACCGGTAGCCATCAATACTCACAGCGGCTGGTTAAGTTTTTTGGAATGGCATATCAAGGCTCATACTACATCCTCTGGACCCAGCAGACTCATCTCTTCAATGAGATTGCTCAGCTCAAGCATCACATATCAGACATAGAGAAACAACTGTCGCGAGCTCAGCAAACACTAGATCAATCAGACGTAAAACGGTACGACAGGAGGAAAGCAAAATGGGTAGCCAACTCGCAACGAAAGTACCTCAAGAACTTGAATCATACTCTGCATTCGCTCTTACTTTCCCTGTCGGCCTGTCAATCGCAGATCGCTCGCATACACATCGAGGCTTCTCAGCAAGCGATTCAGAATAGTAATGCTTGGACTGCATATCACGTTTCTCAAAACCAAGATACAACACCTACAGAAGAAACATATCAATACCAAGTCCGCTCTTCGAGTCCCGACTCTGGATTCTCAGAACCAGCTCTGTATGCCCAGCCTTTCGATCTCGATTTATCCCGAGATCAAGGCGATCATACCATTTCTCATGAACTTCGACATCCACTACCTCTACCTCTAATCATAAACACTCGGGTCGCAGAACAAAAGCCACCACCTGTACGCGTCACACCATTAAGCCCTTCCGCAGACAACTTCACCCCAACCCCAAAAACAACCTACGCAAAAGCCACAAGTCCACTAGCACCACCTTTCAGCCCTTTCGTGTTTGCAAAAGCCAACCCTCCCAGCCCAAGCAAACCTATAAATTCAAAGCCCTTATTCACACAACCGGTTTGGTCTTCTCCGAACGAGTGGAGTGAGCAGGTCGAGGAAGCAATGACGCCTGTATCGCCGACAGCTAGAGTAGAAGAGGGAAATCGAGAGTCTAGAAGAAGGTATTCTGTTGCCGCGGTTGAGTTGATTGAGAGTCGGTTAAGGCATAAGAAGCAGGTTAGTGATGTGGCCAGGGGCCTGAGGATGCAAGGTTGATGAAGCGGAGTGATGCTTTTCCTTCAAGCTATCGTATTTTTTTCCTTTGCCGGCATGTCTCTTTGTTTTTTTAGGATACTGTGTTTATTTGTTCTTTAGAAATATTTATCAACTTCCGGCTTCATTTCTTCCCCAGGTATAAAAGCGGCAATCGTGTCGCTGATGATCCGAGCGAACCATTGGTATTTAGTACACGGCATGTCACTGTTTTTCCGAAGGTATCCGACGAGTGGAAACGATACGCAAGTCATCATGATCGATTTCATAGTGTGGGATGCGACGGTTGCAGTCTCGCAGGATGCTTCCGCTTTGAGTAGAGTTAGCGACGCCAAGAGTTTCTGTATGATGATGTTACATATAAAGAGATGGATGGCATCATGGTATTACTCTAGCACTTCCCCTACAGCCTTTTTCCAAAGTTCCCCTGCTGTCCCAAATTCTGTTGGAACAAAATTTGTTTCGCCATTTGAAGAAGAAGGGTTCAACACGAGACAAAGAAAGGTAAAATATTGCTGGTCTAGGTCTTGATTCTGTCGTGGGTATATTGTTCTTATCTCTGGATGGCAGCCTGTTTGGCAGTGATCCAATCTTGATATTTCTCATCAGCGTGTCGCTTCGCGGTGATGAGCCAAAAGTGCAGCAAGATGGATCCGAGGACACGGCCTTGAGCAAAATGTACATATCGGCATAGCTGCTCCGCTTGCTCGCGACACTCCTGGATATATGCTTCTTTTCCTGGCAAGCCACACTGGATCAGGACCGAGTTCAACTGGATTATCGTCGAGCAGTGTTGCGACATGAAACCGTGTACAGCCAGATTGTTGAAATGGTACACCTTTGGGAAAAGCTCGTCCTCGCCTGGAATCTCGATCGGCATGTTGTTTGTCGCCTTTAGAGCTACTATCCACTGGTCGTAAAGACATTTGACAGCCGTCCGTAACTCCACGGTTTTCTTTATCAGCTCGAAAGCGTCGTACTGTCCGGCAGCGGTCATTTGAGCATTGCGAATCAAACCTGGAATCTGGACGTGTATCCGGAACATTGCTTCTCGGAAGTTTCCCTCAACAGAATCCGGATCGTAGGCCAACGTGTTCCATTCTGGATCATCAAGGAAACAGGCCTTGCGTTTGTAGAATGCTTCCATGACCTGATCCTCGGTCAGTATCCAGGTGCCTCTTCAGGCTTCAACACTTACGATGTAGTATCTGCACACAAGGTACATGGAATAATCGAAGCTCTTTCGATCTGCGTATGCTTTCGGGCCTCGTACTCGCATCATCTCGACCGACCCACCGGAGTGTCGCACCCACTCGTCTTCTTTCCGATTTGACATAAGCTGAGACGATGATCAGCTCACAGCAATTCTACTTCGCAAGGAAAACTCAATGATTACCTCGTAAAATGTGAGAAGCATCACTGTACTCTGCATCTCCGCTTGTCCTGTGGTAGGGGCTAGGAGGGCCTTTCGCAACGTCTGAAGCGCACCACCATAGTACGCGCGACTGACATTGATCAACCGCGTGTCTTTTTTCCGCAGCCCGAATTGCATGCAAGCAACTGATCGCATAGCCAGGTCTAGGGGTGTGAGTGCACCGATACGATAGTACACAAAGGAAAGCCATTCTCGTATCATGGAAGGGCCTTGTGTCGGTTCTTTTGAGGGCGGTGCAAACCCGTCTATCAACGCAGCCATGACTTGAAGCTGCTCCGTTCGAGGTAGGTGCAGCGATTTCACAGCTGGTTCCGGAGGAGTCGTCACGATTGGAGGAGTCACAACGACAGAATCTCTGCGTGAGTCGAGCGAAGCACCACCACTAGAACTCGACTCTGTCGGTGACGTGGTGGATACCGAGTTGATGATTATAGGTCGCTCACGTTTTGACACGACCGTCACCATCTTGTTTCTAAATTGCAGCTCGCGGGTATAGCCAGGACATTGGCGCCCGGCCTTTTCGCATTTTTGACATGTCGGCCGTCCTTCATCGCACTGTCATGTTCGAAAGCAGGGTCAGACGCGGAGGTCCCTGGTAGTTTTCCAATAGGGTGATGATGTACCTTGATGCGTCTTGACACACATGTCGCACATCCTGTACTCCTGGGCACGCCGACCATAGTCTAGACGGCAACGAGTTTGGCGACGTAGTTTGGACAAGCAAGAAGCATGTGTGATAGGATACAAAGAGAAGCAGGCACAAGTCGCCGAGTTATCTGACTGCTTCTCTCTATCGAATTTTGAGTTCAGCTGTTGCTCAGAGCCAAGGCGGGGTCGTAGGGACAGAGCCGGCGACGAGAACACCGGTGGAGAGGTTTTGCCCCCGAGTCACGACGGGGAAGGCGGCGTTCGTGCTCGAGCCACCGGCTCCGTTTCCGTGTCTTGGCCAGGGATACGATGCGAGCGTCGATGATCTTATCTGATCATGGACCTTGTGCGAGGTCTAGCTCTCGAAAGATCAAAGGCCAGCAGCATGAGAAACGTAGCCGAGTTGGACCCTGTCCAGAAGTGTGGTCGCAGAACGTTCTGCTGCAGTCAGGCGGCGTGGATGGAGTCCAGCTGTAGCCAAGCGGGCGTCACCATTATTGCCCTTAATCTTAGCACAGTCGATCTATTGGAAAGCAAACCTGGCCGTCATGCACAAAAGCAGGGAATCATGAACCCCCGATCGGACATCAGAGGCTTACACGATTCGAGATTGTTCCAACTATCACATGTGCATGAGTCGCAAGCCATCAACTCCCAAGCTATTCTGTAAGCCTCTACAGTGTCAGTTCGAACCCACTATCATGTATGCGATAGTACTAGCAAAAGATAAGGACAGGAAGATTTCCAAACCTCATAGCAGCATTGAGGCAGGTGGACCAGAAGAGCACTTGTTCAAGGACCACATCATGGTCAGGTTTGCAACAACTCTTCACGACCTTCCCATATGGCATGCACAACTACTCCGAAGGAGACGATGACTTCCATCGAGAAGAGTTATTCTCACGGCATTTTCTGGAATAGCAACATTGTCTGCAGAGGGTCAATCTGTCCATTCAGATGACAAACACATAAAGGACAGGAGCTCGCGGACACCGCAAAGTCCATGCCAAGATTTATCGGACATCCCAAAGTGGTAGGTGAATGCGACATTCGCTTCTGGTGAGAAAAAGAACATAACGGTCATCATATCAAGCCAGTCGGAACGCTCTTTCACATCAGCCCTGTATTCGGAGCGTCATAACGTGCCGGAACGACATTCTGCGTTGTCGTCTTTTACTTAACATCTCGCGAACACGAACGTCGAAGTATGAGTAACTTGCTCGGCATTTTTTAAGCATCCTACATATTGGTAAGCGTTGTTGAGGTATTCTGCATCTTTCATATGTGTCGGTCTTCCTCTCCTGTTGTCCTTGATAAGCCTCTTTGATATCTTCTATCGCAAACATCTTCACCTGGGCTCAACCACACAATCATCACCATGAAAGACGGATCGCCACTTGATGGGCAGATTCATCCTCCTACCCTCGACCTTGAGGAAGAATCAGAAGAAGCCCGATGGGAGAGAAAAGGACGAGAAAGGCCTGAGAAATTTCAGACAACAGCACAGGAAGTTGGATTTGTGTTCGCTGTGGTCATGGCACAACTAATGTCCGAGTTCTACGTCTCCGGCTTCATCGTTCTGATACCAACACTGGCCACTGAGCTCAATATACCGCCAGAATCGACAACCTGGCCAGCGGGAGCTTTTTCGCTGGTTGTATCGACGTTCCTACTTCCGCTTGGACGTATTGCCGACATGTATGGAGCATACCCTGTCTACGTTGGTGGAATCATCTGGACAGTCGTCTGGTCCATTATTGCAGGGTTCTCGACCAACGAAATTATGCTGGATGTTTGTCGTGCCTTCCAAGGATTTGGTCCAGCCGCATTCCTTCCGGCATCGATGGCTTTACTCGGCACGATATACAGACCAGGTCCAAGAAAGAACCTTGTCTTTTCCATCTACGGCGCTATGGCTCCTTTGGGTTTCTTTGCCGGCATTTTCTTCGCGGGTATCTCTGCTCAATTTGCTAACTGGAGATGGTACTTCTGGATTGGTGCTATCATCAGCGCATTCAGCGGTCTTGCTGGATTTTTGACCATTCCATCCGACACTGCTGAGAGACGGGCGATGAACGTCAAGATGGACTGGCTCGGCACTTTGACCATCTCTGTTGGCATTATTCTGGTTGTTTTCGCGCTGACGGGAAGCTCTGGCGCACCACATGAGTGGGGAACCAGCTACATCGTTGCGACCATGGTCATTGGTGTTGTGTTTCTAGGTCTCTCGGTTTACGTGGAGGGGTGGGTCGCCGAAGCACCTCTTCTGCCACCAGAGCTGTTCAAGATCAAGTACATGAAGCCTCTCGTCCTGGCTCTGCTGCTCACCTACGGCGGCTGTGGTATTTACCTGTTGTACGCAACAAACTACATGAGCGAGATCATGAATGGTTCTCCTATGCAGCTCGTCGCGTGGTGGAGTCCAGCCGCTATCGGAGGGTGCATCATTGCGACTGTTGGAGGATTCATACTCCACCTACTTCCTGGCACGATACTCATCGGGATCGCTTCCGTCGCGTGGATCATAGCACCGTTGCTCTTTGCTCTCGTCCCCGTGGGCGGGCAGAACTTCTGGCCATGGGTGTTCCCAGCCATGGTTTGCTGCACGATTGGCATTGATATTACGTTCAACGTCACAAATATCTTCATTACAACAAGTCTACCATCGCGCCAGCAGGGACTCGCGGGTGCGCTGATCAACGTGTTGTTGCAGCTCGGTATTGCAGTTGCTCTCGGCCTAGCAGATATAACTGTAGCCGAGACAGCAGACCAAGGAGTAGCGAAGAAATACAAGAACGCATTCTGGCTTGAGGTTGGATTGGCTGGTGCAGCACTGGTGGTCTTCCTTGGGTTCGTCAAGGTCGACAAGGCGAAGAGTCAAGCGACAGCGGACGAGAAGGTCCAAACATGATGAGCTCTAATGATTTCAGGATGATGACGGATTCGAATGTATATATATAATTTCGGTAGCCATGTCATGTCGAGATGATGTTTTGCATGTGACGACGCGATAAGCACAGATTGGCGTAATCTCATTCACAACCGTATTCGGAGTGACAAAGCGTTGGAGCCTGTCTATCCGAGTATCGTGGGAGGCGTAGATGGCAGTGCTGTGTGCTCAGCAAAAAGGTCGAGAAAAGGACACACGCGTTGCGAAGATGGAAATGTGGATCATAGAGTCGCAAGAATTGGTACGGGGCCACGAATCCAGTTTCTCATCGGACGGGAGTCGACTCCTCTGACAAGGGGGTCTGCTCGTCAGCGAAAACAGGGAGATGGAAGGAGCTTGGCGTTCCACGTGACGATCCCTCTCAACCGCAACTTCCAAAGCTGGAGATGGGGCTTCTTGTTATTGCCCCCTTCGACTGTCCATACAAAGACTCTGTGCTTCTATCTTCGACGGCCAGTGTCATATTTCCGTAAGTCGCTCCACGATCAATCCCAGAACGAGCGCGAACTGCCTTGCCAGCGAGCACCGGCTCGGTCGGTTGAGTGCGCATCATTAGGGGTGACTTGTCTTTTGGACAAGTTGCGCTTCGTCCAATGCGAAGTTGCTGCCTGTTTGCCATTCACTCTCACCTGCCAGCTGGACCAAAAGCTATCGCGCTCAATTCTTGACTTGTTTCAAGATCGCCCGCTGACCGTCGCTTGTTCGTTGACAGACTGCTCCGCCATCCTCAAATAACCACCACCCACACGACACTTTTATCAACAACACCGCCAACATGGGTCTCACATTCTCGCGTCTGTTCGACCGTCTCTGGGGAAAGAAGGAGATGAGAATTCTCATGGTCGGTCTCGATGCCGCCGGAAAGACCACCATCCTCTACAAGCTGAAGCTCGGTGAAATCGTCACCACCATCCCCACAATCGGTCCGTGTCGTCCATCATCGCTCTCCGTCGAACTCGACAAACTGACTTGAGCGCCCGCCTGCAGGTTTCAACGTCGAGACTGTCGAGTACAAGAACATTCAGTTCACCGTCTGGGATGTCGGCGGTCAAGACAAGATCCGCCCTCTCTGGAGACATTACTTCCAGAACACCCAGGGTATCATCTTCGTCGTCGACAGCAACGATCGTGACCGTGTCGTCGAGGCTCGCGAGGAGCTGCAGCGCATGCTCAACGAGGACGAGCTGAGAGATGCTCTCCTCCTGGTCTTTGCCAACAAGCAGGATCTTCCCGTAAGTTCTAAGCGTTTTGAATATCACAGAATTGGCGCTGACTTTACTTTACCAGAACGCCATGAACGCCGCCGAGATCACCGACAAGCTCGGTCTGCACAGCTTGAGACAGCGCGCCTGGGTAAGTCTATCTGCCTGTCTGTTCGACGCTCTCTCCTCTGACATATGTTTACAGTACATCCAATCCACCTGCGCCACTTCCGGTGACGGTCTTTACGAGGGTCTGGAATGGTTGAGCAACTCGCTCCGCAAGGCTGGTCACCAGTAGACAATATCCCCAGCTTGAACCCTGTGTCCGTTTTTTCTGCCGCGCCTCAATTGATGTCTCTCAACCTTTTACTCTCCGTCTTTAACGATCGTGGAACCTCCTACACTCGGACGTTTTCCCTCCCCACGTGCGACCAACCAATTCGATACCACCAAATACCAACAGAAAAGCGATTCAAAGAATGGGGGATGACGAGAAATAGAAAGAAGAGTACCATGACCTCGAACACCGGCTCTCTTCTGGTTCCTGCTTTTGCCTTTTCGACGAGGTAAAGGGGAGGAGCAAGGACGGGAGCAGGTCGCAGCCAAACCCAGAAGTTTGAATGGTGACATTTTGGCGGAAGGGCGGGGGCGTTTATGTTGTGTTTCTCTTTCTTTCTGCTTCCGTTGCCGCTGAATATGCATAACTTTCCTTCTTTGGTCAGAACTCGAATGTTTTACGGCTCTTCATCCTTTCTTCTTTCTCCCTTTCCATTTGACTTTGTGAAATCGTTGACATTTGTGGCACTGGGAGAGGGACAGATTGAATGTTTTTATAAACAAGACATAAGGCTTCCTGAGCAAAGTGTCTTGACCTTGGTCTTCCACATGCTATCCGAAGTACGTATTCTTTTGCGTCTCCCCAACATGGACAGGCCGTGGGTCTCTCTGACCGAAACTCCTCGAATATGGCTGCTGGTAAAACGAATCCCTGGTTCGCCAAAAACTCCATCCCCCAGCGAAAAAAAAAGACATGAATATTGTGCAATGAGGTGGTCTTTTCAGAATGCGTGCTGTTACAAGAGGTACTTCAGATTTTGTGTCTCAAATGTTTGGATGTGCAGAGGCGAGGTGGCAGGCTTTGCTTCCATTGGTACCCTTCTAGTTGGCCATGGACTGCTGCTGCTGCTGCTGCTGCTGCTGAGACGGGTTGGCAGACTTTGTGCTCATGCCGCCTGAGCTGGTGGGGCGAGGAGCCATCCAGCCCTTCTCGAGCCAGATGTCGAGAAGAGGAGCCATTGGTTCCAACTCCTTGTCACCCAGCAAACCAAACAGTCTTCCCACGTTTACGAAATGGATGAAGCAGGTGTTGAGCTCCTTGTAGGCACCCAGGTGCCAGAACTCGAGCCAGTGGGCGTGGTAGATGTGAGCGTAACAACGAAGCATCTGACGGTAGATGTTGCGGATGTCGTTGGCGAATTGGGGAGGGAAGCCTGAGGCCTTGCCCAGCCAGTTGTTGGGATCTGAGGCGGACAGTGCTGGCGGGGCGCTGATGAAGGTATCTGTGGGGAAGATGCTGGGATCTGTAATCTTGCCGGCGATCCACTTCTGGACGTAGGAGATGTATTGGGGGGCGGGGACGCGGACGCTCTCGCGTTTGGCGTCGAGCCAGGTGTAGGTCATGGCGCCTGCGCTCATGGCCGGGCAGGTCTGCTGGTTGCAGATGGGTACACCGGTGTTACGATCGGCTTCTTGGATGATCTTGAGCATGCCATCTAGCAGGCGGTTCTGCTCGACAACTGTCGCAAGGAGACATTAGTATAGAGATGGTTGGATGTGGGGTATGCCGGTGGTACCTTGATGTGACAACCATTCACCCTCTTCTACGAGGACGGGTTTGGCAGCAAGGGTCATGAAGTTGCCCTTGACGATCAGGTTGGCGTATTGCTCGCGGAAGAAGAAGGGTGGTCTCTGGTTGGAGAGGGGCTCGGCGCTGGGCTCTCTTGATTCGAAGGACATGGCTGTAGCGGAGAGGCCTGGCGATAGGGGCATTTGTTGTGCAGAAGAAGGAGCCAGGCTTGCTGGACTCTGCATGGTGGGCGAGGGAGTGGTGGGTTTGTTTGGATTTGTCTTGTTGTTTTGACGACCGAAGCCACGCCTGTGGATGTGGTGTCAGGATTGTTTGCAGCTGGCGGGCCATGCAAGGACAGCGGTGAACGGATGCACGTGTTGGCATGGCTGCGGCAGCGACACTCACATGTTTGAGATCCAGGAAGCCATGATTACGGTGAAGCCCTGTCAAAGGGTCGGTTCACTCTTGTGGACGGCGTCAGAAGGCAGAAAGTGAGGCCGAAGGTGTTGCAGGAGCTATCGCAGACGGCCAGGAGTGACGTGGACGAGGAGCGGGTGGACGAGAGAGAACAGCGAGCAGGAGCAAGGCCGAGGATGCAGAGCGTGGTCGAGAGAAGGAAGACGTCTGGTCGTGTCAGCTTGTGCTCGCCGTCTCGACCGTCCCCCTGCTGCCGCCGCTGCCCCTTCTTGTTTCACATGCGAGACCCGCCGCGTTTGCACGCTTGTCAAACACATTTCATCTGTCCTCCGAAGCCATCCAAGCCCATTCACCCCATCACTTGCACGCGTCGCAAGACCTGTGCAACCACTCCATTACTCGCCAATTCTATCTGCTCCCGTGCATCAGTCTTGTCGCTTTGGCTCCAGCTCGTCAACACGACCGCGCCGCCCTAGCACACCAAAATGTCGGATCAAGTCCCCATCGACCCTAGCGATCAAGCACCTCCGGACCTTCCTGGTGCTGTCACCAGCGCTATCCTGCCAGTCGATGAGCCCGTTCCAGACGACTTGAGCGAAGATGAGGACGATATTATTCCTAGGAAGAGACCGCTCGGCGACCTGGTCAACACAAAGATCGACCAAGATGAAGCTTCCGACCTAGGAGACGACAATGACCTGTTCGGAGACGACCCAGATGAAGATCAAGAGGAAACCGCGCCGTATGCTCAGCCCCAATGCGCGACCACACGACTCTCAACTAACAACCTACAGTGAACCTTTGCGCACTCTCGAGGATGACGAACTGGACTCTGGCGACGATGAGGGTCGCCGTGATCGCATGCCATCGGAGCAATACGACCACGAGACACAGAATGTCGTTATCCAAGAGTCGAGCATGAGCAGACAGCCGCTTCCCGAGCCCACCGACGGCGAGGTATGGCAAGCAATGCCTCCACCTGCATCTCCTACTGACACAGCTAGATGTACCTGACTAAGATTCCCAAATTCTTGTCCGTCGATCCTCGAAGATGGCACCACACCACCTACCAACCGCCCACCACCGACCATCACTCGCACGAGGCTGCCCCTGGCTTCTCCGCCTACAGCACCGCTACCAGCACAGTCCACTGGAGACGCTCACCGTCGAATCCCAAGAACATCCAATCCAATGCACGTATTCTCCGCTGGTCCGATGGCAGCTTGACCCTACAACTCGCTTCGAACCCTACACAGCAGTACGAGATTGAGGGCAACCCTCTGGCTCCTCGCCAGCGCAACCCTTCCAAGCCTACCCCTACGAGTCAGAAGCCTGGCAGAAAGGATCACGGCAACGACTCATACACCTACCTGACTGTCCCAGATCCTTCTAACGGTCTTCTTCGTGTTACTCACAAAATTACCGCTGGCTTATCAATCCTACCCTCGGCTGCTACCACCGACGACGCACTCGAGAAACTACAAAACTCGCTCGCCGCTATTTCTCAAGGCAAGAACAAGAGCCAGGCAGGCGGTATCGAGTTTGTTAAGATCGACGAGGATCCTGAATTGGCCAAGAAGAAGGCAGAGGTTGCGGAAAGAGAGAAGGATCGTGCACGAAAGCGAAGAGAGGCTGCCGAAACTCGCGAGCGTGAGAGAAATGGTCGTGCAATGGGCCGTGCCGGTCTTGGCTCAAGAGGCTACGGAGGTGGTCTCACCGCTGGCATGCTCGAGGATGACGAGCTTGGTGGTGGTGGTCGTCAAAGAGCCAGAGCAAAGCCCAAGAGACGCCAACGCCGCAACAGCGAGTACAGCGAAGACGAAGACTTTGGTCGCAAAAAGAGCAACTTCGGCAACGACGAGTACGACGAAGAGGACGATTTCATTGCTGGTAGTGATGAAGAGGAAGCCGTTGATGACGACGAAGACGAAGATGACGGCATCGTTGAGGAGAGGCGGCCCAAAGAACGTGCATCCAAGCGTGCGAGCCCTGATGAGGACGACGAGGACGCAGAAGGCGAAGACGATGACATCCCTCAGGCTTCCAGAACAAAGAGAAGGAGGGTCATCGACGAGGACGACGATGACGAGTAATCTTGACTACAAAAGTATACACCATCTATCTTCTCCGCTTGGAACATAGGCGATACTCAGTCCACCTCCTCAAGAGCTTCCACTGTTCCCTCTGTATATTTCCCATCAATTTACTAACGGCTCACCTTGCCGCGAGGTAACTTGGGATAGGTCGTCTTCAATTTCAAGGATTGAGTTCAGATCCCCACACTAGTGATCGGCAGAGCCGGCAGCGGGAAGTAAAGCTCTGACCTCGAATGACGTTTACAAAGATAAAGATCAAGCATTCAGCCGTTCACGTCGACCCTCTCGGTGTTGGCTTTCTTGTTGGTCTTCACAGAACACACACACTATCATACCACTATACCAACTCTCTGAAGCCTTGAATTCGACCTATCTCTTTCCACAATGTCGGCCCAAGCACAAGGATTCTATACCGCACCATCAGACAAAGACACACCACAGCAAGACCGCGGTCTGTTCAACCACGAAAGTCAGAAGCATCAATGCCACCACTATGCTCGCATGTACGGCGGCCAGGCTGTGAACGCAATGATGTGGGGATTCGGCGCAACATTGGGTGCTGACGCTGCAAATGCTGCGGTGGGAGAGATGAGAGTATGTCCAATGTGAGATTTCGGATAGTCGTGCAATGCTGACTGTATAACCAGCAATGGTGGAGACATTGAGCAACGAGTTTTACACCTGCTCTGTAATGAAATAATCTCACGAAAGACATCACTCCAGGCTTGCAGACAAATGGAGATGATCGAATGGACTATGTCTAGATTTGCTGTAGACTTCAACTACCTAATCAACACATCTGTTACGGTATCAAACAAGCTTCACACCTTCGATGGTTTGTGATTTTGAACTACTTTGGTCGCGGCATGACGCGACACTGACTAGTATCTAACATCCGTTGAGCTGATGGTCAGTGGCTTTCACGTGCGCGAAATGAGAAGTGGTAGGCACGCGATATGACACGGTAGCCTGAGGCCGAATGCTCTTTCCCAATACAGCAACGCAAGATTCGGCTGCCTGGCTGCCTGCCAGGCTTCCAGCTCGCATTTTGGGAACCTGATTGCCTCCTCGTCCAATACGCATCCTCTACAGCAAATACTCCTTTTGTAATATCGTCCACCGTCTCCTGTCCGAATAATTGCCCGGCTGAAGCCTCACTACATCACGATGCCTCCAAAACGTACCAAGAAAGCCCCAGCAGTCCCAAAGACACAAGGCAAACTCAGCTTCCAGCGCATTCAGAAGCCTCAGACCACCGTCTCGCCTCTCGTTCAGATCCTTTCTCAGTACGAACTCATGCTCATGGTTACCGATCAACTTTCTTCAGCCGACATCATCCACCTCACCGCTACATGCAAGGAGATCAAAATGTACCTCACCGACGACAAGACCATCTACAACAGTATCGTAGAAAATGCCAATTGCGATGGCAAGGGCATCGAGGCCAGAGCAAAGTGCTTCGGACACTGGAAGGGCGATGTCACAAAGGCTACGGCTCAGTGTGGAGGCTCGGACTGTAAGCCATATGATGGCTGCGCCGCCATGGTCTGCAATGTGAGTGCCTCTGGTCCTTCTCAACATCTTCATTGCTCATACTCAGCAGGAGTGTCGCTTCCACATCGCGTACATGAACAATTTGGCTTGCTGCCGAAACGATCCCGCTCATTGGCAAAGTCACGAGGTCGACTTTGCAGAAGACATCGACAGTATGCGTCGTTGTACCTGCTGTGATTGTACGTGTGATCGTACGCATGAACCCGCTTGCAAACAGATGAGCTTGTACTGACTTTACCTCCGACCCAGGTCCAGAATTTCACTCTGGCAACTTTCCCCTCGAAACCATTCGAGCTGCTCATTTGGCTGGTGAGACTCGTGAGCGCCGCTTCTGTTCCGAATGCAAGCCACACCTGTGTGAAGAGGAGGGTCCAGTTCTAGAATACATCTTCGACATTATCTTCGATCGTGACGACGAAGATTGGTGCTCCTGTACCTTCGGCGAAAGGTTCCTCGATGACAGCTGGCTCTGCATTCCATGCTTCATCAAGGAAGAGGCTGAAGCTTACAGGCGTCCTTTGAAGAAAAAGATCTTCAAGTGGGAGACAAATGCAGATGGATCGCGCAAGTTCGTTGGAACCGAGGTTTGTCTCTTGTGGCCATCGCTCATAACAGTGCTGACTATCATCACTAGAAGCATCTTTGCGATTGCGGCCGTGTCGCTGACATCGAATACCTGGTCGAATGCAGATGGTGTGACGAGTACATGCTCACTCCCAAGGTCCATAACACGCTACTCGACTTCTGAGCTCAAGCTTTGCTACACGAGCATGATGTGTGAGGATCACAGAATAGAATTCAATCGTGGAGATGACACACGAGTATAGATTACATTGTCTAGAAGATCGGGTGAATTGCTCAAGCATGGCTTACGTTGCCTGAGGGAGCAGGAAGATCGCTCAAGAGCATAACTTATAGCTTGGCATAGATTCACATGTATACTACTCCTCGTCCAAGAGAACGCCTGCACGATCACAAAGTAGTCAGAACGAATCAAGGTGAAAAATGACCATATTGCATGGCTGAGCTTCCGACCCTGACATGTTTTTCGTTCCGTTCTTCGGTGCCCACGTTCGAGTACATGTTTCGATATAACAGCATCAAGTCGTCACGAAAGCAGCATGAACAGTGCGAGAGTCTTGAGTCAAGGATATTCCAGTCTCTCAACAACCTTCGTGTCTCGAACTCATCCAAAGTTCTCACCGAGGTGTACTTCCAAATCTGCAGGACAGCAGCGCAGGGAGTAACATAAGCCTTGAAGCGAGTAAGAATGTGTGGCCGACTTGATCATCCTAGTTATCGAGGAGAGGCTGCTACTGATAAGCCAGAGGGAACTCCTGTTTGCCAACAGCTGCGTACATACCATGCAGTCAAGCAAGACATATTTCAAACGCGAGCTGGATGGGAATGAAAGGCGAACTCACGGTCTAGCATTTGAAAGAGTCAATGTGACTCCAGGTATGAGGACGGGATGGCTAAGTGGGCATGGAGGATAAAACAGCAAAAGAGAAGAAATAAACAAGTTTGAGGCCTCGAAAAGGAAAATGGACCACTGTAACACCAAAGAAGAAAGGAAAACCTCCTCCCATTGCCTTTTCCCTTTTGTCTTTTTTGAAGTCTTGTCAAGCATCCAACATTACGGTCAACCGGCACTACCGATCTTAGCACCGCCTTCATCTGCGGCTGCCTCTGCCGTTCGTCTCGCGACTCCTTTCCGTCTCTCCGTCTCTCCGGCTCCTTGCAAGGGCTCTTCTTCATCCTGTGCTTCCTCGTCCTCGTCATCCTCGTCTTCTTCATCCATCAATTCCACATCATCGTCCTCTCTCGATCGACCAGCGGTCCCCCGTTCCCAGATGGCGACCTCGTCCAGCTCGTTCAAGTCAACGGGCTTTTCGCGCAGCCACTTCATCCTGGGACCGCTCTTTGCAAACTCGCTGACGCGGAAGCCGTAGATGCGGGGTTCGTAGATGTTGGACTTGCCCAGACCGGGGGCCATGTTTTCTGCTGCGAAGCCGTTGATGGTGGTGGGTTGCGTGGGCAGAGGCGAGGGTTGTGCGGCGACTGGCGGGGCAGAGGCGAAGGTGTCCGAGACGTTTGTGAGGCTGCTGCGGCGTTTGCGGTGGGTGGTGGTGGTTGTCGAGGGGAAGTCGGCGAGCTGTTCGGGGGTGGGTCCAAAGGCAATGTTGGTGCCGCCGACGCGCAATTCGGGGAAAGTCATGAAGAAGAGGCAGCCAAAGGTTGTGCCGAAGAAGGCGCCGTCGACGGATTGGAAGCGACTGTTGGGCGGTGTGTAGACATCAAGACAGCTGGGGCAGAAGAGCTTGACGGTTTCGTGGCCGGGAATGTCGCTGCAGCCGACGGGCAGGACTTTTGCTTGACCGCAGTAGACGCGTGGGCAGGCACCAAAGTGGCCGGCTTCGTATTTCTCGGCCATCTGCTGGATGCCCTGGCGCGAGGTGATGTAGCGTTGGTGGATCAGGCCGTACAGCATCTCGGCGCTGCTCTCCATGACGGACAGATCCGAAGCCATGCGCATGTGTCGTTGCTCCTGGCGTCTGTAGGCGGCCGCGTCCCTCATGTCCTCGTCGTCGTCGTGCAGATCTTCGTCTTCGTCGTCTTCATCTTCGTCGCTGTAGTCGTCCTCGGGCTCGACGTCCAGAATCATCTCCAGAGCTTCCTTGTACATGGGCACCTGGCTCTGCAGACCGGTCAGGTTGAAGTCATCCTCGACAAAGTCCTCCGAGACCTCAGCAAAGTACTCGTGGCCGACGAGACTGCAGAAGGCAGTGATCCACGACTCGGCAACTTGGCTGCTGGACGACATGTCGCTCTCTTCGTCCGGGCCAACATGGCCTGCGTACGCGCGGGAATCCACGGCTGCGGTTGGTGCGAGTGAGAGTTGGGAGAAGCTGTGTTGGCGATCGGTGTGCGCGGGCAGGGCTGGCCTCGAAGTGCTGGCGCAAGTGACAGCGCAGGTGCAATCGAGGCTTGTGATCAAATGATGCTGTGCGCTTCAACGGAAGGTGCGATCTCAGCGAAGGTCCAAGGTGCGCAACACGATGTTGGAGGGGTCAAAGACTATCGGGCTGCAAGACTTTGTCTTGTTGCTGTCGAGTTGCCGATCAGTGACGGAACATGGACTTGTCAAAGCTGAATGGTCACGGTGGGGCCGTCTTGGAAGCACTGTTCGTTGCTTCCTCTCTTCTCCCGGGAGTCTTTGTTGATCCAGCTGTTTTGCTATCAGAGTGGCATGGTTTCCGAACAGAGGGCTTGCCAAGCCCTAGTGACTTGATGCCGCGCAGCAGAGCCGCATCACGTGGCCTTGATTGGGTCATACTAGGTACTCATCTAAGGCTATCGTCAACCACCTCTGAACATACTCACAAGAGCACTCTGTTCCCTAGAACAAATCCCGTAGGATCTTACTCAGCTCATCCTCACCGCCGAATCCTCTTTCGTCCGTATGATTCACCCCTGTCCCAAACCCACCCCCGAATCCATTCGTGTAGCCTCCAGCTGCCTCGAACAGATTCGTCAGGTCTTGCACCATTCCGTCAGGCGAGTTTGACGATACACTACCCATGTTATTCCATCCCCCGGGGTTCAAGAACGCTCCCTCATCAACCTTGTGTCCTGCAAGTCCAGCCATAGCGACTGCCGCTGAATGGTTTGGGTCGCTCTGTGCGTTACTTGTCATCAATCCAAGCTTAGGCCCTACCTCTTTAAGCAGCCGGATCGTTTTCCATAACCTCTTACTGACCCAGCTACCTTTTGATATCCCACGCACAAGATCTAGCGCCATGTAGAACTCCTCACGTACCTGCCCTGCATATGTCTCGGGCATGTGTGATACTGCAAGGAACAAGACCGCCAAAGCTGTTGTGAGGAAGGCATTGAACAAGCTCTGCGACGCTCGGTACATTCTGCTTGTTCGGTTGATATGCGTCAAGATACGGATCGTGTCTTTGGCAATGTCCACCACCGTCTGTGCTTGTATGGGGTTGCTCACAATCGACGCTGTCGAGTGCAGCACCGGCCGATGGATCATGACGCGCATGACATTTGCACGCAGGTAGAGAATGATGGGGAGGCGTTGTTGTCCAACAGACATGTCTCCATCTGCTTGGCTCCAGCTTTCCCGATCCCAGTGCAGCTGTGCAGGGAGGTTTCTGTGCCAGTTGACGATTTGGAAGTCGAGATAACTCACATCCTCCTTACTGACCTGTTTTCTGCTCGAGTCTGAATATATCAGGTGCCGTACTTTGCTTGCAATAGCAAAGTGTTCGATCATGGCAGTCAAGTAGAGTGATTTCTCGCCCTGCAAAGCCATTTAGCTTGGTCAAAGGACGTCAAATGTGTAACAACTTACTGGCTTTGGTAGATTTGGGTCAATGTCAGAGTCTTGCAGAGCAAAAGGCATTCCAGTGCCAAAGCTCCACCTCCTGTCAAGACAATAGACGGACCAGAACGTAAGCATGGCCCCTGTACGTTGCTCTTCGTCCATGCGGTCGTATGTCTCTCTGCGATGCAAACCCAATTCGATACAGAGGCGAGCAGTCAAGCCTATGATGCGCCACGAGACTCCTTCGTTGTCGCAGTGGAATTGATATGTAGCCTAATCACAGTCAGAGGCTTACACTAAGAAGATAGGAAGCAGTCAGCATGGTCATACCGTGAGTGCAAGCAGCTGCACGCTTCTGAAGCCCGTCTCACCCAGCAAGAGAGCATCGATTGAAGGTTGCAAATAAGTGTACATTGCCCGACCGAGCTCGCTTCTGCCCGAGCCCTCAACAACCATAGCAGTAGCCAATACGATTTTGAGTATGTTGGTCTCCTCATCGTCTATAGAGTCGGCTCCGGGGAGAGAGGCCATCATAAGGCCGGTCCTCTGGGCGGACTCCATGAAGGCAAAAAGCTTGTCCACGTAGGCGAGAAGATCGGGAATGGAGAGCAGTGGATACATGACGTGCATATCATCTTGGTAGACACGAATCAGCCGAATAGCCTCGTCACGGCCGACGTGCCAGATAGGATCTTTGGTGGGATGCAACGAAACCACCTGTGGAGGCGAGTCTTCACGCAGAGCTTGGTCGTCGGCAGCACTAGGGGCTATGCCCATGTTCTCGAGATGATTCTTGGCGACACCCAGCGCAAACTCCAAGCTCGTAGGGCCTCTGAAGGCGGGTCTTGCAGATGCACTCTTTCTCCTTGAGAGTTCGTGGGAAGCAACATGATCGTGTGAGACAAGCGACTGATGCTGCAGAAAAGGATCGATAGGTGGTTGTTGGTTGGCGAGGTCGGCGCGCAACGAGTTCATGCTAGCAAACAGAGCATTTACTTGGTCCTGGAGCGAGGAGATCTGGTTGGACATTGCGCGGAATTCGTCCGTATCCTTGAAGCTGGAGGTGCAGCAGTTGGGAGCGTAGACGCAGTCGAGAGCGAGATTGCCGCATCGCTGGCATGGGGTTTGGCCATTGCACTTGATCTTTCGTCGTTTGCATTCGTTGCTTGGAGGGGTCAATTGAATGCTTGTGTCTGTGGGCGGGGTGTGTGGAGCGGATGTACCATGCTATCGAGATGTAGCGATTGCGCTTCTGCTTCTGTTGCTGGTGGGGATCGTCGCTCTTCCGCTTGCCAGAGTTGCTGCCCCCGCCATCGTGGGCTGATGCCGGCGACTCGTCGTCGAGAGCCATTGACGAGGTGTGTCGAGAGATGGTTTTGTCCTTGTCGCAAGCCAGCAGCTCATGGGCACATGGCCGAGGGCGCGTCAGCTCTGCGGTCAGCAATCCGCGCCGAGCATCAATCACTTGCGGGGAAAGGGACCCGCTCGTTTTCGCTGCACCTTCCCACCGGTATGCACGCCCACTGCCGACCAATCCAACTTTGGAGCCCGCCACAAGCCTCGATCGTCAGTCTCCATCTCTCACCCTTGACAAAAACTCGAGTCTTTGACGAACCCTTGTTGATCTGCTTGCCATGATTCGTGCTGCATCTGGAGTTTTGGCGTTCTTACATTCCTCAACTTTTCGTCAGCATAGACGTGCGGTCGGCGATTAGCGCGCGTGCGGCACACTCAAGATCCGATGCTGCTATGCCTGCTTGAGACTAGGCTGACGTCTAAACCCTGTGTCCTCTTTCCTAAATCCGCCAATTCTGCTGCCAAACGTGCACATGAATCGTCTTGCTTGCTGCGTTTTGCTTCACACACCAGCCTGGGCGACCAATTTAGTCGACCGGTGCTTGTGCTAGCTACGATCGATCCTCCCGTCAACTCAGTATTGCTAATCATCGTCTGCTCGTGCGTCTGGCTGTGCAGTGCTGCGCTGTGCTCGACTTGAGCCTCATGTCTCAACTTCCTCAGCTCAAATGACGCCCGTCATCTTGCATCTGTTTTAATTTCTTCAAGCCTGATCTGGCATGTACCTTGTCCGCAAGACCATTCCCCCACCTGCAATTTATCTGCCCGGCCCGTACCATGCTTTGGCCTGCAAGAGGCTGATATGACCTCACAACGCTTTACCTTTGTCAATGTCTCTGCTCCTCAAGATGCAAGCTCCGAGGGAAACAAAAAACGTATCCGTTCTGCCGCTGCAGCATCCGGTTGGGCTCAGGGTGTTCGACCCAAGCTCCATCCTCACAAGCCCCCCAACACCTCGGAAAACCCTCGATATTCCTATCCTGTTGACCTGAAGGGCTTGTTCGAACCATCAGAGGAATCTGAATCTTCACACGGCCCTGCTTCGATCGACGGACGGAAACCTCTTACCACCTCGGAAACGGAACCTGCTTCAAGTCACTTCTCAGATCGCAAGTTCATCTGGGAGACGACCTCGGCCAGGAAATCCTCTACCGCCAAATCCGGCGCAACAGAGCTAGATGGCCAATTACGATCCAACATTAAGAGGAAGAGGACTCCTCGTAGCAGTCAGACTTCAAGTTCTCGTAGACGAGCACCTGTAACCTCGTCTTCGGCTTCAACCTCATCGCAATCACTTGTCGCAAGCCCTGCCACGGCTGTTTCAACATGGATCTCGTCCATACAAACACCTGACGATAGTCAGATTACAACAAACTCGACACTTCCGACCCCTCACGACTTGGGCAGCGGCATTCGTGATGCCTTCAACTGCTATCCCGTGCACAGCCAGCTTTGGTACGATAGGATATTACATCACAGTAAGAAGTAGCAATCTCCTATGCCGGACCTGTCTGGTCACTGACACAGTACTTTAGTGATGACCGTATTTGCTCCACGCGGCTGGGACTCTTTGCATATCAGTAAGAAAGAAGGACTTAAATGGGAACGATTCATGACCCAACACGCCCTCGCAGATCCTGCTCTGTTCAATGTTCGACTACTTTTCGCATCCGGCGATCTGATAAACCTCAAGGTCTTACCGCCCGAAACAGCACTCTGGTTAAGAGACCAGGCAATCAGGTCCATCAATGAGGCTCTCGACGACCCTGTTCGTGCTATCAGCGATCCTGTCATTCTGGCCGTTGGTCGTATCGCCCTCCACGAATCAATGTATGGCGACAGGGGAGCTGCCAATCTGATACATCGCCCCGCCCAACATCGTATGATAACGATGAGAGGCGGCATGAGTGCTCTGGAATTTCCCGAGCTTGTCAAAAGATTGATGAGGTGGGCTGATAGGGTCATGTCATTACAGTCTGACACACCCCGGTTTTTACCCGATGATGATCGGTCTTTCTCGGTCGACCAGAGTGTTGAGGTTCTGGAGAAGTGGGTGCCGCAGGAAGGTCTCTCGCTACGAACGAAAGTGAGAACATAGGCGAATGACGAGGCTCATCGTACTGTGCATCTTACCATGTCCTGTTTTCAAGCGTAAACGACCTGTATATGCATACCAAAAGTTCTGCCTTTACCAATGCCGCGTATTCGTCTTCGACAACTCACATGGTCATCCTTGTCGTGCGCTAAATCATGTCACTCACACTCCGCTCTCACGACAACATAGAGTGAGATGATGGAAGCGATCTGCTGGAGGCATCTCTGGTTCGTAGGCCAACCGATGACACCGGAAGCCCTGAGTCTTGAGAGGGGAGTTGCCGAAGAGAGAGGCCTATGTTTCCAAGCCGAGCTCGGATCTCTGCCATCGTCCTGCCCAGTGTGATGCTCTTGCTCGTTACGTGGAGACATGATCAACGGTGATATAGCAGGCTGGCCGGCAGACCTGAGTTATGGTGGTGTTTTGAATAGTTCACCAAAGATTCAGGAATCAAACAGTGCTGAATAACAGTGCGGAGTGTCGCGATATTGAGTGCAGGGTATATTCACAACAGATGGATATGTATATTGTTATTCAAGGGTCATCGGTGGATGAAAGACAAGCTCAAGATAAGCAGTCTGTAGGCCTCAGACTACCCTTCGGCGGTGCAATCACCCTATACTTACTCTCGCCGAAAACAGGTACGCAACCCATCCCTGGGACGGCACTTGATCATCAACATTCTGAGCCGCAAAAACATTGTATTCGCAGTCCAGCTTGTGCTAACAGTAGTGCATCAGAAGCAAAAGTGATGTCGCAGCCGTGAATCGAACACGGGGCTCGTGCATGGCAAGCACGAATTTTACCACTAAACCACTGCGACTGATTTATAAACAGCGCTTCGTTCATGTTGATTATAACACTTATGTTTCTGCTAATAAGACACGTTGGACAAGCCACGACCTATCCTTAGCGACAACCTGTTCCCGCCGAGACAATCACTTCTTGCTAATCATCACAATCATCGTCGTACCGCTTTTACATCTGCTCTCTTGGTGATTGCTCGATCATACGCAGAAGCTGTGCCTCTTGATGGAGCCTCTGCATCTCCCAAACCTTGAGGAAAGGACACTCGCGAGATTTGACGAACTCGCAAAACAGGAGAAGATCTTCTATGAGGAAGCTGTCTCGGAGTTGATCACAGTCGATGGATTCGACGTGAGTCAGTTGTTTCATCCTCCCATCAGTGTTGCTTCAACGCAAGTCCCAAAACACATTGTCTATGCAACCCTCGAGTATCCATGCACAAGGGGAACATGGGCGAATACAAACACAGAGTATCAACCAAATCGCTGACCAATCACTGCCAGTTTCAATTCATCATCGCCGGTACACTCAACAAGAAACCAATCCTTGCTGCCAACGCACCCAGTAGATCAAAGGCCGGTGGTCCATTTGTCAATCCGAATCCAGAGGAGATTGTCACAGACCTGGGTGCCAACCATCGTCTGTTGGTCAACAAGTATGGTATTTTCAGGCCCATGACTGTGATACCGACGAAACACTATGCTCTTCAGACCGATGATCTTGATCTTTCGGATGTCAATGCGGCATGGTCGGTCTTGAAGGCATTCCAGTCTCCGTCGCTCTTCATCTACAATTGTGGCATCAATGCTGGTTCATCCCAGGGTCACAAGCACACCCAAGTTTTTCCTCTACCAACTCATCAACTGTGGCCTTCAAAGGCTACTTCTCATGACGGTCTGACGTCATCTTTGTCTCTCTCACCTTCGAATCGTTTGCTAACTTACCCAGACATCTCTACTGGTATAGAGCATGTGCCTTTCAAGCACTTTGTCATACGTCTTCCAAGCGACGCTGATGCGAATACCGTATTCAACTCATACCTCCGCCTTCTCGACGCATCTCGCGAAGTGCTAGCAAAGTCAGGCGAAGGCAGCAGAGACTACAATGTAGCCATGACTGCAGAATGGATCGCAGTCATACCTCGTCGAACCAGCGAGGGACCTTACGGGGCTAATGCCGCTGGGATGTTGGGCATCATATACCTGCCTGACCAGCAAGAGCGAGACAAGTGGTCTCAGCTCGGCTACACGAAACAACTCGTAGCCTTTGGTATACCAGTTGACGCATGACGATACTACACCGCTCATCCTTGAAGTCTGATATGACTCTCATTCCGACTCTTACTACAATACACTTCTATAGCTGCCACCTCTGGGAAATCACCAAGACAATCTATATGCCATCACTAACCGTCACCTCTTGTACCTAAACAAATCACAACCTCCAGTCACACAAGTATACCAAACGACCCCAACGCCATTGCAATTGACTCTCGACGGCTCTCCACACAAACATGTTGGATTTTCCCCATCGTAACCCACCAAGTCTGCAAAGCAAGAAAAGCTCCCTTTGTGCCTGGTCACACACCGATAATAAGGCCTCCCATTGTGTGTGAGCTGGAGTCTTGTCCTGTTGCCGCACTTGTTGCATTCTGGATTTTCAAACTCCGGGTCGTGCCTGCTGTTTTGGGCATACAGATAGCCCCAGATGTAGAGTTGGCGTTGGGTGGACAAGGCTGAGGCTGCGGGTACGGCGGTAGATGGGGGGATAGGGGATCGTTGGGCTGAGTGGCTGTCGCCTGTATTGGGACACTCTCTGGTTGGAGATGCATTGCGGCTATCTACTCTGGTAACAGGAGTGCCTTTTTTGAGTTCGTGCCTGAAAGAATGCATTGGAGAGAAGCGATATTGGTAGTTTTGTGTGACAGAGGCAGTAAAATGTTGGCAATTTTTTATATCTTGATGTCTCTTACCAAGTTGCTCCTCATGCCGCATATCATCGATGCCGCATATCATTGATTACCAATGCCCATCAATGGTCTTGGAATCACGTCTGAGACCTTGAGAGAGTTTTCTGAAAGTAATTTCGGGTCGCAACAAACTTCGCGGGGACACTTTCTCACCTGAGTTCGAGCGTGATATGATATTCAGCCAGACTTCACATGAAAAGCTTTGGTCAGTGTTCCGCTCAAGCCAATCAAGAGCTGCGGGCACAGAGGTCCATTGGAGTGAATGAATTAGGTCTTGGCACGCATGTGAAAGGCTTGGTTGATCAGTGGGAATGAATTGACAATTTTCCCCTCCTAGCTCCACTCGAGAAGAAGTGGCGTGCTGATGATGCCAGACCCTTACGAATGCTTCTGCACATGAGCCTGATTTTTGAACATGAAGCCAGAGGTTCTCTTGTCGGCGCCGGTGCGCTTGCTGATCTTGCCGTCGTTGGCAAAGACCAATACCAGAAGACCTGCACCACCTAATACCATGTGTACCAATGCGCCAGCGACTAAGATTCCAGAGAGCTGCGCAGACGTGCCGGAAACGTACATCAGGACACCGGTTGCGAGGTGGTAGAGCATGGTCGTGATGGTGGTGGCCGAGGAGTCTCACGTGGGCGTTAGCATCGGGAACGGCAAGCGAAGCAGCCAGGATCTGATAGCATACAAGGAGAAGAAGCAGTAGCGGAAGCAATGGGTACGTTGTCGGCGTCGTCCCAGAGACGGTGCAGCTCGCCAGAGAAGAGCAGGGCGAGGAAGGAGCACAGCAGTAGAGCGAAGCCCAGTTCGCGCGCAACCAGATTCTCGAATGCCGAAACAGTCTTGGGTTCGGACGAGGCCATCCAGGCGGCCATGCTAGGACTCACGAGGAGCGGTGCGGCTTCAAGGGCGAGCAGGGCAGCTGTTGCCTGGTTGTAGATGCGGAAGTTCTGTAACATAGTCAGTCTACTGCAACGGCCAATTCGGGACGATTGAGCTGGCACCCACGTCCATGGCTGGCGTCGTTTGTGTAGGTATGTGTTTCGCTATGGTGACTGTGATCGGTAGGTGAGAGAAGACAGGTCGAGCTCGAGACAAGCAGTTCATGCGTCCATGTCTCCTTCCCTGATTTACCGGACTTGCTTGCGGAAGCTCGCAAGTATGACGCACGCAACTGCCTTCTCTATCCACCGAGACCACCACCTCCAGTCACTTCGACTATCGTGTCTTGCAGCATGGTGGCACGGTGCGAGAGCAGGCAGGTGAACCATCACGTATATAGCACAGAGCTTCTGTACACATTCCCTGGCTTGGTCTCCTGAAGCTTTATCTGTGTTCTGTCCGCTGGAGGCTGAAACAACCACTCGCCGAACTGTTCAATACGTCAATTCGTCATTCTGCGGGGAAACAGTCCCACGTTTCGAGTCAGGATTTTAGCAACATCAACCGAACACGATTATGCTCAGAACGCAACGCCTATCCAATCTTGAGAACATTCCTTCAAAGATCCTCACGGTGGCCGTCGGCGCTTCATTTTATCCAATTGCCTTGCAGTTTGTAGTGTGCACGCTAACACGATCCACCCTCAGCCCCTTCGTTCAGAGCGCGACTTTCTCTTGACGCAGATCAACACGTGTGTCAATATATTGAACAGAGACTTTCAAGCCGCAAGTGGTAGACATCGGTGCAGAGTCTAGGGATCGTTGGAAGGCCGTCGGCGCTTTGTGGACATTGCTCAGACTCTCTTGTCATGATCACTTCTTCCGCTCTCTCTTCGAGCATGCCCAGGTAAGGCGCGTCTCGCCCACTCGATGGGTAGTAGGGTCAGAAGTCTATCGGTCCAGATGCCGCCATAGGTGACTTGACTTCGTAGAGCCCTTGAGCCATCCGGGGGCTGATCCAAGCCTGAGGCAGGCAGTCTCTGCGCACTATGGGTCGACACTACTGAGTAGGGTCATGCAATGAGAGCCTCAACGATGGCTGTGCAGTGCCGGCTCGGCTTTCGTGTGTTTGGATAGCCCCATGGAGATGCAGACGGCCGTTGCATTCCGTCAAGTGGTCGAAGGGCCAGAGACCCGAGTGCACACAGTCCAGGTACAGCAGGACATTGACTCCGTCCGCGGAGTTCCCTGAGGCTCTGTCACCAGCCAATGCTTTGTGTCGGACATGGCCGAGAGGTTATTTGACCGTTGCAGCGCCAATCTGACTCGGAGGAGGTCTCATGATTCTCATCAGACAGGCTCTCGAGATCATCAGTCTAAAACTCATGTTGACGACATAATTATCTGATGTCGACATTGCGTTTGAGTTCCATTGATTGGTAGAGGACCCCTGTTTTCACTTTGCAAAGCTCGAGATTGTGTTTTCACATTCCAAAATCATCGATAAGGTTATAAAGGCCCGAAATCTGCATGACAATATGCTCGGAGCCTCAAACTCTACTCGGGACCGAGAGCCCTGGGAGGCTGGGAGCAACAAGCGGAGGTCACTGTGAGGGCTTGCAGTCTGGATACAAGTTCATACAACCAAGTTTGTCGGCGTCGACGAACTAGCATGAGGCGCGCAGGAAGAGACAACAACCCTTGAGGCGAAGTCATACATAAAGTTTGGCCGGCCACGAAACAAGTGCCAGCCAACCAAAAGATCGGACAGGGACTCCCGATACGGCTTGCTGAAGGGCGCAACAACGAGGAGATGATGTGGAGATACTGTATGAAATCCAGGGCGGGTCCTTTCGAGGTGCCTTGGCTCACGGCGCCATTGACCAACCGACCAGATCCGAGGAGCTACAGAGGCGTCAGCGTCGCGGAAGACATGGCTAGTGCACACCTTCTCCAGCCTGCAAGACAAAGTTACACATGTAGTATGGTGTCAGTAGCATCCCCTACCGGTGCTCGCCTTTCCAGAGGCTGCGTTGCCCGAAGAGGGTTACATAGAAGCATGGCTGGGCAGAAGGATTTTAGCGGAAAGGCATCTCCACATGAGCCCTTGGAATTCTGGCTGCGGTAGGCGTGAAAGAGCGGACCTGCATGCAAAAAGCCCTCAACGCCGCAAGAGCGGTCGCCGGGGAGGTGGGCTGTGGTGCGGCAGTCAGTGAAGGATCGAGGTACCGACATCAGGATCAGGATCAGCTTTCAGGAATTGAAACGATAGCGGGTGATGGATCATCAGCCGCAGATTGTCCTCGATTTATCAGGTGGTATATGGAATGTCATCGCCTCTTGGAGATTGGGATCTTGGAAACTGTCCTATCGCCTGAGCCGCGAGAACGTGTTCGTTGACGGTCATGCTGGCGCAAGTGATGTTGCAACAGCCCCATTGTTTTTCTCCTTGGCTTGAACCAGGGTCCTGGCGGGGTCATTTGCGGCCAATCCGGATCATAGTCCGTACTGATGCTTTCTTCCCACGTCGACGGCAAGATTTTACGGATTGTGCATACGAAAAAGCCCCTCCAGCCAGGATCCCTGCAGAGACGCGGACAGATGACGTGCCTCGTGTTACGAATCATGTACAGAGAGGTGGACCTCAGCTGAGAGCCTGAAGCGCTGGGGTCTGCAGGGCAGTCGCCCAAGTACCGAACACAGGTACATCATACATGTACGCGTTACGAGATCGTTCCGCAGGACACACAATTGCTGTCCAGCAAGTGTGGAAAGCCTGGAAACCCGTACCTCCCACAGATCCTGCTGTTGAGGCTCCTGGTTGAACCCTGTGGTTCCAGGGAAATTCCCAATGGTCTCGATGCGTCCAAGAACCAGACATCTCTGAGTATTCGTATGTACCCGGATAAATCCTGAGGTGTACCAATGTATTTCTACGTGCGTAAGAAATGAAACTCTTGACGAAGCTGCCGGACAAGAGCCCCGTTGACTGAACGTGCGTCGGGGTGGAACGTTTTTTCGCTTGCAATTGCTGTGTCCGGGTCGCTCGACGCTCTGATGGACCACTGCATGAATTCATATTACACATCCTTCACGTCACACAGGTCATCGCTGCACGATTGTCAGCATCCACGGACTTGCTGACTCCGACACAGCCAATCTGGCATAGGGGGAAGCAGATGGACCATAGCGGACTTGTTGTTGTCAGCAACGCCGAGCCGTTATTAGATATGTCTAGAGTAGGAAGTGAATGGAGAATGGAGAAAGGAAGAGTGCTTGAAGTGATCTTTTGACCATATGGTTTCAATAGCTAGTTCTAGTACATCGTACTGTGCCTGGAATGGCCAATCCTCCATTTCCTTCTGTCGACAGTCACGAAACCAAGTGTGAAGATCACTTGAGACGACTGCATTATACATCATGTATCATGAGTGCCATACTCTTTCGAAATGAGAGAGCCAGAAACCTCCAACGCCAGTGTAATGCTTTTAGTGATACATGGGACCAAGCATGCAAACCGACCTGGTTTGCTCATGCGGTCAACCTTGTGAAAATGAGTCCTCCTCAGCCGGCATTAGGGGAAACAAAAGGCAGAATCGAAACTGGGTATATGTGCTTGCAAAAAAAAAAAAAGACCAGGAGACAAAACAGTAAGAGGAGCCGTGTCGGCATTGAGAATTCGTTGACCATCGTGACTGTGAACGAGAAAGGGAATGTTTAACAAGAGCCTTCATCAGACATGCGGCGATGATCACTTGCTGCCAATGCAAGCGTGTCAAGGCCATTGGACAGACCAGGCGATGGGTAGCTGTAATGGAGGTCGGGGTCTTGGATCAAACTGGCTTGAGCAGGGAGGTAGTCAAGAGAGCTTGTGTAGTTGGAGCGGTGGTAGAGCGGAGGCCTTGTGGTGAACTCAGACAAGATTGGTTGAGGAAGAGGCTGAATGGGGTCTGGGTTGATGTAGTAAGGGCTAGTCGACATGATGGGTTGTTGAGCGGATTGGAACTGGAGTTGATGTTGAGGAAGTTGATGCTGCTGCGACTGGTGGTCTTCCAGCTGGGCTACGGCGGCAGCTTCCAAGGGACCGCTGACAGACTTGCGAGGTACAGGCTTGGTGGACTTCTTGACGCGGCCATCTGTCGAAGACTTTGAAGGGCCACGCACGTTTTGGTGGGTGCGACGATGTTGCTCCATGTTGTCCTTGCGGGTGAAGGCCTTGTTGCACTCCGGGCAGAAGGCGTCCTTCTTGCCAGTGTGCTTCTTGGCATGGCGGGCGGCGTGTCCAGAGGTGGTGAAGAAGTCGCTGCAGTTGTAGACTTTGGCCAGCGGGCAGGGGTACTGGTTCTTCTTGGTCGAGGTCTTGTTGGCAGCAGGGGCGGCGCGGGAAGACTCGGAGACGGGAGAGTTGGAGTTGCGGTAGGATAGTGCGGCGGGTTGCGACATGACGGGCGTTGCCGATGCGACCTGGGCGGCGGACATGGGGTAAGGCGCGACGGGCTGGGCGTCCGGGACCGGGGGGTAGACTGAAGGCGTCGAGTCGTCCATTTTGGCGAACGAAGCGGGTCCGATGAAGTAGTGAGAGTGGGCCGACTTGTCGTGGTGGTGCAGATGGTCGAAGGATGATGTTGGGGGTGGTGTGAGAGGTGAAAGTGGAAGTCGGCGAGAGTCCGACGACTCGCTTCGCACCAATCGGGGAGTTTGTGGGGAAACGCTCGAAGCCAAACTTGGCGAGGGCGACGGCCGGTAGTAGACGCTCAGCGGCGCCAGACGGGGCAGCACGACAGCAGTGTGCGAGTCGTCGTTGAGCAATGATACCTTCCTTCCGATGCTGTTTCTACCGTCCATCATGAGGAATACAGTCTTGGGCCAGTCTGCGGATACGAGACCGCAGAGAATATACAATGGGTTGGGAGCCTTTACAAAAGCTCAAGCTCGCGAGGTCGAGATGACTTGTTTGTTGGTGTGCTGGTTGTTGGAGAGGAGTGTGTGTGAAAGGTCTGTGTGTGTCGGATGGGAAAAGGGTAGTGACAGGTGTGAAGCAGAATGGACCTTTTGAGAGACTGAACACTTTCAAGGCTCGCACTGGGCGAGGGAGGCGGGTACTTTATGAGCGAGACAGCGCACGGCGCGCGAGGGGATGCACCAAAGCTTCCCACTCGCCTTTACTCGCTCGTGGAGCACTTTGACCACGGTCGGATCCTGGGATAGCAAAGCCGGGATATCCAACCCAGTTACTACCCTGGAAAGCCACGAACGGCCGAGTTGACCCATAGACGAGATCGTCATATACGCCGCGGACGGCCAGCGCCATCCATCGTCTGCGCCGGGAGACATGCATGCTTGAACGCAACCTTATCGCGACAAGTGCCCGTCCACACGCCAGCCCTGCCTGACAGAAGAGCGGGGCCCTGAACGAGCAATCGGCGATTTGGCGGAAGCCCTCTCCTGTGCCTCTGCTACTCGGTTGCAAAGTCTTACCAACCAAGCCCGCAAGCCCGATCCCTGCCATCCGCTGGGACCATTGCTCGTCTCCCTGGTTCTCGCAGTTCCTTCGTACCTCGAAGCTAGGAGACCCCTCGCACGCAGGCGCACGTGAAGTTTCCACGACTGACTCGCTCGTTCCGGTCCCACATGCTGAGTCTACGCTGCTTCTTCCACACATGCTCATGGGCCATGCGATGTCTGCATGTAAACATCGGATTCACCGCCGTACGAACACAGTCGCCGTTTCGTACAGATGGTATCCGCTTCAAATGCTCATAGGCGTGCACCATTCATCTGGCGGATCCTCGCGGAACTCTGCAATCATCGAACCCCCTCGTCCCGCCTCGCATTCGCATCGGCAATCGTGGTAGTGTTCAAAATACCACCTCCGTTGCTCTGTGAGAACTGGGAGTGTAGCTTCCAGGTAAACTCTGTACGTTATCCCGCATTGGGAAGGCGCTTGGTCAAGACATTCGCATCACACAGATGGGCAGAACTGTTCGGCCCTGCAGCTGGTCTTACCGCATTCAGACAAGTCCACTCCGAACGTCCCTGTCAATCCTGCCCCCACTTTCTGTCATTCAGCGTCGATGTCTACAAATTCTCGATCCCCCCGCCAGGTCATCTCTTTCTAGCTGGATTTCTCTGTAACAGAGAATAATTTCTTGACTAGCACCGGCACAACCGCTCGACAATTCTATCCATTCCTGCTGCATCGCTCCCTAACCAAGATTCGATGGTATCTACCGTCGCATTATCAAACACCCTTGATTACTTGACCCTCATCTTGCTGCAATCCGGTTTTGACTTCACTGGTACAGTATAGGGGACCCGTGGCTTGCTTGATTTGTGAAGATCGTGTCTGAATAAGGGTCTTGCGGCTCTACCTGCAGAACACACACACCAAGGTTTCACCCTAGCGTCTTTGTTGTCGGTCCCCTGTTTTCTCGTTCACGGACATCTGTCGCAGCCAGCCGACTATTGATATCTGGATAGTAATCATCAAATGACCTCCTAAGCTAAGGCCAGCTCCTGACGCTGCTGTCTCTCGCCAACTGCCATCTCGTTTATCAGTGTCAGGGCACAGAGCTTCGACGGCGCCAAAAATCCATGCTCCATCAAATTGGGTTGTCAGGATTGATCGATCTCCCCTCGAATCGCTACTCAGAGCACAACCGACCTGCTGGTACGCAGATCTGCCTGCTCGAATCTGTCCTTTTGCTTTTGCCATCCCTCGAATTGACCCATTTGGGATGCGATTCCTTAGAGCCTCTCTCCCAAGGGTCCTTTTGAGGGTCCATAACCGACCTCCAGGTGCCATCAGTATCGGTGATGGGAGCGCGTTTGGCCATGATATGAGGTTGTGGCTCCAGCATTACTCTAGCAGTCTCAATGACGTCGCTGTCGTACTTCCAAGTCTTGTAGGATGATTCGAGAAATTTTGATGTCAAGGCCCGCAGAGCCGCTTGCGCCCAACCGCACGCACGGTGTCAGGGCCCTCTTTCACCATCGTCGATGTTCGAGAGATCGCCGCTGTCAGTAGGGGTCCCTGAGAAAAATCCCTGCTTTAGCTCTTTCAGGCTCAAGCGTTCCCGAGGCCAATTTTACTGTCCGACTGAGACAGACTCAGCCCCTCGACTCCTCGAGTCGCAATCGATCGATCTCTTACCCTGCCGCTGCGCGTGAGAAACATTGGTTACAGTCTACAGATCTTGCTGCTGCGACTCGTTGGTCTCCCTCACATCTTGCATGATCTCACAGTTGCTCTCAAACCTACTTCCATGTTTCACTTGCAGCCCGAAAATGTGCCAATATCGCTGACGAACCACCACAGCTTTCCCCATATCGCTTGCCGGCTTCAGCACGCGGGTCAGGGCTTCTGTGCTAACGATTTGCATGCAACCGTTCCGGCTGTTAGCTTCCTTCGAAACTTCATCCTTTGATTTCTCAAGACACGGATCGCGATGGCATGCGGTAAAACTCTGCAGAACTGATTCGTAGGTTTATCGATCCCCGATCCAACCACCTTCCGGTCTGGTGGGTTTGTCACGTTTACCGTACGCACATGCATCTCCGGTACGGAGTAGATGGGAAACAGTCTCACGACTGCTCGTTACGTATTCACGCTAGGCCATGCAACACGTATGGGCATGTCGACAAAGTCGAGTGTGCGGATCATGGCGATTCACAACCTGCATAGGGGCCTTCCGTGCTTCTTCTGCAGGAATTTTACAACACAGCTCTGTGACGGATCTACATACTCGTTAGCCGTCTGCTTCTCTAGGTAGTGCTCAAATGTTCGATATTATGGTAGGTCCTCGTTGTTAGAGGAGCGCTGATGTCATAGATACTGAAGCATCCACAACACAGTCCGCCATCGCGACCCCGCGTTCTAAACTCTTTTGCATGTCACTAGCCATGGTGTAGAGAGTATACGGGTCAATATCGGACAGTCTTCGCGGTTCACGGAGTTTAGACATGTCCGCATCACTCGGTCTCGGGTTAGGGAGGTGTCTCCTCTAGCCCAGTTGGCAGTACTCTGTAGACCGGAGGGTTTTCCTTGACCCTTGGAGTCTATGGTTCACGGCACCATGATGTTCACAGCTAGCAACGACCGGCTAGTTTTCTGCGCATCGACAACTTCATGCCGCTCTTGCTCGAGCGACCAGAATCAACCGTTCAGGCGAGATGACAGGACTGCGATTCCGGACAACATTTATTGAACATGCAACCAAGGAGTCAGGACGATGCTGTGATTCGTGAAGATTCTGCGCTCGCTAACGGACGTAGAGTGACCACATACATACGTGCTGGTCAAGCATATGTCCGCGTTGTATAGCCCCACGCTGGACCCAGGTCCGCTCTGAATTCGGACACGACCTCTCCGTGCGTGAGAGTATGTAGCGCGTGCAGCTACTGAAATCACAGAGCAGTTTCGAGAAGCTGGGTAGTAATCATTGATATTCCTCAGCTCTCCTTGTATGCAGTCCTAGTCTCAATTATGCTGTCCCTATTGATGACGGGGACCTCTGTTGAAATCCTCGTTGAGAGGAGCGTGAGACTTACAAAACTCAGCACACGGAAAAAGAGGATCACACCCTGACGACGTATGCGGATCTCGTGCTCTACCGTTCTTGGTCATCGACATATACGTCTCGCATCCAATCCCCGTTGCGGATATACCCTGCTACCCACTACTATGGAACATATCAAATGTTGTTACGCGGATCCTTTCATTTCGTCTCCACGACCGGCTCCTCTATCTCGGACTCGCATCCCGACCATTGAATCCTTCAAGCGGACGAGGATCCGTACACTGCAGAGCTCACATTGCAAGAACAGCGTTTATGCACACGTCCGTCTCCGCAAAGATACGTATCTTGCAGGCTGGCTGGAGAATGTCGCCAACAAGCTTAATCAGAGCCGGAGGGAGTGGGCTCCGCCCGCGCAGATGTGTTGATGCAACGGTCTGGCGGTCAAGCGGCAGTCCTCAACCAGGGATGGGCAGCAGACGGGATCCTGCCTGTCGTTCTTGTACTAGGCGAAGGATTTGTTTGGTAGGCGAAGGATAGGACACATAAGCGCAACGAAACACAACCTATGCGAGTCGCGCAGGCGCGTCGACGCGAGGCTCCAACTCATCAAAAGACTGCGGCTCTCAGCCCCTAATGTCCATGCCTGACATTGCAACCACGTAGTGACTAGGCTCTAGCGCGCAGTTGAAACTCCACACACACAGGAGACAGGAGCCTCGTTGCCGCCACTAGGGAGGGCCTCAGTCTGCCATTTCAAAGTGCCGACGGCGTGTGGATATTGGGTCGGCATGGGCAAACCAAAGGGTAGAAGAACCGATTCGAACTCCGAGATGTGACGCACGAGGCTCTATTAATGATGGCAGAAACTCCATAGTTACGTGCAGACCACCTCTCTCTCGCGTGCGGCAGCATCCGGTTAGGGCAATACTATGATATGCGATCCGAAGGCGAGTGGGCGTGACAGCAGCATGCGGTCACCTTAAGACCATGAAGTATAGGTTGACAGAGGGCTAGACTTTTCCAGAATGGCCAGAACAGCATGGCCCTTGAATTAAGGTAATTATTGACCAGATGGGAGTTGAGACAATGACAGAATTTTCTCAAGCAGCGTGATGACGAACGAGCTGACAATGCAGGAGGATCCAAGTCGGCTGATGGGAATCGATCGATCGGACAGGGTCAAGACAGGAAAGAGTAAATTGATAATGGCATTGCATGGTCTCGTGCTGGTAGCAAATCTTAGCCATGTACGGAGACAACGGAGCACAAGCGTGTCGGGATGCTATCGTAAGTGAGCGGCATATATAGTAAGGGAGTAGAAGATGGATTGGACATGATGGCACGCAGTGAGGACGATGATATGTAGGTAAGCGGGACACATGGTCGAGCACAACGGTGGCTCGTTAGATGTGTTTATATGGCACGAACACTCTTGAAGCCAACGATTCATGCAGCTGCACATGAGTATACCAAGTGAATGACCAGATAGACGTGATTGTTGGCGGGTAGACAGCAGTGAGCACCGTGATTGCCGCGACAAAGTGTGAGAGGGGATGCACTGGCCACAAACGCGTCATGCTCCAGAGTCCCGCATTGAAGTTGGTGAACTTTTTGAACCATACCTACCTAGTATACTACCGAGGACCTCTCGTCATTGATATCCGTCCACCATGGGCCTCGACGATTTTGAAAAGGAACTAGCAGCCAACAAGACCAACGAGTCTGAAAGCAGGCGACACAGCAGCAGAGACGACGACCGACGGCGTCACAGCCATCACCATCGCTCGTCGCGCCATCATGACTCGGACTCCAGACACAAGCGCCGTCATCACCGCGACAGAGACGATCAAGACGGCCGAAGAGACCGACACTCCAAGCGCAGGCGCAGTCGCTCGCCTCGCCCAGCTCGGCCTCAGGAAGACGTCGCTGAAGAGGACGACTGGGTAGAGAAGGAGGCCATGACTGCACCTCCAACAGACGACGCCCTCGATGCACAAATGGAAGCTGCTGCCAGCACGAACCTCAAGCGCGACACTTGGATGGAAGCTCCCTCGTCACTCAACGTCGACTACGTCCAGCGACAGCGTCCCAAATCTCCACCCTCGCAGTTCGTCTCTGCCAAAGACCAACTTGACCGCAAAATACATCGCCAGGACTTGGAACAACTCGCAAGAGACCTAGAGGAAGACGATGAAGAGGTACAAGATGCTCCACTTGTAGACGATGAACCCATTCATCACGACGTAACATACACTTTTGGCGACCAAGGTTCTCAATGGCGTATGACCAAGCTGAATGCTGTCTATCGTCAAGCCAAAGAGTCAGGTCGGCCCGAAGACGAAGTTGCTGTCCAACGCTTTGGCTCTTTGAGGGACTTTGATGACGCCCGTGAAGAAGAACGTGAGTTGGACCGCCGCCAAATGTACGGACAGGACTATGTTGGTCTCGAAAAGCCCAGTGGTGAGTTGTATGCCGAGCGCAAACAAAAGGCTGGTCTGCACCGCCAATCACCAGAGCCTGCTGCCAACCTTCCCGTGCCTAAACCTGCAAATCAGAATCAAGGCCAAGTTATGGACGAAGCTCCCCCTCCGACCACAACCGTGGCCCTGGATCAGACCGCTCTGAATAAACTCAAAGCGCAATTGATGAAGGCCAAGTTGCGTAAAGCACCTAATGTGGATGCTCTGGAGGCCGAGTATGAAGCTGCTGCTACTGCTTCTGCTGCCAACAACAAACAATCAGATGTAGTCGTCCTGAGCGCTGTCGAGAACCGTATGCTTGCTGGTGGCCGCGGAGGTGAAGTAAAGCATATCGAGAACAAGCGTGGCCGCGAACGTGGTCACGTCGAGGAGAATGAGGACATGAGCATTGAAGATATGGTCCGTCAAGAAAGACGCACCCGCGGTATGGCTGGTGGTGAGGGCAAAGCCTTCGCGGAGCGTATCGCGAAAGATGCAAAGTTTACTGACGATCTCGATTACATGGACGAGAATGCCGGCAAGCTGGCCAAGCGAGTTGGCAAGTCTGAGATCAATCTACGCAATACGGCCATTGGGGACTTCCAGAAGATGCAAAAGATCCTCGACTCATGCCCATTGTGCCACCATGAAGATACGAATACGCCTCCAGCAGCACCTATACTCTCACTAGCAACGAGAGTTTACATGACTTTGCAAACAGAGCCCGAGCTCGCGACTGGCGGCGCCGTTATTGTGCCCATCCAACATCGTCTCAATCTACTAGAGTGCGATGACGACGAATGGGAGGAGATTCGAAACTTCATGAAGAGCTTGACTCGCATGTATTACGAACGCGAAAAGGGCGTCATTTTCTATGAAAATGCAGCTCACATGCACAGCCGACGTGGCCACGCAGCGCTCTTCGCAGTGCCAGTACCTCTGCATCTCGCTGACAACGCGCCTGCTTTCTTCAAGGAGGCTATCCTCAGCGCCGATGAAGAATGGAGTCAGCACAAGAAACTCATCGATACTCTTGCGAATTCGCAACGTGCAGGATATGGTAAACAAGCATTCAGAAAAAGTCTAGTCAAGGAGATGCCATACTTCCACGTGTGGTTCAACTTGGATGGAGGGCTAGGTCATGTAATCGAAGACGAGCGCAGGTGGCCCAAAGGCGATCTTTTTGCAAGAGAGGTCATCGGAGGTATGCTGAGAAAAGGACCAGAGATTATCAAGAAGCAGGGAAGGTGGATCAGACAAGATCCTAGAGTCGAAAGCTTCCGGAAACGCTGGGAGAAGTTCGATTGGACGAGCGTCCTAATGGGTTAAGTTCAAAAAGCACTTAACTTCCTTTTATATCTTAAGTGTCCATGTTCGATGTGTACCAGAAGGGGCTGGATTACGAGAACACGAGGGAGCTGCGATCTCGACAAACCGACTGGTATAGAGGTCGGATACCTGAGGAGGAGACATTCTTAGAGGTGCATGATGATTCGGGCTCGAGTGTGAGTTGGGCGTCTGGGTCTGAAGACTACATACGTACATCGGAGTCCTGATCACTACATACGATTTGTCTGCTATGCATAGTTGCGCTGCCAAAATCTCAACCACTGACTCTGATTGTCACCACGCACGATATCTGCTATGATCATCTCAAGCCCAAGAAACATTACCTATCGCGTGTATATCCAGAGGTCGTGCTCACAAGCCACTCAAATCAATCTGCATGCTCCTTGCATGTGCTCGGAAGGTCACTATGGTTGCAGGGATCCAGTTGTAAAGCGAATCATTAGGTGGCGTGTTCGCCCATCGTGCCTCGAATTTGCCCCAGATTCTTTTCGATGTTGGCTGAGGACGACTCACCCACAACGGCGCAACACGGTCTCATCGAGTCTCCGAAAGCATCACCCTTGCCGCCATCCACCACCAAAGAGTGGTCATCCTTTGGCGGAACTTGGTGGCGCCATAGGATCTTGTGTCAGACAGCAAGTTTACTCTGCGATCATGTCTCTTCAACCTTTCTGGCGGCTGGGTGGCCTCAGAGCACTAGTCACCTCTGCGACAAATCAATTACGGACGTTTTCTTCGTCTCATGCGGCCAAGGGATATTCTCTCGACCCAGCCAAGCGACGTGCACAGATGGACCGATACAATGAGGCGAGAAGACTCAAGCGCCAGACCGATCCAGAATACTTGAAGAGGGACAGGGACTTCGACCGCGAGGCAAGCAGGAAACGGACAGAGGAGCAAAGAAAAAGCCACATGGAACTCATGCGCAACAATAACAAGAAGCGCTACGCTCGAGATCCGGTCTTCAGACTTGGCAAATTCTTGCATCAATCGTTGAGAAATCACGCGTGTTTCAGGGAAAAGTTGCCATGGAAGTCTCATTTGCCTGTTCAGTACGAGCACAAGGTCCTGCATTCATGCAGCAGATGTGTGGTGACTAGATTTGGAGGAGCGCGAGTCTGGTTAGTACTTTGATGAGGTCCAGACCGCTGCGATTTTGATTGCTGCAGCGTTGCAGCTAGCATAATTACTCGTCTGTGATTTGCTTCTCGACGGTTTTGAGCTTAGCTATCGGCAAAGGCCGTTATCTTTGTCGCTACTCAGTGTTGTTCATCGTGCTAACCACGTCTTCAATTCAGGTGGAAACAACGCCAAAGTGCAGATAGCCAGGATGAGCAAGGACACAAAGACGAGAAGTATCTATGTCACAAGTGCTATGTCACAGGCCCAGAAGCCATGCCCGAAGGTTACGAGGATGTGACGACTGTCGCCGAGACCAAGGCGCGCATGAAGGAGCTTGGCCATTCACGAGAAGAGTAGCTCTACAAACACACAGGCCGATTGTCTAGTCTCGAAACACAAGGTACAACAGAGATATATGACCTGCTTGAAAGAGAAAACACGGATCAAAGCCGAGAAATAATTCGTCTATGTGAAAGAGAGGGGGGGGAAAGAGAAGAATGACAATCTAAGACTCGATAAGCTGTACATCCTCGACGCCAGCAACGATCGCGCTCGCACTGCCATAACACCTGATCAAAATGTTGAAATTGCCACTGAACCCATTGTTCACCGAACCACTGCCTGTAACACTCTGGAACGCCGCATCGCCGTTCTTGTACGATGTCTGCGCAAACGAAACTCCGAAACCGTTGGAATCGACAAAGTAAACTTGCAGACTGCAAGAGGAACCATCGTTGGGCAGACCGTTGGGGTAGTTGAGCAGCAGGCCCATAGACATGCTGTACGTCTTGCCGGACTGTGCGGTCGCGGGTTGCTGCAGCAGAGCAGCTTGGTTGTTTGAATCACCGCCAGCGGGGAAGGTAAGAACCGAGACATAAGAGCCGGGGTTGCCTTGGATGGCGAAGGTGGGATTGCCCAGGCGGAACAGAGCCCAACTTGAGAAGTCGCCTGTGCCAAAGTTGCCGTTGGTTAGCATGTTGGTGCCGGTTGTGCTTGCTGCACTTGCAGCCGAGGATGTTGTCGACGAAGGACTGGAAACAGTAGCGGCAGCTGTGGTTGCAGCGGCTTGAGCAGCAGTCCCGGCATCTGAGATGGAAAGCTGGATGTTGCCAAAGCCCAGGACGAAGCTTGCTGCCGAAGAACTGGCGCTGTTGCAGTAGGTGTCAATCATGAATCTGCCAGTGAAGCCTTGCGAAAGTGTGCCAGAAGCAGTGTCGGACAGAACGGCACCGCTTGCAGAGGCAACGCCGTATTGCTTGAGGATCATGCTGTCATCGCCGAGACTGTACTTGACAACGCAAGATACGCCAACGGGAAGGCCGGTAGGGTAGTTGATAAATACATTGGCATTGAGTTGCCAGTCAGAGTTGGCTGGGATAGTGACGTTCTGGTAGAGCTGACCACTCGCGTTGTCGTTGGCAGCCAGTGCATACTTGACAAGTGCTTCGTAGTTCGAATCACCAGCGAGAGAAGCTACGCCAAACTTTGTGCCAAAAGCACGGGCTCCGTGCCATCCAGTGGTGGAGCCTTGGTTGAAATTTCCGTTGATGATAATGTTACTGCCAGCAGAGACATTTTTTGTGTTAGCAGACGGTGAAGATGTCGGACTCGAGTCAATGGTACTCGAAGATGTTTGGATGTCAGATGACGAGCGGGTCGAAACACCGGTGGGAGCCTTTTGGTTGACGGTGACGCTGGTAACAGGATCCATGGGGAACATGCTTGCAGAAAAGGTGCCAGAGGCTGAAGATGGAGTCGCCGAGGAAGTGGAAGATCGAAGAAGTGACGAGCTCGAGGTAGAGAGTTTCGAGGATGCGCTTGAGGTAGGAAGTTTGGGTGAGGCGCTTGAGGAGATCTTCGTTGTTGATCTGGAACTGCTGCTGCTCTGCTTAGTCGACGCAGAGATCGGTGTTGACTTCGGGCTGGTGACGCTTGTTGACTTGGTAGTAGCCTTTTGTGAAGTCGACATTTTCGATGATGTCGAAGACTTCAAGGTAGACGACGGTTTGCTTGAGACACTTGTCTTCTTAGTCGAGGTCGAGCTCTTGATCGAAGACGATGCTTTCGTCGAGATTGAAACCTGTTTCAATGCCGTTTTGATAGAAGATGTCGACTTTTTCGTAGACGATGTGGTCTTTCGTGTCGAGGATGTGATTTTCTTGGTGGACGATGACATCTTCTTGATGCTTGTTGTCTTCTTTGCTGCGGCGACAGAGGAAGAAGAAGCAGAAGCCTGGATGCATTTGCAAGCATTGCTGACTTGGGCGACATTCAAACCCTTGACGGTAGACTTTGAATTCTTGCTCGAAAGCCATGACTTGCAGTAAGTGATTGGCTGCTTGTTGCTGTTAACCACGGTCTTGACATCGTTGGCATTGCAGGCTGGATTCAGTCAGTAAGTACTTCTCCGTCTTGGTGTCATGCAGAAGCGACATACTAGTAGCAGCTCTGGGTGAAAGTTGCTCATCGAGAGGAGCAGCAGATGCGTAAGGAAAGGCGAGAAGAGAGAGGCAAACGAGAGACTGAACAGTTGGAATGTGCATGTTGAACAGGAGCCGGACCCGAAGTGGGCGAATGTGTTAAAAGAAAGAAGAGCCGGACACGAAGAGAGAGAATGGATGCGGAATCCAAGGCCTGGTCCAGAGAAAGAGAGCGAACGTATGGGAGATAACGAGAGAAGACAATCGGACTAGGCAGTAGATACCCACGTGTCGAGGCGGCGCCATGTCTTATAGCGAACGACCTCTCCACCTACCGTTCAGGGTGACGAACACAAATTCAGCACGTTTTTGCAGCAGTTGAAGCCAAGAGGAACTTTCTCAGCAGCAAAGAGTCAAGACAAAACCGGAAGTAGGCAAGCAGAAACGAGACTGGAACCTATAAAGCGTTTTGAACGTTGAGGAGACGGCAATTGAACTCAGACACATGGTCAAATACTCAAGAAGACTAATTGGTCGGGATACTTTATTACCATCAGATATCGACAAAGACGGGAAGCCTAGGACGACCAAGTGCCGCAGCGGTTGGACGAGACGATGAATGTATGATGGTGGATGATTGCAAGAAGGAAAGTGCTGCGGAGAGGAAGAAGGAGAGATGAGCTCTCCCCAGAAAGGCTTGGCGGCGCAGGTAGCAGGTCGTCACTCGTGGCTGGATGGCTCTTTCTGTCTCGTAGCAAGACCATCTTCGGCAACAACGGTTTTTGATTCTCCAGCGCCAGACTGGGCTGCGACTCAGACGAACGGCACTCGCCATAGCTCCCCCTCTTGCTCTGTAATTCTCTCGGACCGGACCTGACCGTTCGCTCGTTGCAAAGCTGCTTCACCAAGTCGGCCACACCCTCTCCTGCCAAATCATCCACACTCGTCATGGCTCTTCTGTCTAGCGCCCTTAACATCTTTGGCGCTGTGTTATTGGCACATGCGTACGTTTCTCAACTCGCCGTCGGCGCCGCCCGTCTTACTCCCGACTGACTCGCTCTACAGTGTCTACAGTGCCCATGAACACTCAACCCTAGCCACACTCGCCGGCCATCCTGCCGCAGCTCCGGCTCACTCGTACATAATCCCAACAATCCATCTGCCGCTAGACATCACACTCGAGACATTGGTCGCCGTTCTGCTGCTCTGCGTCGGCATCGTCATAGGCAGCCCGGAGTTGAAGCCCATCCAATGGCGCGTCTGGGCTGGCAAGCTGGAGAAGGACAAGGCTTCAAAGACTGAGACCATTAATGGAGATCCATTGGGTCCTAGGGGAAACCCCTACGCCGCACTGGAGCAGAGACAGGGCTTCCTCGACATCAGAAGCCAGCGCACCGAGTTTGCCGAATGGGTCAAGAGTGGCAGCAGCAAGAAGTGATGGATCAAAATGTCTATATACCCAGCATGAGTCTTCGCTTGCCATGCATGAAGCTTGTCTCCATCAGAGGAACACTTTACGTCCTTCCTAGTACGATTCAATCAAGCCCATCTGAGCAAGCCTTGAGTCGTTCGTCGCACCTGTTTCTTGTTCAGTGTGTAGAACGTGGTGCTTGTGCCGTCGTAGACTCTGCCGCGGCCTGTCTTCTCTGTTTCCAGAGGCTGTATTGTGGTTGTGCTTTTGTTGTTTTGTTGTGCCTTTGGTGACGCCTAACTGTTTCAACCTCCTTTTGATATGGCCACCGCATCTTCGGCGTCGTCGATGCCTCTGTACTCTCTCAAAGCGTTGTGTACTGGTTGGGGCATCTCCAGCCAGTCGTTCCAGATGGCGACCACCTTGCCCTTGACTAGAGCTAGGGGCACTGGGCCATACATTCTCGAATCGCGCGAAGCCGCCAGATTGTCTCCGACCGTCCAACAGTGACCGACAGGAACCTGTTACCGTCCGTGTCAGCAAAATCGGAGGCCTGTTCAGAAACACATTCTTACCTGTATCATAGTGCCATCTCCCTTGCTGGGGGTGTCTCGAAGCACAAAGTCGCCTGGCATACCAATAACTCTTTTGATGGTTGTAAGCTCTCCCTGTATAGGATGCTTGTATGACACTATATCACCGACTTGTATGCCACGGCCGCGTCGGTACCATTTGGAGATGACGACGCTGGTGCCGCTGGCATTCAGAGTGGGAAGCATTGAAGGCCCCCATGTTCCAGTCCAGCTATAGCCGTGGTCGAAGAAGATGTGTACACTGAGGAGGATTGCGAGTCCAAGACCGAGTCCCTCGCCTGCACCGTTCAAGAAACGATTACCTTGGCTTCCTGCTTGTCGAGATTGCTGGACGCTTTTTGGTGTTCCTGAGATTGTATATCCGAAGATTGAGGTCGAGATATTTCGCCGCCGTAGTCCGGTCGTGGGTATCCTCGTACGAAAGCCACCGTGGTGTGCGAGCAGGAGTCGTCGCAACATGGCAACCTGACCAGCACTGTATAACGAATCCAAAGTCGTAGGAAACGCGATCATGCATGATGCATCAAGCCGACAATCGTCACAAGCTTGGACCATCACCACGACATTTTTCTGTCCACCAATGTCTTTCTTGAACCAGACTTCTCACAGCAACCTGCTAACCTAGAAAAAAGAGACATGACACACTCGACTACTCAAGATCAAGCGACTAAGCTAGACTCTGCGATTCGGGAGCTCATCACAACTTATGATGAACTGAACTCAAGTCTCGTCGATGAATTATATGAAGAGCCAAGTGCCCTTGAGTTCATGCAGTATGTCGCCAGGAATCGGCCGTTTGTTGTAAGAAAAGGTGCTCAAGACTGGACGGCCATTGAAAAGTGGGACTCACATTATCTTCTCAATGTCCTTGGTGACAGCCTCGTCAATGTAGCAATCACTCCATTCGGGTAGGTGCTATCGATTCACTCTTTCCTTTCCTTTCCTTTCTTGATCAACATCGCTTTCCTCTGCACTCTCTACATTTTCTCATTCTAGTTCCCTTTCCACCATACTCGACCGATTTCCTGGTGTTGACACGCAAGAAGCAACGCAGATGCAGTTTTGCAAGAAGATGATGGTTCACTATCCTACGTCAAGCCACTTGAACGGCTCGAGCCTTTCGACAAGGTCATCCGCTACATCGCAGAACAAGAAGAAAATCCGTCAGTATTGACACCCATCAAGTATGCTCAGACGCGTACGTTTTCTATCTCTCTCTCCTTCGCGAAGAATCACGATATTGAAGACTTCCAGAAAACGACAACCTTCGCAACGAGTATTCCCCTCTTTTCGACGATGTCCCTTCCGATATACCCTTTGCTCGCATCGCTCTCCGTAAAACACCCGAGGCTGTGAATTTCTGGCTCGGCAACAGTCTTTCCACCACATCTCTTCACAAAGACAATTACGAGAACCTGTACGTTCAGGTGCGAGGCCAAAAGCACTTTGTCATCATGCCCCCCACAGCTGCTGCTGCTGTCAACGAGCAAAGCATTCCTGGCACCACATATGTCTCAACCAGCCAGGACGAGACAGCGGACCTGAAAGTGCAGGATTTGAAGCATGTGCTTGATGAGCCTGAATTGATCGTTCCAGTACCAACGTGGGATCCGGATTTTCCTGATGTTAGACCGACGCTGTACTCGAAGCTTGTCACGCCATTACGAGTCACGCTCAACGAGGGTGATATGATGTATCTACCTGCCATGTGGTATCACAAGGTCGGGCAGAGTTGTGGTGATGAGGGTTACTGTTGTGCTGTCAACTATTGGTAAGTGACAACGCCCGATTGAGATTCAAGACCTACGAGAAACGCGGCTGATGATTTCTCTTTAGGTACGACATGGAGTTCTCTGGATCGTTCTGGGCTTCCAATGCCTTTGCTCGCGATGTCGCCAGAGCGGTCAACAAGTAGAACGTACATTGTCAAGGTTATGTGCCTCGAGGCTACGCTTGAATCCATCGCAGGCTGCAAGACACTAGCCGGACACGGACGATGTTATTAGACACTGGTTGCACGTTTCAAGCTGTATTCTCACTCTCTCAGTAGCTTGACATCAACAGGAGGGTTGTCTGCTGTATTCGATAGTTGTCGTAGAGCTCAGAGGTCGAGTCTGTAGCGAGGGACATGGATATAAACCGATCCCCTCTGGTATGGGTTCAGCTCAGTAGATATTCGTGCCTCTGGGCCGTCAGTTCTCCGCTGATAGTGGTGCTTCGGACACGAGCCGAATCAAAGATCGGTTCATCGGCCTGTACGGAAGGAGGGCTATTGGATGCGCTAGCTGCATGGGTCTTTGTTGCCTAAAGCCTTGCAAACACGAAGGAGCTACTGTTATGCATCACCGCACTTGCAAGTCTTGTAGCCAGGAGTTGAACAAATACAATCTCTTCTCGAGGACTAGTGAAGACCCTCTGTATTTTGTCATGGAGGAAAGATGACGCTTCAATAAACACCTAAAGAACGACCAGCCCAAAACTAATCACAACCAAACCCAAGACAGCCGCGATAAACAACAAACAGCTTCGAGCTTTAGTGCTGCGCCACCTTCCAGCCTTCCTTGATCATCGACTTTATAAAGTATGACACACCAAGCAAAACACCACAACCAGCAAGCGCGAGACCAGTGAAGAAAGCGCATCGGACACCCCATATCGCATCTTCGAGCGTACCATCGTGAGCCATGACTGATACCTCGACCGTGCCAGCGATACCCAAAGCCAGCGAGATTGAGTAGTTGACCATGGTGTTTACTAACGAAGCCGCAAGACCTTGGTGTTCGCGAGGCATATGGTTGGACAGAATGACAGTGGCGGCAGGGAAGGACATGTCCATACCGAAAGGCATGATGAGGATGGAAACAAACATCTGAGGCCAGTAAGTCTGATGCACAGGCATGAAAGCCGAGATTGCTTGTCCGGCGAAGAAGGCCAGCATGGCGATTAGCATTGTGAACGATACGGGAGTGTGTGTAAGCATGAAGCCTGTAGCACCAGCGGCGATGAGTCCGCAGACCAAGGCGGGCGTGAACTGTGCAGACACATTGAGCGGTGACAAGTGGCGGAACTCCTCGAGGAAGCGCCATGAGTAGTAGATCCAGATACCGAAGCTGCCCCAACCGATGCCGATCAGAGCCATGGTATAAGTGACTGTTCCGTTGAAGGCGGACACAGGTAGTAGCGGAGACTCAGCCCGACGTTCAACCCAGAGGAATGCGACCAGTACCAGCACGCCAATGATGAGGACAAAGTACACGTGAGGCGTGGACCACCCGTACAGGGGTCCGTTGTTGAAGGCGATGTTGACGAGTACCAGGCCGATGACACCCAGCGCACTACCCGTCCAGTCAAACCCAGGTACATTGGTGACGCCAGCGAATTGAGCCTCCTTGGCTAATTGTTTGGGCACGACGAGCAACGAGAATGCTGACAGGGCGAATGCTGCGGCACCATAGCTCCAGAACGTCCAGGGCCACCACGTGGTCTGCGAGAAGAGAGCTCCGAAAAGCGCACCGATTACAAATCCCCAGGGTGCCATGGCCCCGAACAGCGCAAAGGTGAGATTTTTCTTGATGCCAGGAGGGTATGCGCGGCCAAGCAGTGCGAGAGCGTTGGGAGCCAGTAAAGCGCTGCCGATACCTTGCATGCCTCTGCAGACGTCGAAAAAGATCTGCCTGCCGACGTAAGCACTGAACCCGGCGAATCCGGACCAGATTCCAAGAAACAGGTACCCGAACACAAACACGCGTTTGTGACCGAGGATATCACCCAGCCGTCCGGCGATCAGGATAAATGTACCAGTAGTGAGACTGTATGCCGCCGAGAACCAGGCTTCTTGACCAGGATTGTCGACACCTAGTCCAGAGGCTATAATCTTGACCGGAGCGATGGCTTGACCCAGACCTGCAAGACACATGAACTGTGCCAAGACGACAACTCCAATGAACATGGCCTTGATTGAATCGTCAGCAGGAACCAAAACATGAATCGTCAACAGACTGACCTCGTGAAGCCCGCCAATCTTGAGTTCCGGGTGCTGTTCATCCGGTCCCGACGGAGGCGGAACCATGTGCTCTATAGACACGTTTCCCAGAGCCTCATAAGGTTCCAGTTTCCCGGCAGCTTGGAGTAACAGAGAATTCGTTGAGTTGCGACGTCCATTCGTGTATATGGCGGGGATTTGTGGAACTTTTTCCATGCTCTGTGTAAGCCAGCTCTCAGTAGCCAGTAGTTCGCTGCGAGAGTTCACAGAGACATGCTTTGAGTTATGGCGGGATGATGACGCGGAAGGTGCTACAGGTGTATCCAGAGGTGATACCCGGCCATCGTTGGATTCGTGATACGTTGCACTGATGACGGGGTCCTTCACATCTCTGAGGTCCTTCAGAAAGACTGGAAATTCATCACAAGGCGATGGCACCTTGGTGGAGGCTGTCGAAGGCTGCATCGAATTAGCAAACAGCCTCAGCATCAATGCTATGTCGGACTTGATACATTGGTGTGGAAGCCTGGCTCGGGGCTGACTTTGCCCATGTTTACCTGGTTACGTCTTGCTGGGCAGATGTTGAAGTGTTGTTTATAGTGTACAAGGAAGAATTTCAAGTTGTAGGAGCGGGAAGAGATTGAAAAAACAGAGAACACAGATGAGCGAGGCAGAATATAGAGATAGAAAAGTCCAAGGCATGCCCCTCTTTTGTTCCCACAATCCCACTGACTTCCCACTGCAGTAGCACACCTACCGATGCATATCTCACTTACATGAATTCATCGTAGGTTCAGGTTCATCAGCAGGCAATCTCGATTTGGAAGCGGGTTGCCGCAGGCTGTGGGCATCTCGACCCTCTTCCATGATTAGACGGGACCATGCAGACGATGCAAGGAGCGTCACGTAACTGGAGACGAGAGGAATTAGGCATCTGGAGGAGGAGAGCCGAAGTCAAGCAGGAGTAGCTGGGATGCCATGTCCCCAATCTGCAACTTGGAAGAACCACAGGTAGCTAGAGCCAAGGGCATGGTGGAAGCCCGAAGGAATTTGATCGCTTCCAAGCTTCTGATGGAGACATGCATATGCCGCATACCTTGGCACGATCCCGAATTGGAAGTGGGTGGATATCACAGAAACATGCTTTCCGCTCTCTTGACAACTCCTCTTGTGCACTGCAAGCACCAGAGCTTGGGCAGCCACAAGGCGAAGATTCAGGAAGCCAAGCTGAAAACCTGTCAGCTGGGATACCAAGTAGTCAGGTATCCCGCCAAGCTGAACGCCATTTGAGAAGCATCTGTGTCGTCACTTGTAAGCGGGACGTTGTTGGTCGATAGGTATGGTCGTTCTTGACACCTGCCGACGCGTTTTCTCACGCAGACCAAGCACAGCCCACAGAGCGGCGCATGTCGCCTGCTGTTGCTATGATATGCTGTACGACGACCAAGACCGGGGCATCGATACGTCGAACACGTCGGTGTGAGATCTGCCTGGCCTGTAGGAGGCGTCGTGTGCCTTTTCTGGTTCGCTTCTCTTCCACATTGGGCTGAGGTCCACCAGATTTAGGCTTCGTCGAAACCGACCACATGCCAAGAGTCCGAAAGCCCAAAGCCCTCCTTCCAAAACATGGTGGAGCTGAGCAAGCAAACCATGTTGACCATCAGCCATCTGCTCTATATTTGCATTGCTTCATGCGAAAGAATACTCGAATACAAGTGAACGAAAAGTTTATCCTTCATATGGGTCTTTGCATCCAAACAAAGCAACAAAAGATCATCTGGCTTCTGTTCGCGGCTCATGCTGGGAAGCCGAAGACCCGCGAGTGGATTAGAATGCTCCGAGTCTAGTACACCTGCATGAGACTTTGCCAATAGCTCCGGACGTGTGCTTATATTAGATAGTGCTTGCTTTTTTGTCTTTCTCACGGTACGTGTCAGCCCGTAAGGAACATGCAAAGCCAAAGGGCACTGAGTTGTTTTGCACCCACCGCATCGAGCTTCGCGATTGTAACAGTCCAGACAACACGGCAGGGAGCATTGTGAACTGCCGCGAAATCATACCGTACGTCCTCGCCTCCCGCACAGTTCGTATAGCTTCTCATGGCGTGCACTTTGGAAATATCGAGTCTTGTAGAAGATGAGGTCGAGTGTTGTTGATTGATGAAATTATGGACAGGGTTGTACCTCTAGCGTCGGGAAACGAGGCCGAATGCGACAGGACCTGAATTGATTCACTAATCAGCCACGATATCGCTTTCATTCTGAACGTTCGATCAAATCCTGAGATTCGAGGATGGGACATTGACATCCAACCGCATGCGAGTTGGTCAGTGGTCGATCATGATTACCCTAAGCTTCACTATAGCTACTACCGCCCTCTACAAATACTGCTGAAAAGAAGGGAATGCAAAAGTCTGCACGATGGTGCTGATGAAATTATTACAGGACCTTACTGCCAAAAGAACACATTGCTATTGGTCAAAACCGCATCGCGTAAATCGGCCATCTCGTCGAGTATTTTCGACATGAAAACAAAGGTCATCACAACGACATGGACGACGTCAAGTGCACAAGTGCCCATCACATTATGAGCAAGTACCACAGGTAGCCATAGATTATTAAGTTCACGATACAAGTATGCATTGGAAGAGAAAGTAGGCACAAAAATCATTAACTGATAACACTAGAATACACAGAGTAGGAAAACCCGCGGACTGATCTTCTAGATCAATGCCGCATGAAACACACTCCCTCCAATTATTAATTGTGTCCATCTCCTTGCTATGTTGCTGGCTGGGGTATAACGTATCTTTTCATGTCCTCTTCCTCTTCGCGACCGTCGTGCGGCAGTGGTATCATGACGGTAAAAAGCATCTCGAAACAGAATGACCAAAGAAATCAAGCATCAGACGCGATTCTTTAGACGCGGCCCTGGAAGACAGGGTTGTTCTTGCCGAAGAAGGTGTTGCCAGAGGTCTCACCGGTGGTACCGGTGGTGGTGGTGCCTGTAGTGCCAGTAGTGGCACCAGTGCTTGTGGCATCGTGGAAGGCACGATCAACCTCACCACCGAAGTTGCCAGCACCAGTGGAGCCCAGAGGGCCCTCACCAGCACCGTAGTGGGATGAACCTTGGTGGTATCCGGTGGTGTTGGTGGTGTTCTGGTCAAGGCCAGAGCCAAGAGTGTTGCCACTACGAACGGGAACCTGACCAGTAAGACCAGCAGTGTTAGATTCACCGTGGTAACCAGTGCTCTGAGAGCCATAGCCAGCGCCCTGAGAGCCGTAGCCGGTGCCCTGGGAGCCGTAGCCAGAGTTGCTCGAGGTGTTGAGACCACCGCTGGGTCCGGTGTCAGAGGATCCGTCAAATCCTGAGCCGTACTGGTTGGTGCCGAGGTTGTTGGGACCACGGACACCCTCCTGGTTGACACGGTGAGGCTTGCGGGAGATGGCGGCCATCTTGGGGAGGTTGGAAGTCTCTCTAGCAGATCCAATGCTGAAGATGGGGGACTCCCACTTGTCGCCCTTAGCGGCAAGGTCCTTGTACTCGGTGGCCTTGGTGCTGATACCGCCGGGAAGGGAGATGTTCTTGAAGATGCTGTCGTGCTGGGTGACGGCCATATTGACCTTCTTGTCGGCAGCAACCTCGTCCTTCTTTTGCTTGCCCTTGGTGAACTTCTGCTGAGCAGCAGTAGCGTAGCGCTGGTACATGTTCTGGATGTTCTCGGGGTCGGGGTTGTTCTTAGCCTGGGCCTCGGCTCTCTTGGCCTCCTGGTGGACGCCGTAGAGGAGCTCATCGAGCTGGTGGATGTTGTCGCGGATCTGCTTCTCAGCGACCTTCTGGATGGCAGGACGCATAACCTTGAGGAGAAGAGGCTTAAACATGTTGAAGAGAAGCTTGTGGTTGGACTGCTTCAGCTTGATGTTGATGTTCTTGATGTCAACGTGAACGGTGTTGACCTTGAAGAAGTGCTTGCCATCGGTCTTGTCAGCAGTCTCCATAGCGACCTTGAAGCTCAGACCGGTACCACCGAGGAAGATGTCCATGACACCCTTGTCGGTGATGCTGGGGAAGCCCTCCTTCTTCTTGATGTAGTAGCTGACATCGCGGAGATCACACTGGATACCCGAGACGGAGAGCATGACCTTGTTCTTGTTCTTGCTGGTGATTGACTTGCGTCCCCAGCGCCAATAGTTGTCGCTGCCGAACTCCAAGACGTTGGGGGCAAGGTTGTCACCCTCAAGGACAAGGTTCTCGACGACGGCATCGATCATGGGGTCGGAGTACTCGATACGAGGAATGGGGACGTAACGGATGGACTCGAAGACACCAGGAAGGATGACCTCAGTCAAATCCTTGACAAGGTGAGGCTTGAACTGGGCCTGACCGTTCTCATCCTGACCGAGGTCGAGGAAGAGCTTCTGGACGGCATCACCGAAGGCAACGTTCTGCCTGTCCTGGTTGAACTGGTCGATGTAGAACTTGAACTCGTCGGCGATTCTGTCGGTGTGGTTGCGGTAGCGGTCACGGAGAAGGAACTCGCCCTGGTCGTAGAGCTTGTTCCACTCCTCAGTGGAGTCGTCCTGAAGAACGTAACCCTGCTCCTTGAGGCACTTGCGGATGTATCTGTTCATATGGGTGAACCAGCCCTTGAGCTCGGGGTCACTGTCGGCATCACGGTAGATGACGTTGATGGACTCGAACATGTCATCGAGGGAGGTGCCGTTGGCGAAGCGCTCGATGAGGGTCTTGAGGGTTGTCAGCATCTGTTCGTTATTCGTCCTGAACTCTAGCACATACCTTGAGATCAGCTTCAGCCATCTGCAAGCTGTCGTCGTTGTGGGCACCTTTCACGGTTCCCTGGCTCTGGGCAGCCAGGTTCTTAGTGTGGCCAGAGTACTGCTCGGCAAGACGAAGGAGAGTATCAATGGCTTGGTGGTCTGTAAAGATGGTCAGTAACTGCAAGTAATGGTTGATCAGAAGGATATGACATACAGTCCTGGTGGCCTTGGATCTCAACGACCATCTTCTTCAGACGGTAGATGCCCTGCTCGCGGCGCTCCTTGGGGAGCTTCTCCTTCATGTAGTTGTTGGTGCGCTCTCTAGCATCGCGAGCACGCTCCTGGGTCTCCTCGGGAACATTCTCACGGGCTTGCTGGTGGAGACGGTCAGCACCCTGCTGAAGACCCTTGGTGGCATCGACACCAGAGTTAGTGCCCTGCTGTTGGTCGCGACGAGCAAGGTCAGCAACATCGGTGGGGTCACGAGAGCCGCTGGGGTGGGCAGCCTGGGTGGCGTCGCCGAGAGCACCCTTAGCTTGCTCTCTGTTAAAGGGCTTCTGCTCGTTGTACTTGGACTTGGCCTGGTTCTTGAGGTTCTCCTTTGAGAGGTCAGGAACATCGTGCCAAGTGTTGTCCTCAGCAGGCTTGTCAATCTGGTTTAGCTCGTCCTCGGAAGGGTTGACCTTGTTGGCCGCCTTCTGAGCAGCATCACCGGCCATGTCTCTGAAGAGAATGCTAGCATCGCTCACTGAAGGCTTGTTAGCCGCGAACGTGGCAATTAGAGAGACTTTTACTTACAGAGCTTGCGGAATTGACCGTTGGAGAGAATGAGCGTGCCGAGGGTGCGCAGACCGTCAAGGGCCTCATTGCCGTGCTGTTTGGCAGTGTCCTTATCGATGGGGGCATTAGGGGTGCCAGCATTGGCGCCGTTGATCTGCTGGGTTTGCCAAATGAAGTCCTGAAGGAGGTTGCCCTCGTTCTTGGTCAAGAGCAGAAGCTTGGCCTGCTCAACAACCTCGCGCAAATCACCAACGAGCTTCTGACCCTCTGTCGAGAGCTTCTTTGAAGGGTTCGAGAGCGGTCGCGATGCGAGGGCGCTGTTCATAGCAACGTCAATCTGCTTGTTTGATGGGACCTTGCCATTGGTGAAGGCTGAAGCGGGCGCATGTTAGCACGACGAGCACTGAATGTTATCGCATCGATGGCAAGACTCACCAGAGAAGATTCCATAGAGCTGGAGCTTGTTGTTGACATCTTGCTCCTTGATCTTGGTGTTGGTGGGAACGTTGACTGACGCAGAGGGCGCCATGATGAATTACTGTGGTGGGTTGTAGGGTATCTGAGATGTGTCTGGGGGGTATCTGAATGTGAGAGAGATGAGGGAGGTCGTGATCGTCAATCGGGTAAAATTAACAAAGTAACGTGGCTGGTATCGTGGAAGGGGGGTATCTAAACTGCAAAGGAGAAAAGACGTGGAATTAGGATGGTGTCTCTGCTGCAAGGGAAACACGATGGGTTTTGAGAGAAGGGCGCATTGCTCTCTCACCTCCTGCATTACATCATGGCCGCTCGCGCCTTCCCCGAAACGGGCTCGATGATCGATTTACCTTTCTGCCGCTGATCTGCGTCACTAGCCATCATCACCACCTTGGTTTCCCCAGATACGTCGTTGCGCCAAGTCGACAGATTCCAAAGGTTTTGAATTCATCCCGAAAGGATGAGCTCCCTGCCATGGCTGGTCACTCTTTTGGACTCGTTCGCCATACGCGCACGTCGTGTGCTGTTCTGACACACCACTCAAGCACGACGAAGGGGGCCAAACAGACCACTCCATGCACGAAGACAATCCGCCGCGGGCGCCACGTCCATCATCGTCCACCCCCCGCTTTACTCTTTTCCTTGTTCGACGGTTGGACAACAAGATGAGAGAGGCACGTGAACTTAAACGGTGAGAGAATGGTCGACAGCGGGCTGAGGTTATTTCCAAGAGCCAACCCGCTGCATTCCAGTGTTTGCGCATTCAAAACAAGCAGCTTTCCCAGCATGAATGCTTGACCAGTGAGCATAGACAGGCCTCGGTCGTCCACGAAAGAGTCCAGCATGAGCATGGACCCCATCCACTTTGGGGTAGTTTTGATCCTCGCCGTCCCACAACCGCCATACCGGCATGGTTCGATCAGGCAATACCACGCTGCTTGAGGGTTCTCGTATAAACATCTGTTCATGCTTTCCGAGAAGAACTCTACCGCTTCGATCACAAATGGTAGAAAGCCACCAGCCACAAATCGAGGACAACAGTGGCTTTGTGCGGCTCTTTCTTCCCCAAAGATCGTCTCCACTGTTTTCTCAATGACGTCGTTATCAACAATTATTCGATTACGACTCGTGTGTCTCAGAGTCTTTTTTCTGCTGCTAACTTGCAAGTCTGCTTGGCTCGCGTACACGCGGCTTGTGGACCATGGTGGCATGGTCACTTGATAGCGCCCTGCTTGCCTTGGAAGTGCCCTTGCAAAGCAGTGGCGCATCCTTGATTTTCCAACCCCTTGATCCTTGGGGGTCGTCCCGCCCGATGCAGGGCTTTGCGCATGATCATCGCGGGAAGAAAGTATCACCGTATATTAAGATTTGCATTACATTTGGTGGTGTCCGCCTTTCTCTTCCACGTCAGTCGTTTGATGGTTGGAAGAAGGTAATAACATTGTCGTTGTCACCTCGGACGATATATGGTGTACTATTACACAGAAGTTCGCATGGTCACGCAAGCCGGCGTGCTGAATCCTACGGTCCACCTTACGCTACCCATGATGATTATCATGAAGCTCAAACCAGCAAGCACACTTACCAAGCCGTACACATAGGCGTGTCGCCGTCGCAAGGATGGCAATTCCGAAACCCACGTACTGACAGTGGTTGTACAGCCGCAGAATCCATCCATGACGCCTTGCAAAACTTGACAACCAACCCTACCCCCACCAACCAAAGCACCAGCAGTCGAGGTGATGGGTACATGCTGGATAGAGTAGCACATGGCCTCTACAGCGCATCCAAACACATTGACGGCGAAAGTTCCCAGAGGAAAAGACCCAGCGATCGGGTTGAGTTTGAGTGACGCATAATAGCGAAGGAGACAACCGACTGGCGCAAAGACCAATGCGAACAGGACCTCACCACGCCAGACCTCGTTCGCCCAGCTACCACGACTGGACGGGCTGGAGGGCCTATCTGGAGGCCATATGGATAAGAAGATGGCACCGAGCCAGCATCCCCAAGCGAGGACTACAATCAGTGGGTCGAAGAATCTACGAGTGAGCCTGAAGGGCAAGGTAGGTGTGAAGCGATCCAGAGCAAGAGCTAGGTGTGCGCCAACCCTGAGAGCAGCCAAAGAGAGCGCGACAGTGTATATGATGACTGCAAGTAGAGCCATGAAAGAATATCCGCCATTGCGATGTATCGTGGATGTAAACGAAGGAACCGAGGAGTATGGATGGTTCACAGGAGTCGGTAGGTTGTTGGAGAGAGCCAGAAAAACGTCGCGCATGAAGGACGAAAAGGAAGTGAAAGAACCGCAGAAGCCTGTAGCCAGGCCGATATACAGCGGGATCGTCTTCTTCGTCTTTGCATGCGCCTTTTTGGCAGCATCAAGATCTGTTTTTTCTTGTTCCAAGGCCTTTTCTCTTGTGTGTGCATCCATGTTTTCGAGGCCCCATTCTTCACGGAACAATCGCCTGTCTTCTGCCAGGAAACCCATGACAAACGAGCCGCCAACGTTGGCCCAGAGCACAGGGGTGACCAGAGGAGCGCCAGGGTAGAAGGTCAGCCATTGCATACCCAGTCGGGCGAGGGTACCCCATAACGAGAAGAAGACGAGATGCGAGACGATATAGACCTGAGTCGCAATCGGAGACCTGGGACTTCTCTGGGGCGACGAAGGCGGCGATGACGAGTGTCGTGTCCGAAACGAAGGAGGTGTGGGCGCGGATTCTACTGACTCGTCTTCGAGGTGGGCATCTCGGTGCCAGGCAGAGTCATCCTGTCTGGTTCGCACGGGCGCAGGTGCATCGACCTCGTTCAACGAGTGCTGGCTATGGGGCGGCGAGGCTTCGTGTCTGCGGCGCTCGGGTCTGGAGGTATGGCGCTGCGGGATGCGTGCAGGATTGTCGCCATACACGGGGTCACACGGATGCGATTCAGCCTCGGGCATGCCGTGTCACGACAGGAATATGTGTAAGAGATGATCGAATCATGGCTCATCAAAACAAGAGTCCAGCCGCACTGATTGCGGTTTGCAGAACTGCCTGACGTCCTCCAGCGACCGGGCCGTGCCTGCCTCTTCGGTATCCACGGCCCGCAGCTCTTGCCTGCCCTTGCCCCAAGCGTCCATGACCCCGCCATTGATTGTTGATAGCTTAGCTGACACCTTTGTCGGCGACGGCCGCCCTATCGAGCCATCACATGCCTTGTTCGGCCTTCTTATCTGGGTTCGATTTGAGCAAACTAGACGCCTGCTTCCTCTCCTTAGCCAGCCTCCTTGAAACTGTGACTGTCTTCTCTCTCGAACACTGACTTGCATCCATCCCTCGTCCTCTCTGAACCGCCGACTTGCTCTCACAATCAACCATGTCGTCTCTACCGTCCAATGTCCACGTATCCCAACATCCCTGTCTCCGCGCAAAGGTCTCGCAGCTCCGATCGCAATCAACCGGAGCTCGCGATGCCAAACGTCTGATTCATGACATCTCAACCATGCTGGGCTACGAAGCCTTGGGATCTGCTCTAAAGTCTACACAACAAGGCACTGTATGAGCTTCCTACCATTCCCACAGCAGTTCACTGGACTAATCGTGTCCCATCGTACCCGTAGGATACATCTCCACTAGGCTACGAGTTCTCAGTCGACGCCATCTCGCCTTCTCATGTATCTCTCGTACCCATCCTACGTTCTGGCTTGTCAATGGTAGACGGTACGTTATACATCCACCACTACTCCGATTGAGAAACCATCTGACCTAAACTTCAAGCCCTCCTCTCCGTCCTGCCCGACCCAGTCCCCGTATTCCATCTAGGCATGTACCGCGAAAAGACCACCCTCCAACCCGTCGAATACTACAACAATCTCCCCTACCACTCCGCAACAACCACATCACAGCAAACCACTCCTTCGGACACTGCAATCCTACTCGATCCCATCATCGCTACAGGCGCTACGGCGAGTGCTGCAATCGATACGTTGAAAGATTGGGGTGTCAAGAGGATAGTCATCTGTAGTGTTTTGGCTAGTCACGAGGGTTTGGAAAAGGTCAGTCGTGTGTGGCAGGAGGGTGTAGAGATCTGGGTAGGCGCAGTGGATGCGGGTACAGATGCCAAGGGGATGATCAAGCCTGGTCTTGGTGATGTGGGTGATAGACTCTTCCTCACTATTGGCAAGTGAACGTATTAGATAAATACTTTTTTTCTTCCGTTTTTTTGTTGATTGTGTTTTCTAATCTCTGCGTTGTTTCTTCGTCATCTTTTTGGTCAGCTCCTCCTCTCGAGTGATGCTTCTTCTTTGTTTATTTTCTCTCTGAAAGCCATGCGTCTGCTTCCTCCCAGATCTTCTTGTCCTTGGCCGTGACCAGACTGTCAGGAGCGCTTGCAACAGCAGCGTAGACCTTTTCATCCTATTAGTACAGCTAAAAGTCATGTTGCGTGACAAAACTTACCGAGTCCCATAGTGCGAACGCTCTCTGCAGATCGCCCTGGAAATCAGTGGCATGGGGGAACCACTCGTTGGCTCCCTTTGTCTTGACAGCCTCGCGTGAAGCCTCTGCAGTAGGATCGCTCTGAGCCGATAGTTCATCCAGGTACGACTTGACCGCAATGCCGAGAGCGCAGTCTACATCATTCAAGAATGGCAGACTGTAAATCTTGTTAGCTTTTGAGTTGTCAACACGATCGAGAACTTCACTTACCCGTAGCTTATCTGTGCCAGATCACTGGGGGCCATATCGCGATTCACGTGGTAGTTGGCCAGTAGACCGAAGAGACTCATCTCAACCACGTTGCGCAAGCTACCACGCACCGCAGAAACCATCGATGTGTAAGCAAGCAGATGTCTGCTCAGAGGTCCAGTGAATCCAATGCTCTTATGGCGAAGTCCCGCGAAGCAGGCTACTCTACTGACCAGCAGTGTGTTGCGCTTGTCAGTTTCAGAACCACGTTGAGGAGAACCGTTGTAGGGGAACATGTTGTTGGAGTTGAGACGATTCAAGCGGAGCATTTCGAAAGCAAGAAGTGTCGGCTCTTCCAGATCCTGCTGGTTGTGACGTGCGAAGGCGGTTTGTAGACATTTGCCGAGAGTACTGAGTTGATGGTCCTGCTGAATGTAGCCACGCAGTTGAAGGAATCTCCACAACGCATTTGATCGCACCTCTTGAGGAGAGCTGAGCGGACTGGACTTTGGTGTGACACTACTCTTAGCAAAGTCCGAGTCTTGCAAGCTGCCAACTGCAAAGGCCAGAGACGACACATCACGTTCGAGCTTGGTCGCCTTTGCTGTGATTTGTTCAAGCCGCACATTCCACCCAGAAAGCATCGTCTTCGGGTCGGAAGTATCTGCGACGTTCAGTGTCTTTGGCGCGCTAGGGTTGAACCAGCATCTCAGGTGAATCTGCTTGTGTTGGTAGAACCGAGCAAGCGAGTAGGTGAGAAGTGATAGAGCAGATATCCGCAGAGGAGTGAGCTCTTCAGACACGAGCTGACGATACACATCGGCCTCGCCTCCGTCAAGGGGTGGTCGCTCGGTAATCTCGTTAGATGCTATCCAGCTCAGCACTTCGGGACCGATGACACCACGTGACAGATATGCGAATGCTTCTTCTGGCAAGCGATTACCCATGATGTTATTCAGATCGCTGGGTGCAGAAGCGCCATCCACCGACTCGATCTTGCCATTGGGTCGAATGCAAACGTAATGCTTGATGTAAAGGCTTGCTTTACGGTAGCGGTCCAGGTAGTTTGTGGCGACCATAGCCGGATCGTCCTGATACTGGAGACAGAGAGTGTTGCCGTTGGTCTGTGTTCTTTTGAGTAGATCGGCGGCGGCCCTAATCTTTGGGACTCTAGTAGATGCAGTCAAGTCATTCTCCAGCTGAGGAAGAGTGGGCAAGATTGAACAACCAGAAAGAAGGCAAGCATCGACAAACATGGCCGTCGAAGTGGCGCCGAGAGCCTCGATACATTCGCGACGCGTCACCCAAGAGAACTGAGCCTGCTCAAAGTCAAGTTTGGTGATTAGCTGATCGATCTCGTACATGAGAATGTCGCTGGAGCCAGAGACAGCGTCACAGAACTCAGTACCGGCGATAGAGGCGAGCTGAGTTTGAGGTCAGTCACGAATGTAAGTCGAATAAATGATGATTCTACCTGAGCACATGCGCTGTGCGGCGCAACGAGAAAATCGACGTCGTTCTTGCGCAAGACATTCTGGACAAAACGGTAGATGTTATCAACGTTGATGGTACCAGCTGTTCAACGAGATCAGTCTTTGGCCTTTCGGCTGTCGAGCGAGACCAAGACTCACACAAAGTACCAAACTCAGCCACAGCTTGTTCGGGTTCAGAAGCACCATACAACTGCCAAGCATTTGCGATGCTCTTAGTGGCGCGAATAGCAGTCTGGAGCCTTTCTTCTTGGCCATTTGAAGTGACTCCGTTAAAGATGAAGTAAGGCTGGCAGCCATGTCTTCTCAAAACGCCAACGTGGTTTGTGATGGTTTCTTCGAGAGCAAATGGAAGGCCCCCGAGTGCTGGGAGTAGCGGTTCCTTTGTGGGAGAAGTTGTGAGTATATTGGCAATGAAGTCCTCTGCCTCGATTCCAAGTCTGCGCTCATTGAGCTCTGCAAATGAGTCGGTATGGCCCAGCTGGGCCGACGCTGCCCATTCGTTGAATCCGGATATCATTGTTGTGAGAAGGTGTCTCCGAGGACAGAGTAAAGTGGCAGGGAGAGATTAGAACTATCAAGGCGATGTGAAAGTGCCTTCTCCGATGTCAACACCAAGTGTATGTGGTTCAAGCTAAAGTGAGAATATAAGGAGAGTCTCTGGAGTCTTTGGCAGACTGAGGTGGCATGTGAAGAAGGGTCCGAGCGCCAAGCTCCACACCTGAAACACACTCACATAGAGCGTCTGTTGAGCGTGTATTTCTTCCATTTCAAGTCCTCAATACTATACAAGAAACAGTAAGAGAAAGTAGTCAAGGAGAAAGCCGACCAATCAAGTGGTATTATCTGTGTCTATTGGGTATCTCTCTGTACGTTCGCCATATGCTGTCATCTCTGTGTGCCTCATTGCTGCCCCAGCCTCATATCTAATCTAAATCTAAAATCATAACTGTGTTGATCATGCACGCTCCAAATCTCCATATTGCCAGCGATATGACTGATAGAAACCAACAGCCAAGATCCCAACCACAATGGCTCTAATGAAGTTTGCTGACTTGGGCTCATCCGTCTGCGCCGTTGCATTTTCTGGTAGGACAGCCCGTGTCGGCGCCATCTTGAGGTGTGATGTTCCATTCTTGGCCTCTCGCGCAGCCAGCGTCTTGACGAGTTCAAGATCAGTCATGAGCTGCTTGTCCAGAGCCTCGACTATCGCAACACACTGCTCGAAGATGTACTGGGCCTCATCAATGATGTCCTTGCGCTCGCGTTCCGTGAGCAGCTCCTCGGCTTTTTCAAGACGAGTCTTGAAGTCGGTCTTGATGTCTTCTCCGTCCCTGTTGCCCGAGAAGCAAAACAGGGTGAAGCCCGGCCTCAAAGTGCCATGAATCCAGTAGTCATGCTTGTCGGACTCGTGATTGACACCCCAGAACTCAGGTCCAGACTCTGTCAGCTGCTCTCTGATCCAGCGGCCGCCAGAAAAGATTGCCATATACATGATCCAGGAATAGGCAACCAAGACATGAGGCTTCTCTCGAGTCTGGCGATAGATGTGTTCGGTGAACGAGTGCAGTTGCTCGTTCGTCACGGCCTCCAAATCAGTACCGGTGGCTGTCTCCAAGTACTCCAAATCTTTCTTGATGGCGTCGGAGCGCCAGAGACCGGGTGGGACTAGTTGCGAGAGCCATTGGCGCAGTTTGTTGTCGTGAGAAAGGTCATGGGCGTCAGACTTGTCGGTCTCTGCGATCAGAACGCGCCAGCAGTTCTCAAAGACGAGGTAAATGTCGCCGAACGTGTTGATGCCATGAGCGTATAATTCGGGAGTCTTGGCGATCGGAGGTAGAGCGAGAGGAAGGCGAGTGACGATAAGCTTGTTCAACCGCGTATGAATGGATCTTGTGCCATGTCAGCGACTCGATCAAGTGTCAAAGTTGAAGAAAGCGCACCGTGTGGCCGTGTTGATCTCGGTCGACAAGTTCTGCGGGGCGGGAGAAGGCGGAGGTGAGAGAAGTTGGGTGGGAGTCTGCAGCGACGCCATGCTGGATCTAACAGGACCGAGCAGCAACCGTCTTCTCTTGCTTTATACACTTGGTGCAAAGGTCAAAGGACTACTGGTCTCGAGAACGAGTCACGAAGATTGCACCGTCACATGGCTGCCGTCAGAAAGCACATGGACTGCGCAGGGCGGCGAAGGCGCCTGGAACTGTCCCCGTCTGTGCTCTCTTCCGATGCGATGGTGCCATCTCGTCGATTCCTCGGTCCGTTTGAGCACGACATGGATCCAATATTTCTTTTCTTCTTCTTTTTCTTCGTGTCGCATGCACGCTCAATAACACACGACCATCCGTGTACCTGTACATCCATTTCTATTTACATAGCTGCACCTGCAGCAGTCCTTTGACACCGTCATCTGATCGTTACTTCATACCGCATTCTTTGCCGTTCGCTGGCGTCCACGCACCCGACCTCCAACACCACTAGTCTCGCTTGCTTCGACATCGCGCACGAGTCCTGGGCTCTCTACTCGTGTACCCATGCTATCGTCCATAAGCCTTGTGCCCATCTTCTTGCTCATTTTTGCGCGATACTCTTGTGCCTCTGGCATTTCATACGTGACTTGTTGACTTGGCGCCGGCGCTTCACCTTCCACCATGCTTGCTAGTTGTCCTGAGGTAGCTGCGTCCAGACTAGGGTGATGTTGGCGGAACGAGACAGACGTCGATGAATTGGACGAGTAGGAAGGCGCACGCCCTAGTTTCTTGTCTTTCCTCCATCTTCCCTTGACTGCTTGCTCGACTGGCGATGGCCCCGGGTGAGATTGCTGTCGCTCATACAATGATTTGATCTCTCCACTCAATCGCACTTTGTTTGCCAGAGCATCGACATTCTCATCTTCTGCCCCCGGCACTACTGGTCGTCCATCTTTTCGTGCCGATAAGGAAGAGGCTGAGCGGTCTTTTGCTTCTTTCGAAGGTGATGCTTTTGACTGTCTTCTGGCGGCGTTGACCTCCGGTGCCATGTCTTGCAATGGCTGCTGCGGCCGAGCAACCTCTATGGCAGTCTTCTCAATATTGCTTACGACCCGCGGTGGGTCATTTGTCGGCATAGAGTGCTGTTCCGGTTCTTGCTGGTCGTAACTTCTGTCATCCGGCACCTCGTCTTCCTCGTCTTCTTCGATAAACGGCCCTCTACTCTTGAGGTGTGCGGACCTTTGCTGTATTGCTTGGACGGGACCTGATTGATATAGATGCAGTGAAGTAGCTACATTTCGTTTTCGAATAGCTGAGAGGCGTTGCACGGCCGGGACATCCTTTCTACAGACTTATCAGCCTAATCCTTACTAGCTAAACTAGCTCGTCCTACCTCTGGTCTTGTGGAGGCGCAGCACTCGTTCCTCGATTAGAAGAGCGATCAAGTGGACGGTGGTCGAGAGGTTGTCTTGATCGTCCAGTTACCACGTAGTCAGAAAAAGACATCTTCCGTACATTTTCCAGACTTTCATAAAGCCATGCGTCTGAAACGACCGGGATTTTATGCTTCGCGGCGTACGATATCTTTTCCGAATTGGCCACATTGCTAGGGACTACTAGAATGGATGTTTTCGGTAGCAGCATTTCATCGTAAGTTGCGCCTATCAAAATGTTAACCTTGCGAGTCATCGTCACGCCTGAGAAGAGTCTCACCTGCGAGTCTGACCACTTTTGCAATGTGCAGCAGATCAGAGCCCATGCCAGTGGTTGCTATCGATAAGTCTGTGAAGCCTGATATCGTTAGCAAATGGCACGGTATATAGTTGAGTTTGAGATGTACCATCGATCGGCAGACCCAAATGTGGCTGACTGAGTACATCGAGCTCGGGATCGATCAGCGTCTTATTCTTAATACATCTCTCTAGCCACCACTCTGTCGCAAGCCACGTCCCAGGAGGAACTACAGGTAACGAGCCCTTCGTAACCGATGTCCAATCACTTGGCAGAATGAGGACTTTCCGTTCATGTACATCGCCATCAGGAGCCGTGCGCAAGGCTTCGACAGAGCGAGACACCCGACCTTCGTTTGAGGTTATGACATGATCAATCTTCGCTGCCTGTCAGGTGAGTTAGTACGTTCCTTGACATAGGCGTGAATTCAGACTCACTTTCTTTTCGTCATGGCCGTGCAGAAGACACAAGAGACCTGAGAACAGACCTGGCTCTTCTTGACGAGGCACAGGCCCAGCTTCCGACGAGACATGTCGAGAGGCAATCTTGGGTCGACTTGGAGGAGTAGCGCTTCGTGGTGGTGTTGCAATATGGTTGCTGTCTGTCCACTGATCGCTCACGAGTTCGGATGCTTCTTCGCCCCCATGCGAGAGGAAGCTGGTCATCATGTTTTGGCTGTGGTCTGCTAGCTTTGCGCTTGTGGTACGTCGCATCTTGCGCTTGCCAGTATCTTCTTTTGCTTCGGTGGCCGACTCTTGACGCCGTCTCTTTCCGAGTGCAGGAGGTCGTTGATAACCACGTACAAAGGCGCCTCGACCTTGGTCCTCGAGTGGCATGAGTGGATGATATAGTGACTCGTCGAGGGCCATGGCTCTATCCAGACTTTCCTCGAGCCATTTTAGGGAAACAGTCTTGATGTTCCAAGATTTTGCCCGATCGTACTTTGCGCCCTTGGGTTTGGCGACGATCAGATGGCTGACTTCTCTTGTGAGGTCTCCATGGTAGTGTGCACCATTATTCCTGATCTTCTCGATGATATGTTGTCTTTCCTCAACTGTGTAAGACGTCAGTACATGGAAGCCAAGGTTGGTTGGCAGCATGCATACTGTCTTCGAAGCCTGTGACACAGATGTGCAAGTTGTAGAATACAGGCAGACGGTGTTCCTGGTCGAGAGCGTCGAGGTCAATGTCTTGATCCTCCATGTAAGAACTGCGGATGGCGTGGATCCACTCGGGCTTCAGTACGCGTATGTCGGGTCTTTCCTTTGCCGTATGTCTGCATTTGGGGGTATCGATGTTGCCGACTATCAGGTGGGTCACGTCGGCGGTCAAGTCGAGACGATGGACGGCTCCCATGCTCCTCGAGAGGTCATTGAGCTTGTCCTGTGTAGAGCAGTGTGTGAGTACAGATGCTATGGTTAAGGAGTGTGAGAGGATTACTGACTCTAAGGTCTTGTGATAATGATGTGCTGCAGAGGACGACGCCCTGAAGAAGGGCTTTGTTGCCTGTGAAAAGTGTTGGTCGTGTCTGCAACACGTACAAAGATCATCCTCAACGGTCTTACCATCTTCTACATTGTCGGGCATGGCTGTGCATATGATTTCTTTGACAGACGCCGCTGGTCTACAGTTTGCCTCGAGGGAGGACGCGAATTCTGTTTGGAACGGCGGGTCCCGCGTCGTTGGCGCGTTCGAAGCAGACCGTTCAATCTAACCCCGCTTCCGCCAATCTTCGGGGCACTTGGACTTGGTCTTGGTCTTGGTCTTGGTCGCGGCATCGGAGGCCGGGCAGCACATCCGCGGTGCGCGGCTATCTTTTCCGCCAGCATTCGATCAATACTCTGCCCAGCAGGCCGTCGTTAATTAGATCATTGCAAATGCATTTGCGCACTCATGCAGTAGTGTCATTCAATCTATATCTGCCTGACAGTACATTGTGGGATCAGCCTGCTCAAAGATCAATCGCATGGCTAGAGGTCACTCAGTGGCTTTGGCCAACTCTCCACCCCTCCAAGATCTGCCATTACATCAATGAAAGCATGCGGATTCCACATCCGACACACGTAACACAAAGACTCCAGGAACGAAAAGGCCCCGCGAACGAAAGGATACTCTGGGGTCGGAAGGTGCGGAGGGTTGAGAGATATACCCACCGTGTCAACCGGAAGACTCGGATTCGCACCTCGTTCCCAGAGCGCGCGTGCCGTTAAGTGACAATGTGCATGTCTCTGAAGGGTGCCCAAAGGACGACGCAGATTTGTCTTTCCCCAGCCGACAAATAGAGACTGGGAAAACAGGACTAATGCCGGAAACCAAAGCTTGTCGCATCCTCCAAAGCCAATCACGGAGACTGCGGATCTCGAGTTTGGGAGCAGATGCCGCGCAACCAGGCAAGACAGAAAATAATGACGAAAGCTAAAAAACGCCCTCTTGACGCTTGGTCATGTAGTTCAGAGCCATAGCCCATAGATAACTCCTACCCTTGTTGCTGCTACCCTCGAGTGATTTCTCATTGTGTTTCACCTCGCCCCGGACCCACGCACAAAACTCGACTCACCGCTGTCCCTACATAATCTCCAGCTTCGCCAGGCGCTTGGTCAGCCAGCACTTCCCCTCGCTCGTTCGGATCGTAGCGGCATCGATTGCAGCAGCAGAGACAGTTGATTTGACTTTGCGTCCCATACTCGGCGACAAGTTGGCTTAGACGGCCTGAAGGCTACACGTGAAAGAGACGTCGATACTCGCTCAAGTCGAATTCTTGTGACCTCATCTCTAACCTTGCGGAACCCACGACCTCCGCACCCATTGCTCAGAGAGCAGGTCACGCACGAGGTACGCGCGTAGCTGGGATTTGCGTACTTGAACCACGCTTGATTCGGTGAGTCTTGCTTGCACTTGGATTTGAACCTGCACATGGTCGGTTGAAGGAAGCCTCGCACACGCTGGCTTGCAACTCTTGGGCACCATTCCTTGTTTTGGCAGGAGCTGCGAATCTGCACGACCTTGGCCAGCGGCATCGCAAGCCTTGACTATTTCAATGCACCCCACACCACGCCTGCCGCAGAGTCACTGTCAATATCCATAGCTAATACACAATGGCAGACGCCTACTCACATCATCGCCGCCACAGCCGGGCCTATTCTCGTCCTTGCGGCTGCTCCCAAGACCATTCGGGTTACTTTGAGCCCCGCAGACCTAGAAGGGGTTCCATCCGCATCAAAAGCGTTCTCGAAGACCCCGACCCCAACCAAGACCCTCCGGTCATCGACAAGTTACGAAGCCACTCCCGCCGCTGTCTATACAAGACACTCTGCGTCCCGACCCACCACGCGAAACGAATAATCTGCTCTATCATCTGTGCCCGACCCAGATCCACACGCAGCTCTTCAGACGCCTCGGTTTCGTCTACACATAGCCTAAGAGGCGCAGTCAAAGGAGGACAGAGATTACCCTTTCTCCAAAACATGAGGGCAAACATCCGTGGATCAATTGGAGGTCCCGTGAGCGGCATGATCTCAAGATCTTCCTTGACCGACGACGTGAGAGCTGCTACAGAAGCTGCAGCCCGTGCACAACATATGAATACCATCATGCCTGGTACAGACCCAAATGACAAACCTCTCGTGTCTGGTAGTGGCGTGAATGTCTCCATCAATCTGGCCGAGCCAGCTTTGTTCTTGCAAGGCTTCGAGCAAAATGACATGGCTAGCGGTAACACGGCTATGCTAAGAGGAACGCTTCACCTGCGTGTGACAAAAGCTGCCAAAATTAAGGCAGTCACTCTCAAATTCAAAGGCCGAGCAACGACCAAATGGCCCGAAGGTGATTTTCCACGCTGAATCTCTGTCCGGGATATTCGACTAACATGGCCTAGGCATTCCTCCGCGCAAAGTTGACTTCGAAGAGGTTGATAACATCATGAGCCATACGTGGCCATTCTTCAATGCTCAATTTCCTACAGCCGAGGCAGGACCTTGTGCAGATCATGTTGAGCTCTTCAAGTCCGGTGGCGCATCGTCCACCACTTCCTCCTCGTCTTTTGGTATTGGCAAGTCCCCGAACATCTCGACTACTAATCTCACCACAAAAGACCAACGAAGGCTGTCATTGCAAGTCAACCAGTCGCGCAGTTTTGGCAAGGGTGAATCGTCAACTGGTGGTCCCTCGGTCGCACAAAAAGGCTACCGTACCTTCAACCCCGGAGATTACGTATACAACTTTGAGCTCCCACTCGACAGCAGACTTCCTGAAACCATCGACGTGGATCTCGGTTCCGTCAAATACGAGCTCGAGGCCGTCGTGGAACGTGCCGGTGCTTTCAGAGCGAATCTTGTCGGAGTTCGCGAGGTGTCTTTGATCAGAGCTCCCGCCGAGGGTTCCCTTGAACAGGTCGAGCCAATCGCCATCAGCAGAAACTGGGAAGACCAGCTTCACTACGATATTGTCATTTCTGGAAAATCTTTCCCTTTGGGGTCACAGGTCCCAATTGCTTTCAAGTTGACTCCGCTGGCTAAAGTGCAATGTCATCGCATCAAAGTACTGGTAACGGAGAACATCGAGTATTTCTGCAGCAACAAGCGCGTTCACCGCATGGAGCCTACGAGGAAGGTACAGCTATTCGAAAAGCGAGCAGACACCCCACCAACCAGCACCTTCCCCGGCAGTTCGATGCGTGTAACCTCGGGAGGTGGTGTACCGTTTGACCAGCGCGAGCGTGCTGCAGCTGGCGAGGCAGTGCAGACAACTGATCCTACCAACCTTCTCGGCAACCTCACAGGTGACCAAGTTGGACCTACTGAAATGGAGTTCAACGTACAATTGCCAAGCTGCTCTTCAAACCGTGAAAGGGAAAGAGCGACCAGGTTACACTTTGACACCACCTACCAAAACATCCAGGTGCATCATTGGATCAAGGTATGTGGATACGGATATTTGAGCAGCGTGCGAGGGATTTACTAACATTACTCAGATCGTGATGCGCCTCTCAAAGCCCGACACGGAAAATCCAGGCAAGCGTAGACATTTCGAAATCTCCATCGACTCACCCTTCCACATCCTCTCGTGCCGTGCAACGCAAGCAAATACATCGCTGCCCGCATACACCAGCCCAGAGTCTGCGAGCAACGGCAGCGCGCTATACGAATGTGGCTGCCCCAACGCACTTCGCCGTCGCAACTCTCCCACCTCATATGTGCCCACACTCAATGCATTGAACGGCATGAGAGAAACAACGATACCACCCACAATCACCGCTCCTAGTCTGGCTCGCCCACAAGCCGCTCATCTGACCGGCGCAGTTCCTCATAACCAAATGGACCGTCCCATCCATCTCTTGCGCGCGCCCTCATTCAATCCCCCGGCCTTCGAAGACGAAGAACCCCCACCACCGCTCATTACTCCTCCTCCTCAGTACGACAGTATCGCGAGTCCGACATCTGGACTGGCAGATTACTTTGCTCGTTTGTCAGATGCATACGATGACGACGAAGACAGCGATGACCCCAGCAGCAGTCGCGGTCGCGTCGATGTACCTCTAACGCCTGGCGCCCGAGTCAACAGGAGTATGGATGTTTCCAGGAGTTGGATACCTCTGGGTGCCCAACTCCATGGTTGAAGGATCCGATCAGCAGAGGGAAGAGAGAATACACAGAAGGGGCACAGGAGTATAGCAAAAAAGGATGCGAATTGATTTATGACAAACGACTTTTTTTTTTCTGGACGAACGAAGTCTTTTTTTTTTGCATAGCGGAAAAACATATGCATGGGAGAATGAATTCTCAGCCAGACGAGGGTACATAAGGCCGGTTCTGGGGAAAATTGAACGACAAATTTGAAAATACATTTGAAAAATACAAAAGTGTTACGATGTGTCTGTTGCTGCTTCTATCGTGTTATGAAAGTCTGAGAGGAGTTGGATCTGGGAGATGACTCTAGCTGCCAAGGGTACTCCCATCCCTGTTTTATATTATGCCATCATGATCGTACATTGTTCCTCTTGAGATGAGCGAAACGAGCAACACGTCAAGTGTCCCTTGCTAGCAGGCTTACTGATCAAGCGAGACAGACTTGACCGTCATGTTGAAGGTTGACGAGGTAAAGTTGCCAGCAGCAGGACCAGCGATCAAGCTATCCAGAACCCTTCTCGTGACATTTCCTGCCACAGCATCCAACTCAGACTGCACAACAGGCTTTCCAATGAGCAACTTGACCACGACCCAGATAGCACTAGGGCCAAAGAACCAGACTGTTTCGGCAAAGATCAATGTCCAGAAGGCCCATGTGATGAGTGTTTCGATAACGTGGACTTTGAGCTTGAGTTTGACCAGACGAATGTAGGTCTTCTTGTCGATTGTCTTTGCGGCTGCGACGAAGCCGAGGGGCTCCGGAGATTGTTGCAGGATACCGCCGGATTGAGGACGACCCTGGAAATTGCGGTCCATCGGGATAACGGGGTCTTCATCGTCTCGGAGCATAGAAGCATACACACGGGTCTCGATGGCTTCGAAAGGTCTGAGAAGCACCAAACGGATCAAAGGCTTAATCTGTCCGCGCAACATGGATTTGAAGAAAGACCAGATGATGACAGCGATGCTGATTCTTACGAGAGGGCCATTGCTGAGTTGAAAGACTTGCTTTTCGCCTCTGGTATCGATGGTGATATTACCGGGCTTCGAAGAAGGAGTGAGCCAGTAGAAGGCTGCTTCGACGAGATCGTCCGTCAGACCATTAACAATGATAGCAACCCAAGCTGTACGCAGAACTCCAAGCCAGGTCATTGGCATACGACGGAACCAGAACTTGTAGCGAGGTTTTGAGATGCAGACGTGTATGAGAGTCGCGAGCATCTGGCATCCAACAAGGGATGTGATGTGATTGGCCAAACCCTCAGAAACGCGGCCACTTTTCTTGATCAACGGAAGCTTGTGGGACACAAACTCAATGCACAGCGATAGAGGTATCATGACAAGATAGACTGCGCTGGCGCTTCCGATACCTCTGAACATGCTTAGATCCCCTGCTTCGGCATTGAGGTGTCGTACTGTTGCGCGGATACTGGAGGTCAAGTAGGCGGACTTGGGTGCCACAGCGGAAACACGTTTCTTGTCCTTGTAGTCGTCTTGCTCGAGGAGGCCATACTTTTCCGAGCCGGAGTCTTGTGAGTCGACACCGCCGGGCAGTGGAGTCTCAATTTCAGACAGATGGGTCATGAGGTGGAGGAAATGACTCAGCTGCTCGTTGTTACTTGAGAGTGTCAAAAAGCACGAGAGACTAGAGTCCTTACCAAGTATTGCCCGGGGAATCCGAGGATCAGAGTGAGCATGGGCAAGAAGCCTTTGAAGATGGTGAGCCAATCGGTGTTTGAGCCTTTGATGGTATTGTTGCCTGTATCGCTTGTTGAGTTTGTGGAGGCCTGGGTTGCTGCGCTGGCAAGGGCGAGCAGGGCCCATTGGCCTGGAATGTCTCCCATTGCCAGGCAGAAAAGTCGTTGGGTTTGGCAAAAGACGATGTGTGTTGGTTCGCGGTCGAAGAGGCTCAGGGTGGTCACCAGGCGAAGAAGTGAAACCACGATAACTTCACTAGGGAGGAATGTCAAGGCAAGTCGGACCTTTATACGTTTAGACAGATCGCATCACGTCCATAAATAAAGTAAGCTATCCAACCCAACCGGAGTCCTGGGAATGAAAATGAGGCTAAGCGATAGCTCCAGAATCCTTCTGAAAGGTAGTTGGTGCCTGGATTCATAAAGCTGAGGGGTGTTTTCGGAAACAGGAGGCGATCATTCCGTCAGGCAGTTACTGCGTTGACTCGTGACCACGTCTAAGCTGTTATTCCCGCAGAAGATGCAGATTGAGTCACAGAAGCTTCATGATAGTGACACCGTAGTGGTAAAAACAGGCCCGAGAAGGATGGAGCTACGACCACCAGATCGGTTCTCTCGGATGGCATACCGTATGAACCACGATATAGTCTCTCACACATGCCGGTGGACCGAGAACTAGATACAGCTTGACGCAACTCAAAGACTATGGTCAGTCGGCAATGATGCAGCGCTACAAGATAGGAGCACTGCAGGACAGAAGTCGTCCCTGGGACGGCGAGCCTCGGCAGGCGCGGCGGCTTCCCGGGGCTGGCCAAAGCGCCCGATGGCGGGGCCGAGCAGTCGCCGTGCGCGTCACTGCCCGACTCCAAGATTGAACTTGTACGGCTTTGGAGATTGAAGCATTATTTGTTCGACAACCAAAATGGCGACCCAAGTAGCATCGACGACACAACGTCCCGTGAGGATCGGCACGCGCAAGTCTATGCTCGCAAGAGTGCAGACTGACATTGTGTGCAAAGAGCTGCGCAAGGCATGGCCCGACCGTCAGTATGAGATCCACGCCATGAGCACAATGGGCGACAACAACCAGACCACTGCGCTGCATGAGTTCAATGCAAAGGCTTTGTGGACCCACGAGCTCGAGGCTCTGCTGGAGAATGGTGACTTGGATCTCATTGTCCACAGTCTGAAGGGTATACCATCTGCTCAGTCATCTGTGTGCAGTTGATACTGACAACAAGCCAGACATGCCCACCCAGCTCCCTCCATCCATGAGCATCGGCTGCATCTTCCCCCGCGAGGACCCTCGTGACGCCCTCGTCGTCAAGCCCACCTTCCCCTACAAGTCCCTCGCCCAGTTGCCTGAAGGCTCCGTCATTGGCACCTCCTCCGTACGCCGTTCCGCCCAGCTCAAGCGTCTATACCCGACCCTCAAATTCGCCGATGTCCGCGGCAACGTCGGCACCCGTCTTGCCAAACTCGACAATCCCGAGGGCGAATACACCGCCCTCATTCTGGCCGCAGCAGGCCTCTCCCGCCTCGGCATGTCCGACCGCATCACCAGCTACCTCGATAAAGCAACAGGCGGTATCCTGCACGCAGTAGGCCAAGGTGCGTTGGGCATCGAAGTCCGCTCCGACGACGAGGACGTTAAGAAACTGCTTTCGGCCGTTGGCTGCGAGTGGACCACCCGCGCCTGTCTCGCCGAGCGCAGTCTGATGCGCACCCTCGAGGGCGGCTGCAGTGTACCCATTGGCGTCGAGACCGAGTGGGTGCGCAAGAAGTCTTCGCTGGGCACCACCATCGGCACGGGCGTCGGTGTCGGCGCAAAGCCCGCTGCAGAATATCACAAACTCAGCGGTGTGGCTGTGACCGGCCGTACCATCGAGGAAGAGGGCGAAAACTCAGACAGCGGCTCCGAGTTCACCGAGACTCTGATCATGCGTGCGCTTGTTGTCAGTTTGGATGGTCAGAGGCACGTTGAGACCGAGATGCAGCGACGCATCACCAGCAGAGAAGAGGCCGATGAGTTTGGATGGGATGTCGCAAGGAAGTTGGTCGAGCTGGGTGCCGAATCCATCCTTCACGACATCAACCTGAACAGGAAGATTATCGAGGAGCAGGGTGATGCATAGGCGTAGTCATAGTAGAATGATAAACAACATGCAACGCGAAAGCAATTGAAGATACCCACGGAGAGGCTATTGATTCAGTTCTCTGTCACTGCTTCTGGGGATTTGTATTTACGAGAGCATTTTGTACTTGTCAGTGTAAAGTAGGCAGGTAAGACAACTCCATGTAAACCCAGAAACATGGGCGAAAAGACACCAATCTATCAATCTCCTCGATGGTCGTACAATGAACCAACAAGAGCAAGGAAACGCCCTGAGCCGAAAAGATGCACCAACATTATTCCATCTATGCAACCTGGCTGATCTTGCATGACCAGCCACTCTCCTGGCTAAGAAGAGGAAGACTATTGACACGTTAGTATATTTTGACTTTAATTTTGGAGATCAGACACATACCTGGCACCCAAACACCAACCCAACTCATTACCCTTGATCTTCTTGGCAATCTTGACCTCGCGATCGATAGGCATCTCATACCCAGTGTGCAGCAGCGCAACCATAAAGTTCAGATCCAAACAAGTCTCCGGACGACCCTGAAGCTCCTTGATAGCACCAGAGATGGGCTTGAAGACGTCCCATGCCTTTGTCTCGCTCTTGGGGCCTTCGCAGACACGAGCAGTCAAGTCCTTGAGTTCGGAAAGAGTAAAAGATTCAGGCATGCCGAGGGGCTGGGCACGGTCGTAGAAGTAACTGAAGAGGTAGACGTCTTCGCGGGCGAATGTCTTGGAAAGCGAAGGCTGGTGGACACCGTTGAATGCGCAAGGAGAGATCTTGCACTCTGACTCCTTCTTGAGGGTTTGCTCGGCGATGGCACGGCACTGAGGCGCGGAACCGGTGGTGGGGCCAGTCATGTTGACGGTAACAGATGTGCCGAGAGCGTGACCCTCACCAAGAGGAACCTTGATCTCACGAGTAGTGCCCGGGATCAAGCAGGGGTTCAAGACAGGCTTGCTCAGCCAGGCGTTGGAATCAGGGTTGGACTTGTGCATGTTGTCAATTACAACCTTGTGCAGATTCTCACGGGCAGCCATGAGACCGTAGCCCAGGTACGAGTGCTGGTACAAGGTGAAGTCACGACCACCAAAAGAGAGCTTGTACTTGTGGTCGCCCTCTGCAAGCTGTTCGGGCATGCCGCCATCCTTGGCCTGGGCAAATGTAGGCTCGAAGACAATCTGAGTGCTGCCACCACCGAGATCAAAGACAGCAGCGGTGGGAGTCTTGTCAGGGCCACCAATCTTGCCCAAGAGGTAGTTGGTTGTGATCCAGGCGTAGACACCCTCGTCCTTGCCGTCCATGACCTCGACACCTCCGTTGGCTTCGCTGACGACAGGGAAGGGGTATTGGGTCTCGAGACGGTTGCGAACAGCCTTCAGGATGGCGTTGCTCTTCTCGGGGCCCAGCTTGCGCAAACCAGCAGTAGCCTTGACAGCAATTGGAGTGCAGCCCTTGAGCTTGTCGGGCACGTTCTTCATGGCAACGGCAAGCAGGACATCCAAGCTCTTTGCGGCACCCTCTGCGTCCGAGTCGTATGAGCTGAGTCCAGATCCGCCGTCCTTGGGCTCAGTCATCTCGAAATCTTCGTTCTCGAGTTCGGGGGTGGGACCGCAGTTGTTGAAGCGGTAGACGTGTATGCGCGAGCCAGTGCTGCCGGCATCAACCATGAGAGCGTATTGGATCAATGGCTTGTTGGCCGAGTAGGGGCGAGTGCACTTGGTAGCGCCGATAGAGGGGTCTGAGGCAACATCGCTGGTAGGGAAGGTCGCTGCTGAGCCCGACGAGCCGGGCAGCAGGTAGTATAATACAAACAAGACGAGGGCAACAACGCCACCCGTCTTGATGTAGCGCGATCGCTGACCTTGGTTCATCCAGCCGGCCTTCTCCTGCATTGAACCAGATTTTGAGCTGGGCGCGAAAGGGTCGTAGTTGGACGAGGCGAGGGGTATGGATTGGCTGTGGTTACGGGAATGCGACGAGACTGACTTGCGTCGCCGCGGCGTGGACGAAAAGCTGAGATAGGACCAGAGGCTGGGTCGTTGTTTGACGTCGCTCCTAGCAGACATGTGGAAGTTTCGCTCGAGTACAAAAGTAATTACTCGCTTTCGCAGAGCACACCGGCCGATGTTTTTGTGGGGATCCTCTGTCTGGCCAGATATGCGACTATTCTTAGGACGGCGGGAAACTTTGATGGTTTGTTGTGCTTTTGGCCTTGCAGCACCGCTCTGATGCTTCGGACAAGGTTGCGAGGCAGGTTTAGAAGCCTCTTGGAGAAGAAAAGCCAAAATATACACACTCCCTTTCTATATGCCTTCTGCCTTCCCCTTTCCCAAAACTCATCCACCTTGCAGGGCTGAGAGACCCCTAATTCTGATCCCTGATCCTATCGCCGGATCTATCACTCTTGGCCTTGTCCGCCACTAGTGACTGGCCCGCTGACTACACACAGAGGCATCAAATAGATCTCCCCTGAGCTGTTTCCCAGAAGAATAGAATTGTGATGCGAGACAGCCACTAGTCTTTTGCCTGCATCTATCGAGATGTCTCGTTCGGTGACACGGGCCAGAACACGCCGACTCCAGGCTCCTGTCCGATGACGCCTCTCCAGATGTTCCAACAACATCCAGCATTTTCCACGCCTGTGTCTTTATAAAATACATAATTGCTCTCTGTTTCTTGGACCTTGACTCTGCTATACCACAGTGCTTTTTTTATCATGGATGTTCAACTATATGTCTACGACCTCAGTCAGGGCCTTGCAAGAATGATGTCGCAAGGTCTTCTGGGTGTCCACATCGATGCTGTCTATCACACCTCGTTAGTCTTCGGAGGAGTTGAGTATATGTACGGCCAGGGTGTTCAGACATGCTATCCGGGTTCAACGCATCATGGTCAACCCATGGAGAAGATCAAGCTCGGCAAGACAGAAATCCCCTTGGATGATATCCTGGAGTATCTGGACTCGTTGAAGGAGACTTATACCGCCGAATCCTACGATTTGTTCAAACACAACTGCAACAACTTCTCCAACGATTTCGCCATGTTCCTCGTCGGCAAAGGGATTCCGGATCACATTACTGCTCTACCCGAAACAGTACTCAACACTCCCTTCGGAGCCATGATGAAAACAAGACTCGACGCAGAGATGCGTCACATCACACAGGCTGCTATACCTCCGGAGAACAACCCCATGATCCAGCGTCAACGTAAGGAGCAGAGAGATGCAGCCAACCGCGGACAGAACGGTCCTTCTGCTTCTGCTTCTGCTTCTGTCTCTGCTCCTGTTCAACAGAACGGGTCAGAACAGACTACTCCCCCCAAGAAGAAGCCTAAGAAGATCGAAGTCCGCAGTGCCGACCATTCGGATCAGACGAATGGCAATGCTCATGTCCAGCCTCAGGCAGCTCAATCGGCGCCGAAGAAGCAACCCAAGAAGCTCGAAGTTCGCGATGGCGCTGCTGCGAAGGCTGACGGTGTACACGGCTCTGTCTACAACGTGACCCAGGTTAATTCGGTCGATAACCTTCTCTCCGGCGCAAAGGACAAATGCGCTGTCATCTTTTTCACGTCAAGTACGTGCGGACCTTGCAAGATGGCATATCCCACATATGACTCTCTCGCAGCTGAGCACACCAAGATTCCATTTATCAAGATTGATATCAACGAGGCTCATGCACTTGCGTCAAAGTATCAAATTCGTGCAACACCTACATTCATGACTTTCTTGCATGGTAAGAAGGACAATGAGTGGACGGGTGCAAATCCTGCGCAGCTCAAATCGACTGTCGAGTCTCTTATTCAGCAAGCTTTCCCTCCCCATCCTCATCTCCAGGTTCGTATGCCTACTCTGCAGCACGGAAGACTCGGTCCCATTACATACTCGAAGATTCCACCACTGGACAAAGTTCTGGCCAAGATGGGAGACCAGTCGAAGGACAAGGCTGTGGTTGCTATGAAGAATTTCATCTCTGCTCGCACTTCCAGTGCTTCAGATCTTCCGGCTCTGCCAGATCTTCCTGCTTTCGCACGCTGGCTCCGCCATTCGCCTAGCCAGCTATCACCAGATACGCTGTTCACAGCTTACGATGTACTGCGTTGTGCCCTTGTCGATCAACGGGTCAGCGGATGGTTCACCGAAGAGTCTGCTCCTGGAGACTCGGAGACACTCACATTTTTGATCAAGCACGTCTTGACTCTTGTGGACGATGACACGTGCCCTTACAGCCTGAGGCTTGTCACCATTCAATTGGCATGTAATCTGTTCACGTCGGACTTGTTCGTCAAGTCAGCGTTCAGTAGCAATCACCACAGTGGGCTGCCGGCAATGCTCGTACAAGTGGCAACCACGAGCTTGCTCGCTGAGCCCGATAAGCCGGCAGTTCGTGCTGCTGCTTCTTCGCTTGCTTTCAACATTGCTGCAACTGTTTACCGTACTAGAAGAGAAGAGAACCGTGAAGCGCTGCAGGAGTCTTCACAGGTAGAGCTGGCTGCTAGCTTGTTAGAGATGATGACCACGGAACTCGAGAGCAGAGAGGAGAAGAAGGATGCCTCTGGAACGGACATGCTCAAGACAGCAATCTTCGCTTTTGCTTACTTGATCTACTGCGCACCTCAAGGTGGAGAGTTGCATGATCTTTGCAGTGCTCTGGACGCTAAGGCTTCGATTCTGAAGATGAAAAGTATCAAGGACTTGGACAAGGTTGCAAGTGAGGTTGGCGAACAGCTGTTGGGAAAGAACTGGTGATATAGTAAACACGGTTCGCCCGGCTAGTCCACGATAGACATTATGAGATAGAGTTTAACACGAGAAATCAAATGAATCACTACAAGATATACTCTCATAGATTTTGGAAAGACGTGGTGTTTTTGTGTTGGAGATGATGGCTTTAGGGCCTCCAGCGCTTCTGCCACAGCCCGGCCCGGGTGCCTGAGCGTCACTTGCCCAAACAACATGCTGACATTGGACACCGGGTCATTTTTTTTCTCATCTGTCGCATGGCAACCACTGAGCAACAGATAGATTGACCTTCAGCGTTCCAGGGTTCATGTTCTGGAAGCTGATCGTGCCTGGCAAGTGCATTGGGCATCCAAGTGTCTGAGGATGCTCGGAGCTGTAGTAACGGAAGACTATGACATCTTCTAGACACAATACTTGCTGTGCTATGAGACATGACGAGAGTGTCATCGTTTGTTTCTCGTGTACATATAAGTGCTGTCCTCGGTGCTGCTTAGTTGCTGATATCACACCATGCTTCAAACTCCATCCATCCTCTCTCCTAGGACTGAAACTCATACCACAATGCCTGCATCGAGACGTCCGGGCAAACTTAGCACTCGCTCCACATCTTGGAACTACTCTAATGCAGAATCCTTCAACGATGACATGTACTCAAACATGACCTTCTACGACCCACACAGCCCACCATCCTACGCAACCCTGCCCAAGAACTTCAACAAAAGACAACGCAAAACAGAAGCACTATCACCATACCACGACACGAAGAGACTGCTAGACGGCCATACCAGCGACTCAGGCTACGACTCCACCGACGACTCCACAACTCCAGAACCAGACTCCTGGCGTCCTCCAACTCGCCAGAACACACTTCTCAGACATCCCACCAACGACCGTAGCTGCAGATCAGACTATTACTCCATCGAAAGGCTATCAGCAGACGCCATCACACCACTCAGCATCGAGCACGGCATAGGTTCAAGCCCAAACAACACTTCCATCTCCTTCATCTGCTCCATGCAACCACTATCCCTCTTTCCTCCCTCGGCCACCTCGAACAACAAGAAACGCCGTCGAATCATCACCAACAACGACTTTTCAAAATCAGATGCAGATCCATTGACCTACATCCGCGACAATTGCGAAAACGCAACCAGAGCACTGTCAAGTCATCGCAAGCTTCACAATTGTGATTGTGACTTTGCGTGGTTGGATGATAGGAAGAGAGGTACGGGGACTGTGAGGAAGGGAGCAAAGGTCGACGAGAAACTCGGGCCGATGAGGCCGTGCAAGAAGACTTGGTTTACTGGGTGGTTTGTTAGACAGCATTTGGCCTATCATGATCGCTATTGTGCATGTTCATGCTTCGGGGTCAAGCATTGAATCTGTATATATTTTTCCCGCTAACGAATAAATGGAAAAATTCTTGGTCATCTCTAGAACGCACCTCATGTGCCGATTGTGGAAGCGTCTTGTGACTTAGTGTGGAATTTAGAGGTATGGATGTCTGTCAAGATTGTTGGCAAGATTATTATCAAGATCATCGTCGAAGCAAAGCCTGTGACGCGTATAGCTATGAGAATGCACAAGATCTTAGAGGGACAAGGTAGAGCCTGTCGAGATGCGGTGCACTCTAAGCTCGCTTTGGACAAGTCTCTGGTGTACAAGTCATCGTGCCTGCCTATGGTGAGATTGCCGCTCGAGACCTTCGCAGCTGGAGCGTGGAAGTGATGTGTTTTAGCACACTGGGGGTTAGGATTCTAAAAAGCCTCAAGAATGATACGGTATTGGCCAATAGATGTCAGCCGTATCGGCGAGATGCTCGTGCCTATCAAGCAAGGAGAGTAGGGGTGAGTTTGAGGAACGTTTATGCTTTTTAGATTTACACGATGTTACTGTACAGAGGATGGAGAAAGAAGCAGAAACATGAAGAGAACATGACTTAGTTCTTGCTTGTCCTTCTCTTGCCTTGGTTGCGCTCGCGCTCTTGCACAACGTGCTTGTTGGGGTTCCGCTTTGCACGAGTCTTGTAACCACCCTTGGCCGGGGTGCCCCAGATGGACACGGGGTGGACGTTACCCTTTGATTTACCTCTACCACCACCGTGAGGATGGTCGGCTGAAAAGAGAAGACAGTTAGATGAAGGGTTAAAGTAACGTTGATAGGGAGATCAAACTTACCGGCGTTCATAGCCAGACCACGGACGGTAGGACGGATGTTGAGCCATCTGCTGCGACCAGCCTTACCGAGTGTTCTGAAGTGGTGGTGGGGGTTGCTGGCAACACCAATGGTAGCGCAGGCCTCTGGGCTGACTCTTCTGACTTCACCACTCTGCAGACGGACTGTGACTTCCTTGACCTTCTTGCCAACCTCTTCCTTTGAAACAACGACGGCAAAGGTACCGGCACTGCGACAGAAGACGGCTCCCTTGCCTGTGGTAGATCCAACGGCGTAGATCTGGGTTCCGAGAGGGATCATGCGCACGGGCAAGCAGTTACCACGGAACGCGGTCTTTGCGGCGAGCATACCAGGGTCCATAACACCGCCCATGCTCTTCAACAACTCGCCGGGAATACCAGCACGGTAACTCTCGATGACGTCTCCAGCGCGCATACCATCGGCAGCCAGAACGTAACTCTTCTCTCCAGTCTTCTGCCTTGTGACGAGGGCCAGATGGGTGCTGCGGTTGGGGTCGTACTCGATGCGCTCGACAGTGTGCTTGCCAGGCTCCATGCGTTTGAAGTCTACTGTGCGGATACGTCTTCTGTGACCACCACCGCGGTGTCGCACAGTCACACGACCTGTGCAGTTACGACCACCCTTTCCGTGACCGACTTTGGCGAATGTGAGCTTGGCCAGAGGCTTTCCCTTCCACAGATGGTCGTTGACGGGACGGCGCAAGTGTCGTAAACTGGGCGTGCGAGGCTTGTATGTTCTGAGTTCGAAGCCACCGCGTCTTCGGCTTGGGGCAGCGGTGGGTGGGTTGAAGGCAACTGCATCGGTGCTTGTGGTCGTCGCCTCGCGGGTCGTTGTCGCTACTTTGGGACCCTCGGTGGAAGAGGCATATGTGCGGCGGGCGAAGGCATTGGTCGAGGCGCGGAACAGGCATTGAGCTTGCCTCCAGGGCTGCTGCTGCCATAGCCGTGGCTGCAACATGTTGTGTTATTAGGGTTGGTAGAGCACAAGGGCACGTCGAGAGATGTGAATTGTTCCAACGCCCGTTTCCGAGACTCTCTACACTCTAGAGCTGGCGCCAAGACATGGAAACATTTCTGGGAGGGAAGGAACGGTAGAAGTCCGGCGCTTTCCCTCATCCTCCTTGCTGAGTGCTGCTTTTTCCCTCGACCGCGCTTTCCGCCAGACGTGTTGTGTTTCCACAGCGATGAGACCTTGAGCTAAAGTGCTCTTTCCTGTCCTGCTGTCGCCCAAGGCATTCCATGGCTCTTATTCGTTCCAAATGCACAGGCCTACTCTATATAGCACACTGTATAACCACGACTGAAATACAAACTGTAAACGTTGATTGTTTTATGTCGTGTTGTGAAGACGTTGTGGGTGGTGATTAAGGCGCGAGGCTGGGAATTGTGATTTGTGCTTCTGACACGCCAGTCGTCATCTGCATTGCATGTCTGGGCCAAAATCGCGAGACGTGGAGCGCGAAGAGTCCGAGCTTTTGATGTTCAAAGCCAAAGCAAACAACATCTCTTCCAGTTCTCTCCAAATCTCTTCCCTCAGCATCCGCCCACGTCGTCAACGACATCTCTAATACACCCATCGACCGGTCGACGCACACGAGCAGCCGCGACTCCGAGTCCCTGCCGAATTGACCCAGCCCGCCGCATCGACCTGGTCCCCAAGCACGCCCAACTCCTACCCGGCGCGTCAATTGTTTCAAGAGCATCAGTATCCAGCAGTCCGCCCTCTTTGCTACACCTGTGCTGCTATTGCTCCCATCATATTCACCACACACTCTCCGTCTTCCCTCCGGCTCCAAAAGGTGTGTTTTCTCGCGTGTCCGAAGCCGATTACCCGATTCGGACGTGTTTGTTGTGCCCGCCCAGCCTGACTCGACCAAACCAAAGCAGCCGCTCCACCACTTCTCCAACAAGACCTTGACCAAGTCTTGACCATCTCATCTTCATATCAACATGCCTCCTGTAAGTATCACTTCGTCTCACCCTCACTGTCGCCGTCTCCTCCTCCCTCTTCACTCGTGCCAAGCCTCCCTTGCTACTCGACCTTGACGCGTCCACAACTAACGCAACATCATCCAGGCCAGAGCAGTTCGACGCGCCGTGACGAACGAGAACGATGATAATGCCGCCACCACTCGTCTGACACGCGCAAAGGCCGCCGCTCTGTCCCAGCCCGACGCGCTTACCGCTGCCGACCCACCTAAGAAGGCCGCCCTCGGTGTCAAGCGTGCCACTGTCACCAACACCACCGCTGCTGCCACCCAGCCTACCAGAAGACGCGCTGCCCTCGGCGATGTCAGCAACGTGACCAAGAACGAGACCATCGACACAAAGGCTGCCAAGGGTGTCAAGGTCAAGGATGCACAGAAGCCTACCGGCATCACCAAACCTTCATCCCGCACCACTTCGGCTCGCTCTGCCGCTCACATCAAGAGCGATGGCGCCGAGTCCAAGGTGAAGAGGCCTCTCTCGGGAACCTCGGGTAATGTCGCCAAGAAGAGACAGATGACAACCAAGATCCCCAAGGTCGATGAGGAGTTAGTGAAGGATGCTGTCAAGATTGAGGCTATCGAGGAAGAGGTGGAAAGCACAACTCCCAAGGAAGAGGAGGACTTGGACGAGCCCTTGCACAAGACCCTGGAGCAGCTGGCTGCCGAGGCCAAGGACCTGGACTCTGAAGACCTTGACGACCCTCTCATGGTTGCCGAATACGTTCACGAAATCTTCGACTACATGAAGGAGCTTGAGATCACAACACTGCCCAATGCCGAGTACATGGACAGCCAAGGCGAACTCGAGTGGAAGATGCGCGGCATCTTGGTTGACTGGTTGCTCGAAGTGCACACCCGCTTCCGTCTCCTGCCCGAGACTTTGTTCCTTGCTGTCAATATCATCGACCGTTTCCTCTCCGCCAAGGTTGTCCAGCTCGACCGTCTCCAATTGGTCGGTGTCACTGCCATGTTCATCGCTTCCAAGTACGAGGAGGTCCTGTCCCCTCACGTCCAGAACTTCCGTCACGTCGCCGACGACGGCTTCACCGAGCAAGAAATCCTCAGCGCTGAGCGCTTCATCCTTGCTGCTCTCGATTACGACCTGAGCTACCCCAACCCCATGAACTTCCTTCGCAGAATCTCGAAGGCCGACAACTACGACATCCAGACCCGCACTCTTGGCAAGTACCTTCTCGAAATCGGATGCCTCGACCACCGCTTCATCAAGTACCCCCCAAGCCATGTCGCCGCCGCTGCCATGTACCTCGCCCGTCTCGTCCTTGACCGTGGTGAATGGGTAAGCATATTCTATCCTCCCGTGTCGTGCCTTGTGTGCTAACCAACAATAGGATGCTACCCTCGCCACCTACGCCGGCTACACCGAGCAAGAAATCGAACCTGTCTTCAAGCTCATGGTCGACTACCTTCACGGTCCCGTCCAGCACGACGCCTTCTTCCGCAAGTACGCTAGCAAGAAGTTCCTGAAGGGTATGTGCTTTCAATCTTCTTCCTGCTTTATCCCTTGCTAACAACTCTCAGCCTCTATCGTCCTTCGTCAGTGGGCCAAGAAATTTGCCCCCATGTACCTCATCGACTGCGATCGTGATGGTAGCGAGACCCCTCAAATCTAGGCGTTTGAAGGTCGTCCCATGACTGCTTTTGGCTTTCCTGTCTGTCAGCCTTTCCAAAGCAACAAATGATCATCCTTGTCCCTTCAACTTGCTTTACACATGGTCCGGCGTTTCTCGACTTGCAGCACTTTACACCGCAACTGGCATGGCGTTTTCGGCGTTTAAAGCGATTCTCCATTCTGGATAATGCCGTCATTCTGTATCAGCTTCATCACGTCCACACGCAACAACAAGAGACTCCGTTCGTCAACGTGCTCCTTTTCCTTTTTCCTCCTTTCGCGAGCACCGAGTTCAGACATGGACCTTGTTCTTGGACACTCATGGCTCTTATGCTGTTGCACCATGGGCTTCTATCCTAGCAACATGTCGCCGTCGTCAAGACATGCAAGGACCTTTATGGGAGGTTCTATCTGCTGATTTCTAAACACGGATGGCTTTTCGCTGCTGCTGTTTTGTTCTTTTACATTTCTGCTGCTCTGTTTGTTCTTCTTTCTCTTCTTACAAGTATCAACTAGCTTTTTTATGCTACAGCTCCTCTTCGCTCATGCGCTGCAGGAAAATGTAGAATGATATCCATGGGAAGCTTGCTACTGGTGTGCATCGGAGATGGCAACGAGATCCAAGGGGGGGCGAAGATGTTGGATGAGACGGTGTGGTCAAATTGTATTGGTTGTTTCTTCCACTGTTTACCTCTTGCTCTTTTGCTTTCCACAGACTTGTAGTAGCGCGAATAGCCACAAGCATGTTGAACAATAAGAGTCAGTTGCACGAAATGTATGTCTGCGGTCTGCTCTAATGTGTACTCATTTGTGAAGGCTCATCGTGCCGATGCATCCGCAGTTGACTGAACAAGGGAAAGGGTGGTGAACTCCTGAGGATTTACTCTGCTGTTCCCTCGGGTCAACAAATATCAGCAATAGCGCAACATCGCGGGACGCCTCGAATGCCCTCTCCGGTATTGTAGTTGCTCGAGTTCAAAGCGAACGTGGCTCTCACAATTGCCGTACAGAAGAAAACAAGCAACCTCTCATGCAAGAATGTCGATCACCCGCGAGCATCCCGAGCCGCAGAGAGTGTCATCATCATTTGTCCATTTTGTTTTTTGGTGTTCTATCATTTCGCATGCTTCTCCAGAGCACGTTGTTCGAATGTTCAGGGTCATTGGATGTGAATGCTTAGGGCGGCAGGCAAAGGATGTGTAGTTGCCCTTTGCTGCTGCATATGCTTGCGTGGTATTTCATTTGTTTGATAGTCTTCAGTCGTCATGGAGCGGCAGAAGACGTAGAGTGGGAATATCGCTGCTTGTTAAATACCCGAGGGCTGCAGTTGTAAACTCTCGATAATCAGACACTTCGAACTCAATCGACTCTCACGAGAAAACCAAGTCTTCACATCTCACCATGCGTACCTTTACCGCCTTCTTCACTCTTCTCTTGGCTTTGCTTTTTACTTCGCAAGTTCTCGCAGGTCCAGTCCTCGAGGTCAGTATGGTATGCTAATACTGAGCTTGATGTTGACATATCATACCAGGCACGTCAGAACTCCAGCAGCGCTACTGCGACTACTTCTTCGTCTTCTAGCACTTCGTCGTACAACGCTGCTACGGATACACAGAGTGGTGTTCCTGCTGGTGTTGGTACCGGCTCATCTGGCTCAGGCGAGGGTTCTTCGGGTCAGAACAGTAATACTAGCACCAGTGATGGTGTCGCAATATATGGTCAGTCGTTGAATCGCGCTGTGTCTGGCTGGTACTGACTGATCACAGCTGTTTCTGGAAGTGTATTGAGCATCATTGGCTTCGGTGCTATCCTCTTCGCGCTGTGAGATGTATGATTATTCGAGTGTGAAAACGATCCGGCAATCGATGTTGGTCGGCAAGGCGAGAACTACGCTCATGATAGATGTGGAGTTGGTGTTTAGATTATGCATATATGTGTAACGAAATGATCTTTGATCTAAGGCAGAGTGTATCCACCGTCTATAACCATATTTGCGCCAGTCATGTAGCCTGCTTCTGTCAGTCGCAACTTGCGAAGGCGTATGGCACAACTCACAACAAGCATCGGATGCCAGAAAGACATACGCCTAAAGCAAAATCGTTAGCTCTCGTCTTCCAGACAAATGTTTCGAGATACTGACAGATTTGAGCTCCGCGGCCTTTGCCATACGAGCGCCAGGAATCATATCGAACCACTTGTTTCTCCACTCCTCGGGATGAATCGACAGGATATCAGTCTCAACAAACCCAGGCGAGATGCAATTGACTCTGGCAAACTCAGTCCACTCAACCGCCAAGGACTTTGCCAGATGTACCAAAGCAGCTTTGGACGCATTGTATGCGGCCTGTTTCTGTGGAATATTGACCAGAATAGCACTGACCGAGGCCGTGAATATCATTGAGTTGCTACCCCCTTGTTTCTCAAAGATCTTGCCTGCAGCTTGGGCAGTGTACATTGCACCATCAAGATTGACGCTCATGATGTCGCGCCATTGGTCTTCGGAATAGTCGAGACCGGGGACTTGAGATGCGATGCCAGCGTTGGCGACACATACGTCTAGTTTACCAAAGTCTTTGGCGATCTGGTTGATGGTGTCTGTGATGTCTTTCTTGTTGGTGACATCGGCCTTGTACGCGGAGACCTAATCGAAGAAGGATAATTAGTATGGTTCTCAGTATAGGAAGTGTCATTCGAATTCTTATGTGGTGTGTTCGCAATCCATTGTACGTACCCGCGAGCCAGTCTCTTTGGCAATCTTAGCGGCAGTCTCTGGAGCAGAGTTGCTAGTGGTATAGATCAAGGCAACAGATGCGCCGGCTTCTGCAAGACCGCGGACTACTTCGAGTCCGATTCCTCGTGCTCCTCCGGTCACAGCGGCGACCTTTCCTCTCAAGGAGAATTGCGACAAGACGGGTGCATCGACATTTTCCGGGCGATAGAGCGGCATTGTTGCTGTTTAGGTGATTTCGAGTATCGGGTTTGTCACAGGCAGCCAAGGGAAGAGATCAAAGAGGGAAATGCGAGAGAGAAAGTATGGAGGACCGCTCCATCATGGCGTGACAAGGCAGCTACCATCTACTGATGATCGCGACTTCTTCTTCTTCGACAGCACACCTGCCTTGGGGAGAATCAACACCTTCGCATATCAAGAAGTGGAGAGTGGATGAAGGAGGATGGTTTCGGCAATCGGTACACAGTCACCCTGGCCAAGCTTTTCAGCCATGCCGATCAATTATGGTTCATTAATTACTGCCCGTAAACTTCCGTCTCATCGATTGGTATCTTCGTGATGATTGCAGTCCAGCAACTCAATAGCTTGATCCCGTGGAATCTCGTCGATCTGTGCTCTTGATGGTCACATCCCGTCCTTTACTCGTCCGATTGATGAATTCGGCATTAAAAACATCGTTCTCGTCATATCTCGTGCAAGCAGCCTCGTAATCTTTCTCGAATCCAGTAATGAGAAATCGTTTGACAACCCTTTGCCGAGCTATCTCAGGTTCGACCTCGACGAACCACCGCTCGTGCACCATGTCTCCAATCCTTGTCCAAGGGAGATCTTCGCAAAGCACATAGAGACCCTCGAAGATGACTATAGATGCATCACCAGCGACATTTAGGTTGTGGGCTTCGACATCCTCCACGTGTATTGTGAATGGTGATTTGATGTCGTTTTGTTCCGTGGTCTGTTTCTGGATTTGCTGAACAAGATCGACGGCCGCTGCTCCTTTGAATGTCCAAGACGGGCTTTTGGGTAAGATGCTACTGGTATCATTGTGTGACTCTTGGGAGCATCCATCCACTGATATTACAGAGCAAGAGACACCGCTCTGGTTGACGATTTTGGCGATTTTTGAGGCTATCCGGCCTTTTCCTGAGCCAGGAGGGCCAGCGAGGGCGATGAGTAGGCGTTTGTTTTGTTTTCTGGACGCATCTGGGTCCGGTAGAGCCTGGTAGCACGCCAGAGCACGTGTTGCCAGATCGTAGTAGCTTTGGCCCATGTGTTCAATTGCCGAGAAATGGTATGTTTGCCGGAAGTTATCGGTTCTGAGGTAGAGGTGGGATGTACACCTTAATGGGCGATCGAATGTAGAGAAGGTGAAAATCAACGTTACCGCATCAAAGGCCTAGAGATCGGCCCAAAGGCCTTTTAAACAAGACCAAACCGATAATGACGCCCTGCACTGGGTTCTGTAGGGCCAGGAAATTGCGTCCCTGCTTATTTTCGCGATGCTCCAGTTTTCCCCCATCCTCGCGAGGGGTGTGGGGTCTAAAACCCGGGCGCGATGACACCAAAGTATCCTAGGCATGTGCTAAAGTTCGTCATCTGGACCTTACCTCTAAAAGTCGCTTCTTCAGTGAGAGTTATTAGTAGAGCGGAGCGATACTTTCCAAGGACGGATGATTGTTATGGGAGAACTGACCAGACTCCATGTTCATGCAACACCTATTTTCTGACAGCTGCACGAGTGACACAGAAAGACGTACCGGAAAATATCGATCCACGACTGCCTCTCTGGGCAGCGGCCCGACTACCGACGGAGATGTGTCAAGTAACGTCTAGGTCTGGGTTCGCTCTGACCAAGAGAAACAGGTGAGTCGGTGACGGTGTGCACCGCTCCGCAGAGAGGGGGAGTCTCTGCCTGTCCTGCCCGTCGTGCTTGGGTACACAGGAGACTTGCAACGTCCTGGATAAAGGGCGTTGCATGTCTGCCAATGGTCTCTTCACCTCAAAACGTCAAGGGGACAGAGAAACATTCCTTCCTCGGTCATGACTGTGAGTGGGTTCCAAGATCCGGTCCTTCTCTGGCTGTTTTAGCACGGCAATGCGTCTGCCAAGCCACGGCACCGGATGCCTTCCGTGTTGCTGACTACGTCGACCAGAACCCATCCTTTGTGCTGCGAGCTGTCAAAGATGTCGCATTCGAAGATAGAGAGATCCCCAAACTCCGTGATGAACACGAAGTAAGGGTTCAGATTGCGCAGACTGGAATTTGTGGAAGTGATGTAAGCTCCGTCCACATTTCGATTTGTTATCCGTACCGGTTCTAAGTGTCGCAGGTACACTAGTAAGAAGAATCACTATTATCTTCGGAACTCGCCTTTTGACACAGCTCCAGCTGGCAGCGTGGTCGTATCGGAGACTTTACACTTCGAAGCCCTATCGTGCTTGGTCATGAGTCTTCCGGCACTGTTGTTGAGGTTGGCGGAGCAGTCAAAAACCTGAAGCAGGGTGACCGGGTCGCCATCGAGCCCGGAGTTCCATGCCGACGGTGCTCCTATTGTCGTGGTGGTGGTAAGAGTTCTTCCAACCCTGGACTCACTGCACGAGAAACTGATTCTCTTACAGAGTACAACTTGTGTAACGACACTATTTTTGCAGCTACGCCGCCATGGGATGGTGAGTCTCAATGCAAAACCAACGACAACTGGGTCATGAGCTGATCACGACCAGGCACACTTGCCAAGTTTTATACCGTTGCAAGCGACTATTGTTACAAGATTCCAGACTCTATGAGTATGGAAGAAGCTGCTATGGTCGAGCCAACAGCCGTTGCTGTACAGATAGCAAAGGTTGCTGATTTGAGAGCCAACCAGACAGTGCTCGTGTTTGGATGTGGACCAATCGGTGTTCTTTGTCAAGCAGTAGCGAAGGCATACGGTGCCCGGAAAGTAATCGGAGTCGATATCGTGAAGTCACGACTTGACTTTGCGAAGTCATACGGTGCTGACGCTGTATTCCTACCACCGAAGCCTGACCAAGGAGTCGATCCCATGGAACACTCTGAGAAGGTTGCGGCCATGATCAAGAAAGAGTTTGATCTCGGCGAGGGTGCAGAAGTGGTTTTGGAGTGTACTGGAGCCGAACAATCGATTCAGACTGGCATTTTTGCTGCAAAGAAAGGTGGCACCTACGTACAAGCAGGTATGGGCAAGGAAAACGTGCTGTTTCCCATAACGACGGCTTGTATCAGAGCCTTGAACATCCGTGGCTCCATCAGATATACTAAAGCTTGCTATCCGGATGCAGTTGAGCTGGTGGCTTCAGGGAAGATCGACGTCAAGCGATTGATCACCAACAGGTTCAAGTTTGAGGAGGCAGAGAAAGCCTTTGAACTCGTCAAAGCCGGCAGGGAGGACGTCTTCAAGGTGATCATCGAAGGCGTCCAGGACTAACGATCAGGAAGAGACCTGATCAACATTTCTGTATCTTGAATATATTCTCCCAGTGTCAGACCATACTTCCAGAGGGCCTGTCGAAAGGCCGATGCTTCCGATATCTTGTTGTGGCTGGGTCAAGATCTCGATACTACTTTGCTGAACAGTACACCGTGGTTATCACCATCTGCTTTGACGTGACACACACAGGTAAGGTACCTACATGTGACATATGAGAGATAACACAATCCGGTTCCTCCCGTGGCTTTGTATATATCGTGTCAGGGACTAAGTTTGGAAGGATCTCGATGTCGTGCCGTGGTCGCACCTGCATGCGTCTACAGGCTTTGCAAGTGCCTGCAGCCTCCAATTCATTCGTATCACTGAGAAATTCCACGACGACAATTCACTGTATAGTCTGAGATCAGGCGGATGCAAGAGACCGTGGTTGAAAGAAGTATAAACAAATGATCAGGATTGGCAATGAATGTTGCTAAGAGTTGATGAGCGCGGCCCACCATACGCCCGTTGTAGAGTTCCAAGCTGGAGGATCACAGGTGGTGGCTGTCCCGATTGACACAAGGAAGTAATGCGACTCATGTACCCACCCAGCAAAGATAAGGGGAGACTGTCCACCGGTTCACGTGTGGTGATATGCGTCAGTGGTCTGCTTGCGGGGTTGCTGTGGGGTTGAGAACTCCGGGGACTCCACCTTCACCAAGCCATGCGGGTTAGCGTGCGGGATGTGATAGACGGCGGCGGAATATAGGGACGATGAAGAGGCGCGGATCACTATAAGTAGAAGAGACCGTCTCTTGTCATAGTGCCACTTAAGCACAGCAATTCAACCACTGCTCTATACTTGACAGCACTATGAAGGACGCAGATATCGTTGGCCAATCCTTGGCCGAGGTCTTGCCTCAAACCAACAAATACTGGTTCCAGCACAAGCATCTACTCCAACTGAACCTCCTTCTTCTCGTTCCTCTCCTCTCATCTTCAGTGGCAGGTTATGATGGTGAGAAGCTTGGCCTCCGATGCATTGCTCTGTGTCACAGTAGCTGACAGATCTAAGGGTCGCTTATGAACGGTCTCCAATCCCTCCATCAATGGCGCGACTACTTTGGTAATCCAGTTGGGACCAAACTTGGACTGATAAACGCCGCTCAGTCTATTGGGTCAGTTGTGGTCTTGCCAGTCGTCGGCTGGGCAAGTGACCGCTGGGGAAGAAGATTGGTCCTCCTCGCAGGCATCATCGGTGTCGTATTGGCAACAATCATCCAGGCTACTTCAACGACCCTAGCCCAGCTTGTTGTTTCTCGTCTAGTAGTGGGTGCCTCGGGAATGTTTGTCGTTCAACCGGCACCTATGCTCATCGCCGAGCTCGCATACCCGACCCATCGAGGAAAGTACACCAGCGCCTTCTGGACGATGTACTACCTCGGAGCGATCCTTGCTAGTTGGACATGTTTCGGTTGCGAGAGCATCCAGAGCAATTGGGCCTGGCGTATTCCTACCATCATGCAAGCAGCATACCCTCTGGTTCAAGCGACCTTCTGGATGTGGGTGCCGGAGTCACCTCGTTGGTTGATTGCACAAGACCGCGCACCAGAGGCCATGGCAATCTTGGCCAAGTATCATGCTGGCGGGGACACCAACAGTCCATTGGTCGTCCGAGAGATGAGCGAGATTGTTGATGCCATCCGCATGGAGAAAGAGATCAAAACACCAGGCTGGGGAGCATTGGTTGAGACACCTGGCAATCGCAAGCGGTTGTTCATTGCCGTGTTCCTCGGCGCTGCTGCACAGTGGAATGGCATCGGCGTTGTGTCATACTACCTTACACTCGTGCTCAACAGCGTTGGCATTACGGACTCATTCACACAAACGCTCCTCAATGGATTATTGCAGATATTCAATTTCGCGGCCGCCCTATCTGCGGCTTTCCTTGTTGATCGACTCGGTCGTCGAACGTTGTTCATCTGGTCGGGCTTCGGAATGCTGATATCTTATATCGTGTGGACCGCATGCTCAGCAGTCAATAGCATGAATGGAAGCAAACCGGCAGGTATCGTGGTGATCGTCTGTCTGTTTACATTGTAAGCATAAGCATTATCCTGTATGTGGGATGAAATTTCACTAACTCGGGCAGCTACTACCACTATGACATTGCTTATACGCCACTACTAATGTCATATCCAGTAAGCTGAGAGCCTAGACCTTGTAACAAAGAACAATGCTGACCAGAGCCCTCAGACTGAGATTTTCCCGTACAGCCTTCGAAGCAAGGGGCTTACCTGCGAACTCCTCTCGATCTATATATCGCTGGTCATCGCTGCTTTCACCAACCCGATTGGCCTCGAGAATCTTGGATGGAAGTTTTACATAGTATTCTGCTGTTTCCTAGTCGTGATTCTTGCAGTCACTTACTGGACCTTCCCAGAGACCAAAGGACATTCGCTGGAAGAGATTGTGCAGATCTTCGATGGTCCACAAGCAATGAGAGATGTAGAGGAGAGCGAGAAGGAGGTCAAGAAAGGCTTCGAGGTCGAGGCTACCGAGAAGATTGAGCGAGTCTGATGATTTCCAGCTTTCCCATGTACAAGAGTATATTAAGCAATTCGATATTAAAACGCACAGTTCCTTCGTCAAATAGGAAGCACCCATTGAGAATCGTGATATTATCGGCTCTCAGTGGACTGATCTACCACCTGGAAAGAACTGTGCATTTTGATAGCTTTGACTCTGGCTATGCGTGGTCATGGGAGTGAGCCAATAATTGTGCACGTACCAATGGCTCATGGTCGCTCTTTCCTCGAAGACCGAGACCACAATGTGACATGTGGAGCAAGCACTCTCGCAAGCCAACACACGAAGGCGAATCCAAGTTATTGAGTCCAGTTCCAACTTTGTGGCATCGACTCAAGATCAACGTGCCCCTGATTCGTGACAAATGCCCATTGTGGATCGCTCATAAGCAGATCGGTGCTTGCAGGACTAGCATTTGGCCACATCATAGAATAGACATTGTTGATCTGAGTCTGTGGGCTCTCTTCTGTAGCGACCAGAGGAGCATTGCCAGAGACTGACGTAGAAGTTGTCGGGTCGAGAAAGTGTCCACAAAGACGCATGATCACAGACTGACATTCAATGCTACTGGGGTTGATTGCGTTCATCTCAGTCATGACCGAAAGGGTCTGCTGAATTTGTGAGCGCCAGTCCGAGGCTAGTGGATCGTTTGGTTGGTTGCGCAGACACAAACATGGTATCAAAGAAGCTTGGAAGATGAAATACCTAGTTGTTGTTAGTACGATTGATATGGACCCGAGGCGGACATACTTACAGAGAATACCAAGCAGCTAGTCTGTTGTGCACTCCAGAAGACCAGAATGTACGTATCGAAGAGATAGTTGTTTTTGCTTCATGAAGGCACCGATCGATTGCAGCTTGTTCTGAAGGAGGTGGACCCAATCCGTCCGATCCCTTAGCTGAGCTCAGCACGCTGCGAATTACGAACGGGCGGTACATGATAATTCGGAAGTTTCGAGCCCTGTTATGCATGATATGATGGCCGAGAGCGAATTTTGCAGGCACCTGCGCGACTTCAGCATACCATGGACCAAGGTTACGAAGCCAATTGCCTAGCAACTGATCATCAAGACTTAAAAGCTCAGAGGCTGATGGATAGGGTATAGAGATGACTCGTGTGTATATTCCAGCAGTCGCTTGATGAAATTTGGCTTGAGCGAGCATCAGACTGTATGTTGTGATGGTTTGTCGACTCTCCGGCCAAGATCTGGTGGCGTTGGTAAGATCTCGATCGTGTATGTTCGAAGGCAAGGATATCTCTATGCCTCTGTCCGGCCAAGACCACGGTCTACCAAATGTTACGAGTGCACCAGCGAAGAAATTGTACAACGTCCACCACATGCGTCGCCTGTTTTCGATGGCTAATGGGGGCAGTTTCCAGTTGGCGAACTCTTTGTGTAGACCGAGACCCATAGCCATGTGCAAAGCGAGTCCGAGATAATTATATCCACTGTACAGCACAAGTCAGCAAAAGTGTGAGGAACGATCGCATAGAACTTAGTGCTCAGCCTCCGCACCAGAAGTCGGACTTTCATACCTGTTTGGCTTTCCTCTTTTCTGTAAGAAATTGGACATCAGGACCAATACCTGCAGTAGAGTGACATTACCTTTCTCCAGCACATCAATCTTGACATTTAGCTTGGCAGCCTCGAACAACTTGAGGTCGTCGTTGCTCTTCTCATCCGTCGTAGTGGCTGTTGAGAACAAGCCGATAGCACCTATCATATATACCAGCGCTTCGAAAGCTTTGCCGTTGGGTCGAGGTATAATCGAGGAATATTGTGCCCTGAACGTAGGCTCGTGTACGATAGGATATTGTAGATGATAGGATGCGAAGTATGCATCAATGGCAGAGTCGAGATCAATATCCGCAAGACCGAGCTCTTCGTAAGCTAGATCTTTGTTGTCGTGAACTATGTGCTCCTGTGTATTGGTCTTTCGCCGTTGTCTGGCAGTGTTCCGCGGTTCAGCATCAGGCATTAGCAGGCGCAACATCGCGGCGCCAGATGATGTCCCTAGGTATCCAGCTCCTCGTTCTTCCACAGTCAGCGAGGCCATGCCATCCACAACCTCTTCGTCTTCGACCGTGGCCGTGTGTTCACGTTGCTGGACGGTGTCATCAAGATGACTTGCAGTCACACGAGAGATCTCATCCCAACTGAAATCGTCTACTTCTGAGGGAGGTTCTTCTGGCAAGCCACTGCCGCCATCATCTTGTTGGTAATTATCAAGAAGTTGATGCTCCAGCATTTCAGGGTGGATAGAAGTCGCTGAATCCAAGAATGCGTCTGGGTGGACAAACGGCATTTGCTCTGCTGTGCCACTGGTCTGATGTTCAGGCACATTCTCAATACTACTCGTGTGCATAAGAGAAGCCAGCTTTTCTTCTGCAGCAATGGCTCTACGTTCAGCCACCCTAGCTCTCATCTCAGCACGCCGTAGCTTCTCCTCGACCTCTGTAAGATTCTTTCTCGTCAATGGCGTCCGCCCGGCGGCCTTCTCATACAGACAGTGACGTCGATTACGAGAGCACGAAGTGCATTCTGGCAATGCGCGATCGCATTTTCCTTTCCTGCGTCGACATTCATTGCAGTTCGTCTCACTGACACCTAGACTTGTCGACATGAGGAGCAGATTGAGGTGACTCGATCATATGTGTGGAGGCTGTAATGCGACGTGTAGAGGATGTCGCGTGGTGATTGAGTAATCGTGCACGGTCCTCCCAGATGGCGTGGCTGGGGAATGGCTGGTGCCGTGAACTTCACCTTCCCAAGTCAATTACCTTCCTGTCATCATATTGTGTGCTGTAGATGTCGTTCCACATTCCCAGCGAGAGCCAAAATGTTGGTTCAACAAACTCGATGGCTGAGATGCTCTACGAACTGTATACCAGGGTTCATTGAATCGGAAAACACGATGATCAAGTCTTTTACGGACGGCAATATCTCGTTTTTGAAACCCATTCTACCTTAGAACACGGTATGATCTGAGAAAGAGACGGTAAAGAAACAGAACTTGCAAAGCCACGATGCTTGGTTGATGCCTTCCGCGACGCTGCCTGATGACCGTCGTTCGCCCTGAGAATGAGAGGCACCTTGGCTTACCATGGCCGGATTCTAGCGAACCAGACGCTGAACTACTGAAAGGGATCGGGTAGGATGAGCTGGGTCAAAAGATGCTTCGAGGCTTCTAGGTCTGTCTTGACAGCCATCTCCTTTGTGAGTAAACATCGCTCGCGGTGCCGGATCCGGAAATGCACCCTTTGTTCTCGGCAAACTCGAGTTGATACCGTCGAGATACAAATTGGACGCAACAGACCCAAACACGGACGACTGCATCACCTCCAACGCATCTCCAAAGAAGAGTACCAGCAACATGGCCGCACCGATAACTCAATGCGATCATCGCAGACAACACTGGCCAACGCGGCCTGCATGCGATCCCGACATGGGATACGATGACGGCTGGCGGCCTTGTGAACAGGAACCGACGAGGGGTCCGGCCACTGGCACTGCCCCCCATGGTCCTCGGACGATATGTTTAGAGTGCTGGCAACATACCATGCAACTACCTCCTCCAGCAGGTTTCGACTTTAGAAACCATATCGAGCATGCAACAAATGATCTTGTCTACCATCCCGTTCCGCATGGTACCGTGTGGCAATGGGATCTGCGTAACAGCGCTGTAGTCCGAGGATACAACCACAACATCGAGACAACTCAGACACTGCTCTGCAAGACTTGCACGGAGAAGGAGATAGCGCGATGGAGGCTCTGTGAAGCCAATCAAAATTACGCGCATGCATTCATTGTAGGTCGGTCTCAATGGGCCGCCGACGAACATACAAACACCTGTGTGTGTGTAAAGAAGTACATCACCCATCCGTACTACTGGTAAGTGTCATTGGAATGGAACAAACGAGACGAGACGAGAAGCTAATGGATATTTCCAGTCTCGATTGCATGAGGGGAGCTTTGAACGATCGTCTGTACACAGCCGATCAAAACAGACTATGGCTCCAAGACAAGGGTCACTCAGCTGCAGGCCAACGCAGACTCGTTAGCCTGGTTCATCGTGATGTTAGAGCAGTCGAAGACTACACTATACCTTGTCGTTGTGGCCGCGATGTTAACAGGTATGCCGTCGCGGCTGCACCTCAAGCCACTTTCTGCCTCGCATGCAATGGCACTAAAATCTGGACGAACAACATACCTGCAGCACGCTATCCAGTACGTGCGAGTCAACCACCACTTCCTGATCCAGCAGCGCCGTATCCTTTGCGGCTCAACGCTTCCAACGATCATAACAATCTCCCCGCCAATCTTCAGGATGGTGCTCCTGAAATCATACGCAGTCAGTTCTAAAGTGATATTCAAAATTACGGACATTTGGTGCAATAGAGGGGCGAAGAAATCAGTAGTAACACACAGTCGTACACCTCAGAATGCAGACTTCGTTTTCCTTACTTCACCCCAATCCAGCACGCTCACTTGTATTGAGAACGCGTCATTCATGTTCGAATGCTGATAGGACAAGACAACGGTGGTATGTAATTGTATAAAAGTAATGACGCTTGTGAAGAGACAATCCGAAGAGGCTCATGATAGAAAGGATTCATTCTAGGACAACATAGGCTTATCAAGACGAAGCTCCGTAACAATTCACCAGGACCAAGAAGATCGCATGACTTTCTCTACTCCTGCAGACCATGCATGTGACGGTAAACCTTTCTCAACTGCTCAAGAGTGACAAAGGTGATGATAGTGGAAGGCGCTCTGCTGATCAAAGCAGGTGTCAAGCCTTTGAACATCCAAGCAGCGCCTTCATTCTTGATGGTACGCTCAAGCATGACGGCCATACTGTGAGCTGAAGATTTGCGAGTCATGAAGCGGGCCTTGAAGACGTCAAGAGGGCTGCATATGAAGGTGGACAAGAAGCCTGCCAAACAACTGGCGGTGATGTGTGTAGGGACCTTGTCACCCAGGGGGGTTCGCTTCATTAATTCGCGCTTGATGACATCGTAGCCAGCCAGTTGTGTTGCTGTGGCGATAGCTGATCTGCCTGCACCAAGCCATACACCCGTCCAGATGCTGTTCCAACCTTCGGCACGCACCATCTTTTGTACACCGTCGGCGATATTCTTGTAGTTGCGGCGTAATTCAGGTGATAGGCCAGGATCGGCCTGCATGCGGAGACAGACAACGTCGGCAAAGTTGCTGCACACACTTCCGGTGAAACCTGAGGACGCAGCCATGAGAGCAAGAGCAAGGCCCGAGGGTGCGTGAGTGGACGTGCTCCCCAGCTCCTTGAGTTTCTCGTACATGCCGAAACGAACACCAGAGTAGAAGAAAGTTCGCGTGAGCGAGGCGCTCAACTGTCAAAGTGTCAGGGTATTTGTGGTCAAAAGATGAAACTCACTCACGCCTTTCTAAAGCCCGAAGAAGCGCTCATGCATCCACACTTGATGCCAGATCCGAAGCATACCCAATTGAGGGCCCTCGTGGTGGACAGTCTGCAGACGAAGCTACAAATCGTGTCAGCGTCAGGTTTGCGAAGCGACATGAGGACGGTCTTACACCCGCTTTGGTCATGTCAGCTCCCATCAAGACCATAAAACGACGCATGTGTGCTTACCGACTCCCAGAGGCTGAGTGCAAACATTTGAGACGCAGCTGGCCAACCCTCCGAACCAGAATGGGTAGTGGATGACACCATGCTCGGAGTGGATGGAGTTGTCTTTATCAATGACAGTAGGGTGCAATTCGATGAACAGCTTTTGGGTGATTGGTGGAGGAGGAACCGGTGCTCCATCAAGATGAGTAGCGGTCATCGTCACGGTACCTCCAGTGCTGCCGCTCATGATGAAGCAGCAAAGTATTCGGAACGATATGGATAGGAGTAATGAAAAACCCGCGGGTGTGACTGGCGGATGCAAAATCAGGGATTGCATCCTCGACGAAGCTTTGTTGAAGATTTACCTGCGGCTTGAAATTTTCGAGGAAGGAGCGATGGTGGATTACTGCAGCAGAAACACTTCAAAAATATGGCTTTCGACAGATACATTCTTGTCGACTTTTGCACCATGTCCAAAACCCTACCATAATCGTCTCACAGATTCCAATTTTTTTTTTTTCGCAAACTGCACAACTGGACGAACCTTGAAAGTCCTTATATTGGCTCTGGCTGCAATGTGCCGCACACTATCCGTCGACGAAAATCACCACTCGTTCGTCAGGCAGAGCAAGTATTGTGGGCAGACCAATCGCTCTGGTGTAGCGTTGCATGTATCTCAACCAGCCCAACCATCTTCATGTCTCCCTTCTTGGACCAGCTCTTTTTCTGCTACGATTGTAGCACTCTATCAAGGAAGCGCAGCGCGACGCGTCTCCTTGTCTGCCTGTCTCCCATTGGTATCGGTGATTTGGCTCAAGTTGGTTTTGTGTTTCGCGATCATGACTCAATATTGAATATGGCTTTATCGTCACGGATCGAAAGGACTGCGGCGGACTTCGGCTTTCTATCATGTGGTCGCTCCTGTACCCGGCATCGCCGCACATTCCGGTGTCGGAGAACGTTGTCGTCAATGCGCGTGGCCGGTTGCCGCGCGGTACTCACACGGCGTGAGCGTGTCGCGCACACGAGAACACGCTATATAGCTGAATTTAGCTTGCATCATCTGTCGACGTCGGTAGTCCACCGTTCTTGATCTTCGGCCGATCGGATCCTGCAACGACAAGAACCGCTTGTTGATCCTGGCGAGGTCTGCACGATGGTGTCCCCATGGGGAGAAAGAGGAGAGAGGAATATGATGTGTCAGAGTATCGTATATGGGAGATTTTGTGTGTCATCCCAAGCGGGGTTTAACATTGAGTTCAGACGACACCTCGGGTCCTGGGGTCACTAGCTTGTCGACGACATTGCATCGCCGACGAACTGTGACGAGGATGGCTTGGAGTTGAAAATGATTGATTCATCACGCAAAGCAGTGAGATGTGTAGAGGTAGAAAGGATGCGCAATTGTGTTGAGAGGGCTGGCCAAGTAAAACTCCAGGTCGTGTGCTCTTATCGCTGGGTTTCGGTCAACGTAAATCGCATACGTGCAAGTTGGTCGCAATCGCCTTGGCTTCGATAGGAGGAGTCAGGAATTCGTCTCATGATCCCTGACCCAGCTGATGCAGTGACGCCTTCTTCGTCAAATATTACCACAAATTGTGGGATGAGACTTTGTTCTACTGGGATGGTGTCGGAACAACTCGCGCGAGAACGATAGGGCAGGTCTGCGCTGAAGCGCCTCCATTATTGCCTTCAAACGGCGGTTGGATTTGTGTACTTTTTCGTACTTGCATGTGTATTGTGTGGTTCAACGGAGTGGCCGAGCTTGTTATCGCAAGATGAGGCGAAGGAGCACCGAGTCACTCATGTTGTCTTCTGTGTGATCATGGAAGATCTGGTGCCCACAAATGGTCCGATTCAAGATAGCATGACAATGTGAATGCTGAAGGACATTCATGCCTAGACGTGAATTCGACGCTGCCGTGCAAAGCTTACGGCTTGTCGCACAAGACAATTGGCTGGCCAAGCGAGCTTCGAGTGCTTGTGGCGTGTGCGACACTTGATAAGCTCGCGAATAAGCACACCGAGAGCAGAAAGGGTAAATGGGAACAACGTCGTCTGCTGGATTGAAATATCTCTTTTCCAAGACCGTGATGTTGGACAATCGATTCATGGCGTGACAGCACGAGCCACAAAGTCGCATTTCTATTACCCCTTCGAATTGTGAAATGAGAGGGTAATGGAATCCTCTCTTATCCGGGGGTCCTCGTGGACGCTGAGACGCTCAGATGGGGTCGGCCTGATCTCCTGGATGGGATCCACTCCATGTCCAGAACTAGGTGCTGGGCAGATCGTCGAGATTTGCGAAGGCTAGACGAGTGTAAGCCTTCACGAGATTCGAAGTGTCCGGATTAATGTGTGGCCGGGCAGTTTCTAGAAGTCTTCCACTGCGGCATGCGCGCCACTGCGACTGAAGCAACTAAATCTTTGCTGATCACAGATGCGACGACAGGCCAATCTCCTGTCGTCGAGACAAGATCCTGGTGCCAACAATAAGCAAAGATTGAGAGACGCGCTCTGAGTGGTCTGTTGGCAGTGCCACTATCAGTCCTCTTGCCGCTAAAAAGCAGCTAGAATGTTTTGAGTTTGGGTCGAGGCCCAGGCCGGTAGACTTTGGGAACGACCTTGAGACCAACATGTGGAGGTACACGGAGCACGCGAGCTTGTATGAGTGCCACCCATCTATCATATAAGAACATGTCTACACCCGTCTCGATGAGGCTTCTGGTTCTCATCAGCGACTGTTGCATTCTCTCCTCGTCCTTCTTTACCTTCAAGGGACTCTGAGAGTATCGACTCTCACCCTATCACATACTTTTTCTTACCTCCCTCCATTCGTTCTTAGAGAGACCAAAAGCACAATGTCTTCTGAGAAGCCCGCATACATCGTCGACTCCGGCGATGCCCACTCCGATGAGAAGGCACCTCGCCGTGGCTCAACAGCCGTTGGTGAGGCTGCTGATCTCTATGGAGACATCGAGACTGCCGAGCAACTCGGCTACGTCTCTCGTGGTCTGAAGTCGCGCCACATTCAGTTCATCGCCCTCGGTGGAACCATCGGTACTGGTCTGTTCTTGGGTATCGGCAAGGCCTTTGCCCACTCTGGTCCTCTTTCTGTCCTCCTCGGTTACACCTTCACCGGTATTGCCATCTGGGGAATGATGCAATGTCTTGGTGAGATGGCAACCTGGTTGCCTCTTCCCGGTGCCATTCCCCAATACTGTGCACGTTACTGCGACCCAGCGTATGTAAGGCAAGGGTACAGATAGTACAGGTCAAAAGCCATCAGATGGCTTTTTGACTTTCGTCTGCACCTTTTACTACCTTCACCTAAGAAACATGCTAACTGTACCGTTATAGTATGGGCTTTGCCGTAGGATGGAACAATTGGTACAACTCGGCAATTACTTTGTGTGCTGAGATCTCAGCTGCAGCTGTAGTTATCGGATACTGGAATGATACCATCAACCAGGCTGCTTGGATCACCATCATCATCGTTGTCGTTCTCGCCTTGAATATCTTCGCTGTCTCCATCTATGGTGAGGCTGAGTTCATCTTCGCTAGTGTCAAGATCATCACAATCGTCGGCCTGCTGCTTGTCGCCCTTGTTATCGACCTTGGCGGTGCACCCAAGCAGGGTCGTCTTGGTTTCCGTTACTGGATCAAGCCTGATGCCGGTGGCATGAAGGAGTACATTGGCAAGGGTGATACCGGTCGCTTCCTCGGTCTGTTCGCTACTCTCATCAACGCCACTTTCTCGTACGGTGGTGTTGAGATGGTCGCCGTCGCTGCTGGTGAAGCCGAGAACCCTAGGAAGAACATCCCTAAGGCCGTTCGTCGTGTCTTCTGGCGTATCCTGTTCTTCTACGTGCTTGGATCCCTTGCTATTGGTGTCACTGTCAGCTCAGACAACCCTCTACTCACCGCTGGCGGCGTTGGCGCAAAGTCGTCTCCCTGGGTCATCGCTATCCAGTCTGCCGGTATCCCTGCATTGCCTTCAATCATCAACGCTGTCATCTTGACCTCTGCTTCGTCGTCAGCCAACGCCTTCTTGTTCAGTGGTTCTCGTTACCTCTTCGCCCTGGCCCAGAACGGCCAAGCACCCAAGATCTTCCTTAAGTGTTCCAAGAGCGGTGTCCCTTACTACGCCGTCCTTGTCACCGCTTCCATCTCGCTTCTTACCTACATGAGCGTCAGCTCCGGTGCCAGCACCGTCTTCAACTGGTTCCAAAATCTGTGCTCCATTGCCAACCTCATCACCTGGATCAACATCTTGATCGCATACATCCAGTTCCGCAAGGCACTGATTGCCCAAGGTGTCGACCGCAACAGTCTTGTCATGAAGAGCAAGTGGCAGCCTTGGACTGCATACATCTCCCTGGCCTACTTCTGCATGATCCTGTTGTTCAACGGATTCGCAGTCTTCACCAAGGGCCACTGGAGCATCGATGACTTCATCACCGCTTACATCGGTATTCCCATCTACATTGTCCTCTACCTCTTCTGGAAGGTGTTCAAGCGTGAACCTTTCGTCAAGCCTGCCCAGGCTGATATCTGGTCTGGCAAGGCCGCCATGGATGCCGAGATCTGGCCTGAGCAGAAACCCAGAAACTTCATTGAGAAGGTCTGGTTCTGGATTGCTTAGATGACGCGGTGGTTGGTTATGTCGCTGATGAAAAAAATATATCCCTTCGATTTTCTGTCGGTAGATAATGAGACAATACTTAATGCTTTACATTCTTCATACAAATGTTCGTCCCGATTTTTGACTCTTGTGATCCAGTTCCGTTGGAAGGTGTGAATGTAAGACCAGAGTAAAGCCGGTAATGCAATTTTTCCGAGAGATAGTACTCTCCCAGTGCAAATTTATGTTATCAGATAGCTGTAGAAATGCACAGTTCCTTCAGTATCTAAGCAGGATCCAGCGAGAGTCATCATGTTGCCGGCTCTCTGTGTTCTTTGCTACAATCTGGAAAGAACTATGCATTTTGATGGCTTCATCTCCGCCTGATAGTTGGCGGGAGACTGAGTGGTAGTGACAGAGTTTAGCACATGGGGAGGGTATTGCTCGTCCTTGACTATTTCTCCTCGCGTTCGTAGCTCCACAGCCGCGTGTCGGTAGGTAGTGAATTGGTGACCCCAAGATATTACTTAAGAAGGCCGAGAAGAGATGTTGGTGTGTGTCGACTTGGCCTCAGGCTGATGTCAATGGATCAACTACAGTCAAATTGTGAAGAAAGAAGAGTTGACTCATCTGTCACTCATAGGGCGCTGCTGAGAGTTTTCCGCACATAAACAATTTATTGAGGACTTTTCGGTAAACTCGACACGACCGCGCAGCACGGAAAACTACGCCGAAACCCGTGAGACAGTTTCCCGAGAGAGACAAACTTTTACCGAGAAAACGCGACTCCAGTGCTTCGCCGAGCGACAAGCGTTCATCCTGTGCTTGTGTTCCACGGTCACGAACTCGACACGGCCAGACATGATTCTGCAAAATGGACATCCACGAGAAGTCGAGATGGCAAGTAACTACACGACTACGCGGATACAAGAATGCCATACAGGCCTAAAACTTTTAATTCGGTACTGACAGTGTCTACGAAGAACGTAACGCGTCTCTTCTGCTACTTGAGGCAGGGTCGAGGAAAGGCTTCTCACCCAGAGAACAGACACGATCACCTGCTCTTGCAGCCTCGTAGTCGTATGTCGCCGTGTGCCACGTGGATCTGTTATCCCAGATTGCGAGATCATTCTTGTTCCACTTGAACCGGACCTGCGCATCATGGTTTTGTGTAACAAGCTGGTTCTGTTAGTAAAGCTAATTGGCAAGCAGATGATTTGGATACGTGACTTACGTTGAAAAGATATTGCAGCAGTACATCGGATTCGTCTTTGGTCACGCCATTGATGCGTCGTGTGAAGCCACGGTTCACGTAGACGCTCTTCCATCCTGTGACCGGATTCGTGCGAATGATGGGATGCACAGCTTCCAGTGCCGGTCCTTGGTTGAGAGGAGAGCCTCGAATGGTTGTGCGAAGTGGATTGCCAAGCCTTGCAGCTTCCTCATGGAAGAACTTTGCTTCATGAGTCGCTGTAAGTCCCTCGAGGAATTGAGCCAAAGCAGGCGAGAGGCGGTCATAAACTTCGTAACCTGAAGCCCAAAGCGTATCACCGCCGGTCTGTGGTAGTGTGTGAATCTTCAGCATAGCATAATCCGAAGGCACAGGCTCGAAGGTAATGTCTGAATGCCATCCAGCACTAGCAAGGCGCGTGGTGTCGCTGAGCTGGTGGGTCAAACCGCCACCCTTCTTCTGCTTCTCAGAGCTGATGACACTTATTTGGTCGCCCAGCTCGCTGCCTTCCTCGGTCAAGGGATGGACGTGAAGGCTGGATGATTCAGGCTGAGATAACATACCAGTCAGCCAAGGCAACTCTGGAAGTTGGGAGCAATACTTACGCAACCCGAGAGGGTCGTCAGGCGCTCCATAAACGCTTGCATCTGTTGCGGTGTCACATCCTGGTTGCGCAAGAAGACTACACCACGCTGCGAGACTGTCGGAAGTTGTCAGAATCTGGTATGTTCAGGACTTGTAAGACTCAGACTGACCAGTAACAGCAATGTCTCTAATCAAAGCATCACCGTTCTTTGCGGCTAGCACATCCGCCACTTGGAGTCCATGGTATTCACGACCAATAACAGGTGTCAAGTCTGAGTTCTGGTACGAATCCAACAGACCGCTGTATTCCAAAGGCTTAGTAAGGCGCGAGCGAGCCTCACTGGGTGACGGCACTTCGAACACCTCTGGAATAATGTTTCCAGGCATGCTTCTATGCGTGGTGGTCCGTTGATAGCCTGTCTGATTGGTTACACAAAAGGCGTTCCCTGCAAAAGACGGATGGATGTAAGCCAAAGAAGATTAGCCGGGAAGCTTTTATATTTACAAGAAGTATATCCCTCGGATGCTTCGATCGGAAATCATCACCTGGAAGGGCAACAAGAACTCCGGATAATGCTGCCCTACTCATGGAATAGCCGGCAGTGCAACGTGGGATCACAGATTATCTTGGTACGAGGCCGGAAACGAACAATACAAGCGACAATCCACGATGCTCCTTTCCTAAAACACATGCGACTCTGTTCATTGGAGGAAGATGTATGTCGGTGAGGATCTTGCCCAGTTAGTCGATGGCGACATCAGCACGCTGAAGCACGACTAGACGCCAAGCCATACCATCTCCCCTCAAAACCCCCACCAACCGCGCCACGATCTACTCACAACCAATAATGGACAGCTGCAAACGTCCAAAGAAGCGAGATCAATCACCTTTCTAGAGTGGTTGAGTATCATTCTCCGTGTCGGATCCGCTCTGTCATCTCGTCTATAGGGTTGAATCAATTCGAGAATTCACAAGGCCGGCCGGGACCGTCTGTTCCTGATGCAACCTCATAATATAAAGAGTGTACATCCACTCAAGACTATCGGTAGGTTGCGATCCATTCTAGTCGCCGATTGTGATTTCACGCTTCTGCCATGGACGACTCTGCCATCAAGCCGGCTCTTTATCCTGCTTCCACTGTGGAACAGGATCTCAAGCCTACTGCTCAAGTAGGCAGGGATCACATTGACCTCCGCCCTCATGAGTCTTACGAAGGTGCAACCCGCTGGGATCCCTCGGCGGAATGGACTCCTGAGGAAGAGGCCCGAGTTGTGCGAAAGACTGATCTTTACCTGCTTTCTTTTCTCTGTTTTATGTTTTTTGGACTGCAGCTCGACCGAGGGAATATCGGTAAGTTGGCTGAAAGCACAAACATCATGTTCAGTCAGGACTTGGTGTCATTGCCACCCAACCTGGTAAAATCATGCTAACTGTTCTGTGCTATAGGTAATGCTCTTACCGATAACCTTCTTCCTGATCTGGGTCTCGATACGAACGACTACAACAATGTAAGACATACCGCAAATGTATGGGACATGTATACTCACACCCCTTAGGGCACCACAGTGCAACTTCTTTGCTTTCTAGCGGCTGAGTTCCCTGTCCAACTCCTGATTAAACGCTACGGTTTCAAGCAGATCCTGCCATTGATGATGATGGGCTGGGGTACGGTCTCATGGGGTCAAGCATTCATGACCAACAAGACTGGCTTCTATATCACGCGTGCATTGATTGGTATGGGAATCACACCAGAGCCTAAGCAGAACGCCGTGCTGACTATGTTATAGGTGCATTTGAGGGCGGTTTCATCCCCGGAACGATCCTCTTCGCATCTTACTTCTACAAATCAGCCGAGCTATCAGTGCGTTTGGCAGCTTTCTGGTCGACTCTCAACGTCGCTCGCGTGATCTCCGCCCTTTTGGCTGCAGGAATCTTGGAGATGCGCGGTGTGCACGGCCGCCCTGGATGGTGTAAGTTTTCCTCCCCATGTGCTAAGATTTGTGACTCTGAGTCTCCCACAATCTTCTCTTTCACGGAGATATGGAGCGGAAAGCTCGCTATAAAAAGGCACAGTGTTTTCGTCGTTAGAAGTCTATCCCAAGAGAGATCAGCGAACACTGCGTCTCGATGGATCCGATTCACTTCTCGAGGCCACTGTGCATTTTTATAGCTACGCGCGTCACAAATCTTTGCAGATGTGTGATTATGGTCGTGTATGAGACGAGCTAATGATTTTCAGTCTGGCTGTTCCTACTCGAAGGTCTCTTGACCTTTGTCATCGGTCTCGTCAGCTATTTCTACCTGCCTCACTCCCCCACACGTACCAAGGGCGCGTTATGGCGCAAGGGATGGTTCAACGAGCGTGAAGAGATCATTCTTGTTAATCGCATCCTGCGTGACGATCCCGCCAAAGGATTGACAGCAATCCAAGAGCCAGCTACCATGCGCGACATCATCAACACCTGGAGAGACAGCTCAACATGGGGACTGTACCTGGTCGGTCTCATCGCATACATTCCTGCAGCACCAGTCTCTGGCTATCTATCTTTGACACTCAAGCGCCTCGGATTCTCCACCTTCGACTCGAACATGCTTACTATCCCTTCTGCTGTTTTGCAAATCATCCTGATGCTTGCATTGGCATACAGCAGCAACCACTTCCTGGAGCGCACATGGCATTGCATCTTTGGCGAATTCTTTATCATGCCATTGCTGATTGCTCTCATTGCGTTACCGTCTGGAGGCTACAACTGGGGCCGCTTCTCCATCTCAACACTCATCAGTGGATACCCCTACTTCCACCCTATCGTGGTGGCATGGATCAGTGAGAACACTTTTGACGTCAAGAAACGTGCTATCTCTGCTGCCACTTACAACGTTATCGTTCAAGTCGGCTCAGTCATCAGTTCGCAGATCTACCGCAAGGATGATGCGCCCTACTATTACCGCGCCAATAAGGTGTTGGTGTCTATCTGCGCGTTGTCGCTGGTCACTTTCATTGCTCAGCGTGAGTATCTGCGTTACTTGAATCGTCGCAAGGAGAAGTTGTGGTCGGCAATGAGTAAGGAGGAGCAGTTGGCCTATCAGTACGACCAGGTGGAGAGAGAGAAGGATGGTAACAAGAGACTGGACTTTAGGTTCCAGTACTAATGACTGAAGTGATGAATTTGAGAGAATGGTGGTCTACGTCCACATGCCATATCGACTAATCGTATGATCGAATATTCATCTGTTGCTCTTTTCGTGTGCACAGGATGTGACACGTATAGCTCATGATAATGCACAGGACTCTTGTGGAACGCAACAATGTCCATTGAGAGTGACATGTTTTGGGCTCTCTTTGAACACGCTTCAGGTCTGCAAAACACTGTGCATTTCTACGGCGAGACGCATCTCAAGACCTTCGTAGAGGAGAGTGCGAGTTATAGATTTCAGCACTGGCCTGCTCCATATTCCACCGTACAGAGTATAGTTCTCGATCAACCTCGACACGTTTCCAGATAGCTTTATAAATGCAACATGGATCCACTTTGTGGTCGTGTACAGAAAGTTATTGATATATACACGAATCGTGTTGATGGACGAACGAGGAAATGGCAAGCGCGACGAGGTGGACTGTGCCTGCCGAACGTCAATCCGCAGCACAAGCACGCCATCACTCAATCCCGAGGGCTTCATTCAACAAACATAGCGGTTAAATGATAGGAAACAGCTAGCCGACATCGTCATGCAGATTGATCCTGCCCACCTTTCTGCCTCAGGCGGCTGACTCACATACTTTCCACGTCTTCCAACAGTCCGAAGGAAAGCCAGCCACGTCAACTGATATCTCCAAATCACCCATCAACCATGTCAGCCAACCTCACCCCGGAGTCAAGACTCCCTCTTCCATCAAGTTCCGCCAAAATTCCCGTCCTTGGTCTCGGAGTCTGTGTATCATCAAGATGTGAACAATCCGTCTTGTCCGCCCTCGATAAGGGATACCGCAGCGTCGACACTGCGCAAATCTACTACAACGAGCGCGAAACCGGTACTGCCGTCAACAAATTCCTGTCTCAGAATCCATCAGTCAAGCGCGAGGACATTTTCGTCTGCTCAAAGTTGTGGGAAACAGATTTGAGCAGAGATGACATGCCCGCTTCTTTTGACGAATTGTGCAATGCTGGACCTTGGCCTTTGAACAGTCTTGAAGCTGGCCACACCACGTATTCCAAGGAAGCTGCGTTGGAGGGAATCAACAAGAGTCTCAAGACTTCAGGTCTCGGTTACTTTGACTTGTATCTCCTTCACAACCCTCGTCCTGGCGCTGAAGCACGCCATCAAGCCTGGCTGGGACTCCAAGAAGCGCTCAAATCCGGCAAGGCCAAGGCCATCGGTGTCAGCAATTGGTCTCCCGCACACATTGATGCTCTGATGGCTCACTCGGACGTCGATATCTTGCCAGCTGTGAACCAAATCGAATTTCACCCTTGGAACCAACAAGGCGTTATCCTCGACTACTGCCGCTCAAAGGGCATTGTGGTGACAGCCTACTCACCCTTGACCCAAGGAAAACGTCTCAATGACCCCGTCATCAAAAAGATTGCCGAAAAGCATGGCAAAACTGCTGCTCAGATTGTTTTGAGATGGTGCTTGCAAATGGGCATTTCCATCATTCCAAAGAGCGATCGTGATGAACGCATCGCGGAGAATGCGAATATCTTTGGCTGGGAGCTCGATGGAGAGGACATGGTGGAGACTGAAAAGTTGGACGAGGGCCAGAAGGGCAACATTGGAGAGTGGGATCCTTTTGCTTACAAGTGAGCGGACTGGGGCAGATGTTTGAGTTGGAATGTATATAGTATTTTTTTTTTTAAAAAAAAAGCAGCAACCCAGTCAACTAGAAATTGGTCTCACAAGCACCCTCAAAAGGTCATATCAATGTCATAAACAGCTTCTTCGTGACTAGAGCAAATACTGTCTTCTTGACAATTATAGCTAGAAGGCAATGAGCTCGCAGTTAGGATATAGTCAAACATCCTACAAAGCTGTGCACATTGCTGCGATTTTGTCATGAGTCTCGCTGGCAGCTAGAATAGTTGGTACAACTCGGCGATAACATAGTATGCTGAATTTTGCCGCTGGGTTTGTTAAATCAAACATTAGAACGATATCATCAACCAGGCTGCTTAGATCACTTCCACCATTGTTGTCATTTCTGCTCTGGACATCTTCGCTCTGTTGACCTATGGTGAGACTAATACGTAAAAATCAATTCAAGGACCATGGATACATCATAGACCCTTACTCGCTAGCATTTGTTGTGCTTCTGATGAACATTTACGAATCTGAACTTTGATATGTAGAAGATGAAGAGGATACGAAAAGAGGATGCGACATAGGCTACTCGTGCTACGTGATCTACCTACTGATGATATAGAGCATGCGCAGAATCGCTGCTGGGATGAACGTTTTTCGAGGATGAGGAGAACCATAGCTGTCGCCGGAGCGCAGAAAGCGAATAGTACTTCGAAGGCTCCAACCATCACTGCGGACCCTGGTTTGCAGACCAGATTTGACCACCAAGGTTGAGAGAGTACTTTGAGGGTGATCAGAGAAAAAAAAAAGATAAAAAAAATCATGCGTGTATTTTGTTTCTCATTAGGCTATAGATTGCAGTCTCGTAATGAAAAGAAGATGTTTACACGTGCTGCTTGATGGCGGCCTCGAGGGCAGAGGGGTTGGCACCAACAACGGTAGCAACCTCCTGGCCGTCCTTGAAGAGCATGAAGGTGGGCATGGCACGGATGCTCAGCTCCTGGGCGACCTCGGGGAGCTCGTCAACGTCGACCTTGTAGAAGCGGGCGCTGGGGTATGTGGAGGACATCCTGTTGGTCACAGTCAGTCGATTGTTCGCAAGGACAGTAGCAGGCAGGAAACTCACTTGACGACCTGAGGGGCGATGGCCTTGCAGGGACCGCACCAGGTGGCAAAGAAGTCGACGACCATGAGGGTGCCGGTCTCAGCACGAGCAGAGTCGAAGTCGGCCTTGCTGTGGAATCTGTCAGTTGTGGCCCTTGCATTGTACGCGCTTCACTAGTATTCTCCCAAGCTCTTGATCGAGTCATCGGGCGCATGGGCGCATGGGCGCATACAGCTGCAATATGCGACACACGCAACCCGCGACAAGACGGCAGCTGAACATTGAACAGGAAAGGGTCGCTACTCACGCCTGGAGGTTGTGGACACCGGAGGAAGCCATTGAAGCGGTGAAGGATCTGGTTGCGGCGGGCTTGAAGGAAGCGGGCTTGAGGAGATGCTGCGAAAGGGCGGCGGGTCTGGCGATTGTTCTGGCGACGGAAAAGGTCGAGGTGTTGCGTGTGGTGCGAAGAAGGCTACGGCGGGCGCTGGAGGCAAGGGACATGTAGTGTGTTATGGTGTTTGAATGTAGGTACTTGACGACTGCTGAACAATGCAATGACGGAGCGCCTCAATGCTCAGCTAAGCAATCCCCTCCCTCTCAGCCACGCCGCCAAGCCCTTCTGATTATATAATACGTGACGTTTCTAGCACCTTGTCTTTCTTACATACACACTCTTCACCGAGCTTGCTTTATCATCTCTGCTCTTGCAATCCATGACATGGTAGAGGCGCTATGACAAAGAAAGCTGAAAGCAACCAACCACGCACAGATAGAACATCTGAATCAATCTTCGAAGCCAGTCTTTGGTTCGAGCTGATGTAACGCTTCCTATAGCTGTCCTGATACTGTATCTCTGCAGTGACATCTGCTGTACTGTACAAGTGATTCATCTTGAAACCTCCGCTGCTAGGCATCCCACCATAGCCCTCAACACTCTAAGCTCAATGAAAAGAGCCAATACATTGCTCTCCAATGCATGCCCGCAAATCAAACAGGGTATCAAAAAACATCTCCATCCACGAATTGGAGTCATAAAACGAAATTGCAACAAAAGAACACAACTTCATGCCATCCGAGATGGTTCGGCGCTCAATAAACAAACGAGATGGTCTAAGGGACGGTGGTTGAGGAATGCCACTTATTCTTGACGAATTTGAGGCGATCCTCGAGGGCTCGCTTCTGAGAGAAGCGTTGTAACACTCTTGCTTCGTTTCGGTGCAATATCCAACATCTTAGCACTGCCTGCGCTGAGGGTCTTACCATGGCCCAACATGCGACCGTAGTTGACACTCTGCGCCTTGTGCAACTCCACTGGAGAGTGTTCGGCTGAGTCGCTGCTCAGACTGCCCTCGCGGGATGGCGTTACGGGCTCTGCTGCTTGGTACTCGGTGAGAAGTCCTTCGCGGGATTTGAAGCGGGGGTCGTTGTGGACGACTGTTGGTCTACGACGTGCTGTAGCTTTTCTAAGTGGTGCGGCCTCTCCGGGGCTAAGATCTGCTGTCGGTGTTGTCTCAATAGCATATTCTGCTGATACACGACGACTGCCATTGTCTGGTGTCAAGGCAGCAAAGTATTCATGCTCTGGGACGGGTAGTTTGTCGAAGCTTCCGGTGAACTCGGGCTTCGCCTTCTTAAGGGAGCTCAAGCTACTGTGAGGATGCGAGGTGTGAGACGTGTTTTTACCCAGGCGTCCGCTAATCCAGCTGCCTTCGGAATCGACGGATCCATAAGATTGAGACAGTACTGCCGACTCCTCGTCTTCGAGTATCGCGGGCGAGTCGTTCCTGATGGGGCCAGACTGGTCTATCATCTTTGCCTGCGTATCGGGGCCGCGTTTGGCACGCTTTGCAGCGGCAACTCCGGCTGTGATGATGCTGAGTTCAGGCGACTGGACGCGAGACGATGGTGGAGAGATGGGAAGTTCGGGAAGATCCTCGCGGAACTTGCTCTGAGTGCGTGTTGGGGCGCCAGATTGACGCGATGTGGGCGGTCCTACGAGGTGAGCCGGTATGGGCTGCTTAGACATAGACTCCCTCGAAGTGTTAACAAAGGAGAATTCGGATGGGGGCTTGTCCTCTGATGTGCGACTTGAACCAAGACCCCGACGGAAGATGTTTGACCAGGCACTAGGTCCGACACGACGACTGCCGCTCTCAGAAGGTCTGCGTCGACTTGATTCGAAAGAACTCGCGGGATGGCTAGAAGTTCTCACCGACGGTGGGTAAGAGACTTCAGGCAAGCTGGGGGACGGTTGGACTTCGCGCTGGAGAACTGGTATGGGAGAAGCAGGCGGAGACATGTGACCGGCAGACAATCTGACGGCCCTAGCGGTCTGCAAAACCGGCTCGTCGAGCGGAGTTTGGACAGGAGAATATTCGGTACCGGGAGCAGTGAATGGATTCTCAGACTCGGGATCTGCGAATGGGTTCTGGGGTATGTCTTCGCGTGGAGGATAGCGGAGATAGGTACCGCCCTTGGTAGGGGTCTCCTGCATCTCGGGTATTGGCTGCTTGCCCTGTTTTCTGAGCGAGATGGGCGATATGAACTCAGCTTCAGGCTGGGATTCGCGGAAGGCAGGATGGATGGCGGTAGGAGGAGTCGCATTCTGGCGGGCATCACGGGCTCTTCGTTCATCTTCCTCACGCTGTTTCTCTGCCCTCCTGCGCAACTTGCGATCGAGACGCTCATGCTGTTCCAAGGCCTTTTGTTCTTTGCGTCGTTGGTCACGCTCCATGAGAACACGCAGCTCGGCAGAATTGAGGTCATCGGCAAGGTCAGCGACCTTTCTTCGGTCCTTTCTTCCACTCGAGGCGCGAGCAAGTTCGGGTAGCTTGCCCAGCTTCTCTGAACGCTTTCCGAAGGGCGAAGGAGGATTGGTGAAGGTACCCGAGACACGGACGGTAGGGCGCGGGCTGAGGATGGACATGCCACCGATCTCCCAGGCGCGCTGCTCAGACATGTGTGATCTGTTGGAGTGGATTGATTCGGGCAGGGGTAAAGAAACGTTGGAGGAGCGGGAGTCGTCGGGGCGTTTGATCAGGGTCCTGCGAGCCTTCTTGCTGTCGCGACGGAGGAGGTCATTGCCGGACGAGGCGGCGGGTCTCTTTGGAATCTGCATGGGAGCGCTCATCTGACGAATCTCCTCTTCGCGCAAGACCTGGTCCTTTTTCCTCTTGTTGGAGTGACGGCGAGCGGGGGCTTTGTCATGCGACGGAGACTGGGCAACGGTCGGGGTGCGCGGGCGATTGGACGAGGGACGGTCGAGGTTGTAGGGGTGGACAGGCTTGATGGCATTGACAGGCCTGAGGTGGGGGCTCTGCTCGAGTTCGGAGAGTTCAGGAAGAGCGGTTAGGTCGTGCTGGACACTTCCCTGACGCTCGAGGAGGGTTGGGGTAATTATGTGGGTGGAGCTGTCATTGGGCGGACGGAGCAGGGCCTGTGCCGGGGCATCTGAAACATGTGCAGGGCGGGCGTGGTTCTGCAGTTGTTGGTGCAGTGCTTGTTGGCGAGCTGGCGCTGTTGCAGCCGGGCCGGTTGGGACAGCAGTTGTCACAGTCGACGTTGTCGTTGTCGTTGCGGCCGTCGATGCGCTCAGACGTCGCTTCTTCCTGCCAAAGGGCCATAGTGGCATGGCGATGACTAGACGGGGCTGGGTCGAGGGGACAGCTGCATATGCGACACTCGACGACGTGTAGGACCAGCGGAAGAAGAAGATGGGAGCACAAGAGCAGGAAGCACAAGCAAAATTCCGTGGCGACTGGCGACTGCGCGCGCCTCAGCCAGAACAAACCAACGCAGTTGCGCACCTCCAAGGCCGATTTGCAACGAGCTGCAGCGACCGACGACATCGCCGCCCTGCTGCAAGCCAGCTCCTCGTTTCCGCCCACTTTATTTGGCATCAGAACCCACTATCATCTCGTACCAACCACGCTGCCCTGTCAATCCTCCTGCCAATCCTTGCCGCCATCTTCTGCAATCTATATTGATCTGGAAGCGACCATTATTCCGTTGCTATTTTCTTCGCTCCTTCCCTTGCTGTAACATGCAACATGCGACATGCGCCATATGACATCTGTCACGTCAACCGCAGGCCTCGGAGAAGACGGCAGCTGCTGAGAGCTGACGTTCGCTCCATCGGTCCTCCCCGGACTTCGACCCCTTCTAGACCCTGTTTTGCAGCGAATCGAGTCAACAGAGCTCCCTTTCGAACCACGCCAAAGAAAGCCACCAATCCACAAAGCGTGCGCCACTTACCAATTCACGAATCACCACTCAAGAGCACAACAATATCCCCGACCACTTGTGCATCTGCAGCCGACCTCTTGTGCTACTCTACCCTGATTGTGCTACGCTTATTATTGTGCTCTCATCACAATCCCAACACGCCCTATCTAACCTCAATCTCTCAGCGCTACTGTCATCTGCAATCTGACTCTAATCAATGCTTGTCAGCCCGTCACCTCGCTGCTGTCTTTTTCCGACTTCTCGTATTGCTGCGAGGCCTGGCTTCTGCTGCAGCGCCATCCACCCTTCTTTGCATCGGCGCCCTCGACCTTCAGCTGTCTGCAGCCTCAGCTTTCGGCTATCGATTCTCCGACCTCCGGACACAATCCTGGTTGCAGCGCATCTCAACAGCATGCTCGACTGCTTCCCCGATCCGCAAATCTCTTGACATGTCTTCATCTTCCAAACACAGCTTCCGTCGGTGCTTATGAGGCTAAGGCTTTCGACCAAGACATTTGTGCCACTGCCCGCCAGCCAAGAACACCTTCTGACCCCAGGCCTATCTATGCTCTCTTACCGTACAGGGTTTCGTGAGATAGGCCATGGATAGGCGATGCATTTTGTTCGGCATGCTGATAAAGTCCTCAATGCGGCATCTCCATGCGGACGACATGCATCCCTATATGACTCGTGGTGTGAATTGATGTACACCGCTCTCGGCATCAACCATTGAGACTGGGTAGAAGATAAGGATAGCAAGGTAACGACAAGTATAAAAGCTGAGAGGTAGGTCGCTCGAATTCGGGTATCTGCAAGATCAAACTTCTGCGTACGACATGAAGTTCTCCTCAAGGCTGTTGCTAGCCGCTTCCATTTTCTATGTCCATAGCGCCTTGTCCGCTCCTAGTCCTGATCCCAAGGCCGCGTGGGTCCGTCAGGGCAGGGCGAGAAAGGCTGCGTCAAAGATTGGAAGACGTTGGTCAAACGAGACGTCAGTGCCGCCGATCCTCAACTCGTGTTCGGACAGCGACTATACCAAAACATTGGCTCCCAAAGTCAATGTTTGGGGAGGCTTGACTGATGTTGAGGCCGCTTCTGTCACCCAGTGGTTATTCGCTCAACCGGAGCTCAATCTCACTGTCAGCGATGATGCTGGTGAGTGGGACAACTCCATGTAAGCCAATTCATGCTAGATCTGGCTACCTCACTGACCGTATTTCAAGTCTCTTGGTCGAGCTTATGCATCCAAACAAGACGGACGTCTTGAACTATCTCGATAACGCAGGTCCGGCTCCTACCCGTTTCGCTCATGTGGTACTGAGCCATCGAGCCTCTGAGGAGCCTACCTACGAGGATATACTGGTCGGTCCGATCAATGCATCTGGCGTCAGAAATGGCACAACCACATGGCAACCTCTTGACTATCCTTACACTCGCAAGACCGCTGGTCGTGTACGCAATCTCGATGCCGACTCTGAGGATACTCTCTATTCTCAATGGATATACAAGATCAGTGCTACCATTTCGGACATTACACTTGATTTATGGCAGGGAACCGCTCTTGGTCACGACAACGATACTCTCTCTATCTGGGGAATCGACCCACTTTGGCAGGACGATGGACGCATCGTTCGATGGGATGCTTTCTGGTCTAATCCTGTCGATCAATTCGACACCCAGGTAGGTGACGAGGACAAAAGCTGCCCCAATCTCACTTGTGCTCCCGCGCTCTCTCTACAAGAGCATAGAGCGGCGTTTCCACCATAAAAAGGCACAATGGTCTCCAGATTCGAGATTCATCCAGAGAGAGTGTAGAGTCTATCGCTTCTCGTTGGATACTATTCTATCGCTCGAGACTATTGTGCATTGTTATAGTGAGGATGCTGCTATATACTCGCACATGTGGGAATGGTTAGCTTGTTATTCACTATGCACTAGAACATGCTAACATCGTGCTTGCCTTAACAGACGCTCTTGCCACTCGGTCTTTACTTCAGAAGTGATGTGACCGGACGCGATCCCAGTCAATGGAAATTCGAAGGTTGGTACTACAACGGCATCTTCTATGAAACCACCGACGCGTTCCGAAATGCGTACTATACGGCAGGATTCGAGAAACTAGGAGTCAACGTTGAAGGCGACTGGGCACGGAGCGACCAGAATGGGCCTGTGCTACCGCTTGATACCGCTCATCCTCCGGTCTCCGTAGCTCCTAGCGGTGCTAGATACGCAGTTGACGCTGAGAGCAAGTGGATCCAATGGATGGATTTCTCCTTCTTCGTCGGTTACCAGCGTGATACGGGTCTCAGTCTATGGGACATACGCTACAAAGGCGAACGAGTCTTATACGAGTTGGGCCTACAAGAAGCACTGGCTCACTACGCCGGGCAAGACCCCCTGCAAAGTGGTACTGCTTACCTGGACAGCTATTACGGCTTCGGTCCTTACGCCTTTGAGCTCGTGAAAGGATATGATTGCCCGGCATACGCTACTTATCTTAACACCTCTTTCTACGTGTCAGAGACAACCCACACGCACTTGAATAGTCTTTGTCTGTTCGAATACACTGCCGACTATCCTCTCCAACGACACAGCACCTCGGACTATGTCAGTGCGACAAAGAATACCTATTTCACCATTCGGTCCGTCAGCACTGTTGGAAACTACGACTACATGTTCTCATACTCCTTCTATATGGGTAGGCTTCTTATGGCGTAAATTGGACGGAAATTGTGAGGCTGACCTTGAGCAGATGGTAGCATCAATGTCGAGGTTCGTGCTTCAGGGTACATCCAGAGCGCATACTATGCCAATAACGAAGAATATGGCTACAAGATTCACGACAATCTCTCGGGCAGTATGCACGACCATATCTTGAACTTCAAAGCAGACTTCGATATCCTGGGTACAAACAACACGGTCGCCGTCGTGAATCAAGTTCCTGTCTCACAGACTTACCCATGGTCGAACGGCAAAGCACGCAACACGATGAAACTCGAAAAGTCTTACATCGACTCAGAAGACCGGAGCCGTCTCTTCTGGGGCGCCAACTCCGCGACCCAATACAGTGTCATCAACAAGGATGCAGTAAACGCATACGGAGAATACAGAGGCTACCGCATCGCTCCCTCCCTCGGCGCCATCCACCTCACAGTCGAAGATTCGAGCAACCTAGTCAGCTCAGCGCGCTGGGCCAACCACGACCTCCAAATCACCAAACAGCACGACACAGAACCTCGCGCCGCACACGCCTACAACAACCAGGATGTTCATAATCCACCCATCAACTTCGACGCCTTTTTCAACTCTGAGAACCTCACTCAGACTGATCTTGTGCTGTGGCTAAACTTGGGCATGCACCATATTCCCCATACCGGCGATTTGGCTAATACTGTGTTCTCCACTGCTCATGCTGGATTGTCTTTCTCGCCACTAAACTACCTCAATGGCGATCCCAGCCGTCAGACTGTCAATCAAGTGAGGATCAACTACGGAGGTGGCAATACAAGCCAAGTGGAGACATTCGGACAGCAACAGGGATCTTGTGCCGTGGAGTACACTCCTGCGGAAGTGGATCTTTGGGGCTACAAGGGTGATGTGGTTGTCAGGAAGTTTCCGTTTGATCCTAATAATCCTTTCTATCAGACTGACGGGATTGTGTGAGGGGACAGAGGTGATTCATATGCTCTGGTCGATGGATGTCATACACGTATAGCTAGGCCATGTTTAGTGGTAGATACGTAGTAGAATAGTATGGATGAAAGATACTGTCAAATCAGTGAGGGAATCCCTTCTACATATCATTCATCTTGTCAAAGATGTCATCTGCCATGTCCGCTGTCATACGATCAAACATGTTGGTCTCGACCTGAGATGTTTGTATAGCGGACTCTCAATGAACGTCGGCTATGCTGTTGAAGTTTCTACCTTCCACCTCCTCCTTCCAGGGTCTAGATGGATGGCGTGTGATCCACAGCTTTGTATCGTTGGCCTGCCTCTTCATGCCTAAGGGTCTCACATCCGTTTCTTGCTGTAATGTTTCTGGTCCCGAGCAATGTTTCTTGTTCGATTGCAAACTTTGCACTGCTTTAATCGATGTCTGTCCTATTGCATCGTATACATGTTGGGCTTCTGCTTGGAGCATGAAGATGGTCTCTGACATTCCGATCTCGACTCAACGATGTTTTCTGGTGGCATGCGACTGGCAGTGCACAGCTGCCATCGTGTCGACTTAAGACAATCGTCACCGAGTCGTCGATAAGGTCAATTGTGTGAATGTTATTTTTCATTCATAGCTGTGGTATAGCATGTACACATCTGGCAGTAGTGGTCTACAATATTAGAGAACATGGTTTCAGTAACAAAGGAAGCATTCGTTGACTGTCAATTGAAGAAGAAAAAGGTCGAATATTTACACACAACTCCCATGTAAAGCGCTATAGCATTTATGCCCAGCCTCTCGCAAGTATAAAACGCCCCATGAATGTGATAGAGAAAAGGAAGAAAAACCAAAGCAGTAAATTTTTACAAGCGTGGCGAAGCGTTTACTTGCGGTACCACATTCTGGTGATCTTAGTGTGTCTCATCTTCTTCTGCAGCTGGAAGATACCGAACATGAGGGCTTCGGCAGTGGGCGGGCAACCGGGGACGTAGATGTCAACGGGGACGATACGGTCACAGCCGCGGGTGACGGAGTAAGAGTAGTGGTAGTAACCGCCACCGTTGGCGCATGAGCCCATGGAGATGACCCAGCGGGGGTCGGGCATCTGATCGTAGACCTGGCGAAGGGCGGGAGCCATCTTGTTGGTCAGGGTACCGGCGACAATCATGACATCGGATTGACGGGGCGAGGCACGGAAAATGATACCCATGCGATCTTGGTCGTAACGGGGAGTTGACAGGTGCATCATCTCGACGGCGCAGCAGGCGAGACCGAAGGTCATGGGCCACAGCGAACCCTGGCGGGCCCAGTTGGCGATTTGATCAAGGGTGGTCCTGTAGGTGTACTGTCAGCAATTGACTCGGACTGTGTCTGAATATGACTCTACGTACAAGGCGTATTGCATGACACCCTGCTTGCCCTCCTGGCTGGGAAGAGGGACGTTTGTGGGCATGCCCTTCTTCATGGGTGGCGGGGTGCCTGGGTTGCCCTTGACGAGGCCGGGTCTCTCCATGGTTGCCGACTTTGTTGACGAGTTGTGGATGAGGGCGACGGGTGCGGCGCGAGCGAAGGGAATGAGGGCGGCGGTAGGCTTGGCTATAGAAAATCGTCTTAGTCGCTGCGTGTCTCTGTCGCGGGCATTGAAATTCACGTACCGCGCAGGCCCAGGGCCATTGTCGAGCGGGTGGCGGCGAACATGGTGACTCGCGTCGGGTGTGTGTATTGGAGATGTCGAGGAAAAGCAGCGAGACGGAGTGGAGATTATGGCTGGTCGCTGTCGTTGCAAGGGGCAGTGGCGGCGAGAAGGAAGGGACGAGACGCTGCAGTTCAATGATGCTCATGTCCCCAAGTACAGAAGTCGCCCTCTAATCAACGTTTCTCGTCGTCTGATTGGCTGACCTGCATCGCGCTTACCCGCCCGACGACCTCACCTCCATTTGATCATCATCATCGTCCTTTTTGTTTATTCTGCCGAACCCAAAAAATATTATCAAAAATAATGGCTACCATCAAGACTCCAGCCATTGCCTGCATAGGTGTCATTGGCAGACAAGTACGTCGACGTTTATCTCACTTCATCATCCACAGCTTTTCCCCTTATCCCTCCTTTTATCTAACATCGTCCAAAGAACAACCCTCTCCACATTTCCATATTCCCCGCAGAAGGCGAGAAAGAAGAGCGCAGCAGACTCGATTTTTCCTTCATGCTCTCAACCTGCCTCGACATCTTCGAAGCTCGTCTACCTGAGAAAAACGTCGGCCAAGACTTTGGCCTCCTCCAAGCAATTGATGAACGACTGGCCATGTATGGCTGGCTCACCAACACTGGTGTGAAACTGGTCATTATCGTTGACATGGAAGCTCGTCAGTCTCCGGCCAATGATACCAGAACTCCTCCCGTTCTGGGCCTCAAGAACTCCGATCTCACACCTGTAAGTTTTGCTATCCGTGACGTGGATTGTGTATGCTGATCGCTTGGCTCTGATCTAGGCTTTCCAAGCATTGCAAAGGGCATATATCAATCTGCTGAGAAACCCTTTCTATTCGCCTGAAGACCACTCTCCTAATGCCAATGCTCATCAATCGGCTGCATCGACTCAAATCACCAGCCGCAACTTCATCAATGAGGTCAACCGCATAGGACAAGTCTGGGCTCCTGCCATTGCTTCTCGCTGATTCAAGTCCTGATAAACAGCAAGAACGGAACCGAGATCTCGCAGCAATCCAGAGAGACGCACGGCACTACATTGTTGCTCGCTTTGGTATGGTATACAACACGTCTAGAAGATTGTATATCTGAAAGATGGTCACGGATGCTAAAGCGTTGCAATCGGTGTGAGATGACCACACGTATCACATATGCGCCCGTCATGATTGTTCATCTCCTTGCTATGTTGCTGGATGGCTGGGTATAAGGTAGCCTTCCATGTCCTCGTTCCTCCTTTTCGCGACCGTTGGGCGGCAATGGAATCATGAAGGCAGAAGAGCATCTCGAAACATGATAGCCAAAGAAATCAAGCATTAGACGCAATGCTTGATTCAAACACGACCCTGGAATACTGGATTGCTCTTACACTTATATTCGGGCATGCTCAGAATGCTGAGCGCCGACGGTGCCGTCAATATCCGTGTTGGGGGCGTTGTGGAAGGCACGGTCAACCTCACCCCCGAGGTTGCGAGCACCAGCAGACTCACGCTTGGGCAACAGGACGTGGGTCAACGGCACAGGAAGCAAGGGTCATCACAACACGGATCATAGTCAATATGATGAAGCTACAATCAAGAAAATGACTGCCCACATCTCGTATGTCGAAGTCTGTAACGCGTGTAGCTGTAAGAATGCACAGTGACCTCGAGAAACCAATCGTTTCCATCCAAGAGCCCTCTTACGCCGGATCTCATTGGACACATGTTTACTGTGAAAACGATCGTGCATTTCTATAGTGAGAAATTCGCTCCATGCCTTCGCGGGAAGAATATAAGAGTCAAAAATCTTGGCACATAGGGAGGGAGTTGGAGGAGAGAACAGAATGCATTTTTTATCCAAAAGTCCGAGTATCAAACTCAAGACCTTACATGCTGGCAATGAGAAAATAGGAAAAAACAAAGACAAATCGACCCCTTGATGATAGACGCGCGCAAGAAAGAAGAAATACTGAACCCCCCTTATGATGCTTTGTCATACGCTGCTGTAATGAAAGTAGAGACGGCCAACAGAGAATCCCAATGAATTCTCCCGTTTACCAGTCCTTCTTGATGTCAAAGGACCACTCGAACTTCAAGTGGGTCTGCTCGTCATCATCGATGAACTTGGACACAGCGTTGTAGTGGCCACGAGCCATCATGCCCGAAGGTGCGGTCTCTGCCTCGACTGGTGTGATTGTGTCAGTACTAGAGATTCAACGAACATGTATGGGAAAGCCAGAACTTACACTTCTTCTCATACTCGGGCTTGTCGGTAGTGTTGGGAGAGTAAGAACCAATCATCTCTTGCATCTTGTTCGAGATACCCATGCGCTTGACAACCTGGACATACTTCATGCCTGACAGGATCTGGTGTTGGACTCTGAAGCGGGCCTTCATGCGGAAGGTGGCACCCTCCTTGATGGTGAAGGGCTTGGACTTGAGCGACTCGAGAGCACCCTTTGAGGACAGGTCGATGATGATGTCGGGACGGCCTTCAACCTAGATAGCAAGCCAGAGTCAACCGTCGTATCCGTCGTAGTGTGTGAGATAATCTTACCTCGAGACCAAGAGACACAATGATGACCTTACGAGGATCGCTGGCGTCACCGATGGTGGTTCCCGAACCGATACCCAAGCTCTCCTTCCACTTTCTCAAGCTCTCATCGTTTTGATCTGTTGTTCCATATATAGTCAGCAATCCGAGCTTTCTGAAAGCGCATAGCAAAAAAGATCGTGACAGCTGCATCGAAGCGTGGCCGCTCACCGGACGCCCATCCGGCGAAGAAAGCGTCGCAGTTTAGATGTTCTGGAGACCTTGGTCCGTCCACCAAGATCTTGGTTTTCTTGCTCAGTGCTCTGTTTGCCAGAAAGCATCTCATTCCCGTCATCCAGTCTTCCGTGGCCAGGTGATACGTCTCCAGAAGATTGATCACTCAGTATGGCGTCCTCTGTCATTGCCCTTATCTGCTTGATCTGATCGGAAATTGCAGGGCGGTTGGGCATATTTTGACCGTCAACCGTCATCCAGAGCTCGGCCTCGCGGTACTTGACACGAAATACTGGTGAGTTACCGAGCCACCAACCGACTTGTACCGTGGATGGAGGAGAGGAGACTTCGGAGCCGTAGCGTTCGAGTAAGTCTTTGAAGTGATTGGCAGTTTCTTCTTCGACTTGTCGAGTCGGTATGCGCGTGAGAGGGACTTCATACTCTTCGTAATCTGGCTGAAGCAGACCCCGGCTATGAATGGCTTCCAATTGATGCGTGATGGTAGGCTGCCCGGGAAGTTCCTGACCGTATTGGTCCATGAAAATCATCTCGCCGTAACATATGACAAGATGTACAGGATCGTCCTTTCGCTCGAGTGCATGCCAGGTGAAGACGTCGCAATGGGAAGCGTCCATTGTAGTTGAGTAGTATCGTAGAACTTGTCGGGCCCATTTTCGCTCGTCGTCGGTGGCTGGTAGCAAAGCGTTCGGAGTTGAACTTCGCACGTAGGACTGTTTTCGTGGTATCTTTGAATCTCGATCGCGGCCACCAGAATATCTGCTCAGGATACCCTTGTCGTAGGATCCGAAGATACTATCGTGTTTGTGGAGGGTTTGCAATCCATGAACAAGCGATCTTCGTCGATCACTCATTACAGTGCGCCTTGATGGTCTGAACTCATCGTCACCTGGCATCGCTCGAACCCAGTCAGGAGTAGGCTCAGTGTCATCTCGTGATGTAGCCCGAGAGGAGTTTTTGGAGGAGGGTGGTTTAGAGAAGAGATCAACGGTGGTCTCCAGTGCAGCTCGGACAGACGACCTCCGAACCTTGCGCTGTTCTTCGGCATCGATATGTTGCTTCTTCTGTTCGTCTGACAGCTTCCTCGCATCTATCCAAGGCTGCCTCCGCATGCTGGACCGGTCGATAGACAATGCTTTACGAGGCTCCAAGGAATCTCTGTGAATCCGGCCATTCTCCTCGGTAGGTTCGGAGTGTGTCTCTCGTGGAAGGAGAGGTCCATCAGACATGTCCGGGTTGGTGAATTGGATGCGCATGCTACACAGGTTTCTTCGAGCTGACGCTTATTCAAATCCTGGTGGGACATTTTGGAAACAGGACGTCAAATATCCAGGGCCAGGGGGCCATATGATGAATTTCCTTGGCCGCAGGTGGAGACACAAGTGCAAAGCAAACGCGGGCCCAAGAGGCGCAGACAAAGTCAAGCATGAAAACGAACTCAAAGGTACTCACCAAGCTGTTGGTATTCCTCCAAAGTTTTCTTCTCGCCAACCTTGAAACCAGCAGTGGTCTCAGGGCGGAGCTCGTCCTCGTGGAAGTCGGTTGCACCAGACATTGTTGCTGTGGAGATAGGAGTGAAGTGTTGATAGCAGAGAGTTGAATGGCAGAAAGTAGTCGAGGTAGGATAGGCAGACGAGTGAGTGAAAGTGCAAGGTAAGATGGTCAGGAGGAAGCTTAAGGTATCGTATGTGGAGCCCCCAAAAGACTGGCCTCGAAGTACACGTCAGACCCACCCGACTTCACCGCCTCAGGGTCAAAACACCCAAGATCACGTGGAACCGCAGCAAAGGTCAATGCGGTTTGAGAAATAGATTAGGCCTAGTCCTGAATCTACCCTAGGCAAGAGAACAGAGTCATTGAAGATAAAAATCCAGTGGCTATGTGTCTATCTAGCAGGGGCGTGTTTGTTTTGTTATGGCTTTGCAGTCGACGAAGCTGCTTGACTCGCCAGAGACGACATCTAGGTCCGAAACTCAATTCTGAATGTTACATCAACACAGCAGTCACGACACTCAAAGGCGAAGATGTTGGGTGGTTTCATGTGTCTTAACAGTGCATGTCTTGTCTCGTCTCGTCTCGCTGTGCACGAGAATTGCAGGATATGACTAGCATAAGAAGCTGATGATGTGTGCACGCTGGTGTAGCAGGATCGATATTTGGAAAAAGGATTTGTACAGAAGCTACGACCGTGCCTATAGTAGGATATAGCCAGATGCTCGATCGATCTTGTCGGTGAGCAGAAAGTATTGTTTCTACATGCCGCGAGCTGGGCTTGTTTGTGTTGCAATTTCCCGCGGCAGGCGGAACCTCGAGACACACAGCTTGACCTGTCTTAACAATGCGTATCAAGAGTGAGTGAGTCGAGGTACTGTTGGCAACGGAGGGTTTGTTGGCAATTCGTTCGTATTGCGTAGTTGGTGCATTCATTCCCGCTAACTGCGCGCTGCGCGTCTCTGACCATTTTTGACCTCACCACCTTCATCCACTTTATTGCTTGACCACTCCACCCATCTCGCTCACCCCAACGATCGATTCGCTCTGTCGCTCTTGTCGCATAGACACCCACGTATATCAATCACCTGCGCGCGACTGCGAAAACCAGCTAGCCGACGCGCTCAAACTATACCATGGACACGGAACGCGCTCTGCCCGAGAAGAGGAATCCTCTTGTCGAGGAGAAACACACTCCCCAGAGTATGTTGGAACCCATACATGACGTGATTGTCGCATGGCTGACGCGGATCAAGTTGAGATTCTTGTTGAAAGACGCCGATTGGGACAGACCGAGCTCACAGTGAAGGCTGGTCAGATTGGCACTTCGAATGCGACAAAGCCCTCCAACCTGGGCATGTTTGACTATGCTCACTTGCGCGTACCTCTTCCCAAGGATCTGCAAGGAAGCGGAATCTTCGCCCCGTCGCGTCGCAACCAGTCTTACCCGGAAGCTTACTTTTTGATGGTGAGGGGAAATGGAGATTAAGCGTAAATGCGTCCAACACTCGCTGACGCAGCATTTACAGAGACGCTCCAGCGATGGTTACATCAGCGCGACTGGCATGTACAAGGCCGCTTTCCCTTGGTCATCACTCGAGGAGGAGGAAATTGAGAAAAAGTACATCAAGTCACTCCCCGAGACCGACAGCGAGGAGATTGCTGGCAACGTCTGGATTCCCGCAGAGGCTGCCTTGACTCTCGCCGAAGCATACGGTATGCGTTCCTGGATCGAGGCCCTGCTCGACCCTGAGCCTATCGCAAAGGGAACCCACGACCCCAACAAGAACATCGCTACACCTCCCCGTTTCCTCATGCCTACCTCGGAAGCTACCACCCTCCTCCCTCCAACAGAGACTACCACTCGCCGCCGCACTCTCCGATCCTCTTCTCCTGCAAAGGCTCCTCCCACTCCCAGCCGCAAGATCGCTACTCCTAGAAGGACTAGGCGCGCAAAGGCTCCAGCATCGAGTGCACTCGCCCCTACCGCTGAAAGCGCCGAGGAATTCACCGCACCCGAAACCTCGCTCGAGCCAGAGTCCGTCAAGTTCGACTCAATAATCGCTGCCAGCGAGGCGACAGCCAAGGCAGAGGCCGAAGCCCTGCTTGACGAAGAACTTGCCGTAACTACCAGTATCCGCTCTAACGATACAGTCAACGTTGAGATTGAGACAACCATCGTGCCTGGTGTTCATGGAAGCAGCCCCGCCGAGAACGTGCGCGCCGTCGTCAGTGTACCAGCCAGCCACCCGGATCTTACACAACCCAGCGATCCCCAGGCCTACCTCGATATGGCCAAGGAATCGATTGTTGCAGCACACAAGTTGACTGCCAGTCGCACCCCTGGCAAGAAGCGCAAGGCTCTCGAGGCATTCGAGGACGACGACGAATCGGTATCCGTGTTCCCCGAGTTCGACACAGTCGGGTCATCAGCAGCGGTTGCACCTGTAGAGATTGATGAGCGCCCAGCAAAGAGACAACGTTACACCGAGATTGAGCTTCGTAAGGAGAAGATCAAGAAGAGAGCAACGTTGGGAATATTGACCACTATGGCTATGGGGTATGTTTATGTCTACTCGTGATCATGTATCTTTGACTAACTCTATTCCAGTGTTGCAGTGCCGTTCTTGGGAGCCTACTTCCAAGTGCTTTGAGATTGACTCGTCCCAGCAACATATTCACCTGTTTTCGAGATTAATCTGTTCTTCTTTCTCTCCCTCTGTGGTGCGCGCCTTTGCAGATTTTCTAATTAAGCTTCGACTTTGTGGTTGCCAGTGTGGCCTTTGTCCCTAATCTTGGAAGATTTTCTGTTGTCGATGGTAGCGAGAGAGGTGTGCAATCGAAAATGTTCTCAGTGAGAGAAGAAAGAACTTGCCGCTGATGTTGGTTTGTTTCTTGCGCGTGCTGGTTCTATTTTGTTCTTTCAGAGATAGCAAGCAGTATATGTGAATGGCATGTTCTCTAACATTTCACTGTTGCGCCCGCATGTTGGCTGTGAGTTCGAAGGGGCTGGATGCGAGATCATCCAGCGTGTGACCAAGCCTTTTTGAACCCTGATGCGCATTTATGCTGGAGGACGCTCTTGCCATGACCGGAATCAGCACACGAGTTTGGCATCTTTCTGGCCTGCGGTATCCAGAGCTCCGACCAGGACCTGATCGCGTGGTATGCTGTGTTTCGTGTTCACTTCTCAAGAGTCCTCTCAGACCAGGACACCATGGAACTCGGCTCGCCCAGCAGTGCCTTGCAGCTGCTCCCATTGCACAAGCACGCGGTCCACGACCCAGCACAGCAATCGTCCACTCAAGCTGAGCTTCTTGACCCTCGCCCAGCTCTCAACGTATATCGTGCGCATTTCTCCTTTGCCATCTTTCCCTTGCAAGCCAAAGAATCGAAGCAAGACAGATGCAAAGACCAGAATTGTGGCAGTGGCGGGACCATTGGTGAGTATCAAGTCCGGATAGCCATACTCTGATCCAGCAGAAGACGGCACCAGAACCCTCAAACAATCCCACAAACACAACAGACAGCTCCAAGGCGTAGAGATCAAACTCTGATGTATCTTCCTCGCTCTCCTGACCTCTTGGATCCTATAAGTGCCTTCCTTTTCTCCCAACTCTTGCTCGAGTTCTTTGGCAAAGGCAGCGGAGAAATTGTCGCCGGAAGAGACTAGCCAGGTGCGGTGGGTGAACTTTTGGCATGTGCCGCTGCGACGAAGCATAGACAGGATTTCTGCAGTGTGGCCGCCGCTGCCGAGGACGATAAGGAGGTGGGCGCGCGTGCCGGGCTTGCGAGAGGTTGATGGGGGTCGGCGGTGGGGAGCGAGGGAGAGGAGGCGCAGGGTTGCGAATTGGACGGCGAAAAGGGCGATGGTGGCCAAGACGGCGAGGAGAGGAGTGCTGAGTAGAGCCATGGCTGTTTGTGTGGTGGTGTCGAGTCTTGGGAGTCGATGGTGGTTGTAAGCGAGACAGGGGATACGTCTCGATGGTTGTGGTCGCTGGTAGGACAGGAATTGATCCCGTGTTTCCTGCGTCTCATAGATCCTTCATGTTTGTGTATTGCTAATGTTTGTCGGCGGATTGGTTGCTTGAGTACGAAGGTCAACAGACAAACATGGTCAAGTCAAGGTTGGCATGTGAAAGCAGTCGGCATTTCGGATGACCTCGCTCCGAGTCTCTGTCTCGTACCTCGCCGTGTGCACTCAGGTCCGCTCTCACAACGACACGCAGGCGGAGCAGGTGCTACAAAACTGCACAATTCTCTCCAGACAGCACCAAAGGCCATAGAGAGCCAACGACATCACGGATTTCCGTGGGTCTCCCCCAGTCTCTGGAAGAACTGTGTATCTCTACACGCCAATGTGAAATGATTCTGCACACGCAGGGGCACGACCTTCGACACTCTTTTACTTCAAACAATCTCACAAATCAGACTCAACTCACATCGAATCTTCCGATCATATAGCTCTCCATTGTTTTTTTTGTCTTATCGTCACAACCGAATTGGTACCTCCTCGTGCTATCAGAAATTCTCAGAATCTTTTGGTGCCAGGCATCTCGTCAGATCTACAAGATCATAAGAGCACCGACCGACACGGACACGGCCGAGAACATGACCAATGCTAAGATATCACCGCCTCTGCCGCTCGCCATGGTTGAAGATGCACCCTGGAAATTCAAAATTAGTCAGGAAGCCGACACGTCTGGAACCGAACAATACTCACGGATGTGCTTGATGTGGAAGCAGCATTTTCTGAATTGGCTGCCGAACCAGAAGCCGTGGAAGAACCAGAAGCAGAAGCGGGTGTGGCAGCAGATAGCTTCTCGATACCAGCAGTCAGAACCACAGGCACACCAGCCAGGTCGCTGCCAGAGAAGCTCGTGGTGGTGATAATGTTTGTGTTCCTAGTCGTAACGCCGGGCACCTCGATGTCAACGCTGGCAGTAACCGTGCAGACAGCCAAGGACGTTCCACTGATATCGCAAGTCTCGGATGCAGTGAGCTCCACACCCATAGTCTCGGTGACATAGTTGAAGTCGAGGTGTGACGGGCCAATGGTGATTGTTTGCTTTAAGGCCTTGAATCAGTAATGCTCTTCCAGGGATATGGAGGTGTGTGAAGGAAATCTTACAGAAGCGGAGAGTGATCCACAGGCTGCAGCTGTGCACACGATTGCGTAGACGGTATCAGAAGGGCCGGCGGTGACGACTGAGCCAACATATGCCTGTCCAGCTCTAGTAGGTCCGCCCAGGAAGAGATTGACGGTCGAGCTTTCCTTTGCAAGAGCGCCCATGGCAGAAGCAGCCAGAACAGCAATAGAAGAACGCATCGTGATATCGACAGAACAAGTCTGATAGCAGTGGTGATGATAGTAGTAAGTATGAGGTAGACAGATATCGTTTTTGAAAGTGATCAAGACCCTACATCTAAGAAAACAGAGGAAAGAGAAATGGACGAATATATAATTACAGTAATCTCCATCTGAAGGATTCAAAAGACTTCCCATTCTAGAGACCGCCTGGCGCCAATTTCCGAAATTGATGGCAGCCGCAGCCACTCATGTCTCGGCATGCCTAGCGAGTAGACCTAGTCTCAAAGTCGGGAATTCTACAACCACTCAGACAAAGAGAGAGAAACACACTAAAAAACTTGAGGCAGGAGTAAGTCGATCTACTGGTAGCTACTCATTTCGCGAGCGAGGTATCTTCACGAATTGGGAAACAGGGGGGCACATGTGTCATGCGGTATAACGAAAGGATTGATCGACGAACCAGTGCCTTTGACTCTTGTTGTGTTCTTCCAGGCTTCCTTCTCGCAGATCAGGCAACCAAAAGGATCCCGAGAACCACATTTCTCCATCTCTCAGTCAACTTGGCATCTTCAAATTTCTTGGAAGCGCGTCAGTTTGGTGTATAGACAGGAAAATCATCGGCCGTAAAATAAAATAGTCCGAAAAGTGACTGCGGGGTATGGTTTGTGACCCTTCATGTCAGAATGAGAGCCCCTGCATGTCCAGCACTTGTGGCACTTTCAGGCACCTGCGAAGGGGCGTACCTGTACAATTATACCTTTACATGTGCCCAGCTAAAAGTGGCATGTTGTGCGCCTTGGACTCAGAAACACTGCCAGAACCATGGCGATCAAGTAGTTACAAGCAAGACATGGAAGCGTCTCAAAAAGAGACTCTAGTGACGAGGAAATCGTTCATGGAATTATGCAGTGGAAGATGGAAGAAGGGAAAAAGAAGAGTTGTGATATCATGTACGTTCCGCTTGTCCAAGCCGCAATGCCAGAAGAGCTCGTACATCCGTGACGTACTGCAGACCCTCGAGCAGAGGCACGAGATGCAAGAGGTCATTATCTGTGGGATCGCTTATCCAGCCTTCTATCGGGATTGCGTTGTCTAAAGTAAAATTGGTTAGAGACAAGAGTCGCAGTTATCAAAGAGGCAATCGACTCACCTTCGTGGAAAATATAGCTCATGGGGCTGTTGTCGAGAATCATGACTTTACTCAGATCAGGTTCGACTTGTGTCAGATCCTTGATGTATGCGCCATTGCGAAACGTGCAGTGCTGGCGGTAGTATCTGCCGCTAAAGTATTTGCGTTCGCGTTCGACCCAGTCAATGACAGGATCAGCGTATTCTTGCACAGATGCGGTAAAGACTATGAGATTGTACCATTTGCAAACCTGAGAATGATAGAGTCAGTGATTAAAAGGCAGAAATTGCAGAGAGATTAGTTCTCACCTTGCGCAGAAAGTCGTGACAGTATGGGCGCTCATGTACATAGTACAATATAGGAACCTGAGGGCCAAGAAGCATGCCGTTCCCTCCAATGGGACCGTGAAGCTTGACTTCGACCATATGACCAGTGCTCATTCTCCCACCTTTGGCCATACTGTGAATTAACGTCTCATCCAAGTCGATGATGAGGGTCTTCTTAGGAGGGTCGGGGTTATAGGACATGACGTAGGATGGCTGGCGGCGAGGTACTAGAGGTCTAGGAGGAGCAGGAGCACGTGGATACCTGAGCTTTGTGGCAGCCGAGTTTGAGGGAGACTTTAGAGAGTTCGCAACAGCGGCGACCTTGTCTTGCTCCGACTTGTCGGGATCCGAGGTGGCGCGTTGGCGTCTACGGCGCAGGGCATCTTCGTTGTTGTGAAGCTTGATGCGGATCGAACGTTTGGCAGGGGCTATCTCGTCTTTGTCGGCAGCAGATTTGGACCGAGTGTGGTGGGCAGGGCCTTTGTCATAGGATACAGATAGGTCCCCCTCTTCGTCGGAGGGTATGGAAGAAGCGATCGAGTCGACAGAGGTGCCCCGCGGGCGTGTATGAGGCTTCATGGGTGGAGTCGGGGCAGCGAACTCGGGCGGTTCGGGTGAGAATAAGCGGCGCATAGATCGCATGGGTATGAGTAGAGAGAAGGAGCCGTCTTCAGCATAGAATGCGGCGGCAAGGTATCTGAATGGAGCGAGAATAAAGTCGAGGATGAGGTTGAGGGTTGTGATGAGCATCGAGGATGGGCGCGTAGGACGACATGGCGACGGGGGCGAAGAAACACCTTGTGGTGGATTCGGCTTATCGAACGAGTCAAAGTAGGAGGTGTCGGGCTTCTCGGACTGGTCGGAGTGGTCGACATGGCTGTTGGCGTCGATGTTGGCGGTGCTGCCGTTGCGCGAGCGGGAGGGACTGGGTGTAGCAGCGGGCGTGGGCGGAGGACTGAGTCCCGACAGGATGTTGAGCGCGTTCATAGCAGGGGCATACCCCCAAGAGTCGCAGGTCAAGTCATGTACACGAGCGTGTCTATGCAGAGGGTAGGTATACGAGCAATCCAAGCCCATCACGTCGCTGCCGCCAAAACGTGGGGCGGCGCATGAGCTTCATGTCCACGTTCGTTCATGCCACTCTTGGCGCCTGCCGTCTTTGTCTTCTCGTTCCCACCACGACAGGAGACCACGAGTCGCCATGCCCAAAAGCCATGACGACCGCATAGCCCACAACTCTGTGCCACTGCTTCTGTCTCTCGTTGCATTACCCGCTGCCATTGCCCTTTGGTTCAGTGCCGTCTCGAGTCAAGTCCGCGAGCCGTATCTCGTATGCCCTGCTACAAATCCCTCATCAGACAACCAACTGACCAAATAATCCAGGATGAAGTTTTTCATGTCGGTCAGGTCCAACAATACTGTCGTGGTAACTACTGGCACTGGGATCCCAAAATAACAACTCCACCTGGTCTCTATGTCTTCTCCTTCATTTTTTATAAAATCACTGGCCGATGTGACCTGGATGCTCTGAGATTCATCAACGCTCTTTCCCTTTTCGCCGTCTTTTTCTTCCTTCTTCATACTGCTCCCCCTGTCTCTCCTCGCTCTGCAAAGCAATTACCCTCTGAAAAGTCGACTCTTTTTCTTCCTTTGGCCAATCTATGTCCCCAACAGATTCACTCTGCTCTCAACATCTGCCTGTTTCCACCTCTGTTCTTCTTCTGCGCTCTCTACTACACCGATGTTGCATCTACCCTGAGCGTCCTCCTGTTCACACGGCATTTGATCGAGAACAACTCTCGTGGCCCAAGTACCTTTTTCCAGGCTTGTGTGTCAATTCTTCTGGCCATCGTTTCTCTCTCCTTTCGCCAAACTAACATTTTCTGGGTGGGTGTCTTTCCGATCGCTTTACTCGCACTCGGCGCTCTACACAAGCATGTTGAGTCCACCAGACCAGGTAGTGGCAAGTCTGTCGTCCTGCATGCTTGGGCCAATGCCACTTTCTATGATCCTCAAATGCGTGATGCTATGCTGAATGGTTAGTCCCCGCGTCTTCCTTCTCGTCAATGTCTGAATCTGACTCGGTACAGATTTCTGGCTTACCTGCATCTCTACTGTCACATTGGTTTTGCGTGCTTTGTACTTTCCCCGTACATTGCTCAAGATCTTGCGACTAGTGTGGCCATATATCATAGTACTCGGGCTCTTTGGCTCCTTCGTTCTTTGGAACGGCTCAGTCGTCCTCGGTAGGTCATCGAACAGTTGTATCACTTTCTATGTTCTTACACTCTATCTTCCAGGTGACAAAGGAAATCATGTTGCCACGCTGCACCTGCCACAGATGCTCTACATCTGGGCATACACGAGCTTCTTCTCGATTGGTCTCACCTACCCCTTTGTCGCACAAGGACTGCTCTCCGTCTTTGCAGCCATTCCAATCGCCGCCGTGATGGAGCCGCTATTAATCTTCGGCAGACAAAAGTTTCTACCACGACCTGCAGTCCTCTTCGGTTTCGTCCTGGTCATGACAGTGACGATAAAGTTCAACACCATCGTACATCCTTTTACTCTTGCCGACAACAGACACTTTACCTTCTACGTCTTCCGCTATCTGCTCGCATACCCCTTTATCAAGTACCTCGCCATACCCGTGTACATGTCCTGCGCGTGGTCGGTCCTGCAAGCCCTCGGCGCACCCGCTCAAATGTGCGAAATCAAAGAAGACGAAAAGGACGATGGCAAAGGCATTGCATCAGGAAAACCACAGAGTGAATCAGAAGACGACGGCCAAGGCCAACTTCTCCGCCTCAACGACGCACCCTTTGGTGAGGGCAGCACCATCGGTTTCGTCCTCGTCTGGATCGGCGTATCTGCCCTCCAACTCATCACTGCACCTCTAGTGGAACCTCGCTACTTCATCCTACCATGGATCATGTGGCGCCTACGCGTTCCCCAATCTCACCCCGGAGCTTCACTCACCACCAGACCCACACATAAGAATTGGAAACAGTGGTGGAACAAAGAGAGACAGAGACGTGATATCGATCGGCAGAGTTGGGGCAATTGGTTTTACATTGTCCTTTGGGCTGAGCATGATCATAGGCTGTATCTCGAGACTCTGTGGTTTGGACTTATCAATGTGGTTGTGGGATATATCTTCTTGAACTGGGGCTTTGAGTGGCCGCAGGAGCCTGGCAAGACACAGAGGTTCATGTGGTAGTGATGACCATATACCAGCGAGGTATCCTTTCTCAGGTCCATCCTCCCCGTGTGCTGAAACTCTGTAACTCCTAGCCCAGTACGCTCCTCTCTTATGAAGGTGCAAAACACAATGTCCGCTGTGAGAAGAAACAGTGATTTCTAGATCAAAGATGAATCCAAAGAGAGCCTGGAGAACACCGCATCTCGATGGAATATGATCCAGTCCTTGAAGAACATTGTGCATTTCGATAGGTATACGTGTTACAACCCTTCGCACAAGGCGAGGATACTCGATACGCGATTTATCTCCCTAGGCAGGGTTGAGAACGATCACTCAACTGTGTTTCAACATCTACGTGAAAGAAGTCTAGAGTGTAATAGAGGAATACGAAAAGCGTAGTATTGTCAGAGCCAAGGCTGACAAGCAAGTTATTCTAAAAATGATTATCGACAAATTTGAAACATAATTCTATACATGTTGATTGGCATCGCCCATGACCATCAAGGCCAGAGTTTTTCACGCCTTCAGCGACGGATCAAGCGGTGTGCCTGATCGCGAGCCTTTCTTCGATGGAGGTCCGTTGTCGTCTGTCAAACCCAGCGCAGCACGTACGCGTGCGCCGCCTCGCTTGCGAAGTTCTCCAGTGACACCTCGTAGACATTCCGGTACCTCCTTGCCCATCTTGAGATAGCATAGTTTGAGGTTGCGGGCCTTGTCCTTGAGCTGGATTTGATTCCTGTCTTTGAGCACTTCGCTGACACTACCACCGCGGCCATACAAACTGAGGATCTGTGACCAGTGGGGCCCTTTGACTTCGGCCAGACCAGCCATCAGTGCGTCTTCCTCTTCTTGCTTCCAAGGCTGCCGTTGCGTGGCGCTACCGCCTGTCTTTGGCTTTGGCCGTGCTTTTGGTGAGGTCTTGGATTGGCCGATCTCGGGTGTTCCCTGGACTGCTCGTAACGGCGTAGGTTGCCGTTGAGTACTTTCCGCCAGTAGGCTGCTTTGATCTCCGAGACCATTGCTTTGATCTTGAGCACCAGCTAGCGGACTACTCAAGCTTCCAAATCTGCCTGATGACGGTGTTCCACGACTACCGGCTGCGTAGGATGGTGAGATGACTCCAGGTTGACTGATGGGAGTTCGTGCCTATACAGTGGTTAGTCTACGATTCATACATGTAACGACGAAGCAATGACTTACGGGATTGTTGATTATGGCCTCAACATTTTTGCTGAGTGCCACGGCAAATTCACGCAAGAAATCATGCCAACCATATTTCCGAGGCAAAGTCTGGTATGCATCGTATGATGGTTCGTCGAAGAGATATTGTTTCCTAGCGCGGGCTCTGTCAAGGAAGTCTTGTTCGCTAGGTGCGAGGGTAGGAGCATCTGGATGACGAGACAAGAGTTGATCCGCCAAGTCATTAGGGAACAGTTCGTCCAGCAAGGCTTCTGACGGGCCGTCATTGTTCATGAGAGCAGCGATGTATGCCTGTGTCTTCAGCTCGAGGAAGATGGTGCCCTGCCACTTAAGCAAGCGCTGGCCCGGACAGATGAAAGTTTCCATAAAACGGCAGTCTAGGTCGAAGAAGCTGATGTCGTGGCCTTCGAGGATGCTCGAGATGAAAATTGCACGGTTAGCTTTGCGTACAATTTCGTGCTGCGACGCAGTGAAAGCGGGCAAGGTGTGCATGTCAATGAAGACTGCACTTTTGGCGTAAACCTTGCGAGTTTGGTCAAAAAGAGTTCGCCTCGTGAAGTAGGCTTGACTTCCTTCATGGTCCCGACCCGCGGTGAGCAATAGGATGTCGTTCAATGAGCCCTTGGCAAGATTAAGAATGATCTGCGTAGACTGTGGGGATGATTAGCGGCAGGGCTGATGGGCTTATAGGGATACAACATACTAGATTGTCCAGAGTGGCTAGACTCTGCAACTTGAGGTGTTGGCTAGCATCAGCGCCGTAGACACATGGCTCGGCGGCCTGGTAGTTCCAGTTGTCAAGGACACTGCTGCTTGGACTGGGGCGGGGCTGCCACCAATCGGTGTTGGCAGAGTATGCGGCATTCTGCACGTGATCGGCGGGCATGTTGTAGTATTGCTGGGGAGTCTGAGGTAACGACTGAGGCTGAGGCTCAAGGCCCGGCTGGAGATGAGGCTGCGACGGCAGCGGGAGTGGTTGCGAGTGCTGGGGCAGGCGCTGGACGGGCAGGCCCCAGTACGAGGGCTGCTGCTGCTGCTGCTGCTGCTGCTGCTGCTGCTGCTGCTGCTGCTGCTGCTGGTACTGGTAGAGCGACTGGGTGGCAGCAGCGTGTGGGTGAGCCGAGTCGAAGTGCGGACGGGAGTGAGGGCTCGGATGGGTGGATGCGAGATGTGGGTGATATAGGGCAAATTCGGTGTCGGGCAGTCTGTTGTACAGGGCCAGAGGGTTGTTGTATGGCGGTCCAAGGTATGACGAGGGGTTCACGTAGGTGGTATGGGTCGTGTCGTTGCGGGCGCGCTTCTGCGACACGGGAAGGAGCGATTCTGGGTCGAAAAAGCTGGTCGAGACGTCGTCTCTGAGGCGCTTGATTCCATGGCCTTGGTCGAAGCCATGAGCGAGGGCTTCAAGGCGCGACAGGGCATTAGCGATGGTTCATCGGTCAAAGGAATCTCGCGCGCGCTCACCCGACATTCCTATGCTGTCTGAGCGGAACTCAACACCTGCGTCTAGGGCACCGACAGTGACAACCGATGAGCCCTAACAAAGCCCTGCGTTTGAATGAATACTGAGGGCGGCTTTTTTTCCGACGTTTGTCGTGTCTTGATGACTGCTGACGTTCTCCTGAAGTCGAAATCCATCGCTCCAGCAAGTCGTCTGTCACCCTGCCCACTGGCCCACAAAGGCGCACACCCGTGCACTTCACGGCGCTATCGGATAGCCGTATGCCTCGGATACCTAACCATCAACATGAATTCTTTCCATTGCAAAAACTACAGCTCCAAGCAGCATTCTACACAAGTTGCAGCGGCCGCGTTGTAGGGCACGATCCTGCAGTGTCTTATTAGTGCAACTATGTCAACTCAACCCTAAGTTCGTGGTGTGCCCACCTCTTAGGCTCACGAGGGCCAGTGACGAGGCTTTCCAGCAGGGCCAAGTAGGGTAAGCAGTGCCGAGTCATTTTCTGTGCGACTTGCTCGTGCCCTGACATGCGCTTTCCTGAACCAGCCCACCTTCCTAACGCGTCTGCCCTCGAACTGACGTGCAGCTCCTCCGACAAGCGTCAACTGACGTGCATATACCATTCCCAGACCCCAGACCATGGGCTCGGCCCTCCGTCCAATCACTCAGTATCACTAGATCCGGTCCGCATCCACCCTCGTCGTCGCCATGGCGCTCAACTACATCACCTTCAACCAGGACCACAGCTTCCTGGCCGTCGCAACCACCGATGGCATGCGCGTCTACTCGACCAATCCCTTCTCTCTTATCTTCCAAACCCCTCTGACCGAAAATGGCGCTTCCGGCGACATCGCCATCCTCGAGATGCTCTTCTCCACCTCGCTCGTTGCCATGATCCTGTCTCCGCGACTCTTGCGCATCGTCAACACAAAACGTCAGACCACTGTATGCGAGCTCACCTTTCCTGCCCGAGTCGGCGCCGTCAGACTCAATCGCAAGCGTCTTCTCGTCGTCATGGACGACCTCATGTTCGTCTACGATGTGTCCTCGATGAAGGTCCTCAAGGAAATCGTCACTCCCTCAAATCCTCAGGCCATCTGCGCTCTCTCTCCCGACTCTACAAACAACTACATTGCCTACCCCATGCGCAAGAAAGAATACACCTCACAGCCTGCTCCCACTCACGTGCCTCCGGCCGGCCCACGAGTCACTGAACCCATGGGTGGAGATGTCATGCTTTACAACGCCAACGACATGCAAGAAGTCAAGGTTATACCCGCTCACCAGGCCCCTCTGTCGTGCATGGCGATCAACAAAGAAGGCACTATGCTGGCTACCGCCTCAGAAAAGGGCACTGTCATCAGAGTCTTTGCCATCCCGTCCGCTCAGAAGCTCTACCAGTTCCGCAGGGGCAGCATGCCTGCTCGCATTCACTGCATGTCCTTCAACGAAGCAAGCACTTTGTTGTGTGTTTCTAGCGCTACCGAGACGGTCCATATTTTCCGCCTATCTACAGATAATGCTGTACCAGATTCAGGACTAGAAGCACCGTCCGATGCCCCTACAACGCCACAGCGCTACCCACGCCAACGCAGCGAAAGTCCCAACGACTCGTCTGATCCCTCGTCAAGCTCCATCCTCGGTGACTCTGCGGCAGACTCGCCTGCGAAACCTCTACGTTCTCCCGGCTGGATGTCTATGGTTCGTCGAACCTCGCAAAACGTGTCTACTACACTCGTCTCGCGTGCTGCAGGGTACTTGCCAAACGCTGTCACCGAAATTTGGGAGCCAGCTCGCGACTTTGCGTGGGTCAAGATACCTAAAGGTCGCAATGGCGCGCCTGTCAAAAGTGTAGTTGCCATGGGCGAGGCGGCTCCTGAGGTCATGGTTGCCACTAGCGAAGGCGACTTTTTAATCTACAACATTGACCTCGAGAGCGGAGGCGAGGGCCGTCTGGTCAGACAATACTCTGTCCGCGAAAGAAGTGAGACACATAGTGGTTTCAATGCCGATTAGAGTGCTGCGTCTCGAGACCACTTTGTAAATTCGACGGCCCGGCTTGTAGGCGGCTCACCAGTGGATGTCGAACGCGACCTTTTCAACCTGGCCATCTCGTCTCCCGCGTTTTCTCTGATCGAGCGCTCGTCCTCCTCCGACTCTTCTCTTGAATCCTCTTTCGAATCTCTTCTCGTTGCTCATTACACCGAGAACATCTCCTCCAAATGAGTAGCAGAGAGTCTTTTACTGCGTCTTTTCCTCTTTCTTTGTTTCCTTCTTTCTTTGTTTCTTTCTTTCTTAGCGACTGGCGTTATCGGGAGATCTTTGATGGATGCATCTGGGAATGGCGTTCTTTTTGTCCTCTCGTCTCTCGTCCCAGCCGACGAATGCTGACAGATCCACCGAGTCTTTGCTATTACTTTAACAATCTTTCTAACGTACTTTGTTCAGTTCGCTGTTTTTGACCTCGTCTGCTAGTGGCTATGGTCTCAGTGACATTCCACAAGAGGGCTCAGAACTTTATCTTTGTTCGGCCTTGTTGCCCTAACCGCCTGCCAAATCGGCAAAATGGTTGGTTTGTTGGTCAGACTGGGATAATCCTCTGCACCATCATGCTCCTCTCCGCCAGACAATTTCATTATGAAGTTCTTGGATGTGATAATAGATGGCTTCTTTAGACAATCGCTGTCGTACACATGACTTTTTTTTTTGATCATGTTTTGATCATGTTTTGACTATCACCCTGCCCGATGATGTCGAGTTTTCTGATCTTAACCACCGACCAAGCCCTATCCTTTACGAAATCGATTCTGTACAACGCACAGAGCAGCTAACCGTTGTTCTGATTGCGGATCGTATATGGGTATGCTCGGTCGCTCCACTGATCGACTGACCGACATGTCGTGAGAAAGCTAAAAGAAATCGAATGGGTGAACAATCGTGTGTTTATCTCAAAACATACGGCAAACCATCCCAACCCCTGCTTGAAACCAGAATCACCTCCCAAAAATCCCCCCAGAACACCAAACCAAAACCCAGAAATCGCGAAAAAGAAGAGCCATCAATTGCTCCAAAGCCCAGCCATCCACTCCCTGGCACCCGGATCCCTAGCCCAAGCAGCAACAGCAGCAGCAACCGCCAATCCAACCGGCAACGCCATCTCCTTAGCGTTCCTGACCACAACTTCCACAGCAGTCTCATTGATCACTGGATCCACAGGGGTATGATCAAAGATATGACGACGCTCAGCACCAGCAGGCACAGGAGATCGCACAGCAGCAGAGCGGCGAGCAGATTTCGGAGTCATGGGGTCATCGGCAATGTTAAAGCTCGAGGTAAACATGTCTTCGAGACCTGTGCCCTTTTCTGCGGCTTCCATGTCTGATTTCAAGGTCCACTTGCCGGGGTGTAGCTCAAAGTGATCTTTTGTTCTGTTTCTGTCCAAGCTGGACGTGTAGGCAGGAGTCGTGGGTTTGCGTGGTGAGTCTTCGTCTTCGTGATCGTCTACAACAGTAGGTTTCTTTGAAAGAGAGGGTACGCTAGCGGATGAGAGGCCCATCTTCTGGAAGAAGTCGCGTTGTTGGGAGAGAGGAGTTGGCTTGAACTGTGGTGGTGGCGGAGGGTTCCGTAGGCGATGTGCTGGTGACATGGGAGCTGGGGGTAGACGGCCAGTGAAAGGAGATTTCTCGCCAGTTGCCATGCTAGCGGCTGGACGCAAGAAGGGTGGGATAGCTGAGGCTGCTTGAGGTTGGGCAGTGTGGGTAGGTCTGATGGGCGACGACTGATTGATAGGCTCCCAATCCATAGAATCTGCCATGTCTTCACCAGGACCCGGAGATGGCGATGGCCGTGAGAATCGTGACAGTAGCGGCGATGCAGCCCGTGTCGCAGACCGCGTGACGCGATGAGACCCTAGGTTCTCAAGAGGGAATGGCTGTCGTGATGGAGACATGGTAGCGAGGTGAGGCGAGGCTTGACTTATAAAGTCATCGGTCGGCGGATGGAAACTTCCAGGCTCGATCAGAGGCTCCGTGCTAGCCTTCCATGAGACTCTTGGAGCAGAAGAGTAGGTGACAGTACGCAAAGAAGCGATTGTGGTCAGGACGACGAAAAGAACGGCGCACCCATGCATGGCCTTTGTGATATCGGTGGCCGACCCATCAATCCAAGGACTGCTTAGATACCACCAGGCGGTAGCTCTAAGAGCGAGGATTACGAACTGGTAACGGTAGAAATCAGCAAGACCGATTGCGTGGTGAGTTCGGTAAGGAAACCTGAGGCGGTCTTTGAAGGTCGGGTTCCACCACAGAAGCCAGAAACTGAGATACAAGGATTTCTTGACAAGGTTGATAAAGAGGTGAGCACAGCCAGGGGGTAAGAAGTGCAAGCGGAAGCCGTTGACCGAGCAGCCGACAAGCATCAGAGGAGTCAGATCGGCAACCTCCTCATTGTCTCCTGGGATGCCTAAGAAAGCCAGGGTGTGCCAGTAGGCCTGGAAGAGAGCACTGGCCCACCATGCTGCAGCGACGAGACTTAGAGCAGATATGGCAAGCGAGGACGAAGTATGAAGGTTGTTAAAGGCATGGGCTTTTGAACGTTCGAGGTTGCGAGTGAGGAAGTCGGCCTTTGCGACGTAGTTTGTCCTTTTCAGATGTTGCTCGACTCTCGGGGCGCATTTGGGGCAGACTTGGGGAAATCGGCGTTCAAGGTCTTTGCGATACTGCGGATACTCGGCTTCGTACTTGAGGTATTGCGGATGCGTGTCAGCAGGGAGGTACTCTGCGAGTAAGTTGGCAACCATGTGCTGGTTCTTGAGACATGTTTTGCAAAAAAGGTCGGAAGACTCGGGCTGGACGGGAGAAGTGGGTCGTTGGATCGAATTTGCAAAGGATGCAGGTGGTTTGGCATTGGGTGTAGCCGGAGGATCGGTAATGTCTCCATTCTGTAGCCAAGTCAGTGCTGATGGTTGGTACAAGAGCCGGAGTCGGCGCACAGAATCGAGGTGGTTCGGTGCTTCGCAGCTGGTGCAGACAAATTGTCGCGTGCGTCCATCCTTAACATGAGGTGATCGCATGCCGCAGTAGAAGCACCTCAGCCGAGGCGCGAGGAGACTCGGCATCTTGGAGGCGACTTGTGAGAAGGACGAAGGAGCGATCGTATATCGTGTGTCGCGTGTTGTGGATTAAGCTATCAGACGGGCAGGCGCGTGTCTCGAGTCTCAGGTGGGGAACGGCGGCATGGTTGCTTCTACGACACAGGCTCGAGACCGAGTGGCTGGCGAAAAGGTGCACAAGTGGTTCTTGTCAGGCAGTCTGTCTCTTGAAATGGCTGTAGACATTCTCGAACGCTCGGCTAACAACCAAATAGCAACCCGCGCTTGGCGTGCACCTGCAGCGTCGGAGGAGACGGCGTTTGGCCGCAAATTCACTGCCCGCAGCCAGACACTCGACTCTACTCGACTCCATCGACGCCCACCTACGTCAATCACATCGCAATGCAAAAGGTCGTCCAGCGAAGGGTAGCCGCCGAGCATCAGGCTCTGCGCCGCGCTGCAAAGCAAAGGAGCAAGGTCGACAACGGAAAGGAATGGGGTGCCCGCTACCAGCTTGTCTCGCGCAACAAGCAAGAGACTGTCTACTTCAAGGAGGAAAAGTTCCGCAGACGCGAGGAGTACCAAGTTGGTCCTCTGCTCGCCCCCAGACGCGACACTGGCCACATCAAGGACACATACGGCACCGTCGACCCCAGCGTCATCCAGATCCCAAAGCTCCACTGGACCCAGTACAAGCACTTCAAGTGCCCCTTCGCTGCCGGCGACAGAGTTTTGATCACAAAGGGCAAGGATGCTGGCAAGATTGGAGCCATCTCTGAAGTCTCACGGGAAAGCGGTTACGCCCGCATCACAGACTTGCGAAAGGTATCCACGCACAAAACTTCCGCCACTGCCAACACCAGTGCTAACACCACCACAAGGCTGATTTCTTCGTCCCCGAATACGTGCGCAAGGAGAACCAGGACAACCGCCCAATTGTACAACAATCGATGCCCATCCCCTGGGACGAGCTCAAACTCGTCTATCCTCTTCGCGACCAGACCACCGGTACCTTCGAAGACGTCGTTCTGGACAAGGTCGATTTGCGCGTTGCTGGATGGGTAGAGCACAAGAACGGCCTCCGCAAATACGCCAGGGGCCAACGATTCCTCCCTGGTACAAAGACTCCTCTCCCATGGCCCGCCATCGAGGATCCGGAAAAACCTGAGGGCTACGACGACGACACTCTTCGTATTTCCGTCGACGAAACCACTCACCGCCCTTACTTGCTCCAACCACCAATGCCCATGTCGGTCATCGACGAGCTGAGAAACAAGTACTCCATCTTCCGTTCCCGCCACGAGCCTGCATACATTGCCCAGAAGCAGGCCCAGGACCGCGCCGCACAACACAAGCAGAACCTCGCCCGTCTGGTTTCTACTCCTCTTGCCGAGCTGAAAGAGCAACAGCGACAGGAGAAACTCGCAAACCCCCTCGAGCTTACCGAGGAGCAGCTTGCCAGAATTGGAGAGGTCATGGCCCAGGAGAAGCAGAACGCCATCAACAAAATCTCCCAGCAATAAGCTTGTTGCTTGTATTATGGATTACATGTGGTTTGCATCGACGCGGCGTTTTTTTGGCTTCTTCTCCTGTAAAATTACACCCCCTTGTCTATATTTATCTGCCTCAAGAATATTCAGGCAAAAAAAGAATTTCAATATCTCGCGAGAACCTTCCCCATGGAAAGAGTACCCGGCGCTCATCTCTCCTACGAAGGTCTGGAATACAATGCTCGCTATAAAAAGGCACAGTGATGTCTAGATCAAAGATGAACCCAAAGAGAGCATTAAAGAACACTGCATCTTGATGGATACGATCCAGTCTTTAAGAACATTGTTCATTTTGATGGGTAGCTAGCTGCGTTACAACCCTTTGCACACGGAGAGGGAGAATCTTCTATGTTTTCGCAAACTCAGTTGCGATTTGCTCGTAGGTGCAAAACTCGACCTCATCGCCAAACGACTGCAACCAGCTCAAGAACCGTTGAATCATGCCAATCACATGTGCCATTCCAGAAGTGTCTGGGTGGAGGACGAGAGCGAAAATGGTCATATCCTCCCTTCCATCCTCGACCTCGCTCTTCAGCCATTCGAAACGATCCATCCACATGCGTTCGATCAGACGAACATCGACAAAGCCCTGAGAATTTGGAACGTTGGGGAAGAATTGCATAGGAGTCATATCCTGTGTCTTCATCAGCCAGAAACATCATATACAGTTCAGTCGGAGCAACCAACCTCCATGTACCAATTACAAGGTATCTCGACCAAAGTGCTTTTTTCCAGCCTCAAAAAGTCCTTGGAGGGTTTCATCCAGCTGCTAGCCTCCTTGTCCGGAGAAAACTCAATCGTGTTGAGTTTATCCACTTCCTTTGGTAAGAAGTATGGCATACTGTCCAGGTGGGCAAGACTCGAATCCCAGAGAAAGCCATGCTCTTGTAGTAGTCTTACTGTTCGTTCTTGGATCTGGTATAGCGGTGCTCTGTAGCCTCTAGGTTTCTTTCCTGTCAAATTCTCCACCAGCCCTATCGTCTTTACCAAAACATCTCTTTCTTGTTGTGCAGTCATTTGCGTGCTTCCTTCGTGGGAGTAACCGTGTAATGCTATCTCAGCACCCGAGTCTACAATTTGCTTTGCTTGCTCAGGGAATGTCTCTAGCGAGTGGCCAGGAATACACCAAGTCACTTTGTCAGAGATTGCCAAGCGAGAGAATACTTTGAGCAGGCGCGAAACACCGACGTAGCCGCTAAAGTAGCCCGAGGATATATCGGCCATATTGTTATCGGGATGCTGGGATGTGCCTAGCCAGCCAGAGATAGCGTCAAAGTCGATGGACAGGACGATTTTGATCTTTTGCTTGGGAGTAGTGGAGGCCATGTTGAAGTTATGCTTGTGTATGTGTTCAAAAGGAGATTGAAGAGAGAAATAGAAACAAGACTTGGACGGCACCTACGCTTTATAGCTATCTGGAAGAAGTGGTTGCTTTTGGCATGCAAGGTTGATATAGGTATCGAGGCCTAAAGGGGAAGGTGCAACCGGACGAGCACTCTACGTACTGAATTTTATCACTACTACCTACTCTCATATCAACCATAAGGCGAAGATGAAGCCATCACGGTGCACAGTTCTTTGTAGTTGATAACTACAGCCACTGCGAGCCCCTGATAAGATGGTTTCCTCGTGGGCTCTCTATGGATGCTTCCTCTTCACTAAGAAGATTGTGCATTTCTATGATTGTCGGCGTGGCGGAATTTCGCACACGGGGAAGACGTCCGTGGGTGCATCAGTCTGTCAAGGTAGCAGGGTCATCACGATACACAGTGCTTTCAGGAGCTCGAGCAATTCTGGTTCCGATGTCAAAATTCATTACATCGCGTGAATAAAAGGAAAACGAGAGCGATAGGGAAGTGCTTGTCGGAGGCGGGGGGGAGTGTCGCGCCGAAATTCATCCGGCGGCCGTCGAGACTTTTCATATTGACAACGACAGCAAAGTTGGGGAGAGAACATAGCGCACCGCTTCGTACGCAATACACATCTCCATATCGCAATAATGGCAGAGACTGTAGTGTAAGCCCCAAATGCTCGAGTACGATTTCTACGAACCCAAGACTGACACAGGAGCAGCAACGAGACCATCCTGCGCGAAGTGCGCGTTGACGCCCTGGTATGCGACCCACGATAACCACAGGATCAAAGAGAGGACAAGAGTTGACAGAAGGGAATAGGTCGTCATGCGCATCATCAAGCACAGCTCGCAGGTCTTCCCCAGCATCGCAACTGGTTCTCTGGTCGGTCTGGACATCGAGGGTCAACTGCAGGTCACCAACTCTTTCAACATGCCCCAAGTCGACGGCGGCGCTACCGTAGGAGATGCCAACGACGCACAACTCGCCGCTCAAATTGCTGCTCCCCGCGCAAAGGCCAACATCGCATACCAGACCGAGATGATCCGCATGCTGCGCGAAGTCAGCGTTGACGCCCAGAGCGTTGGTTGGTACATGAGCGCCAGCATGGGCAACTTTGTCAGCCTTGCCGCCATCGAGAACCAGTTCTACTACCAGAAGGAGCCCAACGAGCGCACCGTTACTCTGGTCCACGATGTCAGCCGTAGCTCCCAGGGCAGCCTCAACCTCCGTGCCTACCGTCTGTCTCCTCAGTTCATCGCCGCCTACAAGGAGGGCAAGTTCACCACCGAGAGGTGAGAATACATAACAATACATTCACTTCAACCTGTCATACTGACTCGTGGCCCACAGCCTGCAAAAGAGCGGTCTCCGCTACCAGGACATCTTCACCGAGCTGCCCGTTGTCGTCTACAACTCGCACCTCCTCACCTCTTTCCTCCACCAGCTGCCTACTCCTCCCCCAAGCAAAGCTCTGAACTTCCCTCCCAGCCTCGCCACCCTCGAGCAAGACCCTTCGCTCAACACCCTCCCCCTGGCACCCAACTTCGACTCGCTCGACCTCTCAATCGACCCCTTCCTCGAGAAGACCTGCGACCTCCTCCTCGACAGCATAGAGACTCACCACACCGAACTGAACAACTACCAATTCTACCAGCGTTCGCTCGCCCGTGAACAAGCCAAGATCACCCAATGGCAAGCGAAGCGCAAGGCCGAGAACGCCAGCCGTACCGCCACAAAGCAGCCCTTGTTGCCCGAGGACGAGTGGCAGAAGCTCTTCAAGCTGCCCCAGGAGCCCTCAAGACTCGAGACTCTTGTCAACAGCCGTCAAGTCGAACAATACTCCCGCCAGGTCGATGCCTTCACCGCCTCCATCTCCGCAAAGATGTTCGCCGTCAAGTCAAACCTTGTCCCCAGCGATGATTAGATCCGGATGTTGTAGATACCGGAGAATCCTCGAAAAAGAGAGAAACACAAAAGCATTTCTTCTGCGAAAGATATCCGGGCATTGATGTGTGGGCAAATGATTTTTGGTTCAAGAAAAGACTGGCGTTTTACGGAGCGAACCCTTTCCAAAAAAAAGAAGAAGATCATACAAATCTGTGACACAACAAGAAAGCGCGGATACTTTGGGCACATTTCTGTAGGCTTTTTAGACACACGACGCAGGCACATGAGTGATTAATGAATTCTTTTTTCAACTTCAGGTGCTGTTCTCATCACGACAGACAGTTGTGAGATACCTTGACTCGGTATAGGAAATGATACTCAGCATCTTCAGATCTCGAACAAGACCAAGCATAGAAACGTAACAGGCAAGTACACCATTACTCGTTCTTTCCTTCATCCGTGTTTCAACCCATCCAGATATGCCACCAACCTCTTCTTGATGATAACACCGACCAATCTGCCCGTACCCTCTTCGGTCACCATCAAATGCCTCAATCCCAACTTCCCAAACATCTCAACCGCATATTCCATCGGTGCCTTTGCACACACACTCATCGGAGTACGGTCCACAAAACTCGAGAGGTCAAACTCGCCTTCCTCCGCATTACCCAACAATCTCACTTCTGCATCTTTGGGATACAACTCTCCTAGCTTGCGCAGTCCAAAGCTGAGTTCGCCTTCTGCGAGATAGCCTTGCAGTATATTGTTGTTTTGAACCAACACAAGACCTGCATCCATGAGACCTCTGCTTTCGAGCTGGACGAGTTTCTCCTGCAGTACTTCGCGTTTGACCTTGTTGGTCGCAGGCACATGGATGGTGATTTGCTCCATTGTGTGCTCTGGAGGAATCAATTCTTCGACAAGCACATCGGCCATCTGGATGTAGCCGAGACTGTGATCAAGGTCCAGGAAAGGATGACCCAGCACGTTTTGAGCTAGATCGTATACTCCTTCTTTACCCAACGAGTCGGCTACCCATTTGGCAACGAGGATCGCTACCATGTGTGGGAGCACGTAGTCGAGTTCTCCGGTGAGTTCGAACATGATGACGCAGAGAGACAAGGTCATTCTGCTGACTCCAGCCAAAAATGCAGCTGCACCCACCATGGCGAAGATGCCTGGAGAAATACCACCGACATATTGACCCAGAAGGCGACCAAACAGTGCACCCGCATCCAGAGCAGGAATGATCACCCCTGAGGGCACTTTGATGCCAAAAGTGATGATCGTAAGTACCAATTTAGCCAACGTGCCGTACACCAGCCAACCCACATATCCCCAATTACCATCTTCGCGAGCTTCATTCTGACATACCCAAGACTCTGCTGAATTCTCGGTTCTGCAGTCCACGAGCAGAGTCTTGATTATCATATCACCAGGCTCGCGGATCAAAGGGTTAGGATATTGGAGTAACGCTGTGGCGAGGACGATCAGGAAGACCTCGAAGACTGGGTGATTCTTTATAATGGCGTATTTGCGGAAGGTTTTGCTCCAGAGGAAGTTCAGTTTGCAGAAGACACCGCCGAAGATGCCGCCTGCAATGCCTGTTTTGATAACTCGTCAGCAGATGCGGGTGCAATTTGTGAGTACAGGAGCCTTACCAAGCACAACAAACACCAGATAGTGCACCGCACTATAACTCGTGCCATAGTTGGTTTCAAACAGTACCAATTTGCCAGTGCCCGTAGGATTGAGTTCCTTCAACACCATAGCAGCAACAGCACTGCAGAGAAAAGCTCTCCACAGCACTTTTCTCGGAAAGTAAGTGCTGATTTCCTCGTAACTGAACAACACACCTCCAATAGGTGCACCAAATGCCACGGACAAGCCAGCTGCACAGGCTGCACTCAGCATCTCTCTCATCTTGCGTTCATTATCGCGGTATTTGGGGAAGAAATTGGCGACGAGGTAGCCCACACAGGTGGAGATGTGGACGAATGGACCTGATTGTAAACCCACGTCAATTCGACTCCATCACAACAAGAGCAATGGATGTACTTACCTTCTTTGCCCAAACACATGCCCGTAGAAACAGCAAAAACAGCGCCCACGGCCTTGACCACCAACACCTTCAACGACAAAAAATCCGGAATCACAAACCCGCCGAGTATGGTCTTGATCTCTGGAATCCCCGAGCCAGCAGCCATATACATCGTCTTCCCCGCCACTGCTTCCGTGTCTCCAGAGTCGCTGGTATTGGCAGAGGGCAAAGCACCCTTCGTCAACATCGTCACCCCAGCACTGACAAGTCCAAACGCCAATGCAAAAGCAACATACACCCCAAAACTAGCAGCGTACTCATCACCCCAAGTTTTGAAATCCGGGCATGAAGTCGCAGGCTCAGAGGCAGAGGTGGAAGAAGCACAGCAGGCTTCGCGAGTGTAGAAAGGGTTTGTGGTGCAGTGTCCCAGTTTCCAATCACTGACTGTAGCGGCGGCAACGTCGACGAGGTAGGCTACGCATGCTGTGAGTGCGCCAATGACTGCTGCTGCTATCCAGCCTGATGACGCGTCGAACAGAGCAAGTGATTTTCCTTTGAGATTTTTCTTGTTGTGGATGTTGCGAAGGCGGTAGGAATCTTTGACCTATATGCAGCACGATTATCAGTTCTACGCCTTTCTAGCTGGTAGGGGAGATGGAAGAAGAAGACAGAGCAACACAAAAGACTTACAAGATCATGCAACCAATCTATAGTGGTATAATCATTGTAAGCCAGTCTTTCTCCTACTGTACTGCTTGCCAAAGCCTGCTCGTCAACACTGGTGTGGCTTTTGACCATCGAACTCGCCGCATCGTCTTTTTGCATCAGTCTACTGAGGCGACGATCTGGAGCTCGTTCGGGATCGAGCAGAGGAGTGTTTTCGTCCGACATTTCTGCTCTCCCAAGTAATCGGAAAACACGAAATCGATCTGTTGAGATGTCAAGAGGACCTACCGTTCTTATCGTTGTAACCACACACTTATCATCCCCTGTGGTTGCTGCGATATTTGATGCACATGGGCGTCATTGCTACCGCAAAAGCATATCTACCGACTTCGTGAGTCTGGCCTGGAGCGGTACCTCCAAAGTCGTTATCAGTGTATCAGCAGCATATCAGTGGTGAGAGACGCCACGAGATAAGAAATACAGATTAGGCGGCATGAGGTTGTGGAACGGGAATGCGCGGCGTGATGGTCAATCATCGTAGATCATGCAGAGTACAACCCAAGTGTTCCATTCTCGACTTGACGGGTAGAATGAGTGTGGAAGGGGTGTTTGTTTGAGTTGCGAGGCTGAGTGGGTGGCATGGTGTGGGGATGGACTTGACTTTGTCAACATGGGGATTTGGCAACGATCTTCAGACTGGTGCCAATATTCATATTATTATCAACATGGAACAGCGAGTCGCGTCAAGAACCGACCGCAAGTCTGCAGAGGTCTATTAGAGAGTTGAAGCTTACTTCTTCTGCTCTTGAACACCCTTCTTTACACCCTCGACGAAGGCTTCCACAGCCTCGCCGCCACCAAGCGGCACACTACCACCCTTGACCATACCGCCGTTCTGAACCTTGACACCGAGAGCTTCCGAGACCATCGGAAGACCACCGTCTCGCAATGCGAATGTTAAACTGCCCAGACTTTGGTTCAATTGAGGTGAGCGAAGGACTCGCTGTAGCAGCTCACGCTTCTGCTCAGTGGCCATAGCTTCAATAGCAGCGCGTGCGGTTGCCTCACTGGGCTCTGCAGATGAGGTGGTGGAGGCAGATTCTTGAGCGAGCAGGAATAGCGATGGAGGCAGGTACATGCACAATGCATCGATTTGCTCAGGCGAAGTTGACGACAGCCAGGGGATGGTGTTGTTGGTTGATAGGAGCTCGGAGAGAGTGGTGAAGGGTCGATCGTAGGACGATTGTTGCTGTTGCTGTTGCTGTTGTTGTTGTTGTTGTTGTTGTGCACCCATCGATGAGCCTTGGAGGGATCTGAGGAAGTTTTGAACAGCGTCGTTGGCATCGCCGGGAGGAGCACTACAAGGCACGAGACACATCAGCCTACATGGTCTTGAAGATCGCAGTGACATGAATGCTTGTCTGATGATGGCTCAGATACATGCTACCTCGCAATGCAGATATACCAATGCTCATGCAATTTTGAGGGTATTCAGTCCCTTGCAACGCCTTTCCCCACCTCCAAATAGTCTTGTCTAAGAGGAGAATACAACCAAAATCAGAATCGTGAAAGAAAAGGAGGAAACCTACGCTCTGCCACCATCGGCTCCGCCTTCACGGCTGGCTTCGCCCTCTTCCCTAGCATCTGCGCCAGTTGCGTCTGCACCGGCACCGCCACTGCCCTGTCTGTGGTGTTCAGGCTGGACGTCTTCCATGTCGACATCGTCACCGTTCTCGTCGTCATCATCATCGCCGCCTCTCAGACGCTGGATCTCGAAACCGACATCGACTTCTTCGCCAGCGAGGATGTTGTTGATGATTTCGCCATAACGCTTGTCTCTTGAGCTGAACCAGCTTGCATCGCCACTAGCGTGTTGTGATTTGGATTGAAGCCAGAAGAAGTGGCGTTGCGAAGATGACGAGAACTTGAGCATGTAAATGCGGCCATTTGTGGGCGAGTTTGTATCGGTGGTGCCAGTGTAAGGAGTGAAGGTAGCATCGCCGGGGAACATGATCAAGTCGAGCTCGGGGGATGTGGGAGGGGCGGAACGAGGGCGCCAGCAAAAGTGTACGAGCTCTAAGGGCACTCGGTCAGTGGAAATTGATGATGTGAAGGGCGAGATAAGAGACCATCTTCTTCGTAGAGGTAGAGGTAGCCGGGAGTGGCATCAGGCTTGACCTTTTTGCCCTGCGATGCGCATTAGATGGGAAGCTCGAAACATGTTTGGAGAGTATGAGCATACGTTTACGTCGCACTGGCCGGCCTTGAATGTGATGAGAGCGTCGGTAGCCATGGTCAATATAGACGGATGGCTAGTGAGTTGATGGATGTGATGAAAGGTAAATAGCACAGAATGCTGCGGTGATGGATTGCTAGAGATGGACTTGCGATGACGCTGGCTGTGTTTGGAGCTTGACAATCATCGGCCCTTGCCAAACGCCGATCGCACCCAGCGGTTTCCTCAGTCACTGCAAAGGAACATGCGAAGGACAACAAGCCTGCACTCATATCAAGCATTGTTGCATTCAGAGATTGAATATCAAATCAGACAGAAAGGCCAACGGAAGGCTTGACAACGGAATCTCATCGATGATGTATAAACATAAGCGGCAAGAGCTGTGTCAGTGAAATCTTCAGTGGCACCCGCCACTTCCAAGTCATTTGAGCAGAGTAGAAATACCACACCTACCTACTGCTTGACTTCAAAGTGATCTTCTTCTGCCTCTGTAATCAAAAAACCAAAGTCAAGACGAATGCGAATGGATAGGGACTTTATCGATGGATGGTCCTGATTGCGCGCACAGACCGCCCTTGGCGTTGCCCACAGTCTCGCTTCCTGGATTTTGGTGTTCAAGCCCACCGACCGAGTTCGAATTCCGTTCTGCGAAGACGACACGAGATTTCATCAACGACCACCGCCAATCCCGCCAAAATGTCCACCAAGCAGTTCCAACAGGGTGAGCGTGTCATCCCTGCTGCCGCAGAGAAGGCCCCCAAGTACTACCAGGCCGAGGACGACAGCCAGGCTAAGAAGGTATGCAACACTTTGCGACCGCACAACGCCGACACACATACACACACACACCCACCCGCGAGAGAACGAGCAGAAAGAGTTGGACATGATCAGGGAATACACTATTGCGCGCACACCAGACTTACGGCCATTGTTGCGCTCTTCTCTCGCGTTCCGCCCGTTCTTGTACACATACAAGGGACCACAGTCCGCTGACAAGTCCTCCTCTGCAGGTCCGCAAGACCCAGCACCCTTGCAAGCCCCGTGCCTCCCTCCAGCCCGGTACCGTCTTGATCCTCCTCGCCGGTCGTTTCCGTGGCAAGCGCGTTGTTCTCCTCAAGAACCTCGCCCAGGGTGTCCTCCTCGTCACCGGTCCATTCAAGGTCAACGGTGTCCCTCTCAGACGCGTCAACGCCCGCTACGTTATCGCAACAAGCACCAAGGTTGACATCTCCGGCATTGACTCGTCGGTCGTTGAGAAGGTTGGTGGCGACGCCTACTTCGCCAGAGAGAAGAAGTCGAAGGCCAAGGGTGAGGACGCTTTCTTCAAGCAGGGCGAGAAGCCCGAGGTAAGACAACTCCGCCAAAACATTGCATTGCGACATGCCCAAATACTGATACAACCCCTACAGGCCAAGAAGGTCGCCTCCGGCCGCGCCGAGGACCAGAAGTCCGTCGACCGCGCCATTCTCTCCAGCCTCAAGAAGGAGCCTTTCCTCATCTCCTACCTCGGCTCCACCTTCAGCCTCAGATCGGGCGACAAGCCCCACGAGATGGTCTTCTAAGCGATTTGACTACGACACACACAAATGGACTTTGGTTGCGGTCAATGAATGGAACGGGCGCGTGGTGAGCAATATTACTGCGGCGCTTTGAATGTTACACCCCCCCAAAAATCGGACATGGGCTTGTTCTTTTTTCTCCCCCCGTTACAAAAGGCACTGCGACTTTCTTATAAAAACATGAAAATCATTGCTCAGAGGCTTCCAAAATATCATGTCCGAGGCGCGCATAGTGCCGCAACGACTTTTTTTTCTATCTTTCATAACCGCTTTCCAGTCTCCGTCGTCGAATCGTCACGTTACGTTACTTGTTTACAGCCGATCGATCGTTAAACAGAGCCTCGCCAGGCGCACGCATATCCAACCTCCCCTGGAATCTCTTCTCGAACCTCTGAGCAGTCACCACAAGCGCCTTTGGGAACCACTCTACATCTCCGTCTTCCTCCATCATGCCGACCAGCGCCTGTGCAGATTTGAGACACATCACCATGCCGTGACCGTTGAAACTAGCACACATGAAGACACCAGGCATGTTGGGCATTGCTCCAACATACGGTAGGCCATCAGCACTAGTACCCATGACCCCTGACCATTCCTTGACGATCCTCCCTTCCTTTGCGTCAGATCCCCAGTTGTGCCCGAAGCACCTCGCTGTGCAATCGTAAAGGTAGGTCGAAATGTCCTTGTTCAAGTCTGTATCCAAGGTGTTTCCAAATTCGGATGCGCCGCCGTTGGGCAGCTCTCGCAATCCACCACCAATGATGATCGTGCCGGCGTCTGGCGTTCCTGACGGTCGAGTGATCATGTATTCGTATCCATGGCTGTAGATGAAAGAGTAAGTCGCATCCAAGCCAGGCAATCTAGACCCCGGTCTCTGTGCTGTAATTTGCCCGCGCAGAGGAACAATGATACCCTGCATCTGCGGCAACAAATGTGCGGTATACCCATTCGTGGCTATCACCAAGTTGGCAGTCTGGACCTTGCCTCTTGCCGTCTGTGCCATCCATCTCGGCGACTGTGGGTTGAAGTTGTCCGCTTGCTTGATAGCATCGACTGGCGTGTTATTTTGTAAGTTCAGACCCTTCTCCAGACAGTGCTTTAGTATCCCAATGGTAAAGCGATACGAACTTATACTCCCACCTTCATACACAAACGCTCCTAGAGCATCGGGAGTATGATATCTCGCCTTTGCTTCTTCAGCAGACAAGATCTCATACTTTGCAGCTGGGTCATCAGTACCCATGGTTTCTTGCATTCTGGCAATGGCTTTTTTGCCCTTTGCGAGGTTTCCGGCATCGTAGATGATGTCTACGGTATCGCAGGGTGTGGATGCACAATCGATGTTCAGTTCGCGGGCTAATGAATGGGTTGCTGTGATATTGGCGTATGCGAGACGAGCGATTTTGGTGGCGTCTTCGAGGCCGTGTTCGGCTTCGTGGTCGAGGAAACTACGATAATTCGCTGCTTTTGTGTGACCACCTGAACACATCCCCATCAGTCTATTGCTAAACCGGTCTTGGGAAGCACAACTAATTCTTACCGTTTCGACCTGTGGCTCCACTGCAGGCTTGTCTCGCCTCTAGCATCAAGATGCTGCTGCCAGGTTTTATTTCAAGAAGATTGTAGGCAATAGATGCACCACTAATGCCACTGCCGATGATGATGTAGTCGACATATTCTGGTAGATGTTCTGTGCTTTGTAAATCCGCTATCTCATCTGGCGGGTCTTGCCAATACGATGTGGTTGGATTTGGCAGTGGTAAGGTGACGGGTATTTTGGCTCTTTCTTCCATGACGAGACAATTTATGCGGGATCAGGTTGCAAGACGAGTCGATTGGAAGTAATTGTCGAAGAAAGCAGTTGTGGTATGTTTTGTATGTATTTGTCTCCACCTTCAATATCTCGTTTGGGAAACCAGATGCGATGTCCACGATAAGGAAAGCGGAGTAAGAACCTGCCTCGGACCACGTCCTCCCCATGTGTGAGAGTATGTAACGCATACAGCTACAAAAATGCATGATACTTTTGAGCATCGGAACAGTGTGCATTGAGAAGTGATGTACTACAGGCTCTCCTTGGACACATCTCTAGTCTGGCAACTATTGTGCCATTTTATAGTGAGGTCGTGACTCTGAATCTTCGCGGGAGAAGCGTATCAAGCCTACGAGTTACGAGTGTATATTGATTCTTGGCGCCAGCATCATCGTTTTGGTCCATCGTGTCCTCTGACTGATAATCTGGGATAGCGGACATTAAATGGTTGCTGATGTGAGAGCAAGTATCATCTAAATGATCATTGTCGAATGAGGATGAGGCTCAGACCATGGAAGAACTTCGGGCGTTGGGTCGATGGGTCCTCTCAGCAAGAACAGCGACGCGCCAATTTTCTGCTGCCTTTGTTCGACATCCTGATACACTCTCACTGGACACTTCAGCAACCAGACACAACACTCGGATATCAAAGCAAGAGCATGGGAATCAAGAGAGAGAAAAAGTAGGATGGAGAAGAGCAATACATGAGCAAGACGAGCCGCCAGGATGCATTAGCAAACGACCCCGAGCCCGATGATCTTAATGAATACAACACAATATGGATATGCTCTCTGAGCAAGTCAACAACGACAACATGTCTCTCAGTATCCCGGCCCGCGGTTAATGAAGTGAAAGAGAGTTAGGCGGAGCAAGAAGAGACTGAGGTCACCCATCTAGGGATCAACACCATCATGGCGTTTAGATCAGGAGAGGGTCAACCTCTTCCTTCTGGCCCTTCTTGCCCTTCTTCTTGCTGCCTCCGCTGGGGGCACCGTCGTTGGTTCCGGGAGTTTTCTTCTGATGGACGATGAGGGTCGTCCATGACTCTTCTTTATCCCACTCGAAGCCAGCGAGGTAAGGGTTCTCGCCCATATCGTCGTCCTCCTGTATCACAGCAGTGGTTAGACTCGATACTATACAAGAGTGAAGATGAGCGACGCAAGACGTACCTTCTTCTTGAACTGCTTGTAGATGGCATCTACGGCATCCTTGATCGTCACGCCCTTGAGGTTACGGGCGGTCACGTTGAGTCCGAGTGGGAAGTGTAGGTCGATCTTCTTGACTGGTGGCGTGGTGAGGAACTTTTTTAACACATCCTTGTCGTCGATTGTGTTTGGGTTCTTGTTTAGCTTCCTGGACGTTATTAGCATGTGGAGCCAACAGCACACGACATAACGACGCCATGTTGAAAAGGCATCGAAGCAACATCGACATATCAAGGAGAACTTACCATCCAAGTTTCTGTGTTTCCGGCGCTAGTTGCAGCTCGACCTTTTCCGCTTCTGCAGACACAGTCAGAGACATGCGAGGCGGCAAGAAGAGTTCACAATTGCGAACTTACCTAGATCTTCGATTCTGAACACTCCAGAGACAGTGCTACTGGTTCTGCGGTGCTTGATCTGCTTCTCGTGGCCAGGCTCGTAGGTGGTGTCAGAGACGGCAGAGTCGAGTCTGGTGAGGGGGTGTTCAATCTCGGCAGACATGGTTGGAATTGAAGGGTTTGAAGCTTAGGGAATAAGCTTGAAAGCTGTTGGATTGGTAGGCAAGCTGATGGGAGCGTGAATAAGACCGACTTGATGATTACAAGGCAATCTTGAGAAGAGAAAGAAGGAGAGAGCAAGAGCTGAGGGAGTCGAGTGTAGAAATACCTAGACAGCAGTCACGCCGTGCGGGGTTGTCTGACGGTTGCCTTTCACTGGACTGCCACAGGTCGTCCTTGCTCAAGCTCTCAGCCAAGTTTGGATAGCTCTGTCACGGAGCTCTCAAGGTGATCATCCCACTGAGCACGAGACCAGCGGCACATCGGCCCTCTCTCAGGCATGCCAACGTCGAGTCCGGGGTAGTCACGCTAGAGCGCTTCCAGGATGCGGGGGAAACCTTATGCCACCTTGTACCTGCGGACCTTTGAAACACACTTCAAAAGCAATTATTGACGGATCCTCAGGGGAGATTGTGTTACAATTCAATGCGGAGCGACAATTCTATGAGGTTGCAAATTCGTCGTGTTTGCAGCTTTGCGAGCTGGACACGCGAGCTTTGTCAGGGAAGCTTTGGGTCCAATGACGCCGAATCACGCCAACCTGGAGAGAGCAACCACAACCCTCGGAAGAATGGGCGCTGACGAGGCACTAAATCTCGCATAACGGGGCGACGACTATCAAAGGTACTTTCGAAAACTGACATGCATGTGACCATCTCACGGCCGCAACTGCAGAGCAAACACAAGGCAAATCATCTCCCCTCTTCGGTACCATTGACCTCGAATCATGACTCGGAATGCATCCAGACCATGCTTACAAGGTCCTCGCGGTCGTTAAGTAGGCTTCCTGCTGCACTCGTAAAGCGTCCGATGATAGCATCAAGACTTCCGGCACCAACTTCGTACTGAATATTCTGTCCAAAGCCATCCGAGCAATTGTGCAACACGAGCATAGTGCCTGCATATGGTGGGCTGTAGGTATCGGAAGAGTGCTCGTTGCTGTACAGCTCTTGTTTTGTCATCACCCGCACCTTTGGTACCACCTTTAAAGCCGCTCTCATCATCGACGTCCATTCTCCCGGCACTTCGGGCATTTGGAAAACGCGCATCTTTTCGAGCTTCGTGGTCTGGAGATAGTGCTTGAGCCCAGCAGCATATATGCACGCCATCAGACCATCTTTGCTACCAAACTCTCCGATGAAGATGTTCGGTGCCGAGAAAGTGTAGATGTAACCTTGATGTTTGCATATTCTCTCGAGGGCATCCATTTCGTTACGGAACTGATGGTATGCAGTCGTGACCAGGATCTCTAGCGAAAGCAATGGGCTGTTCTTTTTGGACTTGGCCGACATCCAGAAGAACTTGTTTCTGACCTTTTCCAGGATGTCATTGCAGGAGACTTTCAAGATCTTGTCGGCTAGAAAAGTTTTGGCTTGGGAGCGTGACATGGCACTGGCGCTGCCTGCCTCGATGCTTGGAAGTTGTCCATCCGCAGTCAGATTGTAAACAAGAAGTCGACGGAGGCAGTCGTCGTACTTGTCTCGAACATCATCTAACTGCTTCTCCTTGCTCTGAGGAATATCGAAGTCCGCGGTGAGAGTTGTCTTGGTGTCGGCCAAAGCAGACACTTTCATCATCACCTCATCCGTCTCGAAGTCTTGGTGAATCATGTTGCTTATCAGGACTTGTCGACCAGTTCTGAATTTGCCGCTTGGAGGATAGGGTGTGAAGGTATGTCCTTTGTTGTACCCTCTCTCGCCATGCAGCCAGGCCAGCTCGATAGAGGTCACAAATGTATGCATGGCACCCTCCATGTTCGTGATCTTGTCGCCCTTCTTCCACTTGACTCCAAGAGCCGTTCTCTTTTTACAGCGCATCAAGAATTCGACCATGGCCGGTGGTACAAAACCCGAGCACGCTATCCATGGAGGCATGAGCTCTTCTTGATTTGCAATCCAGTAGTTGCGTGGTAATTTTGCTTTTGGTACTGAGGTCTCTACCAAGTCGTCGCTTGAGATATTCGCTCGAACAGGACGAAACGGGTGCTTGAGTACCTCAGGCCGGACCTTTCTACGCACACTGTGATCGGTCTCCGAGTTTGCTAGCTTCACACTTGGTCGGCGAGTCGCTGATTGCGATCGGGACGTCCTGCTTGTTAGAGGTGAACCGGGTGATTCCTTCCTCCCTCTTTTCGCAGGGGACTTGACTGGTGTTTTCTTCGTAATACCGCTCTTCTCGGGCGATGCTTTCTTTTTAGGCGACTCTTTCTTCTCAACATCTTTCACTGGGCTATCGCGAAGTCGAGCCATTTTTGTTTCGATGATTCTGATAAAGAGTGGTGAATCAAAAGAGAAACCTGCACGCGCGACTGAACTTATGATAAACGTATGTGTGTTGACTTGTCTGGCATCTGTCTCGAGGAATGCTAATCAAGTCTCTCCAGCAACGTGTTTCCAAGACACAGAACGCCACCTCGTCGCTTGGCTTCCAACCTTCTCAAGAATGTCCGACAATGTTTCTTGGTTGATAGAGCTCTTCGAGGTATTTTTCTTCCTCGTCGGTCAAAGTCTTGTCATTGGCGCCCAGTGCCTCATCCATACGCTCGACGCTCGAGAAACCGATGATGGGACTGGATACTCGCTTGTTGATCCATGCCAGGGCGACATGTGCCATCTTCCAGCCCTTTTTCTCTGCAATCTCTTGTACGCGCCCAATAGTCTTGACATCAACTTCGGAGGTACCGGCTAGGCCCTCGGCCTCTTTGGAAGACCTCGTGGTGCTTCCAGCTGCTGATGCTGGACGGGCGAGATGCCCACGACAGAGAGGGGCCCACTGAAATATTGTTAGCGACTTGTCGAGAAGTTCCATTGCATAAACTTACAGGAATGAGTCCAACGCCAGTTGCATCGCAATACTTGTTCATCTCACGTTCTTCCTCGCGATACAGAAGACTGTACTGATTTTGCATGCTAATGAACTTCGTCCAACCGTTCTTGTCGGCACAAGCCTGCATCATGCAGAACTGGTAAGTCCACATGGAACTTGCACCAATGTAACGAACTTTGCCGGAGCGAACCAGATCGTGTAGTGCTTCCATGGTTTCTTCGATTGGTGTGTTGGGGTCAAAACGATGAATCTGGAGCAAGTCAAGATATTCCAGGTCCAAACGCTTGAGTGACTTGTTGACGGCATTGAAGATGGCAGTTCGTGAAAGGCCTCCTTGGTTGACGTAGTCTGGTGACTCGGCGATCTTCTGGCCGTAAGTCATAGTCTTGATTCCAGGTTCCTCGCCGATATAGGCGAAGCACTTGCTCAGGATGACAATTTTCTCTCTAGGAATCTGGTATTTCTTGATGGCCTTGCCAATGATCGTCTCGCTTACACCATTGCTATAGATGTTCGCCGTGTCCCACGTCTGTATGCCCTTGTCGTAGGCCGCTTTGAGTAGTGGAAGCGATGCTTCTTCGTCCAGGATCCAGGGTTGCCATGCTGGGTCGCCGAAAGACATAGCACCGAGAATAGGCACAGAAACCCGCAGCCCGCTCTTGCCCAAGCGTCTGTAGACGGCCTTGGTGTTTTCGATCTTCTCGAGTACCGGATCCTTCTGGTCTGACATGTTGATGATATAGATGCGGTGTAGACGTCCGGTGAGACTCGGTGAAAGGTGCGCGAACACCTTTCGGCGGCCAAACGCTGGTACTTGTACTCATCATGACGGCGGCTAAACAGAGGAGGGGCTACATGGAGATGCGGAAATAACAGTATGTCCGAATAGCGTCTTGAAGTTTAGATCGGATATTGTAGTTATACTACTGTTTGTCAGGCGTTCTGACTTGCTTTACACTTGGTCGATTATCCCTCTAGGATGGTGTGAGCCTGCGTTTCAGTGCATCCGGCCAGGTGCGCCTTACTCGCGACATTGTGTTGAGGTGTCAATGTGTGTGATTTGCTCTGGAAATTGACTAGAAAGCTCGGGATCATGATGTGGAGCGATATCATGCTCAAATCACATAGGCTTAATACGAGACCCCTCGGGTATGGATGCCAGTACTCTAGAATATCATCCATCAAGCCGTAACCAGGTCTGGTGCCACACCAACAAGTGTTCTCCACGTCGATATTGGAGAGCAGGGTCATCCCCTCAGCTCCGATGCACAGCACAGACCATGTATGATTCAGGCTAAGAGCCGCAAGCGTTGAGAACAGATGAGCACAAAGAATGGCATCAGGTTAGTAAGAGCTATCTGTTGCCATCATACATATCAAGCACATCAGCATCGTGATACCTTCGAGCTTTCCAGACGACTCTGCAGCAACAACCAGCTCTACCACAACGTAGGTATCAAGCTATGTACCGACCATGGTCAGCTGAGAGGACTCGAGTCACTGCTTTAACCCGTTGAAGCAGAGAGCGCTAAGTGGCGTCTCTGAATCGTGACAGTCGTCTGGCTACAAATTCACAACGAATCTCATCTTCATTTCTCATAACCAGCAACGATGGAAGTATGAAGCGCATATTCTTGGGGACCTGTCAAACGACGACGGGTCAAAGGAGGGTATGGTCTCCACTCACTCCTAAGCAGCCGACACCGCTAGACGCCATGTCATATGCATGCATATACGATCGACGACCTTGCAGTCGGGATGGAACGTTCCACATTGCATGATATTATTTTCCGGATCGGTGGAGACAGCACTGCAGTGCTTCTCCGTTTTTTCCTCTGCTTTTGTGCCGGCATCAGATGCTCGGTTGATGGAAGAACATGGATCTTTGCAGACCGCATCTTTGAGATCTCAATATCTTTTCCGCAAGTATCCGCATTGAGCCTGAGGGACAGATTCAAAGTGTAGCGTGTCCTTGTTGAAGTCTTTGCGCATCATGTAGAGATGTTTTTCTTGATGCCTCGCTGCTTTTTGGGTGCACTGAGCTGTTGGAATGAAAGCTCTGCCGAGTCTGCCGTAATGGTTGTTCTAGAAGAAGAAGATCCGGATGTAAGCCAGATTAATTGGCATCATTAATCTGGCAGGTGACAGGTCGTATTTGACAGGTAACAGAAAGATACTTCGAATGCGTTTTCCGCTTCTAAACTGACAGCGTCGGATTCGTACAGAGAATCGATAGGTAGAGTAAGTTGACCGTGAGAAATGGTCGTTCAACCAAGAGTCAGGTTCAATTGTGATGCATCTGGTGACCGTAGAAGCCTCTAGAATGGTAAGCGCGCCGGTTTCTGACACTCTTCTGCATTTTGTTGGGTTCAATATAGCACTCGTGCTTTCCCTATTATGTATCTGAGTTCGTGCTTTCTTGCTCATTCTGCCTCGTCTCAAGTGCTGACCAACATTCACTCGCTAACTGAAGATTTTACGAACGGACGCTTCCATCTGGTTTTGACTACGCTGGATGGTGCACCATGTGGGCATCGTTTCTTATGCAGATCTGAGATAAAACACAACGCACTTACCATATGATGTTGGCTTTGACTCCTGTGATACGTTGCACAGAAAACATTGATCAGCTTATGACCGTGCGGAGGCATCCGCACATTGAGATTGCGCAAGATCGGTAATGTGGAGAGTAATGCAGCTGATCGTGTTTGATGTATCCTGGTTCATGGGAGCTTTTGACTTTCGAAGACGAGGGCGAGAAACGGACCAGCAGCTTAGAGGAGATGAGGTAGAAGAAACAAATTGCAATTTTTGTAAGATGTCATGAATCATGATGTTCGTCTCCTGTCATTGACCCAAAGAAAATTGACTGCAAAATGAAAAGGGTATATCTGCGCGTTTGCTGGATTGGAGCGACGTCTTTTGTCCTGCGAATCCGTACACCTTGAGTCCGACGAAGATAGAAAAAGAGACCGATGTTCTGTGATCCAGTGGTCTAGAAGTAGACATTCACAGGTTGAGACGCAAAATGAGGACCGTATTGTTATTCTTGTGGTGGTGGTCATCCCTTCCTGCTGCTGACTTTGGCCTTGTAAGCATATCGTGGCGCAGGCGGTTTGCAGTCACCTGAAAAGATCAATAGTCAGCATCTCCCAGATTCCTCGATATGGTGTATGATTCTATGTCTGGAGATCATACCGCATGGTTCCTCAAATCTGTATTCACTACGAAGACGGTGTCAGAAGAGATCATGAGTTGTGTAAGCTGAGGCAAGACTTACTGGGCAACGACGTTGGGAGGACAACGTTTGTGTGACTCCTGATATCTGACACACCAGGCACGTACGGTGTATCGTAGGTGGCCACAGCAGTATTCGACCTTTGTGTAATCACACATGATGTTCGAGTAGAAATTATATAGGTGAGATCAGAGTAATCGAAACCAAGTAGATTGATGAAGAGGCAATGTGTCTTGGAGGTGAATTGATCGAATCCAGGTGGTTGACAAGGGGAGAACAGGTCGAGGGGATAAGCCAAGATGATATATAATGCTCGAATCTGTTCGAGGACGATTTGTTCAGATCAGACAACCATCTGTATGCTGCCAGCCTTTGCCACAAATCGAGACAAGTTTGTTTTCTGGCCGGTTTCAAATCACAGAACCACATGAGATTGAAGCAAGCAAAGCTGAGAAGACTGGTAGCAAGCAGAACTTTCCACTGACCTGTTCTCGACGGACACTTCGAAACACCTCATTATGTTCATTGTACCACCGATGTGCCCCGGTCAAGCGAGAAAGCAAGAAGAGAACCATACCACTCCCGCTGCTCGCTGATGCACGAAATCCAGACTAGCCTAGTACGTCAATCCTCTTGACAAGTTGTTCCAATCACATACTCGACATTGACGCAACTTTGACCGTTGACCGATGGACAGGGACGCTCAGGTTGACGCCAATGCAAAGCAAATCGCGCACCCTTGACCGCCGCACCGAAATCCGGGCTCGGAGACCTCTGCTGCATGCAACGTGCTTTTTGGCAAAAGAGAGCAAGCATGGCGTTCCTTGAGAGGCCTGCAGGATGGCGTTTTGATCGTGTTACCGTCTTTCGTGCCGTACCGCTGAACCAACCACCAGCGGTTGACACGTTATTTGGAGACCTGTCGTGTCAGTGTGTTGTTGTCATTGTCAGGCCCTCGGCTCGTTGGAGCCTCAGGAACAGGCGCGCGGAATGTGTTAGGCGCCAATGGAGGTCAATCAGTGTTAGCCGGGATGCGGGTGCCACCAGCAAATGTTTTGCATGTCCTGCATGTGTTGACGTAGCAGTCGTACGAGGGTTAAATTGTCAGGTGAAATGTCATGTGGTGAAACTCGAGGTTTGTATGCTTCGCCGAGAATGTTCAGAGAGACGATTTGTCTGCTATCTGGCCCTGTGAAAGGAAAAGAATGAGTGGCATCTCAAAATCGTTGGAGATATATTGAAATGCAAGATGGATCCACTCCCAGTTCCTGGTCGACATTTTCAAATCTCGAAAGCGAGGGATGCAGCTGTTGGCGCTTTTAACCTTTGAGGGATCCGTTCTCCCCAGGGGAAGGTTGCGGAAGAGGCGTCGGTGCCGTCGGAAGAAGCGATCCGCAGCGGCATGGAGCCTTCTCTCTTACCAGCCACGTTCCAATCCAGGCGATATCGGGAAACAGCTGGACTGTGAAGCGAACAGGACGATGAAACTCGAACACACAAGAGGATCCTAGAGATGAAAGCCAGGCTATGGTCCCGAGGTGACTCGAGTAGCAGTTATGTCTAGAATTCAGATGTGGTTGTTCTCTATCGGCTAGAAGCAGAAGCAGAAGCAGACTCGAGTCGCACGAAGAATTGAATAGAAATCATGACAATCTAATTCCTTCTAATGTATCTTCTTTATGCTGTAAAGGCTTGACAAATCATGTGTATGCAACTCCAAAACTTCCCTTCGACATCGTGAGCCCATGACAAGGGTATCAAACAGTATGCCATTCGAAGCAAATCCCTCCGAGAACTCAAAACAGTATTATCGTAACATCCCTCCTCATTACAAACGGCAATCGATGCTGCAGTTCTAGCTCTCGGTGACCTCGTCCACGTCAAGCCAACCGCGACACATGCTGACAGCTCGATCCCACTTCTTGAACATCTTTTCGCCCTCTTCGGGAGTGACCTCGGGCTCGAAGACCATACGGTTCTTTTGGTTGATGGCCTTAAGCTCACTGAACTCTTTCCAGATGTCGACAGCGAAGCCGGCGGCAATGGCAGCTCCCAAAGCGGTGGTTTCGCGCATAGCGGGGCGGTTGACGGGAATACCAATAATGTTCGCTTGTGTCTGGTGATGAAATTAGTCATGTGTTTCTTGGTCGCATCGCTCCTTTTAAGCTTACCTGCATGCAAATGTTCGAGTTACTCATACCGCCATCGACGGCCAAGTCTGACAGGGCGTGTCCACTGTCCTTCTCCATAGCGTCGAGGATAGCCTTTGTTTGGAAACAGGTGGCTTCGAGAGTAGCTCGTGCAATGTGACCTCTTTGTGTGTGCTGAGTGATACCGAAGATGGTACCCTTTGCATCATCAATCCAGTATGGTGCAAAGAGACCAGAGAAGGCGGTGACGAAGACGAGACCGCCGTTGTCGTCGACGGTGGAGGCGAGCTCTGACACTTTCTCGGCATGGGCGATGAAACCCATGTTGTTCATCAGGAATTTGACACCGGAACCAGCGACGGCTACGGAACCCTCGAGAGCGTATACTGGCTTTCTGTTGCGTCCAAAATCGTAGGCTACCGTCGCGAGCAGACCGTGAGTGGAAATAGTGGGCTTCTCGCCAACGTTGTAGAGCAGAAAACAACCCGTTCCTGTCAGATGTGTTAGCACGTCGAACTGAAAAGATGAGTTGGATGTGGTGCATACCGTATGTGTTTTTGGCAGAGCCGGGAGTGAAGCCTTGTTGACCGACCAGCGCCGAGGACTGGTCACCAAGACAGCCTGCGATTCTCATTCCCTTCAGGGTACCCCTGGCGAGAGTACCGTACGCTTCTGCGCAGGATGAAGGAACGATCTTGGGCAATCTGAGCTTGTTGCGGTCAAGGTCGAAGAATGCAAGAAGCTTATCGTCATATTGACAGGTGTGCAGGTTCATGAACATAGTTCTTGAAGCGTTTGTAGAATCTGTGACGTATACGTTCTTCTCTTTTCCTCCGTTGAGGTTGTAGATCAACCAGGTGTCGACAGTACCGAAGCACAGGCGACCCTCGTCGTAGGCTTGTTGGACCTCGGGAACGTGGCGCAGCATCCAAACGAGCTTAAGGCAGGATGGGTATGTCGAGAGGGGAATACCACAGATCTCGGACAAGTTCTGATCGCCCTTGCGCTCCTTGAACTCACGGACAAGACCTTTGGTTCTGGTATCGGGCCAGGCGATGGCATTGTGCAAAGGCTCTCCAGTCTCTGCGTCCCAGACCAAAGTTGTTTCTCTCTGGTTGGTCAGACCGATTGCCTTGATATCCGAGACCTTGTGGCCCTTTTCGAGGAACTTTTTGGTAGCCTCCTCGATACAGGTTTCTACCGAAGAGACAAGTTCCCAGGGATCGTGCTCGTGCCAACTGCGATTGCTGTTAATATCGTTGCTGCAAAGGTAACAGAGCAAGTTATGAGACTTACCCAGATTCGGGGTACTTTTGCTCAAATTCGATCTGGTGCATTGCTACAGGCTCGCCGACTCCGTCGAAGATGATAAATCTAGACGAAGTGGTTCCTTGGTCAATTGCGCCGATGAAGTTCTCTTGCAACACATTTTCGTGGCTGGTGGTGAATCTGTTCAACGGCGGTCTTGTAGCACCAGACTTGGACTCGGTCCTGACTTTGGGCTTTGCATCGGCGGGAGCAGAAGCCTTCTTCAAAACAGGATCTGGTTGCTGCTGAGGGTTCTTGTCGATGTTGGGGATGTCTTTTGAGCCGTCCATTTTGGATGTAGTGCTTGTGTTCTGTGTCAATCGTAAAGCGACGAGAGTCTCTTATTTGTTGCAGTGACGCAAAAATGAATTTGCGTAGTCGTCGGTCTCGATGCAGTGGAAACCAAAATTCGTCGCTGACGTATGGGTGAAAGTCGCTCGGCAAGCGGAAAAAGACGGAATAATTCGAGGGGGTATCAGAGGTTACAGCAATGAGCTGGGTGGCAGGAGAGAGAAAGAGAGAGGTGAGGGAACCAGAGTTAAGTGAGTTTTCTCAGCGATGGACGTGCTGTTAACGCTGGGCAACATGACTTCACACACGCTTCACCATGTCCATGGCGAACCCCACCATCCTCCCCACTAACATTTCCGTCTTCGGGACTGCAAGCCTCTCGGGGCTACACTCGGTGGTATCGATTCCCACGGGGATGCCGAATAGACCGTCCTCCACTCCACTGTAGCAATTTATCCGGCCGCTGGATACGGCTATGAGGCTCTTCCTCACAATGCTGTCTTCATCCGGCTGTCTTGTGCGTTTTGTTCAGCTTTGAAGCTCTTCTGCGGCAAGCAAAGTATTTTTCCTTCCGAATTTCTGTCGCGTGCTTGGAGACAACGAGCAAGACGTCGAAGCGACGATCCTTAGATGCACGGCCGGCAAGGCACAAAAGTTGAAAAAGTTCGAATGCCGATCACTGAACAGCCACGGCGAATCGAGATCGACAGCCCCGGTTTTCGAGGGTCACGAGTGAGGCTTCGTCAGCTTAAGGATTCGGAAACTGAGGTGCTCCATCGTCTCCGTATTGGCATTCATATAAACACACGCCGGATGATTCCTAGTGCCATCTCAGTGAACGAGGAGATCCGAGAACAGTCAAACTCTGACTGTGCCCCTGATGTTGTAGTGTGCGGGCTCGTACACTGCTAATCAATCCTTTTCAGCAAATTAGAGGCCTTACCTGGCCTAATAGTCGCCTTGATATATAATTTGAACATACACTCAAGTCAAGTTTGGACAAGGCCACCTTGAGATAATCATTCCATTCATCGATTGTGTGTAGGATTGGCTTCCTTATTAATAACTAGTCATTTGAGGTACATACATTAAGGAAGCAAATGGTCTTGTCGTCGTGCACTGCTCTAGGGACGAGGCTTCTTAGTAGTGTGAGGTGAGCGATGGCGATGTTTGGATTTCTACTCTTCATCATCTTCCTCATCCTCATCCTTTTTACTCAGAGCCTTGTTGCGCTTAGCATCCTCCTCTTCGGAGAATTGCTGTGCCTGAGCATCGCGAAGTGCGCGAACTCTGTCAGCAGGACCAGGCAACTTGTTAATGCGGTCTGCGATTTGGCCTCTACCGATCAAGGACATGACAATGCTGGCGCCCACAATGAATGTCAGGACGAAGCGGTAGACAGCGTACCATGGAGGAGCCCAGCCCCTCTTGGAAGCGCGGCTGTCTGTGTAGTAGAGGAAGTTGAAGGCGACAAATTGGGTGATCAGGGCGTATTCAACGGGGAGGAAGATGGTGGGCCATGCGACTGCGGGGGTCCAGACACCAATAGCATAACGCTTGTAGCCTTGGTGTCCACCGTAACCAGCGAACTCCAGACCCCAGTGAATGGCGCCGAGGAAGGAGATGATCTGCGAAAGGGGTCAACAAGCTGATCAGTAGTGAAAGTTCCAGAGCATGACTTACAACAGCGCCATATCCAACCTGGAGAGGCTCGAGAACATGCAGAGCTGCCTCGGCAGTCTGCTCGCTCATCAAGAAGCCGGAACCAGTGTTGTGCGCATGAGTGATCTCCCAAGCGCAGTAGATGGTGGATACAGAGGTCCCGAGGTAAGGAAGAACACCGGCCATTCCCAGAGTATAGGCTTCGCGAGGAACGCCTTCGAGTGAGAAAGTATCCTTGATGACTTTCTGAATTGGACGTCATCATTCTGCCGGCTGGACGCTATGTAGAGAAGAATTGGCGCTTACCATGTCATTCTTGACACCAGCCATCATGTCGGCATCCTTGTGCTGGTCCTCGGGCATGCCAACTTCGCCAAAGACGGGATGAGTCGACGACGTGCTGCTAACAGTGTCGGGATCCGGCTTGAGCTTCTCACTTCCGAGTTTTGATTCCACCTCTTTGTTGATCTTGTCCATTGGCGCCTGCTGGCTAGCATAGCGTGCCAGAGCAAGCGTCACGGGCTTGCCGATTGCGAGAGGACGAGTTGCTTGCGAAAGGGTGCACAGCTTGGAGGAGAATTGCGAGCTACGAGGAACCGAGGCTCCCAGGCCGCTGAGGGCGCGTAGTTGGCGAGCAGCACCGGCACGGAACATGATGTGAGCAGAGAGATGGGAAGTAGAAGTGAAGGTAGATGATGACAGCACAAGAAGCTATGATAGAAGCTGTCGGGAAACACCTCCGCTGTTGTGCCTAGGTAGCTATCATAATGATCGCTGGCACTCCGACGTCATGGCTGCTCCTTCTCCGATCGCGCTGCACTTGTCCATCTCACTACACATACCTCAAGGACGAGGATGTGGCTCGAGGGATCCTAATATGGAATTTGCGCTCTACAGATCTAAACTCATAGTCTCATGTGAACCCGTGCCGAATGTTTGGGAGGCTCCAAGCTGGTAGACAGCTCGGTGAGAGAGAAGTTCACTACGTCATATTAGTGGCTCTTTCCACCTTCAAGTTCCACGTTCCGCGTCGTGCGGGCGGGCACGATCAGCGGCGTTGTTTCCAAGAAAGTAGCTGCTGCCAACAAACCGGACAGGCTACACCCTCCAGCCGCCTTCTCCACGCACTCAGTGCTCACGAACAGTGAACGAAGACCACCGTCTTCCTCGTAACCTGAGTCTTCTCGAGCTTCAGACATCGCGACTATCCAGTCGTTGCTGCCTGATAACGACTGCTCGCCTCGCGCCCTATCGCTCATAACCAACGGTACTCTCTTTCAAGTACCCCTTCATACACGGCTTAATCGCCTGCTTAGCGACCTCATGATCTGATGACCTCTCTACGATAATCACATTTAGTACTTTACGTTCGTCCTGCTCCTGTGCGAGATATTTGTCTAGAGGCACACAACCGCCGCCATGTTGGAAGGTCTCGTCTCGAACCTGCTGAACAGGTTCTTGGGCATGTACGTCCAGAACTTCGACCCAAAGCAACTCAACGTCGGCATCTGGTCTGGCGATGTCAAGCTACGCGACCTTGAGCTCCGTCGAGAAGCCCTCGACCAACTCCACCTCCCCATCAATGTTGTCGAAGGCCATCTGGGTTCCTTGACCCTCTCGATTCCGTGGTCTAACCTTCGAGGCAAGCCCGTACAAGTCAAGATCGAAGATGTATATCTATTGGCTGCCCCAAGAGAGGATGAAGACTACAACCCTGAAGACCAAGACAAGCGCGACCATGCTGTCAAGATGGAGAAGCTTGACAGCGCAGAGCTGCTCAAAGAAAGAAGCGCGGAAGGCATGAGTCAAGAGGAACAACAGAAGAACCAAAGTTTCACGGCCAGTCTGGTCGCTGCCATTGTCGACAACTTGCAAATCTCTGTCAAGAATGTCCACATCCGCTACGAAGACTCAATCTCGGACCCGGGCCATCCATTCGCTGCTGGTCTCACCCTGCAAGAGTTGAGTGCTGTCAGCACAGATGAAAACTGGAAGCCCACGTTCATCCAGAGTACCTCTGCTGGCTCGACCCACAAACTTGCCACCCTCGGTGCCCTCGCCATTTACTGGGACACGGATGCCAAACTGCTGGGTTCCGGCAAGGGGTCGCAGACTGCAGAAGAGCAAGGAATAGATCACACTACAATCATTGACAAGTTCCGAGACATGATTGCAAAGAAGGATGATACTGAGTTTGGTGCGCACCAGTACATACTGAAGCCAGTCACTGGACGTGCAGGTCTTGAGATCGACAAGACTGGAAAGCTTGATCGGCCCAAGATGAAGGCTCGTTTACTCTTCAACGAACTGGGTTTTGTCATCGACGACGATCAATATCGTGATGCCCTTATGTTGGTTGACCTCTTCCACTACTTCATCAGACATCAGGAGTACCGCAAGTTCCAGCCCAAGGCATCTCCGAAGGAGGATCCGCGAGCTTGGCTTCGATTCGCGACCAAATCTGTACATGACAAGATTCATGAACGCAATCGCCGTTGGACCTGGGCCTACTTCAAAGAGCGTCGCGACGACCGCATCAAATACATTAGTCTCTTCAAGAAGAAGAAAAAGGAGGAGAAGCTCGACCCTGAGGAAACGACTGAACTGGACCAGCTCGAACGCAAGCTGAGCTACGAAGATCTTCGGTTCTGGAGATCACTTGCTCGCAACCAGTTGCGCAAGGAGAATGTTGGCGTCAAGAAGGCCCCACAGAAGCAAACATGGTCTTCTTGGGTATGGGGAAGCAAGAAGACCGAGGAGCATCCTGGTGATGAAACACAGTTGACGGAGGAACAACGCAAGGAGTTGTACGATGCAATTGACTTTGACGAGAAGAAGCAAATCGCCGACGCTGTCGACATGCCTAAGGAGGCTATCAAGCTCCAAGTGGACATGAGTCTCAAGGAAGGTAGCTTCACTCTCAAGCGCGATCCTCACGGGAAGGCCACCGAAATGCTCCAGCTCGTATTTCAGGGCTTCGACACCAAATTCTTGCAGCGTACCGACTCCATGCTTGCTGAAGTCAGTCTCGAGACTATGAAACTCTTCGATGGCACGACGGAAGGAAATCTTTTCCCTCAAATGCTCAATATCAAAAACTCCATTCCAGACGACAAGAGGATTGAGGAAGTCAAAGACGATGAGACTGCAGGCGATGATGAGGAAGAAGACCCGCCTCTCGACCCCTTCTTTGCTTTGACTTTCGAGAACAATCCTCTTGACGGCCATGCCGATACCGATCTGATTGTCAAGCTCAAAGCTATGGAGTTTGTATACAACCCCAAGTTCATTGTTGAAGTTGCCAACTTTTTCAAACCTCCGGAACGCCACATGGAGTCTATCGGCGCGCTTATGGAATCCGCTGGCGCAACCGTCGAAGGGTTGAGGCAGCAGACTCGTGCAGGTCTCGAGTATGCACTCCAAGAGCACAAGACTATCGATGCCAAACTCGACTTGCAGGCTCCGCTTATCATCATACCCGACTCTGTCACCAAGAAGGAATCTCTCTGCATGATTCTTGATGCTGGTCATATCAGCGTGCGAAGCGAACTGATTGACAAAGACACTTTGAACGAAGTGCAGTCAAAGCAAAAGCAACAATACACAGACGAAGACTTCAAACGTCTTGAGCAACTGATGTATGATAAATTCCTTGTCAAACTTCAGTCGACTCAACTTCTTCTTGGACCGTCTATCGAGGAGACAAAGAAGCAGCTCGATGCGAACAACACATCAAGACACTTGCACGTCGTTGATCGAATCAATATTGACTTTACAGTAGAAACATGTATCGTTCCCAAGGCTCCTGGCCTGACCAAATTCAGAGTCGGAGGTCATCTGCCTGTGCTGCACGCTTCCATCTCCGATTCCAAATACAAGAGTCTGATGAAATTGATTGACGTTGCAATCCCCAAATTTGGCTCCGACGGAGCTGACACGCAGAAGCCTGCTCAGGCCGTACCAAAACAGGCACAGCGGCCTAGACAAAAGAGCATCGTTGATACGGATGCCACAGGAAGACCGCGATCTAAGTCTTTCCAGTTCTCCGCTCAGAAGCATGAGCTTGTTATGGAAGAAGAAAGCGATAACGAAGATGAAGAGTTCAAGGAAGCCAAACAGTCTACCAAGGAACCCACGAAGGATGTCAACCAGCGCAACTTCGAGTTCAAGTTCAAGGTTGACAAGCTTCAGGGCTCGCTTTACCGTTCCGATCCTGATGGCAAGAAACAAGACCAGTTGCTTGTTGATCTCGTTGCCGAAAACTTCGATCTTCTCTTCTACCAGCGCCAGTTTGACATGGTGGCAGAAGTCAGTCTGCGTACACTTGCTGTAGAAGATCATGTCGAGGAGAATCCATCACCGGAGTTCAAGAACCTCATATCGTCCGAAGACCACGACGCCAACGAGCAGCAAAACCTCTTCTCACTGAAGTTCATCAAGGTCAATCCTGAACATCCAGAATTCATGTCGACCTACGAAGGAATAGCCACTAACCTCGATGTGTCCGTATCAACTATCAATTTGCTGGTCACTCGCAAGACACTTTTGACCTTGCTCGACTTTGTTATGGTCACTTTTACCAACCCCGGAGAACCGCAAGCCAACCAGTCGCAAGTTGTCGAGTCAAACGAGGTCGAAGAAAGTAGCCCAGAGCCTGCAGGCGACAAGATCCGCATCAAAGCCCAATTGAAGCGCATTGCCATCATCCTCAACAACGATGGTATTCGTCTAGCCACTCTGAGCTTGACATCTGCAGAAGTGGGAATCTTCTTGATGGGCAAGACCATGAGAGTTGGAGCCAGACTCGGCAATCTGTCTCTTCTGGACGATGTCAATCAAGGTGTTTCTGAAAAGTCATCACTGCGCCAACTGGTTTCCATCCAAGGTGATGAGCTCGCTGACTTCCGTTACGAAACCTTTGATGCAACTTCAGAAGCATATCCCGGTTACGATACTTCCATCTATCTTAGGTCTGGTTCTTTGAAAGTCAACTTCGTCACTGAACCGTTCCGCAAGATCATGGAGTTTGGTGTCAAGTTCGGCAAAATGCAGGCTATCATGAATGCCGCTCGACAGGCGGCTGCGAACCAGGCCAACAACATTCAAGAGCGAGCCAGCAAGATGCACTTCGATATTCGCATCAAGACACCAATCGTGGCCTTCCCTCGCATGGTGATTACTGATTCCCCCGAGCGCGATGTTCTCACCGCCTATCTGGGAGAGCTCTATGCCAGCAACGAATTCCTCCCCTTGGACGATTCGAAGGATTCTGATACTGCCAACAAATTGACGGCTGGTGTCCACAACACTCGATTGACATCTACCTTCAACTACCCCAACGATAAAGTCGAGGAGCTCGATCTTATTGATAAGGTCGATCTTGACTTCAGGATTACTAGCGCAGAACATAAGCCGGGATACAAGCGACCGGATACAGAAATCGAGGGCTCCATGTCGAACGTCAATCTACGTGTCACAGAAGCTCAGCTCAAGTTCATCCTTGAACTGTCTCGATCAATCCCCGAGGCCTTTGCCACCGATCCGGATGATGAAATCGAAGAGGATGTCAAAGAAGAGTTGCCGGCAACTACAGTCCAAGATGCCAAGTCAATCACTGCTGACTCGGCAGACAAACAAGAGGAGGAACCCCAATCTCCTACTCATCTTGGTCCTGAAATTGGCTCAGACGATGATACTTGGACCAAGCTCGATCTTGTATTCAAGGTTGGTACCATCGGCCTTGAACTCATCTCGAGTAAACCTGAGAAACCAGTCGGAGATCTTGCGGCTTGTAGTCTGTCAAAGTTCTCGCTCAACGAGACCCATGTAAAGCTACGCATGGTTAGCGACGGATCCATGGAGTCAGAACTTCTGGTGCAGTCCTTTACCATAACCGACACTCGCACACATGAGAAGAACAAGTTTAGGAAAATCATGTCGCTCATCAACACGGATGTCAAGCAACAATTCATGGCAAGCGTGAGCATCTCTGGAGGCAAAGAGCGCAACTTGATCGCTCTCTTGACCATTGATAGCCCTAGAATCATCTTAGCGCTGGACTACCTCTTCGCGGTTCAGCACTTTGTGAATGCCAGTTTGGCTACTGATGAGCCTCTTGTCATCTCAGATGAAGATGAATCATCGATGGGTGACGAGGATGCAGTCAGCGTGTCTACTGGTACCGATGTTGCTGGTGTACAACAACCCGAAACCAAGCCTGCAGCGGACGCGAGTTCCATGAGCATATCGTTCCGTGTCAACATCGTTGATGCGCAGATCATTCTCATTGCCAACCCTGCCATTACCAACTCTGAAGCCATTGTCCTCGGCAGCAAGCAGATTCTCGTCTCCCAGCAACACGTCACAGCAGTTCAAGTCGACAAGTTGGGCATGTTCCTTTGTCGCATGGACAAGTTTGAGACTTCTCAACTTCGCATCCTCGACGACTTCAGTGTCCAAACTTCGGTGGACATGCGTTCCGAGAACAAGCAAGCTCAATTGATGAGCATTATGGTTGAAATTGAGCCGTTGGTGCTGCGCCTGTCCTTACGCGATATTCTGTTGGCCATGCAAATCGTCAACAAGGCTTCCGCCATGTCGGCAAATGATGACGATAAGGAACTTGCCAAGGAAGGTCCCTCCAAGATCGACCAACTCAAGGCTCCCGCCTCTAGACCCAAGTCTGGCAGAGCACCCTCGTCAGCACAGAAGCCCAGAGCCAACACCATTGCCACCAAGAAGTCGCATGCCACTACTGCTCCCAAGGCACCGGCTGAACCACAAGGATCAGCAATGCTGAAGAGAGAAGAGATGAAGATCAATCTTCAAGGTATTCGAGTGGTGCTTATTGGTGACCTTCATGAGTTGCCTATGCTTGATTGGAGCGTGAAGAACTTCGCTGTAGAGGTTCGCGACTGGAGTGGCGCTATGTCAGCAGACACTAGCATTGAGACGTTCTTCAACGTTTACAACTTCTCCAAGTCTGCTTGGGAGCCCCTTATTGAGCCATGGTCACTAGGTTTCCACATGGCAAAAAACTTGAACCCAGATAAGCTCGCAGTCGAACTCTACTCGCGCAAGTCGTTGGAACTCACCATGACGTCTTCAACAATCGCACTAGCATCTAAATCAGCCCAATTCCTGTCCACCGATGAAGACATCCTTTCGAAACCTCGTGGATCCGACGCTCCTTACCGCATTCGTAACCAGACTGGCTTCGATCTCAACGTATGGGCTCAGACAGAGAACAATCAAGAAGGCGCCGCCAAAAAGCTGGGCGACGGAGAAGAGGCACCCTGGCGCTTTGAAGACCCAAGCACCACCAGAGAGACACTATCACCAGAAGGTGCCACTGGTGTCGTGAGCATCAGGCTAGAAGGCAGTGGGTTCGATAGCATCGAGCGCATCCCAGTCAGTCGTGAGGGTGAAACTCTATACAACCTCAAGCCGCGCAAAGACAAGGTCCAACACCGCATTCTGGTTGATGTGAAGCTTGGAGCAGATAACGTCAAGTACATCACGTTCCGCTCGCCCTTGCTTGTAGAGAACCACACTCAAATTCCCATTGAGGTGGGCGTCTACAGCCCAGACGAGGGCCACCTGCTCAAGATCGAGAAGGTCGCACCTGGAGATGCACGATCGGCTCCTGTAGGTGCCGCCTTCATGCACTCATTGGTCATTCGTCCCGATCAAGGATTCGGTTACACTTGGTCCAACGAGCGTCTGTTCTGGAAAGACTTGCTCAAGCGTCCTACACGCACAATCACCTGTCAAGGAGAACAGCAAGATTCTTCTCCTCCATTCTACTTCCAGATGCAAGCAGTGTACGACAAGAACAATCCCATTACTGCAACATATCCTTACATGCGTATCCGCCTTTCCGCGCCTGTCGAGATTCAGAATCTGCTGCCATTCGACTTCAAGTACCGTATCTACGACAAAAACACCAAAAAGGATTGGACAAACTTCTTGCGAAAGGGAGGTGTCAGTCCTGTGCATGTGGTTGAGCTCTCGCATCTACTTTTGATGAGTGTTGATATGCAAGACACGCCGTTCAAGCAAAGTGAATTTGCCATCATCAACTCTACTGGGCGCGATGACTTCCGTCGTGAAAAGACGCTCGTTGTGAAGGACAACCAGGACCTGACTCTCAGGCTCAAGCTGCACTACTACAACGTTCCTGACAGTGGAGGTGCCTTCAAGATCACTGTCTACAGCCCATATGTGATTCTTAACAGAACAGGCTTGGGCCTCGATATTCGTAGCAAAACCTACTTCGGTGCTGCCAAGTCTGCAGCCGGACAAACCACATTCAGCAATTCGGATGAAGCGCGAAAGCCTGTCCCATTCATGTTCTCCTACCCCACTGATGATCAGAAGAACCGAGCACTCATCAAGGTTGATGGGTCGACTTGGAGCAAGCCTGTCAGTTTCGAGGCTATCGGATCAACCACAGATATCACTGTAGCAGCAGATTCTGGTCGATCAGAAATGCATGTTGGTCTTACTGTCGAGGAAGGCGAGGGCAAATACAAGCTGACGAAGGTCATCACCATTGCACCCCGATTTGTGGTACGCAACAAGCTTGGAGAAGATCTCAACATCAGAGAACCTGGTTCGTCTGATGTGACAACTTTGAAGCCACAAGATCTTCATCCTCTACGCTTCTTGAGACAGTCTAGCGGACAACAGTTGTGCCTTTGCTTCCCAGGCGTGAACAACAACTGGTCATCTCCTTTCAACATTGCCAACGTTGGTAGCGTGCATGTTAAATTAGCCAAGGCTGGCGAAAGGCAGAAGCTCATTCGAGTGGAGATTCTCATGGAGAATGCCACGATTTTCCTGCACATCAGTCACGAGACCAAGCATTGGCCCTTCTCCATTCGCAACGAGAGTGATGTCGAGTTCATCTTTTGGCAAGCAAACCCCAATGTCGATGAAGATGAGGACGAGCGTACTTCTGGTTGGAAACCTATCCGATACAGGCTACCGCCTAGAAGTATCATGCCTTATGCTTGGGACTACCCTGCTACCAAGAATAAGAACCTTGTGTTGAACGCAAAGGGCAAGGAGAGACATGTCAAGCTTGCAGAGATTGGTAATCTCATTCCAATGAGACTGCCTGCAGCTGAAGGTACCAATCGACAGAAGATCATCGATCTCAACGTCGCTGCCGATGGTCCCACTCAGACTCTTGTCTTGTCCAATTACAAGCCATCGAAGAGCTTGTACAAGCAAAAGGCTGGCTCGGCTTCTCAGGCGAACTCGAGCGGTTTCGAGGTCAAGGATCTGGATGATCACGTCACTTTGAGCGCCCAAATCAGATTTGCTGGATTGGGCATATCGCTCATCAATCGTCAACTCAAGGAACTTGTGTATGTCACACTTCGCGACATCGACTTGTCCTACAAGGATTCGCCTCTGTACCAGACTGTTTCCTCTACCATCAAATGGATTCAAGTTGACAACCAACTCTATGGAGGCATCTTTCCGCTCATCTTCTATCCCAGTGTTGTACCCAAGACTGGCAAGGAGATGGAAGCTCATCCTATTTTCAAAGCTGCAATCACGCGAGTCAAGGATGACTCGTATGGTGTGCTCTATATCAAATACTTCACATTCTTGATGCAGCAGATGACGATTGAGATTGACGAGGATTTCATCTTCGCCATGCTCGACTTCACAAAGATTCCAGGCGCTTCTTGGTCCGAAGAGAAGGAGGGCCAACTTTGTGACGAGAACCTGGATATCCCTGAACCAAAACAAGAAGAGGGTGGTCAAGACATCTACTTCGAGCTGTTGCACTTGCAACCCATGCAATTCGATCTGTCCTTTGTCAGAACCGAACGCATCAATGCAGAGGATACTGGAAGTTCCTCGTCTAACCCCTTCATGTTTGCTGTCAATGTTCTCACAATGTCCATCGGTAACGTCAACGACGCACCTATTCGTTACAACGCTCTCATGCTCGAGAACGCCCGAGTATCAGTTGGTGCCTTGGTCGCTGCGATCAAGAGTCATTACGTTCAAGAATCTCTTCGTCAAGTACATATCGTTCTTGGTTCTGCTGATTTCCTGGGCAATCCTGTTGGTCTTTTCAACAACATCAGTTCGGGTGTTGCAGACATCTTCTATGAACCCTATCAAGGCCTTGTTATGACCGACAGACCTCAAGATCTTGGTATCGGTATTGCAAAGGGTGCTAGCAGTTTCGTCAAGAAAAGTGTGTTCGGCTTCTCCGACAGTATGGCCAAGTTCACAGGCAGCATCAGCAAGGGTCTTGCAGCCGCATCCATGGACAAGGAATTCCAAGACCAGCGCCGTATGTCCCGTTCTCGTAACCGACCAAAGCACGCCTTGTACGGTATCACATCTGGAGGTAATGCCTTTGCAAACAGTATGGCAAGTGGTATTGGTGGTCTTGCCAGACACCCGTTGCAGGGTGCCGAAAAGGAAGGTGCTCTTGGTTTTGTCAAGGGCGTAGGAAAGGGTTTCCTGGGTCTCGCAACCAAGCCTGCCATTGGAGCGTTCGACTTGGCATCTAACATGGCTGAGGGTGTTCGCAACACCACAACAGTTTTCGACCAAGAAGGTCTGGATCGTGTTCGTTTGACCCGTTTCATTGGGCAAGATGGAATCGTTCGACCTTACAGTCAACGTGAAGCATTAGGTCAATTCTGGCTCAAGACTCTTGACAACGGCAAGTACTTCCACGAGGACTACATTGCACACATGGAGTTGTCGTCAGGCAGTGGATCACAATCAGCTCAAGCACGCACGAAGAGCACGAGCGCCGAAAGTCCACGCATGGTCATGCTCACCTATAACGGTATCATGTTGGTGCAGACGAAGAAGCTTGTGACCGAGTGGGATGTACCTCTCAAGGACATTCAGACCATCACCAAGGAACGCACAGGTATGAGCATTGTGCTCAAGGGAGGACACAACGGTCCATTCGTCCCTGTTGCGGACGAGCAAAGTCGCAACTGGCTGTACCGACAGGTAGCAGTTGCTGTCAACGCGTACAACGACCGATACAATGCCAAGGGTTAAGGAAAGGTGTAGTGCCTTGATGGATTTCAGGTGATAGGGTGTGATTCTAGTCATCTTTTCTTTAGCATAACAATAATCTGTTCTACATTCAAACATCGACAACACTTTTGCATGGGCATACTCAGTGACGATCTCAAAGAATCCAGACCCACTGACCCAGCCATCCCTCGTTGTCTCCACACGGGCGAGAGCCTACGTCATGGAAAACGTGCATCACCGTATCCAACCATCTTGGCCGCTGGTGACACTTTTCTCTGACCCGCAAGCAAGGAAATATCCCTGCAAGCCGTGTTTCTGGCGGCAAATCACCCGCGACTGCTGCATAAGCTATATGCATGATTGCGTAGCATGAATAGGAAACCTGGTAGCTAAGCTTCAGACAGCTTTCTCGAGACCCTTCTGTAAACCTCACCGCATTGTTTAGAGCGCATTCTCGTCCATTCGATCTCGTAGTTCATTCTTGAGACATATTGGTTATCGTAGCTCTTCTTGTACCAACATTTCGGAATCAATTCAGCAAAGCACAGCTAGACAGACATGTCGTCCTCAGACGATCTTCAAACCATCCCCGCACGCCATGGTACAGCAACTTTTGTGCCAAAGGGTAGTACTATCAAGATTGTAAACACCTCTGGTACCCAAGTCATCGATACTTGGGTCTTTGCGTTGCCGACTCCACCCAAGAAGAACGGACCACAAGAGCCGCAAGACGACAAGGACAAGAGCTATCAGGAGCAAGATGAGAAGGAGAAGCTGAACGTCGCTGAAGAAGAGGACAAGAAGCAGAGGGAAGAAGACAAGAAGAAGCAAGAAGAGGAAGAGAACAAGAAGAAGGAGCGAGAGGAGAAGGACAAGGCTAGCAAGAAGAAGAACAACAGGAAGTCGCGAGGAAGCCTGGACTTGCCTTCGCAAGAGGAAGCCGAGGCTGCCACTTCCCAGCAGCAGAAGCTTGAAGCAGAGTCCAAGCAAGAGTCTACTCCTACTAAAGGCGGCTGGACTTCGTACCTTCCTTCTCTGCGCAGAGGAAAGCAAGTCACCGATGGAAGTGCCAAAGACGATGGCAAGGCTTCCGAGAAGAAGGAAGAGACTACCTCGACAGAAGAGGCGGATGAGAAGCAAGATAAAGAGAACTCGAGGAAATGGGGCAGTTATCTGCTTAAGGGTCAGGGCGTCACCAGTTACTTGCCTAGCAAGGGAGCTATCTCCGCTTTTGCCGCTCAGGTGAGTGTATGTTTTATAGCCACTTCGTCGATACCGTTCGTTCGAGTAGATGCTAACTGAAATTGCCGAACAGCATGCACGCGATCCCAACAAGACGTATGCAGAACAGCTCGCCGACTTTTCGAGAACACCAGTCGGTGCTGCCTCCTTGTCGGGTGAGTATTTACTTGATCCTCGTTCAGAATCGATTTGCTGACACGGAATAGCTCTCACGGGATCTGGCTCCGTCTCCTCTCTTTACGCTGGCTACAGTGCTTGGAACGCGATGCACGGCGACACTGCTCAGATGGAGTACCTCAGCATGCCGCATACTCGTGCTTCGACTCTCCATATGGTCCCACGCGTCAACGATGTCCTCGTCTCTAACCTGAGAGAGCCCATGTTGACTTTCATCGAAGACACCAGTTCCGGCGTCCACGATACCTTGATTCCTGCTTGTGATCCTCAACGTTACAAGGCTCTGCAGATCGAAGATTGGGAACAACATGGATCGTGTGCCGAGAACCTGGTTCTCGCACTGAAAGAGCTCAACGACCGAGCCGGTCTCAAAGGCCCAAAGGGCGTTGGTGCATCAGTCACCGTCAACTCGGTCCCAGCACCATTGAACCTTTTTATGAACATTCCATGGAACGGCGACAAGGGTGACCTCTCATTCGAGCCTCCTAAGGGCAAGGAAGGCGATTACGTGCGCTTCAAGGCCGAGAGAGATATTGTCGTCATCATGTCTGCTTGCCCGAATGATGTACAGCAGATCAACAAAGGTCAATCCAAGGATGGGCATTTCCTGGTGGAGCACGCCGACGACTCGGAAGACGAAGAAGCTCCTGCCGAGAACAGGAAAGACGACAAGAAGCCCGACAATAAGGCTGAGAAGAAGTCTGACGACAAGACCGAGAAGAAGAAGCCACGCAAGCTGGGCAAGAAGGAAGACACCAAGCCTGATGAGAAGGCCAAGAGCGAAAAGCCTCAGGAACAAAAGAAGGCAGAGAAGGCACCTCTTCCCGAGGTTCCCGAAAGAAAGCCAAAGGCCGACAAACCTGAAGAGCAAAAGAAAGCAGAGAAGGTACCTCTACCCGAAACTCCGGCAACTGAGAAATCAGAAGCCGCCTCTTTTCCCGCACCGCCCAAGCAGCTCAAGGGCAAACCCAAGAAGCTAGCTGACGAGACGCAGAAGAAGGCAGAAAAGACACCTCTCCCAGAAACTCCAGCTGTCGAGAAGTCTGAGGCTGCCGCTTCTCCTGTTCCTCCATCATCCTCTGGCCAAGCTACGCCTAAGCCCAAGGGTAAGCCCAAGAAGTTGATCGACTCGACCACAGGCGAGAAGAAGAAGCCCCGTAAGCTGGAGCCGAGATCCAAGGGTACTGCTACACCAAAGTCAGGATCTGCCGGAAGTCAGCAAGGCGATGCGGCTGCAGGCGCCGAGAAAGGAGGGAGTTGAATTACAGAGCAATTCTGAAGATGCGGATGTCACGAGACATGATTGTGGAGGGTATGATGCACAAACGAGAGTTGGTACGAAAGCTGGTGTACACGAGCAGGATGAGGAGCGGAATGATGACTCGGTCAAGGAGGAGGAAGAGGTGGACGGGAAGTTTGCTGAGCCGAAGGACGAACAAAAGGATGTCGGACCAGTCGACAACATCATTGCTGACGACTCGACAACACATGCGGACAGAGTTGACGACCAAGTCAAGAACACTGGGCTCAGGACGGTGCGGTCTTTGGTCAATGGTGGACTGGCCATACTTGCTCTTGGTGCGCTATCTCCTGTTGGTTTGCTTCTGAAACATTTGGATGGTCTGAAAGAGGAAAAACAGGACACCAAAGGAGAAGAAGGAACAGAGGATGATAATGATCTGTAATTCTATATGTCAATGTATTCGTACCAGCTTTATTCTTTGTCTTGTCTTTGCCAACTTCTGTTTGCCTAGGTACGAATCGAGTGCTCAGCCAGACTCCGAACCAGAAGTCGCGTCCTCAGTGTACCACATTGCGATACAACCAGTGAAGCACGGCGGCGCATTAGCTAAGCCTTTGTAGTTTCATGAATAGAGCCAAAGAGCCGATTGACGAATGTTTTCGTATTGGAATCAACAATCTGAGTGATTTGTGTCTTGTTCACATGCAGAGCAGACAGGGTCGTGGCAGTTTGCAGAAGACAAAGACAATCGGGAGAAGTCCGTCGGCAAAAGACTTGGCACAAACCTCTCTCTGCCAAGCAATCGTGAAGGGCTGCAGAGCTCTGCTCTTGTGCGGGCTTCGAAAGAACGCGAAGGAAAAAAAAAGTTATTCCAACACCGGCACAAGCTCCAATTCTACCACCCAACACAACCACACATACACACACAAAATGGCCAAGGACAGGAGCGAAAAGAAGGACAAGAAGGAGAAGAGAAAGAGCGTCGACGCAAGCGGTGTCAAGAAGGACAAGAAGGAAAAGCGCAAGAGCGACGCAACCGCCGTGCTCAATGCCATCGAGGACGCTGCCCCCGGCGCCGTCGCTGTCGACGCTGATGGTGATGTTATCGTCGATGCCAGCGTTGTCGGCGACGACTCATCTGATGCCACCCCCATCGGCGCTCTGGTTCCTTTCGCCAACCCTCTGTGCGACGACAAGGCCACCAAGAAGGTCCTGAAGACCGTCAAGAAGGGTGAGTTGTCTTTGCTTCACTCAAGCCATTGCATCAATTGCGCTTGACCCATGGACAAGGACTCCGACTAACACCCATCACAGCCGCAAAGCAAAAGTGCCTCAAGCGCGGTGTCAAAGAAGTCGTCAAGGCCGTCCGCAAAACCACCCCCGCCGACCCTGCCACCGCCCAAGTCGCTGCTCCCGCCATTGTCGTCCTCGCCGCCGACATCAGCCCCATGGACGTCATCTCCCACATCCCCGTCCTCTGCGAGGACCACAACATCCCCTACGTTTTCCTGCCGTCGCGCGCCGAGCTGGGTGCCGCTGGCAGCACCAAGCGCCCTACTTCCGTCGTCATGGTTACTCCCAACGCTGGCAAGAAGGGAGAGGCCAAGGATGACGAGTGGGATGAGGCCTACAAGGAGCTTAACAAGTTGGTCGTCAAGCAGGGCCAGCACGTCAAGGTTTAGAATGCCGAGACGAGTTTGGTGAAGCTTGAGAAGAAGGTCAAGGTTAAGAAGGAGCGACTTCCCTGTCGATCCTTTTCCGTGACTTCGGTGGATTAAACCATTGATTACGCCTGATTGAAAGCTCTTATCTTTTCCTTCGCTTCTCTTCCTGGGGGTCTGTCTCATTGACACTCCCCGAAGAAGAGCTGCCCAAGGCTGCGATAGACTTCCCATCCAGGCTGACGGAACAGGTCGCAGGGGAGTCTTGGCTCCTGCAAAGTCGATGCATGAAATGGTGGGCAAATGGTTTGTAACCGGTTGGCGTTCAGAGGTGTTGGGTTTCTGTTTGTTCCAAAAGAGGCATTATTTCACAGTCGATACGCAAAGAAGGGGGGAGTACAATCCGAAGAGTTGGATTCGATTCCCGGTACATATCATTCTTAACAAGATGAAATACTATGTACGTTCAAAAATGACCCAAACGGACTCGAGCATAAGTGCGTGAGAAAACAAATGCGAACATTGGCAAGCTATACAAGAGAAGCGCCAGCTGTACTATGTGAGGACATAGCCGAGAGGTATCAAGAGAATATGCAAGAGAGTGAACAGAATCGCCAAAAGATCCCATCAAAGGTCGACAGAAACAAACAAAAAGTTCCCCAAACCCAGATCGCTCCTAGAAACGCCATGCAGAAATGCACCCTCCTTACTAAGACGATGACGAAGAGGTAGAAAGTGTACGTTCAAGTTCATGGGGTTCATCGACCTGCATCTTGTCGAGTATCTTCCGGATTGCCGCACCCTCGTTGCGATCCTTGTCGAGCTCATTAACCAGTCCAAGGGCCTTCTCCGCCAGACCCCTCAACACCCTTCGCGAGTATGCGAAACTGCCAGTCTTTTCCATATACTTGACGGCATATCTCTTGATCTCTTCATCTTGCGGCTTTTGCTTGAGTATGTTGATGAGAACAAGATTCTGCGGATCGGAACGAATGCTGTGGATGACTGGAAAGGAGAACTTGCCCTCAGTCAGATCTTCACAAAGACCCTTGTTTTGGGTGTAGATTGTGTCGGAGAGGTTTTTGTAGTCGTCGCGGATCTGGTAGAGTAGGCCGATTGTGTTGCATAGAGGGACGCAGTCGATGGGAACACTGCTTTCTGCCTGCATGAGTTTGATGGCTAGACGGAATAGACCACCGGTCTTGTTGCCGACCATCTCGAGGTAGTCGTGCTCGGAAGGACAGGTCAACGAGTCCCTCCAGAACAGATCCATGCCTTGGCCTCGGTGTAGATTCAGTAGCTCATCGTTGTATATCTCGATGGCCCGAGGGTTGTTCAGCTTCATGAGCTCGCGCAGAGCGCAGAAGTAGACGTAGTTGGCCGAGTTGATGGTCTGAGCAGTACCGAAGATGTTGTGTGCGACGGGCACGCCTCGACGTAGGACGGAAGAGTCCTCGACATCGTCTATGAGTAGTGACGCTGTGTGCAGCATGCCAACCACTCTTGTGATGATGTCGAGACTCGGCTTAGGTACATGCAACCAAGCGTTGAAGGCACCGATCAGCAGAGAGCGTATGTCCTTGCCGGGGTGTCCGTCTAGATAATCATATGGCGCCAACAGTATACGATCCTTCTCTTGCGGCCATTTTGTTGTGCCTTGTGAAAAGATCAGATCGTCGCAGATGTTGTGCATGGGGTCTTCGGGCGGTGGAGACAGCGGTGGGGGGTAAATGTGGGCTTGTGGATGTATCTTGGGCGATGCGAGCAAGTCTTCGTAAGACTTTGTGCCGTTCGTAGTCGTGTTATTGCTCGGGGAGGTTCGTTGCGGGACTGGCATTGCGCCGGGGACAGCGTCAAGAGCCATGGGCGGCATCAAGGCATGCGTCTGAGGGTGAGTGGACGAATCGGTATCTCAAAAGCAGAAGGAGCGAGAACGAGAGGGCAGAGGGGAAGTCGCAGTCCGGTGTCACACATGCGTGTACATCGATGACCAGGCAGGCGCGGGGCAGTCATCAACACATAATGGATCGTCACTTTTGGCACGAGGGCAGCAGCCTTGGGCTTACGCATATCCGCCCTTTCCCGGAACCCCCGGCGGAGCATGTGAAAGGCCGTTGCCCGCCGCGCCTTATACGCCAAGCCCGATTGTTCTCTGCTTGTCGACGAAACCGACCCGGCCGTACCTCTCAGAAGCCCTGTCGCCGATAGCTCTCCATCCATCATATCACATCTAAACAATGCCGCGGAAGCCCATCGACCTCTCTGCTCAACGTCAAACCATCACATGGTGGATCAATCAGGAGAAACGGACCATGAGTCGTGTCATAGAGACGCTCGCCATCGAGCATGGCATCTCAATATCCGATAATACCCTCAAACGCAACTTGAATGCTTGGGGCATTCATGTCCGTCCACATATCAAAGTGACCCCTGAGATGAGACAACGGATATACGACCTCTTCTACCAAGAGCGCTATTATACCGATCAGCAGATGGCCAAGATACTCAGGCGAGAAGGCTTTGTTGTTTCGTTTCGTAAGTTGGCGAAACTACGCAAAGAAATGGGCTTGTCCAAGAGAAAAGACACCATCATACCTGCAAATCCTATTGTCCCGGGAGAAGCGATACGGATAGATGATGATGCTTCTTCGTCGTCGGAAGATGATGATGAGGATCACGTAGAAGAGGATGAAGATGACATGGATGTTGACCCGTTCACGGCTTTGGAGAATGCCCTACGTCCTCAGCAATCCAACCAACAACCCACTCAACAGCCACCTCAACAGCCCGCCGCCGTTCAGATCAGAGAACCAGCGTGGAGGAAGAAGCGGCCACACAACGTTGATAGACCCATCCATCAAGCACCCAGGATTTCTACAACCTTCACCGACAGCAGACACTCTCCAATCCCGCCCACACGATCTATGGCTCGCTCACCCACACCTCCTCTACTTCTCGACGACACACTCGTACCTACAGATACAGCGCGAATCTACTCCCAGCCACCCGCAGGCGGCCAAGGCCTCGCAAGGCGAGTCACCACTCTAGCCACACGCATCGAAGCCGTCGAGACCGAAAACACAAGTCTTAAACAGCAGGCCGAACAACAGCAGACTGAAAACCAAGAGCTAAGGCAACTGGTACAGCAACAGAGGAGTGAGATGGACATGATGAGAGCTTCGTTGAACGAGCTCATTACCAGATTCAATGCTGCCCACTATCAGATTTGATCTATTTGAAGAAACAGACGCATCAAAATGTATGCGCATAGTATTACAAGCTTCTCCATGCCCAAGACCCTTGACTCGAGGAAAAAAACAATCATCTTCATCCACACATCACAACCAGAAAAAAATCAGAGCCACGAGGCTCTTTGGAAAGACTCCCATCCTCGTCCCTTGATCAAAGCTGCCTTGATGACGGATATTGGACTGCATCCAAGCCAATTCAAGACATGCACGGCGGGATCTGAACAGTGGTTCTATTACCAAGTGCAGTCAAATGCGTAAGTGTAAGTCGTTACACCACTCAGTCCAATTGACAGCGACAAAGAGCATCTAGCTTGATTGTACTCACTACATGGGGCGAGGACAACCATTCACTCTCTAAGCTTGATGCTAGTCTCGATATGGGAGATAGGTCAATCACAGTCATGCGAACCACATACGACATTCTGTTATTTTCACTGTCCTCACGACGAACTGAGAGATTCAAACAACACACTAGAGATGTGACCAGGAGAAGCTGACAAGACACTCCCTCTCAGTAGATACTACTACGAAAGGACTGTTTGTACGCTACGTGTTGTAGGCAGATGACCTTCGTCTTTGGTTCCTAGGTTGTACACAGTCACATCAATTGTCACATCCGGACGGCTGACCAGGCCGTCATGGATGGCCGGCTGCTCGTCCATATACTTAATTCAGTTATCAGATTTACGAGGCCGCTCATGCCTAGTCAAGTCAAATCACTACACCCCTTAGCCAAGGTAGATAGAGAAACACGATAGGTTGCACGGTTCGTATGTTCTTTTTGCTCAAAAGTATCGAGTGCTTGTATTCGGCTTCCCAAGATGATACAGAGAGACAGTTGAACCCCCCCTGCATAGACCTCTTGCAACGTGTTGATGAAAAAAAAAACAATGAGAGTTGTCCAATGTGCCCTCGCTGGAAATGCGCAATTGACCAGAAAGGTCCCTTTTCCGAAACGCCGCGCAAGATGGTGGACAATCCAAGAGACAAAGACAGATGAAAAATTGAGAAACAGGGGGGAAAAAAGAGGCAGAGAACGAGTCAAAGAAATGGGTCATAAGTTTCAGCGCTGCTGATTGGGTCGTGATAGTTTCGCTCCTGTAGTAACGCCGTGATGTGGAATGGACGTGCAAGCTTCAATCTTGCAAGATGAGGGATATAGACACGAAAGTATAGTCGAATGGTTGTGCAGGTCGATGAGGTAGGATCGGCGCAGACAGACTTGGGATCTAAAACTCCATGCTCCAGCGCGTTTTGACGTCTCGGCGCACTCTGTCGGCAGCCCATTGTGGGAACGTATCAAAGTCCCTGCCCTCGTACCATGAGTCGAAGCCTGCTTTGCCGCTACCTAGCAGCATCATCTCTTCGTACTGATCAGCTGTGGGGAGCTCGATGCGGGCTTCGAATGTAGGAACGTCGTTGCGCTTCTGAGAATTGAGCAGTGCATTGGTCGGCACAAGTTCTTGCAAGACGTTGAGGGAACTATCCTCACGCTTCACACCATCCGGGCGAGGTTTGCGATCCTCAGCCGAGGAATTGCGCTGGCGGTTGTGACTGCGAGAACGCTCGGAAGACTTGGCTGACATGACGGGGGAGAGGGGTTGCGGAAGTATGAGATATTTATTCGAAGAGTTGTTTGGTCGTAGGTCTGTTATGGGAGGTCCGCGGGGCTTTGTCGAATCTTCTGATAGGTTGATAGGCGGCGGCGGCCTGCGTCGTCGCGACGGCTTCAATTCGTCTGTCGATGAAGATGGATGAAGGCTATCCATTGAGGGAGATTGACCGTTCTTTATCTTTTCGTCGACAATGCGTTGGCTGACTTGTCGCGAGAGGTTCTCGTTTGTGGCCCGCCTTGTGCTGGGTCTGCTAGCGGTACTATCGCTCCTCGCCAGTGTAGTCCTTGAGCCAGCTCGAGCGGTACGAGCAGGAGGTGGAGGTTGCAGCATCCACATGACATCGGCGCTGGTATCCATACGAGTGACGATCGGGGGATGGAGGTCGTTGATGGGAGGGTTCGACACGGAATAATAACTGGTCGCAGCTGATCGATCCGTAGTAGCCGTACGGGCGGTAAGCGGGCGGCTGACGGTACTGGCAGCATTTGTCGAAGGGCGACGGCTGCCTCTATACGGGTAATTGGGACCCCAATAGTTGTCATCATCGTCATCGTCTCTTTGCCAATTGCGCAAGTTCCATGTACTGTCGTTGCTCTCGTTCTGCGTCAGGCCAAGATTGACACTGCTTGCGACGTTGCTGGCGTTCTCGTCGCTTGTCCGTACGCGAGCCTTCTTCTGACCTCGACGCTTTCCAGGCGGCGCGGGTGTGGGGCCAAGGTCGATCTCGGTCTGCCAGTGAACGTTGGTCGCGAAGGGGCTGGGATGACGATAGAGACCTGGTTGTTCCATTTCGAGAGCGAGTTTGGCGACGCGGTCACGATCGGCTTCCTTTCTTCTCTTTTTGCGATACGAGTAGCCCGTACAGGGGGCACACGACAGATAGTAGAATATGGCGGACTGAATGCCGCGGTGGATGGCCATGGCTTGTTGAATATGTGGCTGAGTCTACGAAGAAAGAGGTTTGTTCAAGAAATGCATTGTCCTCCAGCAACCAGTGCCGTGGGTGTCGTCGCTGAGTGGACTGGGAGATATGGATGTGTTTGGCTGCTAGGGGTGGATCGGCGGTAGTGTAGTGTACGGATGACGTCTGCTGTTGAAAATGTTCTGCTCTGCCGTGGCGGGTCGATCTCGAGCAAATGGGCGCAAACCAGTGCCTTCGCAGTTTGACGAGAGGGAGAGAAGGAAGGGACGGGACTCTGGTGCCAAAGGAGGGAGGGCGACGAGGTCGAGGGTGCTCGCGCTCTATTCTGGGCAGCCAAGCTAGCCTAGTCGATATGCTCCAGACTCGCTCAAACTCGATGTGGCTCAACGTTGGCGAGATGCGGAGTCCAGCGCGAGATTGTTTCCGTGGCTGAACGCAAACAGCCGCGAGATGTCGACGATGGCCTTACGAGAGAAGACCGGTCGCCGTGCGATAAAGGGGCTGTTGGACGAGAGTGGCAGCAGGGAGTCTTCGTATGCACCACAGCCGTGCCCTCGAACAAGCATCCAGCAAACAACCATCGACGTAAATGGTAATTGCGATGTTCATCCAAACTCGTTCGGACCACCGTACCCACCCGTCATCCTTCTCGGCCCGCCCGCGTCCTATTTGTCCGCTCTACGAAGAGGTCCCCGTCAGAGGATTGCTTGCGTGTGTGTGTGTGTGTGTCTTGCCTGCAGATAGAGTGCTTCTACGGGCAATCCCTCCACTGTGATTTCCTTCCATATGACATCGATACTATACAGCCAAACCTACTCTCGCAACAGTCTTGCATCTCAGCCTCGCATGTCGTGCGACGCGTTCACCTCCCTTGTCGATAGGGCGGGCACGTTTCCTGTCTGCCCCTCTTTCCCCCTTGGCGGCTCCACAGCCCAAGGAATTTTTAGTCTCGGAGTTTGGCTGATCCGTCAGAGCATCTTGTCCATCGTAAATCTGGAAATTGTCGTTTCAGCCGACAGACTTCATCATGATAAGCTGACCGACTGATTCAGGGCAATTAGATCGACACATAACCATGCACGTCACCAGGAGTGCGTCAAGTTTCAGATCTTTGTTTGACCCTCCTGTATGGTACATCTGTCATGATCCATATACGGCAGTGCTGTAGCGACAGCTCCATCACGTCGAAATCGTGCAGCGACTTGTGTTTGTCGTATGGAGTCCACACACGACGCTATCGAAACTTACAGAAGTGCATCCCTGCGTATGCTGTCCACAGCTAGCCAGCCGTCTCTTTGCATAGCAACCGTGGGGCAGCTGAGATGGGGATAAGATGTCGCTTGTATGTGACTAGGTACGAATACATTTCGATATACAGGCGTAGAGACATAGATATCCCGACATGATGGAGAGTCGTGAAGTAGAGTATAGATTGACCAAGTCCCTTGGTGGTGGCTGTTTTCTTGCCGGCGTTGGCGAGAAGACAATTGAACATGGTGTAAGGTATCGGTGTCCGATCGCTGTGCAGGCGTCATTATGCAGTGAAATAGATGTTCAAATTCTTCGTGGAACACATGCAAGAACACCGTTTGTCACAACTAACTATCTAGGCAACAGAGACAATCGCGTGTCAACGCGCAGAGCTGACATCGCCGCGACAACCAACAAGAATCTGTCTCCTCTTCGACCATTCGTATCGAACACGATCACTGTTATCAACAAAACGCAATGACCGATCTCCAGTACGACAAAGACTATAATACTGCCAGATCCGCCATTGATGCTGGCAACATTGACGAAGGTCTCGCCACCTGTGAAACTCTACTTACAGACACCGAGTTGCCTCGCTATTATCGCATCAAGACGCTCGTCCTTCTAGCCTCAGCAAACAAAGAATGGCGCCAGAAAGAGGTGCCTACAAATAAAGCTTGGAATTAAAAATCACCTTCTGATATCAAATGGTAGGACTTGCGCTTACGCGCTGAACACACCTGGAGTGAATCTCGAAAACTGCATCCGAAAGGTCAAAACCAGACTACCGACGACGTGCTAGCAGAACTTCGAGAACTACTGGACACCTTCAAGACAGAACAGCGCGACACTATGCCATCCAACTACGAAGACGAACTATCTGCTGCTCTGGCTGAGACGGAAATTGAGGATCTGGCCGATATTGCCGATGGAGAGATGGAGACGCTGGTGAGCATCAGAATTGTCTCTCTTGGCAAGCACTGCTGATCATGAGGGTCCACTATAGGCTGATGAGGAATATGCTCGTGAACAAAGTGCCAGCGATGAGCCACTGATCGGCCGCACGAAATCTGCTGTCGTGGATGCGGAAGAAGAGGAACCCAAATTGCCCGCTTCATCACCCAATTCCTCCTTCGCGCCTGCGTCTACGTTGAAGGCTTCGCAGGACATCCTGGCTCATCGTGTTCGTGACGGCCAGACTGCTGGTTCGAGGATGGTGCATCGTACTCGTGGTGTCGGAAGACGCTCTTCTTGAGGCATGAACAGAGAACATCCACTGCCCGTCATGAGGATTAGGGTAGAAAGTCAATTCAGGTTATGAGTGCTTCAAGCAGGGAGGTGTTCAGGCGTAAAGCATCAGTGTCTATCATAACAAAAAATCAAGATACCCCATTTCACGCATAATACAGCAGGTATGACTTTGATTTACTGATGATACACTGATAGCGGTTTGTAGCCAATCGAGTGCATACTTCCTTACAGCTTCGAAGATCCACGAGGTCTCTCGAGCATCTTTGTCTGGTTCTGATAGTTCTTGACCAGTTGTCTGATTGATAGGTCAAACAAGACATCTTCACTGCCACCCGGAATGCGGTTGCCCGGTACTTCTCTCCACATTTCTGCTCACTGTTAGTGTTTACGACTACGATGGTCTCGGTGCTCGACTTACTCTCAGCGATCTCGCCCTGTCCTGATCTAGTGTAGCCATTTCCGCCAAAGAGTAATACGGCACAATTCGCGCATTCCAACAACACGACGCCAGCTTGAGCTTTGGCTGCAGCTGTAAGGCCACCAAGCTCCACGTCGGCGTCTTTCTTGGGCAGCTTGACCATGGCGTAAACGAAGCTTTCTGTCCATGCCCATTGGGCCTCAAGCTGTGCACCGCATTTGGCGAGACGGTGTCGGACGACAGGTTGATCCATGAGAGATTTGCCAAAGGCCTCTCTCTTGAGACAGTATTCGAAAGCTGGTAGTGATAGATTAGTAACCTTTCCATTCAGCAAGAAAGGCAGCCACATACCTGCGCTTAGGGCAACTCTGGCCTGTCTCGCGCATCCGATGGCGATGGTTAGTCTCTCGTGGTTGAAGTTGGTCATGATGTACTTCATACCCATACCTTCCTCTCCAATGAGATTCTCAGCTGGCACCACTACATCGTCCAACTCGATGTATGTGGTACCAGCGCTGATCTGACCACTAACCTTGAGTCTCCTCATACTGACGCCTTCATGTCCCTTCAACGGTACGACCATGAGCGATAGCCCACCAGGTCCAGGTCCGCCAGTTCTGACGGCCATGCAAGACAGCTCACTCCATATACCATTTGTGATCCACTTTTTCGTCCCATTGATGGTATACGTCTTGCCATCTTTGCTCTTCACAGCAGTAGTCTGGATATTGGCAACATCACTGCCCGCATCTGGCTCAGTGATCGCAATGCAAGCTCTCTTTCTCCCCGTCAACAGATCAGGCAAGAACCTGTCTTGCAACTCTTTGCTTCCAAACTTGTACAACGGCGGCACGCCAAACGCCATTCCCGTCGTCAGACTGCCACTCGGTCCAGCCAACCCAGACCTCAACATCTCATCCGTATAAATGGCGTTGTGGAAGTAATCGAACTCATCCACTGGCAGACCCAGAATATCGTGTATCCCCGAGCTCTTTAGTCTCTCTACAGGAAGTGGGGCGGGCAGGCTGGGAAGCAACATGTTGGCTTTGGAGAAGTCATGAAAGACGTGTTCGGGGACGGTTTCGGCGGTCTCCCACTCCATGGCGTGAGAGGTCAGGTGTTCGGTGATGAAGGCGCGGCATTTCTTCTGCCACTCGAGATGGGAGGCGTTGTAGTATGGCGAGGGTAGACCGGAGAGGTAGGACGGCTCTGAGAAGGGCACGGGTCTTCCTGAAGCCATGGTTGTGATTGTTGATGTGTATGGAGCGATAGAAAGTCGCGAGTGATTCTGGAAGGGGATTCTCGAGGTTGTGTTATTGGCATGTGAAGAAGAATGATAATCTGGGGATGCTCGCGGGGAGCCGAGGTACTTGGTCATGGGCATCTAAACGTTGCACCCTGTTCTCGATCACGAACGCCCTGGAGTTTTATATACACGGTGCACATGTTTATAGCTTTGTGATACACTCGTTAAGTACTGGTTGATAGAGAGCCTCAGATATCGAGCTACCATGAATTCTGGACAGACCATCATGCTCACGCCGAGAGATCAGTATGGCGAGTTCGAAGAAACGATTCTGCTCGCACCCTGCTTGACACCCTGCAATGCCGTATGACCCCATGACCCCTGTGCTCTGCCCAGAGCAGTACTCACACCTTGGCCCAGAGCCAGCGAGTCCGTCATGGCACTGATCATAGTGAAGCCTCGGTCTGCGTAGTGTCTTGCTTGATCGCCGTCTGTACAGTAGATTCCTGAGTGTTTGCCAGCCTTCTTTGCCGCAATGAGGATCTTCTCGATAGCAGCTTTGAGTTCCTCGTGCATACCATCGGCAAGAATGGGATAGCCGATGCTGTTTCCTAGATCGTAAGGGCCCACGAAGAGCACATCAACACCAGGAACTGCAGCAATTTCGTCTACATTGTCCAATGCTTGTTGAGTCTCGATCTGGATGATAGTAACCAGTGCCTCGTTTGCTTGTTGCAAATAGTCGGATGCGGAAACGGGTTTGCCATTCTTGGGCACAAATCTCTCCATAGCAAATGGACTCCCGAAGCCTCTAACGCCCTGCGGTGGGAACTTTGCCGCTCTCACCACACCTCTTGCTTCCTCTGCGTTGTTGAGTTGAGGAATCACAATGCCATGGGCACCAGCATCTAGAGCACGCTTGATCATCCAGCCCTCGTTCGAGACCGTGCGCACGATGGGAGAAACACCACAAGATGCTATGGCAGCAACGGACTCGTGCATAGCGGTGTCACTGATGTTGCCATGTTCCGTGTCAACGCAGATCCAGGTTGGGTTCGTACGAGCTAGGATGCGTGAGAGGTTGGATCCTGGGAGCATCTGCCAGGCACCCAAAGCAAGGGAATTACTATGCAGTGTTTTGTGAAGGTGGTTGGCTGCTTGCATTATTGTCAGATTGGGGTTGGTGGAAGTAGGTGGTATAGGTAGATGATGAATCCGATTAGGCTGCCGAAGGATTGAGGCGATGAGCTTGATTTGTGAGTATAATGTGTATGGCTGATCGACTACGATATTCTGCTTCGCAATTCCTCTCTTTGGACAACGTTTGTTGACTCGAAATTTCGGATTGTAGTTAGAAAGGATGATATCTGGATCTGAGGTAAAGTGGAGAGCCCGATTGCCCCGCACGTTGTCAAGGTGATTAGCTCTTTCCCTCCTGGACCGACGGCAAGGTACAGATCTACATGATAAGAAAACAAGGTTAGGCAGAGGAGGATGGGGATGGCGCATCCAGCATGGCTTCGTCCATCAGTTTCTCAACCTCATGCTCCTTGAATCTATGCATGAGTTTTCTGGCCTCGCTGGTAGTGCTGAACTGGCCGGACTCTTTTGCTTTGTCTACATGGATCTAACAACACTGTCAGCAACATGATAGGAGATATAACGCAGAAATCACTGACCACAGGTGTATCGAATTCGTACATGTTCTTCCACTTCTGATCGGAATGCTCCATGACGTTGATCTCATCGTACTCGAAGGGTCGCTTGTCCCAGACATTAGACAAGACTCCCTTCGCATCTGAGCATAGCTTGCAGTTCGAACGCGTGAAAAGCGTAATTCGGCAAGCAAAGTTCCGGAGGGCGAGCGTGGGAAACATGGTTGTCGATGTGTAGTCTAGATTGAGAAGTGCTTGCTTGGTAGAATGATCAGAGATTTGGACATCGATGTTGCTAACAAGCGTTGCAAACATCCACGCTCCTACACCCAGAGCAACGACTCGAGGCTGATCTTGATCTCTTCGATACTGCACCATCTTGCAAAAAGCCTTCCTGGGATCATCATCATCATCATCATCACTTAAAGGTGTACAACAACACGTGCTATAGTTGAGTCAACGAACGTTACATTGTATAACCTTACGATCCTTACCCCGCTCCGCTCGACTGGAGCATCTCCAAGATATAACACCGACTCGGAACCATAACCAGATTCCAACCTCACCAACAAATCGAGAATCAAAGATACAGAGTAACATCGATCATGCCTGCTTACGAAGTCGAACACGTCAGCAAATTGACCGACGACCAGAAAGATCAGTTGGCCGAGGCAATCACCCAAATCCACAGCCAGCAATTCTCAACTCCCAGACTCTTTGTCAATGTCCGCATAACAGACATTTCAAATCAGCGAACCTATGTGGCAGGGAAACAGGTAAGCTGAACCAATTCTCGATGACCCAGATACGTCTGGTGACGTCCATGCAGCACAAAAGCAACCGCATATTTGCCTATGTGAGACATGGCCCATCACGCACACAATCCGACTACGATGCCGTGAGCAAAGCGCTAGAGGACGTGTGGACGAGAATCGTGCCTGACACAGAGCTTCGTCTTGTCATGTTCTACGGAGCGATAGTTGCTGGCATGGAAGCTGGGCTGAATATACCTCCTGCTGGGCAGGACGCCGAGTGGATCAAGGAGAACTGGGAAACTTTTGTCAAGAAGGCGGAGGGTGGTGATGGAGACTTTGCTGATCTGATAAAGCAGTATAGTTGATTATATGAATGGTATAGGATCTGAGAGAGATGACTACAATGTAATCGAAATCTCTAGTTGCCGGAAGTTCATGTATGCCCTGTTACGTAGCGAGTTACTTCTACATTTTGACCAAGGACTCGACTCATCCTGATCTGGTTTGGTGAACAAGTCGACGACCTCATACAGTAGTGTTTGGACAGTAGTAACGGCGGCAGGCGTATACAAATGATGACATGCCGGAGCTCGGGAGGAACGCAGACCGGTAGTTCGAGGCTAAACTCACCCGGACGAGGGGTCACAAAGCTTGACTCGGGGCCGAGGTCAACTCGCTAGTGCAGACTATAAGAGTAAGGAACATGGCTACCTCATCGTTGACAGTCTTCGGAGACTGTCAACCCATTGACTTTTAATACCACTGCGCTGCTCTACCGCTACGATGAAGACCAAGGAAGAAGTTGCAAGGCTCTCGGAGCTGGACCCGGAGCTCGCACAAGTAGGCATTGGAAGCTCTTCCACATTGATTGTTATACTAAACACATACAGTTCCTTAAGAACAACACCCTCCCTAAGGGTAACTGGGCCGACATCAAGCAATTCCGCGCGATGCGTGAGGATATGGAGGCCCAGAGACTCAAGGCATTGGGTTCCCCAGCTCCACACGTCGAAGAAGAGTTCAAGAACATTACCATGAGAGATGGTTTCGAGAGCCAGATCAAGATCCACAGACCAGCAGGCAAGTCTGGAGGACCTTTGCTCGTCCTAGTATATGGTGGCGGCTTTGTGGTCGGTAATAACCAGCAATTGACTCCCTACGGCCGGGGCCTGGCTAGAGCCTTTGACGCAGTCGTCGTGACGATTGCGTACAGACTGGCACCTGAGCACAAGTTCCCTACTGCGCCAAATGACACCGAAGACACTCTGTTGTGGATTGCGAAGAATGCAGAGTCTCTGTGTGCGGATCCTTCGAAGGGTTTCATACTTGGAGGCATCAGTGCAGGAGGTTTGTATCCCTCTTCCAGTCCTTGCAACTCTCTGATCTGACGCGAACCAGGTAACCTAAGTGCAGTCATTGCGCAGAAGACTCTGGAAGACAAGAGCCTGGCACACCCTCTTACGGGTCTTTGGCTCTGTGTCCCCCTCGTCTTCCCTAACAAAGATCTGGTACCAGACAAGTACAAGGACGTCTGGTTCTCACACGAACAAAACGCTGAAGCGCCTATTCTCGACAAGGACGCCATAGATGCTATTGGAGGCCATCTGGAACCGAACGAGAGCTCACCGCTCTATTCGCCGTTCAACAGCAAGAATCCTCACAAAGGATTGCCGCCAACTTACATCCAAGTAGATGGATTGGATCCCCTTCGCGACGATGGTTTGATTTACGAGCAGGTGTTGAGCGAGAATGGTGTAAAGACAAAACTCGACATTTGGCCAGGACTGCCTCACGCACATTTTGCTTTCCTGCCGTTCCTGAGCGGCAGCAAGAAGGCAATCCTCGACACCTTCTTGGGCTTCGGGTGGCTGTTGGGAGTTGACATTTCTCCTCAAAAGGTGCAGGAAGTTATGGTCGCACCGGCAGGCGGTTAGATTGGTCAAAGTCCTTTTGCTCGGCAGTTTGTCTCATGTCTGACGGCAGCCCAAATGAACGGCAGGTAGATTCATAAAAGACCGTATCATCTCTCTTGCTGTTGTATCATATAAATGTATTTGAAGCGATGCATGGTCCGAGGAGATAGAAAGATGAAATAAGGTCCGCTGGCTACGTCAGGGCACAATGGTTGGTGGCGCATGCGTGAGCGTGCCCTGTTGCCGCGTAGCAGCCAAGACGAATCTTGTCTGGGACCAACCTCTTATAAATGTACATGTCACTCCCTCGAATGGACCTCTCGCTGGTATCTTCTGACCAGCGGATAGAGTTATGCTTCAACAGTCTCGAAGCCCTCACGCACCCTAGACAGTCCGATGCCAACAGTATTTGCTTTCTATCAACTCCTTCTCTTTCTGGATTCAACCTCACGGCCACGTAGTCGAGTCGATGTTATGGTTGCGTAATCCCACACAAGTATGAGGGGAGGATGTGGTGAAAGAGCTTGAGCGAGTGGGTGATCCTTGGGGAGGGCTGTTTCGGATCGTCGTGAGAGTTTATGTACGGGTGGGTAAGATGTGTGTCCTGACTGGACTTGCTAGATAGCAGGTTGAGATTGCACAGGACTCGACAGCCTTCAGACAGGCTTTCTACTGGTTGTCGTGGACAGGATCGTACTTGGTTGAACCAGAAGCGGAGAGAGTGTTCACCGTGGATACACTGCGTTGACGATCTTGGTTCTGAGAGGGGTTCATAGATGGATTCGTCTGGGATACGAGCAGTTCAGCAGTGTTGACATGGCGCAGGACCTCAAGCGGATCTCGAGTGCTGCGAATGCGACGAAAGATCTCCTCAGCCTCGGCCAGTGGACGGTTGAGCAGGAAGTCGTACAGCCTTCGGAGTTCTGCGTTCTCCTGCGCGAGCTCTTCGTTTTTGCGTTTCAGGGCATTGGATCGTGTTGTGTTGGCTTCGACATCGTACACGCAGTCCTCGTATCTTCTGGCGCATGGTTGGCAAGTCGGTCTGATGCCGTCACACTGCCATCAGCGGTTAATGGAGCCCTCTGGCTAGAAGAAAGCCATTCTCACCTTGATACGAAGTCGCCTACAACACGCGCACGCCACGTGGACCACGCTGCGTTTCGGCTTGGTGACCTTTGCATCCGACAGTCGCTGGGATCCTGGCGCCGGTTCTGACTTGCTGCTTCCTCGTACAGTGTCACTCGGAGGGGCCGAGTCTGTGGGAGCATGGCTACCGTCCATGTTCATGTCATGAGCTGCGTCAAAGACACAGGAGATACCCTGACGATGTTCCACGACTTCTGCAAGGATGCTTCGAGGTGCAATCCTCAGTCCGAAAGTCGAAAAAGACGGAGTGGCTTCCGAAAGATAAGAGGAGAGAAGGAGTGAAAGACATGCGAGCAATGTTTTCAGAGAACGGCCCAATTCTGCGTCTTGCTTCTTCTTCTGACCCGGGCTTAGACGCTGTCTGCCCGCCAGTAGTCTTCGGTCGCACCAGGCACGCTGCTGAGGCATGCGGCGTCCACGTCTTATGGAAGGAGGTTGGTCCTCGGAGGCTTGCCCGACTCCGCGATTGGTCAGCTTTTGGGGGATCGAGCGATCAAGGACCCGGGCCCTGCGGGAACATTGCACACTTTTGCGTCTAGACACTCGACGTCCATACCATGACTAAACTGTGTGATATCCTACGTAGTCCTAGTCCCCTCTGTTGTCCCCTCTAACATCCTATGCATCTTCCGACTCAGTCGTTCTTGACGTACACCTGCAAGTTAGCACCTTGACCACGAATCAAAGCCGTGAACATAGCACGCCCTCCATTCCAGTCGGCATGGAATACAGCATGATCGCCATTGATAGCCATATCAAGACCGCCTGGAGCTGTAAGTCCATATGTACCAGTCTGAATAAGTCCGCCGAACTTCTTATAAGGTCCCTTGATGTTTCTCGATGTTGCGTAGGACACGTCATAAAGAGGCGTGACGTAGCAGTTCGAGCTGTAATAAAGAACATACGTCCCGTCGGGCATCTTGGTGAGAGATGGTGCTTCGACATAAGGACCATCAGCAGGATGGTTGACTATCAGCGGCGTAGGAAGACCAATCTTTGTGAAGCCATTGTCCACCGATACCTGCTGAAGCATTATAGGGGTACTGACTATAGGCTTCACCGTATTCCCGCAAGAGCCTCCCCTGCCAATCGCATTTCCATCGATCTTGTACACGACCCAACGTGTGTTGTCTTTCGGATCGTAGTAGCCGGCTGGATCTATCGCTCCCCCCTGAGCCGTAGGGCAAGCCCATGGATCTGGGCCTATAGGGGTGTATGGACCAGTGACTGTAGAAGCCGAAGCGATTCCCAGACAATGGAACCTAGGATTGGATTTCAGAGCAGCAGTATAGTACATGACGAAGCGGCCAGGTGCAAGTTGTACAACGTCCGGTGCCCACACAGCAGGTGCGTCGGGGTACACCCAGCTGGGGAGGTTCGGAAGGGCGTCTTTCTCGCCGAAGCTCGTCCAGGTACCGAAGTCATACGTATGAGCCATCGGAACATGCACACGCTTCCCGTTGACATGGGACATGGTTGAGAATGCCCACCACTCGTTTCCAATCCGTATAACTCAGGGGTCCGGAAAATTTAACCCATTCATGACGGGAGTCAACGTGATGCCTCTCTTCTCGATAGTAGTGTTGTCAGCAATGCTGAAGTCGTCCATGGCCACGGCGAAGGCCAGAAGTCCAACGGCTACCAAGGACACGATTCTCAAATAACGGAACAACATTTTGCTAGGAGATGAACAAGGAGTGTTCTTAGCAGGAAAGTAGTACGATGTGCGCTATGATGTTGAGTGTAGCCAAGGTATTGCAATTCAACGAGAGTGATCACCTACTGCGGTATATCTGCCTACACTTTGTCAGATTACTCAGAGCAGATGAAAGAAAGTGCTCATATCCTCTCTTTGTCATCAGGTCGAAGCCTGCCGATCCGCGAAAGGTCATTTTGTGATTCATCCGGCTTGGGCGTCGTGTCTGTTCTTTGTGTTCGCTTGCAGCATTTTACCAACTTTATGGCCGTTACCCGATCGTCTCATAGGAATGGACCCCAGGGCCGCTCTCGGCGAGATTCGAACATTCTTCCAATTCTAGTGTTCAACAAGAAAGGCATGTTGGATGCTATAAAGCAGCAAGGGTGGCCACACAAACGACTGAAGCGCTGCATCGATAGAACCAGATAGCGAAGGTAAAAACCTCGCACAAGACCATTCTGTAGCAGTTTGTGAGTATGATGGAGCAGGAATGATGAACGTCGCGGGGTGACTCCACGCGGCGGGACTCATCATGTCAATGGCCGAGACTTGTTTAGAGTCAGCGACGACGAATGGCGTTTTCATAATCAGCTGGAGAAAGCGTGCCAACTGGAACGGGCAGTGACAGCGTGTCAGGTATTTACTGAACGCGGATTGCATGTCGACTGAGAGGTCGCCGACTGCTGACGAGACCTCGACATCAATGCCAAGCCACACGGCATCTTTTTTAAGCCTGCGTTCTGACCACCAATCACTTTTGATGAACACGAGACACGTTCTGAAAATTGCGTCCTGATGGTCGAAGGTTCAACTGGAGGGACGACCGGCTCGCCTGGTGCGTTCAGTCCGCGCACTCCTTCGCAGCAACTGTTCAGCCCAGATGTGGTAGAGGGACAATGGCAGCCGATGCTAGAAAGCGATTGCACGTTCGAACCCGAAATGTTTCTCAGAGTTATGCACAATCTGATCAAAAATCCTAATATTATGTCCACGCATCTCTTCCGAGCGGATATACTCTACGATAGCGATGCCGACCACACTATTATCGAGGGACCCACAACCACGCACTTCAGCGACTTTACGAAGCATCTCAAACCAGAGTACAGGCCGAGATATGCTGAGCTTCCTGGGTTCAAGTGGGAGAGGACATATGTACGGCAACTTGTCCCACGCAATCGACAACTGGACAAGGATCTTCCGCAGACGTGTCATTTCTACACGCGCCTAGATGGAGAAACTACAAGAAATCTTATCCTCTACATCCCGCATGTGGAAGACTCAGAAGCTATGCCGTGGTATCATCCCAGGGTCCGCGCAGTTGCTTTCTCCCACTATTGGACGCCTTCATCCAGGCTGGGGGCCGTCGCAGTCCATTACTCTTTGTTCCCCGACATACCTTTGGACTCGAGACTCGAGCGAACAGCATTACAGCTGCTCACCAAGATTCACAAACACAGTAGAGGACAACAAGCAGGCTACCAGAAAAGGGTCCATCACGATCTAGTCGTTCCGCAGAAGACGTTCCAAGAGACATACGCCAGACTCAAGAGCACATATGCTAAGTTCCTGATCGAAGGCTGGGCAGAAGTGACTGACCCTGCAAAACACGTCTTTGAGGATCTTGGAATCGCTTCTTTCTTAATCGAGCTCTGGAAGGTCATGTATGATTGCACCCAACTTGCGGATGATAAGGGAAACGCCGTTCAGCTCGAGAAAGATAGCACGAAACCTCCGTTTCCGGGATTTGTGGACATCGGCTGTGGCAACGGTCTTCTTGTAAACATTTTGATCAAGGAAGGCTTCCCAGGTTGGGGTTTTGATGCGCGTCATCGAAAGTCATGGGAGACATTCGCACCTAACGTTAAGAGCAAACTTGCAGAAGGCATCCTGGTACCCGAAGTACTGAATCCGCAAGATTTCAGTGGGACCAATGACGAAGTAGCAGATGTGGTAGAGCAGTTGGAAGCGGTTGATTTGCTTCGAGATCGAGACTTCCACAACGGCCGATTCAAGAAGGGAACATTCATTGTGTCAAATCATGCGGATGAGCTTACTCCGTGGACTCCACTTCTCGCCTATCTCAATGATTCTCCATTCATCGCTATACCATGCTGTAGCCACAATCTGGCTGGCGCTCGATGGCGAGCACCTATATCGAAGGCTGCGAAGGAAAAAGCTGCTGCCCAACGACGTCAAGAGATTTCGGCCAAGGGTATTGATGACACAGATCCGCTGCGCAAGTCCCAAGCTGCGGAGACCGGTTCTTTGAAGAAACCAGCTGGCACGAAGAACGTACAGTCGGCGTATGCTTCTCTATGCGATTATGTCTCGGGTCTAGCGAATGATATGGGATTTGTTGTCGAGACCGAAATATTGCGCATACCTTCCACTCGCAACACTTGTATCCTGGGCAGGAAAACCAAATCACTGCAAATTGATGAGGAGACATCGAAAGAGCAGCATGTCCAGCACATCATTGCAAGAGAACTCAGTGCTCCGATTGAGGACATCTGCGCTGATTTTGTGAGGTGTGCGAAGAAACTGGTTGGCAAGAAAGGCGAAACTCACTAGGAGGTCAACACCCTGTCGTGTTGCTTCCTTAGTCATCGAGTTTCGTTGAGGCTGCCTCTTCGCACTCAAGTTCCGAGCGATGCGGTTGATCAGCAATTCTACTTCCTGATTTGTTGGGCTGGTGGAAATTCAGAAAGGTATCGCACTAATCGCACGTGTAATGGCGACAACCATAAAACTACGATGCAATGACAGTCTTCATGACCAGTGTTCATCGCAACCTCTTTGCTGAGCACAACCACGTCAATGCCTGACCGAGTAGCAGTGATCACAGTACAAGAAGAATCACCAAGAGACGTAACCTTGGAAGGTACAAGCGCCTTTGATGGTAACAAGTTGCTGGCTCTCGGGCTATACATCAGCGAAGCTTGCGATCTGTCTGGCGTGGCAGCCGAGATCGTGATCGGAATCAGGTAGGACAAGGAAGCTCGGTGGAAGCCACCATATGGTTGGTACGACGACTGAGCCACCCTCGAGCAAGGAAGAGCAGGAATTGCTGATAGCCAGAGGAGATCGGCCCACTCGATTAACACCATAGGCATACCCCATCGTAGCATGGGGAGGCACCATGATTTGCTGTTTTTCTTTGTCTTTTCCATACCACCCACAGTCGACATCCCCAAATGAACTTGTCATTGCGCATGCAGTAATCATCGAGGCGAATATTGTACATGTCTTCAATCTTCTGCAGGCTCCCGTTGGTCACGCTACAATTGAGTGACATGGGGCCTGAAGATTGGGCTCGAGTGCGTCCGTACGTCGTCCAACATGTGCAGAAGAAGAACCTTTGTTGCTACTAGCTGTAAGAGTGATAGATTTGCCGGCAGTTCCACACCCTCACATAGGCCGTCTGTTTTAGCTCGAGAGAAAGAAAGGAGGCTGGGAAAATATGTACAGCTGGCTGGAAAGTGCATGCCTGCCGACGTCATCGGCTCGCGTATCACCATCTTTTGCTCACCGATCTTTGGTACCACTTTTAATCTTTGATACACTTCGCTCATTGCAAAAGCTTTTAGTATCTGTCTTGTATGAATCCATCGTCTTCTCGAGAATCGTTATAGCATTTTCTCAGCTCTCTAATGTAAGTATTTATGCTTGAGACTTTGCCTTCCATTTCCTAGGTCGCTAAAAAATGGACAGTAATTATAACTGCTTGCAATAGAGGAAAATACATTCAGGACATCGATAGTTCACCAGCTATTCATCTTGTTCGGAGAACCGAGAAGGCTTCAAGAAATTGGTCTTGCGAGCTGTCTGGTCGCGCCTTCCCTACTCGTCCGCTCTTGCCAAAACTGCTTTCATCATGGCAGGACTTGGACTCAAATCGTGTGTTGCATCTCTCTCTTCCCCTTGTCCCGTCTCTTCTTTTACCGTTCGGTTGTATCTCACATTTGATTCTGCGCCCCCCCCCCCCCCCCCCCCCCCCCCCCCCCCCCCCCATGGGGACCACCACCACGACCCAAGCGGACCACCTACTGACCCCTTGCTGTATGGGCAACCTCCTAGGGCCTGTGGGACCACGCCCTGAAAATTAGTGTGGGAAGAGCGTCCCAGTGTCGGCTTGCCGATAGACCTCGCCGTCGTCGAGTAATGCCGTCGCCAAAACGTTGACAGGGTCATACGCCCAACACGACCCCCCCCCCCCCCCCCCCCATTGTCTCTATCCTTGCGAATCATTCAAGCACATCTACATCGTCCTTCACGCCTCCATTCTGTTCCAATTCACAGAGTGCATGTTCTGTTTGTCAGCAAAAAGAGCTTGGAATCAATCATGGTGGACAAGTTTATGACTGGTGCACTGTACGAGGCATGCTATGTGGTGTAAGTTTGGCTTGGTGCGAGTTTGGCCTAGTGCATACGTCGAAGTCGATGGATTCGTATTGTTTCCGTTCACCGGGACTTGTCAATGAAGCCATGAGACAATGCACAGTTGTCTGATTCAGAGCTCGGTGCTGTACGAGAGCCTCTCGTCGTTTGTCGAGCTCGGCGCAAACGGCTTGCTTCACTGAGTGACCGCTCTTGAATCACTCTCTCACACCTCGCTTTCTTTCTCAGTGCGCTCTCACCACACCCTTTTGAACATTCTTTGCCTTCATTATTTGGATACAACTCTTGGATATTGTCAAGATGCCGTCGTTGGCTAACGTTCTGCTCCAAAGCATTGCCTACATGGCAGAGAAGTTCCCCGACAAATGGATGGAGAAGATCCCCTACTACCGCGCAAGAGAAGAAGAGTTGAAGGAAGAGGAGCGTGAGGAGCGTCGTCGTGCTCGCAAGAACAAGCGCAGCCATTCGCACTCTCACAAACGCTCTGGCAGCCACCGCAGAGCACGCCACTACGACGACGATGAGGATTCCGACAGCTACGACGAAGAGTACGACCGCCGTGATCATAGAAGACACCGCAGTCTTGATGGACGTCGCCAACAGGGAGAAGACAGATCGTCCTACCGCAGATCTTACAACCCTGCCGACTATGCTCCTGTCGACAGACACGGTTACGCTGTCCAGCCTCCTGCTGCAGCTCGCCCCGTTGTGGTACGTTGATATAGTTCAAACTTCAGGAATCTATGCTGACTGGCATTCAGAATGGAGATATGCCTGGCGCAACCCCAGCCACGACTTCCTTCGCCAATGGTCCCCTTCCTACATCCACTTCCGGTCCGATCCCTGGCTATGTGCCTTACGCCCACGTTTACAGCACACCTGCTCAGGCTCAGAACACTTCTCACGGCCATGGTCTCCGTGACTCTCCCCGTGGCTCGTCAGACCGTCATGATCGCAAGGACTATCGCGTCGATCCTCGTAGCAGAAGGTTCGAATCTGTTTCTTACTTAGACTCTAAGATATGATACTGATCCTTTCAGATACTATGATGATCGTGACTATGACAGCGACGACTCCAAGTACCGCCGTCGCAGCACTCGCTACGACTAGACGTCCTCCAGCGACTTTGACACACGAACCGATTTGCATACATCAACGTCTTGACCGACACGAGTCAAGACACGAACGATACGAACGACATGGACATGACAAAAAAATGAAGACGACAGCATCGGGCGGTGAAATGCATTTGCATGAGGAAGGCGACATGGACGCATGGTTTTGATTCTTTTTTGCTTGCTTTCTTGCTTTCCCTCTGCTCTCATACATGACAAGGAAGTTGACTACATTGCGATTTGCTTCATCGAAAAACAAAGTCTCTACACGATGTTATACCTCCTCAAAGGTATGCTTTATCAATATAAGCAGCACTAGCATATCCACTTCCTAAAACATCAGTGATAGCAATAGCCTTGCTCAACTTTGTCTCAAACTTTCTAGTGCCCGCAGCGCCATCTCCAGTGTTGCCGTACTCGCCGAAAGTAACATGATCGGTATTCTCATCTCCAGTGTTCCAGATGTGCCAGCCATCCGCATTGATAACATTGGTCATGGTGGTGCTCTGCACAGCAACCCTCGCATAATCACCCCAAGGTCTGCCTAGGTAGTAAGCACCCTTTGGCACAGTAGCTCCACTCTTTGCAGCGATGGAGCAATGATCCAAGACGTAGTAGCCAGCTTCATTGGAAGCACGGCCAGAAGCGACGATGAAGCCGAGGTTCGCCGCCAACACGCGAATATCGCAATGAGTGAACCAGGCTAGACCGTGTTGGCCAAAGATGAAGTCTGTAGCGCCCTCGATGTAGGATTTTGCAAAGAGCTGGGTACCGGTTTGAGCGAGGATTGTGTCTTGGAAACCGAGGAATTTGCAGGCGTAGTAGCCTTGGTTCTGTGAGATATGGTGTCAGCTCAAGCAAAAGGTCAAAGTAAAGCAAGCAAGGGTCTTCGTACACTGGCTGAAGCACTGAGAGCAAGAGCTTGTCCGCCATTGCCATAGGTGTTGGCAAGATTGACATTGTAGAGTTTGAAGTTTGTGGACCATGCTCTCAATGTAGCGGTCAAGTCATCAGTGGCCACCGAATTCAGTGACAGCTTCTGAGTGATGGTGACAACGTTTTGGTTGTAGTCGTCTGTGTTTGTCGAGTAGCCATATACGGTAAGCGCAGCCTTTCTGGGTGCAATGTAAACTTGTTCAGAGTACGTGCCGGCTTCGATGAAGATGGATTGGGCGGTGGTGGACGAAGTGGACAGGGCGTTGACTGCGTCCTGGATCTTGGAGTATTGGCCCTTGGAAGGGGCTTTGCTGACCACCAGGGCACCACTGGGGGCAGAGGTTCTGCTAGCGGCCAGTGCTAGACAGAGGTTGAGGCACAAGGCCAGAATGTATGTGAGCATGGTTGATGAAGCGAGGAGTGATGGATCTGCTGTCGGAGAATCATACTGGACATCATTATTTATGTCTTTTTTTTGACCTACTGTGATAGCCAGGACGAGTTGGATTGCCCCGGGTACACAAGATATCGCTTATACCAGGCTGGTCTAGACGTTGGCTTCTACATGAAACACGACCTAAGCACAGTAAGTTTTTCCACAAATGCCAGGCACCGAAACCGCCATCCGCCGCGTCACCAAATGAACCGTCTTCGGCTGTCTATACATGAGGGGTAGCCCAGTATTTGCCCGTACAAACATGCTTTCAAAAAGTAGGAGATCAGGGGCGGATGGCTGAGTACGCACGAAAGACTGCTCATCTGACCAGAGCTGCTGCATAGTCTTGAGGTTTTGATTGGTGGAACAAGTTCATTGAATCTGCAGCTTGGAAAAAGCTTGGTAAGTGTGCTTGATTCTAATATGCAGATACAAGGCTGGAAGGTAGGGGAAGATGAAGGAGACGCGGCCGATGAAATTCTTCCGTCGTCTACTTCGTACTGGTTTCGGTGATGGTGCTCAATCAACATCTGCATTGGACGGCCATAAAGTAGTTGAGTTCGTCAATGAAAACAAGGTTTCGAGTATATAACACAAGTGATTAGGAGCGAAGAACAGGCAAGGTGCGGGGTATCATGTATTGATCTTGCGTCAATACAGGCTGTTGCCTCGGTCGACAGTTGTCAGAACGTGCGGTCTCTCAAGCATCGCTCGCTAATTTGCGATTGACCTGAACCCAAGGTGGCATCCAGATTGCACCATCGTTATCGATGTGGACGAACTCCTCAAAAGTATCATGCTACACGAGGGCTTCGGGTCACTGCTCGTGGCCACCACTGAAGCATCCCCCAAGCTGGTTCTCGCGCATTATGGTGAAATTGGCGATACCGGTACCTCCGGTCTTGACTTCATATAGCTTGTAAAGTATGCCGAAGAGTTTGTCTTTCAATCCACGAATTTAGCCGATCGAGAATTGGCCAGCTTCCATAGCATGAGCTTCTGTGTACCTCAAGAAGCGAAGCCGTATTTGACGTCGCTGGTGATGAAGCCGTGACAGGCATCTTTGAAGGCAGCCCCATTGATTCGAGTCCAGTCATATTTGGTAGGGATGGCATTGACCCATGAGACGATTTTCTCGAGGTGCCAAGTGGCAGATTGTAGCAGCGAATAGATTTGTCAATCGTAGCAGCTCCATTAGGTTGTTGTTTGAAATTTCCTAATACCAGCAAGAGCAAGTTCATGGACCTGATCTGGCACCGCGAGGAGCGAAGCCGAAACCACCGCGCCCTTCAGGACCTCTGGGTTGGCGAACAGGCTGTTCGTCTCTGGAAGCGATAGGTCTTGGGCTGGCAATGCTCGGCGGTCGTTGCTCATAGCTGGGATCGAAGAGTTGGGTTGGTTGGTATATGGTCCGCGCAGGTGACTGGTCGGCAGGAGAATTGGACTGGCTGTCTCTTGGAGTAGAGTTACGGCCACCTCTACCTCTGTTGCCTCTGCGCGAAGTTCTGTCTCCTCTAGTGGAGGACGTGCGAGAGGCAGAAGTGTCTCTGGATGACTGCGGAGAACCAAACAGGCGTTCACGTACTTCGGCATATTTGCGTTCCTTCTCTCTGCGCTCTTCAGCAGCCTTGCGTTGTCTTTCTGCGAGAGATGCCTCTTGTCTCTTTCTCTCCTCCTCCTCACTGTCGTCCTCGTCTTCCAGATTGAGGCCGGCCATGCGGTTTGCGATTTGTGGAGTAGGTCTGCGGGACAGGAGCTTGACTTGGGGTTTGAAGTCGGAATTGGTGGGAGCGGCGCCCTTTGCTTCGAGGAAGTATGATCGTTCGGGTTGTTCGGCGGCGTCCCATAGTTGCTTGTTCAGCTCTTGGTGTTGGGCCTTGCGTTCTGCGCGAGATAGTTTGACGATGGGCTGGACGGGCGCTGAAGGTTTGGCTGAAGTCTTGGATGCGGTCAGTCGTTGAAAGAGCATATGTGTAGTTGATCGAGTGGTACATCAGCGACCTTGTCCCAATCGTCATCCCATGCGTCGGGCATTGTGGTGATGGTAGAGGATACCCGAGTCGGTATGACGATGCGACGTTGGTTGAGGGGAGAAATCAATCACACGGATACAGGAAGACGATGTATTGGTAGCAGGGGATGCGAGAGTCGGCGGCATAGAAGTGTGGTGATGGGTGAATAAGCGACCAGGAAAGTCAGGACAGGGTGGACTAATTCAGATGGTCGGATGTTCGGTGAAGGCGGGCCGACGCGCGCTTGACCGTTGTGCCCCGCGCTGCATCGTCATGTCCAAGCTCCTCTCTGTAACTGGCAGTTCCACCCTCGCGCTTCTGTTTCACATCTGCATGTGCATGCTGAGCAATTGAAACTGTGACTCTGCTTGTCCAGCCTGCTCGTCACAAAACTTGATCAACTGAACCACCAATCCGCCCAGCTTTCGACATGACAGGTACCTTGATGCTCTTGCCGCCGGCTGCCTGCCTACAACCCAAGAAACATGACTAATCCACTTTCACTACAACAACAGACGCCAACTCTCCCTTCGACCCCGACGGCGACAGTCTCATGCAGTCTGGCAATTCTTCCCCCAAGCCGAGCACTCCTCACGCTCAGATCCGCTCCATCGCCATCTCCGACCTCTCGCCTCCCAACTCACAGGGCGTCCCTCTTCCTGTCGACATGCCCACCGTCGCTCCCTCGGCTTCCGGCGCAAACATGAACGGCAAACGCCCCATATCCTCCATCGATCAGTCCCAAGAGTCGCAGGGCGGTGTACCTCTCGGTGCTGCTATTCCTACCGATGTGTCCGTCAGAGCTACAGCCACATATCAGTACACCCAACCAGAGGATGCGCCTGGCTATGCTTGGAAGAACAAAAAGGCTCAGGACGACTTCAACCGTGCTTGGGACTCGCTGGTCGACAAGAATCGTAGAATCGGCAGTATGCGTCTTCATGAGTGCTGCACACTTAGCTTGGCTAACACGCCCTAGACAAGTACGGCGACCCATTCGCCATGGCTGATCGCGAACTCGCCATGATGAACCAGCCCTCACAGTAGCTCATCTCGACCTTTCTGCATTGACGAAATCACGTCTTATCATTTTCACAAGCATGGCGTCCGGCGTTGGAGCTCCACACGGTTTCCGGTGGATGGAAGGAAGCATTGGCCGGATGGCAAAAAAGCCATGGCAACGGGGGACACACTCAACACAGCATATGGTGGTACGACTAGCCAGACTCAAATCAACATCTCGATTTCATTGTTGCTTCTGTGGTATGTTTCGACACAGAATTTGTGCCGCATTGCCTATATTCGCTATCACAATTACATGACTCACTCTGGGTTGGTGGTTGAAGAGTAGAATACATGTCAGGGATCGACGCAGCGTATGTGAGCCAACTTGTTCCGCACAGCGACTTCTTGTATCCCCATAGCTCTCAACGGTCATTGCTCACGCCCGATTGCAGCCCATGCTATGGTCAATGTCTTGTCTAATCACTGTCCTCACTGGCATCGTCCAACGCCTCATCCCTCATGCCATCACCAATTCTTTCTTCCTCCTCATCAACTCCATCAACCTCGTCACCCTCACTGTCTTCCTCTTCCGCAGCACCATCATTGTCCTCCTCTCCACTGTCATCCACAGCCTCATCATCTTCACCCTCCAACGCATCATGGAACTCCTCATCATCGCCTTCCTCTGACACATCTTCTTCGCCAGCCTCCCTTCTCATCTTCTTTGACGGTGGTTCCTCGCCATCGATTCTGGAGTGGCCATTTACAGCAGACACTTCAGTAGCATCCAGCATTGATGCATCTGCGTCTCCGTTCTCGGCTCCGCTTTCTGTGGCTTTGCCATCATCGCCGGTTTTTGATGCTTTTTCCTCACGAATCTTGCGGCGGTATGAGTTGCGTTTGTCACATTGCACTGTGTTGTATTCTGTGAAGCGATGTTAGAGATCATCTTCAATATAGGAGAAATCAATATTACTCTTGAGTTCTGCTTCGAGGCGTGGGATAAAGTGCTCGAATTCGTTTTCCTTGAGAGCTGCTATTACGTCTGCAGGTTGGATTGTCTTTTTGCCTTCGAGTTGGGCGTATTCATTTGAGCTGACAAGAGGATACTCTGTCAGTACGCGACGAAGATAGAAAAGCGGTTGATGAGGTAAACGTGGTTTTTGAAAAGCATACAAATCGCACGTAAAACATCAATTCAAGACTTACTTGGAAGCGAGAAAGTTCACAAAGACTGTACAGCTTTTGCTCAGTGCCAACAAAGCGTCCTTGTGAATTGATGTGTTGGGCGGTAGAACACCCTTTGCTAATCTCGAAATCATGGTTCGCGGCAGAGACAGATCCTGTGATTTCTACAATCAGCGATTATCCATCGGAATATCCGAGTCTCTCGTGTCAATACCTCTACGCTCGATCCCTCGCGTACTTGACGACCAGCGGGTGCAGGTGACTCCTCGTCGCCATTTGTCACGGTCGAAAGGTTTGATTTTCTGCCGGGCATGATTGCGGGTTCGATATGTGTTGTTGCAAGGCTGCCAGAGGTGTCGTAACGACGTGTGTCGAGCTTTGTTGGCGTGAGTAAACTCGAAAGGAACGAGACGCTTTTTGGATAATGTTATTCTTCGATGTTCCCGGGTTCCGTTTGTCGTCGGTGCAAGATGGAGGGCGCGAAAGTTTCGCGGCTCAACGCGTAAAGTGGTGCAAAGACGGATGAAGCTCTCGGTTCTCGACGAGATCGGTGTGTAGCGAAACTGAAGACCAGACAGATGTAGTGCAGAGGATGGACGGGTACTCTTTCGGCGAAGAAAAGGTTTGGAGAAGTAGTGTTGATGTCAAGGGAGTACATCCAGTCCTCCTCCTCCTCGAAGTCCATGTCTCGGTCCGAGCACAGACCATTGCAAGATGGACCCTTCTGCGACCTTTGACCCGAGAGTGTTCACAAGCATTCTTCATGTCGTCTTTTTATCCTGGCAAACGCCTATCTACAAAGGGCGAGCGCTGTACGGTCCGCTATGTTGGTGAGGTCAAGGGTAAACAAGGTCAATGGCTAGGTGTGGAATGGGATGACCCCACTCGAGGAAAGCATTCTGGAACTCATGATGGTGTCGACTACTTCAGATGTAGGTTTTACTTGACATCTTTCGTGGTTCCAGATCAGATCTGATGTCAATCTAAGGTAGGAGCTCACATCCCACGGCTGGTTCTTTTCTTCGCCCTTCTACAACATGGGATCAATCCAGGACTTTCCTCGAAGCATTGAGAACAAAATACGCAGCCATTCAAGCTGGAGAAAACGCATCTGATCAGGTCGTCATCAGAATCAGCGGCAAAGACGCTGAGGAAGTCGGATTCGAAAAGATTGCCCGCCAGCAAGCTCAGTTGCAGAATCTTCATATCGTAGTCTTGGATGACTTGCTCGTCAAAGCCTACGACGAGCAGAACACAACACTAGAAGACAACCTAGAAAAGATACCGGAGACATGCCCAAACATCACTGATCTCGACCTGGGGAGAAATCTGTTCGAAACTCTTTCCGAGATTTCTGATATATGTAATCGTCTACCAAAGCTGAAGTTTTTGAGACTAGAGTAAGAGAACTATATGCTATCACTGGCAATTGCTAATTCACGTTAGTGCAAATCGACTGAGACATGTTGTCGAGCAAGAAGGTTCCTCCCATGGTGAGAACACTGGTCTGGCTCGGATCGCCTCTGCGAGTCTTGATCATATGCTATGCACAGGCAAAGAGGTTAGTCGATCTTGGCTTACAATGTGAAAATCGCGCTGACCGGTCTTTAGCTCGAGATTCTTCTACGCTCACTACCGAACGTCAAAGAGTTATCAGCATCGAGTAATCAGCTGGGCTCATTGGATGATTGTAACTTACCAAATAGCTTGACCTCAATTACCTTGGAAGACAATAACTTCTCAAGCCTTGAAGATGTACAACATCTCAGAGAATGCTGTCCCCAACTGCGTACTCTAAATCTCAAGAACAACCAGATCTCGCGTACTTTCAAGGACACGCAACACAAAAACAACTTCAAGCTACCAGAGACGATAACGGATGTTGATCTTGCGTACAACAACATAACATCCTGGAACATCATCAACGAGCTTTCAACAATACTGCCAGGACTCAAGCATCTCCGTATAGCTCACAACCCTCTCTTCTCTTCCCTGCGCTCAGCAGACAACAAGCCCTTGACATCCGCCGATGGTTACATGCTCACCATCGCCCGACTACCCCGACTCGAAACCCTCAACTACTCAAAAATCACCGACAAAGAGCGGCTAAACTCGGAATCATACTACCTCTCTCAAATCGGCAGAGAACTCTCTCTATCGCCCAAAGAAAAGGAAAAGGACATCCTGTCCTCTCATCCGAGGTGGAAGCAGCTGTGCGAAGAGTACGGCGAGCCCAGATTGGAGCGCCAAGCAGAGAGCAACATCGATCCCAATTCTCTGGCAGCACGACTGCTGGAATGTTCAGTATACTCGCCGACTGCAGCCGGCAACGCCAATCTACCAGATGAACAGAGTCCGCTCATAGTAGAGATACCCAAATCGTGCAGCATCTACAAAGTTCATGGGATCATTGGCAGGCGTTTGGGTGTCGAACCTCTGCAACTCCGGTTGGTTCTGGAGACTGGCGAGAAGGACCGCATGGACATGGCTACTTGGAACGGTGTGGAAGAGTGGGATTCTGATGAAGAGGATGCAGAAGAAGTCGGTGAAGAGTGGAAGGAGAGAGAGGAAGAGCTTGTTGCTGGTACAAGACCACTAGGCACTTTTGTTGATGGTCCCAAAGCAAGGATCAGGGTTGAGCTCAAGGATCAGAAGAAAGAGGGTATCATATAACAAAATTGGACATAATCCTAATCGAAAGGCAATCTTCTCAAAGATTCACCGCCTTGTCGTTTCTTCATCTCTTGCATGGCACCAATGGCAGAGGGAACCTTGATACCACAGCAGTCATCCCAAGTCTTGCCGCTGTGATCGTGAACGTGTTTCATGCCACCCTCAGGAGCAACTTGACCTTGTCCACCTTCTGTCTCTTCCATTTCTCCAGCGACATCTGTCTCGTCTTCTGTGCTCATGCCATCCACTGCTGGCACAAGGCCACCAAACAAGAAGTGCTGCATGACTGGCAACTTGCCCAAGACTTCGGCGACAAACATTTTCTTCATGCCAGCTTCTACTTTTTCCCAGTTCTTTGCGCTGCTGATGTCGTCGAGCATGGGCGAATGCCAACGCAAGCCGTCAACATTCTTGACGCTGTTGACGTAGGCGACTTGTTCGAGGTAGAGATAGTCTTTGGAGCATTCTTCGAGGATGAGTGGTTTGTGGATCGACATGGGGCGAATGTGAGGATGGTGAATGAGTTGGGCGCTGCCGAACAGGAAGGGAGCGAATTGGTAATCGTCGAGACCCCAGACACCGTGTGAGCCAGCAGGCTCGAGGTAGTATGTTGACTGGACAACACGCATGACACGTAGGTAGCTAGGGAAGACTGTGAGGGCGATTTGTGGGAAGGTGGATTGAGGGAGAAGGTCTAGGCGGTTCAGACAGAGGAGCCAAATGAGGAAGTTGAGTTCGTGACCGGAGCCGTAGTCGATTCTCGTCTTGTTGCCGAACGAATGGAAGATGTATGTCGAAACTTCGTCCCGAGCAGCGGCATCTGTCACGCCGAGCTTGTCGTGCCATGACTTGAGCAACGTCTCGATCTTGTCAAGATATGTGATGAAGGCCTTGTTGCCGAAGCGGGAGCCTCCAGCATCCTCAGCAGGGCACTCTCTTACTGTCTTCTCTGCTTCTTCTAGTATGTCTACAATTGTGCTGACGACAGGATCTCTTTGGGCCTTCTGGACAGAAGTGACGGTGGTTTGGCGGACTGAGTCTGAGAGGCCAAATACAAAGGCCGTGACCAGGTCGTATGTGGGAGAGTTCAGGAACAGATCATGATCTTTCTTGGAGAGAATGCGGCGTATAGGATGCTGAAAATGAATGACTTCCTTTTTCGGCGGGGCAGGGAGAGCGGGAGTCGGTGGTGGTGGATTTAACGGAGGTTCGGTCGACTTGTCTTGCTTGCGGCGAGGGATGAGTTTAGGGAGCTTAGCGGAGAGATCTGGTGGCGGACTAGGGATCTGCGTATCGGAGAGGGGTTCGGCAGGCGGCATTGTGAGATGTATAGTGGTTTGTCTTGAGATCAGAAAAGGACATTAATGGCCATTCTTGGATTGTTAGAGCTCGGTCTTGCTTGGCAACGATGCCACATGCGAACGCGGTTCCGCCTTCCTGACGTGTTGATCACTTCGACCCTTTTTGCTTTTAGAGTACAGCGACTCGACGGCCGACTCGCGCCTTCCTTCTCGCCTTTGAAGCGCGTGGTCCTTAGCTATCTCCCCTGGACGGCTGTTCCTCAGATTCACGCCGGCGACAAGCAGAGACATTTCCGCCTGGACCGCCAAGGACTCCGAGACGTCATTCAGGCCCGGCTCTTTTGATGATTCGCAAAAACATTCGTATACGTTCAACAATATAACAAGCACGACTGCATGCCCTAGCCTCGACCAGCCCTCGGGCATGTCCTGCCCCCGATGGTCAAGCGCCCGCGATTCCCCTTTCGCATTCCTTTCTTCCGCATCTTCTACAGCACCACTTACACCACCCTCTTCCTCCTTATCCTCATCCTGCTGGCCATCACTCCGGCAACCCTCATCTATACCGCCCTCCGCGCCAACGCCTATCAATATGTCTTCGAGGTCGGCGGCGTCTATGTTCTGGTCGCCATCCTCACCCTCTTCATCTATTCGAGCCGACTCTACACCAATCGTGCCGTCCTTGCCGCCGTCGGCAAGTCTTGGATACCTGTGCAGCCCGGCGAGGTCAGCAAAAATGTCCACAAAGAGGTTGTCAAGGCTGCCAACAGAAGCGCCAGGATCGCCTTCGAGACCAAGCCCCGAAACCTGCAGCCTGAGCTTGAGCGAACCAGAAAACAACACCACGAGTCCGACGACGGCGAACTCACCACCGTGGGCAACATAATCCACATTGATCCCCAAAATCCTCCTTGGGGTCGCGTCTCACACGCTGGCTGGTCTTCGCCTTCTCAGCTGGACGCGCACCTTGCTCCTCACATCCAGTTCCGCACTGTTGTCATGGAGTTGCCCAACCTTGTCGAAGCTCGTGCCGTTTCGCTAGCACCTCCGGACCCGTCTTTCGTCGCTTCTACCCAAGATGCCACCACCGCCACACCCGATTTACGCATCGTGACTTTGCTTTCGAGGAGTCCCACGGCAGATATGCGCTCATACCTGGCACAACTCTCTAACCTCGGCCTGTTCCCACCGCACGCCGGTCAAGACTTCGTCCAACGCTATGAACACGCTCGGTTCTCTCCTATACCTATCAACGAGGATGAGTTCGACGCATTGATGTCGGCCTTCGCCACTTTACTAGCCAGTATGAGCCAGCTACCACCTCGGGTCGTTGACATGGCCCACTTTGGCTCAGATGTCTCTTCAGAAACATCCAGCTTGTCCTCTATTTCTTCTCGCAGCGATAGTATTTCCTCCTCTATTGCTGGCTCCGTCTTTCGCGCTCGCAACCCTGGCTCAAGACTTGCATCCTTCTATACCCCGCGCGCATCCATGTCTGTCGCGCGCACTCCTTCTCCAAGCACTCGTCGTGCAGCTCCTTTCTCAACCCCTCGACCACAAACTTCGCAGACTGGCAACACCGTCTATCGTACGCCTTCCGAACAGACCATCTCTACTATCAATTCGGTTCGTAGAACAGTACCGAGTGGTCGACGAGGCATCGTCGAGAGTAACGGCTCACCTGCGGCAAGTCTCCATAGACTGGAAAGCTATGAGAGCGGTCAGAGTGTCATTCGCACGCCACTCCCTTCCAACTCTGGTAGATCCTATTATGGATGAGTTTGTGGTTGTGTTTCTTCTCTTCTCTGTCTATATCTTTGTTCACGTTATACCCCTTTTATATCATGTTAATGAAAACAAAAATGTTTAATGTCATCCCTCTCCGAGATCTGAACTCTTATATGGATAGTTAAGCTCATCTGGCATGAGCTGATCAAGAGATGTTGCAACACTGTCTGTCTCTCCGCAAAGTGTGTTTCCGATCCACCCTTTCTCAACCCTATATCTTCTCGTATTTTCCTCGGACCATCAATCAAACTTCTCCCTCCTCTCCACCAACACCAGTACCTTCCTCGACCTCATCGCTCACAACCCTAATCCCCTTTCCCCTCCCCTTGGCATCTCTAGCCGCCACAACCTCCACACTTGAACTCTCTTCATCACTGCCACTCTTTGTCTTTGTAGCAGAAGATGACAGGGCGCTCATTGATCTCAGTCCCTGCAGCCATTTGGCGATGTAGTTTTGCTTTGCTTGTCTTGGTGACGTGACGGGCTTTTGGTGGGCTGACTTTGCTTGTCGGTGTTGTTCTGATTTGTGGGTGGACTTGTAGAGGTTTTGGGTTGTGAGGGCGTGGTTTGGGGGTGCTTGGGTGGTGGAGCGCGGGGTTGTGGGTGGGTGGTCGTTGTTGGTTCTCTGTATTGGCGGTTAGACTTGAGGAAGACGATGATTGAGTGGAGCGATATGCTTACTGAAGCTGACTCGGAGCGGTGATGCGAGTGGTGTCTTAGTCTGTCTGCTCGAGATCTTTCTCTGGGTCGTTCTCGGTTGGGACTGTGTCGTCGAGAGGTACGTCGAACATCTTGCGTTGTTCTTGAGGCGGCTCGAGGTCTAGATGGCGGCCCATTGTGTTCGTTGGATATCTCAAAGTGGCAGCAGATGTACAGACGGGGCGGCATGTTGATTGAATTGATCAGATGGATCGGAATCCTACATTTCTTATAACGATGGAAGATGATGAACTTTTAAGATGGCGTTTGTCCGACTGAAACACAATTGCCGACAACACCTTAGAGTGATAACGAGATGCATAGTAAAGAGTTGCCGGTCTAAGACTGCAATCGGAGTGAGACGTGTGTGCATATATATTCTGCTGATTGCTCATTCTTCGTGACTATGGGAGAAATAGATGATAAAGTACATTACATGCTGAATATGCGTACAAGTATTCGCTCAAACCTGGTCGTCAAAAGTATCATCGTCCTCTGCAAGATTGTATCCTGGCTCTGAGACGTATGGAGGGCTGTGGAAAAGACGCGTCAGACACTGTGGCCAGTGCTTCGAGAGGGTGTCCGAGGATGTCTCCTACATGAAGTAGTTTCTCAGGCCAACAATGCCGGCAGTCATGACTGCGAATCCACCCAACATCTTGCTCCAGTCGGGGTTGTTCAAAGTGGCCTGGCCGACGCTCAGGGCAACAAGATCGTAGACGAGGCATCCACCGAAGATCCAGTCGCTGCATGCAGCGAGACCAGCAAATCCGGCACCGGTAATAGCCTTGATGGCAGGGCTAGGCAGAGCGCCCTTGTAGTATGCAACACTCAGGTTGTGAAGGAAGTCGAGAACACCAATGCCAGCGAAGGTCTTTGCGTTGACGTGCGTGAGAACGGACGAGAGACTCTTGGTGTTCATAGGTCCAAGTTTGGTGAAGATAAAGTAAAGTTGACTGAACGAGTTGATGACAACGAATATGTTAGAGATCTTCAAGGCTTCTGAGTTCCACCAAAACATCCACTTTTTTCTCGATTAGCATTGTGTTTAACCATCAGGGAGAAAAGAAAACTTACTGTGCCAATGCAGACGTTTCCAAGGGCGTAGTATGGGACAAAGTTGACGATCTGGTCCAACTCGCTCTTCTCCTTCGGCTTGCTGGGGTCGAGCTTCCACAGGCGGTACAACCAGGCCAACTGTACGATCTGCTGAGGTGCGAAGAAGCCACCAATGAAGTAAGGTTGAGGGCTCCAGAAAGACGTGTTTCTATCATTGATTTGCTTCATCGAAGGTGTGCTGTTCAGTCCATACTGCTGAGCAGCGAAATCGTAGATGAACGAGGCTGGTGCGAGCCATTTGGCGGTGCTGTATTCGATGCCCATGATTGCGGGATGCTATGGTGATGCAGATTGAATTGGAATGAGAGATGTTGGTTTGAAGAGAGGAAGGAGCACCTGCCTGTTAACTACCCGCACGAAGGAATGCTTTCAAAAGTCATGAACGCATCAATTTGCAACTCCAGGCTGGTGACGTCGTGAAATCCATCTCGGTGTTTGTTTTGCCCCGCCTCCGGATCATCTGATCGACAACTTGCTTTTGGAGCCTCGCAGGAGCCTCACAAGAGCCTCAGAGTGCTCTCTCGCAGGCTCGGTTTGTCAATCGAGGCAAGACGCATGAAGCTCAAGGGGCTGAGGAGGACAGAAACTGCCTACCTGTCGACAGCTTCGCCAATTGCCAAGACTTTTGCCGGTCTTCGAAGCAGGACCTGCAGCAGTTCATAACAAGGATGCACACGACCTGCAGTACGACAAGGACATGGCGGATATCTTGCAGGAGGAGGGCGGAAGATAATAGAGAGCTACGCACCCTCTCTGCTCCCGTCATACGACCGTCACAGCCATCAAAAGGCACAGTTCTTTCTAGCTGCTAGCCACATCCACAGAGAGCAGACGATTTCATAACTCTCCTTGGACGGTTTCCCTTTACTGAAAGAACTATGCATTTTCGTAGGCACATGCACAGCGCACCTTTGCACAAGAAGAGGTTGGAAAGGGGCTCAAAGATCATCAGAGGCGGAAGACTGTCGCGCAGCAGAAGAGGCATCAGTAATTTGAAACGCCCAACCCCCTCCGTCTTCTGGACCTCCGGTCTCTGCTATGCCATCGATCGAGCCCTCTCTGCCGTGAGTCGTAATCTCGTTGTGACAAGATCCGATCAAAACATTTCAGAGGCTCGCGCTCGTTTCGACTTGCAATCTCGCCAGTGCAAGTCGTTTTTCTCGGTCCAGACAAAAGGGATGTGGATGTGGCTGCCAAGTGTGGATTCTGATATCAAGATGCAGGGTGGGGAGGCCTTCGAGTCGGTCCGCGACTTGGAGGATCGATTCGATGTATAATCAAAGTTTGTAAACAGTCTTGTTCAGGAGGCACTTCACAGGGGAGAAACAGAGAGCAATGATTGAGTTGTAAAAATTTGAAAGTCATAACAATTCGGGTATGTACATTATAAAATCTCAGTGAGAATAAACCTCCCGATTACGTTCAGAAATTGCAAGAGAGGAAGATACGCCTTTTTGCCCACCCATACACCAATGCTATGCCAAAAGAGAGTTGGAACTTTTCGTGAAAAGACTTCCTGAAGCCTACACGTTGTTTACTTCTCCTCCTCAGCCTTGGAGGCGGTGCGCTCGACAGGGAAGTTGCCCTGCTCGGCGACACCAGAGGCGTAAGCATCCTCGGGAACCTTGGAACCATCCCACTTGGAGGAGGTGATGGGGTTGACGTGGAGGATGTACATGGTGTCAATCTCCTCGAGCGAACGATCCTTGGACTCGATGACGAAGAAGTAGACGATAGCGGCAAGACCAAGACAGCAGCCACCGAAGACGAGACCGAAGAACCAGTGGATGTCGTCGACGATAACGGTACTGAAAAGTGAAATGAGGAAGTTCCAGATCCAGTTCGAGGCAGTGGCAAGACCCATGCAGGTGGCACGGTAGCGGGCAGGGTACAGCTCAGCAACGACGGCCCAGACGAGGGGACCCCAGGTGGTGGCGAACGAGACAATGAACAAGCAGGTGAAGACGATGAGGACACTTCCGGCAGCCTGGTTGTTCTCCTTGGCGAAAGGAGGGAGCTTGAAGTAACCGACAAAGGCGTAGATCATGAAGCAGACGAAGGCCCAGAGAGCACCGACAATGAGAGCCTTGCGACGACCGCACTTGGCAACAACGTAGAGACCACCGAAGGTGCAGACAACGTTGACGGTACCGAGAATGATCTGGGTGACGTAGGAATCACTGAGACCAGTGGCTTGGAAGATGGTTGTTCCGTAGTAGAAGAAGAAGTTGGCACCGGTAAGCTGCTGACCAGCCTGGAGAGTCATACCGAGGATAGTACGGTAGGCCATACGGGGACCAGTGAAGCACTCGTACCACTTGGCACCGACAGCGGCGTTCTCCTCATCGAGCTTGACACGGATGTCGTTGATCTGGTCGTTTACCTCCTTGTGGTCGGCATCGATACCGGCGTAGCGGGCGATGGTGTTGCGAGCCTCGTCCTCACGACCGACACGGTAGGCATAACGAGGGGACTCGGGAAGGAAGAGGATACCGACACCAAGGATGAAGGCCCAGAGGAAGGAGATACCCTCGGGAATTCTCCACTGGGCGCTGTTGGAGTAGGCGTCGTGGGTACCAAAGTCGATCATGTACGAAGTCCAGATACCGAGGGTGACGAAGAGCTGGTAGCAAGCGATGAGGACACCACGGATGACACGAGGAGCAGACTCTCCCTGGTACATGGGGACGACGACAGAGAGAGCACCGATACCGATACCGTCGACGAAACGGCCGGCAGCGAACTGACCCCAAGAGCTCATGGAGGAGATCTCGATGATGACACCGATGGCAGTCCAGAAGGCGAAGAGAGAGATACAGAGCTTGCGGCCAATGACATCGGCAAGTCTACCAGCGATGAGAGAACCGACAGCGGCACCACCGCAGAGAAGAGCGGTGATAGCACCTTGACGGTAAGCAGTGAAGTAGTAAGTGCCATCGGCGTTTTGTTGACCGAAGCGGCGGAGGAAATCAGACATTTGCCAGTAACCTTGCAGGATGTTAGCAACTAGCTTCAGGAGCTCTATCAGACAGCGAAGACATACCAGAAATTTGACCAGAAGCATAACCGAACATGAAACCACCGATGGAGGCAACAAGACCCATGAAGATGGCCATGAAGGTGACCTTACCAGCAGGGGCAGGAAGCTCGTGGTTGCCGGCGGTGGACTCGACCTGACCAGCGGTCATGGCCTCGGTCTCAGTACGCTTGGAGAAGAGACCCATGGTGAAGACGGGTTAAGATGTTTGACTGGTTGTTGATGGAAAGGAAGGAAGAATGAAACCAGAGATGGGCGAAGAGGAGGTCTTATGACAGCCAGGCGAGGTCTGCTGGGGAGATCGAGAGGAAAAATGAGGAGAATCGAGTTTATAAAGGATGGAGCAAATCAACGGGACGGTAATAGATCGGGGTTGCCCTGGAGTGCTCCGGATGCAAAGACGGCACTCAAGGCGGGCGTGGGCAGAGAGTCGGTTGGAAATGATGGAGCACGAGACACTTTGGGGTCTGTTGATGGAGGTTTGGTTTCGATGCTTCACGCCCTGCACGGAGGATATATATGGGTCTAGGGAAAGGTCGAGCCACTAGCTGGAATCATGCAGCCGAGCAGCGACGTCAAACCATGACCCCGGTCTGATGATGGCTCAGGTCAGCTGCAAGCCAACAGCTTGGGGCCCAGAGCTGGACGAGAAGCTCTCGGGACGAAGCTATGAGCAAAATTTTGCTTTGCGTGCCGAAGACCGACTGAACCATCACGAATCGGAAGCGGAAGTGGCAGCCAAACATCTCGCTCAAACGCCCAGCTAAGGTGCATCAGCCCATCCAAGATGACGTCGAATTCGAGAGCTAGTTGGACACCCAAGCAACGGCAAGACGAGAGAGATTTTTCTTGCTTGGAGATGGAGAGTTAGGCTGGGGCCCATTTTGGGGTTTGATTGCTCCAGGATCATGAGCACTCGCTTCGCAAGTTAGTGGGAGCGAGTCTGGGACAGCTCTGGGGCCTGATGCGAGCTTGCAAGAGCGTGATGTGGGTCATGGAAGGCGGCCAGAAAATGCATCGAAGAACGTCTTGCCAAGCTGCAAAGAAAGGGCCGTCGGAAAGGCAATATCGGCCCTTTGATCTTTACTCGGCCCGTCTCGCAGCTTCCGAAGCCTCTTCTCAAGCCACCCGTAAAAGTCTTTTTCAACGTCTGTCGAGGGTCGGATGACGTTGATTTCGAGATCTGGATGTCAACACTACACGACTCGACATTTGAGATCTGATCACGTCCGAAAAGACGGTGGTTTTGGGGGCTTGAAGTCGCTATCACGATGTCCGTCGCCTCTCGCTAGAATCCCAATTGCCTTGCGGACCGTAAAACATCTGACCGACCGGCGAAGGACCGACCTCGGTGAGCGTACAAAGTAGGCAGTGGTCTTACTTCGGTTTTGCTCCGTTCAACAGGTTCTTCTTCGGAGCATGTTGGGAAGAAGACGAGATTTTACACACGGGTAGCCAATAGCATATGGCCGGCAAATTGGAGACGGGTATTGGAGACATGTCAAACACGCTTCGACATGCGTTTGCTCACGAATTGAGCCATGTAACCTGATGATCATCCCCCGAGACGTGCAGCCACGCGTAGACGATTGTACCTGTGTCAGCGCACCAGCGACCCACAGTTGCAGTTCGAGGTGGGATGAAAATTGAGGGTGGTGAGAGACGTTACGGGGGTAATGTGGTGGAAGTGCGGATGGCGCGGAGTGTGGTGGTGGGTGGTCGGCCTGCTGTATGCGTGTGGTATAAGCGGGTGGAGTAGGAGTACAGTGGGGATGCAGCGGCGTATGGAGCAAAGCTGAGTAGGCGGAAATTCATGGCACGTCAGCGTGTGAGATGGTGTGATGGTCGGCATATCAGACGCTGTGATACACTGCTTCGTACACCTGGTATCTGAAGAGGCAGACCAGACTCTCCGTGTGCTCAAGCCTGCGATTCTCACACTCGCCCCACGAGATTGAAGTGATTCTTTCACTGTTGAAAGACATGATGGTTTACAGACTAGACACATGTGTCCAAAGACAGCTGACGAAACATTGCTTTTAGAAAGAGACTATACTGTTTATCGAACTACTGTACATACCTACAGCTAGGCTTGCCACAAAGACTTGCGCATCGAGTAGAAGGGTTCTCTTGTACTGTTGTGAGATAGAGACGACAGAAGGCAGCAGATTGCGATGGGCCGAGGCATGATCTTATCCGATAAGGCGGATCTATCCGACGACGCCTGGATCAATCAGCAGCGCGTAACTTGGACTCTGTCGCAGACCTGTAGCTGCGCGTCGACAAGTTTCACCAACACACCGTCATCGCCATGGCAGAGTCACAGTCGCCTGCGCCGACGGGTGAAGCCCATCGTCTGGTCATGCAGGAGAATGCGCCGGCAATCTCATCGCCGCTCAACCCCGAGGTCAGAGGACGTTCGCAGCGTGAGCGCAAAGAGACGGCCAAAAAGCGAGAGGCTACACGCGGTACCACGCCTACTGTGCCAGCTAAACGCAAGTCAACAGCCATGTCGAGCAATCGTCCTGCCTCTGCCCAGTCTGCCCCGTCACCTATGCGCTTCCAGATCCCTCAGCCTAAAACCTCAGACTACGACCCTCCCAAGCCACCAGTCTTTACCTCGCACGAACCCCTGCCATACACTACTCCGGACGGAAAGACGGAGCTCAAGAAGGTGACGGACCAGGCTGAAAACAAGCGTGGTTATCGCTACACCTTGGCAGTCGCCGACCCCAACTTTAGACACAAGCAGTTCTATCGCCAATCTGACGGTCTGCCTTACGGAGCCCGCATGTCGTTCGAGGATGCCGACCGCTCCATCCACTACGATACCAGTGGCCACTTTGTGACCAATGCCAAAGGATGGCGCATGGCGAGAGCCAACGTCTGCGCGCGCGAAGGATCCCTGTACTACGAAGTGCGCGTCGTGCGCGGGGAGCCCAAGGTCCACTCTGAGAATGGCGCTGCACTAAAAGGACAAGAACCCCATGTGCGTATCGGCTGGGCTCGTCGAGAGGCCCCACTGGACGCGCCCGTCGGCTTTGACGGCTACAGCTACGGTATTCGCGACAAGAACTTCGAGCCCATGCACCGCAGCAGACCTTCCAAGCTCTTCCACCCGCGCACATCAAAGTCCAAGCCCAACACTCCCATCGACGTCAATGACAGCATCCGAGAAGGCGATGTCGTTGGTCTCGAGATCACTCTTCCCTCCCTGTCGCTGCACCACAAGGTCGTCGAAGGTCAGTACAATCCTGCCGTCGATCTTGGAGATGGCTTTGAAGACTATCCACCACGTCCTGACCCGTCGATCGAACCTCACCATATCATTCGTGACCGCATTCCTGTCCCCTACAAGGGAAACAACTATTTTGAGACAATGGACTATGTCTCAACAAAGCCAGTCGAGGCCTATGCGGACCGCACTCTGTCCTTGACAAATCTGTCTACCCCTGCCCCTGGAGCACCAACCTCCATCAAATCGCAACCCAACCCGCACCACTCGGATCAACCTCTTCGCACCTTGCCACACAGCAACATCCGCGTCTACAAAAATGGTCACTTGATCGGCACTGCCTTTGAGAATCTTTTGTCATTCCTACCACCCGCTAGTCAGGTTAGCAAGGCTCAGGGTGCGCGCGAAGGGTTTGACGATGGCATGCTCGGCTACTACCCTGCCATCGCCTGCTTGAATGGCGGTATTGCCGAGCTCAACTTTGGCGAAGACAAATTCTGGTTTCCACCAGCTCACCTGAAACCTGCTCCCAATATTCTCGACACTTCCGACTCCGACCAAAGGTATTACTGCGGTCGCAACCTCCGCCCCTTGTCTGAGAGGTATACCGAACAGATCGCCGAAGACATGGTCTGGGACGTGCTCGATGAAGTCGATCTCTTCGCCCAAGACGGTGGTTTCGAAGGCAAGGTTGGCGTCGGCGCACATGCCGTCAAGAAGGGTGTTGCCAGCTTAAAGGAAGAGATGGACTAGGAGCCTACTCGACCACCAGATTGCCGCTCTTCGCACCATTCCATTACCAAAACCCCTCTCCGCCAGGTCATGTTGCCAGAGTCTTCGATGCCTCAGTCGGCCATGAGTTCCCAGACGCCTGTAATCTCCCAGACGCCCTCTCCTCCACAGTATTCGCCTTTGACAAATCCTTCGCCAAACGAAGTTCCTGTTGTGACTCGTGCCTCGCCCACAAAGGAGCCAGAGCTTCGTTAGCGTCGAGCTGATGAGGCAGCTGCTTCCTCAAACGTATCGTCATTGGAGGGTTTGTATCTGCCTACACCAAAGTTTCAGGAAGTCGAAAGTAGAAAGAGATGGAGAAGAAGAGCATCCGAACTCGGGGGGGGATGAGACGCGTTTTGACAATTCGAGGTCCTGGTCAGCAATCATCAGAGCTTCTTGCCCTCGTGCTCAGTACATGTTGGCTTGATTTGCAGAGATCAGGGACCGTCAGTCGATCTCTGGCATTGCTCATCGTGCTCAGCAGAAGAGATTCATGACGGAGGAATATGACAAAAGTTCACAGTAGCTCAAAATAGCAGTATTACCTGAGTTGGGCCAAGCTACAGCCTGTTCTTACTATCTCCTCTGCTATGTGCTATCTATCATAATGATGTCGTTGTCGAAATGTGGTGTCAGGATTGAGGACGGGGTGACTTTCTCCTTTGCGCATGACGACCAGGGTCGTACCACCAGCATTCAATTCAACCATCTTTCTCACAATGGGTGTTCCGAATGCGAATATCGGGGATAAGATGTCTCATTGATACATCACCACTCATTCTCAATGTTGTCCAGTTGTGTAAAATATGATGAGATGTGGTGTAGGCGTGTAGAAGCTTTTCAATCGCTTTGAGCATCGAACGAACCATAAGAAATCTTTTGAATACCATTATTCTACCTAGGACACACACTTTTGCGTAGGCTGTATGCATGATGATCATGTGTCATAACATATAGCGTTCAATCATCAATACTCGTCAATCGTTGATCCGATCTTCGTCCTCGTTTTACCTAATAACCCTCGATCTTGCCCTCCCACTGCGGCCTACCATTTCTCCATGCCGAGAATTCAATCTCTCCTGGCATCTCTTCACCGTTTGCGAGCTTCAGACGTGGGAACGAGTCTTGAGCCCAAACATATGCGCGACCGTCTTCGGCGACGGCACCGTGGTTTTGCGGGTTGACAAAGGCATCTGGATCGTTGGGGTCGCGGAAGTCGGGGCCAGTATCTGTACGAGGTGAGCCATTGAACCACCGTACGAGGTCACCTGCGTAGCCGAGAGCGCGGTCGAGTAACCCACGATTTTCAGTTTGATCCTCCTGTCCATCTCCCTCTTCGTTGGCCACGGCATCATCATGAGATTCTTCCTTTGCTGCTTCCAGACAATTTTCACTGATTCTCTTTGCCTTGTCCTCGTTCACGAGAACTAGAGAACCAGAATGCCAGCCAGCTGCTGTGATATTGAGCGCAAAGTATGTGCCAAGAGCATCACTGCTTTGTGCGTTGTCTGTTTCTCCGAACTTCTGCTCCCAAGCATTGCCTTCTTGCTCGACCCATTCGCTGACCTCGCCTTGGACGTTGAGCTCAGAAAGCATACGCATGCGCTCTCTAGCCTCCTCGGGATCTCGGCCACCACTTGTAAGGAACGTGATCCATTTCTGCTTTTCCTTCTCAAACCAGACCCTCCGGCCGTGCAGGCTGGCATGAGGGACCAGACGTCCATCACCACCGATGCCTTGGTAGCGAAGTCCGCGGATTCGGCCTTCAGGATCCCCATGACCGCCGAGTCCGAGACTACCACAGCTCTTGGGCTCAGTGCCATATGATGTGATGTAACCGGGCGCGTGCAAAGCGTGGAAGTGATAATCTCCGAAAGCCATCGAAATGACCTGAGTCTGTTGAAGAGCATGGATACGATCGAGAGGCTTCACAGTATCCTGGTGAAGAGGATGGAAGAGATGTTGCAGATGGTCGTCTTGGTTGCCCGTGTATACAGTGCCATCGCTGGTGAAGATTGCGAAAGATCGGAAAGATCCTTGGACGTCTGTGGCAAATTTTGTCTCACCTTCCGTCCCAAGCTGCAGCTCTCTGACACCGTCCAGTGCCTTGCTCTGTGCGTCCCAGACGATCCTTGCTACGTAAACTTTGCCGAGATGCGTATTGAACACAATGTAGTGCTCGAGGCAGATGAAGTTGAGTACCTCTCCAATCGTGATGCCTGCAGAAGATGGCTCGAATGTTGTGGCATGTCTTTGGAAATCAGTACCAGGACAGATTGCGGTCTCCATAACAAGTACAGCATCTTCTTCTCCTGCTGGCTGTCGGGGACTGCGAGCCAGGGGATGCCAGACAACAATTCCAGTGCCAACTATAAGGGCAGCGCTTTTTGCCCAGCCCGCGACGACTTTCTTGACATAACCTCGGGCTGATGGACTGACGCCCTCTCTGACCATCGTGTCAACATCCAAGAATTTGACTTGAAGTGCAGGCAAGTTGATGTGACTCCAAGACCATATGTAGCCAGAATCTGATAGAGCGAGCACGTGGCCACGCCCGGCAGAGAATTGTTTTATGGCAGATGCTGGTTCGTAACGTTCACTTGGATGAGGGAGTCCTGCAGGATAGCGAAGTCTTTCAGGCATTGACTTGGCAGGTTGACTAGCAACAAACCCGTCCATGACGCCAACACTGTACAAGCCACCCTTGGAGGTTAGAAAATTCGTGCTCCAGCCACCGCATTGCATGTCGGCGATGATGCCCAGCTGCTTCATGTTCTCCATTTCTGTTGGCCAAGACACGTGCTGACGAGCCCTTAGAATAGGCCTGCGGCGTCCAGCGGGTCCAATTCCACCACGTCCGAAAGGAGATCCCATGTGCTGCTCATGGCCGTGACCGAGGCACATTCTGTCGTTGTTGCCCCAGGTGAAGCAACGGGACTCAGTCAATAGCCTTCGGTACATCTTCTGCCATCTCAGACCATCGTTTTCAACCACCGGTTGGTTCGGCACACGAAAGGTCTGGCGCGCAGCTGAGCTCCAATACGGAGCATGTTGAGCAAGATCAGGTTGATGCAGTGCAGTGCAAGTTGAGGTGAGGGACACAAAGCTGGTAACGTCGAGGTAGGGCAAGATCAGATAAATGATATCTACTGGGAGGTCCAGCAACTGTGTCGGTTCAGACATGATGATGATGTTTGGTACCGATGCTGTGTGAGGTCCAGACAGAGTTGACCATTCAAGGCAGGGTGAGGGAGTGGCAGCAGCACAGCCTCAAGCTTGGACCACGTCTCTTTGCGTAAAGGCACGTCACGCGGGTCGTGGGAATGCAGAGTCGCTTCATTAGACAGGAAGCATTCATCGAGACTGCTGATTCCAGAGTCTCTCTGTGAACTTCCATGTCATTCATCTGGAAAGCATTGTGCAATCCGACAGCTTCAATTATGCTTATGTGCTGCTGCGAGAGCCATAGATTCTACCAATGAGCAGAGTCTCACGGGTCCACCTCAGCGAGACCTGATAGTTCTCCAGAGCGACCCTGAACTTCGATAGGCCTTTCAGGCAACTACGCCTGAAATATGTATACATGTCACAACCACAGGTAGGCAGCCATGCTGGTATCGTTACTAACATGTCTCGACTATGCTGGCTCGGCGCGCGGGCCGAAGACGTTTGAGTAATGCTTGGCAACAATTATTCCCGGCATGCCTTCCCAGCGAGCTGTAGAGAGGCTCAAGACTACGAACACAATCACGAATATTGTAAGATACAGTGCCAGAGTGCGCTCACAGCCTGTTCGCTCTCAGAAGTGTACACGTCTCTTGGTGTACAGCCTCTTGCAAGCAACTCCACAGGTCGTTCATGGGCTGTGCATCCAGAGTCCCTCAATCTCTCTCAGCACTGCTCGGGCTGAGTCGTTCAGGCTTGTGCCAAGACGGATTCTTCGAACCACAGTCATGGACTGAGCACAACTTTATAAGCAACGCGTGCCTCCGTGTCTAATGCCAGCAGAAGCCATTGAAGACAGTCAGAATGAGCGGATACTTACCGGAAAATATAAACATCGTTGTGGACAGCGTCCCTCGAGGGACTCTTGGCACATTCGTACCAGGACAGACCATCTCGGGCAAGGTCATTTACACTCCTCGAGCTCAAGTCGACATTGATCACATCATCATAATCTGTAAAGGGGTCTGCTTCACAGAAATCACGGAACGAAATGGCAATACCACAAGCCATTATCCCGAGAAAATCACATTATTCAGAAACTTGGAGACACTCTTCAGAGGTCCCCATACGATTCCGTCAGGGACCTACGAATGGCCTTTTCATTTTGAGCTGCCTGACCAAGCGGACTACAACCGTAAGAGTCGATCCAGAGACAACATGTATCAAACAGGGTTACAAGGATTACCTCCGTCCTTCAAACTAGACAGCAGTGACCCAAAAGCACGAGTCACCTATAAACTCAAAGTGAAAGTCAACCCAGGGAAGATCATACACAAGACTGAGCTTGCGAAAGAACTCCCTGTATGGCCTCTCTCCCTTGCTCCTTTGAAGCCGCCGGTACCGCTGCACAAGTACAGTGAAGGCAATGGACGCTTCAAAAGCAAGTCTCTACGACCAACCCAGCACACATTCAAAGAGAAGATGAGGCATGCCTTTACCAGCGATTCTTCGTTGAAAACTCCAGAAATCAATATCGCGGTACAGTTCAAGATGCCTCGATGTGTCAGTGCAACTCAGTACTTGCCATTGGAGCTTTCTTGCAAATACACCAAGACCGGTCCGAACGATCCCGAATCTCCAGAGTTCGTTTCTCATGGCTGCACTTTCTCCCTCAAGACATACGTGAAGGTCAGAGCGAATGGAACGTTTAGCGATCACTACGACAGCGACAAAGAGACAGTTGTCAGCCATACAATACATGGCAACAACACCTTGCTACCACTCGACGGCACTTTCATCCCTATCTCGGAGCCCATTCGTTTAGCAGACATGCAACGACATGTCCATTGTCTTGTTCCAAACTTCAAAACCTGGACGATTTCGATGGATTACAAGATGATTGTGAAATCACGTATCCGTCATGTTCAGACTGGCCATGTCTGGAAATTCGAGAACAAGTTTCCGTTTGAGATACTGCCAGGAGAAGTGGCAATGCCCGCATACAGCGGACAGCAGTCATCAGTGGTCGAAGCTGGACCATCTGCACTCTACCCACCACAACTCCGAAGCCAGGAGCAAGCATCGTCAAGCTCTACGGCTCCGCCAGAGTTCCGCGATGATCTGGCACCACCGTCGTACAACTCCGGCTACATCTGGAAGACTGGTCCTGAAGCTGAGAAGGTGTATTGATTGAGCAGATGATAGCCTTGGGAGTAATCTCGAAATGATGTTGTACGTTTGGGTTCATGTTTGTCCTTTGTTTTCTCCTTGCGCTCGCGATACCCTTAGCATGCGATAAAGGTAGGCCTGTTAAGAGAGATGTTGAGCAGTATGCAACAATAACACTTTTCGTTGGAAAGGATACGATGACACTTGAAGCTGTATTTGAACATATATAGCTCGGCAAATTTGACCATTTGCGAGCCGTGACATCAAGACTAAGGGTCGAGAGTGTCTGGGTAAGGTGAATCGTGAGATCAGATCGGATCTGGAAATAAACAATCTAGATCTTGTCATCCGCCGCCGAGGTGCATTGACCGCTGTGCATGTCCGTCCGTTATTGTTGTCATTGGTGCTCTGAGATCTATGTTGAGTGATCTACATAACATACCCTGATTCCACACGCAAGAGATCAGTAATCCTGCTGCGAAACAAGTCATGCAGACACTCTCATCTTGATTTATCGAGGGGATCAAGCACAAAATAAAGAGTGTCGACCGGCCTCTTGGAGCCAACGAAACGCTTTCGCAATTCTGACGCCTGCCCGGAGGCTGCGGCCGCCCCCGAATACCAATCCTGAAAATCAGCTGGTAAAAATGACGAGAGCTTTTGCGCGGTAAAAATCGACTTAGCGCTGTCAAACACTCTCACCATCACAACCCTTTGACACGGCAAAGAACCCTTCGGAACTCCTCTTTCTAATACTGTTTTTTTTTTATCATTCTTCGACCTTCGCCTTTCCAACTGGATCTTCGAGGGACTCGGAGAGCTGTGATCCCTCTGACGTTAGATTGATTGCTGACGATGCTCAAAGGTCGAAGAGCGGTCGCGGCGGCAACGACCTAAATCATCAGGGTTTTGGTAAACATCACTAGTTAACTCGCGCGAGGCGAGTAGAAAAAGAAAACCACACGACTCCGACGATATCCGGGCATTAAATCACCCACTGTCCTGCTGCAATATGAGCGCAGCGACGCCGCCATACTAAACAGCTCAAATCCACGGCAGCCCGAGTCCGTCCTTGTAGGACCTTGACGACTGTTAAACGCCGCCTCTCTACATCAACTTTAGTCGGATACTTGCCTGACACTCCCGTCTCCGCCGTGGGTTGCCAGACGAAGCACACATAACTTCATCACATGTCGCTCATGGTGACAACCCCCTCTCTTTCGCTTCACGAGGATGTAACCGATGGCCACTCAAGCATTATCACAAGCACAGCTTTGTTCCACCTGGCACCGCCTCATCTTCATCATCCCACTCCAACCATACCATCAAAAACTTCGCCAGCATCGACGCCATCGCTCCCCACAATTATCGTTATCCTAGAGAAAGACTCCAGCAATATGCTCCCGGAAAGCCTCCAACAACATCCTGTCATCTGGCCTTCGAAGAAACTCGCTGGTCTCTTTCTCGACACGGTATGAGTTAACGAGGTTTGATTTTGATGTCGTCTTGTTACTTTGCAGACTAACATGTCTTTGAAAAGAGGTTCTGAGAAACTCGAACTAAATGTACAGAAGGAAAAGAAGATACCATGGCCGTCCCATTCGTGTGTGCTTTGTTCGCTAACCCCCAACGCTACCAACCCAGGAACATAATCCGGTCGAATTGACTCGGCGCAGAAAGAAAGAAAGGAAAGTTATGCTGCAACCCTTTACTGGATGTCAGTCTGGTTATTGTCTGGTCACATCCTTGAGCTCTGAGTCTGGCATGCTTGAGAACGTCGCCGCCGAAGCAGTTCTGCCGTCAGGCTCGCTCATCACGGGAGAGACCATCTCAACAGCAGACGATGACTGGAGATGACTGTGACTGAAAGAAGCCGAGCGACCGTTTGCAATGACTGGAGATGACGTTGAGCCATAGTTGGCGCCGAAAGCCATACTCTGGGCCTTCCTCAAGTTGTACTCTTGAATGGGATGGCAACTGCAGAATGTGTGTTGCAATGCTTGCGTACGCCAGTACGACAACTCATCGCGGAGGGACTTCTCGGTCTGCTTCAGCGCAGTGTTCATGGCACTTTGCGTACGGTATGTGTCCTCAAGACTGTCGGTATGCTCCTTCTTCTTGGCACGGCACTTTGCTGCAGCGACACGGTTCTTCTCTCGGTATTTATCCTTCTTGTCGCCGGCCACGCCATCGTCTGACGCCCGACTTTCTTTCCGACTTTTTTGTGACGATCTCACTGAAGGTCGTTTGTTGGACATGGAGCTACGAGGAGACATACTCGACGCATCGTCAACCTCGATACCGGAAGCCCCAGAGTCGGCTCTCTTGCTAGAGGAGTTGGACCGTCCATGCGTGTTGGCGTCTTCTGGGGGCGTCACCTGGCCGAATCGCTCCATAGAGGCACCATAGTTGTTGAGAAGTTTTTCTAAGCCGCCATCGAGCGCAGGTTGCGATACACCACCCCACATGTTTCCTGGGTTGACATTCATCTGATGGGACATGTTGTGGTCTCCGAACATGGGAGCTTGCTCCAGGGTGGTTGGACTGATTGGGTGGAAGTCGTATGTCGGTGGCATCGTGTTCAATTCGGTGTCTTGGGGTGAGGCCTGATCGAAATGGAAAAGATTCATATCAAGGGAGTTGTGGATAGGTGAGGGGGGTAGGCGACAAGGCTTGCGTATGGGTTGGTGGACGCGGATGCTGCAAGAACTTTGCTAAGGTGTGAAGCGTTGTAAAGACGCCAGCACCTTGAAGGAGCTACTGTGACGAGCACTTGGTTCTCAATTGAGAAGCAACACAAACAGAGTGTAACAGGTAAGCTTTGACACAATGTAGGTGAAGGGTGCAATAGCACACGTCGGCGCTGAGGTGTGTTGGTTGTTGACGATTGTGTTTCGAGTCTGACAGCTAGCGTTGCGAATCAAGGCAATTCGCGACAGAATTTGATGATGACCTTCGGCTGTTGACGGAAAAACAGATGGTGTGTTTTGGTTATAGAAAAGAAATTGGATTGAGCAGTAGAAGTAGGTCGATGACTGCGAAGAAGCGAAGAAGGAAGATGGGATTGTGCTGTGGCGAGAAGAAGTAGAGCCGCAAACGAAGGTAGGTTACGGAGCTGGGGGCGAGGATTGGAATGGCATGAGGCTCTGCGGAAACACCGTCACATAGCTGACCGATTCGGCGGGGTAGGCTAGCCGGAAGGAAAGAAACTGCGCTTTCCCCAATCATCGAGGTTTGACAACGTTGTTTCTCTTGCTTTCTCGCTCTGCATCGATCCCTGCGAACACACGGAGTTTACACCGCCACAACCATCGTTCAATACACCATCTGCCTCTTCACTTTGATCAATCTGCAGCACAGCAAAACAGCGAAACTCGGATTGCAAGACCGCGCGGAGGCGACGTCAGAGGTGACATAAGGCAGCTGCTAGCGACTTTGGCAGGCCGCGCTTCGTTGCGAAAGGAGCCGCATCATTTTTCACTTCTAACGCTAGGCGATCGCTCCATCACTCGATGCAACCGCGGCTCCAATCCTTCTTGGGTTGCAGCATCAGCCCAAAGCCCAATCACCATTTCTCGGTGACCCGCATCAACCTCATTCATGCACGTCCTTGCACTGTCGATCGTTCATTTTTCTTCGCTCCCATAGCTTTTCGCTTCAGCATCATTCGGAGCAGCAACCGCGCTACATACATAACAGTGGGGAAGAGCGGGGCCACAGAGCCGCCGTCATTCGACATGAACCGCCTTGCCCGTCACTCGTGTTCATCGGCGGCCCAACCACGAGTTCGTGAGGACTGCCTATCGGATGCCAGGCCGTACAACTACTCTGTACATGTCGATGAAAGCGCATGGTGCGGACCTGCTTCTGCAGGAGCCTCACTCCGTCTCCGTCACCAAGCAAAACATTTACTTTCTCTTCCCCTCCCATCTTGGCTCCTCCCGCAACATGCCAAACTCTGAATATGCCGCTTAGACGTTCAGTCAACAAGACATCTCCAGGCCCCAGTTGGTCGTTCGTGTTCAGCCTCTTCGCATACCATGGCAAAGACATGCACCGCAGACTCGATTGAAGCGGCGATTTCCGTCATCGATCGATGCAGCAAACCTGGACATTGCAGCTCTGTCCTCCCTGATTGGGCAGGCTGGGCAGCCATCTCTCTTCCCCACGTTTCGCGTGTGCGGCTCGACCTTCCCCTTTGTCCACAGCAAACTTGCCTTTAAATTCCTAAGGCCGTCTAGTTGCATACCGCACGATGCCATGTGTTGGGTTTGCGATAACAAGAAAGGCATACTTGCGAAACACATATGCATGGGGTGACTCAACCCATCGGACATTTCGGCACAGCGATCGGATGTCTTGCAACGCTTGAGCGGTTGACGCGCTGCACACAACAGGCCAACTCCTTGCTGTTCACCCTTTCGCGTGTCAGCCTCGATCCCTAAACCTAGGACACACTTCGGGGTCGAGTCCGAAAAAACGCATATCACGGATCTTCGTGACTTAGGTTTGCTGCCGATTGACAGCTTGCAAACGCCGAACAAGGGTGGTGTAACCACACGCAATCAGAGAATGATGATGCGCCATCGGAACCTGGAAGAACTCGCGTCGATTCATTCATCATAACAACGTACGCCCAGTGCATCCCCATCACTCCTGCGCTGAGGGTTCACCGTTCTAGGACGACTGACGCCGATTCAACTCCTAACTCCGACCCAGCCTCAATCTCTACAGGCACTCCTTTGATAAGCAACAATCCCTCTTCCAGCCGCCGATCGCAGACTTCATGCCATACATCGAACGATCATGCACGGTGGTTTCTATTCTGCTATCAGACCCAGTAGACTCCGACGAGTTATCCTAGAATCCGTTGTTATCCATGTAGTAAGGATATTCCTGGTAGACTGGCCATGGCCATTCTAAAGCAAGGTCTGTTGGGATCTGAATAGCGTTGCCATGGCCATTGCCATTGCCATTGATCTCTGGCATAGTTGGTTGCAAACCCATCGACATTGTTGGTGGCGCGGCCGTAGATTGCGGTAGGTGTTGTTGCGGGTGCTGTTGTGGTATCGGATGAGTATTATTCCTTTGGGAATGCATGTAATGATCAATTTTTTCGACCTGAGCCAACAACCCTTGACTCGCTCCAGCAGAACGATGCAGATTAGATTCCAACCCGTCCAGCAGTGTCGCCAGTGCCACCAGCGAAACTCGTACACGTTGATAGTCTTTCTGGTATAAGGGGTGCTCGAAGACAGAACCAAGAACACCGCCAAGGCTTCCCAGTTGGTAGATCATGGGGGTGCTTATGGCTCTCAGATAGAATGGGGGAATGGCTCTGAAGACGGTCAGGACTTCATCGGCCACATCACACTTTCTTTCGACACTGGGACCGTCTTCTGTAGAAAACAGCATCATACGAAGCAGTTGAAGTGTTGCCTGAATATTGGCAGCTTGAAAGGCATAGGTGTCCTGGGTTGTGTCGCCAGTCATGTGAGGGGTGGCCTTGAATTGTGGTGGTAAAGCGTAGTACATGTTGAGCATAGTCGCCATGACGCTCTTTTCGGAAAAAGCGTCGCCAAAGACGAGACTGTCGACACTGCGACGATCGTCATGGCTAAAGCGCTTGGCTCGAGATTTGTTGACGACGTGTTCCAGGACGCGGTAAAGATCGATGGTGAAATTCCACCCCACGAGCCAACTCACACGATGTTGGCCAGCCGGGACTTCGATTTTGGTGCTGGCAACGGTCCCCTCGTCGAGTTCGTTGGGATATCGCACGTTCAAGTGCACCTCTTGTGTGCGTATGAAACAGTTCCAGACGACAGCGGTGAAGACCTCCAACGTATAGGAACCCCAATACACGCGTCTGTATGTTTCTTTCTCGGACTCTTCTAAGCCGCTGGGCCAATATTTCTCATCATAAAAGCGTTGCATCGAGATAAGAGTGCTGCCGATGCCAGAGTACTGTTGAACATCGAGGGATTGACCGTATTGGATGCTGGTCAGCGAGAGGAGCGTACAAGCTCTGACAAAGTCAAAACCACGAAGCTTGTCGAGATCGGATGTGAAGACGGATTTGGCAGCAGTAAAGAAGACTTCGGACGATGCTGCGGGTTTTCTGACCGCTTCAGATATTCTCGATGGTTCGGCTCCGTCGCGGATACGTGCCGATGCCAGAGCACACATGGCCATGATTGAAGAGAAGAAGCCTGTGATGAAAACCTCATGGTCAGAACGAGGGGAGCAGAAATGCCACATATTGCAACAAACCTTTGTCAGTCAAGTGTTGCCTATTCTTGATTTTGGCCCTGTCCGAGGCCTCGTTGAAGAATGGATATAGAGGATAGACGACTTCCATGTAGGCATCGAGAAGATCCAGGATGACGGACTCGCTCGAGAGAGCAAATACCTTCCATGGTAGATCGAGTTCGGCTGAGTCGCGAGAGGTGACCAGAGCAGGCACAAAGGGGAAGTCGTTGGCCTTACTTAGCGAGTCGTTCCGAGTCGAATTGGAACTGGGTGCTGCTGCTGAAGCCGGCACACTGTCCGAGGTCAGTGTGTTTGTTGGTAGAGAAGAACGCGCCGAAGGTTGCGAGGGCTGAGCGGGCGCCACGGGTGCTTGGGGATGTTTTCTGCGCTTAGAGGGGCGGTCATATGTGCAGGCGACATCGAAGTCGTAGCAGTTCTGGCAACGATCATTGTCTTCATTGCTAGGCCTGCAGCGAATACTGCGGCGGTGGCAGAGGTCGCATGCTTGTGAAATGCGCTGCAACTTTCGCGGACGATCTTGTTGCATCGGAAGCGGCGTTTGCGGTTGCAAGGCAATGGCAGGCTTCCTACCTAAGAATCATATAACGAGCACCAGCAGCATCAACAAACAACAGCAGCTTGAATGGTTTGAAGGAATCGAGTATCGCGTGCGGTGTTTTGTTTGGTCTTTGGATTGGGTTTGGAAGGACCGCTGCTGCTCCTGCCTAGTCTGCCTACAAGGCTCGCTGCAGAGGTAAACTTAAATGTGGGTTGCGACAAGACCGCCACCGCGAGCGTCCATCGCACCTTCTTCACCCACCATCGAGATTCGAACTGGCCCAGATGGGTCCAGCATGGTACATAGTTACTGGTCATACCACTCATCGTCCCTTACCAAAACCACGTCCCCAAATCTTGCGCCAATCGCACCATCTCGATTCTTGCATCAACCATCAACATACTCCGTGCCCCAGCCTGTCTGTTCTCCATTTCACTGTCCAACGCCAATCGCTGTCGTGGCAGATGTAACTAGTTGACCTCGCTTTAAACTTCCACTAGCTCCATGCCAGCCAACCTCTGCTCCTTCAGAACCACTTTCGCCAGCTTATCCAAGTCTCGGCATCAGGTGTTCGTTACGTCAATTGCATCCTCGTAGACCTGACTCTATATCCCCAACATCGACAATCTTGGAGGGTTGAATACGCTGGCCCACGCAAATCGTCCAGAATCTGCTCCACCTCTCTCGACGCTTTGCTACAGATACAGGAAACACAACGGGCCCGGTCAGCACACCTGCTGCTCCACCGCCCACTCATTCTCGCGCCGTCTCTGCAGGAAATACATGCATGTGCCTATGAAGATACCACAAGCTGACACGAGGGTGTGCTATGCACCATTCGAACAAAGACACTACGCACGTAGCAGCTTGATCATTCATACATCTGTCACATTACAGATCGAGCTTGCTAGATGTACGACATCACTACTTTAGTGAACAACCACCAGCATGTCCTTTTGTTCACAAAAGTGAGCAACCAGATCACACCTGACCTGCTTGTAAACATGCTTTGGCGAGATGTATGTCGATCACGAAGATTCGGCGAGTGAACATGTTTGTCAGAATGCTTGATAATCCGCATGCATGAACAACGGTTCATCTGGGCAAGATTGTCCTCTCCAGATCTCCGAGAAGGATGAATAACAGGGTTCGTTATTGCAGGCGCCTTCACCGTCTTTCTGGCTCAAAATGGCTTGCCCAGTCTTGCTTGCTCTCCTTCGATCGACGCGACGTACGCTCTACGTGACGATCTTGTCCTCTGCCCTACGGATCAACTCTTCATACACCGTCCATGCCAATGCAGAGCTAATGGCTTTCCTGGCCATTCTGATGCCTAGTCCATCGAATAGACACATAGCACCTTCTTCGGTAATCATCTTTTTCGCGGCGCTGATTGCATTCTTGTATCTCTCAGGCTGCAGCTGCAACCTTGTCTTGACGGCGTCGAAGGGGTTTGTGACAGCCGTCGCCGTGGCGGCAGCTAGGACTCCAGAACCAAAGTTCGCAAGCGGTGCAGCGATGTTCAAATGGCCGAACAACGAGACCTTGCTTTGTTCGTAGAAAAGAACGTAGAGACCAGCATACGGAGCATCCCTGATAGCCGTTGCCCCAAAGCCCGCAAAGAATCCTTTTGCTCCGGTTGTCTTGAAAATATCTTTTGCGGCTGAGGCTAACGAGGTATAGGCGTACAGACTGCTCTCGTACCTCACCTTCAGAACCGTGACTGGACTCATGACGAAGCCAGCCAATGCTCTTGCAGCAGCGCCTGTAGCCAGATTCGCAGTATTACTGAGACGTGTTTTTGACTTTCCATCCGCGCCTAATGTCGTCGTTGATGTCGCCCGTCGCAATTGGTTCAGCATGCCAAAGTACAAAGCCGAGCCTGCGCCTGTTCGGATGACTGAGGGTGTGGTGCCGCGCCATAGTGATCGTATCGGTGAGGGGCCAGCGAGGATGTTCTTGAGTGCGACTGAGAGTGATGCGCCGGAGGATTGTTGGACGCGAGTTTTGAGGAGGTCGGCGGGTTGCAGGAGGAAAGCGCTCGTCACGCCGGAGCCCAAGCCGGCTGCGAAGTGGAATGCTATGGGTTCACATCAGTCTCTGTATGCAAGTGAAGTACAGTCCGTGTAACAGGTAAAGGTGACAGATTCGAAGCTTACCCGCCGACGACTTGTGTTTCTGGCCGCCATTTGTCATGTCCTTGTCTTGATATATACAATTCTGAAAATAAAGAATGATTCCGAGAGATTCCTTCAAGGCGTCGAGTACATGTTTGTAACTGTTCGAGTGAATGCGTCGCTTGTTAGAGCTATGGTATGGATGGACTCGTCAGAAAGTGAGATGGCTTCTGGACAAAGTTAACGTCATTGACTCGGTTGTTCCTTCCGAGGTCCCGAGCTGTTTGCTTCAAGCATGACTCGGACTTTAGTCCGTCTAGATCAATACCATCAGATCGAAATAATTGCCAAGTCAGATTGTGAGGACGAGGACTTGAGACATTGAGATAAAACTGAATACATCAAAAGCGTAAATGTATAATACAGGAGTAGTTGCATGAAAATGCTTAAAGTACACGAGGATATTCTCCTTTGACCGGAAAGAAGGTTCGACAGGTCCCTGAGACGACAACGCTTTTTTAGTATGGGAGAGTGTGGACCAGAGAGAACGCCGTGACAAAGAGCTCATACAAGAAGACTCGATCCAAGGGGAAATGCAGAAAGTGGTGTCTTGCGGAAAACATGAAGAGTAGAGGTTATGAGCTTAGATGTACTCTCTTGCGCTCTTTTGGAGTTCAATCAGTCTCCATCCGCGAGTTTCGGGGTTGTGTACGTCCTCGGGAAGTCTGGTCACTCCGATGGCGTATGTGACTTGTTGGACCTTGTCTTCCATACCAGAAGCCAGTTGGCCAGTCTTCTTGTTCTTGTAGACGTGCACCTCCTGAGTACGGCACATGATGACAAAGACGGGAATGTCACCAGGCTCAAGCAGGCGTGCGTTGAGTACGTCGACATTGCGGATATCCAGGATGCGACCATCGGATACGAGACCATGCTGGGTGTATTGTTGCATCAGAGCGGCGTAGACCTGGTATTGTGCTGCGCTCAACCACTGCTTGAGTACCTCGGTATCGCCCTTGACGTAGGCGTCAAGGACTTCAGGAAGAATGTACTCGCGCATCTCTTGCAACCAAGGCTCCATTTGGAAGCTGGGATCCATTTCGCGGAACTTCTTGATGACCTTGGCTGTCTCGTTCTCGGCGAAGAAGCCAGCCACGCGGTCGCTGATACTGCGGGCAGTAGAAATCAGAGGGTTTTCGGACTCGGCGTAGGTGTTCTTGAAAGCGAAGAGGCGTTGCATCGTCTTACTGCTGTCGCGGAACTCGCGCCATGATTCTTTCCAGGCTGCATCCTTGTGAACGGTCACGTTGACTCCAGCACTGCAACAATGTGTTAGTATGAATAAAAGATGTAGGCACGGACGGCACTCACTCGGGATCCTCGACCAAGGGCTCGCCTGAAGGTCTGCGACCCTCGGCGATGTCTTTAGCTTCTCTTGCTTCTCTGCGCTTTCTACGCTCCTCCTTCTCGACCCAACCACCGTAGCGCATAGAGCTACCGTCATCGATGACCTCCTTGACGTTCTTGAATGCTTCGGTCTCTCTAACAGGACGAGTGGCTTTCTCAAGACCCGAACCGACTGCGCCAGCACCGTATCTGATGCCCTTGACGACGTTGGTGTCCCATGTCCAGGCAGCACTCTTGCCAATGGCTCCAGCGGTAGTCTTGATTGTGCTTCCAGCAGCGGACGAAAGAGCACCGGTACTCTTCTCGTATGCGGCGCGAGCCTTTTGAACGTTGGGGTTCTCGGTGAAGTCGTGAATGCTACCAGACAATTGCTTGGTACCTTCGTTCCACTCCTTGCTCTCCTTGAACTCGGTTTGCAACGTCTCGGTGAAGACTTGCCATGGAGTCTTGTTACCGTGCTTTGGTGGTGGAGGCTTGTTGTCCTTCTTTTCCTTCTTCTCGGCACCCTCAGCTTCGCCTTCAGCAGCTTCGCCCTCGGCCTCGCCATCTTCTTTCTTCTCCTTCTTGGGTGCGTCCTGATCAGGGTCGGGAACATAGGCACCGGCGTCACGAGCGGCAGTAGCTTGGTAGATCCTCTCGGCCTCGCTCATGTGTTCCTCGGCCTTCTTTGCTTTTTGAGCAGGCTCAGACTTTGTTTCCGCATCTTTTGACTGCTTAGCGGCAGGCTCTGGCTTTGGCGTCTCTTCCTTGGGAGCAGAACCTTGAGCAGCGCGTTGACGCTTGCGCTCAGCCTGCATCTCCTTGAAAGAGACTGAGCGCACAAAGGTGGTGGCGACAGAGGCAGGGAGGAAAGGCGATGACAACCTTGACGGAGTAGAGGCGACTGAGGAGATCAAGGGCGAGTTTGCGGCATTGGAGCGGTTCAAGACATGTGTGGATATCCGGCGGTACGCAGCGGTGCGGCCGTGGAAGGCGGGCGCATTGCGGGCGACATTTGCGGAGGCTCTAGGCAAGAGCACTTGTCGACTTAACGAGGTCATGCTGTGGTGTGTGGTGGATGAGAGGCAAGAGAGCGAGAGGCCGTTCTTGTCACAAACTCGCCGCCCGCGCTTTCGCTGGTGGCCGAATGTTCGAGCTCAAAAAAGACGCACAGGCCACCGACTTCCGCCGCGTCTCCTCCGTCGGCCGTCCTCGATCCAAGAAATTCGACCTGCTAAGCAGCTGTCACCACGCCCCGAACTGCCTGTCGCCAATCATTCACACATCCAACATGAACGTCTTCCGACCACTGGCCAGACTGGCCGCCCGCCCTTCATCAATCATACCCTCACCGTTCAGTCGCGCCATCTCATCAACGCCATTGCCCGCCGCACCTATCACATCCAGACGAGGAGGCACCCTCGAACTCGGCGACTGGATCGGTCGTTTGGGAGACAACTCAAATGGTCCTCCAGGAATCGACGCCATCGATATTGGCCCTCCCCAACCGCATCGCATGCACGTCTATGCGACAAAGCACAACACCCACATCACCTTCACCCAACCTCCGAAAAAGGATCCCGCGAACCCCGGCAAGCAAGTCGATGTCCTCATGTCTCTCTCTGCTGGAAATATCGGTTTCAAAAAGGCTGGCCGCGGAAGTTACGATGCTGCATACCAACTCGCTGCTTTCGTCCTCAAGCAAATTCAAGAACGTGGTCTCATGCGCGACCTGCAAAGTCTAGAGGTTGTCATGCGTGGCTTTGGAAAGGGAAGAGAAGCTGTCACAAAGGCTTTGCTGGGTTCTGAAGGCTACCTGGTCAGGAATAAGATCAGTTCCGTCAAGGATGCTACCAGGCTCAAGTTTGGTGGTTCCAGAAGTCCCAAGCCCAGAAGATTGGGTTGATCGTCTTGTTCATCTTTCTCCTCAGGGAATTGCTTGTGGCTTTTCCATCTCTATGATTATCTCATGGCCACAAACGGTTTGGCACGGCGTTGGTTGGAAGGTCTTACGCCCCTTGTATATTAGTTTTGTACTAAACATCCTCGAATGTCGCATGCATGCACTGTATCAAAGTCATGCTGGTATCATTTGCGTCTATCATAGCGCGCACTAAACAAATTTTTGCTCGCTGTCATGAACATGCCGTTAACCCTGGTTGGTCTATCTGCCAGCACCTCCAGCACCGCCAGCGCCTCCCATGAAGTTCTTTGCCCTGTGACACTTGTCAGTAACGTGTTCTTCAGGTGATGTACGCCTCTACTCACATCTCAGCAATGTTGGGGTCGTTCATCAAGCTAGAGAGGTCGGGCATGCCGCCCTGGCCACCGGCACCGCCACCGCCGCCAAACTTGTCAGCCATCTCTCTGACGCGAGGGTTGCTCATCAGGTTGTTCATCATGTTGGGATCCTTCATCAGGTTCTGGGCCATCTGCTGCATCATAGGGTTCTGCATGAGACTGGCAAAATCGGGCATGCCGCCAGCACCACCTGCACCACCGCCACCAAACATGCCAGCAAGGGATGAAAGATCGGGCATGCCACCGGCACCACCAGCGGGAGCACCGCGGGAAGTCTCCTCGACACCGCCCTCCTCTTCAACTCTTCTTCTGGCAGTCTCATAACCACGCTTCATGGCATCACTGCCTCCATTACCCTCTGCGTCGATACCGGCCTTGTATGCGTCCATGCTGCCCTGAGCATCTCCAAGGGCGAAACGTGCGAGACCGAGTCTGCTCCAGGCCTTGGTGTACTTGGGGTCGGCAGCAGTAGCGAGTTCTGCATCGTTCTTGGCGGATTCGTGCTGACCAGCACCCGAGTAAGCGGCGGCGCGGTTTGAGAGGTAAATGGTGTTCAGGGGGGCAATCTCGAGGGCCTTGGTGTAGTAGTCGATGGCAGTGGCATAGTCCTTCTTCTGCATGGCGGCGTTTCCTTGAGCCTTGAGAGACTCGGATTCGCTAGTAGGAGCATTCGACTTCTCGTTGGCGCCCTTGGAAGAGCCAGTAGGAGTAGCAGGGCGGCCCTCCTTAGCACTGCTGGGACCTTCGGTGCTGGCAGTGCTCTTGCCCTTCAGCTTCTCGTACACTCCATAGATGCTGAGAAGGTTCTGTCCGCCCAGAGCCTGAGTCATGGCAGTCTTGTCGGTAGGATCGACATGGAATGCTTCGGCGATGCATGAAGTTGCAATCTCAATGGACTCCGAGTCATCAGATTGGAGAGTGCCATCCTTGAGGGAGGTGTTGAGGAAATCAATGATGGCCAGAGCCAGCTTTTTTCTTGAGTCGGACATGGTGTTGGTGGTGTGTGTAGTGAGGAATAGGGAGAGACGGTGGAGGTGGAGATAATAATGTCGAGGGCAGGTGGCCCAGAAGGTTCCAAAGTGGCAGGCGACAACAATGCGCAGTTTCCCTTGGCATTTCGCGGGGTTCAAGGCCGTGGTGGGGCAGGAACGAGTCGGTGACGACCCTTCTGAATTAAAGTCGTTTCGTCCTGTTCCTGAATACCCAATACATCTGAATCATCACCATGTTCAAGAAAGAGTCAGTCTGTCAGATACATCGCTTCTAGGCATAAAGATTGACTCCAAGCAGTTTGACACCCGGCGCCAAAAGCAAGGTCAAGTCGTCGGCCCAGCGCGCCATTCGCGCAAAGGCCATTGAGACCTATCCCCGCCTCGAGCCTTATATGGATGAGATCATGCCAAAGAAGGAGCAGATTGATCTCGTCAAGGTGTATGTGCATTCCTGGAAGGAGTCGACTCCAGACATCAACCACCAAGCATCCATTTTGCGTGTGCAAATACTAATAACGTCGTCAACAGACCCGACCGCGTCTCCCTCTACGTCCTCGGTTCCACCCCTCTCTTCTGGCAACATATGGACGACCCTCTTATACCTCACCTCTCCCTCGTCCACAAGTACCCTCAATGCTTTGACAGGATACGAATCGATCGTGGCGCCATCCGTTTCGTTTTGTCAGGTGCTGCTCTCATGGTACCTGGTCTCACATCTCCCGGTGGCCGCCTGCCCGATCCTTCAGTCAGTGAGGATGATAAAGAGGCCAACGATGGTTACGGAGGAAAAGAGTTGCAAGCGGGTGATATCGTAGTTGTAGAGGCAGAAGGTAAAGAGAGTGCCTGCCTGGTCGGTGTTTTGAAGATGAGCACCAAGGACATGAAGGAGAAGAAGAAGGGCGTTGGTCTCGAGAATGGCCATTACCTTGGTGACGGCTTGTGGAACCTGTCTCTTTAAGAGCCAAGTTTTCGATTTGATTGCATAAGATACCTAGGCTAAAAGTTGGAGCATCGAGTTCGCGTTGGATAGACGTTTGATCCATATTGTGACTGTTATAGAGCGATGAGATTATGACTTACTGCCTGTGCTGTCGTGTGGTGGCCTCTCCGTGTGTGAACATAGACCATTGTGGTTTTCTACAAAGAGTCCGACGCTGTAGATCTTGGTGGGAGAGAGCAGTCAATGATGGTCCTTGAGTTTGCTTCACAGCAGCGTGTTCTCTGCTTTACCGCTATAACTAACGTTATCCAAGTGGAGCTCAGGAACAGACTCCCAATATATGCGTAGTTTGTAGTCCGCTGGTAATGTTTCGAGCAAGCTATTGCCGCCTTCATTCTTCGTCAAATCTCATCCCAGCAACGCCCAACCCGCTCTTTTCTGAAAAGCGTCAAGTCCAAAGCCCAAACAACATCGCATCGACACCTCCAACCACAATCACATCAACCATCAACTCCAAACGAAGCGCATTCTCCAAGACAAAATTACACCGCGAAACCGAAAAGAGTGAACCCTAGAACGACGCGATCTTCGGAGTTCCACGTTTTCACGGTCCGGGAGAGGATTGAGAAACCATGGACAACTTTGCCAGCGAGACTGACAGCGACTACACCAGTTATTGGCGGGATTGGGTAAGTGATCTCTCATTGTAATCATATCTTCGTTTCCTCGTCGTCACTTCGCGCAAAAGACAAGATATCGGCAAAGACCCCTCGTGCGGTGTGTGAGCGGTGAACGGTCAGCGCTGCACCTGAAAGTCGTGGAGAGCCCGCCCTGTCGTGCACGAGAAGTTTGTACGACCGCGGTCCTGCACACATCGATATGGTTTGATTCCTGGCCGTCAGGCTCTCCATGAGAGCACTATGACTCTGCAAGAAAGTGCTGTTTCGCACATTGCGCAGGATCATTCCCACATTTCTCAGCACAGTCTTGACACTTTCCTTGCACCACGTTTCGTTTCCATCAGAAGACCTGACTTTTGCCCAATACAGTTCGTCTCATCTCGCGGTAATGAGTACTATTGCGAGATCGACGAAGACTACCTGACCGATCGCTTCAACCTCACTGGTCTTAACACGGAAGTTCAATACTACCAATACGCGCTTGATCTGGTGACCGATGTCTTTGACATGGAGGTCGACGACGACATGCGTGAGCAGATTGAGAAGAGCGCCAGACACCTCTACGGACTTGTGCATGCACGCTACATCGTGACGACTAGAGGTCTCGCAAAGATGGTGAGTTTTATCCGAAAGCATCAGCCATAGGAATGAATGGTCGACTGACGATCGATCTCGAAAGCTCGACAAGTACAAGTCCGGTACGTTCGGTAAGTGTCCTCGCGTCATCTGCGACCAACAACATCTTCTGCCCATGGGTCTACATGACGTCCCGGGCACCTCAACCGTGAAACTCTACTGCGCCAAATGCGAGGATATCTACAACCCCAAATCATCTCGTCACAACGCCATCGATGGAGCATACTTTGGCACTTCTTTCCACAACATCCTCTTCCAGGTCTACCCAGCAATGCTTCCGCCCAAGACTCAGAGACGCTATGAACCCCGTATCTATGGTTTCAGGGTTCATGCCGCAGCTGCGTTGATGAGATGGCAGGAAGAGAAGAGGGAGGAGATGAAGGACAGACTCAGGAAGGGAGGTCTGGAGACCGGCTTCGAAGAGGAAGACGAAGAATTGGAGGAGGACAGTGACGAGGGTGATGAGAGCAAGGATGGCATCGATGACATGTTTGAGGCTCCTGCTGCTACCGTCCAGTAGGAATGGGGAAGGTAAAGGAGGGCTGAGCTTGATTCTCTTTTTCTTTTCTTTCGATGCCTTCTCTTGGATGAGAGGGGTTTGTGTTACTCTTGCATCGTTCTGGTGCATCGCTGCAGAGTGCAGTATTTTACATTGCTTCCAACCATGCTACTCTTCTTGCTTCCAATATCTCAATGTCCTTGTCTATGCCCTTCCGGCACGACCCATCTGGATAATCTCGCCAGTGTGTTTCTCATCACCTCGCAGAACCGGCCACGAAGCACCGTCTGCTTTGACAAGCCTTAACTCCAGCTTGGTTCCCATGATGCTGAACTCGCTCTTTTCCTTGTCAATGGTACCGAAAAGCGGCACGACCTGTTGGAACCTCTTGCGGTCGCTCGTCCTCAGATCCAAGTCGACCGCCTTGTCTTGGAACTCGACCTTCGAAATGGTCTTGTCAATCTTCTTCAAGTACAAACTTGCCATGACCTTGTCGGGTGTCTGGTAGAAGTCATGTCTCACACTCTCCAGCTTCTCCTCTCCTTCGTCTTTCTTTGCACCCACGAACAAGTGGCGCGACTTCGTCTTGCAACCAGGGATACGGAGGAACTCGTCAAACTCTAGGACGCGGCGTTTGCAGCATGACCAGCCCTTGCTACCTTCGTGGAAGATGGGGGCACCAGGATGATGCTGACAGTTTTCGTCGTCGCTGCGAGGTGCGCCTTTGTGCGTTGTACCACAAGCCTTACGCTTGCATGTTGCGTTGTCCGGGACTGTAGCGTTTGGGTCGTCGTCTTCGTCTTCTGGGGGTGCGGGCGAAGAGGGTGGTTGCGGGGCTTGGGCTGTGGGTGCGCGTCCAGGTGCTGCTGGCTCGGAAGGAGTTACAGTAGATGCGGGCGCGGGAGCATCAGCGGGAGCGGCTTTTGGTTCTTCGACGGGTGTGTCGTCGACGGTGCTGTGTCTGCCGGTTGTGCAAGGAGGGATGGTCATGAATTCGTCAAAGGTCAGAACGCGAGGTTTGCAGCATTTCCATCCTGTCGAGAGTTGTCAGGAGATTGCTCATGTGTAACCAGAATGACGGAGTTTACCCTTCTGGCCCTCGTGAAAGACTGGCTATAGCAAGGTTAGCTATATGCTGAAAGCACTCGGTAAACCGAATTGCGTACTGGACCGGGATGATAGACGCATTCTTCATTGTCGTCGGCGAATGTCTTGCCGCAGCCCTTGTGTACACACTTTCCAGGCATTTTGAATTTTGTGAGTAGGGCAGAAACGTGAATTGGACAGGTAATATTTGTCCATGCGAGATGCGAGCCAATTCTTGGAGCTTTCTAGAATGACGTTTTGTGCTGTGTCTTCGGCCAAGGAAGGTGCAGCCGAACATCCTTCGGCCGGTTGCGCTTACATCCAAAGCTCTGCCTTCTCACCAGCCTCCTCCGTTGAGCAGCACTCTTCCACTATCTGCTTGGTCTGGAGACGCTACGAGATTCGACTTCAGTTGTCTTCGTTGTCAGCTCAAAATCTCGTGAAGCTGTTCTAGAACCAATAGAGTCTTATACTGCCGTCTAGCAGTGTATCATGCTATGTCGTCAGCTCTGGCACATGCCAAAGGTAGGCATACAATCGTGCATGTACCTTAATGTCCAAGGGTTGGATCAAACTCGAGTCAACCATCTAGACATCATCGAGTTATGCCTACATTTCCCACTCCTCGACACGTCGAATAGTTAATTATGAGCTTGAACGCCATAGCGAAAGCTCCTTTCTCGCCAGAGAAGCTTGTCGTTTTCTGCGACGGCACTTGGTGTGGCCCGGAATATGGCACTCGTACCAACATCCAGCTACTGGCTGAGATGGCCGGCATTGACATGCATAACTCGAAAGGCTCACGAGAGATCAGTGATCCCTCACGGCAGCTTAGAGCCAAATACTTCAACGGGCTGAGATGCAACTACTTAACATATGCCTTTGGCGCGTCGGCGGACAACATTGGACAGCTATGTCTTGAACTGTACCGTTACATCGCGCGATACTACAAACAAGGAACAGATATATGGCTTTTTGGTCTAGCTAGAGGGGCCTATGCCTTGCGCTGTGTCATCGGCATGATCAACAACTGTGGCATCATCAAGGAACCGAGCGATGAGCTATGCGACCTGGTCCTCCAGACTTATACATCACCCCGCGAGAACGATAAGCCCTCGTCGGATCGCAGCAAGGACTTTCGCAGAAGGACTAGTTGGGATGCGGCCACACCTATCAAGATTATGGTCCTACTAGATACTATCGGCAGCATCGGTCATGGCTATAATTACCCTGGAACCAGACCTGCGTGTCCAACGCTTTGGGATGAGGTCGTTCCAGATGTAGTAGAGACAGTCTTCCATGCTTGCTCTATACACGATCGTCTGCCATTTCTCCAGCCATGTCTCGCGACCAAAGCATATCACAGCACTACGCCTCAGATATCCGAAACCTGGTTTCCCGGATGTCATTACGACATCGGAAGACAACACTGTCAAATCCTCCCTCAAGGCTTGTTCTTCCTTGTCCCAAGACTACTCACTGGTGTCGTAGAGCCGAACCATGTGCTCAGCAATGCTGTCTTGTGTTGGGTCCTGCAATCCGTTGTCCAGCAATCTCTGTCTCAGACCGTGTTTCAGGATCCACATTCGCGGATCAGTTTCCTGAAGAAATCGATTAGATCACCTGCTACCAGCACTGGCTCCGGCGATGTTTATTCGAACACACCTCTCTATGCGCCCTTCGGTCGCATACTGGCTCAACTTCCCATTATCCCTTCAATACTCGGCAGTTTATCATCCATGCTTCCGCTCAGAGATAGGAGAATACCCGACCAGGCAGCTAATATTGTTGACTTTGATACGTCAGGTCATTCGGACAATCAGACAAGTCTAGCGGAAATGGCTGGAGTGAACACTCGGAGATATCCCTCGAAAGCCTATGAAACTTGGAAGACATGGACGAAGCAGATTACTGCGGCCAAACATCGAAAAACTATATCGTGGGCTAACGATTCGGTCGTGGATTCCAACAATGCCTCAAAACTCCTCCAAATCGAGCCGAAACAGCCGGAAGCTTTCCACCTGCCTTCAGCAACCTGTGCGGGCACATACGACGATGATACCAGTATCGCGAGTACCCCTAGCCGACGTGACTCCGCAGATCCTCAGCCTCGACACCAGCGCTCCTCGTCCCTGCTCCAGAATATTGTTCTTACAGCTTCAGACGATGCCTTGATGAAAGCAGTCATCAATTCAAAAACCGAGCTTGTTCAAGACATGCTCAAACAAAAGGCTTCTGAACTAGCCTTTGACTTTGAATGGTTGAGCGACTTGATCGAGTTGGGCTACAGCGTAGAGGACATTGGACTAGCGCTTATCGAAGAGGAAATCGAGTCACCATGGCTTCTGGTATCAGGCGGCAACTTTGGCAAACGAGCTTTGAGGGTGTCGAAGAGATTGGAGCGCAGGAAGAAGTCAGGGGCTGTTCTCTGAAATGTGCTTGGATGTTATGACCAACCTTGTCGCTGTTTTGGATAACATGACGCGGCTTCCGACTTTGATCAACTTTTGGGACCTCGTTCGCTCTTGCTTTCTGCGCAACAATTTAGCTCGGAGCAGTGTGGATTCACTCGAGCTTCTCGACTTCTACCAATCCCTTGGCTTTCGCTTGACATCCGGTATTGCTGACAGATCCTGTCCCTCCTCTCCACTCTGTCTCCGTCAGTCATTTCTTTGTGAATCCTGCCAGCCTTCCACAAACTCTTTCGTCATCATGTTCGATCAGCACGATGACAAGCTCGGCTCAGAAAACACATCAGCCGCGATCAACAGGCTCCAAGAACAGGTCAGAGACGTCAACACAGCTCTCGTTGACTTGAATGCCTCGCATCGTGGAGATGCTTCACGAGGACGTGACTGTTCGTACTCCGCGCATAGAGGAACCCGACTCAACGCGTATCTTCTACAGCAACATGCTATCAGGCTTCCAACTCCATTTTGACGGCAGTACATTGCCTCTTGTGCGAAGGAAATTCTCTCAAGCTCCGTCGGCGTGACTTGCTGGTCAGCTTCCCCGATGATCACATTCGTCAATTTGCGACGAACGCTGGGATGAGAGACTGCATCCTGCGACTCGCCGATACATGCGAGGTCTGTGGTTGAAGTGCACGTTTCGACACCCTCCCCAGGTGAAAAGCCGTGGTATAGTCAATCAAGTGAATGGAAAGGTTGCTATTCAAACAAAAGCCTATGCAAGATTGTAATCACACATTGTATATAAAGAAAGCTCCTTTAACCAGACCATCCACCCATCCCATCCAAAACTCTATGATCGTTCCAATATTGTTGCTCCTGGTCCATTGAGATCGTGTCTCCAAAATACATCCATTGCTGCTGAGCTGCTGTAGTCTGTTGGACTTGGCTGTTTGACCATGCGATGTCCAGATCGGCATATTGTTGAACCGGTAATAGAGATTCGTCGTCAGTCATCGTAAAAGTGTCGTTAATGCCCATATCGTTCATGTCTTGGGTAAATGTAGAAGGTGGGGTCGGAGGAAGTATGGGCTGATTGATGACAGTCGGTTCGCTGGAGGCAGAACGTCTGCTCTGCCATCGCAGGAAAACCTGCTCCATGGCGCCCTGGAAGACTTGTCTAGCAAAGTCTTCAATCTGGTCGTGTTGCTGGGCGTCCCAAGAATGCATGTTTGCGCTAGCGATACTCGTCACTATGGCGTGTCCCTCACGTGTGCAGAAGTCTCGGAAGGCGGAAAGCTCGGCGGAGAGTGTAGTGTCCATGACTGTCGTGTATAAGTAAGGTGTCACAAGTTCTTTGGTTGGGGTCAGGCTTACAAGGTGACTCTGGCTTCTTTGCTCCAGGGAACAGAATTGTGAACATCGAGTACCAGCTGTCTTGCACCGACTTGCTTGTGCCACGACGCTTGAGCTTTCGCATGGTAGCCTTGTCGATACCTTCAAGACATCGTTCTGGAACGGTCTGACATGTACCTTCTCTTACATGCTTGTCTCTAGCTTCTGTGTTGTTGCGGAAGACTGCGTAGCACTTGGGGCAGTGGATGGGTATAGTATGCATACGTTCGAGGTGTTGCCTAAGCATGTCAGTATTGGCTTTGTGTTGATTCGTTCATTCCACATACTTGACACGAGATATGCCTTTGAGGACATATGTATAGCACTTTTCGTGCTTGAGCGGGTCGAATTTGACAAACGGACATGCCAATGGAGGAAGGTCTTCATCAGATCGGGAAGCCCTAATCTTCCGTTTGGGAGTCTTGTCATCCTCGTTGCCATCGTCATCTTCTCCTTCAGTGTTACGTCGTCGCTTACCTCCCGCGGAAGGTAGAGAAAAGCCTCTCGAACCAAAGCCGTTAGACGCAGGATGACCGTCAAAGCTAGATGGATAGCTAGAGTTCGATGACTCTTGTTCACTGTTCCCCGGTGCGTGCTGACGAGACGAGATGTATGCCGTCAATAAGCACTGAACTATTGGTCCTAGCAGGGGTCGGAATACTGTGTCGCACTCGCTCAAATCGGTATCGAAATCAGTATCCATGTTCATATCGTCCGTGTCGGACTCGAACAACGAGTCTGCGTATGTGTCTGAGCTATACGCAGGCGACGGCTGCTCCATCTCATCTGGAGATGATGGCACACCGATCATAAGGTATGGTGAGTGTGTATCGTCCATGAAGTCTGTGGAGGTGTCCATCATCTCGATAGGATCACACATGTCATCTCCAGCGTCATGAGAAATCAGAATGGACGGAGGATTAGCATGTCCTCGAAAATTTCCCAGAAAAGAACCAGAAGTATAAGATGCCGGAGCTGACAACATAGGACTTTGTGCAATTTGTTGGAACAAATAGTTGGTGGGCTCGAAGCTCTCTTGTGCCTCTTCGGATGGACTCGCTGCGACATCACTATGCTCATTGTCTGACGAAGGTATCTTGCGGGATCGATGTTTTGCTGTGATCTTTCTACGTTTAGTCCTTTGCCGACTGAGGGCACCTGATAGCTGTACAGAATCCGGTGTACACTCCGATCTATCAGGTTATTAGTCGCTAGGATGACATGATTCGCTCCATTTGATGACATACTTGATCAGCAGCTCGGCTACTTGGGCCTCGTCGTATCTGTGTGTTCCTTCAAGATGAGCCTTGAAGTTGTCCTTCCGTGGCCAGATCTTGTCCTTCTTTTGGCAGGAAGGAGCAGCACATCGATAGTAGAACTTGGAAGTCTTCACGGTCAACACACTATGGCATGTCTTCTTGTGTCGTGCTAGGTCATGCGGGGACGCAAACCCGTTTTGATTGTCACATCCAGATACATCACACTTGAATGGACGAGTGTGTGTGAGCATGTGCTTTCTGTAGATAGTTAACAATGTTCGATGGAACGTTGTCAAGGTACTGACCTTCTGTCCGCGTTGTTGCTGAAGTAGCGACGCTTCTCTGACTCCTCGTAGCAGATTTCACAGTACTCCGAGATCTGGCTGTGTCTGATGGGTTCTGATGATGCGTTTTCCTCGTTCTCAGTACAGTGCGTGCCAGCATAGTACATGGAGCCATAACCACTATCGCTGATCGAAGGCTTGTTCCTAGCCTTGATCGCCGGTAGGGAATGCATGTCTTGCGAGGTACTGGCATAACACCAAGACAGCCATGCTTCTTCGTTCGTGGTAGACGGCACACTATGTGCTTCATGTCGAACACCCGAGTGTCTCCTTCCAGCGGAAGCTGCGATGGGCACTGGCAATGTGCTGGAACCTTGTTCAGTTGGCTGTGTGGACGGGAAGAGGTCGAAGTCTTGATTGAGACTATCTTCAGAGAAGTCCTAGTTGATCAATGGTTAGCATTTGTTTCCATTATCGAGTGATGGAAACTCACGTAGGGAATTGTTGAGCTGTGCCAGGCCATTCGAGAAGGTAGGATATATCAAAGTGATGATCCACAGATTGTAGTGATCTTTCGTAGTCAATCGTACTCTCTCTCTATATCGAGAGGTATAAATAGTGAAGGCAAAATGGGTAGAATGAAGTAGAAAGAGTTGGGTCGGTCAGAATGCGAGGAAAACATGGTGTTGGAGACAGGTCTGTCATATAGGTGTGTGCAACTGTAGGTGGATGACTCCTTCCTCACACATGCGCATCCGCACACTGGTGTGCTCACATAGCTAAGCCTTGCTACCTACCGATAGTGTCATAGCGCGGGGAAGGAAGCGCTCGGCGCGATTAGATCCTGATGCGTTTATGCCATAGCCGGGCCATAGCCCCCAGGATTCCTTCTCGGACACCGCCGAACGATGCGATTGACACTTGATACGCACGTTCAAACAAGCAATCGAAAGACGATGGAAAGCAAAGAACCTCTATGATCACTCCGGCTTGGCTCCAATTTGTTCGAGAAGCCGTCCAATCACTCGAATGATCGCCGGCACACGTGTGCCGTGTGCTCCATCATCCTCATATGCAAAGCCATGTCACACGTACAGCCATGGAAACGCGCACCTCCATCAACAAGAAGTTTATCGAGGTTGATGGTATCTGTATGTCTGTGAACTCTTCTACTACCTGAGAAGAACTATTCATTGCGATGGTTGCGATTCGCCTATATTCTGTTGTGAGAGAGACGTTAGCACATGGGGAAGATGGCACATGATGGTTCGACTGCGGTTTCGACTGCGGGCCAAGCCTCGATGACAGCACACTTGTTTCTGCTGCGCCAACCTCCATCGAACCTTCCAATGCGGTTATCGGCACCTCAGGATTCGCGCCATGCGTCTGATCGTGGATATGTACACAGAACCAGGATGCTGGAGTCAACAAGTTCAGGCACATGACTGCGGGAATACGTTTCGACTATACAGATCTGGAAGTATACAGCGACGCGGAAGGATTTCCGATCTCCTCCTAGAACCCGACGACTCTTCGTTTCTTCTTTGCCGGCTTTCCACCAAACTTCCCTGGCTGAATCTGGCTAGTGAACATGTTTGGCGCAGCTTGGGAGCTCGCTAACAGCTGGGTGCCCTGACTTGCCGCTCTGGCAGAGTGAGGCACATTCGGTGCTTCGCTTCTAGAAGGTGTCATGAATGCAGGCTGACTCGCACTTACGATGCCGGGGACTTGGCTATTCGCGAGACTCATGGCAGATGCTTTTTGCGCTTCACGCCTCTGCTTGTCCAACAACTTCTCGGCGCGGCGTTTCAATCTCGCTCTCTCTCTCGGCGTCAGATCCTCGTCTTCTTCCTCGGCCTTTTTCTCCTGCTCTCGCTGGACTGCAAGCCAATCGTATTTCTCTGGGTTCCTGCCAAGGCTCCAATGCGCGAGTGTGTTGGTCAGACCTTTAGGCAGCGGACTTGGTGTGGGTTTGTCTGGAGCGAATGTGGTGTACCGTTGCAGGCGTGCGAATTCGGGGGATACTAGAGTCGATGGATGGCTAGACAATGACGTGACTGTAGTCATCGACGGTGTAGCTGTTGGTGACGGTGTTGGCAGAGATGATTGAGGGAAGGAGTATGCCTCTTCAGTAGCTTGCGTCTCGGGTATCGTTTCCTCGTTTGGCTCTACCGGTGGCTGCCTGAGGACATGACTTGCCAGACAAAGTCCAGCGGCAATTCTTCGTGCCAGTTGTTCCTTGACAAGTCGTACTCTTCCAGGTACTGTTTGAGATAGTGGTGTAAGCCAGTGGGCCACAATGTTATCATAGATGGCCATGAGATCCATATTGCTGTCAGACCCAAGATTGAGGGAGGAGTAGCCAATACGCGCAAGTTGTAACCTCTGGTCAACATCCTCCATGTCTTCTCCATGTTCTGTCTTGGCGGAAACCAAGTCCTTGAATTCAGCAGCAGCTTGATCAATGTCAGGTACCAGGATTTGATCATCGAATACTTCTGACAGAAGCTTAGGGCCATCATAAGTGGGTTCAGGAGCCTGGAGAGCTGTTTCGATCCGCGAGAGTATACGCGAAAAGTCTTCTGTCTTTGAAGCAGCGCCAGTCGCTCGAGCGTGAGATAACTCGTATAGCATGGTCCAATCGTCTCGAGTTGATTTCCGCGGATCAGCATGAGAGGATACTATAACATCTTGATCTTCTTGGGTGTTCCCTAGTCCTTGATTGACCAGAGACTGTGCGACAAAACCAGTCTCTTGTAGACGAGGATGACTTTGTACAAGCCTTCCGCGCCAATCGGGAGGCGCGACCTCGGGAGATGATGATTTGAGCACTGTGCTTGGTGTTGCATAATAGAGCTTTTGTACAACAGTCATATCACTGGCGATAGCAGTTCCAACGAAGAACCTCGTGGACAGATCTCGATAGATCTTTCCGGGTCCGGATGGCTGTTCATGGTGTACACTCTCTCCGTACTTCGCAGGCTGAATCTGGAAGGTTAAAGCTGCAGAGGAGGTTGTGGTAGGGATCTCAGGCAGAACCAGTTTAGTAGCATCTGCCACTTTCAGAAATCGAGGAGTTGACTCGTTCGGCGTAAAACGAAAGCTGGTTGCAAGTGGACTCAATGAAGACTTGATAAACACGATAACGTCTACAATTAATGGTCAGCATCTTTTTCAAGTCGATAGTAATGGTTACCGTACCGATATCGTCGACAAAATTAGACAAGCCAAGCCCAGTGTCCTCAGGATCTCTGAAGTGTCTGCACTGCATTACAATCTCAGCACCAGCAGTACTATAACTCTCTGGATCAAATTCGTCCAGACATTGCACACGTAGACAGAACAGCGATATTGAGGTCAGAACAAAGACAAGTGTTGGATCCAGTGGGTTTAGCATGATATCGAGAATCCAGTGAGGAGTTCCAGCAATCCCAAGGTCTGGAGACTGAAGCCTGACAGGTTTTGCTTGGATGTCGTAAATGCCCAAGCACCTTCTACTGGCAGTAATGATGGTCTGCACATTACCGGCCCACAATGCTCTACCCCACCCGTCGTCCAATAAAGTAGTAGTGGTCTCTTCGTCCGGGACAGCTTGATCGTTGGTAGCTCCACGACAAAGTTCAATCGTTTTGCCATGCTCAGATGGAATCTGTCTAAGACTGGAGTCCCAGACGTGCCAGGTACCGTATTGATCGACAGTGATAAACTGCTTCGAATACCAGTGGTTGAAGGCAACATGAGCAGGAGCAAGACCGCTGAACAAATCGAGGTTCAGATTACACAGCTGATCTGTATGGAAACGAGATGGTGTGCCAGTAAGAGAGTTCCACGAGGAGGCACGTTTTCTTGCAGCGACACGTATGATATGGACAGCAGTCGTGGTTCGAACTGCGAGAGTGCGAGCAAGATTGGAGTCCTCGTCGGCGTCTGCGAAACAAATCTGGCGGATGGGCTGAGGAGCATGCCAGGTACCAGATTCACCAGATATACGCGGAACATCGATCCAGACAGACTTGTTCCGCTCCCAACCATGTTTTTGAGGCTGGACTTGGACAAGTCGCAGGATGTGTGCGTGGTCAGCAGCAGGAAATGTGACAATGGTCATGGAACGCTTTGTGGCATGATCGGGCACACGACCAAAGGCCAAAAGGTGACCAGTGGTTGGATCATGGCGTGTGATAATCTTTTGGATCTCTTGCGATACAAGTGCAGGCTCGACAAGGAGATGGGCACTCGGAGCGATGGTCGGATCAAAGTGAAGGAGGTCGGCGATTTGACGGTTCAGGTGTACGCTCGGTTTTCCGGTGGGTATGGGATCTGGTCGCGATTGAGAGGGTTGCGGCTTGAAGACGAGTTGGGAGGTGCCGAGGGGCTCTAAGGTGGATGAAGACTCGAGTTTCCTGGGGAGCAGCCAGGTATGATCGTCTTGGCTGTATATGATTTGACCGAAGTGACCATATTTCAGGTCAGTGGTAGATTGGTCAGCCATGCGGCTTCTTCCTAGCTATGCGTGATAATGGGCCAGAGACAGATTGAATCATTGCCGGGAAGAAGGTGGTCGCGAAATCTTGTTGACTATGGGAGTTGAAGGATGTGGTGATGTACGTGATAGACGGCGGGTCAGATGTCTGGTAGTCGAGGCAGAAAAGTTGGCGAGAAATTCATGGTCAAAAACTTGTCGAGATCGAAGCGCGTCAGGACTTGACCGGCCTCTCGGATCGCTAGCCGGGGGCGTGCCAACCACGTGCTTGTATACTTTCTCGAAACAGACGGCCTTAGACTGTATATCTGTGAAGCAAGTGATGGCTTCACAAATCATCACTTGAGCGTGTCTTTGACTGTCAAAGTCTAGCTTATTACAACAGTTCAACAACTCGGTCATGGTGTGATGGGATAGATACAAGGGGTTTCCCTATCCTCACGCAGACCTGACGTAGTCCGTGCCCCCCAGCGGGGCCCTGGCAACGCAACCAGAGTTTGTGTTTACTCGCAATTCTCCAATTCTGCCAAGTTCGATACTCGCGCAACATCTCTCCAGTCCGTCTAGACCGCTCCGCATATCCAACATTCACAAACATGGCCGCCGTCATGAACACACCCAGCCGTACGCGCTTCGATGCCTCCTTCGGCGCAGGTGGTCTACGATGTCCCTACCTCACTCCCGATCCGCCCTCAATGGTCGACCAACTCCCTAGCATCAAGTTTGGTTTCGACGACCTGCGCGATCGCATGGCTCGCTTCACCCAACGGTTCGACCTTTTTATCGATCAAGGCCGCAAACGTGTACTTGAGGAGCGCAACCATTTCCGCATCAACATGTCCGAGATCCAAGGTCAGTCATGCTATACCACAACACACTGCTCAACACGCTGACAATCTTTTCCCGTATAGAATCCCAGAGATCGAGACGCAGAGAACTCGAAGACACATCCAACAAATCCATCGCACACCAAAACACTCTGGAAAAAGAAGCACAAGAACACGAAGAAATGCAACAACAAATCCAGGAACTCGACCTTCAACGACAGAACCACGAAGCTCACCGCGACGACCTCCGTTCTCAGATCTCATCACTACAAAAATCTATCCACGCGCGCCGCCAGGCTCAACATCACCATCAGCGACAACTGGACAATCAAGCACGCCACAATCGTCCAGAGTTGCAGTTCTGGGAGTCTCATCTTTGTATGCGGATTGAAGGTCTGGGTGTGGATGATAGAATCAAGTTTGTATACACACATGTGGATCAAAGGGATTGGGATCGTCAATGCGCGTTTGAGTTGAATATGGAGACCAAAGACTACCAGGTTGCAGCTGTGGAGCCGGCTTTGGATGATGAGGCTGTGGATGCTGTCGTCGAGCGATTGAACGAGTCGAGGGATCTAGCTGCTTTCCTCAAAGCGATGCGTGCCTTGTTCACTGCTACTATCAGGCACTGATTCACGTTTCTTCGCGTTACATGTTACGATTAATGAACTACCGATTTTGTTTCCTCCTAAACTCGAGTTTTGAGTTCTATTTGTCGTTCCAAATGTGTTGCCAAATCTTGTGGTCTGAAAGGTGACGCCCCGCCGGATCCAAACAACCACATCCGTCTCCATCAATCATCCATCTCGTCTCATCGCGACCACACAAGCCACAACACAATGCCTCCCACAGAAGACAAACGCAAAGCTGCGCGCGAGACCATCGACGTACTATACGAGATCTCCTCTTTGCTTGTACGTTTCCCCCAAGTCCGCTACAGGCTATTTGACGCGCCGGATGAGTGATGCATCGCCTCAGAATTCTATCCATAGGCTCGCTATACATTCAAAATCCGTACTAACATTGCGACATCTACAGAACACGAATTTGGATAGGCAGTCATTGTCCTACTGTGTCTCGCTCATCGAGAATGGTGTAAACCCAGATGCCTTGGCCGTGAGTATTTTCCCCGTTGACATTCATCATTGCTCTCTCATCTTGTTGCTTCTGTTTCCGACCGTCATGAGAATTGTTCAACTAACGTATCATCAACACAAGACCGTTATCAAAGACCTCCGAGAGCGCGATGGCGTTGCCACCGAACCTCGCGACAAGCAATAACTGCTCTTTTTCACCACTCGTCACTTTTCAAATTGTCCGGCTCACCTGCGCCAGTCCATGATACCCAGCTTGTTTTTCGCTCATGATCCTGCACCTGACAGCACCAAAAACAACTTTCGAACATTTATAAAGGCCTCCCCGTCATTCCGCTCCATGTGCGATGCCGTGATTTGAGTTACTTGTGATTGCAATATGAGCATCCTATTTGGTAAATACTGTCTACGCTAAGATGCTAATCATGATGTACGTTACGAGTACATTCGACAGTCAAAACCCACCAGGGGTGCTGACTTAGATCTCCGATTCTTCTTCCTGAGCTCTCAAAGACTTCTGCACAACCAATATCGTCCTCAACATCCTCACCATAGCGTCGGTATGCTGGAAGATGAGTAAGATCGAACTCCTGATCGCGAGTGCCACCATCCATTTCTTGGTTGCCAGCACATCGATGTCGTTATCATCGGCATTGTTGCACGCTGCTCCAGTGATAGTGGTACACCAGTAGAGTACCCCCACCATACTGTCCCAGCAGTTCGAGAGGTCGGTGCGGAGAAGGTGATCTCTGATCTGTATCACAATCTGACCCGGAAAACTGTGTGCTGTTGTCGAGAAAGGCATGTTGCAGTGGATGGCTGTGGCGTAGAGTAGAGCGCATAGTCGTATTGCTTCGTACACAGAGTCGTCTCGGGCATCGAGTAGCACGATTTGATCTACGGCTTTCTGCTTTTTCCTCTGCAATGCTTGTACCTCTAGCTCTGTGTATACTCTGCGCTCAGTCTTGGGGCCGAAAGTCGTACTGGGGGCGTCTGCGTCTAACACATCTTCGAGATCCATGACGGCTTGTGTAAGATCTCGAATCATGTTTATCAAGTCCAATGTCTCTTCATCGCAACGTTGCGTCCGAGCGAGGGTGTGATGGAGACCTGTGGGATAGTATAGAGGCGATTCGGGAACCGCAGACACGCGGTCTCGTGCCGCGGGTTCGGAAATGTAGCGAGCGTAGTCGAGGTACTGTTGTCGAGGGCGCCCCTCACGCATTACCGATACTTGGAAGGTTTGACTGAAACTTCAATCAGAACTAGTCTTTTGAGTGCGCTCGTCGACTTACATGGTGACCATGGCAGCCAAGAGACCATTGCCGCCCAGCTTCTCTAGGCCTCCCCTATATTCCACCATCGTGTGTAGTCCGTCTTGATGCCATTGTAATGCTTGATCACAAGCGACAATCATCTCGCCAAAGACTAGGTGGACGACTGAGACTATGTTCGCATCGCTGCAGCAAGTCTCTGGGTCAGAGAGACGCTCGCTGATCAACTGTACGGTCTGTTCTCTGACCGTGAGTGTTCGCACAGACTCGATCGAGTTTGCTGTCAGTCTGTGGGACTTAAAATCCATCTTCATCATGTCAAGGTACGCGGAGGAGATACACAATGTGCTGAGAAATGCTGCACGGCCAGCGAACAGCATCGGGACCCACCTCTTGCACATTGCCTGACTTGCGAAATACGTGGTGCCTGAACGACTTCGTCAGTCGATGCTGGCTCGAGAGGCTAGACATACATACAGTTGTGTTTCAGCATGGTGACATCAATGTTTTCTCCAACAAACTTTGGAGTCGCATTGAAGACGTCCAATTTTGCACCAATGCCTGCCAGTGGTGGGTTAAGAGAGGTGTATGGCGCCAGCGCCGTCGGCCCTGTGTCATACAGAGACTCCGCTTCCATCTCTTGATACATCGGAATGTTCAACGTTGTCTCTGGCGACGGTAGAGAAGAGTTGATTGCCGAGTCTCTAGCACGAGGCGATTGGCTTCTTGTTGTGGACGGACCCAACTTCTTCCTCATCTCAGGCGATACACTGGTTCTGGAGCGTCGCGAGGTATGTCGTACACGAGCATCGGTACTGTTTGGATTGCGTCGCTCCTTGGTGAGATAGTCATTCATGACTTGTATCCGGACGTTTCTCATCATCTCCTTGTCCTTGGACTGGTGTGGATTGGTGACCATGATCCATTTGAAGTTGGAGAGCTGTTGGTCATCGTCCTCGTTAGAAGTGGTGTCCCTCGGCGACAATGATCGTCTGGAGGATCTACTGGTCATCGTCAACAGCATGGATGTCTGTTGCTTGGGTGATTTGGTCGACTATCTGCGGCAGAGGGTGGTCTTTAAGCCCGTTCAAAAATTGCTGTTTGTTGTAGCACTGTCCTGAGGTCTAACACGGCATGGTGACCAGCGATGATATGTGGTATCGAGTAACTTTTTTTCCCAACTGCGATTAGCTCAGAGCCAACACTTATAAACAAAGAGCTGACAAGACAAGAAAAGAATACCATAACCAGAATTATAAAAAGGGAATCAAACAAACCTTGTAAGCTCGGGCGCAGTCAAGAGGCTGTGGGACATGTTTCTTAACTGCAGAAAGAAACGCAGTCATCGCAAAGGTAAAAAGGTCAACCCCGAAAGCGTTAGATGAAGCACCTCAGGCTACCACAGCTTAGATGCAAAGGTCGTTGGTCGATGACCGGAGACGCCGAAAATTGGCTTGCAAGATAGATGCGACCGTCCACCCGCCAGCCTGTGAATTGCTTCTTGCGATCCATGAATCCAGATTGAAATTGTATGCGACCGTATGACGAAGCCTCCATATCTCGTGGCATGCTATGGTAGCATTCTCCTCACCTTATAAACCTAACAGTAAACCTTCAGAATGTATGTCGAATGTACGGTGAAGTAACCCCTTCGATTCGAATGACAGCCAGCATTACAGCGCTGCCACATACGTAGCTCCATCCTCTGAGCTGGTTGCGTGACACCAGGCACCCCGAATGAGAGAATGGCCAAGAATGGGCATTTGAGGTACACCGGTCGATGCGTAATGACGAGGATTATACCAGGATCGGTTGGAAGTGTTAGATCTGAGCAAAGGACAGGTGGGAGATGACCGAAGCTTCTCCATTTTCCGAAAGCGGATGGGCAGGGCAGTGTATGCAGCCTCCCCATGCGCCGAAGTTTTTAACGCAGGTAGCTATGAGAATGCACAGTAGTCTCGAGAGACAAGCTTATTCCATTGAGAAGCAATGTTATATCGTATGTCTTCGGACACTGCTCTATCTGAAGAACAATGCTGCATTTCTGTAGTAAGCATTGCGTTCTCATCTTCGTGACAAGACCGTGAGAGAGGTATTCGAGTTACAAACTATAGCACACGGGAAGGAGGAAGGAGCTGCATACCAAGCTTTCGGCTTCGACATGCATGCACGAGGTCACCACGCGAGCGTCAAACCTTCAGCTCCTTCGATCCTGTCCAACTCGTCACTGCCACAACTGACGGCGCCATGTCTGCAAGCAATGCAAGCTGATACTGATCAAAATGAGCTGCTTTATTGCATGTCAATAGATCACTCGCAACGCTTCAACAACGTGTTGTGATTGAGATACGAACAAATTTCGGTGGCTCCCCTCATTCAAAAGCCCTTTTCCCCAAAGCAGACAACCTCGCTTCAAGTTTCCTTGTTTACTTTTGGGCGTCATGGTTCGAGCATCATCTTCGATTTCCCCTGCTTAAAATACACGGTATGCGCCAATCTCCATGCACTTGACAGTGTCCAGTATGAGAAATGGTACACAAGTCCCATGAATCTGCAGCCCTACGATAAGATTCGTTCGTGACTTGACAGGGATACCTTTTCCTCAAGCGTATCTCGCCGGATCGGCGAAATAATCTTGTGCAGATGAACCTTGATCACGACCAGCATTGATGATGCTGCCGTTGCTACTGCTTCCAGACCCGTGAGGTGTCACACCTGCCACACCATTGGACATGATAGCTTCTCGAGCTGGCCCGGTAATGTCTTCGTCCGAGGAGCTATAGCCGTTGCGAGGCTCGGCATCCCTCAGCCCAGCTCTGGCAAGCACTGTCTTCAGCAGGTTTCCTGTCTCATCAATGCCCACCAAGAAACGCGCGAGCTCTTTGCAAAGATCCCAATCACCCTCCTTTGTAGCTCGGTTGAAGAGAGTAGATATCTGACGCGTGCTGAAGCTGCCTTCGTCAAACGCATGCAGGATGAGCAGATAACTGCCTGCTGTCTTTAGCATGTCTTTTTGTAGTGACTCTTCGAACAGTTCGACGACAGGGGGAAGGTATCGGAACAAGGTTTTCCAGCTTCGCAGCTCTGTCTTCCGTGTACACCCAGCTACAATGTCGAGGTAAGTCGGGAATGAAGAGAGAAAGGACAATACGCCGGGAAGAAGCGCTGCCTCAAATGATTCAGGAGGGGCATCGACCTCGTCATCCAAAACGTCATGCAGGAGCACTTCCAAGGCATGGTTGAAGTAAGGGAGTTTCTGATAAGAGTGCGAAAGATGGAGCGCGGCAGGTGAGTCGTACTGGGCAAGATGATGTCGCAGAAGTGATGGTATCGACAAGTGAGTCCGTGGATTCAGACGATAGAACGCAAAATTGATATCGCGACGTTGAACCAAATCCGATTCGAGGCCTGTAAGCAGTCCCTTTTCCACAATTGCAGATAACGGATAAAAGTCAGTCGTTATAGCAACAGTGGGCGCAACCTCACGTCCATGCTCTGTGAGAGCAGAAGAAAGCACATCGAGGACGTCGGGCCATGCGTGCATTGATTTCCCATCGAAATACCACAGAGAGTCACGCAAGCTATGACCCAGAGCACCAACAGGAAGATAGTTGGCTTCAGAATTGTCTTCTAGAGGACCTGGCGGTGTAGTGGAAGGCAGTTGTTCTCTGGCCAGCGTATAGAACTCCACATTGTGAGCAATAACGCGCATATCATACTTCAGCTCGCCATGTTCGTTTGCTGAAGGCTGTAGCAATACCAACTTAGCATCGACTAGAAAGAGTACAGAGGCTGTGGCAACGTCGTGGGAGGGATCACCATTGTCTGAAGAGCGTTAGCGAGCTGAGAGAAACAGTCGAAAATCTAGAGCATACCTCGTTGCTCCTCAGGAAGAATCCAGCTGATGGCACGAACACGTGGTGGAGCTCTAATGATACCATGGAAGGCGATCTGACCAACTTGTGCCAATTTGACTGATTTAGATGACGAGACGAAGATGTAATGGAGCAGAACGTTCTCGTAAGTGTACACCAACAGAGAATCTTCGCCAGATGTGGCCATACAAACAACCGGGTATGCCAATATCTCGGAGTGTAGTACTTGAGAATTGGCTAAGGTCTTTTCACGCGAATACAGACGAACCTATTCCATCAGTAACTGATCAATCGATCATGATGAAAAACGTACCTCGTAGCTACTTCCAGACTCCACGGCAGCGACAAGAATATGTTGCCACCAGCACATACCACCTCGTACGGTGAAGCTGCTTTCGGCGATCGGATCCTCGAACGTTTTCCAGCGCCCACTGCCAACACTGTAGTGCGCTAGACCTCGTCTTCCAGCTACGGCAAGATATCTTGCATCAGAAGAGACAACGCTGAGCCGAAGAGGCCATTGATATGCAAGATATGCCTGTGGCACTTGTACTGTCTGCCATAAGGAGATGTCGCCAGAGATGGTTGTATGATCCGAAGTCTCGAACCCTTTATACAGCATCAAGCTAGTGCTTCCTTGAAGGAGGGATCTGGAAATATTCGACATTGTGAAGCAGCTTGTGACACTGCTACGCATCATTTCGACGACATGCAGCTCGCGTCTGCCGGGTCCAAGGAGCAATATTTCCGCGCCACCCCCGACCCAGAAACCAGCGCGCACGCCGCAAAGCCATTCTTCGTCATTCGCCTCTGACATCGATCGGTCTGCACCGAAAGTGTTGGCACCAAGCTTGCCGTAGACACTCCACATTGCCCATCCTCTATCATACCCAGCAAACAGACAGTATCCATCCGGAGACCAGCTCAAGAAATTCAGATTACCGGTGGATGCTTCTGATACGGGGAGCTTAAGCTCGTGCGACCGGGGAATGTTGCCTAGGTAGTCCTTTGCAGAGTATACTTGGATTGTGCCGTTACAACAGCCGATGGCTACCAGGGAAAAGCGAGCGTTGATTGCAGATCTTGTCGCGAAGAGACCTTCATGGTCTGGGGTGTGGAAACAAAAACCCTTGAACAGACTTTTGTGGTTCGCAGAGTCGGCACTCGTTGCAGACAACCGTTGTACAGCATATGCTCTTCCATCATCGGTCACCCATGTGTGAAGGTTCATGGGTCTGTCGTATGACATGTCTACCACCGAAGGTTTTCCAACGAGCCAAGTCATTCGTTTGAGAAGCTCAGTATTGTGAGAAGAGCCTGAGCTGTCCGGCGTCCAACGTATGCATTGAACAGCTGCAGGCTTGACAGTTGTCACGACGAGCTCATCGTCGAGAACGAGGGCTTGCGAGATACCGGCGTCTATCCGGATTACCATACGGAAGCGAACACTGACTTCCTTGATTCCTTCCCCTTCAGCAGGTCCGCCCTCAGGGACGAGATGCGGTCTCTTACTATATGCCTCATTGCTCGGTCGTCGAACATGTGATCCTGAAGGCGTGTATATGGATGTTTGATATACGCGAGCAGCTGGGTCGACGGCCAAAGAGTAGGTGATGAGAAAGCCTTTCTTGGTCTGCACAATGACTATAAGGGCGTCGGGGCGCAGCAAGAGAGAAGTATTCGGACCATAGGTATCGAGCGAATGATTGGATCTTGTGACGGTAGCTAACAGAGCGGTGGGCTTCGTTTGCCATACACTAAGCGACGAAGCGGTGACGGTTGTGAATATGTTGCCAGCACGGGATGATTTTATGTCCACTATTTCCTGCTCTTCTATGGCATTGTGTTCGTCCGCGGGGGGTGTTGCTGCGAGTGTGTGCTCGATAGGAGTCTGTTCGTGTTCCAAGACCAGGGGAGTGAGTTGTCCAGCATCAGGCGAGAGTGGTGTGATGGCGAGCTTGTCGGCATCATCGTGGTCGGGTGAGTTGATGCTGCGGACTACGTGCTTAGAAGCAGCATATGTTTTGGGTGCCCCAATAGGCCAATACATGGCCGATTATCGGGCTATCACACTGCATCTGCGCAAAGGCACGTTGATGGCATCGGACACGCAGCGACGACCGTATCTCTAGCTGCTGCTTCGGGGATGTTGCTACACGCTTGGACACGCGCTACATGGCGTAGATGGCTTCAATGTCGATGGACTCCGATAAGCTGTTATATAGAGATTGATTCTGATTCCATCTCATCCACCAATACCAGCCCAGCTGGCTCATCTTCATTGGTCTAGTGGTCATGATTTCCGCTTGTCAGGAGTAAATTCTCGTCAAGCGCGGGAGACCAGGGTTCGATTCCCTGATGGAGAGCATATTCTTTTGCCATTTTACGGGGCTCAAAGCTCTCAGGTCGTGCGTAGTCCAACAATCTCTTTTTCTTTTGCTCAAGAGACCATTGCGGGAGTTCAGAGTATCTGCATGCAGATTGGAAAAAAGACAAATAGTATCCCTGCATGCTACCGATCTACTTTTCTGTTACGCCGTAGCCTGCCTGTAACGATCCCGTCCATACAGACGTGGTCGACAAGATCAACCCCTGGCCACCCAGTAGCTTCTATTACTACCTCTCCAATCGGCGACCGTAACGAGTTTCGGGCCGCTGTATCTTGCATCATTGAATCATCTCAAACATAGTCGCCAATCTTGTTCAAGCCCTTGAGTGAGCCGAGACTGAGAGCCAGTCCCTGCGATCTGCTTCTTATCCGCACAAACCCGGTGACGGGACCATCATCACCTTCTTGCTCAACACTGAGATTGGCCAACGCATCCTCGCCTAGTTCTTGTTAGCTTTGTTTGCCGCAATGGAATGTCGTTATCAACTTACCGAAAACGCTTCTCGCATAGAGATTCGCACTCAAGAACTGACAATCTCCACTGAGACTGGCATCCGGTGTTAGACAGCTCATATTTGTGACCTTCATCAGTCCCTTCAAAAAGTCGCGTAGACCCTTGCCAGCTGGCATCTTGGTGTTGATGTTGACCTTGTTCTCCCACTCAAATTCAGTCCACATGGTTCTGAATTGTGTCTCTGTGCATTGAGCTGGTTGAATGTAATCCATAATGTCGACATGGACGTCGTTCAAAATGACGACATTCTGGTCCGTTGATGAAGCGCCCTCATATACGACGTTTCCGAAGATGACGCCAGTGTCTGTGGAAGATACCTTGATGGTGGCCTGAACATTAAGGAAATCCAGTGGTGACAAGTTTTGCGTTGTGGGTCTCTCGACAACCTTCAGATCACCCAGAGTAGCAAACTCTACTGAAAGATTCTGCAAAGTGTCCTGAGTCTGGTTGACGAGCAAAACGTCAAGGATGATGTCGAATTGGTGAACTTGAACATATGCCTCGGCGTAGACAGGATCCGAGAAGCCAGTAAGCTGCACCACACGGCTGAGTTTGGAGCTGAGATCTTCTGTTGCAGAGTCACCACCAGTAGCCTTTTCTAGGTCAAGTTGGATCTCGTCGGCGCCATCGACGGCGTTCTTCTTACTGAGTTGGCGGATGGAAACCACATCATCAACCTGGATCGCGTTCTTGGCTTTGCTTAGAGCATCCTTCTCGGCACGCTTCTTTTCCTCAACATTAACCATATCCCTGAACGCTTTCCTGGTGTCGTCGAGGAAGGCGTTTTCGAGCTCACGCTTCTGAGCAAACTCTGCCAGTGATCTGACACAGGACATGATGCGATCGATTGAGTCTTCGTCAATAGGATGCTTGACGAATTGCGATTGTCCAACACGAATGATGGAAATCATGATGAGCATAGCCTCAGCACGGAGAGCGTTTGTTCTAGCTTGGTCTTCCGAGATCTCGCTGTGTCGCATCACAAGCTTGGTCAAAGTAGACGCAAGAACACTGGCAAGGTAGTAGTCACCATCGAGAATGAGCTGCCTCAATGGGGGCTTTTGTGCAGCCTTGACTGCTTCCAGCTTGGCCTTGACAGCAGATTGACTGGTTAGAGCACTCTCGGTCGCGTATGTGCCATCGGCGAGAACCTTTCGTGAGCCTGAGGGGGCAGCCTTCGAGTTACCATTGACTTGATCGGCCAGGTTGAGCTCGCCGTCGGGTTGTTCCTCGAGAAGGCGCTGTTCAGAAGCGAGGATAGGAATCTCTCCCAGACTTGCGCGAATGTGCTTCCAGGCTTCGCGGATGTCGTTGGCTTCCAGAGAGTACTCTCCAATGATCCAAAGAGAGCCACGGTAGACTTTACCAGCACGGACTTCGCTGAGGGTGGAGACCAGACGTCCAACAATTGCACCCCTGAGCTTGGGGAACTTCTCGACGACCTCCTTGACGAATTGGATGACATCGACCGCGGAAGCGTTGTTGAAGTCGGCGATAAAGTCCATCAACAAACCAACAACACTGGCTGCGACCTCGGAGAACTTGATGGCGCACTGGTGGATGGAGTGGATGAGCAAAGAACGGTACTCGTTGTTCTTCTCGTATTGCTCGTCGACTGTCTTGGACAATTCTTTCTTGAGAAGCAAAACGACCTCCTGAACGTTCTTGCTCGAGACCATGTCCATGGCAATGCTGAGAGCCTTTCTACGGACATCGAGATCGGGACTAGACAGCACGCGTAAGATCTCCATGGTCAAGTCGTCGAGAATGCCTTCGTTGACGCGACGCAGCTGGTTGACCTTTTCCAGGACAATGAGCTTGACGTTGTTATCCGACTCTTTGATGCTCAGCTCGATGAATTTGGCAGCGGCTGCCTTGACTGCGACGGGGTTGCCGGTAAGGGCTGTGAGCGAAGATGCGGCCTCGTAGACGACGGTGGATTCCTTGGCCTCGAGAAGGTCGAAGATCAGACGAAGATAGCGTGCCTGTTTACAGTCAGAACGGCTCGTTGTGGACTGTCCAGCATACCAACCTTGTTTTGAGAATTAGTGACTGCATCCTTGCGAATGAACTCTAGCTCAACAAGTTGAAGCAGTTCGTCAGCGTTGGGGATGCCCTCGAAGACGGAACTCAGGTACTCGAGAGCCTGATCATGGCTGATAGAGATCAGAGCAGCGAAAGCGTTTCTCTTGCAAGTAGCGTCACTTTCGGACTCGAGGAAAGCTTGGAGAAGCTCGGGAGCATCGGGCATGAGGGCCTCGTTGTGTTGGTAGATGGAAGCAATGGCGAAGACGGCATTCTTGCGAACGTATGAGTGACGGTGTTCTAGACATTGACGAGCAGGGGCAAGAAGGGGCTCGATGAGCTCGGCGTCGCGAAGCTTGCAGAGGAAACGAAGAGTGTTGCCGCGAATGTACTCGTTGGCGTGCTGCAGGTCCATGCGGATACCGTTACTGCGCGCAGTCAGCGACCACTTGAAATTTTGCAGAAAGCTAGAACAGTGTCCTTACCAAACCAGAATCATCTCTTGCTTCAACTTGCCGCCAGCGTCATGCTTGGGGCAGACCTCGTAGTACATGTATAGCAGCTTCTTCAGGGCCTTGCTCTTGGACGGCATGACAAAACGGATGATGTGCATGAGTAGTTGGGGCATTGGGTCGCCGTTGAGCATGATTGTCAAGATGCGCTTCATGGTCTCTTGCTTGGTCTCATCGGTACCCTTTTCCAGCTGGTTCTTGAGGTCCTGCTGCGAGGGCTGGTCGGCCGTGTTGTCTTGGTGGACCAAGCTGTATGCATTGTCGAGAAAAGTCGCCATTGTTTCGGATGTCTATCGATGGACCATGCACGCGTGGTGCGAAAAGAAGGAGAGTTGTCCTGGCGGTGTTGCAGATGGCCTAGCCTTCTTGTCCTGCGAGCAGACTTGTCGGGCGCAGCGAGAGTGAGGGCGAAGAGAGTTTGACCGGAGCGACGACGACGTAGGAGACAAGTACAAAGCTGTCGGGAATTGACGAGATGCAGAGAGGGTCGGGGACAAGGGTGTGAATTGTTGGTTGCTCAGGAGCTGTCCGTCCTTGGGCTACGTTTACACACCCCCGACCGACCGACTAGGCCTGTTTGAGCCATCTGCTCCATCGCCTGCCAACGCCGTCCTGGACATTTGACCCCGTCGCACCACAAACATATCAACACATCATGGCGAGCAACGAGTCCTTCTACTTGCGCTACTAGTGAGTGTCATCCCGGTCTAGCTGTAAATGCTCTGTGTCTTCATTGCTTCTCCCCCTCAGGCTTTCTTCAACATGCACAAGAAACAATTATTTTCCCGCGCCATCACTAATACCGTCACAGCTCAGGCCACTCCGGTAGATTCGGACATGAGTTTCTGGGTATCTAGCCTGACTACATGCTGCTTTTGCGCCCTCACTGACCGTATCCAAGAGTTTGATTTCCGCGCCCTGGGTGATGGCAGGTCTGCTTCGGCGCGTTATGCCAACAACTCCAACTACCGCAACGACTCATTGATCCGCAAAGAGAGTATGTCAGGCCAAATTCCGACAGTAAGCTTGTCTGACAAAGTGCCAGTGTGTGTGAGCTCGCTCATGATCGAAGAGATCAAGCGCATCATCAAGGACAGTGAGATTCTCAAGTAAGTCTTGACATGTGTGCTATCAAGAGGTTTGATCTGATGCTCTAATAGGGAGGACGACACCAAGTGGCCACAAAAGAACAAAGACGGCAGACAGGAGCTTGAAATTCGCCTAGGCAACGACCACATCTCATTTGAGGTACGCTTTGCGACAATCATGTCTACCGGTGCAACATACTGATGCATATTTTAGACGGCTAAGATCGGATCTCTTGTCGACGTTAACGAATCGGAAGACCCCGAAGGCCTGCGCGTTTTCTACTACCTTGTGCAAGATCTCAAGGCCCTTGTCTTTTCTTTGATCGCTCTTCACTTCAAGGTATGTGTAGACAAGACGTCTTTGTCGACGAGTGCTATTGCTCACAGAGTATACAGATCAAGCCCATCTAAGCTCCTCGGTATGGCTCCTGGCTAGACGGAAGGAGTTTCGGCGTTGGCGTGTTCAAAATCACCATTATCACGATTGCTTATGACAGAAAACATCTATCTGGGGTTCTTCAAAAAGGTCGTGACCGGTCGTCGCAAGAATCCGACGATCCTACAAGGCTAAGGACCGACAGTTTGATGTTCCAGCAGACGCGTCAATCAGGTGAAGCTCTGACAAGAGATCAGAGTTGACCTACGACATGAGCAAGGTATCTCAGAAGTTTGACAAGCAAAATAAAGAAGTCATGTTCAAAGCGCGAATCTCACGGCTACGCACGGGTGCAGGATGCAGGCAGGACGGCGACTGGATAAGTTGGACCCTTCAGACTCGGGCCAGGCCTACGAGACACGAGACACCAAGGTTTTCCCCGGAAGGCCCTCGAGTCGGCTTGGCAAATGCAGCGTCGAGGATGGTGACTTCTTTCCTGTTCACACTTTTGCAGACCAATCACTGCCCTTCTCTTGCATTAACCTTCCGATGTTCCTAGTTGACTGACCTGCGTGCTACCTTTGTCTCTCTCGCCCCCATACCTGAACTCTCTCTGTAGTCCGATAGCCATCCATTCTTCTTCTTCTGCCTGGTCTCAATCGCGCAATATGCCCACGCCCCATGACGAACATGACGAAACATCACCCACACCCACGCTCGACATCTCCACATCCAGTCCAACTCACGCGACTTGCCCGCCAGAGGACCGGTCAATCACTACACAATCAGAGAACAATGTTCTGCCAACCTCCGAATCGAGTCGCAATCTTGTAACCGATCCCGTCGCGCAGATGCCCACGCCTGAGGAGGATCAAGATCCACAGCCGACGACCATGCCCGAACCACCCACGAAACCCATGGACTTGGACGAAGACAGCCTCTCAAAAGAGGCGCGTCTGCCAACCCCTTCCAGTCCCGTAAACGACGACACGAAAGAGACAGAATCGCGAGTCACACCTCCAACCTCGGTCCGGTCCTCTCCCACTCCTTCGAGTTATCCTCTTAGCAGAAAAAGGGTTCGTAACACGTTGAGATGCATACACCCACAGCCGCTGATGTCGTGTCTGATCAGCTGATACCTTGTTTGACGTCCTCCTTCTTCCAATCGGGTAGCAAGTTTCGAGGAACACAACAGTCGGATCGTCAAACCTACGATGTGCAGGTTGAGATCAAGCATGTCGACATGGAAGAGTCGTTTGTGTGCGGCTACTTGCGTATTCAAGGTAAGGGTGTACTCACAAACTTCCCTGCTCGTCCCGCTAACAGTACCCAGGGCTTACCGACGACCATCCGACGTTAACCACGTATTTCGAAGGCGAGATCATCGGTACCAAACATTCGTTCCGCACTGCACATCCAGAATGGGGCTCTACAGAAAAGGTCGACATGCAACATTGGGCTCGTTTTCCACCCTGGAAACCTCTTGCTAAGCACGCCAAATCGCCCAACTTCACATGCCAGGACTATGCACAGCGCGAGCATCTGTTTATGAGATGGAAAGAGTACTTCTTGGTCCCAGATCACAAGGTCAAATCCATCACCGGAGCTAGCTTTGAAGGCTTCTACTACATCTGCTTCAACCAGCGCAATGGTTCTGTGTCTGGAATCTACTTCCACTCTCGCAGCGAAAAGTATGTCAATCCCTCTATACGACGAGAACAACGCTGACCTTTATACCAGATATCAACAGCTTGAGTTGGTGCATGTAGAAGATCGTGGCTGTGTTGGTGCTGTCGAGTTCCGATAGCCCATGCAAAGTCTCGATTACGAAGAAATGACTTGAAAGGTTATGGTATAGGTCGGACCTTTATTTTGCAGCATTCTGTGTATATTCTGGCGTCAGCGGGTTCTCCGGTCAATCACGGCTTGTGTGCATCTCTCGACATGCGCCGTTTTTGTGTTGTCTCGACCAATTGTCCAGCCGACAAATTGTGGTTTGTTGTCTTGTTCATTCTCGTTCATTGTAAATAGTTACTCTCTGCACGCGTTCAGACTTGTATGATCTGGAAGTGTTGGCTGTGACTTGGGTACGGAGCGACCAGCGTCTTGGCCTCGATCACTCGGGGGAGCTTGAGCGCGGCCAGGCGTGGGGCTATGAGAGCCGCTGTTAGCCGAAGCAAGCCGTATAGACCATCGGTGATGCGAAAGTAGCCAGATAAATAAATGGAGCTGTCTTGACATTGTCAGAGTCTGTCCTTTGTCCCTCTCCCTCTGTCATATCAGTCATCTGTCAGTCGCTCATTACCATGGCCGCCAGAATCACTCTCCAGAGCTACCTCAAGGCTCCCAAGACGCCATCTCTCGCCAATGGCATCAAGAACACTCGCACCATCGCGACCTTCAAGGTGCCTGCCGTGAACAACGAGCCCAACGTAGGTTTTGTGTATCCAGGAAGCTATAGGAGCATGTCTGACATTTTGGTGAAGCCTACCTACTCTAGAGGCACCGTGGATCGTGAAAAGCTCGCAGCTGCTCTCAAGAGCTTCAGACAGCAAGCTCCCGTCAATGTACCCGTCGTTATTGCTGGCAAGACCGTAAGAACGACCGTCATCGAAGACACGCGAACAAAAGACTAAGACGCAATGCCAGATCTCGAACCAGACCAAGCTCTCACAGTCCGACCCCTCGGCCCACGCCAACTCTGTTGCGTCCTACGCCAACGCCTCTTCCCAGGATGTCTCGGCCGCTATCGATGCTGCTCTGGCTGCTAAGCCCGCATGGGAGAACCTCCCCTTTGCCGACCGTGCCGCCGTCTTCCTAAAGGCCGCCGACCTGATCGCTGGCAAGTACCGCTACGAGATCATGGCCGCAACCATGGCTGGCCAGGGCAAGAACGCATACCAGGCCGAGATCGATGCTGCCGCTGAGCTGTGCGATTTCCTCCGCTTCAACGTCCAGTACGCCCAAGACACATACGCCCACCAGCCTACGCACAATTCGCCCGGCGTCTGGAACAGAGTCGAGTACCGCCCTCTCGAGGGTTTCGTCTACGCCGTGTCTCCCTTCAACTTCACCGCCATCGGTGGTAACCTTGCTTGTGCCCCTGCTCTCATGGGTAACGTCGTTGTCTGGAAGCCTTCTCCTTCGGCCATGGCCTCCAACTACCTTCTTTACAAGATCCTTCTCGAGGCTGGTCTTCCCGAGGGTGTCATTCAATTCATTCCTGGCGATGCTGCCGAGGTGACCAAGGTTGTCCTCGCCCACCGTCAGTTCGCTGCTCTCCACTTCACCGGTTCTACCTCCGTTTTCCGCAGCTTGTACGGCCAGATCGCCAACGGTGTCGCCGAGGGCCGCTACCAGGGCTACCCACGCATCGTCGGTGAGACCGGTGGTAAGAACTTCCACCTTGTCCACCCTTCTGCCGACGTCAGCAACGCCGTAATCAACACCGTCAGAGGTGCTTTCGAGTACCAAGGCCAAAAGTGCTCTGCCACGTCCCGCGCATACTTCCCTGCATCGCTGTGGAGCAGCGTCAAGGAGGGTCTGATCTCCGAGACCGAGAAGCTGAAGATCGGTGACCCCGAGGACTACTCCAACTTCATCGGCCCCGTCATCCACCAAGGCAGCTTCGACAAGCTGAGCAAGGTCATTGACGACGCAAAGAACGACTCTGAGCTCGAGTTGCTCGTCGGTGGCAAGCACGACGGCTCCAAGGGCTACTACATCCACCCCACCATCTACGCCACAAAGAACCCTGCCCACCCTCTACTCAAGCAGGAGCTCTTCGGTCCCGTCTTGGTTGTCTACGTCTACGACGATGCCGCACCCAACGCCTTTGCCAACATTTGCAAGGACATCGACGCCTCGTCCGACTACGCTCTGACCGGTGCAGTCTTTGCTCAGGACCGCTACGCCATCCGCTTCGCCGAGGAGGCCCTCCGCAACGCAGCCGGTAACTTCTACATCAACGTCAAGAGCACCGGTGCCGTTGTCGGTCAGCAGCCCTTCGGTGGTGCCAGAGCCAGTGGTACCAACGACAAGGCTGGCAGTGCTAACCTGTTGGCCCGCTTCGTCAGCATGCGTGCCATCAAGGAGGACTTTGTCGGCAGCAACAAGGTCGTCTACCCCAGCAACGAGGTTTAGAAGAGCAGATTGAGCGATTTCTCAATCTTGCACGACTTTTACAAAAGGGGCGGCGTACATGGGATTGAAAAGGGGCGATATCCGGCGTTTTACACTTTCTTGTTGATACCTTTTTCTTTCAGGAGATAGCCTCCTTATGATAGATAGCCATATTATGTCAATGATGATGAACAAAAGAAGAAAGGACAATTCGTATTTACATGTTTACATCAGACACGTGTGAAATGGTGCATCTCGTTCTTGTCCGAACGAACACAACATGGTGCGGCAACATGTGCTGTTGCCTGGAAGATTCTCGCTCATATGTCTTCCACTTCTCTCCTTAACCAACCCTCAGGAGACGCCAATGAACGCCTCGCTTCCTCGCGCAAATATAGCTTTCTTCTTGGCCCGCATGGAGCCAAAATCTTGCTTCACAATAGAAACAACTATCGTCGTCCTGTATCTTTGGAATGTTATTACCAGGTCCCACCATGACCGTCCCTTCCGGCTCCTTTTCCACTACCGACTGTTCATAGCTGCAAAGAGAGATCACGATGGGGCGTCTGGCTTCAGCTCATTTGTATTTCCTTGGCCTGCCTTTGGGCGGCCTCGACGCCCTCTGGCGCTTGGCGGTAGAGGACGATTTCGCTTTGCTTGAAGTAGCGGCGGGCGTCTTCGTCGATGAGGACGAGGGAGAGGTAGTAGCGCGTCGAGTATTTCTTGTTTACTTCGCGGAAGGTTGGCGTTAGGTCGAAGCCGCCGAGGAAGAGACGGATGGGGATTGTTTCGCCGCGAGATGGTGAGCCGTCCATGATCTGGAGAGCGAGTCAGTAAGATGCTAGGATTAGATTTTGGTAGAGAGGTGCATACCTCGAAGCGCACGAGCGTCTCGCTTTCGTTGTATTGATTCGGCGGCACACCAGTGGTCTCGCGACGGATGATACTGAGTTCCATGTGCTTGATCTTCAGACGGACCAGCAAAAAGTAGATGCGGCCGACAATAACATCTTTCAGGTGGTATTTGCTCTTGCTGTACTCGAATTCAATGTGCAGGCAGTCTTCAATACCGACGTCCATCTTGATGACGCTGTTGGTCTCCGGTGGCATGCGGTACGAGTAGACCCAGAGATCCTTTTCGCGCACGACATCCTGCATACGGCGACTCACGGTGACACGCACAAAGTAGCGTAGACGGACATTGATGCCCGAGTAACTCTCGTACGGCTTCTCGACGTTCTTGAAGGTGAAGGGGAAGGTCTGAGGATGTTGAAGGTCGCCGGGAGCGGCAAGTTCTGTTTGCATGGACAGGAACTCGTGGTGGGTTCCGCGGTCGAAGAACATTTCGATTGTGCCGATGAATTGGACCTTGATGCCGGTGTGTTCTAGACGCTTGCCGTCTTTCGGGCGGACGGTGACGGCGCCTTTGACACTCTCGCCGTCTAGATATAGGGGGGCCTTCTCGCGACGGTTCTTATCCATCTTGACGTCGACCATGGCGCGTTCGTCGGCATCTTCGAGTACGATGTCTATGTCTAGAGGGGTGGACCAGAATAGCGACATGGTGGATGTGGATGCGGGTGTCGACCGAGGTGTCACAGGCTGAGAGTGGACAGAGGGAAGGGATGCAGAGGATTGTGAGCAAGCGTGGAAGGAGCGACGAGTTGGGCGATTGGGAAGTTGTTGCGTGTCTGGAAGGAGACGGACAGGGATGCTGCTGGCTATGACCGACTGCGACTGCGACTGGAGGCTGGAGCTCGCGCATGCGCCATCATCCATGCGGAGCGGACTTGCTTGGCACAGGGCAAGAGCGGAGGCCGGCGTTTGCACCTGCTCTTCTCCGCGTCTCTTGCCCATACATTTTTTTGAGCCCGCCAACTTTTGAATACTCGACTTTGTTTGCCCACATCCTCGACCACACATCATCTACAATGCCAAAGGTCGGAAAGCCCATTTCAAAGCGCACTTCAACGCGCCTGCGCAACAGCATTCAGAAAAAGTCTGCCGAGAAACAAAGAAAGCTCCGCAAGCAAGCGAAAAACGTTCGTCAACTTTTCCACTGCGCTCTTCCACCACTCGAGTACTGATTGTGCCCTCTCTAGAACCCAGAATGGAGGTCTAAGATCAAGAAGGACCCGGGTATTCCTAACCTGTTCCCCTTCAAGCAAAAGGTTCTCGACGAGATTGAAGAGTCAAAGAGGAGGAAGGAAGAGGAGAAGCAGAGAGCCCGTCTGTTGGCAAAGGCCCGTCGCGAGGGCATCGACGTCAAGGATATTGACCAGGTCGCCGCTGCCGAGGATGACGACGACATTGATCTCAGCGACATGGACGACGACGATGATGCTATGGACGAGGACGCTTCAAACCCTATGGCTGCTCTGCTCGCCTCAGCACGCGCTCGCGCACAGGACTTTGATGGCGAAGCCGAGGAGGATGAGGATGACATGGACGAGGACATGTCCGACGACGACGTTGCTGGCGAGGAACAGACTATGAACGCCCCTGCCGTTCGCAAGGACTCTTCCCGCCGTGCATTCGACAAGGTCTTCAAGAATGTCATCGAGCAGGCTGACGTTGTCCTGTACGTTCTGGACGCTCGTGATCCCAACGGAACACGATCAAAGGAGGTCGAGAGACAGATCATGGCTGCAGAGGCTGGACACAACAAGCGTCTGATCCTTGTTCTCAACAAGATTGATCTCATTCCTCCTCAAGTCCTCAAGGACTGGCTCATCCACCTCCGTCGCTCCTTCCCTACCCTCCCTCTCCGTGCCGCCAACTCGGCTGCCAACGCCCGTACCTTCGATCACAAGGCCTTGACCGTCAAGGGCACCTCCGAGACGCTCTTCCGCGCCCTCAAGACCTACGCCCATTCCTCCCAGCTCAAGCGTGCTATCACCGTCGGTGTTATTGGATACCCCAACGTTGGAAAGTCCTCCGTTATCAACGCTTTGACTTCTCAACTTGGCAAGAAGGGCAACTGCCCTACTGGTGCTGAGGCCGGTGTCACAACCAGCTTGCGCGAGGTCAAGATTGACAGCAAGCTGAAGCTTCTCGACTCGCCTGGTATCGTTTTCCCCTCCTCCGCTGAGGGTGCAAAGGCCAACCGCACCGAGGAGCAAGCCCGTCTGATCCTGCTCAACGCTGTCCCACCAAAGGAGATCGACGACCCCGTCCCTGCTGTCACCCTGCTTCTCAAGCGTCTCAGTGCCAGCCCCGATGGCTTCCAGAAGCTGTTGGATGTCTACGGTCTCCCTGCCTTGATGACCGCCAATGGTGATCTCACCTCAAACTTCCTTGTCCAGGTCGCTCGCAAGCGTGGCCGTCTCGGAAAGGGCGGTGTCCCCAACATGCACGCTGCCGCACAGACCGTCGTCACTGACTGGAGAGATGGTCGCATCCAAGGCTGGATGGACGCACCGACGCTACAACTCGCCAAGGAGGGTAAGAAGACCCCTGGTAACAGCGACAGCACCGGTCTTGTTGGTGATCAGAAGGAGATTGTCACTGAATGGGCCAAGGAGTTCAAGCTTGAGGGTCTCTGGGGTGATGCTGCTAACGACGACACGGCAATGCAGTCGTAAAAAGGGAGCGGGAAAAGTGGTTTCTTTCTGGGCATGGTCGCTAGTGCGTACGGAGTTGTCTATCTGTTCCTTTTTACATGTTGGTTGCATACACCTATTAACGAGATACCCGGCCTTGAACTAAGAATGGCTTGTCAATATTTTTTGATGCTTGTTCCAAGAGGTATCATGTCATATCAGAATGTGCTGTACCCCTAGATCAAGGTTTGACTCTTGACCTCTGTGTCGATGTGTATCGTCTCGTCGTCTCTTGTCATTCATTGAAAGTACGTGGAGGCGACGCGGTCTATGGTATTCTGAGAGCAGGTTCGGATTCGAGCACATGAAAGAACGAAAAGTCGATGTAACAGTACCATATAGCATACGAACATGACATAGACATGACAGAGGCTCCATGAGTGACTAAGAGTATCAGTCTGCTCAGCTATAGTACGACTTACTCATTGCGTAGCATGTTATATCGCCTTGAGAGTAATGAATGCTTGTTGACAGTGCGACCCTGTCTCGAAGCGAGAGTATGAGGCACGACAGATGAAGTTGGCAAATAATTCCAATTCAACACTATACTCTGGCCAGAAGACACTTGATATGACTCGATCTGTGGTAGCCAAAACAGTGTACACACACATCCAAGGACTGCTTATTTCTTATGGGATGGTCGCTTGCCTATAGGCGGCTCGTCCTGATTAGGTCAGCTTCCGAATGGCGTATAAGCCGTATAAGCGGTACAGTATGAGTGACTCTTTCGTTTTTGCTTTCAACAAATGCGCGCATAGACATATATATACTACTCCGCAAAAGATCGAACAAGAACAACAGCGCCTTACAGTTGATACGACAAGCCTTGAAAGCTATATCTCATAATGCCTCACCTTGATGAATACAACTTCTCCGCGCCTGCTGAGGTGCACTCGTTCTCAGCATTGGTGAGTAATCCGTTTCTTTATCTCGCAGGCCCCTAGGAACAGGAAAAGGGACCTGACTTGATGTGACCATTGATGTGACCAAATGAATCGGGTTTCTATCAAGTGAGGTTTTCCAATTGACATGTGCTGACTCGACTCACAGCTCTTCGATATGGATGGGACGATCATCGACAGCACCAATGCAATCGTCAAACACTGGCATCAAATCGGCAAGGAAATCGGCGTGGATCCTGAAGTCATCCTTGCCACCTCTCACGGAAGACGCTCAATTGACGTGCTGGAGATCTTGGAGCCTAAACTCGCCAACTGGGAGTGTACGTAAATCCCTTCTTTCTTTTGTCCCTCTACATCCTGTGCACCACCCATCCCAATCACCGAAGTTGCAATCCCTGGCCATCATTATCTACTCTTGAATCCTTGTCGTGAGGGCAAACGGGCTCGGGACGATCAGTCAAATGCTCACTCTCAAATCGACCAACCAACATGAGGGGACCACACCAGCCGGGCAATCTATCCATCGCGGAACAGATATGCTGTCACAGGGTACCTGTATCCAAGAAGAACTAGAGCAAAGTGGAGTGATCGGGCTCTCCACTCGAGCGTTATACATGTCTCTCGATGGCTCTGCCCAAGTCCCACTCACATCCCGTACCCTCCTCAGCTTGCCTATAACGGCTTTTTGTATGTCTCAGGATTTGCGGCCAAAATATGAAACCTCGAGCAGAAACACTTCCAATCAACGCGTCCATCACGTCGGAAAGGCTGGACAAACGGGCAAAACCACGCAACCCACCTTTGCACCACTCTACACACCCACACATCCATCACGACATGACTAGACATTTTTCTTTTCCACGCTTACTCCACCACCACCCACCACACGCGCACATGTCTCGCCCAGAGTCTACGTCCCTCGATGCTAACATGACTAGACGTCTGCGCGGCAGAAGGCGCCATCCCCAAGAAATGGGGCCACGACGCCGTCGAAATCCCAGGCAGCCGATCCATCCTCGAATCCCTTGAGCAGGTCTCTGCACCCTGGGCAATCGTGACTTCGGGCACTGAGCCTTTGGTCACGGGTTGGCTAGAGGTAATGGGTCTAGCTACACCCAAGCACTTGGTCAGCGCCGAGCAAGTCGCAAAGGGCAAGCCGGACCCCGCGTGCTACAAGCTGGGCACGCAGCGCTTGAATGTTCACGGCGATGATGTCCTGGTGCTCGAGGACGCTCCCGCGGGTGTGCGTGCCGGTATAGCGGCGGGTTACAAGGTCGTCGCGTTGGCAACCACGCATACAGTGCAACAACTGCAGGAGGCAGGCGCGACTTGGATCGTGCGTGACATGCGCAGCGTGACGATGAAGAAGTTTGACAAGGCAACTGGCAAGGTCGAGATTACCATCAAGGATGCGTTGGTGCAGTAGATGGGGAGGGTAACCATGGCATTGTTGCTCTAGGGAAGAGAGCGTTTGTGAACAGGCGGCATAGATGCCAACCACGCGGAACAAAAAAAAAATCATAGATTTAGACAAGTCATTAGAAGCGCCTTATTCTCGGCCCCTTTGTCACTTCGCATCTCTGCCCTTGTTCGTTCTTGCAAATCCATCTTGTTGCTATGGCAAGAGTTTGATGACAGGGGGTGGAGGCTGGAGTCTGTTTTCGCATTTGTTGTATCAGCAAAGCTGCAAGCCAGACGACCAAAAAACCGTTAATAGGGAGGGGCAACAATCAAACCAAAGAGGCAGCGACAATCAAAAGCCGGCCGTTGTAACTGCGCAAAAGAGACCCTCTCTGAACTACCACGAAGAAACGATTATTTCCGTGTTTCTGTAGTGATGCAATGATTTGCTTCACACGTTACAATCGTGATATCTCTCTCTGCCGTGGGTGGAGTATCTTTTGCGGAACGAAAAGCAAAGAAAAGAACTCGATGCCGAAATGTTCGTTTCACGTCTCATGGATATTCAGGCTTTGGCAGATATCAACGTCTGTTTCTAAGGGTCTTTGCTTCAATTATAGAAAGTGATCTTCTCATATGACGATTGTTCTGTTTCTAATCTGCTAGCCACGTTAACGTGGTGAGGTTGGTCTCGCAGAGTGCTGCGAAACGCGAGTGACGTCGTGTTGTTTCACTCTATCATCAGATCTACCATCAGATAGTCCTCGTGTTCGATTGTGATATCACTTGATGGTATTGACTGCCTTCCGAGTTGTCACCTGAGGTACGCCCAGGTCAGATCGAGATGTTGTCTAGCTCTGCATCGCAATGTGGAATATGTATCCCAAACAGCTGTATAATGATCGTCGGTATGCCCGAGGTATCGGGAGAGAAGATAGATCGTGGCTGTCTAACCATGGACGATGGAGTGATGAATCTCGGCTTTGATCGCTGCAGAATGCGATGTATGCGCCACAGATGCCTGGCCAGCGCAATACTCAGCTGCTCCAAGCTCTACGCCGCAGTGAATATTAACTGAGTCTACAGTTAATATATAATGCATGGCAACCCTGATAGCCGAGTCCTTATAGAAGCCCAGCGAAGATTGTGGCCGAGGCTTAGATGGGTGAATTCGGCATCTCCATTGGCTGGAGCCATTCTTGATGCCTGGGATGGAACATCATGCGACTTTATCTCAGTTTCCCTCTGCTTGCTTACTGCACATGTGCGTGCCTCTTGCTTCCTGCTTTTCTGCTTCCAGAGAGCGGTCAAGACGTATTCCGTACTCGTTTTCTTCAGCGAAGCGAGGAGGGTAGCCTTGCAGAATCATACATTTCGATCGGCTCTGCATGCGATGACTTACGGCCGAACATGTATAGAAACCTACTGCAGATAGTATCCTTGGTCCACCTCTTTACGCATCCAAGCGAGGGGTCATCATAACATGATTGAAAACGCAGACGTAAGAAAAGGAGGTCAGAAAATCTTGGAAAGCTGCAGGGTACCTGATTCATTCGTACCCGACCGAGCACTTACATCAATGCAGACCTTTGTCAACCCTGTCGCTGCATGGGCAGTAATTCTTTTTACAGATCTTTTTGAGTTTTTGTTTTCGTCGTGATGCTCGTGTGCCCTGAAAAGACGGGACAGGAACAGGCAAGGAATGTGTGACTTTTGTTGCAGGTACCCGGGAGAGGAAAGGCAGCTATTTGGGGAACATGAAGAAAGGTAAGGGTGGCATCTTTCGCTTCCTTCATGCTCCGTGCCGTGTGCGGATGCAGGCCAAGAAGCAACTCTCGGGATGTCGGAGCGTGTCACCATGATAATTTCAATCGCTTGCCTGTCGAGTCTTTTTTCCTTCTGCAGGTCGTGACACTGCGGACCCAAAAACAGCAGCACTGGGTGTCATCTCACATGCAGACACCGACACGAGGTGGATCGAGCATGCGACCGACATGAGTTGACAATTACCTTGTTCATAGCTGTGGTCATTTGCGGACAGCTACAGTGCAGCGCCAGCGTTCCGACTGCGAGATCCCGTCCGCCGGTAATGACTCCGCGACATGGTCGTCTTCAAGATCGAAAGTCATCTCGCCCATGCTCATGCGCAGGATCAGCTAGCTGAGCGTCTCGTAGCCAAGTTTTGGATAGGTGGGGAATGTAAGAGCAGGGCGGGGTCCTCGAACGGAAAAACAGAGAAGGAGAAAAAAAAGAACAAAATGTGCTGACAGATTGATCCAGCGAATCGGCGAAAGTCGTGTGTTTCAGAGGTCAACAGCCGCCGCACTTTTTGACCGTGGTGGGGGACTGAAGTCTGCGGCACTTGTAAAAATGCTCAGCATAAACGAGACGAGATCGCGCGGCGGTCGCAATGGTGACCAAGACGTTGAGACGGACACTCCAACATTTGTGATACACTTTTGCGAAGATACTTCTCGCGCCGACGTTTGAGCGAGTCTGATCAGTTTAGTACCAGCCTTAGTTGCCCTGTGGAAGAAGCCTTATCGTTATAGCGGTTGAGATTGTTGTCAAAACTGCTCACCTCAGGGCAGAAAGCAAGCCCGCCGGACGTCCCTTGAGTTACCAATCGCTATCAGGTGAGGCGCAAGACGTACTGCAAAGTAGTGAACCTTGGTAACCATACCCTGTCATCCTCGTCATCATATTCCAATCCTGAACCATTCCAGGACCCAGACGTGTCAGACCTTCGCTTCTTACAGCTGAATGTGGCTTGATTCGCTCTTTCTTGAGCTGCAAAGGGGGTGATTAGCCAGCTTTGCGCTGCCATGTTTGTCGCGCAGGGACATGCAGCAAGCGGCTACAAGCACGAACCGCTCCTCCGTGATTGTGGTGGATTACATGAATACACACCGCAACGTCTGTTCGCTTCATTACCGCCGGCAGTCTCTGACAATTTGTTCTTAGACTTGTCAGCAAAGGGGCCATAGCGATCGTGTTGCACAATCAACTTAGCTGCACCATGCGAAGGAATTCCTCGCTGCTATCTCTGTAACAGGAGGGGTTGTCTCGCAGAGTCGGCGATTTGGCCGGCTAAAGTTGAAGTTTTGGTTCTCAACCAACCACAGCCGCACAGCGCCGAGGAGGAGGAGGAGGCACCAAGGATGCGGGGACAAGGATGGACGCCATGACCGACGAGCCTTGGACACGCCGTGGCTAGTCCGGCAATTCCTTCAACATGATGGTTGTGAAGAAAGCAAGAGCGTCCTCTCAAGCTTCTCCCGACAAATGCATATCTCGGGCTGGATAGATTGCGCCATTTGCCCAATTCTGCCCTGATAGGAGTTCTGGGACGACTCGGGAGGTCGGATGTGCATCAGTGATTGGATGAGTAGATGAAATCAGAATGATAAGCACTCTTTCGGTCGATCAGCCGCTTCTGGCTGGACCCCTTTGGGCGCCGCGAGAATGCGTGGTCTTTTCAACACATCTGAGACTTGACCGTATGATTACTTTGGTCAAGCGAAACGAGAAAAAGGCGGAGTGCAAGCAGATGCAGTGGTGCATTCTCGCGTGCGCGAGTCGTGCATAACCATGAGTGCAATCTCCTGTCATAGCGCCTGGCAGCGCGCGCAAACCTCATGGCAAGTCTGACCCCACAGCTAACGGTGGGGGTGATGCGTCGGAAACGAAGCAGGAACAGGAAAGGACTGTTCTCTTAGCAGCGGCCGCTAAGCGACACTTTCGAGGCGCCGGCGCTCGGCTTAGCGTCGCCCGCTCCGAAACATGCGAGTGGATCCTCTTTGGCTGCTCTTGCTCGGCAGGCCCGTGGCGTAAAGTGATGATGAGCATACGGTCGATTGGAGTGGGCGCGTGGCTCGTCTCAACGACCCCTCTTGCATCGTGTCTACTAGGCGATTGCACCGGTGGAGCGGGAGGCGACTCGCGACTTATCAAGATACCGCAGTAACAATCGCAGATGGCACAGAGATGAGAGTTGCGGAGAATAAACACAATTCGTCCTCGAGCATGCATACCTAGTCAGCCGAGGAAGCGGGAAGAAAACATGTTTCCAGAAGCAGGGACCAGGGCAGAGCAGTAGCAAGTCGGGGCTTTATTTTTAGTCGGCGGTGTGCTGATTTTGCTGAGTGGTGAGCCTCTTCCCGCGGCAAGCGTCGCATGAGGAAGGGAAGAAAAGCAAAGGCATGTGTCTTTTTGACAGAGCATGGGCATGGCAGAGCGGCGCAATGGCGGATTGGCGCAAGGCACTCATCTCTGATGGCAGGGTCTGGCGCGATTCGGACAGTCATGGACGTTGAGTTGTGATGCATGGGCTTGTCAGTCGGGCTTGCCAGTTGGAAGTTAGGCGCGAGCATGTGGAGGCGTGTGCGCAGTCGGTCGTGACGAGCTCAGAGCACATCTGTGGCCAGACAGACAACGGCGCATGTGGTGATTTGGTTTGTGAGACGGGGGCGCTCAGACTCTGCGAGGCCGTCTTGGTGCACATCTTCTTTGGCGCGCATCGAAGCGATCTTCAAGCTCCCGCTCGGTCTCTGCGAGCCGGACCCGCGATCTCTGTGCTTGCGCTGTGCAGCCGCTCCCAAGCTTTTGGTGTTTGCACCTTCCGAGTCGTGATCCGCCCTAATCTCGTCGAGTCGCTGCTGCCCTTTTCTCTCGCAAACCCAAACACTTGTTTCTGCCCCGACGTTCGCTTTCCCAGTTCCTCGCTCAACATCATCCACCTGTTGATCTGCGTTGCCGCCAGTCACTCGCTATAACCCACTCCTCCAGCATCATTATCCTTGCCATCATCACTGCTGCCCCCTACTGCAGACATAATCATCATCCTACCCCCTCAACCACCGGCCAACCCGCAAGCTTGTTGATCCTGGCATCCACCGTGCGCATCTGAGACACGACCAGCCTCCACGCCGCCTCTTACAAACACTCCCGAGGACTGCCGCCGAGGCCTGCCTTCTTTCTTAAACCTTGCACAGTAGCCAACTCTCCGCTGCCCTTACCTAGTGCGAGCCCTCACACCACGCTCCTCGACACCATCTTCCAACATGGAGTTCGCCGACTATCCGGGCCTGAATGCAGACCTGGCAGCAGACTTCCATGCGCGGCACTTTACCAGGCGGGACACACACATGTTCTCGGACCACCTGGGTCAGATGCCGCATTTCAATCCTGCTGCCCTCGCTGGACTGGCTGTTGACGTCAAGCCGCGCTTGACAAAAGAACAGCACGATGTACTTGAGAACGAGTTCAGGAAACAAGCAAAGCCCAACACAAATACCAAAAAGAGATTCGCCGAGGTCTTGGGCGTCTCATTAGACAAGGTCAACGTAAGTAGCCCCAGGGCTTCACCCACCAATCGACTTGCTAAATCGTGCATAGAACTGGTTCCAGAACCGCAGAGCAAAGTCGAAGCAGGACGCCAAAAAGGCAGCTGGTGCTTACAACATGCTGCAAGCGCAGCAGCAGGGCCAACAGCAGCAACCCAGCTTCGTCGGCATCAACCCCATGGGTGGACTGAACAGCATGCCCGGCGAGCAGCCCTTCTGTATGCCCAACCTGTACAACGGTGTCCGTGACAACTCCATTATGGACGGGCCCATGTCTAGCGGTCTGGGTATTAGCCAGCCCGAGAGCACCTTTGCCTCGCTCGACCAAATCACATCCCAACCCATGCGCCATCAAGCGTCAACACAGTCTCTGGCCTCGCAGCACTCGGTGCACTCCGACTCGTTTTCCGACTCCAACAACAGACACACTTTGACCCAGGCTCAGTTTAATGCCTACTCGCAGCCCTCTTTCGCCAACATGTCGACCGCTGATAGCAGCGCGGCCTTGAACTCGACTGCCAATGGCGACTTTTACTCTGAATTCTGCGACTTTTCCTTTGACAACCAATCTGTTGATCCCTTGACGTCGCCTCCTATGCACTCCAACGAGAGCATCGATTCTTTTGCTCCTGACGCTGTGACTGACTTCAAGCTTTCTGATAACGCGCTGCGCAACGCTTCGTCTAGTTCGGATGGATCTGCCCCTTCAGTGACCATCTCACCAGCAGAGGACAAAGAAGATACATTCGACATGGAACTACCAAGTGAGGCCAAGGCTTCGCAACCGACTGTGACGTCTCCTCAATGGCAGCCTGGCCAGTCTGTACCTGTGGAGATGGACAACCTCCGCAAAGAATTCCAAGAGGCCGCTATGCGTCGCGACTTCTCGGTCCAGTCAATTCCCGACCCCAGCGAGTACCTCGATCAGCACATGGACTTCCCTGACGACGACTACAACCGTCGCGAATCTTCAACGGTCCAGCTTGCTCGTTCGATGCAGAGCTTCACCATGGCGCCACAACGGTCCGCCATGCCATCTTCCAGTATCGCCGCTCGTCGTCAGCGCCCTCGTCCCGCTCCCTTGGGCACATCGAACGCCCGCAGTACTTCTTACTGTGGCACACTGCCCACATCGCCCGGCCCCGTTGCTGGCACTCAGCCGGTAGGAGGTCATACTCTGCGCCGTATCAAGTCATCTCAAGCCATGAACGGTATTGCTGGTGGTCGCATCCAGAAGAACATTGGATCCGCCCAACGCTCGCCTTCCGGCTATACTACCTTTGCTGAAGCCAACAATGCTCGCTATGGTCGTCGCGTCTCGGCCTTCTCCCCTGCTTACGCCAGTCTTGCCGCATCGACTGCTAGTCTCGCTCCTCCAACCCCATTGTCTCCTACCAACACATCACACAAACTGCGCCAGATGCAATCCCAGCCTATGCTAAGACAAACGAGCTTGCCCGAGGGCGATGAGAACTACATAGTCTCTGGCATGAACTTCTCCCCACCTTCAACACCTCTCTACGGTGGACAATTCATTCGCAGCCGCATGGGAAGTCTAGCTGTCCCTAGTGATAACACTCCTCCTCAGTCGGCTCCTCCCACTCAGCAGTGTTTCCCCAGCGGTGCTTTCAGCCCACCTCATATGGCAGCAATGCCTATGGTTCAATCGCAGACCAACCCTCAAGGATTCCTTGGTATGCTGCCTAACGAGTACCCTCAGATGCACAACGTCATGTTTCCTGCCCAGCAACAGCAGAACCAATACCTAGACACTCAAATGTCGTACATCATGACAAGTACAGGCGAGGTCATTTCAGGATACCCCGTTATGCCTGCTTTCACTCAAAATCACATGCAGCAAGCGACGCCTCCTCACCAGCAGCAACCTTTCCTGCCATCTTCAAGTCTCAGCCCGGGTGTCCTTGGTTCTTCGCAGGTCCCGAAGCACATCAACCCCGGAGCCGATCTTTTCATCCACGAGTACTCACCTCCGCGAGACGTCAAACAATCTAATACTCCCCGTAAAGCCGTTGAGTCTGGACCCAAGAACTACACCTTTTCCAACCACGGACCGGAATACTTCGAAAAGCATGCCAAACAGAAGGGCAGCTCCAGTCCTGCATCCTCCTCCTGTGAATCCGCCGCCGCATAAAACCGACCCAACGACAGATTTTAATTTCTTTATCTGACGACGACACTATCTTTTACTCTTTTCATTGTCATGTTTTTCTTTTCTATGTTTTATTGTTTATGCCTCACAGCACAGGATATCCCGAAGCGAGGCGTTTGATGTCTGATTTCTTGTTTGCGCGTCTCGGGAAAGCTGAATTTGAGCTTCATCTCCCTTCTTCTTTTCAGTCTCTTTTACGATGGGTGGCCAGTTTACACCTCTTTACGTTCATCACTTTCTCTAATCATCTAATTACTATTGCGACAGTCTGGATTTTCTTTTTACTCTTTTCGAACAAGCAACGCATGACTATGTATCATACGGGAATACCCTACGGAAGGAACAGCGGGACTCTGGGTCAAAACAGGATGGACAAGGCCAAGAAAGACGAGGTGCACATCTAGATGCTAGCAATCATTTTCCAAATCAAGATTCGGCTCGATTGAGCACCTTCTCACAAGCATCGCACTTTTCCCACTGCCACCTTCCGTACGACTCGCTCACAGGGACCTGACGATCGTCTGATGACCTTCATACACACTGACGTGGCACGCATACCGCATAGTGGATAAGAGACGAAGCCGTTTGATACGCGCCTTGATTGCTTTGCCTATCGCGGATACCCACAACGGATACAGCGCTGCCGGCTAACAAGGCCTGGACATTGCTCTCTCTCTCTCTCTGGTTGATCATGTCAATAATCCCCGAAAGAAGGCCCTCTACACGACGGGATCCCGATGACATGACTAAAAGCGAGAGTGGGACGTCCCCTGTGCAAACGCTTCGAGCTCGATCTATCGACAAAGCCATCGAGGCAACTCCAGAGGGCATAGCGCTCGGCCTGTAGAGCCCTTTGGGACCTCCACACATGTCATTCGCAAGCCCAGCCCGACGCAAGTGAGCCAGGTGAGCGTGCCGGTCCGATGCCTTTCCATCGTTCGACTCCGCTGGTAGCGAGCAAAGATAGCAGATGGTCGGCAAGGGCAAGAAATAACGAGACGCTTGTTTCAGGTCTAAAAAATCATTTGGGTATGTGTAGAAGGGATGGTTGTCAAAGGGCCGTAAGAGGATCGAATAGACTCAACGGCCCGCTCCCGTCATGGGCTATCCGTATCTGGACGACATGCATAGCGACCTATAAACGTTTATACCCGTTCAACTCGATATACCGCTTTGGGAAGTTCTGGCGGTTTATCGATGCCTGATCCTTTGCTGCACACTGCACTCTCCGTACGACAAGAACCAGGCCTTTATTCTCGTTGTGACTGTTGTGTTCGAGACTGAGCACTCCCCCGTCAACGATATGGTCTTTTCCAACTGTGAGCCGTGTGGTGTAACGGATCATCATCCTTCTCGCAAGAAGAATCAGCTGACATGACTAGATGTCACAGGGCAAAGTGATGAGCAAGATCTGCCCATGACGAACTACTTTTTGCTTCGGTGGACCCAGGCAGCAATCTTGGATACTCGCACATGCACGGCGGGTTTTCACGGCGGGTTTTCCTTGCTGCCACACCTTGGAATAGGGCCCCGATCTATCCATAAAACGCCTATGGCTTGCATGAGAAGGGACGGGAAGAAGCAAAGACAGCATGAGTATAATGCAAGTTGAAGGTTCGCAGCACTAGCTCTTTTTCCCACACGCTCTTTCTTTTGGCTTGCTTGTACCCCAGATTGTTCTTGTGCTAGATGTAGTGGCGTGTGCGAGCGTGCTGGCGGATGCAGGTACCCAGATGCGCCTTGCGGCGACCGTTGCGAGCCGTACCTGTCTGGCCTCTCTACCGTCTTTTCTCTCTCGCACGACTCTTTGATGGTACGGGCAGAAGGCCATGTGACTATCTTGATCATACTCTCCACTCTGCCGAACCCGCGGATGAATATCATGCTGTGCAAGAAGCGAAGGAGGGAACGAAAAGGCAATCTCTACCGGTGATGTCTGACCAGCTATCCGCTAACCAGTGCAATGTCTTGTATTTTTTCGATAGAACAGTTATACAAGGGTGTGTCTTGGCTTTTTTGACAAGTACATCTCGTAAACCCATCGGAGTTGCAAGGCATGGCCTCGCTTGTGGCGTCTGATCATGTATCGACATGTCATGACACATGGTTGGAAAAAAAAGCCAAACGACATGCTTTTTCTTCTCCATGCTTGTGCTTTTGCAGCATGCTTTGCAAGCTTTAGACTCGTGCGATAAGCATAACTCGTCGTCCGTTTTGTGCGTCCAAGACGTTGCGGCTATAGGATGTTGGATGTAGTTTGATGTTGATCCACGTGCTCTTGACGGCAGGAGAGTTCCTGGCTTGCGGTATTTGTGATATCTTGGCTTGTCAGAGGCATGTACGCATCCTGATTACCAAGGCCAATGCTTGCATACTACCGAGAGTGGCGTTTCTATACTGCTTCCTCATGCTTCACTTGATTTGGGATGCAAGAATCAGGATAGCCGCTCCAAAGGCTTTGTGTTTCCTCTGGGTATGATGCTTCCAACCTTCTCAACAGACAGATCCGACGTTGGATAGCACTTCCCTGTCTCGGGACGCGATGAGGCTCTCTGAACGACACTCGAGTCGTCTCAGTCAGAAGAGCGTTGCAAAGCTGTCTCGGTCCTTGCAAGAAAAAAGTTGTTACCCGTGAAACAACTCCACGGTCTCTGCACGCTGGATTCCAGTTGTCATGTCTCTTCTGACTCGACACCTCGTGGAAGTGGTATCCACTGACTCTAGGATGTTTGATCTGTCTGCGCGGAGTATGGGTCCAATGGCTGTTACTGTTTTCCATCATTTTTTCGCGGGTTGCAAGTCCGGAGTCCAGACGAGGGAGGCTTCAATCATGCTCGGTTCCGGACTCAACGTTCACTTTGTCATGCTTGTAGCGCATGGCAGTCTGATCAATGACAGAAGGAGTTCGGGTTCGGGTCGAGGAGAATGGTAGGGAGAAACAGTCTCAGTGCCATGTGGAGGTGCAGTCTGGCTCTTTCAAATCGACGTTGATGGTTGAATAGGAAGCCGGAAACATTGAAAAGTATTTGGATGTACTCCGAACGAGGTCCACGTGTGGTGCAAGTCAAAGCGAAGCATGTGCGGAGAGGTAGGTTGACCCCTGAGTGGCAGACAAAGCGGAAGACAAGATGGCAGATAGTTCTGCTATGTTGAATCAGAGCATAGTAAGCCTAATCGATGCCATTGATTGCTATGAAAAGGAATGATGATGGAGTGGGCACATGGTGTCCAGTGTATGCTCTCAGAGAAGAGCATGGACTACGGTGGATGTGTGATACGATTCAAAAGGCCGACCTGAGCAGTGAGTGGTCTGTGGCGAGAGAAATCAAATGCTTGGACGATACTAGACATGGTACTCGGCTGTGGAGCCTCGAAGATGCAGAGAGCTCATGTTGCGCATTATGAATACCATGGGCATAGGCTCGGTCAATTGGGGATCCGTAACGATGAATTCTCCTGATTGCCGGCGACCAGGAACATTGTGTCGTTCCGTCGACCTATTCCATTGCTTTGCCGTGGTTCGAAGAATAACCACGACTCCAGTATGGAGAAGCTGGATGATATCGTCGGCTTAACGTCAAGTTCTTCGTCGGGCTCGTCGTGGTGGGGTTCATCCCCGTGCCTGCCCTCGCGACTCTTCTATTGCAAAGGCCAGATACATTGCTATCGTCTTGCTCTTGGTCGCTTCTCTTATCGCTTGCATATTCGCCCTCGTCTACGAGGCCACCAGAGCCTAGAAATATTGGACGACCAAAATTCATGTACATTGGGAAAGAAAGCAACAGGACTTGGCGTTTGGTACGAACAAGACTGAGAAAGCCTGTTATCTAGGTAATCGCAATTTGGGAGGCTCAAGTAGGGAGAGGAGGCATCAGCTTACCTGTCTCTCGAAGCTATTCTCTACAATGAAACATTCGATCCACCTCGTCTCTGCGATCCAAGTAACATCACTCTGTGCAATCGTAGTATAAGTGAGACCAGTCCGTGTTGTATGGGCAAGATGAAACCAGGCGATTACTAGGAGCGGAGGTGATCGTCGACGTCCGTCGTCGGCGGTTTCCCATGGTTGCTGGAAGCCATGGTTAGGGGATGAACGAAGACGGTGTAGCCGCCAGGCCGGAAAGGTCGTATATTCATGATAATGCTTTTTTCTGTTTTTCAAGGCCATGCAGGATCTTCACGACGCCTGAAGAGCGCAACGTATTTGTTGCCATTGTTCCTCGTCACCTTCTTGCCTTCTTCAGTCTCCTGGCGCATGACAGCCACACACTCGTCCGCCTCTTGCTCGGCCTCTGATACGCGCTCGAAAGATGGGTGAGCAGCCAAGTGCTCCACCATCCAGTTGTGAAGGTCCTCGACATCGGTAATGGTGTAGATGATACCGCCTGGCCGTAGGACATGTGCGTATTCCCTGTTTGATCTTAATCAGTCTGCCATCCTTGGTGAGCTCCCGACGTTCCCAATAGACTCACGAGTTTAGCGTTGTGCTGACGATTCTAGCCTTGTGTTTGCGAGCCTTGAAATGCGGATCGGGGAAGCATAGGAAGATTTTGTTGAGTTGTGCCTTGGTGAAGAAGTTTGGCAGGAATTTCATCGTGTTGGCGCGCAAGCAGGCAACGTTTTGGAAGGCCTGGGTTTCGGTATGCTGCGAACGCAGTGCCTTGGCCTTTGTCTGAACATATTCTGTTACTGCAGAGCGGATCTCCATGCCTGTATTGCTGTCCGTCAGTTCATGTGCTCTACCAGAGTGACACGGACGGATTAGTCGTACCCAGCAATAGTGTATCTGGCATTATAGGAGCCAGTGCGAACAGCAAGCCTCCAAAACCACATCCGATATCTGCCACCTCAACCTGTTTCGATATCCTTCCCACGCTCTTTTCTTGTGCAGTTGACGCATCCGTGTTTTCCTTGTCCTCTTTCACTGCGTATGCGGGATATAACTCTGCCCAGTCAAAGGCAGCGGGTGACTCGGGATAGGTCAGGTTGTGGTCGGAGAAGGGGTTGGCGTGGGCTCTCTGGCGGAAGAACTTCTTCTGTGGCAGCTTTCCCTCTGGCACTTCGCCACGCTTCTGACGCTTTGTTGGAGGTCCGACCATTGTTGCGAGTTGTGGTATCTTTGAGATGTTCAATGCTAGTGGGAAGCTGCTTGTCGAAAAAAGAATCACCGACTGCCAGAGCTTGCGGGGTGAAGCTACACGCCAAGACTCTATATGAAATACACCATCATTCGCTGTGGATAAAGGCCTCGATTCGACAATATGTCTATCCTATGTACAAAAGAAATGTCTATGCTGACCGCCGAAGGGGTATCATGAAAATGCGGCAGCCTCAAACTCAAAGAACGCCTGACCCCATCGACTTCACTTTGGGCCCTCGAACTCGTACACTGCTCCGTTGCGGCTCAGTACGGTTCCCAAACCTCCAACTACTTCCACTTGGAAGGGCTCGAAAGGCACCCTTTCGCCATCTATGCTGATGTATCCGGTCTTTTGACTTGCCCTCAATTTGGGACTGATACGATATGCGCTGACCTTGCGGTAGTTGACAACATCCATATCGAATGTCTTGTTCTTCTCAACGCCTGTAATCATCTCGATTGCCTTGTGACGCGGAATAGTTCCATCCACGTCAACCATGTCGATGTGGTTATCGCAAGGTAAAGCAGCGGCGAAGAATGGCGTATCAGCAGACATGTATGCCATATTTCCGCAGTAGAAGTTGCCTAGTGTAGGCTTGGAAGACCTTTCCCAGTCCGACGGCACATCTTGCAGCACGGTGCCATATCGAAGGGCAGGAAGCGAGTCATCTTTATCGCCGTCCAGGTCTTGATGTGCTTCCCACTCCCTCTTGCCAGAAATATCCTGGCTCTGGTGCCTGTAGTCCCTGTATGCAGCTTTGATGTCGGCCTTGTCGCCGATGTCAACCTTGACAGCGAGCTCGGCTGGATACACAGTCTTTCCTAGGAGCCTCATCAAGATGCCGACTGTAAACCTGGCACTGCCCATCCATCTCATGTTTTCAGTGCCCAAATCACAATCCGCAATGATACCGACAGCCTGACTCAAGAAACTCCAGTACATCTTCTCTCCCTGGGTGACGGCCATGAGATCCAGTGGTGTGCGCATACCCTTTACGATCGCAAGAGCAGCAAGAGAGGGTGAGTTGGTTCCGTTGAGATTGATAGACATGGCATTGCCTGTTCCGCAGGGAAGTTGAACAACGGCAATTTTTCGCAGAGCTCTCCTCGGTTTTGGTTGCTGGGCGAGGCCATTGAAGACTTCATGAGGTAGACCGTCGCCAGAGGCACATGCTACGACGTCGTAGGCGTCCACGTCTAGTTGGCGAGCGATCTCAACAGCATGTCCGGAATGTGTCGTTTCTTGTGCATCTACAAGACACCCGGCAGCTCTGAAGAGAGGGTCGACTTCGCTGTTGTACAGCTTGTGGGCGGCTCCTTGACCACCAAAAGGATTGACCAAGACTTTGATTCTCTTGTATCTCTGAGAGTTCCCGTAGGCCATGTCGAGCAATTTGGCTAGCCATGACTTGGCAGCATTGATGGATGTTTTATCGATAAGCGTGTAGGAGATTGTGGATGGGCGACACGAGTTCTTGGAGGTTGGCAGAGCATGTTGAATAGTCAATTCCAGGCCGTCCAGTGAAGCGTCGAGGATGTTGTAGTAAGGAATGGAATGGGTCGTCTTGGATCCTGGAGTTTGTGTTAGGCAAGCAGGTCGAGCATGTAGGCGGGGTGAACGCACTGGTCGGCAGTAGTCCACAGCAATTAGCAGCGTCTCTGTGGACGAAGCGATCGTCTACGAATTGTGAGTGAGGATATTCGAGGGCAAGCAAGGCATGCGACACACCAAAGATAATGATTGCATCGGCTCCAAGGGTCAGTGAGGCATCCTCGGTGACGAAAAGGGTAGCCTCGCCCTGCAATGCCGAAGGAGTTTCGTGGAGGGACGGGTCAACGAACGGATTGTCGGCAGGCAGCGACCCTTGCGACATGGTACAGTACCTCGCGAATAAGATGAACAATAGTGGACGGCGACAGGTGGAGGAATGGAATAAAGTTGTCTCTCCTTTGCCTCGGAAGCAGGGTCTTGAGTATCCGTCCAGGCCGCGTATTCGTCACGCTTGGCTCTTTCTCCTTTGTGCCAACTTACGTACGAATACGCTATTTGTGACGAGCAGGTCCATGTGGTGCCTCTATATCAAGGCATAGTGTGAGCCAGGTACCAGATCAAGCGTCATCTTGAAGACAGAGCACCATTGTTGCCATGTAGTTCTGTCGCAAATGCCCTTTTCCAGACCCAAGTGACGTATGAGCTCGGCCGCCTCTCCGTGTTTCATGAGCTTAGCCCGTCCAAATACCAAAAGTCTCGTTGAGCTTCTGACAATTGCGCGCAACCTGCACAATTGACAATTTCGCGACATGATGAACCCACGCTCAATACCGTTGTTGGGTCTTGCTTTGGTCTTCCTCAGCGCTCTGAAGGTCTCAGCCCACGGCGGTGGTCATGAGCAAGCCCCTATCCCCGCCGACGCAGATTGGGCAACACGGCATATGGCCGGTGAGCCTTTGAACCCTCTCGGTGCGTCACCCTCGCTGACATGCAGCTAGAGGAACATCACATCAACTCATTTGATGCCGGCTCGTTCTTCAATCTTCACGACTACGACAGCAGTGGCACATGGACCCCCGACGACATTCGCAAGACCTATGGTTTGAAAGACGAAAGCACAAAAGAGCTGGCTACTGAGAAGAAGGACGAAGTTGTGCGCAAAGTCCTGGAGCTCTTCGACAAGGACAGAAGTGGCACCATCTCGTTCGCTGAGTTCCTCGTCGGTGATGCTCACGGCATCAAGCTACCCGACTTTGGCTACGGTCCCGGCCACCATGGCGACGATGAGTACGAGTACGAGATCCACCACTTTGAAAAGTTTCATGGAGACGACACGACTGAGGAAGACTTGACGCACCCCGAAGACATTGCACACTTCCGCAAGCATGACATTATGGAGCAAGAAGCAGAGCGTCAAGCAAAGCTCGACCGCATGGAGATTGTCGAAGCAAACATTCCACAAAAGTTCCGCCGTCATGGCCACTGATCATTTGGAGAGGTGGCTGCGTGAGTGACGGGAGTTGTGCATTCTGTCAGGTCTATTCTCAACTTGGCATCGGCGTCAGGAGCAGTCCTGCTGGATTGGACTGCAGTTGGACTCTCAAATGTTATAGTAGTAGTAGTTGGACAAGGAAGCACACAGACGAAGACACGACATATTGAGACCTCTGTAACAAGTGCCTGATAATTCGAGTCACCGTTGCGAAATTCAATGTCACCTTGATGGAGAGCATCATGGCCAATCTCGAGTTGAGGCTGCTTGGCGGGGCGGATGTTTTTGCCTTGTTTGATCAGCACCTGACCGACAAAGTCGTCATGTCATCTTCCTCCTTTCCACCTTCTTCACACATAAATCACTGGACACTTCGCACCCTGCTGTGAGGTATACTGTGGGATCGTAGACACCATCGCTGCCAGTCGTAGGTTTCAGTTGTCTCACGTTTTCGTGTGCGTATAGGGTAGTGAGCGCTTTCGATCCTTAGCTGGCTTCTTTCTCGACGATTCGGGAGTATCTGCTGTTCTTTGCCCATCTTTTCACAGAAGCTGCGCTCAGTGCTGCCTGCCACGTTCTTGGCTGCAGTTTCCGCTGCTGCCGCCTAGTCAGCCAGAAGTTGTGAGACTTCTCCCACGACGACAACAATTGCGCGCTTGTTTGGACTCGCTGTTGTACAGTCAGCCTTGCCACTTTCCTCCACTGGTCACAATATTCTTTCAAGAGGAGGTTGCTTTCAGTTTTCTTTTGAGTTTTACACACAATGGTGCGCGCAGGTTCACGAGCTCCCTCGGTGGGGCAGAGCTCCGTGGCCAAGATCCGCGACCGTCGCAAGAAGAACTACAAGGTCCAACTCGAATCTGTCGTGACCAGAAAGAAAAAGCTCAAACTTCACGTCTGTCTCTTTGCCGCTCATCTCGTCAAGCTCTCTTACTGAACCGTCTCAACTCAGGACATTCAAGGCTCTGCAAGGCCAAAAGAAGGCTACACCTTCCTCCCTGTTGGCTACGCCGATCTAGCCGAGCGTTGTAAAGAAAAATCAAGACAACTAGGCGTCGACGTGGCTGTTGTCTCCGTGCGTATCTTCATCTCATGCTGGACCCTGCTTACAAGCACTTCACCCTGATCTCAGCTCTTTTTCTGACCATGCACTCAGGCTGGCACGAGACGCACTGGACCCGCCGACCCCCAGAGGCTCACACATCACGTCCATCGCGTTGGTTATCATTTCCGCTCCGACATCTTTGATCAGGCCTGCAACTTCTTGGGCTACCGAGAAGTCAATGGCAAGTTGATACGCGACACTGGTTTTGACACTACCTCCCGCTTCGAGCGAACAATTGCACGTTTTGCTCCTCGCCTCGAGCTGAACGCCAACAACCGATCCACCGAGCAGAGTACCAAAGTCAAAGAATACATCCGCGAACTCTTCCCAAAGATCCCCGAAGAAGACCTCGAAGAAATTTACAAGCGCGCGTGGGAGCAGGTTCGTGCTTTGGAAACATTTTGCAATGAATACACTAATCAACTGGAATCAGGGTACTACAACTGTAGGTAATGCAGCAGATCTTTCGCTCTCCAGACAGGTACAGTTGGCCACGATAGCTCGTATCAGGCATACATACACCGACTACGATAAGCTGCTCAAGATTGTCAGCTGGAAGGAGGCTCGCCAGATTGTTGAGCCCTTTTCACTGACAAAGCTGATTGAATGGCGCGGCGAGAACGACAATGATACTGAGGGCTTTGAGGAGATCCTTCGAGAGACTATTGTCATTGATGACGATGATGAACTAGATGATGCTGATAGCGACACTGATAGCAACATCGCCTCTGGAGATGAGGGCAGTGACACCAGCTTGGAGATCCTCCAACAGACTCTGGCTCCCAAAGATCTCAACGTTGGAGTCGGCGAAAGGACACGTAACGCTGTCACTTCTGCGGGACGCGCGACTGGCAGAGCTTTGCCCGCGGCTGTCCAAACTCGCTGGCAGAATGCCCGCATGCAACAGCAGCGTGCTGATCAGGCCCCCACGCCTCACGGCCATGGTGGTCAGATCTCTGTCCCTCTCGACCAACGAGGTAATGTCCCGCGCAAGGTTGTCTCAGAAGGCGTTGAGTATGTACGGGTGAGTTTATCCGTCTTCCTTTTTATTTTTCGTTTGGATAGACCATATAACCTCAAGTCTAGATATCGTCGAGTCCGGAGCCCGAGAAGGAGCCATATCCTCAACGCAGCATGCCTGGTGCGTGGCCTAAGAGTAGCGCCATGCCTGCATCTGCATATCATCAAGCTCAGGTGACCCATGGCCATCTTGCTGCTCAGGGGCTTCCAACTTCCAGGGCACCACAGCATGTCGGCACGAGCCGTCCATCTAGTGATCTGCCTATGTGGGATCGACTCGAAAGGCGACCCGTGTATCCGACACTCGGAGCGCCAGTCGTTGATTTGACCTCCTCTCCCGCTTTAAGGGGAGGATACGGAGATAGAATCTCATACGCAGGGCCTCCAGAGTTCGGATTCCGTCCTCTTGAGCTGCCTGCACGTGCCGCTGCTTCTAGAGAAGTGCAGCATCGCAACGTGTACAGGCCAGCTGTGACTGACGATGATGTAATCTTCGCCGGAGCGCAGAGCAGATCACAAGGCCGCCAAAACCAGCCGTACAATCATGGGGGCATCCACAATCGCGCTGAGGTGGTCAGGCCAGAGGACTATCCCATTCCTTCTCGTGAAGTACCTCAGCCCGAATATCCGGTGTTGGACCCACATTATGGTGACACTCAGAGAATGGAAGTGAACGTGAGACCTCCTCCTGGCAGTACCCTGCAGACAGGATCTACACAGCGTCAACCTGTATTTGGTCAACCAGCGTATCCTCAGATGAGATCGCAAACGGTGGCAATGCAGGCGGTGCCTCGCCCAGTGCATGGCGCGCCAGCTGCAGTACAGCCAATGCCAGCTCAGGAGAGAGCACCATCTGTTGGTCAAGGACCTTCATTCGGCGCACCATCTCCACAGAGATTCTTCATGGGCAACAATTATCAGGCATATTATGTGCCTGACAGATGAGATGAGTTGCTTCGCGGACGTCTATCATTTACACCATCAAGAAGGTCACACAGAACCTTTAGCAGCAAGGGTTCTTCACGAGTCCAAGGTCGATATAGATTTCTATCATGGCTTTGTTGCACATACGAAGAGCATGACGGACAGGTATGTCGACCATCCTCTCCCGACGTTGTCCCTTGCTAACAGCTATCCAGGCACAAATCATCGTATGAGAACACAACGGACGTTGAAGAAGGTGGCAGCACGATTGCATGATGACAGAGAAGGAAGAATGTTCATGTCATGGGGAGAGACGAAGGAGGATTAATTATTGCATCGAGAGGAGAGCACAGTGCTAAATCGCTGTTCGAGAATCACGCAACAGACGGAGGACACAAGGAGGAAGGACCAAGAGATGGAGAATACAAGAGAGCGAAGAACATGGGAGGAGGAGAACAGCATCGCAGGTATCGGCATCGGCATCAGCATCGGCGTCGGGCATTAGCATTGAGCATCGTTATATGCATCCACTTCTCTGCATCAGCGTCAAAGATGTCGAGGGCGTGAATATCAGCATCGTACAAAGCAAAGCATTGATTCGAGCCATCCTTTGCCATGTCCGTTTCAGTTACCATCTTTTGTGATGACCATACAGCCCAACACGTTCCCTCAAACACAGAAGAAGAATGAAATCAGAAAAGCCATCATTCTCTATTGATCCATGCACTCAGTCAACACTGGTGAGATCCTGAAACTCAAAGTAAACTGTGCCTCGGTATGCTAAAGAGTAGAGGAAAATCGACATGGAGGGTGCAGCATATAATCTTGATGTGGAACAACAAAAATGAATGGCAGGTAGGAGAGAAGCATCTCTGATCTCATCAACGGTTGCAACACTTTCCCAGAACAGTCATGTCACTTCCCCGAAGGTTCTCTGAACAGGCCAAAATCATAAAATACACACTGTGAATTTTGAACGGCTATAAAAGATATCCATAATACGCCGTTTGTTTTTGCAATAACCCTGCCCACCTGTTTTGCAAACCCTTCTCATTCGCCATTCGCCGGGAGATAGCAAAACACCAAGAAAAAGAGATAAAACCCCCCTTCAACAAGACTATCCATCAAACAATTCGCGATCGCAGTGAAGATTTCGTGCTGTTTGCGTTTGCCGCACACTTTGGTTTGACCATATCCATCCCGTTGTTCAGCCGTGAAATTCTTGACAGACGGCAATCGACCAAGTTGAGTGGGACAAATAAGCCTGTGATAACCCATATTTGACACAGCCAGGCGTGTAAGTGACTGGAGAAGTAACGATCGGGCAAGTAAAGAATCTGGTGCACAATCATGGGTAGAATAAAGAATATTGATGGTCACAAAAGAGTAAAAAGTCGTTTCATTAAGGTGGGGGTATCCGGGGTGAAAGAAGCTGGAAAAGATCAAGACGCCTGGCGCCCGTATCGAATGCAGCGCGTGTCATGAAAACTTTTTGAGTAAAAGAAAGGCGGGTTCGTGTAAGGCGAATTAAATCGCTTAAGCCTTCTCCTCAGTGGCGGCCTCGGCAGCAGGAGCGACGTTCTCGGAGCCGTTGGGGGCAGGAGCAGCGTCCTCACCACCCTGGGACTTGAGGTAGTCGTTGTAGACACGCATGGCCTCGTCAACCTTGTTGCGAAGAGCGGCGTCGTCGGTGGTCAAGTCGAGCAGCTCAGCGTTGTCCATCTCGAGGAGCATACCGGTGATCTTGCCGGCAAGCTCGGGCTGCTGCTCGTGGATCTTGGGGTAGAGGGCCTCACCGAGCATCTGCTTCTGCTGGGCAGGGGGAGCGGCGTTGAGGGCGTTAACATCAAGGGCGGGCGAGGCGGAGGGAGCCTGGGAGCGCTGCTGAGGGAAGCCACCCATCTGGCGAGGACCACCACGGCCACCGAACTGCTGACCACGACCACCCATGTTGGGGCCCATCATGTTAGGGGGCATACCAGGCATCATGGGCATGGGGCCACCACGGCCGGCACCACGACCGCCCATCATCATCTGGTTGGCGAAGGCAGGGTTGCCGTAAGCACCGGCAGGGAAGCCCTGCATGGGAGGAACGGGATAACCCATAGGAGGCTGGCCGTTAGGACCGCCGCGACCTCCCTGCTGGGGGAAGGCACCACGCTGGCCCTGGGGCATACCCTGGATGAAGGGCATCTGGCCACGGGCGGGCATGATGGGCTGGCCGTTGGGGCCGAAGAACATCTGAGGCTGCATGAACTGAGGGGGGATACCACCAGCGGCGGCGGCCTGCTGCTGCATGCGGACCTGGTTGCGGGCCTGGATGCTGGCCTCAAGCTGGCTCTTGCGGACATCCTTGCGCTGGGCGAGGGCAACGTAGAGGGGCTTGTTGTGGACCATCTTCTGGTTGAGCTCGGTAACAGCCTTGGTGGCCTCGTCGGGGTTGCTGAAGCAGACGAAACCGAAGCCCTTGCTCTTGCCGAGGATCTTGAGCTCGCCGCCAATCTTGACCTTCTCGAGGTCCTTGGTGACAGAGTCAACACCCTCCTCTGACTCCTCCTCCTTCTTCTCGGCCTCGACGGGCTCCTCCTTCTTCTTCTCCTCCTCGGTCGACTCCTCCTTGGCCTCCTCACCCTCCTTGGTTTCGTCTTTGGCGGGCTGGGTGTCGCGCATAACCTTGGCCGAGGTGATGGAACCGAAGGACTCGAAGATCTTGCGGAGCTCCTCGTCGTCAATGTCGTCGGCAAGGTTCTTGACGTAGAGGTTGACGCCCTGGTACTTGTTGACCTTCTCCTGGCGAGCGGCCTCGTACTGGCGGCGAAGTTCCTCCTCACGCTCGTGCTTCTTCTGGGCGCGGCCAACGTAAAGCTTTTGTCCGTGGAAGTCTGACTCGTGGAGCTCGTCAACGGCCTTGGAGGCATCCTCGTGGTTGGCAAAGTTGACGAAACCGAAGCCGCGGCTCTTGCCCTCGTTGTCGTGAGCGAGCGAAGCAGAGGTGATATCTCCGTACTTCTCGAACAGAACGCGGAATTCGTCATCGGTGACGCCAGTGTCAATGTTCTTGACATAGACGTTGGTGAAGTTGGCCTTCATCTCCTCAAACTTGCTCATGCGGTCCTTCTTGGGGATGTGGTGGCCGACAAAGACCTTCTTCTCGTTCAAAAGCATGCCGTTGACGCTCTTGATAGCAGCGTTGGCAGCCTCGGCGGTCTCGTAGTGAACGAAACCGTAACCCTTGGAGTTACCGTGCTCGTCCTGAGCGACCTTGCAGGAAAGAATGTTGCCGAAAGCGGCGAAAGTGTCGTGGAGAGCCTTGTTGTCAATGGCGACATCGAGGTTCTTGATGAAGACGTTGCCCTGACCGGTCTTGCGGAGGGCGGGGTCACGCTGAGACCACATGATACGGCAAGGCTTGCCCTTGATGAGGGTGTAGTTCAGCTCCTCGAGAGCACGCTCACCATCGTCGCTGCTGTTGTAGTTGACGTAGGCGTAACCGAGCGAGCGGCGAGTGACAGCATCACGGCAGACACGGATGGAAGCGACCTGGCCGATAGAGGAGAAGAGCTCGAAGAGCATGGCCTCAGTGACCGAGGGGTCGAGCTCACCAACGTAGAGCGAAGCCGAGTTGGAGGCCTGGTTCTGGTGCTGAGGAGGGGCAGCAACATCAGCGGAGGCGTTGGCACCGTTGACATCGGCAGAGGGAGAGGCGGGCTGGGCAGCAGCGCCGGAGGGGGAAGTAGCTTGAACGTCAGACATGTTGTTCGACTTTTACGATTTTCTGCACAGTGATACGTCAGCGCTTGTTCTCCACACGGAGGCTTGTTTGTGTCAAAATCGTCGTCGCAGGGTGCGAGTGGCACAAAGAAAGAGGGGGAAAGAAGTAATGAAGGACAGGCGACGAGAAAGTCGCAAGAGCGTTGTCAAATGCGGAAGTTGCTGTTTTGCGACTGCAGTTCCGGATATGCGACTGAGGGCTCTGCGCGTCTCGCGACCTTCGCATCGGCTGGAGGTGTGTTGATGTGGGTGTAGAGACGGAGCGTGCTCTAGGGATGGTGCGCGAAGGCAGAGACAGTGTATGCGCACCTTTTTCTTGTGAAGAGGAAAAAAAGTGATCCTTTCGATAGACTCGTTCGAGATGGATGAACCTTCGCAACTAGACGCTGGGAAGGCGCGATATGGGGTTTTCTGGGATTTTCAAATTTTTTTGGTACCAGTGGACGAGTCTTTATGAAAGGAAGTGCGAGAGCACGGAGGGGTTTGAGTGGTGGATGATGGGTGCGTACGGTGAAAGAGAAGTCTTCAAAGAGCTTTTTCCAAGCGTCCGCACCTGCCAAATCGTCGTTCGCTCGGCAACATCCGGAACCTGTCATGTGAGCCGCTTCTTTATCCTAGGAGCCTTTCATCCATCGTCACTTTCACAAATTCATCTGCATGCGGATGCGGTCTTGTTTGTCTGCTTCTTTCCCCGTCTGCCTCTTTCCACTTGTATACGTTTCAACATTCACGCTTGTCTGCTCGGCCGTCATTTTGTTGGTGCATTCAATCTCCATTCCTGCTTGATCAATTGACAACTCTCGCTTGCTTTATTCACCTGATCCACACCTGCTTGCTTGAACCTATACATTTCCATTTCAGACTTCCAGGTTCTCGTCCCAACCGCCAGTATGCTCTAGCCACAACTTGACCCTGTCAATACACTCCTCGATTGAGGCTCCCAAAGCCTCTCTCCACTGTCCTTCTACCTCGTGCACTTTCCCTTGCAAATCCTCAGTCAACTCCTGCTCCTTCTGCTTCTTGAAACGACTCATCTCTACCTGCACTTGACTCACACTCTCTCCACCCGCACTACGCTCGATCTCTCGCAATCGCAACGTAGCTGCCTCTGTCGCAGTGTGCACCTCGTGAAGAAGACATAGCAGGTTCGTCTGTGCCTCGATGAATTGATATGCCGACTTCTTGGCGTGTACCAGGATGGTGTACATGTACTGCAATGGAAACTCGTGATAGGACATGTTCTCCGCCAGCTCGTTGGGAGGCACAACAATGTCAAATCCATGCAGGTTGCTGGGCACTTTATGCACAACTTCTACCAGACCCGGTGCAATGTCCCAGAATGCCGACAGCTGGATCTCAACTCCTCTCGAAATGTGTCTCTCCACAGTTCTACGCAAGTGATCAAACCGTTCATAGGTCTCTTGTGCGTATCGGAGCTGTCGTCTTTGACGCTCATGTTCGAAGTGTTGTTCGGCCTGACGCAATTGTGCTTCAGTTGCGTTCTGTTGGTAATTGGTCAGAACGGACGCAGACTCTCTTGCAAGAAGCGCGGTGTCAATGTCGAATCGTTCTTTGTGGATGTGTTCTCTGCTCTCGAACAGCCACTTCAGAAGTGTAAGCTGCTCAACAAGCTCAGGCCTCTCATCCCCTTCCGTCTGGGCAAGCAAGTTCTGATCGCATCCAGCTTCTGTATCCAAAGCCTTTATTAATTGATCGATGCAATCGTCACAAGTTCGAGAGTGTTCAGCAAGCATCCTGTAGACAGGGTCATGGACACGTTGTCGGAAGTCTTGACACTGTGTATCGGCCTGCTTGAGAACGTTCGCAGCCTCAGATTGACGGAATGTGAGCTCAGCCTGAGTGGCATCATTGTAAGATATCTTTCCAGAATTGATGGACGCTTGCGTTTGCGAACGGAAATGACGAAGTCTTTCTCCAGCTACTGTTCTCCATTGTTGGCGCCTGCTCATCTCAACAGATTCATGTGACTGCATCAGTTCACGTATGTTCGAGAGATCTGCTACGGCTCGGTGGTTCGCTCGAAGCGCGCTTAGTGCCGGATGACTGTTGTTGACAGCAGGATAGTGGCGTGGATATGGTGGTGGGAGGGTGACGAGTCTTGTGACATCCAAAGCTGATCTTCCACTTGAACGACCAATAGGTGCCTTATTGCGAGGCAAAAGCAAAGTTGCAGAAGGTGGGTTCGATGGAGTGTACAAGCCATCCTCTTCGTGCCAGCCAATCTTCTCTTGTGGATATTCATCGGGTCCATACTGGAAGGTCTGCTTGCTGGTGCCAGGTGTTGGCGTACTCTGGTTAGGCGAAGGTTGTGCGGCGATGAACAGTTCCTGAGGATGCAGACTCATATACTTAGACTCTTGTCTGGTTCTTTCAAGCCTGCGCCCTCCGTTGCCGAACGAGCCGTCTACACTCTCTTCCCACCACCGACTCGCCGATCTTCCTCTCGAGCTTTCTTCATCCGGTACAGTACTGACGGCCATACTGGGAATCGGCGAAAGACACGGCTTGAACTTGTCACCCCATAGATTAGAAGGTCTTCTGTCTACGGCGTCCTGGCCCTCGTCAGGTAGAGATTCTGTATCAGTAGCAGGTGTAAGTTCCGCAGTAGAAGCGATAGATGTATGGAAGCTGCCATCCATCTCGATCATGATATTCGCACTTTCCGGACTTACATTGCGACTCTTGGACTGAGTGGAAGGAGTCTCTGTCGTCACAAGCAATGGCCTCCACATGTTACGAGTCAACTCCATGATGTCTCCAGCCATGGCATTGAAGGCCTCTGAGTAAAGCCCTCTTCGTAGTCTCGATTCTTGGACCATAAAACTCGCGAAAAGCTGCAACCTCTCCCGATCGGTTTGGGCCGCAACCTCTTGACCAATGAATGCTTGATATCGTTCCAAACTAGATTGTGCAAACTTCCAGAGTTCACTTGACTCTGAAGCGTTCTTGTCATCTGCAGATTCAGCATGGGACTGATGGTTTAGGAGTTGTGCGTTGTCTGTATGAGTTTGTTGGTGGTCCGATCGCTCATCGGGAGCGGCGACTTGGTGGAGTGCCCCTTTGTGCGGAGCAGCGACAGACGGCGTATATGGTGGTGTCAAAATTGTCAGATTGTTGCGCCCTTGCCCCTGATGACTCGCATTTGCGGATGACGAAGGTTGAGCTGGACTGGACTGAGATGAAGACGACTCGGCAGCTGCAGTGCGTCTCCTTCGTGGCAAATTATCAGTGGTAGCAAGGGTCAGATTGGTAGGTCTTGTAACTCTCAACTTGCTGTCGTCCAAAGTTTCTTGTCTCTGTTGATCCTCCCGAACAGAATCATGACCTTCCCGCTGGGCTCGACTTCGCGACCTTCGTTCACGTATACTGTCTGTTGTAGTGTCTCTGGTTGCTGGAGGTTGGTTTTTGTTGCTACTCTCAGCAGTGTGATGTCTAGCATGCACACGCAGTCCTATAAAGCCAGGGTCGTTGTCCAGATCGGGGTTCCAGTCGGAAGGAGTGGGAGGGATCTCACCAAGAGTGTTTTCATGTTTTCTCCTCACTGGAGGCGGTGGTGGAGGTGGAAGGACACTTGATGGAGTCATAGAAGATTGTGTTTCTGGGTGTCGCCTTGTATATCGGTTAAGACTCTGGGACCTGTTTTCTGGAGGGGGTCCAGGTGGAGGCGGTGGAAGTGGCATCCCAGGCTCCCAATGTGAAAATTCTGGCGAATTTCTGCCAGTCAAGGTCTGCTGAGGAGTATGTGTCAAGATAGCACCAGTAGAAGCTGCGCGGCGGGAGGCTGGTGGTCGCGAACTGGAGCCTGTAGACTCAAGGGGCACTTGGGCATGTAAAGAGTTCAGTGTAGATATCTGATCGGAGCTATCCGAACGCTTAACCCGAGCAGCAAGACCAGATATACTGAACCTCGAACGTTGAGGATCTTTGCCTACTCCCGAGCTTGATCGATCACGAGAATATGGGGTCGGAGGCGGTGGGAAGTGTGCCGAGGGTCCACTCGGTGGAGTGGAACGATGACTTGTTAACCCGGCTGATGATGGTTCAACTGACAGTGGTGAATGAACGAGACCTGTCATGAGTACCGATCGCATCGGGCGGGCAGCATTGTTAGGCGGCGGTGTATATGGTGGTGGAGGAGAAGGCATCGATGCTACAGCGTGGTTACTAAACATGCACACGAAAGCTCGTGCTGGTCAAGACCGTGATTGTGTTTTGTACACCAACCGAGAGTCTACTCACCTTCCATCCCTGTCGTATCTCTAGTGAGTCGCTGCGTAGGAGAGAAGGCCAGATGTGACCCGCCGACAACATTTCTCTGGCCCCACTGCTGAGGGTTATACGGTCTAGATGCCATGGTCAAACTGCCGTGAGTCGGATTTCCACCTCCAGAGGGACCGAACATAGGACTAAGAGGAATGCTTAACGAAGATACATTATCTCGAGGTGACTCCTGTGATCGACTGGAAGCATGGTGTTGTAAATTCGGATGAGACTGTCCAGAAGGTGGATATGCCCCATAATGTTCGCTCATCATATATCAACTCTTTAGTGCATAGCGTCAAGGATGTGGAAATTTGAGTGTGTCGTGGAAACGCGAGAGAGGAGGGAACATCACATCATGCGACGGCCAGAGGTCCATAAGAAGTTCGTGATTCAGACAAGCCACAAGCGCTCTGGAAACCCAGTAGTGACCTGATTGATGCTTGTCTGCATGGCCTACGCGACGTATGGCAAGCCATTGTGTTGAAGATCATCCTTGATTGGCCACTTGCATACAAGTAAACGCTGGGCGCTTACAGTTGCTATTCTAATCCAAAATCCGCAGATGGTTGTGTCCCCTGCATCGGGGCTAGAAAGTGCCCAGAATGGGCGCTTAGAGAAGACTTGGAGACGCTACGTTGGGTGAATGGCCTTTTCCAGAACGACATGAAGCGCTACTGCCCTTTGAGCGACAATGTCAGGAGATGGTCTTACTCCTGGAAGTTGAAGGGACAGTCTCAGAGTGCATCGGAAGGAGAGAAGAGCGACCGAGGTGACACTGGTGGGGGTGCTGTGGTGACTCCTTGGCGTCGAGGAGCACTTCAGTCTGTGAGACACTTTCTTCATCATCTAATAGTTGTGCCCTGTCTGCCAGCAAATAATAATGTGATTGCTCTAAATAAAGTTTTGTGCACGCTACGTCGTCCTTGGGGTATCTGGAACTCATCGAAAGATATTACAAGTTATCGCTAGAACGCAGTATGATGGTATAAACCCAGAAAACAGATCAGCCACCAGGTCTCGTCGACTTGGGTAGCAGTAAAACCGAAGCATTAAAATTGGCAAGATCAAATGCGGCCACCTTCCACAACCTCTCTCCCAATCAGCTCCAATAGGCCAGCCTCACTTGTACGTCGCCTCTCAAGGACCCAGCGCTTGCCACCATTAGAGTCTTCTTCGCGGACATAAGTGATGTTGTCTGCACCACTACCAGATCGTGAGTGTGTCTGGTATGATTGACGTTCAGGAGCTGCGGCTGAGTCCTTTGGAGCAGCCTTCTTGGCTGTCACAGGCGTTCCTGGCATCTCATGCGGACCAGACGAGTTCTTCTTAGGAGTTGAAAGGTTGTCTGACATGAAGAATGCGTGTGGAGGCTGTAAAGGTGAGCCAAGTGTTTGACTGTTGGTGACGCCGTTGGGCATTGAGGCGTGGACCGGCGATGTAGGACCAGGACTCGAGGAATGATTGGACGGGTTATAGTTGGAGTTGCTGTCGCTACTTCGCTGCCAGGCCATGGGAACACCACCGCTGGCACGTGGCATGAAATAGCCATTAGGCATATTCTGCGCCGCCGTTGTAGGACTGTAAGGAGCTGGCACGCCGAAAGACGAGGACAAGGAATTGACACTGTTGCTGCTGCTACCAAAAGCGCCCTGTTTGAGTCTCCGGAGATCTGCTAGTGTCATCTCGTCTTCCTGTAGATGCTGCCAAGCAAGAGGGCTCATGCGAGCTGCTGCCATGTGAGAGGGTGGAAAACCCGGCGATGGAAGAGCAGCAGCAAGAGGGCTGAACGGTCCGATATACGAGTTACGCGTGCTGAATTCACTTCGCTCAGTGATTGGAGTCAAATTCGGCTCCTTGACACTTTTTTGCCGTACGATTTCGATTCCGGGTGCGCCGAAGTAGCCACCGTTGATGGCCTCAACTGTGTCAGGATCGCTTCCTTGACGTGCTCTGGCGTAGAAACCAAACTCCTGGCTGTAGAACCCTTCGTCGTCATTCGCAAGGGCTTCTGAATTCGCAGCAGATATCAGGTCTGAATCGTCAAAGGCGAAGTCATCGTTTGGGAACTCTGGAGATGAGAAATTGTCATCTATGGTTGTACCATCGCTGAAGCCGAAATCAAAAGCCGAGTAAGAGCCTCGAGAAGGATCAGTCGATCCAGACATGTAACTTTGACGCATCTGAGGCTGCATCTGCATCTGTAATTGCAACTGCATTTGCATCTGCATTTGCATCTGGTATGGCGATAGATGTGGCATCTGCATCTGCAAGTAGGGTGGAATCTGCATCTGCATAGGCGGAGGCATGGACATTTGCGGTTGCATATACTGTGCCTGCTGCGAGACGTCGTCCTCGCTCTGTTCGTTGTCTTCGGAATAGACAGAATCAGAATTCGCCATGCTATTTTGTCTTGTGAATTTACCATCAGCGGCGGCCCGGTGTGCAGCTTCTGCCAAAGCACTGTGGTATGCAGAGAGGTTGTGGCTATCGCGTGGACCTTGCTGGGAATCATGTCGTGGTGGTTCCTCTTGAGACTCTTGCAACTGCTCGCTCGGTTGAGAGGAAATCTCAGAGAATGGCGAACCGGCAGAGAAATGTCCAGTCCCAGGGTTCTGGATGAGGAATGGATGACCGTCGACGTCGTGGACGGCAACATTTGATGGCGAGTATATGGAGGCAGTCGTGGGTATCTGGTGAAGGTGGGCCGGCTGATTGGGTCTCTTGAGATATGAAGGATCGTCGAATTTGTCTTCATCGAAGGTCTCGTCATTGTTCTCTGCCTCTTCCTCCTCGTCTTTTTCTTCTTCGCACACATCGTCAAGCTGATCAATCATGCCATCGTCAAAATAGAAGGAGTTGGCAGAAGATGGTCTGGCTGTTTGCTGCACAGACTCAGTCAGTGGTGTCCCAACCGAGGTTGCCGGCGGCGGGTTTGAGCGCAGTGGATTCTGGATTGTTGGTTGCATTGTCTTCTGCGCAGGATCAGAGTATAAGGCGCTTGAAGGATCTACAGATAGAGAGCTTTGGCCTGCGTTTATCGTCATAGCAGAGAGGCGTTCAGGCAGACCAGTGTTGAGATGTTCGTAGAGCCCGTTCGCAGGAGCGTCTTCCATTTCATCGTGATCGTACATTGCATCCTCATCGAAAGCATCCTCATCTTCATCTTCTTCATATTCGTCGTGTTCAAAAGTCGGAGAGGCCTGAGCGACGTTCGACTGGCGAAGCTTGTGTCTTTCTTCTAGCAGCTTCTCTTCCGCTATCGAGTCATTGGCAATTTGGAAACTGAAGCGCGAAGCTGTACTAGCCATATGCCTAGGCAACATAGAGGTGGGGTTCGGCAGAAGACTGGGTGACTGTTGAGGCTCGTATTGAGATGCCGGCTCTTGCTCGTTCCTCTCAGATTCGAGCTCTGGTTGCTCGAACACAATTTCGGGAGCGGGCTCGGGCGAGACTGGAGAGTACACGCGCTCGGGTTCATGATATTGCCATCCAGGGCCACTCATAGCGCTCATTGCAGAATGTGGAGAATCAGAAGCAGGCTCAGAATTAGATTGATCATCAAAGAGCTGGCTCCGACGACCGAACGGAGGCATGTTGAGTGACTCTCCGCTCTGATGCCATGAGTTGCGGGCGATGAAGTCGTTGTTGGCCAGAGTCTCGGCGTGAACCCGGTTCTGATCAGGTTCGCTATCGATATGTTCGACGAAAACAGGTGCATGCTGGACCGACTGTCTTTTGGGATCACGCTCGACCGGGTCCTGCTGGGAACCGATCGAGCCGTTGGCAGTCGAAGGTTTCGGAGAAGCTTCTGTCAGACTTGGATCATACGACGGCGTGCGGCGAGTTCTTGGAGCGCTGAAATCGTGTACAACTTTGCCTCTAATTCGAGGGTCATAATCGTCCGGGAGGTCCATCGGTGGTATGGCCAAGTTTTTGGAAGTAGTCTTGTCCAGGGTTTCGACAGCTTGTGCGGAACGCCTCCTCATGAGTAAATTGACGGGATTGAGCAGATTGAATTTGCCTTTGGATGATTTGTTCGAGTGTAGCTCTGGTCTTTGCTTCAAGGCCTTTGAATGCTGCGGGACTCCATTGACGGTGGACTCGGCCGGAAGTGGACGGTTACCTGCACGAGGCTTGGCCTGGGCAGTAGTCGAGGAGTAGGGTACCGAGAGAGCGGCCAGAGGAGATGAGGGTGACATGTTTGTGTGCTGGAAGGTGTGCACGGCACCTATCGGGCTTGTCACAGCCCTTCCCATCTGCAAGCTGCGCGGCCGTACAGCAGGCTCGGGAGCGGGAGTGGCAGCGGCAGGGGCAGGAGCATCGCGGAGCGGTGATGGTGTCGAGAGGTTCGATGACGAAGAGGGTGCGGACTGCTGCGGACTCGGGTGGAAGGTGAAGGCGGTATCAAAACCCAGGCCGGTAGGGTGGGCATCGTCGACGGCATCAGCGATGCTTGGTATGGGCGGTAGGACGGGCGCCGAGTGGGAGACGGGCGACGACGAGATGTGAGGGTGCGTGTATGACTGCGCGCGTTCGTGGGACGGCCTGGGCGAGTGGTTTCGACCGAAATAAGAGCCCATTCTCAAGGGATGGGCGCGCCGTCGACTATGGCTTCGTGCAGTGCGAAGGGCTTCTCCTGCGCGGGACTCGGTTGGTCGAGGAGCCTTCTATCTGGTCAAAGTCGATGTTCCCTATCAGACATCATGTCTGAGTAGCAGTGACAGAAGATGGATCGCTCGGGTATCAAACATGCAAGCTTTTGCGAGACGGCGGCCCTTTGTTTCAGCACTATCCGTATCACCGCCGTGCAAATTGCCAGACGACTCTGGTAGATTGACTTTGAGATCTTCCCTTCTGCACGTCACGGTCCCAATCAACTTTACAGTGCATCAGCAGTTACTGCGACGGCACGCGCAACAGCGTTGTTGAGCTCCGCAGCGAGGATCCAAACGGTCTGTCCGTCTGCCACGAAACCTGCCATCGGAGTTGAGTGAGAGGCTCTCATTGGATCTGACCACTCGCTGTTCATTCAAGCCACACCCGAGCCGCTCCGCCTTAAGAACCGGTACGAGCTTTTTCCCAACTCCGTCAGTCGTGAGTCGATCGATGACTCGCGAACACGAGTCGCGCCTGCCCTCGGTATGCACAATCAATCAACCCATTCTCAATTGCCTGATGGATGCATACCACACGACAGTTATTCGAGATTGACACTGCAACAACAGTCTTCTGGCTCGTCCATTTGAACGGTAATTAGGTCTCGCTACCACAGACTCTGAAGCCTCATCAATCAAGATTGAGCAACTTCTTATCTTTCATTCGCGACACGAGTCAAAGCGCTGCTGCTCTTGGTCAGCAACACCAAAATCCAACCGCGTGCTTGACCACCTGCTCCCCACCCTCCCGCGCGACTCAAAATATGGCACCTTCCATCGTGCATCTGCCCAATGGGCATAATCTGTCTGTCACGCCTGTCTTTGGCGGTCTCTCCTTCAAGTCTGTCGATGCTCACACCCATCACAATATCTTCCCTCCTGGCTGGACTATCACCATTGAGAGCGAGGAAGATGATGCTCCTGTCACCCCCAGCGACGACGTGACCCCTAGACATCGTGTCCACAGTTACAAGAAGCCGACGCTTCGAGGCGACCATCTGTTCATCTCTAGCATTTCCAATCCACCCAATGAGCACACTCCTTCACATTTTCCTGCATCCTCGCCGACTCGCCAAATTGCCATGATGCTATGGGCCACTCTGTACTGGTATTTCCAACAGCCCGAACCTGACCTGAAGGTCACCAACGCTACATCCAAAGGTACTGTCGAACCAGGCAGACCCAGGGGTGATTGGCGCATCAACATTAACCGCGAAGGTGTTTTCAGAGGAAAGCAATTGATGCAGAAACTGGAACGTATGGGCTTAATCGCAACCGAGGATTCCGCTGTTGGAACGTCTTTGGACCCCGACTCTTCCGAGGGATGGTCTGCTATGTTTGTATCTCGTCGTCATTTCTGGCAGCTTGACCCTCGCATATATCTCTTTACCAGCAATCCTCAGGTCAACTCTGCCTTGGTCTCCCACACTCACATCGACTCAAGACCAGACTCTCCCGCGCTCGGTATCTCCAGCAGTAGGCCTGACTCGATCATCGACAAAGCTGGCGCAGTGACTCCTACCGGCGGAAACCATGGTCTGTGGGCGCCTCCTGGCCAATTTAAATCATCCTCGCACATGCCCACCTTCTACCCACCTGCTCCAACGCAGTACATATTTACCGACAATGTCCGTCATCCACTGCGTCCCAAGCCTCCTCGACAAGGTGAAACATTCTATACGAGATATATCCCCAGTCTTGGCGAATACCTCTCTTTTCGTGTCGCGTCCCTGTCTAAGAGTCCAGTTCAACACATTGGTCCAGTGTCAGAACCAACTCCTGGAGCTTCTGAGCTTCGTACTCCCGCAAGTGCCAGCGATTCGCACGTTCCGATCATCGGCACTATGGATCGTGAGATGAGCGATGCCGAGCTTCTCCACAAATGGATGAACGATGAGCGAGTTGCGTACTCATGGGGCGAGCAAGGTCCTCTATCACACCAGGAAGAATTTTTGAAAGCCGGATTGACCAACAAGCACACTATACCAGTAATTGGATGCTTTGACGGAAAGCCTTTTGGATATTTCGAGATTTACTGGGTCAAGGAGGATAGACTGGGCTCTTACTTAGGGTACCAGGTGTCAGACTATGATCGTGGAGTGCATCTCCTGGTCGGCGAGCAAAGGTTCAGAGGCCCGCATCGTGTCAAGGTTTGGTTGAGCGCGTTGGTTCATTACTGTTTCCTCGCCGATGCCAGGACCGAGACAGTCATGTTGGAGCCAAGGGTCGACAATACAAAGTGAGTGATGGTGAACACATGCGTCTCGAAGATCCAGGACTGACGACATGTAACACAGATTGAAGCAGTACTGCGAAGAAGTCGGCTTCTTCAAGGAGCGCGAGATCAGCTTCCCGCACAAGCAGTCAAACCTTATGAAGATTCGCCGCGAAGCCTGGGACGCTCCAGCTATTTAGAGGGTTTTCAGTTGTGTCTTTAGAGGGCCATGTCGCACTTTTTAGACGGAACCGAACAGTCGAGAATAGAAGTAACGTAGAGTTTGTAAAACAGTCGTGTTCGCGACACCAGGCGCATGAAGATCCGGAGTGGCAGAGAATGAGGCACTCTAGACGGACGTTGCAAGATACGGTTCAAGCGATAGCAAACCTAATGTGATGAAACCCCAACGCTCCGGAGTCCGCCAAGTGGGTGAGCGTTTCAAACCGCGAGTCTGCACGACATGCAGAGATCCAGACTTGCGTCACCCTAATTGATCTCGACGAGGGGGCAGACTGTGACATGCAACAACAGGTTACGATGGTCTCGCGCATGGCACCGAGTCTCGTGAACAGTCACGCCGGGATGCGGAGCGAGATGGCGCATGCTGGGCAAGGATGTATCTCATGCAAGTAGACTGCGTAGCGCCGGAAACCCCACGAGTTGTTGACGCGGCAGAGCACCAACCGTCCGTCCTCCTGCGCACTTTTTGGGTGGGCGATTGAGGGCGTGGGCGTAAGCGTAAGCGTTTTCTGCCACTTTGGACAAGGGTTACGGTAAACAATATGCGCAGGGCTGCCCGTGTCGAGAGAAGTGGGCGAGCGCCTTGACGTGGGTTGCCCGTGTCCGCCGTCCGTGTTGTTATTTTGATTAACACACTGATATTTCTGCCCTTCTTCTTATTGTTATACCTCCCACGGACGGACGACACACCCCTCCCCCGCGCTGAACAACTGTCCCGCGTCAGTACACAGATGGCTCCGAAGAGATCAGCGGACGAAACGAATCAAGGCGCGCAGATGCCTGTCAGCCCACGTAGCAATAGCAGTGTTCACGGAGACGACGCGATCCTAAAGGTCGACAGCCCCAGCGAGAAGCAAATCGCGGAACTCGTTGCTTCGGAGAGTGCGCTTATGGACTCGGCCGACGACCTGGACATGGATGACGAGGAAGCTGTGGAAGATGAGGACCTTGGACGACCATACAAGCGCATCTGCCGTGGACGTGAGAGTGCGCTATCCTTGGCCATGGCTGATCAAACCAAGAAAAGGTAGGTGACTGCGTGCTTATCTGTGTGCCTTGTGTTCCCATCCTTCTTGAGGCCTGAAAGGCGCCTACACCGAAGAAGATGAATGATCATATTGTGGATCGCCTGGACTCCGATAAGATGAACATGAAGCTGATATTACTTCCTGTTCTCAGCACATTTTCGAAACCTATTCTCGTACGCGTTGGTACTCTGACCAACAGTCAAGACTTCCACGTCCACGCCGCTCGTCTCGCTGCCTCGTCACCCTACTTCACCGAGCTTCTAGACAAGCAATCCCAAGACGATATACCTCTCGAGCTACCAGAAGATGACCCTATAGTCTTCCAGCTATACGCCCATTACATATACGACAAGAAGAGCATAACATCCTTGGACCTAGCTGCCTCCAACACAGCTCTGGACTCACGATCTGCTGCTTACGACACATATATCGATTTACTCCAAGCATACATTTTTGGCGAGAAGGTCCAAAACTCGGATTTCCAGAATGAAGTCATGAACCGCATTCTGCAGTGCATCGGCGACATGCACAACGGCAAATCACCAAAACCATCTGCGCTCACCGCAAACAAGGATGAATTACCCTCAGCATCTTCGTCGGAGAATATTGTACGGCCGCTCATCGAACTGCTGTATCCGTCACTGCCACCTGATTCCATTGGACGAGGCTTGGTGGTTGAGACATTTATCGTTCTTTGGAGCCACTCGGACGTGCTGCAAAACTTTGTGCCGGATGTCAGTAGGGAGCTGCTGACAGAAATTGCCGAGATGCTGTTGAGTGGAGACAAGGATCATATCCGCGATGCTTGGGCTCAGGCCATCGATGGCGATTACTCGTACTATCACTCTGCCAGGTCTGATGAGCACTAGGTTGCAAAACCCGAGTTTGGAGGTACGGATAATTTGAGGGTTGTTTACATCTGTTTTTTACTTTGCAGGCTGCTGGTTCACGCGTGCTTATCTCTTCTTCACTTCTCTCACTCCTCTTCTTAGATGCATACACCTCTTTTCTTTTTCCGGTCGTATAATGTCTTCCAATCATGGGAACGGGTGGTCGGATTATCTTGGATTTGCTGCCCAGTCACGACGTCTCACGAAATTGCAAAAGATCTGATCTGATGAATTTCACATTGTCTGTCTCCAATCATTTTCTCTCGTAGCCCAGGATCTCAGGAATCAAGAAATATCCAAAAACATCAGCCATTCTATCAGTCTACCATTCTCAACCAGCACACAGTCCATGTCTACACGTGAAGAGCACTCTAGTCTAGAAAGGCATGTCCATGTCCAGCACATCTTCCTCCTTCTTCTTTTGCACCGGTGTCTTGCCATTAGGGTACACACTGCGGATGAACTGTATCACAGCCGCGATGTCCCTCTCGCTCGTCGGCACAGTATGCGTACCAGCATGTCTAATGATGTTCCCAGCTCCACCATCAACACACCTGTCCGCAAGAGCCAACGACTCGCTTTCCTCGACAATAGTATCCATACTGCCCAGAACATGCAAGACTGGCGTTTGAATCTTGGGTTCGTAAAAAGCAGTATACCTCTCATGCTTGTTCAACAGTCCCGAGAAACAAACGCCGAATTTCAGAGGTGGGTGCTGAAGTTCTGCAAATGAAGACGGAAAAGCCATGCCATCTTTGACTCGAGCAAAAGCATTTGCTCGTCCTGCTTCGAGCAGCGAAGTCACCATAGCGGCCAGAGCAGCGCCTTGACTAAACCCCATTACTCCATCAAAGGGACCTTGTTCCTGCAGCACTTTTGCCACAACGTTTAGTCCTCCATCTACACCTTCTTGGGCTTCACCGCGTTCTCGCAATTTCCACCATCCGTTTGCGTCTTCTCTGACTTCTGCTCCGTTGAGATCGGCAGAGGTGACTGCGAAGGGCCCGGTGGGATAGATGAGGTCTACTCCGTTGATGCGTTCATCTGTGGGTATGGGTGAAGTAGCGAGAGATTTTTCGAGTAGCTTTTTGATGCGTTGGGTTTTTGCTTGGAAGAGGGGGCCGGATTGTGTGTAGCCTTGGTATCAAGTTAGAAGTGGTTGGGAGGGGTGGTGGTTGGATGTATTGTTCTGACCATGTAACATGAGAATTTTGAGTTTTCTAGCATTTTTGTCAATTGTCTTTGAGTTGGGAGGCATAGTGTATCAGAAATGAATGGGTTTAGAACTGCAATGTGGTTGAAGTGTAGAGGATGGAGAGGCGAGTGCTCATCGACATGGACGTTGACACTTTCGCCCCAGGCTGTCATTTCCTCTTTCGGACTTGACACTTTCTCGATCATATTCTTCTTCGCCTGCAACAATGTTGACACCACATCATGTACGGAGACTTGGATCTCTACCGCTTGGTGGTTGCTTTCTACAATCAAAAGTCATGCCAATGACTCCGACCTTTGCCTTGAAGCAGTTCCGAGTTTATGTTTCAAGGCACGAGAGCATGTCATATAACAATAATGTTGGACTCAATCGTCTTGAGAAGCCCCGGCTGCTGTTGCCTAAAAGTGCCTTCTGGAGCTGTCGAGGGACATGGAAGAGAGCAGGAATCAATACACTTCGATGTCTCGTAGGATGTACAGTCGGCGATTTCTCTGCACTGTGGACGCTACAGACATATGCACCAGACTTGGGCATGGGTACTATTATGGCTCTATCAAGTAAGTAGTCCCCTCAGCCCGCCACTACATGATTCAAATCGGCAATGTCGACTGATTTCCAAGCGCTGATGTGTATCTTAGTGACATGTGGTCTTGGTACCTCGATCGCATTGGAGACAGGCCTACTGCGTTGGGGCAAGGACAAACTGCCCATGAATATGGCATTCAAGACAGCAATGAGCATGAGTTTTCTCTCGATGCTAGCCATGGAACTGGCAGAAAATGTTGTTGACTTCCATCTGACTGGTGGAGTGATAGCACTGCAAGATACACGTTTCTGGGGTGCTGCAGTGATTAGTATTGCGGCTGGATACTTAGTGCCACTACCATGGAACTACTATAGGTTGAGAAGATGGGGAAAGGCGTGTCATTAGAGTCGATGATTGAGAAAATTGAACGCGAGAGGTTGGAGAGGGTGGATGATACAAGACCAGATTTAGTGACCCTATCGTTCCTTCTGCAAAAGCCGAGAGGGCCGACTTGTCGCGACCAGAAGCTGAGCTACGACACTTTCCTCCCCTCGAACACACATTTCTCAGAAGCAACCACCGACATTTCATCATGAGTGAATTACCAGACTCCCCATTATCGTCGATAGCTTCGTCAGACGAAGCAGACGACCACATCAGCATCAGCACGCCGAATCGCTCAGCCAGACGCAGCATCGACCCAGACCACGCAGGACCCCCGAGCAAGAAACGACGTACCGGAGGCCACCCGGCACACACTGGAACCCCTCACGGCGGCACGATAATGGGCTCCGGCCTCGACGGCATGGAAGAGTCGGAAGCAGACATCAGTTGCGACAGCGAGGCTTCGGCTCCAGGATCACCCAGCACAGACGAGTTCGCCATGCGAGCCGACCAAGTCACCACTTGCGCATGGGAAGGCTGCAGCGTCGGTGATTTGGCCAACAGTGACGAGCTCATTGCCCACGTCCAGAACGATCACATTGCCCCTAAGCGAGCACGTTATACCTGTGAATGGGGAGACTGCGCTCGCAAGGGCACCAATCATCCCAGTGGCTATGCTCTCAAGGCTCACATGCGAAGTCACACCAAGGAGAAGCCTTTCTTCTGCCACCTTCCAGGTATCCCTTCCAAGAGCCTTTGTATCCTACGACCCAGCTAACCTTGAACCAGAATGCGACCGCTCCTTCACCCGATCAGATGCTCTCGCCAAACACATGCGCACCGTTCACGAGCCTGAGCCGCCGCGCGCCGCTGCAACAAACGCCAATCCCATCGATCCTGCCACCGGTCAGCCCAAGAAAGGTCCCAAGCTTCGTCTCTCGATGAATGCCAAAGCCTCGGCCAAGTCTGCTGCCCCAGACGTGCCAGTTCCTGCACCTACGCAAGCACCCGACGACCCGTCACCTCCCATGGATAACATCCAATACATACCCGCACGCCATCCTATAACTGGTCAGGCAGGATTCATGATCACCTATCCTCCCGACATACACTTCTCGCTCTTCGAAAGCGAGATTCCAGCAAATCAACTCATGCGCTTGCTCAGGCGTCAACTCCACTGGGCTCTGAAAGAGAGCCAAGAACTGAAACAAGAAGTCGACGGGCTAGAAGAGCTGCGTCGCAAAGAATGGGCAGCAAAGGAAGCTCTGTTGGAAGGTGTCTTGCAAGGCGAGCTCGCGTCTGCAAAGCTCGACGAGGAGATCCTAAGTGACATGAAGGATGAGGTGTGGGGTCCCGAGTCAAAAGATCTGGACTGGACTGGCGCTCCATGGTGGACTGGAGAGAAACGTGCCAATAGCGCACGACCCGATAGTCCAGGCATGGACGTGGACGATGCGATTGAGGAAGCAAATCTCGTCGCTAATACACAACAAACGAGTGCTTCACAAGCAGAAAGAGATGAAGACATGATGGCGGTCGGTGCATTGATGGGCCTTAGCGGAGCCAGTTAGTCGCTGCCGTGGAAACACAAGAATACCCCCTATGCGCTAGCAGTGGACCGTGGAAACGCCATGTTCTAAACCTGGCATGGATACTGGCAGGATGGGTTCGACCGCTTGGAGCAGCTGTCTGCAGATCAGCGCAAGCTATGCGAGATGGCAACGGAGAAGATATGACTTTGATTGGGAATATGCTTAGGTATGCAAAGACAATTGCTATCGACAGAGGAAACGAATATCCTTTTACCATCATCAGAGCTTGGTACTCCTGACCAAACCCTTCTTGATACCGGTGAGTTCACCACCGTAGCCACCTCTTCCTTCACCGCCCTTGTAGACTGGCTTGATGGAGGCAAGCTTCTTCTTCTTCTCCTCGAACTTCTTGCGCTTCTTGACACGCGGGTTGCGCACATCCTTTTTCCTGTGCGGTGTAAGACCCTTGTTCTTCTCAATCGCATACGTGATTGCTCTCTTTCCATCCGGACCCACTTCCTCCTTTTCAATGACCCTGCCGCCTTGGGCTGCTGCTGCCTTGAATGCAGCGGCCTCGGCTGCTTTGTCTGACTTCTTCTTTGCGACTTTCGAGGCGACCATGTCGTAGTAGTCTTCTTCACCGTCGTCGAGATTCTTCTCTCCACGCACTTCGCGGGCAACAGCGCGGTCGTTGTCGTCTTCGCTGTCTTCGCCGAGCTGATCGCGGTCGAAGCTCTTGCCTCGTGCTTCTGCCTCCACTTGCAGACGAGCTTGTCTGTCGCGCAGACGCTCGCGGTGCGGTACATCCTCGTCTCCGCCCTGCACCTTGGCACCGCGCTTGTTTGCCTTTTGGGCGATTTGCGAAGTGTAGAAGCGCAGGGACTTCTTCCTCTTTGCCTTTTCGGCGAGTTCGGAGGCTGTGAGGGAGGTGTCTTCGCCGAGGTCTGAATCGTTTTCGTCGAGGGCGGCTGTTGCTGCTTGTTGTGACTTCTTTGAATTTTTAGGGCGGGAAGAGGTGGTGGTGGTGAGGAGGGCGTCGAGGTCGCCAAAGTCTGCTTCGGTCTTGCGTAGGCGTTCGGCGCGGCGGGCTTCTGCTGCTGCTGTTACTGCGTCTGCGGCGCGTTCGGCGGCGGTTTTCTTGGTCTTCTTGGGGAGGATGGCGACGGGGATTTGTTCCTCTTCCGATTCGCTCGGTTCTTCCTCTGATGCTCCTTCCATGATGTCCTCGTCTTCCGAGTCGTCCTCGGGCAGGTCTCTGAGGCGTGACCAGAGATCACGGCATTGGATCAGACTTTCCATGACGGGGTGGTCGCGAATGGTGGCTGCAGATAGAGCGAGACCTTTCGTTTGCTTTTCCTGGGCGGTAGAGGTAAGGAGAGCGAAATACATGGTTAGCGAGGCGAGGTAAGCGGCAGCTGCTTGCTGCTTGGTCTGAACAGCAAGAGATGGTGATTCAACAGCAGAAAGATCCTGGAATGTTTGGTGCAGGGTGAGCAGCTCCTTGCTCAGAGGCTCAAACTCCGGGTAGCGTGTCTTGAGTAACTTGAGGCGTTCGGTGGGGGCCATTTTGTCGTCCAGTTCGAGTTGAGGCAGCACTTCGGTGACAACCTCGCCATCCTGGTCTGCGTCCTGTTCGTCCTCTTGTTGCCAGTCTGCCTCGTCGAACCCAAAGTCGGCGGCGCTCATGGCCTGTAGCTGCTTCTTTTGCAGACGCAGAGCTTCCTTTTCTTCGTCCAGTGCGTCTTGCTCGGTCTCGATGGCATCGGCGTTGTAGTAGTCTTGCTTGGATTCACCCCATGCACCCATATCGTCCTCGTCCTCCTCTTCATCCTGTGCATCCTTCTTCGACTTGTTGGCCGGTACCTGTTGCTCGTCTTCAAAGTCGTCGTCGTCGTCATCTTCGGCTTCCGAGGGGCTCGAGTATCCTAGGACTTCTTCGTCGGATTGTTGCAGGAATTCCTCTGTATGTTATGTTAGAGTCTGTCCAGCTTGCCGATATGTACAGCTGACTGTACCTTCTTCCTGGACCCTTCTCCTCCTCTTTGCCTCGGGTCCATCATCCAGCATGATCTTGTCGCGGTTGATGTGGAACTCGTCGTCGGAGCCCGCCACATCTTCGTAGGTCTTGATGCGCATCTTTGTGCGCTTGTTCGAGTCGTCTGCAACATCGTCCCTAGACGCTCCAGCAGAAGATGCCTTTCTCTTTTTCGCCATTGTGATTTTTTTTGGTTGTGATTGATTGGGATGGGTAAAAGTCACTATAGATTTGAGAATTTCTCGGGAGGTCCTTTGCGCAAACTCCGATTTGTCCGAGGCTTGGACTTTCCGCTTGACTTCAAGTTGTGGACTTCGAGTCCTTCGTCATTGTCAATAAACATTCGACGACGCATCTTGTGTTAACTACCAGACATGAGAAACAGATTCCGTAATGCAGGACTTGTCCAAATAGCCACGGCTTCCAAGATACGATCTAGCCCGCTAAGTTCAATGCTACTACCACTGCTACACGAGGACATCAAGAGATCTCGTCCACTATTTCATTTCTCAACACTGGATGTAGTCGGTTATTACAAGATCTCCGGATAACATGTTGGCCATTGTAAGCTGTTCCTCGAATGTAGGCGGGATCAAAGTGATCAAAGAACAATGCATGCCGGATGCGGAAAGACTCCACCAAAGCGACTCATCAGAACACTACAACCTCTTTGTCTGTAAACATCGCTATGCCTCGTCATAAAGGTAGGTCAAATATGTGTTTTCTTTCTCCTCTCGATATCTCGAGTCTGGATACGTCCCTCGTGATCTTTGATACAGTGGAGCAAAGGCCGTCAGGAAAAAAGATGCAGACTCCACCAAGAACCCCAGCAAGCCCACAGGAGGGTAGATCAGGAGGTCCCAAACGTCGTCGTCGCAACAGCACCAGTAGCGATGCCGATGAAGACGGTGCCGTCTTTCTAGGAAGGCGTCGTCGATCAATCTCTCCTGAGCCAGTTTCAGAAGAAATCCAACCGGAGAGACGACCGCGAGGCCAAAGGAGCCCTCGTCGCTACAGCAATGTATCCGAAGATGGAGCCGTATTCATGGGACGAGATATATCTCGCCCAAACACCCCACAGTCCTTTCGTCGTTGCACTCTTTCAATCAATGTGCCCGCGTCTAGAGGGCACCCTCCGCCTAGGTCTCCCATGGGAAGACTAGTATATTGGCTCGAGAGACCCTTGAACTACGCATCTTGGACCGTCGCACAGCAACAAAAGTTTTGGAAGGAAGTCGCTCTGGCTTTGACGATTGTGGTTTCATTCCTGCTTGTGACGAGATTCAGTCAACCGGATTGTCCACCTCGGTATACTGCAGTGTCAGGGTCAGATGGCGGCGCTGCTGTTTCTGTACCTACCCACCATCATCATTATTCTTCGACCTCATCAGTACAGTCTCCCACCATAGTCCCCGGGGAGTCAGTCATACCCTCGAGTCCGGCAGTCATACCCTCGAGTCCCATCGGTCCCCTCAGTCCCATCAGCCCCAACAGTCCAGCTTTCCCAGGACCGCACGTGTCAAACCCGGGTAGCATACCAAACCCAGATCTTACCGCCCCAAGAGGCGTATTGGCATCAGAACTCTGGACATATAATCCAAAGACGGTCGCATACGCATTTTCAGGGTACATCATTGGCAATCTCGGAAACCTGATCCATAGCGCGTTCTGGGGACAAGTCGGCAGTAAAGTCGTGAACAAGGGCTATGAGGCGTTTGCTGCTGAGCCTGATGTTCACGGTTGGGATACAGCGATTGCGAGTCAGCAGAACAGAGCAGGGATACTTGAGGCTTTGAGAGGTGTGGAGGAAGTGAGTCCGTCTTTGCAAGTTCAGCTCAGTGCTCAATTGTTTGCAAATCAGTCTGCAGATGCCAGTGACAGTTTGAAGCGAATCGAGACTCTTGAGGCTTTGCAGACACAACTAGACGAGTTGAAGGTTCATCAATACGAGATTGTAAAGTGAGTATCTGAAGCCCAGGAACAGCATACGAGAAAGAACAGATGACTGATCCATCCCTCATCACAGAAACCTAGACCTCTACCACCGCGCCTCGATCCTCGCCTCCTCGGCACTAGATGACCACACTCTTTTTGGCAGCACAAAGCCCGATGCCCTGAAATCGCTAAACACGTTGCGTGTCTCGATGCTAGAGACCGCTTCTGCACTACTCAACCACATTGACTCTGCTGATCAGAACACCGCATTTGTCAAGAACTTATCAGAGGGTTTACCTTGGAAAATGCAAAGGAGGAGCAGTCGGTGGCGGAAGTTGTTGAATGGGTGGAGGTCTAGAGGGGTCAGGAATGCGTTTACGAGATTGGAGCATTTTGAGGTTTATGTTAATGCTGTCAGGGGCATGGTTACGAGTGATGTTTTGGCGTTGAGGTAGGTCGGTTGCAAGAGGATGACTTGTCAGCGTAATGATGGCTGTGTAAGAACTGAGAAAGGAATCTATACCCGGATAGATATCGAAGAAATGACGAATGCTTTTCCAGAGGTGGCCGGACGGGAAGACAGGGTGTGCTCAGGTAGTGTTGTTCTTTTGTTTCTAGCAGTGCAATATAATGCCGTCTTTGTACAACCGTCTCGTCTCGACCCGCAACTGGCCAATGCCCTCAGAGCATCTCAGGTCCCAAGCTTCAGCTCCTTCGGAGAACACTCATCGCAAAGCTCTATCAACAAACTTTTGCTCCAACTTGGCAACCTCTGCCTTGAAGGCCTCGACCTGCTCCCAGCAATCCAAAGGCCTGCGATCGTTCAACCTCAAACACTGCACCAAGCCCTCCTTTGCCTTTTCCAGGTTCGCATCAGCCTTGTTGTCAGCCAGGTTCTTGCGACGCTCGAGCTTGCTGCGCAGCTCGGCGACTTCTTTTGACACGCTGTCGTTGCTGCGGTCCTTGGGTTGCGAGGATGAGGGTGTGAGTGCCGAGGAGAGCTTTTCCTTGAGCGAGGGGGAGGAAGAGGAGTCGGAAGAGGAGTCTTGCTCGTCAGAAGAAGGGGTCAGGCGCTCGGTGTATTGGGCGAGGCGGGCGGCTTCTTCTTTGCGGATGCGCTCGAGTTCTTCGGTTACGCGCTGTTGGATCTGGAGTTCGAGGTTGCGCTGGCGGGTCGAGTCGGTCTTTGGATTGTGTCAGAACTGAGTCGTTTGGTTTCTTTTTTTTCTCGATTCCCATGTTTATGATACCTCGGGGCTGTTCTGTAGCGAGTCGACGACGGAAGGTGAGAAGCTGACGGGACTGTCTCTGTTGGGGTTTGTCAGTGTTGTCGCATTGGGAGTGGGATTGTTGCGACATCGTACGCAGCAAAGACATATTGCGAGCCCTGCGGCTTGGAACTTCCGGAGCCCATGGTGTGTGATGTGGCAGGTGCGGGAAAGAGGGTTCAATTGCAGAAGGGAAAGATCGATCGTCGTTGTTTCAGTCGTGATGCTCGCTGCTGCTTGCTATGTCGGATTTGCCAAGGCTGACCTCCGATTGCTCCGACCCGGGCGCAGAGAAGGAATAAAAAAATCAATTAAACTCGGCCCTGTCCAGCAAACACCAACTCCACACGGCACAACGCGTCCTCCTTCCCTGGAAAGTCATGCAGACATCAATCACCACTTGGTTCAAGAAATCTGCTGCGGTCAAGCAATCTACTGCTGCTCCTTTGTTAGTAGAGCCAGAGATTTCTACAACACAATCGGATGTACCTCACAACCAAAATGGCTTTACTCCATCACTTCCGCAACAATCACCACAACCCACCCTGACCTCGCAACCAACTCCACCAACAACGACAATAACAACAAAATCGACTCTGCCATTTTCACATCCAGGAATCCAATTAGTCAGAAACATCACCCTAGTTCCCTGCAACAGTTCTCTCATCCCATCTTTCCAACGCCTAAACACTTTACTGCTACCAATACCCTACCCCTCGACCTTCTACAAAGAAATCCTCTCGGACCCCACTGCCTCGGACCTCACTCTACTCGCCCTATGGCACGACGACCCTAGCACCTCAACCTCAACCCCAGGTAGAGTGATAGGCGCAATACGCTGCCGCATCCTGCCCGACCCCTCCACCCAAGCAACCCCTAAAGATAAGATTCTATACATCAGCACTTTGGGTGTGTTGTCGCCTTTCAGAAGCTATGGCGTTGCGACGGCTTTGTTGCATGTAATGATTGAGAGAGGCATAAGCAAGTATGGGGTCAATGCTGTGGGTGGCCATGTGTGGGAAGCTAGTCAGGAGGCTAGGGAATGGTATAAGAAAAGAGGATTTAGAGAAACGCATTTGGAGCAGTGTTATTATCGGAGGCTGACTCCTCAAGGTGCTTATGTCCTGAGGAGGGAGATTGGGCCTAGTGATCTGCTGGATTGTGGAAGGGGTGGGACGAAAGGCTGTTCATAGACGATGATCTTATGCTTCATACCGTCATGATTCACGAAGAAGATGCGTCAATGCTTGATGGTTTGTAGAAGTGGTCAATGTACTGGGATATATGTACATACATGTACCGGCTTGGAAAATATATCAAAAAAGAATAATGAATAAAACGCCCTGGCCAAGTTTATTCCGCATGCTCATGCGTTGAAGATTTTGTAATCATGAGAAAATCGTTGCTCCTTCCACTTCCCTTTACTGGTACTGCTTGAGCTGATCCTGCTTGGCCAGCTTGTCGGCAACAAGGGCGATCAAAGCAGCTCCAACACCGCTACCGTCTTTAGCGATACCGATGCGGATGCGCTTCTCGCCGTGCTTGCCAATGCCCTCAATTTGCTGAAGAGCCTCTCTGATGTACTCCTCGAAGCCAGGGTAGAATTCGACAAGCGAACCATCGACACCGACATCGACCATCTCGTCCTCGTTGACGGTCTCGTCATCGGCAGTGGCAATGTCCTTGGGTGCTGAGAGCTTGTCGGTTGCAAGGACAACGGCAGCAATGGCGACAGCGGACAAACGAGCAGCACGCTTGCCAATGGCGGCGGCGATCAGCTTGACAGCCTCAGCATCCTCGGCACTGGCAGCGTGGACGCCGTAGTCCTTGTCCAGAGTTTGGCGAGTGACCTTGAAGCCGTTGCTGTTGTCGCCGTGAGCGATGGACAGGAAGCTGGTGTCAAGACCCCATGCTTGCCACAGAGGGCTGTTCTCGGCGAGGCAGGTGGTGCTGTGGACATCGTTACTGCTGCTGTTGTCGTCGCTGAAGAGACCAGTCTTGCGCTCCTTGACCAGGTCGACGATAGCCAGACGGAGAATCTCACCCAAGAACATACCCGAGATACGCTTCTCGAACATCTGAATGCCGGGGTTGGGAGTCTCCTTGTCCAGAGAGTTGTCGTAAGGGGTGTTGGGGAGCACGGAGAGCTCGTTGTCGAACGAACCCCACTCGGTGTTGATGATCATCTCACCAGTGGTCTTGTCGACATCGGAGCTGTTGGGATCGAGCTTCTTGACCTTTTCAAGCTTCTCGACGTATGCGCCGTTGGTACCAGTACCGAAGATGGCACCCAAAAGAGTGCCAGTCTTGCCGGGGGAGGTGTATGAACGAGCCATGAGGGTTCCGACGGTGTCGTTGACCAGAGCAGCGACGCGGACAGGCAGGTGCAGAGCATCAATCTCGTCCTGGAGGAGCTTGCAGACATCCTTGCCAACAGCATCGGCAATGTCGAAGCCCTTTGTCCAGCGGATCAGAGTACCCTTGTTGATGCCAACCTGTTCGACGGGGAAAGAGAAGGTGAAGCCCAAGTTAAAGATCTCCTGCTCTCTGAAGCCACTCTCGGAGTGGATGGTGGCGCGTCTGCGGATGGTAGCGTGGTAGTGTTCGCCGTGGTGGGTTTGCAGAAAAGTAGCAATCTGCTTTGCGAGGAAAGAGAAAAGCTCCTTGCTGGTCTGGGCGACCATGAGCTCGCGGGGGATGGCGACCTTGGACTGGGTGAGGGAGAAGGTGCTGTCACCGTTGAGGTTGATGGAGCAGACACGGAAGTTGGTGCCACCGAGGTCGACGGCCATGTAGAGACCCTGTTTATGTCAGCATTGTCTCTAGCTGGGTGGTGCAGTTCAGGCTCACCTTCTCGGTTCCGTTGGGAACAGCAGTCACGTAGGTGGGAATCTGGCTCATGGTGGTGCCAGACTTTTGCAGGCCCTCGTCTGAGTCCAATGGTTAGCGGAATGCTCATATCTGAAGGCTTCAGAGCAGTAAACATACCCATCTGACGAATGAAGGCCTTGACGGCCTTGTTGACCTGGTCATCCGAGTACTCGAACTCGGCGGCCACACGGGCGGCTTCTTGTGCAAGACCCATATTGCGAGGTGCACTTGTGTCGAGCAGCGTGCTTGTGTGGTCTTCGGTGGTGTGAGGACAGATTAAGTCCTGCAAGAAAGGATTGGAGGGGTTGTAGCGACAAAAGTCAGGACGACCCGAGTCTAGTGGCTGACTTGGCTTGCGTAGCGAAGCTATGAAGCGGGGCACAAGCAAGAATTGGACACTGAGGACGAGTACGAGGAGGGCGACAGCGTACAGTGAGCGAGAGAGAAGCGAGCCCTTTTCAGATCGGAGGTCGCGGAGAAAGGGTGGGTCTGAGCGAGATGAGGATGGGGAGCGAGATGAAGGAGTTGGGAGAGATCTGGTGCGTCGGTGGTGCGCCAGCGTGAGGATATGTATTCAAGGGCGGAGGGGCAGCACTCGGGTCTTGTACGCGAGACGAGTGGGAATTAAGTAGCAAGCCTAAACCTGCTATTACCTGATGTCTTGGACGGTGCCGTGACGGGTCTTTGTCTTGATCCATCGCATCGAGACTCGACAGCTAAAAGTTCGTGGGTGCGTGCGCCAGAAGACATCCACCCACGTCACGCTCTTGCCTTTTTGACAGCGTTTCGTTGATGCCGAAGAACGCATGGCGGACGCTCCTTCTACATTGACCACGCGAGCCTTGCTTATACCATGTCAACAGAGTGAGCTGCTCTGTTTACCGCTCATCACCTGTCCTCCGCCTTTCCCCTCTCTCCTCTCCGACGTATCATCTCACCATTCTCCATCCTCCCACTCGTCATTCTCCGCGCCCAACCGCAAAAATTGCCAAAGCGCCCGGTACTTCTACGGAGCCTCTCCTGTTTTCGCTTTCAGCCTCGAACCTATCGGCTCACCCAATTCTCTAATTATCGTCAAATTCCTGCTTGTCGTCTTCTGCTAGCCAGCCAGGCCCCTCTGTAGCGGTTGTAGCCCCTGCTCATGACCACTCTTCGTCTGACTGGTCTTGGTCAAGTTCGCAGGTCTGGTTCTGTTGTCAGAACGTGCTCCATTGGTCTTGTACCACCGCGGCTCGGTTTCAGCTTGTTTTGGCATCACTCGGCTTCATTCTCTGACTCGGCTCCGTGCTTTGCCCAAACACGCCGACCTGAAGAGCCGAGAAGCATTGAGGGGCTCCATGGGACCACCAGCAGCTTCAAGCGAATCGTGCCCTCTGGCACCAATTCTGAGTAGGTCTTTTCCGACATGCAGTTGACCAAGTGAATATGAGCATATACGCCTCCTAGCGTCGTGAGTGCATTTTCGCTTACCTAGTCTAAAGTAATGGCAATCAATTGCAACCCGCCTCGTCACCTCAAACTAGAAGCAAACATCAGCTGAGCCACAAGTGCATTGCATTTGTGCGTTTGAGTCTCGGACTGAAGGCCAAAATCATACGCGCACCCAAGGATGCTATCTTCATAGCAGTTGATACCGAAGGTGCTAAGGCCAACCTCACAGAGGTGGGTATCTCAACTCTTGACACGCGAGCGATCAAAGACATCGGCCCTGGTCCTTCCGCTCTGGAGTGGGCAAAACATATCGAGCCTCGTCAGTTCCGATTGAAGACTGGCAAACGCCAACCAACCCTCTTCGGGGCTTTCCATCGAGTGCCTTTATCAGCAATGCGACCGTACTTTAGGTTGTCCTCGAATCGGCCATATATTCTTGTCGGACACGCTCTGAACAACGACATTGAAAAGCTCACGCATGTTTTGGGCCACGAACTACGCAATGAGCCTAATATTGTTGCCGTCGTCGACACGTATACTCTAGCGAGGCAATGCCGGACGAGTTTGCCTGGCCGTCTCTCGGGTCTCTGGAGATATCTTGTGAATACAAGTCCAGGCGATGTCGAGGCTGCCGATGTGATCAGACTGTTCTCGCCCAAGACACGCACTGTGGACTTGGATGACGAAAGCAATTATGCTTTCCACAACGCAGGCAATGACACATTCTATAACATGCATGTACTTCTGATGCTTGCATTACAGCCAGAACTTCTTCAAGAACCTCGATATGGGTCCTCAATGGCCGGAGTGCTTCTTACTGGTCGGTCTCGAGCATGGCAATTGTGGCGACGCTTGACTAGTAGTTCAACAATTGATGCCAAGGCTATGGCTGCTGGGTCATTTGCCAAACGACCTGAAGGTATGGCATCTGTACAGCAACCCCAGGACACAAGCTCTGACAAGTTGACGCTTCGCACAACGAGGCCAAAGCCCTGACATTCATAAGAAACACTCAACAGTATCTCAATCTATACAACGTGCTCATATAGTGTCGCATGCTCACAATAGACCTGCTCTGTGAAGAGTTGTGGCCTGCAGCCATCCAGTATGTCCAGCAATATGATGCATTCGCGAATGCCGTCTTTATTCTTTGTCAAAGACGACAATCCATTATGCCTTTGTCAAAAAGCAAACATATTTCCCCTTCTTAGAGGTGAATGGTAGCTGGCGAGCAAAAGGAGGATGCAGAACATACAGCAGCAGGGATTCCCACGTGGTCACCCACCGTAGTACTAATCTGCCGTTCAACTGCTTATGTATGGCAGAGCGGACGGGATGCCCAGTTTTCAGCTGACTGTGGCCGTATGTACAGAGACTACAGAATCTTGATAATATCTACTTCATCACATTCACTACAGGCGAGATCATCGCATACTCAGGTCTCTTGAGGACGCTCACCCCTTCACGGCCAACACTATCTTGCCCTTGGAAACAGTACTTCCTGCCGCACTCCACGATCAACTAAGCCAAAAACAATCGAAAATGGCTTGCTTGGCATCATCAGCTGGCCCTCAACTACGACGCGAGAACAGGGTTGTATCTCCAACAATCATTGTTGACCATTCCATGTTGACCATTTCTTGTTATTATGTACATTTGTTGGATAAACTGCTCTCATGCTAGGACACAATGTTAACATGGCTTGTGAATGTACTCCCATAGATATTGAGCTGTGTTGAGCACCTTTTGCGGTGGCGAGACAAGTATCTAGTTTCCGAGATGTTGATATCTAAGCTTATGACAGAGGTCCACTGGGCGAGACAGGGCATGCCCACGACAGAACATCGATATGCGAAGAAATCACAGGACAGAAGTCTGTGTAGATATATCTCTGTCATGATCAACACAATCTCATCACATCACTTCATTGACATGGTTTCCCCAGATTGCAAACCTTGCTTCTGTCTGAGTATGAACTTGATCTAAGAAATTGTCTCCGAGAGAAATGGAAAACAGGTAATGTCTGTGGATGGAAAAAATATGCAGATAATGATCATGAAGAGTCGCGAAATCCAAAAGTCCTTGCTCCTCCCACCTACCCAATGACAAAACGCTTGGATGATAACATCGACGAAACTCAACAGGAGGAAGCCCTTCACATGACAACACACCCTCCACTCCTCGCCCTCCTTCTCCTTCCGCCTCCTACACCAGCATTGCCTCCACCATTCACACCCGCATCCTCTTCATCCGCATGCATCATCTGCGCCTCCCTAGCCCTGCGACGGCGTCTTCTCGCTCCAGCACCACTGGCACCAGCTTCCTCCTGCGCAATCATGAAACAAGCCCATTTGCGCTCTAACCTCGTAGCAGCGGAAAAGTCACCCCGCAATACGCGTTTGGTGTGTTCTTCCACCGTGGGCTGGTAGTTGTAAAAGCATTTTAGCTGGATGATGGAGGTTGGGTAGGTGCGTGTAGTTTGTGGTGCCGAGGATGCTGATGATGTTCTTCTTTCTGCTTCAGCAGCTGGGTTTGAGGAAGGGATGGATGCGATGGGTTTGCGGATGACTTCGGCGTTGCGGGATAGCACTTCGCGGATGCCGGTCCATGTCACATTTTGGCAGTCGTAGGCGGCGAGGCGCAGGCCAACGGTAGGTTGTTGCTTGGGTGTGGTGGTGCGGGTTGCACGAGCACGCAACATGGCTGCTGCTTCGGCAAGAGACAGGTCTGATACGCGCGTGTTGTCCATATCGAGGCTTTCCAGATTGGTGCAGTTTTTAAGCACGGGCAGCATGCCAGCGTCTCCCAAGTTTTCGCAGTACGAGATTGACATGTGTCGTAAGATCTTTGCGCAGGGAGCATTGGCGAGCGATTGCAGCACTGTGTTGGACAGCTCGATAAGTTCCTCGAGGTCGAGATGCGTAAGCTTGGGCATGCCGCTCAGCATAGATGTGAGAACATCATCAGTGATGCCATGGCATTTGTTGAGTTGCAAGCCTTCCATCTCTGGAAGTCTGTCGATGCACTTTTCCAGACCTTTGTGGCTGATGCCACGGCATCGAGTAAGATCAAGGTGCTTGAGCTTGCGAGCCGGTGCAATGCGTCTGCCAGTAAGATAGTCCATCTCACTGTCTTGTCCCTCCATCAAGACTGCCAAAGAATCGTCGTTCAGCGAGTCGCAATTCATCAGGATGAGTCGCTCGAGCGAATTGCGTTCAAAGAGAATCTGCATGAAATCGACATCGTCCCAGCCATGCACTTCGCCAGCACGAAGGTCGCGTAGGTCAGGGCAGGCTTCGACAACTTTCCTCAATCCTCTGGTATCGATATTGTTGCACCAAGAGACGTTGAGATGCTCAAGCTTGGGGCATGTTTCGGCGATGATTTTCATGGCCGAATTCGTAGCACCAGCAAGGCCTGAAAGGTTGATATAGACAAGCCTCGGATTCTGCAGTAGGAAGGAATGGATGGCTGTCTTCTCGATACGGCATCCTTCCAGGGAGAAGTTCTCGAGGTTACTACAGGCACCAGAAAGTCCTTTGGCATGCCATTGTTCTCTGAGCTGGACGCAGCCTCTGAGATTGAGGTCGCGGACAAACGGACCGGCAGAAGTGACAATGTTGATCAGCGCGTTGGCAGGGATGTCACGATAGAAGTCAGAAGTGTCGAGATTTGACCAGAGCTGACCATCGAAGCATCTGCTGTGCCACTGTTTTGAAACAGCCGAGCATCTGACGACTTCCCGAGGTTCAAGGTATGACAAGATCTCCATAGCCAATTCGGACGGTAGATCCTTCCAGAAGTTGAAAGAAGACTTGGACTGCTGCGCGGCCTTTTGTACGGGTATAGAAAAGTAATCCTCCTCTTCGGCAATCCTCGTTGTAGTTCTAAAGTCGGGGACAGGTACGGAAGCGAGGTAACGAGAGCGTGCAGTCTTGTCGTCAAAAGAGGGAAACGGAATTCCGGGGGTGTTGACAGCTGAAGTGGGAGCTGTCGAGTATCCGACAGAAAGTTCCGAGGCCAGTGAATTGCCGTACGATCCATATGAACCAGATCCGGAGGAGAGCGATATGCAGGAGACCGAGCCTCTTCCACCTGTTCGGTAACTCGAAGAGGGAGATCTACTAAGCTTGGCTAGCGACGAGGACGAAGACATGCGTTGTAGGCTCTGTAAGATCCTCTTTCTGCCCTTGACTTTTTGAATCTGGATTGGTACGGCCGGGGAAACGGAGGCTGACTGCTCAGCAGCTGTGGTCTCCAGGACCACAGACTCGACAGATGCTTGAGCCATGGTATTCGGAGTAGTGTGACCGAACTGAACTCGAGAGTTCCAGAATCAACACTCTTCCAGAGAGGTTGTTGATGTCCGAGCAAAAAATAGGGTGGGGATAAGGCCTGTTATCCGCGAGCTGGCGAAAAGGCGGAGTACCGAAGATGCAAGGCGGGGGATGTGCACGCGACTTGGACAGTCAGATAGCGGTCGGTCAACGAGTGGACAGAGACATGCAGATGACAGCGGGCAAAAGAACAAGGCAGCACACAAAGGTCAAGAGGGCAACAAAAAAGGTCAGAAGAACCAAAAGGTCAGGCCAGGGTACGTACTCAATTTGTCCGTCGTCGAGGTCGAGCTTCTTTCTCGTGGTGCCGAGCCATTTTTGGCCAAGGCTGATATCGCCCCAATCTGAATCTGGAAGCGGGGGATAAGGTCTCGGCGGGGCTGTGTTCGAGCCCTCGTTGAGCGCCGCTCAGCTTTGTCCGTTGCGTGATAGGACACGCCTCGGCCAGCCTAACCATACTGGTCGCTGCTATCGTGTTCCAAGCATCCTTCGAGCAAGGGACATGCTGCAAGATTCATTAATCCGGAAAACAGTCGAGAGAATTGTGTGCTCTTGACGAGGCCGGGAGACTCGTCAGCCGCGGCCGAGTGTCCACTGCCGGCCCGATGTCGACCCCACATTCGCGACAGCCCTGCCGTCTTGACTTGAGTTTGGAGCGGATTTCGACTTTCAACGACTTCTTCAGACTCCACTTCTTCTGCGCTTTTGGATAGCTTGTGGAAGAGTGGAAACTCGTTTGGCCTATCGGCTATAAGCTAATACAGTGATGATTAAGCCGACAGCGCCTATCACAGATATGTCTGAGTCGACATGGTGTTTAGCTTGCTGAAAAGTCCGACGACTCAAACATGGCACGCGACTCGTACTCGTGGCACATAAAAGATAAAGCAAATTCTCGTCCTGGGTTGTTCGTTGGCTACTGATATGCCTATCTCGATATCATGTCATCTCTGTCGTTGATAATCACTGCTTCAAGTATCTCACATGCTCTTCGTATCTCATTCTTCCATAGGTCATGCGCTCACGCACGCCTTCCTGGGCTGTTTTCTCTCAACCCATACGGTTTGCACCGGTCTTGAGGACTGCGCCGAGTCCGAGAACCTCGAACTTGTCGACGATTGCCCATCCAGCGGCCAAGGTGCCGATAAGAGGAAGGAACGAGCGACCCAGGTTGAGGGTGGCCCATTTGTCGAGGAGCTCGTGAGCGGTCTCTCCCTGAGCTACGCCCGACTCGACTGCTGTGTCGGTAAGAGAGGCGTTGGCTAGTGATCTGGCCTTCTCTTGGAGCTTGTTGTTAATGCCAGACATGAGGAAGATGGTGTAAGGGATGATGCTGGGAACTACAATGGCTGCGAAGGTGTAGAGCTTGAAGCCAGAAGATGCAGTGGGTTCTAGAAACACTTAATCCTGCGGTCTTTCTTAGACACATGCGCAGACATACCTCTGTAGGCAAGGTAGCCAAAAATGGCAGAGGAGATGGCAGCCATTGGTGGAGCTACGACTTTGCCCTGATCAAAGATCTTCTTCCATTGTTTGGCGAGCAAAGGAGCGGGAGCATCCAGAAGAGCCGGCACGCTCTGCCAGCTAATGCTTCCGATGGCGCCTGGATGGGTTGTGGTCAACAAACGATCTTGAATGTGCATCTGATTGTGCCTTACCAGCAAGGTATGCAGCAGAAGTGAGGCCAACAACCTGGGCAATGCGGATGCCAGTGGTAGGCCTTGTGGCCGAGACAGGAATGGAGTTCATGTTGACGTGTGTGTTTTGTCTCTTGTGTAAATCCTCAATTGAAAAGGAAAGTCACAAAGGCGCCGTAGACCAGTATTTGAGCGATCCAAAGCAAAGCGCGTCACTTCCTTGCTTCACTCAAGCTTCCCCACTCGCTGTCACATGCAAAATCGAGATGCAAGCAGGAACTTACACCAACGCGATCGCTGCTACCAACCGTGAGCAAATCAGAACTTGCTGCTTCCGCCGTAATCTCGAACTCAATCGGAGCTCGAATGTGCTTCACCTACATTGTTCACGAGTGACGTTGCTGAGAGACGGGAAGGAAACTTGGAAGCGTGACCCCCTGCTCTCAGCATGATCTGTCGCGTGAGCTGTAGACACTCGTTGGTCGTGATAGTCTATTCATCGAGGAAGATGCGAGAAAAGAATCGTGCACAACACAGCCTCGTTAGCTATCTATGAGAAGGGGTTCGAAGAACAACTCCTTGCATGACAACCATGCCCTCCCAGAAAAACCGTTAAACGCGCCAGCCAAATACCAGTAATAGTACAGAACCTCAAGCTCCCGAAGAAATCCCCTTACAAAATTCATTAATGAGGCCCGCCTCCTCCTGTGGGATCATTGAGGTCAAACCCCGGTCCGGTGCCAAAGAAATCCGCCCAGTCCCATTCTAAGGTCATAGGCATCTGCCACAAGTCTTGCGGAACAAATGGCTGTTGGAAACTGCCACCCATATCTCCACCCATGGGTCCGCCTAATCCATACCCTTGCATGTCAAAGTTATTGTCCTGTGGGAATGACGGTTGTGAGAACCGACCGTCAGTAGCAAACATGTTTCCTGGCGCAGGAGGGACGCTTTGCATCCAGGGCTCTGGCGCCATGGTAGTAGCTGGGTAAGGTGATGTGTTTGATTGTGCAGCGAACGGGTTCAATACCTGTGCCATGGGTGACGATTGGAAGGGCGGACGTTGCGTTTGCCCGTTGACATGCATATTTGGCGATGCAGTCGATGTCCGTCCGTTGGGAAGCGTCGAGGCAGGCATCTTCGATGTTCGTTGGGTTTGCGCCGGTTGCGAAGCAGAGCGACCCTCTATCTGCGGTGGTTGAGTGGATGGGCCGGCAGAATCGCTGTCACGATTCTTTCTCTTGCCTCTGCCCTTGATATCCCTCTCGGCCTTGTCAAGCACCACTCTGGCGATGCGCTCAAACTCTTTACATATCGAGGCCATTCTTCGGCAATGAACGTTGCCATCTTCGTTACAAAGCATCTGCAGGAATTCGGTCATCGAGTTCATGAGCTTAAGATCGGACCGTGCTCTAGCATCTTGCGGATTTTGCAAGATGTTGGCAAACAGAGTGACAAGCGCAGATACAGGGTAGTACACCAGAAGCCTGTTGATAATGTTAGTACGCGGTTTTTCGTCGGCGATATTCGTGCAGAGTTGTCCACTTACCAGACACAAGCATGATCCTGACTAGGGATAAACTTGACGAGCGAGATGGATGTTCGCGCAGCATTCACGCACAATGCTGCTGACATGAACACACGAGGATTAAGTGGACGCGCATTCAGCCCTGCGATGGCGTAGTTGGAGAGACGAGACGTCCAATAACCATGATGAACCGACATTCGGTGAATGGTTGTTAGACAATTGTAGTAAGCAAAATGCATAACCACGATATGCAGCATAAGTGGCGATTGGCTGACCATCTTGATTTCGTGCTCAGGGCGGAACTCAATAGGGATAGAATCCTTCCATTCCTCAAGCTCTTGGTCGAGATCTCCAATGGTGTTCAACAGCTCACCATCTGTTTGACGAGCGGCTTTCACCGAGTAAAGTAGTTTGTAGACCTTTGACTGGATCATGGCGAAGACGCACTGGATCCGGAAGAGATTGACCTTGCTCTTGCCATCCTCTATTGATACGACGCCGATGTTGTCCTGCGGGTTCTCACTAGGGAGCTCGACGTTCATGTCATCGTCGTCTTGAATAGGTGGCCTTCCTGAGCGAAGGCAAATGTCCTTGTCCATCAGGTAGCCAATCCAGAACACACGTTTCCTCTGTTCAGACTCAACCTCGTTGAGATTGAAGTCAGATCCACGTTTGTGCAGTCCAATACTGTGTGCTAAGCGAATCGCTGCGGCGACCAGGAAGAAGCCTGGCTGAGGATTTGGTGTACCTTGCATGAAGAGCGCCATGCCCAGTAGAGCTTGCACACTAAGCAAATCGTTGTTCCGCATGGTCAATTCGGAGAAGACCGCTAGAGCGTTCTTTAGGTACCCCCAGGCCTTCGCATCTTCCACTTTTGCATCATCTTCACCCATGATACGGAGTCTGTGCGAGATGGCAAGCGCAACGTTCAAGCTGGCCCACCATCCAGAGCCTTCGTATGGGTCCAGTGAGTAGTGTTTGTCGACCAGATGCATAAAGGTTGGTTCGTGGAACAATGGAAACACACAGTTGAAGTTCTCGAAGAAGTCCTTGAGTAACGCGAGGGCTTCAGGCTTGGGAGGCAAAGGCTTGTAGATTTTGCGCGAGAAGATGTCGTCAAAGACCTCGGGCTTCCAGGTAGCCCACGCTCGATCGTCAGTGGCTGCCTGAGATATCATGTCGCGGAATGAGGAGTCTCCAGTCTTTTCGTTAACCCACTGAATTCCTTTTGGCGAGAAGATGGAGAAGCCAGAAGAGGAGCCAATATATCGCGTTTCTCCAGCATGATTCGTGACCAGCGAGCACATCTGATCTGCCAATCCCTCCGCAGCCTTGTCCTGAGACTGCGCCTGACCGTCTTGATGCGGCCCGCCGGGTTGGGGACTGGTGAGTCCAGTAGGCGGAGTTGGATGAGCAGAAGTCGACCCATCACCAGCAACAAGTGGGGAACCTGGCGACGCAAAGGAAGAGCCAGCAGCCTGTCTATCTGCCAACCGCTTCTCCAGCGTGCCGAGATCAGTCTTGCCACCATCATCTTCGCCCAGCAATCCTGACATCTTGAGTAGTCCCTCCATACGTGCGAGTCTGTTCTCCAGTCCTTCAATGTACTTTGCGCCCTTTGGAGGTTGACGCTTCTTCTCGACCTGGGTGAAAATGCACTCGGTCTTGTAGTTTGTGCAGTGTGAACATTTGGGCATCTTGCCGTCGCATTTGATCTTCTTCTTTCGGCACATGTCACAGGCGCGTGCTATACGGCGACGCTTGGGGTCGCCTTGTCCCTGATCATGGTCATCATGGTCGTTGGCGCGGTCGTCTCCATCATCGTCGTAATGGCCTTCTAGGTACGCGGCGGCTTGCTGGAAAGTTGCGTTAGTGGGCGAGTTCGAAGTCGAGTATGGGTTGTTGAAGGCGCGCAGTGGAGGGTTGTGTCCCGAGGCACCCGGCGGAGTGGTACCATATGGTATTGATGAAAATTGCGGTTGGTGGGGATTATGAGGATTCATGGCGCATTCGAGATAGGTGCGGTATGGCGCACCTTCGAGCGCTGGGAGCTGCGATAGCACGTAGAGATGGCGCGCGGTTGGTGGATGGAGCGCATTCGATGTGCAGCAAGCCTCGAACGAGTCTCTGATGGACCGTTTACTTTTTGCTTACACTGCCTGGCTAGGTCATTGACGGCCATCGGAGTTTAAGAGCGCCTAATTCTACATACGATGCGATACGAGCTACCAAACCCTCATCCCCGAAGACTGATGGTACCACTCGAGTCCACTTGGGTAACGGATGCGAAACACTCCAATCTCACATGCTTCTATGCGCTTCTCTACATATTTCCATTGTTCCTTTCAGATCAGACCGGACGATTGATTTATCAGAGCTTTGCGAATTTGCGATTCGTGAGTCGTCAATCCCAGGGCTAGAACGCGGATGCCGGAGCAAAGCGTTTCCGGCGTCCGTGTCAATCATTGGAAAATCATGGGGTACGCTCTGAGCAAGTTCTAGAAGCGTTGCCATCTGAAGACCCTCGATGTTTGATGCGAATCTCTGGTTGACAACTCGCGATACACGTTGGCCTTCAACCCTCAAGACTTGCACGCAATATTCGAGAGTATTCACGTATAGAGAGAAGAGTCGTCGAGAAAGCAGTGATGTATAGTGGAAATACCAAGATAAAACAGAGGACGAGTAGACGAGCCTCACCTCACCTCCTATGCATTGCTTTGTTCAGCAGTTTATTCGTAGACATGTTCCTCTTGTATGTTTTCCTCCACTGTATGGTATTCCTTCCATCCCGCCTTCCTCTCGTCCGCCCACGTACATTCGCTCTCATCAATCTGGCTGTCGTTCATTGTATGGTATTCGGGGGTTTTCGTATTTGCAAAAGCGGCAATTCGGAACAAAGTAACAGTGCTTCTGAACTTAGAAAAAAAGAAAGCAATAAGGGAATCGTGCAGGAAGATATCAATAAAACAACGAAAGCGAAAGTAGAAGGCAAAAAAGAGATTGGGGCAACACGAGTGTCGCTGGTCGTTTAGTCATCCTCTGGGTCGACGTATGTACACCACGGGTGGTCAAGAACAGCTTGAATGCCGATACGCCTCTCAACGTCGCGGTCCAGCATCTTGCGGATGAGGTCAATGCAGTCTTCGCTCATGACATACGGCACACGCAAGTCGTGATCCATAATCTCGTCGATGCTGTAGAATGGATTCTCCTTATACACGATTGTGTATAGCAGAATACCGAGCGCCCAGACGTCTTGTTCTTTGCCTCGGTAAGGACTACCACGCAGGACCTCAGGTGCTGCGTAGTCGATAGTGCCGACGAAGACGTCGAAGGGGCCTGACTTGATGTATGCCGCACTGCCGAAATCCACAAGCTTGACCGCACCATCTCCATCGAGGATAACATTCTCGTCTTTGATGTCTCGGTGCACGACCTTGGCCTTGATGTGCAAGTGGTGCAAGGCATTTGCGACTTGGACGAAGATCTTTCGACACTCTTTCTCCTCCATGTTTACGCGAAGCTCGATGTAGTCAAACAAGTCCATACCCGGCAGACCATGCGGAATCATCTCGATGTAATAGTTGATATCGTCTTCGAAAAAGTCGGCCATCTCGACAATGTTGGGGTGTTGCAAATCATCTCGTCGTAAATAGTCCAGAACGTGAATTTCCAATGGTACCGTGCCGAGACGTCGATCTCTAGTCCACGTATCGACGAGAATGCGCCTTTTGGTGACATACTTGATGCACATCTTCTGTGCATTGGCTTTCTTATACCTCGCAAGCTTCACCTGACCATATGCTCCTTGTCCCATCTCTTCAAGAATAAGGAAATCGGCGATGGTCTTCTTCTTGATAGTGGTTGCACCGGCTTTGACCGCAGCAGGTGATGGATGCTCGAAAGGTTCGCTCGTAAGCAGTGGTGTCCCTGATGCATGTGATTGAGTTGGCGAATGCGATTGAGACGGCGATGATTGCAAACCTTGGGTGATCAGTGAAGGAGTGTCGACCTTTGCCTTTGTCACGCTGCCTTTATCGCTGCTAGAGTCTTCGCTGTCCTGGTCTCCGCTCGAGCTCGAGGGCTTAGGTACTGGCTGTTGTGGAGGAGTGGCAGGTCTGGACGCCGCCGAGACAACAGGACCAACGCCGTGGTTGACCGCATGAAGCTGTCTCGAGTACGTGATCCATAAAGCGTAAACCACCTCAGACGCGGGCAACGAGTCTGGATCTATACGCTGGTGTTCCGGAATGCTGTCGAAACTATGGCGATCGCTCTTAACGACGCGCATCTGTACGTCAATCATAATATCAGAACCGTCTCTGTGTTTCGCGGGTAGACCGCTGGGCTTGAGGAAGATCGAAGCGGCATCTGCACGGCCTTCACGAAGGGCCAGAAGAGCGCGGGCTTTCCTGAAACTGTGCTCTGGAATGACAAGGCCGTCAACCAAGCGGATCTTGTCCTCGTCGGTCAAAAGATGAAGTATACTGTCGAAATAGGGTATCAAGTCAGTAATGGGAAGGCCGTCAGGAGCATCGTGGCCGAAAAGAGAGGCCGAGAAGACGTTGTTTGAGCTGGCGATCTTCAAAGTGTCGGGATTCAGGACCAGAATTCCCGCAATATGAGGGAAGCTGGAAATACGCAAAGTTGATTGACCAGAGAGCTGGTCAACTGTAATCGGGACGCTGATGCTGTTTGCTGTGCGAGCGGTGTAACGACGTATCGTGGCGATTTGATCCAAGTCCAGCATACCAGTATTCGTGCCGGCCAGTTTCGGTAGTTCGGGAACCAGTTTCCTAATATCTGTGCCCCTACGCACCCTCTCGATGCCCCAAATGGATTCCAAGTCACCGACACCTTTCTCGACACAGCCAATCTCATCGACTGTGATGTATGCAACGTCCTCGGCGATTTCTTCGAGCACCCAAATCAGACCGCCCTGCTTCTCTTTCACCCATAGACTGGCAGATCCGATGTCACCGTTACGCTTCTGAATAGGGACGACATCGCCACACAGTAGTACACCGCGTGATTTTTGCGAAGAATTGGGGACAGCGCGGCGCGTCGTCGGAGCCGAATCGATACCGTTGACGGTTTTTGAACGTCTGCTCTGGTAAGTCTGGCGAGCAGGGGGCTTGTTCAGTAGTTTAGCTGTTACACCGTTGCCTTTTGCGAGAGCTAAATTTGACGGGCTGTGGTTGGGCGACTTGTTGGCTTGGGCGTGTAGGTCCGAGTCGGGCTGTCTCAATTTGTTCTCGAGCCATTTGCGTCGCTCTGGACGGATGACCTCCATAATGCCCATCTTGCGCACTTCAGCACGGGTAACGCCAAAGACCAGACAGGCCAAATCGTTCGCAGCTGTGATGGTCCAAGGGGCGCGCGCGTCGGTGGTGAAGATGGCTTGGGCAGCAGCAGATTGTCTGCCATGGCCATGAGCATGACCGTGAGAGGCAGATCCAGCAAGTGAAGTAGTCGACTTGGAGGTCTGCAATCCTGATGGGACACGGCTAGGCGTAAGAGCTTCTGCACGGCGGGTTACATCAGCAGCATGGTAAGGCGTGGCTAGAGCATCTGCAAGGCGATGCTGCAGGCTCAGACCACTCGTATCGGTATAAGTGCGCTTCAGCGCTACGCGCTTAACCTCAGGTTGCAGTAACTCCTTCTCTTCAGCTGGCTTGACAAACTTAGCAGAGGTGGGCGACATGACTAGGTCATCATCGAAGTCCTTTGGACTTTCGCTGATTGGGGCGGTGAAGCTCTTCTCAAAAATGTTGTCGGCTGAGAGGTCGGCGGGACCAGTGAGCGGAGCTCCCATTATACCCAGACCCGGGGCTAGCAACGAGTTGCCATCGGTGCCTAGCAGGTTTGCGCGGGCTAGCAGTTCCATCATGCTTTGTGCTTCGTGATCTCCTGTGACCTTTGCTTGAGCGTTCAAGATGGCAGGATTCGACGAGCCCCACCCCGGTCTGTCCTTCATGAAGTCGACCGATCTCTTGAGTATCATCTGGCGGTCGTGTATCGACGTCTCGGACTGGTGTGCGAAGGAGAAGGAATGCAAAGACTCGGAAGGGAATCGGCTGAGGTCCTCGCCAAACGGCAGCGTGGGCGACGAGGGGCCTGAGGGCAAGGAAGCAGGCAGCGGCTGGGACGGAATATTGATGTTCAGCGAAGGTGAGCGCGAGGTTTGTAGTTGAGGTGAAGTGGGTTGGCGGTGGTTGGACTGTCTAATGCGACGCAGACCACTTTCACGTTCAGGCAGGGTAGGCGACCTTGTAATTGCTAGTCAGTGGGTGCATGGGAGCCATGTGGTGGTGCAGGGTCTGACCTGGTCATGGTGCGCAGGTCGGCGGCCTCGAGGGCTGCTGCGTCGAAAGACATTCTCGGACGCTGGACGTCGGCCGACATGGAGCCACGGGCTGGCATAGACAAGAGACTGCCTGTACTCTGGATGCGCGACAAGATGCGGAGCTCGTCGTCATGTTGGGCGGGCGATGGTTGGAAGCCTTCAGCGCGGTCAGATGGCGCATGCGAGAGTTTTCATCCGACACACTTGCCATGATTGTTGCATACCGGCGAACTCATGCTCGAGCCGCCACCCCAACAACTCGACGTAGAGATTGACAGAGTGCGAGTACCTTGACAAGTTGCTCGTACAGACCAGGAATGAGCACGACGATAAAGCAGCAGAGCGTCAACAACAGAGACCAGTGTGACCTGCAGGCTCGTGCACAAAGAGTGGCGGCGGTCCAGAGTCAAAATCTCGGATGAATCTCAAATGCCCTTGCAAGACCTGTCAGCCTGATCGGATACCCGCAACCAGATGAACGATGATGCGTGCTAATATGCGTGCTCCACGAGGCCCGTCAAGGAACAATGAGGGGAGAATTGCGTATCAGATGCAACCTGTCGTCGACGTCGGTCTGCATCAACAACTGTAACCCTTCTTTTCCCCTTTCGTGTGGGGGTCCTCTTGTCAAAAACAACGCCCGGATGCAAACGTTATTACGACGCTTCTAACGGTCTAGAAACAGAAACAGCCGGGGATCACCACGCGCCCTCTGTCTCATGTCCACACACACTATCTTTATCCTTGGAACATTTTCGCCCTGCCCTGCGACCGTCTGTTGACCTCGCTTGTACCATCTTTGTCATGGTCTTGCGCTCCCGCAGTTGACATTTGTCCTCCGGCTGAGACTCCTCACGCGGACCGAGGTTGCAAAACCAACCTTCCCGAACCATCATGCTAGAGCGTGTGAAAGCGAGAGCCTCATAAACTTGATACCATTGTTGGCTATCAAGACTGCACACTCTGTCGGCAGCAAGCACGTTCGTTGTAACCTCACAGAAGCGATCCTCGATGGACAGTTCGCTATCTCTTGTGGCGTTGCTTGTTCCTTGCGCTTGCTTCTTTGACTGTACTCTGCAGGTGTTCCTCATCACCTGTTGCCGCCTGCACCCGGCACATATCTGTCGACCGACTGTCCCGCCATTCGTCAGCATGTGTTCGTCTTTGCTTTTCTCGTGATACTACTCACCGCTTTCAGGATGTTGATGCCCCGTCTGGTTCTGATATAGACATCCCTGTACATGTCCAGGCTCTCATGCACCACATCACCCCTGGTTTTAGTACCTGCGCATATCTCTTTCATCTTAGTCTCCATCTGTTTTGAATCATCAGTCAAATTCATTGATGTTTGACAGGTGCAGACTTACTTCTTTCCTGAGGAAGGGCTTGCTCAGGTTCATTTCGAATCCCATGTCTTCATAGCCTTTGACAAGGGCTACGCCGAGGGTAGTTGGGATGAACTCCTGTACACCACCTTGCTGGCCTCCGCCTCGTCCGCCTGCCCCGCCACCTCGACCGCCTCTACCGCCTCTTCCTCTTCCTCGACCACGTCCTCTGCCTCCGCCTCGACCTCCACCGTCATCATCGTCTTCTTGGACAGGCGGTGCTTCACCTTCCTCTCTTCCCTCTTCCCCTTCCACGGGTGCTCGCTGGATCCGAGGTCGTGTCATGACATACTCACGTTCTTTGACCCTAGCGATGTGTTCGGCCATTGTAGCATCAGTGCCAATGCCATTCGCGTCCATGAGCGCAATAAGATCGGGCTCTGTCAGAAATCCAGGCGGACTTGTCTTGCCTTCAGTCATTCTTGCTTCAGTAGGTTCAAACGTTTCTCCAACCTGGAACTGTGGCAGCTGTTGTGTGCTAGTCCACTTGTCATAGGGATAAACGTCTAGGTAGTTCCTTGCAAGCACTGACAATCCAGAGGCGTTGAACATCTCGGTTCCATATAGTATACCAACCTCATCGCGAGAGCCTTTGGCATCCTCGCTACAGCAGGCGAGGAACCTTCTGACCACAAACTCGTATACCTTGCGCTCATCTTGGTTGTTGAGTGCGTTCGGTGTAACGAAATTGACCGGATGAATTGGCGGATGGGCCTTGTCGTTGTTACGGCCTTGTCTTGGCTGATTGAAGCCTCCATTCAGAAGACTACAGTCTGTTAGCACGTGTACATGCTGGGAATTAAACGGACATCATACCCCTGAGCAAATTGTCCCCATGCCTGTGATTGACTTTGCTTCTGGACCAAAGCTCTGAGATCCATTCCTTTGTCAAACTGATCTGTTTCGGTTCTCGGGTAACTGATGAACCCTCGAGTGTAGAGATCCTCTGCAACTTTCATGACTCTTTGACTGTCCATACGCAAGAACCTGCTGCCCATCTTCTGCAGTTCGACAGTCGTGAGCGGCAACGGCTTCCACTTACTGGCAGGCTTGGTTTGTACTTTGATGACTTTGGCGTGTTTGGCAGTCAGACATTTCTCAAAGATGATGATCACGGCCATTCGGTCAAAGAGATTGATGCGAGCCCATCGGAAGTTGACAGTAATGTCCTTCTCAACGTGCGTGACTTTGATTGCCCAGTAAGGTTCCGGAACAAAGTTCTTGACCATGAAATACCTGTCCACAACGAAACCGAGTGTTGGAAATTGACAGCCTCCGTAGCTGAGGACTTTCTTCTCATCAGGTCCAAACACGCCTCGGCTCTTCAGATATTCGAAAATTTCCAAGGTTTGCCAGCGTGTGAAACTGGCACCGATGCGAAGATCGAGCTCTATTCGGGCAGCAACCGCATTGGCCGAGTTCTCGTCAAGCGGAATAGGGTTTCGAGCAGCCTGTATGATATGGGCTCTTTCGATATTTGAAAAGCGAGCTCGCACAACCTTGCCAGGTTGTCTTAAGCGGGGGTTGCTGGTGAGAGCCACTTCTCTGATCTCACTGCCAATGTGCTCGCCTTCTCGATCGCAGTCAGTCCAGATGAAGAGAACATTCACGTTGCGAGCCTGTGTTTCGATGTTTGCAGAAATGCCTTTCTTGTCATCTTCCACGTAAGTTACCAAAGGGGCTTCGAAAAGGCGCTCTGGATCAACACCTCTCCAGTTTTTGAAGTCAGCTGCGAAGTCGGTACTTTGTAGATGGCCAGCAACACTCGTCATGACTACTTCACAGGCACCCCAAGTAGGGAAGTTGTAGGAAAAGCTGTAATTCTTGAGCCATGGCGTGCGTGTGTTGGACTGCAGCGTGCATCAGTAAGGATGCGTGAATTGTAAGTGGCGGAATGGGTAAAGCTTACAACTCGATGTGAGCCGCCTGAAAGATGGCCAGCCACAGCTTTGGCGATTGAGGGCTTCTCTGCCACACAGAGGACTTTGGTCACCATCTCTGCGGGCACTTTTGACCGATTTAGACCATTGTGTTGCTCGATGGTCGAGTCGCCGAGTTGCAGCAAAAAGTCCTAACGCGTACGGAAGGCGGAAGACGCGAGGCTGCCTAATCGGGACAAGATGATGGAGCGGCACGGTCCGAGCGTGCAGAGGACCCTTTTGCGATACTTGGCGATGACGAGTCGATGATCGTTGTTTCCTGGCTTGTTGCTTTGAGCTTCCTTCGCGTGTCGAATCCACGTTTACATCTTTCAATCACACCAAATTGACCTCTTTTTCTCTGTATTCCACAAGATGCTGCTTCCTCCACCGGTTGGCACGGCGCTGCCTCTCGTCAAGACGCTCGCCGATACCGTAGACTTCAGCAAGACGGTCCTCCCCTTCATCGACCAACTCTACACGCTGCCTCAGCAGATTCTACAAGCAGGCCTTGATACTCAAGCCCTCAAGCATGTGTATCTGTCCACCAACCCCCTGATCTCCGCCTTCGCCTTTTCGCTGGCAATCACGCCCATCTTCTTGGTCGTCTCCGAGATCAACAGAAACTACTCGCAGGTCGATCGCTGCTGGAGCTTGCTACCTACCGTCTACCACATCCACTACGATATCTGGGCTCGTATGAATGGCCTCCCTACTCAGAGACTTGATAATGTACTGGCCTTTAGTGTTATGTGGTCCATGCGCTTGACCTTCAACTACTGGCGCAGAGGTGGATACAGCATCGGCTCCGAGGATTACCGATGGGAGACAGTACGCAGCTGGGTCAATCGCCCGCTCTTCTTCATCTTCAATGTTTTGTTCATCTGCATCGCCCAGAGTGTTCTGCTCTTCATGGTCACCACTCCCACCTACATCCTCATGCTTGCCTCTCGCGTTTCTGGCCAGGGCATGAACACCACCGACGTCGTCGTCGCCCGCGTCCTCATGGCCCTCGTTGTCCTCGAATTCTTTGCCGACGGCTCCCAGTGGAACTTCCACAAGGCCAAGCACGCTTACCAAAAGACGGCCAAGGTTCCTGCTGGTTGGACTCGCGAGGACCTCGAGCCAGGCTTCAACACTACTGGACTTTTCCGCTACTCGAGACACCCCAACTTCCTGGGTGAGCAGCTCGTCTGGGTCACATTGTACCAATGGTCTTGTCTCGAGACCAACTCATTGTACAACTGGACCGGTTTTGGTGCCATGTCGTACCTGATCCTCTTCCAATCTAGCACTTGGCTTACCGAGAAGCTGAGCGCCGAGAAATACCCAGAGTACAAGATCTACCAGCAGAGAGTCGGCAAGTTCTTGCCCAAGCTGACTGGTCCCGGCTGGGGAGCGTATTTGGAGGCGCAGAAGAAGGCCCCCAAGAAGAAGTAGAGAAAGCTTGAGCGACCACACACCAGCTCGATTGCATCGCGCCAATGGTCTACCGCGGCCCAAGCACTATATTTCACTTAGGTCACCAGTCATTTCTCCACACAACATATTACGAGTTGAAGCATAATGAAAAGACATGATTTAATCTTGACCTCAATTGAACGTTTTCTTTATTTACTCTTGATCCCATCAGCTCCGGCCTTTGATTTCTCTTTCCCTGCCTTCTTCTCCTCTTCTAAAGCGCCCAGATCAAATTCCTCCTTGACAGGCTCTTGCTCAAACAGTACCTCCTTCTTGACCTGCTTCTTCCTGTCTCTGCCTCTCTTGCTGTCTTTCTTCTTTTCTGGGCTTCCTGCTCTCGCATCGTCGTCTTCGCCGAACAAGAAGCCTTTACTTCGGCGTCGTATATCTGATGGTGCCAGTCCTTTTGCTTGAGCAAAGCTGCTGGCGCTTGTTTCTGGAGACTGGCCTAGCATCCAAGAGAATGATGATTGCGCCAGTGTGGGTCTTGGTGTGTGAAAATCAAGTGGAATGTCGGGTGTTTTCGTGGTCTTTGTTGGTGCAGCATCTTTGGCTTGTTGAGTGGACACCTCGACTGATTTCGTTGCATCCTCCGCGGCATCAACCTCCTTGGTGTCTGTCGTCTCCACTGTCTCTTGAGCGGCGGGTTTGTCGTCGTTATGGGCACTTGCCGGCTCCTTGATTTGGGGTTGAACTTCTGTGACCTCGATAACTTCTTCTTTACTCGTCTCAACGGTGTCCTCTTCTACAGACAGAGGCACTGATGCATCTTCGAGATACACCTGAACAAACTGCACTTTCGCAATTGCCATACTCAATCCCTTTACAGAATCTTCTTCTGCTGCTTTGCCCCCTACAGCAGTCTCATGATAGGTCCACAGGTCATCGATGGCTTTCTTGAGCATCTTTGACAGTGCCGCGTTGCGTTTTTCCAGCACGGTAAGTTGCAAACTCGGATTCGCTGATCTGTCCGACGTCCCGCTTTGTCTCGATAACCCGCGTGAGTGTCTCGGAGGCGCCTGAGGCGTCTGCGCGGCCTGGATTTCCCGCACACCTTTGCGTACTTCATCCATGGCATCGCGAAAGGCCTTGTTAATGCCCCACTTCTCACCTCGTTGGAGTACGCCTTTTGCTGCTCCTTGGAGCATGTCTTCAAAGTTACTGGATGCGCGGCCTGGCAGCTGCATTCGCAGACTTCCTGGCATGGAGGGTTGGAGTGTAGTGGTGGGCGTTTCTGTAGGCTCTGGTAGAGGTCTTCCTGAGTATTTCTCGACTAGTGTGCTGGCGCCTGCGTGGGTGAAGTTGTTTCTGAGGTATACAGCGTTTGTCACGAATTCCTGTGGTGATTTTCCATCTTCTAGAGCGGGATATCTTAGCAGAAGGGTCAGTGCCGTATTGTAGTCGGCATCCATTACTGCCATCAGTCAGCTTCGTCACACAATGCATTCAGCTGAGGTGTAACTGCTTACAGTCCCAATGCAATCTCAACAGCATATTCAAGCAAATGAGATCGACAATCTCGAGGCTTGGGTCATCAGCAAAGATGGCATCCCACATGCTCAAGACCTCATCGAAACCAAATTCTCGACCAAACAACAGTCGGATCCATCGCCTGTAGATCATCAGCCGAGGTTCTATTGCGTTTGTTAATTGGTGACCGACATCAGGAAAACTTGTGGTATCACATCAATCTCCTGCAGATGCTGCGCAAGTGTTGGATCCACATGAGGCAGGAACTCATCAAAAATCCTGTGTATCCGAGTGAGAATTGGATTCTCAAGCGTTGCTGCAGGTCTTGATGGAGTGGTAGTAAGCTTCGACGGCGCAGCATGTGCTGCTTGCTCGTAGAAAGACTTTGCTCCTTGCATGACAATACCAAACAAGGTAAAAGTGTCATGCTCGACAAAGTCAGCGTCAAAGACATGACACAACATTTTGTCTTCTGAGCTAGAGTCGTCTGTGGCTTTACTCGACACGGCATCTTTCTCTACGACCCACAGTATAGGAGCTAGCAACTCGTGCATACCCTGCCTGTATCCCACATCCGGGTTCAGTTTGCAAAAGACAAACAGGACATCCAACAGCATAGTCTGCGTTTGCGGTTGGCGGAAGTATATGTTGTCGGGCATGCATCGGTCCACATCTTGCATGATTTCGGCCCGCAATGCCTCATCTTGACGTAGGACTGCCCAGGGAGACTTTTCAAGACTTAGCTATCAGTGAGATGGAAACGTTTTGTATTCATGATCGGTGTTATAGTATACCTCGGAATCTTCACTCAGTGGGTCTAGATTCGAGCCCAGGACCTCTTCTGGATGTTCAAGTCCTCGTAGCAAATGTGAGCGCACTGACGCATATGCTGAACGCGAATCTGCTGATCGCTGTAGCCATTCTGAATGATCGAGTCCTTCGAACAAGAGAAATATCTGCTCGAGCTATCAGTTTGAGAGATCCCCAACATACATAATAATCCTGACCTTCCACAGAAGTGATCTAGACTTGGTCAATGAGTCAGGCTCATTCTCGTGATGAATGGCTTTCTTGAGTGCTGTCAGAGATTCGTATGCTTGCAGGCTTTGCCAGGCCTCTCTTGCTTCAACGAGGGATCGCATGATCTAGAAACAATTATCTCAGCAACCTTGGTATGGTTGTTTACAGACAGAGTGACCAAGTCAGGCATGACCGTTGATGATTGACCGACGTCACGAGCAAACAAGGCAAACATTTCGAGATGGACAAACGCCGATCAACTACGAGGCACTCCCGAGTCCTCCGCAAAGAACATCAAAACAACACTCGTTCAACCCCGGAAGGAGCGATTGAGTGAGGGATAGTCGCCGAGGTGTTCTGTCGATCAGTGAATTAACAGACTTGTTCATCATGTCTCAGGATATCTTAGCCGAATTTGGTGACTTCACCGTCAAGGACACTCCCGTTCAGAACTATACCACGACTCAAACACAACCTTCTTGGTTGCAGCCAGGTTACCCTTCAGGTACATATCAGACACAACTAATCAACGCCCCAGCAATGAATCAGGAGGAAACTCCATGGGACGACGACGATGATGATTTTGGGGATTTCGAGGAGCCGGAAACACAATCACAGCAGAGTCATCAAACAACTCAGAACAAGCCCCCAACACCACCTGCAAAAGATATTAAACCTACCCCTAAACCAGTCCCGAAGCCCGAGCCCAAAACTGTTTCGAAACCTGCCCCACCACCAGCGAAGAAGAGCTCTGGTCCTCCAGTCATTCTAAAGAAAGCAACCAAGGCCAGCCAATTGCCAAGCAACCATCCCATGGCAGGATTCGCAGACATTCTGTTTGATGCAGATGAATATGACGAGTTCGAAGATGCAGACGTCGTGGGTTCGTGGGGCGATGAGGATGATTTTGGAGATTTCGAGACTAGTGAGACGCCTGTTGTCAGCAGCAAACCGCCGAAGCCTTCATCAGTGCAACCGAAAAAAGTCAACCCATCATCAGCACCTGTGACTTCATCTGCTGTAGATCTGTTAGGCTTTGACGACCCAGTGAAGACGACGAGTAAACCAACACCACGACCAGCGCCGGCAAGCGCAACAAAGCCAAAACTCCCGACACGCAAACCTCCAGTCACACGCCCGGCTGCCGTGCCTCGCCAGGAATCCATGCACTCAAATGACGATGCATGGGATGACTTCGAAATTTCACAGCCCCCACAGCCAACGAAGCAATTACCACAAACAACCCCTCCAGAACAAACTCCACAGATTAAACTACCAGAAAACGTCCTAGGCGATCTCACAACCCTTCCTACAACCACAGGCGTAGCTCCCTCCAACATCCCACCCCCTTCAGTCCTCCTGTCGATCTTTGGCCCCGTCTTGACTTCCCTAGCTCTCCAATTTCTACACCCCTTGAGCACCCTTTCCTCCACCCAAAAATCCCACTTCCTCTCATTAGCAACAACAAAATCCTTTCTCGCCAGCTACATCACCCTCACCCACGTGCTTGGCCACATAATCGCCGGCCGCAAGTCTCGCTGGAAGCGCGACAAACATCTCGCTCAAAGCATGAGCATTGGCCCCGCAACCTCCGGCCGCAGCGGCGGCATGAAACTCGCTGGCCTCGATAAATCTGAAGCCGGCCGCGAAGATACCGAAGTCCAAGTCGTGTTGTCTGCATGGCGCGAACAAGCAGGTAGATTGAAAACTGCAGTCACCGGTGCTTCAGTGCATGGAATCAAACTCACCGTACCGGACTTGGGTGATGCGCTTCCTGTGCGGGTGGCTAAAGCATCTGAAGGTGCGATCACGAGCACGCAGGCTTGTGCGTTGTGTGGCTTGAAGAGAGAAGAGAGGGTGGCTAAGGTGGACGTGGCAGTCGAGGACAGTTTTGGAGAGTTTTGGGTCGAGGGGACGAATATGCATCGGTCGTGCCTGAGGTTCTGGGAGCTGTTCAAGACTAGACTGATGTCGAGGTGAAGAATGGGAATGCACACCAAACAAGCATCGCTATGGGATCTACAGCAATGATGCAGAAAAACGATGTAGAAGAATCCGTGGTCAAGTAAAATACGATTAAATTGGCCAAAATATCAGACTCGAGCCAATCACTTGTTTCTCTTCCGGGAGGCACCACAGAACATCTGGACCTTCTCCCCGACGAAGAAAACACATGCAAAACATACAGCAGCAGGGATTCCCACGTGGTCATCCACCGTAGTACTAATCTGCCGTTCAACTGCTTATGTATGGCAGAGCGGACGGGATGCCCAGTTTCCAGCTGACTGTGGCCGCATGTGCTTAAGTTGTCGATCTTTTAGTTATTATACACTGATAAATACTGCAACATCACAAGCAAAAGAATATCGAAGCAAAGAGGCAACGCTTGTGTTTCATTCCTATCTTACCCACTCCCAATTTCCGGCCTTCAGACATCCAGATGGCGTCGGCTCCTCGTCTCCGAATTTTGCTCAAGGAGCCAGAGGTGCGTAAGAGAACGGAAGACGACGCATCTGGATCGAGGTTAGAGGTGGCAGGTCGCCCAACGCTCCTCTCGTTCGATGAGATGCCGCAATGGTTCTAAGACGACAAAAATAAATGGGTCATTCGCGGTCACCGGCCCATATCAGACTCGCCAGTTGGCGGTAGCTCCACAACATCTGCCAACTATTCTAGAGCCACTAGCACTGATTTTGTGGCTTTCTCATGCTTCATGCTGACGGCGACCATTTGCTATGCATCTTCGGCTGTTTATCATACTTTGATGAACCACTCTTATATTGTGAGATGAACCACGGCTAGTACCTCTTGCTGTACTCGATCTTGCATCAACTCTGTCTCTTCCACTTTCCCTCTTCCTAAATCATGATTAACTACTTGTTGTTTCCAGTAGCCACGCCCCAGAAGTAAGCACTCCAACCTCCAAGCATGAGTAACATAGTACATCCAAAACAGACCACCGAGATCCTTTTATTTCTCTCCTTCATCAACGTCTCGAATCTCCGCAAGCGTTCCTGGATGAACATCCCCTGTGCGAGCCTCTTCTTGCGACTCCATTGCAAGCGACCCAGATCAGGGCTGTAGATGGAAAGAGCAAGAACAACGAGTGAGACAGCAAGGGACGCGCATCCAAAGAAGGCGTACACGCGGACAACGCGAGTGTATGCGTTATCGTCTGCGTCTTGGATCACGCCGGTAAGAATGCGTATGATGACCGACATACTATATCTTTCGTCAGCTTTGCTTTTTTGATCCTTGAATCTCTGCAAAAAAATCTTACGCATTGTTGATAGTAACCTTGATCCCATATGCCGTGCCAAAAGCCCCTTGATGCCACATCGACGTCCTGATGGAATCAATAATAACGGTAGGTCCCAGCGAAAACGCAAACGCATATATTCCAAACGCAGCCGCCGTACCCTTGACAGATGGTGCCCAGCAAACCAGTGCCATGGAAAGAAAGCATCCACCGCCACAAACCACCATAGCCGTAACTCTCTTACCAAACACATCGATAAACACGCCCAGCAGAGGCACAAAAAAGAAGCCGGCATATTGCAAGATAGCCGTGTACCATCCTGCGGTGATGGAATCAGTATTGAAGCGCTGCTCAGCAAGTTCCGTCGCATTCTGAGAGAACACGTTGGCTGTGGTGGTTTGGAAGAGTGTGAATGCCATGATGCACCAGAATGGCCAGGGCATTTGCACCACTTTTTTGAAGTCGAGGGACTTGTTCTTTTCGGTAAGTTTTTCGCCGGTGGCTGGGTCGGCGATGGAGGAGTATCGAGACGAGCAGAAGCGGACTAGGAAGAAGAGGCAGATGGTGGCGACGTTGGTGAAGAGGTTCATGCCGACCATTGTCCAGAAGACACTTGAGAAGCCGCAGTTCTGTTTGACTCTCAATCAGTTTCTCATGCTTCTTCAGTAGGGTCGGAGATTGCTCCTACCTTTGCGATGATATTCGCAGTCGACTTTCCAACAAATCCACCGATCTGAAAAGCATTAGTGAACCTCTCCTCAGACAACTCACACTTACACATTTCCTCCTACATACCTTCTTGATCCCAAGTTCAAAGCCCAATGTACTCGCGAACCCAGCATTTGGCGGAAACCAACTGCTAAACACTTTATACTGCGCAACCTGTGTCGCGATGTCTCCGAACGAAGCGACTACTCGGCCGACAATCATAAACTTATAACTGCGCGTCTCGGCAGCACCAGCGATGAGAATGGACCCAATAGTATAGATGATATTGCCGTAAACGATACATCCAGTGCCGCCCAGACGATCGGTGAAAATGCCGGTCAGCAGGATCAGAGCTGATGACATAAAGTCTTCGCTGGCTTCGAGCAGGGAGAATTGAGTATTATTGATGTGCATTTGCTTCTGTTGTATGTTGGTCTCTTTTGTGTCTTTCCAGGTGATGGTGGATAGGGAGGTGATTCATACCTTCATGGTAGATTTCATGGCAGAGCTTACACCGCTGCTCCATTGAGATCCAAAGCCAATGCAAGAGACTAGCAGTACACTGAGTAGCTTCATCTGCAGCGGTACCGGGGGATGTGTGTTGTTCGGACTATCTTGAGAAGAATTGACAGATGAGTTGTCGAGTACTGTAGTTGCAGTCTGAGCTTCCTTGTCCTGCTCATTCTTCGAGAGAGTTGATCGATCCATAATTTCCTGGTCCTGGACAATAGTCGATTGCTTTTTCTCTTGTCCCAAGGCTTCCACGAAGTGAGGGAGAGGCATGGTAGAAATTTCGACTCAACCGTCACGTAGAGCTTGTAACAGAAAAACTGCCGGTGCAACAAAGGCCTACCTGGGAAATATAGATATACGGAAGTGCAGACTCGGATACTTATATCATATCCTTGCTCGGCTACTTTGTACCACATCGTGCCACTATTTCTACTTGGCAGGGAGTGTTGAGCTGGAAGTGACATGAGAAATGCGCGAAAAGTCGGAACATGTCGTTGTGAAGCGTCCACTCACAGCAAGACAAGAGGGTCTTTCTCGTATGCTCGCCAGAAAAGCACCGATCTGATAAAGCGGCGCGCTGATCTGATAAAACGCTCTGATCATCATCTGCACCCGGTCAGACTTGGCAAGCCATATCATAGCTGCAAATATTGGCGATGTCGCTGGTATGCACAATCCTTACCGAACTAGTTTTCAACGATTCAAGCTCTTGATCCTTGTCGAGGGGTCAGGCAAGCGTCAAGTAGCATAGTCATGTTATACACAAGCGACCATGCGCCACTCAAATCTGACAAGAGCTGTCGTTGCAGAGTTAGCAAAAGGCAGAGGCCAAGGAAAGCATGCTTGGTAAGGCGCGGGAAGATTAATGCACGAAACGAGTAGAGCTCGCCTGAGTCAGTGGATATCTTGTGTACAAGAAGGACCGTATGGAAAGAATGAAACATGGTCAAAATCGATCTCGTAGAATTGATAACAGAGTGACACGCGTGCCACGTTCATTGAGAATGATTGCAAAAAATGGCAGTGAAAGTCCGTTGAACCACATACACAACTCGATGTGGAACGAAACAAAAAGACATACTATTTTTCGTCCCTCGCGCCTCTGTGCGAAAATAATGAAGATATTACATGGCGCTCCCGTCCAACCTTGGTCTCTGTTGGGCAAGAAAGTGGCCAAAAGAGACTGTTCCTCCCTCCCTCTCCAGGATGATGGTCGTTCAACGCAGATGAGGAAATTAAAAGACAAAGGAAAATGCATTGACGCGATGAAGATGACTTGAAAAGACCAGAAGAAAGGCGAAAGCCAATCCATCTAGTCGCTCTGGCATAACAGAGCCTGTTGGGGACCGTTTCCTGAAGGTCCAACGCAGCATGCCAATGCTGAATTTTGAAATATGTACGTGCGAGGCGTTCAGAAACCGATAAGAGATGCGCCAGTGTCCACAGTAGCCGCCGTCTATGAGAACTCATGTCGTATAAGCCTAGGGAATGAAGGATCCAGGTTAATCATTGTTGATTCGCGAGTCGACAAAAAGAGCGTATATGTTGCGTATCGAGTAATGCAGTCAGGTGAGAAGGTGAGAAGAGGGATGATTGATTGTGCTGTTCGTCAGGCTGGATAGAGTATCAACACGTATAAGCTAGGTGAGCTGTTACGCAGAGTCCTCCGCATCGGCAAGATGAAGCCCTGTCGTGACTCCAGTGGACTATCGGAAGCCTTGAGGCGGGCGAGGTCCTAGACTGCTGGAGCTGCTGTGGGCCGAAGGGTCGGAATCAAGGGGCACCGAGTGGTTACTGTCACCACTCCCCGCGCTAGCGCTCGCGGAACCTGTCAGACTGCGTTCTTGAGGGCCGCTTTTGGGCGGATAGAGATGGCTCACCCCGTTCTGCTGTTCAACATGCTGTGGCACTTGGCCTTGCTGGCCCATCGGGCGTTGCATTGGCGAGCCCATAGCGCCTGGAGGAGAAGGTCGGCCGTTCATGTGGGGCGGGTATCCGTTTTGTCCATTTGGTGGGTAAGGACGTTGGCCAGGAGGTCCTCTTGGAGGTCCTAGAGGGTGTCCAGGGGAGTTGCTGGCACGTCGGCCCATCTGGGGTGGCATTGGGCCGGGGTAAGGGCCTTGTCCCGGAGGTCCGCCTCGTGAAAGCTCGTTCAGGCGTTCTGCAGTAAGTGAGTTGGTTCTCGATTCCTGACCAAGGTTGTGACGATCAACACCTCCGTATCTGTCTGACGAGTAGCCTAGCAATGGGTTGCCCATGAGGTTGTCATGAAGGTTGGGAATTTCGGACATGAGTCTAGCACTGGTTCGGTTCTGCACCTTAGGCCTTCCGAACATGCCTCTGCCGCCACCTCCTCCTCTCATTTGGTGACCACCCATCTCCGGGTTGTTGCGGAGCTGGTTAGCGGAAGGTGGGGGCGCCTTGCGTGCACGTTTCGAGGTGACGCTCATCATGTCGAAATTGTCAGGATCAATCATGGGGACGTTTCTTCCTGCGGCCATGGGGTCAAAGTAGTCTTCGCCGTCCTCATCGTCATCATCGAAGCCTCCAGCGTGAGAGGCAGGAGGAGGAGGCATACGACGTCTCATGCTGAACTCTTGCTCTCTTAGAGCTAGCTCTCTTTGACGCAGGGCGAATTCTCTCTCGCGCATGCCCATCTCGCCTCCAGGACCGGCACCGTTTGGAATTGCGCCTTCGGGCAAAGCGCCCTCTGGCAAGTTGTCGTAAAGCATCAGGTGACTGAACTCCTCGAGTTCGTTGTCTTCAAGGGATGGGCGCCGTGTTGGCTGCTGAGGAGGGCCACGGTGACCGTTTCCATTCATTCTCATGGATGGGCCGAAGCCGTTGTTCATCGATGGACCTCTGCGCATTTGAGGAGGTGGGCCACCAGTCATGGAGGGGGCTCTGCTTCCAGGTCTCATCATTCCAGGTCTACCGGGATGGCCAGGCATAGCGCCGTTCATCGGACCATTCATCGGACCGTTCATTGGGCCACGCTGATTAGGGCCAGGACCCATATTTGGGCCGGAGCCCACGCGAGGAGTTTGTGCAGGGTTTGGTGGTGAGATTGCAGCTGCAGGAGGTGGGCGGGATTGGTTCAATGTGTTGGCGTTGTGAAGAAGAGCGTACAGCGTCTCGATGCGAGGAACGGAAACACCCATGTCTTGGGCAAGTTTGATGGGAGCGCCGAGGAATGTCTCGATTTCGAGAGGTCTGCGGGCGGTGAAATCTTGGTACATGGTACTGGGGGTAGCGGTGGGCTGGATCATGGCTTCCATGGTCTGCTCGTGGAAGTTCTCAGGGAAAACGCAACCTTGGGTTTGTGCAAGAACGAGGAGCTCGTCGATGATGCCGGTGATCATGGCACGAGCACCTGTCTTCTCCAGAAGCTCGGCGTGGTTGGGCGTTTCAAACAAGACACTGGCAGGGTGGAAAGTGATGGGACTGCAAGAAATCAGTCAGAGCTGGTCAACGGGATGAGGATGGAGACTTACCCAATCATGCGCTCGTACTGTTGCTGTCTGATGTTAGTCGACACTTTGCAGTCAACTTGGCCGGAGCTCAAGGTCATGGCCAATGCTTCAGCCATATCTGACTGTATCGATGCAGGAATCGAGGGGTTCTTGTTGGCAGGCCCGACCCAAATCTCAGCTGAACCCTTGTGCTCAAACTCACTCGCGCCGATCTGTGAGAGCTCGGCACCGGCCACAAGAGACAATACGACGTTTGTAGGGAATCGTTGCTCGAGATATGACTCGACGCCGAGGGAGTGTGTTGTGTTGATCAAGATGCATGTGTGCTGAGGAGCGACGACCGACTCGATGATGGACGCAATGTCGTACACGTCAGGGAGGGCCTTGACGCACAAAAGGACGTAGTCGTACGGTGCTCTTGACGATTTTGCTGCTTCTTCAGGTGTACGGACGACTGCAGGCCAGGTTAGCACTTAGGCAGTTTGGTGACGAGCACATTGACTGACCTTGTCTGGGCTTGAATCTCTCATTTCCGAAAGTAGCGGATCTAGAGGAGGTCAGCGGTGAAGGAGAGGGAGCAGCGAACAGCATTGGCTTACTTGAACGAGAGGCCGTACTGCGACACATTCTCAAAGCCGTTCTTCCAGACGAGAGTGACATCGCATGCGTTGGTCGCCGAGAGTCTCCATGACATGAAGGCAGAGACGGCATTTCCGCCGACTACGAGTATGTTAGTAAGCTGTTGCCTTGGATGGGCTTGCTCGACAGCCATGATGAATTGGCGGCTTGTGTCGGAGGAGGGAAGGGGAGAAGTTGTGAGGATAGCAATGCTCTGTGTGCATATGATAGCAGCACGCCAGGACAGAGCAAGTGCGATTAGCAGCAGAGCGGCTGGGACGGGCAGTGATGGATATTTGCATGAGCTAGAAAAGTGGACCTGGTCCCAATGGCGCAGCGTGGAAGGGCAAGGATGGTGTTAGGAACGGTGTACGGGACTACTGACCTGACAGGATGCGCAATCTAGGGACTGTGGGCGCCATGATGCGATACGCTCAAAGCGCGAGAGATGTTAGGACGCGAGAGGGCGGTGGCTGAGGACAAAAGAGTCGTGATATGTGTCGAGGACCGAAGCAACAGCGAATCCAAGCGTCACAATTTCCAAGGAACGCGGCCAAACGGTGGAAGTGCACGCGCGCGTGTTTTGGCTTGCAAGCGGTATATAAAGGGAGGAAAGGGGTGGACAGGAAACGAGCGTGAGAGGTCAAGCCAGTGTGCGCGATGTGCAAACCCAAGGACGAATTTCTGAAAGACAAGGAAGGCGAGGGTGAGGACGGAGACGGAAGATGAGGAGAAGCTGTCGTTGACTGTCGGCGCAAGCGCTCCGTCCGGATGGGTGAGAAGGAGTGCGATCAAAGTCTTGGTTTGATTCGCTTCCACTCAATGCGCCAGGACAGCCCGCGCGACTACCAGATAATACAACAAGCAATAGTTCTTGATGGATCCTCGACGCCCAATTACAGTGCTTAATCTCTTTGTTTGGCAGACCTGCTTAGACCATCATAAAGCATGCTGTCTGCGACGTCAAGCGCTTCTCGTATTCCTGGCATGATTGTTGCGGCGTCATCGCCATCGTCAGCGCCGCCTGCCTGTCCTCGCAGCTTCTGCTGCCAAACCCGTTCGCAACCACTACGGTAAATCTCATTGCCGTCGAGCAAGAAAAAAAAACCCTCCGGATTCCGGGCAGTCCTTGCTACTCTGGGCCTAGCTAGGCGCGAGACAACGACTCGACCGGCTACGTGCACGGCTTGAACCTTTCGACGGCAGCGGCGCGGCGTGGCGTGGATTCATGCTTGTCTCGGTTCTCACGCCAGTGCCTGGTTTTTGTTCTCATTGACCGCAGGGATGGTGTTTCGCTCTCCCTAACTGTCGCATATACAAGCAGCTAGTCATCGTAATGCTTTCTCTACTGTGTTTGATCGAAGCCTTGTCAATACTAGTTTCCTGGCTGTTGGCAAGACTGCAACTATCTGTCTCTGGGCCATGATTGTTGCGCTCTTCCCTCCAGCTATCTCGACCCCACGTTGAAGGCTGCCACACACACACACAATTTCCCAACCCCTGCAAGGCGAATCTCTCGTCAATCACCAAGGCCCCCAGTCGATAGTAGAGAACGTCGAACATCCTATCTGCAGATCATCACTCTGGGCAAGGACAAGAACAGCTAGCCCTGCCATCAGAACATAACTGTCCGGTATACGGAGTAGGTCGAATCTTCTAAGAGCAGTTGACAAAAGATATGTTTCCATAGTCTCGCGATAGCAAGAAAAGATGTCAGTCTAGTTCATCTTCTCAAACACAAGATGCAAAGATCATCAGACAATCCGACGGTATGATGCTGACGATACTTGTACCATGCCAAAGGCCGAAACAGTAGCGCGTCCTATGCACGTACTACGGACGTTCATAGTGAAGGCTGAGCTCAACCTACACCATCTACGTGCTGACTCGGAGATCGGGGTTTGTGCGATCGGGACTCGAATACAGATTATCTCTTCTCTGTTATGACAGCTACAAAGAGCTGCCTCCTGGCATACAAGTGTCACCTTCTTGAGATGAAGAGCGCTGATCTTTCTGTCCCTGCTGTATAGTTCACGGCTCTTATACTTGGTGACACCTTTGGTTCGCTGCAGCCCTTATCGCGCAATTGCATGGAGTGTGTGCAGTATTCATCTGATGTATAGGATACCCTACATAGGCTGAAAAGAACATTTTATCGAGTTGCAGTGTACTTCTTATGGTCTCTCAGCCCTCCGGACCTAGATCGCTGGGGTCTCTAAGTCCCGGAGACGCAGAAGGCTGATCATTGGCTGCTCTACGGAGATTGTTCCTTGATACCGCGCGACAAGGTATAAGAGTTGCAGCGAACCAGACCACGACTTTGGATCAACACGCACACCAGACAGCAAGTTATTGAAGACGTTGACATCAACTACAAAGCCATCTCCCAAGTAGGTCTGCTGCAGCGCCGATGTGCCCAAGAACCGACATATTGTCTTGTATGCACTCGAATGATGCGATTGTGACAGCTGGGCATGCTCCTTTCGGTCGGCGATCCTTCTCATGTTCCATGTTGAAACGAAAGTGAGCGCACAACTTCCCTACCTTGTTCAATCAGCCCATGTTCTCTTTGTACGATGTACGCTTATCGTCGATACGCCGATACGGCAATAGGCAACATGTCTTCTTCACGTTCACAACGCAAGACACCGGTTGCACCTTTACTCCAAGGATCCATAATTCCTGGTGCTGCCCTTCTCCCCACGCTAAGCTGCAACCTGCTCGCAACCAAGAGATGTCATTCTCGTGTCCCCCCGGACGGGATCCATAACGACAAGCTTTCTGTGTACTTTTCGTCTGATCTCGTAGTCCCTTTTTGTTTCTCGTTCCCGGAGGATCATTCAGGGCAAAGAAACACCCAATTATTTTTTTCGCTTGGTGCTTGGTCAGGAAGTGAGACACAAAAAGGTACCACCCGGTTAAATCCGCCCTCCGCCACCGCTTTGCACTGTCGAGGAGCGGTTGGCCGTTGAACGCCTCTTCAATCTTAAAAGAAAAATTGTGGCAGCCAACCGTGCTTGACGGGCAAGCACTCGCAACTCTTTCTACAACAGCCTCCGAGAGCCCGAGCTGCTTGACTGGAAACGGGGGCCCTCGGATACGAGGATTGCCGGATACCGCAACAGCCTTTTTGACAGTTGATAAAGTCGTTGGTCTTCATGAGCATGTCTCTCGGCGTTCGTCTGTTTCTCGCTCTCGCTGCGTGAAGGAAATTGCTCTTTGATCAAGATGACGGCTCGGCATGTCGACTGCCAATCGTTGAGTGGGCATCAGCATTGTTGAATGGCTGCGCCCGTTGCTTGAGTCGTCACACACTCTTCGACTGGAGAAGGGAGAAGGCAAGAATGCTTAAACAGTGTCTGGAACGCGATGGGAATGAGGCAGTGAATATATCACGGGTCAAGTATGATTGGTCTCATCAATGGAATCGGTTTTTCGATAATCGTTAAATAGTAAAAGTAGAGAAGCTAAGAGTACACCGCCACGCGTGTGCATTGCAATCGCTTGCCAAAAAGTTCAATTTTGTCGATCAACTCGCTCCTTGGAAGAGGTGTCTTAGTTGGCCATGTAGCTCTTGGAGTCGATGCCGCCCTCGGGGAATTCACTTGCGATGTGTTAGCGGATGCGTTCAGCGCTGGTACCAGAACAGAGCAAACTTACGGCAAAGCGACTTCGAATCTCTTCTCGATGGTCTTGAGAACCTCCTGGTCTTGCTCGCTGCTGACAAAGGAAATACTGAGACCCTTGGTACCGAAACGACCAGCACGACCGACGCGGTGAAGGTACGAGTCGGCATCACCAGGAAGATCGTAGTTGATGGCAAGGTTGATACGCTCAATATCGATACCACGACCGAAGACGTCGGTAGCGACACAGATACGCTTGTTGAACTCCTTGAACTCCTTGTAACGCTTGATACTGGATGGATGTCAGCTTCTGTCGGTCTGGATGAGATACTAGGATACGTACCGCTCCTCTTGGGAAACACCGGAGTGGACGGCGATACTGGGGAAGTTGCACTCGCGCAGAAGCTTGTCAAGCTCGGTGGCACGGAGAGTGCTCTTGACGAAGATGATGACCTGGTTGAACTCCAGCTCGTCGAGGAGATCGTTGAGCTTGCGGTTCTTCTCGGCCTCACTGAGCTTGATGTAGTACTGCTGGAGACCGTGGAGGGTGAGCTTGGTCTCGTCGTCAACGTAGATCTCTAGAGGGTTACGCATGAACTTCTTGCAGATGGGACGGGTCTCCTGGGACAGAGTGGCCGAGAACATCATAACCTGCTTCTGTGTTGGGGTAGCACGGAAGATCTCTTGCACATCGCGGCGCATGTCTGTCCGAGAGTTAGCAATTGGAGCTGCTACGAAACACACAAGTGATCCTACCAATCTGGTCGAGCATCTTGTCACACTCGTCGAGAACGAAGCGCTGGATGTTGCCAAGGCGGAGCTTCTTGTCTCTGACCAGGGCGTTCAGACGACCGGGAGTTGCGACGATGATGTGAGGGTGAGTCTCCTTGTTGGAGAGGAGCTCGATGTCCTTTTGCATGGGAGTACCACCGTAGAAGACGGCGGTCTTGACATCGGGCATGTACTTTGTGAATCTGGCGTACTCGTTCTTGATCTGGTAGGCGAGCTCACGGGTGTGGCACATAACCAGGACCGAGGTCTCACCCTCGATGGGCTCCATCTGTTGGAGGGTTGCGAGAACGAAGACGGCAGTCTTTCCGAGACCGGACTTTGCCTGGCAGATGACATCGTTACCGAGAATGGCTTGGGGAATGCACTCCTGTTGGACTGGATATCGCAGCTATGTCAGAATCGGTTTGCCAAGTAGTAGTAGTAGTGTGTGTTCGCGTGAATCAAGCAAGCGTCCGTCCATCTCGTGTCCAGCTTTGCGGATTAAACTTGCGACAACCAAAAAGCAGATGCTGCGACTGAAAGCACTTGTCTGACCAGAGGTGCGAAACAAAGCCAGGAGACGGCGCGTCCAGATTGCAAATCAAGAGTTCAATTGGCGCAAAGCACCCAAGACTCGTTCAGACCAGAGGTCGGACTGCATGACGCGCCATTTGTCGCATTGCGCGTGTGTCCACGGCATGGCTTCTCCCTCGGTATCCGGCAGCTGTCGAACCAGGACCGAGTCTGCACCACAGTCGAAATGTAGCACAGAGCGGACTGGCGACGCGGGATGTGTCCAGGTGGCTGATGAACGCAAAGAAACGCAGACTGCCTCCTCTTTCTACCTGATGGAGCTTCGCTTGGAGATGGACGGACGATCGGAGCAATGGAGACGCGCGCTAGATAGGATGATGATGATGAATGACTAACCCTCCGAAGGATGCTCGAAACCGCAGTCGGTGATGGCGCGAAGAAGCTCGGGCTTCAACAGGAAGTCACGGAAACCAGTCGAGTGGATACCAACGTAACTGCCCTTGGTGGCAGCGCCTGCAGCGGGGGCGGCGCCATCTGCCTTCTTTGCGTCACCGTTGGCAGCGGCGGCGTCAGTAGTGGTGGCGGTGGGCTCAGTGGTCTGAAGCTCCTCGTCAGAGTAGTCGATGAGATCCTCCTCGGCAGACATGTTGGTAGTGGTGGATGGGTGGTGTGAGGTAGTCGGAGAGGGTCAAGGCGCGTGAAAGCGACGCGATTCAAGAAAGTTGCGAAGTGGGAAGTTGAAGAGAGAAAAGGCGCCTGATGGTCCAATCAAGGAAACAGGTGCAGTTGATGGATTGAAGAGCGGGTGATGGTGCGAAGTGATGGAGACGGATGTGAGAAGGAATGCGGATGCGACGAGCTTGGGCCACGTGACTTCGCTGCTTCCGTCCATTGCTCTTCACTTCTAATCTTGTCGACGACGATACAAAGTATTTTATAACCTATCTTAGGGATCTGTCTGATATGGCTCTCCGTCATATAACGCCATGGCTATGGTGGACCGTCGTGACTTGAGGTGTCAAAGGCTTTCAGCACCTAGTTGGCTTTGAAAATGCTTGAGTGAAGACCAGCGTGATCAAACGAATGTGATATACAACTAAAATATGTGCAGGCAACGGTTGATCGCAAAACAACCATGAATATATGCTAAGTATACTATGTATATGCAGATAGGAAGATACCAGGCATCTCATATCACTCCAAGACTCATTGTCGCGATGATAAACCACAGTCCAGGGTGCTCCCTCCAGCGCAAAGCAATGCCATGCTTACATAATCCACCCAAGCAGCGCCCAGCACAGACCCCGTGCAGCCTCTATAAAACTTGCCCTGTCCTCGCCCTCAAGTAAGTTTCTTTTCTATCTATCAGTAGGTGACTAATGTCACTTTGCACTTCCGCTACGGCGGCTTGCTATGTGTTTTCCTCTCCCTATGGAATTCGTATCGTTCCCTGGTGCATAGAGGGAAGGAGCCCTCACCTAACATCTGCGTGTATCGCCAAATGTGCGACGGAGGTGTGGGAGGGCTGCGACATCTCTTCAACTTTGAAGAAAGTTTTTTCTTTGCTGGTATTGAGTTCTCTTGCTGCAGAACTTTGCTCGGCGCAAAGTTCTATTGAACAGAGCTTTTGCGCAATCATTGCGAATGCTTTCTGGTCTTGGATATGAGCAAGACTGGATCGCGTTTGCGCATTGCGCGCTCAATCGTTCGCAAATTCTAGTTGGCAGCGAATCAAAACTTTTACTATCATAACATCACTCCCGTGCTCACCTCCGTGTCATGCCGCTACACCATGCTGCTTGCGAATATCAGACCTCCAATCGTTTGAGTAATCACCATAATGTCTGAGGCTCAAACCAGTGATACATCATGCGCTTCGTTGCAAGCAAACACAGCACCACGATACGCAAAGTGCTGTCATCCATATCACAGAAAGTCACATTCTTAGGTGGATCATGGTTTGGTTGTTGCAAATCATCTTGATTTTCATCCGTGCTTGCTAACATTGTTGGTTCTTTTTTTCCTTCAGCAGGAGCACACACCACTATCGAACAAATAAATGTCCTCTAGTAGACGCGCTTGGGGGGAGACATGGAAGCCTTGATGGTCAAGCTTCCAACGTTCTGCCAGCCCTTCTTGAGAAGAGAGACGAGGTAGTTGATGGACAACATGATGTTACCGATCAGCTCATCCTCAGTCATCTCAACGTTACCGACGGCGACACCCATGCAGAGAACCTTCTTCAGCTGGAACTTGACGGTCGACTTGACCTCGGTGATCTTGTTGGAAAGATCCTCAGCGTGGGAGACGGGGGTGGGGAACTTGCCGGCTGTTATGCTTGTCAGTCGATGCTCATGAATCAATGTAGTAGTTGTGTTTGCGCTTACCCTTGGAAAGACCGGGGCCGAGGAGACGAGGAATCTGCTTGATCAGAGCCTCGGAGGCGATGAAGGCATCGTACTTGCGAGCGAGCTTCTTGATCAGCTTCTTGTTCTTGTTGAGCTTTCTCAAGTCCTCAGCGGACATGGCATCAACACCAAAGTGCTTGGCACGATCGATATCGTGCTGGTCACCGAGAATGCTGTGGTTGTCCGTCAGCCGTCTTGTTCCCACGCGCTCTTTCAGATTTCCAGATCCTACCAGATGGCCATGTTGGGGCGGGGGACCTTAGGGAGCTTGACGGTACCCGAGAAACGCTTGTCACGCTGGGGGTCGTAGTTCTTGAGGCCGATCTGGAGCTCGACGGTCTCGAGGAAGTTGCGCTTCTTCTCATTGAGGGAGTAGTTGAGGAGCTCCTGCACGTTGGTGCGCACTCCGGCGACAGTGATCTTCGACATGATGCTGGCTGTCTTCCAAGAGATGAATCTTTTGGTGAGGAATTGTGCGTGGCGGATTCAAGAAGGACGCCGCGAGCGAGAGATTTTGTCGAATTCTCTGTGCTTTCGCCAAGCTTGGCACGTGCGCCACCGCTCCGGACAGGGTTGCCTTTCCAAGACGCCCAAAGAGAGAAACAACCAATGAGTCTCAAGTTTCTTCACATCTCAAGATCCTTGACATCTCAAGTTCGTCTCTTTGACCGAGTCTTGTCCGTTGCTCACAGTTCATCTCTTGGTGAGTCACGTAGGATCAACAAAGACACCGAAAGTCTTACGATCTTGACAACTCCAGGACCGTGCTCCGCGCTATCCGCAACAACCGCAATGCTCGCTCTGCTCTGCATTGCGTGAACGCCAATTTACTCCGAGTAGCTACGAGGGAGGTCCGTTTTATCTGTGTGGATACACACCAAGATGTCGCGATTGTCCGAGATCCTGTTGGAACAAACTTCCGAGCATCACATCCCAAACGATATCGGATACCTTCAGTGGTCCGGTGTCCCAGCTTCAATGGTGAACCAAGCATTGTCAAGTTCAAGGCAAACGCCTTTGAGGCAGAACAAAGCAAACAACCAGTCTCTTGATATGAGGCTTATTATACTCTAGAGAGGATGTTTTGTTGTACTGCATGTACAGAGAATGATCAATTGGCTCGAGCCACCAGATGCTGTCGATAAATGCAGTCGTTGATGGTCGGAATTAGAGTTCGGAACTTTCAGGCGATCGAGGCCGAACAGATTGCGTCAAACCCGACTTTTCTCCTTCGCACCAGTCATTGCACTCCATCAAGCACATCCAGAACAGATAAGTCAAGTGTGTTGATTGCAAATGTGGTGACTGTAATCTGCCAGAGCTCTCATGGCCGTAAAGATTCAAGATCAGATAACGCAGCTGCAATGCTGGCGATCAAGAAAAAGAATCACCTTGATCTGGGGTCGGCAAGAGTGGGTCTTACGCGCCTCTGACCCGTTATCCATCACAGCAATCTCTGACCGAAGCACCACCGCATAATGTAGTGGCGCCGTGATATATAACTGTAGGGGACCCAACCATCTGGGGGCCCGAAGGTCTTTGTTATCAACCTCGTCATCTCTCGCGTACATCCAGAAAACTTTTACTTTCCTGTGACACACCAAATTTTGATACACGACCATGCAGTCGCTTCGCCAATACAAACAACTCAGGCAGGCGGTCCAGAGACAACTGGAGAGAGACACAGACAAGGCCAAAGCACTATCCGCATACACTCAACAACATGGACTCGACAAACATGAGGAAAACCAGATCTTCGGCGGACAGCCTTTGGAGCAGATCGAAACGCCCAGTAGGGACGAGGAAGCCAATGGCGACCAGGAAGCACTGGACGCGATAGTCGAAGACGAATTGGAAGACTCATACCCTCAAGTCGACAACCAAAATGAATTGAACAGGATACACACCAGCAGGAGCCATCATGCAGATCTAGCCAGGACAAAGAGCGAAAATGCCGATTTGTCTAGAATACCAACACACCGAACGCATTACTCAGAACGAACAGCTCTGGGATACTCGATGACTGGAATCAATGCGCGCTTGAGAGCCACAAATGAGAGCGAGAACGGTCATGTGTTTGTCGTTGAATGGGAGGGCGCTCATGATCCACTCAAGCCACACAATTGGTCTACAGCCACGCGCATGTGGGCAACAGTGGTTGTCTCTCTTGTGGCTCTTGCAGGTACCGCGGCTTCCTCTATCGATGCTGCAGTATTGCCTCAATATGCAGAGTACTTCCACATTAGCGAGGTCGCAGGCTCTTTGGCGACCGCAATGTATCTGATTGGTTTTGCGGTCGGCTCGCAATTCGCAGGTCCTTTCTCGGAAACCTTCGGAAGAAACATCATCTACATTGTGACTATGTGCATTTACATGCTCTTCTTGCTTGGCTGCGCGCTGGCACCCAACTTTGGCGGACACATTACACTACGATTCTTCGCAGGCTTGTTCGGATCGACTCCTTTGACAGTGGCTGGTGGTACTATTGCTGATCTCTGGAACCCACTTGAGAAGACCTTCGCCTTCCCGGTATATGCATTCATTGGATTCTCCGGCCCTCTATTCGGGCCTGTCATTGGCTCCTATATTGGTCCCAGCGGCATGAGCTGGCGTTGGTGCGAATGGCTTATGCTGATCCTTGGTGCTATCATTACCACCATCATCATTGTCGGTCAGCCAGAGACTTACGGCCCACTTCTTTTATCCTGGAAAGCCCATCATCTCCGTACCGAAACTGGCGATGATCGCTACAGATCGCCTCTAGAAGTGCGTCGCACTTCTCTCTGGACTCGCCTAAAGATTGCACTTTGGAGACCTTTCGCTATGATCTGGACAGAGCCCATCATCTTGCTCATGTCGCTTTATCTCACCGTTCTGTACATTGTGCTGTTCACCTTCTTCATCGGCTTTGAGTTTGTCTTTACCGAGACCTATGGCATTTCTCAAGGCATCACCAATATCATTTGGGTTGCTGTGTTCGTTGGGTTCTTCCCATTGTTTGGTACACTGCCTTTGATCTACTCCTGGACAGTCAAGGATATCAAGAAGCAAGAAGCAGCTGGAGTCGAGAACCCTGCTCCCACCCCCGAGTCTCGTCTTTACTTCGCCATGCTGGGCGGTGCCCTCGCTGTGCCAGTCTCTCTGTTCTGGATGGGCTGGACCGATTACGCTTCCATCTCCATCTGGTCCCCTATCATTGCTTCCGCTCTGTTTGGCTACGGCGTCATTACTATTTTCATCTCGGCTTACATGTACATCATCGACTCTTACGCTATCTATGCTGCTAGCGCTTTGTCGTTTGTCACTTTTACTCGCTACCTTGCTGCTGGTGGCATGACTGTGGTCGGTGTTCCATGGTACCGTAATCTGGGCGTTCACTATACACTCACAATCTTGGCCTGCATCAGTGCTCTCATGGTGCCTGTGCCATATATTTTCTACATCCACGGTGCGAGGATCAGAAGCAAGAGTGCTTATGCTGTTGGCAAAGCTTAAGCTCGCGGCTCGCCCGGAGGAAGAGGATGTTCTGCTCGCCTAAAACCCCTAATAGAAAGACGTGGTGGCAGTCCTCACGTTACTGCTTTCTTGTCGTTTGTATACGTTATACCCTTAGATCTAGACTTTTCACAGCGTTTCGCATTGCTTCGATAATAAACATGTTCAGTCCACGATGCTCCTTCTTCTCGCCTCTGCTTTCCGACTTCTCCTTTTGTCAACAGTCGAAACCAGCTTCTTCATCGTATCGAAGTATTCCCACACCCAGACTTCGAGAATCAAACTGTACATCTATCCATGACGGAAAAAACATCAGCACAATTTTCATCATTATTTCAAACTATACATTGACAGAACTACACAGTATCCAAACACTGACAACTCTCTGCACTACCACTACCACCTCTGCTTATCATTCCACCCACCATGCCAGCCACCAGACTAGGGCACTCCTCCATCTTGTCCCGACACCCAAACACCAGCCCCCAAAGCCTCTCCATCGTAAACCCAAACAATGGTGCATTCAAACTATCCCGCTTGCCCGACAACCATTGCTGCCTTGCATATTCCTCTCGATGTGTCGTTGCATTCGCATCTACCAAATTATGCAACAGTAGAGAATAAACAGCAGGCAATGTGGCGGCAATGCGCCGAGCAGAAACGATAAACTGACCACGATAGGTGAGCGTATAATCAATGCAATCAGAAATGTTCAAGGCGGAAAAGATTGGAGATAGGATGGCGGGGCTTTCGGACCAAGTGGAGTGGTCCCAGGGTTGATGAGAACAGGTGTTGGAGGTTCGATGTGTGGATGAGAGGGATAAGAAGCCAGTGTTGGGAATAAAGTAATCCCTGACCCGGGCAAGAGCGAGGGAGGGCGAGTGCATTTCCGCTTGCAGGAAAAAAGTATGTGAGGCATGAGGGAAGGGGGGAGTGAGGATGTGGGTGAGGTAGGCGGCTGCTTCCCTGCCTATGTTTTCCCGTTGGATGATGGTGACTGGAATGGAAGGATGCAGTGTGCTTTGTATCTGCCTTTTGTAGGTTAATATACTGTCGGAGCCAGTATTGTAAACTATCAGACGGGTGGCTAGAGAATTTATGTTCGGGAGTAAGTGCAGGGTGTTGATTTGATGTGCGAGTTGGGAGGCGGGCTCGTTGTATCTGGACACGACAAAGTCTAAGGTTTGTGTGATGTTGGAGTGGACAATAGATTGGTCTCTTGGTGTCCAGTGCGGTGGTGATGGGGAAGAGGAGGTGTGCGCGGACAACAGAGGTGATATGGAGAGGAGCATGCAAGTCACTGCGAATATGGCTAGTGAGAGGGTACTCCACTTAATACCCCTCTGCCTCCCAGGCAACCCATGAGTCTCGTAGTCGGGCAAACGGCAATAGTGAATTACAGAGACAGGAGTATAAACCGTGTCAACCATGACACAGGATTTCAGCTGACGACCAGTCCACACAAGCGTACCTAAAGCAATCCAGAAACCAAAGTACTGCCAGATAGATGCCGAGCAAGATGAAGCGCTCGACAAATCGATCAGGACACTTCCCAAAGCTATCACACACTGAAGCGATATCGTCTCCAGAGCGGAATCCGTCTCATTCTCGTCATGGTCTTCCTCTACACCATTGAATGTAGCGAGTGGCTCCGTCTGTCTGAAGTATGATCCACTGCGTTGGAAGGTCGCAACAGCAGCAAGAGTATTGACTGCCAGAGTAACAAGTAGCAGACTTGAGAGCGGTGGTGTGTAGATGAGGTACTCGCGCAAGTATATCGCTACCACAGCGGCAACGATAGTACAGGGAAGAAGCAAAGCTTTATCTCGGACAGGGGCAATTAGAAGAGATGGCCTTGTGAGTCGATCGTCATCCATAACGCTTGGCTCCTGACGCAGTAGTTGGGAAGCCACACCCAGAAAGACTGTGATTGCCGACAACTTGAGTCCAGCTTCGGAGAGCCGATTCTCGAATAAAAGTACCATTGCAACACCCACCAAACATCCGAAGCTCGCGGTGATCTTTTGCAAAGCAGGGGTGTTGGTAGTTCGTATCAGACGGATAAGCAGACACCAATCTGGTAAGAGCAACATCGTCAAAGCAGGCAGCGATCGAAATCGGTATATAGCCTGATACTCACAGAACAATGCTGCTGTACCAAAGCCAAAGCGAAGACAAAGCTTCAATCCAGTGCTTGACCACAAATGCCCTCGATGAGTCAATTCATAGAGTGTGTATTCTTTTGCATCGGTTGTACGATCAATCCTCCGCGAAGAGAGCCATAGAACGGTTTCCCATATTGATGTTGCGACGAGGTGAAGTAGAAGTAGTCGGAGGGGGTGATGGTATCCATGGATGTAGATGGCTTTGGTGGTCAAGATGCTGAGGGCAGAATTACTGATCCGTAGTAGCCTAGGGTCGATGTTGGAGAACCATGATGTGGTTGTCGATTGCTGCATATCGTCTTCGCGTCCGAGTCGATCGATATTGCTCTGAAACAGCATTGTATCTTCCAACTGTCAATTGGCTATTATAGCAATAGAGTGAGCGAGGTATGTAGAATCTTAGAATGGCAGATATAGAGCCTCCACCCGTGACTACCTACATAGATCATCCTTGTAGCAGTTGCAAATTTCGGCCTTGCTGCGCCGCATACATTGAAGCCATGAGACAGTGACGTTGAACCCAGCAGAGTACCTACACATGATCCGTGCAATGACTCTGCAGTGTGTCTGCAGTGGCTGTACAGTGAAGGAGAGTGTACTACCAGGCTGCCAGACAGAGAAATATGGATCAGGAGGATTTAGATCTGCATCCAAAGTTGCCAACGCTTAGCACACTCAAACATAGAACATCAATTGACCGAGAATCGCCAGTCCTTTGTCCAAGAGACGGTCGAGCGCGGACGAAGACATTGCGTTGTCAACCTGCTCTCGAAATCTAGAAGGATTCTGGGTTCCACACATGCACGACTCGTGTTCAAGGCAACGAGATTCCGCGTCGATACCAAGAGGTGTTCAGGGGAGATCGACTCCTTTCTCATAGATCATCCAGGCAGACATATTCTCCAGAGGAACGGCGTACGTAACCGTAAGTGAACTTGTGAGCATCTACTTATAGATCATGTTATTGCGAATCTCGGTAAATGGAAAGCCAATTCATCCTTCTCGAAACAGGTCGCGCGCCGCATACGCATAGGGTGATTGAATGCCGGACATCACATACTCTTACATCGTTTGAATCGGAGATTGAAAGCTATGGTAGAGTCAAGCCAGCTGTGCAAGAGTGGACGACAGAGACAAGGTGGAGTGCGGGGACTTCTCGGTCCGAGACTCGATCTCTGAATCCTCACGACCCGCACTGTTGAACGACACAATATTCGAAAAGAACATTGCAGACATCTCAGATTGGAATACGGGTAAGTGTACAAGCCCTGATCGAGTAAGAATCATCCAAGAGCTATATATCACAACTTGTTCATGCCGTGGTCTCCAACAGATAGAGTGGTTGCAAGCAAGCGCTACTCCTCAACGAGATAGGGAGTCAGCGATGGAAGACATGGAGAGACTGCCAACCAGAGTAACGTCGACGTGAACAAGAGGATAACCAGAAAAGTAGAAATGAGTATGGGTGGTGATACAGTTGGTACATGATATAATGCAAGTCTTCGACAAATCTCCCAAATACAAACAACACCTCGCTTTTTCCTTGCAACAAACACCTCCCATATGCAAAAAGAGACCCTCCTTCCCCCAGACACCAGATAAACTCCACACCATCCAATATATATACAAACGTTGGTAAGATCGGCAATGAGGCACACACTTCTAGTGGAAGAAGTACTGACTCTCCTTCAATCTCGTCACATCAAAGTCACCCTTCTCAGGCACCTCAGGGAACTTGAGCGGCAACCACACGTGGACCTTCCTGACCACTGCCTTCTTCGTCACAGCAGCCTTCTTCTTCAACTCTTGAATCGTAGGCACGGTTCCTTCCGTCTCGTCATCAATCTCCGCATCTTCAGCTGCCTTAGCAACCTTGTCGTCTCCAGTGAGATCCACATCGTCATGGTCACCAAGCACAGGCTCGCTCAGGTCGTCAGTGCCTGAAGCCTCATCAGCAAGAACATCAGGGTTCTCTGGCAACTCGCCCAATCGCGAATTCACAATTTCGGTGGGAACGGTGAGTGCGTCTTCTGCATCGGCCTCGGCGGCAAAGATGCTACCCGAAGTCATCATCTCCTCGCCTTGAGCGACTTCCTCTGGGCTCTCGCTGTTGAGCAAACGAAGGCGCTCCACTTCTTCCAGGAGTTGGAGAATCAAGGTTGGCTGCAATTGCTTTGTCTTACGGCTGGCCTTGGGACGTGCTTTCTGCAAGGCGGCCATCTTTTTACCGACGGGAGTGCGCGCATCGACGGCGGCGAGGTACATGCAGTCCTTGTAGCGTGCGATAAACTCCTGGCGCAGACGGCCGACGACATCTTCGGTGTGCATGGCAACAAAGGCATCACGAAGGACAATGGACAGGGAGTTGATGTCGCAAGCGTGGGTCCAGAAAGAATCGTGGATACTGGCAAAGGCAATGTTTTCCTCGTTGCACTTGATGGCCGATAGCATCATATGGGTCGCATCCAGAGAGTGAATGAAGTTGGGTGGGAAGCCTTGCAACTGCTTACGCTTGCTGACGGGATCAATTGCAGTTGGCTCTTGGAGTGCAATGTTCTGAAGATTGGTCTTGACCAGACGACGCTTCGAGCTGCGATAGGGCTGAACCACCGGAAGACGTAGAGGAGTGGTCCAAATGACAGAGCTGCGGAACAGATGCTTGCCCGCCTCGGTACGCTGCATGCCGGTACCTTTTGACTTTTTGCTCATGACTTGCTTCTCTGGGATAACAGCTCTGCCTTCAGCATTGTCCCTCTCCATAGACGCAATTTGCTCGGGTGTGACACAAGTGGAGATGCGGTCAGCGCAGTCTCCCAACCAGGTCTGAATAGCTTGAGCACCCTTGAACATCTCACCGAGAGACTTGAAAATCTTCTTGGCAACGTAGGAGGCAAGTGTGAGGTGGTCCAACGCATCGGTTCGACGGATATCAGGGAAGATTTCCTCCAGCTGCTTCTTGACCTGCGCTCTGGCACCGTAGTAGGTGACACCATAGACGTTGGTCATGACGGGTTGCTTGACAATCTTACGAGTAATTTTGCCTCTTAGGAATTGCGCTACAGGGTGGCCTGCAGCGAAATCCTTCTCGACCTCAGCCTTGACTCCTTCTGCAACGGCAGTGTAAACATCGGAGGGTCTGTCTCCAGGCTCCAGGTTGACTTGACGAGCGCCGGCACTATCACCACCAAGAGCTGCGTAGTGCTGGAGACCGTTGCAAGTACCATCTTGGTGCACAGGAAGATGCGAGATATACTTGGTAGGATCGGGAAGATCCATGGCAGCCTTTAGCTCGTGACAAGCAGCCAAAGTCTGCCATGCATCCTCGGACTCAAGCCACCATCGCCTGCCACCCAGAGGGTTGGCTACTGAATCACGAATGTCATCCATATGGTCCATGGCAAACTTTTCTCTTTCCGAAAGACTGGCCTTGTCGAAACCATATACGTTAGACAGGTGAATCTTGAGCCATCTCAGACCAGTTTCGCCCAGTTCCTTTCCGTTGGCAAATGTCATCAGGGCACGGGCGTTGTCAGCACCCATGTGGTTGAGATAAGGAGGAATGGGGTATGCTCTGCCACGAAAGTCGATGTTGTGGGGGAAGTAGATCTTTTCCTTGCGGAATGCTCTGGCGATCTCGAGTTGGAAGTTCTGGAAACATCTTTGCGAATGCAAGCCAGTCTTGACGTTCTCAAAGTCTTTGATAGACTGCAGCCACTTACGACGCTCTTGAGGATCAGTCTTGTCCGTAGGCTCAGGAGGTGCATCGACTTTTGGGTTCAGAGCGGCAAAATTGGCAATGGGTTCACCACTGTTCCATGCTTCGATCTGCACACGCAGTACATGCTCGTTAACCTTCCACGGGACTTTACCAAGGACATTGAGAGCCTCAAAGACCTTATCGAGATCTCCCCTTTGAATGGCAGCATACGCATAATCGCGAGGCACCACGTCTGCTCCGGTAAATCGAATGACAGGCGTGGGGTAGTTGAGATAACCGCCCTTGTTGAAGTTGGTCCAAGGCTTTGGTTCTATCACCATGGGAAGCTTTTTGGCAATGAGAACACCAACGGGGTCATGGTGCAGCTTTTTCATCAGGTCAGCACTAGGGCAGAGCCACCCTTGTTTCCTTCCTCCTTCGTAAAGTGTCTTGTGAACGAAAGCTGGCTGCATTTGTGAAACAATTTCTTTTGTTCTAGGGTGCGGTCTGGTGCAAGGAAGTGTGGCTGTTTCCATGAGCTTCGAAACAAGCATGGAGCCGAGCTTGACTCGGACGTCGCTGGGCCAGACATGCAGATCGGAATCGAAGGCCGGGTGAGATGACTTAGACTGCTTCTTCGGAGCACGGCCAAGCTTTGCTTTTCGCTCAGCAATGGCACGCTGCCGGGCAGCCTCGGCATTGGCCTCATCCTGCATGGTCCTTCCAAGGGCAGCAGCAAGACGACCGAGCTTCTGATTGCTGCTGAAAGCGCCTGAGCTCCTGTCCTTGCCACCGGCGAATGATTGCATGACGCTAAGGATGGTGGTCGCCGCGAGTTGTTCTATGGGCACAGCCTCGAGGAAAGGCCCGTAAAGCTGCTGATCGTATACCTGTGAGGATTTTGGAGGGTCGTCCAGGAGCTTGCGACAGGTTTCGATCTCATCGCGTAGTTTAGGCAGCAAGTCCGAGTACCATTGCCACATCATAGCACCGAGCGACCTGGACTCAAGCTTGCTGTGTATACCGAGCTTTTGTAGATGTTCCTCCTCAAGCTTCCAGCGTGAGATGGCAGCTATACTGGCACTCTCTTCGAGCAAACGCTCACGCTGCTCTGGCGTATAATTGATCTTTTTCGTCTCATCGAGCGCTTCGCTATCGAGAGCTTGTTTTAGTGAGGCCAAGCCCATTCCCTTCTGTGTAACCTCAAGTACGGCAGGCACATCGGTGAGCTCGGGCATGGAGTGGACGGTTGAATCCGGGAGTGCCTCAATTGTCTCGACAGGCTGCTCGATTTCCATAGGCCTTGACTTGGAGCTTGGTAAGACAGCCCCAAGGTTCAGGAACTCATCATCGGTAAAGTCGTCGGCGTTATAAACCTCGTCGAGCATGCCAGATCCAGAAGCCTCTGCGATTGCCACATATCGCCGAAGCGCGCGTTCCTGCTTGGGACCCTTCAACGAATTTAGCGCGGCACGCATCATGGTGACCAGCATTTGCGAGTCTATGGGATACTCGTGTTGCACGAGATCGTTCTCGAACCAGTCTCGCAAAGCTTCGTAAGATACTGCTCTTTGGTTGAATGTTGTGTGGCCCAGGAGCTGTGTGAGACTGGCCTCGAAGTATGCGTGGTGGGCGTGTTGGACCTCGAACGAGTCTTTCGGGCAACGTAATCGAATCTTTTCGATGACGAGGCGAGCTCTTTCGAAGCGTTCGACACGAAGACATGTGTGTAGACTCTGCACAAGATCATTGGCGCTGTTGGGAAGCCCATGTGTGTAGCGTCTAGGCTCGTGTGTTGCTTGCATGTTGTGTTGTAGCTTCAGAGTGTCTCTAGGATCCAGAGAGTAATCGACGCCACTCAAAGTCCACCGTGGCGAGTCGGAGGATGTCGAGGGTTGATCGGCGACGGTGGCTAGGCGCCTCGTTTGCGTCTTGTCGGGGGTCAAGGATTGAAGGCGTGTAGAGGCTCTCGGCTGGGGATTTTGCGACGAGTTCCATCGTGCTTGTGCAGGGCAGAGGAACGGGAGATGTAGCGAGTCGGCGAGAAGGGTGGGGTGGAGAGAGGTGTTGCGGCGCGTCCTGCGACCTGCTGCTCGGACGAGCATTCTGTGACGAGTGTGGTGATGGACAGGCGGCTTGGTTCAAGTGAGGCGAGCGGTAGAGACTGGAGTTGCAAGCACGCAAAAGAGCAAGAGACGAGAGCGGGAAGGCCGACGATACGACGGACGGCAAAAAAGATTACAAGTGTATGAAGGCGGATCGAGCAATAATCAGGAATAAAATAAAATCATCATGGATGTTTCGGCGGCGAAGCAGCGACAAGCAAAAGAATTACCCCAGACTTTCATCATCGGCCTGCCAAGCCCGAGTCCTTTTTTCTCGCCTTGCTGACGCCAAGCACACACGTGCCTTGCTTGACCTGTCCGTCAATGCAGCACAGATCCGAGACGATTGAAGGAGATGCCTTTATCTATCGTTTGTTGCCTGATTGCTGCGACTATCAACATGACCACACTCCGACAACACCGTCTTTCCTGCCTTCGACCAGATATCCGTCCTTGATACGGACACGCTCGATGGTGGAAAGCGGTCCTTGGTCTTCCTCGTCCAATGATGCCCCGGGTCCACAATCCCATTGGTTGCCATCTGTTTTGTCGTACACCTTGACCACTGACTCACCAATTGCTGACACAATATGCCTGGCATCAACCGATGAGTCCACGATGGGCGAGTCGTAAGCAAATGCATCGATAATGCCACCAGTTCGAAGATCCCAAATCTGTGAATCGTGTTAGCATATGTCACCAGCCAATTCTGCAAAAACATGACATACCCGAACACTGCGGTCAGCACTGCCAGTCACCATATGAATGCCAGAGAATGCCAAAGATGTAATGGGTCCCGTGTGGCCAACCAAGCTTCTGTGAACGCTGCCACTCCTTAGATCCCAAAGTCTTACCATACCGTCAGCAGTACCACAAGCCAATGCCGTCTCGAATACTTGAATGGCACCGACAAAGTCCGCTTCGGCAGGAGGAAGGCGGCCAGAAGCGGGTCGCCACCAGCCTTCTGAAGCAGAGGGATCTGCAGCAGCAGCAGGAGATGGAGCTCCAAAGCTGTTGTTCGATACACTGGCCTGAGCAGCTGCCCACATGACGTCGAGTGTTTGTACGCAGCGGCCATTCTCCAAGTCCCATTGACGAAGCGTCTTGTCCGCCGAACCAGAAACGAGGGTATTCTTGTGGAAATGCAGAGCGGTGACTTCAGCCACGTGAGCAGAGAGTTCGGTAACTAGACAGTCCTGCATGGAAGACGTGGGCGCCACGGGAAGAGGTTCCAACTCGGGATCTGAGAGCATGTCGGCGTCATCTTCTTCCTCGTCGCTGTCCGAACGACCAAATCTGTTGCTCCGTGAAGCCGGCGGGGGAGAATATTCAGCTTGGTTCAGGTCCCAGAAGCGAATGTTGGCATCCATGGAGCCAGTAGCAACAAAGTTGTCTTGGACCTGCAAGCAACGGACTGAGGCATGGTGGCCTTCGAGAAGACCAATGCATCTTCCAGCATTCAGATCCCACACGCGAACCGTGTCGTCCAGAGCAGCAGAAACAAGAGTACCAAACGGAGCATCGAAATCCAAAGCAGTGATCATGTCGTTGTGGGCCTGGAATTCACGGATGCGAGAGCCCTTTTCCATGTGCTCGTGCAGAACAGGCATGGACTTGCGTCTGTTGACGCGACGCTTCTTCTTCTCCTTTTCCTTTTCCTTTTCTTTATCCGTCTTGGTGGGCGAAGGGGCGGGCAACTTGTCGTATACAGATTCGGACATGAAGGTGTCGGTAGATTCAGCCAGATCAGCTGGCGTATCCGGAGTGGGTTCCAGCGGTGAAGTCTTGGTGGCCAGAGCAGCAGCGTCTTGGATTTCCTCCAGCATGTCCTGAAGCTTCTCACTCATCTCCTGTATCTCGTTCTCTAGATCAACCTCTTCCTGCTCGTGACCGGCTAGCCGTTGAAGAACAATCTTCCTCATGGTGTTGAGGTTGGCGATTTTGGTGTCGATTTCCTTGATTTCGGATATGCACATGTTCTTGCGAATGCCCATCATGTCCAGACGGTGCTCCATGGTACCCTTTTTCGATTTGAGCTTCTTCAGGGCGGCTGCAGGGGTGGAAGTGTCTGTTTCGAGGTCGCCGTCGGGACCGAGCAGTTTCTGACCTTTCTCGTTCCGCGAGGCTTCATTCTTCTCTTCGGACTTGGATGCCTGGAAGCCTTGGAACAAGGAAAATGTGCTGGTGCGTTCGGGAATGTGGCGGAGGAGATGGTCGGGGAGGTGAACCAGGGCGCGGTGCTGGATCTCGGAGGTGGAAAAAGTAGACCGGACGAGCTCCTTGGGCGAGGCTTTGGCAAGCTCAAAGACGGAGCGCTGTATCAAGGGTCGGCGTAGTTCACGGTGGATGTCGCCGAGGGCATTTTGGTGGTGGTGAGTATCGCCTGTCAGAGGGCCGATAAAATGGCTGGCGGTGGCATGGACGGTGCGGCCAAAGGCTTCGAGCTGCCGTGACTGTTTGACTGGCGTCAGGAGTGTTCCAGCATGTTGGAGGTGCTGAATCTTACACTTAGTAGGCTGTCACTGTCGTCAGATTGCGGTATGTTGGCAGAGGCGCGCCGCCTGTGCGACGAGGATGGCGGAGGAGGGTTGCGACCTCGTGACGTCGACATGGTTGTTGATCAGGTCCTTAATTCATTCTCAAGAGTCGGTGGTACAGCAGACAAGAAGAAGGCAGCAGGTCGCGTGGTCCAGGGGTCGTGTACGGGATGTTTTTTCGAGAACGACACGGCGACAAAGGCCGAGGCTGTTCGACCAGTGACGATGATGGTCAAGACTGAAGCTCCACGTCCTCCGCGATTCGACAAACACAAAGCTTCACTCGCTCTCCGGTGTCGCAACCACTCGAGTCAATCCTCTGCACTCTGCTTATCGCTCTCCTCGACTCATCAATTCTCCTGGTCCCTATCACAACACACACGAAACACAATGGATACCGCAATCGACCTCTCAGACGCCAGCAAGGCCCTCGACCTGGCCAACATCCGCTTCCAACTCATGTACACTCGACCCACCCAGCCACTCAAATGAAGACACTCGCTGACACCGCGTCAGCCGCCTCGAAGACACCATCACCTTCCACCTGATTGAGCGCGTCCAGTTTCCCCGCAACCCCTCCATCTACAAGCCCGGCGCCGTCAAGATCCCCGACTGCGACTACAGCCTGCTCGATTGGATGATCCGCGAGCAGGAGCGCTTCCAGTCCCTCGTGCGCCGCTACCAGTCGCCCGACGAGTACCCTTTCTTCCCAGACGCCCTGCAAGAGCCCATCCTGCAGCCCATCCACTACCCCCAGATCCTGCACCCCAACGACGTCAACATCAATGCAAAGCTCAAACACCACTACACCGAGCACATTCTGCCCGCCGCTTGTATCAATTTCGGCCGCGAAGAGCGCGGCGAGAACCAGGAGAACTTTGGCTCCGCTGCCACATGCGACGTCGCCTGCCTACAGGCTCTGTCCCGCCGCATCCATTTCGGCAAGTTTGTCGCAGAAGCAAAATTCCAGAAAGAGACGGAGCGTTTTGTCGACCTGATCAAGCGCGAAGATCGCAAAGGCATTGACGAGGCCATCACAAATGCCGCAGTCGAGAAGCAGGTCCTTGAGCGTCTGCGACTGAAGGCAAAAACATACGGCACAGATCCCAGTATTTCGGCCGGCGAGGCCGCAGGGGCTGGCAAGATCAATGTGGATGCCGTCGTTGCCATGTACAAAGACTATGTCATCCCTCTGACGAAAGAAGTAGAGGTCGACTACCTCATGCAACGTCTCAAGAATACAAAATGGGAGTAATGTCAAATCCCTGACCTCTTCTGACTCTAAGCATCACTACATCGTGCATGCCATGATGCAGACATGGTGGACCCAGGCTTTAGAAGGTCGAAGAAAGGTTAAAGCCATCGAATAAACAATATGGCAAGACGAACAGCATGCCTAGCAGAAAGCGCCGTTGATGCTGAAGAAGACCAAGACCTGGGTATATAGCTGCCTTATAATGACAAGGGTCAAGATGAGAGTGCTTGAAATAGAACCACCAACAAAAGACATCATGAAGGCCGTGAGAGCCAGTGTGCAGAAGGTACAGGTGCTCAACAGGACAAGGAAACTTACTAGCACATCTTACTCTGAACAGCACCCAACAGCAACCGATAAGGAAACACAGCTACCGCGGGAGCCGCCCAGAGCCGCATAGCAAACTTGCCTTTGACAGTGACCAACACGAACAAGAGTCACGTTGTATCGCGATACCAACGGTGTGCTCCTGCCTTCGTGCTTGTGGGATCAAGTACCCGTGTCTCTGCGTATGCGCGTGTACCTTGCATTCTACACGCTCTGAGCGCAGATCAGGGATGCAGAATAGGCGCGCGTGCAAGAGGGCCCTGATCTCTCTGCAAGGTCGGAAAATTGAACCGACAGTGATTCGCAGACTACCCATGTAACAGGATAGCAAGACAAAGACCTGCAGCATTTTGACACTCGTCTTTGGGAAGCCGAGGCCATTCCTGGTGTTGTAGCTTGCACATGTTTGTACTCTTCCAGCCTCCCAACCTGATCTGCATGCGAAGCCACTCGCTTTCGGTCCTGGAGAGAGCCTCGTCGGCTTGCCATACCATCGTGGCCCCTGGAGAGGGCATTGCTAGAACGTGCCATCCTTGTCACACCGGATGTACTCCGAGGCAATCATGCGTATGATCTTGACACAGGTGGACCACGGCTGACACCAGGATGTTTACCCAGCAGACCATGAAAAAGCTGTTGGATTATTGGACACACGGCAGACATGCTCCTATAAGGGGCTTCGTAACCCCACCTCCCTATAACACAGAGTTAGGTTCGGCTGATCAAGTGTGGAGGAGTTCCTACTTTTGGGCCTCAAGCGAGCACACGTCTGAGTTTGCGACAGGGCCAAGATTGGCGATGACGGGAGAGCCTCACAAGCCAGACTCAAGGCCCATGAGAGAGGGAGCATACTCCTGATGCTCCACAGACTGTTGACTGTTGAGAGAGGCCATCATAGTCGAAGTATCCATACATGTCGTGTAGATGTCCGACTCCGACAGCCGTTGTATCTCTCTCCGAGCCATTTTTCAAGTTCTGGCCAGGTTGTCAAGATAATGGCACGGTCCGGGATGTCATGCTTGACATGTGTCGACGCAGGGGACAAAGGAAACTGACTCAGATCGAGGTATATAACTCGATGATAGGCTCAATGATGGTATACATGTAACATGGATGACGGTGACGAAGTGATCTAGATTCTGTCAAATGGGTCCGTCGCAGATGAACGCAAGAACGTTGTGGCCGAGGGATTGTTGACAAGTTGGTCTGCCGCTTTGGCGATGTCGTATTGTATGGAACTCCTGAGGTCTGCATTGGGCTCAAAGTTTAAAGTCAGTAGTCAGAGCACGGAACGACCACGAGCTGAAACTTCGGAAAACTGCTTTGGTGACAAGAACCAGAAACGTATCTCGTTCGAAGATCTTCAGGAACCTATGAGCCCCAGGGGTGCCGAATCTTAGCATGATTCTGGTGGAAACACAGCTCGTAGCGAGCAGACGAGAGAAGACGGAAGTACATTGGACGGCATCCTTCGACCGTTGTCACCCACAACTTGGCGTGAAAGAACCTGCCATCAGTATGAACGAACGCTACACGATTGCACCTGATATGAGTGGGGGCTGAGCAAGTGATCGATAGTGGTCTGTAAGGACGTTAATGATGGTCATGGACTAGGAGGAAGTCGGCACTTGGTGAGGGCTGACTGACAAGCACTCAGACGAGTCGCACGTGTTGCAATAAACAAAGTGCTTGCGAAATGTGCTTTTGAATATGGAAATTCGTGCAGAAATCAATCAAAAGCATACAAGGGGAGGGTGTGTCGAATCGGTAAGGTGCATCGTCATCCAAAGTTGGTAAATGATTCCAAGTCCATCAGGAGGCGATCAGGACTCGACTGGATTCGAAGTCAAGCATGATGTCTCCACTAGGAACGGGGATCTAAGCAACTTGGAGAGATGGCGAAGACGCGAGCGTCAATTCATGTGGATTTCGTGCAGTAGCGTTGGAGGCGGGCGCGGGCGGGGACGATCCGTGACGGCTGACCCACGACCACGGACTGCTCCTTCTCCCAACAACATCGAATCTTGCAGCTGCCACCATCACTTGTTTTTCTCTTCGTCGACAAGCAATGCATCCTTGATCGCGTCTTCTTGCCAGTGTCTTACATGGGGACGCAATCGATAGATCGCCTCATGGACGCCATGATCAGAAAGCACTGATTCAGACTCAATCAATGACAGGATCCGCAGAGTACCACGAGCGCTCCAGTCCCCTGCCATACTATTCCCAAACTAGCCTGACAGCTAACGTACCATCGAGGGTATCTGGACTCGAGTCACGTAAGATTTGACGTGACATGCCCCGGGTTTGTATCGGCTACATCGTCTTGCCATTTGACTAGTGCTATCTGCCAACTCGCTTGCACTCGAGCTCTGCAGCTATCCGCTCGGTGGAAGGCAGTCTGAGTAAAGTTACGCCAACCTCCTTGAAGCCGGCTGTCCGAATCCGGTGCCGTCTTCGAGTGAGCCATCAACGATCGTCTCGGAGTCGCCCTAACCTGGTGCTAATAGGACCTGCAGCACGTACTAAGTGGTAGTGAGTGCTTGGACAAGGTCGGGAATACGCGCATAAGACGCACGTAGCCACCGAGCCCTCGACACCCACCCTGTAGTCCGTCACTATCGCATTCCCCAGTCAGTGTACACCTGCATGAGCTTGATCGGAAAGGGCTTCATTTAGCGCCATATGGTTCGCAGCAAAGGTCTCGCCACAAGGCAAGTCTCTTTTCCTGGGTCACCTTACTCCATATTATAGCCGACTTGCCATGCTTGGTGGGTCTTCTGTGCGAAGATAACTACAGACCGTGTCCCTCTTATAGACCCTTCTCTTACTTTTACAACGGTCCTCTCTCCTCTCCTCCCCTCTCCCCTCAATCACGTTTCCTCGCAGTTCAGTCCGTGCAACACAACCGTTAAGCCTTATCCCCTGTTGCACTCTTACCCTTACTGTCATTCATATTGGCAGTGACCACTCCTCTCTCACACCCGGATCCTCCATCCATCCTTGCCATCATGGGCAGCGACGCATTTGTGATAGATAACCGGAAGGATCTGGTGGTGGTCGTCAATGTCGTACTCTCCTTTTCGACCCTGTCAGCCCTTTCACTCCGCTTCGCCAAAGTCACAGGAAATGCAAAGCAAAGAAAGTTCGATGCGCAGAACATCATGATCTGTCTAGCAGGTGTACGTGTACCGTATACGAACATCTCCAGTCCGGCCACTGACCATCGTCTCTTAGTTCTGCGGAATCATGATGTCTCTATTACAATGCATCGCGACAAAGTATGGTCTTGGTAGTCATGATTGGGAATCTGATACAACGGACAAGATCAAATTCTACAAGGTGGGTGTGAGTTTTCCATTGACCCTCCTCCCCTTGTGGAATCCAGGCTGACATCGGGCATTAGTTATACATCTCTATCTTCGTCTTCTATTTGGCCTGCAACATGTTCGTCAAGTTTGCTCTGCTCTTCTTCTACCGCCACACAACATATGAGCGCTGGCATCACTGGGTCATCTGGTTCATGGAGTTTATCGCTTTTGCTTTCGGTGTCAGCAGCATCCTGGTCATCATCTTCCAATGTGTCCCAATTGCGCACCTCTGGGATAAGAACACTCCTGGAACCTGCATCAACGTCAAGGCTTTCTTCTACTCAAACTCGATCATCATGATTGTGAACGACATCATTCTCTACGTGTTGCCCATCATCTTCACATGGAAGCTTCAACTTCGCCTCACCCAGAGACTCGTTCTCAACCTTCTGTTTGCATTGGGTGCATTGTGAGTTGACCTTTGACATGAGTTATCGAACCACACTAACTTCCCCCCAAGTGTCGTCGCTGCCAGTTTCATCCGCCTATATGTCGTCTACCGCTATGACCAAGATGGTGATCTTTCATGGAACATCGCATCTTGCCTCATCTGGTCTTCGGTCGAGAACCACCTCGCTGTCTTCATTGCATGTTCGCCATCGATCAAGGCAGTCGTCAGTGGTGTGCTTTACCCACTTGTCTCATCGCAAGTCTCATCGTTCAAGGATAAGATCAAGAGGTCGAGGGGCAGTGAAGGTGGTAGCTTGCCGACACACAAGTCTCCTTCCCTCACCCTAGCAACTATCGGCTCACGCCCCAGCCGTTTTGCGCAAAAGGTCAGAGATCCTTTCGCCACCCGCACTCGTAGGGACAGCTTTAATACCCTGGACTCAGGTTTCGAGTGCGTCAACCGCGGACAACATGAAATGGACTCCATTGAGCGAGCAAACTCCGAGGCAACCCTGAGCTCAGCGACCTACCGCAAGGACTCTGAGGCCTCGACTTCCTCAAAGGAACCTCATGTTCAAGTCTATACCATCGATGAAGATATCGACATCAGTCCCACTACTTCTCGCTTCCCCCAACCGACGCTGGATTCGTCGAAGACTCGTAGCCATCAATAAACGACAGGAACGACAATGGCGCAGATAGGGAGTTCTTAATCACTGGTTCGGATTTCAGTTTTTCACATTTTGCATTCTTCATACCCCAAAGGCCATAGTAAGGAGCCTGGTGCATTGGTTTTGAACAACAATAGTGATGCCCGAGAGGGATTGTATTGTTCTGTGATGTCCTTGGAACGACATGCTTGATTATCTATTTAGTTTTTTCTTCTTTTCCATGTACCTTATTCTAGCTCCCCTTCACAAGAAGGAGAGACTTATTCAATGCCACGACAATTTCGGTGCAGTCCGCGACTCTCGACGGCTGGACACTCGACTCAACAATTTCACTCATCGTCTTCTCCTTTTTTTTTTTGTTCTTCAACACGCCGTCGCAAGACCAGTGACAATGGTGGGGTACTGGAGCCGCAGTAGCGGGCGTACTTCCAACAAGCGCACATGCAATGAATCCTGCACACCGCACATTCGAGGAGCCTCTCAGCATACTTAGCCGATGGAGCACCGTGGGACAGTCGGGCACTTGTCCAACCCCCAAACACCAAATTTTCTGTCCTCCTGCAAATTTGGTTGGACAAGCTAAAGCAAACCAAAGGAAGTGCTGCGGTTGTGCAACAAGGCTGTTGTTACACGTCTACAAACCATGGGTGCGCAAAGTGTGGAACAAACCAACAATCAGGGTCTCCCAATCAAACAGCTGCTTGCGATTTGAATTATCATTGGATCAATATATTCTCAATTTGACAACTGATGATTCAATAAACCAGACCAATGACATTCTCTCGGATGCGAAGAGGGACAAAAATCGATTTTCGTGGGTTTGGAAGAAGGAGCTGGGTTGATCTTCGTCGCGAAACCTCGGCTGTCATGCATCCGTGTCCCAAAAGAGATGCGCTGTTCACACCTTCCTCGAATTCTGTCGCGAACTCCACTTAGGTCAGCATGCACGCGAATCTCTGTTACTTTGCTCGACAGCCCAATTGCCAGTAAAGCAGATTCGCCTTTTTGCGCGTTCTGCTACACTTTTCTTGATCGCTGACTAGAAGACTTGAAAGTGTCAAGCTGAAACGAGCCTCTGATGCAATGTCATCTTTTGCAAAAGAAAAAGGCATCTCTTATATGATCGCCAGCTGCCAGCCGCCTGGTCGCGAACTGTTCAACAAATCTGTCAACCCGGTCTCGGATCAACCAGGCAAGATGGTGGTGACCCAATCACGAACCATCATTCTCGAGATCTGGATTCGAATCCATCTGCACCAAACCGATCCTCTCAAAGCAACATCGGGGTCTGGCTTGCATACCCGATATATCACGACAATGAAAGGTACATGTCATCGTTAATGTTTGATGGTCGTGATTCAATCGGGTCTGCGTCCAACAGACTGGTCCAGTCACTGCAAGTGCAATATATATAGAGTAAGGCGGCTGCAGCTAATTCCATATCTTCGGTACTGTATCCAATCTGGGGGGAAGGGGGGAAAAGAGACACGGCGCTTGATATGTCAATCATACAGTTATTGCGTCTTTTGCGCTATAGTCGGGACAGCGGCCCATCGACACGAACAATGCTAGGCGGACTGTCGGCTTTTCGACTCCATGGTGCGACTCGGATATTACGACTTTGGCAAAAGGGTCGACAGACAGCCGCAAATTTGAATCCTTAGGGTACAGTGAAGTTGTCAAAGAGGTCTCTGCTGTCATTCTTCACTCTCTGCAATCTTTCTCGCCTGACCTTCTAGATCACTGCACACTTGCTGATAAGTCAAAGTACGGACCTCACGACGATATTCTTTACCATCAATCAAAGATCAAGCATAACATGACCTCTGATCAAACAACTCCAAAATCCGATCAATGAACCACCATATCGCCGAAATCCGATCAATCAACCACATCCTCAAAACCCTACACTGCCCTCCCTTTCCGATATATCCTCTTTTCGTATCGCAGTCAATAGCACTCTTCAACTATACTGCCCAAGCCCTACATTTTACCTTCCGCATCTTTCGACCCGTCACCTCGTCTATTAAAAAGCCGTTCCCGACAGTGGCGCAGAGCAAAAGCCACAAGATGGAGGCTTGGAATGACATCGGAAGAAACAGCCTCTCGCTTCAGCACTGTGCCTGTTTCGGTCTGTCTCTCTCTCTCCTTCACTGCCCTGCCGAGGTAGGATTAACGATGGCAGAAAGCCGCGACGAAGCAAAGAGTGGAATTGTCAGTTGTGGTTTGTGTATGGTATTCTAGTTTTCCGCTGTCGATATCGGAACAGCTTGTCAAGGCATCTGCAAGTATTGCCGGTCTGAGATTACTGCAATGAGCAGTTCTTCGTGCACCTGTCCCTTCCTTCCTCTGCTGCAGGCTTGGTGTGCGCCCTCGATGTGTTTGCAATAAGACGCTCGATCGTGTTGGTTGTTCGCAAAGCTATCGAGTACTTACCTACTACATTATCGTACTCGTCAACTTTCCTGAGCATGTAGCGTCTACTGCAGCTCAAATCTGTCAAGGGCACCTAATTTTTTCGAAGTGATGTATTGTGCTGCTCGCCAGGATACACACGATGTCAGCCAAGCAACCATCACTCCGCCAACGGAAGACCATACCATCCCACTCTCCACTCATCCACCGTCATCCCACCCCAAATATCCTTAATCACATTTCCAAAGGCTGCCTCCGCATCTTCAGGCCTTTGACTATTTTGCATGTGCCACTGCACACGGTCAAACGACGCACTGTCAGCTTGCCGCGGATCCATAACCGCACACTCGAACGTTTCTTCCTCCTCGTTCCCAAATCGCCGAGTGCATATCCACGAGTGAGCCATGTGTCGTAGCATTTTGATCATATCGGACATTGCACAATCAGGCCCGAACGGATGGCAGAGTTTGGTGACCCGCAGGTCTACGCTTTCGAGGGGTGTGGAGTACGGCGCTTTTGCAGAAGCAACGGTATTGCAGATGGATTTCGCAAGAGACTCGTCGAGGGCGAAATCGACAAAGGCATTGTGGATTTGCTGCATTTCGTCTCTGTCGTTGCGTTGCAATATGGGTTCTAAATCTTGGACGTCAGACCATTCGTCACCCCAGTAAAGGGGTTGAGCTCCATAGAGGGAGAGGTACAGTTTGCGGAGTTTGGGCATTTGGCCGAAGCTGCGGTAGAGGGAGACTTCGTGTGCATCGCCTTGCGATCGCAACATGGGAAGAGCAAGGACTTCGAGGTTGGGGCAATGGGTGTGTATCAGAGCGAGCATCCGCAGATTTGCGAATACTGAATCGTCGAGGTTGTCGAAAGTCGTTGGAGTGACCTTGTATGGCAGTGCCAAGTAAAGCTCTCGTAGACTGTCACCGCAATGCTCTAGGACAACTCTCACGGTTCGCTGAGTGTAGAGACCAACCAGTTTCACACTTTGCAGCGGCGGAAGCGACCTGATGAAGTCTATCGTCGCGTCTGGCAGATCATCTCTTGCTTCTTCAGTTTCACCGCCTCCTGGCATGATGCACAGAGTGCGCAGCGAGGAGAAGCTGCAGTTCTGAGTCAACCACCGAAATTCAGGAGCTGCGATGAATCTATAGTACTTGAACGTGCGAAGCAGCGAGAAATCAGTGATTGTGCTCCATTCCTTGAGTGTATTCGCATTTCCATGGGTGAGCTCCAAGTACTGCAATTCTCCCAGTCTTCTCTCAGAGCAGAGTGTGCCAGGTCTCCATCTCCCGTTTGTCTGGGATAGAGTATGGATACCCAGTTGCCATGGTGGAGTCGCATGCAGTACACTGACAGCTTTCAACCCTAGAGCAGCACCCTCAACCATTTCTTTGACTGCATCGAGATTCCAGTTCGTGTGTCCTTGTTCTGTGTAATCGTGCATCAGAGCAATGCTAGACACACATGGCGAGGTAGCGAGTTCCAAGTCATAGGCATCGATTTTGTTGGCTTGCCCTTTGAGTGCATAGGCAGTGCGCAGTTTGAAATTCCGCATGTGGAGTTTGCAACGAGGTAAACACTCATTGATATATCGTAAAAGACTCAGCGGTATCCGTTGATCGTGACACCAGAAGATGTTGCGCAGAGCTGGCAATTGTTTGATCAAGTCATTGAGCGTCTGCCATGATTCTTCCGGGATCGAGGTTTCCGAGTCTTGACTTTTGGACTTGCAGTATTCCCAGATCTTAGCGGGATCGTCTCCACAGTCGATGTGCGCTGTCGTAATGGACTCGGGTGGTAATTGGTCAGTCAAGATGCGGAAATCGTGGACCTGTGCAAAACATGAAGATGTCGTCAAACCCTTATGCAAACGCTCGATGTCGGACTGAAGAGCTTCTGGCGTCGAGAATGTGAGGTTGACTGTTCGGAAGATATATGGTATTGAAGTTGATCGGCATTTCTTATTGACGAGGGAAAGGCGAAGGAGGTCGATGCGATTCAAGCAGCTACAAAGCTGTTCGAGTACATCGGATGGCAGATCTTCAAAGGTGAGTCGTGTATTCGACATGTTGCATGTTTTTTACGATCAGCAATCATAGACAAGGGAAACGCTGAAAGAGAAAGGGTGGAAATAAGAAGACCATGGAACGCTGGAGCCTTGGGGATCGTCAAAATTTGGCCAAGAAATCCAACACAATCCTTCGAATCTTGCGCTTGCAAAAATATCTATACTTGTCACCATGTTCTGCTCTGGGATCATAGCCGGTTGGACTCGATCTATGAATGAAGATCAGGACAACTGGCCAACATGCTTACTCAACCACTTGACCGGGAGTCAATCAAGACATCAAGAATCAGAAATCGCACAGAGCCGAAGGCCGAGGAGACTCAGGATAGCGATAAATTTACCTTAGAGTATCTAACTCTAACCTGTCTTCCCATCCGAGACAGACATCTTGAACAATACCTCAACATTCTGACTCCACGCCACTCCCTCCACCTCCCTTCGTCTAGCAATATTCTTATGCCCACGATGTTCCTTCAAATGCTCAGTGGCCTTGGACAAACGATCTTGAATCTGATCAACAGCGGTTTCCATCGCGACCTGCACAGCACCAACCAAAAACATATTCTTCAATACCACGTCAGCGGGGTCGAACCAACCTCCACCGATACCAAACTCCACGGCACGTTGAGCCATCGATGGCAATCCCAGCATCGCTTGAATCTTCTCAATGGGTAGCATGAATGCATGATGCACATGACTGAGTCCAGGAAGCTCATGCAGCATAGGTGCGATAGCATCTGAATGGGCAGACACGAGTTCGTGGGTAAGGACGAGAAAATCGTCATTGTTGAGTGTGATGGCGAGGAAAACCAACTCGACCGCAACGCCCTCGGCTACAGCGACGATGATGTCTCGTTTTCGGACTCTCAACTCATTCTATGCGAGAAATCGAAGGTGCTGATGTAGTTTGTAGGCGCCGATGCCTAGGCAGAAGCCGTTGATGGCGGCGGCAATGAGCATCTGTGGTGCTACTGATGAGAGCCCAAGATTTACCGTCAAGCCCAAGCTGTTTCTTGTCACTACTCTGATGCGATGTCGAGTCTTGCGTCTGATTTCTTTGAGTTCGTGTTCAGTGAAGTCGCGAGGGAGAGGTCTTGCTCGTTTGAGTTTTGGTTTCTTGAGGAGCTCAGAGTTTTGAGCATAAATGGCTTGCACGACAGAGGAAAGTTCGTCATCGACACAATACGGTGGGAGAGTGTCTTCAAGTTGACCAGCAGAATTGGTGCGTGAACGGTATGCAGGTAAGCTTTCAGTTGAGGCGGAAGCATCAGCCGATAGAGAGAACTCGATGGATCGTGTAAAGTCGAATTTGGCAAAGTCGATATCATTAGATCCTCGCTTCGGAGCATACGAGGCATGACCACCATGTCTCGAAACAGGATAGATGCTCCATCTTTCCGGCAGACCCAAGCGAGCCTCATCAGAGTGTCCATCGCTGGTTCGGGAGAAAGGCCTTTTTGGCGTGTCTGGCTCTTCGAGAGATGCTACCGCGGGCACGCTGGGCGAGCGCTTGTAGTTCGTCGAGACCGCGGTCGATCTCGCCAGTCGGGAGTCGTCGACGGAGCGAGCGAAGTGAAGAGGATCGGTGTTGTGACCAGTGGGAAGGTAAGATAGATCCCCTGGATCGCTTAGGAAGGTGAAAGAAGCCTCTGCTTCTTGAGGATGAATCGAGTGACGGCGAAGCATTGGTTGGCCTGGGTTCCAGCCAGGGCATGTCCATACACATAGGAGTAACACGATATGGTTGTGATACTGATGAAGTCTTAGGTATTCAACCTTTGAAAGAGGTTCGAATCTTTTAGCAGCCGTGATGGCCAGCTTCTGAGAGTTTCCACGAGGAAGGACCACTCGAGGCAGCGTGACTTCCTCAGAAAGCCATGGTCAACTCGTCGTGCAAACGCATCGAGGTCTTGATTAATGTGATGCTCACAAGAGATCTGTTGTGGAATTCAGAGAAACAATAACAAACGCGAATGATCGAGGAGTGTATCTACCCCTGAGCGTCCTCAGAAGTGAAGTGAAGTCGACCCACCCCGAAAAGTGCCCTCCCTCGGTATCATAAGTCTGCCAACCTGCCATAAGAACATCGAACGGGTGGTATGGCGCAGCAGTCAAAGCAGTGTTCCTTCCGCTTAGCTGGCTCAAGACCACCCGTTCGATCCTCGGCAAGGCCGATCTTCAATGCCATGAGGGGTCCCAGTAATCCTCGTCACGACAAGAACAAGGAAGAAAACCTCGTGAGTTTTCTCTTGACCAATCTAGCAACACGGCGGCTAGGGGGTTTCTGTTTTGCTGAACTTTGTTGATGTGGTTGTTTTGTTCAATGACGCTTTAGGACCTTCGTGGGTTGGTGGGAGAAAGTGTAGAATGAGTACTTGACATATCGTTCCAAGATATCGTGAAACATCTACTCGGCAGCAGCAGCAGCAGCAGCAGCAGCAGCAGCAACCACATCCTTCTTCTTCCTCAAGAAAGCAACACCCTCGACATGACCCGTCTGTGGGAAAAAGTCAAAGCCCCTCAAACTCTCAATCTCATACAACCCCTTGCCCCCATTCACACCAGCCAATCCTCCGACCAAAACACCTACATCCCTAGCTTGGGTATGCACATTGCAACTCACATAACAAACTCTCTCAGGACCGTATTTTAGTAGCTGCCCAAGGAAATTCTCGTCACAGCCTTTGCGTGAGGGATCAATGACCACAGCAGTTTCGTTGGCAGGGAACTTGATCTCAGCAAAGATGTTGTTGGCATCGCCGGCGAGGAAGCGCGCAGAGGATGAGGGAATGTTATTGAGTTGTGCGTTTGTGGAGGCAAACTCGATGGATTTCGTGGATACATCGATGCCGATGGAGTTTTTGAACAGAGGTGACAAGGTGACGGTGAAGAGGCCACTGCCCGAGTATGCATCGATGAGGTTTGTAATCTTTGGTGCGTCTTCAGGCTGGTCTTTGGGAAGAATGTTGTCGCGGATGTATTGGGTGAAGCTGGGGAGGATGGAGTTGTTGTTCTGGAAGAAGGAGCCGGCCGGGTTGTCGAAGCGGAAGTCGTCGACGTATTCTGTGGATACGGCGTTTTGGTCGGTGACGCAGGTCTTGCGGTGGATGTGCGAGCCGCGGTCCTCGTCGATGTAGTTCTTGGACTCGCTTGAGGGGGCTGCGGCCTGGACTTCGATGGGTTGTTCCTCGGCAGCACCGGCGTTGGTCTGCTGGTCTTGCGGTAGGTCTTTCTTATCGATGCGCTTTGTGCTTTCACGCAGCAGAAGTGTTGCACCGCGCTGGTATGTGTCCAGCTGGTCCTTGACTCTTTGTCTCTCGCTCTTCATACCCATGCGCACGGCATCCGTACCGATAGGGCAATCCTCAATGTCCATAGTCTTGCGAGTACCCTTCAGCATGAAACCGATAGGTGGGACCTCAGAGAAAACAGCCTTGACACCTTGACGTCTGTCTCTTCTACCACCAGGAGGGCCGTCGAAGTGAGGCGTGAGCTTTGTGCGGTAGCCGTATTGCAGGGGTGAGCCGATCGTGTCTCCAATAGCAGGAATGAGATGTGCGGGCAAGTTGCAGAAGTTCTTGTAGGCCTTCTCGACGATGCTCCTCTTGTGGTCCAGCTGGTATTGGTAGGGCAGGAACTGGAACTGACATCCCGAACACTTGGAGAAGTAGCCACACTTTGGTAGGGAGTCATCGCGGTGTGTCGACGGCTCAAGGACCTTGACGAAGTCGGTCAAAGTGTAGTTTGTGTCTTGCAAATGCTTGATGATCTTGACGGTGACCTTGTCGCCGGGAGCGGTGAAGGGTACAACGGCGACTTGGGAGGATCCGGGAATGACAGCGAGACCATCGCCAGTGGAGGAGAGTTCTTGGATGGTTAGATCGTACTCGGTGAATGGTTCGGGTAGTTGAGGAACAGGGTCTTGTGCTTCGTCGGGCTTGGAAGCGATCGAGTGCTTCTCGAGCAATGCGCATACATCTGCGATCAAGACCTCTTCATTTGAGCCTTCCTTGACGGTCGTCTGCTTTTGCTTCTTGTTCTTCTTGAAATGTCTCTTGCCCTCATTGAATTTCCTTTTCTGAGGCTGATTGGACTGAGCGGGAGCTGAGTCGGCCATGGTGGGTCTAAAGATGGCTGTACGAGACAGCAAGGTGGTTCGAGACGGAAAAAGTAGAATGGAGCGGGTCGCAGCAAAAAGACGTCTTGACAGCATTGAAGGTCGCTCAAAAAAGTAGACGATGGTCAGCAAATCTGGAGTTGCTGACCTTGGATTTGTGGATATTGTGCAGCTTTTATGCCTGGTTTGTGCTTGGTTATCCCACCTCCGATCGAACTCCGCAACCTTCAGGCTTGGCATCCTGAAATTCGTTGGAAAGTGTATACCACTCAATTGCCTTCTGTCTGTCAGAGGGCAGCCATATCTCGCCGCTCTCCACACACAATGAAGACGACACGCTGCCTCTTCTGCCGGGTCGGCTCTGCGGCAACCCCCAAATCACAACCCTCGTCCCGCGCCTTCAGCACCACACCCGCGACGCAAGCAAAAGGCAAACCCGCATACCCAAATGTCAGAGCCGTCGACCTCGGTCTCGTCCAACAGCGCGTCGATGCAGCCGCCCGCACATTCAAACCCTATACACCGCGAGAAAAGCAACTGCTGGCCCTGAAATACACCCCCGCCCAGGTCCGCGCCATCGAAGCCGCCGAAGCAAGCATCGACCCCAAAGATGTAGTCAGACAAGGCAAGATCCGCCGCGACACCTTTGCTTTGACCTACATCGACGACCTCGCAAAGATCCAACCTCTGGTGGATAAGCCAGTGCGCGCCCCCACCGACGACATTGATCCAGGCATCCGCATGCGCACCGAAGACGAAGTGCTCGACCGCTTCGCCCAATGGACCGAGGACTTCAGCCGCAAGCGCCAGGAATACGAGACACGCATGGAGAGCATCGACGGCGACACCCTCGAACAAGAGCTCCTCACAAAATCAATCGAAGCTGGCATCTACCCGGGCGACAAGCTGACCCCCGACGAGCGCCGCGCCCGTCTGCGCAAGTACGCAGAACACTTCGAAGGTCCCAACGAGGTCGCCGAATGGAACGCCTTCGTCGGCAACGCAAACAATTTTTTCTTCTCGCCAAAGGGCACGCTCGACTCGCAGCAAGACAGCTTGGCACCAGAGATGCCCAAGATCAAGAGTTTGGGCATGAAGTTCGAGTCTGAAGACGATGACCCCCATCTCCAGCGCTTGATGCAGCAGACAGGTCTCACCAAGGAGGCAATCAGAAGGATCAGATGCAAGACTTTGGTCAACCATCGTGTAGTCAACCAGACTCGCATGGGAAAGATCCAATCCATGTACTACCTCACCATTGCCGGAAACGAAAACGGCATGTTGGGCATTGGTGAGGGCAAGGCGGGTGAAGACGAAGACGCCATTCGTCAGGCTCAGTACGCTGCCATCAGAAACATGAAGCCCATCCCGCGTTACGAGAACCGCACCATCTTTGGTGAGGTCGAGGCCAAGGTCGGCGCTTCTGTTGTTCAGCTCTCCTCCCGTCCACCAGGTATGTGCCTCACAAGTCTTGATTGACCATCTCCATGCTAACAACCCAATCACAGGCTTCGGTAACAGATGCCAACATCTCATCTACGAAATGGCTCGTGCAGCGGGTATCTCAGACCTGAGCGCCCGCTGCCCTCGCAGTCGCAACCCCATGAACATTGTCAAGGCCACCTACGAAGCCCTCATGAAGCAACGCCTACCCGAAGACGTCGCTCGTGCCCGTGGTCGCAAGCTGGTCGATGTGAGAAAGGTTTACTACCAAGGTCTGACCTCATAAAAATCTCCTTCCCTTGCCATGTAGTCGATTCTGTATTATATTTACTTTGCACACGTGCTGTGTGTAGCCTTGTATATTGAGCTACCCCATTACCACTTCAACCAGCAACATGCGTCAACCCTGTCCTATCCTTCCTTCTCGTAGCAACGTCTTGTCTTATCAGACTAGTCCATTCCTACCAAGCAAATTCCTCTCGTACCTTTCTATAAGCAGTTCTCATCATTTGATGCCAAGCAACTCCTTCAGAGACTCTTTAGGGTCGTCGGAAACTTGCATGGTGAAGAAGGCTTTGGCAATGTCCTCCTGGACTATCAGTTAGCAATCTCTCAATCGTCTCATTCATTCGAGCAGTACGTACCGCTTCCTCGAGATCCTTTGTCTCACTCTCAGATAACACCGCACATGCTGCGACCAGGTCTTCTCCTCTTGCAGCAAGGAGAACGAGTTTTTCGGCTCTGTTTGTAATGTCTGACGGTATACCGTTCAAAGCTGCGCATACCGTACCATAACTGTTGTTGCTGCGTCCTTGTTTGTAGCTGACACCACTTTAGCGACGAACACTTCTGATAACAAGATGGGGAGCATGAACTTACTTGTAGAGATAGGTCAATTGCTCATCGATCTGCTGTGACTGGGGGTCTACACGCACTTCAAAGTGACCGAAAGCTAGACGCTCATGGGGAAGTAGGAAGCCGCTTTCGAATATCTCTATTCCGCAGTCAGATCAGTAAATCAATATCATCTCGTCTCTGAACATACCATGGAAGTGTGTGGCACCGAGAATTTTGGGACATTGGTCTCCCCTCTCAAGCAAATGGTTGAAGACTCCAGCAGCCAGTCCCGCACCATCTGAGCAACGAATCAGCTTATAGTCCTACGACTTGCGTTCTTGAAACTTACCATGAGAATCAGTACCCTTGCCAAACTCATCAATGATCAGCAAGCTCCGATTAGTGGCCAAGTTCAGCGCTACCGATATCTGCTGCAGATCAATCATGAACGCGCTTTGATTCTAATCCAGGTCAGCGCTCGTTCCAGCTGACTTCCAAACATGACACTCACTCTAGATACACTTTCTCGAGTGGCCACGCGTGTCATGATCTTGTCTGTGAGGCCAATGTCCGCTCTCGTCGCTGGCACGAAGCTTCCAACATGAGCCATAAAGACAATGATGGCCACCTGTTTGAGGTAGACACTCTTACCCGAGAAATTCGGTCCTGTCACCAAAATCATACTCGGAACAACACTACCATCCTCGGTACGGTATTGAGGGCCAACAGATGATATCTCCTGTTGATCATTTGCTGACTCGCCCTCACCACCCGCGAGAAGAGTGTCATTCGGGATGAAGTTTGGCACGACCTTCTCTTGCAAAATGTGTCTGTTCTTGGTGAGCTTCAAGATCATCCTTGTTACTTCTTGAGAACACGAACCTTCCACCTCTGATGTCCAGAATATTAGATTCTGTCAATCGTGGTCGTACGAGATTGTGATTCCTGGCCCCCTGCGCCAGAGCCATGATGCTGTTCACGTATCAGTAGCCGTCGAGTGTTCGCCCTATCAACAATGAACATACCAGTCAATCTCAGCACAAATATCAGACGCAGATGTGAGAAGATCTTCGTACTGTAGGATCTTCTCCGCGAGTTCGTGAATGATCTCAATCTCTCGGTCTTTTTATCGTCAGCACAAGATCGGAATTCAACGAGACCAACTTACCGCAGATGCGTTCATATATGTCACCAAAGTACGAGTCCATCTCAATGACATTCTCATTCTTATAGTAGGCAAACTCCTCGGTGGTGAACACCTTTTCCCAAGGAGCGTCTTCGGGTCCTTCAAAGATGCCGTGACCAGTGATTGGATCTTGAGGGATTGCAATCAGGAATCCGATTTGAGGAAAGAAGACAACATTGATGTTTGCGTCCAACTCTTCAGGTACCGATTGCGCCACGTGCTGGGCGACCTGCACGAGAAGACTTTCGAGTCCTTCATAGGTCCGTTTGAGCTCATCAAGATCGTGATCCACTCCTTGCCTGACAACATTGCGGCAATTATCACGGGAGAGCTCGAAATCGATGATCTCAGTGATACTTTTGCCCACCTCAGCAAGTTGGATACCATGGAAGTGCTCCATGACTTTGTTTCGGATTACAAGCCAGTCTCCTCCGATGACGCCCTGGAAGCAATCTTTGATCTGCAAGGCATGGTATGCAAATAAACGTATCCCAGCCCAAATAGAATTCGATGGGCATCTTTGACTTGGTCCGTTTCCATTGATACCTTTACGAAGATTGATCATGACCGTTCTCATGTTCTTGATGCTGCTCAAATTTTTGACTAGAGTATCCATTTGTTCTGTATTCTCAGTGCGAAGTAGAAAGCTGATGCTGTCAAGTCGCTCGTTGATGACTTCAGAATTCGTACTCGGTCGAAGGAAGTACTGTCGTAGCAGAAGCTTGCCCTGAGGAGTTCGTGCGAGCGTGTGGAACAGACCGTAGACGGACAAGCCTTCTTTTGAACCAGAGTTCGCCTTTGCAGGACCTTGGTTATGCGAATGAGGATGCGACTCTGACTGGATAATCTGCAAAGAAAGCAATGTATCGGCATTGACGAACCTGGCACTTGTCAGAACTGTGATGAACAAAACAGCTTACAATCAAACCTACATGGATCCAGCGAGTGTAAACATCTCTATGGTTGAGATGCGATGCATCGTCTGAGCTGCAACATCACCAGGCAAGAAGGTTGCCGCGCGTTTGCGGTGGATGTAGGCAAGGACTGCACCAGCACAGCCAACTGTGACTCGGCTGTCGACATCAATCCAACCAGCCAGTCTTAGCAACTGTCCTTGACGACTTTCCACAGCACCATCTCCAGCCATGCAATCTTCGCTGCTCTCTGCAGTAAGATCTCCAGGAGTCATAAAAGTGATTCTTGGTCCGTCTTCGTGACCCAGCTTGAGGTTGACAAGCCGACTCCTGGCCGAATCATAGGAGAACTCAGACACAGGGCGAGCCGAGCGAAGTGCAGGCATACCATATACTGCACTGTCTCCGTCGCCCATGTTTCTTCGCTCCGGATCAAGCTTTTCCAGCACTGTGTCGTCGAATTTGGATGAAACAAGAATGATCGTAGGATCGATGAACGTTTTGACTGAAGATTATTAGTATGAAGAAACGCTGGAGACGTATCGGAAACTCACGGGCTTCGATAAGGTCTGGACCGCCCAGTTCAATGTCCTCCATAAAGTACAACTTCTCTTGTGCAGCAACGTAGTAAGCACAACCAACAGTTCCACGAGGTTTCATGTCAACCGCCATGACAATCTCGTCAAGTTCTTCATCACTAGCGCCATCGTCCAAGTTGTCTCGAGGTTGAGAGGGTGTGACTGAAGGTGCTGGTTGCCGATATACAACACTGGGAGCAGACGAAGGTTGCCGGGAGCGGTTGGACGGGCCCGAGGTCGTGAGTCTAGACACAGTCGATGGCGTGACTGATGGCTGTCGCGATGCTCGAAAGGATGAGTTGCGGGAGGTCGCCCTATTGGAGCGATTGTAGTATGATCCACGGCCGCGGCCACGTCCACGACGAACACGGCTGGAGGAGGACGAGGTGCCGCGACCACGACCAGAGGAAGAAGAAGTGGTTCCGCGCCCACGTCTTGACGAACCACGCTGCAGATTCATGGCGGCTCTTCTAATAAAGTCAATGAGAATGCGAGTCTGGCGATCGAGTTTCGAATCAAAGTTTGGAAGGCGAAAGGCTGCAGCACATACGAAGAAGGAGCAATCTGCCATGCATCGCTCCTTCCCAGACACGGAGCACAATTCGCATTACCACATACGAACAGCAATCTGTGATTTATTATGAGTGGTGACTGTTATTGTTGTTTGGTATCTTACATACGTACACGTCTCCTTCTGCTATCGACCATAACCATACCTGCTTTAGTCTCCCCAAACTCCTATGCTATGCGTTATGCGTGAAACCTCTGTGAAAGTACAATGTCATTAAGATGATACAGGTGCCAGAACCTCGAGATGTTCTCCATCAGCGCGAACAGCAATTCTAGCCACATCTCCAGATTTTATTTGTCCACGAATAATCTTGTCGGCCAGACCATTGCCAATCTCCTTGGAAATAAGACGATTGAGAGGGCGAGCACCGTAGCGAGGTTCGTATCCTTTCTCACAAAGCCAGGCCTTGACGTCGTCTGGTACCTCAAGTTTGATACGGCGGTCATCGAGTCTAGCTTGCAACTCCTTGAGACGGATGTCGGCAATATCTCTGAGGGCATCGCGTGACAGACGCTTGAAGATGATGAACTCGTCGACGCGATTCAGGAATTCAGGAGCATATGCCGACTGTACCACATCCATAACATCCTGTTTGACCTCTGACGAGATTTCGCTGCTCGAGCTTTCATCCGCAAGAAGTGCTTCGGCACCGAGATTGGACGTGAGAACGATCATGGTGTTGCGGAAGTCAATTTTGTGTCCTTGAGCGTCAGTAAGGAAGCCCTCGTCGAGGACTTGTAGGAGAAGAGTTGAGATGTCTTTGTGTGCTTTCTCGAACTCATCGAAGAGGAGTACAGCGTATGGCTTGCGACGAACGGCCTCGGTGAGTTGACCAGCGTCCTCGTAGCCTACGTAGCCAGCAGGACTTCCGATCAGACGACTGACTGTATGCTTCTCCTGGAACTCGCTCATGTCGAAGCGAGTGACTGCAGATTCGGTAGAGAAGAGGAACTCGGCCATCTTCTTGCAGAGCTCAGTCTTGCCAACACCAGTGGGTCCCAAAAACATGAAAGATGCAAGAGGTCGATTCTCGCCGCTCAATCCTGCACGCTGCATGCGGACTGCGTTGGCAACAGCAGTAAGTGCTTCGTCTTGCCCGCGCACAGATTGGCGCAGGGAGTCCTCCATATGAACGAGTTTCTCGATCTCGCCAGACATCAGCTTGTTGACAGGGATGCCAGTCGTGCGTGCAACGACTGCAGCAATATCGTCTGCATTGACAGAGTCATGCAGTAGAGTGTTTCCCTCCGAGTCGACTGCTCCCTCTTTGGGAAGCCTCTTTTCCAAATCCGGTATCGTGCTGTAACGTAGCTCACTGGCACGAGCCAAGTCAGCTGCTCGCTGAGCTTGTTCGAGGTCAAGACGAGCTTGTTCAAGCTTCTCCTTGATGCCCTTGGCCTCCTCAATTTCAGCTCGTTCCTTGTCCCACTTCTCAGTGAGCAAGCCGACTTCATCTTGCTTGAGCGTGAGGCTCTTCTCGAGTTGCTCTCGGCGCTCCACGCTGGCGACATCCTTTTCTTTCCGTAGCGACTCAAGCTCAATCTGGATAGTCATGATTTCACGGTCGAGTTTCTGAATGGCGTCAGGCTTGCTTTCCTGTTGTAATCGCAGGGCACTGCTGGCTTCATCCACCAGATCGATCGCTTTGTCTGGTAGGAACCGGTCGGTAATGTATCGGTTACTGTAGGTGGCGGCAGCAACGAGAGCGGAGTCGGTGATGCGAACACCATGATGGACTTCGTAACGATCCTTAATGCCTCGTAAGATAGAGATTGTGTCTTGTACACTGGGTTCGCCAACCACAATCGGCTGGAAGCGTCGAGCGAGTGCAACATCCTTCTCGATCAACCTGTACTCGTTCAGAGTGGTGGCACCACAGCACTGTAGCTCACCACGAGAGAGAGCGGGCTTGAGCAGGTTGCTTGCATCAATGCTGCCTTCGGCTTTACCAAGTCCAAGTAGGGTGTGGAGTTCGTCGACGAAGAGGATGACCTTGCCCTCGGCTTCTTGGGTTTCCTTGAGTACATTCTTCAAGCGTTCTTCAAAGTCACCACGGAACTTTGCGCCAGCTATGAGTGAGCCAAGGTCCAGAGAGATGACTTTCTTTTCTCTGATACTCTCGGGAACGTCTCCCCTCACGATTCTCTGTGCCAGACCTTCGAGGATGGCAGTCTTACCAGTTCCCGCTGAACCAATGAGGACGGGGTTGTTCTTGGTACGTCGTGATAAGACTTGAATAGTTCGTTGAATCTCTGCGTCTCTTCCAATCACAGGGTCGAGTTTGCCATCTCTGGCTCTTTGCGTGAGATCCACACCATACTGTTCGAGGGCGGGCTTCTCTTCTTCGCCTCCCATGTTCATGCGGTGGGTACCGCCGGGAGGATGTGGTCGACGACCGGCATATGTGCGGGTTTGTGACAATAAAGGTTGGAATGTTTTCAGTGATGGTGGATGTGATAGTAGTCGCGTGTTGGAGCGTGTGAGTGCTGTCAGAGAGCTCGCGCGTAGTGTGGCAACGCGCGAGACACATCTGCTTCTTACTGCAAGCATTGTGAATTTGATTGAGGGAGTATTGTGATCTGCTTAGCTGAAGGACACGAGGTCGCAGGATGGACCACGGCTTGATATACCTAACTGTCTACGAGAACTACTCGACCGCGAGGGCAATTGACGACGACGACGATTCTACGCGCTTCTCGAACATGTCGATGTCACCGAGTCCAGAGGTGTCCGAGCTCCGTGGAACAGCGCCAAGCAATACGGGCTCGAAGCAGACCTCAAGCGCGAAAGAGAAGAAGAGCTCAGGTCGGCACGGAAGTAACCGAGCAGCTCGCTGGAAAAATTGCAGCCCCTCGTCCAACAAGTCTGCCTCAACTTCCCCGTATCCTTTTCTTTTCCTCTTCTCACATCTTTTGACATACCACAATCACAATGGGTTTCATCGACTTCGTTTCCGACGCTGGCCTCACTCGTACGCTGCTCCCGTCATGCTCGTCGCCAGCTTTTAGCTAGATGCTAACCCGACATCAGTCCTTGAGAACTGGACCCAGACCCGTTCTTACATTGTTGGGTATGTACACCGAGCTCCCCTCCATCACCTACCCCTCCCCTTTGTTTACAGGATGTAAAAAAATTGGTCCGTGTTTCTGAGGCGGCTTAAGACCCCGCTACACGATGTTAAAACAATGCGCTTGTCGCAACGCTGATAACTCACACTCCTCACCGCCTTGTCACTACAGCCTCGCTTCTAGCATCATCGCGCTGACAGCATCCATAGCTACGGTCCTTCCCAGGCCGATGTCAAGACCTTCCAGGCCCTGAAGGCTTCCCCTGAGGTCGCCAAGTACCCCCACGCTGCCCGCTGGTACAAGCACATCGCCTCTTTCGAGTCCGAGTTCTCCTCGCTTCCCGGTGACCCCACCAAGGAGTTCACTGCCTACGGTCCCGAGTCTGCTGAGCTCACCGTCAACCCCTCCAAGGCCACTGCCAACGCTGAGGACGATGACGATGATGATGTCGACCTCTTCGGTTCCGACGACGAGGAGGAGGATGCCGAGCACGCCCGTATCCGTGAGGAGCGCCTCAAGGAGTACGCCGCCAAGAAGGCCGGCAAGACGAAGCCCGCTGCCAAGTCGATTGTCACCATGGACATCAAGCCCTGGGGTGAGTTTTGTGATCAATCCACCGACGACACTTCGTACTGACAAATGATTTAGACGATGAGACCGACATGAAGCAGCTCGAGGCCAACGTCCGTTCCATCGAGAAGGACGGTCTCGTTTGGGGTGCCTCCACCCTGGTCCCCGTTGGCTACGGTGTCAAGAAGCTCCAGATCAACTTGGTCGTCGAGGACGACAAGGTCTCGCTCGATGAGCTCCAGGAGCAGATTGCCGAGGACGAGGACCACGTCCAGTCCAGTGACATTGCTGCCATGCAGAAGCTGTAAAGTGCTAGTACAGCACTGGACCAAAAGTTCACGACGGCAGATCGCCTGTATCTGATCCCAAGTGCAGGTGTAGACTGGTCGAGACCTCTGAAACTCCTCGTTGCAACGATCAACACGACAGCAACATGTCTCGCAGTCAGTGATGGGTTAATGAGCTTCATGGAATGCATTTAGAAAGCGTACAAATGAAAAAAAGCAAAACCCGGGACACATAATGATACCCAACCAACCCAGATTTATGATTCTTCTTTACTCTTTCTTTAGTGATGATCTCTCTGCTATTTTGGCGTCGACTCAATGATATGTCAACCATGTTCATGTGAACAATATAACTAGTGATCGTGCCAGAACAGCGTTGGAAGCAGTCCACAACGCAAAAGAATTCGGAAGTGGGGCAAGCTCCACCTGCAAGCTTGAACATCATCCCTTGACGATGTTGACACAACAATCCAGAATACCGGTGAGAGGTACGCTATCTACTTAGTCCTGGATCTCATTCCAGTAATCACTGGAATACGTACGCGCATTGCCGTCAAGATGCACGATATTATGGGTAAGAAAGATGACTGGAAAACAACATCGCCTTCACTCAATGTGGTTCAATTTCTGGTCTCGGAATATCTGAGCCTTTCCATGGTCTGAACATCGCTATGAACCATAGTGTGAGGGCGGTAACCAGCAAATATGGAGCTGGATTAAACCGAGTATCAAAAGATGGTATGAATCATCTGCCTCTGATTGAGGGTGTATCACGTACAGATTCTGGCCTTTGAGCCGACTCATATGTGTCGAGAAGCTACGAGGAGTTGTAGCACTGTAAGTGACGCGAATAAGCCAAGGTAAGAGTTGCTTACACCCTGAAGATGTGAAGCTGGATGTTATTCTGTCCAAGTTGAGAAAGAGCTGGGCTGGATAGGTATGCTTTCCCTTCACTTTCGGATTTTTTGCATTCATACAGATATTGCGTCTCCTCAGCACTTTTCACCTGTTCTTCTCCTGTTCAGTATCTCATCGCGCCCTGTCCTCCTTCACCTTTCTTTTCTGCAAGCAGTATTTTCGAGTTGTGTATTTGTTTTGTGGCCAGAAGATCGAAGTCGGCAGGCGCGAGGAAGCTCGCAGCGCACACTGAGCTCGTCGCTTCATCTCACTTTCCGTCGCTTTCAGAACCCCGAGCCACAGACATCCGAGGAGCGCAGTACTAAGTACCATCTTTCTGTTCCAGTATATCTTCGCATCGTTCTTGGAAGCATCTCTTTGTCTCTCCTACGCTACCGCTGCATTCTTCAAACCATCAGCGCGCAATCGCTGGCCCGTCGCGGAATATTGAGCTCATACGCATTGGATGTCGCGTGCAAAAATCATTTCCTGGCCTATACTTAATCCCTCATACCCCGACTCGAATAGTCGTCAACGGGTCTGGAGATTCACTCAATGGAATTCATCTACGAGAAAATTGCTGGCAAAGGTAAGTTGCTCCACTTTCTACCAGACTACTCTTTCCAACACGAGAACAGGTCCGGCTCGAAGATACAACCTGCAGAAATGTCGAAAAGAACTCGAAAAGAGCTGCTCTGACTACCAAAGTCGTGGTAACAGCTTCCCTCCCGCACCACAGTCGACCCCTTGCGCGGACCGTGCGGCCCCTCGAAACCAGCCAGCCGTAAGGCAGGAGAAGAGGGCTAGCTTCCAGCAGAGTCGACCCCTGGATGAATCTGCCCATGCCTTGCACACGATCAAGCAATATCCGTTTCAGTACAACGAGGAAGAACTTCGTCAGAGGGCATATTTAATCAAGACTGAGACCAATCGGCCATTCAGACTTCGACTCGACCAGCCTCCCGCGTCGACCTCGGATCCTTTCAATGGTCGTACAAGCCACGATTTGTCAAACGACGACCAAAACGATGACTCGGAGACCAAGAGATTCACACCTCGAAGACATCCTACACTACACCGTCAGAATCTAACCGAAGAAGAATTCGTTGCCATCAGGGATACCGCTGTGCGCCTCGCAAAGCACTGTATCGTCCGCGACGAACAACCATACCCTGATCCGACCGCCCAAGAGGCTTTGCACCGCATACGATCTTCTATCTGGCTAGAAAGGACCAAGAACGGGTGTCCAACGAGCGCTGGGCCAACTTATGCGGACGAAGTCCAGGATGACAATGGCATCAGCATCACCGAGGATGGCTGCATCATCCAGCGTGGTTTTGACGTCTCATCCATGGCCTCTTCTCCTGTGGACACCGTCCATGAAAGGTGTGATTCAGGGATTGGTATTCCATGCAGGACGCCTGATCATGTCTCCTCTACTCCAAAACCTCGTCAAGAACCACTGAGACCGAACGTCAGAAACAGTAGAGGTACAAGAGTTCCAGTCTGCTTCCGCAAACAAGAAATCATCCATCAGCGCAAGGTATCGCATCTCTCAACTTTGATCTCTGGCCACAGTTCTTTCTCTGGTCAGCCAGAGCAACAGGAAACAACATTGGAGGATGCGGACCAAGCACGTATGCGGCAACAACGTCGGGTGCCCATCTCGGTGCATCACCTTGTCTTCCTCTCCGAATCCAGCTCATCGGGTGCCATCGTTACCGACAGTGAGGATGACAGCGATGAGGAACAAGAAGTCTGTCAAGACGTACAGACTGATAGCGCAACAAGCTCTACTGTGCGGATGAGGCAAAAGGTATGGTATCTACGAGGCATGGTAGTGTTGCCGGTCCTGTCGTTTCGAGTAGACCTGCTGAAACTGTCAAGACAAGCAGTCCTCTGCCACAACACTCCGCACAGCTCTCACCTCCGTCATCCAAGCTTCCGGTCCTCAGCCCTTCGCCAGTCGAGCGTGTCCAGCCTCTCCAACCTGGCACACCCCTCCCACGCCGGTTGTCAAAGCATCTTAACCCTCCTTGTGAACGTCAGGGGCAAGCTTTGGATAGGCCTCCACCCCTAGAACCAGACACGACACGGTCACAGTTCCTTCGTTCACAACAAACGGCAAAAATCTTCCTGGCTCATCAGCAACGTCGTCATGCTGAAAAGCCGCCAGCTCCTCGTGCTCAATCTCCTTGCCAGGCCCTCGGTCTTCGTCTTCCTTCTCCCCCAACTCCACCAGACTATTGCATCGAGAACGAGAGCTGTGTCTCTGCACTTCTCGACAAGATCGAGAGGAATGGTGGAAAGCGTTCTGCGAACTTCAGCTGGGATTATGTGGCTCCAGTGCATGGTTTTAGTTCGTGCAGCACATTCTACGTTCTTGACTAGGCACCTTGGACAGTCGTGCTCTGGATGGCATGGAAGATCATGACGTCCCTCTGCTCGTTTACCTGGAATTGAGCATGAGCCTCTAACCCCTACACACTTCAACTCTGGCAGCGCGACGGTAACAACTGCTTCCAGTCTCAATTTTACTTGCTGCGTGTCCGTTTTCTCTCTGGATACCCTCTCTGCGCTTTTGTCTTTTCGCCTTCGTTTCTCTAGATTCTCCATCGCTTCTTTGTTTATACGGTATCAGGCGAGTTATAGCCAGAAGAGACGGGAAAAGGGTTCGATAATGTCTTCTTTTTTTCCTAATACGTAATTCAACTTTGATTCTCAGATTCTTCTTCTGACCGTTTCGTTACACGAATACTCTCTTTGCGTCGTTATTTCTTCTTTACCGTTTTTACTTTGGCCTCTACAGCTTCTTTATTGCTTTCCTTCTTGTTTATTGTGATTGATGCATAGAAAATCAGAAACAACAGATGGAAGGGTTTGAGTGATGTCTTCTGCTTAGTGCATAGAGTAAAAGGCAGCTTTGGCATGATCTTAAGGGGATTCGGACAGCTCGGTATCGGTCGGTGAAGAACAGACTGGATTCGTTTCTCCACCATGCTTCTTGTCATCCTTTTTGTAGCGTGACTTCTGATTTGCTTTGCTCATTCTCCTAAACTCCGTTTCCTTTCCTTGGTCGCTGCAGATGACTGTGACCTTTCGAAGAGGGGGACCAAAAAAAAAACGCCAGACGCTATGCACAAATCCCCTAACCCCCTCATCTCTTGTAAACGTCTGTAGACAACCCTCCCTCCTTTTCATGATGATCAAATCTTCCCTAATCGTCCCCTCTCAACCCACACATATCAGTACCCAACCAGTAATCCAACCACGCAAAGATAAGCCAGTAGAGACTTGCATTCTTCCAGTCAAAGTCTCCGTTGTCGGTGCGAGGGACGGCGGAACCTATCACATCGCCCTTTGTACCGACGAACAAATTGATCAACGGCCATGAAGCCAGTGATGAAGACACGGATTTTGAAGGCTCGGCAAAGGCCAAGTCGGCGGGTTTGAGGATCGCGCGGGTGGCGCCGGGGATGCGCATGGGTCGTTTTTGGACGGGGGTTGTAGGGGCGAGTGAGCTTGTGGTTGAGGAGGAGGTGGTGGCGAGGGTTGATGAGGATTGGGGTTGGGCGGTTATGGTTGCTGAAGAGATTGTGTTGGAGGAGTCGGTGGGTGTGTCCCTGGTGCTGAAGGTTGATGGCAGAGCAGGGCCATCGATTTGAGCTCCAGCATTTGAGTAGGGGATAGGTGCGTCTCTGGGTGGACCGCTGCCTCTGAAGGGCTCAGCGTAGACGAGGAAACCGTGGATGGGGTGTGGAGAGCAGTGGCAGGCGAGGTCGGCGGCTTCGGGGCTGTCGAAGGTGACTTTGATCCAGTGGTCTCCTCCGCGGTAGGCGTTGCGTTTGCGAAGCGCGTGCTGCGAGAGCGAGCGCTGTGCTAGCTTTGCGCGGCTGTGCGTCATGCTGTGATCGTAGCGTTGATGGGGAGGATGGCGATCGTAGTCTTCGTAGACGATGCCGTTGGAGATGCGCTCGTAGTATTCGATGGCGGCCCATTGCGACTCTGGGCCAAAGCCATACAAGATGACCTCTGTTGCTTCCTTTGGCGATGCAGCATCGACTGCTTGTGATGCAGCTGCGTCGGAGGGCTTCTGTATGGGCTGGACTGGATCTTTCGCTTTGAGTTCATCCTTGTACTTAGTAAAGATGAAGTCTTCGGTCTGCATGTTTTCCTGTCGCACGACATCCTCTTTGCGAGCTGGTGTTGCTGTTTTGCTGCGCGAGAAGCCACGGCGGCGTACCGAGCGTCCGAATGGTCCTTTTTCCTCGGGTTCTCGTCTGCGGCCTATCTCTGCACTTTGTGGGAGTTAGTTCGGGGTCTTGTTGTTGGTGTCGCGGATGTGATTCGACGTACTCGGCAAACTCGTAGCCCCATGGTAGACGTTTACCAGATGCATCGACAGCTCTCTCACTCTCGGGCACTGCATGCACTTGCATGCCCCCGCGTATCGAGTTCATGGTTGAAGTGTGTGAAGGCCGTGGGTCGGGGGTGGGACGGTGGGTATCAGGACCGACGGTAGTGTGATTGCGAGATCCTAAGCTTCTCCTACGATGATTGCAACACGTGTGGGTGGTGGGGATGTGAGTCGATATGCAGATATAGCAGACAGAGGAAAACAGTGGATGCTTTCTCTCACGTTGTAGCGTCACCTCCGCAACCAAAGCAACACCCGGCCCGAGCTTCTACCATCTTCCTTGGCACTTACTCCGTCATTCATGCTACAAGTCCATCGTTTCTTCCTGCATCACTCGGTCTCAGACAGATCCACAAGTCGCGATGCAAGAGAATCGCGAACGACAGGCCGCAGAGCTGACCCTGCTCACCACAATGTACCCCTCCGAGTTCTCCTGGAGAAGCAACCCAGCACCCAACCTCGAAACACCAGCCATAACCTCCGATCCAAACTTTACCTTGACCATCCACCGTACCTGATCCTCCGCTCGCCCGCCAAAATACAACACTGGCTGATTTTCAACAAATGCAGCCAGCTATGCTCTCGAATTTTCTCTTCCAGACACCTATCCAGACATCCAAAAGCCGCATGTATATCTCTCATGCGGAAGTGACGTAGATACCTCGACCCGCAAACGCGGAAGAGCAAAGTTGGCAGAACTGGTAGACGAGCAAGAAGCAGGCGTGGAAATGCTCGATCTCGTCGTAACCCTCTTCACCGAATTCCTGCCCGAGTTGACCGAAAGCAATCAAGATGCAGATCAACCTCGACAAGGAAATAGTGCTCACCAGCAACACTCCGCAAAGATCAAGCGTGTGGTCATATGGTCGCATCACCTGCTAGCAACTTCGAAGCGGAAAGATATACAAGCTTGGTCCAAGGAATTGTCTTTGAGCGGCTACAGTCGTCCAGGCCATCCGGGCAGTATATTCGTCGAGGGTGACGAAGACCAAGTAGACGAATTCATCCGTCGACTAAAACAACTGCGTTGGCAAGCTTTACAGGTCAGAGGCGAGGAAACTGCTGATAAGCGTATCTGTGGTCCTGGACATGGTGTGCTCGAAGTCGAAGGACTAGGAGAAATCGCAGAAGCACTCAAGAAGATCGACGCTGACACTGCCGACCTGTTTCTCCAAGCCATGAAGATTGCAAAGACAGATTAGCATGATTCAAGATATTAGACAGTTTGAAGTGCGAATCTTTGAAATGTAAGAGAGTACGAAATGCGCAAGACGCTATGCTATGGCTATCTTGTCTTGTGTGTCTTGATGGAGAAAAGAGAAGAACGAGAAAAACAAGAGATCAAGAGGTCGTCCCTGCCTCATCCCACCCCATGAGAAAAACCTAAACCAAATACGCCGTCATCATAACCCAAAAACTCCAAAAGTTCAACAAGCAGACAAAAGATCCAGGAGGTGTTCGTAACTCCATCTCAATGCCAGTATCATGCCGCCGAACCGCGTGCCGGTCATCCCTGGAACGCACAAATGAAAACAATTGGTATCGCTGTTTTGCCTTCGTCCACAATTTCAAAAACAAAATGAGAAAATTGAATCTGCCTATCGGGGCATGATTCCGACTCTGCGAGTCTTGATCAGGAAAGGCGAGGGCATCTCGTCGCGTTCAGGATCCCACAGAGGCTCTCTATCCAGACTTGCCTTTGTCGAGACCTTGGGGACTTCCATGCTAGATGATGGGCTGGAGATGCCTCTAGCTTGTGCCAGCTCCACCAGAGTGCGGCCTTGGATGCCCTGCTGCAGATTGTTGCGGTGAACGGTCTTGAGCATGTCATCTCCCTTTGCGCCCTTCTTGGTGGCCAGAGCTGTCTTGGAGGGCTGAGATGGAATGGCGGGTGCTCTTCTGCTGGGACTAATTGGGACACCCTTGTTCATTGGAGAGCGGCTCGGTGATGCTGCAGCACGTCTCGTGCTGGGTGCCAGGTTGGGCACCGACTTCAAGCGCGATTGAAGCTGTGTGGGCATGGTCTTTTGTCTCGACACTGTGGGCCTCGAGGGCTGAGCAAGGACCTTGAAAGGGTCGTTTTCTCTGCTATTGGGTCTGGATCTGATGGGCGAACCACCGTCTGAACCGAAGGCATCTTCGTCTTCGGCTTCGTCGCCAGGGAATAGAGTAAGGTTGCTGTGAGTAGCACGATCAAACATGTTCGGTCCTTTGAAAGTAGGCTGTCTCAATTTGCTTCCTTCAAGAGGTGCGTTCCTACGCGGTGACAAATTCAGGGAAGCAATGCTCATCGGGCTGGGGTCAACCATCTGGATATCCATGGGGCTGGGAGCGACCTCGTTTGTGCCAGCAAACGTCTTTGCGCGTGTGAAGGGAGTGCGGTTAGATGATCTCAGGGGCTTGTGTCTCTGGACAAGTGGCGAGTCTTCCAGAGAAAGAGCGTTGAGACTGGGGCCTTCCTCGTCAGCCTCTCCTATGGTGACGAGCGAAGAAGATTCTTCCAAGGATTGTGTGGGTGTTGAGGAACGCCTGGGCGGCTCGATGGTGTCTGAGGCTGAGTTCGTGGAGCTGGTGCGTGATGATGGCAGCGAAGCAACTCTTCTTTCCACCTCCTCTTCGACTTGTTGCTCAAAGAGCCTGCTGTAGTGCTCCCGCAATCTTTCTCCAGCCGCGTCCATCTGGCGGTTGATCTCAAGTTGAGCCTTAGCCTCCCACTCCATTCTGAGCTGCTTGTCCATTTGATCGTGCATCGACTGCTTCTCGGCTTCCAGGCGTGCGATTTTATCTTGTGCCAACTTGAGAGCAGCGATTGCGTTTTCCTTTGCGGTGATGTGTTGTTGCAGCACCATGACGCCTTCCTGTGTCTTTCGTACGAGCTTGACTCTGGGCAAGTTAAGCAAACTGGCTGTGTCAGGTCTTGAGTTTGGGTTGACCTGGAGACACGCAGAGATGACGTCTGAGAGTTCCTTGGAGTATATGCGTGGCAGAGGAGCGACCTTTCCGAGCTTGATCTTCTGAATGAGCTCGAGATGGGTGCGAGCGTTGAATGGAGGCTCTCTGGTGCAGAGCTCGTAGACTATGCAGCCGAGTGACCAGATATCCGAGTATAGAGAGTAGCGTTCGGCGGCGCAGATTTCGGGCGACATGTAGAAGGGGGTGCCGACGTAGGTAGAGGCGAAGTCGTGAGAAAGAATGATCTTGGAGAGACCAAAGTCTCCAAGTTTGACTGCGTTGCCTTCACCGAGGAAGACTGGAAATTTCCGTCAGCTTCTGTACAAGAGTAGACAATGGAAAACAAGATCGTACCGTTTTCAGGCTTCAGATCACGGTGGAGAATCATTTTGTGTGCCTGCTTGCTCTTGAGGGGAAGCGCATTCTTAGTGAGCCCGAGAGCGTTGCTGTTGACATCTGGCGGATCCTCGCCGTAGTGGCAACGATACAGAGCGCTGACCAGTTGTGCGAAGATGGTCCAGACAAACTCTTCATCGGCGTATTCGTTGCGGACCTTGAGGTCCTTGATCATCATGCCCAAGTCTCCGTTTCCGCAGTACTCCATGTAAAGGTGCAAGTCGTGCGAAGCCTTCAGGTGCTCCTTCTCGTAGTAGGCGACAATGTTGGGATGGCGAAGGCCTCGTAGAATATCGAGCTCTGCCGAGAGCTGCTCGCGCTCCTTTTGTGACATGCGGGTGTAACATATTTCTTTGCGACAAAGGATCTGGGAGACCTGTCAGCGGTGAGGTACAGACAAAGGTCTGAGTGCAGGACATACAAGGCCGTCATTCTTTCTGCGGACCTTTCTGATGATGCCGAATGAACCTTGACCTGAGATGTGTCAGCAGAGTACATGAGTCCGGGAGATGGGCGGAACAGCATACCAATCTTGGTCAGGACCTCGTACTTCTCGGCCTCTGTCTCGGCCATTGTGCTAGGTAGTCGACTGATGTTGTATAGGAATCAACAGAAGAGAAAAGGTATGTCGAAGTAGGCAGCGACAGAGCGACAAATGAGATATGACGGAGCAGAGAGGCTAGGCGCTAATCATGGCCAGCTGAGGGAGAAGTGGGAAGTGGGAAGCAATGGGTGAGAGCTGATGAGCCTTTGGGCTTCTGGCGGGAGGGCATGGGACAAAAGTGGTGGCCGTAGGTGGGTGTTTGCAAAAGTCAACACTAGCATCGACGGGGCAACGGCTGGCCGACCTTGACTCGCTCGGCGCTCGTGCCTGTCTCGGACTCGCTGGCGTGCCCTGTCAGGGTCTTGATGCATGATGTGAATCGTCATTGTGGGGCCACGCCACCCGCATACGGCCCTCTGGTCATTGCATCGTGCAAAACAAAATATACATATTTCCAAGGCAGAGGAGGAATGGTCTGTGGTCGTGTCCGCCTTGTGTAGAAGAGAGAACATCCAAGTTGCCATGGTCGTCAAAAAGCATGAGATCGAGGCCGCCCTGTTTGCCGAAAAGCAGCAAATCAACAGCGGCCATCTCAAAGAGGACAATCCGCTCGACACTAGCGATGCCTTTCGTATCTTCTGTGAAGCCTGCAGAAGGTAAAACATCTGTCCTTCTGCTTAGCTGTTTGCGTGTAAACTAACCTTGGTCCAGGGGCGACCTGAAAGTGTGTCAAGAGCAAATCTCGGCTGGTGTCAATATCAACGCAAGAGACCGATATGATTACACGCCCTTGATCCTGGTACGTCGTGCTCCATCCCGCTGCACAGACCGACCGCAACAACATCGACTAATAGACTCGGTGCGCAGGCCAGTCTCTGTGGTCACTACGAGGTGTGCCAACACCTTCTCGAGTCCGGAGCCTTGTGTGAGCGTGATACCTTCCAGGGTGAACGCTGTCTGTACAATGCCTTGAACGACCGCATTCGCAATCTGCTACTGCAGTACGACTTTTCAAAGTCTACCGATCCTCTTCAACCACTTGCTGCCCATACGACATCGTTGCTTTCACGACCCGAGCCAAAGACATCTGACATTCTTGTCTCGACCTACGACCGAGACTTTGCTCTGCACAAGTTCATTCTTGCTGCTCGCTCTCCCTACTTTGCCGAGAAGCTTGCCCGTCAACCCGATACTACATCGTGGAAGCTACCGCCAAAGATACCTTCTCAGTCCTTCAATTCTGTCGTCCGCTACTTGTATCTGGGAGAAGCATCGGCCGATCTCAGTGATGATGAGGAAGAGCAAAAGGCCATCCTGGCAGGAATCGACAAGCTGGGTAAACAACTCGAGGTTCCCACGCTGTTCGAGAACATCATCGACGCTGGCGACAGGCGTATGGCGAGACAACGTAGGACAGAAGAGATGGCTCGTGGTCGAGATCAGTTTGTCACTTGGTTCCAAGCCAATGTGCTACGACACAAGGTCCACACTGACACTGAAAAGGCAGACCAAGCGAAATGGGATAGAGATAATGCCATTTTCGCCGACGTCTTGCTCAGAGCCGATGAACCAGAGGAAGAAGTAGCAGACGAGCCACAGTCAACACAAGAATCGGTTCGCAATACCGAGGGCCCATTGAACGGCATACCAATCGGGAACTTTTCGCCAGATCAGGCTTCGACAACCACACCCCGAAAACGAAAGTCAGTCCTCTTTCCTGCACATCGCGCTATGCTGTTGCGATCCGAATTTTTCAGCGCCATGTTCTCCTCCAGCTTTAGGGAGGCTCAAGACTCGCCACATCTTCATATCATCCCTATCGATTGCTCGCCTCAGGTGCTGGAGATTGTCCTGACCTATCTTTACACTGAGAAGGCAGATTTTTCTTTAGAGGTCGCAGTCGATGTCCTCTTTGCTGCCGACCTTCTTTTCATCGAGAAGCTAAAGCAACGCGCTGCGGTCATCATATCAACCCTCGGTAACGGCGGTGCTTCTGTAGTGGAAGCAGAGAACCCGCGAGGCGAAACAGCCACCGAGGATGTGATAGACGTTTACGACATCATTCGCGCTGGCTGGGACACACGTGTCCATCGTCTCGAAGAGTTTGGTGCTCGGTTCATTGCCTACCGATTGGAGCGTTTCATTGATGATCCAGACTTTGAGGAACTGGTCAAGGAGAGTGCCTCGAGGATTCAAGGACGTCAAGAAACTGATACCGTTGAGCTTATTGATGAGTGAGTCTACATTGTATGGAATTGTGCACAGAAGACGTAGTCGCTAATCTTTTCACAGTATTCGCTATTATCTGTCCGATCGCTTCCGTTTGCGAATGGAAGACTCGGGTATAGAGCAGATGACGGACGGGACAGAAACCCTCGATCCTGCCGCATTGTCTGGCAAGGACGAAGTCATGTTTGCAGACGACGAAGGTGTCGGCGTCCACTCGGGCTCAACACCACCACAAGATGCGCCCGACCACAACACTCTGGTCATCCGCACACTGGATGGAGAGATTGCTGGTGATGAATTTGCCCAGGATGCAATCAACTACCAGATTCTTCTTAACAAAATAGACAGCCTTTTGGATAAACTAACATTAGATGCTTAGAGTAGTCTAGAGTAACTTTGCTTGAATCATGCGATGTTCCAGCACGCCGCTTCTGAGTTGAGAAGTGTGGAAAAACTAGTAAACAGCTCTCGGCCGTTGTCTGCAAAGAGATAGCCATTATCCGATCGAGGAAAGTTCGGCCGTAAAAGAAGCGTTGTGGTCGACCATCATAATTGCTCTTGATGCTAAAGCTCAAGTTTGAATGTGGTTGTTGTCAACAATTTCGACTACAGGAGCGATGTATCTCTGCCCACGCAAAGATCTTGGAGTTGAACGACAAGAGACACAATTATAGCAAAGCCCCTAAGAAATTTTTTAGATGATCAACAACTGATGCAGCCGAATAGCTATTGGTTAGGTGTCAATACGCCAGCCTCAGGCCTCCAGCACAAACGAACGTACACATCAACCACAACAGCTTCCGATCGTGCGAGTGTAGTCCCAGCCAGAGGCTTTGACCTTTTCTAGACCCATCGCTCGGCTTTTGATAGGATGATGGTTAGATGATGATCTGTAGCGTCTGAAAACCATCGGTCCGGGTCGTACCTTCTACAAGGTCATAAATGTTTGCTCTGTTTGACTCGGGCCACCAAGACGCGTGCTCTCTCTATCGTTCGAACACTTATCAACTATCATTATCGAGTAACGGAATGGAACAGAACCATTCTTGCACGACAATCTGAGCGAGATGACCGAATTCGGAAACCGCACGAATAGATGACATGCGCCTGATCCTATTTTGGCCATAGCCCACAATCATGTCGACCTCCGGACAGCATCACTTTTGCTTGCTGTGGATTCACGATGACAGCTTTTCGGAAGAGACTGTGGTTTTCAACTCCGATCGCGTAGCTCTCGATGAAGGCTCTCTTTGTAAACTTGCGGCCTTGAAAAACACAGTCTCGACGCATGATTTCTCCATCAGCACGCCAGCTCTGAATGCCACGAGACCGGAAAATACACCAGGAAAGACATCTCTCCGCCATGGTAGCAGAAAATCCGTTAAGCAAGTATCAGATATGGAGAAACATGCAGATCCTGCTAGAGCTTTGATCTTTGTAGCTCGCGACATGACTCCTGAGCAGAAACGGAAGCAGCCCAGGCTTCAGGTCTCTGTTCATAGCAATGCAGCATCTGCATTCGGCTTCCGCAACAACATGCAGGCCATAGTCCTTCCGGTATAATACAACTGCTGTTCCATGTTCTTTTGAGTATGACTGACATCTCTGTAGGTGTTTGAGGATGTCCATTCTGCATCTCATGTGGAGATTGTGTTTCGCGACCAGTATCTGGCACGTTCGGATATGTGGAGGCTAACAGTAGCAGTATTGAGTGAGAAGTCTGTCTACAAAGGCCAGAAACTGCTTTTCCTAGGCAGTATCAAAGTCACTGTGAAGAACATATTCGTAGACGGACAGAAAGTAAGCTCAGCTTTCTTCTCGGCCTCTACGAAGCCCATCTTTCGCAGCGAATCTGCCAAGTATATGATATTTGTGCAGATGTCTCGCGAAATGTGGGACTTTGATGCAGAGGGATCTGGCGAGATCATGTTCAACAAGGTCATCAACGGTTTCCTGCCCGATCTATTCAAGCGTTGGCAGAAACTCAACGTACATCATCTGGTCAGCATCGTCATGTTCACTCGGCTGGAATACGAACGAGGTGTGCTGGTTCGTCGAGAAGAGGACGCAGACATGCCACCCAACAACGGACGCTCGCCTGGGAACGGTCGCGAATCTCGAGACTACTACCGAGTAGTCACTACTGACGCAGCAAGCAGCCGATGGGTTGACATTCTGTACAAGCTCAAAAGGGAGTTCAAAGTTTTTTTGAAGGACGTTTCTGTTGTAGGCGGCAAAGATGCTTACGGTCCACCTCCAGAGACGCTAGCATCAGTAAAAGCGCGTACTGAAACGGAGTCTATCATTGCTGGTCAACCTACGACATCGGCACGAGGCAATATATTGGAAGCGATAAATCTCGCTGCATCACAATTTTCCAAGGACTACATTGACCGTGATCTCGTACATACTGGCATCTCTTTATGTATCATTACCCCAGGCACAGGAATATTCGAAGTCGACTACAACATACTCAAATTGACGACTGATGCTCTGGTTGCAAGTGGTATGGGTGTTGATCTGGTATCCTTGGCCAGGATGCCTCTACATTCTGTACCTCTGTTCAGATACAGGAGCCCTCATATCCTTCCTGGCCTTCCGGTTGTATCCGACATCTACACATTCGAAGGAGGCAGTACACCTCGCCAGGCTGGCTATCTGGAAAGTCACATGACCGGCACACCTAGAAGTACAGGCAGATTCATGCGGAGAGGCAGTAGTAACAACAACAAAGAACAGGTACCGGGTACACTGATGGAATCTGGAGTACAATGGAGCTATGCTCTGCCACACTGGATCGATGTTTCGTTCTGGACAGGACATTCCGACGAGGAGCATCTCCGCACTCAATACGGTCTGAACTACAAGAAAAAGAAGGGATCGAAGAGAAATGATCCGTTCACCACAAGTTGCCGGATGTACGAACTGCAGATGATGGGTCTGATGGAGACCGAGATGAGCGATATTGCAATCCCAGTGATGCTACCTGGATATGCAAGTATCGAGAAACCACGCCAACAACGACATCATCTTGAGCCTGCACCCACGGAGGAGCTCTCCGGAAGCTACGGCTCGACACGATCGTTCCATGGGTACATCAGTGGCTCGCCGCAGCATCATGACGATGAGTCTCACATGAAGATGGATATGCCTACACGCAAAGAGTTGGTCGACTGGATGGCCGCTTACGACAAGCAAGTACCTTTCAGGACACAGGACTCTCCTCCAATCAAAACAATATTGGATCAGACCCCGATTGAGTCATCTCGGGCCAGTTTGGACACTACTGTGAGGTTCAGTACTTCGCCTCAGAAACCAAGAGGCAGCTTTGCATCGACCCATGCCAGACCTGGCGAGAGCCCACGAAATGTCGGATACCTTGATAACAGATCTCCTCCCAAACGTGCCGTACCCTCAGCCAAGATGGACCAGCCCAAACAGTCGTCAATACGTTCTATGAAAACAACGCCTAGGAGAGCTCCCATGCCACGCCAGATCAGTCTAGTAGGAGGACTAGGAATGGCAAAATCAACTGCCAGTATAAGTGTCAGCAGTGAAAGTGCAGGACTCAGCACTCCGACATCTGAAGCTCCACCGATACCCCCTGTCTCCAAATCTGGTGGTGGTGGTGGGTTGTTCTCCAGTCTGACACAACAACTTCTGCATACGTTGCAGCGAAAGCCATCACAAGCCAGTCTGGCACGAACCGACATCAGCGACCTTAGTGATCGGGCTGACTCGGACAGAGCAAGCATGGCTCAACGGAGCAACCCGATTACTATCAGATCCAACTCGGTGGTCTCGGAACATGGAGAGGACGAAGAGGAGTCGACAAAGGCCGAAACGTATCGTAAACCAGCGACGAAGATGCTTGAGGATATCGTAGTCCGCGACGTCTCGAAAGTGGGACGCCAGAATGCCAGCATGTCCGACTCTACACCAGACACCATTGCGGACAAGGCCGACTACCATCGAGTCTTGTCTCCTCTCACGGCCATCTCCCCTTGGCTCACAATGCTCAATCCTTCGAATCCGAAAAAGCACAACATGAGCATAGCAAGCCAATTCCGTCGCTGGCAGCACATTTTCCCGAAGCCCGTGCCCACCTCGGTGGTGAAATGGAAGTCCTTGTGCTCACCGGCTTCTCTGCCATTGACTGCAGAATACTTCCCCACAGCCGAACAGCTGCGCAACGAGTACTCAGAGTCACCGTATAAGATACTGCCTCTAGACGATGATGACATGTCTGAAGCGCCAAAGACTAGAGAAGCCCTGATCAGAGAACTCATTGCGTGCAGACTATCGCATGGCTTCCAGATAGTTGTTGGTCCAGCAGCCACTGAGTTTGCGGGTACCAAAGCAGCTTCATTGGTCAAAGTGTTTGACAAGAACTACATGGCAGAAGATGGCGCCACAGTATTGATGACGGTGGGAAATAATATCCACCTTCTTGTCTGCACGGAGAACGGCGAGATTGAGGTGCGACGATACAACAGGAAGCCCGTTGCAGAAGTCGAGTATACTGGCGCGGTAGACCCAACAGTGGCCTATCATCCATACATCCGCACCTATCTGGGAAAAGGCTACGAGATGCGCCCCGTTATATTCAAGAACCCGCGACCGACATATAACTGGAACGCGATCGACCATCACCTCGCTGGGTACAAGCAAGAGCACACTTCACAAGATATGCGCTTCTGGAGAGCGCGTTTCGTCTTGATACCCGTTGATCACAAGATCAGAAGCGGGCAACTGGGCTTCGTCTCCGAAAACTCGGAAGAAGAGATTCGACTAGAGGGTATACAGAAACTCACGCAGATATGGCAGAGGCACCGCTATATTCCACCCGAGGAACGCCGTTTCCAGCAGTCCCTGCAGCAGAGGCGCAAGGATCCCAATCCGTTGGCTATCGAGTACCACACTCACGATCCTTCGATGATTGTTCGGAATCACGCAACTGGGCTAGCAGAAGCTTTGTCGCAAGATGAACCAGGTCACGACCTCTTTGCAGAATCGGAATTGTATCACACCAACGACTTTGACATGCAGAAGCTCGCACAACATCTCCAGGCAGACCCGCCCAAGGGCATACCGGTGGCTGACCGCAGATGGCACTTCAAAACACACTGGAAATGTTTCCGAGGCGATCATCTGACTAGTTTCCTTCTCGTCAACTTCAAGGATATCGATACGAGAGAAGATGCTGTCAAATTGGGGAATGCGCTTATGAAAAAGGGCTTGTTTACCCATGCAGTCCAAAAGCATCAGTTCAGAGATGGAAATTACTTTTACCAGGTCGCGTCCGAATATCGGACTGCACCTTATCCAGAGAACAAATCTGGATGGTTTGGAATGGCAGGTCGATCTGTTCCTCCAACACCCATGCACGAAGGCTCCAAGGCGTCGCCGAAATTCTTGCCTGTCGATAAGACGCGATCGCCGAAGATTGGTCCTGTAGACAAAGCGCGCTCGCCACTGATAGGGCCATCTGATCACACTCGCCCTCGCTCCGATACAGACGAGAGCAAAGACTCGGATAAGGGTATACTAAAGCCAGATTCTGGCAAGAAGTCTAAGCTTGAGCTCAGCCGCAGTCTACGCTATGATGTGGATCATCGCAAGAAATCGTATCGTCCAGAGATCGTCACACTGCACTACGACCGCATTCACAATCCAGACAACTGCTACCACATCCGTCTCGAATGGATCAATGTGACAGCAAAACTCATCGAGGATGCTCTAGTGTCTTGGGCAACAAGTGTCGAGAGATATGGATTGAAATTGGTTGAACTGCCTATCGCAGAAGGCCATGCCATTTTCCAAGTTCATCCCTTCAGAAGACCCTACACCATCAAATTGGCCCTACAACCTCCAAAAGGAACACCCAAACAGTATCTGGAAGCAGGCACAACAGCCTACGAAGAAAGCTACCCTTACCAAAGAGCGCTAGTCAGGAAATTCGACTTTGTGCTCGACTACGAAGCTGCCAGCACCTTTGATCCAGGCGTAGACGTGAGCTACTCATGGGGAAAGCCAGACTATCAATTCACACAATTCATCCACAAGTCCGGCGGCTTGCTCTTGCAGATCGATGGTGATGGAAATTTGATGCTCACCGCAAACCGCCTCTGCGTCAACCGCAGCAACACCGCCCGCGAAGCCTCAAGATACGGCATCGCAAGGCGAGACAAGCGGAATTTCTCCACCCCAGCACCACCAGCACATGCCTCTCCCTTCCTCAGTGCATTCAAGCAAACCGAGCCCCAAAGCGTACTCTCCAAAAACTCGTTTACAGAAGCCAGCGTCGAGCCGGAAGTGGTGGCGCAGAAATTGGAGCTCTTCTGCTCAGATGCAGAGAAATTGAGGGTGTTTTATGAGGATGCGTTGAGGCCTGCTGTTAGTCCTAGTCCGCACTTGACTCCCAGGCAAACTCCTAGGCAGACGCCTGTGTTGAGTGCGACTAGTGCTATACCGCATCTGGGCTTGCCGCCGAGTATCAGTCTTAGGAATGCTAGTTACGCGGAGCAGAGCCCGAGGATTGGGTTGAGCACGAGTAGGAGGTCGAGTATACAGGGGTTCAAGTCTTTCTTGTCCGACTCGGGGAGTCATCGTGACCTGAATTAAGACTGGATAGGTGTTCCTGTTGGGCTTTTGATTCTGCTACATGAGATAAGGAAAGGAGGTGCAAGGTCTGTGGTGTTGGAGTGTTGGGGTGTGGGTAAGGTGATGCTTACCTTGTTGCGCACAAGAGTGTGGATGTTGTCTTTCGTGTCAATTAACATATACAACATGATACATGCACTCCCTTTACAAATTTCAGGCGCTTTCACATGTCAGAGATACAAACCTTCACATGTTTCTCTTGAGCCTCTTCGCTACACAGCCGGAGATATCGAATGTGGTATACTTGTGACTTGCCGGGTCGGTTCCGGGAGTTCGGTTAGAGCAATATCGAGCCCCCGGCTCGGCAGTTTTCGTCCCGTCTCTCCTGGTTGTTTCCAGATTGTCTGAGAAGAGATGATGATGCATGCGGTTGAGGAAGTTGCAAGTCAGGTCGCTTGTAGGGCTGGCGTCTCCGTACTCTATCAGATAAGGTGGTGTTTTCCCGCGGTGCTTTGCTTTCTGTATGATAACGCAGTGTTCCGCATCCAGTGCAATGGCGAAGACAGTCCCTGATAGTGATTATGGGGGACAAACAGCCACATTGTGTCACGGCGTCTGACTGTCCAAGCCGCAATGAGTGAGACGCGTTTCCTTACTCGGTGACCTCATTTTGTGTTTGCAAGTACGAGTTAGCGAACGACCTCCTAGGCAGCTCAAACCGGCAATTTGCATCATGGCCGTCGTCCAGATCGAATCGTTCTGAGCAGCGCGGGTGAAGGTGCAAGAAAAGCAGGGCGCAAAGGCAAGAGGGATGAGCAGGTGACCCTTTGTCTGCAACGTGGCTGAGGGTTTATGGACACGATGGCATATGAGTCTTTGCACTTGCAGTTGGGCGCGTGAGAAGCGAATCAGTCGCAGAAACAAGAGGCTCTAGCGATCTTGAAAATTGAATGCGGGTGTAGCGTAGCTGTGCTACTGTTGGTTGTGGTCGGTCTCGTTTGCAGCCATGCGAGAGGGATGCGTGCCCGTCACATGGACCCTGCATTCTTGCGGTCTGGAGATGTTGACGTCCTTGGCAGTCGGTGGTGCTCGGTGGTGCCTGCTGTTTCTGTGACAAGCGCTTGACTCAGTGATGATCAAGGGGAAGATAAGAGATGAGGGCTTGAAGGTCGTTTGCGCATCCTGTCATTCTTCGTTTTTGGAGAGTTTTGACTTTGCTTCCATGCATGCTTCCTCTGTTCCGCGAGAGCCAAACCCCTACAACGTCATACTGGTCTGCACCTTCCCCAGAAAACAGCGATATCGGCATACGAGAAATCGGATCGTTGGAATTCGAGCAACCGGATAACAAAGATCGGCTTGAAAGCCCACGAAGACGGTTAAAGATTGGCCGCTAGGTTAAGCACCACGGCTGTCTACCAGACTTTGCGTCTCAATTGAGGTGGAGGCTTTTATTGACGACGACGAGTACGAGCAGGTGCAGATTGAGGATAAGCAGCAAGAGGGAAAGGAAGCAACAGATCGATCAATCAAAGACAGGACGGCACACCGCAATCCTGCATCTCGAGGCATCCCTGTCGAGCTGTCAAGCCACTTCCGGGGAGCTGGGATGCACATTGCAGGAGGAGTGATAGGAAAAGAAATAAACAGCGACTGCGTAACGCGACGCGAGCGATCTCCTTTTTACACATGCCTCTCCACATATCGACGGGATCTACTCACATCGGTGCATTGGATAAACTCAATTCACGCCCGGCCAATTCTCCTGACAAGCCTCTTATCTCTGCGAGCTGGTGTTTGCAATTCAGACTGCGTGCTTCTTGTCTCTACATCTGGCCTCGGACCCCGACCCCATCATTCTCTTCAAGCCAGCATCGTGTTCCAACGGCTCGCCGACGCCAACAAATTTCCTGGGGTATACCAGTCTTCTCTGGGCTTTGATTTCCCCAACAGCCCGCACGCGACACCAACCTCGCTGTCGCCTAGCATGTGCTGCTACGCCCGCCAGTCCCAGTCAACAATCAGAGCTTGGTTGGATCCGCAAATGCCCGTCTCAAATTGAACTCCAGTGCCCTCACAAACAAGATGCACCGCTTCTCACGCTCGAGAGGAGAATCTCAGGAGCCTGAACGCAACGAAGCACCCGTTCCCTCGACACGCAGTCTGTCCCTTCTCTTTCCGCCTAGAGAGTCGTACGACCGCGTCAACAAGAACACAAAAACTCCTACAACCACGCCAATCGAGCCTCTATACGACCAGAACACGACCACCACATTTCCGCTCTCGCCGGACGAGGAGCCTAGAATAATAATCGCCCAAGATGACACCGGTGTCTCAATAGACCGCCTACTGTTCGACTCTCATTGGGCCCACAAGACCAGCAGAGACAGATCCGATGACTCGAACAGTCCGTCAAAGGCTTTTTTCTGCAGGCCGTCTTCTTCAGCAGGTCCTCAGTCTCCAACTAGCAGTAGCTTTCTACGCACGCAGCCCTCTCGTGGACACAGATCTACCATTTCTGTCGTCCCAGATCGCAATGGCTCTCCTCCAACCCGCCCGTCTATGCCTCGACTCGATTCAACATTCGTTCCCTCGACTCAGTTTCGCCGTACTCCTACCACTTCCTCACTTGCCGATGCCCGCAAAGACATAAACCTCCCTGTGGAGAATACTGCCGAAGAAATGGACTCATGGTTGGATTGCATGTTTGGCAAAGCCCCGATGAGATACAAAGGCCCCGTCACAAAACTCCATCATTTTCAACGTCAGCCGCCAGACGACAAACAAGACCTTCGCCCAAGGTCGTCACCACGTCCTGGCTTCGGATCATGCCCGGCAAAGGAGAGCTCTCCCCTTAAGCCTAGCTCTCGTAGTTCGGCGAATCAAAGAAAAGATGCTTTGCTCATCTGCACCACGTTCTGTGTCAACATACACGACGAAGATCTTCCCGAACAAGTGCAACAAACGACATCCACGAATGCAGCACGGCAATCATGTACGCGAAAGAAGCGCTTCAGCACTCCAATGTTCGGCGTAGCCATTCTCCTGCCTCTGGCCAAGAGCAGCGCGTCGCAGAGTCAGCTTCCAGACCAGGCCGACCCTGTGCAGACCGTTCTCGATGATTGGCATATATACGCTAGAGCCCTGGACGCTCTGAGAACTACTGCTCTGATACAAGTCCAGCAAAAGCTTCGTGTGAAGGCTGAGGCACTTGCACGCTCTAAGGCTGCTGTTTCGCCGACCGTCCCTCGTCTGGTCAAGCTCGAACCGAGCGCCTTCGAGCATGCGCCTCAGATCGTTGAAGTCTCCTGTGCGGCAGTAGATCGTATATCGCGCAGCTATCAAGTGTTACAGGCTGGACCGCAACGTGACTGGAGTATCTGGCGAGACGAGTTGCGTGATTACACACGCGTCTCACAAGACGCTGACTCCAAGAGAGGTTTTTTCAATTTGCACAAGATCAACTTCATGCAAGCCGCCTTGACAGCAGCTCTGAGTGCGGATCTAGGTTGGCTCAACATCTTTGCTCCTCCACAACACCAGGCTCGTCTGCGCGAAGAACGCCAGAAGACCCAGATGACTTTCGACAGGGCCCAGAATCGCACTGTGATTGTGAGCATGGACCAGAATAAGGCTCGGAATCTCATCTTCATATTTGCAAAGCTGTTTCCTTGCCCGGCATCGGAGACACAATTCAACAGCATGAGGCGATCTTCTTCGAGCAGCCTGACATCAACCAACAATCAAGTTTCCGCACTCACACAAGGCTTGAAACGTGCTGAGCATGGTCCGAATCAAAGCTTGACAATTGACAGTGCCAAGGCACAGGCAAACGGACATACACTGAAGGAGGCCCCCCTCACTCCGACTATTTTCGAGCCGATTCTCCATGCTTCTCCTGGCACTTCGCCAGCCAAGACACTAGCTATTCACAACTCAGCACCATCAACTCGTAAGTCGAGCATCGTCAATACTTCGGGTAAGATCGATATATTGGGCAAAGGTACTATGGCCGTGCCGATCAGTGCACCAACATCAAGCCGGAACACGCCATCAGGCTCCCCAGAAACACGTCCTAGTAGCAGCTTGAATGTTCAAGGAGACCTGATGCGACATCTACAACGCGCAGGCAGTACGACCACAAGCAACGGCAGTACCGATAACACGAGTCTGTGGAACAGTTTCCGAAGCAGCACTTGGAGTCTCAGGCCTCGTCGCGAGTCTTCGCTGACTGAGAGAAGCGATAGTTTTGCCAGCAGTGGGCAGCGCGAGCAACCTGCAAGTATTCTCAAGACTAGCAAAAGCTTTGCTGCTCGTCAGAATTCCAATAAGCTAGTGCGTATGGTCGAAGAAGTGCATGATCCAGAGGAGTTCTACCAGAGCAATAGCCAGCCAAGGAGGAAGAAGAACCCATCACGTGTGTCTCCGATTACCATGGCTCACAAGACCTCGGCCTTGCAATTCGATCCACCGGCCTCTGACTATGCTGGCATCGCCTACACCTACAACCAGGATGAGGGCGTTGTCGATGTCGACTTCCCTGGATGTACACCTATCGCCAGTGCGACTCGCAACATTTCTCCCAAGATGTCTAGGTTCAAAGTTCCCAGCGGCAGAGCCCAATTTCCTCTGCACAAACCCGTCGCATGTGATGGCAGTGAGGAAAAGAAGATTCATGGTCCTCAAGGATTCGCTCGCTATGACAGAATCGCTGGATATCTTGGCAAGTTCCACCCTGATTACGCTTTACAAGCTACTAGACCCTACGCGGAGCTTGTCAATGAGGTCAAATGCGCGATGAGAGCTGAGCCATCACCTATGGTTGAACCATCAGAGAACCTCAGAGTCTTTAGCCAAGAGACATGGATCGATATTTGCTCGACGGTCATTATGGATGCCGAGGCTATGACGGTGAGGAAGTTGACCCTCCGCAGACGGGTCCGGTACAAGTTGATTGTACCTGATGATTCTCCAAATCTGCCAAGGCATGTTGGCACAGCCAATGGACGAAAGCAGTCAACGTGCTCTTCCAATGGCAGTGGATCGGACCAGGACAGCCAGATCAAGGTGATCAAGTCAGACGATATGGATTCGATCCAACGCACATACAAGCGCAATGACAACGGACAAAAGACTGGTTTTCGTGACAAGCGAATTCTCAAGACCGATCTCCCAAATGAAGGCTCGCCAGAGGGCGAATTGAATCACCACGTTGCGGGCCGGCATTCAATTGAAGCTCTTGGAAATGTCGTGACGAAGGCTGCGGATGGTATGGAGACTCGTTCATACAGCTCTCAATCTTCGCGCACTAATGGAGATCGAGTGGACTCGCCTATGATGGTCAAAGATCAATCTCCACTTCTTGATCAACGCCCCAATACCGCCATTGTCGTTGGCGAAGACCTGTCTGAATTCATCGACCACCGGAAGACTAAAAGCTTCCCTGCTAAAGAAGCATCCGCCATGATTGTGGCCACAAAGAGAGTGCCAATCCACAACAAGGAGGGCAAAATCAGTGGCTGGAAAGAAGTTTGCATCAACAAGCCTGACGAAGCTGGATTGAATGACTTGCCGACCAGTTTCGTCGAGAAACGAAGCGATAAAGCGGCAGCAGTAGTAGAATGCCATACGCTGGCCGAGAAGTTTGACGAGGAAACAATCAGTAAGCCCGATTCTGCAGTCGTCACTCTACTGCAACAGATGCTCGCCACCAGCGAAACACGTTCTCGCGCACACTCGCGTGCCAACTCTGTGCACAGCCGTGCACCTAGTCGCTCCAATTCTATCAGCGGATCAGGACTTTCTGAGCTCCAGTATGAGAGCAAGAAGATCATCGAGGACGCCCTCGAAGGTCTTGTCAGTGCTGTTGCATCTGACAAGTACACATCAAACAATAATAACTCTGGGGGGCTGTTTAGCTTTGCCAGGAGTACAGCTTCGACACCTGAACCCTCAATCCTTCGACAAAGCATCTCCAAGTGGATGTATGGAGATGCTTGAGGCCTGTAGTGCTGCCCTTCCACGTTAACCGTTAGCTTAACCTTCTGCCCCGGCGTTTTCTCGATACTTTGAGTTTGGTGCTGCATCTTTCTGTCATGCTGGGCATGAATCCTTTCTTCGTCGCGGATCCGAGTAACATGTATCATATAGATTTCTTCCACATCCATTAGCGTAGCGTTTAGCATGCTTCTTGCTCCTGCACGCAGCTTAATCAGCTCGTGGATATCGATTGCCTTTACCATTGTCCATCACACTTTGAGATCCTGAACGTTAGCAGTAAGTGAGATCCGATTTTGGTCAGATGCTCGTTTGCCTGTTTTTCAAGTGAATTCGCTGTACCTTCCAATCTCGTCTTACGGAAAGAGGTCTCCGAGATGAGCGGTGTGCGGGGCTGCATTGGGACTATTCCGACTCAACCACATCTTACTTCCGCAGCGGATGGTGGACAACCACGAATGAGAAACGAGTATACGTCTATGAGTAATAGGGCATGGGGCAATAACGATCTCCAGATTTGTCAGCGCTCTCTTGTTTTCTACTTTTCTGGACCTAGTCAGGCAAAAGCAAGAGCGAGTGACGCTGTGCAGTGACGCTCTGTATACGCTGTAACTGCCTTGACTTAGCAGATTTGTAAGCTCTGCGGGTACACGATCGATTTTCATGTGACACATGGTAGTACTTGAAAAGGATTGACGGTCCTCGCTAGTATTGGAAAGTTGTGTCTTTACATACCACTCAACATCATGTCGGCGTACACTTTCGGAGCGGCCTTGGAGCTCACCAGCTCTCCCAAGCTAACCTCCCCACCAGCTGTGAAAAAGAAAGAGCCAACGGGACTCGAGTCAGCTATCGAACTCCAAGATTACATGCAAAAAGTACAGACTCAGCACTCACAACGGTCAGATGGCAATGCAGCTGGAGCAGGAAGTTCATCTAAGAAGGCACCAACAACGACGCCGAATGAGCTCGAGATGAGTCGACCGCCATCACCAATTCAAGCTACAGAAATGGTCCCAAGTTGGGGCTTTCCGTCGATGAACAAATATCGCATTCTTGCGGTCTGCGGAGTCTACTTTGGCAATGGAATCAATGATGCTTGTAAGGACTGGCCTACCTCAAAGCTACTCGTATCTTGATGCTGATGATGGAATACAGCTGCTGGCGCTCTGATCCCTTACATGGAGAAACAATACGACATCGGATATGCTATCGTCTCGCTGATTTTCATCACCAATGCTATTGGCTTCATCACTGCTGCGTTCTTCACAGATTTGACGTTGGAAAAATTGGGTCGATCAAGAGCGTGTATGTTTTCTGAAGCCATGCTGATCGTCGGATATGTGATCATGGCTTGCACACCACCTTTCCCGGTGGTCGTCATCGCGTGAGTTTTGCTATCCCGTCGTAGCGAACAGAGAACTGATATTTTGTGAAGTTTCCTTCTTCTGGGACTTGGTCTAGCCCTCAATCTCGCCTTGAACAACGTCTTCTGTGCCAATCTCGCAAACTCAACAGTCATCCTTGGTGCCTCACATGGTAGCTATGGCCTTGGTGGCGTAGTCGGTCCCATCATGGCTACCGCATTAGTCTCTCGCGGCGTCCTCTGGAGTCGTTTCTACCTCATCACCCTCGGTATCCGCGTCATTTGCTTCTTCTGTACCGGCTGGGCCTTTCACAACTACGAAAGTGAGCCCTCCAGTTTGAAGATAGGTAACCGTATCCCACGCCGCGACGGGGAGATACAGCCCACCAAACTGCAAATGATGAAAAGAGCTCTGAACAGCAAAGTCACTGTATTCGCTGCACTCTTCATCTTCTGTTACCAAGGATCCGAAGTCAGCACTTCAGGCTGGGTCATCTCCTTCCTCATCGAAGCTCGTGGAGGTGACCCTGCAAAAGTCGGTTATGTCACTGCTGGTTTCTGGGGTGGCATCACTCTAGGCAGATTCGTGTTATCTCATCTGGCACCCAGGATCGGCGAGAAGCGCTTCGTCTATATCCTCACAGTGCTCTCCATCGCATTCCAGCTCTTGGTCTGGCTCATCCCTAACATTGTTGGCGAGGCCGTTGCTGTATCGCTCTTGGGCCTGTTGCTCGGACCTGTGTATCCATGCGCTACGACCATTTTCACGAGGTTGATGGATAGAGATGTGCAGATGACGGCATTGAGCTTTGTGTCTAGTGCTGGTAGCAGCGGAGGTGCCGTCGCACCTTTCTTGACTGGACTTTTAGCGCAGGCTGTGGGTACTTTTGTGTTGCATCCGATCTGTATTGCACTGTTCGTAGTCATGATGGGTTGTTGGTATGGCTTGCCTGACAAGGTCAAGAGGACGGAGTAGAAGGAAGTCCTTTACGGCCTAGCAATCACAAAGATGTAATCCATACAAAATCAGATCCTGAGAGAAGTGCCTGATATCGAAGAAACTCGAGTCATACACATATCGTATGGCATTTCTAGCACATACGGCCACAGTCAGCTGAAAACTGGGCATCCCGTCCGCTCTGCCATACATAAGCAGTTGAACGGCAGATTAGTACTACGGTGGGTGACCACGTGGGAATCCCTGCTGCTGTATGTTTTGCATTTCTTATACCTCCTCTTTTGATCGGCAGCCTTCTTGTATAGCCGACGAACATATGGGGCGCTGTGTCGTGAGTTCAATGGAGCGAATCAAATTTTGTCGACTCCGGATTCAGCAGCATGACGGAGGGTGCGAGAAAGGTAGGACTTCGAACTCGAGCGAGCATAAGTTTGCCAGGAGATTTCTATATGGAAATTGGAAGAAGAAAGAGACACTGTCGAGAAGGCAGAAAAACAGGTGTTGTCTCCTTGGTAGCGTCGATCTGGGCGAAGCTTTCCTCGAAAGCTTGTGTGAATTCCACATGGCTCGGCACCACTTCGAACATCCAAGCCACTGACCAGCACTCTTGTTCCCCAAATCCTCACCATCTGGCTTCTGCAGTAGCGCTCGATGACTTAGTTCCTCGTACCAGTGGTCCCTTCACGACAAGTCGGCATCGTTCGGCCAGACATTACGTGTGTCGCTGACTGAGTTGAGCTCGTCGTGTCCGGGAAACCATGTGGCTAGCAAGCGTGTATTCTTCCATCCGTGGTAGCCGTTTACCCCGAGATGAGAAGTGGAGATCCCCAGATTCGACACATTACACCTCGCTTCTACCTCATCAATTGAGATCCAGACATGCTGTAATGCGATTGTGTTCACTTGCAGAAGTGTTGTTATCTACAGCCCTTTGCTGCGATGTCATTGCAGAGACACCAACCTGACAAGTCGTGCAAATGTCTGTTAGATGGGAGACGGAACGTATCGATCTGCGGCACGGCTAGAAACACTCACGGGATTGCGGCTCGAAAAGCCGATTCTGCTGGCAACCTTGGTATGAGCATCTTCCGAAACCGTCGCGACATATGCGTAGATCGTCACTACTAGCTCGTAGCCCGATGCCGTGAACCTGGCCATGTCATGACTTTGACTCTGCCAGCCATGTCGACGTAGAGGCTGTAGGATGTGCTTTTAACCGGGAGGTTGGTATATAAATCACTGATGGACGTTGATTTCGTTGCAGAACATCAACTATCCTCACGCAAATCATGTTGGAACTAGCCCTTTTCCTAGGTCTGGCAGCTGCCGCTCCAGGCATGTCTACCAATGCTACCTCCATGGCCCCGACTCTCTCTTCGGAGGCCATTACCCTGTCTCTCTCCACGCTTTCGAACTACACGTACACAGAATACCCTTCGCAGACGGCTACTCCAACCACAAGCGGTCAATCTCTTCCGACTGACTATTCGGAACAAGCATGGTCGGCACTTTGGGATCAAGTTGGCCCTGTGTCGACAGCCTCGATAAACTACACCGTCTCACCCACGCCAGAAGCCACTCCTGTTCCCCCTCCATACGGGTACTCCTCGCAAATCACGACCGGAAACCTGAGCTCCTACAAGCTCCCATCAGACTTCGTATGGGGAATCGCCAGTGCCGCCTACCAAGTCGAGGGTGCTGCGATGGCTGAAGGCCGTGGTCCTTCGATCTGGGATCTCCTGTCTCACCGCGTCCCTGGATATGTCGCAGATGGCGAGACTGGCGACATTACTGATCTTGACTACTACCTGTATCCTCAAGACATCCTGCGTCTCAAGGCTTTCGGTGTCCAACACTACTCATTCACCATCTCCTGGAGCAGAATCTTCCCCTTTGGTCGTGGTTATGTCAACGAGCAGGGACTTGCTCACTACGACGATGTGATCCAAAGACTGGTTGAAGCTGGCATCAAACCCATTATTACTCTATTCCATTGGGATACTCCTCTTGCTCTCATGAATGACTACAACGGATGGGTGTCTGAGGAGATCCAGGCAGACTTCCTGGCCTATGCACAACTCATCATGAGCCGCTATGACAAATATGTTCCTATCTGGATCACTGTCAATGAGCCCCAAGTATTCTGCGGAGACGAATACCCCGGCTTCCCATCTGGTTACTGGCCACAATACGGCGTCACTGGACTTCGTGCCCAGTACTACTGTGGCCACAATGTGCTATTGACCCACGCAGCAGTCGTGGACTGGTACAGAAACGAGTTCAAGGGCACCGGACGTGTCACCTTCAAGAACTCGGCAAACAACTACATTGGCAACACCACCTCTGCCGCAGACACCGCGGCTGTTGCTCGTGGAAACGACTACCAGTTGGGCTGGTTCAACTCTCCCGTCTGGCAGACTGGAGACTACCCAGCTTCGCTCAGGGACACCCTTGGTGATCTCCTCCCCAACTTCACCACCGCCCAGAGCGCAATGATCCTTGGCTCTTGTGACTTCTTCGCCATCGACGGATACACCACCGATGTGATCGCTGCTCTGCCTGAAGGATCCGCTGCATGTGCTTCCAACTCGAGCCACCCCAACTACCCAACATGTGTCACTCAATCTCAGGTCACCGCGTCGGGCTGGGACGTGGGCTTTGCTGCAGACCTCGGAGCCTCGTGGCTCAAGTCCGACCCCACCGGCCTGCGCACCTTCCTCAACTACCTCCAACAGACCTACACCGGACCCAAAGGCAAAGACATTGTGCTCAGTGAATTTGGCTTTGCCGAGCCGGGAGAGAACAACTTTACCACTCTGCAAGATGCACTTTACGATCAACTCAGAGTTGACTACTTTGCTGGGTACCTGAACAACTTGTTGCTTGCCAAGGTTGAGGATGGCGTCAATGTTACTGGTGCTATCGCTTGGGGTATCTACGACAACTTTGAGTGGAGCAGTGGGTTGAGCACTAGATTTGGGTTGCAGTATGTCAACTACACTTCGCTGGAAAGGTTCCCCAAGGCGTCCATGTTTACGTTTACGGATTTCTTCAAGCAGCATGGGTTGTAAAGTGGTTGGGTTAGCTGCTGTATGTATCGTATCTCCAGTTTGTTCATTGCCATATGTGGCGGTATCTGCTGTATCTGGAATCGATAGATTTATCGTATAATCAATTTTCACATACAATGATGAATTACAGAAACTGCGATACAGTAACCATGCGTGCGTATACATGCAAAGATCTCACCCGACAGCCGCACTCACTCACCACAGAGTGCAAGATAAGAAATTCACTTTCAACAGCATACCAACACCACATCTCCCAAAAGACTTTCGAGCAAAAGAACTAGATCTGAAGAACAGAGAAACCCAAACACCAGCGACCTCGGAGGAAGAGGGGTTTACAAAGTGTTTTGTCGATTTTGGGTTTACTCTTTCAAGTAACGATTGGGACTCTCAACCACTGTCTGTGGGAGGAAAGGACTTACGGTGGTTGTGGTGGAAGAGTGGGTCTTGTCCTGGGGATCGGACCCAGGTTTTGCCGCTTCGCTAGTGATTAAGGACTTACTAGATCGGCTGTGGGACACACTGGCACGGATTGCTGCTTGGGGGCCAGGGAAGGTTGGTGGTATATAAGGGTTGAGGAGGTGCAGTTGGACTTTACTTGTGAGGAGTGGGTGTTATGGGTGATGTTGGGTCTTCCTTCACTTGTAGATGAGACCCACGCCTTGCTCGATCGCGTAGATTGACTGAAGTCCTTATACTGGAACACTATTCTATAACCACCGAGTCATGCGTCTTCTGTTCCTATGTTCCCCTAGTTGTGTGCGCTCGACCACTCCCTGTACCAATCAAGACATCCAGCATTAGCCACTGAAGCCGACGTCTTGACATTCATACCACACAAGATCTGCTTGACCGCAGCCTCGATCTTCTTCCCGTTCGTCGTGACCGGGATCTCCGGCGTCTCGTCCACAATGCCAGGTACATGACGCGCACTGAGTTCTGATCTGATGACTTTCTGTATGCTCTTGACAAGCTCAGTGTTGAACTCTTCTCCTTCCTTCATCTTAAGGAACAAGACTACCGTCTCATCATCGTCGGTCTCGCGGCGGCGGCCAATGCACAGCGCATCCTCGACTTGTTCAGGAAAATGCTTGAGTAAGATGTTGTAGATCTCTGCACTTCCAAACCTCACACCCGAGGGCTTGAGAATGCCATCGCTACGTCCAAGCATATACAAGCCTCCGGTCTTGGGGTTGAATCGGATGAAATCGCCATGATGCCATACGCCAGGGAAAGTCTCAAAGTAGGAGCTTTGGTACTTGGCTTCGCCAGTGGGGCCCCAGAATTGGACGGGCTGGCAGGGGAAGGGTTTTGTGCAGACGAGGTCGCCGGCTGAGCCTGAGGATGTCACGTCGGCGCCTAAGTAGTCCCAGGCGCGGATGGCCATGCCGAGACCGAGTACTTGTATTTCGCCTGTGTAGACGGGTGTCAAAGGACAAGGAGCTCCGAAGAGGGAGATGATATCTGGAAGAATAGGTCAGCTTTCGAACATATGTTTGAGCAGGGAAAATACATACCTGTACCGCCAGTGATGCTTCCTAGATTTACGGAGCCGAACGCTCTGTAGACGTATTGGAAGGTCGAGGGCGCGAGAGGAGAACCAGTGCTGTAGATTGCTCTGACTGTCTTCAGTGATACACCCTGTTCCCTCGGCATGACAGACTTCTGCTCCAGGACTGAGAGGTACTTGGCCGAGGTGCCGAAATGTGTGATGCTCAATTCGTCGATCAATCTTGCCATGGCCAAGTCGTCGGGAATAGACTTTCCTTCTGAAACATATCTGAACGGTGAGCCGTCGTAGAGGACCAATGTCGCACCGCTCGCAAGACCTGATACCAGCCAATGCCACATCATCCAAGTACATGTCGTAAAGTAGAACAGCCTGTCCCCAGGCAGAATGTCACAGTGTAGGATATGCTCCTTCTTGTGCTGGATCAAAGTACCGATGGCTCCATGGACGATACACTTTGGTGCTCCGGTTGTGCCGGAGCTATAGAGGATGTATACTGGGTGGTCAGGTGGTAGCTGAGTGAAGATGATCTCCTGTGGTGCATCGTCTTTCTTGGTGAAACTGTCGTACGAAGTGGCAATTCCTGCCAGAGATGACGAGTTGATTTGTGTTGACACCGATGGGATCGTGGGAAGAACCACGAGTGCCCGTAAGCTGGGTAACGAAGAGCCGATCTCCTGGACTTTGGGCATGGTTGGATGAGTCTTGCCATTGTACATGCTGGCGTTATCTGCAAACAAGATAACGGGCTCGATCTGAGTGAGACGGTCCAGAACTGCAGTCACACCAGTGTCCGGACTGATGGCTGTCCAGATGGCTCCAAGAGATGTTGCGGCCAACATGGCGACAAGAGCATTAGTGTGGTTGGCAACATAACCTGCGATTCTGTCTCCTGGCTGAACGTTGTTTGCAAGCATTCCAGATTGGCACAAGCGGACTTTCTCACGTAGTTCGGCCCATGTCACGGTCTCTCTGTCGGTTTCTGTGGCCGCAATGATGGCCGGACTGTCTGCGCTAGGTGCTTGTGGTGGAAATAATAGATTCTCGGCAAAGTTCAACTTGGCTCCATCGAAGAAAGGTGGCCTCGGGAACATAAGAGCATCTTTTGGCAACACCTAAATTGCGTCAACGAGTGCCCTGCGCAGCGATCATCCCACAGATCTACTTACTTCGTCGTAAGGGGCCGAGGCTCTGATACCAGTGAACTTCCAGACAGCATCCCAGAAGTCAGAGACTTGATCTATACTCCAGTTGTACAAGTCGTCGTAGTCTCTCAATTGGAGGCCTTTGTCTTTGTTCACCGTTTGTAGGAATTTCCAAATCTGAGTGGACTCAGGAGCTGCGTGTCGCCATAATTCGGATCCGAGTCCTTGGCCATTTGTGCCATTAGGGTCGTTGTCTGTGTTTGCGTGAGGCATGTCTTGATTGATAGTTGATCACAGAAACTGAAGGGCGAGAAGACACAATTGACAGCTTTGGAATAAAATTGTTGAGACTGGACAAGTATATACTCGGGTCCTTCTCCAATACCTCCCGCGCGGGGAAGGTTTGGAGCCGAATTTCGGGAATGAATGCCGCAACGGAGTCCGTAGATATCACTTTGAAACGCGCCCTGAGTACCTCGCAGTATAGCTATAAGGCTATAAGGCTATAAGCCCGACCATATAGTTGGGAGAAGTTGCGACACGAAACACGTCAATCAGTTCTGTGACCAGACAGCAGTCAGAATGGTTGGACATGAGGAGATGCCCAATGATAGGTAGCCTTTGATGCTTCCCAGATTTCCGCCGAGACAAGGAGGCGCAATCGACACGGTGATCGATCTTTCCCAAAGATGCGAGTAAGCGCCGTGAAGCATCGAGAGAGGCAGGCGCGATGTTTGCACGGATACAGAACAGCCCTGTTGTGGCTGAGGCCTTTCACTGCCACCTGAGGCTTGGCTTTCGTGACATATTAGATCAGAGCATCCTTCGTCACTCCCCTCTCTCTTTCTTGGCTCACAAACACGTTCATCTTCTGAACACACCTCCATCTCGATCCTACAAACGACCTCGCCTTTTCTGTACCGCAATAGCAACATGGGGTGAGCACAATGTCTTGCGATGCTGAGATGACCGAGGACGCGTACCCCGCGGCGGCATAGCACGTCATGGAAACAACAAGCAGAGAGCTGAAACGTGTGTATAGTTTGGCAAGCAAGCTCGCAGCAGCTCAGGGCGGCGCGCCCGGTGGAGCATACGGCGGCGCACCTCCTCCAGCTTCATACCAGCAGCAACAGCAAGGAGGAGCACCAAAGCCAGGTGGCTATGTGAGTTGGACACGACCTGCCCCACCAAGCTTTGATGACGACGCTTCAGTCGGCTGACGTTGATGTGCAAAAACAGCCCGGCCAAGCGCAGTACCAAGCCTACCAGCCTCAAGTGAGTCTCTCTCTATTTATTTGCCTCCTCTGAAACACCTGTCGCATCTTTGTCACGACTGCAATCCTCGCTGGAATCATGTCGGGCTACCAAGCATATCCTGGCGCCTCGGGCTACGGCGCTCCCCCGCCACCACCACAACGACCTTTTGCCAACTCGCCCTTCCAGTCGCAGCCTCCCGCACAAGGACAGCAGAACACTGGCGCATATTCTTCTCCTGCTCCCTATGGCCAATCACAACAGACCCCCTACCCGTCTTCTTCGCAAGATTATCAATCATCCCAGACACCATACGGCCAGCCTCCCTCTCAAGGTTACAACAGACCTCCTCCGCCACCTCCTCCAGGACAACAGCCGCAGTATGGCCAAAGCCAATACGGCCAGCCCCCACAGTCCCCTGCACCCTTCGGTCAGCCTCCACAATCTCCTGCGCCTTTCGGCCAGGGCCAGGCGCCTTACGGCCAGAGTCAACCTCCATCCTATGGACAAAGCCAGCCTCCTTATGGCTCTGCTCAGCAGACTCCCTATGGTCAATCTCAGCCCTCGTACGGACAAAGCCAGCCACCATATGGATCACAACAGCAGCAATACGGCGGCGGACCTCCCGGATATGTTCGTGACATCTTTGCGACATCGTGCTTTCTTTGTTTCTTGTATATTCTCCCGAGTCGTTTACTGACATGAGTCTTGTCTAGGGCCAGCCCCCACAGGGACAGCAAGGCGGCTATGGCGCACCTCCTCAACAGCAGGGTGGCTACCCTCCTCAGCCCCAGCAAGGTGGTTACGGCTCGCAACCCCAGCAAGGCGGATATTCTGGACAGCAGCCAGGCGGTCCTCAGGGCGGCTACGGTGCTCCTCCTCTTTCGCAGCCCGCAGGCCCTGCTGAGATCCAGGCATACAAGCAGTCGCTCCAGCAGACCATCCAAGAGAAGGGCCTCCAGGCCTTCTACCCTCCTGGCTCGCCCATAATCGATCAGATTGCCAGCAGAGCCTCTAGCCAAGTCGACCGACTGTGCCAGCAGTGGCGCATCAACAAGGAGATCGGCAACGACATTGTCAAGTTGGCCTTGTACGATGTTGTTCTATACATTGACGACAGTGGCTCCATGAAGTTTGAGGAGAACGGCGAGCGTATCAAGGATCTCCAGCTTATCCTCGAGCGTGTCGCAACCGCCGCTACCCTCTTCGATGATGACGGCATCTCTGTCCGCTTTATGAACGACAACCCCCCTCAGCACATGGTCGAGCACATTAAGAACGAGCAGCAGATCCAGCAGCTCGTCCAGGGCCACAAGTTCAGCGGCCTTACACCCATGGGCACTGAGCTTCGCAAGAAGGTCGTCGACGGCATTATTGTACCCGCCATCCGTAGCAGACAGATGCGCAAGCCCATCTTGGTTATCACCGTCACGGATGGTCAGCCTGCAGGAGAGCCCACCACTGCTGTCTTTGACACTGTTCGCTTCGCCGTTCAGGAGGCCCAAAGCTCGCAATACGGCCGTGGAGCTGTCGCATTCCAATTTGCCCAGGTTGGCAACGACGAGAAGGCTCGCGAGTTCCTTGGCAAGCTCGACGACGACCCTACTGTCGGTCAATTGGTCGACTGCACTTCAAGTATGTCTTCGCTGCACCATCATCTGGCGCTAATCATTTGCTAACAACATCTAGACTTCGAGAATGAGTCCGCCGAGATGGCACGCGCTAACCCCCCTGTCGATCTCACTCCTGACCTCTGGGTAAGCACCAAACTCTTACCACACCGTGAAAAGTGACTAACTCCTTCTCAGATCCTCAAGCTGATCCTCGGTGCAATCGATCCCTCGTACGACACCAAGGACGAGAAGTCAAACCGTCCTCAGGGCGGGGCTCCTCAATACGGTGCTCCTCCTCAGCAAGGCGGTTACGGCGGTCAGAACCAATTCGCCCCACCTCCTGGTGCTCCTTCAGGCTACGGCCAGCAGCAAGGCGGTTACGGCCAACAGCAAGGTTACCCTCCCCAACAGCAGCAAGGTGGATACGGTGCTCCTCCCCAGCAGCAAGGTGGCTACCCTCCTCAACAGGGTGGTTATGGACAGCAGCAGGGCGGCTACGGAGCTCCCCCGCCTCCTCGCTACTAAGCAATTCTTCACGGAGTCCCATTTCAATGCCCCGTATCGAAGTCATAATTAGGTTATTGAGGTAATACCGATACAGCCTAGCTGTGATATTAGTGGAGAAAGAAATTAATCAAGCATGCATATCTTATAATACTTGTCAATAGGCACCTTCCTAGAGTTTAACTGCCGTACAGTGCTAATCATCCATATTGTCCAGCATCGTCGGCTTCCTTTTCATGTCTTCCCCAGTATCCTCGACTCATAAGAGAACAAACCAGCCTCTTTGTGACAGATAGTAACAAAGAAGACGCAGCAAAACCGAACGCGTCGCTGCTTTCGGTTGAGCGCACTGCCACACCACCTTTCAAGCATCGTCGTCCTCCATTGTCAGACGAGTTGGACAGATAGCAGGGTGTCACATAGCTTTTGGCGTGCCAGCTGTAGTGGTCGTCAAACCTCGTTTGGGACATGGACAAACTCGTCATTGAGCTCTAAGCCATCGATTCAGAATAAGTTGAGAGAGACCAGCCAAACTGGGTGTAGCAAAGAAGAGCAGAGACTGTACGAATAAACACAACCACACAATCAAGGCATGGATGATTGATAGGTATGAAAAACAATCATCGAAACCGAGAACGGAAGCATGGTCCATGATCTTAGTCAAAGGACGGCAGGTACCATCTGGCATATCCTGGTGCCATTTGTGTGAAGCACCATCCGGTGCACGATCTTATAACCCTTTCTGTCCGTTTGGTACTGACTCTTCCAGTGCAGACCAGGGTCTGTAGCCCAAACGTAGTCCAAGCACTGGCTCTACTGTCTGTCGCCGTGACGATCAATCTCAGTCCCGGCAAACGCAACACAAACATCAGGCACCCGCGCGGTTTAAGACGACATTGCCTTCCGCAAACTCCATCTTCTCTCGACCAACCCTTTACTCGCTTCATCAACCTCGCTGTGGAACTCAAACCTTTCCATTCCAACACTCGAATCTCTACAGTCTGGAGAACATCAGGATGGCTGACCTTGAGGACGATGGCCACATTGAAGATAGTGATGCTCAGAGCATTGCTGACAGAGAGTCATGGCTCCGTTCGTTTGGTATGACACCCTACACCACTAGACACGAATACTTCACCGAGACGGACAAGGAGAACATTGAATCTCGAAAGGTCCATGGTAGGTTTTTTCCACAACGATTGTTTACATCTGAGTGCTGATGGGAGAGACAGTCGACGACTTACCACCCTGCGAGAAGATCCCTGGCAAGGTCACAGAAGACTTCAAGAACCACCTTGATGCTCTCAAGCAGTAAGATCTCCATCGACTCTTCCAACAATCTAGGATACTGACGGAGTCCTGTTTTCACCAGGGACTGCTTGACATCAGTCAATTGGAGCGGTGCTCGCGGCCAAGTGCACCATGCCATTCAACAACACACCATCGACAAGATGATCGTCCTCGGTTCCGCTAGCATGTTCAACTTGACCAGCGACCATCTCTTCTGGCAGTGGGAGATGACGTTTATCCTCGCCATCTTCGAACTCGGTGAGTTTTACCTACACACAGAGTATTTATTGGACTGATGTTGGACACCAATAGTCAAAGAACAGGCTCAGAATCACAAATGCAGCAGCGTTCCTAAACTTATCTTTCAGGACCCTGCCTTTTGCACTGCTGATCATCGTTTGCTGCGCGGTCTTGGTGGCCAGGTTCTTGAAAATCCATTGGCGTTCATGCGTATCGATAAACACACTCTGGTGTTTGCAAAGCATATTCCTCTGGTGGTGTACTTTACTGGCTTGTTGATGACTTCGCCTGCCGTCTGTGTGTCCACGGTAAGCTTCCGTTTCACCATCAAAAGCTCAGATGCAAGACTGACGATTCCACCTCTGCAAAGAACCTTGAGGCAGCAACAGAAGGAGCTTTGAAGTGGCAAAACACATACAAGAAATGGTTGGACTCGTTGTGACGGATTCGTCACTGATGTCGAGCTATGTACGATACATGAGCTATGGTGACAGTAGAGAAAGGCTCATAGGATTGAGCCGTCAAGTCAGTCAGACTTGCTAGCAAAACAACATCATGTCTCGCATTTTGCCAAAAGTGATTCGTGACGTTCGTTAGTTGCAGGAACATGGATAGACTGCATCCTAAGCAGCACTGTGGCTGTCCTGCATGACAGAGGGGTGGGTCATGGCACCATCCTTCTTGAGCTGCTTGTTGTTTCCATTCTGCCAAGCGGCATCCGCGTCTGCGGTATGTCAGCTGTATTCATGGCTATTGAACGAGTAAACAGACCTTGATGGATGGTGGGCTCCTTGATGTACTCTCTGACCTCACGCTTGTGACGGTGGTCTTCACCAAACCTTCTGTCTCTGTCCCCAACCTTCTGGTCGAAGTCAAACTGATCATAGTCGGTATAGCTAGTCATGAGCTGAGGCTCGCCCAGCGGAAGCTTGTGACCCTTGTCTGTCTGCCACAAGTGAAAGATCTTGCCGTAGAGTGTGACAACCTCTTCCATCTCTTTGTTCTCTGCGACTTCCCAGACAGCTGCGGGGACGCCAGCGGGGCGGGGCATGAGCAGCATGCCAGACTTTACTTCGAAGACGTGCGAGTGCCAGTATTTGCGCTCTTCGGGTTCCAGGGTCTCGTAGAGGCGGGTGCTGATCATGTATTCGATGCCGATGAGACGAGCATTTGACTCAGGCGAGTCGTAGAGAAGGCATTGTCGGACCTCTGGATGAGGTTAGTGGGGTGTCGAGATGGCAGGGAGAGCAGGTATACCATCGTTCAAGTGAGCACAGTAGTGGTTGGTCTCGACGCAACGAGTAGGATCGTTGGCGTATGCGTGGAAGGCATTGAGATGAGCGCAGACACGCTTGGGTGGGGCGAAGTTCTGTGTAGCGGCAGCTCCGGTTTCCAGGATCTTGTTTGTGATGGACTCGGGCTCGCCCTTGGCCTCGTTGGTAGTGGGAATGTGGTCCATTATGGATAGCTGGTCATGTATTGTTTCTTGTGATGGGTTTGCTTGAGATGTACTGGAAGAAAGGGAAGAGAAAGTGGCAGACAAGAATACTTATATCGAGGAAAGAGCTATCCAGCACACAGCAGCGCACTATGACGTTTCAAGTCTTGCGAATCTACGACATTCTTCGATCAGTACCTCAATTGCCAACGTATCGAGGGATAGACCTCGAGATCTGTCAAGGCATATCTACGATCAGAGGTCCATGTCTAGCCCTGCAGCAATAGCCATGTGGTGTAATGCAGGTCAGAGTAAACAGTGATGGCGGGCAGGTGGAAGGAGAAGGAAGCATGGGGGCACGGACGGGCAAAGCACTTTATCGGCAGGCACGCGACAGGCGGGAGTTTGGCGGGAGTTCGCCGCGTCTGCGTCTGCGCCTGCGTCTGGGGCAAAGCTTTCTTTGTTTGGTGCGTCCATCTTTCCCTACCACGCACAAACGCCCGCTCATCCCCCCCTGCTCCCCCTCCCTCACTACTGTCGACACCCACATTCTTCCCGCCCTCGCGCTCGCTGCATACTTCCTCCACTTTCTTTTACATCGACCAGCATGAACTTCTTCGGCACCGCCGTTCCCAAAAACAAGCCCGTCATCAAAACGAAAACCGTTTCCGTCTCGGTACCTGTCAGGAGGATCGCAAAACCTGCTGCTCCCCCGTCGAGACCTTCGCCTCTCCCCAAACGCCCCTCGCAGCAGTCCGCCGCCGCACGAGATCGCCTACCAGCCTTGAAGGAACCGAAAGAGAGGGTTAGAAGAGTCGTCAAGCGCAAGGCCTCGACGCCTACACAACTCTTCAGCGACGACGACGATGACAGCGGTGTAGAGAGTAGCGCCTCTTCGCTCGACACAAGGAAGCGCATCAAGTCTCGTGCCACTTCCGAAGACCCCAACCGCAAGCTCGAGGACTCAAGGCTGCGCAAGGATGAAGGCCGCTTCGACTACATATCCGGCGCCTCCCTGGTCACTGGTGATGTCGCAAAGTCGTACAGATCCGTCTTCCCGGGAGACTCACCCACCGTAGTCAAGCTGCAATACCCTGGACTGTCAATACCTGAAAAGTTCACCCTGGTCAAGAACGGCGTGCAGCAGGACTACCAACCTCTAGACGATATCCGAGAAACTGTCAAATTCATCTGCCAGAACTACTTCCCCGAGAACTTGGCTCAGAAATACCTTGACGATGAGAACGGCTTTGAGCGCCGCCTACTCCGTGCAGCCAGCAAAGGCTCAAAGGAGGACTACATGGGCACAATTCAGGATTTCAACACTATGATCGTCAAGGCTAGAAGAGACGGAACAATCAGTCAGGAGCTGTCCACAAAGCATAGCATGACTCTTGAATGGATCCAGCGTATCCTCGACCAGATCTACACCCGTACCGTCTCGCCCCAAGTCGACAGCCTCAAGGCTTATCAGAATGGCACCGACAACGTATATGGAGAACTGCTGCCGCCCCTTGTCTCGGAAATGTTGGGCGTGGCCGATCTCAAGTCTGACCAGGTCTTTGTCGATCTGGGTTCTGGCGTCGGCAATGTTTGTTTGCAGGCCGCTCTCGAGATCGGTTGCGAGAGCTGGGGCTGCGAAGTCATGGACAACCCTTGCAAGCTCGCCGACCTGCAAGCCAAAGAGTTCCCTGCTCGCGCGCGCATGTGGGGATTGTCAGTCGGCAAGGTACATCTACTCAAAGGCGACTTCCTAGCAAACGACAAGATCGGCCTAGCTCTCAAGCGTGCCGACGTTGTCCTCGTCAACAACCAAGCCTTCAGCCCAGACCTCAACAGCAAGATCATGGACCGCTTCCTGGACCTCAAAGACGGATGCCGCATCATCAGTCTCAAACCTTTCAAGCAAGAAGGCTACGAGATCAGCGATCGCAACCAATACGATCCTCGCCACCTTCTTGTCGACGAGCGCAAATTGCCTTTCTACTCCAAGTGCGTGAGCTGGACTGATGCCCCTGGCGAGTACCATATTGTGCGCAAGTCACCCGAGCGCCTTCAACAGTACATTGACGAAAACACATCAAGACCTCGAAGAAGCTAGAGGGTTCAACACGAGCACGCGAAGAGAAAAATTTGAGATTTTTCCTTTGTCAAAAAATCATGGCGTTTTCTTTCCTAAGTTAGCATAAAGATACCCCCCCACTTCTGAGATTTTTCGTTTTTGGGTTTTCTGTTTCGGATGGAATGGCAGTGTTGAGCTGTGTCTGGGAGGCAGAGGCGCTGATCTGTCTTTTGGCCATCATACATAGAGCTTTCGTCGCGTAGTCTGTTTCGCCTGTCGTTACCGCAATGTCTCTTGCATAGCGTCTGCGAGCGAATGTCTATATACACTCGTTTGTCCGTCCCTCAAGCTTTCGTGCCATAGGTTGCTGCCAAACGCTCCAGCAGGTGATCCTTTGCCGTCAATGTCTTTCCACCCTTCTTCACGCCCTCAACACCACCTTCGTATTGCTCTACCCTCTTACTCGGCACGGGGATGAGCTCTGCATCGTCCAGCGGATGGCAGAAATACGCCATCGAATACCTATCTTCACCTCCCCTTTTCGCATCTTTGGGGAAAATGACTCTGTGGACTGTAGACTTTAATAGTCCATTAGTCCAATAAGCGAGTAAATCGCCGATGTTTACTAGGATTGGCAAAGGCTTTGATGGATCAGTGGAGAGTGTGCCGTGAGGATCCACGGGCACACTTTCCCATGTTCCAGCAGGAGTTTTTATCTCCAAGCCTGGCTGGCCGGGCAGTTGGAAGAGGAGGGTTAGGGTGCCGTAGTCACTGTGAGCCTAGTTTGCATTCATTTTCAGCAACACTTCTCGAAAAAGCCCAGAGTGGTAGAGAGAAAGGATGAAAAAGACTTACACCAGCACGTATATCATCTTCATCCTGCCCCAAACTATCCGGAACAGAGGGATAATACAGCAGTCTCATAATACTCCCCGAAGCACCCTTACTCTGATCATGTCTCGAGCTAAACCAATCAGAAGGTATCTCCAGAGCTTCAGCGAACAGTTGGAGTAGTTTGTTGCACAGAGCATGACAGGAATGGGAGAAACCTGCCACCGTGTCGACGTGTGTGGAAAGAGGTTCGGGGAGGGGCTGATTAGGTGTGCTGCCGCTGAATTCACCGAGGTTGAAGGCTCTGGGTGATGTGTCAGTGTGGTAGGGGTAGTGAGATAGGGTTGTACATACTCTTTGAAATCGCCTCTCTGGGCGCAAAAGTTAGTGGTTGTTTATTTCACGATATATGTGAGAGACTTCAAGGCTTTACCTTTTGGTTACCAGGATCGAGCGTTTCCTGCTGCATAGACACCCATCCTCTATTATTCTGCGTGGGGCATTCTTGTTTGTTCTCGATCGGACTTTGGAAGAATTGTTTACTCTGTTCATGTTATCAGAGGTCCATCCTTACCCTGAATCTCTGCTATGCCTACCAAGTCAAACATGTTTCCGACGGCGGTCGGAGGCATGGCCGCAGCTGCGTTGTTCTCGATAAACACGAAGCCATTATTGGCCGCTGCATCGAGGAGCTGTGTCGCAGCATGAGCATTCGCTGGCGATATGTCGATGACGGGAATCTGTGCTGATGGTTTTGCCATGGTTGTGGCTGCTGTCTTGACGAAGTGATGGTAAAAGTGCAGTTGTTGGGTAAGTTGCGCGCATCTCGCTCCTTCCGGCGAGCCCCGATATCTTCATCGTCCATCATCTCTCGTGTAACACAACGTATATCATAAGTGATTTTTATAGCATAATCTGGTACACTATTCGAGATTCGAGATTGCAAGTAATGCATTTCTAGACGTCTGTACGGCGCATCTACATCATGGCGCTGTAAGACGTGACTATTTTCACTAAAGCTTGAATCAGAAGTGAGAGGACATAACATATCTCTGTCAACGTTATTTCGTTCTGGATTTATGTATGATCTAGCAGTATGATTTTAAGGGACAGAATATACCCGATATAGTGATTAGCTCCGAGTCAACGACTACTGGTGAGCACTCGAGCTAATCGGTCTCCGTTCCGTTCGAGTCTTGAAACTTCTTCACTGTGACCACACAATCACATATCAAAGGCCTCGCTGTCTGTTAAGAATACGTAACCAACGACTGATCACTTTGGGGTCAAGCTGTGGTTGATTGATGTTCAGGCATCCACCACTTGACAAGGCTAAGATCTAGCAGAATGCGCAAACATTGCTCCTTACCAGTCCTCGGGGTACATTCTGGTCTCGCTAGGATGGAACTTTATGAAGGATGATTGTTCGAAAGATCGAAACCAGGTCGACAATGATTCGTGGAAGTGACCATCAATCCTGGCCCCGACGGCATCGATAACAAGCTGAGCGAGCTCATCATATTCATAAGCATGGAAGCAAAGCTGCTCGAGCCTCGGGCAATGGCGAATTAGGAGACTTGCGATCTGCGAAGCCCGCTGGTTTGGTGTGGCACTTGAAGCCCTGCAGTAGTTTAGCACTGGATGGACGTGAAGGAGATCTGGTGCTTACCTTCTCGTGCGGCCTTCGAAAAGTGGTCTCTCAAGGACAAGCCTTAGCAAATTAGGGAACAGAGGTTGAGTCAGCCTTGCCCAATCACTAAGATCGAATTCGCCAAAGATATCAAGGCTGTCCATAGTCGGATGAGATTTAGCAAGGGAAGTGAGTGCTTCGGCGGTAATGACACTGTCCAACTTAAAGTCGAGGTTGGTCAAGTTCGGTAGATTCGACATGAACTCAGCGAAAAGATGATCGTCCATCCAAATTGCATCAATTAGTGCTCCCCTCGATTCTATCAGGAGATTCTCGAGTCCTTTCATGTTTTCCAGAGCACGGAAACCTTGTGGAGATAGCTCAGTGTCATCCAGGAATGTCAGCTCGAGGTGTATCATATTCGACAGCGGTTCGAGGCTTGCTAGTGCATCGTGCTCAGAGTCCTCGATGATCAAGAACAGTATCGCCAAGGATGGAGCAATAGAAGCAATACGTGCGACAGATTGTGACTCCAATCTCAGGTGGAGATTGTGAAGGTTGCAGAAAGGGTTGGAAGTCATGCTTAGAGCTTCCTGTATTGTGTAGTCTTCTACCAGGGGTCTGATGTCCAGCTTTTCCAGTCTCTCATGACCGACCAACCCTGCAAATAGCTCCGGCGTTATGAGTTCACTCCAACCGTAGCCAAGACAAATGACCTCCAGAGATTTGCAATCTTTCAAGAACTTGAGATGGCGGACGTGGTTGGAGGCGTCGATCGAGTCGTCAAGAGTCAACTCTTCGAGTGCAGGACAGTTTGATGCTAGGGTCGTGAGTGCGTTCTCGCAAAGACCACCTCCCATGAAATAGAATGTCCTCAACTGCGGTTGCATATACTGGGTCAAGTATAACTTTGCATGTTTCTTAAGCTTAACTCTCTCGATGTAGACAGTCTTTAGGCGTGGAAAACTCAGACCCTTGAACGTCGCATGATGTACACCCTCCTCTACGTCTTCGAAACAGAGATCGGATATTTTGTTCGCGTAGTATTGTCTTCGGTCTGGCGACACAGCAGCCAATGCTGTTGCTGTTGGAGATTTCCATAGTATATCGGTGCCGGCTTCAGCCCATTCGTGGTTCACCAATATAGCATTACGAAGCGACTTCTGTGCGGCGGAATACCGTTCGCCATGATCGACTTGCCTCATGACCATGAGCAGAAGCTCTGGGGGTAGTCGTAGATAAGCCATTCCAAGATAGATGGATCGAATGCATGTCGTGTTGTTGCAGACGTTTGGCAACACGGCAGTCTTGGTGGTTCGTTGCTTCCGCCGGAACCGCAAGAGCGAAAGGGCCGACTCGCCGATTGGAAGGCCAGCCACATGTTGAAACGAGCACCCCGAGGCTCTGCTTCATCGATCTCAAAGCCCGACCCGTTTAAATAATGGAACTTCTCTTTGCCGTACTTTACTGAGACCTCTCACGAGACAGTTCGCGATGTTGTCTGCGGCGATCTGTCAATATGCTAGAATTACCAGATGCCGAAGAACTCCTGAATCAGGTTGGCGAACTGCTGCAAGTGTCTCCTTGTGCCGGGATTCATTAGAGAATGTGCATTTCATGCGCTTATAGTTGTTGGAAAACGATTGCGGGAACGTCAAGGGCCCGCACATGCAAATGGCGCAGAGCGATCTCGCAATTGCAATTGTGTCGGGTCAAGTGAGTTCAACTCCGATTGCAGAATGGTTGACTGTTCGGCGCACAAGACTTGGCTAACGATACAATTCAACTGAACCGTCCGACCGTCGAGGGGTGTTTCTGATGGACTCGGATGTAAGGGCACAGGGCTCGTGGTCAGCAAAAAAGAAAGCAGGCTTCGGGCAGGCGCAAGGCGTTTCGGTCAAGAGGATCGATCATGCAAGCGTGACAGCGTGGCTACATTTTCGAGAGCATAGATAGTATCTCGAGCAAGGAGATGAGTATATATATACACGTTGACGGCCAGCAGAAAGCAGGTATGCAGCATCTGAGCGGCAGAAAGGCAGATCTGAGTTGTTCGTTCACGACAAGGCCCAAGCGTTTTCGGTGACGGGATTTAAGGTTAGCTCATCCAAGGGCAAAAAAGTTGCGAGTCGAAGCTGGTGCTGCTTATCGGCCGCTGGTTTTTGTTATTATTGGACGCTTGAGCACAACCTTCTCTCCGCTCAACCACTCCCACCCCCCCTCTCACCACCCCAATCTCCCCTCTGATGGCTGCCGCATCAGCTATGAGGCCCGTAGTCGCCTCGATGCGCGCTGCAATTGGTGCTAACAAGCGCACCTTTGCGACCGCCAACTCGCAAAGCTTCGCATCGCGTGTCCAGCCTTCGCCTCGTGCCAGCCTGGCCCAGCACAACTTGCGCCAGTCTTTCAGACGCTCCTACGCTGATGCCGTCAAGCCCAAGAAGAGCGGCTTCCGCTACTTCCGCTGGGCATGGAGGGCCACCTACCTGTCCGCCATTGCTGGTCTCGCCTACACTGCCTACGGCATCTACGAAATGAAGAACCCTGGTGACCAGGCCGAGCCCGACCCGACCAAGAAGACCCTCGTTATTCTCGGTATGTGTCCTGAGAGCGTGCCACATGGCAGCATTGGACTCTGAGCTGATAGCAGCCACCAGGTACTGGTTGGGGTGCCGTCTCCCTTCTCAAGAAGCTCGACACCGAAAACTACAACGTCGTCGTCGTCTCGCCTCGCAACTACTTCCTGTTCACTCCTCTCTTGCCCTCTTGCACAACCGGTACCATCGAGCACCGCTCCATCATGGAGCCTGTTCGCAACTTCCTCCGCCACAAGAAAGCCTCCGTCAAGTTCTACGAAGCCGAAGCCACAAAGATTGACTACGAAAAGAAGGTCGTTTACGTCAACGACGACTCCGAGGTCAAGGGTGCTACTTCTTCGACTGAAATCCATTTCGATATGCTCGTCGTCGGTGTCGGCGCTGAGAACGCTACTTTCGGTACGTCCATGTCGAGGCACAAGATCAAGGGCGCTGCTAACATGTTTTGAACAGGTATTCCTGGTGTCCGCGAGCACTCTTGCTTCCTGAAGGAGGTTGCTGATGCTCAACGTATCCGTAAGCGTATCATGGACTGCTGTGAAACCGCCACTTTCAAGGATCAGAGCCCCGAGGAGCGCAAGCGTCTTTTGCACATGGTTGTCGTCGGTGGTGGCCCTACTGGTGTCGAGTTCGCTGGTGAACTCCAGGATTTCTTCGAGAACGACCTCAAGACCTGGATGCCCGAAATCGCCGATGAGTTCCGTGTCACTCTTGTCGAGGCCCTTCCCAGCGTAAGTTGTCCAGTATCCAATTGACCTCTGGAAGATCTGCTGACACGCGCTGCAGGTTCTTCCTATGTTCTCCAAGCAGTTGATTGACTACACCGAGCAAACCTTCAAGGAGGAGACTATTGATATCCGCACAAAAACCATGGTGAAGAACGTGACCAAGGAGTACATTGAGGCCGAGTATGTTGGTGCAGACGGCAAGAAGGTCCTGGAGAAGATTCCCTACGGTTTGCTTGTCTGGGCCACCGGTAACGCTGTCCGTCCCGTTGTCAAGGATTTGATGTCGCAGATCCCCGCCCAGGCCGATGCCCGCCGTGGTTTGAACGTTAACGAGTACCTGGTTGTCAAGGGCGCCGAGAACATCTGGGCCGTTGGTGACTGTGCTGTTGCCAACTACGCCCCGACTGCTCAGGTTGCCGCCCAGGAGGGTGCTTTCCTCGCCCGCCTCTTCAACCAGATGGCCAAGACCGAGGAGATTGAGACCGAGCTGAAGAACCTGTCCAACGCTCAGGAGACCGCCACCAATAAGGACGCCCGTGACCAGATTTTCGGCAACATCAAGGACCTCCAGAAGCGTCTGCGTCGCGTCAACTCGATGGGTCCTTTCGAGTACTCTCACCAGGGTTCGCTCGCATACATTGGTAGCGAGAAGGCCGTTGCCGATATCTCGTGGTTGACTGGTAACATTGCCACCGGTGGTACTGTCACCTACTTCTTCTGGCGCAGCGCCTACCTCAGCATGTGCTTCAGCAGTAAGTTATTCTCTTTTGAGATTCCCGGCTCCTGTGATCAAGATTAGCATCGCATGGAAGAAGGCCAAAAAGTCAAAACGCAAAGAGAGCACCAAGCTGACGATACTGAAAAACAGCTCGCAACCGTGTCCTTGTCCTGATGGACTGGATCAAGGCAAAGACCTTTGGCCGTGACGTGTCCCGCGAATAAGCGCCCAGGTCGTCTTCCTTCTTCCCTTCGCCGACTTCCAGCTGCATCTCTCGGATGACACTCAGCTGATGCCCCCACATCGCATCGACCAAGGATCGACGGGGCAGCACGAGGAGGGGGGAAGAAGAAACAACCAGAACCACAACCACAACAAACAACGAAACCATTTTCCTTTTTCCCCGTCAAGATAAAATGCTGATAGACATGGAGGATGGGGTGCAAGGAGCGCATATTGGGTGCTTCCAGGTGGCGTATATCATTTTTCTTTCTTTCCCTTGATGTAGAAACATATTCTTCTTTTCTTTTTTGCCAGACATTGAGAGATCTTCCCTGAAATGTGTTCACGTACCTGATTCAGTATGTGCCTCTGCCATTTGGTGTAGGAGTCCATTTTCTGGCATAGCGTAAGTATTCGTTCTTGTACCAAGGTCGTTATAAGCAGTGCGCAAAGTTCACGCGAACGTAGGGATTGTCCGTGTGCGGCCTTGAGTGTACAGAGTTACACTTTTAATGTCGTCGGAAAGAACGAAACAGAGTGATAGTCGTAGGTAGTTGTTTGATCAGTGGTCAATGGTTTCATTGGCAGCAAACCAATTCTCGTTTCTTCGCTTCTCTTTTCTTCGGACTGATTTTTTTTCTCCAGCAATCTTCATCTTGTGTTTGTTCCAGAGTTCTTCCGTAGAGTCTAAACACAAAGTCATGTGTGTACAAAGTAACAATAAGGTTGTTGTTGTACAAAACGGAAAGAATCGATGGACAGCGAGTATCGCGAAGATTCGGAAGAATGGCCGATGTACGTGGAGCCGAGGGGCTTGCGGTCACCCGATCTGTTCCGCTCCCTTGCTGGTTTGCGGGTTTTCGACGACATGTGCTTTGCTTTGTGTCTTGATGCCATAAAGTGCACGAGCATAATCAGGATGAGTGCTGGTATCTTGATTGACGCAGTTTTGATGATCTTGTTAGGGGGCTGTGTGTCGAGTGTCCTTGTGAGCTCCCGGCCTTTGATGATTGCAACGAGCAAGGGACTCTGTGAGGCAGGTGAAGTCATGTCAACGTACCTACGCACTCACTGCAAGAGCCGTCTCGATTGCCGCGGGCGACTCCCAAGTCCAGACTTTGCTGCAGCTCAGTCAAGAATGTGTCCCCAAGCAGCGTTTGTACTGCTTTAGCCTGGACCAGTGGCCTGCGGACCGATAGCTGTAAGCACCCTGGCATGCTGAAACAGCAGAACACGACAGGACAGAGCACAAGAACAAACTTCAGACAAACATCAAGGACAGAGGCAAAGAAAACGAATCAAGATAAAAGGTGAAAGTGTGTAATTGTGATTGCAATATCAACCTGAGCCCTGTTTCCCCCTCCTCCGTGAGAAAAGAAAACAAAGACGAATAGAATACGAAATATTGGCGGGGACCAAAGTCCTCGGTCTTCTGCAGACCTCCTTTTTTCCCCCACTAAGTTGTTTGTGAAAACCCCATAAGAAACAAATCCATTCTGCGCCTGGGAAAAGGTTGATGTGAAGTGTGAAGGGGATACGACGGGGGGTTGGGTTACATGATGGGGCATCTTGGTGATGTTGTTTTTCTCCTCTTCGTGATCCGTTTTCATGACAGATCGTTGAACTCCGGGTGTAAAGGGAAAAGGTGATGTGAAGGTGCTCGGTGTGGAGGGGTGGTGTGCGAGCAATGATAAACTCGCCGAGTGAAGTATGGCAGTAGCCGTCTGCTAAGGTACCACGAGTTATGGCTATGGCTGGCAGTGGCAATGCGTGGTAATGATGCAGTGCGCGTCGCAGTAGTCGCATGTCTGCCGGTAGTAGTTGCTAAAGCAGCAGTGGCGTCTAGGACTGGAGACTGTACGATCTCCATCCAACAGCAAGGCCGTACACAAGGTATGAGGCAGGCTTACATGTCCATCGAGTCACCGTTGGCAAAGTTGAAGTTCTGCGATTGCTGCTGAGCACCAAAGCCGAACTGGCCATCTTGACCAGCCTGAGGAGCGAGCTCGTCCATGTCGCCCTCAGCCTCCTCGTCAGAGAAGTACTTCTCGATGATGTTGTAGGCCTTCATGTAGATCTCCTCGTTGGCGTTGTTCTGGCAGTCGTGGATCTTCTCCATGCCACCGCACTCCTCAATGAAGAGAGCGTAACGGTTGACAGGGGCCTCGTTGGTGCCCTCGGAAGCCTCCTTGTCCATGTCACCGACCTTGAGGATGTTCTCTAGACCGTCGAGAGCGACCTGGATGATCTTGTTGTCGGGACAAGCGAGCAAGTCGCACAGGGGACGGATAGCACCCTGGTGGACGAGGTAGCGGATCTGCTCAGGCTTCTGGAGACCGCCAGAGGTGGCGTTTGAGATTGCCCAACAGGCCTCCTTGCGGGTCTTGAAGTCACCGTTGGAGAGGAGGTGGATGAGAGGGCTCATCAGGTTGGCGTCAATGACAGCTTGGATCTGAGTGGAGTTGCCAGCAGTGATGTTGCTGATGGTCCAGCAAGCCTCCTTGCGGATGCCATCCTTAGTGGAGCTCAAAAGGGAGAGCAGAGCGGGAAGAGCACCGCAGTTGATGATGACTTGGGTCTGGACGTCGTCTCCAGTGACGATGTTGCCAACGGAACGGAGGGCAGGAGTCTGGACAGAGGTAGATGCGTGCATGAGCAACTCGACAAGGCGGCGGGGAATGTTAGCCTCGATAACGGCTTGGATCTTGTCGTTGGAACCGTCTGAGAGGTATGATATAGCCCAACAGGCGTCGATGAGGACCTCGTCGTCGAGAGAGTAAACGAGCTTGGCAAGGACGGGCAGAGCAGGGGCAATCTACGAGGGCACGTGGTCAGAGAAAAGTACAAACAAAAAATATGCGAGAAAGCGACGTACAGTGTTCCAGTCAGGCTGGGGAGTCTTGCCACGGCAGAAGTTGCTCAGAGTCCAGGTGGCGTTGCGGAGCATGCTGAGCTTGCGGCTGTCACCAAGAAGGGCAACCAGAGGCTGGAGGGCACCGCATTGCAGGACAAAGTCTCTGCATTGAGGGCTGTCACCAGCAATGTTACCAAGGGCCCAGACGGCCTGCTCGCGGACATCTGGCTCGGGGCTCTTGAGCAGCTCGACAAAGATGGGGACGGCGCCGGCGTTGATAACGACCTGTGTTTGCTGAGCGGAGCCAGAGGCAATGTTGGTCAAGGCCCAGGCAGCCTCGAACTGGACCAGGGTGTGAGGAGAGCGGAGGAACTCTACGAAACGGCCGACGACGTTGGTCTCGATGACCTTCTCAATGGGAGGGTTGCGCTCTTTTGACAGGAGCTTGCGGAACTTTGTTGTGGCGGCAATCTGGTCCTCAATCTTCTCTGAGAAGACACCTTGCACCATCTGGGGGAGCTCCTCGTTCAACTGGGTACGTCATGTCAGCAAAGGGCGTGCAGAGAGCAGTGGTGGACGATGGCTACCTGGCTCTCGATGGTTGTCGACTCATCATCGCTGTCGGGGGCGGCGCCCAGCGAGGCACCAAGAGCCTCACCGCGGGTGATGCCTCTTCTCTTTGCAAGGTTCTCCTCGCGCTTCTGCTTTCTGATCTCGACCTGCTGTTCCTCGCGGCGGCGGCGGAGCTCATCGGGCTTGAGCAAGTTCTTTGCCTTGAAGGTGGTGCGGCGATGCTCGGGAATGTAGCGGTCCGCCATGGTGACTGGACGTAGGCGTTGAGGAGCGGGGTGGAGGGAGGTTGGTGGAGGGGGAGGATATGAATCGGAAGGAAGAAAAGCAGCAGTGGAAGCGATTTCTTTGATTATTGTGAGGGGCCCTCTTTTGCTTGTACACAACAAAGTGCCCAAAGCTCTGCGCGCAAAGAACCCACTTTGACACGCCCTGCCAGAAGTCTTGGCCGCCGCTCATGTCTGACGCACCGACAAGACTTCTGGCTGGCAAGCCACTTTCCCTCTGGCGCGTCCAGACGCGTCTTCCCAGAAAAGTCCTAAGTGCCTCGACCAGCAGCCCCAAAAACACCCTCGGCCGTTAACCGACTTGAGCATATCATGCGATTGATTGCATAATCACTCTGCCTTTCCAATGACATTCGCTCACATGTTCCATACTCAACATGGCTATATCCCGACCCGATACCATCACCAGCTTGGCTGATGCATTCAGAAACTGCAAGCCAGGACTGCCCCCACTAATCAATGTCATGGGCATAGTCATAGATGTGCTGTCCCCAACACCCACTTCCACAGGAGGTACGTGAAATTCCTCTCTCTATCTTGTATTGCTTCCCGCTGATGCCATCTTCAGAATGGGCTGTCACTTTTACCCTTCAGGACCCGGACATGATCAAGATTCCTGTCAATCCAAAGGGTCTCAAAGCTCGTTTCTTTTGTAGAACCGAAGAAGAGCTTCCGCCTGTCTCGTCTCTCGGCGACATCGTCTTGCTGCGTAATTGTAAGGTAATCACAGTAGTTCATCCCACTACAGACATGTTTGACGTCGTGTGCAGGTCTCGCCATATCGACAAGTACCGACCATCTCCAATGTCAAGGGCCGCACGACCGCAGTCGTCTACCAACCAAGTTCAATCCCAGAGCCTGCGTTTATGCAATCCTTCCTTGGTGAAAAAGACATCCCGTATCTGCCACCAGATGCAATGCCGAAACCTTCAAAGACTGAACAGATGTATGCACTTGGGCTCAAGCAGTTGACTCCATCCATTGTGAACACTGCTGCTGCTTCCAAACCCACTGCAATCCCTACTGGTCCCGCTGCTAGTAGAGCTATTGGCCCTCTACCAATAAGCTCAAAGCTCTGTACAATCCAAAATGCCAAGTACGACAAGTATTGCGACCTCGCCGTCGAAGTCATCAAAAAGTTTCCAAACTCAAACGGTAACATGGAGCTTTATGTCACCGACTATACGTCCAACGATGCACTGTACGACTACCCTGCTCCGGGTGATGCAGAAGTGCACGACGAGTTCGGCAGGTACGTCAGAGCCAGCTCCCTTGGTATTCATGACAGTAACAATAACTTGAACAGGGAAGGTGACTTGTTTGGTTACATACAGAATGTGACCGGGACACGAAGAGACTGGCCGGGACCCTCTGGCCGTCACACCTTGCAAGTCGAACTTCTTCCACCACATGCAGGATATGCTCGTGATAAAGTGGAAGAAGGTGCCTTCGTCAAGCTTTCAAATGTTCGCATTAAAAAAAGCAGCGCGGGTATGATGGAAGGCAATATGTGGACGGACAAGGTTTATCGACACAAGATTCAGATTCAGCCGTTGGTCGACGAAAGCGCGCTCAAGACCCTTACCAACCGCCGGGAGAGTTACTGGAAAGCTAACAAGAAGCGAATTGAACAAGAAGAAGCTAAGAAACAGGGAAAGAAAGTGAACAAGAGATCGAAGAAAAAGAAAGCCACCAAGGAGACAGCCAATACAGATGAGGCGACTTCAACCTCTTCCACCGTTCTGCACAACAAGCATAGTACGTCTATGCCGCTGGGCCATACTCTCTTCACCTGCTGATTGCATTCTAGTTGTTTGCGTGAAAAACGACGATGTCGACATCAGCACAATCAAAGACATACAATCTATGGATCGCTCTTATCGTGGCAAATCTGGGCTAGAGCTGGTGCTACCCCTCAATGTCCGATACAAAGTCAGGACCAGAGTCGTCGATTTCTGGCCACCAATGTTGGAAGACTTTGCCACACTCGCATCGCCTGCCGATGGTTCCGGAGAGGACTCAGACAAGGATACAGACATGATTGATCTGTCATCCAGTGACAAATGGATATGGGACTTCTTTCTACTTCTGGAAGACATCAAGCCTAGTCGACAAAGCAGTGCGCCGGCCCAGCAATGGGTGCACGTCGGGCACAGAAATGCAGAGTATCTTCTGTGCATGGCTGAGAATGCCACCGAGTAAGTTGAGTCTATACTGAATATCTCGGCACCTTGTACTGACTATAACAGTCTGCGAAGCAATACGCAGACAATGGCAAAGTTACGCGAGCAGATGGCACTCCTTTGGGGAAACTTGGAGGAACTCAAAGTCGCTGCTTCGCTAAAACAGCAACCGTTCCCATCATCTGGAACCGCTTCAGCCCACGACATGGGCTTATCCAACTTGCCCTTTTACTGTTGCATCGAAGAGTATGGCCAAGAGTTGGACGAAGAGGACAGACCTGATGAGTTCACGGCTTACACAACACTGTACGCGCTGGCCCAAACTCGAATATTTGAGTCGCCAGTCTCGGACTGATCAGGATAGGATCGGATAATGACAGTCATGATATCATTCAATTCTCATCACTTGTGTATAGTGATGGCTCCAAACTATATTCCCAACATATCACGTCGATGTTGATCTGAGTCTCATGCCTGTATCGCTTCGCTCAAGCCTAAGACTTGTTCTTCATCTCTCTCAAGGCGGCCATGACATCGACAGGGCTAGTCTTTCCAGTGGCCTTTTGTACAACGGGGTCCTGCGGTCTGTCAGTATTGCTAGCCTGGTTTTGGCATCGACAGGACTTACATCGAGTCTCATGAAGACATTGTGAAGCTGATGAATGTTAGCCGTTGCATACACATCTACACGACATCCGAGGACCGACCTTCTCGTCTCCAATGGTGAATTTGCCCTGGGTCTGCTTGTTGGCGTTGGCAAAGGCCTCGAGCTTCTTGATGGGCTCGCTCTGCGAGACTTGGATGCCGAACTTGACGTTGCCCTTGGTGTACTCGTGACCGGGCTATAACATTCTCATTAGCAAATGTGCAAACTGCAGATCTTACTTCTCTGCTTCTTACGTAGACTTTGGTGTCATCGGGCAGAGCAGCAAGAGTCTCGTTCAAAGCCTTGTGCATCTCCTCAGCATTGCCTTCGAAGAAACGACCACAGCCTGTTGGGGATATCAGCTTCCTGTCCAGCATGAATCCGAGTCTTCTAAACTCACCGCCGATGAAGAGGGTGTCTCCGGTGAAGACGACTCTGTCGTTGCCGTCCTCGAATAAGAAGCAAATGCTGTCTTGTGTGTGGCATGGAGTGTGTAGAGCTTTGACCTTGATGTCACCGATGTTGAAGGTCTCGCCGTGTGCGGGTGTCTTGGTCACTTTGCTGCAGTCTCTTCCGCCAATGATGGGGAGAGGGTATGTCTTGAGCTGATTGGTGGTTAGTCTTGCGGTTCCTATTACTCTTTCTGAAGATAAGGGACCCTCAGCTTACCATCTCAACGTTACCGCCGGCATGATCATGGTGGCTGTGATGCGTCAGTGGCCGTCTTCATGCATTGCTGAGCGAGATATGCTTACTGGTGGGTATTGATGATGTGCTTGAGATTGATATCTCCACTGTCCACTTGCTTCTTGAGCACAGGAAGCACTCTTGTTCACCATGTCAGCCCTTGTGTCGTCGTTGCTAGACAGCCGACTCACTCCGATGGGTTCGCGGGGTCAATGATCACAGCATCCTTGGACTTGTCATCAACAACCAGATAGGCGTAGTTATTACCACTACCCTCCCCTGTTACGTACGAATAAGCTTTTTGTCAAGGACACAAGCAACTGTGCTAAGGCTTATACTCACACATGGGAATAGACTGGATATGCATGGCGCGAGAGATGGCAGGCTGAGGCTGAGACGGCGGGGTCAATCGAAGGTAAAACCAGATGCAGGAAACAACAATACATACAAAAGCAGGTTTGAAAAGAGGCTTGCGGATGGTTTGTCTGGCTATGTTGAACAGACTCATGTGTGTTTGTGTTACTTTTCGGTCTGGTGGTGATGATGTATGATGGGATGTTCTTTAAAGGTGGCTGTCGCCGAAGCTGTCCATGCTTTCCATAGCTAGCTAGCCGGCGGAGGTGCTTAGTGAACGCACTGGCTTTCCGTACAGCACATACCGTTCTCTAGCATACGAAACAGCAACCGTTTCTGACAGATATTTGGCAGCATAACAGACCACGCTATGCTCTGCTAAGGGGAAGGGCGTTTTTCCAATCCAGGAACGTGTCACGGCGGCGTTCAGCCACCAGCGAAGATGCAAAATGCGCTCACCGCAGCTCATTCTGTATACTCCGCATACCAGCCTTGATCGGGGACATCAGCTATGGGTACAGGCACATCTGAGTCGAGATGGGTGATATATGTGACAAAGTATTCATCGATGAAGACGTACACTCATATCATACTGGTATCGTGCATTCCTGTAGCAATATCTCAACGTGCTAAGTGCTCGAATGTGCTATAGAGGCATGACTTGCGTTCGTTAAAAAGATCTATGCGCTCACAGTCGTTGCCGTGATGTCATCAATAATTGTTGGAAACCGCGAAATTTGGTAAAGTAAGGGCAAACGACCGTACAATCTCAAAAGCAACGTGCTTGTTGTTCTTACCTTGCTCGAGCTGATCTTTCATGCTCAATCACAAGTGACAGGCGTCGACATTCGCAGGAGCCAGGGGACCTAACAGCGTCCGATTCATCCACGACCTCTTGAAGATGAATTCTTTCACCCCACGCGAGCTGCCCGAGCGACAGAAGAAACTCCAGCCGATCCTTGGAATCCCTGTACCATATCTCTTCGCAGCGACCTCTGCCTTGTCTGTTGCCCTGTTTACTTGGCCGCTGAGATGGATTCTCTCAGGATCTGCCATCTTGACATTCGCTATCCTCTCTGGAGCCGCCAATGGTCATCGCATCTTGCCCTTCTTCAACATCTGGTCCCTGCTACTTCTGATTAACTTGTCCTACGGAGTTGCGGCTACCTCCTGGCTTTTGCACGGCGCATTTGTCGCAGCATGCTATCCTGCAATCTTCTTCACCTGTCTGTTCCAGTTTGACCCTGTTGGGAGGTTCGTCAGAAGACAAGTCAGAAACGTTCTCAAGGAGCTTCAGTTCATCGATGATCAAATCGCCTTCTTCGACATCCCGGCGTTGGAGATCGATGTCGACGTCAATGGCCTCATGAACATTCGCGGTATGACTTTCTGTTTGTCTTCGCTCATGATCATTGCACACGGAGTCGAGGTGGGTATCAAATTCTCCGAGGATATGGAAATCGCCATCGCAGTGGATGAGGTCAAAATCTCCTTGTTCCGAAAGATTGTCATCTCGGACGTGTATGCCGCTGTAAAGGGTGGCGAGGATGAGATGTATCTCAGGAAATTGTCGGAGAATGGCAGGACTCCTACCGACAACTCGTTCATGTCTTCTGATACTCCTCTGCTTTCTACCGCTGCAAAGACTGGTGACACGCGTTCGCTCGGTGTAGCCATGCATGAAAGGATGACCGAGAGAACGAGCGAAAGCATGACCAAAGGTCCCGCTCCCAAGCCTATCTCCCCTAGTGTCGGGCTCAAGGGCATCAAACAGCTCTCGCCCGACGATGACCACGCAAGGGAGACCTACAAGAATATCCTCACACATATCCAAGAGACTAGCATCATCACCGTCTGTCAGGAGGAGGTCCAGGAGATGTTGAGGACGAAACACGTCGAGGGCGAAGTACTCGACGACAAGAAGGATTACCGCTCTGCAATCTGCTCGCAACTCCATGGAAAGCCCACTGTTCCTCACTGCAGCAAACGCTCCATTCGTGTCTCTACACTGCAACAAGATATGCCCATGCGAAAGTTCCTTCACAGACTGCCGTTGCTTCTCAGATGTACGCTCAACCCGATTGCGTACTTCCACCCCATCTATATCAAATCCATCACTGCCGGAGGTTCTGGAGCCATGATCGAAACTATGCTCCACAAGCAAATCTTCCAAGATCACCCCGAGCAAGCTTCGGATGTTAAGAACCTCAAGAAGCGCATCTCCGCATGGCTGAAGGACGCCAACTTTGTGTTCGAAGCCGAAAAGATCACCGGCATGGCTTCTGTCCCCATCAATCCAGTCTTCAATATCCTCTCGGACCTCCTGTTCGACGATATCATGGTGTACAGAACTGTTAAGGAAGAGGTTGATTACAAGCAGATCGTTCACCTCGGAGGCGCGGATGCCAGGATTAGCGTGCCTTCATTCCTCTTGCCTCACCACGAACACATTCTACCACCAGTACCCACCCAGGAAGACAAGGCTGCTCAACAGCAAAAGATCGATGATGCAGACAGTCAACCCAAGACCATCCAAGCCGAACAGGAACTGGCCCAACTGCGCAAAGATGAAACTAACGTCAACATCTCCGCTCACGTGCGCTTACCCGCCTGCTTCGACCAAAGCCTGCTCGATTTCATCGCAGCCCTGGTCAAAGCCACCAAGATCGTCGAAATGGACAAGGTTGAAAAGTCTCTGGACAAGGAAATTCACGGATTCAGAGAATTCACAAAGGCAGTCAAGACTGATCTCAACGACAAGATGAGAAGAGTCGCTGTGGATGCTGCTGCCAATGACAAGTGGATTGCAAAGTTGGTGGGCAAGGTTACCAAAAAGTTGGAGACTATGCAGGGAGATATTGGGTACAGTGGTGATCTGCCCGTGGCTCTTGACGTCTATCGCAAGAAGGCAGAGCCGGGTAGTAAGCTTATGCCTTGATGAGAATTTTATGCAAAGAACGACAGAAATGCAGAAGTGTACCAGAACAAGAAATACCAGAAACGATTAGATTGGTCAAAGTGTCATTAGCAATAGCAATGTGTAAAGAAGTGATACCATGACGCCAAACCCAGCATCCCGAGTACGTGAACACAGTCGATTTCAATCATATCGTTGCAACTTCATTGTGACAAATGCAAGAACGAACGTAAAGAGGAAGGTTCCTTCCAGATATCAATCACGACTCCGTTCTGAAATGCCCTCAATCGAACCCGCCAAACCTACCAGATCGTGCCTTCCACGCCATCGCATCCTCGATCCCTCGTTCATACGCCTCCTTCTTTTCCGCCTCTCTTCTCTTCTGCGCTGCCTCGACAGCTCTCCTGGTCGCGCTTTCCGCCTGTCTGAGTTCCATGTTATCCAACCTCTCACTCAAGCTCTCAAGCATTGATGCATTTTCTGGCTCTGTGTATTGTCGTGATGGTTGGTATCGTTGTGGATGATAAGTCTGAAAGTTTGCTTTGGCTTTCGGGGGGTCTGGAGCTGATGGTCTTGCGTAGGCTTCTGGGTAGTACGTGCTGGTGTGAGGTGGAGCATTCTGTACATCTGGAATCTGGAATGGCACGTCTTCGAAACTGACGTTGCGGTCAGTCGAGGGTCTATAGTCATTCCGTGTTCGACGAGGTGGCACGGGAGTCTGTTCTCGTTGCCTGTCTTGGTGTGGCCGAAGGAAGTCATGTGCCGCAAGCTGTTTTCCGAAGCGTTCTGGCACGGGTCGAGTATTCTCATCGTATCGGGATGCGGGCTCATTGGTCCACTTATGGTTTACACCGGTCCCGTCTCCGGACACTGAAGTGAGTGGTGAGCTCTGCTCGGGCGATGCCAGAGTCGAAGACTGGTCATCTAAGCTCGAGGCAGAGTGTGAATCGCTCAGTTGGGTTTGAGTCCTCCAAAACAATACATCTTCTCGCCGTGACCGCCCAGCACTCTGCTTGTCGTATGTTGTGTGTTGATGCGGCTGTAGGGTTGGCAGAGGTGATTGATCCGTTGTGGGATCGTAATCAGGCCAGTCCGAATCACTTGACACCTGAATTTTTGCGCTGGGAGATGCTCTCCGAGCTTGCTGACCCTCGGAATAAGGATGAGTGACCAGCGGAACTACATTACCGTTTGGGTTTTGAGGCTGCTGAGCGAAGAAAGGCTCTGCTACCACTGCATATGGTCTCTCGAATTGCTGCCCAAAGTAATCCTGCTCGCTACTAGTCGGACGCGATTTGTAGATTGATGGGGATTCATGTGTTGCAACTCCCTCAGAGTGCTGTTGAGTAGGCATATCGTGCGAATCGTAGCCAAAGGCTCGTGGTAGCGCCGGAGGTTGCTGGGCCAGCCACGGGCTTGGATGATGATGATTATGATGATGCGACCATGTCTGCTCGTAGCGCTCGCCTCTCATTTCCGTGCGAGTATCCTGATTCATATTGACCATGTGCGGTAGGGCATTTTGTATGTGATACGGCTGCTGAGTCTGTTGGGCATTAATAGCCTGTTGTGGTGAACATTGATTCAAGTGCTGAGCAGTGTATTCATGCCCATGATCAATTGATGGCTGCCATAAAGTGTCTCGGTTGCTCCACGCCGGATAGTGTTGTAGTTGATCAGATGGGACAGTGTTTGGCGTCGGTGGGACATTGATGGCAAGGGGGCTCTCGATGCTGGGAACCGCCACTACTTCGATCACATCCTCTCTGGAGTCCTTTTTGACCTTTGGTCGTTTATTGAACTCTTTTCTCCGAGCATAAGCATCCTGATCATCATTTTTCTCCACTGGCCTCAGTAGCAGTTCGGGCAAATTATTGAGATCGGAGATATTGCTTGCTGAACTGGCTTTTGTCGCTTTGTGTTCTGTCGCTGCTGATTCGACCTTTCGCTTGTCCTCTCTGCTCAAGATCACTCTAATGAAAGTGGTTTCTCTGATCCTAGTCCTCATGTTATTACGGACCTCGCGATGGATGGCTGCTATCTCCCAACAGGCATATTTGTTGGTTTCGTCTCGTCTTTTCTCCTTGAGAAGGACCTCAACTTGTTGACGCTGATCCATCGACAGTGCTTCGTACATCTCGGTGAGCGACCTGATCTTCAGCTGTTTCTTGACTTGTGATCCAAGTTCGTCGGACGACAGTGTCATTTGGACCCGCTCTGCTCGCTTCCAGCTCAGAGCATCGTCTCTCGTCCTAGGGGCAGCCTTTGTAAGTGTCCAACAGTGGAAACTGGCAACTATAGGCGCAAATTGTCTCTTTCGTCCTGTTGAGAAAATTCTCTTCTCTGGGTGATGGTCGTGATCCGAGTCTGAGCCTTCGACGACATCAATCAAGACGTCTCCCGAAGTACGTGGGTGCTCCGGTGACATTGCGTAGCGTGAATATACTTCAGCTGGGGGCATTGTTATCCTTTGGGCCATGGCTGTTAGCGTAGGCTGTTCAAGAACTGGAAAGCAGTAGAACCTCGACAGGTTCGAAGAAGATACACGCGTCCTTATATTGTTGCGATCTTTAAGGTTTGGCTGCCTCCGATTGCGTGCATCGACATCTCATGACTCCCTGCATCGCACAAACAGTGTTCTGATGGAGCTCAATGCAAAGAAGGTAGATGCGAGAGTTTGTTGTGCACGATCTTTACCATGGACAGCCAGGTACCCGCGACCTAGGGGCGGCTCCTGAACGACCTAAGCCAATCGCTGCTTGGTTTTCGGGATCCTGTAGCCGTACCTACTGCAAGTATTGGTGGGTTCGTTATCATGTCCCAGATCATGATGAGCATCGAAGCTGCGGCAACTCCTTAGAGCAGGTTGGACCATGACACCCACTCAGCTTCAGCATGACCAAGTTTTGATCTGGTCATTGGACGACCCAGCTTTTCACACTCCGCAACAAGATCATGGATCAAATGTGCGAGCAACCCTTTCGCGAACACAAGTGTGGTCACAAGTCCAGAGCTAGGGTAGGGGACAGTTGTCCGAGCCGAGCAGATACTCAAGTTATGGCAGGGCGCAGGCAGTAGCATCAACGAATGCTTCGGCCTGAAGAATTCGCGTCCGGATCTCTACTATCTTTCCCAGGATCCGGGAAACCTCGAGTCGTTCGATGGCGTGCCTGCTTGGAATACTGACCGACTTGTAATGATTCGCTGCTAAGCATGTCGTGCTCTCAGTGTGGGCGCGGTTGCATACAGCGAAGTGCGTCTTGAAGTCGTATCCTAGAGCATGTGTTGAAGCATACTGATAGGTACCTGGCTCGTAGCTGTTGGGCGGAGACAGGGACTTAATGCACTCTGCGCTGGCAAAGGGCTGCAGCTTCCCAATGATCAGACGAGTGATGTGGGTGGGCAGACCAGCTGACGAAAGCCACAAGTTGGTGACCTGCACCGCAGTCTTCCAAACAGGATTGAACACTAGTTTCTAGCGAGATGTTGCATATCTTTGATTGGACAGTCGAAGGCTTGATGAGCAGCTCGTGGAATAAGATATGGCGACGGAACCGAACAGTGTTTTTATAGTTCAAGCTGAGGCCTCTGCTCGCTCGAGACATGTCGAGTGTCGTTGTGAAGTCGGCAGATGTTGAACACATTGTTTGCAGTTGGACACTCGGTAATTACTTGGAGTTTTCTTGAGCCGTGTCGGGGTCAAAATAGGTTATATATCGGCTAGGATGACGGTATGACATGACGGGATCGACATGGAGAATGTCACTCGAGACATTCACACGACAAATTTAAGTACGAGATGGACAAGCATGTACGCGAGCTTGGAAGGAGGGAGTAACGTCACGAGCGCACCAGGAATTGAGCAGGAAGGAACAGAAACATGTGTGGACAGAGAGTGTCGGTACTCTTGACAGGCGACAAAATTAGCCTCGCGCTTCCCCAGCTTCGGACATGGGTCGGCTTTGGGGGTGACGAGCGGCTTCGGCATCTTTGTTAGCACCGCCGGAGGCCTATGGACACGATCATGGAAACTCTTGACAGCCTCTTCGTCCGTTTCTGTGTCCCAAGTTGGATCCACCAAACACATCCTCATCATCTTTGCTTGAGCGGTTTTTCTCCCAGGCGCTGCGTGTGTGTCAAGTGAGCAACTCGGAGCAGTTATCACTCCGACCCTTGTTCTCCACGCGGGACCGGCGATAAGCCTTATATTTCTAATCGTCACAACTTAGGCTGATTGGCATTGCATGCCTTGAAGGCCTCCCTCTTCCTGCCCAGGAATGGACGACTACCGCTACCAATTCAGTCCACCGGACTCTGTCAATCAGTTCCACTCCATGTCGCCGAATCTGCTGAACGGCCCCTCGAGGCGGGACTCTTACCGCCGTCGCAACAGCCTGCCCACCGCCGTCGCATCCAGTCCTTCGAACCAAGGTCTGGGTATCCCTACACCCGACATCAACCCACGAAATGGCCCTTCTGCCTCGGAGCTATCAGCCGCCATCTCGGAACTCTCGCGTACCGGCACTCCTTCCATGGTCCAATTGGCTGCCTTGACAAGCCCCTGCTTCTTCCACCGCCGCTTCGGCGATGCCGTCAACATAGAAAAAGTCCTAGATGAGATAAAGGAAGATGACCAGCTGTCACACAGCCGTCTTATGCAGACCGCTGCCAGTGTTCGCGAGGTCTCACGACAACTACAACGACGCTCCACCAAGCAAGCCGTACGCAACGTCATGATAGTCACAAAGGCCCGCGACAACGCCTTGGTAGATCTGACGCGCGAATTGGCCGAATGGCTGCTTGTCAAACCACGCTATGGCAACGACGTCGGTGTCAATGTCTACGTCGACTCAAAGCTGCGCCGCTCCAAGCGCTTCGATGCGGACTCGTTGACTGCCAAAGACTGCCGTTTTGAGAGCATGCTTCGCTTTTGGACTCCTGCTCTATGCTGGGCTTCTCCAGAACTCTTTGATCTCGTCATAACTCTCGGAGGAGACGGTACTGTCCTCTTCACCTCATGGCTGTTCCAACGCATCGTGCCGCCTGTCATGTCCTTCTCCTTGGGTTCCCTAGGCTTCCTTACAAACTTCCAATTCAACCAGTACAAGCATCAACTAGATCGCATCATGGGCGACTCGGGTATGAGAGTAACAATGCGCATGCGTTTCACCTGCACAGTCTATCGAGCAGCTGCGTCAAATTCCTCATCGTCCCTGAATCCACAAAACTCCTCTGACCCGGCATGTCCTGTAACATCAAATCCGACCAAGATCGAGGGCGAGACACATGAAGTCCTCAACGAGCTAGTCATCGATCGAGGACCATCCTCCTACATCTCATCACTGGATCTGTACGCCAACGATTCTCTGGTCACTCGCATATCCGCCGATGGTGTCATTCTCAGTACGCCGACGGGCTCTACTGCATATTCTCTCTCTGCGGGTGGAAGTCTGGTACATCCAGAGATTCCCGCTATATTACTCACACCCATCTGCCCTCATACACTATCCTTCCGCCCAATGATCTTGAACGACTCCATGGAACTGAAGGTTTCTGTCCCTACCAAGGGGCGAGGCGGCGGTTTCGTCAGCTTCGACGGTAAAGGACGCATTCAACTCGGTTTGGGCGACGAGGTCGTCGTTAGAGCGAGCAAATATCCATTCCCGACCGTTCTTAGTCAACCAATGGAGTGGTTCGATGCCATTAGTCGTACATTACGCTGGAACACCAGAGCTGCAGACCAGAAAGATTGGGCAGGAAGAGATGCAGACGACAAAGACGATGAATTTGACGAAGACGGCGCCCACAAGGGTAGCAAGGAGCCTGAGTTCGACATAGATTTCGAAGACGAGATGGAGAGCGTCCGTGATTCTGGATATTCAGGATCAAGCAGCACTGCATGAGCGACGACCTTGATTTTTTGGTCTTGTTGGATTCCAAAAGCGCTGTTCATCTTTGCAGACACACAGTGGTAGCGCCGGGACGATTGTCTTTTTTTGCTGCGATGCCGAAGCATGCGAGTGCTTTACTGGTGCATATCCTTTTTCACATGTCGAACCGTTACAAGAAATGACGTGGCGGAAGGTGTTTTCTTCTTTTTTGCAGTCTCGCTGATGACTTGCATACAACATTACGACTTGATAAAGGTGGCTGGAGAGACGAAGAAAAGGGGACGAGGAAGAATTTAGAACCAAATAAACAAACGCCCATGCAACTCCGACAAATCTTATGATCCTCAATCGTGCAGCAAACCTTGCAGTCGGAAGTCGTTCCTCGCGGAAACGTGCCCTGAATTTCCTGTTCGGGTTTTCCGAGCGAAACGAGAAGATCTTCTGCGCCAAGTTGACCCCGGGCTTTTGTTTCCGCCGCAGCCAGTCTGCCAACTCGCATGGATCGTTCTCCTTGTTTCTAGGCACTTCACAGCGACGAGCACGACACCCAGCGACCGGCTCGACCATGGGGATCCTATCGGCCCTTTGGCAACCACGCGGCGAGCTTTAGACGTGTTGGCGTAGAACGTGCCGAGATATCAACGGCTTGGTTGGAAGAGGTTGAACGTGGACGGTGATGACGAAATCTGCATACGCGCTGATGCATTCGCTCGCGCAAGGAGTGCAGTCTATCTTTTATCGTGTCTAGGAAATCGATTGTGTATGGTTGGAACATTGACGGCGATCGCGAGTCGTCCCAATAAGCTAGCAGCCAGTTGCACCCTGCATCTCTTGCATAACCTTTACCGCAGCCTGACTTGGTGCTTTTACCGAGACCGATCAGCCTCCTCGGCGATCTGTCAACATTCCCCTGTCGCAGGGCGTGCTCGCTCAGTGTTCATTCTGTGGTGCCTCTATGGCCTGTGGATTGGCATCATGTAATTCTTTCGCTCAGCGTGTGCGTCGTCGCTGTAGACAAGACTCACTATCCATTCCGGCACTCGTTATCCGTGTAGTTGGGTAAACCCGTATCATTCGGATCCTCGCTGGCTCAGCAGACTCCATACTTCCAAGCAACAACTGTGGGTCACTGATAACTCTCGCCCCGTTTCGTCCATTGCGCTGTCGCTCTCGATATGGAGATGGGGGCCACTGCTGAACCCAAATGCCATCATGGTCCCACTCTCCCCTTGGGGCACAATCCTCAAGAGACACCGTGAGACGGCTAGAAGCACTACTTCATCTGAGTGCCATGCCAGATTTTCTCCCAAAGAGCCTTTTCGCCAACTACCGCATTCTCGTCTCTCTAAACAACCCCACCCCTTTCTTAACATCATTTGCTATCTCAATCTAGAAATCACAGTGCGTGTCTCTGAACCCGGTTTATTCCCGACCTGTATCGGTCCTTATTACACGACTGCTGCTCAAAATTCTGCGTCTTAACGGTGCACCTCAACACCCCAGCTCAGTGGCGGCGCATCTGTTTTCTCACTCGCAACCCCATGTTTTTCTCTTGATCTTCGATTTTTTGGTCTGAGGTGGAAAGACTTGTCGCATCGATCACTCGCACTTTCCCTCTGACTTTGCCATCGCATCTTTGTTCGTTGCTTTCGTCGGCTCTGAAAGGCGGGGCAAGCCAATCTTCACGCATTCGGTCACAGTCTTTTGAAACGCCATCTACGCGCTCGAGTATTCTTTGTTCCTAAACGAGCGAGGCATCAAGCCTTAGCTCCGTGAGTGTTACCGACGATGAGTTCAGCAAATACACCACGCATCGAACTCAATCCTTTCAAGGACCCTCCGGAGCCTCCGAACAATAATGCACCATACTTCAACTCGAACCAGTCGAGTGATTATTTGAGCAGCATGGAGCACAGTCGACCTGGTAGTGCTGGGGGAATCAGACCGAAGGACAAGAAGAAGGTCGGCTTTCATCCTGATGCAGAAGAACCACCACTGTTCAGGAAACACCGTCCCGCAAGCATCACGTTGCCTACAAGGATTACTTTGACACCACCCAGTGGACTGAGTCCTGGCTTCGCCGTTTCCGAGAGTCCGTTCATCTCACATTCTCGGGATTCTAGTGGAACAGGTGAGGCATTGCTATCCTCTTATCGCAGCCATGCACCCGATGTGTCTTCAGAAGAATCGGATCAGATCAAGGCTGCCTTTGCTTCGTCGGCCTCGCTGACTGCCTCGTCGCCTACCATGCCACGAATGCCTCCGCGGCCGGTCCTCCGACGTGGCGATTCGGCACTTTCGACAGTCTCGGATAGCGATCCCGAAAACTCGGTTCAAAGTCGACGAGCTCGTGAGGCCCATGAACGTGGAAAGAAGCTAGAATTTGACGAGCGCATATCCTCAGCGCCGGCTTCTAGGGCTGCCTCACCTGCACGCAAACTCGGTCTGCCCAAGCTTAAGCTAAACCTTAGCGACATTCCTCTCCAAGACTTTAGCAAAGTCGATTTTTCAGAAGAACCTAACGAACATGACCCCCTTCATCACCTCGACGATGCAACTTCTGATGACCTGCACGCGTCGGCGCACAAACTTGTGCGTGCTCATGCCTCAATGGCTCAACAGGTTCTGCATATCGATTCTTCTTCCGGCTTTATATCTGCTGCAGCAACTCCCAACGAGGAGCGCGAAGCCTACCTCGACTATGTTCCCAAGCCGGAGCGCCATCGTGCAGGTGTTCTAGGTGCTTTACTTCGACTTTACAACCATGACGGTCCGGCTGGCTCGGGTCACGATCGCTCTTCCAGTCTACCACAGCCTGCTCACTATCGTGATGGCAGCAGTGGCTTCAACACTCCACAGCACTCACCTCCTTCCTCTGGATACAATACTCCAAGCAGACCTCTTTCTGGTTACAACACACCTGGTGGCAGACAGTCAAGGATATGGCATTCGAAAAGCTACAGCAACTCGACGTCTTCTCTGGCGTACTTGGTTGGTTCTTCTGTAAGCGGAGGTACTCCGATCGCTGGCTTGCCCCTCGGAGAACAGGTCACAGAAAATCTACGCCAACGTCACGAATCCGAGAAGAAAGCAAAAAAGTCTCGCGGCAACAACGTTCTCAGTCGTATGGGTCGCTCTCGATTAGATGAAGAAATCAGAATTACAAAACACATCAAAGAGAACTTGGCCCGACAGAAGTATTTGCTGAAGCTTTGTCGAGCTTTGATGACTTACGGAGCACCCACTCACCGTCTGGAGACGTATATGCGTATGAGCGCCAGAGTACTCGAGGTTGATGCTCAGTTCCTGTACATGCCTGGTTGCATGATATGTTCGTTCGACGACCTCTCCACCCACACGACCGAAGTCAAAATGGTACGCGCCGGTGAAGGTCTGAACCTTGGAAAGCTCAGAGATTGCCATGAGGTCTACAAGGAAGTCCTTCACGATCGCCAAGGAGTCGACGAAGCCACCGATCGCCTTAATGAGATTTTCAACAAAGAGCCACACTTCAAGAACTGGTGCATAGTGCTTGTTAGTGGCCTCGGCACTGCGTCTGTTGGACCGTTTGCGTTTGATGCAGGGTATAAGGACCTAGCTATCTGCTACGTTCTCGGTTGCATCGTGGGATATCTCCAAGTGGTCTCTTACAAGAACGAAGGTGTTATGAACATGTTTGAAGTTCTTGCGACCATCATCACATCATTCTTGGCTCGAGCTTTTGCTTCGATAGGCAATGGCCGCTACTTTTGTTTCTCGGCTCTTGTTCAGTCTTCGATCTGTTTGATTCTACCCGGCTGGATAGTACTTCGCGCCTCGCTGGAACTTCAGTCCAAAAGCATAGTCTCCGGTAGTGTCAGGATGGTGTGGGCTATCGTCTACTCACTTCTCCTTGGATTCGGAATCACGATAGGAACTGTTCTGTACGGTGCTATTGACAAGAATGCAGTGTCTACGACTACGTGCGACGCTAATCGCAAGATTGGCCAGAACATGCAGTTGATCGCTGCACTGATATTCTCTTTCTGTCTATGCGTGTTGAATCAAGCCAAGTGGAGACAAATGCCGGTCATGATCATAATCGCAATGATAGGGCGTCTGGTTTCCGTGGGTCTTGGGACAAAATTCCAAGGCAACGGGCAAATCAGTGCCACCATCGCCGCTCTCGCCATTGGCCTCGCTGCGAACCTGCATTCGCGATTCGGAACCAAGATTGAAAACAAAGCTCTGGATGTCTGGGAAACTCATCTACGACCACACGCCAGAGCATTCCACAAGCGAATCCGCGGCAAGTCAACAGCCCTGCGTAACCGTCATACTAAGAAGTCTATGGAAAGCATGGAGTCTGGAGAAGCATATGACACTGAAAGTATTTTTGTGCCGCATATCAGACGCGTAGGCTATGGTCTCGCGGCCGCGGCAATGTTGCCCGCCATCCTCGTACAGGTGCCTAGTGGACTCGCTGTCAGTGGAAGTCTGCTCTCTGGTGTACAGGCAGCCGACCAGATTGCGGGAAAGGGATCGAACGGGAGCACGGTCACTGATGCCAAATCTCTGGCATCCGGCGGCCAAGTGAATTCGGTTGCTTTTAACGTCGGATACTCTGTGGTGCAGATTGCCATTGGCATCACGGTAGGAATATTCGCATCGACGTTGATTGTGTATCCATTCGGCAAGAGACGCAGCGGTCTGTTCAGTCTTTGAGCAGGCTATCCTTCTGACGCTTATACTGTATATCAGTCTCTTCGCTTTATCGTTGCAACAGAAACATGATTCTTGTTACAAGTTTCTGTGCCCCTTTCCTTCCTCCTAATTTATTGTTATCTTTTTTGCGGTTGGAGCATGCATGGCACTGGAGTTTGTTCTTTTTTTGTCTCATCACGCATCATCACTCATTAATTCTTCTTGCTTCTCTCTGCTTGGATTTCTGACTTGACGACCCCTTCACGACTTTGTTTAATACACTGCAACTATAGATATAGATATAGATTATGAAACATTCTTCTGCTACACAATCGTCTAGGTCACTGACTCGTTCGCTTCTCCCCAAGTTTGTGTTCTGCCACCTCTGAATGATGTCTTTGCTTTTTTGTGGTTGACTTGATGGAGGCAAGGACGACGCTGTATATTCGATGTTCTGATTCGGTTGATCAATGATTGGGAAGCGGGCCATGACGACCAGATCATCTAATGCAGACTGTGACGACTGATGCTGACTGTCGCATAAACTAAACATAGAAGATGCAGACTCAAGATGAACTCAGTAGTTGGTATGAAACAGATGTCCAAGACTTGTTTCGTTGACAGTTCTGTGTCGAATGAAGCAGCTTCATACAAGTGCCCGACACTCTCGAGAAAGAAAAGAATCTATGAGATGTGCAAACTCATCCTCCAATGCGGCTATCGTAAAGACAAGCATGCAGAACTGCAAACAATCACATTCCATCACGATCCCTACACTCGTGCAGTTTCTGTCTCTTCGGCTTCGCGTTCAAACTCCTCATCAAAGTTCACTTGCTCCCACCAGTTGTCACAGGGATCAAGATCATGCGGCGGGTCTCCCCGAGCGCATATAAACGTGTGTCGCGGTCGTTCTCCGTAGAAGCGATGGGTAGGACGAGGTTCGTGTTCGGGATCCTCATCAGGGGGATTGAATCGTTCTTGGACGCAGAGTTCTCCTATGTAATGTTCGCAGCAGCCACGAGGATACTTTGATGGTGGCTCTCCCTCAACGCAGAGGGCCAGTCGCGGTGGCCATGATCCTTCATTGACGTTCATGGTAGGAAGAGGTTTGTCAGTAGAGGTAGATATGGCAGGTATTTCGCTGTCGGGGACCATGGTAGGGATGATAGGGTTTGTGGGGGCTCTAGCTGCAAGTTCCGCCTCTTCGGGCACATGCTCGAGATAGTTGTGTGGATCGTGGAATCGAAGGATACAATTTCCTGCCATGTAGTCACAGCAGCCGTGGGGATATCTCTGTGGTGGAACTCCCATGGCGCATGCGGGCATCTCACGGAGTTCCTCAATGATGGTACGAAGAGGCTTGTCAGTGGAGGTGGAGATGGTGGGTAAGTCGTAGACCATGGTGGGGATGATGGGACCTGCGAGCGCCAGAGCTGCAGAGCTGAGGATGAGAAGTGCGGATTTCATGATTGAATGTTTTTTTGGTGGAGTGGATTCGTTGTGGTTTGTTTTCCAGAGAGTGAGGAGGAGGGAGGTGGAGAGCAATGTTGGTCGAGTGATTTGTATCATGCTGAGCCAGAGCTGATGGGTGTGGTGATCTCTTCGCTATTGAGGTGGAGAAAAGTGTCTTCGTATATGAGGTGGAAACACCACCAAAGTGACCTCCACATTGGAAGTCAATTCAACCGAGGTGTGGTCCAAACATGTGAGAGGTAATATCGAAAGCTTGACTCTGGGTAAGTCGATCGAGCGACAAGATAAGCATCAAAATCAAAAGTATAATCAAAACGTACGTCTAGCTGTAGACACATCCATCTCATGACTTGTTAGCCAACTCAACCACCCTCTGCGCAGCCTCATGGAACCCATCAAATGCCTCAAGCGGCAACCCACTCTCCGCAATCTTCTTCTGACCCACCTCCTCATTCGTACCTCTCAATCTCACCACCACTGGCTTACCCTGCATATCCACTTTTTCAAACGCCATAATCACACCATCAGCAATCATACCACAATCAGTCAACCCACCAAAGATATTCACAAAGATGACTTTGACGCGGGGATCCTTGAGAATGAGCTCGAAAGACGTCTTTACGGTTTCTGAGGTTGCTTTGCCGCCGGTGTCGAGGAAGTTTGCGCATTTGCCGTTGTGAGGTGGGAGGGCGAGGGCATCGACGGTGTTCATGGCTAGGCCTGCTCCGTTGACTAGGGTGCCAATGTTTGCTGTGTCATCGGCGGAGTTGAGCTTCACGAACACGATGCCTGACTTCTCGGCTTCGACTTCGACGGCAGGCTCTTGAGAAACGTCGCGAAGGGCGTGTAGTTCGAGATGTCTCTTGTTGGACCTGAACGCAGCGTCGTCGTAGAATAGTTGGGGATGTGAGAGGTTTAAGGAGCCTGAAGAGGAGACCGAGAGGCTGACAGTCAGGCTTACGGCTTCTTGCTCGCGATACAGGTTTGCGAGACGAGATATGAGTTTGGCGGTTTGTGCGTGAGCGGCAGGGGGTGCGGCATCGAGCTGAAGATGCTGGATGGCCGCCAGAATGGTTTTTTGATCTGGACCTTCCAAGTAGGGGTATGGGAAGCGACGCAGGCGATGGTGAAGCTTGCGAGGATTTGTAGATGGAGAAGCAATGATGCAAGGAGAGCGGCTGGAACGATCAACCGAGATGCTCAAGTACACACTGTCTGCATCGTTTGGCGTCTCTTCTGAGATGTTAAAGCCTTCCAAGGATTTGTTGAGATGTTCTACCGCCTTTTGGTCGCGAAGATGCAAACTCCGCTGTTGATTTGGGTTGAATCTGGAGGTTTGCGAGGCAATCGTTGGCCGCACCTGCCTCATAGTGTGCATACCTCTTCGCTGATTAGCCGCGGCAGATGCTTGGATCTTGCTCACATCCTTTCCAGCTTGTTTCAACAAGCTCTTCATGACATTGCCAAACTTCTCAGGGTGATCAACCATAGTGGCGCCTGCATCCTGCAGGATCTTGTACTTCTCCTCAGCAGTGGCCTCGCCAACACCGGCCCAGGCACCTGCGTGTCCCATTACTCGACCAGCAGGTGACATTCTGCCTCCGACAAGAGCAGCGATGGGTCTTGAATGTCTTGTCAGCATCAAACAATTATATGATGCATTGGCAAACTCACTTTGGGTTCTTTTCACGGCGGTAGTAGTCCTTGATCCAGTCTGCCGCCTCCAGCTCGGCACTTCCACCTACTTCACCAACAAGTACTATGGCTTCGGTATCATCATCGGTCTCGAAGACTCGCAAAGCGTCAACGAAGTTGGTGCCTGCTACAACATCGCCTCCCATGCCAATGCACAGACTCTGACCGAGTCCAGCACGAGTGATTGAAGCCACTGTCTCATAGCTCAGAGTGCCTGACTTGGCTACGATACCGACATGTCCAGGAGAGAATGTAGGTAGTGGTTGGAAGCCTATCCTACAGTTGCCGATCGCTGATATGATGCCTGGCGCGTTTGCACCAACTAGTCGACTCTTTGACTGCGTCTTCAAGATTGACATAATCTGTTGGGTGTTAGCGCGCGTTCTTCCTGGCCTTGTTTATCAATCCTTACTCGTAGAATATCGTGAAGGGGAATATGCTCGGCTACCGCGACGATCAATGGAATCTCTGCCTCAATGGCTTCCTCGATGGCCTTGCCTGCATGAGGAGCAGCCACGTAGATTGCAGTAGCATCCGGCTTCAATTGTTCCTTTGCCTCTCTGACAGTAGGCAAGACCGGTAAGCCAAGATGTTCTCTACTGCCTCCAGGTTTCACGCCGCCAACAATGTTGGTACCATATTCGAGAGATTCCTTGGCGTTTTGTGTTGCGACCTTCCCGGTAAATCCTTGGTATAGAACTCTGGTATGTTTTCCGATTTTCAGGTTCTGGACTGTGTCTTCATAAGAACGCCTTGATACCGAGGTCGAGAAGCATCTCGTTCGTGCCAATCTCGACACATTTGATGTCAGACGAGGTATATACATGTTGGGCTTTTTCCTCTCGACCCACGTTCAGTAGTGACTAAATCGAGACATGAAGGAGGACGTCAGTATATGAAGCATCGGCACAATGAGGTGGAGTATCGGCATCAGGCAGATCTGCCCGGCCGAGGCCGGAGGGAGCATGAAACTGAGTTCATATCTCAAATATCAGATCTAACGTATACTCATCGATATGGTCTCTTGAATGCGCGAAGAGTTTGAGATGACCGAGGATATGGATCCAATCTCGCAGCTGATATAGAACACGAGGACTTCCGTCCCAGAGATTAACTTGTACAGAACGAACGAGAGAAACATTGTCGTGTATGCAGAGGTGATGTCAGTAAAGCCAAGACTTCAGGATCCCCGCAAAAACGTGGGGTTTCATGTCCGCGATTTCTCACTTTCCGACTCGAATCGCGCGTCACCGGTATACCAATCTTTGTCACTCGACTCGACAAAAACATATTTTATGTGACCTTGGTTTATTGTTTGCTACAACCATTCACTTGCTCCCGTGTTCAATTCTCCGATCTGCTGTCTATATCAACCCAACTCCTCTCTCCATTTCCGAACAATATTTTCTTCTTCATCACACCAACAATATCCAACATGGCAAGCTCTCAGTCGACCAACGAACTCTCGCAGAAGATGAGTGACATGTCAGTCGGTGGCAAACGGCATGTCGACGCTCCTCGCTATACACCTCCACACCGCAAGTACGCCCAAGCCAACAAGACCGTCGAGACAGGCACCACAGCGCCAGCCAAGGACGCGATCAAGATACCCACATCAACACCTGCTGCCACTGAGAAGTCTGGCGCTTTTACTGCTGACACTACTGCTAGATCTGAGATCGCAGAGGAGAGCAAGACTACATCCGCTGCCACATCACTCGCTGCGACAGACAAAGACTCGGAGCAAGACCCCGAGATCAAGCCAGCCCCCAAAAGAATCGCTCCCCACCACAAATACAGCAAGCCTGCCACCAAAGTCGCAGACTCCTGGGAAGAAGAAGCATCCTCGGAACCAGAGCCCTCAAAGGCCGCAAACACCACTACCAAGCCATCCCCAGACACCGCCCCTGTGCCCAAGTCGAGCTACGTCCCGCCTCACCTGAAATACCGCTCGGCCGCTCCTTCACCACCCAGTCGTAGTGTCACACCGCCTTCCCGTGGCTCTACACCCTCCTCACACTCCACACCTTCCTCGACTGCCTCCTCCGAGCGCCGGCCCGAAAAGACAAACGCCGTAGCTCACCGCTTGATAGCCGGAGCTTTGGGTGTCAAGGTTCCAAGAAGGACAGAAGAGCAGAGAGCTTACGACAAGGCTATGAGGGAGCAGGAGAAGAGAAAGAGAGACCAGGAGAGAGAGGCTAAGAAGAAGGCAGAAGAAGATGCAGCAAAGGCCAAGGCTGCTATCTGGGACGATTGAAGCAGATGCGCAGAAAAACATGCAAAGAAGACTGAAAGAAGACATGAATTTGACGAGCCTCGGGTTAGAGAGACTCGAAGCTATGGCAGGTTGGAACACAAAGAAGTTTTTGGATTCAATGGCCATACAGAAGCTGCATGAAGCGCAGAGCTGAGATGGGCGCATACAGACATTGCATGGTGGATATCTTGCATCGGAGGCATGAAAAGGGGTTATCATATCAAGACGCATCGGAGCTCAGACTCGCGATGGAGCGAGGGACAGACAGAAGACTGATCTGGCAAGCAGCATGAGAAGGGAAAGCATAGGAAATTACACATCAGGAGGCTTTAGATGAAAAGCAAGCATATAATGGAGCAAGAAGACTCGACGAATTCAATGACAACAAATCTCTTTATTGATAGACTGTTCGTTCTGTGCAAAACGTGCATGGAAGAAGGATAAGATACGGGGCAAAAGTGCAAAGCAACATGGTGCATGCTGTCCCGTCGGCAGCAAAGCAGTCGCGAAAAACGCACGCCCCGATACGGACTGGTATAGACGCCCGTCCATTTCAATCATAACTCCAGCTTGGGCACAAAGGCCAAGTTGCGCCATTTAAGTTGCACTCTTCTTTTCATCCTCTGGCTTGGTTCGGGTCGCACTTCTGTCGAAGGTTGTTGAGTGGGACTGTTCGTAGCGCAGAGGGTAATCAGCAGCCACCGATTTGCTCCTGGTAGACCTCGAGGGTGTCGCCATCTTGCATGTCAAGCTAGGAGGATACGTGTTAGTTGAGAGAATGCAAAGGAGAAGGGCAAGCGATTGCGCGAAGCATCAGGGCAACTCACGGTCTCTGGGTTGTCGGTAGGGTTGACTCTTTGTCCGTCGAAGAGGAATCGCACACTGGTAGGGGCTTTGCCTTGACGCTCGCAGAAGGCATCCATGAGCTTCTTGAGCTGAGTGGTACGCTTGATCTTGAAGTAGACCTCGTTGTTGTTGTCGGTCACCTTAATGTTGAGGTGCTCGCCGCCCTCGGGCTTCTGCGGGGGTGATCCTGTGTCGGACATTTTGTGCCTTTCTGTCGCGAGATGGTCGTGTTAGATGTGCCTGGTATGGAGATGTTGAAGGTGAGGTGTAGTAGGGAGGAAGTACCTTGCGAAGGTGGGTCTTTGCTGTCGCAGTCGTCGGCTCACGTGGTGGCGCGGGTCAAAAGTGCTGAGTCGGTTGGTGGGAGCGGAATGAAACTGCGATGAACTGGTGAGTTGGGTGATCGGTAAGAGAAGAGAGTTGTCGGAAGAGTGAAATACCTGATGGATCTATGCGACGAGAGTGAGGAAGGTGTGAGACACTTGAGCAGCAGAGATTGGAAAAGGCAGCAGTGACGCCAGTTCGCGCTCAATTGAAGGAAGGCACACGCGGGGTCCTTTATGAGAGGCGCTTTCCACAAAGTCCACCAACACTGAAGCGTCTGGATACTTGCATACAACACAATTACAAGGATTCGCCGTGTCGCAGAAATTGCCAGAACTATTCCTGTACTTCTTCACTCTCTCGTTTTTTTCGCTCGTTCGCTTTCACATCTGGTCCTTCCGGGCTCTCACAACTGCCTCACTTGCAATTATGGTATGAGGTCATGATAAAGACTCTTTTACTTTGTCGTCAGAAGACATTGAAACTGATCATAACGTGCAGGGTATGGAGCAGGATCTTAAGACTGACCCTCCGTGTCATCCTCGCGCGTGTGCAATCCAAGGTATGAAGTTGAGTTCATCCTCTCACTCCGAGATAGAATGTTCACATGGCGGCAGATTGCATACAGAAGAACGGCTTCGACGAAAGCAAATGCCAGAAGCAGGTGCGTCTGGGAGCCTCGATCCATGCATTTAACAACGATACTGATCGTTCGCAGATTGACGCTTTGTACGAATGCTGCAATGCCTTCTACGAGAAGAATGGTGATAGCGCATCAACATTGAGCTGTCCCAAGGCTGGTCTCTTGAGGTAAGAACAATTCCAGCGCAAAGACACCTCTTGCAAGATTCTCTGATGTTGACATGTCTCTCATTCTTCAGACTGAAGATGAAACAGCGTGCGCAAGGCATCAGATAGACTACAGCAAGACGCCCGTAGTCACAACTCACGCAAAATATGTATGTATACTAGAGAAGAGATTTCACACCCGTGTCCATGCTGCATTCCCATCTCTTCCCGAGAGAAGATAGATACAAATAGACAGAAGGCGTATTTGATTCTGCGACCACCGTAGCACGCTAGTGAGGCCTCATGGACCTGTACAAACATTAAAACGTCGTACCGAGACTCTAAGGGTGGGCGACTGACATTGTTGATGGAGGAAGAGGGTGTGGGAACGCAGACTTTTTATACATCGTGAGTGGTCTGTGCGCCAATGGACCCGTATTGAAGTTGGTCCTACTACCCTGTCACCAAATTCGACGGAACATATTATTGTCTACAATCGCTCGCACCGGGCTTCAACCCACATGTAGAACTGATTCATATGGCTTGCTACATATCTGGATCCTTTGCACGTAGTTTCGTGCTTTCTCCGCGTACCAGGACCGAGAGTTTGAGATTCAGGATATTCCATGAAGCTGTGTCAAAAAGACGGGTAGCAACGTCAAGCGTTCTGACACCAAGCGTCTATCACTTTCGCAAGAACACATGTCAAGATAACACTTCTCGAGCTTCCAGAACCTCACTCGTGACCTCCAAACTACACATTCATACTACTGAGAAGTTTTCAATCTCAGAAACATTCAATATGGCACCCAAGCAAAAGATCATCATCGACACGGACCCAGTATGTCATTTCATCAACTTCAAAAACCAACATCCCGGCCAACATGTATTATAGGGTGTCGATGATATACTGGCTATGCTTCTGGCTTTCAGCGCCACACCTGAGGAGATTGAGGTTCTTCTGATCTCTTTGACCTTTGGCAACATCGATGTCCAGAACTGTCTCCGAAATGCGGTCTCGCTGTTCCACCACATCGAGAAGGAGATTGCATGGAGAAGCAAGTCTGGAAAGAATCTGGGCTTTGAAACTCTGAGAGCCTCGAAACCTCTTGTCGCTGTTGGTGCTGAGGAACCTCTGGCTGAACAGCTTATGATGGCTGACTTTTTCCGTAAGAGTCCTGGAGAGCCTGTCTGAGAAAAGCACTGATACAAATAGACGGAACCGATGGTCTTGGTGGCATTCATTCCAGCGTATGTTTTGTAGTCATCTCTCTGAGAAGAGTCCGAGACGGCTGACATGATCAAAGCACCCTCATCTGACCCCTCAGGAGACTTGGAAGAAGCTCTTCGATGCAGCTGGAGGAGCACCTCTTTCACCAGAGGCGACTAACACTTCTCAGCAAGTCCGTGAAGCTTCCATGTTCCAACCTTCTCAGCGTCGGTCTCATGAAGAGATTCTGCGTCTGCTGAGGGAGAATGAGCCAGACACCATTACCATTGTTGCGATCGGACCTCTGACCAACTTGGCTATCGCTGCAGCTCAAGATCCTGAAACATTCTTGCGAGTGAAAGAAGTCGTAGTCATGGGAAACGCCATCAACGAGCCAGGAAATGTACGCCAGCCCCCTCCCCCTATCTACCCAACCGCCTCAATCCCAGAGCCGCCGTTCCGCCTGATAAAGGCTCCACAAACACCTTTGCGCACAAGTCTAAACATCCGTAACCAGGTAACTCCGGTGGCCGAGTTCAACACGTATGCCGACAGCATTGCCACAGCCCGTGTGTATGCACTTACTTCGCCCTCGCCAAACTCGACTGTGCCTCCTTCGCCGCCTACACTGCCTGGCTCCCAGTCACTGCCTCACTTGGCACCCTATCCGGTAAAGCTCTCGAGACAGCTCAAGCTTACCGTATTCCCTCTTGATATCACGACTCCACACAAGATCACAAGAGGTCAGGTCAAACAGACCATTCAGCCCTCGATTGAGGCTGGGTCACCCTTGGCAGAGTGGACCGCAGCTTTCCTGAACTCGACATTTGACAAGGTCGAATCGTTGATGGAGGGTGTCAGTGGTGATTCTGTTGGTCTCGAACTGCACGACCCTCTGTGTATCTGGTACGCGCTCACTCACGACGATGCGGGATGGAAAATCAAGAAGGACGAGGATATCAGAATTGAGACGACGGGTCAATGGACACGTGGAATGACGGTCGTCGATAGACGTGGCAGAAAGAAGCGCGCTGCGGACGACGGCGAGGGCGAAATTCCTGGCGATGCTGGCAACTGGCTCAGCCCCAATGCAGGCAACCGGGTAGGAAGATGTGTCCAGTCGCCTGGCGTTGACCTCTTCGCGCCGTACCTGTTACGGAGAGTGTTTGACGCATGATGATGGACAGGGCTGATGCTTGGCCGGCCGCAGCGAGTATGTAGGATAAGCTTAGAGCGACTTTACCGATTGCTCCCTGGAAAAGCGAGACACTGATAATGACCGGTTCTTGTCGTGATCGATTGCCAATCATCACAAAGTCGACCACACTTGAGAGCGGCGTGATACGAGTAAACATACCCCGTACAGTAGACAAAGCAATCGCTGACCTCACTCTGTGGTACTCTGCGGTGTGTCTATTGCCCTTGGCGGGGGCTGTGTGCGTTGATGCCAATGGCTCGGCATATCAAAGCTTCGAAAAGCATGTCCTCTTCAAGAAGGTCGACTACCTACGAGGGAGATATGTGTTTCTTGAGAATGTGCTTTAGGATCCGAGGTGGTACGCAACTTTGCGCGATGATCAAAGGCATGCGCAAGAACGCACACATACGAAGATCTAAAGTGTAAATGTATAGTAGTAAATACTAACTTGTGCTTGATTCTTGAAAAACAGGCCGTCAAAGTACACAAAGGGAAAGAAAGACTGGTCGAGAGAGTCGCACCAAAGCGCCACCGCTGTTTTGCTGATAGCCAGGGCATCACAACAGAAACAATCTATCACATCTGTTCGGTTGCAGAATGTTGAAATGAGAGTGTTTGTGCGTTGAATGATAGGGGACCAAGGCTTCGGTTGTTGCAATTTATCGTTTACCTTAGGTCCAAGAGCCATGTCGCAATTGTTTGAGGGAATAGTTATTGCCGCATGTCGAGGACTCTTTCAAGCATTCTGGGTGGCACATATGCTGTATGGATGCGCAAGCACTGCAGAGGGAGAAGGTAGGCTGCATAAAAGAGACGATGAGTTGAGCAAGAGTCAGGCATAACGGCCAATGGAAGCGCCGATGAGGTTCTTTGACAGGGGGCCGAGGCGGGAAGGGACGATCGAGAAGCCTCGCGCTAATGGTTGCATCTTTGGGGCAGTGCTCTTGGCGTACACCGCCGACACCACCACCATGCAACAAGAAGGACCAGAGGAGAAAGGTAGTTAGTTAGCTGGAGAGCTGCGTCTTCTGACAGCTGCTTGCTGACTTTCTTTGTCCGGCGACAGTCGTACTCAAGACCTGATTTTGCAGGACAATTGACACTCTGATTCTGCTCCCCTCTCACTTGCACATCATCGGCTGTAGAAGCTGTAATCGAAACAAGCAGTCGCATATCTACGCGAAAACGACCATTTGACTCAGCACTGCCTGCACATCGCCGCACTGCCCAGACATCTCTCTATACGAACCCACAGCTAGCCGGCCGCTGAAGACGAGCGTTGGCAAGACTCACAGTAGTTCGCAACGGGCACTGTCTATATGGTAAAGTGTAATAAAGCCTCTTTCCACATTCTTGTCCAGCATAGCAACCAGCAGAGCGAGACCAAGAAATTCTTGGCTCTTGACATTTATCACTGCGCCCCCCTGCCGTATGACATTTGTATATGGGCGAAGTCGTGTCGGTCTGCTGATGCTCTTGTCATGTGCCTAGTATCATTGAGCATTTACCATCCCTAATCGACATCACCGGCCCTCACTGCCTCCATTGCGGCCTCGACCTGAGCTCTCACGCCGTAGCACAGCCTCTTGTTTCGCCTCACCCCAGTACCTCAAAGGTCAAGCCACACCTGCGAATGACCATTCTTTACTCTCCCTCGACAAAATTACAGCGTTCTGCATTCCTGCGGCGCAACACCAGCCACAGCCATGTCGGACTCGAATCCATTCCATCAAGACCAGGACTCGAACACCCAAGGTCGCCGTAACAGAGCACCTACCATCACCATAGACACATCAGCAGTGAGTCGACCCTTGGTTCCCCAAGACACAGCAATGGACATCCTTCTGACCTCATCTTCGCTGTGCAGGGCAATGATCACACCACAACAGGGCTGAATGCCTACCAGACTCCGCCTACCGAGCTGCGCCCAACGAACTCCTTTGACGAGAACAGCCGGCCAACCTCTCCTCACAATGTCTCTTCGCCAACATTTAACAACCCCCAGAACTTCCTCTCGGTCCCTCCAGCACGCTCACGTGCAGGCTCCTTCGACACTCTTGGTGCCGAATCGTCATCCACAGGAACATACGTCAACTCATCACCAGAGCACGGCATGCCCAAAGCCTTTGGCCCTCAAGACAGCCATGGCGGTCCCGAGGTTCTCAGCGCTGCTGAGGCGTTGCACCCGGATCCTGGCACCGAGGCAGACTTCACCCGCGAGAACAACCCCTTCGCCTTTACCCCTGGCCAGATGGGCAGGATGTTCAACCCCAAGAGTCTGGGTGCATTCCATGCCCTGGGAGGAATCGCAGGTATCGAGAAGGGTCTCCGATCTGACCGCAAGACTGGTCTGAGCTTGGAGGAGCAGCACCTTGATGGCCAGATTTCTTTCGAAGAGGCAACTGATCATGAAAATCCCAACGCACAATATGTTTCCAAGGGCGGCAACAGCACCACGTCTGCTAGTGGCCCCTTCTCCGATCGTATTCGCATCTTCGGCGACAACCGTCTTCCCGAGAAGAAGGCCAAACCGCTGTGGCGTCTCGCTTGGGAGGCATACAAAGACAAAATCCTTCTCTTGCTTACCGGTGCTGCTGTAATCTCGCTCGCCCTGGGTCTCTATCAGACTTTCGGCACTCCCAAGGTCAACGGAGAACCTCATGTGGAATGGGTCGAAGGTGTCGCCATCGTCGTTGCCATTGTCATTGTCGTCTCGGTCGGAGCTCTCAACGACTGGCAAAAGGAGCGTCAATTCGTCAAGCTCAACAAGAAGAAGGACAACCGTGTTGTCAAGGTCATTCGATCTGGCAAGACTCTGGAAATCTCGGTCCACGACATCTTCGCTGGTGACGTCTTGCTTCTCGAGCCTGGTGACATGGTTCCCGTCGACGGTATCCTCATCGAAGGTCACGGCATCAAGTGCGACGAATCTTCTGCCACCGGCGAATCTGACATAATCAAGAAGAGTGCTTCCGAGGAGGTCTGGCGTGCCATGGAAGCCCACGAGCCGCTTAGAAAACTGGATCCCTTCATTCTCTCTGGCGCCAAGGTCACCGAAGGTATGGGCAAGTTTCTTGTTGTCGCTACTGGTGTCAACTCGAGCTACGGCAAGACCATGATGTCTCTCCGCGAGGACAGCGAAGTCACTCCTCTGCAGTCAAAGCTGAACACTTTGGCCGAATACATCGCCAAACTCGGTGGAGCTGCTGCTCTGCTGCTGTTCATCGTGCTTCTGATCAAGTTCTGTGCAAAGCTTCCTGGAGACCGTAGAACCCCTTCAGAGAAGGCCCAGAACTTTCTCAACATTCTTATTGTCGCTGTCACCATCGTTGTCGTTGCTGTTCCGGAAGGTCTGCCTCTAGCCGTCACCCTCGCACTGGCTTTCGCAACCAAGCGTATGACCAAAGACAACAACTTGGTCCGTGTTCTCAGATCTTGTGAGACCATGGGCAATGCAACTACAGTCTGCTCTGACAAGACCGGTACTCTCACCCAAAACGTCATGACTGTTGTCGCCGGAACCGTCGGAACCACTTCTCGCTTCAGCAGCAAGGTTGGTAAGGACCAGGATAACCAAGCAGCCAGTGTCGATAGCGTGGACACCAATGAGTTTGTTGGTACTCTGGGCGACAATGTCAAGACTCTCATGAAGGACTCTATCGCGTTGAACTCTACTGCCTTTGAGGGCGAAGAAAATGGTAAGCCCACTTACATCGGCTCAAAGACGGAAACAGCTCTTTTGTCCTTCGCTCGCGACTTCCTGGGTATGGACTCCATCAGCACTGAACGCTCCAACGCCGAGCTTGTCCAATTTATGCCATTCGATTCCGGTCGCAAGTGTATGGGTGTTGTCCAGAAGATCGGCAACAAGTACAGACTTTACGTCAAGGGTGCTTCTGAGATCATGCTAAGACATGCTACTATGATCATCAGAGACCCCAGCAAGGGCGTTGATGCTGTGTCCATTTCCAACGACAATGTATCAACACTCAACCAGCTCATCGAGACTTACGCCTCCAACTCTCTTCGTACCATCGGCTTCCTCTACCGCGACTTCGAACAGTGGCCTCCTAAGAACGCCCGCAGATCTGAAGACGACAAGACTCAAGTCATCTTCGAAGATGTCCTCAAGGACATGACCTTCCTCGGCGTTATCGGTATCCAGGACCCTCTTCGTGCTGGTGTCACAGACGCTGTCATGGACTGTCTTACTGCTGGCGTCTTTCCTCGTATGGTTACCGGTGACAATATTATGACTGCAAAGGCCATTGCCACCGAGTGCGGTATCTTCACTCCTGGAGGTGTCGCTCTTGAGGGACCTGTCTTCAGAAAGATGTCCAAGGCAGAGCAACTGGCTGTCATTCCCAAGCTCCAAGTTCTGGCAAGATCTTCTCCTGACGACAAGCGTGTCCTCGTTAAGCGTCTCAAGGAAATGGGTGAGACTGTCGCTGTTACTGGTGATGGTACCAACGATGCCCCTGCTCTCAAGGCTGCCGATGTGGGATTCTCCATGGGTATCGCCGGTACTGAGGTCGCGAAAGAGGCCTCTGACATCATTCTCATGGACGACAACTTTGCTTCCATCATCAAGGCCCTCATGTGGGGTCGTGCTGTCAACGACGCTGTCCAGAAGTTCCTGCAATTCCAGATCACTGTCAACATTACAGCTGTACTGTTGGCCTTTGTGTCAGCCGTTGCCAGTGACGATGAAGCTTCTGTCCTCACTGCTGTTCAACTTCTCTGGGTAAACCTCATCATGGATACATTCGCCGCGCTGGCTCTCGCTACCGATCCACCCACCCGCAACATCATCAATCGCAAGCCTGCTCCCAAGTCTGCTCCTCTCATCACAGCGAACATGTGGAAGATGATCATCGGCCAAGCCATCTACCAGCTCATCGTCACTTACATCCTGTACTTTGGCCAGAAGCGTGGTGGCTCTGGTCTGCTGAGCTATGCCAACGAGGGTGAACGTGAAAGACTCAACGCCATGGTCTTCAACTGCTTCGTCTGGATGCAGATTTTCAACATGTTCAACAACAGACGTCTCGATAACAAGTTCAACATCTTCGAAGGTGTTCAACGCAACTCGTTCTTCATCTTCATTGCGCTTATTATGATCGGCGGTCAGGTGATGATTATGTTTGTTGGTGGTCGCGCCTTCAGCGTCGAAAGACTCACTGGAGAGCAATGGGCATACTCGGTTGGTCTTGGTGCCATCTCCATCCCAGTCGGTATCATCATTCGTCTGATTCCTGACGAGCTTGTCGTACGCCTGGTTCCAGCTTGGCTCAAGCGCAAGGCCGCACCCAAGCTTGTCGTAGAAGACGAGGAGCGACCTTTCGAGTACAGCCAGGCTCTTCTTGACATCCGCGATGAACTCGCCTTCATCAAGAGAATCAAGGGTGGTCGCCTCAACCAGATCAAGTTCACTCTCAAGCACCCTCGCGAAGCTCTTCTCCATTCACGCTCGGTATCCAGATCGCGTAGTAGCATGTCTCTGCCGCAAACACCCAACGGTGAACACGATGGAGAAGCTCAATCGCTTGCACCTCCCACACCCGACTCTCGCCGCCGCTCGCGTGGTCGTTCAAGATCGAACTCGGCATTTGCTGGCGCTGCCATGGCGGGTATCGTGGCAGGCAGCATCGGCGCTGCATGGTCTCCGATAGAACGAGGCCATGGCGATGCCGACAGCATGAAGTTTGCACGCGCTAGATCGCGAAGCGATCTGAGCCGTGAGAGCGGCCTCGACATCCACCCCGACACTAAGCCTCAGGACCCTGTCGTAGTTCAACAGCAAGTTGATGGACACCACCCACCAAGTCAGTCCAACGACACCACTCCAGCCTTCGGATCGGGACCATTCGCTGGACATCCTGACATCAAGGATGTTGGTAACAACAAACAGTAGTAGCTAGCTGGAGATTTGACTATTACGACACGATGGAGCGAATGATGGTTTATTTTCTTTCTTGTCATTACTTTGCGTGTGGGCATTATCGGGTCAAAGGCGTCAGGGAAACGATAGATATCCTCTTTGCTTTTTTGTTTGTTTCATACATATGCCTATAGGAAGCACAAACACTTCCTACTCTCGATACCTCAGTTCTTCTCGGCTTGTATTCCTTGTCTCTTATATTTGTAGTCACTGGCAACTCGCTCACGACTGTTGTCAAATAAAAGCTCGCCTTTATTCAAAGCATTTTGTTCATTAAACAATCCTTCAAGGGTGATCAGTGCCAGAAGAGGAAGTTCGAGCACCCGTGGTCATGCAAAGGGTAGGAAGCAACGAGCCGAGTGACTTTCACGTGAAAACATGTATCGGCCAATCACATGGGAATAGGCTCGTAGCGGAAAGAACAGCGTCATCCTGAGGCCGAGCTCCAAAGCTTGGAGAGGACGGGTAATCTCAAGCGAAAGGAAGTGAGCAATTTCGACTTTGTGGATGGGCAGCGGAAAAGGCGGGCTGCAGGAGTGCAGCAGTGACAGTTTCGAACTGGGACGGTCAGCAGAAGCTGCAACATGGAATCGAGACTCAGGAGCACTCAGGCGCCCCTTTGTTTGTGGCCTTTTGCGCAAAGTCGATTGAACCAAGGGGAAAGGGTCCGGCTTGGCTTTGCGAATCGAGGCGCGTTCAAACTCCAGGGCCTACCAGAGTGGGCAAGGCCCGACTCTCTCTAGACGCACTGGCCCCTCTGTCTCCAAATGCCAATTCCCGAGCCCCTCTCAACTCACACGATCACCCATTCTTTCTGCCAGCCCGCCCTGACATTGAAACAACGCTGACTTTGCATGGCTTGATCCGACCGCGTGTGCATTTCTGTCAACTTTCGTCTCGTTCCAAAACTTGCTCGGTCGTTGCTTCCTGTACTGCCTGCCCGCGTGCCTACATCCCGCTTTGATCACTCTCTCTAACATGGACTTGCACCTGCTCAGAGCAGACTCTCCCATGGCCGTCCGACACATCGACCTCTGCTACGATCACACCGATTCCGAGCGCTCCGCTTTGCGACTGATATACACATTATGCCCCGACTGGGAACACGATCAAGGTCCCGTCGAACTCATCCCCTTCACCGAAGGCATCACAAACACTGTACGTTGAGACAAGCCTCTCTCGTCAGCTCACTCGGGTTTGCAACTGACAGCCACCATTCACAGCTCATGAAAGCGATCAAGAAACGACCGGGATACACACAACAAGACATTGATTCGGATGCGATCCTCCTGAGAGCATATGGAAAGGGAACAGATGTCCTGATAGACCGCGAGCGTATGCCCACTCCCGATGAAACGATTGCGACGCCCAATTGACACGCCCAACAGGAGAAACTCGATCGCATTCTTTGCTTGCGGGCCGCGGACTAGCGCCTCCACTATTCGCACGCTTCGAGAACGGCCTACTCTACAAATACATCGCAGGCGACGTATGTAGTCCAGAAGACCTCCGAAGACCCGACGTCTACCGCGCAGTCGCTAGAAGACTTGGCCAATGGCACAGCACACTGCCCATTGCTGCGATCAGTTCGCTTCAGACACTGCAGGAGCAGAATGACGTAGCAGATCACATTCAACACCACACAGACACAGCCGGCAACAAGAGGCCAAAGCCCAGTTTGTGGACAGTCATGCAAGAGTGGATCAACGCGCTACCAGTAGCCACACCGAAAGAGAAGGAACGCAAGAACATGCTGCAACAAGAATTGACATACCTCTCGAACGAGCTAGGACAAACTCCTGGCCTGGACGGTTACGACTACATTTTTGCCCATTGCGATCTTCTGTCGGGCAACGTGATTGTACATCCTGGTCAACGAGAAGGAGGTAAGGGTCTGACAGTAAGCTTCATCGATTACGAATACGCTACTCCAGCACCTGCCGCCTTCGATATCGCCAACCACTTCGCCGAATGGGGCGGTTTTGATTGCGACTACACCGCTCTGCCAACACGCAGCCAACGCGCTGATTTCATTGCTCAATACCTTGCATCATACCGCAATTTCGCACCTGTATCAGACTCGGAAACCATCCAACGGGAACAACAGCAACTCTTCAGCCAAATCGACAACTTCCGCGGCCTACCAGGCTTCTACTGGGGCATCTGGTCTTTGATCCAAGCCACTATCTCGCAGATTGACTTTGACTACGCTTCATACGCTGACATCCGCTTGGGCGAGTACTGGGCATGGAAAGCAGAGCAAGACGGTTCCAGACAACGAGAAGGACGCGAGCCGACATTGCGAGAGAAGAGATGGGCCGAGGAGTAATTTGCGCCAGCTATACGTGGCTGAGCCATTCATTGAACAACCACAGATGTCGAAGATAATGTCCAACACACAACAGCAATTCAGGAAAACAGTGGAAAACCTGGATGACTACCACTACTACTACTTTTTAAACAAAAGTTTCGAGGTTCTCTCTCTTTTTATTGTTCGCTTCCCGAGCGCCGCAGCAGATCGCATTAGAGACTTTTGTAATAATCTTTTGTCCTTCTCTTTTTACATTTAATCTCTTTTGTTACACTTTTCTTGTCTCACAACCGCTCTTGCTTTTGTATCTAATGTCTCCGAGGGAGGAAGCGCGGCAGTTTTGTCTTTCAACAAGGATACCCGTTCGTTCAATGGAAGGATGTTTTTCATACTGCTCAACCTCTATTTGTTTGGCTTGAGGGTTGAGGTTTTGTAGATGTCGCGTATTGACAGTCTTGTCACTTCAGCTTCCACTTGAGGTCCATTGATAGTCTCTAACAAACACAGTAAATCGTCTGTGAACGAACGCTCCAACGATGACAACCTCTCTCTTCCAGTAGCACTTTTTTACTTCTTATTTTGTCTTGTTACTCTCCATCCTTGCAGTGTCCATTATCTTTGCTTCGGAAGACTATAGCTTCTCTGAAGTCTTTCTTAATTGGCTGATTTGAATATTTAGTCTTCTACGTTCATCAGTCATCAAGCAACGAAGGCAGCAAGCAGAAACCTACCCCATCGTCTTGATCAGTTTTGCCGTCAAAGAAGAAAGCTTTCAGCTAGCTCTAACTCCTTGAGCATCTTCTTCTGTAGCACATCCTCGGCGAGCTTCTTGATCCAGGATGGAAGTTCTTTCTCCAACATCTGCTCGAGCTCTTCGACCTCCTTCTTGTCGAGTTTGTCGCGGAACGCTTGTATCTTGTCTTCGACCTGAGATCTGTGGGTTTGTATTTGCTTGATGGCTGTAGCGATGGTCGGCACCTCTGTCTTGATGACGACCTCTTCGTCAGAGCCAGTCAGATCGACCGTGACGGAGGTTTCGGAGCCGCTAGGTGCAGGGGTGGCACCAGGAGTGGTGGTTCGTTTTCGATGGGGGCCATTGGGGTTGAACGTAATCGAGTTTGTTGATGCAGAAAGAGTTGAACCCGAGCGCTCGACCGATGGTGGTGGCACATCGGCTTCCAGAAGCTTGATACAGGCTCTGAAAAACGTGTTCTGCAACGTGCGTCCCTTGTTTTCGTTAGGGCTTACGATGTCGAAGATAACGGGATGCCACTTGTCACAAATGATGCTTCTGCCTTTGGGACTGTACATGGAAGCATCATAAGCCTCAGGGACGTGACACAGAGAACTTTCTCCGGGTATAGGAGGCTTGAACCAGACTTCCTTCTCGACGCGGTCATGGCCTTCGAATGCATAAACCCAACCGATCAACAATGAGCCACTCTGAAATCGGACAGCTGATCTTTCAAGGAAGAACAGCAGGCCCGGTTCGAAGCAGGCTCGGATTAAGGCTTGAGAACTCACGGAACCGATGATGCGAGTAATCGCATCGACATCTGCCGGGGTTGGGATGGTCCTGTGCTTTTTGCACAGATGATCGTAGCTCGCGCGAGCATGAGGGATAGCGTGATAATGTTGGTTCCGCTGCTGCGACATCTGCAATAGTGTCAGGATGTCGGACGACGACAGATCACAGCCGAAAGCTATTTACCTTGTTGAGCTGCAGCGAAGTGACACACCAGAGAGCTGGAGAGGCCGTAGTGTCGTGTCTGTGGTGGAACTTGCTTTGGTGAGGATCAGTGACGCGTCTAGAAGGAAACAACAACAAGAGAATTGGAGTCGTCCACCGCAGAAAGAGGCTTAGTCGCCTTCTCGATCCTGGCACGAAACTTTCACTTACCCATCACTGCTCCCAAGCCATGGACAAATCCTCAGCAGTTTCCTTCACTGTCATGGCGTATCTTGTTATTGGAAAAATTTGTCAAATCTTGGAACCTACCACAGTAGTCTTGACTCGTTCATCACTAACAGGATGATCGCTCTCCTAGTGAAGACTGATCAGGTACCCCGAGTGAGACTTTTTCCTGGCAGAGCTGAACTCTTTGCCAACTCTGTCTGCTTGAGCTTTTTTTCTCTACAAGATGCCAGTCCAACAGTCTGTTCTCCTCGAAAAGTCCCGCTGTTGGTTGTAGCAGTCGAGGTGTGGAAAAGAGTCGAAAAATCTAGCTGGATGGCAGTGGATTTGAGGATAAAAGAGATGGTGATCTCTGCTGATTCCTCCAAGCCGGGTTGTGCCCTGGGAACCTATGAACATACCCAATGGTTTACACAAACGAAGACCTGTTCAGCGAAAGGTGCCGACTTGTTCGGATCCCGCATACTGAACATAGAACGATTGAGTGCTCTGTCTCAAGCCTCAAGATAGCGCCAAAGAGCAGTAACATGAAGATGTTCTGACGATGACTGTTCACAAAACAACCATGCTGTTCAAGTCGAAGTCCAAGTAGGAGGTCAAACGCATGGTACGTGCACAGCGTAGCCAAGCCTCTCACATCACTTTCGGAATATCCAATCAAAACTTCATCCCTTCGCTGCCGACCGCCTAGCTGCATAATTCAACCGTGCCGTGGAATAACGCCGTCGTTCAATTGAGATAACCCAGTGGATTTGTTTCAGAAACAGCATTTGGGAGCACAGATATGCCACTTGTTTGATACCTTGCCACACTCTCTGATGGTACAGAAACGGCTTGTCTCCAAACGCCCCTGAAGAGGTGGACCCTGAAGGTCGTCAATATGCTGTGGTATCTGCTTTATCCAATTAGAGGGTAGGTCTTACAACAGCCATTATCAAAAATGTATGTTGATGCTGTGTTGGAAGGACAAGTGATCCCCCTCGCCTGAGATCAGATCATCCTATCCGGAGAGCCTTCTATCGACATGGACTTATCACAGCTCGATACTGGCTTCTTTGTATGCTTGTATCGGTGTCAGTCGGTGTATCCCTGATATATCCTACAGTCTTCCAATCAGACTTTCCTGCTGCTGGCCTCAGCGGATTGCCTCATCATGTTTGGGCCTCGACTAGAGCATTTTCAGGGGATGCTGACAAGCCCCACGACCTTGAGATGCGCCAAATATGGATACATGGAAGTTACATGAAAGCACTTGAAAAAGATCTACTTCGCGATGTCTTTGTGCTACAAAATGCCATCCTTGGTGAAACCTCCGAGGCTCATGTTGCTGCTGCACATGGAAGCACACATCCAAACTGGGGCTATCATTCACCACTGACGTACTGGAACGACTCTCTTGCTCGATTGGAAGCGGATCCGGATATCCTGCATACAGTCAACGAGGACACATGCCAACCTTCTTTCCTAAACTTTACCCTTCGCCCATTGTCTGTGTTCGCGGGCAAGGCCTTCTCTGGCTCACAGCTTGAGGCAGCGGATGCATTGGTCATCTCTTTGTTCAACCGCAATAACGATCCGAAAGGCGAGATCTGGCAGAGAAACATCAATATCGTCGCTAGCCAGTCTTCTGGGTTACCTATACAATATGAACGGAATGGCACCCCCGAGCATAGTCAGCTGTTCGAGTACCGGATTCAGCCACTCAGTTTCCGTCAAAATTCTCTTCTGGCCATCGCATATGGCATCATATTCATCTATGTCGGCTTGAGCTTGAGAAGACTAAAAGCTTTTCACAGTCGATTCGGCTTGGTCGTCACTGCTATCACACAGATGACAACCTCTATTCTCGCAAGTTTTACTATCTGTGGTCTGCTACAAATCAATCTCGCTCAAATCCCTCAGGAGGCCTACCCTTTCGTTGTGTTGGTCATAGGACTTGAGAACATATTCAGGTTGATTAATGCCGTTGTCGCATATCCGCCGGAGATGATGAACACGCAACGAATCGCAAACGGAATGGCTGACATAGGCCATTCTTCATTGGCCTCGGCAGCGCAAAACTTACTCATCCTATGGCTGCTTTCTCTCGTTGTTTCTCCTGGTGTAGCAGCGTTCTGTGCTTTCGCTGCCGTGGCACTTCTTTTTGACTACTTCTTCCTTCTTACATTCTTCCTCGCTGTCCTCAGTGTTGATATACGAAGACTGGAGCTACAGGACTCGATCACTAGGAGCAGCGGCACTCCAAAGCATAAGCCAAGACCAAAACATTACCGTGCCCACAGTCATCATCATGCTCATCGCAATGAGAAGCATACGTGGATTGATGCACTGATTCATGGCAGGGTGCCTTTCTCTACGCGTATGGCGGGATCTGCAGTGACCATCAGCTTTGTCATGGCTCTTAACTGGCATCTTACGGCCCACGGCCCACGCACTTCTGCGTCTGGTGTATTCCCAGGACTTTTTGAGAAGCAAGCACTTCCAATTACTACATTTGATGGCACAACACCCCCACCGGCCAATCAGAGTCGGCACCCTGCGACCTGGCTTCGCACTCAAGACTACGAGAATGCCGTACACTTCATGAAAGTTGTCAGGCCTGGAGGTCAAGGGTTTGTCGCCAAGATCTACGACCCCTTAATCATCACTCTCGGAGGTGCCGACAGAAGTGGAATTCTTCTTCGCAAAGAGACGTGGCTAGACTCTATTCGCGGAGTTGCTATACAACACTTTTATCCCACCGCCATCTCGGTCGTCTTTGTCGTGGCATTTGTCACGGTTCTCATGAACTTCTTGCTGTGGGATGATAGAGCTGAAGACGCCGAGTACGAGAATGGTGGAGACAATCTCCCGCTCACAGTACATGCAATCGAAACGGGTCACATGCTAGACATCGTCAAAACTACTGGTAGTCGACAAGGTCATATGCTGTCTGTAGCGTTAGACCGTACGTTATCGATCCTACTCTTCAAGCCGGTCAGCAACTCGTACACGACGATCCACCCCTCTCCAGATCAGTGTAGGCAGATCAAGTGGCCTGTACATGCATGCAGTATCAGCGATAAGGGGGACTGGATGGCTATCTTGGGCGACGATGGCCGAGTTTTGCTGGGAAGCCTGTCGAGAGGAGAGTTCACGCACGACTTTGTGATAGAGAGTGAAGAGAAGCTGCCGTTGCTATTCGAGTTTGTACCATCCCCATCGACACCCAACGGACAAGGCGTTTCCTTTGCAGTTGTCTCTGCCGATGGACGGTTGACCGAGTATCATACTCACAACAACTCTATTCAGACATTCCGAGTCTCGGAAGGAGAGCTATTAGCTGCTTCGTTCAGCTTGGCCCAACGACATCTGCCCAAAATCATACTCTTGCATCCAGATGGCCACGTCTCGGCATTGCAAAAAGCATCGGGCATGTGGAGCTTCAAGGAGATGCCTCTTGGATATCCTCGCCCACTGTCCGACAAAGCAGCCAGTGCGAACGCATGCCTCCACAGCATCGATGAAGTGGAGGCGTCACTGATTTGTACAACAAACACCATAACCCTCCTACACGCACCCACGATACGTCAGTCTGGATCTTTCAACATGCCCAATGTAAAACCCAACAGCGTCCGCGTCTTACACACAGGCAGATCGCAATGTCTGAGTTGCGGCGGCATGACGGCCGAAAGCCTCTCCCTAGTCTTCACCGACATTGAGAGCCGCGAATGCGTCGTCCGTACATATGCAGCTCAAGGCGAGCCGTTCAAGCCTCTTGGCCTGTTCACTGAAGACTTGGTTTGCAACTGCGCGGCCAAATTCCACTGGGAGAAGGATGAACACAGACTGCAGGATGCTGGATCTTGGGAGTCTACCACAGAGGCTGTAGTGGGCTTGAGAAGGAAGCCGCAGAGTCCGCCTTCTTCTCCTGTCGTAGGACCGAGAGATGGCGGAAGTTTGCTCAGGAGAAGGAAACGAAGGGGCACAGGGACCAGTGAGCAGGAAGTGGATGAGAATGAGGTGTGGGAAGCGTATCTGTACTCGGCGTCTGGCGAACTGCATACGGTGCCTGTCGATATGGCTGGAGAGAATCAGCTGTATGCCACTCGGGCTGGTCCAGCATGCCAGCTTGGCTATCGATCTGTGGCTATCGTGCTGGGCAGTACGGTCTACGTGGTCAAAGTCTGGGACAACTGGGCAGACAAGGGTGCCAAAGGAGTATCGGAGGGAGGATCACAGCCACTGCTCTCACGGAGAAAATGGACCAGGAAAGCACAGTAGACCCACTGCTCGCTGAAGAAGGCAAGTCGCCATTCCGTAGCGATATATAAAGAATCCAAAGCCTCAGAGCCATAGCTCAAGAAGGGGGTATACCAATCGCGCTTCGCCTATGAAGAAACCCCAAGTAATGCCGTAGGTATCTTTCGCTAAAACGCCTCCCCCATCGTCAATTCATTTGTCTCGTGCATCCCAAGCTCTTTCTGTCGCTCAGTTGTATCTTCTGGCTTCAGCATTGGCGTCTGCGTTTCTAGCCAACAGGGCCTCTCTGCTAGCTTCGTTCCTGGTTTCGTTTTGCGTCTGTGCCCTTTGCGCGTCTAGTTGCTTGCCCAGTTTGCCTCTTGCTGGTTTCGGTTGGTTGCGGTTCTGTTTGTGCTGTGTCAGTCGCCGTGACTCTCACTCGCCAAAGCAGGGCCGGTGGTGTAAGTGGAGCAAGGCATACCTCGGCAGCCATGGCGGCGGCAGTGCGGGGATCGCTAGTCCCTGGAGACGGAGAAGCACCGAGTGTACGGCCTCCCTTGGGCGTTGGCGAGTATGTGGCTGCGACAGCGGATTTGGGTGCCGGAGTGGAAGTGACGGGCTTTGGAGGTGGATTGCTGCCGAGGGTCTGGCCTTGACTGGAGAAGTTGTCGGACTTTGGTTTGCCGAAGCAGTTGCCCATGATGTAGGGCTATTAGGAATGGTCGGATGGGAAGAATAGAGGGAGTGAGAAGTTCAGGACATGGTATGGCGTGTTGGTGAGTGGGAACAGGGTTGCGCCGAGAGATGGGCTTGGAGGCTGGTGCTCGGCGGACACGAGGCGTGGCGTTGGTGGGGGTGTGTGGGGGAGTGAAGGATTGGGAAGAGTCGAGACAGAAAAGAGCGAGCATATCTAACAGCAGAGTATATAATATGATGAAGATAGGAAAGAGAGATGCCTCAGAACCGTCAACTCACAGTCAATCGTTCGAATGCGGTCGCGTAGCTTTACTTTACTCGCTCGTGTTGCCGTAAGGTTGAATGACGCTCGTGGATTTTCAACCCTCGTGGGCAGTTGCGGACGCCCTCTTTTCTTTGCTCTTGCTCTTGCTCTGCATCACATCACACATAAAACACGTAGGACATGTCTATCCCGTGAATCCCAGTCAATACAGACACTTCAGACACAGATTTCAAATCTGCTGGGCAACAACAAGTCAAATCGTCTGTGGGAAATCCAGCAAATAATCACGTGACAACCTTGATTTCCAAGGTAGGATGCACTGTCTTTAGTTCCGTTACGGTCATGTTCAGATCACGGTTCTAGATAGAAGACAATTAGAGAGGATCTTGAGTGGGAGTCTAGCTGTATTAGAAGATGTATCTGCATTGTGGTTGTGAAGAGAGGCACCCAAGTGAGAAGGTGGAATTGGCAGGCACCTTGATGGTTCCCACTAGGCAGGTAGGGAGCGATCAGTCTTTCGATCATTTACTGTCCAATTGAGCAAGAGCAAGACCAGGGAGCATGTCGCACCCTCCCTACGCTTGGACCGAGTCTTTCAGCGGTATGTATCCGTCGTTGGAGCATCTGTTTGGTGCAGTCGATGCAGGCAACGAGGCGCGGGAGGAGTGCCCCACGCACAATGGCAAGTTTCGACAACAGCCATTCACGCCAGCGGAAAACGTCAGCACCCTCGAGTCGCATCCTTTCCACCACCACGCCGTCGACCACATGGCGCGTCAAAAGGTCCCGCCGCCCGGTCTATTGTCGTCGTCGGCGTCGGCGTCGGCTCCGCTTTTGTCTTTCGCCTCGTCGACAAAGGCCATGGCCGGGCCTGACCACGGAACATGTTTTCTCTCGGCCCCGTGCGACAAGCCCGACTGCGATGAGGCCACCATCTGCTACGATTACTCTCTACCCCACTACGCCGACATCCACTGCTCCCAGGAGGCTTTCAGCTGCCCGGAGACATTCGACTGCGCAGAAACAAACTGCCATGCCGCCGATTGGGTGTGCACCGAATTGGACTGCCACGAACCCGCTTGCGATCAAGAAGACACCCGAGAGTGCACTCCAGCCTGCGCTGCTGCCACCGTCCCCTGCTCCGATCCGACTTGCAGTGACGACCACCTGTACTGCTGCCTCTCGGATGTCTGTCCCCGCCCTCATCCTCCCGGCACAGAATGTCCTCAACCATTGTGCCACGACCAACACACACATGCTGCCACCACAATCTGTCACCCTGGACCTGCAGTCGCTTGCACACAACCATACGGCTACAAAGTTCCGTCAACAGCCACCGCCAGTCAAGATGCCATGTCGACTAGCACCATCAGCACGCCAACTACAGATTCTATCCCCACACCAGACAATTTTCAATCTCTGATAGAGGCTGCTGCATTGATGCCTCATGTCGGTTACGGCTTCTCAACCACCAGGTAAGTAACATAGACTTCGTTGTCTCCCTCCCCATTTCCAGAATTGTGCCACGCGGGTAGCTGTAAAAATGCACAGTTGCTTTAGTGATCAAGAGGCATCCATGGAGAGTCATACTTTCTCATGGACCTGCCTACTATCTAAGAAGCACCATGCGTTGCAATGCTACATTTCTCCCTGTGTGCCGCCGTGAAAGTGCACTGGAGTCTACATTGTCAGCACACAGAGACGAAAGATCAGATCGCTGACGTCTGCAGTACCTATCCGCCGCGAAAACGCATGCGCCTCGACGAGTCGAATTCCTCTTTCAGCGACTTCAATGCACCGTACTACTCGTCAAACGACTACTGGCCGCAGGACCTCTCCCACAGCTTCTCGTCATCGCAATTCGCCTCGACTAGTCAGCCAATCACCGCCAGCGCGTCCCCGGCCATCAAAACCAAAGCACGTCAGGACAAGGCCTCAAAAGACCAGGAAGAGACCGCTGTATGCAGATGGAACGATGAAATCACTGGGTAAGATTCCGATCTGCATATTTTATCCGAAAAAAGGCTGATGAAATGTCTCCCAGACCGTGCAATCGCGTCTTTGCTACTATTGAGCATCTGCACAACCACGTCAAAGACCATACTTGCACCTTGGTTCCTTCAAAAACGCCCAACCGCACATTCGTTTGTCGCTGGGAGGGCTGTGAGAAGGATGCACCTTTCGGTACTAAGAATCATCTCGACCGCCACATGCAAAATCACACTCGATGTAAGTACTTGCGTGTAATTACTATCGAGTCCTGCAATGCTCATATCACATCTAGTCAAGCCGTTCGCCTGTAGCATCTGTGGTCACCGTTGCGTCACTCAACAACAGCTGAACAACCACTTGACGACACATTCCCGAGAGAAGAAGTTCAAGTGTGACTATCCAGGCTGCGGCAAGGTCTTTGGTGTCAAGACAGCTCTGTCGACTCACAAACGCACACACACTAACGAGAAGCCTTTCTCGTGCCGCTGGTGTGGGGATAGCTACTCAGACAGCTCAAACCTATCGAAGCATCGGAAGACCGTGCACGAGGACGACAAGACAGCAATCCCTTGTCCACACCCCGGCTGCGAGTACAAAGACTCCCGCGCTCAACGGCTCGAGCGTCACTGCCGCGATACCGGCCACGGAATGGCTCTATACAGCGACGCCCACAAATGGACCGAGTACACGAGGAAAAAGCAAGTGCGGAGCCGCACAGCAAGTGTTGCTCCCAGCATGGCTTAAGATTCGAGGAAGAAAGAAGAAGCATTTAACGAGCCATGATCACAAAAAGTTTCATTTCTGTCTCTTTTGCTCTTTGTTGTAGATAAAACATCATTTTCTGTGGATAATTTGAAATTAGAGAGGGAGGATTTGAAAAGCATGAACAGCAGAATATCAGCATTTGCCATTTCCGAGACCGTATCAGAAGGTCTTCTTGTAATGATCCCATCTGCGGCACCCACTTTCAGACGAGTCCCCTTCGCAATGATAGTACTGACTGGCTCATTGCTTATGAGATAATTATGAGGCTTCAACAATACCAGGTCATCAATGATAATTAATGGTCGTTGCAATTCACTGTTCGCTGCTACCCACTCTGGCAACACCATACAAGCATTCACCATTGTCGTCGATCTATCTCAATAGCGACTTCTTCCTCATCTTCGATTCCCTTCTAGCTTTACCTTCATCCGCAGCCTTCCCATTCTCTATGAAATTCTATGAGGCTTCACTCCGATACCAGGCCAACATCACTCCCTGCAACTTACTGTAAGCTCCTGCCAACACTCAACACCTTGCTCATTGGAAGGTGAATAGCAACACGAGCACTCGCTATTGTCGTTATTTCACCTGATCAGTTACTTCCTACTCATCACTTGATCATCACTCCTTCCCTCTTGTCGCTCCACCATACCTCCTTCCTCTATCAACATCCTTCTTCTGTCGATATCTTCCCTCTTCCGACCTCATCCACTGTCGACCTTCCAAGATAACTCAATTCCACACCTTCTACGATCTCGATCAAGCCCATCCACCATCCATCCATCGACGATCTCAACTCTATCGAACAACAGCCACTCATCCATCACAATGGCAACCGCTCCACGCCAGCAGCTCGCAAGTCGTGCCGCCGGACGCAAGCAATTCAAGCGTACCTACAAGATCCCTCGCTCTCTCAAGAAGGCCATCAAGAAGAACCTGTATCAGATCGTCAAGGAGCGTGAACGCGAGATCCGCGATGAGGAGGTGAGTACTTTCATACCCAGGGGCGATCCATCTCTGTTCTTTGTTCTTATCCAGAGATTGCTTTTACAGACATCGCGCTGACCCCTCCTTCACAGCATGAGAAAGCCTCCATCCACCACAAAGCATTCCTCTCCGGCATCTGCAGTAACCTGTCTAAGATGATCGACCTCTGGGATACATATGGTGGAAGTGACGAATTGGGCAATGAACTTGAGATCCAGCTCGCCCATAGCTTCTACACAGTTGGCTTCGAGACGGCAAGACAAAATGGAGGCTTACCCGCACAGACAGCTTTTGCGAGACGCGTACTTGAGAAGCGATTGGGCATTGAAGATCTGTACGACAGAATCAGAGCCTGGTTGATCGAGCAAGGCGAGGATGCAGTTGAGGTCGAAAAGTTGGGAAAGGAAGCAGAGGTTAAGATGAGGTTGAAAATGAAGACAACGAGCTGGACGCCACCGAGGTGTATGACTGGACCTCTACATCCACTTTGGAGTGACGAAGAAGCAAAACCATCAGCTTCGAACCATATGGATGCACTTGATACATCTGAGATGGACTGAAGATTGGAATGGAGGAAGGGGCTTCTGCATGCATCAGTGCTAAGGACATCGATCAGGAGAGTTTCGAAAAGAAAATCAGGAAAGATTGATTGCAAGATTTTCGGAACCGGAAGGATGACGGAGGAAATAGGAGAAGAGACACTTCCCGCAAGACAGGCTTTGCGATATAACTATCATCTAACATAGGTTCAAACATGCGTAGAACGGTTCCAAATCATACAGGCTCAATTCTTCAAAACTTTTCTGTCACAACAATACTCAAACCCTCTCGTACAGTAATGAGTAGTGGATTATCACTGTCTGATCGCACGGTATCCTGGCAAAAACATGTGTGGCCATGGAAGTATTAAGACGACCTCTCTCTGTGGATATAGCTCTGCTCTAGACAATTCTGTGCATCTTGATAGCTGATATTCACTGATTCTTAGCACATGAGAGAGAGACGGTTTCTTGTTCCTTCAGTCCTCATGACTCAATCTTCCATAGAAGTGTCTACCTTACAAAGACTCGAACAATCCTCTCGTCTACGCAGTTTTGTTTGGGTCGTCCGTTAGGTTTGCGGAAACTCAGAGACACATGAAATACTCGACGGACTTTCATAACAATCGTTTGTCGCTCTGCATCCCTCACATCAGTAGGGAGATTGTCCGGTTCTGGACACTGACGCTCCTTCACTAAAAGCACAGCATATGTGCTCGTTCCGAGCCAGCCGACTCTCTTGCTTTCAGTCGCAGTGATTGCAGAGTAAGTGAAAAAAGTACCTTCACTGCAACACACTAGCTACCACCATATCCTCTTGCCAACCAGATCTTGAGAACTCACTCCGTTCACCTCGTTTCTCTTGACCCTCTCAGCACCTACCCCAAGCCTTTGAACACATACTCAAGTCTGGTAAACACCTACCTCGATCACTTGACAACGTCTTATTTGAGCCTTCAACTTCTCGTTTTGGATCACCTCGTTTGACCATCGCGCTCTCGGACTACTTCGCTAGAGGAGATCGCCTGCAGGCGCACACGTACAGATCAGCTTTCAAATATTGATCACGACTTCTTGACCATGTCACACATCGGACGTTGGTTCCGAGCGAAAAAGTCCCTCTACAGAAGACGCGTCTATTACGAAGACGTTTATGGCCGCAAGAACCCCGAAGAAGATCGAGAAGGAGTCCACATCCTTGATACAGACAGTGAATCTGAAGCAGAAATCACAAGCCCGAAGCGTCGAGTCCGCGACAAAACCAGAACTACGCTCTCCAACGACAACAATCAAGCCATGGAGAGTATTGGCGAGCGTAAAGGCATAAACCCCACCATCAACGAAGTCATTACGATCGAGGACGACGACGATAGTGACGTGGATGAGCTATTCATTGCCGACCTCCAGAGACACGGTATGTTCGCTAGAAAGGTGTTGTTGGAAAGTCACTAAGATAAAACAGCAGCCGAGAATGACGATAATCAGCATATCATTGGAAACAATGATCAAGACGAGGTTGACGCAGATTTCCTAGCAGAGGTCAAGAAATACGGTATCATCGAGTCCATCACGGTTCCACCACCACTTACTAATAATGCCTAGCTTCTGAGCCTTCGGGTACCAGTGACGCGCCGAGCGATAGCATTCTGGCTCAGATTGATCAAAGAGGTATGTCAGCAATCCGTTACACAGATATAGTCATCGTACTAAGTCACTCATAGCTCAAGAATTTGCCGACCAGAGCCCTCTACGCCCAAAGAACCCAGAGCCTGTTGATCGCGTAGACATCCAAACAATGGAGAACTCTAGCGAAGCAGTGCTTGAGCAACCGGCGGAAGAGTCGGCAATCGTGCTGAGCGACTCGGTAAACGCTAGAGCTCGTGACGACACGACTGTGAGCGGTATCACCAGACGGCCTGTTGAGCGAATTCCGAGAGCGCACTCCTGGGATTCCAGTCAAGGCTCTTATTATGCCTATCCGGAAGTGGAAGCCGCTGATGTACACACAAGCGCCGGTCAAGACCAAGAAAGAGATTCAAAGGTTATTGATCAAGCACCAGCCGAATTGCATTACGACGTCGAAAGCCAAAATCACGAAGTGATCGAGCTTGAGAATTACGAGAGTCATAACAAGGCCGACGTCCAGAAGGCACAGCCTGTCGCCAAAGACCAAGACCCGCCTAACACTCAGCAGAGCGGAGGCTTGAATAATGGTAGAGAGCGAAATGGATTCTCCACGCCTCTAGAAGTTACCAAGATTCTTAGCCCTAAGAAGGGCAAACGTTTTGGCCTCTTCAGCGCCAGGTTGAGTGCCGACATCGAGCCAATTGCGAAGTCGGTTTACACTGAGCCGCCGCAGAGGCTTCGTAACCTTGTGAATAAGAGGCGCAGAGAGCACGAACAGAAGCAGGAACCAGAAAAGAGAACCAGATACAACCTACGCCCACATGGACAGCCAGCGAGAAACCACAACGGCGGTCCTATTCTCGCAAAACGATATGTGGAAGCCGATGAGTTGGATGCCGATATCAACATTAGGGTCGAGGAGCCACGAGATGGCCAAAGACGCACCAGATCCATGACAACCCATAAGGAAGCGAGGAAGCCAATCCCACGCTCCAAGGCAGCTAGAAAGACGGCATGGTCGGCGATGGGTATTACTCCTAGAGATCGGCCTCATGGAGCGAGATTGAGTCGCCAGATCGTTCAGGTGGCCATCCCGAAAATTGACAGGTCTGACTGGGAGCTCATGGCTGTGCGAACACAGTCAACAGCTGTCAATGGAATTCAGGCCAGCCTGGGAGGAGAAGATGGAGTGGCGCCAGCACTTGCCAACAATGGTTGGAAACGTATCAGCGAGGCCAGAAACAAGAAACAATCTTGGGATGCGAGAGTCGAGATTCCAAGCAGCAGAAAGCGAGTTCTTGACGTTGTTCTGATTGATTGAGATCAAAGACTAGTCAAGCGAGAGCCGACGATTAGACTAAGGACGGCCGGGAGAGAATGACTCGAAATGGGAAGACTTTTTGGCGGGGATTCGAAAGGGCAGAAGGAGTGTTTTCGTAGCACAAAGACCGTATGAAACGCAAATTGATGATGATCGATCACGTTGAAAAGACGCGCCGGACTTTCAACTGAGGCACGTTGCGGTGGAAGGAGGAAGTGGTTGGTGGGCAGCACCCGATTGGGCGATCTGCAGACCGCTGCAGGGTAAGAGCAGGGCGTTGAGATGGCTGATGTCTACGCATTCTCGAAGGAACTCACATTCTTTCAGTCATGCTCCAGATCACAAGATAGGTACTGCGTGTGGACGAGCGACCATCATGCGTCTCAGTATCCAATCTGCCTTGACCGTGTTTCACTTGGGAGTAACAGAAAGTTACAGAAAGCACAGCGAAACGCGCCCATCACGAAAAAGCTTCGCGTTCCATCGATGCCAATGCTTGGCCGTACCATCGATCTGGGGTCCGGACGATAATCAAGTCCATGCACTCCGTCAGCCAAGCGACCGTTGGTAGGTAATCAAGGCAGGTCGTGAGGATTGGCAAAATGGGAACAATGTAGGTGAAATTGCTGTGGCGGGCTCTCAGCTGGGAGTCAGAGTTATATACCCTTCTCTTTGACGCCGGACAGATTTGTTCACACCTCCGGGCCGTTTTGAACCATGTCCGCCCGTCGCTTCGAAGACCAGTTCGAGCACCAGCAAAACGTACCCTCCGACTCGGACCGCCAGCATGCCAACGCTGCTTGGGGTTCTGGCGGCAATGCACCTCACACGACTGCGACTGGGGCCACTGGCGATGCCATCCAACATGCTCTTGGTCGCCATCAAGACCCCACCTTCCGTCCCGATCATACCGTAGACCCGCAATCCACAACGCGACCTGTGTCGCGGAAGAGAGAAGATGGCGCTGTTGGTGTTGGTGACGGTCCTCAGATCCTCAGCACCTCAAATCAGCTCGAGACTCTATGCGGACCTCTGCTCAACTACAGATACATGAGCGGGCAGTCGACAGACAACCCTTCGTGGCACGGCAGTGTTTTGATCGTCACCACTCCCGGACAGCAGCAGCCTCAGCTTATCGTCCGTGGAACCGCCATAGACTACACCAGACAGGTCGATGGAGTCAAGCTGTACGAAGATCCCAAGAGTGCCTTCTGGCGTTTCGACATCCAAGTACCCTTCCTCCCGCAAGAGTCCAGATGGGACTACGAGATTCCTGGCGCCAGATATGTTGACTCCAAGAAGACGGCTTCCGCAAGTACCAAGTCGTTCTACATCCCGTCCAAGACCCAGTCCATGAGAATCATGTTCCACTCTTGCAACGGCTTCTCAGTCGGTACTGATACTGATGCCTGGTCTGGCTGCGCTCTCTGGAACGACGTTTTGCGTATGCATGAGCAGAAGCCTTTCCATGTCATGATTGGTGGTGGTGATCAAATCTACAACGATGGCGTCAGAGTGGATGGCCCCTTGAGGCCCTGGACCGACATCGGTTCACCTCACAAGAGAAGACACTTCCCCTTCAACGAAGAGCTGCGCGCCAAGTGTGACGAGTACTACTTCAACAACTATGTGCGCTGGTATGGAACCGAGCCTTTCTCCTTCGCCAACGGTCAAATTCCACAGCTGAACATCTGGGATGATCATGACATTATCGATGGTTTCGGTAGTTACACTGATCATTTCATGCGATGCGCGGTGTTCAGGGGCATTGGTGGTATTGCGCACAAGTACTACTTGCTTTTCCAACACCATCTCGCTCCTCCGAAGAGCACCTTCACTACGGATGCTCCCCAGACCGTCCACGCCAACGAGCATGGTACTGCTTCTCCTGATGCTGTACAATTGAACGACACGTTCGTCAAGACCGGGGATGAGCACGAGCCCTCGTATATCATTGGATCAAAGCCCGGTCCTTACGTTGAAGAGCGCAGCAGATCCATGTACTGTCAACTCGGTGCACGTATCGCTTTCGTTGGTATTGATGCCAGGACTGAGCGCACAAGACATCAAATCAACTACCCGGAGACCTACGATCAAATCTTCCAGCGCACATCTGCCGAGCTCCAGGCAAATCCTGCCATCAAGCATTTGATCCTGCTTCTGGGAGTGCCAATCGCCTATCCTCGTTTGCAGTGGCTGGAGAATATTCTTCAGTCACCTGTCATTGGTCCGCTTCGTTTCCTTAACAAGAGATTCGGAGTTGCTGGTGGCTTCTTCAACCAATTCGATGGGCAAGTCGATCTTCTTGACGACCTTGACGACCACTACACGGCACATCAGCACAAGACTGAGCGCAGAGAACTGATCCAGCGCTTGCAAGACCTGGCTAAAAGACATGGAGTACGCATCTCTATCCTCGGTGGCGATGTCCATCTTGCGGCTTTGGGTAGATTCTTCAGCAACCCTAAGCTGAACATCCCTGTCGAGCAGGATTGGCGCTACATGGCTAACATTGTGTCCTCTGCTATCACAAACAAGCCTCCTCCATCAGCTGTTGCCAACCTTCTCGCCAGCCGTAACAAGATTCACCATCTCGATCACGATACTGACGAGACCTTGCTCAATCTGTTCGACAAGGATCCTGGCCATGGACGTGAGGACGTCAAGAACAAGACCAAGGACAAGAATCACTGCACCATGCCAAGCCGCAATTACGCAATCATTGCAGAGTCGCACGACGGCATTGGGTCTTCGGTTGGTGCTGCTGTTGATGCCGCAACCAATGGCTACACCAACGGTCACGCTGATGGACGCACTGATAGCCACACCAATGGCCACGCCAACGGGGCTTCGACACTCACGGCGACGCAGTTTCCAGCCGGAGGCAACCCCCGCGAGGCTCTGCATGCAGGTGAGCAACAGGCTGGTACTACTCACCCTGCTGCTGGAGGCTTGCAAAACACTGGTCTTGGTGGCCCCGATGGTCTAGATGTGTGCATCAAGGTCGAGATCTCGCCCAGCGACCGTGAGGGTCATACTCAGGGTTACGGATTCTCCATTCCTGGACTCAACGCCGGCGCTTACAAAAGTCAAGGCAGCACATGGTAATCATGTCGCGTGAGAATTTTGACAAAGGGCGTTTGGTTGTCATTTAAGAGCAGGAGAAGGACAGGATGGGTTGGAGGTTTGAAGTTATGTTTTTCTGATTAAGAATGAAGGTTACCTCGACGGTGGAACGTCGAGGAATATGTATGGACGCTTAGATAATTCCTGGATACCCCCTTTACGAGCATTAATATTATTGTTTGCATTCTTGTCAAGGTCTTCTTCCGGGCTATCGATTGAGGAAGCAGAGATTGTATGTCTCCTGCTCGCTGCGAGCCAAATTCTTCTAGCCCGCCGAACAGCTGAACAAAGCAACGAATCTCGGACGTGATTTCACGAAATGAAATTTGACAGACACTATGTTGTAAAGAGATTCATCCGTGAACATGGATCAGGCGGTATACATGCAACGTTCCACCCGTATCATCAGAACCACAAGACATTGCATGTCAATACAGAACCCCAGCACTAGACCTTTGACACTTGTCAGTACAAGTACGAACTTGATTCGATATGCAAAAAACGGTGGATGTAAGAAGAGATCAGAGAAAAAGTGATTGTGAATAGTTGTGTCGGCATGGACAGACCGAAGTCTGCCCCGAGCAACCTCCCGAAAGAGACTGCTATAAAAGTCCGAATTGCAGAATTCTTTGTGCATCATGCAAGTGAAAGGGAAAAGCAAAGATAGACAGGATGGAGACTTACTGTGTGGGTAGGCATCAGCAGACGTTGTCTCGTGGGGAGTGAACGTCCGCTGCTGTTGTTGCGAGGGAAAGAAGCCAAAGGATGAAGAGAAAAGATGTTGCAGCGAGCGAGAGTGGATTTGGTCTTGGCAGACATTGGGAGGCACGGACCATTTGTCCATCCAGGTCCCTGTCAGAAAGTAAACACTCGACACTCGAATCAATTCTTTGACATTGAACTTCGATCGCAAGGCACGGCCACAGAAGAAGGCTATCACAATGTCGACGAATAACAGATCGCAAGGTGCTCAGGGAGAAAAGACATACTTTGAACAACAACGCGAGCTCGTACTCCAAGATGTTGCAACAGTAAGCACGAGCTTCTCTCTGTCACAGCACAACAAACACGTACTGAGAATCATACAGAATCTAGAACAGGTGCTCCAAAACATGAATACCCTCAACAGAAGCTTGGAAAGCGTCATCGCTGTACGTTCGTCCCGTTACCTCCAATCACCTTCCCTCTATTGGTCAACCTCTCTCTCACAAGGAACCCAACCTTGCGTTATATTGGCAAGCAGTAGACCAGATGCAGAAGACATAGACTGACGCATTTGTGATCAACAGGTCGGCAACGAGTTCGGCCAAGTCGAAGGGCTGTGGTCCATGTTCGAGAACGTCATGGCACAGCAACAACAACAGTCCCACGAGGAAGAAGGACAGACACATACTGGTGCTCAAGAGAAGAGCCAAAGACACTGAGAAGCCTGGAATAGAAGCAGGGTTGCAGAAAGAAAAAAGAGCATGGAGACACAATGATACCCGAAGCAAACACACGACTACTTATGGATGATGAGAGGATTGGCCCGACCGACGTGTCTTTCTACTTTGATACCGACACGTTCCCTGGTATCCGGCGCTGGCCTCATCGACCGATATACACCGCCAGCGAGTTCGTCGGATACAGACGCACGCGGCCGGGTCGTCGGTGTTGTACGAGCACACCACAACTTTGACGCCCGCAGTCCACACCGAGCCGATCGAGCACAGCATCGGAACAGTGGCATATGATCAGTCTTGATAGGCTTCATCAATCACGACGACATTGGAGCCTGTGTCGATCTTCGCGAGTGATGAACATCTCGGGCCGACACTTGATGATGTACGTTGCGGAGTAGTGGGGTGACGGAGGCGATCTACACCTTCTCTGCCAGCACAAGTTGGGTGGAAACGCAGCGACGTTGCAGTAACGTTATCCAGGGCAAGAGCAACCTCGTACACACTGCGATTCATCCGGCCATTGATCATCATATAACACAAGACATTTTCCCACCACTGACTCTCAACGATTTTAATTCTGCATTCCATCATCGTCTTGGCTCGACATCGTGTTTCACCAACAGCAGAATCTACTCACTATCACAAACTCCTGCCGTTACTGAAATGTCAAACATCACCAGACCTTGGTGGAAGGATGCCGTAGTCTATCAAATCTATCCTGCGTCCTTCCACGACAGCAACAATGACGGCATCGGAGACATCCCTGGCATCATCCAGAAACTCGACTATATCCAATCTCTCGGTGTCGAGGTCATCTGGGTCTGTCCCATGTGAGTCACCAAATGATTTGTGCTCATGATGTCGTTGTTAACTCGAGCGGCCCAGGTATGCCAGTCCACAAATCGACATGGGCTACGACATTTCCGACTACGAGGCAGTTCATCCTCCATACGGCACGGTTCAGGACATGGAAGTCTTGATCAAAGAAACCCATAGTCGCAACATGAAGGTCATCCTGGATCTGGTCATCAACCATACCTCAGATCAACACGCATGGTTCAAAGAATCGCAATCCTCAAAGGATAACCCGAAGCGCGATTGGTACATCTGGAGACCCGCCAAGTATGACAGCGAAGGCAAGCGTGGACCTCCGAACAACTGGCGTAGTTTCTTCGGCGGCTCGGTCTGGCAGTGGGATGAGCAAACCCAAGAATACTACCTCCACCTCTTCTGCACTGAGCAACCGGATATCAACTGGGAAAATGAGGAGGCTCGCAAGGCAATCTATCAATCGGCCATGACGTCCTGGCTCGAGAAAGGAGTCGACGGCTTCAGAATCGACACTGTCAACATGTATAGCAAGCCCATGGACTTTCCGGACGCTCCTGTTCAAGACCCCAGCACCCCGTGGCAAGACGCCAGTCTTATATTCTGCAACGGACCTAACATGGACAAATATCTAGACGAAATGAACGCGATCCTATCCCGCTACAACGCAATGAGCGTAGGAGAATGTCCCGCCACGCCGGATCGTGCCCGCGTGATCCGCTATGTCAGCGCAGAAGCAAAAAAGCTCAACATGGTCTTTCAATTCGATTCCGTCGACGTCGGACAATCCAAACCCTCCAAATACGACACTAAGCCTTTCAATTACACGCTTGCCGACGTCAAAGGCGCCATCTCACGCACCCAAAGCCTTCTCGACGGCACAGATGCATGGACGACATCCTTCATTGAAAACCACGATCAAGCACGAAGTGTCTCACGTTTCGGCAACGACTCACCCACCTTCCGTACGCGCTCGGGAAAAATGCTGTCGATGCTGTTTGCCTCACTCTCCGGCACCCTCTTCATCTACCAAGGCCAAGAAATCGGAATGATAAACATGCCCAAAGACTGGGATATTGCCGAATACAAAGACATTGACAGCCAAAATTTCTACGCCGATGCTTTGGCGAGAAACCCTGGAAACAAAGCTGTAAAGGACTTTGCCAAAGCGGGCTTACAGCATTTATCCCGCGATCATGCTAGAACGCCTATGCAATGGACTGCTGCAAGTCCCAATGCTGGATTCACAGGCGACAAAGTCAAGCCGTGGATGCGCGTCAACACTAGCGCTCAAGACGGCATAAATGTGAAAGACGAAGATGCAGATGCAACTAGCGTCCTCAATTTCTGGCGCAGCATGCTCAAAGTGCGCAAAAATCATGCCGAAGTGCTCGTGCATGGAACCTTCCAACTGGTAGACGAGAATAACGAGAAGGTGTTTTCCTTTGTCAAGACTTCGCTAGATGGAAAGGATAAAGCGCTTTTGGTTTGCAATCTTTCTGATGAAGAGAATCGAGTTCCTGAGTTTGAGGGTGTGGAGTTGGCTGAGGCTATGTTGTTGCTCGATAATGTTTCTGGTGATGGTAAGAAGACAGGAGACGATGAGCGTGGAAGGCAATACTTGCAGCCATGGGAGGGTCGTATATACCTCATCGACTGATGATGAGGTGGCAGGAAGGCACCTTGGCAACAGTCGTCAAGTTCTTGTTGATGACATGCGTAGGAACAAGGATTTTATCAAACATATATATAGAGCAAATTGTTGTAGAAGGAATCAAGTGTGTCGTCTTTTGCTATATACATCTTTACAACCAAGAAAAATTCCCCTTGACATGCATCTTCATTTGTGGGCTAGAGCAAAAGCATCTCTGTCTCTTCGAATCCCAGGCGTTTGCCACGTCTTCATGGCTGATGGGGTATAGAAAAACAGAAAAGGGACAGAAAGTAAAGAAACCAGAACACCTTGGAATGCATCAATGCGGCAGCGTAGGCAGCGGCAGCGGCATCTCCCACTGCTCTGACATCTTCGTTGAACCCCGAATCGTGGAATGGCGGTGAAATGGTAGTATTAGTCCACTCTCGCCGATGGATGCGTCGGCTCGCTGCTCTTTCTTCGTAACTCTTCTTTCGTGCTGTTGTTGTTCGCAACTTCGTGTAGTGATCGAATCTTCATCATCTGTGACGCGACGAGCGTCTTGTGTTTCTGGTCCGTCTGTCATCAGAGCTAGCACTGCCTGGTTTCATCTTATTAGCATCATCCCGATCGATCTCTTCGGACGGGTAGAACTCACTCTCGCTAGTATAGTAGTCGCTGTAGGTAGCATCCGTATAAGCACTGCTGTACTCGCTCTTCTCATCCCTTCTACGATCATTCTTCCTCTTCATGCCCAATATGCCCGCCAGAGCAGCCAGTCCAGCACCGATGCCCAGCATCTCTGTGAACTTGCTGCGTTCCTTTTCTCTGCGGGGCGCTTCGGAGCCATACCATCTTCTGTCGTCAGGGCGGGTGCCTGCGTATGCTGCGCCTCCGGCACCGCTGTAGGATCTGTGGCGATGGGATTCGATGACCTCGGTGCGCTCGGTACGTCTCTTTTTGCGGCCGCCAAAGAGAGCGACCCAAATCGTTCTTGCGCAGCAGAAGAGGCAGAGAAGGGAGAGAAGGACCAGGCCAGCAATGACACCAATCACAATGCCAGCAATGGCACCGGCGGAAAGACCATGCGAGTTGCTGGATTCGGCACCGGTGAGGGTAATGTTTGCACCGGTGGCGACGGGAGCGAGGAAAGGGACAGTGGTGGTGGGAGACGAGGTTGCTGTAACGATTACCAAGGTGCTACTTGTGGGCAGGATGGCGGGAGAAATACCAGTTGAGCTTCCTGAGCTGAGTTTGGAAGTGCTTGCTCCGGCGGCAGCTGCACATTGTCCAGAAACTTGGCAGTACTGATTACTTGCACAGCAAATGTTACCACAAGACGACTCGCCGGAGTTCCAATTGCAGACGATTGAAGCAGTTGGTGATGCAGCGGCAGTGGAAGGAGCGACCCAGACGGAAGTGGCTACACCGCCGCCACCCACGACAGCGGTGGTCGAAGCATCGCCGCACCACGAACTTCCAGTACTGTATTTGGTGATGATGTCCGTCTCTGTCTGCGTCTCGACCCAAGAGCTAGTCCAGTATTTCCAGTAACCAGTTGTCTGACTCTGAGCAGCGGCGGCCGTCGTTGATGCGCATTGTGCTTGGTTGCTCGAATCCGTGTAACAAGACTCTCCTCCAGTACAGCACAATTGACCAGACCAACCGCAAGGGGTTTCGCAATTGCCTCTACCGAACAGCGAGTTGAATGTCAAGCCTCCAATACCGAGTTCCTTTGGAATGAGTGGATTTGCCAATGTCGGACTGAGTGTGAGAGCGACGACAGCCAGTCGAAGCAGCGGTTGTGTGTAAGAAGATGAGAGCATGGCTGACTCGAGGGCCGCGGAATGCCTCGCTGTGTGTGGGGTTGGTGTAGAATGCGCGCCTGACTGTGGTATAGCCGTTGTCAACCCCGCAGTCTTGCTTGTCGATAAAAGAAAAGCGAAAGTCTTTTTCTTGTGCTGTACGGTGGATCAACGGTCAACAGCTTAGATTTGAACGGTGCGACGGTGAGCGGCCAACGACTGTACAAAGTGAGATGGAAGAAGGGCAGAGAAGATGATGCGGGAAGGTGCAGGGGGGTGGTGTACTTGGTTTATCGTGTGCGTCTGCAGCCTAGTCGACCAGCCTCCCAATATGCCCAACCACCTCGATTATCGCTTCACTTGGTAGATCTGCGCCACGATCACGTCGATTCAACACGACACAAGAAGGGATAACTTGATAATTAGCAAATGCAAAATTGCCTTGGGAACAATGCCGTCCACGAAAACAGGTAATGCCGGCGACGTCTCGTGGATATATCGCGACTGCGCGACCATCCTACCTTGGCGCTGTGTTTACTTCTGCCATAGCAACATAGATTGCTCCCGACGCACTCAGCCGCAACTTCCTGCTGCTCACCGTCTTCTCGCTCACACAGGACACACGTTGCCGGGTTGATGCGAAGAACAAACACGCACATTACAATGCTGTCTCACCATCATCGTCATCTATCTCTTGAACAAGAATATGATCATCGTCTCTAAGTCAGAACTGCAAGTGTGGGTATGGATAATCAAACATACGAAAGAGGGTATCTAAACTGTTCAATCAAACAAAAAGACTATAAGGAGAAAATGAGATGGCATGATTTTTGTCATGGTGTTTGTGTCCAAATCCGTCACTCACGCACCAGGCCGGCATCATACATCTGTTTCGCTCGTCACAGCACCAACCATCGTGTCGGGCTCCATTCGCTGGATATGTCTGACAAGACATCAGACATGACACCGGGATGAGCCATGAGTCCATGGCCTTCACCAGGCAACTCGCGAATCTCGCAACCACCGTCGTTCGTCTCCGCGTCTTTGTCTTGCAGACTCCAATGCAGCGTGTTGTGTTTGTTCATCTGCTCCCCAATCCATCGAATGTTCTCCACGGGCACACGTTTGTCTTCGCTGCCGTGGGTTATTACTACATTCTTGTGTACATCCACATATCGGAACCCAATATTCCTGTGTCGTTCTAAACAAACAATGAGATCGGTTGCGGGGTTTGCGTCACGCGTAGCTAATGTCCATGTTCTTTCCGTCAAGAGAGCGGAGTATGCTGCTTGATGTTCTTTTGCTGCATGTTCGGCGGCACTGAGTGCTTCGGCTGCAAACATAAGTCCAGGATCCATCGGTGATGCCGTGGCAGAGAGTTTGAGTGACACTTCCGAGGGCTTGCGGACTGTCTTATCGCCCTTCTCGTCCTCGCAAAGTTCAGGCAAAGGAAACATGGTGTCCCTGGGTCGCTCGGGTATGACTTGGTCCATGAGTATCATGCTTTCCCGTCGCGAAGGGTCCGGTCGCCTCTTCGAGTTCCTCCTGCGAGGGGTTCCGCGTGGGCTTTCCGATCCACTCCTTGCCGGTCCATCACCTTTATTACCATTGGCTGGTTTTAGAGATGCTGGGGAGAATAAATTCCCATTTGCAGCCTTCAGGAATGGCACAGGTAGAACTCGAAGGAATCGTTGACCTCTTGTCAAAGCGGCTATCGGTACATCTTCAGGTGATCTGTCTTTCTGAGTGATGTGTTCGAACTGTGATGGCGGAATCCAAGGTGCGAGAAGCTGTACTTTTCCACGTACGCTTTGTGGTAAGATCAAGGCGGTCGCTAAAGCATAGATTGCTCCAGCAGAATGCGCGAGCAAGCTAAATTCAGAAATACCGAGATGATGAGTTATAGTAACCACATCATCCGGCCAGGCCAGAGGCCCAATGTGGTCTCTATCTCGGTGAGGCTGACTTGCGCCAACACCTGGTCTTTCAGGCGTGATAAGCCGGAGACCTAATGAAGACGCTAGATCATCGTAGAAAACGCTCACAAAGCGCGTGAGACCCATGCCGACACAGACGATGACCGCATGTCCATTGGGATCGCCGACCTCTGAGAATGAAATGACACGGCCAGTCTGAGGATGTGCTATCTTTTGATTCAAGCGCGGGTTGTTCAAAAAGGCGTTGACTGCCATAGAAACATCACTGTTTCGTTCGTGCAGTATGTCGTCCTCGAGCAGACGATTCTCACGAGCATCGCTCATGGACTTTCGTCTGAATCTGGCATCATAGGACATCCGTCGACTCGACCTTGGACGCGATTGGATGGTGGAATTGGAATGAGAGGTACTGGGTGGTGACATGTCGAGGCCTTCGATGTCAAGACCGTTCAGCAGGTGGGAGTGAGTTGACTTCCTGGCGACAGCGCGTCTGCCAATTGAAGAAGAGTCATATGTTTGCTCCTCTGCAACATTGGCAACTTGAGTATGCAAGGGACGATAGCGGTCGGTTGAATTTGAAAAGGCATTCCCGATGGTAGGAGAGTCAGGAGGAAAAGAAGACAGGTTTGCGAAGACGTTGGGAGAGTCACGGGCGACGCTAGGTTGACTGCGAAGGTTACTGTCAAAAGGGGAAGCCGTTATAGTGTCTTTGGATTGAACCACGGAAGCGTTGTGTGATAGTTCATCGAGCCCGAGCATTCGGTGAGCCTTGCGTAAATCAGGGACTCTGGCGGCGCCTCTATTGGCGGCTCGCACAGGCGGGATCGAAGGCTCCGAGGCGGGAGAGGTTGCCAAGTCGTGCACGCGCCTTTGGCTGTTCTGTGTCTGCAGAGCCTCATCAGATTCAATGCGGAGACGCTCTTGTTTCTGTTGACGCAGTTGTTTGATGCGCATCACAGTCTCGTCTTGTTCGTCAAGGCCCTCGAACATGTCTTTGAGAGTATCTCTTGACTTGCGGCGAGTTCCTCGTTCTTCCTTTACTTCCCTCAGAGCAGCCAATGCGCGTTTGCCTTTGCTGAGTTTCTTGCCTTTGGATTTGGTTGGGCTAGAAAGCCTGTTCAAGGACGAGGATCGTGGCGGAATCACCGTGGTCATCGGGCTGCTCGATGAGGTTGGAAGGGTGCTTCTCGAGTGACTGGCGGGCAGACTCTCGGCTGAAGCCTTGAACGAAGCACCTCTGCTGCTCGATGGCCGAGCACTGAGGTGTGGTTGCCGGCTCATGGCTATGGTTGGACTAGGTGTAGCCATGTCTTCAAGCACATCCTCCAAGTATAGTCTCCCCTTTGAGCTCTTTCTGCCCGAATCCTTGGCTTCCGCGCTCAGATTCGAACTCAACAGAGCTTGGTCTGCCAAGTGCTGAGGATCCTTGTGAGGTCTCAGCGTCTCTCGCGAGGTTTGACGAAGTGAGAGTCTGCGGCCGAGTCTTTCGGTTGGCGAAGTTGCGTCCAATGACAATTTGGTGGGTGAGGACAGCGACTGCTTCCTGGAGCGACTCTCGTTGCTTAGCCTGCTGTTGCTGCGACTGAGTTTGTCGAGACCGTTCAGAGACAGAGATGTCTTGGAGGCAGAGCGCAGTATGTCTCGCAAGCCGTTCAGGCCGGGCGAAGAGGGAGCAGTGTGTGCGGTCTTTCCACTCGGACGTCTTGAGGTACGGACGACGGGGAAGTCTGCGCCGTCGCTATCGTAGTCGTCTTGTTGGATTGGCTGGCGGTAGGCGCCGTAGTCCATGCCAAAGCTTTGGCTGTGTTTCAAGGGTGGGCGCAGGTCAGGGCTGGTGTAGAAAGTGCCATGGTTGTCGTAATGGTCAGAAGTCGAGACGTAGGCGTAAGAAGCGTGGGTGATTGAAGAGTTGTTCTGGTCGAGGGATGCGATCAAGGAGGAGATGACCTGAGGCTCGTTCGGCGCACGCTTGGTGGTGGTGCCGGCAGTTGAGGGCCTTTTGTCGCGGCGAGGATCGAAGGGACGATGAAGGGCGTGGGCGTGGGCGTGGGCGTGGGCCATTGTGGACAGTCAGGCTGCGGACGACGCGCTACCTCGCTCGTACCTGTGACATGGGACTGCACGAGATATTAAGTCTGGCGTTTCGGATGCGCCCAGTGGTTCTCAGGTCGCACACGCAGCTCTTGAATTCATGTCGTCCCTGTTGTCGAGACGATGCCCTTGTGCGACGGGGACGAGGACAACAGAGGAGGCTTCAGACATGGCACACAGATGAGAAGTACGGACAGCTCGGATCGCTTTCACTGTTGGACCATGGCTGAGCTGCAAATTAACATTCGGCTTTCAGGGGCGGGAAGCACTGGAGGAATCCACTTTAGCAGGCGCACCCCACCACCACAAGATCAATCACTTTAATTGTCCTGCAGCTACTTTATCTGCCATTCCTTGCTGATCTTCTGCGGCCTTGATTTGATGCTTCCAGCACTCTATGACGTCTAGACGAGTATATCCACACCGGCCTGCGACGTTTTACATGGTATCCTCGTTTTGATCTCGTTGAGAAGAAACACTTTTCCCTGTCTCAGCTTCACGTGGCGCCTGCGATTGACTTTCGCTAGACCAATCTCCAGCCGCAACTCTCGCTAACCACCAGTCCACGCGACTCCAGGCGATCCCCCCACCTTCGCCAACGCGACGAACGCGTCCTGGACTTCCCTCATCTGTCTACCAGACTGCCTGCATACCCGCGTCGCATAATCACGGCATCAGCTTGAGCTTACGAGCTCAAATCCCTTGCAGCTATGGCTCTCCAGGCATTGCGCGATGAGCTGGTCTACTACTATGGCTACACTCAAGGCCGAGCCTTCTCTGTCGGTGACCTCTTCTCGAGAACATCCGCCAAGCTCCTTTCACAAGTTTCATCTTTGATGACCATACCGCTGCCACTGCTATCCTTCCTTGCTGTCCCTTTCTTTGGCTCTTCTTCGACTACCGTCAGCCTTGCTTTCTTCCTCCTGACTTGGGTCACTCTGGTGTCGACCCACGACCCGTTGTATTTGGAGCTCATTGGTACTCTTATCATCAAGATAATCTTCTTCGTGCTTCCCAGCTTGGCTGTCCTAGGCTTCGACTCCTTGATCCCCAGTCTCTCAGCTAGCATCAAATCTCGTGGTGCTGCACAGCTTCCAACCCAGCTCAGCTCTCGCAAACTGAGAAATGTCATTTTTGTGTCTGTCTTCAATGTCGCCTTCTCAGTTCTGGTCCAGGGCCTATGCGATTTTGTTCTGACCGAAGTGCTCAACATTCGTTCCGCTATTCGCGTGAGCAAGATTCCGCCTGCACCTTGGCCGACCATGGTCAAGGAAGTGCTGTATGGTCTCGTCTGTCGTGGGTTTTTGCATTATTTTATACATCGCAATGTCTTGCATGCTTCACCAAGAGACTCGGTCCTGTCTCGCTGGCATGCCGACTGGGCTCACAGCTTGAAGCATCCTTTCTCTCTCGCCTCTGCATACGATCATCCGGTCTGCCATCTCCTTACTGATTGGGCACCTTTATACCTGACGACACTCTTCTTCCGCTTCCATGTGCTGTCATGGTACATTCTGACCGCCATCGTCAGCCTCGAACAATTCTTTATCTATTCTGGATACTCGGTACTGCCTTCGCAGATACTGCTAGCTGGCATGGCCAAGAGAACAGACTCTCATTATGCCACTGGAGGTAAAGGCAATTATGGCAGATGGGGTGTCCTTGATTGGATCTTCGGAACTAGCTGTCCCGGTGATGCCGATGTTGTTGACGATTTCCAAGAAGAAGTGGGCAGAAGAGATATCAAACAACATGCATCAAACATGATAGGACGCGCAGGAGAAACCCTCAGGAAGGATTATGACAGTGTAAGTCGACTTTGTGGATTGAATAGAGCCTATGAAATGACGCTGATGACTTTTCAGGGACGTAGAAGCTCTTCTCAAGGTCGAAGAAGAAGTAAGAGACAGGCAGCATAAGTATCTCATGAGATGCCCATTTCCGAAACCACGACTTGTCTGAGGCGAGACACGTTGGTTTCGAATATGCTTGGCGAGACAGTCGCAGACTTCATTCGAGACGACGAACATCTTGTCAACGACCAAGCTATATCAACTTGAGTTTGTTAGTCCTATACACAAGCATCTTGGTTTTTCGATTGTCACACTGTACCTCGAGAATTCACAAGCATGCAATCGCCGCAACAACATAGCTCCAGTATCGTGAACACTGCGCACGAGTTCCTCATTCGCGGCATCAGGTTCTTTGCAGCTCTCTGTGGTCGCAAACCAGCAAAGAATAGATTGACCTACGAGTGGGAAAAACGACTTGCATACGCTGGAGAGGAGCACGAGGCTGAAGACGGCGAAGCTGCTAGAGATGAACACGACATGCAGTTTGAGAGAAGTTGCGGGGTCGCGAGGTATAGAGATTGAAGGAACCTTCTCTCCTATTCTGCATAGCAATCAAGTTCTTTGATATCCTTCTTTGCACCTCCAAGGAATATGCTGGGAGGTTCGTGGATTCGCTTGCTGAGTGAAAGCTCCCGTTCTCACAACACCTCACAACACACTGACGCCAACACACAAGCACTTTACAAAAAGTTCTCCATCTACACATCTTCTTCCCCACACTCAACCACGACTCATCAGCCGACATCATGGCGGACTCGAACGAACGGAACGAAGAAAGCGATCACGACAATCGCCCCATTGCCCCCGACACAGTCGCTCGTCTTCGCGCTGCCATCGCCAGCAATCCTCGTCAATCGACTTCTGTTCTGGTCACTGCTCTTCTGACCATCTGTCCTGCGCTACTCACCGGACCGCTTCTCTCCCTGCTGGGTTTCGGCGGCCTGGGTCCCGCTGCTGGTAAGCATCTGCCATAATCGCCATGCTTCTGTCTCTGCATCACTAACACTAAGTTGTGATAAGGTGGCCTCGCTGCTGGCTTCCAGAGCATCTTCAGTACCCCCTGGCTCTTTCGTGTCCTTCAAAGCGCTGCTATGGGTGGATGGGGTTCTGCTCTGGTTCAGAGCATCGTTTGTGCTTTCTCAGCTGGTGGCTTGGTTCTTGAGTTGATTGAGAAGATCTTGGGTCGTGAAGGAGAGAGAGCTGATGAGGACGATGATGGAGGCGATGAAGAGTAGGCTCTGGCGGCTTCACTCTTGATCGTCTTCACGATGAGATACGTAAGCAATGTGTCATTCTGTGTACTCCCTATGGTGGTAGGAGACAAGTCTTGAGCTGGCGAGTGCACACTGTCCCTACACAGCAAGGCAACCTTTACTGAGAAACCGAATATCATCGACTTGTATTAGATGCATCTTCAGCTCGCATACAACTATCTGGTGAGACAATCAACCCATCAGGGCAGTGCATAAAGCTACGGTCTCCTTCACTGCGTATGGGTATATGTTTCTGCAATTTGGCTTATCTTCATCGAACAGGTGGGATGGTGCAGCGGTGATAGTAGTGTCCCTTCCGCTCACGCAGCCCTTTCCATCGGTTCGATCCCTGGCAAGGCCGATCTTTGATGCCACGAGGGGTCCCAGTGATTCTCGCACGACAAGAACAAGGAAGAAAACCTCGTGAGTTTTCTTTTGACCAAGCTAGCAACACGGCGGCTAGGGGTTTGTGTTTTGTCAATTGTTTTGATGAGTTGCTGTAGGGCGCGCCGGAGGGAATCACTGGAAAAGCAAGCACGGCCAGCTTGGGTTCTGTTTACGGTCTGGGTCTACGAGTGGTCGCCTTCCTTCCTTCCTCTAGCACTCGAACTTCTCCTTTTCCCTTCATCACTCTCGTCGACTTGCCTCAACTATTTCGCTCGTCAGGACCAATCACTATACCGACTCCGATATCTACGATCACGCCTTCGCCTGTCTCTTTCTTGGGTCGTCAACGGCTCTCCACTGCTATCAGCGTCTGCTCACTGTCACCAACCTATCCCTACTATTGTCAGGACTGGTTCATTGTCATCAGGCAACGATATAGCCATTATCCCCCTCATTTCGCATCTTCCAGGTCCCCCTTAACCACGAGTACGTTCATTGCGCGTGCAAAACTCCATCCAGCACTTCCCTGACAACATGCAGGCATGTCTCAGTTGAACGACGACCATATCAAACGATGGATCTTGGAGCACTACAGGCAGTTATGCGCAGATCATGGGACAGCCCCAACCACAGCTCAGATCGAAGAGATCAAATCCGAAGCGGGCACCCACAAGGATCCCCGAGTCATGAAACTTTTTGAGTATGCCCTCCTGTACTTCTTGCCTAGATTCGCTGTTGTCTTTGAAGAAGACACTTTGTTGTTGGGATGGATTCGCCGGCCAGATGGAACCAAGCAGGAGATCTGGTACAAGCTCCACGACACCAATGCGGACTACAACTTGAGCCGAGTTTACCTCCAGCGAGGTGCACCTCAAGGTTTAGTACACAAGATCAAAGCGACGGACCACATTTGTGACGAATGGCACCCATCTCTTACTGCTATCTGTGCGCCTGTCATTCGCGCAAATGAGCATTTGCGGTATGCTTACTTCACCGCAATAGTTCGATTGATGAGGGCCAGCCGAACACCAGCATCGATCGATAGCTCCACAAAAGACAGACCAAGACTTTTCATCACCTTGAGAAGAGCCATGCCAGACGAGGCACCTGGCCAAAACATCACCACAGCCCCTGCGCCCAGACTCACTCTGAAACAAAGACACAAGATGGTGGATCCAGAAATTTGTGAAGATATGGACTCAAACCAGGATGAGGCGCTCAGCGGCTCAGAGAGTCCACCGACTAACAGATCACGAGCAATGAGACTTCGAAGCAGAACAGTCGATGGGGTCAACAGAACGACTCGATTCGAGGACAACTATGGTCTCGACACGAGCCCCAAGAGAGTCGAGCGATCTGTAGTCATCGACCTGACTGAGTCTGATCTCGAAGAATCTATCAAGTCCGAACCCGAAGCCACAACGGCGCCCCTCAACGACTAGCAGGACAACACGCCGGCTGAACAAGAGCTTAGAGCAACTTTGCAGAGCAAAAGGTCGACGAAATTCAAGACATGCTGGTTAAGCGATCAGGACAGCTCCCTCAATGGATCGAGAAGATAATCAAGCAGGAGATGGAGAGAAAGATGTCTCGCGATCTAGCAATGGTCAGAAACTTCTTCTGATGTCCTGAGACACAGACCTCATGAGTATATACTTTCTGGAGATGAATGGCTTGTGGATGAATTGCTGGAGGATGCGAGTCGAATTTGCTTGGTATTGTTTGAAGAGAGGTTGCTCGAAGTGGTATTCTCGAAGATAAGGCCACAACACGGGGACGGTAGTATAGGACCAACTGCATGGTCGAGGCGACGGAACAGACATTAATTGGAGTATTTGTTCATATTTTTGGCCCATAGACATGGCCGCACGATATTTGTAGTCGTTGTATGAGATTATACAAGTATGGAGTATCGGACGCGATCAATAGCAGAGACTTTACACAAGTTATGCATCCAGTCTGTAGACTCACTCCCATGTGACTTCAACGGCACGAAAGACTGGCAATGACGATCCAATAGCTACACCGACACGCTGGGGAAAAAGTGCAACACTGTCTGCGGAGGTGGTATCGCTGGTACAGTCCAACACTGAAACTGCTACATAGTCGGCCAACGTCTATCGAGACTTTGATGCTCGCCCCGCAGGATGTTCTTGGCTTATTTCCTCGCTTGCAGAATGACTCACAATGCTATACAACTAGATCTCGTTAGCGCCCCTGTGGTGAGGGAGTGGAGATTGTCGTTGCGCTGGATTCCATATGAGAGTTCTCACCCGAAATTTTTCCGCGAGGCAGCTGTGCTCACTCGCTGCACTCCTCTAATTGTTTCTCACATGATGAGTCGCATATTCAAAACATGAAGCTGCAGTTTCCCGTCGTGAAAGCAACGGCCAATCACTTGTGAAATGGCTTCTTCAGCACCTCAGGAGATACTAGCCCTCATCGTGGACCACCTAGCACAACTGAACGAGAAACTATCACCTTATGCGCTGGTCAACAAGTCTTGGCAGGCCGCTTTCGAGAGACGGATCTACTCATCAGTCGTCGTGCGTAGTTCACCCGGTGTGACCGATATCAGAGTCAAAGGATGGCCCAAGTTCTGGGAACCACACAATCAACAAGGACTTTCACTGGAGATTTTCATCAACATCACCAACGGACCACAGGATTGGCAGCAAGCGCGGCGTACATATGTGCGTAAGATTTTCTATGGAGTTGCAGTCCCGTACTGGCTGGACGAAGTCCCTGAAACAGACGGCGACTACGCTCATGATAAATTCTGTCGGCGTAAGAATAACCAAGCATTCTCGAAAAGCGTTTGTCGATTATTCGAGCATCTCTCGACTTGGACCGACCAGAAAATCTCTCTGCGGATAGCCTTGCAGGCGGAAGATGCTTCTACCGACGAACAAAGTGGTGAGCAAGAGTCAACATCGACGACCGGCACCGGAGAAGAGATTACTCGGTATCGTGCAGAGTTTGTGTCCGGATATCCTTTACCGCGCGCGTCTTGCATCACATCGTTGGAGATCACTGAGCTCTTGACTGGTGAAACTGTGTGGTCCGAGCTCTGGGCATCAGACGAGGACGTTTGGGAAAACAAGATCTCCCTGCCTGCTTGCTTGAGGATCGCATCAGCGTGCGGCGCTCTGAAGGAGATTTATTTCGACGGCGGGGACGGTGAACCTTTGGCGGGGCCCAACATGCGTCTCGCTAGGCGTACCGCAGCTGCCAAAGAAATGTCTCGGCTTCCACGAACCGTCAAAGACGTGTATTTGTTCTGGAACTCGCCCTCAAAGGTTGGAATTGCCGATGTCAGGCGACCGAATGAAAGCGCTTCGCAAGACCTTTTCTGCGCGACGCTTCACAAGTTTTCCATGCAGCTACAACACTTGCGTACATCTGAGATGGAGATTTTCCCCGAGCTCTTCTGCCCTGTTGGACTGGAACTACCAATTGAAGCACACTGGCCATACCTTGAGACACTTCATCTTGATAGAGTCTGTGCGTACGGGCCTTTCAGCGACGTGGCACGACACGCCGATGGAACTCCCAAAGAGGATCCGCTTGCAGAGCGATACGTCAACGATCTCTACACAAGTCTTGGCCACGCTGTGCAAAAGATGCCTCGTCTGAAGAGTATGAAGCTCAGCTTTGGTTCCCTTGCACACGGGCTCGATCTGTGGTTCAAGAACGAGCAGTGGAACCTGACGCTCTGCGTGTTCAGCAAAAGTCAGCCATCTCCTGAATTCACCAAAGCTTGGAAAGTGCCCGGAGGAAGCTTACAGCCTTATACGTTTCTCAACACCCAAAAAGCGACATATTCATCTTGGCCGCCTTCCTGATTTGTCAGAACATGGATGACAGCGCGCATGTGTCTGTGCGAAGATCAAGCTGACACTTTGAAGACTGAGAGCTTGTCTCTGTTCTTTTCTCGGCGCTCGTCAGCAACCGGGCAGAGGTGAAGAATTGAATACATCTCCAAGGTAAGCTTGCGCGTGAACTCGTACCCAGTTTATAATCCGAAGACAGACGTACCCTTTCAGTACGGCTGCACCTTTAGAGATTTGACAATGCAGAATATACCTAGAAAGAACTATAATCATATAATCATGATGTATACAGCCAACGATCACCGAGCGTGATTGATAGCTTTGATATTTCTGGATAGAAAGCCACCACTGTCTACATCTAGTGCTCACAAAAGCTGAAGTCCTCACCCTCGTACATATCATTGACATCCTTCACAAACGCTCTCCTTTCATCCATCAGCTCCTTTCTAATGCCCTTTGCTTCCTCAAGACTGATGGGGAAATCTCCAACATCAGTCATGACTTGATGACGCAACTCTGGAGGCAACTGATCAAGTTTACCTTCGAGTCCTTGTACGGCTTCAGCCCACCACTCTCGTTGTTGGGGCGGTACATTAGCAGTGCTTATAACGCGCTGGAAAGGATCAACCAAAAACAGCGCGAGGATCTTGCGATGGCCAGGCTTTGTAGGATCAGCGAGGGTGAATGGCTGTACTTGATGTTGCAGCACATTTGGAAATGCCAGAAGACGGCCTTGGTTCGTGGCCACCTTACCAATATCCTGGACTCCTGGACCATTACGCTCGATATCGAAGAGGTAGCATACGCCGTCGTTGTCATCCTGTCCGTAGTCGCGTGAAGTTATCTCTTCCGTTGACACCTTCGTGCGGAATGCGAGATGCGATTCTGTGATGTTGGTGTTGTCGTAGTAGTATAGAGCTGTTGCGCAAATGTGTTCGTTGAGTTTGCCTTCGATATGCCAGCTTCCGCCTGAGTAAGAAGGGTGCTCGGGTGTAAGATGGATGTTGGCTAGCTTGACGATGACTTGGATGCCGCTGTTTTTGAAGTGAGAGCGTAGATTTAGAGGTTCAATGGCCCGTCTACCATCGTCCTGATAAGAGCCATAATCACGAGCGTCGGGTTTGATGAGTACGCGGTTGTCTCTCACCTGTAATTGGTATGGTCAGCATGATATACCTCAGAAAAGTTCAGCATAAGGAAATATGCAAGGCATGTACCCATTCGTCCAATCCATTTTTTGGGTAGCCTAATCGCACGAGAGTGTTTTGAATCTTCTTGGAGTTCCTTGATCTTCCTTGATATAGGGCAAGGGCTGCACTTACCCATTGCTCTCTCACTTCATAGTACTCATCGTCGTCCTCTCCAAGCTCTTTACCCACTTCCTCGGGTGCTTCTTCGCCTAGAGGAAATTCATACTCTGTGCCTGTCATCGGGACTCGGAGCCTTTCGACATCTCCGTACCTCACGAAGGATGAGAGGACGAGATCCCAGGCCGGGACAGACTTGGCGATGAATTTTTCAATCACCGGGTAGATGGACTTGTGATGTACCGGATGAAGGTTGTTGATGTAGCTTTCAATCTTGACGCCTCCACCTTCTGTGAAAGCGACATTGCTTGGGAGCCATTGGAAGCGATTGGACCAATAGTCTGTATCTCCCTCACCATTCTGGCTGAGCCAATTTGGCTTACTGCCCAGTCGACAATCGTCGTCGCTAGGCACTGGTACGACTTCACCCTTGCCTGAGTTCTGAATGCAGTCTTCCAGGGTGATGGCGCCAGTAGGCAGGATCCGAGATCGACCATAGATCAACGGGAAAAGGGAAGGATGAACCAAATCAAGGACTTGTTCGTTAGATCCTGGATGCCAATCTCGAGCGCTTGCCGGTACGTCTTCCAAAGGCGCCACGGCACTCTTGAGTTCTTCCTTCAGCTCAGTAGAGATGATGCTGTCTGATTTGACCAAAGCCCATTCTGAATCCAGTATAGCAAGCAAATCGTTCTCTTTGTGCTGATTGGCCTTTTCTTGAAGCTCTTCGACGCACTGTCTGTATCAGCAAACCGTGTAGTTTCAGGATTCATGATCACTAAGCTCACATAGTAAAACATCTTCTCAGTGAAGCCTTGTCCATCCTCAGTGACTGCTTCAGCCTGCCATTTCGCAAGAATGGTCCAGTCATTGACTTTGCTCCTCCAATCCGGTTTATCAGTTATAGCGTTGATCATCTGCATCATGTTTCTTTCTCGCACTGTCAATGGCTCAGGTGCCCATTCCTGGACGGCATTGGGCAAGCGGTTCAATACGGTTTGCCCAGATGCGGACCAAGAATCGCGTTCAACCATGTAATTGACAGGTCGACCGAAACCAGGAAGGCTGATTCTGCCGTGGTCAATGACAGAAGGGTATAGTTTCGCGAGCTTGTCTTCGGTTATCCACGCGGTGTCAGGTTTCACAGGCTCTGGTTTTGAGTTGGATTGTTCTGCTCCGTTGGCTGCAACAGCAGCAGCTTTGATCATGTTTGTTCGAGCCATTGTTGTGACGTTGGTTGACTTGAAGAAAGTTGGAAGTGTGACGCTTCGTCGTAGATGATGAAGCCGAGGAAAGGAGGCAGGCACGATGTACTTATGCATCCTTCCGTGTCTGTGCTCTATGGAGAATGCAGTGGGAGGATGGAGGGCACCCAGGCACCCGTCTCCTGTGGTGATTCAAGCCATTGGGACTCATTTCCCCCTCAAAGTCCACTCTAGGCGACCTTGTCGCAGAACGCTGTCGCGCGTGTTGTGCTAAGGCAGCCATGGCGGTATGGGCCTCTTTGGTAACAACGCCCTCTGTTCTGTCTTCCGCTTATGGAAGCCCCCTCGTAACCTCCATAAGAGCACCTCTCAGCATGCAGATGAGACTACTTGCTGATTCTCAGAAGTGTCCGACGAGTAGCGTCCGAGAACATTGTACTGACACACAACTCCGGTATGAGAACCACATACGAGCAATTAGATATTGCGGCGAGACTCTTGAATAGGTCGCTTGCCCGAGGCGTTTTGATGGCGAGATTGTCACAACTCCCTGTGGTGATCACCGAGTCGAATGTACTATATCATCGTTTCTGCCCTCTCAGAGTGTTTCTGAATTTTCCACGATTTTCAACTCTTTGAAAGCCTCGGTACGAACAACTTGATGGATCCGCACATCGTCAACTCGCTCCGTAATTTCCTTGAACGCTGCTTTCCACACCTTCCAGTTGTCCAGATTCCACAACCAGTCTTCGGACTTCATCAGTACTCTCAATTCGTCGTCATCCCATGGTCCAGGATTCCCGTCGTTCTCGTTGCTCTGTGCTTCCGCAAGGGCATGCTGCACCAGCTCATCACCTGAATCTTGTTGACCATCTGAACCCACTCGTGCCCTTTCCTTGTATCTCTGACCAAAACAACAAGCCCGCCACACCCACAAACCATGCCCATCAGGCGCAAACCACTGAGCCGCAGCAAGCACCTGTCCAGCCAGATATCCAGACCAACCCACAGTCTTCTCATCCAGCATCCCATATTTAGGTAGCAGTCGTTGTAACGCACTCTTCCATCCCATATGCTCAATTCCCTCAACAGACAACCTAGCACAAAAATACGACAAATTCCTCCATCGCTGTTGTTGCTGACTACCGCATTTCTCCGCCCCAGTCCATGGAAAGCCGATATCTGCCAACCACTCACAACTGGATGGGAATGATAGCGGCTTCAGGCTCTCCCACAGAGGTATAGTAGCTCTCATATCCACTGCGCCAAAGTTCTCTGACCGTGGTTTTCCATCCTGATCGAGAAACCAATTAGGCGCTTCCCTCTTCTCAACCCTCAGGAAGCACTTGATCATCCCGAACAATCGCACATGCACCACACTATGTGGAGGAAACGAAGACACACAACTGCCTATCAAGACAGCGACTAATCCAAAGTTTGTGCGATATGGTCTATCCTCGTTATTCGCATCGATAACAGCTTTATTCGACCATGACTCTGCTGTCAAAGTAACCGTGATTTTCTGGGCGGCAGCTAAAGGACTGAGATGATTTTCTGCACATGCGACTATGATGTTTGCGAATAGGGTTATTTCTTCTGGTTCGGCGGCCCAGTAGGCGTCTTCTCGGAAGGTGTAGGGGAGTTTTTGATCTATCGTGACTGGAGTCTTGTGTGTAGACATATCTGAGACCGAGTTGGTCAGTATAGTGCTCAGATATGGACTTGGTAAATAAGCAGATAAAGACTCCAGGCAGACATGTATGTTTCTGCTCGAATGACGTAAGCAGCTTGTTTTTCGTACCTCGTGAAAGGGGTTTAGTAAGAGACCAAATTGACTGTACGAGTTCTGAATGCTGAACTGAGAGTCGTGTCTTATTCAGAGAAAATTATGCCATGGCAATTACACAAGAGATTGGGCAAAAGAGTATTCCAGTGTCTCTATTGTACAGATATATGCATTAAAGTCCTGATTTCTCATACCATCATTAGATACTCATATCAAGCTAGCTTGCCTGAACCTCAAATGACACATCTCGTTGAACGTGCCCTTCCTATCTTGTTCCAGAACGGGCCTTTGGGCCGGACAGCTGGTCTTCCCATCTAGCAGATTGATCCCCGGCGAACAAAACTTGCCATGACAATAACACATATCATCACCAAAGTAATGGATCTCTTCTGGCTTCAGTAGTAAAGTTGCCGCAAAAGACCTCACGGAGGCATCACCCCAACGCTCGGTATAAAATCCTCCTTGCTTGTCGAGATGCTCCATCATATGTCTATAATCCTCTTTGCGGAAGAGATCCAGATCTGCGATCTCGAAATTATTCCAGAAGTGGCAGAGGTTCCACTCGTCGCCATTGATGTCGCGGTAGGGTGCTAGTCGTAGCAGCCAGCGGATGGGTAGTGGTGCCCATGAGCGATTTATCAGGGCGTTCCAGTAGCTAGAGGGCGCTATGTGCATGCTGTCTTTGTAGTCACTGACGACTCGGTAGAGACTGCGGACTGTGGCGCCGACTTCTTGCAGTGCGATCGTGTAGGCGTAGCGTTTGTTCTCACGCGACATGTAGGCGAAAGGGTCGAACGTTATGGGGCATTCGAAGGAGATGCCGGGTTCGAGGCGCCAGTACCATTTGAATTGTTGCATTGCAGGATGATCATAGAATTTCCTGAGCGAACATCAGTATTTCGATGGCAGTTTTCCTGTATACTGGTGTAATCTTACATGGAGTAGAATCGACACATGTGGTGATAACTTTCTTGTCCTGCGTGGATGATGCCTCGATCTCCTTGCTCGTTGATATGTGCTCGAGCAGCTTCTTGATCGACATGATCTGGATAGCCCCACAGGTCCGGAGATATGGTGTCGAAGATGGACTGCCCACTGACTATAGCCGACACCCCTCGCTTGAACTCATCGGTCCAGGGTTCGTTGTTGAGAAACACCACTGGATAGTGGTATTGATGGTTGAATTGCGACTCGAAAGACGTGAGAGCGTCAATGGCTTCTTTGAGATCGCTGTTTCTGGCAAGCATGAGTATGGTTGCATTCTGTCGAGTGACTGTTGCATTAAGTTCCAGCGAGTGCTCGTTTGCTCGACAGTTTGGATGTAGTGTTTTACCGACACGGATCTGCGGTTGCTTTGTTGACAAGCTTGACAGACTCAATAGATGGAACCAGATCTCAAGCATAAACACCAGGCAGACGGCAAGAATATACCTTTTCACAGTACCATTCACCGAGAACGAGGGACCTTTCATCGTGGAACATGCTGAGACGCAAGAAAGGGAGGTTCAGCCACGGAGGAAAGAAAGACCCATCGCCAGATACAACGCCTCTGCGGCTGCATCATACGTCCTTAACAACATCATGCATTGTTCCTCCACTTGTACATTGCAAAGGATTCCTTGGCTCACGCGCCCTTTGTATATTGACCCGCAAACGACGCAAGTGGTCTTAGCACAGACCCTAGATAACCTTGGCGTAGCTTACACGATATGCCCGTGCGGTACGAAGTGTTGCTATTAATGCCAATGGCAAAGAATTATAGGCAGCAGAGAAAATGATGGAACTTCTGCACATATTGTAGAATGTGACTTGGCTTATGTTACTTTCGTCCAGGAAAATACGCAGGGACGCAGTCACGCAGCAGGCTGCAGGAAGGGACGATGAGAGGCGGCTAAATTGAACCAAGATCTTCATTGACAACCCGTCTTTTTCCTGCGGGCTCCGCGAACTCCGCGAACTCCTGGTCCGAGTAGTTCATCCAAAACTTCGTTAGCACAAGCGTGCTGCTAATCATACCATCTTGAGAACAAGCTCTTCAGAAATCGAGTATCCTGCTCGGGAAGAATCAAGGTACGAACAAGATGCTGGTTACGCTACTCGTCGACTTATTCCAATCGAGGATTCGTGAAACACAGAGGAATGCAGGCAGATTTGAGCATAAGAAGTTTGGATATACACAGTAACATCGCTACATGTTCAATATCTATACACAAAAGTCTTGGTAGATGAATCAGTATCTGTAGAGGGCTTAACCCGTGGATAAGCTGGGAGGCAGATCCTCATATCTCGTACCCCAAGCACTCTCGACAGGTCCAAGAGTCAACTCAAGCACACCTCCATCAACGAAAAACTCATGTCCCATCCAACTCTTCGTATACGGCACTCCGTTCAGCGTGGCATTTTGTACATATACGTTCTTGTACTCGGCGTCGAAACCAACATTCCGAATCGTTGCCTTGTTGCCAGAAACTTTGTTCATGATACTAATCTCTGGGAAGAAGGGAGGTGTGATGAGATAGACGTTCTGCCCCGGAACAGGGAAGAGTCCCATCATAGCTAAGACGATGAAAGAGCCCATGGCGCCCGAGTCATCGTTTCCAGGAATGCCGTTGACAGTCGTATTGAATTGAGAAGGGATGTAGGAGTGTGCTCGTGCAGCACTCTTGCCTGGGCGACCAGCATAGTGGTACTGGTACACTGGCAGGAAGCCTTGCTCGTCGCCGATGTATAGAATACCGCTTTCGTGGAAATAGTCAAGGCGTGCTACAAATAATTCCGCACCGTCGAGAGTCGTGATTAGGGAAGCCATGTCTTGAGGAGCGTAGAATGTGTACAGCCAACTACTTCCCTCGTATGTCTCATGCCCATCAGGGTTGAGATAGCACGACGTAAAGTTGAGTAGAGGAGAGCAGAAGATAGGGTCTTGATAGCCCCAAGTGCCGTTCATGAATTTGGGTTGCAGGAAACCCGTGAAGCCGGTCTGTGTGCCGTTGATGGTAGAGTTTTGGTCCTCTTTGTACAGATTTCTCCAGTTCTCCGAGCGTGAGACGTACTTGTCGTAGTCCGAAGTGTGCCCTAGACCACGCGCCATCTCTGCGATACAAAAATCGTTGTATGCGTACTCGACCGTACGAGAGACGCTACGAGTGAAAGGACCAACTCCGTGAGGATCAAAGTCATCAGCGGGAATATAACCTAGGGACTTCCATGAGGTCAGACCGCCACGTCCCTCGACTGCCCAGTTGAGTGGCTCGTCTTCAGCATCTGATACAACAGCCTCGTAGGCAAGAGCCCAGTCGATGCCTTGAGTCAGATTCTTAACGTATGCATCAGCCAGCACAACATCAGCATTGGAACCGCCTTGTGTAAATCCTTTGCACAGCGACATGCGACAATCTGGGAGCTTGCCTTCATGTCGGTATATGTCCAGTAAACTTCTGATCATTAATGCCTGAGATTCAGGATCGAAGAGTGTGATCAAGGGATGAATACTGCGGTACGAATCCCAGATACAGTAGAAAGAGTCGTAGTAAGGCTCTGTACTGTTCCAGAGAGGATTCTCACCGGTATAATCTTGCGGGCTGATAGAAGCACGGTACAGTCCGCTCCAGAAGATGGTCTGGAACTCATCACTAACATCGCCCGGTGTGACTGCTATCACACTCATCTTATCAGTCCAAGCCTGACGTGCTGCGGAGCGAGTGCTGTCGAAGTCAAACTCGGGTATCTCTTTCTCGGCATTTGAGCATGCTTGGGCAGTGCTCATGAAGCTCAGCCCGACACGAGCTGATATTTGATTCAAGTTGTTCTCAGGCGCATTGAACCGGACCCACGCTCCAGCAGGAAGAATCTCGGGGGAGATGTTGACTCCATCGGGTACAACACTAAGGTTCTTAGGTTGGCTGCCAGCCCTGTTGTTCATGAAGACACCAGTATCGCGGATGCTGGCACCGGAGAAGTCGGCGCAGAAGTGTAGGTCATATGTGCCAATGCCAAAACTTGGACTAAAGGTTCCGTTGCCGACTATTCTACCAGAATCTGGATCTACAGATATCGAGCCATTGGTTCTAGACTTAGGCAGATCAATAAGGTCTGCCAGAATGAGCGGGCTTAGAGGCATGTCTGCGGTCCCTTCTGGGAAGGAGAAGCGGTAGAGTGCTGTGTGGTTCGTCACAGTCATTTCGGCGCGAACAGAATTCTCAAGGGTAATTGTGAAGTATCCTGGTTCTGCTAAAACGGAGCCGTTGATCTGAGGAGTAGCTCTATCGGTAGATGTGAATTTGCATTCATCCAGGACATCATTGTGGCATCCGGGTTGTGCGAAAAGAGGGAAATTGCCAAGCGAGGGCGATCTGTGTTTACAATCATGTTAGATACAGCTTCAAGATATCGTGATTGTAAAGGTAGAAGGTAAAGATGATAATCAGACAAAACTCAATTTGGTCTCAAGGGGTATCGATGGGTTGATGACATAAAATAAAGAGTGCTCATCATGTGGATGAATTGGTGAATTGAGACGAATGAGATGAAACTTACCCTCCTGTACCGCTGTCGTGCATATGACTGAATCCTGTAATGTTACTGTAGTCGCTCGCATAACCGCCTTGGTTTTCACCATTGACGTCTGCAACGGCTTTGGCCATGCCTAGGAGAAGAGGTTAGCCAAGGTCAAGCCCTTCGCGACGGATGAGGAGACATACCGAAAGGCAGAGTAGCACCAGCAAAGACATGTCCTGCGCGATTGTCAACATAAGACCGGGTTTCGCCCTTCTTCTCTTGTTTCAAACCTCCGAAGCCTGTGCCAATGAGCGGATCAACATATTGAAGAATATCAGTCTGCTGGGCCAAAGCAAGGTCAAGTTGAAGACCTAGCAAGCCGCACAGTAACCAAACATAAGCCATCTTGTCGCGTAAGTGTTGGAAGCAGAATACACTCTCAATGCTCCAGCAACAGACGGCGATTGCTTGCTATATGTTGCTACACCGTGGGTCCCACAACAGCGACCCCGCCCTTCAGTTGATGAGGAGCAGGGAAGCGAGCAAAAGGCTACGGTAGCATGCATGATGTACATGTCTTTGGTTGCAGCAAAGATTGACAGGGCCGGAGAGAAGTCAAAACGAGATTGATGCTACGACGGCAGAAGAAAGAATACGAAAAGCGGTAGCGGTGGAGCGCAGAGCACGCCAAGACATGACGTCAACATGGGCGCCGTCCCTCGGCATTGAATCACGAACACGCCGCGTCTTTCAGGCATTTGGTGGCAGGGAACGCGGAAAGTGCGACCATCTTTTCGTCACAAGACGATATTCACCATCGACATAGGAGGGAGAGAGCATTCGAACATGCTGGCGACCTCAAGTTTCGGATCTACTTCTTCGCAACCGCACAAGTTCCTGCCCAGCGTGCCGTCGCCACTCTCTCCTCGACGCGCAAATGTCAAAAGTTCATCTACTTCCTTCTGGTCCTTCGACACATCAATGGCAACCTCAGCACCTCAACATGCGTCAAACCAGCAACCACACGTGCCCTTCTCGTCTCGACCAGTGAAAGCTGCTGCCATACCGCGCTCTGATGCATTGCGCGAGCGCCGTAGGGACATGTTCTTGCGCAAAGTCCGCCAGGCCCGCGATGAGAACAAATGGGACTCGAGGATAGATGATGTACGTCTCTGATCACCACACAGATTCGAGCATAGTACTAACTGTTCTTCAGATGGCCAGACTCGACTACCTAAAGGAGAAGCGACGCTGGGAAGCCGAACAAGTACGATCCGCACCATCACTGCACCCAGACTTTGCCGAAGCAGAAGAAACCTCAGACTACGACCTACCCACATACAGCAGCCAAATGGCATGGGACCCTCAATCTCAGTCCCAATATCCTCTGGATTCAGAAGCCGACTTGGTCCTACAGCAAGAAGATGAAGAGCTGGAAGCTTTGATCGCATTGATGCAAGAAGATGAGAATCGCCGGGCTCAGCAGTCGAATAGTCAAGAAGCACATGATGACCGTTCCTCGGCTTTCGGCAGCGACGATGATGAGTACGACGACATCTTCATGAACATGATAGACGAGACTGGTGGCGCGAGTTCTGGACACGAGCAAGAGCATCAACATGCAGCAGATGACTCCATGGATCTGAGCTAGGCCCGGTACCTGGGCTGAGAATTTGTGCTTCTTTGTGTTTTAGCGTGGCGTTGGCTGGATACCTCATGGGAATGGTTGCATGGCTCGGTGGACTTGGGTCACCAAGGAAGGGACCTGCGATATGGATTGGGTAGCTGTAGAGACTTGTTGAAGTGACTTTTACTCAACTCACTGGCAACTGTAATTCTCTTGTCGAAGTTTGACATTCTATTCGTCTCGTGCCATCATCTATCGTGTGTGTGTGTGGCTCCAAGCATTACCATCTCTCTCTTCTTCCACACCTCATCCCCACTCATCCACCCCTCAACTAGCAACACCACTCCTACCCTCAAACTCCCTGAGATACTGATCCTCCTTGTACCTAGCATACCCCTCCCTCTCCAAACTCCTCCTCGCAACCTGCACATCAAACTCAATATCCTCAATCAAACTCTCCTTGCTCACATAATCATACTCCGGTCTAATGAATCCCAAAATCACGAGATTCATATGCGCGCCATAGAAATCTTTGTCGAATTTCTCAAGCACATGGACTTCGACACTGCGAACGGTGTTTTTGTAGAAGGGGTTCCAGCCGATGGACATTACTTGGGGATAGATGGTTGAAGTGGTGGAGAGAGAGCAGTAGCCATAGTAGACGCCTGATTCGATGTCGTCGTGGCCGCCGACTGTGAGGCCTGAGAGGGGGATGTTGGCTGTAGGGATGCCGAGCTGGGGGGACATCAGTAGTGCTCATTCATTATTGTTTCCCGTGGCTGCTTCTGGGTGTCGTGCTCTTTTGAGTTTGATGTGATGGATTCTGGGTTGGTTGAATATGCGAGCAAGTGGTACTAACCTCTTTGCTGCCTCGTCCAAATCCTTTGACGACTTCGCCATTCAACTTGAGTGGGAATGGTAGCTCGGGGCCACTGTCAGGGCCGACGATGGCGTCGCGGGGGCCGTCTGGGCGCATGTTGTGTGATCTATGATGAGTCGATGAGTCGCTTTGTGGCCGACGAGTAAAGCAGGTGATTGATGTGATCGCCTGGCACGACCTCGGATTTTGCGGCGTTTGCACGAATCACGATTGTGATCACGCCTTGATCCTCCTAGACCGGCGACTTCGTGTTTCTCACCCTTCTGAGCAGAATGACCTTATCTGAATCTTCATCCTGTAATTCAGGTAAACTCGAAGGTCTGTGTTATGAAGGGTCGGAGCAGGTCACAGAAACACTTTGGGTGTGCATTCCCAGCATAGTGAGAACTCGGCTTAAATCTATACTGCTGCAGCGATTCTATCTCAATCCATATCGCCTCCTTCATTATCAAATCGTAGTTCATGTGCTTGTATCCATCGGGTCCCCAGCACTGTTGGCAGCCTTCTCCTTTCTCTTCATTTCAATGAATGCCAAGATTTCCTTCTTCTTGTCTTCAGCGGGCACCACATCTTCAAACGCCAAGGGCACACGATTGAACGGGTCAGTAGAGTCCGAGAGCAAATGTGAGCGAATTGTGCTGCGATCGACGATCTGTTTACTGCTGGGCAACAGGACAGGATCTTCCATGAGCGAGCCCATGATGGGATCGAGCAGCTCATCCGGAATCTCGCCAAGATCTTCTTCGGCCATGACCTCCTGAGCGTGAACCAGTGCCACGGCATCGATCAAAGCAGTAAACTGCTTGACTTGTTCAGGAGATTTCATGCCAAAGGCTTCCAGAAGTTGCATTGCCTCTGTGAAGTTACCGGGCTTGTACGAACGACCGTCACGAGCAATCGCCTGACGGAAACTCTCGCGGTGTTCTAGGTTTAAGTAAACATCAACAAGGTCCGAGAGTAGCTCACGAGGCTTAAAGCCATACTGTTCGGGCTGATCCACCTTGAGGTTACGACGTCGTGGTCCGACCATCGTGTCCAGGTTGTAGTCCAACATGTCTGCGAGACGTTGCACGATCTCTGGCATGGTGAAGGCGCCAGCCAGAGCATCTGTGAACAACTTGAGCATGGCGACAGTCTCCTTGGTCAAACCCATGTATGATTTAGCACGGCCCTGCTGTTCAGCCAATGCTTCTTCCTTTTCTTGCCGTACCGTCTGCTCCATGTTCTCTGAACCAGGGGCCTTGAGCTCCACTTGTAGATCGTGGATCTTGGCAAACGAGCCAAACACCTCGTCCAAGACGTATGTTACATCGTTCAGCAAAAGGTTGACAAAGCGAACGAAGAACTCGGTATTGACGTCCGCCTCTTTTCCAAGATTCTCTCGGTAAAGAGGATTTCCCCAGATGCTCTTGAACACTTGGAAGATCTCGTATCGGATGTTGAACTTATCGTAGAACGCGGTGTGTGTTCCAGTCGCTTCACACTCGATGTAGAACTGCATGAGCGCATGTAAGAGATGCTGGTGACAAAACTCCGAACCATTGAGAAGGTCACCAAGAACACCTTTAGTGAAATTACCAAAAGGCCAGACACCATGGAACAGGATGGTAACCAGTCCAGCCTTCATGTAGGGATTCTTGATGTAGTTTGTATTGCGCAAGAACGTGATGCAGACAGTGGCAAGCTCCTCACACTGGGTAGAAGTGACAATGTGAGGGATGTTGCGGGTGATGAACTTGAAGTTGTCGACGACATCTTCGAGGAAGTACTCGGGGAGGCATTTGAATACTGCAGGCTGCTCTTCGGGTAGAGGAAGGCGCAGGGTCTCCTTCGGGAGGTTCTGTCCTGACGCGAGACGGAGAAGCCAGACGATGACATATCTCATGAATTGCATGGATCTTGCTTGAGAAACTTCATCGAGTAATACACCAGTCGTTGCATGAATGACGCTGTGCATCCTGTCGACCTCGTCTCTGTATTTCTGCAGGTGCTGTTCGAAGCGTGTAGCGTACCGAGGGTCATGCGCATATTTGTGTTTCTCAGCCTCAAATCTCTCAAGCTCTTTTTCCATGTGCTTGACTTGCTTCTGCATGCTTTCCATCCTAGTGCTGGCAGCCTCGGTGCCGTAGTGATGAGCGGCTACGGTGAGGAAGAAGATCTCGGATATGAAGTTGCTGGTGCCCCCAACCTTTTGCTCGTAAAAGGCATCGGAGGTTTTCTGGTCTGCATTCATCTTCGTCTCATCCGATATATCGACTCTGGGGTTTCTTCTGAGGTAGTCGACATCGATCTTCTCGATCTTGCTGAAAGTAGCGTCCATGAAAGGGTCACAAAGTCGATCGAGACAGTTCGTGATGTTGATCATGAAGCCATCTGAAGATGTGGTCTTTTCGTCGACTCTCGTGGCGCGACGTTTGTGATTGGTGTTCATACAATGGGCGAACCAGTCTAGCAACCTCTCACGTGGCTCCTTTCCAGATTTAACAATCTTGTCAGCGATGGCGAAAAGCTCTTCCTGGTGAGTGTTGAGTGTCATGCGCAGCGAACGTTGAGCATTGGCGATGTAGGCCCTGTCTTTTGACCGGGGTGTAGTGAAGAAGCTCTGCGCAACACCATTCTGAAGAGGTGAAAGACGGAAGAAAGGACCAAGAATGGTGACGATCTCGATATCCTGTGCCGCGACGCCTTCGGGTAGAAATGCAGGTGACTGAGTTACTGCCTCGACGATCTTCGGGTGCTGGAGTAGATTTCTGAGAGCAGTAAGGTAGTATTTGTACTCGATATCGTTCATGGATAGTGCAGCCAGCTGCCTGCTGAGCTGTTCGACAGCACCGACCAGAGCGTCCTTGATCGACTCATCGTCTTCGAAACGCGAGACAGCCTCGACGAGGAAATCGTAATCAATACCGGATTCGCTCTGGGGTTCTGCAAGTAGATGCTTGGCTAATGCATTCTCTGGCGGCGTTTCGACACCGAACATCTCGGGCATAGTGATGGCGAATATGCAGTAACTCATGCAAAGTCGTCTGGCCTCCATCAGGACCTTGAATCTCGGACTTTCGGCATCCGTACTCCTCATGCCTCGACAAGCTTTGGAGATGCGCTTCCAGCATGCTAGCAGGTACTCTAATGGGGTAGTGTTCGTCAAGAGGCCGGCAGCTTCAGGGAGGGCCTGATCCAGCAGGCTCGTCTTAAGCTGGAGCGGCTCGTTTTGTTCCAGCAGGTCTCCTCGCACGCTCTCGAGATAGTACAAAGGCTGTGAGGAAGCATCTCGGACGACATCGGGTTTCAGTGACAGGCGGAACATCTGACTGAGCTGGCGATCTTCCCATGTCTCGAGCGAATCTGAGGCTTGTGGGCGTGATCTTGGCTGGGGCGAGTCGTCGTTGGGGCGCTTCTGAGCAGCCGAAGATGTGATGTTGATCTTGACGGGCGTCTTGGTCTCGTTCTTGACGCCCGGCTGCGAGAAAGGGTTGCTCGCTTGCTCTGTGGGTTCCTTCTGCGGCGTGGACAATGAGGCTGGCGGAGTCTCGGTATTCGGAGATGGTGGCGCTGGTGAAGATGGGCCTGAGCCTCCGCCGAGTTTAGCGAGACGCTTGTTGCGGATCTGCCCATATTAGATTCTAACAGGACAGCGAGCTGCACCTTCTGGCGGCGATGTGGATGCGATATACCTTGTCTGCTTCTGATTCGGCCATGATGTGTGGCGGGTGGATGGGTGAGTGAGGTCAAACCAGAATGGAAGATGCCCAAACAGACAACGTGTTGGATACGCCTCAAGCAGACTCGGTTCGAGCAAATAACGAACAAGTGGTGGTCGAAGTGATGGTATGGTCCAGGCAATCGACTACTAGCGATGTGACGCTCATTGCCGACCTCTCACGCCTTAAGGCCGCTATTTCCGTCCAAGCTCACCTGCCCGTTTGGAATTTTCTCGAACGCAAACGACCACAGTCTTCCTCACTTATCGATAGCTCTATATGCAGTATGCCTTTGTTTCTTTGAGACTGTTTGTTCTAAAACTTGCAGACTCCCATTCCATACATATGTGTCACTCACACTCATCACAAGATAGTAATTCGAATTGAATTTAGTTCATGCTCTTCGCACACACAGCTGCACCAGCACTGTCCTTGTGAATCTTCTCCACAACTTCAATTTGATGAGTGGGGGTCCTCCACGATTCAACTCTGTCGTCGAACAGACTAAAAATGACTTGCATGTTTGCACCGCTCACCATGTCGAAGCAAAGTCTCTGGCCAATATTTGAGGAATGGTCTTTGGATCAGACCCGTCCTCACATGTCTATGGTACCATGCTGTGTGCACTCGCGGAAGTACAACTAGTTGACCATCTCGATCATTGTCCGAATGAGGTAATATTTCTCGACTGCTCTTACCAAGCCTTGTTACGCCGCTCTCATTGCAATAACGACCAGTCTCTTCTGTGGGCTTCCAATAGACAACAAGGGGCCAAGCAGGAGAAGAGTTTCCAGAACAAGACAATCTCCCTGATCTAACTAGATGGCTCACCGCCGTGATCCCGAAACGATATCTGATACAGTGACAGGTACACGTATGAGAAATGAAGCATGATTATCATCCAGGTTGCTGTGGCACAGCATATGTGGCTGGTCGCGGTACATGACCTCTTTGCGCATTCTGAGCAAAACAAAGCTAACGCCAGCCTGATCCGAGCGTTAAGCCTGAGTACGGTGTTGAACGAGGCGCAGACAAGGACAGAGGAGCAGTGCATGAGCGGTGGGAGGCTCAGACGCTGTACAAGAGACAAAAGAAGAATGAGAAATCGGCAGTGCAACGATAGCGCTCGCTGCAAGAAGAGCTCACCCAAGCCACACGATAGATGGCAAGCCTGAGAAGGGCTATTTTCTTCTGACACGCGGCAGCCGTGGGTGTTGTGCTAGCGTTATAATAATTACTCTGCGCAATCTGTGTAATAACACGTTCGCTTGTTCGCTGTTTGATGCTCGTAGACCAGACCGGTTATCGTGATTGTCTGCCTCCTGACTCTCTTGTCACCTCTGTACTTGATCTTCGACACGACCTAGACTCGCACGTAGCCTCAAGCACGCCAACAGCAAAAGCAGGCAGTCGTGTTGTTTCTCTCCAATTAACAAAACAAACTAAGCCCTCAACAACGCCGGTCCGCCGCGCAACGCTTGGCAACTCCAGCCTCTAGGTGCGTCCTTCCTCTTCGTCGCCTGCCTGCCAACACCACTGCCATCACCGTTGTCGACATCACATCCTATCTCCATACCAAAACACCTGCGTCTTGGCCTGATTATCCGGCCAACTTGCTCACTCAAACCTACCTCACAGACTCTTTGTTGATCTATCTCCACAATGGCGGAAATCCGTCGCAAGCTCGTTATCGTTGGTGATGGTGCATGCGGAAAGACCTGTCTCCTCATGTAAGAAACAATGCCGCCTGTTGTCGTCTGTCGACCACGCCTTGCTGACCCGCTGTCGACAGTGTCTTCTCCAAGGGCACCTTCCCTGAGGTTCGTTCATCTACATCCCTGGCTCATCATCGTCGCTCGACTCGTTCCCCCTCTTCGTCGCACGCCCCGCCAACCCTCCACACCCGAGCGCGATATGCAACCTCTAGTATAGTGCACCCGATGTGCTGACATAATCGTTCAAAGGTCTACGTCCCCACCGTCTTCGAGAACTACGTCGCCGATGTTGAGGTCGATGGCAAGCACGTCGAGCTCGCCCTCTGGGATACAGCTGGCCAGGAAGATTACGACAGACTGCGCCCTCTCTCCTACCCTGACTCGCATGTCATTCTGATCTGTTTCGCCGTCGACTCGCCCGACTCCCTTGACAACGTCCAGGAGAAGGTACGCCGCCCGCCTGAACTGCCACCTCACGTGCCTAGCTGCATGCTGACATGATTTGTTTTTGGATAGTGGATCTCCGAAGTCCTGCATTTCTGCCAAGGTCTTCCTATCATCCTCGTTGGATGTAAGAAGGATCTCAGACACGACCAGAAGACCATCGAGGAGCTTCACAAGACCTCGCAGACTCCCGTCACCGAGGAGCAGGTGCGTCTTGACTCTTTGTGTTGAACATGAATTCGACTTACACAGCACACAGGCCAGACAAGTCAAGGAGAAGATTGGTGCCAAGGAGTACATCGAGTGCTCGGCCAAGACCAACGAGGGTGTCCGTGAGGTCTTTGAGCACGCTACCCGTGCTGCCCTCACCTCAAGAAAGGAGAGGAGTAGCAGCCGCAAGAAGTGCCTGATCCTGTAATCGGGCAGGCCCGGTTGCGCGATCATCCCCCACCTCGACATGGAGAACACAACATGGTTCGGTGACCATGGACGAAGCGCTTTTCACCATGTCGCGTCTTGCCAAGGGCTGCTACTCTGCCGACTGAACGATAAGTTGCAGCTCGAGGCCTGAGAGACTTGCACATTATACCTTGGTTCTGCAACATGGCGTTCGGATTGGAGTTTCTTGGTTGTCCTGTTCTACACCACAAGAGACATGTCCACCCTCTTCAGCAAGCGAAATGGACGAGACATGCACGCAGGGCACTGTGTTTGTTGGTCGAGGATATGGCACTGATGGTCCTGATCATTCGTCTTGCTCCACCGACGCACTCCTACGTCTTGTCTTTTTTTCACTTCTCTTAGTACAAGTCGCTCAGGTCTCTACCCACATATCCCCCTTGTTTTTGTTTTACCGTCGGTCACTGTTTTTCTCTACCACCACTTGCACTGCGCATTCAGATCGGTGTAATATTTGTCATAGGCGTCAATGAACTAGTTTTCTTTGCACACAATGACGGTCTTTGACATGGACATAATGGCGGTCTCGAACACCTGAAGAATGACGTGCAGTTTCAACATGCTCCGAGTAAGTTGTAAGAAGGGTATGCTCAGATGGCACCCCCGGAGAGGGCGGAACCGACCGGCGTGGCAGAAGAGTTGATCGCGTGTTGATCTGCCTGGAGTTCCCCATATTTGGACGTGGACAATGACACGGGATGGCGAAACGGCGAGGATCTTGAGACATTCGCAAAAGAGGGGTCATGTCATGGTTAGAGAGCAGCATCATGTCTGGTGGCAGGCAGCGGAAAGCTCATCATCAGAGACAAAAAGCTGGTGACAGACTACCGGGGGCGAGGTTACGAAAGATGTGCGGGCAAGCGAGCCAATGGTGGAGATGCTGGGCATCCCACTTTCACTAATGACGAGTCGCAAAGCTACTCGATACTTCGCGCATGCATGTTGTTTGCAGTAATTTCAGCGACAGTTGGCGGACGGCAGAGTGAGATAGTCAGGGAGTATGACTGTAGAGTGCATAAGTCGAAGGCAGCAGCTTGCGATGACGGAGGTGCAGTAGTGAAGCAAAGCGCTGAGGATTTGGCAGGAGCACGTGCGGCTTGTCAACGGAGAGGCAGGAGCCAAAGCGTCCTTCTGCCGCCGCTACTCGGGAATATCGCTAGTTTGGTCGGCCAGAGCCCAGAAACTCGAAATCCATTTCCAAGCGACGCCTTTCTTCACTGCGAACCCACCCACTCACTCCACTTCCTGGTCAACATCCTCCCTCCTCACTACATCGACACCAAACATCGACACCCCGGTTAACATGCGCCTCTTCCGCATCAACACCATCCCCACCATGTCGCTCATGGCTTCCTTGTGATCTCTGACCAGCACGGTATGTGCTCAAAGTCGCCAGAGACACTGCACACCCTCTGATGCCGTACCAGCTGTCCAACGAGCAACGACACGCGCCTGCACCCTAGTGCAGACATCCAACTGCATCTCCATATCCCCCACTATCCGCTACACGTCCGCACGATCCGTCTGAAACTCGACTGTCACGCGACATATCCTTCCTCACACACTCAACATGCCTACTGCATCCTCAAATCCCCTGCTCGACTCGACTCCACAAACCTCCACCATGGACGCTCGCGACCTGTCGCTTCTCAAACCCGCCGTTGACGACGTTAAAGAAGCCAAAGGTGCATTGGATTCGACATCTTCTCTCGACTGTCGCTGACTCGAGAAAGCAGGGTCCAAAAAGGACGGCTCGAAAACCAACATGGTCGCTCAAGAAAACTTGAACCCTAAACTCAGCATCGCTCCTCTCCCCGGACGTCTGCGCATGTACGTCCCGCCAGCCAACTTCGGCGCGGTCGAGACAAACTCCATCTACAGAAGTGGTTACCCAACCAGCAAGAACTTTGACTTTATCAACAGTCTCAACATCAGAACCATTCTGTGCGTTTCAGAACTCTGCATACCAACTCGCTCTTTCTAACGTGCCTTCCAGCACCCTGGTTCCCGAGCCTCTATCCGAAGAATACATCTCCTTCATGGATCAGAACCACATTCGCCATTACCAGGTCCACATCCCTGCCAACAAAGACGGCAAAGTCAACATTACTCCCGACACCATGGCCACTGCTCTCGCTGTCGTCCTGAATCGCAACAACCACCCTCTTCTAATCCACTGCAATCGTGGCAAGGTTCGTCCAAAATACTCAGCTCATCACACGAGCATGTTAAGTTAACTCGCCACCAGCATCGTACTGGCTGTGTGACTGCCTGCTTCCGCAAGACACAGTACATCCAAAACGATCCAGCCATCGCCGAATACCGCGATTATTCATACCCAAAATGCCGCGAGGACGACATGCGCTTCATCAAATCTTTTGATCCCAGCATCGTGCTTCCCATCGCCCAATCACAAGGCTGGCTGCCCACACCACCACCAGAGCCCAATGATGGCTTCTGGCACCTCAAGCACCAGACCGAAATTCCGAGCTATGAGGACGTCGCTGCCATCAAATCCAACGATGAGCACAGAGATCAGGTCGCCCGCATCTCGGTCAAATGACGACCAACTTCGACGTCCATCCACATGATGGTTCTGGTTCTTGCAGCTTCCTACATGGTGTTCACGGCGGTAATGACAAAAGAGGCTTAAAAGGGTTGATTTTGCACGAGATGATGCTTTTTTTCCTTTTGTATTTTCTGTTTTCCGACTCCATAGCGACGGCGTTCACAAGGAGTCTACCCAAGGAAGAGAGTTTCTTAGAGAAAACTTGAAAGACAGTTGTAAATTTTGGGCGGCGAGGGTTTTATCATGGGATTGGGAAAGGGCGTCGAGTTTTGGCTCCGCTTTTTGTTTTTTGGTCTTCTTTCTCTTATCTCACACAAGAGACGGATGTGTCTATTTCGTACACACGCCGATTGGAGCGTCGTAGCTTCTGTGCTTTTGCCTCTCTCTTGGGTCAAAGGGTGCTGTTGAGGTCCTACGAAGCGCAGGCTCTAAAAGAGTAGGAGTAATGCTGGTGGGATCAGGCAGTTTGGTAAAGATACTGTTCAAGGGGTTTCGGACTCTCTCAAGTCAAGACTTTTGGTGGTTTATGCTAATTTTGGATGTTTGTCTCCTTTCTATCTCTCTACTCCTGTTATCTTCTGCTTGTGTGTTTTTGTCTTGTCTTTCTCCTATCTATGTTGTGTTTGAGCAGGATATCATCAAGTTTGTTTTATATGAGAGGGAGACTTATGGCTTTCCTGGGATGTCGACGATAGGTTCCTTCATAGCGCTTTCGCTATGATTTGTAGTCGAGTCATTTGGTTCGTTTTCCTTTTCTGTCTCCTTTTTCTTTTTTTATGCTAGTCGACAGGATGACCCTGGCTATGGACGAGATTATCCCTGTATCATAACATACCATCACCAAATGTGATCAAGACATTTTTTCCAAATGTATCATACGCGGAGTATTCACGGGATACCGTCTCACTATACTATCAAAGCGGAGAGAGCAATCTGGGTTGTAAAGATGGTGGTTTAGACCCTGCAAGAATTTGCGACATTGATACCATCGAGATGGCCCCATGCATGCCTTGACACTTGGCAGAAGCGATGCTCAAGTAAGGAACAAGACAAGGTAGAGTAAGCATTCAAGAACAGCAGTGTGTTATATCTGCCAGTACGATAGAGAAAACCGAGTGGGTAGACGGAAAAGATGGGGAAATCATCAGCAAAAGATACAAGAAGTGTGCAGACCAAACCAGGGAGAATTACAGGCAGCAAGAGTACCCAGGACAAAAGTTACGACATACCTTTACCATACTTTGACGAGTAAGCTTGAACAGTTCAAGTGGTAGAAAGAGAGGCAGATGTGTAAGCAAAACGCTCTACCGGAGGGGAAGGGATTGGTAGTGTAAGAAAAGGGGAAAACCTGGTAAAAAATCATGGGACCTACCTGACCGAACAGAGAGAACAGAGCAGCGAAGCACAGTCGAGACTCACCTCAGTAAAACAAAAAAAGGAAGAGAATCTTGCGAGCTACTCATAAGTCTTTGATGAGAAGAAGAGTGTGAATTATGCAAGTATGCGAGTATAGCGGCTCCAGAGGTCGATAAAGCGACCCGTTCGAAGACGCCATGCAGAAAGAGGAGGAGAAAACGAATATACAAGAAAAGACACTCTCTCTGTTCTTACCCATTCGAAAAGATGAGAAGTTTCGAACCAGAACAACGAGCAAAGACTCAAAAGTATCCATATTTTCATCATCGAGTACTGTAGCCCATATCGTTCAATCTCTGACACGAAGGCATCTTGTAACCCCTAGCCTCCCGCAACTTTGCCTGATCGGTAAAGAAGAAGCCCTGAGCTTGTTGGTACATCTGCTGCTGCCTTTGCTGCTGCACCTCGCACTCGGTAGACAGCTTGTGGTAGTAATTCGCATCAGCCCTCTTATCCAGCTCTTTCCACTTCCGCGTCGGGAGATCCGAGACTTCGCGCGGATCCACATAGTAAGGAATGCCAAAGCCGGAGGAGACGCGTTGTTGGGTGTATGGCGGGATTGGGTCAAGCTTGACGGAGGGGCCTGAGGGTGTGCTGGAGCCGGAGAAGAGGCCGGAGAGTAAGGGGAAGATGAAGAGGAGCAGCAGAGGTAGCAGGGATTGTAGTGTTTGTGACAGAGAGGGCGGTGGTGCATTGGGGTCTCGCGCTGCTTGTTGGGGTCGTCGTCGTGGTGCGCCGCCGCCGAATTGGTGTACGCGAACGCCGGGGCCTCCGCCCATGTTGAAGACGAAGCCTGGGCCGTCGAAGAGACCGCCGCCTGTTGTGTTGTGTCAGTCTGAGACTTTGTGATGCAGAGAAGGAGTGCAAGTAAGACATACCAAAAGGACCGCCTCCAAAGCCACCACCACCCATACCCATACCGCCGCCGCCAAAGAACTGACGGAACAGATCTTCAGGACTGATCTCATCGTCAAACATGCCACCACCTTGTGCCCTCCTTGTAGCGCCGCCGCCAGAAAAGGGACTCGCCGAACTAGCACTCGCACCCTGAAACCTGCTATCCGGATCACCACCAAAACGATCGAACTTTGCCTTCTTATCCGCATCACTCAGGACTGCAAAGGCGCGAGCAACCATCTTGAAAGCCTCGTCTGCGCCATTGTAGCCGTTCTTGTCGGGATGGGTGAGCAAGCTGAGTTTGCGGTATGCTTTTTTGATGTCTGATTCTGTGGCTGTGGATTTTGTTGCTTCGAGACCGAGAATGTCGTAGAAGGCGGTGGGACTGCATTTGCGGACGCGGACGACGGCGGCTTTCTGGTCGACGGTAAAGGCGCGGCCGCTGCTGCCGTCGTGGTGTTCGCGCGACTTTTCCGATGACATGGTGAGATGTCTGGGGAGAAGAGGGAAAGAGGCGAGGGCCCCTGAGGGAGAGTGTCGGAGAGAGTTGCTCGAGGGTGTCGTGTTGTGTTGTGTTGATGCTGGGATGTGAAAGTGGTAGATTGGCCTTTGTCTCAGCGGGCCAGACTGTCTTTCCCCAATGACAGGGTCGCCCTTTGTCTCTTGGATGTGATTGGTCTCGGGTCAAGCATGACGGCATTTCCAGCTTTATATTCTTGATCCACTTCCACCCTCCGTTGCCTATATCAAACAATTCACCTCATACACTGCCCAAAATGCCAATGCCAGGAGCCGACAAGACCACTGACGCCAAAGAGGGCGTCCTCACCTACATGCGCGCATGGGGCGGTACGTTGCTCGACTCACTCTCAATCCAAAGAGTCGCAACCCACTAACACTGTCGCAGAGTCCTCCGTACCCCCCACTGCCCTCGCAACCCTCATCACAGCCCAACATTTCCGCCCATTCCAGAAGCTGCCCATGCTCTTCGTCCCCGTCCTCCTCTTCTCCTCATACTTGAACCTCAATGGCTTCCCTGTCGACTCGGCCGGCGTGACTTCTGCCTGGAGTGCAGCATACTTGGTTGTCGCGAGGAGGAGAAAGCAGGCTTTCACCAGCAAGTTTGGCGCTAGAGGTGCTATCAGAGGCTTGACGTTGGGTCTTTGCGCTGCGAATATTGTCAGCGGTGGATTGGCGTACACCTTTGGCAAAAGAGAGGCCAGGGAAGAGTGATTGTGAAGAACCTCGGGTTTTCATCTTCCATGATCTAGTCTGGGAGACTGGTACGGAATAAGGACACAACTCGACTTTGGCCTATACCAAGTCTCGAAAGAATCGAAGAGGAAGCCGACTTGGTCGCGTGACAGCATCGCAGTGACACGATACAGCGATTCATTGCTATGACGATAGGGCGAACAGATGGCCTATCGATTCGAGAGAAACAGAACTCTCTGTATATATATAACATTCAGCTTCACCTATGAGTCCTTTAGGAGAGGCATCCTAGCCTTTTCGAACAACAGCTTCCCTGCTAGAGTCTTTGCTCAGTCTTTTATCCGTTCTGCTTGTTGCTTACTGAGCCATTCCGCCTGCGCACATGTCTTTTAGTCATCGTAAGACAGCGTGATGGTGCTTGCTCCAAAATTTGATGGCTGCTGAATGTTCAGCTTTTGTGTACCATCCCTCCACTTTCTTGCACTTTAGAAACTTGTTCTCTTTTCTGTCTATGTAACCATCAGATCAAGCCTACATACTGTTACACTGAAGACCAATGATCGTTGCAATGAAAAGTGTTATCCGAATTCTGCTGCTCCATGACGACATTGATATGTTGAATCTTGCGAGTCACGACTGATGGCAAACCATATCTCAAACCCACCATCATTCACAATGTTTAGCATACTACTCAACACTCGGAGCTCCTGGATCAGATGGACGCAAAGCTTGCATACCTTACCCTGGTGAACCGAATAGTCCCAGGCCCTCAGAGCCTGAGCTACTTCGTGCCTCTGATAGTACTGCCAATCGCCTTTTGCATACCACCATGGACTGTGTCAAAACAGACGTTATGTGCAATCACCTTACCTATCATCACCGGCTCACTCGTACATGCTTGGATCGTCATGGGCGGCATAGATGTTATATCATTTGACATGCTACTCCACGCCTACCATCTCCTGCTTTTCAACGACCCACGCCGCAACTTTCGTAGGGTGGTCGAGAAACCCCAGCACACTATCGGTGCAAAGAATCATGCATCTGAAGCGAAAGATCAACTCGGGGAAGATAAGATCACAGAATCGCATTACATCGATCAACCCTACCCTGCCAACTGGACAGAAAGACTGCCCTGGATAGGCACCCTCCTCATCTCCATGCGCTTCATCGATTGGAAAATTGGCTCACCCTCTCACGACTCCAGACAACCAGCCCGACACCCTCACCCTCCTTCTCATCTTCGCTTTATTGCCACTGCTCTCCTACGCACCACGATTGGTTTTATCGTTATGGATCTCACATCAGCTTGGACACAACAAGATGCTTATTTCAAATCTTTTGGTGTGAGTGTTGATGCAGCTCTGCCCCAGACTAGCAGCTTTGCAGTGTTGCCTCCGAGAGTGCTCAGGTGCACGATCATGGCATTACAGGTGTGGTCGACTGTGGGCCAACAGTTCCAACTACCTTGCGTTTTGCCAGTGATGCTGCATTATTTCGGTCTGCTACCAGATGCGTGGGCCCCGCATCTGTGGCCGACTTTCTTTGGCAGTTTCGGCGAAATGTTTACATCGCCAGGCCTTTTCGCTGTCAGAAACTTTTGGGGTAGGTATTGGCATCAGACTCTACGGCATTATTGCTCTGGTCCTGGTGTGTGGGTTGCGGATCTACTGAATTTGCCCAGAAGGAGTTGGAGTAGGTATGCGTTGTTGAGTGCAGCTACGTTTTTCTTTTCGGGGCTTGTGCATATTGGATTGGTACCCAGAGATCCTATGTTTGCAGCTATTCCTGCCGGTCGTATTCGTTGGCTTATCTTGGGGTTCTTTTGGTTGCAGCCAATGGGGTTTGCGGTTGAGATGGCGGCTTCGAAGGTGTTGAGGAGACTGAGGGCGAGGAAGGAGGTTTTGGTGGTGCTGAATGTGTGTTGGTTTGTTGGATGGTGTTGTGTTGTGTTGCCGTTGTTGGGGGAGGCTGGAGGGCATTTGGGGTATTGGCGTGTTTGGCCTGTGCCGGTTAGTTTGTGGAAAGGTGTTATGGAGGGAAAGTGGTTGACTTGGATTTAGAGGTCCGCATTTGAGTAATAGGCTTATAGTAGAATAGATGCGGTGAAGAACATTTCCATTATCATTTATATCTGTTGATTTTGGCTTATCGTGTACTCTGCCATATACACGGGAAGTCACAGACACTTGACGAGATGTATTCTTACGTTCACAAAGCGATGTTAGGATGTCGGACCTCTGTAATGTTGATCAAAACCATTTGGTGAAACTACAGCTATTCAATCGGCAACAGACACCATGACCCACAGTCTCCAGTCCCTAGAACTCAGCAATGTGCGTGCCAATACCACGCTCACGAGCGATCCTGACCACCTCATTGCCAACTACCACATCCATAAGACCTAACCCAACAATCTTTGCAATGACATTACCCTTGCAAAGCCATTCCTTCAATCCCGAATCATCTGATACCTGAATGCCTTGACCCTTGTTATCAGTGTCACCCTTCTTTGCCGCATCAGCCGCTGCCTTTTCAGCCTCACGTCTCAGCATCACAAGCTCGCCAATCTCAACCACTTGATCGGGTTGCACATTTGCTTGGATCAGCTCGCCGGCTTCTTGGAGGCATGCTTCGACGCTGTCGACGACAATGGCACCGCCTTCTTGCTGATGCTTGTGGAAGTGGCGGTGTTCATGGTGAGGCGCCACGGCGTTTCTGATGATGACGGGATGCAGTTCGACCATGTGGGGTTTGTAGGAGCCGATGAGGGCAATGTAGCGGCCCTTTTTGCGGCCTTCGGGGTTCAAGAGGTAGCCCGGAGGAAACAGTGGTTGTGTGCTGGGTGTAGTGCAGAAGATGACGTGCGCACTGCGGACGTACTCTTTGAGCAGACGAGTGTATTCGGTGTGGCCGGTCGTGAGGATACTGGTCTTTGTCTTGCTGCCGAATTTGTGGCCTAGAGGATTTTCGAAGTCCGGGTCTTGAGGGAAGGGGTTGTACAGCTTCATTAGCATCTCTCTTGCTCTGTCGAAAGAGCGGTTGATCACGTTGACGTGGTGAATCTCTGAACCGCGGAGGAGTAGAGCTAGACGGATGTGCCAGTAGGCCTGCTTGCCAGCTCCAAAGACTGTGAGGTCGTGCACTTTGTGTCTCCTTTTGAGAAGCATGCAGCTGGTCAGAGCTGTGCGGAAAGCAGTGAGTTCTTCGGCATTGACCAAAGCGCTGGGATTGCCTTGACTGTCAAACAGAGTCAACGACCCACGGGGTGCAGTAGCAGGCGGCTTGGAGTCTTCTGAGGTAGTAGAGGGGGTGAGAATAGGACCAGACATGGATGTAGGTCGAGATTTGGAGCCGGTAGTAGATGTTGTGTGAGACGACTTTGTCGAACCAATAGACAATCGTTTGAGATCTGGTGTGACGTCTGGCTTCTTGACCGAGTCCAGAGTGATGACCTTGACGCCCATGCCAGAGCTACTAGATGCCGGCATGAACAAGCTCGTTGCTCCATCAGTGCGGCTCATGTGGATTCTTTGAGGTTGGTAGGCCGAGCAACAGCCATCCTCTTCTCCAGCGGTTGAGTATTGGTGCAGAGCATCCGCAAGCGATTGTTGGATGTCGTCAATGTCCTGGCTTGTAAGAGAGTGCAACACTCTCTGAACATCATGGTCCGAAAGTACTGTGACGGGCATATTGATTCGAATAGTTCAAGAGCTGGGTATCAGAAGAAAAGGTCGACAAGTATGAAGTCGTGGTGTCTATCAGAGTAGAGGTAAGATCAGATATATGCTGTCACTGCAGTCGCAGCAAAGACGCGATCAGCAGCGTAAGTCGTTATTTGCGGCCGAAGTCAGGAATTGTTCATTCTCGAGTCTCCAATATGTTTGCGCTACCAGGTTACACGATATCAAAGTGGGTGCACAGCATAAAGTAGTCGTGGTTGTTGTTATTTAGAGTGGTGAATAAGCAATTCGGCAAAGCACGGCTCAAGAGGTTGGGAGCCTTGAGAGTCTGGCGTTCAACGAGTCGTCTTCTGTTGCTTTCAGCCTCAAGCAGCCAAGGACACTGCTAGCAATACAGAGCCGTAGGCTATTCTCATACAGTATATCGGTCAATTCTTCGGCTTCTCAGACCATCGATATTGGAACCTCAGACTGATTGTGATTCAAGCAAGTCTAGCACTGTCAGTGGTAAATGACGGATGCTTGGCATCATAGAACATTGTGAAGATACATTGATATAGCAAGAATCAATGAACGCGGAATGCTCAGTGGCAGTGATACAAAGCATATAGCTCGCTGACAGACTACTCGGAAAAAGAAAAGAGTCAAGTGCCAGCGATGTTGCTCGAGGTCAAGACTGGAAAAGTGATGGTTGCCGGATCTGGGAGTGATTGGCCGAGAGTTAAGCGGGGTCTTGGCGGCGCCCACGAGCTTCAATTTTCTCCTGCTTCGCGCGAAGATTTGCTTCCTTTCTTCTCCAGCCGCGACAGAATCAGTCAATCACCGACGTCCAGTTCGACAATCATTCAAAATGGTAAGCTCGCACCACATTCAAGGACCTTGAAGCGCTGTCGTCTCTGCAGTGCAATGCGCCGATGCGCTTTGCAAGTCTCGCTTGCCTGCGAGCGCAGCAATTCAAGATGATGTTCGACATCAACATCTATTGTAGTCGCTTCTCCCTGAAACATGGGAGACGGCAATGACCAATGGCTTGGGCTGCGTCTGGAAACAGCGCAGCCCTTTAGAGTCAAAAGCAATGAGCATTGTGCTGATTTGCTTTTCTCAATGAAGGCCCCTAAGTCTGGAAAGAAAGTTGCCGCCGCCCCTGCCTTCCCCCAGGGCAAGGCTGGTGTCTCCAAGAAGAATGCCAAGGTGAGTTTGACAGTACCCTCTCTGCTAACTTCTCGCAACCCGCGTGCTGACATGCCCGACAGAACCCTCTCATCGAGAGACGCCCCCGTAACTTCGGTATCGGTCAGGACATCCAGCCCCGTCGCAACCTCTCGCGCATGGTGCGCTGGCCCGAGTATGTCCGCCTGCAGCGTCAGCGCAAGATCCTCAACATGCGCCTGAAGGTTCCCCCGGCCATCGCCCAGTTCTCCCAGGTTCTGGACCGCAACACCGCTGCCCAGGCCTTCAAGCTCCTCAACAAGTACCGCCCTGAGACCAAGGCCGAGAAGAAGGAGCGTTTGACCAAGGAGGCCACCGCCGTCTCCGAGGGCAAGAAGAAGGAGGATGTCTCCAAGAAGCCCTACACCGTCAAGTACGGTCTCAACCACGTTGTTGGCCTCATTGAGAACAAGAAGGCTTCCCTCGTCCTCATCCCCAACGATGTCGATCCCATCGAGCTCGTTGTCTTCCTTCCCGCTCTCTGCAAGAAGATGGGTGTCCCATACGCCATCGTCAAGGGCAAGGCCCGCCTCGGAACGGTCGTCCACAAGAAGGTGAGCACATCTCCATCTGTCCTTCTACTCACACAACCACATACTGATAACCTTCTCAGACCGCTGCCGTCCTTGCCTTCACTGAGGTCCGCTCTGAGGACAGCTCTGAGCTCTCCAAGCTCGTTTCCGCCGTCAAGGATGGTTACATGGCCAAGACCGAGGAGTCCAAGCGCCACTGGGGTGGTGGTATCATGGGTGCCAAGGCTGTTGCTAAGCAGCAGAAGAAGCAGAAGGCCCTTGACAACGCCATCAAGATCTAAGTGCACCATTGATTGTCACTTTGCGTCTGGCGTTGGCTATGGACTGGGATTCTGGTGGGAAACAAAAGCTTTTCGAGTTATCTTCCGGCACCAGAATGACAGTTTTGTCGTGCTGCAAAAAATTTCTTTAACGACCCCTTCGAATCATGATACCCACTTTCCATTCTGTTAAGAAGAGACCCAAGCAAGTGATCGCGCAATGACTTTGGTGATCTGTCTGCGCTGTGAACATGGTAATGCATTTTGTCCTGCTGTCGCCTTGTGTTCTCGTCTCGTCCATGCTATCTAGTCGTTGTCTGTCAACTGATCCGCTCCTCTGGTTTATTGAATGTCTTCGGCGTATATTCATCCGCTTTGTGACCTGTCCTGCCCTGCCGCGGCGCAGTGCCTTGCATGGCGCTAGGTACTCGAGTTCTGCATGTCTTGTCGACTAGTGTGGATCTATCCAGACCTGGCCATAGTCGTATGCTTTCTTGAAGCCTCGAGTAGTGTGTCTTCGTCTCGATACGATGCCAGTTTCTGATTTGACTTCGCTGCTCATCGAGCGGCATCAAGACTTCTGGGCTGTCTCAAACCATTTCCTTACTGCGTTGTTGCCATCGTGAGCGGCACGGAACACTGCAGGAACACTTAGATTAGTCCTCTGAAGGCAAGTGATCCGGCACTACCAGCTTACATTGTCGTTCTGTGTCGTCCAGACCCCTTGCAAATTCAGCGCCTTCACCCAATGCACTTCGTGAGTTCAGCGCTTGATCTGAGATTTCGACTGCACGCTGTTTGAATGTCTAGATTATCGGTCAGAAAATGTGATTGATCGCACGAGATGTAGATGGTCGATACTCACGTCGGTCAAGATATCGACCATTTCCTCTTCTTCGAAAAGTTCCAGCATGCGAGCCCCGATGTTGTAAAAGTGCTGGGCTTGTGCTCGTAGATCTACTGTTTTTGGGTCTGCTTTCAGGGCATTCATGACGCGTTGGGATAGTGCTTGGGGTAGGTCGAGAGTTGCTAGTGATGAATTCCCTGAGGGATTGCTCACGGCCAGCATTTCGGCTAGCCATAGTGGTAGCTCAACTTTCGAGCCTTGTTTTATCTGATACCAGAGTCAGCGGGTCAAGAGCGTGTTGGAGAGGTGAATGAGACATACATCTTCTCCTGGGTTACCCTGCAGGTATCCTAGGTTGGGAACCGAGAGTTCAAAGGTGCAAGGTACTTTCTGTCGGATGACCCATCAGTTTTGTTGTTGTCATAGAGATGCTTGTGTGCTGTACCTGAGAATCTGTCAAGATTGCATCGATGTTGTAGTATGAGCCCATGATGATATTCTTTTTGAACAGAGGCGAGCGAGAATGAAAAGCCAGTAATCGACAAAGATGATAGAGAAGGTCCAGAGACACAGAGTCGGGACGATTGATAGAAGTCCCGGACAAAAGCGTGGCTGCGTGCGTGTCGTGCTACTGCCTAGGAAGAGCTATACTTAACTGAGCGCTTCTATCCCAGCAAACACAGTCTTTCTTTTTAGTGGAGGTTGACAAGTTTCCGGAATTGTTTTTCAAAGTGAATAAATCCGTTGCATCAACCAAATAGTATCGTATAGGTATGTTGTACACTGGGTAGACGCGTTTGACGCGACTCTTTGATGACCTGCGGAGATTAGAATAAAGACCGGACAAACTGACTCGGGTGCAGGAGCTTACAGCATCGATCGGGCAACGAAACACATCTACGACGAGTGCACAACATCGCGACCATCAAAGGGGCGATTTTGTTATCATCTCTAGACACTGGTCGCACAGACAAACACCCTGCAGGAAGAGGCCGGTTCACTCTTCACAACACCTGTGTCCACGACTTTCCCATCTCCGGGTCGTGTGAGCACTACCGTCGACATCGACGTCAGCTTCGTAGCGGTTCGCCATCCAATGAAGTGCTAGACAGCATAGGGAAACACTCAGCATGGTCACCAACAGCGACCCAGGCCCTCGTGCACGAGCATCTGGCAGAGATTCCGAAATGCTCGATGTCGCCAACGACAGCACCCATCCTTCCAGTACCGACATGTCGAGAACCACAACCCCCGACGGCCTTGACAATAGATCAAGTCGAACTCGCCCGCGCGTCTTTCCCTACACCAAATACCTACCCTACGACACCGAAACACCCGACCAAAGACAGCAAGATGTGGATGACATGATCAAACACCTATACATTGCCGTCAGTTCGGGCGACTTCGTCCCGGGAGCGGTACACTGGACAAAAGAGATCCGTGGATGGCTGTCACTCAAGTTCGACCTCAATCGCCAACAGCGCATCAGTCTGACCAAGCTCTACTATGAACTTGCTCTAGCGCCGGGTCTTGAGTACACGGTCGCCGAGCGCTTTGCCAGCATGTTCATGGTCTTGACCAAGCGCCGCCACTACCTGAAGCCCATCGAGGATCTGGTACTCGACTGGAGGCCGTTGTACCAAGAAATCAAGGTCTTCGTCTTGCCTAGCGAGTTTGCGACACCTAACACCTTCTCGAGCAAGCGCAGCATCCGGACACTCACCAAGATCTGCACCTTTGCCCAACTCTTCTTCGACCCGCAGGAACTCCCCAACATCCTCGATGAGCTCCTCCCTTTCTTCTCCATGTCGCCCTCAGAGAATGCCTTCGTCGTGACAGGCCTGCTCAACCTCTTCTTTCCAACTCACGCCCCTCCGCCGAACCAACCTAAACTCCAGCCTCAATACTACCTCCCAACCTTCTTCCACCTCTGGTCAATAACGAATCGCTCAACCTTCACCGATCAGCGCTTCCTCGACATGTTCTCCAGATTATCGCGCGATTGTCTGACCGTTGAACACGTCCCCTTCAACGAGCATGGTATCTACACCGCTGAGCAGACGTCTATGGTCTTCACCTCTATCCTACGGTTGCTCGAGATTCCTGTTGGTCAAGCCTCGTCACCTTACCATATCAATATCGACCTTGGTGCAGGTTTGTCTGCCCTGCTTGAGCGCGATCCTCGCAAGCATCCCGCGTCTAGAAGCATTGCAAGATGGATTATCATGTCTCTGTCGCCAGCTTGCCTCGACGTGAAAGATGGCAGATCCATTTTGCATCAGCTTGAGGGCCTGATCCAGGGTATCGAGACTTTCTTCCACCCTTCAAATACAGGTGCTTGGACAAAGACGCTGTCACAACTCGTCTACTATCTTGCAGACTTCTTCGTCATGCGTTGGAACAGAGAGGAGAGCGGTGAATATAAGATGCCTGCTGAGCGTAAGTTGACTCCCGAGCTACGGAGACGTTTTGTCATGTGTTTGAGAGAGGTCGTCTTCATGAACATCTACTCCAAAAGTGGCACCGCTGTCAACTACGCGCTTTCTACTCTGCAATGCTTGGCCTTCCTTGAGCCCAATCTGATTCTTCCTGGCGCTCTGCAAAGAATTTATCCTGCCATGCAAGGACTGGTTGAGGTGCATAGAACCACTTCGTCTATTCGTGCTCTTCAAATGCTGTCCAGAATCATCGCTCGTACCAAGGGGTTCAGATGTCATTTGACCACTCTGCTTGGCTTAGCTCTTCCGGGTATCGATGCAAACGATCTTGACAAGACCATGAATTCACTGTCCTTCGTTCAGGCTGTTTGTTACAACATCCCACTGCACGACCTCACCAAGAGCGCCAAACTGGATTCAGATGGCGAGCCAATGTCTGGTAGTACTGCTACTGCAGTCGAATGGATCACACAGCAAGTCGACCGCTTCGAAGCCGAAGGTTCCCAGATCGAACTGGACTATGAGAATGAGCTTACCGATGAAGATGAAGAGATCATTCTTCGATCATCGACTGCTGGGTTCGCCGAATTCCTGATCGCTTTCCTTGGTCGTGTGTTCACTCTGCTTCAGAACCTGCCCGATGCCTCTCGCGTCAAGAGCGGTTCTCCTGAAGAGAATGTTGTCAACACTCTACCCGCCGCGTTCGCACCTCTGCTCGCGGCTTTGTCGCCTGAGCTTTACGACATTGCTCTGCAGCAAATTGCCAAATTCGTCACCAACCATGTCGTGCATCAAGCTCGTGATGCTATGGCGTTCATTTGCAATACTCTTGTCAAGGTGTCTCCCAAGAAGGCTTTGAGTCGCCTTTTGCCCGACTTGATCGCAAGCATCAGAACAGAGATTGACGAGAACGGCGCTGGCTCGAGCAGAACGTCTGGTTCTGAGATTCTTCCTCGCGATCGCGCTTTGGTTTGGAACATCAGTTTGTTGAGTATGTGTGTTGTCCATGTTGGCTCCGATGTACTCGCCTTCCAGGACGAACTGTTCGACATTGCTAGTTACATGCAGGTCAAGTGTAAGGGCATTCCTCTTGTCCATGTCTCGAACTTTGTCCATCACTTGCTGCTCAACTTGACTGTCACCTACACCACCGACTACTCGTTGTACGACCAGACAGATCTGAGCAAAGGCCTGCAGCCGAGCGATTGGGCCAAGTTGCCGGACCCGAAGGATCTGCATATACAATGGCATGTGCCCAAGGAAGCCGAGATCGACTTCGCCGTCAGGATATTCGAGTATCAAGGCAAGCGTTCAATTGACGCCCTCAACGCATTGACCAGCAGCGAAGATTCGCCTGTGAAACGAGATGGAACAGGCAAAGATTGGTCAGATGAGGTCTCTCGTAATCTTGTTCTCCTGCGCTTGCTCATCTCGGGTATCTCCTGCTTCTTCCGCTCGGATGACGAATCTGTTACACCGGTCAGTGGTCATGACACCGAGGTGAACGGCAGCATTTCGCCCAAGCAGGAAGTTCAACAAAGTCCAAGTGATTTGGCCGAACCCGACGATGACAAGATCCGCAAAACCTTCATCTATCCTACTGGCTACCCGCTCAAGACTAGCAGCCCACACTACGAGACAGTGCATAAGCTACGTCGCCTCACTGGTGAAACTCTGCACCGTGTCCACGAGTTCTTGACGCAACATCAGCAAGACGATGTTCTCTGCTTCAACGCACTCTACACAGCCTACCGTTCATGGTTCATCGATATTGGTATTGAGCGATCCGCTCACGTGCTGGACAGATTGAGTCGTCTTCTCTCGGCAGATATTCACCCTTACAAGTTCAGCGGTACGCGCAAGGCCTACCCTCGACCTCTTCTCGCCAGACGTGCCAATCTGTATCACTTCCAACGATTGAGATACAACGAGTCGCCTCGCGCAGCATCCGATCTGGATAAGGTACTCTTGCTCGATTTGGCTCAGTCAAGTGTATCCGTCTACACAGATATTCGTCGCACAGCTCAGACCGCGTCTGAGTCGGCTGTCCAGTGTATCATCGGAGCCAAGCCTCTCATCATCCCTCCCCTTCTGGATGCTCTCGAGGACGCCGTCAACAAGACCGACTTCCCGCGCATCAAGGGTGCTGTCTTCTCCCTGCTGTTCGGTAGTCTAGCACGTCCCATTGAGCGCAACTGGAAGTTTACTCCCAGGCTTATTAGACTGTTCATCCGTGTAGGAGAAACCGACAAACCAAGTATCCAGAAGCTCGTCAGCAACGCCAACTTCCAGGTACACTCCATGTGCAGAGCCCTAGACCGCATGGTCATTTTGGACGAGAAGACCGTGGACAGTGTTTGGCCAGCAGAGAGCCACACTCAACCTTTGGACAAGTCTAAGATGGTCGCAGCTTCCCTGGATGATGCCAAGGCTTTACTTCCCCCAAAGCAAGACCGCATTCGTCAACGGAGGATGTTGATCGAGGGCAAGAAGTCTGAACTGTCTTCCGAGCTGGTTGTCATGATTAAGGACTCGCATTGGCGCAAGGCTCAGCGAGTCGCAGCCCTTGTTATCGGTCTCGACTACCGCTACGAGACTATTGCCTCAGATGGTATGCTTGACTTGGTTGTGAAGGGTGTGATTGACTCGCATCCTTCATTGCGTGTGCTGTTCGCAAACGCATTGCTTGCCATCTGCAGTCTCATTCAGACGAGATCAATGACTGAGCACAAGTATGAGAACTACCTACTTGACAAGCAGTTCCCACCTGATCGCATGGTTGTCGAAACCAAGCCTGAAGATCCTAACTGGACCAAGCAGTACCTAGAGGCCTTCTCGCACCCTGAAGCTGAATACTACATCGACGCTGAGTACCCCGGTTGGTTGGTGTGGGACAAGGTGATGCGTGTGTCCAAGAACCATGCTGTCGATCTCGATTATGACGAGGTGGAAATTGATACTCGCAAGCGCATTGGCAAACACATTGACCGCCAGTGGATTTCTGTCTTCTTTGACTACATGAAGCAAGAACCGCGAGATGCTCAAGATCGCTTCCGCACCACGAACTGCACAGTCATGTCCTGGGTCTTGGACCTTGTCATGGTCGGTCTCACACCAGCAACTTTCGACGATGTGGTCGACCTCACAAGGGCCACTTTCGGCGACGGAAGTGATAAGCATCAGCACCGTGCCACTGCGGAGATCATGGGCGCCCTCATCAATGCTGCAGAAGACTGTCAGCCTAAGGTCAAGGAGAAGGTCTGGGAGTTCGTTTTCCCTCTTCTCGAACGTGTCTTCCAGGACGGTCTGACTCCAGAGAACTTGTCATACTGGAGCAGTTTCTTGACTCTTACCGGCTGCGCTAGAGACCCTCGACGATGCTGGCCACTTGTGGACTACTTCTCCAGCTTCAGACTAGACATGTCAACTAACGCAGCATTCAAAGAGAGCTCCAAGATTACTCTCTTACAGCTTGCCATCGGCACCTTTGGCTGGCACTTCCAGAAGGAGAAGCCTATCCTCGAGGACTTTTTGAACCACCTTGATCACCCCTACAAGGGTGTCCGCGAAAACATCGGTCAAACATTGTCGGCGATTTACCGTAGCCGCTACTACGAAGGTTACAAGAATGTCGAGGATCTTATGGAAGCGCAAAAGGCTGCATCCTCTATCGGCACACGGCCTTATCAAGCGACGGAAGATTTCCGCGTGACCATCAAGGACGTCTTTGAACGACTCGAGAAATGGCGCCAAGAGAGACCACCTGGTGTCCACACCCCGACGCCGTACACACAGGCCAGTAAAACCGTGTTGTACTGGCTAGAGTCGACAGTCAACAACTACGATTGTACAAGTCTGATCGAATTTTTGCCTGATCCCTTCATGCAGCAACTTCTTCATATGATGGATGTCAAGGAAGATCCTGAGTTGCAATCTCATGCGTGGAGCGTGTTCAAGCAGTTCCCCAATATCCCTCACAGAAAGGGCGAAGATGAGGCTCTCGCGAAGAGTCTTGTTGAAATCGGCAGGACCAGTCAAGCATGGCACCAACGTCTCCGTACATTGATCAACATTCAGGTGCTCTACTTCCGCTACCTCTTCATCATGGAATCTTCACGTCGTGAGTATCTGCTCAACAGCGTTAGAGACATGCTGCATGATACACAGCTTGAAGTCCGCCTTGGAGCAGCTCAGACCATCTCTGGCATGATCCGCTGCTCGCCTGTGGAGTTCCGCGACAGAGCGGTTGCAAACTTGAAGGCGCACTTTACAGAGTTACTCCAGAACAACCCTCTGCCCAAGCGCGGTAGAAACGCTGGACCTCCGGGAACACCCACATCCGAGCAGAACCGTCTTGTCATTACACGCCATGCTGCTGTTCTTGGTCTCGGCTCACTGGTCCAGGCCTTCCCCTACGCCAGTCCACCTCCACAGTGGCTGCCCGAAGCTTTGGCCACACTTGCCATGAAGGCAGCCAACGACCCTGGTGTCGTTGGCAAAGCTGTCAAGACCATTCTGAGCGAGTTCAGGAAGGTGCGACAGGATACTTGGCATGTGGATCTCAAGGTAAGAAATCATATTCGTGTCCACCAAACACAACATCAGATTGCTAACATTCCATCAATAGGTATTCCAGCCCGAGCAACTAGAGGATTTGGAGGGTGTATTGTGGAAGAGTTACTTTGCATAGAGCATTACAAGGAGGATGGCGAATTTGTTTCTTGTCCTTGAATCTGTGTACATGCATTTTTGTCTTTTCTTTTTGCTCGCAATGCCAGCGTACATCATCATGGGAGTGCCTGTCTTGTCTTTTTTCCACATTGAGGAAGGTAGAATTACAATCTTCAGAATCCAAAAAGACTACTTTACAAATGACAGCTCCAGACAAAGTCTAATATTCTGAGTTTTCTTTCATACAGGAAAAAAAGATGATAAGGCCTTTCTCTTTGCACCTCTTACTCTTCTTGAACTCTCAATCACTCAAGAAGGACCCTGCACCGGCACACCATCCGTGACATTACCATACGGCACAGCAGGATAATCACCATTGCAAGCCCAATCGTATTGCGACAATTCGAGACTTTTGCTCTGAACCTCTAGGAAAGTGTCGAGTTCACACCATCCATCGTCGCGTTCTTCGCACTTGGGGAAGCTGCGGTGGAGGGGGATGGTGCGTTGGTTTAGGATGAAGTGGATGTATTTTGTGGGTTTGCCTGTGAGGGGGGAGGGTTAGTAGGAGAGTTTGGGGAGGGGTGGTGATGGGGAAAGAGGGGAGGAAGGGGAAGAGGACAGGTACGCACCTTCGTCGTAGAGGTTGTCGTTGTTACGGGAAGTCTTGACTGGAGAAGGCGCGTTGATGATTTCCATGTCCAGACGTGCGGCAAATGGTTCCTATAAGCTGTTAGTCTCCTCTCACCTCAACGTCTTCTATCAAAAGCATACCAAATGCGACACCACCAACTCGCGATCCACAATCCCATCACTCGGCAAAAACTTGGCAAACTGCTTGAACCCAAACGCCGTCAAGATACTCATGATGTTCGTATCATGGCTGAAATCAAAATTGAGACTCTGATCCAGCGGAAACGTCACAGTGTTGTTATCCAACGTCACATTCACCTGCGCTTCAGGAGCGTTTATGGTATGATGTTGCAACCTAGCAAGAATTTCCTGAACGTAGCCAATTCCAATGGCGCGGCCAGTGGGCGATTGGAAGCCATTGCCGCCTGCGAATTGGATGTCGATGCTGTACTCATATCCCTGCCATTCGGTGTAGGTGAACAGGGAGCAGAAAGGTGAAAAGCCGAAAGCGACAGTCTCGTAGGCGCAGAGGGATTGGGCGTTGTAAGAGTCTTCTACCGTCCAGTCGAAACCTGATGCGAGGCCTCGCAGGCGGATGGTTGCGTCGGCGAGGTATTTGGTGTACCATTCTACTGTGGCGTTGTTGCCCCCTGCGCTGCGGAAGTTGTTGCTGTTGGCGCAGTTGTAGTACCTAGTTGATGCTGTGAGTATGAGGGCAGACTTGGATAGCAGAGAAGACTTACCCAGCGAGCGAATTGTTCCATACACCGTTCGGTTCCTCGATAGCAAGGACCAAGGTTGCATTACTGGTCCACTCCAAGCCAAAGAATCCGGCTAAGAAGTACTCTGCAGACTTGGTCATGCGATCCTGCGTCGTACTTCTAGCGATAATCTTGGATCCATTGTTAGGATAAAGATGACCATATTGATAGTAGTGCAAAGTGCCAGAATTGAACAACTCTTGCTTGCCAATAGGAACCAAGATTTCTGCGCCTAGTTGATAACTCCAGTCATTGAGAAATAAAAGTTCACCGGTGAACTTTGCATCTGTCATGTTCTGGTGCTTTTCACCGAATCGATGAGCTCCACTGCCAGTAGTGGGATATCTTGATCCGTGACGGGATAGCATGTTCAGTTGGACGATCTCGGCACCAGGTGGTAATGAGTATTCATCCACGCCAAAGCCTTTTGGGTTGGGAAAGTAAGGTGACAATTGGCCCATATTTCGGAATATGTTTGAGCCATTGCTACCAGCGATGGGGACCTGGGTCTCTAGAGGTTGGTTTGGGATGTAAGATGCACCTGCGAAAGGAGCAGGATTAATTTGTGCTAAGAACGGAGCGGTACCAGTCGGAGTTGGACCTTTGCAAGATCAGTATTGTATCAAGAAGTTTGTTCAACATACTGACCAGCAAAGAGCTCCGGCTTGGTTTGGAAATACTGGGGGATGTCGTGGTTGTTGGAAGATGACTTCGAAGCAGAAGAAGCAACAGCACCACCAACACAACCAACCACGGCACCAAAAGCAAAAGATTTGTACAGCATGACGAAAAATGTGACGGCACCGATGAAAAGGAATATTTGGAGTCCGAACATAGAGCGTCTGGTTAGTCGTTGCTTTGGTGAGGCGAGAGGTAATTGTAGAGCCTCTCTGCTCTCTGATATGTCGTCGACTCTTGTATACATGACTTCCGCCCCCATTACCTTCTCTCCCGTCGATAAGAATGGATGAAGTGGTTGATCGTGGCTGCTCTTCATGCGGCGATGGTGGACAAGGAGTTGAGAGAGGGGTGAACTGCCGCGGCTCACCGCCTTTGCCATGCAGCTCCAACGCTTTCGATGGGTTGATCAACGCCAACGCAAAAGTAGGCGACCATGCAACAATTTTATCACGTCCTCTAATATCTTGTGCTTCAATCAATTTTGTAACATTGTGAGATGGTCATGTGCAGAGCATTTGCATCCTACGAGAGGTTCTGGAATCAAGACGAGGCTGCTCGAAAGAAGCGCTATACGACAAGTACCTAATGCCAATATCTGATTGAGATGCCCTTGCAACCCTCCCAACCCTTGTCCAAAGCTTCAACGACATCATCAGGAAGAGGGCCCTTCTCCATGTCCTTCAGGTTCGACTCGATATGATGAGGAGACGATGCGCCAATGATGATAGCATCGCCCTTCTCACGCTGGAGCTGACTGTGGTTCTGCATCCAGCGCAGCGCACACTCGGCTTCAGTAAGTCCATGCTTCTTTGCAACAGGACGAAGCAGATCGAGAGCGTTGAAGTATTCTTCTCTCCAGTAGCGACCACGGTACATCTTGCCCTGCCACTTGTTGGGATCAAATCGTGAACCGCTCTCGATTTCTTGATCGGCGTCCTCCCTCTTGTATCTGTCTGTAAGGTAACCGCCAGCAAGAGGGTTGTAGTTGTAGAAGGCTATGCCGTAGTAACGAAGACAAGGGAACAGCTCCGGCTCGACTGAACGATGAAGTGCGTTGTAGACACCTTGGTAGACAGTCGGCTGGATCCAGTCGTTCTTGCGACAAAGCTCGCAGATCTGAGCCACCTCCCAGGCCATGTAGTTGGAAACCCCTAATCTCTTGAAGTGGCCTTCCTTGTATAGATCGTTGACAGCCTTCATGGTGATTTCGTAGGAGGTTGTTCTGTCAGGCTATGAAAATCATGTCAGCTTTGAAGTGCATGATCGATCGATGAGTCGGAAAACTTACACCATGCAGATACCACATGTCGATCTTGTCCGTCTTCAATTCCTTCAGCGAGGTCATCAGGTTCTCACGCAGGTCCTCAGGAGTGTGTCTCAAATTGTTGTTCCATGATGAAGGAATGGACTTTCCAGCTGTGGGATAGTACTTGGTCTCCATGACGAGACCTCTCTTCTGCCATTCGAGTTCACCAAGCATTGTCTCGGTAGTACCCTCGCAGTATGCTCGGGCGGTGTCGATCTCATTGTGGCCATGAGCTTGGAAAATATCCAGAATCTTGCCAGCGGTCTCAAGGTCATGAACCCTCGCCTGCTCAGAGCCTTCTTTACCGAAGGTCATGGCGCCAAAGACCACATTCACGTTAGTTTTTTGTGCTGAAGTCATTTCGGCCGATTGTGTGTAATGCAGTTGATTGAGGAAAGCTTCTGGGACTTGCAAAGACGACCGAGAGTTTATATATCAAGTCTTACATCATGGTCATGACCTCTGTGTCGGATTTAGCGGCTTTACACGGACCGGCGATAGGAGGAACCCCCTGGTACGCAGGTGATGTGGTGCATGATCTCGTCTGTCGCACGCATGCGTGTAACTTGCGATTGCCACAGTAGTTGCGAGCCTGAATTGCAAAAATGTACAGTAGAACAGGAAGAAACGAGAACAGCTTGGCGACCTGCAAAGAAGGTGGTTGGCAAGAACAAATGCTTGGCCAAAGCTTCTCTTCAATGACGTCCGTCTCGAGGCTCGAAATTATTTCCAAACTCGACAAGACATTTTCGGAAAATATAAATCCATCAACATGGACGCCTTTGAGGAATGGTTCAGAAGCAATGGTGGTTATCTGCATCCGTCAATTCAGCTGGCTCAGGATGCTGAGCAAGGGTCACACTTCCAAGCCAGCGCTGTTATTGAGCCTGGCACGCACGTTCTGACAGTGCCTCATAATTTGGCAATGTCGAATCTGAATGCTCAGGTAGACGATGACTTCCCTGTATTTAGAACTCATGCCCAACAGTTCACAGTCGAAGGGCTTAGCTTTTTCTATCTGATGGCACAGTGGCTCAACAAGGACAAGTCGTTCTGGAAACCTTACCTGGATATCCTACCCTCACCTGAACGAGGCTTTGAGACTCCGATGTTCTATGATGAGGATGATCGTCAATGGTTGGAAGGAACAGATCTTTATCCGACTCTGCTTGGTAGAGAGGCTGCCTGGACGAAGTATTGGGAGGATGGAGTACAGGTCATGAAGTCCGCTGGCGTGGATGTAACAAACTACACATGGTAAGTGCAACAAATGGAATCTCCAACACTCAATTCCATGGCTGGTATCTTGAGTTATGATTCTCGATCACAACATCTTGGACCAAAGACTTCCATCATATCGTCAATGCCTGACTTCAGTACAGGGAACTCTTCAGATGGGCTGCTACAGTATACTCATCCCGCAGTTTCAATGGTCTCACTATTACGCCACAGGATAGTCAACACTGGACAGCCTATAAACACGGTCCAAATGGCACGCAAACCGTCCTCTTGAACCACAATGACTACCCCGAAGACTGGAAGAAGTTCTCTGTTCTGTTCCCGGCAATTGACATCGGAAACCACAACCCGAATGCTCGCGTGGATTGGGCTTACGACCCTGATTGCTTCAGTCTGACGGTCTCGGAGAAGATCGAATCTGGCTCACAGGTATACAACAACTATGGTCCCAAGTCAAGCGAGGAGCTGTTGATGGGCTATGGCTTCTGTGCGCCTAACAATCCATATGACGGACTACTCTTGGCGATGAGACCTCCTCCGCCGCCGTTACAACAGATGCTCAGTATCACGCACCCCGAGTACTTCAAGGAAAGTGGTGAATGGAACTCCGAAGCCGCAACGTTCCGTTTGCTGCACGCAAAACTGCAAGAGACAAATGATGCCAGCCCGTTCGATCAAGCATGGGGATGTGTACCAGCACCTTTGGCCGAACTCTTCTGCTACGTTGTCCAACTCGAGAGAGGTCTGGATGTCGCTCCTACCGAAGATGCAGAAGAATATCTCTACCACGGCGAAGGCCGACGCTACCTACCTCGCATCGCCCTATACATCATGATGTCGCTCATCCCAAAAATCAGCAAGCTCGAAGAAGCCAATGAGAAGCTTCCCTCTGCACCAACAAATCATCGCCAAGCATCTACAAAGATCTACAGGGACTTGCAATACGAGGTCATAAACTCAGTACAAGAACGCATGGCCAACTACCTCAAAGACCTACAACCAGAAGAAGTCTCGTCAGACGCTGGCTCTGCAGTCTGGACCTTCGAAGATGCCGTCGACCTTCTCGAACTGGAGATGCCAGCTGCACACAAATCCTTCATGTCCGGCGTCAAATATGTGACCGGCACAACAAAACTGCGCAGATTGCGTGGCTCCGAGCACGAGGAATACCTTTGGACCATCCTCCTCTGCTTCCTCTATCTCGCTTGCACCTCTCAAACCGCCGCTCCTGGCCTCATATCCCAGTGGATTCAATCCCTAGTCGCAGAGTACGGCGAACCCGACCTCCAGGCCTCAACCTCAGATGACGACGAGACCGATGAAGAAGCAGCAGAATATCTCGATCGTGTCAAGAAGGCTGCGATGTTCCTACCCGGTTCGTTGTGGACGAGTGAAGCTTGGTCAGCAGACTTTGTGCTGGATTTTGGAATGAGGATCTCCAAGTCGCAGGGAACGTATATGGATATCGGAGATGAAGAGGTAGGGGAGGATGTGAGATATGTGGTTTATCTGCATGTTTGACGAGGCAGATATGAGGTAGGCTACACGGATAGAGAAAATGCACGATGAGTTTTCGGATTCCAGTAACATCGATGGCTGAAGACTCTATTTCGTACCTGGATAGCTTACGACAGTCGAAACACTTTGGTTTAGTAAAATGGCTGCAAATCTCCATCGTGATGCAGAAGACAAGCAAAATGTACGTCTGAGTATATCGTGTCGTCTTTGCAAAAAGACGGATTGTGTGATGAAGCACATGAGGAGCTTAGAGGAGTTTACATTAAGTAGGTTTTACGTTGTGGTGTATATTTTTGGGCCCAAGGTGATTTCGCTTCCGTATGACCCAGGACATACAGGTGTAGGAGCTTGGTCTCCTTCCGTATGGATCACGGAGGAGTTACTCCCATGGTAGCCATAAATTGCAAAGCTCTTCTCACAAGAAGAAAGCAAGAATGCCGCCAGCAACAGCCAAAGAAGCAGGGACCGCATTCGAAACAGCAGCGCCAGAAGAAGTAGCAGCAGCAGCACCAGACCCAGACCCAGAAGCCGAAGAAGCGTCTCCGGAAATCGAAGTCCCAGTAGCCTCAGCGCCAGACTTCGACGAAGAACCAGTGTTCGAGCTAGTAGCTGAGCTCGACGATGCAGATGTGGTCTTGGTCTCTTTCTCCACACCCGGACACTTCAAAATACAAGCACGCATAGTGTTACTCGCATCAGAACCAGCAATCATGTCCTTGGGGAAACCGCTCTGAGCGCAGTTTCTTGCGCAGTCATACGCATCGCAAGGAAGTGCATTGGCATCCCAGAGAGGCGCGCCGTTGAGCTTGTTCTCATAGGCAGAGTAGTTTCCAGTTGCGCCTGTGAGGTTAAAGGCGTTGCTGAAGATGTAGGAAGCTGCTGTGTCGGTGTCGGAGAGGTCGCGCGTTGAGATGGAGTAGAAGTCGCCCGAGGGACCGAAGTTGGCGGGGATGGTGAGGTTTAGGGTGGTGATGTCTGTGGAGGTCATGTTTTTGAGGTAGCCTGGTATGTATGTTAGCCTGATAGGATATACACAAAAGCAATGGCTCGACTAACATGATTGGCCGCCAGCATAGCCTGAAGGCGTGGTATCCAGATAGATTCTGTAGTTTCCGGGAGTATCATCCTTAGGAGTTACGGTCAAGGTAAAGGGAACATCGGCGGTGATGACATCCGGGACGGTAATGGTGTCAATCGCTCTAGCTCCGAGAAACAGAGCACAGGCAGCAAAACCGAGACGTTGGAGAGACATTGTCTAGGATAGAAGCAAGATTGTCTTGGTTAATTGTTTGAACGCAGACGAAGGCAAAGAAGGTGAATAAGAGTGGTGAAACGAGTGTGGGCAAAGAAAAGGTCAATTAGCAAAACAAGAGGTCTGAACAAACCACAAGAGAGTTACGATAGAGAAAGTGCTGGGTGCCTCACGAAAGAAATTGTTTTATAAAGGTCGGATCGAAGATCCACTTTGACAAGGTCTGGATTGGATTGAATAATCGTTAAAAGAGAAGCCTTGACTCTTACTCTTGACTCTGCATGAGAGCGATCTGCAGGTACATCTGGGGTTGCAGGACTTGCGACTCCACCAGGAAACATGTTGCACAAGGCAAGTCGCAAGAATATTGTTGATGCACCGGACGGCATCCTTTCGGGTGTGGCAGCAGCGACCAGGATCATTCTCCGTCTTCCGCACTCGACCGCACGCTTGTCGGTACGTTCTCTTCGAGTGTGAGTGGACTCGATCAAACTAAGAAACCTTTGAATCGCATCATCTCGATTCCAGAACTTGTTGTTGTGCCGTCTCTTGACAAAACCCGCGGCGTCTAGCAAATTCCAGGTTTCGGAGAATGATGCAGAGAAAGAAAAGCGCCGGCGCGTCTTTGGACGTGAAACGGTGCCGGCAGAAGCGAGAACAGCCACTGCGCAATGGCATCCGTCTCGACAGGCAAGCCGCATGAACTCATAGGGTCTTATTACTGCCGTCATATATGAGCTATCGAGTTTGTCAATAAGATTAGGTGCAAGGTTGTTGTTGATTGCGACTCTTGTGTAGTGCGGTTAAACATTCTGGGGGAAATTGCAGATGCGGTGCAGAATTGTTATTTATGCAGCGACGACTCGAAGAGAAGGTGCTGCTAAATTTGTCTGCATGATCATTGATGCAAGCGTGTCCCGTTCTCCAGGTTTCGAGATCAACAGGTCTCGATGCATCATACGTGCATAGATATGCCCTTCTTCTGTCCACAAACACCGCTCAGAGCTCCTTTCTAGCCTTCCCGCAGACCCGATCACGCCCAAGCAATCCCATCAGATACGCAACCTTGATCAAGAAAGTGATCACAGGAACCCCCATATACGCCTTCATCTCCGTACTCCAATTACTGGGCTCAAAAGCAAGAGGCCCCAAACACCACGCCCCAAAGATCCAATGCGGGATATCAGATGCAGCAAGAACCATGATTGTAAGCCTGATGGTTTTGAGTTCATTGCTTGTCCACATGATGATGGCGAGGAGTAAGCCGGCTAGAGCCATCATGCTGCCTGCTTGTAGAGCTAAAAAGTGCTCAGTTGGCAATGTTGGGTGTGGTGGTGTTGAGAGATAGGTGGAGGCGCTGCTTGCACCGCTGAGCATAAGATTCATACTCCCAAACGTGATCATTAACGGCTCGATATAGCGGAAGTAGGTCCGAGGGAAGGGCGCCATTGCGGCGGCCATGGTGTGAAATGATGGTGATGTGTAGAGTAACGAACTTATGATATGAAGCTCAAAACAATTCTGGAAAATAGCAATGTCGCTACACGTGATCTGGACTTAGTTCATCACCGTAAGCATCAACATGGAAACGGCCGTCAGAGAAGATTTTGGATTCGAGTTCGATCTATCAAAATGATTGGAAAGGAGTTTACGCTGTCTCTTACTTCCCAGATCTGTTGAACGTCATCACTCGTAGCATGAAGACTCACGGGACGGTACCTGCACCGCTAGAAGGGTTCGCAGATTTCGAGGCCTCGTCGCCAGCAGCATCCAGTGGGACTGGACGGGGCTCTATCTTCTCACCCGAACCGAAAATCACATGCTCGTAGCCGATTGGGAGAACCTTCTCAGGAACCCAGTCGGATGTAAAGCAGTTGTAGCAATCATACAGAGCAGGGTCAGAATCCTTACGCTTCATCCATAGTTTCAATTTCTTCTCGAAACCACAAGCTTCTCCAGAGCACAGACGTGCCACTCGGTCTACATGCAATTCAGCATCATGTGTCCGCCAGGTCAGCTCCCGAGTAGGAATATGGTTACGGAGCCAAGTCTGTAGGCTACGCCGCTGCCTGAAGGTATAGTCATCGGCATATCTTTGGTTATTGTGTACTCTTTTGCGCTGGAGGATTTCTTCCCGAGCCACAGGATCTTGCTTGGCTCGTCTGTCCGCAGCCTCAGCTTCGAGGCGCGCACGAAACTGGGCGTCAGACCTGTACCGTGCATTCTTTGCAGCGAGACTGCGGGCATTGGATTTGGCGCGATACTCAAGGTCGTTGGCATATCGACGATTGTGCCTGTCCCGGGACTGAGCACAGATTGTTGCGCGGTGTTCGGGATCGTTGGCATATCGGGCTTTCCTCGCGGCGTTGTGCTTCTTACGGGATTCAGCATCTTTTGTCAGTCTTGAGTCAGAAGGGACTGAGCTAGCTTCGAGGCGGCAGTGTGCGATAGAAAAGCAGCGTTCGGCGAGGGGGAGGGCAAGAGCATGGAAGGGATGAAAGGGAGTGGAGCAACGATAGAGCAGGGACAACATGGCGATGTTCTTGTCAGGTGGACGTCAGGAATGTAGATGTGCTTGTCAGATGAGCGTGTGGAGAGTCGTTGTGGACTATTGTCGATAGCGTGGATAACGACGAGCTATAGGCGTTGCGAGGGGCGAGTGAGAGGGGTCGGGCCAGGAGAGTGACTTTCTGGAATTGCATATGGCCGATGACGAAGTGGATGGAGCGGGAGACGGAGTTGATGTCGCGAGATGGCTGGGGGTGGCTGGGGCGGTAATGGCAGTGGCTTTGAGAAGACCAAGTGTAGAAGGCGATATGGATTCTGATATATTGCAGTGCAGGCGGTGGGCGACTACTGCGGAGTACCAGAGTAGGGCAGGCACAGATTGCAAGCGGTTGGACAGTGACAGGCCTGAGTGGCAGTTGGGCGTTGGCAATCTGGCTGTGGTTGCCTGGCCAAGGGGCGCTGTGTTGACTGACGAAACGCCGGCTCCTGCGCGCGACCCAAGGCTCGACCATCGACCTAGTCCAGCCTTAAGTATTAACTCGCGTCCCTAGTCCCGCCAGGCTCAAGTGCTCACCTAGATCCAGTGCATCCGCGTACATTTTTCTGTTCTGGACTTGTGTCGTCCTAGTGCCTGTCAAACGAGCCTGTGCTGCTTTGTGCTGACTCCGACTCCGACGCCGCCATGGAAGCACTCCTCTCTCTCGCCTTTGACAACACGTCCTCCAAGGACATTATCAAGATCCGCAAGGGCTTGCGACAAATCGAAGGTCTGCTGGCTCAGATCTGCATCCCTCCCTCATGCGCCCAGCAGAAGCGCCGTCCCTCGTCTACCCGTCTGTCTGGCGACACGCTCCTGCCCCCGAGACAATTGAGCTCCCTGTGCCAGGATCCTGCCTATAGAGAGTTCTTCCGCCTGCAGGAGGGCTTCGAGTGGAATGGTACGTCGTAGCCCTCTTCTCATCCTCGCACCATACTCACTCCTCTGTCTAGTCGCTTCTCGCCTGATGGCCTGTCTCGAAACTCTGCTGGGAATGCCCAATGGTGACTACCGACCCCTCAACCACCACTGCACCCCATCCTGACCTCTTCCAGCTACCCAGTCCAACGCCATCATCCTCTCCGCCCTGGACATGCTCCAAGGAATCCTCCTCCTGCACCCTCCTTCACGCGCTCTCTTCCGCCGAGAGAGCTACATGGACCTTCTCCTTGATCTTCTCGATGCCGCAAACCCACCCGTCGTCCAGTCGCAAGCCCTTCTTGTCCTCGTCACCGCACTCCTCGCCACCCCCGAAAGCACTCGCACTTTCGAAAAGATGGATGGCCTTCTCGCCGTTGCCAGTTTGTTCAAGTCGCGCACCACATCCAGAGAAGTCAAGTTGAAGGTCGTCGAATTCCTCTACTTCTATCTCATGCCCGAGACTCCCTCTACCAACTCTTCCTCGGCTGGTCCGCAGAGAAGGTCCGCCAAGCGTATCAACACAAACGAGAGCATCGGCTTTTCAAAGACGACCGACGAGAAACAGCGCCTGCTCGGTCAGTATCTGAGCAACGTGAATGAACTCGTCCAGGACTTGAAAGAGAACGCTCCCTTTGCTTTCTAGATCAACACTATCTGCTTTTTTGTCAGCCGCAACCGCGGCGTGGGATACCACGGAGTCTGGACTTTATCCATGGGGCGGGTGCAGGGACAAGGATATACAAGCGATCATGGGAACCGGAAAGAAACACTGGGCTGTTTTGCGAACACCGCATTCAGAAGCATTGGGTTGGAGTAGTGCGCATTCAAGGTTGTGTTTTGTTGTTTGCATTTGTTCTCGATTGATACCCCTCACGTACAGCAACGGCGCAGACATGCTTATGGCTTAAGACAGAAATCAATCGATTATTGTTTCATAAAATCCAGAGACCTATTTCTGAATGTCTCGAAACGAAGAACCATCGAGTAGGTCAGGTATCAATTACTGGTGCCTTACTCGCAGCATTAGATGGTCTGTGCAGGCATCCATTGTCTTCGAAAGTCGTGTTAAGCGCCGACTCTTCTGCAAGATGTCTCTGCATCCTCCCGGCTTGGGCCCCTAGTATTCTCCTGGCGCTTTGAGCAGCACGCCCTGCCACCCGTCTGTGTATGATGACGATGGCTGGCGGCTGCTGAAGACATGCATAGAAAAGTGTACAAGACCTCGCCCGCGCGAGTGCTCGTAGGTTCTCGATTTCTCTTTCTGCTATTGTCTCTATTGTATCTTCTATTCATCTAATTTTTCATTTTCTGCCTTCTCTTCCTGTGCCGCTGGTCGGACTCTCTCCTTCTAATCTTTCTATTATGAGCCTGTCACAATAACAACCGTCCTCGATATTCACCAATAGATCCTATTGAAGGTACGATCTCTATCGGACACCCGAGACAACCCTTGCCCCATTTCTTCTTGACTTCACAAGATCTGACATCGTCTTCAAAGCATAAAACACTTACAACCATGGCGCCTCGTTTTGGACGATATCGCGCTCTCAACTCTCGGGACACAGTAGCTTTGCCGGCAAAGCTTCTACCGTCCGTTCCCACATGTGCCCAAGCATGTGTGTCTTCAAAAGTCGCCCAGGGACTAGTACCTGCTGAATGCGACAGCCCGACCGATGCTGCTTGCCTCTGCTCGCACTACGACACATCAGGCTTTGCTCTTGGAGAGACGGTCATCCGCTGCATGATAGAATCCTGCCCCGATGAAGTCTTGACGGCATCTAAATCTGAAGCCTATCGTTTATGTGCCACATACTCGGAAGCTGTCATAGGCACACATTCTGTATTGACTATGACAGCGTCCTTCCAATCAACGACATCGACACCATCTTCGCAGACCATTCAGCCAACATCGATGCCAACGAACTCCACTGTACTCACACCATCGGCTCCAAGGACTGTTGTCAGTGTGCCCACATCGAGTGTGTCTGGTCCATCCTCGGCTGCACCGACTAGTCCTTCTGCAACATCATCTCAGTCCCCTAAGCCTTTGACGACTGGTGAGACAGTCGGCATTTCTGTCGCCTCGATTGCTATTGCTGCTCTCATCTTCGGGCTATGCTTCTTCTGCTGTTGTTGTTTACGACGTCGAGAAAAAGAGAAGAAAAACAAGAAAGCTGGCACGCCCACAAGAAAGTGGTTCAAGACAAGTCACCGGCTAGACTTTCAGGATCAGTCTTCCCCGACCGGATCCAGGTTCCCGTCCAGCAGTATCGCCAGACCAGCTGCCTCGTCCGGTCCTCGCAGGCCACCAAGATCCTTTCCAGCAAGTCCGAACAGATCGCCTCGCTCCTCATTGAGCAGCTTCACCAAGTCGCCCGAAGTCATCAACCAACGTCGTTTCAGACCTACGCTTCGACCTCAACTGGAGTGGTGGAAACAGTCTTCTCGACTTGATATTCGCCAAGTTCCAGACGGTCACAAATCACACAGGGCGAGCATTTCCTCACCTAGTCGATGTGAGACCAAGTCTCCTAGACTTCCGGCCCCTATCACCAACATCACCATCAACGTGAAGAAGGCGAGCAAGCACTTGAGACCTGACAGCGCTGCTACCAGGTGGACGGTATTCGAAGAAGACAGCAAAACGCTAGCCCACAATGCTGTACTGCCAGAGCCTCCAAAGCTTCCGAGACACGTCTTCTTGTCACCGATTCACCCTCCATCACAGCCAAGCTTTGCAGACCAATACACGACTTCTCCAGAAGACATGGTCAAGTCAGGCTTGATGCTCCAGATTCCTCGCAAGCCAGTGAGGAGTGAAAAAGCATCCCTTCCAAACGGCATTTCTCTGCACACAGAAGCTTCCAGAAACGAGCATCTGTCCATGCCACCCAGCAGTGCAGCAAGCTACCTCCCAGCCTACTACACCAGCTCCGACAGTCGCACTCCTGTCGCACCGAAATGGAGTCCTCATGACCATGAACGCTTCAGCCAACCCCATTTTGCACCATTACCTCTGATGCCACAACGCAATGCACACTTTTCATGGACTTCAGCGACTACGTTTGAATCCGTGGACCTTGACGAAACAACACCAGAGAACGAAGTCGACAAGCAGCTTTCTCCGGTTTCGTACCCCAAGGTGCCTCGTCCTTCGAATCAAGCCATTCCTCGCTCTCCTCCTCTGACTACCTCGAGTGGGAAGGTGACGTTGGCAGCAAAGAGACGCGGTGAAGATTTGTCGATTGATCTCGGGCGTGGACTGATGATTTCGAGTGTCAGAGAAGCTCCCGACACACCGTTGAGAAACTACAGTCTCAAGAAACAACAGAGAAGGAAACAGCAGACCCCTCAGATGGCATTGAAGAGTCCTCTTTGGAAGCCGAAACTTACGCCTAGCAGAAGAGGAGACGATTTGTTTCTTTCCGTGAAGGTCAAGGGTCGTTAAGAGAAAGCAAGAGGAAGACATGCTTTGAGGTAATTTGGGCATTTTCCTTTGGGTCTTTTTTCTTGTTTGATTCAGCTTGGGCACGCAAAAAGAGATACCCTGATTTGCAAGCATAGCGATGGTGTCTTTCTCCGAGGAAAGTGGTTATCAGCGTTTGTTTCATTCACCACAGACACTCCTTTCCAAGTAGAAACATGTATTAGCATTATATTCTTATCCAAAACATTCGCTGCCTGTGCCTTGTAGTCACCATCAACTGCCTAAATAGCTGTCAAAACGTATATGACCTTGGCGTTTGAGGATGTGAATTGTTGAGAGACCTCATGGCGCCGAATATTGGACAACTATCTCCTTGGAGGTAGAAGGAAGATAGCATAGCCGTGTGAGCAGTCATGCGGCTATCAAAAATCTGATAATTAACTGTAACCGCCCGCCGGTAGAATGCGCCGGGCGGAGATGCTTCATCCCACTCGGCATCTCTGGCTTGAGGCTCTCTCCGCCGACACCGCAGTTTTGGCAAAATGAGGGTCTGTCGGGAATTGGAAACACGTTGTTTCGAGAGCAGCCCTCGAAATAGTGTCGGCACAACCACGAGGTTGACTTGATTCATCCGTGCTGCTGGCCCTCTGTCGTCCACTTGTAAGGCCGAGAGCTTAATCAGCTGGTTTGCAATGGAAGTCGAAGGGCTACAGTCGACCATCGGGACCCACAAGCACCCTCGATCCCAGAGCGCACGGGCCGCAATCGATTCATCCGACACAGCTTCCCACGGTCGGTCGTCGGCCGGCAGCTCTGACTGACGTAGCTTTTTGGGAGAGTCAACACTTTTCTCTCACAGATCAGCAACCCTCTTTCCTTTCACTCATCACATACCTCTGTCATATCATTCAAAATGGGTTACGGAGAAGTTGACCAGAAAGCCATCAACACCATCAGACTGCTCGCAGTAAGTCTTTGCTCACCGCATATCTAGACAGCTACCCCTCCATGAGGCTTCGAGGGGCTGTGACCGCTTGTTGAGTCGCCACATGCACCTCGAACCTCCTGCCAGAGGGGAGTCAATGATGGATTGAACTGACACGAGATGCTTCTACAGGTCGATGCGACCGCCAAAGCCAACTCGGGTCACCCCGGTGCTCCCATGGGTATGGCCCCTGTCGCTCACGTTCTTTTCAACAAGTTCATGCGCTTCAACCCCAAGAACCCCGACTGGGTCAACAGAGACAGATTCGTTCTCTCGTAAGTCAACCCTCATCCATTGGTTGGGCTGGCTGTCGCGTTGTACATGAATACCAGGAGTGCTTTTTCTTGTTATCATGGAAGCCGGTGGGGGGAACTTCTCCACATCCACAGGCCGACTTCAAAAGCCGACAGCAGCACAACACTCGATCCGAAAAACATTGCTAACAGCATTGCCTCTCAGGAACGGTCACGGTTGCATGCTCCAGTATGCTCTCCTCCACTTGTTCGGCTATGCCTTGAGCATGGACGACATCAAGGCTTTCAGAGTGAGTCTTATCGGCCTACCACAATTCACACTCTTTTCTGACATAAGACCAGACCATTGACAGCATCACCCCCGGTCACCCCGAGGCTCACGATACTCCCGGAGTTGAGGTCACCACTGGTCCTCTTGGTCAGGGTTTCGCCAACGCTGTTGGTCTTGCCATGGCCCAGGCCCAGACTGCTGGTACCTTCAACAAGCCCGGCTTCGACCTCATCAACAACTACACCTACACCTTCTTCGGTGATGGTTGCGCCATGGAGGGTATTGCCTCCGAGGCCGCCTCCACTGCCGGTCACTTGCAGCTCGGCAACCTCATCGCCATCTACGATGACAACAAGATCTCCATTGGTCAGTAGCTTTCTAACGATTTGCGGATAAGAATTGGACTAACCACCAAACAGACGGTGACACCAAGTGCGCCTTCACTGAGGATGTCATGAAGCGTTTCGAGGCCTACGGCTGGCACACCGAGCACGTCGAGAAGGGTGACACTGACCTCGAGGGTATTGAGGCTGCCATCAAGAGATGTCGCGAGGTCAAGGACAAGCCTTCAGTCATCAAGCTTACCACCACCATCGGTTTCGGTTCCAAGCTCCAGGGTACCGGCGGTGTCCACGGTAACCCCCTCAAGGCTGACGACATCAAGCACGTCAAGGAGCAGTTCGGTTTCGACCCCGAGCAGTCCTTTGTCGTTCCCCAGGAGGTCTACGACTACTACCACAAGACTGCCGATGCCGGTGCCGCCGCTGAGCAGGAGTGGAACAAGCTCTTCGAGAAGTACGCTTCCGAGCACAAGGAGGCCCACGCCGACCTTGCCCGCCGTCTTACCGGCAAGCTCCCCGAGGGCTGGCAAAAGTCCCTCCCCACCTACAAGCCCACCGACGACGCCATTGCTTCCCGCAAGCTTTCCGAGTCCGTCCTCGAGGCCATCTACGACGCTGTTCCCGAGCTGGTCTCTGGTTCCGCCGATCTGACTGGCTCCAACAACACCCGCTGGAAGAAGGCCGTCGACTTCCAGCCCCCCAACACCGGCATTGGCCAGTGGAACGGTCGCTACATGCGTTACGGTGTCCGTGAGCACGCCATGGCCGCCATCATGAACGGTCTTTCCGCCTACGGTACCCTCATCCCCGCCGGTGGTACTTTCCTCAACTTCGTCTCATACGCCGCCGGTGCCGTCCGTCTCTCCGCCCTGTCCCACCAGCGTGTTCTCTACATCGCCACCCACGACTCCATCGGTCTCGGTGAGGATGGTGCCACTCACCAGCCTATTGAGACTCTTGCTCACTTCCGCGCTCTCCCCAACATCATGGTCTGGCGCCCTGCTGACGGTAACGAGTGCTCTGCTGCCTACTACGTTGCCCTGACCAGCCGTGAGACCCCCTCTCTCCTCGCCCTGACCCGTCAGAACCTGCCCCAGCTCGAGGGTTCCACCATCGAGAAGGCTTCCAAGGGTGGTTACGTCGCTCTCGAGCAGGAGAAGGCCGACGTCACCCTCGTTTCCACCGGTTCCGAGGTCGGCATCTGTCTCGAGGCTGTCAAGACCCTCAAGGACGAGCACAACCTCACCGCCCGTGTCGTTTCCCTGCCTTGCTTCGAGGTCTTTGACGCACAAGACAGAGACTACCGCCTGTCGGTCATCCCCGACGGCATCCCCACCATGTCCGTTGAGGTCATGTCCACCATGGGCTGGGAGAAGTACTCCCACGAGCAGTTCGGTCTCAACAGATTCGGTGCCTCCGGTGCCTACAAGGACGTCTACAAGAAGTTCGAGTTCACCCCCGAGGGTATCGCCAAGCGCGCCAAGAAGACTGTCGACTTCTACAAGGATGTCAAGCCTCTTCGCTCCCCCATCAACCGTGCTTTCCAGCAGCTCATCTAAGCATTAGATGAAAGCTATGGTTACGGCCGCGTGTTGACATGACTTTTTCCTTTTGAACGCTTACAAAATGTATACCCCCTCCTGAGATTGGGGTAATGGATACATAGAATGAAATGGCGAATACGATACCAAATATTTTGCATACCCCTACTAGTGCCTATGAGTGTGATGAGTGACATCGTCGACATCGGGACATGTTGCCCAAATCGATGACCCGAGGGGAGAGCAAGATGTCGCAGTGATAGTATGAATAGATCAAGTATCAAGCACATACGGCCACAGTCAGCTGAAAACTGGGCATCCCGTCCGCTCTGCCATACATAAGCAGTTGAACGGCAGATTAGTACTACGGTGGGTGACCACGTGGGAATCCCTGCTGCTGTATGTTTTGTGTTTTCGTTTTGCTCTATATCGCCCATGTGTGAGCTTCGACAATCGCTGCCTTGGTTATTGCTCTTTTGCTGCTTGTTGGTCGTGTCTTCTATGGGAACTTGATGTCAAAGCCTCTCGTGACCGGTGGGAAGCAGTTTCTGCTTTTGGCAAACGCAATGGCTGCTAGCTTGGCAGGTTCACAACCTGTTCTTTCCTTGTAAATGACACACCATGAATCAAATCATTGTAGTTCGTGACCACGAAAGCCGCTCTCGTTGTCGTCGCGAGGAGAGAGGTAAGCTGCTGTTCAAACACCAATCGTCGCGCATAAGAGCTCGAACGTCCGGCAAAACGGTCCTTCTCCAACTGTCTCAAGACTCGAGATACCAAAGAAAGATTTCACGGCGATCAGACAGGTTGTGAACACAAGTTTTGCGATGAGACACACGCGCATCTGCACGTCGGTGAGCGGCTTTCGACACCTGTCTGCCTGATGACCTCCAACCATGAAGATCTTGCGTAACGTCGCGAGGCTTCAGTATGTCGTCTCCCTTCACGACCAACTTTCCTCTTGCACACAAGCCATATACATATCGGCGGCTAGGAGTTTAGTCTGAGATGCGCCAATCAAAAGCAGGATACTTGGATGAGGCGATGCTTGGTTCCTGCAGATCATGCCTGGTAGGCACCAATGAGGCAGCTGACCAGCCAACCACAAGACTCGTGCACCAGGTTACCAGAAAACCGCCCTAACACACATTGACAATTTCAAGCCTCACATGCACCCCAGGCTGTTGCGGCGGAGCAGATTATTTCTGATTCACATGCGTGTGTCGGGTGGCTTCGTCATGTCGCGCCTGGCTCGAGGAGTCATCACTACTGAATATGGAGCTCTTAACTTGGAAATGATAAGAGCAGGTTATCTCGCTGTCTCTTTACTAGAAAACTGGTCTGATTACTTTTCGAAATGGACAGCCAAATGGACTACAACTTTGCAGATACGTTGCCAGGCATGGAACGATCAGATTCAGCATTCACAAACCCACAAAAGCCCAAATCAGAAGCCTCCATGTACGAACCTCTTTCCGACCAACCAACTGGATTCCGCAACTTGGATCAGGCCGATGTGCTGGAAGATTCGGTACAACTTCTCTGCACTCCAACATCTCGCAACTTCATTGTGGATTTTGGCGACGAGGAAGCATGGGTGTCCTTTGATCAGCCAGCCGAGACAATTCACAGTTTACTCGAAGCATCGCGTCCGTCCACTCTTCACACACGCTGGATCAACATCTGGTACCCGTTCTTGCAGCGACCTCTTCTGGAGCTACTGGCTCAGCAGTACGACTTCTCACCAAGACTGCTGGCACTCATGAGCTCAGATCCCAAACGAATGAGACAGTATCCTTCTCAGCCTGTTGCTGTCGAGAAAAGGACCGAAGATATACTGAGACGTTCTTTTGAGGATATCGAGAAGGGTCTCTCGTCATCACCGCTTCCTGCCACGGACACCAGCTCGCTTAGCAGCTGCAACCCTGCACGTACTGGAAATCTCTACGACATTGTCGACGGTGTCTGGCATTACACTTCTCTGGACCAAGGCCGAAGCTACCTCTGTCTAGGCTTCAACAGCTTGTATAACGTGCACGCTGTCGAAGCTGGATGTGGTGTGTCGGAGGAAAGTACAGGAACCAAGGACGCGCCCTTACCTCATATCAAGCGAGTCTGGACATGGCTTCTCATCTGCGCAGACAAGACCGTCATCAGCATCAACGAGGACATTTATCCATACAGCGAAGGTCATTTGTCGCATCCTCAGCACCTGGTCATGATGGAAACTCGTCGTAACCTCATGAATGTCTTTCGCTCGCTATCCAAGGTTGAAGACAGCAGGGAAGCAAACCCGCTTGTGCTCTTGCCTATCAGAAGAAGACTCGGTGATACCAAGGAAGAGACGGCACATCGCGACAAGGATGCACCTGGTCTGCTGTTCTACTACCTGTTTGAGAATTGGTTTAATAGCTACTCTCTCATTACGCGTAGAGAGAGCAGATATGGTATGGAGCTGGAGAAGCTTGTAAGTATTCTAATCTTGTTTCCATATTTCGCAACACTGACTTTGAGCAGCAAAAAGAGATGTTCTCGGCACCAAAGCTTCATCACATTGACCTTCTACATGGCATCGGTAACGAACTCGGAGCGCTCAAGCGCCACTACAAGAGTTACATCCGCCTAGTCGATCGAGTGACCGAGCCACAATCCAGCACCCTGGCATCAAGAACAGGATCTCGCGTGCCCAGCAAAGCAAGCCAGGAGACTTTCGACAAACTCGCCGTACAAGGAGCACAGTCGCTGATGGGAGTCGGTTTGACGAGTGCAGCCATTGTCCGTTTCGAGAGACTCCGAGATATGATCTCGTTGTATGCTCTGGCTGAATGTAAGGATTATTTGCACCAGAAAGATGGACTGGTACAGATGGTGAGTGCAGCTTGTCGTCTTGTTGTCTTTGATCAATCACTGACATGTTCAAACAGAACTTCCAACTCGTGGCCATGTCGCAGTCTGCCGGTGTCGATCGCCTTACGAGGGTCGCGTTGCTCATCAGCAAAGCGACCATTCTGTTCCTTCCACTGACCTTTTTGACCGAATACGTGTCGGCTGATCTCGGCGTGACGTATTCGGTAAAGACATACTGGATTGCATTCGCTGTCGTTCTGACCTTGTCGTGGATACTCCTGATGGGCTTTGGCGTGTTGAGTGGGACGATGGAGACGTGGAGTCTGTTTCCACCATTGAAGAGATCCTTCAGCAAGATCAAGAACTGGAAGAGGAAGAATGAGTGACGGATCGGTGGTGAGACGTGATTGACAGGGCAGGATGAAAGGGACATATGGTAATATGCAAGGTCGGACAGGACACACAGCGCAGATTGCATGATACAAGTAACAGGACACAGACAGGCATGGATACACAGACAGTATGCCAAAAAAAAAAAAAAGAGGGGTATCATATAGGTCTAAATATACAAACACGTTTTGCTTTTGCTTCTATGTCTCGACCAAATCATCTTGTAACAATGTAGGAGTGGCACTTGCACTCGCACTCTTCTCTCGCCGCCACTTGTCCAATGCCTTTTCACCTTCATATTCATCGTCATAGCATCTTTCCCTGACCAAGCCCCATGTCCTGGAACGTACAATACTTTCGACCATCAACTCACTCCTCACCAACGCAGCCAATGCCTCCGTCCTCACTTCCCTAGGAAAGTATCTCCCACTATACGGATCCAACCTCTCGTTCACCACTCTTTCCCTCGCTCTCATGTCTTCCACCTGACGCAACATGTGATCTGGATCGTTCGGGTCTGGTGATGTGGCTACACCCGCGCAGTAAGCGAGTACATCGCTACGGGCTTGCCAGGAAGGAAACAGGACGTTCTTCTTGAAGGTCGCGCACGCTTCTGTGGAAATTGCGCGTTTGCCGACTGGGCGTGAGGGAGAGCGGGATGTGTTGTGTGGGTCCCAGGCGTCCTTGCTGGGGGAGAGTAGGGCGTTGAGGTTTTGGGAGATTGTGTCGTCGACGGCGCTGCGGGATATACGGAGGAAGTCTGAGAGGTGTGTTAGAAGGGGAAGGATAGAGTAGCAGATCAGGGTAGGGGAATGCGTACCCTGTAGAGCGGTCTGGTTGAAGCAGAAGGCGGGAGTGAGTTTTGGGGCGGGCGTTGTGGTGGGTGCTGCCATGGCGGGCACTCGAACAGGAGGAGGGGGAGGAGAGGGAGACGGTGGAAGAGATGGAGGAGTCGTTTTCCAGAAGTGTCCAGCCAGTTTGACCAAGATTGTACGATTCGCCCTTGTGCAGCGTATCAAGAAGAAGTTGAAGCCATGATGCATGCATGACTCGGCGTTAACAGACGCCAAAACGCCGTCCATCAGCGTCATTGAAAACCAATTTGTCGCGTGTTCGAGGCAAGCGCGCGTGAGCGTCACGTCCTGCAAGCTGCCTCGCTCCTGCTGTGCCTACCACAATTCTGCCTTGGATCCTTGCTCTGCCTTGTCGCGCACAATCGATGCGGCTGTCCTCTAATACATTGCGAACCTTCGATTCTGTTAAACTCTTGTCTTTGCGCCGTTTGCTCTGCACTCAACCTACTAGCTATCGACCTCAGCTGTGCTTCAGGATGCCTCCTAAGCAACAGGCCACTCTTGGGTATGTTGAGACTTTACAGACCATCCTGATTATATCGAAATGCTGCCTAGTCTCCTGATCTTCAACATGTGACTGACACGTGTCAAAGCAACTTCTTCGCAAAACCCAATGGCTCAACTCCCGCCTCCCAACAACCAAAGCTCTCGTTTGCGACAAAGCCAAAGCCCGAACCCAAGAAGCCAAAGAATCAAGATGAGGAGAAGGTAGAGGATGAACCTTCGGACAGCAAGGTCGCTGCAAAGAAAGAGGACACAGAAGATGCAACTGAACACCCAGAGGACGTCACCGCCACATCGAAATCAATCAAGACGCCCAAGAAGAGAACAGTAAAGGAAGAGGATGAGGAAGAAGCTGGTGCATCAGAAGAAGAGCCTCCGACCAAGAGACAGCGCAAGAAGCCCGCCAATTCTTCAAGTCCAAGAAAGCCAAAGCAGGATCCCATTCCAGATCATGAAGAGCCTGTCAAGAAACAAAAGGCTGCACCCAAGAAGCCCGCAGCTACGCCACCAACACCCGCCAAGGTCGACGAAGAAGATATCACAATGAAGGATGGCTCCGAGAGTGACCCTCAATCAGAGGCAGAGGATGTCGAGTCGGACGAGGAAGAACAGCCAGAGAAGGCTGCAAAGGCTCGCGAAAAGGTTCAGAGCACATTCAAGTCAAACACAAAAGACCCATATCCCGATTGGAAGGCCGGCGACCCCGTACCTTACGCTGCTCTCTGCACTACATTCTCCAAGATCGAGATGACGACGAAACGTCTGGAAATCATGGCACACTGCTCCTTGTTCCTCAGACAAGTCCTTCGCCTCACCCCTCAGGACCTCCAACCTACTGTTCTACTGATGCTCGGCAAGCTTGCTGCAGACTATGCTGGTATCGAGTTGGGTATTGGCGAGAGTCTTATCATGAAGGCTATTGGTGAGTCTACAGGCCGATCACTCAAAATCGTCAAAGAGGATCAGCAGAAGATCGGTGACCTGGGTCTTGTTGCAGCAAAGAGCAAGGGCGGTCAGCCCACCATGTTCAAGCCAAAGCCTTTGACTGTACGTGGCGTCCACGAATCATTAATGGCTATCGCAAAGATTGAAGGATCTGGTGGTCAAGGCCGCAAGGTTTCTGGTATCCACAAGCTGCTTTCTGCTGCTGATACAAATCTATCAAAGGGCAAGGGAGTCGATATCGAAGAGAACAAGGGCGGTCCGAGCGAAGCGAAGTTCATTGTTCGCACTCTCGAGGGCAAGATGCGCCTGGGTCTGGCAGACAAGACTGTCCTTGTTTCGCTGGCTCAGGCCATGACTTACCACGATGTCATGACCAAGACCAACAAGGCACCTACCACCGAGCAGCTGGAGAAGGGTGAACGTGTTTTAAAGAACGTGTACAAGTACGTTTTCTATCTGCTCTTCAATTTCTCGAGCCGATTGCTAATTTTCCACACAGCGAACTGCCCAGCTACGAAGTCATTGTTCCCGCCTATCTCGAGAACGGAGTCTTCGACTTGCACGATGCATGCAAGCTTCAACCTGGTGTTCCCCTCAAGCCTATGTTGGCAAAGCCGACCAAGTCAATCACCGAAGTGCTCGATCGCTTCGAGGGCAAGGACTTCACCTGCGAGTACAAGTACGATGGAGAGAGAGCACAGATCCACTTTGTCGCCCACGATTCTGACCTGACTTACGCCACTGCTGCCCCCACCGCTGGCAATTCTTCCAAGGGTGTCTCGAACATTTTCTCGAGAAACAGTGAAGACCTGTCGAAGAAGTACCCAGATATTCTCGCCAAGCTGCCCACCTGGGTCAAAGAGGGCACCAAGAGCTTCGTTCTGGATTGTGAGACCGTCGCCTGGGACGTGGATGAGAAGAAGGTTCTGCCTTTCCAACAACTCATGACCAGAAAACGCAAGGATGTCAAGACCGAGGATATCAAGGTCAAAGTCTGTGTCTTTGCTTTCGATCTTCTGTTCCTGAACGGCGAGGCTCTTGTCAATCAATCCTTCCGTGACCGCAGAGCCAAGCTCTACGAAGCATTCAAGGAGGTCGAAGGCGAGTTTGCCTTCGCTCAGTTTGGCAACACCAACGAGCTCGATGCCATTCAAGTCCTGCTCGAAGACTCCATCAAGGCCTCTTGCGAAGGTCTGATGGTGAAGATGTTGGACGGCCCCGAGTCCTACTACGAACCTTCGCGTCGCTCACAGAATTGGCTGAAGGTCAAGAAGGATTACCTCGCTGGCGCAGGTGACTCTCTGGACCTAGTCGTGCTCGGTGCCTACTACGGCAGAGGCAAGAGAACAAACGTCTATGGCGCTTTCCTCCTCGCGTGCTACAACAACTCATCACAAAAGTACGAGACCGTATGCAACATCGGTACCGGTTTCTCAGAAGCTCTCCTCGAATCACTGCACGAGACCCTCTCACCATTGGTGATTGACCGACCCAAGCCCTTCTACAGCCATTCCACAGGCAACAAGGACCAACCCGACGTCTGGTTCGAGCCTCGTCTCGTGTGGGAAGTCAAGACTGCTGACTTGACATTGTCGCCTCGCTACAAGGCTGCTGCCGATGCGCTGGGTGATCCCAGTGGCAAGGGTGTCAGTCTGCGCTTCCCGAGATATATCCGTGACCGTGATGATAAGAAGCCTGATGATGCTACTACTGCCAGACAGGTTGCTGAGATGTACAGGAAGCAGGAGTCTGTGGGCAAAAACAAGGGTCCTTCGGTTGATGATGACTTTGAGTATTAGATGGGATAGGGTCATATGCATTGTGGAGTTGGTTTGGGAGTTGGTTGTGGAGTGGGATCGTTGTTTTCGTTTCATTGCTGAGATCTCTGTATTATCAGTTGAGGAGTGGGTTGACTCTGAGAAAGGCAGAGATGCATGTGTTTCCACATCGAAAGCATGCGTCTTGCAGACCTTATTTGGTATTTTACACCTGTCCTGTACGCTCGAGTACCGTAGAGAAGAATATGATGAAAAACAACACAAGACAGATTAAATGTCCTATACCGCGTTTTTATACCTAACCAAGGCTCAAATTTGGCATGTTTACTCTGATTCTGCGTGTATGCATGACTGCAGCCCTGATTTGCTTATTCTCGTCCTTCCCTTCACACAAACCATGCGACCCTTGCATCTCCTCGCTCTGATTACCAAAGCTTTATGAAAACATTGCGAGCTGGACAAAATGGAAGGTTGTTGCTTTAAAGTGAACAAGAGCTGTGTATGTTGCATAGATCTCGGTAAGGAAATTTTGGACCACACATATCGAGCAGTTGACAGTGGAGATCTGTGGCATAACCTTCATAGTTGGCATGGAGAGAAGTCATAGCTCTGAGTAGCATAAGGCAACGTCCAAATGGCTGTGTACGCACCAAATTGACAATGTTGTCGTCGATTTGGATATCGGCCAGGGCCGTCACAGCAGCGACTTTGAGGTGACCCTGTCTTGAAGAATATTTTGCCAAGTCAAACAACTTTTGGCAAGGAAAGTCTAGCCGAGTTGTCGTTTTGACTCTTTTTCTACACAAGCGACAGAGCATTTCGAAGAAACAATTTACCACCATATCGCTGTATCACCACATTACTAGTCGCAATTTGAGGATCAAATCGAGCAGAGAAAACATCTGGAAGCTAGACCTGCCTCCGATCTCATCTTTCCTCAGCGGTGTCAAAAGAGAACAACTACTTGACTAGGAAACCGGAAAGAGAAGAAAAAAACAACATAGGAACGAGGATAACGGAGACCATGGAGTATCTCATTCGACTCGCGCAGATGCATGAGACGTTTCGGCGTCCCGAGTTGGAGGCGCTGGCTGTATTGCACAATGTAGACTTGGAGATTCTGGAGTACTCTGACGAGGTAAGGAGAGCCAATTTTTTCATTTCAACCTTTGTTGCGTAGAGCCAGAGAGATCGTGGTGTGGGTCTGAAAGAAGAGCATCGGAGAGGATCACGAGTCTGCACGGTTCACGAACGGAGGAGCAGATGCCAGAGGATACAACAGAGCTAATCAAGCAATCCACAGTCACCATTCTGCATTGCAAAAATCTCATCGGACAAGGATGCAGCTAAACTCATCTCTCGCTCCATGTTGACCGGCGCAGTCTACGAACTCTGGGGCATCGGAAACAACTACGAAGAATGCCACGCAGACGTAAAGAAGCGATCACAACATCTCTGGGCGCAATACAAAGACACCGCGTCATTCAGCTTCCAAATCGACAGTTTCCAAGCCAAACGCACGAACACGGAAAAGAGAGACATCGTGGAGAGTTTCTCGTACATGGCCTTCGAAGGTCCGATCAGACTAAAGAACCCAGATTTGCCAATGGTAGTACTGGAAGAATGGGATCTAGAAGGCAAGGAACCCAAGCGCGTGGCGTTGGGTCGTCTGATCGGTGAAAGCGGACGCTCAGCGATGAACAAATACGACCTCAAGAAGCGCAAATACATCAGCACTACATCAATGGACTCGCAACTGGCTCTGATCACTGCAAACATGGCTTTGGCGGCACCGGGTAAGATCTTCTACGATCCTTTTACCGGAACTGGAAGTTTCCCGGTTGCGTGTGCGCATTTTGGTGCCACTGTGGTGGGCAGTGATATTGACCCTCGCAGCATTCGTGGAAAGCCGGACAGGAATGTCATGAGCAATTTCGTGCAGTATGGGCTGGTGCCTCAATATATGGATATGTTTGTGAGCGATTTGACGAACACGCCGATCAGGAAGACGAGATGGCTTGACGGCATCGTTTGCGATCCTCCATACGGTGTTCGTGAGGGTCTGAGAGTTTTAGGCAGCACGCGAGAAGACTTGCAGAAAGAGGTCCTGCTCAAGAGCGGTGTACCGGCACATCTGGCTCCAGGCTATATTCCACCCAAGAAGGCTTACAGCTTTGACGCCATGATGGATGATATCCTCGACTTTGGATATACTCATATGGTGGACAATGGCAGACTCAGCATGTGGATGCCAGTGGCTAACGATGAGGACATGGAGATCCCAATCCCCAGCCACCCGGCGATGCAGCTGGTAGCCATGTCAGTCCAGCAGTTCAACAGATGTGCGTTTAGGCTCGACACTACAATGTGGATCTCGATGATGCTGACCATTTTCTCGCAGGGGCCCGCAGACTCATCACTTACCGCCGCGTTCCAGAAGCTCAAGTGGACCAAGAAGCACTTCGAAACCGTGAGAAGCGTGAAGAGGCAACCGGAGTGACGGCAGATGATCTCAACGCCTTCCGACGAAAGGTATGCACGAGCATGACAAGCCTAACGTGTTTTGTCACAGCTAACGCATGGCGCAGTACTTCCAAGGCTTCAAAGATCAGCAGCAACAGCAACAGCAACAAGTCGAGGCGGATGCTGCAGCAGCATCATCATGAGTCGAAGCCGTTTGAGAAGAGGCGGTCATGGTGTGGGCTGGAGACAAGACTTGAGCGGCTGAAACAGACAGCTAGCGGCGTTCGGTCCTGAGCCCAGCTGCTGTTGGACGTTCAACGTCAGGTCCACGAGGCGGAGTCGCCGGTCACAGCTGTGGTGACGGACTGCTGGTGCATGTCATAGATACCTGATGAGATCATCTGGGCCAGCCATCTGACACTCGAGCGAGATGGATACAAGAGTCGGTTAGAAAACAATATCCAACGGATCAAGGACTTCGGGCTAAAGGCACGTGTGTATGTCACGATCTCCTGTGTTGTACATCGTACTGTCGACCGGATTGATTGCAGCTGTGTACACGTAACCCAATGTGCTTCGCCTCAAGCACCTGAGCAGACTCGCACCGACCGACTGTTTGTACAGTTGATATCGCAATCTCGGCTCAATCGCTCGAGGGAGAGGTGTTTTGTGGACATGCAAACAGAAACACGAACCTTTGCAACGTCTGGCGCGTCGGTTGGACCGGTTAGTCAGCGTGAGGGGACCCCATCTCGAAGGAGGCAATGGTGTACAGAAACTAAGCACAAGAGGTGGTGGGAAAAAGAAGTGGGACTTGGGATCTTCGAGACTTGACTGGAGAGTGGGTAGAAAGGCAATCCAGGCCAGGGTTCGCAGGATCTTGCGGCCCTGAACATCTTCTGGAGATAAGGTCAGGGACCTGAGAGACGGCAGGAGCAATCCACAGACTGAGACCCGGCATGTTACTTGGCGCGACGTTTCGCACGCTGTTCGTCCACGCAAACTTGCACGACGCAAGAAGCTGAGCAACGTGTGAGGCTGACCCAGATTGACAGCCCTGTGCAAATAGCGGTGGACCGAAAGAAGAATTGGCCAGTTCTTTTGCCTGTGCTCTATGTGCTTGCCTCGCAGAGTCCAGTTTTCCCAGAGACCTGGATGAGTCTGTGAAAAAGCTTCGTGCCCTTTGCCAATGTGGAATGTCTGCTGCGAACTATTGCGCTATAGCAAGGCTACTGCAAGAAATTCTTGAGTCAAGCTCGTTTATGGACGGGTTCTTGTTCATATCGGGAAAGCAACGGTCAAACGGTGGGGGAAAGGGGGACGCTTGGTGGGTCTGGTTGACAGTCAGGGGTCGGCGGCGGTCGTGCGAAGGACTTGTTCGCGAGGCTTTGGCGTGTGCTTTTGACGAGCCGGCAGACTGCTGGGCAAAAGATGTGGGGACATCGCGACATCCCTACCGAACTTTACCTGCGACATCGACGACACTCGGGAGCCATCTCTATGAAACTCCATCTGGTAGATCATACGGTGAGTGAGATACATTGCGAAACAAGAGGTGAGATATAGCTGAGCTGAGGTTTCTGTAAACACTGCTCTCATCCTCTTCTCTGTCGGTGTCCTTCTTTCTTTATTCCCTTCACGCTGCGCGTCTCTAAATTTACATTCCTTTCACAACGTTGCTGCAGCGGCCGGAGTCCGCGATCGTTGTGCTGCCCTTACATACTTTTTGCACCAGACCCTCCGGGAGCCACCGTTAGAATCGATATTTACTCCTTGCCCAAGCCTACCTCCTTTGCAACGACAGTCGCGTAGTATTTAAGAGTCCGTTGTGTCGACGAGGTTGGGATCTTCAGTCACAATATCCACTCCTTTGGTTCATCAACTCTCATAACCACATTCTTTAACTGCACCTTGCCTTGCAAAAAGCAATTCCACACTCGCTACTACTACAAAACATCCTTCTCGGCATCTCTTCTTGCAGCATCTTTCCAGATCAAAAACACCACAACACCATCACAATGCCTTCTCGCTCAAACCGCAACATTGCTTCCGGCTCTCTTCGCCGTCTCAAGACTGTCTTCTCGTCTTCTCACACTCACATTCCCAACGCTCCTCTGTCGCCTGTCTCAGAGAACTCCGACAGCTGCTGGACTGTCAGCAGATCATCGACTGGCAGCCGCTTCAGCCAACTTGTCTCATCAGTCTCATCATACTCAATTGGCAACTTCAGCATTCGCCGCAGTCCCAGTCAACTAGAGCTCGAACAGGAAGAGGAGAAGATTGAAACTCCCGAGGAGCTTCTCAGCTTGATCGAGCCTCGTCCTTTCGCAGGCACCGCCGCGGGAGGCTTCGAAGATGTGCTCTTCGGCCGTCTGTGAACAACAATCACAGTCAACACATCAACATCAACAACAACCAAACTTTAATGATAAACGCCTTTTTCCTTTACACCAAACTTCTAACGACGACGCGACGCATCATCAACAACAACATCGGCCACGTTGGCGTTTCATCCCCCACTGTCGCGCGCAGCGGCCCCCGACGGTTGAGCGGACTTGCTTAACGGTTGCGCATGTTCCTTCTCTTGAACATCCAATCGGACATGCAGTGATGGAGGACATTGGAATGAGAATTCCCAATCATTCCTCCACGCTCCCAACGAGATAGTCGGCCTTTCCAACTTCTCGATTCTCTTGAACATTTCCATTCTTCCATTCGCTTCTTGACGATACCAGGTGCCGATGATTCGGTGGCCGTTTTGATTACCCCTTTCTTCTTTCCTCCAACCTCTTCTTGTACTCCTGTAGGCATTACTATGTGGAGTGGCTTTACTTCAGAATTTTCTTGAATGAGCCTTTTTTCTTTTACTAGAGATTTTCAAAAATGAATAAATCAATTCTACACTACAAACTTGCCTTACAATCTCTCTCGCTTCGTGGTTGTAAAGATCGTCGATCTGTATTCGCTAATCTCCTGGCATCAAACGCCTTCGGCCTTGCCGTAGCTGAGAGCACTCAACGTACGACCACCAGCAACTTCCACGTTATCCAGCGGATAGACAAGTAGAACTCCACATATTAATCTGCTCACAGACTAGGATGAGAATTGACGGAAGGGTCTGTGTCGACTTGCAGCAGATCCGAGGTCCCGATACGAGATGGTATGGGGGAGGAATATATTGATGCTTGAGTTTAATTCCTGGGGGCAAGAAATGGTATACAACCGTGTCGTACAGCAAGTCAGCCACTTGGAGCCGCCTTGTGCGATGGAATTATTCCCAGGCGTCATGCACATGCATGTTTGCGATGCAGCAATCCAGAAAGTAGCATCAAAGAATGCTTGGCTGCGGTAAGTGATTGGTGCCTTCCCAACTTGTAGTAAATGGTACTGCCGGTCTTTCTTAGATGGCTTTCTTTGTCTGTTTGCTTGCTTCTGACATCTCATTCTCGTCATCTCATCTACAATTCCTGCTGTTGACCTCTTGTCACTCCTTGGTGTCCCTTCTTCTTACGCGGCGGGTGCGAGATCTGCTCCTTATAATCCACCTTCCATCAATTCATCCCTTTGCTTCGACATATCTGTATACCTCGACTATCGCAAAACACGAAACACGAACATGCGCAGAACAACTCTCATCACCGGCCTGTTCCTAGCCTTCTCTCCTCTTCTCGTTTCAGCTGCAGGCACTTTGGGCTTCGCATTGGGTGACAAGAAGGCCGATGGATCCTGCAAGTTCCACGAAGACTACGAAGCCGACTTCGATGCCATCAAGAGCAACTCAGGCAGCACCATCGTACGCATCTACGCCGCCAGCGACTGCAACACAGCTTCGCAGATCTTGCCCGCCGCAAGAACCAAGGGATTCAAGGTGATTCTTGGTGTCTGGCCTGACGTGGATTCGAGTCTTCAAGCCGACAAACAGGCTTTGCAAATCTACGTTCCTCAGTACGTCGATCAGGTCTACGGTGTGACGGTCGGTTCGGAGACACTCTACCGCAAGACCTTTACTGGCCCTCAGCTTTTGGAAAAGATCAATGATGTCAGATCGGTGCTGCCTCAAGGTATCAAGGTTGGCACGGCAGACAGCTGGAACAAGTTCGCTGATGGCACGGCCGATGCTGTGGTCAAAGGAGGAGTCGACTTCTTGCTTGCTAATGGCTTTGCATACTGGCAAGCATCGCCCATCTCCAACGCCACTTATACTTTCTTTGATGATACTCAACAAGCTCTTGGTCACATTCAGAGTGTCTCGGGATCTCTCAATACTATCGAGTTCTGGGTCGGCGAGACTGGCTGGCCTACCGATGGTGAGTATCTAATGTTCATTGCTATGATGTGTAGATGATATTGACCTGCTCGCAGGAGGCTCCAACTACGGCGCCGCCATTGCAGGCACCAAGAACGCACAAACCTACTTTGAAGATGCCGTGTGTGGCATGTTGTCATGGGGCGTCAACGTCTTTGTGTTTGAGGCATTCGACGAGCCCTGGAAGCCCCACGCCATCGGTGATAGCGGATCTAGTGGTGACGAGACTCACTGGGGTGTCATGAACGTCGACCGCAGCACAAAGTTCCCGCTGACCTGCTAGTTGCGCTTGATGGCTGAGACGTGTGGTACAATGACTTGATGACAGCACTATGAGTTTTTGCGGTATTGCTTTCTTTTCCTGAGCTTTCGAAAGGGCGGCTGTCGTATTCAGCTTACATGCAAATCCTATGTTCCCTTCTCCTATGCTTTTCCGTGAACGCCTTACGCCTTGCTTCTATGCCTGAGAGAAAAATGTGTTCCTGTGTCCAGACCAGAATCTTTGTGCCGATAAACTGCATGCATACTTTGATGCAGGCCGTTGATGACTTCGGCTACGTGCGAGTAGCAGGCATGCGGTGATTGATGTCGAGTTGCTTTGCGGCGACGCGTGAAGCGGCGAGGACTTGTTCAGCAGTATCGAGACACACCGAAAGACCTCAATCATCGAAACCGCCAAACTCCTCATCCTCGTCTTCCTCGTCATCGTCAACCTCTTCATCAGCCTCACTCAACTCCTCATCATCATCCTCGTCCTCGATACCCAACCACACCTTGACCCTACCATCATCCAACGCCTCATCCACCTTCTTCCTCACACTCTTCAACACAGCCTTTTGCCCAAACTCGACCAACGGCTGCATCAGCTCCTCATACGGCGCCTTTTCACCTCCAACCTTTTCCAACTCATCCACATAGACATCCACGACGTGATATTTCAATCCAGTGGGTACTTTTGCATCTCTAGGATTCAGCGGGATTTCTCTCAGCAGGTCCAAGTATTCTTTTGTGGTGACCTCGTCTTTCCAGTGACTCTTTGCGCAGTAGGCGAATCCAGCATTGACGTAGCTGCGGATCAGGAAGAGGAATTTGTCCATTCGCAGGGAATCGATGCCTGTGTATTCTCTGGCGATTGTGGTCCAGAAGGCGCGCATGTAGCCGATGAAATTCGTGCGTGTGGACAGTAGTGAGACTAGTGCTGACAGGTCGAGGGCGAGACGTCGTTGGGGTGCTGGTTTGTCGCAGGACCACATGCAGTAGAAGAGGCCTTTCCAGAGTTTTAGGAAGTCGAGTTGGCTGAAGGGGGTGGAGCGGGAGAGGAAGGTGCGGAGGGAGGCTACGGCTTTGTCGCGGACTTGACGGTCTGTGAGGGATGTCAGCAAGGGACGGATAGGAGGGGAAAGAGGTAGCAGTATACCATTGTGGACTAGTTGCTTGATGAAAGGGTTGTTGGGCGCTGCTGACTGCGCCATCTTTGCTGTGGGTTGATGTGTGGTGGATTGATAGCTGTAGAGTGGCGATATCGGACGAAAGAGGTAAACTCGGTGTTATATCGTCTAGAGGCCTGAGTATACGGCGTTGAGTATATTCGAGTATGCTTGCTTGTCGCAAAAAGTGGTTTCAACTCGAAAAGTGCTTGGCAAAGAAAAAAAGTCGATGGAGAGAGTCGCGCCCAAGGGTTTGCTTCGCGCGGCTTTGATCCGCGATCCGGACGCGATCTATCTGGGGTTCGTTTGGAATGGAAGAGCAAATGATGGCATCAGCTGTGATGGCATCAAGTCATCGTAGATATCAACATCACGTATGCTAGATCAAGAAACATCAACAACTAGAGGACGTCTTGCACATTCGGGCCTGCAAGGCAAGAGCAGAGGGTCAAAGAGAATTCAAAAACATACTTCTGGATTCAGCACTCTGTGTTCTGAAAAAAAAAAAGGTCACAGAGCGACTATTGAACTATCTAGCTATATAAAGGTAACAAAGTGTTCCCGCAGAGCGCTGTCGTCGAGCGATCTCTCCATAGATACGATTCTGTTTCTAAAGATTACTGTGCATCTTCGCACGCCCTGACATCTTGCAATCGAGATTGAAACCACATTCTTCCCCCCGCCCTCAGCCCATCAGGTATCCCTCTGATCACGCCTGTTCACCACGCAAGTACACGGTCTGTTTGTTCATGAGCATTGAGCATTCTTCTCGGCCGCCTTCTTGGCCTTGATTTTTTCGAGCATATCCATTATATCTTGGATCATGTCGATAATATTTTGGCCCACATCCTTCGTTTGCTGAGACTTTGACTGAGTATCAGCTTGGGATTTGTCCATGGCGGAGGTAGTCGCCCTCGTATCGGCGCACTGGGGTCTGATGGCGTTCGTGTGAGTTGCTTGCCACTGCAACGTGTGGTCCAGGCACTGTCCGATCGTCATTGGACGTGTACCACCCGGAAGATTATACTGCAAGGGTTAGCGATGGATATGGTGAGCATGGTTGACTATACTTACGACGGGCTGTTGCAAGGGTTGTTGAGAAGGCTGTTGGGAGGGCAGTTGGGAGGGCAGTTGGGAGGGCAGTCGGATAGCATCACCGAAAAGACTTCTAGACTGGAATGGTTGCATCAAGGGCTGTGAGGAGGGCTGTTCGGAGGGCATTCGGATAGTATCATGGAAAAGGCTTCGAGGCTGTTGGGAGGGCTGTTGGGAGGGCTGTTGGGAAGGCATTCGGATGGGATCACTGAAGAGGCTTCGAGGCTGGAATGGTTGCAGCTGAAGAGGTTAGTGATGGATCTGATAACGGGAGCAGAGATGCCTACAGGCTGCTGATCTTGCCGCGAAGGATGACCGAAGCCTGCAAAGGTGGACTGAGATGGTTAGTAATGAATCTGATGTAGGGTAGTGACTACACTCACGAGGGGCTGTTGTAGTGGCATAGCTCGTTGTGAGAATAGGTTATCCAGGGTCGCAGTTGAGCTTGGAGTCTGAGATTGTTCTCGGGATGATGTCGACCGAGTGGAAGAGACAGGGGAATACATGATTTGACAGCTTGATACTTAAGAGGGCCGGAAGATGAACGTGCAGGAGGTTCTGAAACCTGAGGTGGCTGACCTTTTGAACCCTTCGAGTAGGAAGAGTCATCGCAATGCCACGTGGAGTGACTCGACTAAGAACTTGCTCAAGTACCCTCACACTTAGCGAGCCTTGCCCATCACCTGCGAAGTATAGTCATAGAAGATCAGACCCCTGAGATCTCTCTAGATTGATCTAGATCGACCATGCTCCTCTTTGGAATCGTTAAGCGTATAGCTATAGGAATGCACAATAGTTTCGACAAACAAGACAGTTTCCATTGAGATGCGAAAGATTCTAGGCTCTCTTCGGATACGTCCTTTTTCCCAAAATCATTGTGCATTTCTATTTCTATGGTGAGAAGTTCGCTCTATACCTTGGTGGGAGAAGGGTGGGAATTACGAATTTTAACATACAGAGAGTACCTTTTATGCTCCTGCAGTAGGTTTTGTCCCTTTCTCAGCGTCTAGCGTACGATGACCCTCGACTGCAGAGCCCGCAACGCGCTCCTTCTCGTCGTCGTCGTCGTCCGGTTCTTCTTCATCAATATCTTGTAGGCCATCCTGTCCACTTCCCTTGCTCTTGGCGAAATCTTCGCGATGTTGGGGTACATAGGCGATGACTCTTCTCTTATCAAACCAGCGGCCGTTGAACGCCTCGGCACAGAGAACAGCTGATTCCGCATCCTTGAAGCGCACAGTGACGACTCCTTGAGGCTCGAGGTCGTAAAGGACAGTATTGGTGACTTCGCCATATTTGGATGCTTCGTCACGAATGTCGGCTTTGATGTCGAGTAGTGCGGCAGCGTCCTCTTCTAGTTCCTCAAGGGTAAACATGTGCTTGAGAACGACGATTTTGGCGTATTTTGATGGGTTTGGCGGGGGAGCAACAACACTCGGGTCGTCATCGTCCCAGTCTGCCAGGCGGGCGTTCATTTGTTTGGTCTTCTCGATGGCCAAGTAGCGATCTTGCTTGGGGCGTCTCTTCTTAATGTTCTCCACCGACACTTCCTTTTGCTCTTTCTTGTCCCCTTGGTCCTTGTTCCTGTTTGAGTAGGAGTCATCGACCAGCTCGACGTGCAGGTCGCCATCACCAGGTTTGCGGAAGTCGGTGCCGTCCAGCATAGTGATAGCCAGACTGACACTCTGGGGCTTGAAGTATATGACCTTTGCCTCGCCCTTGAAGTTGCCCTCATCGTCGGCGTACATACGAATCTTTGGCAGGTTTGTGTGGATATCCTCCTCAATGATGCCGTACTTCTTGAAAACGTCGTGGATTTCGTCGATGCTGGCGTCAAGTGGGACACCTGTCACGTAGACGGCGCTGTTGGGTCGCTCGATCTTTGATTTCTTGTCTGGCTTGTTGGCCTTCTGTTCTGCTTTGCGCTTCTTACTGTCGATTGCCGGCGCATTTTCGTCAACGTCCTTCATGGCATAAATGGAGGCTTGCTGCTGCGCGAGAGCCTCGTCGACTGAAGGGACCCATTTCTCGAATTGTGAATTCCACTCATATTCGGCGCCGTTCTCCTCTTCGAGCATCCATTTATTGCTGAGCTTATCGAACGAGACGCGTACATCGTTCTTGAATTCCTCTTCAGTCGTAGGAAATGCGACGCGCGAATCTGCCATGTTGAACGAGTGTGGGAGTGGTATAACGCGTGTCGGAGTAGCTTTTTGCGAAGTTCGCGAACGGAAGGCATCCGGCGCCGTCATTTTGTCCTGCGTCATGCGGGGGGAGCTTGGACCGCCCGGACCGGGCCCGATCGACATCTACCTCAGGCACTTCTCATGGTCAAAGTTTGTGAGGCGCATAGCTATCGACATGCACAATCTTCTCGACCAAAGACACAGTGCCCATTGAAATACGATACATTGTGGGCTCTCTTTGGTTGAATCCTTGATCAGGATACTATTTCGCCTCTCCGCAGTGAGTACGTCGCTGTGTACCTTTGTGGGAGCATGGAAATTACTGACTTTAGCACACGGGCAATACTGTACTTCCAACACTTGTTACAGTCTGGCAGATGCCGAGTATCCACAGTTCCAAATACTGGGTACTACAGCTAGGTGTGATGTAGGCCTTGTCCGCTGATGGATATCGAGCCTGTACTACGTTGTTTGGTTCGCTCTTCCATCCTGTGTCATTACCACATCCATACCACTTCCCTCGACGAGGACCAAAATTCGGCGGACCCCTTGTAATGAAATTTTCGTGTCATCTCAACCATATTATGTTCTCGAAAACAAGGCAAGTCATCACCATTGCAGATGCAGGTGGAGGAGGACAACGTCTTATCCATGTACGTGGGGATGTCAACATTCCACATCCGCTCGTCACCACGTCGACACAAGGGAATGGAAATAGATAAGTCGATGGTTTTTGTAGTGCCGCTGTTTTCAGGCTCGATGCAATAGAGCTACGCATAAGTACGGTGGATGGCTATATGCTTGAGCCGCAATTCTCTTTATTCGCTCCTTCAAGCCTACCTATCGTTTCTTTGTCACATATTCGAGAAAAATTCTTGAGACAAGAGCAAGTTCGATCATTACCTCATCTTATACCAATTTTCCGGTCTTGGCTCTGCGAGCTGTAACTTGCATGTGCGAGCTTGTACGTGTTGGATCCCTCACTTCACTCCGGACGGCAAACGATTGAGCGGCGGCGGCATCGACTTTCACAATTTGAAAAGACTCTCGGAGACGCCGTAAAAGACCACATCAAGTGCGCACTCCCGAACCTTTCGTTGCCAACGCAAGACACTGACGTCTAATGGCAGCATCGGAACCCCATTACCACCAGCCTCTCTATCTCATCATGAGTGGCACCGGCCCCGGCGAGTCGGACACCAACTATGTCCCTCTTGTCACTTACAACGGAACCAATCCCGCTGGCGGCGACTCGCTCAAGGACAACTTGAACATCTACTATGAGGTGCCTAACCAGTCGAAGCCTTTTTAGTTGAGATCGTCACTGACAATACACAGAGCGGCGATATTGGCTACATGATCATCTGCACCGCACTTGTCTTCTTGATGATTCCCGGCGTTGGGTCTGTTTATATCTGAACACACGTTGATTGCAGTACACTGATAACCGCTGCAGATTCTTCTACTCTGGCCTGGCCAGACGCAAGTCGGCCCTCTCTCTCATCTGGCTCTCCATCATGGCCACGGCTATAGTCTCGTTTCAGTGGTTCTTCTGGGGTTACTCGCTTGCCTTCTCCCACCAAGCCGGCAAGTTCATCGGTGCTCTTGACAACTTTGGCTTCATGAACGTTCTGGCTCAGCCCTCTGTGGGGAGCAACAGAATCCCTGATCTCCTGTATGCTGTATACCAGGGCATGTTCGCAGCCATTACGTGAGTCCATTGACTGCTTGACAGGACAAAGACATGACACTGACGAATACAGTGTTGCTCTTGCCGTCGGCGCTGTCGCCGAGCGCGGCCGCCTCCTTCCCTGTGTCATTTTCATGTTCATTTGGAGCACTGTCGTCTACGACGCCATCGCCTGCTGGACCTGGAACCCTTCTGGCTGGCTCTACATCCTCGGAGGCCTTGATTACGCGGGCGGTACGCCTGTGCATCTCTCGTCTGGTAGTGCTGCATTGGCATACTCTTTCGTCCTGGGCCACCGCAAAGGCCACGGCACCCACGAACTCAACTACCGCCCTCACAATGTTACTCACATTGTTATTGGCACGGTGTTCCTCTGGTTCGGCTGGTTCGGCTTCAATGCCGGTTCAGCACTGGCTGCCAACATGCGTGCTGTCATGGCTGCTGTCGTGACCAACCTCGCTGCTTCGGTCGGTGGCATCACTTGGTGTCTGCTGGACTATCGTCTTGAGCGCAAGTGGTCGACTGTTGGATTCTGCAGTGGAGTCGTGGCTGGCCTTGTCGCTATTACTCCCGGCTCTGGCTATGTTCCTGCTTGGTCGGCTGTGGTGTTTGGCGTTTGCGCTGGTATTGGATGCAACTATGCTACCAAGCTGAAGTATCTTATCAACTGCGATGATGCTTTGGACATCTTTGCTGTGCATGCTATTGGCGGTCTGATCGGAAATCTGCTCACTGGCTTGTTTGCTGCGTAAGTTTTGCTAAGAAAGAAGTGAGGATCATTCATTGACAAGTTTTAGTGATTACATTGCTCACCTCGACGGTGTCACTGTCATTCCTGGCGGCTGGCTCAACCACAACTACCGCCAGCTCGGCATTCAGTTGGCTGGCTCAGTGGCCGGAGGTAGCTACTCGTTTGTCGTCTCCTTTGTCATCCTCACCGTCATCAACTTCATCGGCAAATACCTGCCTGTCTTTGCACTGCGTGCTACCTTGGAAGAAGAAGACCTGGGTATCGATGACGTTGAGATTGGCGAGTTTGCTGTAAGTTCTGCTGATATGATTTGAACAGACCAAACTAACGAATATCACAGTACGACTACGTCGAAGTGATGCGTGATGTCCACCATGGCGACACTAGCAGTGTATCGAGCGACGGCCACGAAAAGCCCTCGACTCCCCCCAACGGCAAGCGCCTCGACCCGGGATGGGACCCTCTCAGAGGCAACTCATCCCCTCAGAACCCCGTCGCTGTCCCTGCCAACCCTGCAGGTGACTTTGTGTAAAGTTGGGAAGATATCTCGGTTCACGTCTCAACTGGATTCAGTTTTCTTTTCTTTTTTGAGGCTCTCTCTGCATGGAAGGCGCTTGTTGATGACCTTTGAGAACAAGGATTGTACTTTAGAACGGCACGTAATGAGAAGAAGATCGCTTGATTGGCAATCTATCTCTTTGCATAACCAAAGAGATCAGTGAACATGTGTGAATGCATTTGCGTGATTTACCGAACAACCGTATAGATCATCAGGTGCAAGAAGAGAGTATACGAGTAGACCAAGTTAGTCCGCCACATTCCACCCAAGCCCATCCAATAGTGACTGACATACCCTTTTGACAGTCATCAACAATCTGTGCCCGATTTGGCTTCTACCGAGACCTCAGCCATTCCAAGTTTTGCATCAAATCGTGGAGCGTGTCCGGTACCATGTTCATTGGGTTCGATACCTTGCAGCGCCACATCACCATCGCGTTCGAATAGCAAGGTCAGCTCTTCCTCGGAGAGTCCCTTCGTCTCGGGAAATGTGAGGTAGATGATTATCGTCTGTGATTGTCAGCCGTTGTCGGGTGAGAAAGCATTGTAGGTAATCATCTGGTGGATCGAAACTTACGCCAAAGATCAATATGCCGAAATAAAAGATGTAGTAGTAGAAGCCAATGTTATCAAGGGCGATAGGGTTGACGTATTGATTGACTGTCAAAGCAGCTTGGGAAACTGCAACCATGATGCCTAGTCCTTGAGCTCGTATCGCAAATGGCAGAATCTCGGTCGGGTAACTGTATAGGAGCGGGTTGTTCGCCATGTTGAAGGCAGCATCGTAAATGAACAGGAAAACGACGACGACATAGGCTGCAGGCTTGGAGTCATGCTTTGCAAACATGGCACTGGCCACGGTCAGAGGTACGTTCGCACAGATCATGCCAATGTAAGATAGGAGCCACAGCGGACGTCGACCGATCTTGCTTGCCAGAATCACTCCTGCGATGGAGCATAAGAAGTTCCAGATCTGCAGGCCACCGTTGATTCCGGTTTGAGATGCAGTGTCTGTGATGCCGACGCTGTCCAAGATCGGGGAGAAGTAGTACGAGATGACGCCTTGTCCGTTCCAGAGCGAGAGCAACGCCATGGTGATGACGATAGCCATTCGCTTGCGATTCGCTGGCTTCTTGAGAATGTCACTGCTCTTTGTTGCTCTAGCAAATTGTTCGACCTCCAGAGTGGCTTTGATGTCGTTGAGCTGCTGCTCGACGATTTCCGCGTTCAAGTCACCCTGTGCATGGTAACGTGCAAGGATACCACGGGCTTCTGTAATTCTTCCACGAGCGTACAGCCATCGCGGAGACTCGGGAAGACCACATAATACAGCTAGTACGACTATAGCTGGGGCTACTCCTTGAATAAGCGATGGAATCCGCCATGACCATGCATTGGTCATGTGTCCAGTGCCAAAAGTGATCCAGGCGGCGACGATCGATCCCAGGTACCACAACACGTTGAACTAGCTGATAATCAGACAATCGGTTGACTTTTATGTGCTGGTCTCCAATCTCTTACCGTTGAGGTCATGGTCACTCGTACGGATGGATGTGACAGCTCATAGAGCAGCGGCGGCCCAGAAACGCAAGTAAAGCTGATGCCGAGACCGACAAAGAACCGTCCAGCGACGAACATATCTGAGTTCTGTGCTGCCGTCTGAAGAACGGTCCCAATCAGACTTATCGATGATCCAAGGAGCATGCCGTATCTTCTCCCAAGGTAGTCGGAAGTTGGCGAGGCGAGAAAGGCGCCCACGAAGCCTCCAATGAAGACTACAGACGTGATGAGGCCAAGGCGAGATGCGTCTGGGTTCTCCATAGCTAGTCTAGTATCAGCAGGTGGATTATCTCGAGTAGGCGACACAAAGACTGACCCTCTTTCCATGGCTTCATCGACTGGAAACTGCCGACGACACACTCGTCGTATCCTGTCACCATTTGCGATGCCAGGATACACGCTTGCCAGCAGACGAGTTTTCGAAGACCAACGTCTTTCCACCATTTGTCGAATCGGCCATGATTTTGTTCCATCGTGACGAGGCGGGGTACTGTGAGGATATGATTTGTACTGTGGCGAGATCAAAGTCAAGTCGTTTCAAGCAGAGCCGATCAGAAGAGTCAGCAAATACATGTTATCCGCAATGTGCCAGTGCTGCATGTTATATCGTTTTCAGGTAGTCTGCAATGCGTGTGGTGTCAGGTAGGCCTTCGCTCTCAGGTCCGTGAATACTTCAATCTCGCCCGAAATCCTGCCCGAAATCTCGCGCGAATTCTCGCCCGGCATCTCGCGCGAGACCCAACATATGCACACGGTCCATGATTGGATGGCTTCTAATTCAAGCAGAGTGATTGGCCGGGCTGGTTCTATGACAAGAAGGTCAATATTTATGATATGTCTTTTTGCCGAAAGTGGTGGCCGCCGCCGGCCGAGTAGTTGTCGGAGCTCACGCCACTCATAGCGTATAAAAGAAATCGAGAAAACACTTGGAGGCTCGTCAGCATCTTGCCTTGAACCCAATCGTACCCATCATGCCCCACTTAGATTTCGAAGAACCCACAACCAAGTGGCACGAGGACCTCGTCCGCGAAGGTTTTGCAGTCATCAAGGCTGCTGTACCAGAAGACAGATGCCAATACTACATTGGGCAGATGTTTGACTGGCTCGAGCAATTCCCGTTCGGCTTTGACAGGAACGACCGTTCCACCTGGACAGAGGAGCATCTACCTTCACACATGAAGGGAGGCATGTATCACGGATACAGGGTCCAGCACGAGAGCTTCATGTGGGAAGCTAGACAGTAAGTTCGCCGATGCTCCTCTCTCGAGACCTCGCTGACATATTTCAGAGAGTCTGGAGTAATTGATGCCTTCTCCAAGATTTGGGGCACCGATGAGTTATTGGTTTCTTTTGATGGAATGAATTTCACCCTTCCCAGCGGATCTCCTCTACCGCCCACAGCGCCTTGGCCCCACATTGACCAATCGCCAAAGAAAATTGGCATGCAGTGTGTCCAGGGCATCATCAACCTTGCTCCAAATGGTCATGAAGATGGGGGATTGTTGATCATGAAAGGATCTTCCGGCCTCATGGAAGATTTCTTCAAAGCTCATCCAGAAGTTGTCGATCGTCCTACGTGGGGCTCGTCTGACTGGTTTGGGTTCGAGCAAGCAGAGTTGGGCTGGTTCAAAGAGCGCGGCTGCAAGATTCTCAAAGTCTGCGCTGATCCAGGTGATCTGATCGTCTGGGATTCGAGATGTGTACACTACAACCAAGTGCCTCAATCGCAAAATCTGAGAGCAGTGATATGTACGTTTTGTTGGGCCAGTAATAAGTCAGTCGGCTGACACAATATAGATGCATGCTACACGCCAGCTTCTTTTGCGAAGCCAGATGACCTGAGGAAGAAAGGCGAATTGTTCGATCAGAAAGTCGGAACGGTATGTTGGCATGATAGTGAGGCGATGATGTACAGCCGGGCTAACGATATTTCCAGACTCACTGGCCTCATGATAACATTTTCTCGACCTCGGAAAAAAAGCTAAGATTAGGCAAGCCTGATTTTGCCGAGAGAGATGAGCCTTTTCATCGACCCGAGGAGAGTGAGCTTGTTCAGAAGTTGGCTGGGAAAAGGCCTTATTGAAATGACATGAGCATATAGCAAAGCGTGGTATGATAGTGTGCGGCTGAGTCGTCGCTGCGCTTTCTCTGTATCATCTTCGACGAGCCATTCGAAGCAGGTGCGAAAATTGATTTGACGCGTTCAATGTTTTAAACAATTACTTGCCTCTACGTATGAGTCTTTGATCTCAGTCTATCTCTGTGGAAGTTGGCAAGAGGGAAGAAAGGAGGGACTGCCAGGCCGCCAAGCTTGTACGCCAGCTGACTAAGCGGACCTCTGCTCATCTTATATCTTGAGTGATTATTGAAGTATATAACAAGAGTGTAGTCTCATCCCAGACAAACGATTTGATTCCAATGTTCTGATTTGTTGAGAGTCAGCGTCCATGCGTTCGACTCAGCGAGCTCCAAAAGCATGCTCCCGCTGCTCGAGGAAGCGTATCAAATGCGACAAACAGATACCCTGCAAAGCCTGTACCATCCGAGGGTTGGACGATTCATGCGCGCGGGAGGTCGTTGAAGTGAGACGTATTACTGCCATGTATGTAAGGGCTTCCAACTTGGAAGATTTAGATACTTTGGTATGATCGAAAGGCTCATCTCGTTGTCTCTTCACCTTTCCTTCTCTCCTAATGGTTCCACTAACGCGGGTGTTGCCATTGCAAATGGTTCGAGATTGCAATCTACAAAGCCATCATATGAAGAGCTCGTTGCGGAGAACGAAAGCTTGAAAGCTGCGATAGCCCTCTCAGCGCGGATAGACAACACGGCCGAGAAGTCGAGACCAACAAGTGCTCACAATGTATCTCCGTCATCCACACTCGCCGATATACTCGAGATAAGGATACACTCATCGAGCTATGCTTTCAGACAGTCGACCGTTCAGTCAGAACGCGATATCATGGCGCTTTCTCTGCTCAGCAGTCATGCAATCGTGCAACACGGCTCTGTGTGGACCGCATGGATTCATTGCGCTGTTCATCTGCCCACTTTCCGGGACGAGTATGCGCAATTTTGCGAGCGTACAGGGGGCTACGATTTAGCCGAAGAGAATCCTTCATGGTTGTCAATATACTTTGCCTTTATCGCGGTAGGTCGATTTGCCTTGCAGCAAGTTCGTACTACAGCTGATTGACACACTTTTACAGATTAGTCTGATGTACATGAAGCGTGACGAGGTCGCGGCAGCCGGACTTGAAACAGGTATGAGTATCTTGCAGGATTGAGAAGACATGTCTGATGCTCGTCAGACGAGGTTCCTAGATTGATCAGAAACTGGTACGATGCCTCGATATTCTTCTTCCATAAAGCAGAGTTTCTTCGCAGACACGACATGCGATCAATCCAAGCAATCGCGATCCTGTTGGGCCTCATGAAGAACATGGGCGACTTTGATCTCCAGTCATCACTGCTCGCAGTGGGGATTGGTATTGCGCAATGCCTAGGCATGGACAAGGAGCCTCCGACCGTCTCCGAAAACCATATCCAGCAAGAGCTAAGCCGCAGGGTCTGGTGGACACTGGTCATTTGCGACTGGCTCCAAAGGCCAGTAAGAGCGGCATGTATTCAAGAGGCTGGGTTTCAGGTCAATCTTCCAAGGCTTGTGACCGACGATGAGATGAGTGCGTGGAACTTGACAGCCGTCGATGATGCCTACCCTCGCCCGATTCAATACCACATTGCGATGATCCGGCTTGCTCAAGAATACCATCGCTTTAGGCACAAACTTCCTACTACAGCCGACACTGCAGCTAAGCTAGAGAGTTTTGTCCTCGAAGCAGACGAGTCTCTGGCCAGAATAATTGATGAGCTTCCGCCGCATCTCACAATGTCCGGGCAGATCGGCGATGACATACCTTGGGCACACTCGCAAAGGAAGAATTTGGCAGTTGCGCTTTTGTTCTATCGGTTGAACATTAATCGCGTTCTCCAACACCAATGGCTGGATTGCGATGTTGCGTTTAGGAGAGCAAGAGCAATCTGTTTGAGCTCGGCGAAGGCCATAATATCGTTGGTGGACGGAGACAGCGATTCACTTGTACTGTATCGATCTTGGTGAGCAACTCAAACCTCGATGGTCACCTGCCCTCACGGAACTGACGTCAAGACAATATAGGGCGACTACATCCCACATGTTTTCTGCTGCTATCACGCTAGCAATAGAGGTCCAGCACGGAGACGACGATCAAGCGGCTCGCCACGGTGCAGATATAGACAAATGTCTGGCCTTTTTCGACAGCGTCCAGGAGCAGAACATGCTTGCAAGACAGGCAGCAACAGTGCTCGAGGAAGTCATGCTCGACCAAACAGAGACCCACAATTGATAATTTATGGTCAAGGTTCATGAGCTTGCAAGAGGGTATCAGAATGTCCCAAGTCCGCTCGACACAGTCAATAGCTTATCTTGATGAATATTGTTCAAGGAAGGGTAGATTGTACAGGTGCATCTATGTGATGAAGTCGAGCTGAAACAGATAATGACATGGGTGTGGCTGTGCTGCCCCGTAGCACGGACATTCATTGGTCAGTGTGGCGGCGCGTATACGAAAGTGGTCAAGTTGGGGCGGGATCACCTCTATCAAGTTGGTTCGACGAGGACAAAACAAACATATCCATTCAGCGAAGAACGGCACGCGGCAGCAGGTCGTGAGGCTATATAATAGGCCAAAAAGACAGATTCATCGGGCACAGGCAGCTGCATCTCGCCTCTTCTTGGCGTCGGACATGGTTCAGATGGACTCATCGGCTCCTGCTCCTGCTCCTGCTCCTGCTTCAGCACTTCCCCTGGTATCGCCCATCATGGAGGAAAACGAGCGTCCGGATCTTGTGCGTGCCATGGACTCATCAGGCACCGACGTGACGGATGTTTCGGAAGACTACGAAACCGAGACGGACAACGACGTGACGGGCCCGGACGATGTCGACGTGCAGCGCATGCATTTCCAGCCTCCGCATGCTGTCCTCGACGGCCAGATGACGCCTGCCTCGCAGTTCGGCTGGAGTGTTTCGAGCCATTCGCGCGCCCGCAACGGCTCTGGTGGAACTAACGGTCCCTCTAACATCAACACCGCCCTAAGTCCTGACCCAGCATATCCTGCTCCTCCTCAGCTCTTGTCCACCCACCCGATACCGCCTCAATCAGCACGTCCACCGCGCCCGCCAAACGTACGTCAACCTTCCAACGCCTATGCCCCTGCTCGTCGCCCTCACCAATATTCCTACAACAACACCGCTCAGCGAGCACGTACTACCTCAACGAACCGCGTCCGTCGCAATCCCAACGCCGAATATCGCGCTCAGGAGAAGGCATACGTCCAGCGCCTACGCCAGGATGCTCCGCCCGACGACTTCTTCGTTGGAGAGCCACGAACACCCAGTCTCGACTACAGCGATGGCTCCGAGCCCGACGACGAGTCGCCTGCAGCTGGTGAGGTACTTGAACATGAACACGATGAAGAGACGCTACTATACTACGGCAACGAGGATATGCAGCCTTCAATCGAGGAGCTGAAGATACCTGAGAACCGCGAACGTCTGGAATGGCACTCTATGCTGGCAAACGTGCTTACCGGAGATGTCGTCAAGCAAGAAAAGAAGCGTCTGATTGGTGGTCAGGATCCTCAGAGTGACAGATCGATGATCATGGAGGTCTGGACTGGAGTAAGAGCAAAGGTCTGCGGCCGCTCTTTGGCCGCCCAACGCCGCATGATCGAAGACGGGCGCAGCAAGATCAAGGCTGTCATTGAAGAGATCATTGGTTTCGAAATCAAAGGCGAGGCCGAGGCTGGCAAGACTCCGCTGGAGCAGGTCCGAGACGTCGTGCAAAAGATTGAGAAGATTGAGGGACTGTATCCTACTCGAATGGCTTTTGTGCAAGCAAACCCGCGCGCCGCATCTGACGCCTATGTCAGCAGCTGCGATGCTGTCATGTCCTGGCACAACACAACAGATCTCATCAACACTCAACTTGGTATTTTGCAGGCTTGGGTCGGTAACCAGGAGCTGTCATTCGATAAGCCACGCCAACGTGGTCTCCAAGACGCTCACGGACACATCATTGACGAGAGTACCTTTATTGACCGCATACTCAAAGAAGACGGTCTCCGCTCCCTGTGGGATGAAGACAAGGAGGTCAAGGAGAACAAGCCCAATGGTCTCTTTTACGTCGTCAACGCCGTCATTGACAAGGCCAAGTCTACCCTCATATCTAATGCGGAGTCTTTTGCAGATCGTCACTTGCCTCCATACATCGAAGAGTTGTTGACCTTGATCAACTTCCCTTCGCGTCTGGTCCAAGAAGTCATCAAAGTCCGTATAGGTTATGCCAAGAAGATGAAGGATCCTGCTCAAAAGGGTGTCATGATGGCCGAGCAAATGATTCTGCAGTTCCAAAGTCTCCTCAAGCTGGCCGTCAAGGTCAAAGAGGCATACCTATTTGCTGCTCAGCCTGAGCCTGGCTGGGACTTGCCACCTTGCATCGATGAGAATTTTGATCGTATTGTCCTCGAAGCTGTCCGCTTTTACTTCCGCATGCTAAACTGGAAGCTCATGGCCAATAAGAATACGTTCAAAGAGGCTGAAATTCTCGAACAAGAATGGGGTTTCTGCAACGAGTTGGGCAGGCACCTCGAAGGTGGTGATGTCGAAGTTGCTGAGCAGTTCAGGTATCTTGACACAATTACTCATTTGCCATTCGTTACTGACAACAGAATAGTTCATTGACTTCCAAGTCGCTCCTGAGACTGACAGCGCACTTCGAAGGCGAATTGCAGAAACGGCCCGATGAAGTCGCTGGTGCCGAGATGGACAAGAGATATAAGAACATTCTCGACTCGGTTCGTGTACGACAGCGTAAAATCTTCCGTTTCTCTCGTCTGTTGAGTCAGCGCTTCGAAAACTCCACCGAGTACAGTCTCAACATGAACTCGGTACACATGCAAGACTTGATCGATGCACTCATCGGCTCAGGCCACTTCCTCATTGACACAGATTCCGAGAAGTCAGGCATGTACTTCATCGCATGTCCCGCCCTCGACGGCCGTCTGAAGGAGATTGAAACTTTGCTCCGCACCTGTTATCACCCCGAGGAATTCACCGAAGATCTCACCAACCCCTACGTCCTCATCCTCAAGCCCGAAGCTCCCATCTCGTGGGATGGCGCGATGCTTGACAGATCAGGATTCTCACCACCTCATATCGACCTTCGTACTGGTTTCATGCGTCTCGTTGCCGATGGTCCACAAGAAAGACTCGGTGATGCTAACACTGCTTTTGCTTCAAACATCAACCTCGATCTCAATGTCACAGTACCGCAGCGTGCCAATATGACACGAGTCAACCAAGAACTTCAGAAGATCAGGCGCACTACTTACAAGCTCAGTAATACCATCATGGACAGTGTTGAGATTGTGCGCAAGCAGACTGAGGGACTCCAGTGCCAAGAACTCATCCAGACTTGTTTCGCCTTCGCCACTGAGTTCGGACAGCGTTCGGTGCTATACATGGATCCCAACCGTCGCGCATACCACAATCTCAAGATGACAAGACTTGCCTTGGACTGGGTCAGCTTCGTTGCGGACGATTGCATCCCCTCAGACCGCAAGACTTTCCGCTGGGCGGTCGTTGCACTCGAGTTCGCTATGGTCATGACACGAGGACAAAACATTCTTTCCATCAGCATGACTGAATACGACAAGCTGCGAGCCAAGGTCGCTGGATGTATGTCGTTGTTGATCAGCCACTTTGATATCATGGGCGCTCGTTCAAATGTCGCTGCCGAAGCAGAGAAACAGAGATTGGAGAGTACGGCCGGCAAGCTGCGTCTGGACGTCAGCAAGCTGAAGGACGATGATGAGAGCTCCAAACTGGTACAGCAGCAATGGGTCGAGCAGCTCCAACAGATTGACGAATTCCGCAAGGACCGTGAAGCAGAACGACAAGCACTGGGACGCGTCCTCGAAGACAGCAACGAAGCCGACCGTGCATTGACATACCTGTCTGCTTCGGCAGGAAATGTTGTATTGCGTTGGCAGCAAGGCCAGTTCGTTGGTGGCGGTACCTTTGGTTCCGTCTACGCTGCTATCAACCTTGACAGCGGTCATCTTATGGCTGTCAAGGAGATTCGTTTACAAGATCCTCAACTCATTCCCACGATTGTATCACAGATTCGCGACGAGATGGGAGTTCTGCAAGTCCTCGACCATCCCAACGTTGTCAGCTACTACGGTATTGAGCCTCACAGAGACAAGGTATACATCTTCATGGAGTATTGTTCAGGCGGCAGTCTGGCAGGTCTCCTCGAGCACGGCCGCATCGAAGACGAGACAGTCATTCAAGTTTATGCTCTTCAGATGTTGGAAGGTCTGGCCTATCTCCACGAAGCGGGTGTGGTCCATCGCGATATCAAGCCCGAAAACATTCTTCTCGACCACAACGGTGTAATCAAATACGTCGATTTCGGTGCCGCCAAGGTCATCGCCAAGCAGGGGAAGACACTCGTGGCCGACCCTACTGGCCGTGGCGGAAAACAAAACTCCATGACCGGCACACCCATGTACATGTCCCCTGAAGTCATCAAGGGTGGGGCACCACTCAACTCCCGCCACGGCGCCGTCGACATCTGGTCCCTCGGATGTGTGATTCTTGAGATGGCCACTGGACGTCGCCCATGGGCCTCTCTCGACAACGAATGGGCCATCATGTACAACATTGCTCAAGGCAACCCACCTCAACTGCCGTCTAATGAACAGCTCTCCGAACTCGGCTTGGACTTTTTGAGAAGGTGTTTCGAGCGTGATCCATCAGTGAGAAGTTCGTCTGCGGAGCTGTTGCAACACGATTGGATCATGCAACTCAGAAACCAATTATCACTTGAGCCTGGTACGCCTGCGACACCGGCTTCCGAGTCGAGCTTTGGGAGTATGAGCAGGCATGAGAGTATGAACGGATCGTATAATGGTTGATCGAGATTGTGTTGCTGGCTGTGTCACCGTTTGCATTTCTCCTATTCCCTAGGCATTTTGGCGTTTTCTTGGTTTCGGGTGGGGCTGATTTACTTTCGCTATTACCTCTTATGCATATACACAATTCTTCTCTTCTTCATCTTATTCCTCGTCATTATCATCTTTGTGCCCTGCTTGTGCCTTACAAGGAAAATCTGCGATCAAACACCACTGTCACATGCAGCGACTTGGTAAGAAACCGGTACTTGGACTCGAAGCAATCATGCCTCTCAAGGCATTGAATGTCTGCTGATCCATCAAGGCTGAAACTATTCTTACCTTTGCAGGCTATTCTTTTAAGTTGGCTAGCGTGATCAGCCCATGCAGATTGCTTCGAGTGGGCTAGCGTAGCCAGCCTTGCAGTCAGCCTGGGCAGGAACTGAACGGCTCTCGTAGATCCAAGCATCTCTAGCTGATCTGCTCGCTATACATAAAAGGTCTTTGCGATTGCTGGCTAGTTTTGCTTACAATTCGGCAAGACTCTTCGAGGCTACAGAGCTTCAGAAGTGAGTATCGCTCATCTTGTGCAGTTGACCCTCAGTATAGATAAAACATAGACTGACCCTCATAAAGCCGACATCAACAAAACTCTCTTCCTCATGCCTCTCACCAGTCCCCGAAGCAGAAACCTCCAAGACGGCGGACCAGGCTTCCCCCAAAGCCGCTACAGACAAACCACCCCAGGGCCTCCAAAGCCGCAACCTTCAAGACGGCGGACCGGGCTACCAACACTACAACACAGACGGTAGTCTCGGCGCGCAAGAACGCAGACGACGCGAACGCGAACGCGTGATACATGAGCAAAGAATGTACGAGCAGCAAATACGTGAGGGGGAAGCAAGGTATAGGCAACAGCAGCGTGAGGAAGCGGAATACAGAGAGAGGGAAGAGAGGAGAAGGAGGGAGGAAACGATGTTCAGACGAGGAGGTGGAGGAGGCGGAGGAGGGGAAAGGGGCGGATTCAGAAGTAAGAATCTGCATACTGGGACTGGGTATGAGGAGCATATGCCTCAGTGGGCGGGAAGAGGGGCTAGAGGGGGTAGAGGAGGGAGGAGAGGCCGAGGTGGTGGGTACTCTTTTATGTAGTGGTTGCAGTGCTTGTCTTCTTGGTGTTTATAATAGGTTCGGTGTCATGTATGTCGAATGGACGGCCTACCTATCCTCATCCAGACGTGTTTCATAGTGTGTTGAAAAATTGGATCGGCGTTGTGGTGTGCCAGACCTGCCATTTCTGTTGACTCTTTGCACCTTCACTTCCAAGTATTTGGTGACTGACCACTCTGGATCATCATGATTGACTTTATGGATATCGAAACAAGATCTTTGATCAAGCCGCTACAGACAGTGTTTATACTTGAAGCTTGAGCTCAATGGCCTTGCCATCGGCTTCACCACTCTTGATCATAGATTCGAGCTGTTTACAAGAGTCAGTATAAAACGACGTCGAGACAACTGATATGGTCAAACTCACCACTTCCAAATCCGCCAGAGCTTCCTCGGGAGATTGCATAGGGTCAGCCTTGCCCTTCTGGATACTCTCACCCCACGCCTTGAGTTCTTGCCTAACACCATTCTTATCCTCTAGGAAGTCCTTGGACGACTCGTCCTTGCCTTTCTTGACTATGGTCTTGTCGAAACCGACGTCCACGGTACCGTTTTGACAGGCAACGACGTATTCGGCGCCGGAGAAAGTGGTGCCGAAGCTGACGCTGAAGGTACCAGAACGGCCGTTTGCGAGCTTGACGGTGGCGTTGATGGTATCGAGAGGCGGCAGATGGGGTTGGAGCTGTGCGGTGAAGGCGGCGACATGGGTCATTTTGGCGGATTGACCGAGTAGTTGTCTCATGGCGGCGATGAAGTGGACGCCGCCGTCGAGAAGGAAACCTCCCTGTGAGAAGATTGCTTAGCACGATCACTTCTGGAGTGAAGATTTCCGGGTGAAACTTACCTGGTACTCAGGAGTCTTGCGCCACTCAGTCTCGTAGTACTTAGCTCCAGGCTGCACCAAAGCATGCATACGAAGGCGGAAACCCAGGATCTCTCCCAACTCCTTGACTCGCTCAGCACCATACTGGAAACGACCGAGATAGCGGAAGTTCTCAGCAACAGCCCAGATAGTCTTCTTAGTGTCAATGTTCTTGTGGTACCAATCAATCAGTTCATGAGCAGTTGTCAGATCCTTGGCGACAGGCTTCTCGGAAAGCACGTGTTTGCCTGCTAACAAGGCTTTCTTGATGAAGTCGGGTTGAGTGAGGATGGGTAGGGCAATGACTACTGCTTCGACGTCTGAGCGTTTGAGGAGGTCGGCGTATGATTTGTCTGAGCCTGCATCTTCGGCGTAGAGGTCGGGAGTGAAGGTCTCGACTTCCTTGGAAAGCTTTTGGGCCGAGGACAGGCTGCGGGAGTAGATGGCTTTGAGGGAGAAGAGGTCTTTGTTGGCTTTGATTCCAGGCTGTCAAACAATGTCAGAACTAGTGATTCGATCGCGACTTAAAGACAGGAAAGGTGTACGAGATGAGCCTCTTGCACAAAGATGCCTGTTCACACGGAAAACGAAGATCAGCTTGTAGTCTTCGGTACCATGTGTCATACTTCCCTACCGCTGCCAATGACTGCAATGCCGATAGTCATGTTGTGCTATGTATTGTTTGATGTTTGTATCTTTTTAGAGAAGTCTGTCAATTCTCGTTGAAATCGTTGAAGCCTGCTCGCTTTATTTACACTGCGTCACTCTGAGCCCCACCATGCCCCGCGTTTTTGGAGGCTCCGCCCCGCTTCTGCTTGCCTTTGTTTAGCCTATACCACTGTACTGATCTTGCAGCACTGTACTGATCTTGCAGGTAGTCTTTAGCCTGTGGACGATGCGAATAGTGACACTTCCTCTGCAGTCTGGCTCTCGGACATGAAATGTGCTTCTTCGATAGGTTTTGTTCATGGATGGCCGATCTATGTCGACCTTTCTATACAGTATGGTGTAAGATCTAGCGTCTATGATTGTGTCTATGAAATCATGGCGTCTCCTTTCACTTTGTCTCTGAGCCTTCTACCGCAAGTCCCAGCTTACTGAGATCAATGGCCAAAGGATCTGACTCTTCTGTTGATTCCGTGGGGCCACTGTAACCGGCGGGCGGCAGAGCCCATTCAGGCAGTTGCGTTTCGTACGACCACCTGCCGTCTCCAGCAGCATACTTGCGAGCATGCAGGTAAATGCCGAGTTCGTGCTGCGATGGATCGCTGTACAGTTCTGTGCCACAGAGCTCGCATGTCTCGCCGCTGAGTTTCTCGCCCTTGGTCTTGTTGTAGCGCTCCATCATTTCGTCGTGGTAGGCGACTGCATCGGCTGTTTCGTCTTTGCCCATGCGTGCTAGACGCGACATGATGTCCTCGTCGTTGTCGGCCTTTGACTCACCCTTGCCCAAGTTGAGACCCCACACGCGTTGGTTGGCGTAAATGGGGTCGTTGGCGATGGGGTGACCTAGGTATTGGAGATGTACACGCAGTTGATGCGTGCGTCCTGTCAAGGGCCGACAGCGCACGATTGAGTATCCCTCCTTTTGCTTCCACTCCATCCCAGGAGTGACCTCGCCCTTCTCAGTGGCCTCGTCCCCTGCTCCAGGGTAGTATGCCAGTCTCTTGAAGACGGTTCTTGCATCTTTGCCATCGGCTCGTACACGATTGAGACCAAGCTTAGGGCTGATTTGCATGATGGGCTGCTCACAGATGATTTCTCCTTCTGGAAACTCGCCCTTGACGCGAGCGACGTATTCTTTCTTGACGGTGCGGGCCATGATTTGCTCAGTGAGTTCGTCGGCGGCCTTACGGTGCTTGGCGATGAACATGACACCGCTGGTCAGACGATCGAGGCGGTTGCAGGGCATAGGGTTGAAGCCCTGGCCGCGCTCTGCGCGCATGACCTCAGTCACACTGTTGTAGTTGTAGCGACCCGAGGGGTGCACCGGAATGCCCGCGGGCTTGTTGATAACAATCATATCCTCATCCTCGTGGACGATGCCAATGTTTTGCTGGGTGACGGGGGGTTCGTGGCGGTGGAGGGTATGTGAAACAAGGTCGCCGTTCTTGACTCTGTGGTCGGCACCTGTCGCAGGCTTACCGTTGATAAGCACAGCACCTGTTGCGACAGCGTTCGTATAGTACTCGACAGGGCGATCGCGAAACTCGTCGGCGAAAATCTCGAGAATTTCGCGGCCTCGCCATCGTTGCTTGCACCAGGTGTTGTATGTGTAGTGGTAGGGCGCAACTCGTCGCAAACCGCCCTCGAGGTAGTAGGGCCGCGGCCAGGGATCGCAGGGTGTGATGATGACGTCCGGTGGTTCTTCCATTGTGTTTGGTTTCGTCGCAGGCTTGACACCCTTCTCGACGGTTGTCAAGGCCATGGTCGTTGGCAGTTTTCCGCGCCGCGCCAGGAACGCTACGATTCGAGGGGAGGGAGCCACGTCTAGTTTGATATCTTTGCCTGTCCTGACCCTCCTCTTCTTCGCTTTCCAGTTGGCGTAGATACAAGTGTGGTGATTTGTTGATTTGTTTGCTGCGCCAGAAAAAATAATTGGATAGACTCGGCGATAGAGTCGATCGGCGGCCGCTCGCGTGCACTTTCTAGGCTTGGCCTAGCCTTCTTCCTTCGCCTATCTATCTATCATCTTGTGCTTTGAGCAGTCGTTCGACCATCTTCCCTCCCACTCTGCAATCCACTCACTCTCAGGATGCCTGTCGAAATTACTCGTATGGTCGAAAGCGACATAGAAGGCGCCATCGATTGTATTCAAAAGGCATTCGCTCAAGACCCCTACTTCGCTTGGGTGTTCTCTGAAAATGTAAGGATATATACAATCTGTCTATTCACAATTTCTAAATTACACGACCACACGTCGCCTCTTGACTCTGTATGGTCTGTATCTAACATTAACTGCCATGCAAAAAGTTTTCTCCGGCACGCAATCGTGTCTCGCTCGGTATCCGCTGCAGATGGGGTCTCGAGCACGCTCTGTTCTACGTAGCCAAAGACCCTTCATCGTCTACTCCTTCGCGCGTTCTTGGTATCGCCTGTTGGTTGCCTCCCGCCAATGCTTCTGCTCCACAGTCTTGGAAAAGCTGGTTTGGCGATTGGTCGTTGTGGTTCAATCAACTCTGGATGAACTCTGTGTATGGCAGGGGCGGTCTGAACGTGCGCCGCTACTATATCTGGTTTGTTTGTCCGAAAACGGTTGTGTGGTGTTTGGATCGTATCTGACACATCGGACCTGCAGGAAAGCTGCTCAAAGCGACGCTCAGCGCCAGCTATGGACCGATGACCAGGGTTACTACTTTTGTAATATTGTGACGGTGCTACCAGAGGCACAAGGGATGGGAATAGGAAAAGAGCTTTTCGGAGTCGTCATGCGTCAAGCAGATGCCGAAGGGCGAAAGTGTTATCTCGAGAGTTCGAGGGCGGAGCCAAATATGGCCATATATCGGAAGATGGGATTTGAGCTAGCCAAGGAGATGAAGTGTGATGACCAGGGAACTGCCATCACTCTGTACTGTATGATGAGGGAGCCGCGGTCCGACTGAATGTCTGTTGCAAGGGAAGGACTGTATTAATGTGGGTATTCGAATCATTCAATCGTCAAAGGAGTGTCTGGGGGTATGTAGGAGCAAAGGAGCGTAAAGTCATCGAAGGATTGGCTTGCGTTCAGCCACGGAAGACTGACTTCCAGGGGGACGATTTAGCCTTGGATGGTACCCTTGGCGGCAGATAGCCAGCACCTCCAGTTTCCAAAAGCTCCTGTGCTTTGTCGGGTACACCACCCATAGGCGTGGAGTTCGTCCGTTTTGGCAGACCAGGTGAAAGACTGTCTTCTTGGATGGCAGTCAGCTGGTAGTCGTTGCCGAATCCAACGGGCTTATAGTTTGGAACGAGAGATCCGTTCGAAGTTCTCTTCCTCTCAATGTTCAAGCGAGGCGTTGAAGGGGCCTCTGAATTTGTCCAGCTCCATCGAGTTGTTCGCTGAGTCGACGACGTTGGTGACATAGGCTCGTCTCCAACACTGCGGATCGAAATACTCGGTACGTTCGACGCTTGAGACTTCCTGGTGCCGCTCCGGTTGAGATATTTCCTGTCTCCACTCTTGAGATATGCCATGTGTGGCTCCATGATCACACTAGGAGGCTTGTTGGCCATCTCTGCTCCAGGTTGAGTGACAGGCCCTGGTAGGCCTGGAAGGTTCTTGCTAGCTCTGGTCTTGCTCTTGAGTGATAAGGGATACCGCGACGATCGTACTGAATATCTCTGCTCGTAGTAGATAGGGTACTCTTCCGGCCGAGCCATGTAAGGAGCCGCGTGACCACGGGGGCGGAGCTTGAGAACATCGACCAATGCAGCACCCCTTCGCATTTGTCGTATCACATAAAGGAAGAAGAAGAATAAGAACACTCCGCCTGTTCGTTGTCAGAGCGCGATCTGTTTCTTTTCTTTTCGACAACGTACCTATCGAGCAAGTGATGATGATCAGAAGCCTAGAGCCCTTGGGTAGATCGCTATCGTCTGCCGTTGTTGTCGTTTGTCCAGATACTGAGTACGGATTTGAGCCAGAGAAGTCCATGTCTGAAACGAGATGGTCGTATTTTGACCTTGGTCCAGGATGTAAAGAGCTTTCCAAATGACAGCTCCAAATTGATGTTGACTTTGGGGGGACGAAATAGTAGCAGCCAGCCGCCTAGAATTGATGCAACAGACAGAGATATACGTCGAACGAATGTAATGATTCTGGCCAGCAGAAGGATGTACTACCGTAACCTTGATCGTCGATCGGGGAGGGTAAGGAAACAACAAAGGGAGGAAATCCTCACAAGGATTGCGAGGCCTCGTGATACTGATATAGCAACTGGGGTAATAAGGCTTCTCACGTTTCATCCCAAGAAGTTAGAACTGACCAGAGTGTTAATCTGGGGCTCTTGATCCTGCAAGCAACCTTCGATGGTCAGAGTCTTGCGCAAGGTCCGCAGGGAGCCCTGCCGAAGACACCATGCCTCTGTCATGAATAAGAATCTGATCGATTATGAGACGGATTGCTCCAGATGTGATAAAACCCAAAGTGTTTGGCGTTGGCGGCGTCGAGCAAAAAAGATGAGTGGGTCAAGATGGTGAAACGCGCTTTCCAATGCTTCGAAGCCTGTGCGGCAAACCAGCATGATGGAGCGGTTCCTTCGTTGGAACGTCATGCGACGGTGCCTTTTGTCGCGGGTGGCCTGCAGTAGTCGAGTTGTTCTTGAGCTCGACACGGGAAGCTACAAGCATATACTCGCGTTGGACGATGCAGAGATGGCGGCAGAGGAACCGTTCAGTCTGGACTTTGGCGATCTGTACTCGAGTATGGCATAACTGACAATCAACTACCGAAGCAATCAACTTCATAAGTGAGCATGATGAAACTCAACCGTAGTCATCCGAAAGCACACTCTGAACGACAAACTGAGCGTACTTCTGCTCGTAAACTTCAACAGGACGATTCAGTCAGAGATGTCATGACTTCATCTACCGTGCGGTACCTGTGATCGATTCTCCCAAGCCAGCAAACCTGCTCGATATGCTTTCGATCCTAACAAACTGTCGACTTAAACAAGTGTGAAGTAATTTCCGGACGCGCAGATGGCTAGCCGCCAGCGAGGTGTAGGATTCTGGAAGGTGGTGGCACCTGTGGAAAGAGAACCCTGAAACGTCAGCCACACCCGACAGTTAATTACGGCGTCAATGTGGACTTGTTCGGCACGCGTACCTCGATGTTTGTCATTCTATCTAGCGGATCTTGCTGCAAGACATTGTTCTCTATTTGACACTGAGTCGCCGGCCCGGTACAAGAACGTCAGACGATCTTGCTCAGTCGCACTATGGCATTGGCATCGTGGGTTCTCTTTTCGAACGACTCGGGAGGTTGTCTAGCCAAACACCGCCACAAGGCTTCGCCGACAAATATAACTTAAGGTATGCTCTGCCACCGAGAGACTGCGCCTGCTCGACTTCTGACGAGTTAAATGCTCATGTTGAGTTTATCTCGCTGACAAAAGGCACGCAATAATAATCGTAGTGCACAAGATCGTATAAGCCATCGTATTTCACGTGTTGCTGCCACGTCATGTGCCAAGGGTGCGCAGGCGACAGTTCCCGAGCTATCCATCTGACCTCTTGTCCCAAATATATATATATATATACGTACAGTCAGCTTCAATACACGACTACTACTTTTCTTCGCTCGCACCTACTTGAACTCGAATCGCATCACATACACATTCATCACACATCATGTCAGACCCTTACGGATACAACAATCAGAACCAGGGCCAATATGGCTACCAGGCCCCGCAGCAAGGCTATGGAGGCTACCAGCAAGGCCCTCCCCCACCTCAGTACGGCGACAACCAGCAACAACAACAACAGTATGGCGGCAACCAGTATGGCGGCAACCAGTATGGCGATCAGCAATACAACCAACAGTACGGCGCTCCAGCCCACGGTGGATTCCAGCACGGCCAGTACGGCGGCAACCAGTACGGCGGACCTGCCCCACCACAGCAACAAGCATAGTCAGTCAAATCCTTCGTGGCTCGAATAGACGACGTCTCGAGTACAGCAAGCTGATCTTCGTGTTGCAGCGGACAATACCCACCTAGCGATCCCTCTCACCAGTTCCCGCAACAAGGAGCTTACAACCAGAACCCCCCACCTCAAGACCCCAACAACCCTTACGCCCACCAGCAGGGTCAGAGCCAGTACGGCCCCACCGATCCTGCTGCAGGCCAAGAGGGCGATCGTGGTCTTATGGGTGCAGTAGCGGGTGGACTCGGCGGCGGTATACTTGGTGGCAAGGCCGGACACGGGATCATTGGCACAATCGCTGGAGCCTTCCTTGGTTCTAAAGTAAGTTGAATTTGAATAGTAGAAGGAGATCATGATGCTGATTGGAAATCCAGGCGGAAGATAAGTACAAGGAAAGCCACAACCAGCAGCAGTACGGAGGTAATCAACACGGCCATCACAACTCACACCACAACAAGTGGTAGTATCATACTTCTGCAGTATTTGATTTCTTAATGATCGCTTTGGGAGTTCTGGCTTGGAAATACGCCATGTGGGGGATCTGCTGCTTTTGAAATGCTCAAACTCGGCCGAGAGTGTGGATGTGGTCAGTGGTCAGTGGTCATTGCGGGAACCGCTCTCTGTCCCTTTGGTGATCCTCACGTTTACCTTTCGACGACTCAAGCATTAAGCGATACTTAACCTGGTTCATTCCGTCCTTAACATCGGAACACTTACCGAGTAATGTGATTGGCCGAGTTGACAAGAAGATCGGCGTAGAGGTGGTGACATTGACACCTCCACTTCCTAAAACAATGGACTGCAAACTCAGTTGGGATGGATCTTTTATTGTTTCGAGAGTTCGGGGTCTGTAACGCACAGGCTCTTGCAAGCCAAGCATTATCTGTACGTAGGAATCTAGATGTCGAATCCCAGATCATTCGGAGATATTAGACAAGCCCCTGATTGATGAACTGCTGCGAACTATTAGATATCGGTGGAGCACACTCCGGGATCGTGCTCAAATCTAAGCTTATGGGCGAGCCCTTGGTCGTTCGACGTATCAAGTTAGAGTCGGGAGTGCTATCGAGCCAGAACGACTGTGAAATATGTATAGCAGCCATGACTGAGAGCACAAGGTAAAAGCAAGCGAGAAGGAGCAAATCACTATACACCAAATCACATGATCTCGTGCTTTCCCTGATGCGTCTTCTCCCAGATAGAGTTTTGATTGATGACAACCCCTCCTAACAGATAAACAAGATATGACATGAACAACAACCGAACGTGGCAGGCCACGCCTGTTCACAATGCCAAATACTTTTTCGCCTCGCCCACCTACAACAAATGGGTGAAGCTAACAGCCGCCGACATCCACGGCCTACGTGAAGTACCCGGTTTCGAAGGTAAGCAGCCCCTCTCTTTCCCTACCATTCTCATACAAGTCCTCGAATGGCTAATCATATATTTCTGCAGGTCAAAAGATCTACTTCCACCTCAATCACCCCATCCGCTTCGTCTACCTCGTCGCCCCCATCGTCGCAATTCAAGACATCCCAAACACAAAATTCTTCATCTTGACCTTGGACGACAGCAGCAATGCCTGCATCGACGTCAAGATCGAGCGCGGAGACCCTGCCAAAGTCGACGCAGACAGCACTTCGAACACCACTGTCCCAAACTTAGACATCAATACTGCTCTTGGCTATGACAGCGAAATCAAGATTGATGGCCAGAGAGTAGATATCGGGACTGTGGTCAAGGCGAAGTGCACAATTGGGAGTTTCAGGGGTGTCAAGCAATTGGAATTGAAGAGGTGTGGTGTTATCAAAGATACTACGGAGGAAGTTGCCGCTTGGGAAAGCATGGCAGAGTTCAAGAGGGATGTGCTCGCTGGCCCCTGGGTGCTGGACGCTGCTGATCAAGCTGCGTTGGATCTACAGATCCAGCAAGAAGCCTTGAAAGAGCAAGAAGAGGAGAAGAGAGAAAGACGCAGTCAGAGGGCTCGCCAGAAGCGGGAAGAACAGCGAGTCGAGAGAAGAAAGCTCCGAGAGGAAGAGAAGGAACGGAGAAGGCTAGCCCTTGAGAGGAAATACAACCAAGGTGCTTTGATCTGATTACGACTGGATTAAACGGTCCAAACGGTGTATGGAAGGAAACGCCCTTGCTATGCGTGGTAGCTAGGAAGAACAAGAGAAAGACATGACAAAATCCAACAGTCGCCAATGCGATCAATCATCGTCTTCATCATCTTCCCTGCTCTTCTTGCGCTTCTTTCCCTCTTCGTCTTCATCGTCCTTGGCCAACTGCTTCTTCCTGCGCTCGTGGCGTAGAGCCTTGGCCACCTTCTCATCTCCTGCCTCCTTGGCCTCATCCCAATCGACATCGTACTCCTCAGCAACCATCTTGATTTCTCTTCTCAAGCGATTGCCCTCTTCGACCAAACCGTCCCACTTGGAGACGTCAAAGCCCTTGGCCTGATACAGCTTATCCTGTCTCTTGCTGACAGTAAAGTTCATGGCAGAACGATAGCTGACCTCGCGGTTATGGTACAAGAACCACATGTAACCGCCAATCAGAGTAGACAAACCAACCAGATAGGTGACGGGCTCCATGACATCCCAGCCTAGATCAGTCTGGAAAGTGAGGACGTAGACCGAGCCCCACCAACCCACCAAAACGGCAAACCCACCTTGAGCAACGCGCTGCGCACTCTTATGCGCCAGCCTGTCGCACTCGGTCTTGATATCTGCCATTGTCGAAATCTGCTTTGCCGTCTTGCGCAATCGCATGCGAAGGTAGTAGGTGCGATCAGCGAACGATGGAACCGCAACATAGATGGGCTCGGGAGCACTCTCAATATCGACACTGAACTCCTTTCCTCTTGCCGCATCTCTGATGAAATCGCCAATCTCAGTGCTGGGCGACCAACGCACAAAGTTGGGGTGTTCCGGATCGGGCTGCTTGACAGGATTCTTTGGCTTTGCTGCTGCAACCTCTCCGGACTCATTGAGCTTGCCGGTGCGTTCGGTCTTTCCGTCAATCTTGAAGTCCTCCGAGTGTTCGAACTTGTAGTCTTCAGACTCCTCATCGGGTTCATGGCGATCAGGGTTTATTGCTTCTTCTCCTAGATCTTGTGCGCGGAAGTGGACCGAGGGAATCTTGTCGCTTCCACTCTCTGTCTTTATCACGGGAAGTTCGGATTGAATGAGGCGTTCGAGGTAGGAAAGAGGTTGTTGCGGGTGTACGAGAAGAGCCAGCGGTTCCACATCTTTGCGGTCGTTGTTGTAGTCCCGTGTGGTGAGCGGGAGGATGAGTTTGAGCATTCGGGATGGCGTTGTCAGGAGTTTGCCTATTGCATTCACGTTAGTCTTGACACTCAAGCAATGCGAAGGTTAGATCGGCATACCTTTGACCATAGCACCAGCAGATCTCATCCTAGCAACAGGAGGCTTATCGCTGCCCTCACGCATCCACGGCGACCGCATCTGACTCTGCTTGCTGTGCTCCACAACCCTCTCATAATGATCCTTTTCTTCCTTGCCCACCTCTTGACTCAAGTTGGCGGCGGGCTGACCCTGTGAAGTCGAGTTCTCAGCCGTGACACCCTTCGATTGCTCCCTCAATCTCCATGGCGTGCTTTGGGCGAAGGTCCTGGTACATTGATGGCCGACACGCGGATATGTGGTTTTACTGTGCCTAGCCGCAGCTAGAGCTCTCAGTATTGATGGTTGCATGTATTGTGATTTCTGGTATGCGTATACTATTGACTCAGCATATTATATTGCCTTTGCAGGGGTTGTGACGGGAAAGAGGAATCGACTTGTTGAATGTTCGATGCCAATTCAAGGTTTGATGACGTATCGGCTTTGCGGCTTCTCCTTTGTTTTGCACAGCCACAGCTTATTGGGATTCATCATGTCGTGTGCCAAACAAGTTCAACGAGCGTCAGACTTCTTGTTTCCTCTAGGGTTGCTGGGCAGGTTGCATGAACAAGAAATCGATTGTCACTTTCGTGTTTGTGTCCAATTAGTCACGTTCAAGGTTTATCTCCACGATTATCTCCGTATGTCCAATGTCGAACTAGGAAAGTGCATTATCTTCTACCCATGACCTCGAATCACGCGGACGCCGATCGTGAGAGCAGATACTGATATAACAAGGGCACATATACGCCGAATGTCTAGTCATGCCAGAAACCCGATCCCCACGATTGAACTTTGGGAACAATCAGTACCACTCTCTGACCCGGTTTCACTTGGACGAGTCAGTGACCACGGCAACATATAACCATGCGATCCAGATATAGCTACCTCAACTCATGCCGAAGGTGCAGTTTCAAATTTCTTCCGAACTGCCCATGACATATACCAGAGATGACTCGATCTGGGCCGAGGACTTCGTCAGAGTCGAGCTCGCTGAGTTCATCATGATTGCGCGTATTCCTGTCTGCGAGACCCGGATCATGTTTTCGCTGCTACACGATCACGTAGAGAGTGTTGGTGGGTCGGTCTTGCCCTCGAAAAACTTATTCTAGAAGCCTCGGGAAGTGGATGTCTCGATATGAGCCTGTTGTCTGCCAGTCGTCGAAGCGTGCCCTTTGGTGATGGCCCCGTAAGCCGGATCATCCTTCTCATATCCTCATTCATGCAGGTCATACAGGTCGAAAATATGTGATAAACCAGTACGACGGATCAATTCCATATCGTTCGCATGGTCTATACCTCTCTCTGAGTCCTGTTGAGAAGAATGCGTCAGTAACAATTCAGCTTAATGAGCAAATAGTGTACGTATAACATACCACCAAGCGTTTACGGTTCTTTTCCATCCAGCTCCATGGACGGAATGCTGCTGCTTTTGTCTCGTTGAAATGTCCTCCCACGCGTGTGGCGAATTTCTCGAGTACGGAATCGGCCAGCACATTTCGTTCGTAGTCGTGGAAGCACAGTTGTTCTAGCATAGGAAGCTGTCGTAGAAGGAGGTCGACGATACGATTCGCTTTTGCTGATAGAGAAGTACTCGAGGCTCTATGGGGTTGTTAGTAGATGTCTCGAGTGCTTACCTGGAGAGTCCATACCTCGTGCGCCCTCGCAAGTTTGGTGCATCTATGGCAAATCGTCTCAGCTCCGGGAATACTGGTGGCCCGGATTCTGCCCAGTCGTCGAGGTCGAGAACACCATACACATCGCAACAGTACATCTCGGGATGTGTCTGGCTCAAAGAAGTGATGGACTTGAGCGTGATGCTAGACTCGACTTGGAATACCAAACTTTTGAGCTTCGGCAGATTTGACATCAAGTCGGCGAAATGCTCATCCGCCATCCAAAGAGCCTCGATATTATTGTAGTATGCCTTTCCTTTGGTCCAAGTGCGTATGAGAAGCATCTCAAGTCCTTGAAGTGTTCCCAGCGATTCAGCGCTCTCTTCCGAAAAGTCTATTCCTCGCAGTGTATTGTGAAACTCGACCTCGAGGTGACGCAAATTCTTCATGGGCTCAAGTGCTTGGAACGCATCATGTTCCGAGTCATAGACCTCGAGGAATAGCGTATGGACAGATGTAGCAGCGGCAGACAACAATCCGATAGATTTCGAATAGAGTCGAATATGAAGTATGCGTAGATTTATGAACGCGTTCGGCGGAGCAAACACTTCTTGTACTGTGTTGCCCGTCAAGAAATGCGCAATGTCCAGTCTTTCCAGGTGATCCAGTGTCAAGATGTGTGCAAGAACTTTTGTCGGGAGAGAAAACTGCCAGCCGCTACCCAACTCGAGGTTTCTGAGAGATGTGCGCTTGGTGAGGAATGTCTTCAGCTTTTCGGCATCTACCTGTAACTCGAGAGGTTCCATCAGGTGGAGATCATGTAACCGAGTAGCTTCGGTCTCCAGGTATCCCAGAGCATCTTCGCATGGATGGCCACCCCAGTAGCTGAATGATTCCAGACATGGACCAATGTATTGTGAGAGGTACAGTTTTTGGTTTTTGCGCAAACGTACTTTATCAAGACCAATGCACTTGAGTCTGTGAAACTTCAAGTTCTTGTACTGATTATGGTATTTGCTTTCATTGACGCTCCTGAAGTAAAGCGAGAGGATCTTGCTGGCATAGAATTGTCGACGTTTGTGAGGTACTGTGGCTAATGCTTCCGGAGGTGGATCTCGCCAGAGTATATCGGTGGCAGGTTCAAACCATTCTTTGCTGACTAGTGTTGCATTCAAGAGAGATTTATTGTAGCCGTCCAGCAGCTTGAGGATATTGTGGAGTATCTCTGGAGGGAGATGCGGTGTCCGAATATTTTCCTCCATCTCACGGATGTGACGACGAGATGTGTGGAATACGGTGTTGGGTTGGCGATGAGAGCACGAGGTGTCGGCCCATCGGTTCTTTCCCGCATCGCGAAGTTTCTTTTCGCGACACCCTAGACGCCCAGATTGCACCTTCCTCTCACATCGCGGACAGTAAAGATACACAATCTCACAGCGATGTCTTCCTGCTGAACACCTGTACCTATCCAGACGGTTCTCGTAAAGTTCACCCTGGCAAGAGCGGCTACTGCGGCCATGATAGGGCTCTATGGATGCCCGTTACTCATCTTTATATCGCTTTAACCTTTCGAGGCAAGTCTATGCGCTGTATCAAGTACCATACTTTTTGCGCCCTATCGACGACATCTAGAACCATGACCAAACGTATATAGCCCTATTTTCGTGACTCATTATTTCTGTACTGACCCAACAGGCGACGCATTCGTTGTGTACAATAATCACCATTTCGACCCTGGCACCCGACATCTGCATATCGCTTTACCTCCAGCAAATCATCTCGAACCAATTGCACATACTTCTAGAACCATACACAGTCAACCCGCCCAACGATGTATCTTCGCGCCGTTCACGCCGAACCGTCCATCTCAGCCTTGAAGGCCTTCCTCGCCACCAACCCCCTCGGCCTCCTCACCACCGCTCTCACCTCGTCAGACCCAACCATCCACTTCCTCCAGACCAGCCACATTCCCTGGGTCCTCGACGACCCCAATCCTTCCGACTCCTCTCTACCCACTCTGCGCGGCCATATCGCACGCCAAAACCCTCACGCCAAAGTCTTTATCGAACATGCCGCCTCTGCCTCGCCAAATACACCCTTCACCCTCTCACAAGAAGTGATGGTGCTCTTCAATGCACCACACCACTCCTACGTAACCCCTAAATTCTACACAAAATCAAAGCCTGAGAGCGGAAAAGTTGTCCCGACATGGAACTACGCGTCAGCACAAGTCTACGGCACCGCAACAGTGTACACGGATTCAAAAGCAGAGTCCACGATCAAGTTCCTGGACAAACAAATCAGGGATTTGAGCAACAAGGCCGAGACTGAGGTTATGGCACACGAGAAGCCATGGAAAGTGGAAGATGCACCGGAGAGATATATCGAACTGTTGAGGAAGAATATTATTGGGATTGAGATCAAAGTGACCAGTTTGGGCGGAAAGTACAAGATGAGTCAGGAGATGGGGGAGGAGGATCGAGAGGGTGTGGCTCAAGGTTTTGAGGGTATGCAGACCGAAACTGGAGATTGGATCGCAAAGACGGTCAGAGAACGTGGTTCGCGAAAGTAAGGTGCTTTGTGATTCAGAAGAAGAAAGAAGGAATATATTTATCTACTCCTGTTCGAGAACGTGTTTTGTAGCCCGCGTTAGCTATCTTGCTAGTATACCCTCGTGCGACATAATCAAGCAAGACATTCATATGCATAGCAAGTAACAGCAATTCAAGAAGATATATCAGATACCTCTGGCAAGCGCCGAATCTGCAAACTCCAAAGCAGCACGCTTAACATCATATGCTCTCCAACCCGTCATAGCATGCTCGTTATTCCACTTCTCGCTCAAAGGCAATGATTCCGTTACCATCTTGCCATCTTCCGAGTCGACATGACCATGAGCAGATCTGAGTGATGCAAGCCGCACGAACAGAATGCCACTTTCTTCCACAAACTCATGTCTGTCGATTACAGCGAAGACCCTAGCGTGGCTTGTTTGTGCGTCAGAGACTTCGAGTGCGTGGAATGCTTCGAGGCATGCGTCAATGCGTGGCTTAGGAGGGTGAATCAGAAGATCGAATGCCGTGTCGGGAGGTAGGTAAGGAGTGAGGGAATTCAGGAGCGAGTTTCCCAGTCCACCGCTGTCCAGCTCTGCGGACTCAAGGTGAAAGACGGGGTATACAGATCTTGCCTCCTTTGAAGCTACTTCATGTGTCCTGAGCTTCACGCAAACAATGCCGTTATCTTGTCCTTCCACAGTGCCTTTGATGTTTTGCTGTTCGAGTCTTTGGATAGTCGTGATTCTTGGCTCTTCGGGTGGTTTTGGATTTGAATGTTGTTCGCTTGCTTCCAATCTCCAAGGTTCTCGCTGAGAATCTGATACCCATTCCTGAATAGCTTGATTCATGGCGTTATCGCCATCAACGTTGTCCACTGCGCAGAGCGCCAAGTCAAGCTCGTAAGGATATTGTTCGGGTACTCTGTCTCTGGCAGCAAAACTCGCCAAAACGATAGATTTGGTCCAATCAGGTGGATCTAGAACGATGATTCTCGCTCTATTGGCTTGTTTGCCATAGAGATGTATCGGACCGCCTCCGAGAACAGATGGAGTTGCGTTGCTTCGATGGGCAATCTCTCTCTTGTGGTGGGCGATGCAAGCGTATACATCATGTAAAGGTTGTTTGTACACATCGATGCGCCACGAGATCTCCGCATCGCGAGGCTCCCACTCTCCACTCCTAAAAGATCTCCTTCCATGTCTTACAATCGGCGAAAGAAATTCGGAAAGGTCGTCGCTTAGAGGATGTACAGTGTAGACTTGAATAGCAAAGTTCGGCCATGGTTTCGAAAAGCCCTGAGGACCTTTGAAGGTTACACTGCTATCTTCGTCTTTGTGCTGTGTCGCGTGCTCAGGGTCGAAAGGCCAGATACTGACGGCGTCTTGTCCAGAGTGATCCTTGAATTCGTGGAATGTTGGTGCCCGAACCCTGGCATCTGGGTCGACGAGTTTGAGTCTTTTGTGGTCACCTTCTTCCAGAGGAGCACGTCTCACTCTTTGACGCGGCATGACTCTTGTGATGAGGGCAATGAGTTTGTGGCGATGATTGTCAAGAAAGGAGGGCGAGCGATGTGCGCAGATGCTTGCGTTCAACTCAAGCACGCCCGTGACTGCTGGAACCCGGTCGTCAAGACGGCTCCCTCAGACCGCCAGCGAAAGCGTGATCTCCAGCAATACGGTCACAAGAGATGGCTCGAAGAGTCATGGCGCGACGACATGCATTTGTCTGGCATGAGCCATGAAGATTTGCACAAGCGATGGTTCGGAGAAGACGTCGTGGCATGGATCAAATCCTTGTGGGAAGTGGCCAAAGAACCAAGGTACACGCACTTGGTCAAGGATGAATTCCCTGTCACTCTCTACCGCCACGAGATGGGGCCCTGTATGGCCGGTGGTGTAGAAGTTTACTCTTCTCTGAACATCAAGGCCAACACAAAGGTCGACATCGAGACCATTTTTGGTATGACCATCATCGCCAAACTGGGCACTCCCATCGACTTTAGCAGCCCCTATGTCTACTTCCGCAATAAAGGCGAAGTCACCTCGGTATTCACGGTTGACGCGCTTACAACAGCTCGCTTTTCACCTGGTGGTGTCGAATTTGACGACAAGTGGGACGGTTCGAGCTGCACCATCGATCTTACGCTAGATGGTTGGATCAGAGTCTATGCGTCTGGTCAAGTCGACAATGCCGATTCTTAATTCTGCTGGGGAGTCGATGCTGGGGCAGAAGTATACGCATCGTTCGACGCTCCTTCGGCATATGGCTGGGATCACTCTGTTCTCCGATTCGATCTGGGCAGCGAGGAGCCTCGAGCAGTAGTCGAGCAGTCTTGCCCCAGCCAACGCAGAGATTCCAATGACTACATACAACGATATGCCTCCGTTCGGGCTTGGTCGGGCTCCATGGAGTATTCGAACAATCCATCGATGCGAATCAAAGGTCGTGGGGTACCAGGTAAACGAGCTTCGGACCCGGGACCACTTATCAACACCAAGAACTGCTTGTTCTGCCCGACAGTTCAGATCCGACCAATCACTCGAGGCTCGATCGAGTTGGACACCGCTAGATTCTCGATGGATCATGGACACCCTCACAGACATATACAGATACACCTATCCCAATGCCGTCGACGGCCAAACCGAAGACATCTCCGGCCACATGGTCGATCAAACTGGCAGCGTCATTGACCCAGATGGCCTGGCACTCTGCCACAAAGGCATCGACAGCAAAAAAGGAGTCCTACTGGGTGGAAAAGTCAATCACCTCGACCCAGGCAGAAACCCTCCAAGACAGCTGATTCCAGACGTCGCGTGGTCAAAGACGTCGTCGGCGTGTTTTACTACCTCGCCGCTCCGGGCATCTGGGGCGGTTCCACAGAGACTTCAAGGGGTATCGAGGAAGCCCTGCACGAGTTCGATCAGAGGTATAACGGAGCTGGCATGCCGAACTTCAAACTGCGGCAGGCATACTGCTGGTGGATTGATAATTTCTTGGGTACAGTCGAGGATAATTATGGCGCTTGGGTGGACTCGGAGGTGTGGAACAAGCTTGGTGACGATAAGCTCAACACGGCCTTGACCGCAGCTGACACGCAATGGGCAAGGACAGACCTAAAGGGCAATGGCGGTGCTAGTAGGTCCAAGTTCAAGTTCCCACGGGACGCGAGCGGTGGTGGTATCTACAATGCTTGAGACAATAGCATAGGGACTTGCGATGGTTCAAGAAGTGTAGAAACATATCTGGGCTTTTGTGCTCCTTGTCTACTCTGATTTATTCAATATCTTTGAGAGGGAGGACAATTTGATGGAATGACGCGATACTAATCAAGCCAACATTATCGTGCTGGACAGTCTGAAGCCCAACGACATTGACTTTTGTACGAAGCGCCGAGCACATTCTTCCAATGCATACGATCACGAAGGTGCACTTAGTTGCACTTTGCTCCACTCCAGCTTGTCGTCCTCAGTATCGTACTTTGCCACCGTGTCATGCCACTTTCGATAATCCGTAACATGCTCGAACCCTTGCTTCTTCAGTGCTTCTGCAAGCATCACCGCCCAATCTCTTGAGCCCTCGCCATCGAAGTCAAAGCGATAAGCTGCGGTAGTAAGCACAACGGTAGCAACCCAGAAGCGAGGCACGTAAGACACATTCGCCCAATCAAGAATTGCCGCGACATTGTCGCCAGAATCGGAGACGAGAATGTTGGTGGGCCCTTGATCATCGTGGCAAAGAACAAGTGGGTCCTCAAAAGTAGGCGGAGGTGTGGTGGAGATGTTGGTCCAATGCGCTCGCAACTCCGAGCCCGCCAAAGGTCCAAGTGTACGGGGGAACCAACTGTGTATTGGGCCATGGAAGTCATAGCCTTGCATGAGCCACGGCTTAACGACACCGTAGCCCGAGACGGTTTGGTAGTGGGTACTAGTCTTGGTAGCCACAAGGGCAGTATGGTTTGCTATTTCGTTTGCGATGTTGAGTCGCTGTGTTTGAGTGAGCGATGGCCATGCCACATCCAGTGTACGAGCGTGAATGCGTTTCATGATGAGGAACGAGCGGTTTATGGACTGGTCCACCTACTCATACAACACTTTCGGCACTGGTATGGTAGGGAAGTGCTCACGGATGAAGGAAATTGTTTCTGACTCTAATTGGATTCCTTGTTTCCAGGCGTGGACTTTGCAGACGACTTTGTTGCCAACGATCCAGACTGCACTTCCAGATCCAGCTTGGTAGATAAGGTCGCGCTCCGGCTCTCCCTGCAAAGGTTGATCACCAATGCTAGCGGAATAGTCGTGTTGTGGCAACAAGTGAAACGCAGAGTCTCCGTCCAGCCAAGAGGCAAGGCAGTTCCTTGGTTGTGTTGCGTCAGCCCTGACTTTCACACAAGTGAGGAGTGTGCCCATGTCTAAGGTGCCTAAGCTCGAAGTCTTGAGAGACTCGGTACAAAGTGGGCTCATTTCGCTTTAGGCGGAGTTAGCGAGGGAATATACGGGAATCATTTCAGAAAAAGCACACCGATACATCACGAGGCAGTTCGAAGAGGTATGATGTTGTATGGATGAATTTCGCGGAGAGTTAAATGAAGAGGTAGGAACAATCCAGTGAAGCAGGGCAGTGGTACGCTTTTATTGTCGAGTCTGGCATGTCGGTCCAAGCTCAAACCAGGAGGAACTATGCAGTCCAGACATATGTGCAGGTATCGAGACACTAGTGATACGCTCTCGTACACTACTCGACGGAACGTAGTATCAGTAGTCAACAATGCAGACTTGAGGAGACCGGGTTCACGCAGCTCTATCGCCGGGATTTGCGAACTCTCTTATAGGCAACATCTCATGACCCGACTCCTCAATAGAACTTTCACAGGACATCACACGCTGTTCTCATTCAATGGCATAGGTCAGTTGAAGAGTTTCGTCGTCTTTGCATCCGCATCAAAGTGTACGGGAAACCTCACAACTGGAGTAAAACCGACACCAAGACTCGCTCCTCACATCCTCACGTCCCTCGACGTAAATGTACGCCTCGGTCATTCCATTGTTCCTACACTATCACTATGAACATCATTATTAACCAGCATACCGGCCCTGGTGATAGCGTTTGCGTATTTAGTAAACAGCTGCTCCGCATCCCTCACACGCTTCGACGGAGATGTCATTATTGTAGTTGCACCTTGGGTTTGAGCAGCTTTTCCGATTGACAACTTCGGCTATACCACTCGCCGCCTCGAGGATAAAGCGAATGAGTTGAGACGTGCAGACCATAATGTTGTTGCTCGAGAGAAAATACTTATACTGTACACGAGACTTCTATGCTACGCTCTGGTCGTCGAAATGAATCAGTCTGTTCTCCGACTCTTTGCACTCCCGCAGATTAAAGATCATCCGAGTGCTGTGTTGGTTTGCGCTGCGCACGCAAATATGATTGGTCATAATTGAGCGATGCAGGTAAGCGCCTTGCTTGAAGAAAGATCTTGAGCTGGCGCCAGAACTCAAGCAGTAGCAATTGGTACAAACGGAGTATGAGCGCGTATGTCTGAGTTGGTGGCAGACACATGCACATTATGATTTGTTGAGCGTGCGGCACGCGGAAAGTTGATGAATGCACGGAGTAGTGGTTGGTTGGCAGCGATATGGATTGGCGGCAAGGTGCATTGTTGGTAGCACCACGGGTGCGGCAATATCGGGAGTACTTTCAAGAATCTTTCAGACGTGGGTCGTCATGGAGATCATGCTGTTCTAGGGCCCGTGATCCTGATTAACCTGCCAATATTGCTGCCTTGAGAGGCCCAAATGAGACTTGAGATGCTGCAGTTGGTGCAGCAATCAGGCACTGAGCTATGGAAAATATGGAGCCTGGTATTTCGCGAACGCTCGCGAGAGATAGCACTCAAGTTTCGTAAGCGCTTCTTCACTCGCCGTCGCGTCGAACGAAGGATTTACATCAAGAACCGCTGTCAAACGGACTGTTCGATCACGGTTGGTGGGCTTCGAAATCACGGCGTGGCTCTGCATATGTCCTCGAATGCACCGATATTGAGGACAAGACAATTCGTCACAGGCTTTGTTGTTACAGAGAATGAGAGCCACTCGTGTTGTGTGCTGGGGCGCATGATGCAGGACGTCGTCTAGAATCACATCCGACCGGCGGACGATCTTCGGGAAGCCTACCTCCTTCATCGCTTCCGCACCCCGTCGTCTTCTTGTGCCCGTATGCACTCGATCGACGCGATCTTGGCCATATCGAGCCTGCGTTCAAATTGGTTTGTAGTGTGCTATGGCGTGTAGTGATCTGTGGTGTCTCGCCCTGTAGTCCTTAGAATACACTGCCTCAACCGCGGGTGAAAAAAACACACATATCGGAGCGAACAAAGGTGACAATTAACTACGCAGCTGTGATCATAGCTTTTGTTCCAAGCTGAGACGAGCTGAAAGAAGGCGTGGTTCAAATCAATTTCAGGGTTTCGACAGGTTTCCATAGGAGGCAAGTAAAATAGAGGATAGTGAGTTGAACTGCCTATGCATAGCAAGCGGACAGGATGCCCCGTCCTTCGAACGTCATCAAGGTTATGGCATGCTTATGAACCGAGTTTCGAATCAAGGACGATGACGAGGTAGCGCTTCTGTATGGAGCATCAACAGTTCCTGCTTATGAGCCCTGAACCTCCTGCAGTGCCGCCTGAACATCTTGGACAGACTGGAACATCCCTGTCCAGCATTTCTTGATGATCTGACCACAAGGTACCAAATCCAAGCTCGGAAAGATCCCTTGCTTGAAGAGTTCTCCCACTTCTTCATCATTAAGATCATGGTATGGTTGTTTGCTTGTCATGATCTCATACAGAGTGGACCCGAACGCGAATATGTCTGTTTGCACAGTAGAGTCCGACATTATGTCGCGAGGCAAGAAGAACCTGATGTTTTCCACAGTAGGGCCAGGTCTTCCATCGATCCAGGATCCCGAGAAGTCGACGAGATACACCTTGTGGCTTTGTTCATCTAGAAGTATGTTCTCGGGTTTGACATCCGCATGGATGACGTTGACTGCATGCAGTGAATGTAAAGCTATCGCCATGTCGCGTGCCCATTCCATGCGCTTAGCTATTGGGATGCAGAAGTCTTCATCTTCCAGGTAGTGATGTAGATTGTGGCCCTCGACACCTTGAAGTATGATGCCATGCTGTTCCGAAAACTCGATCATCTCCAGGAAATGTGGCGTATTGGCGATCCTGCCATAGATGTCGCACTCCCTCTTGATCTCTTGCAGACTGTTTTCTCTTCCTCGTGGCGTGTCGTCTGGGTAGGGTTGTTTGCGCACATGGCCACAGGGAAGACGGACCACGAGTCCAGTAGTACCACCAAAGACCACTTTATCTCTTTCGAAAGGTTCAGTGAAGTGCTTGTGACATTCTTCCAGAGATGGAGGTATCAGGTTGAGGCGTGCTCCTGCACAAATGTCGATCGGCGGATCTGATGGAAGCACCATCTGGAGCGTTGTGTCGAATATGAGCAGAAAGTTATGGAATCTGAGGTTGCAATAGGACGAGGTCGAAGGAAGAGAACGACGTTACAAACGGTCAGTTTGGTTAAGTCATAAACGGTGAATGACTGTTCAGAAGGTGTTGTTGATGTGATGGAGACTGAAGTCAGCAAGACTGGTTAAATACAGGCATCGCGACCCCTCCTGCCAATGCCCTGACACGTGGGCCGACTTCACTTGTCGACAGGCTTGCCCAGTGATCGGGAAGCATGTGATCTATTTGTGGGAAGATCAATGCCATAAACAGTCCTGAGCAACCGGCTTATCTCTGATTCAATCGCTTCACATCTACATCACCAACCAAGCAGGTGTGACGAGAAGAACCCACTGTAAGACTAGGATGGACGTGACAGTATACTGTGGTTATGACAAATCCGATTTGAATTGACAGAATCATGAGTCACATCTCAAAGCAAAGTTCAACAAATCTCATGTGCCTAAATCAAAGCGCCAGTGCAACGCCGGACTCCCAAACTCCCAATTGTCGAACCTCCATCGTCAGAATCCCATCGCTAGGCTGTCCCAGATTGTGGTCAATTAACAACTGCCAGATCGACATCGCAGCAACAGACGGCTCAAGTCTGGGAATAGCCCTCATCTCTGCACCAATCACACTCAGATCTTCGTAAGGCCGAACCGATGTTCTGGTACGCCTTTCTGGTACACTCATAACCAGATCGTCTTGCAGTACGGCACCACTCGACCGATACGAACTTGTCAATGCGGTGGCCGCACCTGTAGATGTAAGTTGAGTAGAGATTTTTGCACATCTTGAATAGATGGTCAGTCAGAGTCACCGAAGGATCGTGGTAATTTGTACTGACCTTGAACAGTGGAGGAATGAAGAATGTTTATGTGTGTGTGTTTGTGGGGATGTGTTTGAAAGTGAGTTTGCGCTGAAACAAAAGTCGATGATGCTTTCCAGGCCTGGATATATATACGAACACATAGAATGAACAAACTTGTCGAAGCGAAGAGGTTCCGTCCACTCATTGGGTGTATACTACCCATCAAGCAGGATGCAGAATCAACGAACTCGACAGTCATGCTATTCGATAGCATATACGTGGATCGTAGTGAGCCAATCGGAAGCATGCCGGTGCCGCTACATCTGCTCCAGGAAGACCACACGGAACGATATGGTAGGATTGATGTTGGTCAGCAGTACCAAAAGATTGTCTTTAGCTTGATGCAGTAGACGACGAAGAGAAGAAAACTGAGCGATGTGCTGTCAACTGGGGCGTCGTACCAGAGTCTGGCGTAGCTCGACAGAACAGCAGCTATAAGCTGCGTCAAGGCAAATGACAGGTTGAGGTCGATTAAGGAAGGTCATGATCGCAAGGGAGCAATGCTCCAGTGACACGATCGCGCAGGCGTGTCCACGGAATCCTTCGTATCGGACAGACGGAGTGTTTAGGCAGTAGAGCAGTGTTTCACAGAACAAGATCGCGTGAACATGTTGGATCCGGGTATGGTGAGCGAACACAATTCTTGTTCTCTGTTCCAGGACTTCGGCGTGCGGATTGTGCGCGGTAGCTCTGCCAGTGTTAACACGATCGAGCTGACATCCTTGTTCAGACCGACTTCCAAGTTGCTCTCGATCGGGAAACCACAACCTATCTCGACTTGTGACCGGCGACGACACGGTCATCAGCAAGGGTGCGCGGTGCCCGGCCGGCTGTGTTCGTATGTGCTTGATTCATCATGCATTTGTTGCATCAGGTTGCCCGAGAACGTAGCAAGTAAGAGAGCACCCACACATTGCATGCCAGCACAAAAGTGCAGACTCGATTAAACCCGAACATCGGGAGTCGATGGAGAGACAAAGAGATAAGATGCATACCGTGAACGCCTGCTTTGGAAAAAGAAATGGGGTATTTTGCAACGAACAACGCATATCAAAGCAAGAGCAAACCGTCCCATGTCCGCCTGGGCCAATGACAAATCGATCAGCCAAAGACGCCAGCTCTTCTCATGACCCCTTCGAAGTCCTCTCTGCCAACAACAGGACCACCTCCACTGGTAGCTTCTTTAATCATATCTCGTAGCATCTTGTCAGGAACGTCTTCTCGTAGTTCGCGAGCAACACGTCTCAAATGAGCAAGCGTGATAAAATCGCCCTCTCCGCGTGTAAACAGAGTAAACGCAGCATCAACCTCTTCGCTCTGTTGCTCAGGATCATTATGTTTCGCGTGCAGTTTCAGCGCCGCCACAGCCACGAAATGTGCGTATGTGACATATCCACTCTCTTCTGGGTCTACGGCCTCGAGGATCTCTGAGAGTTCGGCGGCGGAGGTGGGTGGTGTGTTTAGGGCGATCAGACAGCGTCGCACATCTTCAGTACGTAGCACTCCTTCTTTTTCGTCAGAGTAGTCGGCGTTGTCTGTTATGGCGAACAGGGCAAAGGCTTCGAGGACTTCGGCTTCTTGGTCGGCGGTGATGTCGTTTTCTTTTGCTAGTTTGGAGGCACGTTTCTTCGGTGCTGTTGCCGCCGCTGCTGCTGCTTTGCCGGCTGCTGCTTTGCCGCGTTTTGGAGGCTGGAGTGGATGTCAGAGATTGTCCTGGATGTGTGATCACGAAGAACTCACCATGGTTGGAGTGGTCACCACTTTACGCGGCACAACTTCGAAGAAAGGTGAAAGTGGTCGAGGGACGCGATTGATTGATTGATGATGCGCACTTTGCTTTGTTTGTCTGGCACATGGACTGTGCGCTGCCGGACATCAAAACTCGACTTTCTGCTGAAACTTTCTTGCTTCTTCCACAACAAACACCTAGACACAAGCCAACTCCCTGTGAAAGCGTTGCTGCAAGGCAAAGTCATGCCTTTTCAGCTGCCCCCACAGAGTCCGCATACAGGCCAAGTATACATATCGCATTTTATCTTCATTTCCAATTTCCCAACACACCATTGCCGTTCAATTTGCTAGAGCCCGTCATCTCCAACAATACCAGGGTGACGTGGTGTGGACACTCGGCATATACAAATCCCCCGAGGATACCCTTCAATTGATCCGGGAAACTTTGCCCATTCTTCATACGTAGTCGTGGCTTGCCTGCGGCTGTGTCGAGTGGAAGAGTTAACATCACATATCTATCAATCAATACTTTGTATCAATGCAATCACGGTATATTCTGTCAAGAACAACGCTTCCTTCAATCACATGTTATGGCAATCAGGATTCTTGTGAGGTATTGCTCTTGCCTGCTACAGCGTGTTCGCTTACGGGCATTGCTCAGACGATCTACGAGCCTATTCGTAACTGGACTATTGTTCCTTGGTCCATGGTGGCCCTTATACGAGACTCTAAGCAAGGATACAGCTATCTTATTTCGCGATCTCAACGCCGTTGGTTGCGCCTATTTCGCAAGCATAAAGTCAGCTTTTGGTCGACATACGCAGTAACAACCACAACGAGAACTTACCAAGAGCCTTCTTGATATCACCATAGATGGCGAATTGTCCAGCAGTCAATCCACCGACCATGAACAATCTAGTAGGAAGACCGGCGAAAGAACCACGAATACCCAATTCGCCAGCAATTTTGACCAGGCGCGAAACAGTGCTCTCACCAGGCAAACCCTTGGTCTTGTTGATCTTGGAGAGCATAGTGTCGGCAGGTTGAGAGACGATGGCAGCAGCGAAACCAGCAAGAAGACCAGAGCCGAGGTTTACAGAGGTGACAGTGCCGGGGCTCATGGTGGACTTGTCGCCCATGGTAGCAAAGATGGCCTCAGAGAACTTTTCGAAGGCGAGGAACTTGGTGACGGTGTAGGGAACCCTATTTCCTCATCAGTCTTGTTTTGACTCTGCTGACGAGTCAATTCAATGATCATCTTACTGCTTGAACAGGATGGGTCCGAAACCTGAGTAGAAGGATCCAACACCCTCAGTTCTCAGGATTCTGCTGAAGCCACCGACCAGACCATTGGCAAATCCGGGAGTACTGACAAGACGGATACGGGTAGCTTCCAGGGGACACAAAGCAACAGAAGCAAAGAATTCGGCACTGGCTGCAGAGACAGCGTAGACCAGACCACGGTTAGCTCTTGCGGTCTCCAGACCGAGGTAGTCAATCGACTGCTTCTTGAAGAACTCGTAACCTCCGAATTTGAAGGCACCCTGGACAAAGTACCCAGCAAAGGTAGGACCAACACCAGTCAAGAGAGCTCCAGCACCCTCATTGGCAATGACCTGACGGAAGGTAGCGATAGTGCCACGGTTATAGGTTGCGGGATCAAGCTGGATCTTAGTCTTGACACTGCGATGGATAAGTCACAAGGTTATAGTCAACATCAACATCGCGCTTACACATCGACAGGAGTGAAGCCACCGTGCGTGATGGAGCAGCCAAGGGCGCCAGCAAGAGCGAAGCGAGCGTAAAGGTCAAGACCCTCGGGCTGCTTTTTCGTCAAGGCCTGAGCCACTGATTGAGGAGGTGTGGTCATCGCGACTGCAAAAGTCTGAAAGCTAATGAGACGAGATATGCGATAGAGTCATCGTGTCTATTTAAACAGCAAGGAGGTTGCATCCTACTCGGAGATAACCGGTATTAATCGCGTCAACAAGCAGGTTTATCCAAGTGCTGTCCTTCGCGATGCACGTGGCTGGGTTGGAATTTGTGGTCAGCAAATCGTTCTTTGTTTCTGGAAGCAAGTTCATCTGTTCGAGTACACTGCTCTTTTCTTAACTCATGAGCTTAGAAGGAGTAGACCATCCTTCACCACTTACTCTCGTTGGATGTTGAGGAAGCGGCTTGGTGTACCAACGTTGGACAGGACTAAGACGCCTTCCTGCCGCCGGTTTCACGCGAGATCAGCCTAAGGATGTTGCAATTCATCCGCAGGAAGGCTGTAGCAATGTATACGCATTCCTGTCGTTTTCTCGAAGGACACTTTGTACGATCACATTCGTCAATTACTTTGCAGCTTCGAGAGAAGAGGTGGTGTCTGTCGCAATCGTCACGCTCTCGTCACTCTCGAGTTCTCCAGCTCCCGGACCTGGTCGGCGACCTGGTCAGCAATCGGGCTTGGCAACGCGTTGCCGAAGAAGCCGATGTTTGACTCGCTTCGGCCTTTCCGCTTCTTCGACTCCTTCCGTCGTCAAGGGTGCGTGTCAGTCTTCGGCAAGGTGTTTTAGACACGACCAACTCCAGCTGTGACACTATCATGCAACAAAGCTCATCTATCATATGCAGTATACCGCATCGACAGGGGGATTAACTTTTGTTGGTTTCTCTCATAGTCAAATAGCCTGCTGCAGTGTTAGAGTGTACACCGAGTACAAGGCAAATTAGACGTTCAAGGCCAGTCCAGCCAGCCCACTACTACATGCGTGTGAAAATTTCTCTTCTTCTTGCGCCTTCATTGTTTCTCAGATGCGATTGCGACATCTTCTACTCAAACATCGCCGAACAGAATTACACTTTCACTGACGATTCATCTTTTCGGCCTTCATCTCAAAACTCTCTCCCCGCCAAAAACCGTTGTCGAACCAGACTATTGAGTGACTGGAGGGATATAACTCTGCAATCGCCCCATCTATTCATCATATTCCACCATCACCATCACCATCTGCCCTCGAAAGCGCAGCGCATCTTTCTTTGTTCAGTCCATTCACACGTGAGAACATTTCTTTCATTTCCCCACGACGACAACCTCTCGGGCCACCGCTCCGTCCGACAATTCTACGAAACAACCCACACAAACGATGCCATCACTGGTTTCAGAATATGCAGCCGGCACGCTGTTCGGTGGCGCGCTTTTCGCGGCTGGAGTCTTTGCGCCTAGCACGATTGTCGCGCAGATGGAACTCGAGGACTTTACTATGGTCAAGGCAATGTTGGGAGCGAGTGCTACGAGCGCGTAAGTTCTATCTACTCATCAAGTCTTCTCTGTGCTTTGCGGAGAGGGATTGCACATTGCATTGGGTCTGATGGATGAAATCTGTTCCCTTTGATATTACAACATGCGTCAAAACAGCCTTCCACGCTACCCTCATCTCCGAGTCTTTCGAAAAACAGTATACTAACATGAACAACAGACTCGTCGTACATCTAGCCGATTCAACAGGGCTCGCAGCAATGAAACCCCGTACTCCCCAATCCATCGGTTTCTTCCCTTACGACGGCAACATCATCGGCGGCGCCATGATCGGTATAGGAATGGCATTGACGGGCGCATGTCCTGGTACCGTCTTCGTCCAAGCAGGCGCAGGTCTTCCTAGCGGCATCTTCGTTCTCGGCGGTGGAATCCTCGGAGGTCTGCTCTTCGTCTTCACTCAATCCAGCATCGCCAGATTTTGTGACGGCAGAGCAAGCAGCAAGACAAACTCTGAATTGACCATTCCCAAGAGTGTTGGCGTTAGTCCTTGGGTCGTTCTTGCCATGTGGGAAATCATGTGCTTCGGCATGCTGCAGCTGCTTTCTGCTGTCAAGAGCCATGCCACCGGAGCACAAGGTCTTGTGTCACCTGTGCTTGGAGGCCTTCTCATTGGAACTGCTCAAGCTTGTGCTATTGCACTCACTCGCCATACTGTCGGTACATCTGGTGCCTTCGAGGATGTTGGCCGCTGGATCCGCAATGTGATCTCTGGAAATGCGTCTAAAGGTCCCATCACCGCGTCTGTCATGTTCGATGCTGGCATCATGTCTGCAAGTGCCTTGTTGGCTCGTTTCCTGCTGCCTGCTGCTGCCGCACAAGCATCATCACATCTAGTCTCTCCATCGACTGCGATCATCGGCGGCGCAGTGATGGCTTTCGGATCCAGGCTGGCTGGCGGCTGTACCTCTGGCCATGGCATAAGTGGTATGGCGACGTTCTCGTGGGCCAGTCTGATTTCGGTTGGTAGCATGTTCGCTGCTGGTGTGTTGACCGCAGCCTTGAGGTGATTCGTAAACTTGTTGTTGCTGGATTTTTCTTGGGGGCGGTTTTGGTTTTTTACAATGATACCCAGCTTTCTTTGTACAGTTTTTCACCTTGCAAGAAGAAGCAAAAAAGAAGTTTCGACAAACATGGCAGACGTCGAAATGTTGATACAACCAGGCCCAGTGTTGGACAAAGAAGGAATACCTCAAAAGCTTATGCAGAAGAATTGAAGGTAAGGAGCGGCACTGATAGCCTGTGCAGTCGTGATTACGAGACAGAGCAATCGGTAAATAGGCCTGGCGGTTTTGGAGGATACATTTTGCCGTCAACTTCCAGCGACGGCCCACAAGTGCATCGTTGCTCTCTGGGCACTTTGTCCATGACAGACGGAATGTGTTTTCCACATCCCCACCAGGACACCTTTTCTGCAAGGTCGATGTTAGCGATACCATGCTTTCAGGACGTCACGCTCAGACTTGAACTTACTGCACTTGGGGCAATCTGCACGCATGCACATGTTGGAGTATGACAGCAAACGGGCGAATGTGGCGGAAGGGGAAGAACGGATGGGAGAGGTAGGGGTGGGAGAGCGATGGCTTAAAGCAGGGATCCCTCGAACGCACCGGCAGCATGTCCAGTTAAGGGGTTGAGTGCGTGCATGTGCATGCTGCTTGATAACCAAACGCTTTCTTGGTCGCAATCGCCTCTGTGCTCAGAGTGATGAAGAAAGAGGATTAGGTCGCCGTCCAAGACCCTTTTAGTGTCGTTGGCTGCAGAAGTAGATGCTAGTCGCCTAAACCTTCCCCTCCTCCACGCAGTCGGATATCCAGATGCACAGTTCCTTTGATAGATAGAACGCAGCCTCAACCGAGAGTCGTGATTGAATCAGTTCTCTTTAGACTCAACTGCCATCTGGAAAGAAACGTGCATTGTGATATCTCCAATTGTTCCTGTATGTATGCAGTTGCAGGAGTAGGGCGAAAGACTTCAGCACATGGCAGATCGAGGTTCCCTGGTACCTGGTGAAATTGGTGTGCATAAAAGGGTCTGTGCAACAGGGCATTGAGAGATTATGCATGAAGCTAGACCGAGCCAGGATAGATTGGTTCGGCGTGCATGAGGCCATGGAATTCCTGGTTTTCGACCATATTCAACATCGAAAGCCACGAAGTGTTGTCGGGGCTGTTCTGCATACTGATACCACTGTCGTAGTCTGTACCGTTCTGTTGATTACCAACACTGGCCGACGTGGCAAGAGTGCTTGTACGCAACACTTCTGATGCTACCTTCTTGACTTGTACGAGCACATGTCCCGAGATGGCCCAGTTTCGACTCAGCGATTTGAGCAGTCCGATGATCAGAGTGACTCTGTCACGGTGCTGTTCTGTACCTGCATTGGCACTACAGGCGGACAACTGTACGATGGCGCCGAGGACAAGTCCACAGACGAAGAATGGAGTATGCTTCTGTACTGGAACGCGGACGGCGGCTAAGTTGGAGAGTTCCTTTGATGCATTGGTTGCCTTGACGGAGTGGGAGCGCTGTGTAGATGCAGGCGCCATATGTCTACCTCTCTCCGCGCATACAATGTTCGCGGTGACTGGCAGTGTGTTAAGCAGGTCGCTCCTGGGAAGATGCAGATATATCGTAGCGCAGTGGATGATCATGTGGCCTTGGAAAAGCACCTCGTCGACCATGTTGTAGACATTGACGACATCCGCTTTATCCTGTGGCAAGCCGTGCATCCAGCCAGCCAATGCGTTGTCGACCACTTGGACCTGGTCTTCATTCTGACTTGCTGCGACCGACAAAACTCTAGCGAGTATTCGAGCAGCTTCGATACGGTAAGCGAATGATGAGAAGTGTATATCCTCGTCTGCAAACAACCGCATATCAAACTGTTCGAGAGAGGATGGCTGTGGTAGGCAACCAGCACTCGCATATACCGTCTCTTCACACGGAAGCAAAACTTCTGAACGGACAGTGTTACTTCTGAACGATGGAAGCTTATGAAGAGCCGCTAGATAGCCGTCCATGACATAGAGCTCCCACCACGTCCTTCGAAGACTTTCCTCTAGAATGGCATTGCCATTGCCATGTGCTGTTGCGAAGTTTCTGAGATTCATTCCAAGTTCAATGGCCAAATTGACGGCTGCCTGCATCATCCCTGTGGCGTCCATCGCTTCACCTCGTGCATGTAGAGCAATTGCGAATAACAATCGCGCTTGTACCATGAACGAGGTTTTCTCGACTTCGCTTGCAGGTCCAGTAAGATCTACACACATCCGGAGAGCATCACTCGATACTGACGATGAGTAATGACTTCCGATGAAACGCACGACTTGTCGCAGATACTCGGGATAAGGATGAGTATAGTAGAAACATTTTGGAACCAGAATTGGATGGGCGGCAAAAAAGTTGGAGTAGAACAAATTGACCAGCTCATCCTCATCTACAAACTCACTGACCAGGGATTGCCGATATGATGGTTGTAGGTGTTGATCTGGCGACACTGCAGGCGTCATACCGTAGTTGTTGAAGCCACTCGAGCCATCGTGGACGCTCGAGCTCGCATGGCTTGGGATCGTGGGCGAGGTCCAAACAGATTCTTGGCCAATTGACGCGTTCACACTTGAGCTCTGGTTGTGATGCACAGAAACATATCTGCTCGATGGCTGGCTGTCGTCAGAATCGTGCGTCCGTTTCGTCCCTCTATAACCGCGTCTCGAAGGCGTGTAGTTGCATGGAGTCAGACCTGCAGTGACACAGCGCGTGCAGACAGGCTTCGCGGCGTCGCATTTTAGATGTTTCTGTCTGCAGGCATCGCATGCCAAAGGAGATGGCCGAGCTGTCAAAGTGTCTTCGGGTGCGGTCATGGTCTCTTGGCTCGATTTATTCCTGAGTCGTTGTCGCACAGGCACAGGGTGTAAGTGGCCGCAAATGGTTCGTAAGCATTAGGGTCGAAGGTGATGGGTTTGCCCTGGACGGCGATGTTAATCTGTAAGACGGCGATCTAATCTATTGATTTTTGCTGCGCGGCTTGTCTTCCCGTGTGCAAAGTGTGGCACGCACTTGGGTATAAGATTGCGCGATACTCTCAAGAGACAGAACAGCGTCCATCGAGAAGCAGTGTACTCTACACTGTATTCGTATACGTCTCTGTTTTGGAAAGGAATGTGCTTTCTATATGAATACTCGAGTAGTGAGGACATTGCTCTCCACCTTCCTCAGCGGAGCGTGGGATTCACGAATTAAGCACATGGGGAAGTTGCGGCCTTGGGAGGATGGCTGAATGTTTCCCGCAGTACTTCTCAAGTGTACCTACGAGACATCATACATGCAATATGGGCCATTTCTGTGAGCAGAGTAATTAATTCTATGTATCCAGATAGACGAGTGCTGATGAGTGTATACTCTTTCTATCATCAATTGGCCAGTTATATTTCGAGCTACATCAAAGACGCTTCCGAGATGTGACGTGTACTCGGGCACAGACATGAATGTATGCGAAGAAAAAGGAAAACGTCCTCGTTTGGATATCTTATGGAAAAGGTATAGAGAGTACAGTGTCAAAGATCTATCTGTTGGCAGCCAGTTCCCGTGGTATGCGTTATGTACAGACCGGCCGGCTGCGTCGTTGTAGAAGCGACCCGCCATCTGGAGATGTTTCCGAGAAAGATGCCGTGGTGTACACGTGCATCACAGCTGTATTCGGTGCGAGGAAGGAGGGTTGCTAAAAGGGATTCGGACTGCGTGTGTTTCGGGGGTATGTGTGTCTACTCGTCCTCGGGGTCGGCAAGGATGCCCTCGGCCTCGAGTCTTCTCCTGGCCTCCTCAAGGGCCCATGTTTGAATGCTGTGAAGTAACAGTCAGCTCTACCGCTGTGGTCTACGCAAAGGGCAGAACAAACCTGGTGTCGGGCTTGTATGCGTAGCCGATGATGCCGAAGGCCAAACTGCCAAAGAAACCCCAGTAGAACACGTTCTCCCAGCCCTCCTCCTTGTACTTCTCGCCCGGCTTGACGCCGAAGAGGACACCGCCCGGAGGATCGTAGTGGTCGTCGTGTGAGGCGCCGCCGCGCAGTTGTTGTGTGGTGGAAAGAGCTCGGCGCGCGATGAGGGATCGAGGGGTCGAGGTGAGAGCCAACTGGGCGGCGCGGCTCGAGAAGGCGGTTGGTCGTATCAGAGGCATGGCGGCAAGTGGTGTGTGTTCTTGAGGGTGGCTCAATGGCTACAGTTGATGACCGTCCGACCTCAAGCCTGCCGCCCGCTCGCGACGTCGAATGCCAAGACACGAGCCCCGGATGGGCTTCACCATTCGCTATTGCTTGGCAATCTGATCGCTCTTTCGTTCTGACCATTCTATCTCTGCGAAGGGACGCAGTCAAAAAGTTAGGACAGGGAGTCAACGGACAAACTGTAGTCAGTCTGTATCAGTGGCATACACCGCTGAGATTGAATGACGAATTGGAGCAATTGATCAAATAAGACAAATTCATCTTTGCACCCGTATACTACCTGTGAAATTCTATATACACTCCTCCAATGTCCTAAATTTCTGAAGTACCCAACACTCCCTCATAGGGTCTGAGTGTGATGGTACCGCTCGTGGGCTTATCCGGCTGGCCAGCAGTATAATTTCCAGCCACCCAGTTCTTCACCTTAGCTGTCTCAGGAATCTGCCACTTGACTTCATCACCGGAGAAGTTCAAGGCGAGAACGAATGCTTCCTTCTCACTTGCTCGCTTGTACGCAAACACCTTCTTGTCATTCTCATCAAGCACTTGGAAGTCTCCATACACGAAGACCTCCTTGTGTTCCTTTCTGTTGGCAAGACCTCTCTTCCAGAATTGCAGGACAGAAAGCTTGTCAGGATCATCCTGCTTGCGCTGGGCCTCTGCGTTGATTTGCTTGTAATCGGCATTGACGCGCATCCAAGGTGTAACACCCTCCTTGCAGAATCCAGCATTGGGCTCTGCAGACCATTGGACTGGGGTGCGTGAGTGGTCGCGAGCTTTTCTCTGCATTACATGGCGTGCAAAGTCCAGTTTTTCTTTGTTGTTCGGGTACATGTTGTTCATCTTCTTCCAGTAGTTGATGGTCTCGACATCCTTGTATTCCTCGGGATCCCATTCTGCTGGTACGTTGCGCATGCCAAGCTCTTGACCTTGGTAGACGTACAGTGTACCGGCAAGCGTGGTCATCATGAGGCAGAGGAGCTTCGCAGCCAACTCGCCTTGTTGAATAGAAGAAGGAGAGGAGGAAGAAGGAGGAAGGGAAGGAAAATACCTATCGCACGATCGAGGGTTGTCATGATTCTCTATGAAGAGACTGTTCCATCCGTCCTTGTCGATCATCAGGCGTTGCCAGTGGGAGAAGATTTTGCGAATTTCGTCGGCTTCCCAGTCACGCAGGGTCATTCTGTACTTGCCAATCTCGTTGTCAATGTCGACTTGTTCGAAGATGAAGATCATGTTCAATTCCTTCTCGTCCTCGCGGACAATCTTGAGAATTTCGTTTTCGTCTCTGACGAAAGGCATCTCGCCGACGGTGATTGTGTCGTACTTGTCGAGGACTTCTGCTCTCATAGTCTTCAGCCACTCGTGAAGACGAGGTCCATTGCAGTAGTACTTGTAGCCTGGCTGATACTTGTGATCAGGGGCAACAATGTCGGCATCGGGGAAAGTCTGGACTTTGGAGATGTGGTTGATGACATCCATACGGAAGCCTGAACAACCACGGTCCAGCCAGAAGCGCAGCACATCGTGAACTGCTTCACGAACATCGGGGTTCTCCCAGTTCAAGTCAGGCTGTTCGGCGGTGAAGAGAGATAAATAGTACTCGTCTGTTTTCTCGTCATAGGTCCAGGCACTGTTCTCTTCGCCCAGAATCATCGACCAGTTGTTAGGAGGTTGACGGGTGCCGTCCTTGTCGTACTTGGCAGGCCTCCAAATGTACCAGTCACGCTTGCTGGACTGCTTCGAAGAGCGAGAGTCGAGGAACCAGGCGTGCTGGTCAGAAGTGTGGTTGACAACCAAGTCCATCATCAGTCTCATATCTCTCTTCTTGAGCTCACTGATGAGGTGATCAACATCCTCGAGACTGCCATATACGGGATCGATGTCCTTGTAGTCCGCCTACAGATTATCAGTCGATCGTCGAATATGACAACCATCGATCCACTTACGATATCATATCCCATATCAGCCTGAGGACTCTTGTAGACTACAGAGAGCCCAAATCAGTAATTGTACACCCGGCCTTCTACAAACACTCACTCGGCGAAAGCCATAGCACATCAACACCAAGATGCTTCAGATAGTCCAGCTTTGAAGTGATTCCAGGAATGTCGCCCCAGCCAGGTCTAGTACCTGCACCAGAGTCTAGGAACGAAGCAGGATACACCTGTTTCATATCAGTCTTCTGTCTCTCGTAGATTCATGCAGTTGAATACTTACCTGGTACACGATTGCCTCCTTCCACCACCGCTGCTTGTTGATACTGCTGACCTCACACATCGTTTCTGACTGGAAAGTTGTATACAAAATATGAATAGAAGACAGGTTGAGAAGATGAGGGCTTTGTGTTGAACAGGTAGTATCGAGTCCCCCACATATCGCCTCCCCGCTATTTTCCTCCCCCAAAAGTCGACTTCGTCATTGACGTGTGGACAACGTGACAACTTGCAGCATCTTTCAACCTCAATATCACAGAGTACCATCATATCACTTGGCCTTTCATGTCCATACTGTCTATCTTCATGACCTAAAGGACATGGAGATGACGGCGTCTTGAATCACCAGAATACATGTGTCATGATTCTCATTGGGCTGATAACAACGACGAAAGTGCATTATGATTGATTGGAACAAGATACCATCCGTCGAGAAATTCTCACGCCTAGCTACCTTTGGATACATCTTTAGTTTAGATCCTCCTACACTTTTCTATACACACTTCATTTGTAGCAGGGTGGGAGACCCGGACTTTGACAGCCATATAATTGAAGCCATAGGCTTGCGTGGTTCACAACAGATGGTGAACATGTCCAGAGAGAGTCGGCGACATGAAAACTCTTGACAGATGCTTACTATGTATCGCAAGACTGCACGAATTTGTGCACAGTCCTGAGGAAGGAACGAGAGGCTCTAGCACATGTCAGAGATCGGAACGACTGCCTATTTAGTAAATGTCCGCTCGGCATACCTTCCCCAGCAGTTGTATCGACTCTGTTGAGAGGCTCCGCCCACCAAAAATTGTTATCAAGGTCTTTGATTTCCATGGGTGACTCCACAATGTAGTCGAGAGTATGAAGGTAGGCCGACGACGAAGTGTGTCAGAAAGGAAAACTCATAAAGACAGTTCATGACCGAGTGTCGAATCAAGTCTTTCCTTCGTCATTGCCTTTTCAGACACCACTTCCAATTCGACCCTCTTCCAGTCCTGATCGTTGAGCTCATAGCGACAATTTCTTCTAATATCTGTTCACAATCACGAATTGAAGACTCGGCGATTTAGAAGAGGTCCTTTCCCTGATAGAATAACATATATATCGCTTGCTCTACCGAGCCGCAACACAATGCAGGCAATAACCATGCGCCTCCCGGCGCCCTACATCTTCTGCTCAATCCTCATCTCGATAGGAGGCCTCCTCTTCGGCCTCGACACTGGCTGTATCGGTCCCATCACTACGATGCCTACTTTCCTCGACTCATTTGGCCCGCTCTCCTCGACTATCCACGGTATTTTGGTCTCATCAATCCTGATACCGGCATCCTTGACTTCTTTCTTTGCCGGCAATGTCGCAGATCGCATGGGTCGTATCAGAACTTGTTCTATCGGTGGCTTGGTATTTGCAGTGGGAACTGCATTGGAAGCAGCTGCTCAGAACCTTGCCATGCTGTTTGTGGGTCGCTGCATCACTGGTGTGGGTGAAGGGCTGTTTCTCAGTACACTTGTAGTGTATGTGTGCGAAATCGCTCCTGCTAGACAAAGAGGCGTATTGGCTAGTGTGCAGCAGTTGCTGGTCACCATGGGTATCGCAGTGGGCTACTTTGTCTGCTATGGCACTGTACGAAGCTCCGCCACGAGTTTCAGCTGGAGGTTTCCTTTTGCTTTGCAGAGTTTCCTTGCTTTCACTTACGCAGTATCCGCGTTCTTCTTCTTGCCAGAGTCACCCAGATGGCTCAAGACTAAAGGCAGAATGGACGACTCACACGACGCATGGGAGAAACTAGGAATCGCCGATGCCGAGCGTGAGAAGGATGAGCGGAGCAACCAAAACTTGACGGTGCAAGAGCCAGAGAGCCTGGCATTAACTCCCATCCGCTCACGCCAAAGCATACACTCCGCCCACCAGACCTCCTGGCTCGCCGTTTTCGCAAAAGACGTCCGCAAACGCACTTTCCTAGGTTGCTTCCTGATGGGGATGCAGCAGCTCTCCGGCATCGACGGTGTACTCTACTACGCACCCCTACTCTTCCAACAAGCAGGTCTGAACTCGTCCACCTCTTCTTTCCTCGCCTCTGGAGTTTCAGCATTACTCATGTTCCTCATCACCATCCCCGCTTTCATCCTCGCAGATAAATGGGGTCGCAGGACCTCGACGCTGGTGGGCGGTATCCTTCTCAGCAGCACAATGTTTCTCATCGGCGCTTTGTACGCATCCGGCGTCGTCCACGGCTCCCACGGCGCCGCCCGCTGGATCGTAATCATCCTCATCTACATCTTCGCACTAACATACTGCACAACCTGGGCCGTGGGCATCAAAATCTACGCTTCGGAGATCCAACCGCCGAAAACTCGGGCGCCTGCAACAAGTCTTGCGCAGAGTTCGAATTGGGTGGTTAATTTTGTTGTTGCGTTTACCACGCCTGTGTTTTTGCAGCGCTCGAGTTCGGGCATTTACTTTATGTTTGGGGCGGCGAGTTTGTTGACGGTGGTTGTTTGTGCGACGGAGATGCCGGAGACGAAGGGCAAGACTTTGGAAGAGATTGATGGGGCGTTTGAGCATGGTGGTGAGGATGGGCAGCAGAAGCGTTCGGTGGGGAGGAGGGCAGTGGGCTTGTTGAGGAAGTGGCAGCGTGGTCGTCTCGGTCAGCGTGGGGCGCCTGTCGATAACCATGAGATGTAAAGGCTAGGACGAGCAGAGAACTACGACATAGATTGGCATTAGAATAATACTGAAGTGATACTATAGTGATATAGAGACTAGACAATAGAGTAATCAGAATACTGCATTTTGCTTATCGGCCCTGATCTTGTTAATGAATAGTTATTCTGATACGATGCACTCCATCCCCTGGCCATCTTCCATCCTCCTCCAAACTAGCAAATTCTATGCTCAGGAGGTCTCCAAGGCACCCCCAACGCCTCAAAAATCTTTCTCTCATCCCTCCCCTCCACAAGCGTACCCTCACTCAACTTCTCCCTACCATAATCCCTCAACACATCCTTGTAGAGTCCGCGCTGATTCAACCTCATACCCTTCTTACTAGCCAACAACCTCATACTGCGATTGAAAATGTCATTGCCAGTGAAATAGAGTAAAGCAGCTCCCAACTCTGCTTCAGGCACAAGTAGAAAGTCAATGCGACGCCAGATTTTGCTGTGAGGCAAGCAGGAAGCACCGTGCCATTTCGTGCCGTCTGCTTGTGAGGTTTGGGCGAGTGCTGCGACGAGAAAGTTTTGGGTGGTGAGGAGGGGGACGAGGCGGTCCATAACCGTCGTGCGGATCTCGTCGATGGAGGCTCCGGGCTTGGTGATGAGGAGATCGATGTCGCCCGAGTTTTGGGCGCCGCGGCGGTAGGAGCCCATGGTGTAGATTGTGTAGATTTTGTCTAGGCTTTTGAGTGCTTTGGTGACTGTGGTAGCATGCTGCTCGACTTCGGCGCGAGGGATGCGGGTGTTGAAGTCGTCGTAGTGGGCGACTCCGATGCGTTGGTTGTCGGTCAATTCGGCTTTTTGGAGCAAGTCGTCGAGTGTCTTGTGACCTGCACTGGCCCAGCGCTCAGCTGCATGTATACCCACACCATAGATCTTCAGAAACTTGTTGAGGATCTGCTGACGCTCGTCCATCTTGGTGGAGTCAAGTTTGCGCAGATGAGATGTGCGTACGATCTCCTCAATCTTTTCTGCTATCGAGGTACCGATACCAAATACACGCATTCCTTCTTCCTTGGTAGTGACCTTGGTTGGATGTTTTCTCAAGGCGGAGATTGCTTGACGGTAGGACTTTGAGCGCCATGGGTCGCGGGTTTGGTCGTAGTAGTCGGCCAATTCTTGCAGGACGGACAGCGTCTGAGCGTTCGGACCTTGATCGCCTTTACCGCCAGTGTGTTTGTGCATGCACGTGAACTTGTCTTGCCAGCTGCTGGTCTTGCGTCTCTTATGACGATTACCATCTTCTTCATCGTCAGAGGCAAGGGGGTGTGACTCTTTGGCCTCCCTAATGGCCGATTCGAGCTCATCCTCGTCCTTGCTCTTGGCTTGTTGCTCGTCGTTGTTGATGGGCGAGAGTGAAGCTAATAGTGATGCTGCAGAAGACGCCAGGTTGGAGCTTGCCTCTGGCTGAGGTGTCAATTGCGAAGACGAAGCTGCAGCAGCTTTTCCTTTCGCAGGCTTGAGTTTCAGAGACACATCGGACACCTGGGATGGAATTGCCTGGGGTTGTACTGCTGTGATGGGAGCTGGCAGTTCGTAGCCCTTGACTCTGAATTCAACGCTTGATGGGTCCACCAGCTTGTAAAACTCCATACATGACGATGGGTAGTTCTCATTGACCAAGATAACAGCAGTCTATTCTTGTCAGCTGGGTTGTTCATATCTGAAGGCAAGTGTGAGAGCAACTAACAGGAAGTTCCCTCAGCTTGAGGTATGTTAAGAGCTGCGGGTAATCATACTCGCGATCAGTAATGATGTGAGTGACACTATCGTTGAATTCGTTTTGCCAAGTTGCGCCATACTCCAAAGCTCTGATAATCCTTTGTCTGCGACCAGGGTGTGTATCGCTGTTTGGAAAGAAGTCTAGAACATCAGTGTCTGAGATGAGTAGTGTGTGCATTCCTATGACTTACAGAAATGGAGGTTCTGAAAGATGCGTTGTGGTTCTGGGACAATTTTGATCTCAGCAACCTGCTTACCCTTTCTTTTCTTATTCTTGATCATAGGGATGGCCGAAGAGGCAGACGGAGCAGACGAAGAAGGCGGCATTGTGACCGCAGGTCTATCGAGTGCAGGTACTCCAATTATAGTGTGATGATGTTGTAATGTAGGAGGAGTATCTTTGACGATTGAATTAGATGTGCTGAGCTCTTCCAAAAGCTCAAGAGGTCTCTTAGTCCTCCTCGGGTTAGAAGTTTGTTGTGAAGGCTGTGGCAGAGGTAAGTTCATGTTTGAGACGGAGCGTGCAAAGCTGCCTGGAGTTCTGCCTGGTGTACGACGCGAGCGCGAGAGCAAAGTGGTTGGGTCACCGAGAGTCCTGCCCTTGACCTTCTGGAATGACTCTGCTAGACCCTCATCTTCAGCCTCGTCGCCCTCATCATCTAAGGCATACAATGCATCGAAAGCGACTTTCTTCCTCGCGGCCGCATTCTGATGATGCTGAGCCGCGATAATGTTGATTACTGCTTTGCATGGTGAAGAAGACATTTGATATATATGCCGAGTATCCTTGGTACTCCTACCCAAAGACGAGCAATACTATCGGTACGCAGTTATGACAGTCTCACAGATAGTCGCAATAATTCCCATCATAGTGACTGTAGTGGTTCGATGGAGGGCGTGAGGCAACCTTGGTGAGCAGCTCGGAGGTCATCGATCTCCGCAATCCGGGCTACAAATCTCGAGATCGCCCATCTTCTTGTCTGCCACTCTTGCCTTTTTGGATTCGGAAACCAGGACTTCAGCAACAATGTCAATCAACGCACCGTCATTATCGTGTTTGCGAGTGCTGCGAGCACTGGTCACACCAAACAGCAACCAACTCTGCACCTCAGCAACACGCAACTATGCCACCAAACCGACATCACCATCCGCCGCAACACCAACCAAGCCCTTAGCATACAAACCACGCGAAAAGGAGAATCCAGACGAGGATCCGGTACCGAAACCACTAGTACGACCCATCGGGCTGCCACATCCACCACGAGCAGGTGAGAACACCGGCATCGACGATCGCAGCTGGAAAGAACGCAGAGATGACTTTACAAATTACGACAAGCATCTCGTGCGTCGCAAGAAGCTCAGCGATACACTATACCGCCCTTATTTCCGCGACTTTAGCGCTATGCGTCACTTCAAGGGAAAGACGTTCTTGTCTCCTCAATCGGTCTTCAAGGCTGAACATGCCCTCTGGTTCCCCAACTTGCGTGGTCGCACTCTGGAAAAGGACTTGACCAAGAATGCCGAGAAGAAGGATTTGGTAAAAGCATTGAAGGGCAAAGTCAGCGTCGTCGGTATCTTCTCGTCCGGCTGGGCAGAGAACCAAGTCGCGACTTTCTGTTCAAAGGAGAAGAACCCGGCATTGCACGAGGTGCTGGAGCAAGAGAGGCAAAGAGGCAAAGCAGGGCTTGGTCAATTGGTAGAGATCAACCACGAACCCAATGCGCTCAAATGGTGGATCCTACGAGCCTTTGCGGGTAGATTGAGGGCTCTGCGACCCCAGCAGGACTGGTCCAAGTACTTCTTGATCAGACGCGGCGTCGAAGACGACATCCGAGAAGCCATTGGTCTGTTGAACAGCAAGGTTGGCTACGTCTACTTGGTCGACACCGAGTGCAAGATTCGCTGGGCTGGCAGTGCCATCGCTCACGAGCTGGAGCAGGAGAGCTTGGTCAGGAACCTGAAGAGAGTCCTGGCCGAGGCAAGAAAACCAAAAGAGTCACCAAAGAGCGAGCGGGTTGACAGTCTTGTCGAGGCGGCCACTCCTCAACAAGTTCAATGATTATACCCTGATACAGAACCCATGACATAGCAAAAATGTTTTCCCCTCCCAATGCCCATCAACTCCTGAACTCCTTGCAGTGACTTGTCTACCAAAAGTACATGAAAATCAAGAAGCAAAAGGCAATGAAACTGCCCATGATTATACCATCCCGCCTCTTCTTATTGCCTATCCTGCCAATCAGGCTGTTGATGCCAGGCACTTGGCTGGCTGCTCCAACTATGCGACGGTTGATGCTGGTGAGCGTCTCCCTCTGGATACCAAATTGCTCGTTGATGGCGTATGCCTGTGTGAGAACGGTGTCTGTCATGTTGTGACTGTTGTCTATGCGACTGCGCTCGTCTAGCATGTAGTCTGCCTCTGCTTGCTCGGGGTTTTGTGCACGGTAGGCGTTGATGTCATTGCGAACGTTGGACAGGAGGTTGGCGCGGTCTCGTTGGTGACCGATGTTGGACTTGAGCTTGTTCAGCTCTCGGCGGTGTTGGTCTAGGACTTCCTTGTGACGGGCTAGATTCGTAGACTTCATGGCGGAGGCGGTAGGGTCCGAGTCGAGTAGGCGCGAGAGTTGGGAGATGAGGGCTGATCGCTGTCAGGCATCAGTCTTATTGAGTGAGAATAGATGGGATTTGAGCGGAATACCCTCTCGAGTATGTCCTGGAGTTGCGCTTCTGTTCGTTTTTCATCCTCGTCGGGTTTGGCGGGGATGTTGCTCATGGACGCATACTGAGAGTAGGTGTGGAATAGGGCATCTGTCTGGACGGTGTTAACTTATTGCTGGAAGACGTAGAGTCATAAGAGCAAGCACCTGCGTCTCGAGAGAGCGAGCCTGTTGTCGCAGTTGTGCCCAGCTGCCAGATCCAGAGGAAGCCATTTTGGTAGAGTTGGAATTAATGTACAAGTGGAAATAGCCAGGTTCGAGGTGACGCTCTTCACGTGCGAGTCGCGACTGCCCGTTGCGTAAAGTGGCTGGATTTATGCAGACAGAGTTATGCAAGAGCCGGAGCAAGTCGTCGAAGTCACGTGGCCGAAGGGCTCTCACGCCAAGGCCGGCCCCGTCTAGCGGCGTCCGTCCCACACCGTGCGAATTTGCGCTTTCGTTGATTGACCGAACTTCACACATTTTCGATCCACCGTCGACCTCATCCTACTAACTCACAGCGAAAATGGTGCGCGCCCTCGTCATACGTCCTCTCTGTCACGTCGGAATGCTGACGGAATACATCGCAGTCGTCCGCTAAGGTCAAGGCTAGCCAGCTCTGGAGCAAGAACAAGGATGAGCTCAAGACTCAGCTCGAGGAGTTGAAGGCCGAGCTGGTCCAGCTCCGCACCCAGAAGATTGCCGGTGGTGCCCAGAGCAAGCTCACCAGAATGTACGACTGATCCTCCCGCACCCCGAATCGAATATCAAGAAAGAGATGGAATCATTGGATCCGAAAAAACATCGAAAAGACACATGCACCCACGCACACACACGAACCTCGCGACTCCACAAGAAGAAATTTTTCTGACATTCATTCTGCCTATAGCCATGATGTCCGCAAGTCCATCGCTCGCGTCCTGACCATCATCAACATCAACCAGCGCTCGCAGCTGCGCATCTTCTACAAGAACAAGAAGTACCTTCCCCTCGACCTCCGCGCAAAGCAGACCCGTGCCATCCGCAGAAGATTGAGCAAGGAGGATGCCTCGCGCGTCACCGAGAAGCAAAAGAAGAAGCAGACCCACTTCCCCCAGAGAAACTACGCCGTCAAGGTACGATAAACACTTCCTCTTCGACAAGCACGTCAGGCTCTTGTACTGACAATAGCTTCCTTCCAGGCCCAATAAATGGTTTCGCCCAATCTCTTCCGACTCGCTACTTCCCCCTTCCCACGACCATAGTGGAGATTCCTTTTTTCTTGGTTTCCGGCGAAATGGCTCTCGAGGACACGGGTTTTATCGCACTTCCGACTTGTTAGCCCAGAATGTAGCCAGCATCCAAGACTCAACCTTAAAAAGTTTCGCGCGCGCAACTTGATCGGCGTTGAAAAGAATGACAAGCTGGGGTTACTCAAAAAGACCAAAATGATCCAAATGTTTTTTTACGCAAAGAATATTCTCGTCTTCACGTCCGCGACAACGTGCTTCTGTGACAGGTCGGCGCCGCCTTCGATCTTCCGACAACAGGGTGATTTAAGGTCTTCTCGCATTGAATCCTTTGACGACGGCGTACATGGATGTTTGTTCGAGTCTGAGAGCATCACCAATCATGCTATCGATGCTCGCAAACCATCGTAACATTTGACTGGACTGTCGCCATATCCGACTTTGGCTTGAGTACCCGCGAATCGTAACCACACTGTTGGTGCTGATAAATCATTGTGATACCACTCGTATTATCTTGTTGGTATGCCTTGAAGAGTTGTTCTCACGTAGAGCCGTGGTGCTTTGACCTCGCCAGAACAATGACCCTAATTTTCGATCTGTTCGTCATCTCTGTTTGGGATATCTAGACATCGTCAACAGTCTCTCTTTGCTCGTGATCCTCTATTATGATTAATCCATCGACGCTCATACACCACCATAACAACATTTGTGTCATTCTGATAGTGGATTACAGCCACTTTAAGGATTGTCTCATGTTTTAATAACGGAACAAAGTCCGTCTATTCTCTCAAATCTGCAGAAAAGTATCTATGGTATCAAAACAAAATCTACATGCCAGCCATCTCCTCATCAGCATCAGCAACTTCATCATCCTCATCAATACCATCCCACTCATCCTCCTCATCATCTTCCTTGCCCTCCTCAGGCGGAGGACCCAAAACCTGACATTGGGCCTCGACCAACTCCTCAGTATGCTGCTTGAGTCTCTCATCCTCATACTCCAAGACTTTGTACAGTCTAAGCGTATTCAACAACCAACTCCTACTCGCCTTGAGCATGCCCAACACCTCTTTAGCCTGCTCAGACTGCTCATCATTCACCGCGTCTCCAGCAACAGCTTTCTTCTTATCCGCCATCAACTGCAAACACCAACCCCCCAGATAACAAGCTTCAACACTCTGATCGTCTTCCAACGCCAGCCTCTCGAGCACATCCATAGCCTCATCTTCCATATCTGCTTCCATGAGCAAGCGCGCCAGACTGACGCGAGTGGGGAAATCAGGGACGCTGGGGTCGGAAGGGTCGAGGTCTTTCCACATGCTGATGCTGCGGGTGAGTGCTGCGCGCGCATCGTCGGGTTTGAGTTGCGAGAGGCGGACGGAGGCGAGGGTTTGGAGGACTTCGGGGTTGGAGGGGTCGACGAGCATGGCTTCTGTTATGAGGGCTTCGCAGCGTTGTTCGGCGTCTGTTTCCCATCTGTGGAAAATCGTCATCTTAGCAATCGTGTTCTTCTTGTTGTGTTCTTGGAGCAAAAACTTACGACAAATCAGTCATGTAGACTTCGACGACACCACACAAAGCATTAGCAAGCTTCCCCCTCTTCTCCAGCAACTGCACTTCGACAGTCTCATCCACATCACCCACCGCAGCCTCCAACTCTGCAATCTCCCTTTTGAGCACCGCAGCGCCCTTCTCAAACCACCCCACACTGCTCGCACCACCCTCCTCGCACAACTGCGCCATCCACAAAAACTTTTCCGCACCGCCGCCCACAGCCTCTGGGATGCTGCCTTCGGGATCCGCAGCCACAGCTTGCAAAAAGTAGTCGCGGGCTGCATCTGCGTCGCCGAGCTCAATGCAGATTTCTCCGAGCAGGTTCAGGGCTGGGAGGACGGCGTTGGGGGTTTTGAGACGGCGGACGGTGACGAGCAGGGTTTGGGCGTGTTGGAGGGCGAGGTCTGGTTGAGAGGTTGAGATGCATTGGATTGCGAGGTCGTAGAGTTGTTCGGGGGTTTCTTGGGGTTTGGAGGCAGAGCTCTTGGGGCTCTTTTGGGATTTTGTTTTGGCCATGGCTTGTGTCTTGTTGCTTTGGTAGCTTCTGTGTCGATGGGTTTGACGGTTGTCCAAGGGTATATCTGTTGCTGGCGCTTTCTTCGAGTCGCGCGGGGTGTATGCGATGCTGTAGAGTCAAATGTACAGACCAGGCTGGTTCAGTATGTTGCAAAGACAGAAGAAAGAGCAGCGGTGTGTGATGAGAGAAAGAAATGCCCTTTTCCGCTACGCGCGCGCTGCTCCAAAAAATCTCCAAGCACAGACACTCGAAGCCGACGTCAATTGTCCGTTTTGTTTCGCGAACTCACGGCCAGCGGGCCCGCAATTGCACAAGCTGAACATTCATCTTTCCAGTCAACCACCACCGAGTCACTCAACATGGGCAGAGAAGAACAAACAGAAGAGCGCGAAGTCCTCGACTCCATCTTCCCCGACGAAATCACCGGTTCGTTTTTGACTCGCTCAGCATACACCCATCTCCAACCACTGACCACACAACCAGACATCTCCGAAACCGAATACCGCGTATCCATCCTCCTCGAAGTAACCGAAGATGACGACTCCACCACCGAACCCCCAACTCTCATCCTCTCAGTCTCATACCCCGAAGACTACCCAGACGTCGCTCCACGACTAGACCTCTCAGCCCCACCAAACGCTCCCAAACACAAACACCTCGATATCCAAGATGACAAGACAAAACTGCTAGATGGCTTGACCGAGACGATCGAGGAGAACCTGGGCATGGCTATGATCTTCACCCTCGTCACCACCCTAAAAGACGAAGCCGAGTCCCTGATCCTGCAACGCCAACAAGCAGTCCAAGCAGAAAAGGACGCCGCCATCGCCGAAGCAGAAGCAGAAGAAAACAGGAAATTCGAAGGCACAAAAGTCACCATCGAGACATATCTGGATTGGAGCAGAAGGTTCAAAGAGGAAATGGCAGAGGCAAAGAAAAAGGCAGAGGAACAGAGGGAGGCTGAGGAAAAGAAGAAAAAGGGTGCAAAGGAAGAGAAGAAGATGACGGGGAGAGAGCTCTGGGAGAGTGGGATTGCGACTAGGGCGTTTGTTGACGAAGACGATGATGGTGCTGATGCGCTCGAGGCCATGAAGAAACTCAAGGTCGAGGCGTGAGCATCGCTGTCATCTAATGACGAAGAAGAAACAGATGGAGCTGCACCGCCATTTCAGCTCGAGCATGCCTCGCGAAGGCAGACTGGACTGTGTCAACACCACCCTCCTCGACTGCTGCAAGGTTGGGCCTTTGAAAAGTGGACATCGGCTTGCTGCAAAATTCTCCCTGCAAAGCTGTATAGAAATCTGCTAATGTATATAGAAAAACATTGGAACAGCAGAGGAGAAGCCGAACCACAATTGACGACCGTCATGACATCTTTCTTGCACGTTTCACCCATCCAAAAAGAACTTGCTGCGTGACAGAACTTGAGCCAAGATTGCCTCTGAACAACACCATCGCCCCGCGCCGCAGTATGCTTGCTATCTACAGCTTCGAACGTGTGTGAGACTTTGTGCACAAATGCCATGACCAATCACTCAACGCCCAAAAGAGGTGAGATACAGGTTTTCAGTGTGTGTATGCATAAGATCGGACAAAACTAAAAGATACATCCATACGAGGCATCAAGCCGCATTCATGAAAGAAAAAGCCACCAGGACTTTTGATATCGACACGACAAAAAGGCCAAGTCATCCATCATCAAAAACCATCTCATCTCATGCTCCATGCTTAAGCAGAAGCATCCTTCAACACATCAAACTGCCCATCATTGCTCACCCCCTTATCCTTGGGAATACCAGCATCACCGGCACTCTGCTGCGCATTCCTCGCCAAATCATTCACAGCCTGACGGCCCGGATCATTCTTACCACCGATATCAGTGGTGAAGCTTGCATTAGGCGCAGAGGCATCAATGTTTCCTTCAGTGATGTTTTTGCCATGGGGGTGTTGAGCCGCAGCGCCTGATGTGCCAGAAGAAGAGTCAGCGGTGGTGTTTCTCGCGAGATATGATGATGTGGCAGCAGGTCCACTGCCAGCGCCATTCCCCACGATTCCTCTGGCCGAGTTGAGTTGCGCTTCTTCGTTCCAGCCCTCGAGTGCCTGTCTGGCTTCTGCGTCTGGGGCCGCTTGCAGCACTCGAGCGCCAGAGGTGTCGCTGTTGTTTGTGGTGGTGGAGGCAGAGGGTTGGGAGGATGCTGCTGCGTGGCTGCCTGCGCCGCCGAAGGAACCATTGGAGGATAAAGATTCGGCGGCCAGAGAGTCCGAGGTGATTGTTCCTGCTGACTCGACTTTGGGGTGAGAAGTACCTTGGGGGTCGTTGGTGACCTGTGAGGATTGGGGAGTTAGAAGGGTGTGGTTTCGGAGGGAGATGGTGAGGAGGGGAAAGTTTTACCTTTGTTCCTTGAGAAGACATGATTTGATATTATGTGTGTAGAAAAGGTTCTTGATGGATTTATTGAACGGTTGTTTTTGTATGAGATCAAGATGAGAAAGAATGGCTTCACTATGCTGCCTTTTTGTTCCTGAGAGCTTCTCATCAGCTACCTCATCTTCGAGGTATCATCATGGCGACGTAGCCAGGTAGCTCTCTTCGACATCCTTGCGGAGAGTTTGAGCCCATGCGATTGGCACACCTTTTTGCGACATGTGCTGCAAGTTGATCGTGATCGTTCTTACATCACCGGAGCTTCAACCCCTCCTAACCCTTGTACAGAGTGCCCCGCACCGTGCACAAATGACATGGGTGATTGTTGGAAACAGTGGCACTTCGTCGGACTGACTGTCTGGGACATTCTTCATACCTGCAATAAGAGTCCTCAAGGACAGGAAGTTGCGGGTTTCATGGCTGTCGCTAGAACTTACTCGATGCTTGTGGTTCGAATAAACATCCAAGAGCCTCTTTCTGACCCACTCCGCCCACTTCCGAAACGTCAAGTTCGCCGCAAAAAACGTGTTGCAAACCCTCTCTTCAAACCACTCCACTTCTCTCGTGTTGCAAAGAATTTAGCTGGAAAGAACGTTGAGCCTCAGTCCGATTGTTGAGGGTAGAGACCTATTTCGCCGACCGATGCAGTAAATGCTTGAGATGATCTTGCTGTCAAGAAAAATGAGGCTCCACAAGAAAGCACGCACGTCACACGAGCAAGACCAAACACGATCTTGAAGATTTTCGAAAAAGTTGGTACATTGAGTTCATTTTCATTCTCCCAAGCATTGCTGAAATGCTCATTCGTGATTAATCGGCCATGCTGTAAGACGGATCCAATAGAATGCCTTGCGCGCTCGTTCGCAAGGAGGTATGGTGTAAATAAAAGTACATAGAATGGTTCATTCCTTCATTGCAAGCCAGTTGATTCCGAAGCGCCCTGCGCCAGGAATTATCAAAAAGGCTGCGTAATTGAAAAATGGAAAGTCGTCAAAAGGGTCAAGCCCTTTACGAGGAAGCGCTGGAGGGGTCGTTCTTGGGGTAACCGTAGTCCTTGTTGGTGGTGTCGGAAAGACCGGCCTTGCCCTTGGCCTCGCGGGTGACAGCGTCGTTGGGGATGCCAGAGAGACCATCCTTACCCTCACGGCCAACACCCTCACCGAGGGTGGCATCAGCGCTGCGGGCAGTGCTGTCACCAGTGGCAGGCTCGCGGAGAGCGTCGTTGCCGTGAGAGATGCCCTCGGAGAAACGGCCAGAGCCGACATCGACAGTGCTGGGGTCCTTGGAGTTGAAGTCAGACTTGGCGGGGGGAGCCTCAGGCTTGGGGAGGTTGCTGCGGCGCTCCTCAATGAGGTCGGCCTTGTTCTGGTCGGCCTGGTCGACGATGGACTGAAGATATGTTAGTAGATATTCTTGTATATGGACCACATGAGATGACTAACCTGCATGGCAGCAGCGTTGGAGTCGGCAGCGACGTTACCGCCGTGGGCCTTGGAGTCACGCTGCTCCATCTTGCGGACGTCCTCCTTGGTGTAGTGGAAAGTCTGCTCGGTACCGGACATGTTGATGGTGTTGTGGGTGGTGGTAAAGTTGAAAGGAGTAGTTTAGTGGATGGAATGTAGATTTTGAAATCGTTTGAGATGTAAGATGAATAACAAAGAAAACCTCAGAGCATGCGAGAGAGTTCATATTTGAACTCATTGTCGAGCTCAATTGCAAAAAGTTGTTATGACGTTGACTTACATCATGTAGTGGGGCGTCAGCATCAACTGCGTGCAATTTTCAGAAATCAGAAACTCGTCGAACGCCAGGATGCCAATTAGGCGGACTGTGCACACCACAGCATCATCCGATCCATCGTGGATACCAATTTCGTCGACGTTGGTGGTGAAGCCAAGGCGTTACAGCTCCACTGCATCGGAGTCGCAACTCTTGCAAGCCCTGCAAAATTCGCGATGGAGGATTCAGTCACCTCGCACATCACATTGCGATCAACGGCCTGCAGTCGGCTCTACTTGATACAAGCTGTTTTCGAGTAGGTGCTCTTGGGTTGTTCCAAGGAAAAAATGACGCAACTGTAGCAATAGAACCAACACTCACCTGGACTTGATATTCGGAAGTTGCGCATCCCCTCGGCAACATTTTGCCCGTTTTGGTAGGTGTATACTCATATTTTCAATGCTGCTCTGGTTTCAAGTGATCCTTTTCGTAGAAAATGCATCGATTTTAGGAGCTTGTGGTGCTGTGAATGTAACCCGGGATACGCACGTTGAGCGGAGGAAAATCAAGTAGTCGAACCATTCGAAGCTGCGCATGTGATGATAGCTGTCGTAGGCTACTTTGGCAAATCATGCCTCATACAGCATAATCGCGTAACGAATTAACTCAGCTTAGAGACTGTCGATTAGACTACGAAATGAGTGTTGTACGCCTCGAGAAGCAGTATATGGTTGGAAGATCAGGTGAACAACCTGGCCAATCATTGCAGCCTTCGTGATGAACCATCAAGTCGATCAGGGGTCTGGCACCTCCCGACAGCAGTTCTTGTCAGGGACTCGAAGCTGGGGTAGTGGGTATCCCGCAATGCCTCAGGTGTGTTGTCGTCTTTGGTCCGCATGGTATTTCGGTCAGACCCCTTAGGCGACGTAAGGATCTGGGGGCACGATATGGATCCCGGGGAATGCCCAAAGACTGGCCCCTAAACAGAACGTAACGTTCTGGTCTAGCCCATTTGGTATTGAAAATGATAAGTAGTGACGACGTGGGCGTGTGTACGTACCTATTGTCTTGATGTGGTCATGATCATGTCGTGTGTTATCCAGACTTTGACCAGGGTTGCACCGCCAACGAGTTTTTGCGAAACAAAATCAGAGATAGTCGGTGCTAGGCTTGGATTATGCTCGCAACTCTCGTGCCGGTGGTTATTTCCGACGAGTAACCTGTAACTGGACTGGTTATGTGGGCGAGTGTGGTCAAATACACGTCGTTGTCGACCAATGTAAAGTCGCTGAGTCGATTGGAACAAAATCGAATGCCCATGTGTTGTTCTAACTCCAAGTTGGGCACTAAAGTTGACTCCGTGAATCATCGAGACCATGGGTTATATCCCTGATCACTCTCGACAGTACTGGCATGTAAGCGATACTGCAATATATAATCAAGTAGACAGATCGATAGAGGTGTAGTCGTGGATAGAGCTTCGGATGATTGGCCGAAAGCTGAGACCGTTAGAAGTTGAAACACAGGTCACGAGTTTTGGATATCCCCTCGCGTTTTGGTGGACAGCAAATGATTACGCGGTATCAGAGCCACAGCAGAGGATAGGATTGAACGATGGTATGGATGAGATGGATCAATGTAGACAGATGATGATACAGAAGTACGTCAAGGAACGAAGCTGTCGAGACTGAGTGTAAGAGCTACAGTTGGCACGCTCAGAGAAGGAGCGAATGACTTGACGCGCTCATGCATAGGAGGGCACACGACTCGGACTCGAGCAGGACTGAGCCATATCCTCGCGTTGCAGCAGCGTTCGACGGGAAACAACGAGTGAGATTCCGAAAGAATATAGATGTCAGTTCACGTATAAGATTAAAATATAGATGGCATTTGATGGTAGGCAGAGGCAGGAACTTGGGCAAGTAAATTCCGTGGGACTGGCGTGGGTCGGGTGGCTTTTCTCCAGACTCGTGAATTGGATGGGCAAGCGCGTCGTCGCGTCCTTCACCGTTCAGCGTCAGCTCGTCGACCGAGACTGTCTGCCACCTTCGCCCAACAGACCAGTCCAACTCAGCAATGGAAGAGCATACCAACGAGACCATGGTCCAAAGAGAATCGTCGACGTCCGAGTCGCCATATGCACCCCAGCCTGAGACCGAGGCATCCCTGGTCCTGAAGGCGACGGCCAATAGTTATCCTTTTCTGGTCCACTCGACGGATACTCTGGCCAACAATCGCCCTCCCAATGTAGACAACAAGCCTTTGGCCCGACAGAAGCGAAGAAGGACAAGGTATGCACACGCTGTCGCTGCGAGAGTCGCGAGGCCCGACTAAACGCGAAATAGTCCCGACGACCAGAAGATCCTCGAGGAAGCCTATGCAAAGAACTCGAAGCCCGACAAGGCCACTCGTATGGATATCGTGAGCCGCGTTGCTTTGGGTGAGAAGGAAGTCCAGGTATCGCGACTCCAACAAAGTCTATATTACGCGTCAAATTAACACCCACGTCTAGATTTGGTTCCAGAATCGTCGCCAGAGCTCGCGTAGAAAGTCCAAGCCTCTGGACCCTCGCGAAATGCCCAACTTCAACTCGTTATACTCGTCTCCGCTCGACACCCAAACGGCAGATCACCACGAAGACACGTCTATAAGCCAGGATAACGCGGCACACGTTACCGAGTCGGCCTCAATATCTCAAGACAAGGCTGCTCCGTCTGCCCCCCCGAATGTCTCGGCTTCCTTCGTCGAGGTACCCAGTTCACAACCGGAACCGGCCTCCCAGGACTCGGCATCAAAGCCTGGCTACTTGTCTAACAGACGCAACAATGCCTCATTCACCGCCATCGACTCGCAGGAAGCACAACCAGACAGCCAGGAGCCACCGGCCAAACGTCTCAGAAAGTCCGACTCGAGGATCCGCCTGTCCATGACGGCAGATGGTGTTGCTCGTGTCATGGAGGGAGACGACCTCACATCGTCACCTCCTCGCAAGCTTCCTCCCCCTGTATCCACAACCTTCGACGAGCCTGCCAGCCAGTCGAATGATCTATATCGTACCAACAGCCAGGTCAGTCTGTGTGATACACCAGGCAGCCAAGAAGGTGGTACCAGTCTCCGCCGGAAACCGAGTGGACGCTCTCGTGATTCACGCGTATGGTCATTTTTTGCCGATCGTGGTGCTCGCAGCGAATTGGAGGATCGCGCCAACCAGGAGGCTAGCGGTGACGCAGCGGAAGCCATCTCTCTCCTACGCCAACAAGAGAAGGACCGCGCATACCAACACCCTCTGACACGCGTGCCTTCTCTGAAGCGTCTCAACCCACAAACAATCTCTAATGAGGATCGTACTGTGAAACGTCTACGACAGAGCCAGTCCTTCACCGTACCTTCCCCTTCATCTGCTCCTTCCGCCGTAGCCGCAACTCCATTCCGCCAGCCCCTCATGCAACGCTCATCCTCAGCACGTAACCTGCAATCCACCAACCGAAGGACCGTGCACCACGATATCCTAGCAAAGACTCCCAAGCTCAAACAAACACCAACCTTTGAAATCTCAGCGACCGACTCAGATAAGGAGAATTGGAGTCCTGGCGATCGCCCTTCAGCTTTCATGGATCGCCACTTTTTGGCTCAGATGGCGACTTCGCCAGCCGTTATGCCATCGACTGTCAAGCGCCCCCGTGCACTTGCAGGCTTTCACGACACACCTGCACCTCGCAGTCGTGGTAAGCACAATAGCAGAGCTCAGGTTGAACCTTTGGACGACGATGATGATGAGGACGTCATGCAATTCATGAATCAACCCAGCAGTGTTGCTAGAAAAGACAAGGCGCATCGTGCTCTTGAGAGAGACGAACGTCAGAGTTCTGAAGAGGAGGATTTGAACTGTGTTGAGGGTTTGCTCAAGTTGAGCCAGGGCAACTGGGGAAACAGATGATGACACGACTGTCTTTGTTTCTGCTTCTGTTTTAGTAATGTTCGTTGCGTTTTGCTTTTGCATGGGAACCGGCAGATGGAGAGGCATTCGATGTTGGGTGTTTCTTTTGCTTTTCTTGCTTGTGTCATGTAATGATAGTGGCCGTCTCAGCCGGTCACATGGTGTTGTTTCTTAGGTGTTGGAGTATTGGAAGAGGAGAGGATGCATGTAGGAGCGTAGCTTAGCAATACGACTGATGTCTTTTTGAAGCTTTGCAACATACCGGGTACAAGCACTTCAACGTAGAGCGGACCAGAGTAGCTAGCTAGACATACAACCAACACCACTGGACAAGTCGATTTGACATGTCAAAACGAAACATAAAATCCATATCCACTCATCTACAAACCCTTCCAGACTAAACCATTTCCGCATCCACTCATATATCAATTCATACCCAGCCTTTCGATTCGCACCTGTCTTCAACCTTTCACTGCTGCCCGCCCTTCTCCCTCAACTCCAATCTCGAATTCATACCCACAATACACCTCACCAAATCCCAATCCCCGTCCTTACCCACCCAATCCGTGACCACAATCCCCACACCGCCATCACCCTTTGCTTCATCCTCAGCCGTATCATGCTTGACGCACAAAAACTCCGTCACCGCCGGATTCAACTTCTGCGCAATCTTCTCAGGCCAACACCCCACTTTCCAGAAATTTGAGGCTGACAGGAAATTCAGGTACAAAGGGTTTGGAGGGCAAGGGTTTGCAGCATCAGTGGTGATGCCAGGAACAGGACACACCTGCGAGCCCGCGCGTTCGAAATGCTCGCAGCAGAAGTCAATCTTTTTGTTGATGTTTTCGGTCTCGAGGACTTCGCAAAAGTCTTGGACGCACACGAGACCGTGGTTGTCGCAGGGTGTGTTGTATGCCCAGTTTTGGGCATCCAGGCACCAGCCGCGACCATCGTGTTCGTGGGTCAGTGGTTCGGCGAGGGCGAAGCGTCTCATGAGTACGATCTTTCCGCGAGATTCGCCGAGAGAGGGGATACGTGGTTCGGTGAACCAGAGGGCGGGATCGTTGGCGTAGTGTTGATGAACGATGTTTGAGAGTTGTTCATCGGTTGCTTCACCGGGGCCTTCGCGTTTCAGACTCATGATGAGTGTTTCTGAAGGGTTCTCGCGCAGGAAGTCAAAGATGTCGTTGACGAGTTTGCGGAAGGGCTTGGTGCCTGTCAATGAGATTGGGAAGACGCCGTGGACGAGCGCTAGACCGTCATGATTGGGGTCTTCAGGCTTCTCGGGCTGCACGCGGATATCGAAGAAACGGACGCCATTGCGCAGCTGCTCTTTAGGAGACACAGCTTGGCAGCGCACTGAAGGCAGTGCTTTGTGATGTGTAGGACTGTTGTGGGTGCCCGGGATAGAGAGACCGGAGAGGGGCGTCGCATCTGCCATTTCCTTCATCCAGCAACTCATGTTTGCGGAAGAGTAAATGGCTAGATGGCTTTCACTGTCTACCCAAATAGCCGTGTACTGTTTCCTCGGTTCTGGATCCAGAGGAATCAATTCCTGAGATTGTCTGGTCGTGCGCGTATCAACTCTGTAGCGCTGTCCATCGAATTCAAAAGTCAATCTCAGGACATCCTTTTCAGATCTCTCAGCCGTGTTGATATCGGTCTTGTTGGTGGTGAAAGGCTCGATGCGAATAGACACGTCCTGTTGACCATAACTCTGTGCATTGACAGTGAGAGGTGCAAAACTCGGTCCCTCTTGAGGAGCACTGCCGGTCGTGTTCGAGACAACAAAATGCGTCACATTGCGAGTGATGTTGGCGAAACCTTGGGGTTGGACGTGGGGGATCTCGAAACGCTCTATCACTTTGAGCTCCAGAGGTGTCGAGCTGAGGTTACGGATTGCAAGCGGAGGAGGACCCATGATGACGGTGAGCAGTACCAAAAAGACGACAGAACAAGGTCGGATTCTCTGACAAGTCTTATGGTTCAGAGTAAAGGACAAAGGAGAGGAGCTATAATCAAGTTTCCGAGCGGCATGCCAAGTGACGGCATCATCCCGCCGCCGTTATTTTCTCCCGAAGGCGTATCATAGCGTATCATAATACGTGTCGTATAGATCTAAAAGTTCAAGCTACCAGACTTTTGAGAGAATATATGGTTGCTCATAAGATAGGGTGCTTTAATCTGACCCAGAGACTCAAACAACGGGTCTCTCACCTACGAAAGGCCAGTGCGATGAACTATAGAAATGCACAATACTTTCCGAAAAGGAATGAGATCCACAGAGAGAGGTTGTCTCGAGGCATCTCTATGGCCACATCTATATTTAGAAAGACACTGTGCATTCGAATAGTGACAAGTTTTCATCCTTCAAGATGGAGATGGTTGACTTCGATTCCCTATTTACGCTATATTTACAGAATAGCTACCAATCAGCCATACTTACCTGCGCAAAGTCTCGATGGAGATCAGGTGACAGTGTAACGACCAGTAGTAGGCGCGCGGGACTCATTCTCAGCTGCTGCGATCGTTCCTTCCTTGAGCAAACGCTGCAAGTCGCGCATGGCTTGAGTGACTTGCAGCTCAGTGTCACCCTCAACAAGAATGTACAGCTTGGGAGCATCGGTAGGACCTGGGTCTTTTCCAGCAGCATAGAAGTTGCCCTTCGAGGTGATCGAGACTCCAGTAGACTCGAGGATCTTGGCCACGTTTGTACGATTCGTGACAGCCCAGCGTGCCTTTTGAGGGAAGTCGTTGATCTCAAGTGTCGCATGGTAGGCACCAGCGTCAGGTCCTTTGTTGTCGATTGGAACACCAGGACGAGTCGCATTGCGTGCACCGAGACGAGAATTGATGTTTGCAGCAGCAGCCGCGACACGATCCAGGGGACGATTGCTTGTAGAAGGTGCAGGAATTTCAGTCTTGTGAACCTTGATGTCAGCATTGAGGTCAATGTGAGCCGGAACACCAGGGACGTTAGCATTCATAGGAGCGGGCGAGCCAGTGTTCTTGACCACATGGATCTTCTCCTCGGGTGCTTTCTTCTTGTCCTCCTCTTCGTCTTCTTCGTCTTCGCCTTCGAGCTTATGTGCTTTGCGTTCGCGCTGGCGTTCGGCTGCACGTTGTTCGTCAAAGCGCTCGATACCTCTGCCACCGAAACCGATACCGGCTCCCTTCTCCTTGCCCGCCTTTACGGCTTCGAGGAATTCTGTAGACATCTTCTGAAGATCTTCTGGCACTGGCTGGTTACTCATTTTCAAAGCCTTTACCAGATCCACTGAATATTTGGCTTGTTCAGGCGTGACAAAAGTGATGGCTGTACCCTTTTCACCAGCACGGCCGGTACGTCCACATCGATGCACGTAATCCTCCAGATGATTGGGAGAGTCATAGTTGATGACTAGCTTGAGCTGCTTGACATCAAGACCACGAGCGGCAACCGATGTGGCAACCATTACAGGCGCACCACCACTCTTGAAGTCTGAGATTGCAGCGTCGCGATCGATTTGTTCTCTTCCACCATGAATCGAGACGGTCGGGTATCCTTTCTGTTGAAGTTGGATCATCAGCTTGTCCGCGAATTCTTGACGCTCAACAAAGATCAAAGCACGAGCGTCCGCATCATTCTCGAAAAGTTCACCTAGGGCCTCAAGTGTACGATACTCTTTGGTGCTGTCGGGGCGCACTTCAATCTTTTGAGTAATGGTGTCAGCGACTGTGCTGCGACCACCAACCGTGATCTGGACCGCCTTCTGGGTAACTTTGCGAATAAGCGCTTCCATAGTACGGGGTAATGTGGCTGAGAAGAGGACAGTCTGACGGTCGGGGCGAATATTGCTAAGGACTTTCACAACCTGGGGTTCGAAACCCATGTCAAACATGCGATCAGCTTCATCAAGCACGACATAGGTGACACGACGGAGGTTGGTGACCCTCCCAGAGTTGGCAGAAAGCAAATCGACAAGACGGCCAGGAGTTGCGACGATAATCTCGGCGCCCTTCTTGAGCTCTGCGATTTGGTCCTTGATGGGTGCACCGCCATAACAGCAAGCGGCGCGAAGACCCAAGACTTTGAGATACGGTTTGCACTCACGATGGATTTGAACTGCAAGTTCACGGGTCGGAGCCATAACCAACCCAATGGGACCTTCCATGTTTTCGAGCGGACGTTGATCCTTGATGTGACGGAACATGGGTAGCAAAAAGGCTACGGTTTTGCCTGAACCCGTCTTAGCCACACCAATGACATCGCGTCCGGACATGATGGCAGGTGTTGTCTGAGATTGAATGGGAGTAGGCATCTCGAATCCGAGATCACGAATGACGTCCAGAACTTGGGTGCCTAGACCGAATTGGGCGAATTTGAGTGCGGGACGAGGAACCTTTGAACCCTGGACTTTGATATCGTCGAGTCTGAAGCGCAAGTCTCTGACTTCCTCGTCAGTCATCTGACCAATCTCCAGAGGTTCGGTGTAGAAGGCCTTGCGGAATGGCTCGTATTCGATCTTTGAGTGGTCGAGATTGGGAATTTCCTTCTTCTTTTTCTTCTGGGCCACCTGGGCAAGAATGTCATCAGCATCTTCTCCCATTGCATCCAAATCTGCAGCGTCTTGGTCACCAAAGACATCTTCGGCTTCACGAATCTTGGTCTTGGTAAACTTGCGAGTAGGCATAGGAGCTTCCTCGGCTAGACCGTTCATGAAAGCATCAAGCGGGTCGATGTCATCTTCTTCAGCCGCATTAGAGGGTTGGGCAGTTTGAATGCCCTCCATAGCGTCGTCGTCATCTACAGAAGCCTCGGCGGCTTGGGCAGCACGTCTCTCTGCGGCGAGACGTGCAGCAGAGTCGATTTCTTGATCGGATCCTGCATCAGCGATGTCGACATCGCCATCGTCATCATGAATATCATTCGGGTTAGCAAGCGCAGCATCCCCAGCATCTTCAAGATCGGGTGTAGGAAGCTTCTCTAACTTGCGACGTTCGACTTGTTCGTCGTCCATGTCGATGGCGGGTGCCGGTTGGGGAGTCGACTTTTCTTCGGTCGAAGATGCGGTAAGGCCAAAGCCCTTCTTGAGAGCGGCAGATGTAGTGGCTGTGGTTGCTATACGTAGGTTAATATCACGAGAGGCAGCAGAGAGCTGATGGGATGGGAGGACTTACTCTTGGGTTGGGTGGTGAGAGGTTTCTTGCTAAAGTCAGCCGCTTTGTTGGCAGTAAGAGGAGCCGCAGGAGCGGCGTTCTTGGACTTCCCAGGTATAGAAACATCACTCCCAAGCGCCGAAAGCTTGGCCGTGGCAGCGGCAGCCTTCTTTGCGATGGCCTTGGGATCAAACTTGCCTCCAGCAAAGCCCTTTTGAGGTTCGTCCTGGGCCACGGACCTGGGAGAGGATACAGCTGTGTCAGTAGGGGTGGCAGCATGGGTGGGTGTAGCAGGTGTGGCAGGGGACTGTGGCAGCTTCTTCTTCTCTTCTTGCTTTTTCTTCCAGGCCTCGACCTTTGCCTGACGCTCGAGCTTCTTGCGCTCCTCTTCTGCAGCCTTGTCAGCGACATGAGCCGAGGCGGAGGTGTCAGGTCTCGGGGTGGAAGCGGTGTCTCTGGTGTCATGGCGGGCAGTGCGGCTTCTGGATTCGATCGAGTCGGTGCGCCTGGGACGCTTTCTGTCACGCGAGTCGTCACGATGGTTGCGCGAATCACGAGGTCTATCTCTGCTTCGATCTCTACGATCTCTGGCGGGAGATGCTTCACGGGAACGTTTTCTGTCGCGCGGGCGATCGCTTAGTGGACGTTCTTCAAAGCGACGGTCGCGGCCCCCACGGGATGGGAGAAGGTCTCTGTCCTGGCTGTAGCGGTCTCTCTGTGCATGCGTGAGCCGGGAGAACGTGGGCGAAGGTAAGTCGCGCAGGCTTACAGGCTCTGGAGAATGGCGGCGGTAGTAGCGGTCTTCTCCTCGTCTGTCACGGCGATCGTCTCCACGGCGATCGTCTCGTCGGCGGTCATCCCTGTGATAGCGGTCGTCACGGCGAGAATCACCACTACGGCGAGGAGGGGAGCGAGGTCGTCCAGACATGATATATATCTAGTGGTTGCTGAGAGTGGATGATGAGTTCCAAACTTCCAAGTTCCCGTTGTTGGTGGGGACGGTGACAGACGGCGCGACTTCCTCCCCATGCGCCAAATTCTAGCACCACCTACTCGCTCTCACGTCATCAAACAAGCGAGGCTGGAGCCATCAAGATGCACAGAGAGTTCCAGATTGTCGCAGAGGCCACAGAGAGTCGACAACATCATGACTCTCGATAGACGCTTCCTATCTACCCAAGAGACTGCGCATTTCCTATGGCATGTGTGACATTGTTTTGCGCATGGGGAGTTTAGAGTTTCGTGACGCTGCGCTTGGCGGGAGCTCCTGCTTGTTGGTGTCAACCTCGCGCTTCCCTCGTTGTAAACACGTCCTCAATCCCCCTGTACCCGTCCTAGCATTGCTTCCCTTGGTCGCACACCTTCTGTCACGCCCTTGGCAAATCTCATCAGTTCTGTTGCTCTATCTGGTCATCACCTGTTCCGACGCGCGCAACCCGCAATCGTCACAATGCTTGCGCTCCGTCTTCCGCTCCGCTTAGCTGCCCGCGCCGCCCCCTCTCACGCCCGCCTCGCTTCCCCTATAGTCGCATCTTCCTTGTCTGCCACCAGAGAGTATCGCACCAAGGCTGACGGCTCTGCTGATACCAAGAAGCCGACTAAGAAGACCACCAAGAAATCGGCTGCCCCAATCTCCAAATCCGCCCAAAAGAAGGCCGATGCAAAGGCTGCCTACAAGCTCTTGAGTCCAGAAGAGAAGGCCGAAATCAGCGCAACAGCAAAAGAGGCAAAGAAGAAGGAAGACATCAAGCTGCTCAAGGCTCAAGCCCTTGCTCCTCCCAAGTACAGACAGGTCAACCTCTGGTCTATATACATCAAGGAGAACCTGGCCGGCAAAACCGGCAATGGCCAGGCAACCGAACACATAAAGGCTCTGGCCCAAGACTTTCGCAACATCACATCACGTGAGCGAGAACACCTCAACCACCTCATGACCGAGCACAACGCAAAGTCTCTGCGCGAGTTCCAGGAATGGCTCAACTCCCACACCCCAGCTCAGATCAAGGTTGCCAATCAAGCCCGTGCCCGCTTGCGTAAATTGGGTGCTGAAGGCAAGAAGTCTCAGTTCGCCCCCATCAAGGACGCCCGTCTGCTCAAGAGGCCATCTGGTCCCTACCTCCACTATCACATGGACCGCCTCGCTTCGGGCGATTTTCGTAATGTCTCCACTATCGACGCCTCCAAGGACATCAGTGTCGAATTCAAAGCTCTCTCCGCCAGTGAGAAGAAGGTTAGCCAAGAAGCCTCCAGACATGTGTTCCAATCGCCTTACTGACCACATCAACTCACAGAAATACGAAGACCTTGCTGCCAAGGGCCTTGAGAAATACCTGAGAGAGCACCTCGAAGTCTACGGCTATGAATCGCCCTTAGCGTCCAAACCCGCCAAGAAGGCCTTGGCCGAGGCAGACGCTGGTGTTGAGCCTTCCACATGAGTGCAACTATTTGCTATCATTCATGATGCGTAAATCACTCAGTTTGGTTAGGGACTCTCCGACTCCAATGATATCATCGTCTCTTGTCGATACCAATTGTCGACCCTCATGTTTTATATCCCTTTTCTCGAATATCTCTTCCTTCTGGTCTGGTATGTTTTGGTCGTATAAAGAGGCGCCACGGCTTGTCGGGCTATGGGCCTCATCGGGTGGATGAATGGATGGATGGGTGAGCACCAGGGGAATACAGGTCTTTCTCTCTCCAGTTCATAGGCACGCTGGGCTGTGATATTTCCTCGATCGTACAGCCAAATGGCTTGTTGTTGCGTTTGCCAGCTTTCTGTTGTTTGCTTCTTCGTACCTTTGGGTTTCACGGGAAGAATGGTCTCTTTAAGATGACGAGTATGATGGGGAGTATTAGACCCATACACAGCCAGGGCCGACCCCATGACAATGTACTCCTTTTCAACACTCCATAGAGGCAGCGAGATCTGGCGTCCTTGAAGTCAAAGGTCTTGCTTCGCGGTAGATACCACGACGCTCAGTGGTTGCATTCTATCAAGTAAACGATTCATAGTGTTGATGGTCAACCATGTGACATACCCTCGCGCATTGGGAGGCGGTCAGTCCCTTACAATGCGAGTTTAGGCAAAAGACCAACCAGAGCAAGATACTTCCTCATGCTGGAGTTTGGGTTATCAGGTGTCCTGGAAATAAACACCTCAAGGGCGGGAAGACGCGGGAGCCGAGTCAAGTTGCAGCAATCGCGAGTTCTTTCTGAACGGGTTTTGTTGTCGCGAAACTGACAAGAGATAAGCAAAACCTGCAGCAAGTCGCGAGTCCCTGCATCGCCAATTTTCAGTGCATCTGTATCACACACTGCGCTTGGCTGTGAGAATCTCCTGTTTTTTGCTCAGAGCCGTTGTGTATAGACTTCTCGTGTTGATGCTGCAAAGTCAAGATACACGAGCATCTCTTCGATCTCAATGTGATGCGCCCTGCCCCGCAGCCTCAAAGGATGCAGTGACAGATCAGGTGGGCTGGGTGGCTGCACGCGCTACGTCAGTACTTTGATCAATCTTGAACAAAATCGCTGGACAATCCACCCGAACTAGAATCCTCGCATCTTTCAACTGTCTCTTCGACAAAGCTTAATTTGACAGCTCTGTGTTTTTGGGAGAATCAGACCGTCAAGATGGACAAGGTTACTCAAGTTGTCGTCTTCTCGTCAACGGCAATCGCCCTTTATGGTTACGATCAGGGTATGAAGCTTGACCGCTAGAATTGAACTGGTACTGACAGTCCTGTAGGCATGATGAGTCTGATCAACACGAACGAAGACTATCTCAGCACAATGGGTCTTCCTGAGGAGAGTCCTATCGTCGGCCTCATTGTAGCCTTGTATTACCTGGGTACTGCTGTCGGAGCTGTCATCTTCTCCTTCCTGGCCGATCGTTTCGGTAGAAAGCCTGCGCTTTTTGGATGCCTCGCCATGTCCTCCCTCGGAAACCTCATCATGTTCGTTGCTGGTCTCAAGTTCTCCAAGGGAGCCATCATCGTCATGATCGCCGGCAGAGTGGTGATGGGACTGGGTGTAGGCGGTGTTGATGCCGTGGTTCCAGTTTACAGTTCCGAGCTCTCCGAGGATGAGGCTCGTGGTAAGGCACTTGCTCAGGAGTTCCAGATGAATATTTTCGGACTCAATATGGCTTTCGCCGTGAACCTCGGGCTGACTATAGCTCTGGGCAAGTCCAACCAGTGGGCCTGGAGACTTCCCATCATCATCATGCAGGTTTACCCTGTCCTTTTGATGGCTTTCATTGGCATTCTTCCCGAGTCTCCAAGATGGCTCGTCTCTCACGACCGCAAGGATGATGCAAAGGCAGCTCTTGTTACAATCTACGGAGAAGACCAGGCTGGAGAGACTTTGGACAACCTCATTGAGTCCAACGACAACGAGTCATCCAAGAACGTCACCTACACTGACATGCTTACCCCAGGACACGCTCAGTTCCACCCAACAATGATAACTGTCATGGGACAGATCAATCAGGCTCTTACTGGGTATGGAGCTGTCTCGGTCTACGGCCCTCAAATCTTTGAGCTGCTTGGATTTGACACCCGCATGTCTGAGTATCTGACCCAGGGCAACTACGTGTCTTACTTCATCCTGATGACATTTGCATGGCTCTTGGTTGATGCCGTGGGTCGCCGTAAGGTGTTGCTCGGTGGATCTATCGTCTTGACAGTCTGCTTCTTCTTGCTTACCTTGTTCGGAGGCCTGGCATTCAACGCTGACGATTTGGGTATTCCGGAAGTAGCTGTTGCTATTCCGGGTATTGTTGCCCTCTATGTTGCTACTGGAGCATTCGGTATCGGTTGGCTTGCAACTATCTGGGTAAGTTTGGCCATGAAACATGATTTTCTGTCTCAACATACTAACCCATCATAGCTGATCCCCACGGAAATCTTCCCTACTACCGCAAGAGCCCAAGGTACTGCCGTCAGCGTAGTTGTCTGGGGTTTGGCCAACTTTGCTGTTACCCTCCTGACACCGATTCTCTTCAACAACCTCAACTACTGGCTCTTCCTCGTCTTCGCATTCTCGAACATGTTCGCCGGAGTCTGGACTTACTTCTACCAGCCCGAGTCCGGTGGTCGCAGCTTCGAAGACAACCAGGTCTTCTTCGAAGAAGCCAAGAAGGCTGGCACTTGGAGAGTTGGTGCCGTCAAGGATGGTGAATTCAAGAAGATGCCTTACGGCAACTCTGACCGTGATAGTGAGAACACGCCTTTGCTCAGAAGAGTGAGGGATCAAGTTTCGGCTTAAGTCTGCGTAGGCAGAACGAATATTGTTACGGATATTGATGAGAAAATGACGATATAGTTATGGATTAACGATCGAGAGGTAGTATATAGAGATGTCGTAGAATTAGCAGAAAGTAGATAGGTCGGTGTAAAAAGTCGGTGTGTAAAAACTCAAAAGCGCCATCATCGAAGTGGATGTCTGATAGATCGAGAGCAGTCAGAGGGTGTACCTCCACAAGACCTCTAGCTATGTAGAACCATTATCTCATTTGGTAGCTCACCACACAACTCTATGTTGCATATTCTCGTAGCCTATATCTGTAAAGGAAGCAACTTAACGTTCCATCGCAAATGTTAGACGTCCATCGTGATGAGAGGTGAGAGTGAGATAGATGTGTTGGTTTGAGTAGCGCGCGTGACGTCAATCAACATTGGCATTTTCAGCCATTTGGTCGTCTTCCTGTTTTCGAATCTCCTGCTTTTACATACAATCTCACATGTGCTATTCATCATGGCGCGTCAGCAGAAGATTGCGCGTTCGATAGTTTATGCGATTCTCGAGAATGATGGAGCGAAAGTGCGCTCACTTGTTTCACGAATCCTGGCGGCCATCGTATCATTCTTTGCTCTTTACCAATTGCAACTAACTAGACTTCGCAATGATCTCTTTGCGAAACTGCGCGACCAATGGCATGTCGATGATGAAGACTACAAAGATAGCATTGGGCAGAAGAATGGTCTGAAGGCAAACGGCGATATGGGTTTCTCAGGCAGCGTGAGTGGTTTGCATACATCATGCGAGCAGAAATTAACACGAGGTAGACCTTCTACACAACATCCGATGGGACCTATCTCGTCAAAAGTCTCCCCCGAGGTTTCGAACATTCCTTTTTCCGTGACGAGTTTCTGGAACCTTACTACAACCACATGATGGAACACACGATATCATTGCTCATCCGAATCACCGACTTCCTAGAGTGGTCGCGTTTCGGCATCGGCGGTCTACTCGGCACCGCTCCAACACATCACATCATCATGGAGAACCTCTTGATTGGCAAAGAAAAGGACAGCACGTCAAAGTGGGAGACCTGGGACCTCAAACCTACGTCGTACTTCTTCCCGGAGCGAGACATCGCGAATGGCAAGCTGACCTCTGACGCAACCAAAGACCGCTTAGCAGACAAGTTTGAGGACAAGATTGTCTTGACTCAGTCGCAAGCTGACGATTTCTTTGAGCAACTCTCGGTAGATACCGAATTGCTTGAACGGTGCAATGCCGTTGACTATTCGCTGTTTCTGGTCAGAATCCCGCTTACCAGTTCCGACCATTCGGCTGCACGCCAGAACCAGGAGCAAGCTATTGAACAGTCGCAGAGACCTCCATTTGTTCCTCCAACGACTTCTTGGCGCACTGGAGTGCACTCCGCTGATCAGAAGTTTGTCTTCCGTGCTGCGGTTCTTGACTTCTTCTGGGCCAAGCACAAGTTGCAACCCAAGGTCATGACATGGCTGATCAAAGCATGGAACCTGATTGACCGTCAGGGACCCATGAGCATCACCACCACTCCCGGCGAGTATCGTCAGAGGTTCCTCTCAATGTGTCATGAGATGGTCGAAATCAGGAACTGAAAGCGCTATACTTGGGCATGTGTGTTACAAATCTCGTGGGGTTGCGTAGGTGATCCTACTTTGGTTGTTGCCTAGATAGGGCTCGCCTCTTAGAAGGTCTAGCTCCTATATAAGCAAAGTTGTAAATAGGCTGTGCTCGCCCAGCATCTGTTAAGCGGCCTCTGTCCAGCTCGTCAATACTCCTGTCAAATGAAGACGGTGACTCACTGTCATCAGACCTCTATGACCGTAGAGGCGACATCAACCAATGCTTTCACCGGTAGTCTCCGCGCCGACAGTTTAACTTTAGTTGATGGTCGTACACTCGGCAACGTACAACCGAACATGATAAGAAACCTGCACTTGAAGAGCATATCCGTATACTGTTAGCTACCTATATTCGGAGCCGCAAACGACAGGTCTCAGTGGCCTCAGTGTGATGATCGGCAAACCTCCGTATCCAGGGTCCGTAGATCAAAATTCTCGGAGTAGACCCCTGCTCCCCCTCTGAACGTGTACCAAACTCTCTTTCTTGTACCAGGACCAAGCGAGAGAGAGGTGGCAGGCATCCTCCAGTCGGACTTACATGCAGCGCTCTATACGAACCTTACGCGGATAGAGACGACCAGATGTTGATAGATCCGGTGAAGAGTCGCCACCAACAAAATCATTTGCAAGAGCAGCCAACGCACAAAACATGCACTGGACACGTTTCGGAGGCTCACGTCCCCATGCGCTCCTCATGGAAACCGATAGCCGCCGCAGCTGATGTACCTCGAAATAGCGGCGGCTGGGACGGCAAGCCGCCCTTGCATACAGCTGAAGGTCGGTAAAACCAACGGCCCACAGTCTGCGACCCCAACCTGACCAACCGCCCACCGAACGGAGCTCAGAACAAGATACGCCTCGATTTTACTTGCATATAAGAGGCTTGAGTTCCAGATCTCTCGGTGAGCGCCATGCATATAGCTTGGTAGGATTGTGCCGTGCCGATGTTCCATCTGGTGTTTCTACAAGGCGATGAAATGACGACGACTGACCTGCCAAAACCAACAACATCTCTTTCAAGTTGGGATATGATGGCAAATCATCTTCAGATCGCGAGTCAGATCTATCTTCAGCCTGCGGTTTTACTAACGCGTGACAACAGAGACAAAGAAACAGAGTTGGAGCAGGCGGCTAACGATGCATGATGGCTCGCTAGCTGGATGCAATTCATGCGGAGTCGGAACGCTATCCAGGGTCTGTGGGTCTTGTTAAATGTGCTATCCAGACTTATTCAGCCTTGGTGAGCCAGATGACACTCTCTAAAGGTGGTCATCAAGCGGTCAATCAAAGTAGTATTCAAGAAAACAATGGGCGAAACCGATCACGATGAAACTTTACTGGCCAAAACCTAAGGCTGATGCATCCTTACTCGAGCATGATTAATCCACTTTTGGGCAACAGTCTCAGGCAAAAGCCTCGTACACCTTCTGGGGACGGACCTGAAACTCACAGTGTGCGGACCCGCGCTTTTCGGGGTCATCCTGTGCTCCTTCAATGCATGCAGGTTCACAGCCCCAATGGTCCAGATGATAGGCTGCTCCCACGCGGGGATGCATCCAGTTCATGTACTCTGGAGCTCTCAAACTTGGATGAGATGCTGTATAAATACCCCTCTCCTACTCGTGTGAGCCTCAGCTCCCCAAGCTTCATGAAAATCAAAGACATCTTTCTGCAATTCTCTTGAACACTTTACGACAATCTGCAACAACACAAATAACCTCCTGAATACACACTCAACCTCCAATGGCTACCGCAGACGTCCAACAGCCTGTTCAGGACAACCCTGCACCTGCGATCCCAGATTATCTCGCCGATCCAGATGCTGTGCTCAAAGACACCAACTCAAAATGGCGATATGGGAGGGCACCAGATTATTCCAAGACACGAAAAGTGTACGCAGAGTGTGAGTATTCGCCGAATTCATTGTTCTTGACCCACGCGTTGTCGCCATGTACGACCCACCTGTCAGCACCCGACAACCATGAATAGATGGGAGCACGAGATTGAGGTTATGTCTGTCGGCAAGACTCCATCCTTAAGCGTCTCCAAAATGCCATGATGGTTCAGAATGTGCCCCGCCTGTGTAACGTCAAACACCCCATTCAGGCTACAAGGCTAACAATCCCCAAGCCAAGCAGATGAACCATATAGCTGGCAGCCTCGAATCGATGGTTGAGAATCTTGTCAAGAACTGGGAAGTTGAAGCGTCCTTCAAGCCTCAACTCTCGGATTGGCGAACAGTCGACCACAGCAAGTACTCCTTTGCCATCAATGGAGGTCCAGGTCAAACAGGTGAGCATATGCTCAAGGTTGGAACATACAATGCCATTATTGCGCCAAATGAGTACTACAGTCCTGTATACTCGGATTTTGCAAGCAGCCACAAGACCTTCAAGCGTATGATGCCAACCTTTGCGTGGGAGGTGCTGGAAGTCTACAGCGGTCCGCCCAAAGTTGCCTTCAAGTGGAGACATTGGGGCACCATGAAGAATGACTATGTCGGGTTCAATGAGTAAGTCTTTATCGTGCATTCATGACTCCCAGAGCTCAAAGCTAATCTCTTACAGCAAAGGAGAGAAGGTCACAGCCAAAGCCCATGGAGGAGCTATTGACATCACCGGCATTACAACTGCTACCGTAGACGATGCAGTACGACTCCAAGATGTCAACACGTACTTCGATCCGATGGAGATGTTCCGCCAGATCGCTCCCAACGGCATTGTTAACAAACAGGTCGTCGACAGGAGAATTGATCCTTCTACTGCCCTCAATACCGAAGTTCCATCGCAGGATGGTGTGAAGCTCGCACAAGCACATAGCTCGGACCGTCCAAACGAGAGTCGACCTGCGAACACTGGTTCATCCTCGATCACTGAGAATTACAACGCTTCCACCAGTGGGACCTGCCCTGTGTCCGGTGCAAGCATGAGCGCCGCACTCTCTGCAGGTTGTCCAGTGATGAGCGCGATGCAACAGCACACCATCAGCTCCCCAGCTTCCAGCTCTGAGGGCGAATGGGAAAAGGTGCCATCCAACGACGAAGGCATCACCCGCTCAGCACAATCATCGTCAGTGACCGGAGATGTGGAGCAGAGGATGTCGGCCAGCAACCAGATCGACTACAGCAAAGATGCCGGTGTACACGATCACGTCGATGAGCATCTCGAAAGCTCGGCCGCGCAGGTGCATCCTCATCCGCACACCATGGAGCAATCAGTCAAGCCAGTGGTTGGAGATGCAGTCGTGGCTGGTTCCCAATCCGAGGAGACCAAATTGACACACGATGAGATGAGCAGTATCACTAAAGACGAGGAGCCATTGCTGATGAACAGAGAATAACATGGTTGGTACTTTCTGTTCGCAAACAGGTCGCTCACTAGTGTAATTCAGTCTCTCTGTATCTCTCTTGTTTCTCCAGAGTTCTTTTTTTGTCTGTTTCCCTTTCGGCGTTGTTTTGCAGACTCACGATCGTTCTGTATATTGTTCAGTCAAGTTGGTGTTTTCAGTGTGGTCTTTTGGAGTGTCGGGCTGTTTCCTTGATTTCGTATTGTCGTCGTCAGCGGAATCAGATAGTATAGATTAATTGATTCTGTGAACAAGCATTTTCCAGTATGGAGTCTACGAATTCAGATTGTACGCGACACTGTCCCCCTCACCAGCTAAAATCATGAATAGGTTTGTTTGTTTGTTCAAAACCTGGTTTACTCAATTGATTCGAGATGCATAATTCTTCGGTATTCGTCTGTGGGCAGCGATACCAAAGCTTAACGGTTATGTGACGTAGACCGGCCCAGACCCGAACCTTGTTTCTCCTTCACGTGTCGAACCGTGCAACAGCTTTCTCCTTCTCGTTCATGCAAAGAGCGACATTGTGGTACATACCGCTCGTCGCGCTCGGGAAAAACAGAAACAGAAAGCGCAATCAACTCTGGAATTAATCTGATGGTATAGATTTGTTGTCAGGACATCCGCGACCCCGGCCACAAGGAAAATGCCAACATTCGGCTGGCAAAGCAACGAGACTCCACACGCTCAGTTCATTCGCAATACGGACTGGAGCGCCACCGCAATAGGAGCGCCAGAAACATGGCCACAACAACTGCATCAAATGATTGATTTGATCATGCTGGATCCGACACCTAGCGCCATCATGTGGGGGGACGACCTGACCATGATCTACAATGATGGGTTCGTGGAATTCGCTGGAGAAAAACATCCGAAACTCATGGGAAACACTCCGATGGTGTCGTATGCAGAAGTTTGGGAGCCTCAATTCGCTCCGATTGTGGCGCTTGGTAGAGAACAAGGCAAGGCGACTCGCCACAAGGATGTACCTTTGTTCTTGAGACGACATGGATACACCGAGTATGTGCACACTGGAACGGCGGAAGGGGCGAATAACGTACTGACAAGAAGCAGAGAAGTGTTTGTGGACTATACATTCATACCTCTTACTGGAAACAACAAGGAAGTCGTCGGATTCTATCACACTGCAGTTGAGACCACCGACCAGAATCTGGCTAGGCGAAGGACTCAAACATTGATCGACATAGGTAATCATGCTGGTGTTGCGCGAGATATGAGGCAATACTGGGATGCGGTACTGAAAGGATTCGAGACCAACATCTGGGATATACCATATGCCATCGCTTACGAATTTCACAACGATCACGACAACGAAGTGTCTTCCACATCGGACTCGAATGGGCGCTCTGGCTCACGGACCAGATCGAATCGATCAAACTCAAATACAGAGTCTGTATCCTCCTCGGGCCGCATCACCATTCCTAGAGCGTGCAGTCTGGCTGGCGTGATTGGAAAATGTATGACCGACGTTCCGCTAGGCTTGGATGTGGCTCTCGAAGAGCCTGGCTTCCATCAAGTCGTCAAGAAGGCCATCAGCTCTGGAGAGCCGATACGTCTAGAGATTGCTCACGATATGACACCGGACTGGCTCAAGTCGGATGCCCCAGGAAGAGCTTTCGATGAGCCCATCACACATGCGGTGGTGATGCCAATACGGCCGACGACCAGAAACGACAGTGAAGGCCTGAACGCCATTGGATTTGTGATCATGGGTCTCAATCCACGCCGGGCGTATGACACCGATTATCAACGCTACACAAGACTCTGGAGTCAGCAGTTGGCCACTTCGGCCGCGTCCGTGGTTCTTCTTGAGCAAGAAAACAGGCGACGCTTGCAGCTCAAAGCTCAACTTTCCATCAACGAATTACGCTTCAGTCGTTTCGCCGAGATGTCTAACGTTGCCATGTGGATCTTGGAACCTAGTGGAAATCTGGTCTATGGCAATCAAACGTGGCACGATCAAATGGATGTGGAGGGAAACACGACCTTGCTTGATGAAGAAGGCCATCCTACCTGGTGGGATCGTATAACGGAGGAGACGAAGCCAACGCTAGTGGATGCGTGGAAATCTCTGACTGAGGATATGATTGCGACGAATGTTGAGATACGTTTGAAGCCTACCAAGAAGACGAAACAACACCGCTGGGTTCTCTCATCTGCGTTCCCCGAACTCGCAGAAGATGGTTCTCTCAAAGCAATATGGGGCTGTAATACCGACATCTCGCATCAAAAGCTAGCCGAGGATCTCAAAGAGCAGAGGTTGCTGGACGTCCTTGAAGCAAAGCGACAGAGCGAGTCGTTCATCGATACTGTATCTCACGAGATGCGAAATCCATTATCGGCTATTTTGCAGTGTGCGGATGGAGTCAACACTGCTATACTAGAAGCTCGACAATCTTCTAACAACGAGGATCATACTCAGCTGGATCGTGAAGGCTTCAATTACATTCTGGAATCTACTCAGACTATCATTCTATGTGCGCAGCATCAGAAGCGAATCATCAATGTACGTATACTCAAGGAACAGAACGACGACCTCCAGAAGTTGTCTGGAAGTTTGTCGCCGTGTCACAAGACATTGAGTGAAATAGTTCGCTGACACCATATTTCTATCTAGGATATCCTGACTCTAAGTAAACTCGATGCTAGACTTCTTGAGGTCACTCCGACAGAAGTTGATGCTGTCGAGACTGTCAAGCACGCACTCAGACTCTATCAACAAGAATGCCAGAATGCAGATGTGGAAAGTGCGATACGAGTTGACCAGTCCTATAACGCCTTGGCTGTTGATCGCGTTTACGTTGATCCGTCAAGATTGCTCCAGGTTCTAATCAACTTGCTAGGTAAGACTGATCCAAACATGTTCAGTGGTGTGACCGCTAACCATTTGCAGGTAACGCAATCAAGTTCACTCAGCACCAAGATCAGAGAAAGGTCACCGTCACTATCAGCGCATCTATCGAGAGTCCGGCGATGAAAAGTGATGGCGAACAATACTTCTTCCCAAGAGCCTCGAAGCAAGAACCTGTCTTTGGAGCCGACTGGGGAACTGGCGAAGATCTATTCCTACACTTTTCAGTCAACGATACAGGTGTTGGCTTGACAAGCGATGAGATGAAGAATCTGTTCCTTCGCTTCTCGCAGGCATCACCAAAGACTCACGTCACCTACGGTGGAAGCGGATTGGGCCTGTTCATCTGCAAAGAACTAGCCGAGCTCCAGGGTGGCCGCATTGGAGTCTCTTCTGTACCGGGCAAAGGAAGTGACTTCAAGTTCTACGTCAGAGCCCGTCGAGCCAAAACTTCCAAAAGACGAGAGACTTTCGATCTGGTAGACAGACCTGCGAAACCCTCGAAGCAGAGAAAGTCTTTTCATGAAGACCAGAAGCCTGCTGACGAAAAGACTGGCTTGCGTGTTACGCATCCTAATTACATTGCACCTCTGAACAGGAATCACTCTGCATCGCAAAATCCAGTTGTCGGGTCACCAGCCGACGCGAATACTCTGCACGTCTTGGTAGTGGAGGATAACTTGATCAACCAGAAAGTACGTATTTTAAGTCGCATGGTTTTGTTCTTTACTGACCCTTTCGCAGGTAATGGCTCAGCAGCTTAAGAAGGCAAAATGCGAGGTACACGTTGCGAATCACGGTGCAGATGCTCTGTTCTTCCTGGAAAAGACGACTTTTGCAAAAGACTGCGGGCCGTACGCGACACCGTTATCAATCATTCTCATGGATCTCGAAATGCCAGGTAGGTTAACTCCGACGTTCGGACCAGAACGAACTGTACTAACACTTCCTCAGTAATGGATGGATTGACTTGTATACGACGAATCAGGGAGTGGCAAAAGCAAGGCAAATTGACAAGACCTGTGCCGGTCATTGCGGTTAGTCAAAACTCTGCCTTTCTATGTCTCGCATACTGACACGTATGATAGGTCACAGCCAATGCTCGTAATGAACAAATCACCATGGCACAAGAAGCAGGAATGGTAAGATCGGATCACCTTGCAACCATGATCAGTTTTTGGTGTACTGACAGACCAACAGGACGACGTTGTGACGAAGCCTTTCAAGATTTCTGAACTGATACCCAAGATGCATACACTTATAGAGAAGATCTCGACTTGATGATACAGCGCAGAGCATATAACGGAGTCGCAGTCAATGTATAGTTTACACATGTGGTTTCTGGCAGCAGAATGGTTTTACCCAGTCAATCAGATACCCGACGGCACACTTGGGGCATAGAGTGGCACGCTTAGCTTTCTTGGCTTGATTTTGTTCTGATTTTAGCCCATCAGCGTACCGCATGATTTCCCATTGCGACTACTAGCAAAACCTGCACAAAGGGTTCATGAGACACCGCACAGTCCCCAGCGACACCTGGACCGGGGCGCAACCTACTGGAAACATGAATGATCCGGAGCTAGCGATATCCATGATGGATCTGATATCGAGACGGAAAAGCACGACGCTCATAGAACAAATCCAGTCTGGTCAACTGATCTGATCAGGCGAAGAAGATGATCCCTGCAAATCAATCACCTTTTGGGTGGGATCACCCCGCCGGGTCAATAGCAGCTGCAGATAAGTTACGCCTGGCTTGTTGCGATACCGTGCCTGATTCGATGCAACTATTGAATCTACAGATGCATGAATCTGGGCTCTGCATGCTTACGTGAGGACTAGACTGCGTCCATAGTCAGGTGGACATGCGACCATAAGCCACTTCCCTAATCTTGCATATATCGGCCTCTCACATCAAACGGGCGTGGAGACTGTTTTCTCGAAGGCTGAAGACGATCTTTGTCCGATGACGACCCAAGCACAATGAATTCAAATACGAGCGCATCCCCGACCTGCAAAGCTATCTGGTTCCAGTCTGACAAAGAATGAGTACTGAACCACGTTCTGCCGAAGTATTGTCGACCTCGCCTCATCGAATTTACATGACTGACGACCATGTACCAAATTCTGGCGATGGAGCTCAGGACAACCTTTTGTCCGCTCCAGCGACGACAGACAGCACTCCTACCAGTGAGCATCAATCTCAGAAAGTCGATGAGACTGGAATGGAGACCACAACGTCGATCCTAGCTTCAGCGCGCTCGGCTTCGACAAGGAATATCTTCACTCAAGTGTGGAACAAATGGAAGATTGAGATCCTAGCTTGCGGACTGGCACTGTTGGCACTGTTCGCGATTGTGATGACTCTCATAGTCCACGATGGTCGACCTCTCCCTCAGTGGCCGTTCAGAATATCAGTCAACGCCCTTGTGTCAGTGTTTGCAGTCATCCTCAAAGCGAGCATGATGCTTCCTGTCAGCGAGTGTGCGCTTCTCTTGTCCATCCGCAGTGATGACTACAAGCTAATCGGCCTCAACAGCAATCAGTCAGCTGAAGTGGACATGGTACCAACAGCCACGACCCCTTGGTCATTTGGCAGAATTCGACCTAGCAAGCCGTGGACCTTGGGGATGTTTCAAGCTTCTTCGAAGATGCCATGTCAGGAATTCGTCCTCGATCGGAGCTGCTATAACCATACTCGCCCTCGCTGGCGATCCTTTTATTCAACAGATGATCAGATATCGGTCGACTGCTTTTCTGCTCGTTACAGATGATGCACAGGCTTTTATCCCACGCTCTAACAACTACAGCGTCCACGGACTTCATCTGGGAGCCGGTTCTGAATCGCTGAATCTGACGGCCCAAGCTGCTGTCTATAAGGGCGTCTACAATTCCTATTCAGCTGTGGAAGCAACATGCACCTCAGGAAATTGCACTTTTGAGGACTACAGAACTTTGGGAATCTGCAGTCACTGCCACGATACGAGCGGTACTATAGTGAAGTCTTGCAACAACGAGTCTGAGTGTACTGCCGGACTGCAAGATGGGCCATCATTGAGACTGCCAGGCTCAGCCGTACTGAATGTTTCGACAGTCGTCGGTACAGGCTCCTTTCACCATTCACGCAACGTCACTGGTTTGTCAAAATCACAGCTTCTAGGGAGGATTGGTGCGATACCGAATGAGCTGCTCGCTTTCGAATGCGAATTGTATCCCTGTGTACGGACCTACGAAGCTAGTGTCGCAAAGGGCAACTTCTCAGAAACGCTACTGTCCACCTCACCGATACCTGCGAGCGACTATTCCGCATTCGCTACATATTACGATACACCTATGCCTTGTCTGATCAACGGGACATATCATAATGCGAGCGAATTTGTCAACCCTGACGCCACAAACACGATAGCCACTCTCGGACTGCTTCCAGAAAACCAGACCGCGTACGTACCTCTGGACTGTGCTTTCTGGTATCAAGACCCCTTGGGATTAGCCGAATACCTCGGCGATTTCCTCTTAGGTTCTGTAAACCAGTATGGAACATCCACTCCGGACTGGTTAGGTCAATTGATCTTGATAAACAACTCCGTTGGTGCGTACCCGTCTTTCAATCTCATCAATAACACATGGAATGCTCTTGCTGAGTCCATAACGATCCATATGCGAGAGAATGGAGATGCTATTGGTAGTCAACCTGCTGCAGGAAGTGTATATCAGACAGAAACCTGCATCTTGGTGCAATGGCTTTGGATAATATATCCCGCGAGTCTTGTTGCTCTTACTCTGTTGTTCACGGCTGTCACTGTATACAACAGTATGTCATACAATCGAGACCAGATCTGGAAAGGCTCGCCATTGCCACTCATGTTGCACGGGTTGGACAATGGCATCAGGCACGATCACTGCGACACAAACGAGCTCAACGAGATAGAAGCGATGGCCAAGGAGCTTCGAGTGCATTTCCAAAAGACAGAGGACGGATGGAGACTGGTCGAGTTTTGAGTACCACGCGAGACTATCATCAATTGCGTACAAGCAAGGAACCTTCAACAACATAGAAGATCCATTCGAGGGATCTAGTTTCTTGTATATCTCTCAGCAGGTGTAAACTCGTGCAGAATCTGCAAGCGAAGTATCACCGGCTGTTTCAAGTCGAACATATCTGCTATCGATACTGCTTACAGCGATTTGTTGTCTTTGTAGCAGTCTCTCTGAGGCGCGGAGAATGCACTCTAGCTAAGGAAATGTCGTGACAAATGATCACGGTTCACTGCGTCCGAGACGTTTGCGAGTGGCGAGAATAGGTATTTCGTATACCGCAATCTGTCGCATGAACTTCAGTACCTTCATATTGTCGCAGTGGTTAGGACAGGAGTTGATTGATCCATTAACCGCGGACTGTTGATAGCCGGGTTCCATGTAGGGAATGGGCAAAGGTATCTATGTAGCGTCAGTCGACTTGTTGGCGGCAGTTACAGATAGCCTAAACTCCAGATTTACCAGCCGCGTCTATTGACCATTGGCACTACCTTCAACCCCACCATCCAACCCCCGCATCTACTCACTACATAACCTCCTGTATATCAAGAGCTTGAGTAGAGCCTCAAAAATCACTTTTCCAACCAAGCCAATCTTTTTCTGCACAAAACTCACCCAAACAGCAAAAATGCCTTCAGCAACACCAGACTACAGCTTAACAGAGCAACAAAAACAACACTTCCTCGACCACGGCTTCATAAAACTCGAGAATTGTTTTTCCGTCAACGATGAACAGTGCAAAGGACTCATGGAGCGTATGTGGGAACGCCTAGACATGGATCCCAACGATCGAGAGACTTGGAACCCTTGGCGAGGTATGCACATTACACCCATAAATCCTCATTCTTCTTAAGAGAAATGGAAAGTAACTTAGGACTCCACAGTTCACCTCCCTCGCTACCATCCAGCAATCCCCATACGAGATTTTTGCCCCAAGGCTTGGGCTGCGATATGCGAGCTTTGTGGCGGCGAAGAACGCATCGATACTGGATCCTCCGCAACACCTGGTTTGGGTGAAGCTACACAAGAGATTGATCAATCAGTCATCAACGACGGGTTTATCGTAAACGTTGGCTCTGTCACTGATGCTGCGAAATGGAAGGAAGCTTCCACCCAAGGCACTCCTTCTGGTCCTGACCACTTGACCCCCGCGCAACAGAAATTGCTAGATCCTCATGACAGGGATAATTGGCACGTCGACGGCGATTTCTTTCATCATTTCCTGGATTCGCGCGAACAGGGTTTGCTTCCCATCGTATTGTTTTCAGACATCAATATCGGAGGCGGAGGTACAATGATTTGTCCAGACGCCATTCCCACCATGGCTGCGCACCTCTATGCGCATCCCGAGGGCGTGATGCCCGATATGACTGCCGTGGAAGGAAGGGAAACCCCCTACAAAGATTTCGACCATGGGTTTTACGATAAAGCAGTGGCGGCAGTGGAGAAGGAAAAGTTCAAGACGGCGACGGGCAAGGCGGGGGATGTGTATCTGTTGCATCCGTTGATGGTGCATAGTGCTGCTCCTAATTATTTGCGAGGTGAGTTTCTCTTTTCTTCTTCTCCCCTCCTCTCCCATCCCCGTTTGCCCCCCTCCTTTTTCTATCCTTGTCCCTCCACCCCTCCTACCTCTTCCTACCATTACCTCCTCTTCTTGTTTACTTCCTGCTGATGCCAATTATAGAACCGCGTATAATAACCAACCCCCCAATCTCCCTTTTGCGTCCTTTCAACTTTGACAGAAAAGACGGGAGTCAATACAGTCTAGTCGAGCAAAAATCACTCAATGCATTGGGAAAGCCTCAAGGATTGGATGGGTGGAAGATCACGAGGGAGAGAAAGCTTATTGTGCCAGAGAGGGTCAGGCTGCAAGCTGAGATGAAGAAGCTTTGAATGCGAGGACGTGGGGAGAAGAAGAAGGGGCAGGGTTGAAGAAGGGGAAGGGAGGGGAGGACGAACAGTAAGGGGGGCTGATGTATAGGGAGGAAGAGAAAGGTAAGAAAGGGCAAGGGTACGTATGTAGAATGTTGTCGGCACAAGAAACAGATCTTAGCACGCCTCCATTACTAATTGTCGCCGAAAGACGAGTGTCTGTGAAGTCAATCTTATTGATCTCAAGGATAATCTTTAATGTAAAACCATCACATTGGTTCTCTAGGCCATCGTGCTCAACAAGTTGTCATTTGATATATGCGCATCACCAACGCTTTTACTTCTTCTTGACATCCTCTTCCGCATTCTCCACCACGTCAACCATGAAACCTCCTCCTAGGAGGATAGCAGGCTCATCGATACTGTGGTGTTCATAACTGCCGTGACGTTAGCACTCCAAGCACTCGGATCTACATTATCGAAAAACACTCACCTCAAGGTACCCACACCACCAGCATCCAATAGCATGCTCGGATTATCCGCGATATTCTTGTTGATCCACCTTGCCGCGAATGCTCTGAGTATATGTCCGTGTGCTACGATCAACACATCGTAAGGCTCTGCTTCTGCCTTGGGTTTGCCTATGGCATTCTTATGGTATTTCTCTCTGATTTCGGCAATCACTGCGTCTAGGCGTTCGGTGATTTGCTCAGGACTCTCGCCGCCAGGACACCCATCTTTCCAAATGTCCCATTTGTGTTGACCGGCTTTACTCCGTTGCTCGGCAATGTACTTTGACGTCAAGCCCTCGTAGTCGCCGTAATCCCATTCGCGGACGCTTTCGGTGACTTGGACTTTTGCTGCCGTCTTTACATTGCTGTCATTGTGTTCGGTCTTGTCTTGCCAGGGCATTGGGTCTGCGCAGCCCAAGTTCAAGAGCTCGAGTGTGCGTTGGGAGCGTGTGCGTGGGGAGACGTAGATGTGGGCGAGGTTGCGGGGCACGATTAGGCGGTCGTCGCCGACGAGGGCGTTGCCGGTGGCTCGGATGCGCTTTTCGCCGTTGGCGGTGAGGGGGATGTCGGTGCTGCCTGTGTGTCGGCCATTGAGTGACCATTCGGTTTCGCCGTGGCGGATGATGAAGACGCGCGGGGTGATTTTCTTGTCAGCCATGCTTGTGTATGGCGAGGTGGGCGGTAGATGGTAGAGAAGTGACTTGCAGAGGTCAATGGCGTGGAAGAGAAGTAGGTGTGATTTGTATGCAGAGCAAAGCAGAGCGAGGCAGCGGGGTTTGGCGGGTAAACGTGGGAGCACCGCGGGAGCTTCGATATACCGTTGACGTCACCGATGACACTTTTTCTGGAGTATGGATGTCAGTGTTTGTCGTTGCTCATCTATTTCTTTGCACATCAATTCTGTTTTGCCGATGCCGGGACGTCTGATCCATGAGACGCCTGATTGTAGTTTGCCGATGTAGTCCAAGATGCTGAGGAGGTCAAGAAGTAGGAGACAACCTGGGAGGAAGTAGAAGATGTTGGTAGAGGTGTGTCATGGTGCTCGTTGCTTTTTGGTACGATGGTCTAGAAATACAATGGTAGTGTACATGAAAGGTTTTCTGGAGGTTTTCGCTATACCCAGTCCATAGAAACAAGATTGACAGATTTGATCTTCGAAGCTTGTACGCCAGTAACAGAACAGTCTATCGTCTTGTGGTTGGTTGCTTTGCGTTTGGCAGCACATCCTCTGCGATATCCTTGAAACGTTGCATTCTCACAGGTCTCTTACAAGCTGTCGGTGCAGGATGGATAGGTTTCGTGTAGGCCAACCAACGCGACAAAAAGTTGTTGGTGACCATATTGGAGATGAAGTAGAGCAACAGTCCGGTAGGCATCTGCAGAGCAGGAACAATGGACAGCATAGCAATAGTCATTCCAATCCTCTGGGCGTTTGTCGCTTTCGGTCCTTCGGCTCCGTCGTTGTATAGTGCGGTTGCAGCGCCTTGTAAGCGGGGTGCAAAGTAGATGCTGGCGAAGAAACTGCTGCTGAAGATGATGGGAAGGATCATGGTGGGGTCTGATGCTGTGAGATCTGGACACCAGGAGAATCCTTCGGTCACGAGAGTTGAGTCGGACCAGATGGATTTGACTTGCTCTGCCACTGCTGTTGATGTCTCGGGTACTGCTTGACTTGCCGCACTCTGTGCCGTTTCTGCTGCTGCACCTTGTGCTGTTCCTGTAGAAGCCCAGAAATCTTTGGTGTCTATTGGGAATTGAATTTCCTGGTTGCCTGTTGGAAACTGGAATCGATCGAGGGCCGCCTGAGTCGCAGGCTGAGTGGGAGCAGGGTTGGTAGGTGCAGTCCCGACAGCGTTTGCAGATTCAGGGATCGTGCCCGGAAGAGAAGGAAGCCAGCTCAAAGTCCAGTCTAGAGGGCCCAGGATGAATTTCAGCAAGCCTTCCTTTGCACCCATCAATTTCCTCAGACTGTCAGACATCCAGACTGTTGTCATGAACATGAAGAATCTATGACCAACGGCTGTCCGGTCGAACATGGTTATCTGAATCGTGCGTCCGAGGGCCCAAGACTGCACAGCCAATCGAGTCTTTCTGGCGAGACCACTTTTATTGGAAGTTTGCCTTGATAGGGAGCGTCTGAAGATGCTCATTCGTGCATCTCGGAGAGGCTGGACTTGGGCGCGATCAACCAGCTTCTCGCGCAAGGGTTTTTGCAACAGAGGGTAGACGAAGAGTGAGCGAACCAAGACGGCGGACACGGGTATGACAGCACACCAGGGTAGACCAGTGGAATGGACAGCTTCCATGAAGGCGACAGGGATAAGATCGACATAATCGACCCAAGTCTTACAGCCATCTTGGATCACGGCCTGGATCGAGTACTGACGGACGCCATAAGGTTTGCGGAGAAATGGTGAGCGGAGAGGGAGAAAGCGATGAGCAGACCTCGCTAACGAAACCATGTTCCAGGATGAGTTGGTATACTGTGTGAGCAAAACATGTGATGTATCAATGGATAGAAAGATGATTATTTGCCATGATGCCAAGCCGGGCTGTCGAGGGCAGCGGGCCGACGGTTGTTTCAGGGCCAGGGCGCGGGTCAGGGTCAGGGTTAGAGTGGGCTGATTTGACTGGTCGCTGGCGTCGTCATGTTAGGCGTTTACGCAGCTCGAAACAAACAGCTGGAACTTGACAGACACGCATCAAGACATGACACTCAGACAAGCATGCCTGCCATAGCTCTGCTGATATCGCTGGCCGCCGTGGCCGCCGGTCTCACCTACTTTCTACTACCTTACTTTCTCCGTTTCATTGCACAAAACATCGGCTCGACCATACGTGCAAGGACGCAGACCAGGAGAGAGCTGTTGCTCAAGAGGGCTGCTGACGACCAAAAGTTGACACCTCCTACATCCAACAAGGACCGTCTAGCCAAGGAAAGCTACAACGGAAAGCCTGCACACGAGTGGGACGGCATCATTGGCTTCTTCCATCCCTTCTGGTACCAACATCTGCCATGACATCGTAACAAGGCACTGACAACAGACACAGCAATGCAGGAGGAGGCGGCGAGCGGGTCCTCTGGGCTGCCATCCGCGCCACCCAAGAACGCTACCCCAAGGCTCTCTGCGTAGTCTACACAGGCGACCACGACGTTGACAAGGACACCATCATCGCAAACGTCAAGAACCGCTTCAACATTCCCCTCCATGCCCCTCGTCTCACCTTCCTCTATCTCAGTACCCGCGACTTCCTCCTCGCTCAACACTGGCCACACTTCACCCTCCTCGGTCAGAGTATCGGCAGCTTGATTGTCGGCTGGGATGCCTTCAATCTTGTCGTCCCAGACATCTTCATCGATACAATGGGCTACGCCTTTACCGTTGCCATGTCCCACTTCCTCTTCCCTGATGTCCCTACCGGCGCCTATGTTCACTACCCTACCATCTCTACCGACATGCTGGGAAGCTTGGACGCCTCTGGCCGTGGCGTCAACGCTGGTTCAGGAAGTGGTTGGAAGGGAAAAGCCAAAAAGGCATACTGGCATCTCTTCGCTCGTCTGTACAGCTGGATTGGCGGCTCCATTGACGTCGTCATGACAAATTCGACCTGGACACAAAACCACATCAAAGCCCTCTGGGGTCGCACTCGCCAGAACAGACGCTGGACCCGCGACACCGTTGTCGTTTTCCCACCTACCGCTGTCGAAGAATTAGAACAGGAAGTCGAGGTATCCGAGGAGTCAGAAAAGAGCAGGAGAAAGGACATACTCTACATTGCACAGTTCCGCCCCGAAAAGGACCACCAAAACATCATCATGGCATTCGCAGAGTTCCTGCGCCGTCGCAACACCGAAAAAAAGGACACCCCGAGATTAGTGCTCGTGGGCTCAGTGCGCGACGAAAAAGACAAGATGCTGGTGTACAAGCTGCGTGTGCTGGCGCGCGAACAGCACATTGCCGACCACGTCGACTTTGTCATCGATGCAAAGTGGTCGCAGATCCTGGATCGCTTGAGGACCAGTTGGGTTGGCGTCAACGGCATGTGGAACGAACACTTTGGTATCGGTGTCGTCGAGTATCAAGCTGCTGGCCTGATTTCTGTGGTCGACGATAGCGGCGGCCCCAAATACGACATTGTGGTCCCCATCGATGGAAAGCCCACCGGTGAGTCTTTCTTGCTACACTTGCATTGATTCCAATGGAGTCTTACTGACACAACCAACCAGGTTTCCACGCAAAATCGCCCACAGAGTTCGCAGATGGCTTTGCCAAAGCGCTTGGTCAATCACCGTCAGAGACACTGGCTATGCGCAAAAGAGCCAGAAAGAGCGCGAAACGCTTCTCTGAAGAAGTGTTCTGCGATAGCTGGAACGCACAGATAGATAGACTTGTACACTTGCGCGTTACGCCTCAAGGACAGCGTCAGAAGTTGAGGCTGGGATAGACATTCTGATAGAACTATTAGATCAATTGCTATGCTAAAGTCTGGTAGTACGAATCCGAAAAATGGGTGGTCTGTGAAGCGATTGGAAAGACGATTCTTCTGTCAGATTTTGATTATTCATATACATGTACTCATATGACTCGACATGAGCCTACCGACATAAATAGAGACTCCTTCTCTACGAAGCGAGATCGCGGTTACCTCCGTTGTTGCTGAGGTCGTTAGGACCAGACGAGGCACCAAAGCCCTCTGCTTCCAAAGTCTGGACGGTTGTCTTGGGGCCGTCCGAGCCAACTTCGCGTGTAATCTCCTTGGGCTTGACTTCTCTGTCAGCAATAATGGTGCCTTCAGCATCGGCATCGACCTCAGCAGTGCTGCCTTGGATCGAGCCAGAGGAAGCACCACTTGAAGCACTGCCCTTGGACAAGTACGCAGCCTTGTCTCCGAAAGGCTTGCTTCCATCTCCCCTCTGGAACATTTCCTCGATCAACTCGTGGCGCTTGAGAGCCAAGTTCCAATCGCAGTATCCCTTGGTGTCTCCCTTTGCGTAAGCCTCGTAGAGTCTTCCCACATTTTGCGCAGGGTGCTTGAGACCAGCCAGCTCATCAGCAGGCAACTCAATATCCTCCGCCTTGTCATTGCCGAACTCGTGAAGTTGGATTTTCACGCCCTCGTGGTTGATGTCGAACATTGCTGCTGGGCAGGTGATCAACACCTCGCCCTTTTCGCCGTTGATGAGCCATCTCATGCCTGCGTCGCCGGGGAAGGGAGCGGCGGAGCGGAGACCGTAGTTCAAGAGTGTGCCGTCCTTGAAGCGTCCCTGTAGGGAAATGTTGTCGGGTGTGTCTTTTGTGATTGTGTCGACGACTTTGCCTTTGTTTTCTAGATCGATGAGGTCGACTTTGGGGCGCTCGATGCCCATGATGGTGTCGAAAGACTCGAGCTCGCCAAAGACTTCGAGCAAGCAGGTGAAACCTGAAGATGTTAATCAACCCGAAAGAGACTTGTATTGTGTATAACTTACTGTGCAGGAAGAAAATCGTGGCATGGTTGCCGCCAGCCTCTCTCTGGATAATGTACTTGAACCCAGCAGGGATCTTTGCACCTCCACCAATACCAGTGCACCCACTCAACGAAGTGCTCAAGACCTTACCAAGCTTGCCATCAGCAATGAGCTTCTGAACAACCTTGACCACAGGAGCAGATTGGCCCTGAGATCCAAACATGGTCTTGATACCCTTCTGGTTTGCAGTGCCGACCAATTCTCTGATCTGATCCATGTTGGATGCCAAAGGCAACTCGGTATAGACATTCTTGCCAGCTTCGACAACGGGTTTCAGGAGCTTGTAGTGACTCTCGACACCGACGATACAGATGACCAAGTCAACATCCTTGTCTTCGGCCAAGTCCTTTGGTGAGTCGTAGGCCTTGACATTGCTGTCGAGCTTGTAGTGCTCAATAGACTTCTTTGCGCTGTCAACGGATGAGTTGCACAGAGCGGTGATCTGGTAGTTCTTCTTGCCCTGCTCGGACAGGAGGTATGGCAGATGAGCTGTGCTGGCCCAGCTGGTGGCCTTTGAGCCAGTGGAAAGACCGATGATACCGACGCGAATTGGAGACATGATGTGAGTATGCGATGTGATAATGAGTTTGGAAGGAAATGAAGCTCGAAAGAAGGTGGTTGCTGAGAGTGATTTGATGTTGACGACGACGAAGATATGTCGTCATTCTGCTTTTTGAGTGGAGCTCTCCAGAAATGTCCCTAAAGAGCAAATCCATCCAACCTCAAGCATGTTTTCCTCTACTGAACGGTCCATAGATGTTGATCTCAATGTAACTTCATCAATACCGAAGAGAAGAAGGACTCGAGAAGAGATCACACTGACTGTGACTTGTGCTATGGCAATGGCATCGCGACAGCTTCGGCCCGGGATTGACAGCCACCGCGACACCGCAACCCCGTAGTTTACGGCTCTTGCGTCTTTTTGACAGTTCTTCTCCAATCCTTCGATATGTCGATGCTCAACGCCGGCAAGCAATTTGTACTCTTCTTCTTTCGCTCTCACACCACTCGTCATCAGATCATGCCAACTCGGTTGTCAGTCAGTACGTGCGGTGGTTCAATGCTTTGACGGGCCGCTGTCTGTTGTGTTGGTTCCTGGCCGAAGCTCGTGCCAACACGATAGACTTTGTCTAGACTCGGATCTGGCAATGTCTCTCGCTTCCAGGTTGCACAAGAACCAATCTTTGCATTCGGAGAACAATCAAGGAGCTGACCTATCTCTCTAGAGACTGATGTCGAGCAGTGAACCTGGCTTCAATCGCGTCCGCACAAGTGCGCGGCTGTCAGTGTGTACAGTACTGTTCATCTGACAGCTGAACTGGCAGCGAAAACAGTCAACGATTTCCCCAGAAAATGCCGAGAACTGGCGGGTGAGCTTCAGCCGGTTCTGGAACCCTTGGAACATTGGCAACGCCTCTCACCCTTTGACATGCTTCCGCCATCACTTTCCAGATGGTGGCGCACCCGACACAAAATGCTGGTGTAGCTTCGCTGCCCTGAGTCGGTTCCTGAATTTGTCCTTGGAGAAGAGCTCCTGTGGCGGAAGGTCGCTGAATCTCCATGGCAGGCTCTTTTGCCCTAAGTGACACCCTCGATATAGTCAAGTAGGAAAATATCAGTGTCAGTGATCGCAAGGTAAGTGGATCTCTACATCAAGATGGTCTAATATATATACATCGTCTGTTCGTCGCATATTCCATCTCAGCATCTCATCTCTTCTTCATTCTTTCCAATACCTGGTACATCTACCACAGACTCTCGCTTCAAGATGAGACCTTCTACTCTCCTTCTAGCTGCCTCCGGCTCTGCAGTCCTGGCTGCCCCTACTCCCAGTCTGATTGGAGACCTCCTCAGCCTGACTAACAACGTTATCACCACCGTTTCCTCCTCTATCACCAACAACTTGGCTCAGCAGGTTGCTGCTCTCGGCTGTACTCTGCAGACCAACGCCAACCAGCACGGTCAGATCGTCAGCTCGGTCGCTCTGGCTGTTCAGAAGCTCGAGGTCGCCGCTAAGAGATTTTCCCAAACCTGCAACTGGTCCAAACCTGGAAAGCAGTATATTGACTGGAAAACCTATAAGGCCAACGGAGTTAACCTCGGAGCTTGGCTCGAAATCGAGCAGAACTACGACACTCAATGGTGGGCCGACAATGTTGGGTCTTTCCCTGATGAGTGGACATGGTGTTCGACCGTGGGCTTCTCGGTCTGCGGACCCATCCTCGAGAAGCGCTACGCTTCCTTCTTCACCATTGCCGATATCGACAAGATGGGCGCCAAGGGCATCAACACCCTTCGTATTCCCACCACCTACGCAGCATGGACCAAGGTCCCCGGCAGCCAGCTCTACTCTGGAAACCAGCAGGCTTACCTCAGAGTCCTTACCAACTACGCCATCGACAAGTACAACATGCACGTTATTGTGGGACTCCACTCTCTGCCTGGTGGTGTCAACACACTTTCCATTGGTGAAGCCTTTGGCCACAATGCCTGGTTCCAGAACAGCACCAACCTCGACTACAGCTTCAAGGCCATTGACGGTATCTTGAACTTCATCAAGACCTCTGGCCGCCAAAACGCTTTCACCATCGCCCCTATCAACGAGGCCAGTGACAACTTTGCTGGTTTTGCTACACCCGCTGGTCTCACTGATGCTGGTGTAAATTGGATAAACACCTATATCAAGGGTGTTTTCGCCAGAATTGCAAAAGTGGACCAGAGAATTCCCCTTATGCTCCAAGATTCGTTCTTTTCCGAGATGTTCTGGTCCCCCTTTTACGCAGCTAGTTCGAACTTGGTGATCGATTCGCACATCTACTTCTTCGCCGCCGCCGGAGCATACTCTCAATACGTCCCCGCCGCCGTCTGCGGTCAAGCAAAGTACATCGGCCAAGGCGACGGCAAATTCCCCGTCTTCATCGGCGAGTGGTCGCTCCAAACTCTCTACAACAACACACTCAGCAACAGAAAGACACTCTATGATACCCAGGTCTACGCTTACCAGAAGTATGCTTCGGGAGGTGCGTTCTGGAATGGAAAGATGTTGAATACTGTTGACGGTGTGGATGGTGAGGGTAAGCTTCAGGATTATTGGTCTTGGGAGGGGTTGTCTGATGCTGGTGTTGTTTCTAATACTGTTGATCAGTCTTACTGCTAAGTGGTTGAGAGGCTGCAAAATCGATCCGAATACTAAGCTTGTTGTGGTTCAGAGGAGTTAGTGAGGGGGAGATAGTCAGAGAGATACCAGTTCTTTCGTGTTTTTGTGGAGTTTGGGATTGGACACAGGAAATAGCACCAACAATGTATATAGCTATATTCCATTACAACTACTGTTTACACACATACAACTTTCTTGCCGTCTATGTGCATCACTTCTGATCCACCTTTCCAGTAACGACCTCAGGCTCGTATCCAATCTTTGCATCACTCGCCTCCTGCCCCTCCAAGATAACATCAGCAGGAATACGATCAGGCGTCTTATTCGTCAACAACACCATCGGTGCAGTCGCCAAAGCCATAAGCCCAAAGCTCACACCCATCCCAATCAACGGAGAAGCCTCCGTCTGCGTATTCATACCATAACTTATCGCTTGCCCAATAGCCTCCAAACACCTAAACGCAGCTCCATTGCGCACATTTGCTTGAGCGTCGGTCGCGAACGACGAAAGCAACCAATACATATACGATTGCGAGAGTGGCCCAGTGGTCTGTACGAAAAAGTAGGGAAGGAAGGCGGAGGGGTAGAGTGAGTCGTCCCAATCGATGCGGCCGGGGGAGTGGGCGTTGAATTTTGTTTGCATGATTATGGACCAGATGTAGACGCCTAGGTTTAGGATGACGACGACGAAGAGACCGAGGCGGGCGCGTTGGCGTTGGCTGAGGGATTTCATGTCGAGGATGAAGCCGAGGCCGAAGCAGCCGACGCTTGTGATGGTCAGTGATTGGAGAAGAAGAAGGAGAGAGGGAGTGTGCTTACATGCAGAAGAATGGAGAGATTAGGGAGGATAGAGCGCGAGCGCGGACGGAGAAGTAGATACCGAGGTAGGTGCTCCAAGTGCCGGAGTACTGGAAGATTGTTAGCATGGGATCAATGGTATGCAGAGATGAGGTGGATACTCACGAAGAATGACCACATAGCCCAAGCGGCAGACAAGACGATCAAGCTAGAGGCCATGGTTGTTTTGATGAGCTTGAATTCTTGCTTTGTTCCAATCTTCTCAGAGACCAAGATACGGGTACCGTCTGACCTGACCACGCGTTCGAGAGGAGAGATCATCAGGGCGAATGGCAGTCTGGACTTGTCAGTATGCGTGTCTCGGAGTGGGATCGTGGAAAGTGGTGCTTACGCGAGACACTCAATGATCAAAAAGGCGATGTAGGTCTCGGGAGTGACACCGGCTTCAGCACCTTTCAAATGGTTCTTTGAAAGGTTGATTGCTCCTCCGACTAATTGGCCCAAGTTACGGGCCACGATCCAGAAGGCGAGGTACTTTCCACGTGCCCCGGAAGGTGCGAGAGACATAATAGTGCCACTTTCTGCGACATACCATGCTCCCGTGCCAATTCCAGAGATAAAACCGCCAAAGATGATGTACTGTGATGCGTTAGTGCTGTTATAGTCGAGACGGACCAGTATCAATGTTTACCCATTGGTTGCCAAACTTGCTGTTGCAATAGTATGACGATCCTTGGATAGGGAAAGACATGGCTCCGATGACCAACGACCACTTGACACCGAGCTTGTTGACAAGAGGACCGCCTAGAAAGCAGACCAGTGCGAGCATAACGTAGTTGATAGCGTTGGCGATGTTGTTTGTTTGAGCCGAAGCAAGACCGCCACCACCAAGACCTGTCAATGATCAGTCATATGTCCACAATCGTGCCATAGAGGACAACCTACCTGCGATGGCATCTGCCATGGCTGGACCACAGAAACTTTGCATAGATAGAAGCAGCATCTGGGTGAAACTGTCTTGGTACACTCTCTTCCACCAAGGTACTGAGTTCTTGTATTCCTCCATGTTGACTCTCTCATCGGCGTAGACTGGTGGATCGTTCATTGGTATCGTTCCATGTGTCCGGAGTGCTTCGTCATCTCCGCCAGCATGTGTGTTAGGAGGGGCAGCAGCGAATGAAGCCATTGCAAAGGTATGATATAGCTACTAGTATGGAGAAGGAAGACTGTGCGTGATGGAAGCTCGATTGGGGATCTGCTTAACATTTATAAGACACAGGAAAGGCATAAGGTTACCCCAGAGTGATAGTCCATCGCTTCGACCTGTGCGTACTATCAGTAGACTTTAGACTCAACTGTCCTTGAGGGACCCGCGGTCTGCCCCAGACTGCGCAAGTCAGGTCGCATGATGAGTGGAGAATGGCCGTTTTGACCTTGGACCTTCCTCGTGTGTTGAGCGGCACAAGGCGGCAGTCTTCGGCGGTCAACTCTGAGGAAGGTACAAGCGTCGGATTGCGAGATAGGACGCAACATTGTAAGCATGGCCGGGGCCGGCGGTGATTTTGCCTAAATGGCACACGGCAGAAGATATCGCTTGGCTGCTTGACCAATCGGATAGTCCAGATAAGGCGGAGAAGCAGTCTCCATTCAGTCTAGTCAGTGCGGGGGATAAGCAAACGACATCGAGTTCTAACTTGATCGCACATGTCTCCCGACAGCCGTTCAAGCGACAGCAATATTTTATGTAACGGGTTCCATGGTGTCGTGGAGTGCCCTCCTTGACGCGAGGACACGACGTCCGGCAACATCGAATAAAGCAGTGACTCACACAACACTCCCTTCAAACTACCCTAGCAGACCTCACAATGACCGACCCTCGCGACTACTTCTGGCTGCCATCGTGCATTTGTCAGTCTATACACTACTGGATCTGAAAGAGCTGGGAGAACACAACACGGAAACGAGAGACGGACGTTCTGAGCCTTGAGCTCAGCTTTTGGCGGTGTCAGCGGACATCAAGTGCATCAAGCATCGTCATTTCCTCTCAGACATTTTGCTACTGCTCCTCTGTGCGTGGAGGTGTGATAATGTCTCCAGCAGGCGGTCACATCTGGCACAACACACACGAGACAAACAGTAGAAAATCAGGTAGGGTAGACACTGTCAATCTTTGATTGGTAACTGAGCATTAACTCGGGGTCTGCTCAAGGACGCGTTTGGTCGTGCAAGCGAATGCAGGGCATCACTCGAACATGGGCTTGTGAGGTCTCCATCCCCTACCCATGACACTGGCCAGAATAGCGTCGCTAGAGGGGACGGCGAGGGACTTCGAAGCGGAAGAGACTGCGGGCTGGCTGCCGTTGCTCTCTAGGCCAGCAACGAACTTCTCGACCTTTTCGACCTGGCTGATGAGACCGTCGACGGTAGCTCCGCGCTTGACACTCTCATGGTAGATACGTGCAGCGCTCTCGATAGCGTCGTCGTTGGATGTCTTGAGCTGCTTGATGGTGCTCGACATCTTCTTGACCTGCTCCTTCAACTGGGCCAGCTCAACAGCACGAGCATTATCAACGCTTATCCAGGCCATAGTCTTGTTGGCGTCAGAGGCTGCGAAGACTGGGGCGGGAATGGCAGGGGGTGGAATGTTAGCAGCAGGGGCACCGGGAACTGGAGCTAGGAAGCAGGTCAGTGAACAACTTGCGTTTCGCACAGTGTAATTCCAGCACACTTGACTTGTCGAGCGCGTGGATCCAGCTATCCATCTTCTGTGTGCCCCCAGGGGTCAGATAGTAGGCCTTGACGTTTTCGGGGACCTGCTGCTTGATCATCAGCTCCAATGCGCATCAAAGATAAGTTGCATAAGCACTAACCTCGTCAGGTTGGGACATTTTGTTTGTGGCTGGGGCGGGTTTGTTGTGGCATTCTGAAGAAAGCAGACGCAGAGTGTATTTCCTGCGGAGTCTTCATCTCCTAAGTTCCTCTTCGACGATTCAGGCCATCAAAATGCATGATTCCTTCAGTAATTCGGGAGCGTCTATTGAGAGTAGTGATAACATCGACTCTTCATGGAGCCAACCGAGATTCCGAAGGAACCATGCATCGTTACAGCAGTCGTACACAGTGAGTAGACGATGAATCACATAGCAAGTGCGGTGAAGCGAGACTGCGAAGAACGTCGCAGGCCATAGTGACAAGTGAAATATCGCAACTCTACGGATACCAGTTGTCGGCTAACCACTCATCCTTTCAAACACACTCCTACAACACCACAATCATTCGCGACATAGAACACTGGTAATGATCGCTTTCTCTCACACTCTGATTCAGGCAATGATCCGATAACTTCATCCCTTTCCAGCAGTCTTGATCGATCACGTACGCACGATTTTCAAGCGAGACATCGCACCAAGCCATACAACCTCTGCGCCTCTCTAATCATCTATATCAATTACTGCGGCTTGACCTCAAACATGTCAATTCGGTAAGTGCGAATCGAACACGCGCGTGATCAACAAGCGCTGACGGGTCGTCTCAGTAACAGCATCACCGGCCCGTCCGCCGAGACTACTGTCGGCAAAGACAGCTCTGCAGCTGTCTTCAATCTCCCCAAGCAATTGCTCTGCGAGTCATCCACATACTTCGAGGCCGCACTTAACAATGGCTTCGCCGAAACTGCCACCCAGAAGATCACGCTCGACGACGACGACGATCATCCCGAGATCTTCCGTACTTACGCTGCCTGGTTATTCGAACGCGAACTTAGTCAAGAGAGCATCGGTGAAGTGGCCGACGTAGAACATCACTTGTTCTTTGTCTATATCTTCGCGGACAAACGGGGCATAAGACGTCTAGCCAACGACGTCGTTACCAAAATGTCTTCGCTCTGGGTCACTCAATCCATCGATTTGAGCACTACAGTCGAGTGTCTGCCTCTGCTTCTACCTGGATGCACTCTCTACGAACTTACCTTGGACAACTTGATTCTAGCATCGAGGGCCGGAACGTATGGCTCAGATGAATGGAGAGCCTTTTGCAGCCATCCTCAAGAGATCATGGTAGAGCTGTTCAAAAGAGAACAACGCTTTCCTGACTCTTTCAAGCACCTCCATGACTGCTTCGGATCGATTTGCCATTACCACGAGCACGAAGATATAGACGAGGAAGACAAATGTATTAAAATGACAGCGAGGGGTCGCAATGTCCATTATGGTCACGAATTCTTATGGGACCAGGTGGAATGGCGTTGGTAGAGGATGAAACGAGTTGGGCCGGTAGGACGACCGACTGAGAAAGAGATGAATCAGCACAAAGTAATATAGCGGCATTGGGACGATCCAGTCACACTCCAGTCATAGAAAAACCCATCCGCACACCATTCTTTTTATGTTTTGTTTCGACTCCAGTATTCAGTCTGTCGACAGACATTGTTCGCAATCATCATGTCCATGCATCCATATACTTACTGATCAATCAACTCTAACTTTCAATTCTGGTCTCAGCATCTGCAGCTAGAAGTGAGACTTTCTGCCGCTTGCTTGTTTGTCACTCAGATCTCAGATCCGTCGGAAGGAGCCACTCCATCACATCAATCCTCTGCCGGAACCCATCACAACACAGCGCGACTGTCTCGTGTCATATCACCATCTTCGCATTCTCCTTATCGCGCACAACACTGAAAGTCATCGGCATTTCTCTTACCTCAGCGGTGCGCTAATCGTTTACGACACCTCTCAACAACAAATGATGTTTCCTTCAAAAACGTCACTCCGGTGAGTTATAACACTCTGGCTTGATGGGTCCTAGACATTATGTCCCAGCTGAAGATTTTACTGACTATCCCCCCAGAGCTGCTGTTGCTGGCCCCACCGCCAAAGTCGTCGTCGGCTCGGGAGCAAACGCCAAACCTTTCTACGTACACAAACAGCTGCTTTGCGACTCGTCCACCTATTTCACGACTGCTCTCAACGATGGCTTCGCCGAAACAAAGCACCAGACCATCAAATTGGATGATGAAGATCCTGACATCTTTCTCACTTATGTTCTCTGGCTCTACGGGGGCAAGCTAAGCAGGGAAGCACTGCCCTCTGATCAAACCGAGGGACCGTTTGAGAATCATCTGTTCAAGCTCTATGTCTTCGCCGATAAACGAGGCGTCAAGAATCTGGCCAACAACACAATCACGATGCTGGCCGCACACTGGGTGCAGAAGTGTGTCACCATGAGCGAGGTTGCGTGGGTCGTTCTTCTTCTCTCGCCTAACGATAAGCTGTACGAGCTCATTCAGGACCACTTGATCCTTGAGCTGCGAGAAGAAATACTGGATGAGCCCAAACATCTTCTTGCTGCTATGGATCTTCCTAAAGAGTTCTTGTTCAATCTTCTCAGAAGAAGTGGCAAACTCGGAAAGCAATTTGAGCGAGCCCATCACTGCTTCGAGGCAGTATGTCACTATCACTGTCACCAGGGTCCAGGTATCGTAAGTCGGGAGGATTGCATTCTTAGCATCGAGGCTGGAGACAACATCTACGACAATTGCGAAAGGCTCGAGGATATAGAGCAGTGTGCTTGGAAAGGAAATGTGTCCCAAGGTCACTAGAGACGAAGACAGAGCTCGCAATAGTGGTCAGAATGGAACATGTCTCTTGAACAATGTAAACGAGCATTCCAAGAGTTCAACACTCCTCTTCATGATCAATCCAGATTTCTCATAGTCGTACTGGAATATCCCATTGGCTACACATCCAAGCTGAAGGATTGTCATCCCCAACTCAGTCTTCTACCCGACGACTCTCTCAGATTCACAACAGGAACTCCTCAAATTGTACATCCCGGAGTTTGATACAGTGCCATGATGAGTTGGACCTGCTATAAGAGCTTCCAGATGTTTGCCTTTGTGGTTCCAGGAGGGATCCAAGAATTTAACGGAGGGTGCTTTTGAATTCACACGATAAGGAGTGACGATCATAGAAATTGTGGTGAAGATGGAGATCCGATTGCTTTTTTTGACGGTTTTGTGATGCAGGTTTCGGTATATCTTCGCTCGGAGGCACACTGCCTGTATGATAATATGCTTCTCATTCCCCGGGATCACAAGAGAGCAATTACGAGACCACCGAGTCCCATGAGAGCAGCTGCGGGATGCTGTGCAGCCATCAATTCAGAAGCAGCACCAGTACTCATGGACGAAGCGCTAGTCCCAGTTCCAGTCATACTGCCAGTAAAGCTACCGGCGCCCTTTTGAGTCACACTACCGTTCCCACTGTTACTGGTCTCTCCAGTAGCACTGGCAGTCCTAGTAGCCATCGCCTCCACTGAAGCAGCGGTGATGATCAATGTCGCATTCCACGCAGTCCAGGTATAAGTCGCGCCGCTAACAGGAGCAGTCAGAATACCATTGGTGTCACTCCAAGTACCAGTAGCCGAGTGCAATGGAGTAGATCTTGCATAGTCTGAAGCATTTACACCATACAAGCTGAACCCATGATCTGTGCAATCGAAATTCTGGAGCTGGGAGGGACATTGCGCCAGACTATTGTTGTTGCCATGGCTGTCTCTGTCGATGAAAGCCGCTCGGATGTAGTCTAGAACAATGTAACCAGGGTCTTGATCTTTGCAGGTATCCCAGGCGCTATTGGTATATAGAGTTAGGGAGGTAGACAATACACGCACGGTAGATATGATTACTCACCCAGCAGCATAAGCCCCGTAGAGGCAACAATCGCAATCGGGAGTTGGTCGCTCTTCAGAATCGTCTGGATCGCCACGCTCAGATTTTACTTTTTCCATACAAAGTGACAAGGCGTTGTCGGGCAAGTTGTCGTTTAGCTTGTTGAGGTCACAGCTGCATGACTCAGCTGCATCTGCAGGAGCTGGCCAAAATGGCAGGTTCAGCGCGGGTTCGTCTTCACTCATCACTAAAGAGCATGTGGAATTATAGGAGAGCAGTAGTTGTTGGTAATCACATGAATAGACCTAAGCTGATGTCAGTTGTATGATGGAGAACATTGTTCTAGTACAGCTTGTCATACTCTGTTCCAGCAGTTTGTAAGGGCGCACTCCATCCTGTCCTGCAAGCCCAAAGATTGGACAAGATAATCATCTTTAGCGGTGTAGTTTTGTGCTTTCCAACACGTTTCCATCTCGGTCGGTGCAGCGCAGTCGGTGAAGGTGAACGGTAGGTCCAGGCGGTCCCAGATAGTTGGGGGCAGTTGGACATCGTCTTGGGCATAAGTTTTGGCAGACAAGGCTGCTATGCAGCAGCCTACAAAAGCATGTTTGCCAATCATGATAAGAATGTAAGTTTGTGATCTGATACGAAAAGAAAAAAGAGGAGAAAATTCGTGGAACTTGTGGTATATAGATGGTTTGCGTTCCAGGCGGCCGAGTCAAAGGATTTGAGCACGGTTGCTTTGCGGCGTGGCCTTCTAATTTCCAAATTTTGTTGGCATATTGTAAAAGCGTATTGAACTCTTGCTAGCCTACCAATCCTGCGGGATAGGTCTAGAGCCAGCACCTCAATCTTTTGAGTTGGTGCGGCATATTCGTCGAGAAGCGAAATATTAATCTTCACGGTCGAAAATGGTGGAGTGCTTGCTGAGCACCGTAGCAGAGTCCGAAGTCGCCTTGCATCGAACCCGGGGATCGTCTTGCTCACATTACGAAAGGATTACTGTTTGCGCCACATTCAAGCAGACACATTCTCTGGACTCACGAGCCCAGAGGATCAATCGCTTGGTGCAGGTGGTCAATGGTTCCCAGACTCTCTATCAAAGTCGATCTCGCAGCTTCGTCCTGACTTGAGGACTATGGGGTCTGAACTCTGGTTTGGCCATCGCTTGGGCAGCTTTGGCAGCGGTAGTCAGATAACGACGAGCCTCGGATTGTTCTTCGCCCTTAGACTCTGCATAGTGGTACGATACCGTAGTGGCCAATGTCTTTCGTCAGTGTGTATGCCATATCATATTGTGTATCTCATCTGACGCGTCGCCGGATTTCCTTGAAGATCTCAAATCATTTCTGCTTGGTCTGGGTTTCTAGATATCTGTACAAGCAGCTAGACGGCACCAAGAGTGGTAGTGATGAGACCGGAGTCTTCTCCGGGATGCGAGGCATCTGTGCGAAGGCTCTGATGAGCTGGATCTCTTACCACTAGTTGCCGCATTGTGAAGATTGGCTCGCTCAGAGGCTACGAGCTGTATCTTCGTCTGAGAACGTACAAGCGCTCCTGGAAACCCAACTCGCAACCATCACCGCCACCACTAAGGCTCTTGGGGCTCTTCAGTATCCGCTCCATGCCGCCATTATTGACCGAGATCAGCGGCACGAGACTGGTCCGCTGCGCTCCACTCGATAGCTCCGTCTTTGTGAAAAGTGTCCTCATGTCGCTTACGCTCATGCTGGCGAGCGAAGGCCTTTCCGCAGACTGCGCAGACAAAAGGCTTCTCATCCGTATGAGTACGAAGATGAGAGCGCAGGTTGTATGCGCGAGTAAATTTCTTGGGGCACAATGTGCACTGGAAAGTAACAGACTCCTTCTTCTTTTCTGTCTGTTGTGCCTGTTCTATCTTGCCAGGTCGCAGTGCTTCCTCGATGTCGTATTGGAGCGGAGAGTCAAGCAGATCGTCTGCTGCTGCTTGTGACCCCGGTTCCCGATTTCTCGAACGCCAGCGATCGGCAAACGATGGGAGTACTTGATGGTTGGTGGCCTGCTGCTGATATCGGTCTATGAATTCGAGAGATCGTGTATCATCGGCTGCTTCTTGAGCAGTTTCGCTCTCCCATATCAGATGATCAGATGCGTCAGGGTTTCCTGTATTCTCCTTGATCTGCTCGTCTTCCTCATCATGTGTGTCAACGTCTCCAACGATTTCCTCAATCTGCTCATCTTCTTCATCGTGTTCGCTTATAAATTCAGCGAACTCCTTGATTTGTAGTTCTTCTTCTTCATCATCATCATCATCTGGAGTCAGAGGAAGAACGAACAAGGCGATCTCTTCCATATGCGTAGCAAGGTGGTCACGTAGCCTGGACAATGACATCTGTTGCGAGCAGATCAGGCATGGACTCAGCGCAGTGTCTTCCATTTCTCGCTTGCACATATCCGCGTAGGTCGACATTTGTCGCTCGTTCACGAAGTTTGAGTGTTCGGCTGCGAGATGTTGAATCATAGCTGCCTTAGATGACAGACTGTCTGCGCATCCACAAGGACAAGTCCACTTTCGTCGGTGCATCTGTTGCTCATGGTAAATCCAGTCGTGCTGCAGATATAAGGCCGGAGGTCTCGAAAGACATGTTTTCTGTCGGGATCAGCACGAAATGCTTGATCTGTTACACTGTCACCACTTACTTCCAAACTTCTCTTTTCTGCATCGAATTCGAGTCCAAAACAATGTGGCAAAACGGACACTCGAAATTGGTATGTGTTTTGGAACATCTGGGAACGTCCGGTACTCTGGTTGGGTTTGATCGTCCAATTGCCGATTTAGCGTAGACCGTATGCCATTGTTCTCCATTGTTGTCTTCCCCCATAGCGGATTTGGCAACAGTCGAGAATGAGGCGTGTAAGGCCGAAAATGTCTGACCCTTCAGCTGATCTGGTTTAGCGTCAGTGTTCAAATGTTGTTCTTGTGACTCAGGTACGTCCGGATAATCGACCCAGTAATCAAACTGCTTGCGACGGAAAAGATTTGCCCAGGTCAATCTCTGGCAAAGAAACACGATGTCAGCGACTTCCCGAAGGTCGTATTTCTTCCTCAGTTGGATCTCTTCTTCAGTCACCACATGCTCTTCGTCACCACCGACCTTGGACCGCATAGTTAGATGTCTCCACTGTCGTGTTTTCTCTACAACGTGAGCATAATCCATCGTGACCTTCAGAGCATCATGAGAGGGGATTGTCGAGTTAGTGGATTTAAGATACTTGCTGGAGTTCCGGGGACGTCGTAGAAGGATAGATATACGATAGAGCGAGCGAATAGCCTCGAATATCATGCTGATGGTTTTGCGCAGTGAAACTTCCCCTGCGGTCTGTGGACTTTCTTGTAATGTGTCGCTCTCATCAGATGACGACGAGTATTCCTCGTCTTCTTCATCAACATTGCCCGTCGAAGAATGTTTCACTGTCTGGTCAATGGCTTCATGACAGTCAGTCATAGACTTTGGATTTACAAATGCTTGGCTAACCTCTTCCTATGTGGTTGTCCAACCGCTGCAGAGTTCGGATGACAATGTTTCTGGTTTCTTCATTTTCACGAAGTTGCTCATCCAAAGAGCGTCTTGCATTCCGTGGTAGGACAGCATAGGTTTGCTCTCCCCAGACGCGCAGTCGGCTGAATCCATCCTTGAGTTCGGGAACAGTAGTGGTAGTCAGATGTGTCGTTTGAGAAGCATTTCTTTGCAAACCCAGCAGAAGAGTTCCATATCTCCTGATGGAGCTCTCGAACAGGTGACAAGCAGAGTCCGCATATAGGCTCTTGTCCTTGGCGGTTCCATCGGTATCCAGATCATGTGCGGAATTTGCAGCGATGTAGGCAGCTTTGTCCTCTTCGTAACGCTTCTTTTCCACAGCAGCCTTGGCCTCGAATGGGGCCTTCTGCTCCTCGCTGAAGCTTTTCCACTTCTCGCCAACGATCTTGCCAACATCATCTGTTGGCCTTGTGAGTCATCCGCGAAAGAGCATGATGAGCGATGCTGAACCTACCGGACTTGATGCCAGGGTTTTCCTCGCGGACATTCTCGCGCGCTTCGTTTGCGAAGAACATGAAGGCGGAAAGACCACGCTTAGGGGCGTTGGGGTCTGACATTCGAGTTAACTACGAGCGAGACCAAGATGTGAAAGTGGTTGCAATGTGAATTTACCCATCTTCTTCCTGCCGTCATCTTTCTCGGTCTTACGGGCCAGATTGCCACCACCAGTGGCATAGCGGCGTGGGTTATCCATATCATAGATGGTGGTGAATCATTGTTTGTTGGTGCGGTCGATGAAGTGGATAGGATGTGATGCGGAGAGACAGAGGAAAGCAACTTCGGACTTGTCCTGCTGGAAGAAAGCCACAGCGCTTCCTGCCTGCCGCTATTGGTTGGCGAAATGAATCTGCTGACACATGCTGATGCGGCCTCTGCCTTATGCGGGGCATCATTTGAATTGCTGTCTGACGTGTTTTCTTCAATCTCTCGTTACCTACAAACATCTTCCGCAGACAATGGCCGAAGCCGCTGGATTAGTGCTGGGCGCCGTTCCACTTGTCTTTCTCGCTCTGGATAAGTACCAGGATTGTCTGGAGTTTGGAAGAAGCTACGCGAAATATACAGACACACTGATGAGCATAAGAGATGAGGTCTCTCTTCAACAGTTGCAGTTCAATGATACGATGGAAATGATGGGTCTGCATAAGCCAACATACATGGAGCTTGAAGACTGTCTCTGGGACCACTTTCCTGAGAACCACACAACTTTCATGAGGTACATCAGAAGGATGGCGGCAATCATCAGCCAATTAATGGCTAAACTTGAAGTGGATGCCAATGGCAAGGTCAGTGATATCAAATATGCCTGCACAAACTTGCTGATAACTTCTCAAGCACTCCGACAACATTTCTTCTCGAGCTGGATGGGAGTGGCGGCGAGTGAAGAGAAGTTTGTCGACGAAGGAACGCACGAAGCTATTCGATGAGTTACAACGTTCAAACACCAATCTTCGATCGCTCTTGTCAGAGCCCGAGGTTCCCGTCGAAGATTGGACACCAATGGTTCGAACCTTTGTTGCTCGTTACAATCAAACCGATTGCGATGCTGTACGAATGCAAGCGTCCGAAGTCAAGAAGGCACTGGATGCATGCTGGAAATGCTCTTGTTCCCATCAGACATCGCTTGACCTCAACTGGTTCAACAATAGACCGACAAAATCGCCTGTGTTCAATGTGCTGTTGTCTTACAGTATCACGAACAGCCAATGCCCCATAGGAAGCCCCAGATGGCGGCAAGCCCGAGTTAAGGTCGACGCCGCTGGAGTAAGCAGCAGCGCAGGAAACGACGAACAGGTCTTGGGACCACCAATAACAGATATGGGGCTTCTCACTGTGTCTCCTTCACAGACTGCAACCACGAAGCAACAAGCACGAAACCTGTTCTCTCATCTACGACCGAGAAGTCGTTCGACAAGCCCGCTTCCTCCGTCGACCAGTGATCCCACGGCTAACAGCTCGTTGGCCAAGTCGGTGAAGCAGATTGATTCGTTGTGCCGATTCGTACAGAAACTGGATAATGGTGGCGATTTGCTAGGATTCTTGTCTGTGCCAGGAGGGACAAAACGCGTCCACTTCGAATCGCTTCCAGGAGATTCTATCACCGAGGAGGCAAATTTGGTTCATCTTTTGCCGCCAAACATACCTCCGGCACATCTGAAACTCAGCCGTCGAAAGCGCTTGGAGGTGGCCGTGGCCGCTGCGTGGACGACTTTGTTGCTCTGCGAGACGCCTTGGCTCAACCATGCATGGGATAAGCATGAGCTTTGTTTCTTCTCGGAGAGCGTTTCGACTCCTGATCTGCTTCCTGCAAGCCGCTGCGTTTCAATGACACAGGGTTGTACCTCAAGTCCACTGCCGACAGATATCGCTGGTGTCAACGTTCAACACAAGATAATTCGCAACGAGGCTGTCTTTGCCTTAGGGATTCTTCTGATCGAGCTCGGCCTGAACCGATCTTTTGAGGAGTGCAAGAGGACGAAAAATCTCGGTACCACCACGAACGTTGTCGATGACTACAATGTCGCAGACGATCTGATCGAGGACGTCTTCGATGAGGTTGGAGGACTGTATGGAAATGCAGTGCAAAGATGCATCAGGTTCGCTTTTCCAGGCAGAGACACGACAAAGAACTTCAGTCATGCGGCCTTTCGACAGTACTTTCATAATCTGGTTGTGGCTCCTATCGAAGCTACTCTGTCGACAATGCCACCTTGAAGTTGATCAACGGTTGCAGGGATATTACTGTCTGCATTTGATTATAACCAGATGAGGATATGATTGTTGAGCAGGAGTGCGAGCGGAAGCGCAGATTATCCGCGCCAGTGTGTTCATGCTGAGAGATTTGACGCCGAGACGTCTTGTTGAAGTTAGCAATCTCATATATTCACCATGACAGTGTCCATTTATGCCCCAGGATGCTGCAATGTGGTATCGGAGATGCTCGCTGAGCTTTGTTTGAGTCTTGTGAGAGGAGCCGGGCGTATTTAGCCGAGAACGGCCGAGCAGCCAAGAACACCTCCGACAGCGCTGAGATGTCACTCCTCTGCTGCGACTTGGCTAAACACGGCACGATTGCCCAACCACCGTGGTGGAAGCCCAGCGAAAAAATGTTTCCTGAGTCACAATATCGATACAAAGATCCTCGAATGTCACTGTTACAGTACTCCGACTGCTTTGCGAAATTTATCTGAACTTGTGGATCTGCTGCCTTAGGCATCTAACTCGCAATGAAGATGGACCAGCACTCAGAAGCCCAACCACAAGAAAAGTCCCCACCAAGAATCTCAGCCGAAACGTCAACGACCGATGCGACAGGAACAAAAGATGAAGCTCTGGCACTCGCAGGGGAAACAGCACGAGCAATCGATCCAGCCATGGAGCGCCGCGTGCTCCGCAAGATCGACCTCTTCCTGATGCCAGCAATGGTCATCGGCTACGGACTAGTCTACTACGACAAAGCTATCTTGGGCAGTGCTGTTCTCTTTGGCATGACAGGAGATCTACACCTTACAGTCGTCGATCGCACGACCACGCCACCAACTACCAGTACAGACCGCTTGAGTTGGGCAACCTCACTGTTCTACTTTGGCATGCTGGCTGGCTTATACCCCATGAGTTTCGCTCTCCAAAAATTCGACATTGGAAAAATCCTTGGTCCTATCGTTGTGCTGTGGGGTGGCATCTGTATGTTGACTGCAGCAGTACAAGATTGGCGTGGTTTATTCGTGCAAAGATTCGCCTTGGGATTCGTGGAAAGTATCATTCCTACTGGCTTTTCTTGCATCGTTTCTGGTTACTACACTCAAAGAGAGCAGACTTTTCGACAGGCTTGGTGGTTCTCTGGTACCGGTCTCTTCACCATTATTGGAAGTGCTTTGAACTATGGCTTTGGCCAGATTACTGGAGGTGATCTTAGGCGCTGGCAGTATATCTACCTACTTGCTGGTGCTTTGACGATAGTATTTGGCGGTTGGTGCTTTTTGGTGCCGAACTCGCCGGTCAGTGCTTGGTTCTTGACACCTGAAGAGCGCATTGTTGCTGTCGAGAGGCTTCGTAAAGGACAGACTGGCGTTCGCTGCAAGGAGATCAAGATGTATCAGATCAGAGAGGCCCTGATGGACATCAAAGTGTGGCTGGTGTTCATCATGATGGGTTGTGCCTATACTGTCAATGGTGCTGTAGCTGGCTTTGGTCCGTTGATTGTCAGCACTTTTGGCTGGAACACTCTCCAGTCCATCTTGCTACAGTTCCCTGTCGGCGGCATCAGCTGGTTAGGTATCCTGCTTGCGGGCTTCATCCCGCTCTACGTGCGAAACTTCAGAGTCATAATCCTGGTCATCTGCTGTCTACCAGTTATCGCCGGCTGCTGCATGATCTGGAAAGCAGACTGGACCCATCACGCCGCTGCTCCAGTAGTGGGGTACTCAATCATCGGCTTCTTTGGTCCTGTCGTCTCACTCATCATCGCCCTGGGAATGTCAAATGTAGCAGGCGCGACCAAGAAGAGCTTCATGTCCGCTGCTATCTTCGTTGCCTACTGTGTCGGCAATATCGTCGGTCCGCAGCTCATCAAGAGCGAAACCCGTCGCCAACACTATCCCGAGCTTTGGACTGGGCTTATCATCTTCTACTGCATCACCATCGCCGCTTCTGTTGCTTTGTACTATGTCATGTGGCGTGAGAACAAGCGAAGAGATGGATTCAATCTGAGTGAAGAAGATGCTGATAAACTTGCATTCAGAGATCTCACTGACAAGGAGAATCTGCATTTCCGATATGTTCTGTGAGTAGTCAAATCAGTTCATGAAGTTCATGACGGTCAGAAGTCCAGGGTAGTTTTTCTCATTGCATCGTCTACACGTCTATGTATGCAGGTCCAAAAGTTCCAAAAGACGTATCCTTCTTCCAATCGAAGGTCTCTTCAAGTTGTAAAGTCTTCGAGCATTTACTCGTCGTTGCAAAGGACATAGCGGTAACGGGCCTTGCCTTCGTCCATGTCGACGATGGCGGCGTTTGCGTCTTTCATCGATCTTTTCTCAATCCATGGCTTAATTGACTTGTCTGCGGCCAGTTTTAACATCTCGTTGATTTCCTCGGGGCTGCCAATGGCACTGCCGCCAATCTTGACGCCATTGCCGATAAGAGTGAAGGCATTGATGTTAGGGAGCTCGCCACCGTCAGGGGCTCCGACCTGGATGAGGGTTCCCTTGGTCTTGAGCAGGGAGACGTAACCCTCGAGAGGCATCTTTCCGCTGGACACGGTTGAGACGATCAGGTCAAGAGTGCGGCGGTTATTCTGTGCCCAGTCCTTGTCGTCATCGGTAGCGATGTATCTGTCGGCACCGAGCTTGAGGACCTCGTCCTTCTTGCTTGCCTTACGAGAGATACCGACAACCTCGTCGGCTCCAAGGGCCTTGGCGAAGAGGACACCGAAGTGGCCGAGACCACCAACACCAACGATACCGACCTGTTATGTGTGAGTTTGTGTTTATAGTATCCGCAAGTCTTCCAAGCTCACCTTCTTGCCGGGTCCAGCGCCATAGTTCTTCAAGGGCGAGTAGACTGTGACACCACCACAAAGCATGGGAGCAGCGTCGGCAGAGTCGAGACCATCGGGAATATTGAAGACGAAGTTGCCAGTGTGACGGGAATAGGTAGAGTAGCCACCGTAACTCTTGCCAGAGCCATCCTTGTACTTGTCGCCGTATGCGCCGGTCATGTTCAAGCAATGGTTCTGCTCGCCGTTCTTGCAATCCTCGCACTTGCCGCAGCTGGCCGATTGAGCGCCGACACCGACTAGAAGAAGGTCAATCATGGGACAGCGAAAGGAGTGTTGTCAGGATGAGCGTACCTCTGTCGCCAACCTTGACGTGCTTGACGTTGCTTCCGACCTTGACGGCCTTACCCACGATTTCGTGACCAACGCAGCAAGCTAGAGAATGAGTCAGATAATCCTCAAGGAAATGCCATGCAGACTGGAACAAAAGAACATACGGTATGGTGTCTCTCCCCAACCACTCTTGAGAGTATGCAGATCTGAGCCACAGATACCACAGTGGGAGACCTTGATGTCGACATCATCCTCGCCTTGGAAGAGTTAGTCGTATTTGCGTTGATCGTGCCCTTGTGTCGACTCACTCCACTTCTTGGGCTCGAATTCACCCCACTTCATGTTGCCCTTAACGGACTCAGCGTCGTGGCCGAGCCAGCCCTCGAACTTGTAATCGGTACCAGACATTTTTGCGGATGTAGTTGGTGTATGTGAGTGACAGTGAAAAGAAGTCAATCAGACAGAAATGGGCAGCGCTGGGCACAGGGACAGAAACTCCCCGCTGTCTTATGACTGCCCTGGCCCAACAGCTCCAGAACTGGTGATCTCATCGTCAAGCATAAATCCAGAGCTTCACGCCGGAGATAGTGGTATGGCCGTCCCTTTAGCTACGGAACACAGCGGAGTATGTCACAGCGGTGCTTGTTTTGTCAAGAACTATCTGCAAGAAGAAATCATGATTCTCAGACCGGAGTTAGCGCTGCCCGAGGGGTCATGATGAAGCCCTTATCGATGACGTTGGTTGCCAAACGTTCAGAACTTCAGACCGCTGTTGACGCCCATGACAAATATTCTAACAAGACAAGCTGGGTCCCATCTTGTTATTCCTCTTGGTCGCATACTCGAGTGAGGCTTGAGAATGACAATCTGACAAGCTTTCGTGAGACGAAGACAACACGCGTTCACTCGCCAACTGGTCGAAGCTTCGTTTGAGAGTAGCACACTCCCACATCCCGCCATCGAGAAAGGCTGTCCATCGCATCACGGGGCTTGGGTCAATGAAGATACTCTCCCACCGTAAAAAAGTTGGCTTCAATCATGCTCAAACTTGATACTCTGCCATCTGAGACCAGGGAAAGATAGTGGTCGAGAAATTGCAAGTCAAATCAGCGAACCGGGTTACTCTGCCGACATACGTCTCAGCCATATCAATGCGCTAGACCAAGGACCTCTAGTACCCACCTCACTGGTAGGATGGTACATTTCTCAAGACTGCAGGAGATTGGCGTCGCGACAGATTGTGCAGCGTGGATGGTCATGCGGTCTACTTTCCGTTCGCAAATCCCATGCCCGAAACCACGCAGAAGTAAACTGTGAGGCCAAGAACGCATGAAAGCTGCACGGAGCAACCGGGAATACGAAGCCGGTGTGCTCTGATGTGAGATGTCGGAGGAAAATGCCGTCTGCAGCCAAGGATGCCCGCGATAAGCCAGAGCAACACGAAAGGTAACACGACGGGCGATATACCACCAGGAAATCTGACTACAAGCGCCTAGAGTGCGGCTTGCCAATGGGGAGACGGTACGAGCATCCAGGATACACAGACGACATCTGCCCCGGCTATCAAGCGTCGTAGACTCCAAATGTAAAAAGAACGAGGAGCCCAAGTTGAGATGCTCTGACATCAGATGCCTCATGAAACACCGCGATGATGACCATACACAGCACGTCGAACTTCCGCAGCACGAGTTGATGCACAAGAACCCAAACCATGCCCGATGCGTCGAGTGTAGCCTCTTCATGCGACGCACTCTGCTTAGACATTGGATGTCATCGCATTCGAAGGTAACACTGCAGATGTGTTCAACACTCTCAATACCAGTCTTTCTTTTCAATGTATGGCCCGAAACGATGCGATTATTGCAGACTTTCCAGATGCGGTTCCCGAGGACATGAAGGACGTATTTTACTCCAAGGTCACCCGGGCACATCAACATGAACGAGGAAGCATTGGAAATTCGCCGTGTTCGATAATCGGTCATATTTGTACTCACGACCCCGATGTCAATCACCCCAAACCCCAAGTGTGAAATCAAACGTCATCAGATGGCAGAACAGGCATCCGATGGATACCCTTAAACAATTCAGACAATACTATCGTGAACACGCCGCCAGACGTCTATTCAGGCAAACTGAGATCATGTGTGTGTGCTCGACTCCTGCGAGTGAGATTGTCGGCACGAGGGCCAGGTCAAACTTTCCATGGAGCGACGACTATTCTGAATTGTGCGACGATTGTGCTCGTGCTTGGGACGTAATCACGAAGACACGCAGTCACGCAAGCAGGGATGTCAAAAGCAGCTGCAAGTCTGTGGAAAAGCTCCCAATGAAGGATGGTGAAGGATTCATCGAATTTAGCATGAAAAGTCTGTATTAGCTATATAAATGCACAAAGTTTTCGAAGAATACATCGTATTCATCGAGATGCGGTGTTTTCTAGGCTCTCTTTGGACACATCCCTGATCTCAAAATCACTGTGCTTTTTCATAGCGAGCATTGCACTTTATGACTTCGTGGGAGGGAGCAGTTCAGAAGAACAAGAGTCATGAGCTTTAGTACATGAAACACTGCAATGATCTGGGCTATGTAATGCACAAGCCCTCCACAGCGGCCCTTGTGATGGAGAAGGAACAGACATAGGAGAGTCACGAAATCTTGGTCAAGCGGAATATAGATTGCTCGCAAAAGTCGATGACTGCTCATGATTGCAACAGTCTGTAGGCTCGGAAACAACAGATTGCAGACTGGAGGCAGAAATCGATTTGTTCCGTATATAAGACTAAGATCGTACCTTCAATACCCATCAGTGATAGCCGTTAGTACCATTTCTTCCGTTCACTCCATTGCTTCCATTCGATTGAAGCTTGCTGACATTGATCTTTGGCAGATCTGCAAATTGGACTGCAGCATGAATCTCCTTGTCTGCACCTTCGGCGAGAGGCATAAGCGGTGAGCGTACAGTAGCGTGGTTAAGGATGCCTCTTGCCACAAGAGCGTGCTTCAAGGCAACAGTGCCTTCCATATGACTTCCACGGTGGTAGACAGCTCTAGTCAGAGGAAGCAGCTGATCGTGCAGTTGCCTAGCTCTGGCGTAGTCCTTGGCCTTGCCGGCCTCGATCATCTGGATCAAGAGCTCGGGGGCAATGTTGCCGTATCCGACGAGGAAACCATCAATGTCGAAGGCTGTGTGGAGAAGATACTCGTCGTGACAAGTCAGAATCTGAAGATCAGGGCGCTGCTTATGGATGATGGGAATCTCAACGTCCCAGCGGCGCATGTTGCGGACACCGTTTTTCATGGCGAACACACCAGGCTGTGCTGAGATATCGAGCATAGTCTGCAGACTGTAGGTTGCCTTTGTGTTGTCGGGGTATTGGAAAAGAATAAGAGGGAGCTTGCTGGTCTCGTAGACAACCTTGTAACGGTCTTGAGGTGCACCATCTTGATAACCGAAACGCAACCATCCGTGCGAAGGGTAGAGCAGACCAGCCTTTGCACCGGCAGCTTTGGCACGCTTGGCTTCGAGTGCTGCTACTTCGGTGCCTTCGCCAGTGATACCGGCAATAATTGGGATTCTGTCGTCGACAGATCGGACAAAGGCTCTGATGACCTTTTCTTGTTCGTCTTGAGTCAGGAATGTTCCTTCGCCAGCATGACCTAGAACAACGAGACCAGTGACACCTTCGATGCTTCCCAGCCACGAACCAAGACGCTGAATTGCATCGTAGTCGACGGAACCGTCCTCGTTGAAAGGTGTGACTGGAGCAGGAGTGAGACCTCTGAGATCGATGTTGATTGAGTTGCTCATTGCGAAGGCGTTGTGATGGTTTTTATATGAAGTAGTGAGAAAGTAGACTGTGATGAGTAGAAAATTATCCTGGAGTGGAAGAGTCGTCTGTATTTATGTCCTCTTGGGTTAATGGCTCCTGGATGGTGATTGAAAGATCTGCCGACTCTCGGGCTGCACAATCCCCAGATAAACCATCGTTTGCGGAATAATAGTACGTCTGTGGAGTCAGACGTGAACTACATTGGTATGCCCCGCACGAGAAGATCCACAATCGATGGAAGGATTCTCAGGTAAGGTAGTGCGAGGGCCCCGGATTTCTGTCCTGCCTGCCGGATTCTTGCCGGATTCTTGCCCTCAGCTTCGGATTCCCGGAAACGCAAACGGACTTTCGAAATCCACGTTGGTGGCGTCCGGATTCGAGCTTGACTGCGTACATGAGTCCACCATCCGGACCATAAAGCCGTTTTGTGGAGTCGAGAAACTGGAGATGCGTGGAGAAAAGTGTGCAAGGTTCTCTGCGCGACCATGACTAGCACCCGCTCCGCGCTTGGGCTATATAACATGGCCAGTACAGTCGGTTAGGAGAAGAGGATCAAACCAGACCATCTCACCTATCCCAAGTGCCTTGGCCTCCGGGGTTCCAACTGCCTTCAGCATGCCTCAAACATCTTCAATCCATTCTCTGAAGGGCATCGATGCAGAGAAGCACGAGATAATACCCACCGAGAAGATCGCTCGTGGTCAGAACGAACACATCTCAGCTGCGGATGCAGAATTTCTAGCAGGCTTTACCAATGAGCAACGGAAACGAGTCCTGCGCAAGGTCGACTGGAGATTGGTGCCCATGCTCCTCATCCTCTACCTGATCTCGTTCATTGACCGAGCCAATATTGGTATGTTACGGCCCTCAGAGCTTACCAGCAGACATGCTGACCAGCACAGGCAATGCCAAAATCGAAGGCTTGCTTCCTAGCCTCAACATGACTGGCACAGAATACAACATCGCGCTCGCGATCTTCTTCATTCCATATACTCTTGCTGGTGAGCCACTTGTTGCTGCAATCTTGATGCGTTGACTAACTTGGACTCAGAGATACCAAGCAACATGATCCTCGACAAGTTCAATCGTCCGTCCATCTTCATGGGAGTAATAGTAAGCCTCTGGGGAATTGTCGTGATGTGCACTGGATTTGTGCAGAATCTTGCTGGTCTCTGTGTAACTCGAGTCTTCCTGGGTCTGTTCGAGTAAGTCTTTTACACAAGTACACATCCAAAGACGTACTAAGCCGAACCGCAGAGCAGGATTCTTCCCAGGCGCCATCCTCACAATCAGCAAATGGTACCTACCACACGAAAGTCAGACCAGAATCGCTATATTCTTTACCGCCAGCGCTCTGGCCGGCGCTTTTTCAGGCCTCCTTGCATATGGCATCGTGAGAATGGACGGCGTGGCCGGACTGGAAGGATGGAGATGGGTATGTTTACCAAGAGAGATCACCCACAGACGAGTAAGTGACTGACTGGGACTTGTAGATTTTCATTCTCGAAGGGCTAGCTTCCGCAGTCGCAGGACTGGCCTGCTTCTGGCTCTTGATCGATACCCCTGCCTCCTCGACCAAGTGGCTGACGCCCGATGAGATCCGATATCTCGAGTTGAGACAAGTCGCCATTGGCAGATTCAAGCCTGTGGGACACAAGGAGAAGCACTTTGACATGCGCATCTTTTTGACAGTGCTGAAAGACTGGAAGATATACCTCCTCATTCTTGCCTTCTGGTCCAACGTCACGCCAGAATACGGACTGAAATTCACCATGCCTCAAATCATGAAGAACATGGGCTATACATCAGCCAACGCCCAACTCCTGACCATTCCGGCATACACTGTTGGCGCGATATCGGCGTACATCTTCTCGGTAGTCTCGGATAGGTTCAAATGGCGAATGCCGACGATAGTTGTACCGCAGATCGCTGTGGTCGTGGCGTACGCCATTCTGTCCGCGAAAGCTGCCGAGATCAAGCAAAATATCGCGGTGTGCTATTTTGCAGTATGCCTGGCTTGTTTTGGGTGTGTAGGATGGATTCCAGTATTGACAGAGTCCAGAGCTGATAAATTTATAGGTTGTACCCCATCGGTCCTGGCGTACAAGCTTGGAATATGAACAATCTCGCAGGCCCAGCCAAGAGATCTATAGGAATCGGCTTCATGACCGGCATTGGCAACATGGGTGGTGAGAGCTTCCTGACTCGATAATTGAGAGATTATGATTGCTGACAAAGTTTATCCCTCAGGCATCACCGGGTCCTTTATATTCATCGAGAAGGAGGCGCCAAAGTATCCGACTGGTTTCGGTAGCTCCCTGGCGTTTGCTGCGGCTGGCATTGTAGCTTGCCTTCTACTCGAGTTTCTATTGTGGAGAAGCAACAAGAAGAATGCAGAGCTTTCCGAAGATGAAGTCCGAGAAAGATACACTGATGAAGAGCTGGACCAGATGGGCGACAAGAGCCCTCTGTTCAAGTACACCTTGTAAATATCCGTAGACAGACTTGGCGTTCACGAAAGGGGAAGGCACTTGTGCCGAAGATCCCCCGTGTGCGATCAATCGCAAAAATCTCGTATCACACACCACAAGCATGCACTTCTTCGAACGTTCCGTCAAATGTGTCCAATAGCGAAGTCCAGGCGCTGTTTTTAGATATGGCAGGCTTTTGTGAACATGTCGAGCCACTGGTCGGGTTTGAGCTCTCCACGAACGTTACAATAAGGTTTCGCGGCAATCCTTCTTCTGTCCCCACACTCCGATCCTCGCTCCTCTCCTGCATGACACGGATATATGTAAGTCGCTGTTCCGCAAAAAGTTGAACATACGCAGGTAGCTGCTATAATGTCCAACATCGAACATGCTATCAGGTTGGATGGTTCAACGACACAAAGCAATGCCAAACGACCACGCATCGCGTCGCCACAGTCAGGACGGCGTGTGCTCAAGACCACTCGAGCGTGTGACGCCTGCAGAGTGGGTAATGTTCATGTTGACATACTACTCCCAGATCCACTGACTGCTTAGTGAAGCTGAAGAAGGCACGCTGCGCAGGCACGAAACCATGTCCGGCGTGCGTGAAACGCGGTGCCGTATGCTCATACGACAGTCAGTATATGCGTGGGCGACCTCCGACTCCTCCGCTGTCCACATTGGCCCCTGGTGTGAGTCCTGGTTTACCTAGCGAGGGTCACCTTCCAGTCCAACCATACGACGCGGACTTTGCGCCCGGAAATGTTGGTCTAAGCTCAAGGAATTCGCCAGAACTGCACTCGACCGACATCCAAGGCCAGTACGTGGATCCCACGTCAGGCTTGTCCTTCCTCGAAAGAGCCCGTGATCGCTTCTCTTCCCGTCGCCCACCTTCGGATCATGCTCAGGATGAGGAGTGGAGCTACCGACAGCAGCCTGTTCTACAAGCAGGTGATAAGCCTCTTGTACTTTCTGATGAACGATCTGGGCTAAACACAGCACTTCCGACTGGTGATAGCGCTATCGAGCTCTTGAATGTTTACTTTGACGTCTGTGTTGCAACTTACAAGCCGCTGCACAGGCCGACTCTGGACGCATGGCACAAACAAGCCCTTCAAAACGCAGTAGCCGAGCGAGCCTTGGTACATAACTTAGGATACGCTAAGCTCTCGACGTTGTTTGCTGTCTTTGCTGTAGCAACATATCATAACAGACGCAAGACACAAGACTTCTCCTTCAACGAGAGTGACGCTCTTTTTCGAGAATCGCTGGACATGACGAACATGGAGACCGGCTTACCGCGCCTGGATTCTGTACAAGCCAGACTGATACAGGTGTTCTACCTGCTCATGACATGTCGAATGAACCAGGCATGGTTCACGTTTGGAACAGTCCTGCAATTGGTCTCTTCTCTTGGCTTGCATAGACGTGTGCGAAGGCCTAGACAGGAGCGAGATTATGTTTATCGACAATGTCAAAAGCGCACGTTCTGGACGACATACATCCTGGACAAATATTTTGGAGTTCTCATGGGCCGCCCGCAACACTTCCACGATGACGATATCGACCAGGACTTCCCGGACTGTGTCAATGACGAGGACATGACTGCTACTGGTTTTGATGCTGCTGAAGATCCAGATGATTGCTTGATCGAAGCCTTTGTTGAGAATGCGAAACTCGCACGTCTCGTCGGAACGATATCTCGGAAGCTGTATCCCACCAAATCTCTGCCGGCCAGCAAGAGGTTGGAATTGACGCAGCGACTGCAGAACGATATCGACAATTGGCACAAAGCTTTGCCAGCCTTCCTCAGCACTATCAAAGCTTCGAGCTTGATACGTAGTTTCCAACGACAGTCAGTGGCGATCCGCATGGCGCATTGTCATGCGGTGATGCACTTGCATCGACCATATTTGTTGCGATCTGCAGGACCAGATGCAGAAGCCAGTGTCAAGCACTGTGTGACGGCTGCCTTGACTGTCCTCCGCACTGCTGACAATATAGCAACCTCGGGACGTATGTTCCATGCCTTTTGGTGGACCCACTATGTCACCTTCTGCGCGTTGAGCATCACCTATGTCTGGCAGATCCAAAGGCCGAGGTTCGACTGTGGTGTCGATACTGAACAACTCCTCAAGCTTGCTGAGAGATGTCAAACACATCTCGCTCGCGCAACAGCCTCGAATTCGCCAAGTAGAAGATACAGCATCATCCTGGAAGAACTGCGAGCTGAGGCTGGACTCAACTCTACCACTTACTCTACCATGTCGCTTGTCAACGACCAGACTGAACTAGCCTCGAATACGATTCTTGAGTCCAACCCTGAAGATCAATCCGCTGTAAACAACTTTTTCGAGGGGTGGGAGATATCGGACTGGCTGGACCTTGACGCTTTGGTAAATATCCCTTTCGATTCGCATATCCGAAATAAGACCACTGACAGTCTTTGCAGGCGTATGGTTATCCTGCAGGATCTAGTCCTGATCTGGGATGTTTCGACTCAGTCCTCTACTGATGTATTCCGATGGGAATCATGCTTCAAGTCTCTCTGGCTGAGCTCAGATTACTTCCATATCATTATGTTCGCTTCTCTTGTTGACACAACATGCTGCTCGTAGATTGTCTGCCTCTATGCGATATCATAAATAGTCCTGGTCGAAGTCGAAATTTTCAAGTATTGCTTGGTACTCTTCAAGCGCTACCGAAAAGCATCATCTTCAGAAGCCATTGATCATTGTGCTGTCAACGCGATTTTTCAGTCTGTAATTTCAGTACACTTACCACAGAGCACCTGTGTCTATATTTAGCATGGTGTTTGCCAGTATCATGCAGATCAGCACACTGCCAAGACTCTATCCCGAGGCAGCAACATAAGGTTATAAAGCCACCAACTTCCCCTCATCCTGTGTGACTTCATATCAACCTATATCCAACCTCATCACCTTCATCGATTCACCACCTATCCTGTGGAACAACACGACAATGGCCGCCGTACAATCACTGCTTAAACCAGTCTTCGCCCTCGTCGGCTGGACCTTTGCCATGGAAGGCTGGATGTACGCAACCCGCCTACCGGCAATGTCCCAATACAAAGTCAAGACGGACCCAAACTTTTCAAAGGAGAAATTGAACAATCAGATTCCTCCTCATGTGAGATGGAAGGGTAAGTTTCTGCCAATCTCATCACCTCCCGCTGCAACAGAAAGCCATGATACTGAACGATTTCACAGCCGACAACTACGACCATCTCCACGAAGCACCCACCAGATTCTACGCCGTGGCTTTGGGACTGGCGTTGTATGCTAGCACTTCGCCTGCTGCTCTGAGCACGGGATTTATGGCTACAGAGGCGAATTTAGCTTGGGGGTATGTGGCGCTGAGGGTTGCGCATAGTATCGTGCAGGCCAGCACCAATACTATCATGGTCAGATTTGCACTGTTTGGTGCCAGTGAGCTTACCATGCTGGGGCTGTTGCTTAAGGGTGTCAGTGCTGTTTATGCAGCTCAGGGTGTCGGAAGTTTGATTTGATGAGTGGCGCGGATGCAAGTGGGTCGAGGGTTGATGTATATAATCGGAGATTATTGATATATATAATGCCGACTTTTGGCTTGGAATTATTGTCTCCATACATGTTCCATCTCAGCAAGACACAGCACTGTCACCAGAATCTATTTGACAGTCAGTATCAGACCAAGTAACAGAGCACAGTCATCTTCAACACAAACTTACCAGACTAATATCGACCCCAGCATTGATACTCGCCTTCCACACCGTTCTATCCAACCCCTTCTTCTCCAGCGAAGTCACATCATTAGCCTCTGTGTTCGTGATCATCGCCAACTCCTGCCCATTCCACAACACCGCCGTCGTCAACGCACCTCTGTCCCTAGGTCTGATCTCCACCGTGCTCCCCACATCATCGGCACTCGACTCTCCATGCACCACCGCATCCAAATTACTCCGATTGCGTGCTGCCAGCCCACTAACGTGTTTAACAGTGCAGATACGTTTGCCATCTACATCCTCAACAGCCCACTCGTTTTTCATGGCATAGCCTCCGTGGCGGAGCTCAAAAAGGGTTTTGCCAGTTGTAGTAGAGGAAATTCTGCGACGCCAGCTGAAGGATGTTGCGCCTTTGGATTCGACTTTGAAGAGGGTTTCTCTGGAGCCATCGTCGATGACGTCGACGGACTTGAAGGTGCGGTCGTGGCAGTAGATTGTTATGTTTGCGGCTTCATCGCGGGTGAAGCCAGGAAGGAGAACCAGAGGTTTCGAAAAAGTAATTCCTGGAGATGCCATCTCGAAGAGGGGGATGTCCAAAAAGAGGATGATTCAGGTTGTTATGCATAGAAGACAAGAGGAGTCACTCTGAAAGAATCTGGCTGAACATCCAAGACTGCCAAGGCGTCCAGTACCCACCTCACCTCATCGGTACATTACCACAAATATCGATATGTAAGATGCAAACCTCTTTGATCCTTCGCGGCCGTATCAAACAAGTCTGGGTATGGAGGAGCTTCTGTGCGGAGTTCTTACCCCACATGTTTGCCCAGTCATTTCAATCATCAACTGTTCTAACGCTTTTGGGCAAAACCGAGACTTACCGTTCTATAAACAGTCCGACCACGACATGCGTCGGCTTTTGATCCAACCTCAACCCAAAAGCAGAAATCTACAACTATTTGTGGGTTTGACGACGAGCAATCCAGAGCGGTAGTAACATATTGATGCACATTATCTTGACGTCGGAATACTGTCTACTGACGGCTGCTGCTTTGACGACGATCAGTGAAAAATAGAGTCTTGCTTGCTAGCATTGTGATCATCATATCAGAATGAGTAACAGACTCTGACGATCGGGATACTGGACGGTGGTCAATCGTTATGCACATGTTCTGTCACTCTGCCTATATTCTGGAGCTCTGCTGATCATCTTTTTGTCGCGATCTATGAACAGGCTCCAGCTAGATTCTAAAATCTGTTCGGCGGCTGACAGCCGTGCACGAAAGTCATCAAGAACTGCTTCTCTCGGTTGACATCACTCTGAACTCCGATAGCTATTTGATCCCACAGTCACATATTTTGACCAAAAGAATTATAGATGCAACACAAGCAAAAAACCAAGCAGCCTAGAGCTGCTTGGGAAAACCCCTTCTGCCTGCAGAGTATTCTACCTTTGCAGGTCAGAGACCTGAAGTTCTGCTTACTCTGAGAGTCGAACCAATGACCTTCATTTCCGCAAGAACCCCCAGGAGTTTTATCGCAAAGACGGTGAACTACCGATTGGGCCACACTTACACGTTTGCTGGGGGAAAGGGAATTTGACATCAGTATATGGTCTTGCGGAGTGAGAAGATATCAGCCTCAATGAAGTGAGTGCCTCGCTTATACTATTGTGGTCAGAGTGCTGACCTTTCTGCAGATAGCGCGGTGCTACTCCCAATCGCCGCTGGAGTATCAAGAAGACTATCGCAAGGCACAGTTCTGTACTATTACTACACTCGAAGCCTGAGCCACCACCGTGTCTGCCACGGATCGCCATCTCATATCAGCAAGCTTTCACCTCTTCCGAGAAGGCAGACACGAACTTTTGGGGTAGTATCAGACTTCTTCTTTGGTTAAAGTTTGACATAAAACCTCTTCAATGGCATTTCCTTCAGTCAATTCGAGCAGGTCGAGTACAATTCGGTTAAGGTGATAAAAATTATTATGTAAAAGAATCAAGTATCTGCTCCATCCCACAGCTCTCCACCAGCATCCAGCCGCCCATGTGAGAATCCATCGGCAAACCTCACATTCTCTTTCTTCTTTCGACGTTACTTGCAATGTCATGACTATCGGCAGGTACGACAGGTGGCTGAGCTGCTATCCAGTCCAGAACGGTCTGCTGATTAGGATCCCAGGAATGAGGACCGTCGTAATTCGATTTCTGATCGATGTCAAGGCATGCAGACCAGACTGAGTCGTTGGTGATTTTGTCCAAGTCCTACAACACAGTCAGATATGGTCGTTGATGTTTCTGTATATATACTCACGGTGTGTAAGTTCTCAGCAACTGTTACCATCAACTGGTCTGTAACAAGCTTTATCTTCTCATCGGATTCGCCCGCGGACTTCAAAACTTGGTATGTCACCATGAATGCCGAGACCGACGCTGTATATGCTTCAGTTGCAAAGATTTGCTGCTCGATATTCTTGGTCTGGAACCGGTGAGCCGTCAAGTCTTGGATGCCACTGCATAACATTAGCCTAAAAACTTCTGTACCTTTGCGCAAGGATCATATCTGACTCTTCAAAGGCGGTCTTCTGCTTGGCTCCTTCGATAGCTTGGTACACAAGCAAGATTCCGTCAAGGACAACACCGAGGACGACGACGACCGATGATGCTGTGCGAACATATCGGGCGACGCGGGCGGCTGCCTCACTTGCCTCCCCTGCTGTAGACAGGACCCGGAAGGTACGGAAAGCCGCCGTCATGAACCTGAGACCTTCGGTTTCGCCTGTACTTGATCGATTAGTAGCTTCTCGGCTGCAATTGTGTCCAGCAAAACGTACCTTCGAGTAACATACGCACTCCGCGCGTGAACAACTGACTCCCAGCTGCGAGTGCACCAGTACCCAGCACTGCTGTCAGCGGCCTGACTGTAGACCAAAAGTCAGTAATTGCTGAATGGTTCAAGGTTGAGGACACGGACCTGACAATTCTAGCCCGCCAGCGATGACAGCAACCAACATAGACGCGTCCAATATACTTGTTGTCGTGGCATCAATATCACGCATATGCTGAACTTGATCATCATAGGCGGCTTTCTGGGCAGGAGTCAGAAGAGAATCGAGTTTTGTTCTCATATCCTCCATTGTCTGGAAGCCATAGAGCTTGAAAATCTTATCAATAGTGTCGATCTGATGGTTGGTCTGCGTATCGACCCTGTCAAGACTTCCATCGACTTCACCCTGGATAGCTCCATCCAGCTCGCGTATCCATGCGTAGAGATCATAATCCTAGATAGGAAGCTTAGCTCCACTAACCTCACGCCATGCCGTTTATGATGTATAACGTCGGGAGGTTCGCAGCTCCCTGAACCACGCAGATCTAGCGGATTCCTGTAGTGTGGCTCTGCGATACAAGAATAATGTCTGTGGAGACCACTGACCGTTCACAAAGACGGTTGTAACCCAGTTCACACCATATATGAGAGACAGCGGCCGAGCTGAAGCCTTTTCAGCTCATCAATATATAGACGCTGCTTTATTGAATCCTTCGAGCGATTGACGCCCTCTGCAACAATGGTTTTGCACATACAACTTCGTGGCGTGCATGTCTTCCGCGACATCCATGCTCCGAGATCCTAAGCTATGATGTGGACTGCTCGCACTGGACTCTGGACGCTGGAAAAGCCAGCGCTAGTACTACGCGAACTATCAGACAGGCAAATGTTGATCGCCAGATTATATGTCGTAGATGTCTATAAGCCACTGAGATTTCTGCAGACTCGCAAACAAAGCCATACACCTGCGAATACAAAATAGCCTGTTTCAGTACAGCAGCTTCGACACACAGTATGAATTGGTCCGGTGACCGGACGCTCTATACAACCGTTATCGAGCTGAACATGAACTGCAGCTGATACGAGACAGACGAACTAATTGCTGTAGAGGTTTCCCGGATCAACGCCCACTCGTCTCGGGGCACGGTGTGTGGCCCGCCGCAGATCAGTGAAAGGGATTGAGCTGTATCCAGAAGAGAAAACGCTCCTAGCATTAGCTAAAGATTGTGTCTTCTACAGTCCTCGAAGCTCATAGGCGTCAGCTGCGACGTGTAATTGCCGATCAACCCTTGCGCGATAGGCTTGTCTCTCGACTCATGTTCCTGCGTGTCTCCAATTTTTATATATTCAAAGTCCCCTTCCTTAGCACAACAACATGACCTTTGTTCCTTACCTAAACACCAACAGTTCATAACATCAACCAAACTAGTCACGAAGAGATCTACCAGTTGCCACCACAAGCATGGGTAATAGTGTACCTGACCTGTTCTTTCTTGACAATCCGAACCTTCGCCACCGTGCATCGGAGCTCAGAGACAACATCAGCGCATTGCAAGTCGAGTTTGAGGGACTGCAACTTGGAGGTCAGCAACTTGACATTAATCAACACGTCAATTCCAGGCGAGTTGACAGATTTGCAGGGAGGAAACTCTGAACCGCATTCGCGACAAACTAGACAAGCTTATGGAGGAACGAGGTTTCAACAACCCAGACGAACTTGAGAAGAAGGTCCTTGAGATTGTCAACAGCGAAGAGCTCAAGAAGTACCAAGCGTTGAAAGAGAGGTATTTTTGTACCGACTGATCGTTCTGACTTGCCTTGACTGACACTAAGAGACTGGACACCCGTGATAAGGCGGAAGGTATCGTCTGGGATGTTATCGGGTTAGTGGGTGCGTCCACCGGCATCATTGCTGGGGCTTGGTTTGCAGCCGGCATCGTGACGGGCGGCGCGGCTCTGGCTGCCACTGCTGTCGTTGGAGAGGCATTGGCTGTTATTGGAGCTGTCCTTGTCCTATCTGCCATCATAGCAGGAGCTGAGGAAAGAGACGTAAGTTCAATCTCATGGTCGTCCTTCCTCTACTGACTTTGAATCAGAATCTGCGCAAAGCGATTGACGAGTTGTGGCCGAAACGAGCGCAGATGAAACAATGTGTTGAACAGATGCGTGCAGTCGCCAACTGGGCGGAGGCTATTGGTCAGTATACGAACATCATCAGGCTTTCTCGCACCATATCACGCTAACATACTCAAAGGAATCTGGCTAAACTCCCCATCGACATCTGATCCTTCAACAATGAACACTCTTCTTGCCGCCACTCTCGACAGAGACTATGGCCTATGGACCATGCAGCATGTTGATGAGGTCCTCCTCGACCAGGACCGTCGCAACGACTCATGGACTGATGAGGATCCAACCCACCAAGCCGACGCTGTGGCTTTCGTTGTCAGACCAATGCTGGCGCGTGAACTTGCGGACCCTAAGCCTGCAACTGTTACGCTCGATATACTACCGTCTGGCGGGACAAGTTATGTTAGCGGCGCCGACCTCGGCGAACGCAAGATGAACTTCTCATACAGCGAGTTCCTGGCCCCCGATACTGTTCTTGCTACCAGTGGTGGACAAACTTGGAAAATCACGGCAAAGCCGCAGGACAAGGATAATCCGACCCTTGAGACAGTACTGTTCGATTTTGAGACCATACCCTCTGGTGTAAGCATCGGCGGAGGAGCATTCAAGGGGGGCTTCGAACCTCTAATCACGGCAGACCTGCCTGTGGGCGCAGCATTCACGGGTTGCCAGGTGCATACTTTAGCTACGACAACGGCTTAGTGGTTCCAAGTGTGAGCCGCATAATATGTAGTTACTAAGACCAAGAGCACCAATATACGAATAGTAAACAGCAGTAGGCGATATATGTTCTATTTGTCGTTAGCATTCGAGTTCAACTTTTGGTAGAGATCGTCAGCCAGCAGATCGGAACGTGCACGATTGAACAACATACTCGATTGGAGTCAAGATCTCAAGAGGGTCCTTTGGGGCTCTCCTCGATGCGGAGACTGATCTGGGAAGTCTGCGGACCTCCTTGCAGATGTCCTGGTGGTAATGCGGGCTTCCCTCGTTTTCTTCACTTGGAATCTCCTCTGGGACATGCCACAGAACCAGACAGCAAATCAGACTGAACGAAGGGTTGTCCCAGGACTGGCGGGCCCGGCGTCGAAGCCGCTCGACGTTCAAACCATTTGCTCTTCCATCGCGGAGCCACAGAACCCAGGCATCAATCAGTGTATCGCAATATGCGTCCTCGGCTATCAGATACGCTTCTTCTAGAGCATCGTAGATGCTGTCGGGCTCATCCGTGATGAGGTCGGCGAGATCTTGGTGGTCGATTCAGCGGGCAAACTGTTCGACGACACGTTTGTGTTTCATCGCGGATGCGTCGTATGTGCGTGGTTTCGCGCGATAGGATCCGGTGGCGTAGATGTCAATCATCTTCACATCCTTGGTCCTTGCTGGAGCGAGTTCCCGAAAGTTGGCTAGGTGCAGGGTTATAGAGGGGGAGTTGCAGCTTCGACAACGGTCTAGTCCGTACAGGAAGCCCCTATCAACAAGAAAGGGCGAAGTTCGGCTGTGTCTAAGCGAGGACTTTTGTGAATAATCAAAGCGGTAAGGAAGGAGTCGCGGATACATCCAAAGTAACAGGTCCCGTGTCGCACACATATTGCAATCGATGAGTTGGGAGCTGCATATGCGGGACCCTTTCCGATGAAGTGGCCGACCGAATCCAGCATGAAGGGCACGGGCTTGCATAGCATGAGTTTGACCATTGATAACATCTACCAAGGCTTCTATGAGCAGTCGCAAACCTCATCTTGGTCATCGGATGCAGCTGACTTGCGGTCCGTATGCGTGAAAGTGGTGGTATGTTTCATCTATTCTGAGCAGTTGGCGGGTCCAGCGGAGCCAGCGCCATCTTCAGGCAAGGCCAGCCTTCAGACTTCGAGTGAACTGACAGGTCACAATAGCAGCGGCTGATAGTACACACATTTGTGCGTCTACATCATCGAGCACTATGTGGTGTCACCGAGCTTGGAACAAGCAGTCCGCAAGCGTCACACAACCCGTCCGCTGCGTTTCCACCCTGTAAAAGAATCCAGATGTTTACATGCAGCAGTACGTGCCGGCATCTGGCTGCATATGCATCACCAATAGCTGGAATGCCGACACGGCATGAAACACGTGATACCGTGCCGCTGACAAGTCTGCCCCCGTGCATGAGGTGTTTATTCTACGCTCCTATACTCTGTCATGCTACCTGTCGTCCAAGACCGCAAAGACACCGACATGGCTCAGCCCGCCTCTTCCATTCTCACCTCTGACAATATGCTCTCACCTCCACCAACAGCCATGATAGCTATCCATCTTCTGCAGGAGACAACCCATATGCGACAAACGACTGCACCTTCCGCCGACGTGCGCATTATACGTATAATACGGAGCCGTCCAAATTGCTACATCGGTAATATCGGTTACGGATACAAGACGATGATATTGCTCTACCAAGCAGGGCGGATAAGTTTCCACGTGTCGAATCTGATGGCAGTATCCATCGTCGGCCGGGTATTGTACTAACGTCATCGTCTTCTCAACAAGGTCGAAGCACGAACACCCCAATGCCAATTGGCCAGATCGTCCTACGACAAGATCTAGGTCAAGCAGTTTAGTATTGTCCGATGGGCTACCTACTGCACCACAACTTGAAGAGTCATCGTGTGACCTCATTCTGCTTAGCCAGCAAGAGTTACAGAACGTCAGTTTGTCTTTTTTGAAGGACTTTATAAGCTCAATCTGTGAACCTGTTTCACGAACAGAGGCACTGAACCGCATCGAAGTATTGTTCCAGCCTGATCGCCCATCTCAATCAGCGACATCTCGTCTTGAGGCTTTACGTCGTTCTTTCTCGTTCTACAGCTAGGCCTGACAGATGCGCCATATGGCTGAACCGAGAACAGATGTGTCGGTATGTTTTGGCTTGATTAGTGCTGATGCTTCTGGGATCGTCTTATCATTATCAACGAGCTGGAGGCATGGAGGTTATGATAGCGTTCAGCAGGGATATGTCACCTTTTCTTTGTTCATGTACGTATTGATGACATTACTTCAGACGTATAAGTCGGGTCTGCTTGATCGACCTGGCGGATCTGCGGCGATCTTCAAGTTGGTCGGCAGATACTCGGCTGATCGTCTGGCCAATCAGAGGGCTCCCCTTAGCGCCTGCCGACGACCTCTCCTCTGGCGACATGGGTCACTTCATTCTCCAAAGACGATGAGTCTGAACCCATCATTTTGTATTGAGTGGTTGTAGTAGGGAGATCGAAGATCACTGTTACAATATCCGATCAAAGATCTCGTTTATGGCAAAGATTACACCGCGGATGGGAAGGACTAGCCTGGAAGATTGATTGGAGTACTCGATATTATGATATGTATGTATCAGGCAACGAAGCCGAATGGGACTTCTGATGAGCAGAAAAGAGAAGGAGACTGCAGCGTCTTGAGCAGTGAAAGGACAAAAGAAAAGATGTGGTCGTCAGATTGGCAGCTGCTGGCAGTTTGGTCGCTAAGAGAAGTTGTCAGCAATCAGATTCGAGCAAGAGCAACCAAAGGTCATACTTATGTGCTGGAGTAAGCTGCGGCAAGATCAAAGCTGCTCAGGCAAGCTCTTTGTCTTGTAACAAGGCTGGTTCCCTGGGGAGTGAGAGTGGTATTTCTGGCAGAACTCCTTGTCTGACATCTGAAGAGGGTCCTTTGGTTTTCTGTCTGGTTGAGCAAAGGAGATCAAAGCCAAGTCGCGAACCTTTCTGCAGATTGCATCATTGTAGGGTGATTTGTGAGCGTCCTCATTGTCTTCCATAGCGATAGCCCCTGCATCGTGGTACAAGATCAGTGCTCCCATCAGACCATACGTGACAAAACCACTGCGTCGAAGTCGTTCGGTGCTCAGACTTCCTGCAGGTCCTCCGTTCTGGACCCACGACATCCAAGCGTCGATCAGAGCATCTCGATAGTCTGACTCCCCGAGTACGTAGCTGGCCTGGAACAGAGCGGATGCTAACTTATCGCTATCCATCGGTCCACCGTCCATGACAGCGCGTAGATCAAAGTGGATCAGCCAGCTTGCCCATCTCTTGACGGCATCTTCGGGCGTGGATCCAGGTACGTCGTCGATGTAGAACTTCCAGCGGTGTGTTTCACCCTCAGTGATCTCGATTCTCAGGTCAGGTTTTCTCATGGGGGCGTAAGTCTGGAAGTTGAGCAAAGGGACTTGCACGACAGGAGAACCAGCATGCATCAGAACGACTCTTTCTAGGCTGCGATGTGTATAAGGAAGGCTTGTCCCATTCTCAGAGCTCACCACTTACTCGTAGATAGGCTTGTCATCATCATGTGCGATCTTCTGGCGCTTGTTGGGCAAAGCATCTGAGTCTGAATTTGAGTCTGCCATGATGTGTTGTGTGGTGTCAAGTGTTGTTGTTGATGGTAGAAGAAGAAGTGATCGAGTGCTGGAAAGGAGAATCTCAGTCGTGGTTAAGTAGCAGATGAGAAGAGGTGGAAGTCGCGAGCTTCCTCCCAACGTCAGGTGAATCGCGGAAAATGCTTCTGTGGAAAGTGAACATTCAGCACTCCGAGTTATGCTCAAGTGAATATCTTGGACATGCTTCACCACAAATCCCAATGAAGATGAACAGTACTTTCGTGAAACGGCAAACATACATTGAGAGTCCTGCAATCGCCGACTCTCTATGACATGCCTGACCTCAAGTCACTGAGAAAATGCACAGTGGCTTCCTGACCTTGCCAGTGCACAGGAATCTGACAAAGAGTTGAACAACCTGGCAATCTTCGCCGGACAGGAACATGCTGAATTGTCTGCAGGCGAGATATCTCGCAAGAACAACAGAGCAAGAGGCGATCATCTCGGTATGAAAATGGAACACGGGATAAATATAACAAAATATGGAAATGGATATCGTTTTTGCAGAAGGCGAAAAAGCTGTACAGAATGGTTGGTGATGATACAACAGAACAGACCTACGAGGTCTATTCATCCTTCTTCTCTGCCTCGGGCTTGTCTTCCTTTGGCTCCATGTCCAGACGTCTGCTCTCGACGGTGACGTACAAGCTCTTTGCTGCACCCTCGAGAGTGTTTGTTAGGGTGGCAGGTAGGGACTGGAGCATGTAGACGAGCTGGGCTCTGAGTCCATCCAGACCGCCAGAGATGCCACCGACCCATTTGGTACCGTCAAGATCGAAGACCTTGCCCTCAACGCGGGCACCAAGAAGCATCATCTTCTGAAGACCGCTCTGAATGCCGGGCTCGTATAGACCAGGATTTGCCTTCCTCTTGGGGGCAGGGAAGGCTTCTGAAGGAGAGAGGATGGTCATGGCAGCCTTCAAGTGCTGGGGTGAGACCAGAGGGAATGTGAGAACGACCAGAGGACCAGACAACAGGGGCTCAAGACCAGTCTGAACCTTTGCGCTTCTTGCTGTCTTCCATGCCGACTTTGACAGGCTGTGTGTGTACTGCGGGCTGGCGGGCTTTGTGTTGAGAGTGGTCGAGGTGTTGGTAGCTGGGTCCCGAGGATGATGCGTCCTGGAAAGATCGGAGAAGGACTCTGGGTTGAAGGACTCGGCAACCTTGACGGCAGAGGCGAAGATACCGGTCTGGACAATCTGCAGCTCGGTGTATTTGCCAATGACAGATGGCGAGGCTTCTGTGCCTAGCTCAGCATCCACTTTCTCCAGAGCAAAGTTCAACTGTCTTCTGATTCCTGAAAACTCCGAGGCCTTGAGGTTGTTGTGTTGGAAGACCAGCATGAGAGGTGATGAGCGGATCAGGGATGTGTAGATACGATGAAGTTGTGTCTTGCGAAACTCGGCAGGCTTGTATGGCGGAGGTTGAGTGGGAGGATGACGTGCGATGGGAGAAGTAGCATGGATGGTCGAGTCCATTGAGGGAGCCGGAGTGGTGGCAGCAGCCAGAGAGGCGTATCGACATTGACATGAAGGATATGCGGCGTTGGGTGTGCTCGGGCGCAAGCGCTTGCTGGCATCGAGTCGTAGCCTCGGTGGCATTGTGGCAATGGCTAGAGAGCATTAGTAAGGGAGTATATTAGAACATGCGACGGAGGCTTAGACATACTGTCTGATATGTGGAAAGAGCGACTGGCGGACACTCTTGTCTTGCCATTCAGCGCGACTTCCGCATCTTCAGGAAATCTCGCGCACGGACGATTTCTGGGGTCGCTGTTTCTCCATTCGGCAAGCTCCGAGCATCGAGTCCGCATTCCAGTCATACCAATAGTTGTTCCCTTGATCGATCCCTGTTCCAATTGCTCCTGCTCCGTAGTGGACGTGAATCTAGGCTTCGAGAATCTTCTTTCCAAACATACTCATCTCGCAACCATGAGCGAAGCCAAAGCAGCAATCTCGATATCACCGCTCCTCCTCCGGCTGGCTGACCCCACTACGACCTTGTTCAGCGTCACAGCCCAGGAAGTTGCTCTCGCAGTATCTCACATTTTCGCAAACGCAATCTCGCCTGTTCAGACAGGTTGTCTTCTCTATGCACTACACACGACTCAATTGGATCGTCGTCCGGATATCCTTGCAGCATGCGCCAGTTCCATGAGATTTGCTGCTGCTCAAGTCGACCACGACGCTCTCGCCAAAGCTGTCTTGCAACGCGCTCGTAAAGAGGGTCAATATCATGGAGGTCTGGTATGGTATGCCCAAGCGATCCTACTTCCTCGTACATATACTGATCTCTCGACAGTGCGACATAGTCGGCACCGGTGGTGACAGCCACAATACCTACAACGTCAGCACAACCTCGAGCATCCTTGCATCCGCTCTCCTCATCATGGCCAAACACGGTAACAATGCGTCTACTTCAAAGTCTGGTTCTGCCGACCTCCTGCTGGCCGCTTCTCCCGCTCCCGTAATTGCTGCCACCACCGAGAAGACACTCCCCCACATCTACTCCCGCACAAATTACGCCTTCCTGTACGCTCGCGAGTGGCATCCTGGTATGAAGCACGCTGCTGCTGTTCGTAAAGAGTTGCCTTTCCGCACAATCTTCAACCTGCTCGGTCCCCTGGCCAACCCCGTACAAAACAGCAACTTGATCGAGGCTCGTATCCTAGGTGTCGCAAAGCGTGACATGGGTCCTGTATTCGCCGAATCGATGCGCCTGACCGGTACGAAGAAAGCCCTGATCGTCTGCGGTGCCGAAGACTTGGACGAACTGAGTTGTGCTGGACCTTCATACTGCTGGATGTTGAAGCCTCAGTCCAAGGCCAGCGACGCCCAAGTCGATATCGTACCGTTTACCGTATCACCCGAGGACTTTGGTCTGAAGCCTGTACCGCTCAGTCTTGTCGCCGGCGGCAAGTCACCTGCTGAAAACGCTGTTATTCTTCAAAGCATCCTGGACGGCACAATCGATCCCAACGACCCCGTCCTCACTTTCGTCTTGATCAACACCGCCGCCCTCTTGGTCACATCCGGTATTTGCGAAGCCGACAGCAGCGATATGGGTCCTGGAGATGATGGCAATGTCAACTACGACCGCGGCCCTGGTGGCTTGCGCTGGAAGGAGGGTGTCAGGCGCGCTCGCTGGTGCATCTCCAGCGGTGCTGCCAAGGAACAGTGGGAAGCCTTTGTCAAGGTGACTGGCGAGATCGATCTTGAGACATGAAAGGGCAATGGCCCCCGATGATCTCCTGCTCGAGTATCTGACGCTCATCCTCGGACACTGGCATTTTGCATCTCTCGAGAAAATACAGACAAGGGGGGACATCGCTTCGCCCCTTGAGTGAATTCAAGCTCGACATGACCTGGTACACCAGTCTCAAAGTCTTACTAGCTTTTAACATGAAAAAATTTAGTCAGAAAGAATAATCTCGAAGCTACTTCGCAGCGAATGCTGGACCAATCCTTTACAGCCACTCTTCCAAGTCAAGCCAACTTTTTCTAACGGCAATATGTGAACTCTAGCCGTGAGGATATCTTACGGGTACGACCGAAGAAAAAGGAAGAAAAAAGAGATAAATGTTGATCGAGGGTACAACCCTGGTCTTCACTGACTTGCTAGGCCAATGCGAAAATAACATCCAAAGCACGCGAACAAACACCTATACTTGTCAGTTTTTTTTCAGTTCCTATTAGACAGTCACATCAATGTATTTCCTTCCAGAGTATCGTTTAATGCATTGACAATTCTGTCATCCTGGATTTTGATGCTCGAGAGCTCACTTCGCCGCTTGCGCACCGCTCCACGACGGCAACTTCTTCTTCGTATCTGGACAAGGTCGGTTTCAAGGCTCTACGATCGACATGCAGACGTATGGATACCTTCCTCCTCGATACATTCGGCAAAGAATTCTTCAATAGCCTATACATGATGCCTACTATATTTGCACTGGACACCTTGATCCAAACTTCAGAAAACAAGAGGATAAGACAGCACGTCAAAGAACTCTACATATGCTGCTCAATATACCAAGACTGCAAGAGGAAGTCCAATCTTAACAACTCCTCGCGTCGGTTGCAAGAAGATGAGCTTCCATTCGAGAATGCGAGTACGCCGGCGCAAGGAGCCACGAATGAGACCATTGAGCTCGTTCGACATGGCAGGTTCGAAAAACGACTCATCATCGCGCTCCGCAACCTCAACATCACGCACATGACAGTTTATGATTACCGTGGGCCGAGAAAGGCTGTATCGGCTCTCAAACCCGGGTGGACGCAGCTCGTCCAGCATACTGGCCGAGTTCCATTTACAGCAGCAGGATGAGCCTGGGAATACAAGTGCAGTCCCAGGGATCCCGACAGCGGACCCATGGATATGGCAACTTGTATGACCACCGCTGTCTTGCGTGCCATAGAAGAAACTCTGCCACCAATATGCACCCTCAGTCTCCCAATCATTCAACTGGACAAATCAGTCGAGTCAGAAACACTAGGTCCAAGACTCGTGCACTTGACACACTCGACCCTGACCTTGAGTCTCACCCACCGCATCACCCCTGACTTTGCACCTGCAACCCCAAAGATCTTATCACTCATAAACTCACTCCCAAACATCCAGCATCTGAACCTCAGCACCTCTCCACACAAAAGACTGGTCACAACATCACCATCACTATACCCCTACCTATTATCCCTCAACCCCCCTCAACAACACTGACTTTCCTCCATCTCCACGGTCTCAGCGACACAGATCCCTGCCTTGCTACCTTCCCTCTCAACCTCTATCTCTGCACTTCACACCCATCTCTGCATTCTCAACCCCTCCCTGGCGCGCCCATGTTCAACTCCCTTACCCTTATCCTCTGCTCACCGTCCCCTTTCCACTCTCACCCTCCTTTTCGATAATCGCAATGCTTGGGAATTCGCAGCAAGATATATACGCACCGGCACCACAGGGCTGTGACTGCGACAGCGAAAGCGAAGATGAAGAGCAACGATATCAGCCAACGAGGAAAAGAAATCTTGGATGCGCTGGAAGCAGATTCTGCCAAAAGTATGCTAGACAATGTATCCAGAAGGTGTTGTCATGGATGGAACCTTGAGGCTGAGGGACCAAGGCATGAACAGGAGTATCAAAACAACCAGCACTTGGATAGAAGAAAAAGATGAAAGAGGTGACGAGCCTGCATCTGTGCAAGAAATGTTGGTTCTGATCTGACCCTCCAAAAGGACAACCAGATATGGAATCTTTGCGGAAAGACGATGCTCGTATCGATAGATTCTAAAAAGTAAAAGAAAAACACTTGTGCCACCGGTATCATGATCAGAAGTTTCAATGTCTCAAACACACAAAAGTCAAGAAGACAATCGGAAAAGTCTCATACACGATGCATACAACGCTGCTTCTAACGCAATGCAAACCTCCCCACTTCTTTTGTTATACCCAAAAGAAGGAGAGTTCAAACGACGAGTAACAAAAAGAGGAAAAAGAACAAAGTCGGTGACATGAAAAAGAGACAAAGAGAAACCCCTCATCCTGCCAATCGTCCTCCCAATCATCACACAAACGCACAATCCAAAACGCTCAAAACATCAAAGACTCGAACCAACAAGGTACTCCAGAATCAGAAGCATCTCCTAGTTCTGTCCAATGTCTACCCAACTGATGTCGCTAGCTTGTGTCTTTCTAGCTGCACCTCCATTGTCCATTCTCTCCTTCATCTGTCTCTCAGCCTCAAGTCGTTGTCTGAACGCTTCCTCACGATCGCGTTGCGAAAGAGCGCCAGTGGCAGGAGCCCACATTGAGGGTGACTCTCTACCTTGATCAATGCCTAGGCCAGCTTGAGGGGGCTTTGGTGCTTCGCGGTCGGGTGTGAAGCGGAGAGCGGCGAGGGTGCCGGGGTGGAGAGCACCGATCTTGCGGGCTGAGCCGGCGAGAGCGGGGTGAGTAGGGCGGTCGTGGATGGCGCGTGTGCCGCTGCCGGGGAAGAAGCCACCGCCGCTGTTGCCGCGGGCAGCGGGACCGGGGATAGCGACGGCAGCTGGGGGGCTCAGAGCGCGGCCGAGAGCGTTGGGGGCTTCGAAACCGTGCATACGGCTGTCGCGGTCTACGTCCGCTGTGTAGGTACTCGAGGGTGGGCGAGGGAAGGCAGAGGCTGAGACGGCGGGTGAGGGTGGGATGTGGACTTCGTTTACCGAAGGCGAGTTGGGTGCTTTTCTGTTCACAGCTTGAGCGGTGTGAGTTGCTTGTGCGGTGGCGACAGGCCATTCATCGCCATGCGAGAAGAAGTTGGATGAAGCTACACTGTCGGCAGAGTGGCGTCTTGACGATGCGAACGACTCGCGGGCTCCATCAAGATAGCCCTGGCTTTCCAGACTCTGACCAGTGTGGAAGTCAGCGCGTTGACCCTCAACCATGTCGAAGCTGGCTCCTCGGGCTGAGAAGTCCTCAACACTGTGGGCGAAGCTAGGTCTGCCCATGCCTACAGCTGACAGACGGTGGTGGTGTGCGTCTGCAGGATGCAGGTGGTTCTTGGGCTCCACATCGAGAGGTGCGACCATGGCAGAGGGGTTTCGTAGCGAGGGTGTGTAGTCAGATTCACTCAGATTAGGAGATGCATTGGCACTGAGGTTTGGTGAGCTTTGTGCAGCTGGGTCGTATGCGCCGCCTTCATTCTGGTTGGCAAAGTACCTTGACCAGCCTGAACTGCGTTTTGTCTGCATATCTGTGTCCCTGTTCTGGTTTTGCACGACCCTAAGCGATGACATTGCAGGTGGGGGACCACGAGCAGAAAGTAGTCTAGGCGTCTGACCATCCAGAGACTCCATTTCCATGTGGTCATCGAAGCTTTGAGGACTAGTAGGCGATCGTACCAGCTTGGTAGTGCTCTCGAAACTGCCCTTCTCGCCATGACTTCTGCTGTGCTTGTTCCCGTATTTGCCAGAGATGATGGCCAACGAGCTTGACGAATCATTGGCTTGGTGGTGGTAAGCAGACTTGGGAGCTTGCAGATCTGCGTATGGGTTGGTGCTGCCATTAACAGGAGTCTTCTCAGACTCGCTGAACTTGCTGAAACGCTTGCTGAAACGATCGGCTCCGAGCTTTCCGGCAAGGATAGCGAAAGAGCTGCGAGGATCATACGAACCAATGAAGGGCTTGGGCAACTGCGGTGGAGCCTCGCTCACTGTGCCGCCGCCAGCCTCTTTCATGAAAGAAGCACCTCTGTCTGCAAAGCTCATTCTGTCCGCCTTCTCATCACTTCCCGAAGCCTTGCTCTTCTGTTGCTTGCGACGTCTCACGAGGAGGAGCGCAATGACGAGTATCGCGAGAAGACCAAGCAGAAGACCCAAAGTAATTCCAAGTACCTTTCGTGTATGCGCGCCGGAGTCGTAGTGTTCCTTTGGTTTTGCAGCAGCGGACGATGTTGCGGAAGAACGTGTACTAGTCGAGGTGGGAAGGGTTGATGAGCTGGATGCGGATGTCGTTGTTAGGGGGACTTGTCCACCAAACAGAACCTGGTTGTCGACCCATGAGTTGCTGGTTTGGTTGAAGACATTGACAGGAGTATCATCGTTGCCTCCACTGATAACAGCGAGAGTTCCTTGGTCATTTTGTGCAACAGAATACTCGGATCTCTTTATCGATGGAGCTGAACTGCTGTTGTATGTGGGCCAGTTGTCCAGAGTCAAATCACGCTTGCGCTTATTCGGTTGGCTGGGCTGTTCGCCGACGGTCTGACCGGTGGTCGCAGGCTGACCGTCAGCATCGGACAGGACAAGTTGTGTAACCGTGTTGGGGGCTGCATTCGCATCGTAAACCGTCAGGACTTTGCTGCCATCGCTACCAGTGATAAGGGCGCCCTTTGCGCCGTCCGGTAATGCTGAGGTCAGATTAGTCTCGAGCCTGGTCCAACTGCTACTCTTGCTGAAAGTCCAGACGCCAGTGTTTGACTTTGAACCTCCCACTAGTACTGCAGAACTTTCATCCCATGGTAAGAGGATAGGGTTAGAAACGGTCGGGGCCTCAGATGTGAACGACTCAATGTTGAAAGGCTCTTGGGTCGAGATGACGAAGGTTTGTGATGAGAACTCGACGCCGGATCGTGAGCCAGCGTATACAAGGATAGAGGAAGAGTCGCTCAAGTATGCAGCGCCGTGGTTTATACGTCCCTTCATGTCTTCTGTGGGCAGGTCTAGAGTCTCCCAAGTCTTGTTCGAGAAGACATAACGTTGTAGCCCTCCATAAGATTCGTCTTCTGATGTGCCACCAATGACGTATAGTGCAGATTGTGATTCATCTCCAGTAGGTACTGCGCGAAGGCATGTGTGACCAGTTACGGGCTTGCCCATCTGCATTGATGTCCATGTAGCATTCTCGACGAGCGGTAGAGCCTGGAACGAGTCGGGGGATAGGACATATAGTGTGTTGTTGTCGACAACGGAGCAGTGGCCCGAGAGAGGCTTCTCTGGTAGCGGAGCTGACATGTCGAAGAGATGTGGGTATTAGGATATTAACGCGAGGGTATATATTTCTGTTGTCGGGTGGGTTGGAATGAACGAAAGGTCATGCGCTGGGAAGTGGTAGGCAAATCACAAAAGCATCATGCGGTGGTATAACGAGAGTGGTGTATGGTTTGTCGTATCCGGTAACGAGTGTGAGGGTGTGAGAAAAGAGTGACGTGTCGAGCGAGTGCGGTTTCCAGAGAAAGGGGAACAGGCACTACAACAACGACTTTGGTGGTTAGAGCGATCGGATCAACGACAAAGGCGACAGAATGCGAGAGTCGTCAAGACTTCAATCCAGGAACCAGGGACTTTCTCCGAACAGGGCGACGACACAAACACGAGCTGAGTGTGAGGTGGAAGGAGAGCGGTGTTGATGGTTCGTCTTGTCAAAACACGACAGGGGCGCTTGAGGCTGATGATTAGATGAACCGGTATGCGGGATTGATCGTTGGAAAGAAACGGTCGCCGATAATAGATGCGAACCCGACGGCAGTCGTGTAAGAGTCGATTGATAGTTCTGCTGCTAGAACAGAGACTCAATGCGTGACGAGATATGAGGGAGTGTAAGCTGACGAGTCGGAACAAGGCAGACGACGACAGGCAAAAAGACGAGCAGAGAAAAGCAACCAATGGCTAGACCAGACACAAGAAGGAGAGACAAACGAAGGAGAGGGAGAGCTTGTGTGGCCGTTGGTTGGCCGTTTGGGTCGCGCGAAGCAGCACGTAGGAGAGAGACAGGAGGTGCCCAAGAGTCAGACTCGCAGAGGCCCATCCCCCATCTCTTCACGCCACGCCTTTCGGTCTGTCCATAGATTGCGCCCTCATCCACTATACGACTGATGCATTGACCAGCGCCTTCGCTCGTCCCCCAAATCGGATGCTTCTATTTTGCGCCCTCTTCGCCATGAGATACAGGAAGAGAGGTGAGCCGGATCTTTTTTGTCCCATGCTCCACTTCGAAACCCCCGACTCGCACATGGTCCAGAACTCTAAACCAGTAAGCTACCCAATGCCATCTCACTTCCACAACAAACAGCAGGCATTTCTTCCGGGGCAACAATGTCTACAATCTCTTGACTGACTCTCCTCTCACTCTCCCTCATCATCATCGCCATCACTGTACCTGCACAAAAGCAAAGGGTCGCAGAAAAGGCCAGCATGCATCGTAGATCTTCCGTTCGCTTCTCCCCTCGCGAAAAGCAGAAAAGCACAGATGAACAAGAAGCATCCGAGCGTTTCTCCCCCCCCTGGAGGGCAGCGCGCCGGCAAAAGCGGACGCCTTTCCCTTTTGGAACCACTGAAACGCTGAGGTGATGGTGGACGGACCCTGACCATGGATTTCCACTACTCGTGCCGTGGCGTTTGTTAATCACAATCACATTTTGTGATCTTCTTTCCATTGCTATCTTGTTCAAATGAAGATGAGTATACAGACGCCGGTGTTTTTTTTATTGATGAGACGTGATCGCGATCGAAGTTGTTACAGTATGGTGTTGTTGTCGCCTATCGCAATGCTTGCCCGCGTTTCATGCCCAAACTCTCCTCTCACACAACACATCTGCCAAGTTGGTGGTCGAATTCACTTGGTACACCACGACTATCCGGTCACATGTAGCGTCGCAAGGCTTTAGATAGTGTCCGAAGTCTGTGCGTGAGTACGGAAGAAGATACTGATGTACCAAAAGGTTGTGCCGGGAAACATGTCCGCCTTTTGCTTTCTCTGTCAGAAAAGAGCTTCGTGAGTCGTGGTCCGCTCTGACCAAGTCAAGAGAAGAGATCGCTCAATCGTCACATGCCACATAAGCACGTAAGACGCGGAAAGATGGAATTGTAAGATGGATGAATGGAATGGACAGATGGATGCACATCGCTCTTTTGCTTCTGAACGTATGGGATATACAAAAAGGCAGGCACACAAGTAAGCGAGAACCCATTTGTCTGCGACGATAAGATGGTCGATCGTAGTCTATCAACCACTCGCTTGCTCCTTCTTCCAAGCCTGTGCCATTTGCAACAACTTCGACATTTTGGCTGCGCTCTCGTCGTCTGCTGGGAACACATAGTCCATGTATTCCTCGAACTCGTTCTCGGCCAACTTTCTTCTCTTCTTGACACGGCGTGGCATTTGCTTTTCCACTTTTTCGAGATCTGAAGCAGAGCCATGTGTGGTCTCGAAGGATTTCCATGCATTGAGTAGGGCGACGCGCTGAGATTTGTTAGTACGACCGAGTCGTGATGAGACTGGAGATAAGGATAAACTTACTTCTTCCTTGAGGTCTTTTTGCTTCATGTCCTCGTATGCCCGTTGGAAGACCTTGCGTGCGCGCGACTTTGCATTTTCCGAGATCGGCTTCTCCTCTTCGTCGTCTTCGTCGGCTTCCTCCTCGTCTGGATCCGGCACGTTGATCTCGAAATGTGCGTAACTGATCCAGACCTTGACGTGACCTGTCTTTTCCAAAAGACGTTCATACAGATCCCTCGTCCTATCCCACTCTCCTTCCTCTTCTTCAAAGTCGATGTAAGCTTTCCAAAGCAACTCCGGCATATCAAGCGATGGTTGGTCGACCGCCAACTCAAAGATGGCACGTGTGCGTTCGAGGTCCTCCAGTCCTCGCTCCAATTCTGCGAACTTGATCCATGCTTGGCAGTTTGCCGGGTTCCACTCAATGTGTTTCTCGTATAGTGTGCGACAGCGCATGAATTCGAAGAGTTTGAGCTCGAGGTCGATATAGCCGCGGAACAGTTTGTCTTTCGGACACATGCCGATGGCGATGCCTAGAGACTTGCGCGCAGCTTGTAATTGCATCTGTCTGATCTCGAATTGTGCTTTCAGCAACCAGAACTTTGCAAAGGTAAACTTTTTGTGAGGAATGAGCTTCTGACACTCGGCATAGACCTGCCTGGCGCGTTCAACGTCCTTGTTCTCCATCTCTTCCCAGAGCGCGTAGAAGATCCAGATGTAGATGTATCGTCGCCAGTGTCGTTTCTCTTGTGTCGGTGGTACCTGAGCGATGGCACGCTCGTATACATCTCTCGTGCGCTCGGAGTCACCCAATGACTCCTCCAGCCTCGCGTAGTCGATCCAAGCATCGTAGTTCTTTGAGTTCTCCTTGACCTGCTCTTCATACTGAACTCGTCGCTTGGACAAGACGACGTCCTCAACACCCTCCTGATCACCGTATTGCTTCTCGAAGGTGGTGTAATGCTTGTGAAGGTTGGCGGATTGTGATCGAGGCATGCGGTCCAGGGCGTATTTGTAGATAGCTCTTGCGCGCTCGTACTCCTTGAGCTTGGCCTCGTATCGTGCGTAAGCAATGAACAACTTCTCGTCCATAAAGTCTTCGCCCATTGTTTCAATAGCCATACCGAAGACCTCTCTAACGTGATCGCTTGTGCCACTCTCTTCCTCGAAACGGGCCCATTTGATCCAATTTTTCGGCTCGGGGTGGACGATAGTAAATCTCTCGAATATTGAGCGAGCGCGGTCGAACTCTCCGTATCTCTTTTCCATCTTGATGTAGGCACCCCAAGCGTCCTCGCTAGGCTCCCAGCTCATCCATCGCTCAAACACCTGGCGAGTACCGGGAATATTGCCGAGGGTCTCCTCCATGTAGACGTACTTGTACCATATCTTGTCGATCCTAGGCAGGATTGTGACAGCTCTGTCAAGCAAGTTTCTTGCATGGTTGATGTTCCTCGTCTTCATCTCGGCTTCGATGTAGCGCAACCACAAGGGCACATTGGTGGGTTCGACATCGAGAGCGCGTTCGAAGACGGATCTTGCGCGGCGGTATTCCTTTTGTTCGAGTTCCCAGGCGGCATAGCGCATCCAGTTGCCCATGTTAAGGCGGTTGCGACGGACATAGTCTTCGAACTCCTTGCGCTTGCGGCCTTGGTGTTCGTGCAGTTCTTCCAAATCGGCAAAGCGCTGGGTAGGAGCTTGGAGACCGGGTTCCTGGCGGTCGACGGCCTCGCGCAAAAGTTGTTCGGCACTGATCTGGATTGGGGCCGCGGCCTTGTTCTTAACCCTCGGGGGTCCACGCGACGACTCCATGTTGGCGGACGGAGCAAGACTGTGCGATCGTATATAATGGTATACAGAAAGTTCAGGCGCGAAGGCACGACGAGTCGGCCCGTGGTGGTGTGAGCAGGGTGAAGAGTTGGTTGCTGGCCAAAGATTGATGGAAGCTCCAGACGCTGGAATTTGCCGAACGAGCGTCACTTGCATGTGAATCGCCGGCCAGATCGTACTTTCTTCTTTTGAACTCGACCACAACAACTATCTACTCGCAACTGCCTCGTATAAGCCGACTGCAATTCTAAAGAAGGCGGCGCGCATCACTCAAAACGAAAACATCAACTTACCAATCACGCGACGTCTGCTTTCCATCAATCGAAACCACAAATCTTCAAGATGGCGACTATCGCCGATGAGCTTCTGAATGACTTCGAGTCCGACGGCGAAGAGGAGAATCAGGAGACATACGATGGCGATATTGCTGGAGACTCAATCTTGCGCCCGCTGGACCACGGTGATGCGAATGGCGCCATGGAGCTGGATGGTGATGAAGAGGAGGATGATGAGGCTCAAGATGGGGGTGCTGGTCCCCCTACCAACGCTAGAGACACAGAAACCGAGGAAGAAGCAAAAGCGAGAGTCGAAAAGATGGACCTAGCTGCTGTAGGAGATGTGCGCAGTGTTGCCATACTGATGAAGAAGTTACAACCAATCCTCGAGGTAAGCATACACCCGTCTCCCACGTCCAAACGTAATCATGATTTACATCTTTCGAACACAGCCCTGACCAACGCCTCTTGCTTGCAGAAAATCAACCACTACTTGAACCTGCCGCCAGACCAACAGACCAAGAACATTGGCAACATCGAAGACAACCCAGAGTACAAGCTCATGACTGAAGCCAACACCTACTCGACGTCTATCGACGGCGAAATTATCCTGGTTCATAAGTTCATTCGCGATCACTACTCAACACGCTTCCCCGAGCTCGAGAGACTGGTCCAGAACCCCCTCGACTATGCAAAGACTGTTGCGATCATCGGAAACGGACCCATGGACGACGTCAAGAGCCTGTCAAACTCAACAGACAACCCTGTCGGTCAATCGCTGCGTCAGGTTCTGGATGGCCCCACCATGATGGTCGTCACTGTCGAAGCCACTACCACAAGAGGTGTCGCCCTTTCCGAACAGGAGCTCCTGAGCATCAGACACGCCTGTGACATGACACTCCAGCTCGACAAGGCCAAGCGAGTCATGACTGACTACGTCCAATCTCGCATGAGCGTTTTTGCTCCAAATCTCACAGTCCTGATCGGCTCACTAACGGCTGCTCAACTCGTCAACTTTGCTGGTGGTATCAAGGGCCTGGCTAGCACCCCCTCTTGCAACATCGCTCCTTGGGGTTCCAAGAAGCAGACTCAGACCGGTTTCGCCACGAACGTCGGTGTGCGTCACCAAGGTTTCCTCTACAATTCCCCTCTTGTCCGCGAGGTGCCTAGTGATTTGAAGAAACAAGCCATGCGTATCGTCTCTGCCAAGCTGGTCATGGCAGCTCGTGTAGACAGCACTCATGGCTCTCCCAATGGCGCAGACGGAGAAAGATTCAAGGACGAATGTATCAATCGCTTGGACAAGCTTGTAGCACCAGCACCAAATCGAGGTGCCCGCGCCTTGCCCGCTCCCGATGACAAGCCAAGTCGCAAGCGTGGTGGTCGCAGGGCCAGAAAGGCAAAGGAAGCGACCGCCATGACCGACATGCGGAAGGCACAAAACCGTATGGCCTTCGGCAAGGAGGAAGCAGAGATCGGCTACGGCACTGGCGAAGGTACCGTTGGTCTGGGGATGATTGGCGCCGCTCAGACAGGCTCTATTCGCACACAGCAGATCGACCAACGCACACGTGCGAAGCTCTCGAAGAAGAACCCAGGGTGGGGCGGTGCTACACCAGCACCTTCAGGCATCGCATCTACCTTCCATGGCGGTTTTGGATCTGGCACGGCATCAGTGTTGCGCAACTCTGGTCTCAGAACATCAGGTGTGGGTATGGGATCTGGCACATCGAGTATTGCATTCACACCCGTTCAAGGTCTGGAGCTGGTGGACCCCAAGGTCAGGGATGAGATGAACAGAAAAAGGAAGGCAGATGAGGACAGATGGTTCAAGGGAGGCACTTTTACTCAGATTGGAGGCATTTCAACATCGACACCTGGTGCTGGAGCTTCGAATGGAGGGTTCAAGGTTCCTGCTCTGCCGCCGGCTAAAAAGAGGGATACGGGCGCTAGCAAGTAATGGAAGGTGAGAATCTGAGTCGCTCTACAGCTTCAAGTATTCCATCCCTCGAGGTCATTAGTTTTATGAGAAAACAGAAGTCACATCGATGCTCAGCCCGTGTCAGATATCCGCTGTCTTGGGTCATGCTCCAAGGTATAAGCTTTCACAGCTTCGGCTGCTCTTCAGCGTTCTCTTGACCTGTTGTGATGTTGTACTAGGAATGAGTCTTTTTCTATCTGAGCAACTACCGCGTATCATCGGATTTCTGGATGGCAAGAACAATAGTCTTTCACTTCTACTGCAAAGACTCGATTCGATTGGATATCAATAAGAAGTCGGTATCGATTGCAGAAGGAATCGAGAGACACTTGTACTTTGCAAATGAAGCTTCAAATATGTTGTTATATTGATCGATTTAAGAGACGTTCGAAGCAAGAGAATAATGACTGAGATATGCTCGACACAAGACAGATGTATTGGCGATAATGCAGATATGCTAGTCAGGGGGCGATGGATGCGGACGTCTTAAAACATAGAACAGAGTATCATCGATGGATGCGGATATGTCAAACAGAAACGGGTACGATATGTCGGTCGGGGGCGATGACGCGATATGCCAACAGCTGGGAGAGCTCGTAGGATCTGGTATGACTGATAGTTTCTGGTTCTGTCTTCCCGTGGTCGGAATGATGAAACTCGAGACTGTCGGATGGGATTTCAGCATGTGTCTTCGGATCGGATGGCTTCGTTGCGATTGGACTTACCAAAATTGGACATGATAGTAGTTGCGGTCTTGATCATCAAGCTTGTTGCATTTGTCCTTGAAGGTGGAGCTGAAGATTGTCAGAAAGTAGTATGAGAAGGCAATATGAGAAGACAGTATGAGAAGGCAACTAAGTAATGCTAGGAAAAATATGAAAGAGCATTCAAATCCCTTACTTGATGAGCACGGCGAGGGCGAGCCCAGTATAGCTCAATCGCCGCGATGATGAGGGCCAACGTCGTGGCACCAAAGTTGAAGGGATCAAAGGAAATGTCCATGGTGATCATGTTGCGTGTAGTTGTGATATGGGTCTGCTTGACAAGATTGGGGCGATGATGATCAATGGATTGAGTTTGGTGTTAACAGCAGATGTGAATTGAGATGTTTCGAGGTGGAAGTATACAGTAATTGAGTTGGAATTTTTGAAGTCAAAAGTGGAAGATATGGCGATATTTGTATCGCGTGAGAAGAGCGTCTTGAGCAGGATCTACGTATACTTGGGCGATGGACGAGCGATGAGGAGCGAAGAGCGAGAAGTGACGGTTCAATGGGAGGTTACCATGCCCAGCTAGTCGCAGTAGGCACAGCCATGACAACTTAGATCAAGAAACAGATGGCTCGCTGGATGGTTCTGAGAGCTTGTTGGGGTTGCGTAGCTATGGCTCCTAAAGAGGGGCATCGAGGAGCGCGAATAATCAGTGAGGAGCGAGGAGCGACGACGCGTATGGAAATTTAGATGCTCGGCCACTCGCAGGCGCAGCCATGACAACTTCGAGACCAAGAAATCAGACTGTAATGTCTCGGCAGCTGATCAAGGCTGTCAAGGTATACCTCAGCAAGGGAAAGAGCCTTGAGGAGCGCCAAGAATTGAGGAGCGAGGAGCGAGGAGTAAGGAGCGAGCGAGGAGCGGTTCGTCCTCCATTTCCACAAGCACTTGCCAATAGATCAGATCCACGTGATCGAGAGAACATTACTCCCAGAGGCCGACCATCCAGGCGGATTGCCTACCCGCTCGGTGATGCAGATGCTAGGGCGGATAGGATCACATGCAGGTAGGATTGAGAAGTGAGGAGCGAGGAGCGATTGTGGCTTGCTCACCTCCCGCTGCAGGATGATTTCAACCACGAATGCCACGTACATATATGTTGACTTAGATCCCGACTTCGATGTCGAAAGTCAAGACTACTTTATAACCAATCGACCCAGTATTTGCTATGCCTTCACACTCCGAGAGCCCTTTCGATTACCATGATTGCCCCGATAGTGACTGCGGCCAGAGCTTCGCGGACCTGGACACTTTTCACAAGCACTGGACTCGACATAAAGGACGGTGCCCCTTCCCTTTCTGCGAAACATCGGTCGATTCGAAATATAACTTTGGACGACACTGTGCTCGAAGACATACTGATTACTTTGTTGAGCACCAGCGTGTCGAAAAGACAGCCTGCAAATACCGCTGCGGCAAGTCATATTCCAAAGCGGATGTCTCAAACTTGAGGAGGCATGAAAAGACATGCCGCCGAAAACGAGATCAACGACAGCCTGTGGATGGTGACGTGCCTTCCGCGACTGTTGCAGGGAACCTCTACGCCAACACCTCTGAACCTCTCCAGAATCTTCATATACAAGACAGCGCATCCCCACATCGGCCGGCCTCACTTGAAGATCGTAATACCCATGAGATAATCGATCCAACTCAAGGTCTTCAAAATTGGCGCGAGAACCGACACACAGTCGAGGCCATTGAATCACTTCAACGAGTTCTCGCCGGTGGGCCCGCGTTTGATGCTCTCCAGGCATTTACGAGGTTCCTAGACAACGTTGGGCCTTCTGTCCATAGATCTATGCTTGCCGACCCTAGCCAAGAGAATCGAGCCCCTGTGCAGTCAAACGACCGTGCTGAGCTGGAAGATGTTCAGCAAAGCTGCGATAGACCCAGAATTGAAGTTGTGGATGTGAAGTCCTCACATTTCTCGCCCAACAAATTTGTACTAGCAAAACACTATGATTCCGACTTCCTTTTCGAGCCCGACTTCCGTTACGAGTCCGACTATGAGTCCGATCATGAGTCCATTCCAGAGATCACACTGAAAAATGCAGATTCCATACTGAGAGCGGCAGCCGAGGTGCGTCTTGGGAATGATTGCGTTCGGGCCAGCGCACTAACCGTAATCAAGACCATCGAACAGTTTTGGCGTTGTGACGTCCAGACTCAACATGAGAAGAGAGACACTGATGTCCCAAGTATGGAGGAACCGGAGCCGAAGGTCATTACAGACTTCTGCCGATGGTTTTCGAACATTTTCGTGTGTTTTAAGCTGACTTTCAACCCAAAAATCTTGGCTCTAGCAGTTCTGGCTCTCTATCATCTCAATGTGCCTCTCCTTGAAAGCAAGTTCGGTGGTGGAAAGTACGCGGTCGTCCTTGCTCTAATGCTGTTCGCGAGGTTCTACGAGACTAGCCCTCATACAGTCAGGGCATGGGTCGAAGCGACAGGGGTCCCAGAGGCCCAAATGGTCGTCATAGAGGCGAGAGTCTCCGAGGGGCTAGATAACGTCCTGAACAAAGAATTAGATTGGGTTGAAGATGGGCGACATTTGTCGCACACTATGACTCGAAGTCTCAATCTATACGCCAGGCTACGAAATCCATCGCCTCAATGGCTGCTGGCACAGATCAAAGGGTAGAAGAGGATATATTCGTACGGTTTACCAGCTAAGACTGATCACCACTTTATAGCTGTTGCTCCACAGCTTTGCTCTCGCTGTGCGAACCAGGAAGAAACAGATTAGAATACAAGTCAAGCAGATGTTGCGAGCAACACTTGCACTCATCGTTTTCTCCGCTTAGAAAATGGGACTGCTTAATATGGTTGATGAGTCCTCCAAGGCATATGCCTGGAACAATGCTTGAAGCATTGTTGGTAAATGCCGCAACAGCTGAGATGGCAGTGACGACCGCACAAACACAATTGGAACTACCGTTCAATGCTGAGGAGACACTTGAGATATTTGATGTATGACTTGCCCCAGTTTCTCAAGCAGTGATGGAGAGATATAGTTGTTGTGCAAGACTCCATATGTGCGATTAGACGAAAGCATCCAGTATGCCTTCTCCACATGTGCAAAAGCTTGCAGTTTGTGTAGCTGTAAACATGCCGAAAGGTTTCGACACATAAGAGGGTATCGATTGAGATGCATTGTGTTTCTGGGCCCACTTTGACCACATCCCGGTTTAGATTGTTTTGTGCATTCCTGTAGTAAGTATTGTGCTCTATACTTTCGTAGGAGAGAGAAGTGTACCTGCTCTGATAACCTCTAGCATAGGAGCAGGCCGCAACTCTCTAGAACAGTCGGAACGGAATTTGCATGGAGCTTAGTGAAGTCCTGTTTGAAAGAACAAAGCCACGGTGTATGTAAACACAAAGAGACAGAAGGACTGTCATGAATGTGAAACTCCTGTAGAGGAGAAACACCAAGCTTGCATGAGTTGTCGGACATCAGACATCATGTTGATCTTTTCGGTTGGGCAAGGCAGTGTGGTAATGGCAACGAAATGTGGACTCGAATGTGAGAGCTCTGGGTGTTCGACTATATAACTCAGCGATCATGATCGATGAGTTGTAAAGGCTGGAGTTGGATATGGAAGGGGAAGATATGTTATATTATCTGCTGGCAACAACAGCCATCGACGAGTCGACCGGTCATTGCAAAAGACACTTTACTCCCGCTCGCATCTCGTCGCGCTTGTTTCTGCTTTCTTCAGCATCCTTCTTCTCCCCAATCAGATGCCCAAAGATCCTCCCCAATTCAAAAGCCGATTTCTTAGGATACCTCTTCCGTTCAGCACTCTCAAAATCAACCCAGCTCCCACCAAACCTGTCCGTAAAGCCAGCAGCCCACTCCCAATTATCCGTAAACGTCCACGCAAAGTAACTTCTGATATCCACACCTTGCTTGACCGCAGCAGCCACAGCACCAATATACCCTTCGAAGAAGTTTTGGCGGAAAGCGTCATCGAGTGGAGAGCCAGAGGAAGGATCCCAATCACTGTCGCCCTTTGCGGTGGTGCCGTTTTCGGTAATGTAGATGGGAGTGTGGTAGCGTGACCAGATCCAGTGCAGAAGCGCGTGAAAACCGGCGGGGTTGGAGCGTAGCCATGAGGTTGGAGTCTCTAGGCCACGGGAGAGGCCGGCTTTGTTGGTGTCGTGGACAGTTACGTTGCCTTTGTAGTCGTTGATGTCTGCAGGCTCGTCACGGTGGCGTACGAAGAATGTTGTGTAGCTGTTCATGCCGTAGAAGTCGGAGGATCCTTGCACCAGTGCTCTTTCAGCGGGTGTGAATTGTGGGAGACGGGAGCCGAGTTGCTCTCGCATGCTGGCTGGGTAGTCGCCGGATCCATATACGGGGTCTGCAAACCAGCCGATTTCGAACTCGAGGGCTCGCTGAGTGGCTTCGACGTCCTTGGGGTCGTTCTCGTCCCAGGGTGCGCTGTAGTTTCCATGCAGAGTGATGCCGATGACACCTTTTTGGGATGGTTTGAACTCTTCGCGGTAGATTTTCACAGCGTGGGCGTGACTGACTAGCTGGGTATGGCCAACGATGAAAGGCTCTGTACTGCTGTCTCCAGGGTCGTTGCGGCCGGGTAGAGAGGAACGACCAGGAGCGTGGACGCCTTCGGCATAGGCAAGAGTCGTGACTATGCCCGGCTCATTATACGTAATCCAATGCTTCACTCGATCTCCCAAAGCAGCAAAGCAGACTCGTGCGTAGCGCTCAAAGTCCGCGGTGTAATGAGCTTGATTGAGCATTCCACCATAGCGATTTTCGAGAGCCTGAGGAGCATCCCAGTGATACAAAGTGACGAAAGGAGTGATGTTATTGGCTAGCAGCTCATCGACAAGATTGCTGTAGAATTTGAGGCCAGCTTCGTTTACCGGGTCGTCCTTACCTCCCAGAGGAATGATACGGCTCCAAGCGAGACTGAAGCGATATGAGTTGACACCCAACTTCTTCAGCAGCTGGACATCGTCCTTGTATAGATCATATGCGCGAGTTCCATCGGCAGTAGTCCTTCCGTCGATGATCTTGCCTGGAATGCGTGAGAACTTGTCCCAGATGGAGGGACCTTTGCCGTCGGCATCCCATGCTCCTTCGACTTGAGCAGCGGCTGTTGCAAAGCCCCAGTGAAAGTCTGGACGGAGTACAGAAGTGTTCTCTGGCGAGGAAGCGTTTGGAGGATCTTTCATGACGGTAATGGCTGAGCGTTGATTGGTAATTGGGTGAAAGAGAGACGACCAGAGCAGAGTTTATAGACTACCGACAGCTGTATCTGCAGGATTCAGGCTGTGAGGGGTAGGGTTGTGCAAAGGTGCGGCGGCGTGCATGCATGGTTGGGAGTACGGCACGCGATATGCTCGTACGGAAGCGCGGGCCGAACTTCCGCGAAGTTTGACGGCATGCGGGAGGTGGTCCTCGCCGGCACAATGATGCCATAAACAGTAGCAGAGAATCCAATCTTCCAGGTATTAGAAAATTGAGAAGCTTGACATCAGAAATTCATCGCGCTACGAGATGTTGTGTTTTGCCGGATTTGTCGTCGTGAGTCGACTTTGCAGCGATTGCTAGATGCCGGTCGTCGCTGTGTGGTGTGCCTCAGGATGCCACGGTGTCTGCTGCATAGACTTCGCTGTGACTGTAAGAACAGTGGAGTTTGGTGTATCTTGGAGGTCTTGCACCAAAACCGTCAGCCATAGCCATGGCCATGGCCATAGGATAGATCTTGTTTAGAAGAACTTGACACCACTTCCATCAGCCTGCCCAAACACCTGCGCCCTCCCCTTCTTGACCAAAACATCCAAGCATCTCCTCAACATATCCTCATCCATACCCACCCACTCCTGCTTCTCTACAGCCTCAGACTCTCGCAACTCGTAGATAGTCAAAACAACACCTTTTTGACCAGTCTCATCTACCCAGGTTGCAATTGCTTCAGCCCATTCAGCAGGACTGCGCCACCATATCCAAACGGTGCTGCGGTCTTTGGATATCCACTCTACGCGCGACTCGCCATCGGAGGAAGCCATGAAGTCGAGGAGGCGACGTATGTCGAGTGGAGATAAAGAGCGGTGGATTCGTGCATTGTTGAAGAGAGGTGGGGGAGAAGAGAGCGACATTTTGAAGGTATGATGATAAGAGGAATATGAGAGCAGGAGTTGTGACCAAAGAGCTAGTTGGCGAGTCAAGGTGGTTTGGTTGGGTTGGAGAGTATAGAAGGGAGGAAACGAGTGGTGAGGTGGATAGGGAAAGGTGACATTAGAGGCCGTCGTGGGAGGTGTAGGTGAGGCCATCTTTCGAAACTTTGATGGTTTTGTTCTTTCGAGGGTGGCTTTGGTTGTGATTGATATAGAAGAAGGTGGGATGAACAAGTACGAGCTTTGCATGTGATTGTCATTGCCGAGTCGAATTTCTGGGGGACAAAGTGGTAGATGACTCGCGCCCATGATGACGATGGTCTGAACAACAAGCCAACTTTCTTTCCTCTATACCACTACCCACTTTGTATACACGACAACAGTCAGACATGGCTACGACGAACATGACGGAAAATATCTCGGTGGACCTGGATCAGCTCCTCGCACGACTCTCGGACACCCTACTCTCGCCGACAGCAGACGACTCCCACATCCGCGCAACCCCATACGAACGCAATCGCGTCAGTGCTGTACGTCTTCGTTACCTCCTTCCTGCTCTCTCGACCAAGTGCTGACTACAATCATAGAATGTCGAATATGCGCGAACCCTCCTCCTCCGCCTCGAACACATCACCCAAGACATCAAGACCCAAACCCAAAAGACCTCCGTCCAAAACGACCTCGCCGACAAACGCAACCTCATAAAACGTCTAAACACCCGCCTGCTCGAACTGAACCAACTAGCCGCCCTCCACGACGATGAGGACTCCTCCTCCTCAGAAGACGAAGACGATGAAATCCAAAACAGAGCCCGAGAATTCGCGCCAGCAGTCCAAACTTCCGACACCATCGACACCGACCCCTCCCTCACATCGCCGCAACAAGCAGCACAAGACTTAGCCTCGAACCTCCGCAATAGAGCCTCAGCAACAAATCCCTCAGCACCCCCGGATACCGCAACAACAACCGCCCTCTTCGGCAACCGCACCGCTGCGAACCCCACCGCTGCTTCCGGCTCAGAAAAGCTCTCCACAGAACAAGTTCTGGAATCAGCAAACCGCGATCAAGATCTCCTCACCACATCTCTGGTCACTTTGGCAAAGAGTCTCAAGCAATCCTCAATGCAATTTGCGAGTTCATTGGAGAACGAGAAGGAAACCTTGAGAAGGGCGGAGTCGGGCTTGGACAAAAACAGTATGGGCATGGAAGCGGCGGGGAACAGGATGAGTACTTTGAGGAGGATGACGGAGGGCAAGGGGTGGTGGGGGAGAATCAAGTTGTATGCTATAATCGCTGGGTTGTGGATTGCGGCGTTCCTATTGGTGTTCGTGGGACCTAAGTTGAGGTTCTGAGGACGCGAAGGGTAGAATAGGTGGGGGTACGGGGCACGGTGGAAAGCAGACGAGACCATGTCACATATGAAGAGCAAGGATACCCTGACGGTGAGCAGAGACTGGAAATTTGACGGTCATACGAAGACCGAGTATGGAAGAGTTGAAGAGAGACATATCTTGAGGATCAGGTCTAGATATGCCAATAGCAAATGTGAAACGGCCTTGATGGACGGAACACCCCTCTCGAACGATGCTCAAATCTGTGATTTTGCAACTCTGCATCTGACGAACTCTACACTCGTTTGAACTTCTGGAAGGGAAGCCTTCGGTGATGTTCCTCTTTTGACCCTGCCTTGTAACCCCACCCCAAAACGCCTGCTTGACAACTTGACAGCTCATGTTGAGAAATCAAGGCTCAAACTTGGGCTGATATTTTTCGCAAGCAGCATCGAAAGCCTCCTTCTTAGCAGCCAATCCCTGCAACAACTCTGACTCTTCACCACCCTTTGCCTTTTGCAATCTGCCCTTCATCTCAGCAGCCCTCTCCACATCCCCCTGCGCCGTAAACAAGACCACTGCATTGGCCAACGCAACCACATTCTCAGGCTCTGCATCCAACGCCTGCTGCAAAGCCGTCTCAGCCTCTGGATACCTTCCCAAATGCAATTCCGACACTGCTTGCGCGACCAGCGATGAAGTAGCCGATGAGCCTGGCGCTTGAGCTAGCTCCTCGAATACGTAAAAGGCTTGTTGGTATTTTGCATCGCCGCCTTCGCGGAGCGAGATCCAGGACTCGGCTAGGTTGACCAGAAGAGCATCTTGAGCGAATGCGCGGGCGGATTTTGCTTCTTTGGCGGCCAGGTCGGTGCGGTTCTGCGACAGGTGAATCTGGGTGGCTAGGGCGACGGCGTCGAGGGAGCCTTGGTGGTTGCTGAGGAGTTGGAGTGCTTCGTCTGGTTTGCCGGCGCGGGCGAGGACGGCTCCACAGAGCAGTTGGACACTCAAATCATCGCTGTGGCTTTGAGAGAGCGATTCAGCTTGCGAAACAGCGGAGTCGGAGGAGAAGTTTGAGGCAGCGTAGGATGCGTAGGTCTTTACGGCAGCGAGAGAAGGGTTGGAAGAGGCGTCTGAAGAGGAGATGGCAGATGCGACGGAAGAGTAGTCGCCGAGGGCGAGTTGAGCGCGGTATTTGAGGATTTGAGCGGAAGGTTGGTTAGGAGAACTGAAGATTGATGTGTCGAAGTCGATGACTTGCTGGTATTGGCCTTGGATGAAGGTTGTGTGCATGTTTACCAGCTCTGTTGTATTGGTCAGTTGTGTTGTTTCAGGAGCTGTGTTTATGGGTGGGGGGCATGTAGCGTACCTCCTTCTGCTGAGTAGGGATCCATGATTGAGTGTTGTTTGATTGAGAGATGCGTTTGGTGAGTATTATGCGATTGCGATAGCCTGTAGAAGCGTTCTTTTCTTGTTGTCTGATAAAATGTGTGGTCAATGGGTGTATGTGTTCAAGGTAAACTTGTCCCTTGATGGCCAGAAGCTGGGGGGATCTCCAGAGCAAACAGTGCAAACTGTCTGTCTCGGAAACACTTCACTTGCACTCTTGACTGCTTGCTTCTTATCGCGACATCTCAAATCCAACAGAGTAATTAATCGATTGCATAGAAATGCATAAAGTTCTTGAGAGGTTGGGTCATGTCCAAAGAGAGCCCTGAAAGTGGCCACTCTCGATGGATCGAACTTGTATTTCAATGACTCTTTGCATTTTGATAGTCTTGTGGCACACAAAGGGAGAGAGATTCTGAGAGCTTGTTGTCGAACAATGGTATGCAGATCCTGGGTGCATATTGTATGTGGCCCTAGTTGCTAACTCAATATGCAGTACCTGTGTCTTAGCAGCTATGGAAATGCACAGTTCTTTCGGGACTACGCCTGTCGGCCAATGAGATGCTTGAAACTTGAAGCTCTCTTTGGACATAGCTGTAGATGTAGAAAGAACTGTGGAGTTTCTATAGAGACAAGAGAGTTGACTCGCAGATATGAGATGCAGCCGTAGCACGTTCTATATCTGTCTCCTGCTAACTCTCTCCAAACCCGCCGCTCAACAGATGCTTGTAGAACTACACAGTCGTCACCGACATGATCATGTTTTGACCAGAGATAGAATGGAAGCTTCTCGACATCTTCAAAAACCATGCAATCTCTCCAGCTCGTTCGACCACCAGCTGTCAAGATGCATAGCTTGTTCAACTCCGACCACATCATGTGCTTATACTTCGAGCATAGGCTTCTCTCGGGTCCAATACCATGAGTCTCACGAGGCTGCAATTCAGACGGTCTGGAGGCCGAGTTCAGATTCAAGCTTTATCCTCTGTCTTACCTTTCTGAAGACGGTCAAAGTACAAGGTACCTGCAGGCGATGCCTCGAAGGGTTGTGACATAGGGCTACTGGTACACCCGCAGCGGGTCTTTGACAGCTTTCCAAAAGTCGACGCTCGTAGGCTGTCATGGGTCTCGTCCCAGACTTTTGTCACAAATCACCAAGTGTCACCAAAGAACAGCAACACTTTTGATACCAGCGATCAGAAGTTTCCTGAAGGCGGTCGATACACCTCAGACCTGACGACAGTCACAAGCTTGCTTATCGACAGTCAGTAGAAGTACTGCACCAAAGCTCGTTGGTCGACATACAGAGGGTCTTTGTCGAGACCTCAAAGCTCCACGCTCACGAAGCCTTATCCCTCTGCACCTCAGACTTGCGTCGCAGAGCACGATCTGGAACCAACTCTATCCATTTGACTTGATGATGCGATGGAGGTCTGTCCTCAAATGTTCTCCACTGGCTAGTGGAAGGCCTGGTATGCGATCCAAATCACGAGTCCAATCAAGAACGGTCGACTCCAGCAGTAGCAGCAGCAGCATCGGTATAGGGCTCACGAAGGCGTCCAATCTGGCTAGACCGCCGAGTCTCGCGCTCAGTGCTCGCGCTCAGTGCACCCACGCAGCAATATGAATTTCTCAAGCGGCTGGCGCATGGAACTTTCAGTCAGTCGCAACCCGGTGTTCTTGTCCTTAGGCACCGACGCTCAACGCCCGACATGTCCACCTTCCACTTCATCAACTGGTCCGCCAGTTCTACTTCTGCTTCCACTCCTACACCTGCACCCACTCAGCGCACCTTTGTGCCCGGTTGTCTCCGTCTGAGTGTCTCCACTACTTCCAACAACGACCATCTCTGGGCTGCTGCACGCGCCTCAACTGCTCCTCGTGCCATGGATCCGCCCCGTCCCAAGCGCGTTCGCGCTCGCGTCAGCTATGTCGAACCCACTGAGCTCGACGACGACATCGCTGGTGATGATCCCGCCGCCCCCGCCCCTGCCTCAGAGGACCATGTCTCCGAGACCGAGCTCGATGCCACTGAGATCGAGTCTGACTCTGACTCCGACGACGAGTTCACCACCGATAAGGTAAGCTTTCTAAACGCACGATGATAACTTCGATCTAACACTGTCCAGAGAAAGCTCAAGGCCCAGAAGAAGAAGAAGGCTGCCAAGAAGGCCGCTAAGAAGGTCAAGAAGATCAAGGACGTCCCATTCCCTTTCATGGAGCTGCCACTTGAGATCCGCTACATGATCTACAAGGAATGTCTCGTCGAATTGGCTAGAGATCTCAGCTTTGCCACCAAGTCCAACGGCCGTGATCTCTTCCGCGGCGCCTCGAAGAAGACCAACGATCGCCGCTTCGGTGGCTACCAGCACAAATTCAAGCGCGAGCGCTCGAATGACCCCAACCGCACCACCCTCCAGCCAGTCATCCTTCGCATCAACAAGGAAATCAGAGAAGAGGCAACCCCATACCTTTATGCTCAGACCTTCCACTTTGCCACTACCCAAACCTTCCAGCTGTGGTTCTCACGTGTCAGTCCCGCCAATCGCATGCTCATCAGAAGCATCGTCATCAAGGGCTGGACTGATTACAGATTCGCCCGCTCAAGGGACGTCCAGCACATCTTCTCCCTGCTCATGTCTGCTACCAATGTCAGATCCATCCTTCTAGATCGCCATGTTTGGGGCCCAAATGACGGTCCTGTCAACTCCTACCGCAACGCCAGCTTCACCAACAACGCGTCCGGCTTCTGGCGCGATATCGAGTACTGGGCTGATGCTGTTGATGTCGCTCATGGGCAGGGTGCTGCCAAGGCTACCTTGAAGTTCACCAAGTTGTGCTTTGGTTCCGAGAAAGAGATCGAAAAGAAAGACGAGGTCGTCGAGAAGCGCGAGAAGGACTTCATGGCTCAGCTGAAGTTCTCTGAAAAGGCTGAGGAGGCCGAGGAGGCTGAACGATAGATGATCGCCCGCCAGCCAGTGCAAAACAACCAAAGAGGTTATCGTCATTCACACTCCAGACAGTGTCAAATAACTACAGGGGCAGTCTCGATGCAATAAGAGTCGCTTTGCTCATTGAATTGTTCCTCCATCCACATGATAAAGTATACGCTTACACTCCTAGAATTTGAAGGTACATACCACCTTCTAAAAGTTTTAATGTGCCTCATAGCGCAATATCGAGGATCTTGAAAAGGTATAACTTTCCTTTATTTGAAAGCAATGTCGACCTGCTGTATGCCACCACTGCACCATCGAAAAGTACAACAACACCTTTTCTTTCTTCAACTAAAGACTCACGTGCATTCTCATTTTCTTCTCCAGCAACAATCCTCACCCCCTAGGTCCACTTTACCACACCTTCCTCCTACGTAAGCCCAACGTTCCATCAACCTCTACATCTCACGATTACCATCTCACCATCTGCGCCATTTTCTAGGCCGAGAAGGTAAACCTTTTCACCTGATGTTGTAATTTCTTGAGACTTGTGCTGCTGTTACTAGACCCGCTGCTAAGCAAAAGAAATATCGTGTGACTGTATTTGTACACAGGTGACTGATGTAGCGAGAATTTGCGAAGTTGGACACATGGAAATAAGAAAATTGTGGTTTGAAGATAAAAGTGATACGGTAAAGACAGACATACCACATTCGATACACTCTTCCTCGCCCTCCCCGTCCTCCCCACTCTCCCCTCGCACCTCCACCACTTCTATCATCTGCCACTCCTCCACTCGCTCCCCCGTTTCCTTCCACCCCTCCTCTCTATCTATCCACTGCACAATCCAGCCTTAGGAGGCTCACAACTTCCAGCACACCCCTTGAACATCTGACACTTGGTCTTTGCATCGCTGCAAGTATTCTTGATAGTAGCAGTATCACCGTAGTTTGAGTTGATTCCGACCAGCAAATCTCCGTTCTTGGCAGTTACGCCTTCAATGTAGACGTTGCGTTTGCACTGCTTGCTGCAGTTGCCACAGTCTGCGGTAGAGTTTACCGTAGTCTTCGACGTTCTGTTTGAGTTTCGCCAGTGGGTCAGTCATTGTGATCAAAGGAAAAGAAGGAGGAAAGGAGGAGGTAGGACAGGTGAAGGTTGTAAATTACATGATCAATGATATTCACAGTACCACACCCACTATGCTGCACGACCTTTGTCGCTAGCATGATAGGCTCCACCACCAATGATCCAAGATTGAGATCGAGGTTGTCGTTTTTGATGCTGATGGCATCCTCGCAGACATCTTCGAACCACACGTATTCGAGTGTGCAGTGGGCCATCGCAGTGGACCACTTTCGGCTTGGCTTTTGCCGATGATGGCGTTTTTGAGGGTAGCGCCGGCTTCGAGGAGGAAGACTGCGTCGGCTTTGCCTGTTGTTCGGAGTTCTCAGTCAGGATGTAGGAATAGCTTGGAGAAGGGGAGAGGGTAGAGTCGAGGGAAGGTCTTGAGAGAAGAGAGGATAGAGTTCAGGGAAGCGTTTGAGGAGGGGAGAGCAAGGGAAAGAGGCAGCATACCTCCTTCAGATTGACCGCCACAGGCGCCCAGCGCCCCGGTCGTAGCGAGTCCATTTACCGTCGTAGGTGGTATCGGCCTTGACGGTGATGACTTTGCTGTTTGTCTTTGTAGAAGTGGCTTTTGGGGACACCTCCAGTGTAGCCATTGCAGGCGAATGCGACGGGCAAAAGAGCCGCGAGGAAGATACTTGATGCCGGCGACCATGATGGATGCAGAGAATGTGGTAAAGAAGGAATGAGAGGTGGTGTTGGATGGAATTTGTTTCTTCTGAGGGTATAAGAGAGGTTTTGTATGTCTGATGTACTTGCCTTGCGATGGCTTCTGGAGTATGCCCTATTTATTTGCTGTGTGTCCTGGACATGGTCTGGCAAGATTACTTCGCTTCTGAGATGTTCTTCTGTCCTAGCGTGTTATAGCGAAGCAGTTGGGCTCTGCGGTCATGAGGTGTTGGCCAAAGTTTGTAGCTCGCGGCTCGATGCTCCCTTGCAGCTGTATTTGAGACAAGCAGACGAGAGACGTTGGAGAAGTTCCAAATCAGATGCATCAACAGGCCGTCATACAGTATAAGGCTATTCCTTACCCATGGTCAGCCCTAGTAGAAGGGCTTGTCAAAAGATGTTTACCGAGTTCATCAGCCAAGCAAAAGATGTGTTTTTCGTCTCGGAGTGCATGTTCAGCCAAGTCTGTTTTTGCTTGGGAGGTGGTGTTGCGGGCCTGCACTTCCACCGCCAAGCACATCTAGTCGAGAACTTCTTTAGCGAGAAATGCTTTTACCATCAGACGCGATGCAAGGAGGGCGGCAGAGCGTGCTTTGACGAAGCCCTTTGAGCGTAAAGACCGATGGAAATGTGGTCGTGAGAAACGATTGTGAAGTGTTTGAACCGAGACCAGTTCCATCTCGGACGCACCAAGCGGATCGGGGCAGAAAAACGTAGATGAGGTGATGTTGAGGAAATCAGATAAGGTATGTACAGACCAGTCGCTAAGTTAAAGACATATAGGGAATCAAAAGAAGAAGTCGTGAATCGTGGTCAAGTTAGTTACGAATGCATCGCGACCAGCCTGTAGAAAGAGTTAGCACGGTCATGAGGAGGAAGCGCAGAGTGTCATACCAGGCAAGCCGCAGCCGAAGCCAACCAGCAAGTAGACCAGGAAGATGATGACAAGAACCAGCAAAGCCATCAACTTGACATTCTTCCACCACATCCTCCTCTTGAGTCCTCTGCTCCTCACACGGAAATCATGAGCAGAACCACCCAATCGGTCAGTCTTATCAACCAATAAATCAATCCTCTCGCCTCTTTCCAAAACCTGCTCAATGTTCTTGCTCATGATATCCCTGACGTTGTCGATCTCGGCTTGGACGTTCTTGAAAGCATCATCCTGGCCAGCTTTAGTGGTTCCGTATTCGACCATCAGTTTCTTGAGGTCTGAATTGAAGCTTGCAGCACCGTAGGAGGGGAGAGAGGAGAATTCGGCATCTTGGTGTTGGCTCAGGAAGCGCTTCTTGATCTCGACGAGGAAGCCGAAGGGGATGCGACGTCCGAGGTCTTGTTTGGCGATGACGAGGTAGGTAAGGCCAGGGGCATTTCCGGCAGAAGCTGGGGCGGCATCGGCAATATAGTGGATGTGGTTCGCGCCGTGGGTGTAGGTCAACTTCTGGGCGGACGAGTGATCGATTTTTGGGAGGATCAGAGAGGCCAGAGACGACGTGGCCGAGGCGGCGGAAGTGGTGTGCTCGGTGAGGATTGTGTTGTGGTAGGCGATGCACGAGTATAGCAAAGGCGTTGCTGTGCTGCTTGAGGAGGCCATCTTGGGTGTGCGGTTGTTGTTGTGATGAAGAGACAAGAAGTTGGTCGAATGATTCCGACATGCGACACGGCCTGGGCCTTGGATCTGGAACGCCTGTTACATCATATCCATCACGTGGAGATGGCTCCCCCGCAATTTTGGCCTGAGGCCGCTGAGGCCGCTGCACTCATACAATCACGTGCTCAGTCACTTTGAAAGAAACCTCACATCCAGGTTAGCATGCTGGAACTCGATGAGCGTATCTGACAACACATCTACTCACTTGTTCCAACCAGGCACCAATTCCTCCTTCAGTTCCCACTTCTCGTCCCACTCCACCCTCTGACTCATAGCAAGATTAATCAACCAGTCCGTCTTGACAATCCTTGGCTCGAGCCCCTTCTTCCTTGCCTCGGTCTCGAACTTTTCCCAGAGCTTGACTTCCTCATCACTAGTGCTTGAAATCAAGTACACCCTGTCCAGCTCTCCATCTCCTCCTTGATTGTCCACTTCAGCTCCAGCATCACCATCTTCCGACGGTGGCACTCTGGGCCCCGAGATTACATTGGCGCGGCCCTTGTAGGGTACTGCGGTTCCTCCATTGATGGTGATGATCTCCTTGTACGTCTCAAATTTGCCGCTGACCTTCTCCGTCACGAAGATGGTCCAACCATGCAGGAGACGGTTTGCATTTGCCTCTCCACGTTCAAGAGCTTCGTCCATGAGGAACCCAAGTCGTTCTTCAGCTTCGTCATCCTCCAACAGATGCGATTCGATATCCGGGAGTGTGTTCTTGGATAGTGCAGTGTCGAGATATGAGATGTTGACTACCCTGGGACTGTTCGCAAGTGCAGCGATGAACTTCTTCGTGCGGAGGATGCGTGGGGCGCAGAGGAGCGTGCATTCCGCCGGCTCTGCAGTCAGCTTGATGCCCAATGCTCGTAGTTTGGCCTGTTCTTGTCAGTATATGCTTTCTGCACGGGCAAATGGTAAGCAACTCACAGCTTCCGAAGCTTCCTTTTTCATGTTGCCCAACCATCGCTCGTCTCCCGTCACCATCATCGTGTACAGGATCTTCGATCCAGCCTCTGTCTTTGCCTTCTTGGCTTTACTGCCCTTGACACCAGCAATCTCGGTCTCACTGATTTCTGCATGACTATCGCCCATATCATCACTCTTGCGTTTGTTCCTTGTCGTCTTTGCAGTCTTTGTTGTAGTGGCGGCAGGAGCTTCTTCAGGCTCAGCAGTCCTTCTACCTCCGTGAATGACGCCGCCTTTACGTTTCATCTCGCGTTGGTACAAAGCAAGGTCATCCTTCAACGCGTGCAAGCTGTTGAGTGCCTTTTCCTTGGAAGCTCGGCCAGTAGTAGGTGGACTTGTTTCCCTGTCCTGGTGCCTGCTCAGCATTGCAGGAGTAGTGATTGCAGCATCAGATCCGACACGAGTCTTTCTCTTCTTTGCTGTTTGTGGACCGTGAGGTAGAAATTCACTGGCATCGTTGTCATCGTTGTCAATGTCCATAGGGTCGGTTTCTGTTTCTGCTTCCTTGGCCGTGAAAGAGGATCTACCTCCTGCCGTTGCACTGGAAACTGCAAGTCCACCCTTTCTCGGAGATGTGTCTGGCGCTCTGACTGCACCGCGGAAAGGGTGGGGCGTCTTCTGACCTGGCTCTGCATCCTTGATCGTCTTCTCCTTGGCTGCAAAGTACAGTTTACGGACTCTGGAAATGTCAATGGGTGTCTGTCCTACAATTTCGCTCAGGTTCGTTCGTGGAGGGAAATGTGTATAGCGCTTGTGGGTTAATGGCTGCACCGAGCATTTTGCATAACTCTCCTCCAGCCAGAGGTGGTTGACAATCTCGATGTTCCATTCTTGAGCAGCGTCGCATTTTTCGGAGTGCGTATGGGCTGTGATTAGATGCGTGTTGTCTTGCTTCATGGTCTTTGTGAACTCAGCGCCTGCCTCCTTGCACAGGTTCTCGAGGTAGATACGAGCCTCCCCGCTGTAGTTAGACAGACTGATTCTCATGTCCGCAAAGCCAGGAATGCCGCCTCTAGGTACCGGGTAATGTAGAAGCTTGCTCAGGGGATTTGTCCATTTGTTGCGATTGATGACGTTGTAGAACCAGGAGAGATTGCCGACCGTTTTCTCAGCGCGTGAAGCAGCTACGTAGTCCATGCCATCGCGATAATGCCCAATGTACACATCGCATTCTTCCACATTGGCAGTCAAAGAGCCGCCAGCTTGACTGACTAGGTGTCGCAGAGTCTTGGCCAGGTGATCGTTGATGTTCAGGTCTTTTGAAAATAGCACCTTCTTCTCCTTGAAGACGACGAGTTGCTTGCGCGAGTCAGATGGAGAGATGGGAGGGTTGTAAGCGGGTGGAGCTCCTGCTACGGCTGACAGGGCACCATCGAGGCCAGGTGTTGATCTTGCTCGAACGGGTTCGTCGAAGTTTGGGCGAAGGATCTCGGGGTCGGGCAGGAGATATGGGCCTTCATTTATGAGCTTTCCGAGTTTCAGGCAATCGTCATACCTAGGGTAGTCTTGTCAGTTTTATATGACAGAAATGAACAACTCCAAGCATACCAGTGTGGCAAGACGATCTTGCAAGCGAGATTCTTTGCTTGGATCGTCCGACACTTGTCGTTGTGCATGTCCATCGCAACAACGTGCGTGACCAGCTTGGTCAGAGGTGCGCTGTACAGTCCTCCCAGTGCAAGCGTACCGGCAATGATGGCATCCTTATCACCCTCAGGCAGGTCAGCACACGAGACTATGACTTCCCTAAAGAACATAGACGGGTCTGGACTGTGCTGGCGCGGTTGCGTCTGTCTTCCCTTCTCATAACTTGTCTCGACCCACGAGGGTCGCACGACATGGACGTTGTAATCTAGTGCTCTAGAGTATTCGGGGAACTCGATGTCGCCGGTGACGATGTGGGTGTGACGCTTGACTCCGTCGATTGAGCCATCTTCGTTTCGAGGGATGTAGGTAGCCCCGTCTTTGGTTAAGAGGTGGATCAACTGTGAGCAGCCTGTCAGCGTCTCGGAGAAGTAGCCTGCGTCCTGGTGCTGTCCTCCTTACTCGCTGCTCTTCATCTGAGCTTATCGTTGGACCAGTAAAAATGGTAAAGGTAACATCGTGAAACAGTAGGTCCTCTGCTCCAGCCATTCTCCTATCGCATGTCTTGGAAGCGCGTGCAAACGTCTCCAGAAGGTAAGAGGTTGGGTTTTATGGCTCGTAATGTGTGTTGGGGACACTCGCTCGAGGAATTTGAACAGGGTCTCGCTCTATCAAGTTCAATGACACGCGTTATACTTGATAATCCTGCTCGGCGAGAAATTGCTGGTGATTGATGACTTAATGTCGACGATGAACCCGCGTCTGAGAGCTCGCGTTGTCACTTGACCCGCACGGACCCCTCAATCTATATCACTTCGATCGTGAGGATGGCACCATCATGATTTTCGAGACAACATCATGTTATACAGAATCTGCAAATTTTGAGCTATTGACTGAAAATGCCCCCTCTCGCCATTCATCATGGTAAACGAGCCATTACTGTGACCGCCGTTGACTTTCGAAACGCCATTCGAACCACCAAGCCATCAAATCCCCTCCTCATGTCGTATCAGTACAAGCGAGATGTATCCTTCATTAGTGACCCCTTCAGTGGGTGAAGTCTAACCGCTGCGAACGTGAGTACTTGCCTTGCTGGCAGCACGACTTCTCATCAGCTCGTTCTCTGCTCTCTCGACAGCGCGTCTCTTGCGCTCCTTCTCGGTGCCAGTGCCTTCCATACGGCTTCCCTCACTCTCGGTCTTGGAGGTGCTGCCACTGCTGCGAGATCTCTTGGACTTCTTATGTCTAAGGATCTCGGCGTTGATCTGCAGGATCTTGCTGTCAAGATCCATGGGCGAAGCAGGCGATCCAACAAGTGTAGCGCTTCTGGTGACGGCAACTCTGAGATCGTCATCGACGACGGGCACGTCACGAGCGAGAGAGGTGGGAGAGCCATCAGTGGTTGGTGATTGCAAGATCCCAAGACCCTGCACCTTCTCGTTGTATGGGCTCAAAGCTACTCCTTCAGGTGGTGACTGCTGAACTTGCTTCAACAGCGGCGAACGGTACTTGTCACTGCGATCCGCTCCAGCATGGGCGGAGTCGCTGCGAACAGAAGCATTGTGCTGGCCAGGGGAGCCGACGGTGTGAGCAGAGCCACTACGCTGACCTGGAGGAGAAGGTAGATCACGAGTCGGGGGTGGGTGCAGAGGAGGTGATGTGACCTGTGAAGCAGAGACGAGGTGCTTCTCAGGGTGCAGAACCTGCTCGGCTCTGATGAGAATCTCAGACATCTCACGCATGATGTTCATCGCATCCTCCCAAGTCGCGTGCCTGGGATTTCTAGCCAGCCATGCGGCACGAGCGGCCTTCTTGACCACCTTCAAGGATTTTTCGTAATCTGAGAGGCAGTCGATGAGGAATGTAGCTCGTTCGAGAGCCAAAGAGAGTACCAGTGGGTGAGCAGGGTGAAGGAAATTCTCCGCAAACTTGGCTGCCCGTTCGAACAGTCTCTTGGTCTCTGGCGTGTAATCCAGGGGAGGCATCAAGAAGGTACTGGCAGGAACGGGAGGTTCGTAGAAGTTAGTAGCATTCATGCCGAGACCAGGAGGGCGAGTAGGGGCTGCATGAGACTGGAGCGTGATCTTTGGCGATACTTTGTCAGGTTCGTGGGCCAAGACAGGAGGTGCTTGACCGTTGGCTGCGTAAGGATTAGTGACGAAAGACTTTGCCGATGGATTAGGCGAAGCACTCAAGTTGAACTCTTGGCTCTTTCTGTTAGCCATATAATTGATGCTGAAGATACTGAGTTCCTTCTTCTCGTTTGGACGCAGCAGACGAACTGGAGGCGTGTTGTGGTAGAGGCAGAAGATATGGTGGAACGATGCACGCAGCTTGAGAGCCATGACCTGATAGATTCCTTCCGCGTTCTCTCCACAGTGTGGCGCAATGTGCACCTCAGTCAAAGCCAGTCCCTCTTTGGCGAGAAAGAGAATCTGCTGGTAAAGATCTAACGATCTGGCCTCGCGGATCTTGTCAAACTGGCGAAGCCTGCGAGCTTGACTCAACTTTTGCTCAAGCATGACAGAAAGGCCGAGTACTGTGCGGAGGGTTTCAACAACGATCCTGTTGTCCGAAACGTAGTAGTTGATCAGGTGAGCCAGGACCTTTCGGTCGACACGAGTGATTGCCATGATATGGCACTGGTATGCAGTGCGCGTTGGGTATTGCTTGATGAATCGCCTGAGTTTTGCACGATCTCGAAGGTACACCGCTGTATTCGATGCGCGAATGAATACTGGACTTTATAAGTCTGTTTGAGCGAGGCTCACTGTCTGTGGAAGAGTAGAGATCGGCGAGTGTGTTTGTTCTCTGGATGTTGTAAGGCGCTGAGGCGTGAGTTCGTCAAAGACTGGTCCAGTGTTAGTGCACAGCCTGGAGGTCAGACAAGCTGTTTGGTTTAATGATCGTCAACTTACAGAGAGATCTCAGACCCAGGCAGAAGGATGTTGAGATCGTGAGATTCTGCGAGACCAGAGATTGCAGCAAGTCTTGCGTCTGTGAGCTGATGGAGGACTGGGGGTAGAAGTCTGGGCAATGGAGCTGAAAGGCTGGCAATGTACACCTCGGCGAAGGATAAGGGCCTGGCTGAGGCCCGCGGCGCGAGTCTTTTGGACTTTCGTACTTAGACTTGGAGTCTGGAAGATGAAGAGTGGGGTAGGGTGGTTCGGAGCGCGTATAAGAGCAGAACAACGCAGAGGAAGGCTCGGCGAGACTGAGAGCTTGCTTCCCCTCTGATTCAGAACCTGACAGAGATGCGGTTGTGGAACGGGTCGCGAGGACCTCTCGAGCAAAGTATTGACGTGGATTGGAGCATTCGAGAGATATTATTATTGAGATGATAGCCTAGTCGCTTTGTCAGTCTGATGATTCCATTCGTACACCATGCTTGCTATCTATCGCCTCATTGGCCGGTCTTCATCAACTCAATCCGGGGCGACGAGCATAGACCTCATGCTGAATGGGATTGAACCCACCCTTACGTTCTGCTCGACATAACTGCGCAAGCAGAACCTCGTCGCAAGCTGTGCTTTTGTAACGACGGTACCAGGTAGACGAAAGCACTTACCGAACATAAAGACTAATGCTGCTTCTCAGACAGCAGCTCAGTGCCCTTGCTCTTACTATAGTACAAAATTGACCTGACAAACTACAGGCACAACACTCGCTCCTGTGAACGTCAATAAGCCAGCAGCAAGCGTATGCGATTCCGAACTCGACAATTGGTACGATATCGATGCCAGAACGAAATGCAAAATATATCAGAACTCCAGAACGGTATGACACACACAACCAGAAAATTGTCGAAAACATGCAGAATAAGGAAAAGAGAGATATGAAGGCCTTCAAAGAGAAGTTGGGCAGTGGCACGGTGGAGCGCCGGGATCGCGCAGCCTGCATGCAAGCATTGCATTGGTGCTACGTGTCGACCTCGCTTGTTGGCAAGGATGTTCCTTCCTGGGGAAGGAACCAAGATCCGCATTCTGACCATACCGTCATGCATGTCATCTGGAAGAGGTGATGAGTTGTCGAACCCGCTGGAGCCTGAATGTTGATGACAATCTGAGGTTCCAGAATCCGGTCTACTGCCACCTCATATGGAGAATATGGTTCGCATGACAGTTAACAGTCCTGCAGGAACCGACAGCAAACTTTCGGTCTGACAGGAGATTGAGCGAGCGCCAATCAGGCCCTATCGATACCGCTGTCCAGTATATGCGCTGTGCGGTGTGGTAGCGTGCTCGAAAAAGGCGGTCAAGAAGGAACACCGATGATTTGATTGGCGGGCGGCGTCAGGCAAAGACCCACTCAAGTGGCCCAACGTCTGCCGGCATGGGACCAGCAAACACCTGAACATCGCCGCACTTACTCCTTGAGTTGGGGATACAAACAAAAGTGACGACCATAGTTGGGAGATGGAGTCAAGCGAAGCTTTTCTGCCAGGCGGTGTTTGATGTCACACAGCGCACGCGTGTGATACAGAGGCCTGCATTCAGCAAGCGCGATCAGCTCGAGCACCTATCCCCGAAACCTCCATACGAGAACTGTCAATGAAAGAGCGACACCCTTGAAGCTTGGAGAAGCGCATGATGAAGCCTAGCCCATCCTGTTGTCTGTTACAGAGTATTGCCACTCACCTGCTGCAAGTCACAGCTCTCGTGGCCGAATAGGACTATCATACGTGGATCAGACTACCGTACCAGTAGACGAGGTGGTTTGCTGTTGTATAACGTTTGGCGAACTCCAGTGGCCCCATCGCTGAGGTCTGCTCTTTGTCTCCGGTCTGTTAATCCGCCACAAATCAAGTACGGTCTCGAAGAACATTAATATATTGGCGCTCCCGAGACCCGACTAAACTCACCCGGGACACGGCTATATGTCTGCACCCGTAATATGCATCAGATCTTTCCAACAGTTTTGTCCGGCGACACTTTTCTCTGGTCGGCGTCGTTTCCCGGTATCAAGAAAAATGAGGCAGCTGCTCGCCTTGTATGCACGACATGCTCGCACGTGGTTGGCGTTGCTCTAGTTCTGTTGCAACGCGCTGCGTAAAACGTTGTACCTGGGTTTCATCTGCAAGCGCTGCTAGCTATTTGAGTGACACATGCCGTCAGAGCCTGATCTCTCATGTGTGAAAACTGACGAAGTTGTTTGTAGTCAAGCCTATGATGGTCTTCTTGAGCCAATTCGAATGCTTTGCTTTGGTCCGGAAGTATATCAGATTGGATTCTATCAGCACTACCATCGGCCGAGAGACGCTGGATGTACAAGGCACTTGCAGTAGTCCACACACTCTGCAAGCGCGTAGGAATCTTGCCAATGTTCAAAGTGGATCCCAAACGTCCCATGTCTGCCCATGACCGATCAAGGGGTCAAGGGGTCAAGACGGAAGCACTTATAAATAACGCTACGGCAGGCTTCGAGAATTCTATCCATTGCGTACTCTCTCTACCCTGGTTTGACTTTCTTGGCCTTTGTCTGGACACATTTGAAACAAGAACACGGTGGAAATGTGCCGCTTCTACGCCCACACTTACCAGTGCCGACATACCAAGACCATTTTCTCTAAACATTGTTCGAGGGCAGCCTTGAAGCAACAAGCATGTCAAAGTGGAGACATCTGCGCCGACGTTCAGCTCGACGAGAAATGCTCGTCTTGTCACAAGCCTGTCAAGATCCTCGTCCAGACAAGACTTACCAACGAAGATATCAGATCTATGAGAGCTTGAGCACATCGAGATATAGTAAGTGCTTCCTTGCCTCCGCCGATGTCTTGAGAGTAATGGTTGACATGAAGATGACACAGCTTTTACCTAGCTTTGCTCGTTTACAGCTCGCTCAGGCTACGAAAGGTCACCGGCTATGGTTTGATCATTAACAAGTCCAACCATGACAATTCTGAGTGCTCCACCATCTTTCACTTTCCTCAATGTCACGTGCATATTTGTTCACGCACTTCTGCTATGCGTTCTTCCATCTACTCCTTCTCTCAAAAGTCAAGATTATCCTCTCCCTCAAGGGTTCCATGGGCTATCATGCATGGTATGGCGTCCATTCTTTTGTTGTTCCCGCATTCACGGGCAATTTGCACGGTCTGGCGTGACTCCTTGTTTTCACGTCCGCGTGTTCTGCGTAGTCAGTCCTGCTTTGCGGTAATGCTTGCAAGTGCGAAACGCACGTGTTTGCGTTTTCCACTGCTGGCTGGCCTCGTGCCGAACAAGCTATTTGGTTCTATATAATAGTCTGCTCTGTTGGTTTCACTCTTCCTCATCAACTTTTCTCTTCGACATTCTGTTTCTCCGATTCAAGGCCCAATCAACATCAAGCAACAATGTCTCATCTATACAGCAGCCGTTGGAATCCTAGATACCAAGAACCTGAGATTCCCAGCGCCGACGAACTTGCTGACGCGCTCGAAAGAAACGAGGAGGAAAGAGGTGATCTAGTGAGAGAGATTCTTTATCTGCTCGACAGGACCAACTCCCCCGAAGCATGTCAAATCTTCAGAGCAGACGGCACTCCAAACTCCCAGATGCTATACCTCAAGCGTCAGGTCATGTTCAAATTCAACCGACTTCTCGATAGCTGGAACCTATATATGGACCTTACCGACATCAACATAAGCAGCATGATACTTTCCAATGAATTGGGTGTCGAGGACGCTTCTCAGCAAAGACATCTGCACGAGCTGTATGCTGACAAACTTCGAGATATATATGTTGAGGCGAAGCGCGAGTGGACCAAGGAGTTTCGCAGCCATTTGACCCTTGTCACGCTGTGGCGCACGCTGTTGAGTCGCTCCGCTGGTATCGCTTAACCGCCCAAACATGCCTGACCATCTGATTACAGCCTTGGGATTGCACATCCAGATGTGACGGTCGTTGAAGATCGCATCTCATGGAATGTCATGAATACTTGACGGGGCAGAATGTTGCTTCGCACGATCAAAACCAAATGAGTATCCAGTTTTTCATCAATCTATCCTCTCGTGTGGCTCTTTTGTTCCATACTATCACGTGCGTTCATACATCGTTACCGCTACTGTAGAGACTTGCTTTGTCTTTTCTGAATACAAGTGTGCGAGAGAGCATTCAGGTGGTGTCCTGCTGTATCTATCACGTCTTTGAGACTCTTCTCCCACCTTCCAAATCCAGGCCTTAATCATATTAATCAGCTCTCTGCGTGTCATCAAGGCGAAAAGCATGGATGCCCACGAAAAATGCACATGCTTTCAGTTCTCCCCAACCTCCTCACACATGCACAGCCGCGAAGGTAGCCTTTCTTGTTGTATATCCAGCATGGCTCGCTGCTTCTGCGCTGTTCCGCTACGCGTCAGCAATCCTGTGGAACTACACTCAGCCGTTCATGATGTATGTATTGGTATTCATTGCTCAAACTACAATCTCTCTTACATCCTACCCAGCCATACACTCCCATATACAACGACAAACGCAATATATACGGGTTGAACGCAGTCGATATGAACCCAGGTCGCCGTACTTCACATTCCTTCAACCTTGTCCTCGAGGATTGCTACCGCAAACTCGATCAAGCCTCCAGAGACCTTGAGTATCATACAGCACACGTCACAGCTGAGATTGATCAACTCAAAGCACACATTCGCCACCTGAAAGAGACTATCCCTCGCGATGATGAACGCGAGGATCGCCGCCAATTGATGCATCGACGCCATACCCTTCAGATTGATTGGGTCAAGAGAGGCGTCTGGTCTATGTCTACCAAGACTGCGGATCTGAGATTCCACCTGAGATATGATGAGCCGGCAATCCAGAGGGCTGTGAACAGGGTTCTGAGCAGGCTTGCTGGAGAGATGCCGTGTTGGCTCAGGAATGGTTCGTGAATGTTGCGGTATCAGATCTGAGGTCTGCTGTGACTGATACAAATGTTCAACGATATGACGATCGAAAGAAGAACAAGCTATTGAGCTAGTTATCTCGATGGAAGAACCCATCTTTCTTGATTGTGACTCGAATGAGAGTTGCTGTATCGACATCGATACATCAAAAGCCACGGATAGATCGCACACATAAATGAAATGTCATAGACCCGAGCGATGACCTGCCTTGTTTATTATATGGTGTTGTGAAAGTTGTATTTACTTGTCGCGCGACTGGTGTTCGTGGACGAGAAGTGCAGTGAAGTTTTAGGCTGATGTCCCCGGATTTTGCGGAAGTCCATGCGGCATTTGCATCGGCTGTGTTCCGTACTGGGCCGATCGAGGGTGACTGTCAGCCAGTCGACTTTGAGGTCGACAGCAAGGCAGAAACATGATCTCGTCTTCGTAGAAGAAACAGAGCACGAATTGAAGTTCCAATGATGGATATCAGGTCAAGCGGAGTGGGATTGTATGCTGACGAAGTTGAGGAATAGTGCTTCTTGATCAAGTTCCATCCCTCAATAGCCGATCGGCAATCGCGAAGAAGATGGGCGCCATTCGCCGACGGACCAAGGTGCGGGACGACTTCGAGCTGTGGAGAACCCGAGTCCCAGAAATCTGGCTACCAGTCTCCCTAGAAGATATGGGTTATACATGCCTCGGACTCGAAGCCTCGTCCTTTTCTGTCTCCCTCTTCTCATTCTCATACCACTGTCGCTGTTCCTCCAAACAACCTATCTCGTAGACGCCGTGCACTCCCTACTCGTATCTGACTCGACTTCCCCACGACAACAACCTTCTGCTTCGCCCTCTTCCACAACTATAAACATGCTTCACTACGAACAAACGCCAGTCATGCCTTCCGATCACATTGCTCCTTCATCTACGATGCCAACGCCCAATTCCACATCCACAAACTCCACAATTGCTCCGGCGACTGCTGCCGTATCACAACACCGACACATCTGGATCATAACAGGACCAGCAGGGTGCGGAAAGACGTCGGTAGCAGAGTACCTCGCCGCTACGTTCACAATGCCCTACCTAGAAGGCGACAGCGTGAGTTTCGCTTCCTTTCTCGAGCCCTGCATGCAAGACAGTCTCACTGACACAATCCACCACAGTTCCACCCACAAGCCAACATTGAAAAAATGGCCAACAACATCCCGCTGACCGACGCCGACCGCTGGGACTGGCTCATCCTCCTCCGCGACCAAGCCGTCGCTGCCCTCAGCACCGGCGCCTCAGGTGTCGTCCTCACCTGCTCAGCCCTGAAACGCAAATACCGTGACGTCATTCGAGTCGCGTCCTACAACGACAGCCAGGTGCTCGTCCACTTCATCTACTTGTCTGCCACTCAAGAGCTGTTGTTGCAGAGAGTGCATGGCAGAGTGGGACACTACATGAAGGACAGTATGGTCAAGAGTCAGTTTGACGCGCTGGAGCCACCGACACAAGATGAGAGGGATGTGATGAGTGTGGATGTCAGTGGTGATTTTGCTAGTGTGCAGCAATTGGCGCTCGAGGCTGTGAATCATGTCATGGTGAGTGATTCAGTTGCTGTTGAGCCAGTGCAGACATAAGTCTGGAGGAGAAGAATACTGGAATTGGAGACCCCGGCGTCGTACTGGAGTCGGTATCGACGTATCACAGCGGGCTTGCCTGGTAGTCTTGTATATATGTCATCCTGATAGAGGTGGATTGCGCTGTAATTGACCCTTTTGAACGACATATGTCTGCGTAATCTAGCGTTGCTCAAGAGTTGTTCAAGATGAGTTTTTTGATGGGTGTGCTGGCGACCCTGACTGCATTTTTTCCCAGGCCTTAACCTCGTAAGTAAAAGTCCGCAACTATATAATCTGGTCTCAATGATCGACTCAGATTTTCTGTACGTCGTGTGGAAACAAATATGTGGTTCACAAAAGGTACTGGTAACCCTTCGTAAACAGAGTACAAAAGAGATTCGTCGGCTATAATTTTGAAAACAACCTAGACAGATCTGCTCAAGCATGCCCGAACTTCGCAAAGGTCAAGATCGGACGAGTCATTCTAGCATGACATAGCTCAAGGGACTGGCAAAGACACTCATCACCACGAACTGACAGGGGGCAATAAAAATTGGCATATACACACTCTAATACTATCGAGGCTCTCTTCTTTCGACGCGTAAGGTCGGGCCGAACACGGCATCCTTTGGGAACTGGATCACGATACCGCTTTCTTTTGTCGGCGCAAGACACCCCTCTGCCTCGGTGTGGAACCGTCGCTACCTGGTGTGGAGACCCCAGTGGAGAGAAGGCGGGTCAGTGTACGATTGTTGAGGTGGAGTCAATATTCGCGTGGTCGTGCGCTGCAAGAGACTGTCATCACACGAGCAAACCGAGCTTGCAATTTGCTGCTGTAAACTGGCAAGGAATTTTCGCTTCAAGGTCCTTGACTTTAATCACAGGACATCTCTAGGACGACGGAAGCAAGACGTACTTGACCTGTTGCAAGACTTTCGAACCTTTGACAAGTCCTTACGTGAATTGTACACCGTCCGTATCGTTGCTGAGCTTGTCGTCTCTTGATAGCAGCCACAACAACGACCGCATGACTCAGAATCGATACTCTGGATGGTGTCAGAGCTTCGTCGTCAATTGCGGCTTGCCAGGCCTGGATACCACTGGTCAAAGCGTGCACGAACTTGGGTTGATGAAGCGAAGTTCTTTACAAAGTCCATCTCGCGGCCCCACCTTCACGCGTGTCCACATTTCTGACGCGGAGGTCATCCCCACAGGGCGCATTTTGGCGCGGAGTCTCCAGCTTCCTCCACGTTGATTGACATCGCATCAAGATCCTTCACGAAGACTTTGCATGAGAAGCTTATTATTCGCCTCAGACATATCTCTGATTGTAACATTGTTGGCAGGTCCTTATCACGAAATCCTTCTAAGCTCTCTGTTCATAACCAGACTTGCGGTCGAGAAGCCTGGCAGGCCACCCATTCATCTCATGACGATGTGGCATGAACTTGGCGGCCTAGAGTTGCAATCACCGTTGTGGCTTTGCCCTGCTAAAGCAGATGTGACTCCGGCTTGAAGCACCCCGAGCCGCCCCACAATCTGACCTCTATTTCACCTCAATCATGCCTCCCGTTGCTGGCTCAAGCCTTCGGCATGGTGCCAAGTCTAGTTACCGTTGTCTTTACCAACCTCACGGACCCCTCTTCTATGTCACGAGCTATGGAAGTGGCTTGCGCGAGTGGAGAACAGACATTGTAGAGGGTTAAACAACGGATATACCCTAGTCACCACCACGGCAGTGATGCCTGGCAGATGAACTTGACCAGTAATCGGCACGAATTGCGGAGTGTTACCGTTCGGCAGACCACTCTTGCCCTGATTCCCGGCCTTCGAACCTTGGAGTTGAGTCTGACCACTCGCGAGAATCGGCAAGACCGGTTAGATCTCCCCAGTCCATCGGCTTGGTATGCACGCGAGTTTTCCGCTTTGGCTTCTTGACTAAGGGCAGATGTAGTCGTGATGCTGGGCCATGCTTTTAGGGCCCTGAAAGGCAATTTCTGGCACACCAAGCCTGGCATATAAAAGTACATCGTGCCCGCTTCTTGCTATCCATCAGTCAACTGCCAACGCCTTGCATATCGACAAGAGATTGTATCGGTCTTATTGACAAGGCTTCTTCATCATGCGTTTCACCACAGAGCTACTGGCTGTTGCGCTGGCACTTGCAGATGTCACTTCTGCTCAGAATTCGACATACAATGCTACTGCCGCTGCTCAGGCTAAGCTGACCGCCGAGTTGGCCAACCTGGAAAAGTTCTGGTCCTACGGAAGATCTCCTCCAGTCTACCCTACTCGTATGTACATCTTGTCATTCCTCACCAACCATATACTAATCTTCTGTAGCTCAGGGTGCTGGCAGAGATGAGTGGGCTACTGCCTATGAGAAGGCCAGAGCCTTGGTCGCTTCCATGACTGACTTCGAGAAGAACAACATCACATACGGATACACCTCCAAGTCAGTCGAATCAAGCTCATGGACTGTTCGATCATTGTACTAACGATGATGCTAGGACAAATGGGTGTGGTGGTAACTCTGGTTCAGTACCCAGAGTTGGTTTCCCTGGTCTGTGTCTTAGCGATGCCGGAAACGGTCTTCGTGCTACTGACGGTGTCACTGGATTCGCCTCTGGAGTTCACGTCGGTGCAACATGGAACCGCAACCTTGCTTATGAGAGAGCTCACTACATGGGCGCCGAGTTCAAGGCCAAGGGTGTCAACGTTCTTCTTGGACCCGTCGTTGGACCCCTTGGAAGAGTGGCCGAGGGCGGTCGCAACTGGGAGGGCTTCAGCAATGACCCCTACCTTGCTGGTAGTCTGACTTTCGAGACCATTCAGGGCATGCAAAACAACGTTGTCGCTTGTATCAAGCATTTGATCGGCAACGAACAGGAACTCGACCGCAATCCTGCAGGTTTCAACGCCTCAATGTCTGCAAACATCGACGACAAGACCATGCACGAGATGTACATGTGGCCTTTCCAGGATGCCGTCCACGCTGGAGTCGGATCTGCCATGTGCTCATACCAGAGGGCCAACAACTCTTACGGATGCCAGAACTCCAAGGTCATGAACGGCCTCTTCAAGGGAGAATTGGGATTCGAGGGGTTCATCGTAAGTGATTGGGGAGCCCAACACAGTGGTGTTGCCAGTGCTGAGGCTGGTCTTGATATGGCCATGCCCAGCTCGGCTTTCTGGCAGAACGGAAACCTCAGCCAAGCCGTCACCAATGGCTCTCTTTCTTCTACCAGGCTCGACGATATGGCCACTCGCATTGTGGCATCCTGGTACCACCTCGCCGAGTGGCAAAACCCTGGACATGGTATGCCCGTCAACCTCACTCTTCCTCACGAGTATGTCAACGCTCGCGACCCTGCTTCCAAGGTCAGCACCTTCCAGACCGCTGTTGAAGGCCATGTTCTTGTCAAGAACGTGAACAATGCACTTCCTCTCAAGTCTCCCAAGTTCCTCTCCCTGTTCGGTTATGATGGTATTGCTCCTCTGGTCAACACTCCCGATAATGCCGCTGCATTCACTCTGTCCAACTTCGGCTTTGCTCCCGTCTCTGGTGTAAACGCTAGCGAGCTCTTCATGCTGTTCGTCAATCCCTCTTCGATCCCTTCGGAGGATCTGCCTGGTATCGCAATCAACGGAACCATGGTCACCGGCGGTGGTTCAGGAGCTGCTCAGCCCGCCTACATCAGTGACCCGTTCAGCGCCATCACTGAGCAGGCAATTGAGGACGACACTTGGCTCCAATGGGACTTCAAGAGCCAGAACCCTGTTGTGCAGAGAGGATCGGAGGCATGCCTTGTCTTCATCAATGCCTTCGCTACCGAATCCTATGACAGACCTTACCTGGAGGACGAGTACTCGGATGACCTCGTCTTGAACGTCGCCGCCCAATGCAACAACACCATAGTTGTCCTCCACAACGCTGGTATCAGAACTATCGATGCGTGGTACTCAAACCCCAACATCACCGCCATCATGTACGCTCATCTTCCTGGCCAAGATTCGGGCAAGGCCCTCGTCGAGGTCCTCTACGGAAAGCAGTCGCCCAGCGGCCGTATGCCCTATACCGTCGCCAAGGTTCCAGCGGATTACGGCAACCTCCTTCACCACCTTACCCCTGACAACACCAGCAACTACTACACCCAGGACAACTTCACCGAGGGTGTCTACATCGACTACAAGGCATTCATTGCACAGAACATCACTCCTCGCTTCGAGTTCGGTTACGGTCTGACTTACACCACCTTTGACTACTCGTCTCTTCAGACCAAGGTGTTGAGCAATGTCAGCACCTCAGAGTACCCTCCTGGCAACACCATCGCCCAGGGTGGTATCACCTCTCTGTGGGATGTCATTGCCACTGTCGACTGCACCATCACCAACACCGGCTCAGTCACCGCCTCAGAAGTCGCTCAATTGTACGTCAACATTCCTGGCGGCCCAGCCAAGGTGCTTCGTGGCTTCAACAAGCAGGGTGTCGAGCCAGGCCAGAGCGTCAACTTCCACTTCGACATCACCAGACGTGATCTCAGCGAGTGGGATGTCGTCAGCCAGCAATGGCGTCTGCAACAGGGAAGCTACCCAATCTACGTGGGCAAGAGTGTTCTCGACATCCAACTCACTGGCAGCTTGAGCATTTGATTTCTTCATCTGTCAACGAATTAAAAAACGATTAGTAGTGTTATGATAGTTTTAGCTTAATGTATTTGGAAACGTTTATACAACGATGGAAAGGAGTCGAAGTGCCACTGTGATATTTGATAGAGTAAGGAGAACTACAAAGTGCTTAATCAGGGTATAGATGCGAACACATGTTTGTATGTATAATGTGCGAGAGCGAGAAACGGTTGCGTAAAAGAACGGTTTTTGTGGTGTGACAAGGCAGATTAAAGATTTGATTTGAGAACGTCTAGAAGGGTCGTGGTGCTCATGTGCCGAGGCTTGGGAAAGGCGTGACTGCCGGAGTTGCGAGTCCGTGACAGCGTGACAGGTCACGCATGGCAAGAACAAAGAAAACCGGTGGTTCCTGCGCAGTGAAGCTGATTGGGGACGCTTGTTTGAGGCAAGATGCGATACAAGGAAAAGAAAAATTGACGTAGCCATTCATCCGCGGTCTCAGATGGCAGAAACAAAGGTTGACAAGCGATTGGGCTTGAGATTGCGACAGCGAAGAGGCTGTTGGCCATCAACGTCTGCGGCGCTGGCAGCGAAAAGCGGTTCGGGCGCAGAAACAGCCGGCGAAGCGCAAAGCGGTCCAGGATAACACGGCCAATCAAGCACTCGATGGGCGCGATGGCCGCATCATGATTCGAGTTACCTTTCTCCGCAGCAAGCCAAGGCTTGAGCAACCCGAGTCACCTTGATCTTCTTTCCACTTCATCCCATCTTTGCATCTTCAATTTTTCTTGCCATTGATCTGCTATCGCGCTATCGACATCTCTTCCCCAGCATCGACTATCGCAGAGTGACTCTCTCCCCGCACCGTGCCCGCATCACTCCGCCTGCACTATCTTGCTCAACAAATACCGCAACTCGCCCGTCATGCCAATCATCAGGAATCCCTTCCGTCGCACCGAAGAGGTTGCGCGCCCCGTCGAACCCCAGCCCGCCAGTCGCAATGTCTCTGCTCCGCGCTCAATCGACATTGGACAGCCCGCCGAGTACAAGCTGAGTGGTTAGCATGCGCCCGCACTCTTGTCTCTCCTCCGACATGTGACTGACACGGATTCCAGAAATCAACGACAGCGGCGTATATCTTCCTGTATGCAGTCCTTCTCTCTGATTCTTTTCTCCCACCACTGACACGCCAACCAGCCCTCCCCGACCGAGCGCAAGAACTTCTGGTCGACAAAGTCAAGCAGCTCAACCAACACAACCACCAGCCACCGTGCTATGCTCAGCGACGAGCCCTTCAACATTTCCAGAGAATCATTCGACTCATATAGGCGTTCATTCGTATGTTGCGACTCCAGGGACACATGCACTGCTCCAGAGACTAATTCGAGTCACACAGGATATCTCGGCTCGTTCACCCGTCATCCCTCCCGAGGGCCGTCCCCGCCAATCTCTCGATTCTTCATACCACCGTCAACCTCCACGCAGCTCTCTAGCCCTCAACAGACCTCTACCAACAGCAGACGAAGGCTTCGAAGACGTCGGTCTTGAGGACCCCAAGCCGAAGAAGCGCGGTTTCCTGTCACGTTTCGCAGACAGCAACGACGAGGGTACAGACGCCAAACCCACGTCAAGTCATCACGGTTTCCACTTTGGAAGTGGTCGCAAGAGAGGTCAGAGCGGTCAAGGTGCTGAGCTAAAGCCCATGACAGAGAAGTCCAACGACGAGTAAACTCGGATCGATATTAATTTTCTTCAATTTGGTATTGATGGCGTCAGAGTAGCCTATGGGGAAAGGCTAGGCAGGGAATGGCAACGGTCACCGACAGAGGACAAGATGGATATTCTTGCTCCAACTATTACAGGCGTTTGGCGGGGTGAAAGGAAGTGGTATCTTCTGAGTACCAGGTTTCATGGTTTATTGGCAGATAGGGCGATGGATACATACATTGATCCATAGTGTATGCTTACTTGTACACGACATAATACACGCTTTTTACATTGCATTCGACATTGCTCTTTTTGATGAGTAGAGTTATAGCTTGGCGTTACAGATTGGGGGCAAATTGCTTGCTTCGCGACTCCGGCACGTCCGCGTCCGCAAGTCTAGAACGCCAAACAACAAACAACAAATCTCACATCAGCAGGTTTACACAGCATTTGAACATCCCGAACCAAAGAAACCTAAATTGATTGCGAATCGGGATATTCTTCTATTAATCCTTGGAACAGCCCTGCGACATTGTAATATTGAGGGGTACCCACGACTTTCGGGAATCGCGGAGTGCAGGACATCCGCGACAGAGAATAATCAAACATGGTAAGGCATAATCACATGATATTGATATCGCAGATTGACACAAGTGACTGATCACATCTGCTTTCATCAAACAGAACTCACGAAATCTGCGACGTCTAGCTGGTGATCACGCGGCTCTACACAACAACCCCCTACCACCAAATTATCTCTTCGACCCCAGCACAACATCAGACTCAGACCTCACATCCCTAGATATCTTACTGGCAGGCCCACGCGCCACTCCCTACGAACTCGGCGTCTTCAAACTGCACCTCACAATCCCCACCACATATCCGCAAGAACCTCCCAAAGCATATTTCCGCACAAAGATTTTCCATCCCAATGTCGATGATGGCACTGGAGCTGTTTGTGTGGAAACGCTGAAGAGGGATTGGGATGCGAAGTTGACTTTGCGGGATGTGCTTGTTACGATATGCTGTTTGCTTGTGCAGCCTAATGCGAGCAGTGCGTTGAATGCTGAGGCTGGCATGTTTCTGGAGCAAGGCGATTGGAGTCAGTTTGAGAGGAGGGCGAGGATGATGACGAAGTTGCAGGCGGGTGTGCCGAAACAGCTCAAAGAGGCTGTTTTGGAGGCGCAGAGGAGGGGAGAGGAAAGTGAGGAGCTGGGGCGAAAGGACTCGGGCTTGGATGTTGCAGAGGCGAGTAAGACTAGGAGGCGAGGGCCGCCTTTGTCGAGAGGGATGATGGGAACTCCGTTTGAGGGCGCTGGAAGGAAGACGAGGGCTGGAACACCGCCTCCTCCGCCTACTCGAGCACCGCCAGCATCTCGTCCTTTTGTACGTCAATCGGTACGAGATGATGTCTTTGGTGCGGTTCGTCTGCCCATGCCACAAGCCACCCCCATCTTGCAAGACGACTCATCTGAGATCACACCTGCGGATCAAGGAAATGACTCTGCACTCTCCCCTATCATGCCGCCAATCCCTAGACTATCACCTCGACGACAAGGTCCTCCAGCACCTCTGACCGACCTCTCCATGACAGACTCCGAAGCAGAATACCCACCTTCACCCAAAAAAGGCGCTCAAAAACAAACTCGCGACACCAGCACAACAAGCATAGACTACCCACCCTCACCACGAAAAAGTCCCCAGAAGAAAACCTTTGATGCCATCTTCCAGCAACCCTCACGTCCTGAGCCCAGCCGCGCAGAAAGCAGTCGTGCAGGAGCAGCAAGACGACTCCAATTCAACAGCACTCAACAATCCCAAAGCACACCTTCCATCCTCGACTCCTCATCTCTACTCGAACCAAACGCAACCTTTGAGCTTGCAGCAAACGACACAGAAGCAGATACTTCAGAACTGGAAGTTTCGTTTGATCTGCCAAAACGCAGGTCTGCGGTCGCTGCGAACAGGAAACTTGCGCAGGCCACTCAGGCAGCGAGGACTTTGCGCCGTAAACCGAAGATGCAGGTTTCCGAGACTTGGACGCCTGTTTCTGTTTCTGTACCGCGATTGGCAAAGGCTAGGAGACTTGACCCAGCGATGGCGAAGGAGTCACCTCAACGTCCTTTGTCTCCGCCTAGTTCTTCATTCGTGGCACTGCCTTCTGCAGAAAAAGAGAAAAGTATCATTTTCGCACCTGCGGAAGAATTGCAGAATAAAATTTGCAAAACCGATACTCGGGTGAAACATAAGAGGTTGGAGAAGAAGCTTTGGAAACTCTGTGGTGGCGATGTGAGCAGGTGGAACAGAGGTGATTTTGGAGGATACTTTCAAGTCAAGGGAGCGAGGTGGTGAAAGGTTTTTGATTTTCATCGAGGATATCGATTATTGGCAATGTGGCATTTTGCATGGATAAGGTGTCTAAGGGCATGGGTCTGTGGCCTTCTGGTTTTGGCATGTATAAGGATACCTGAGTATTGGTAGCATTCGTCTTCTTCCTAGTCAGCATTGATTCCCGCGGACTACTTCTTTCTGACACATGACTTTCAAGTTGCCGTATTTCGTGTTCCGAGACCCTAGGTGTCTGATGGTGTCGCTCACATTCGCCCGAGATCGTTGAAAGTGTGTACTCAGCCATGTCGTCAAGTCTAGCACAAGAAAAGAGTGTAGTTCCCAATCTTGGAATCCTTCTTGCTGATTGACGAATGGAAATCTCCATTCTGAATTCAAATTTGAAATGGTCGTCTGTTGTTACCGCACCACCCTTACAAAGGGTCTACGAAATGTGTGCTGACCTCGATCACTCGCCTGATCTTCGAAGCAATCATGCGTTTTGTAGTTTACAGTACTGCTCCTGTCGCCAAGACATGGAGGGCTGGAAGTGGAAAGATAAACTTGCTTCTTATGGAACAAACTATCACGATCTTCTACAAAACCATACTGTAACCATTCTACTTCGACCATCCAAGTATTCCTTGACATCCTGAGATCTTGTATCAGGCGATCAGTTGTCGTCACCCCAGATAGCCGTGTCCTCGTACGACCTGATTGAACTGTTCACAGTTCTCTTCGCCACCGAAACCTTGCGCATAGCCACCGAAGGCTGGGTTGCAGTGCCGTTGCCTGAAGCAGTCGAGATGTCCACGCAACCATCGACGTTTTCCTTTGAGCAAAGCGTATACAGGGTTTTGGTCGACATATCGCAAAGTTTGCCTTCGTTGAGAGTGGCAAAGTCAGGACCCCAGCTGGTGGCAGAGTTGCATAGGTTGGTAGCGCTGTGAGTGGCGATGTTGGAGATGACGAGTTTGGTTTCCATCCAGGGGAGGCGGGCGCGGGGGAGAAGGTTGCTTCGCTTGGAGACACCGGGCAGCTTGGGGGCATCTGAGTGTGATACGTTAAAGGAGATTCAGGAATCGACTCCAGATGACTTACTGGTGATCTCGCCTTCGTCATGCGCAAAGATTGTGTAGGCACATGCATCCTCAAGGGTGGCGTGGCTGAGTTCGCCGCCGTATGCATAGGCTGCGAATTTCATGGACGCGCTGGGGATATCACTATCGTGGCCTGCATCGAGCCAGGTGCAAGAAGGTCGGTATGGGGTTCCGTCTTGGAGATAGCCTGCCTGTTCCTGGTTCTCAAACCAGGTTTGGCCGCACCTGGAGTGGCACCGTCAGCCTGGCTTGGACGCAAATGAGGAGGTAGTCATGGAACGTACATTCGTCCGATATCTCCGGTCCATACACCATTTGGAGTGTTGTCATGCGATTGGACGGTGATCCATGCGACACAGGTAGCATCCTTGCTATTCTGAATACCGATATACTGACCCTGCGAACCTGGGACATTCTGATCGACGGTGAAGGACAGATAGTCGCCATTGCCAGCCATTGTCTGCTTTCCAGCTGACCCGATCTTGACATTTTGGGCGTTGTAGGCATATACCTGGGAGATTTTACCACCCTGTTTGATCGTATTAGCGTTGCGCAACCCAACAATGCGGATACTTACCAAAGTGTTTGAGGCGCCTGCACCATCACCAGCCTTGATAGCGACGACAGTACCTTGAGGGTCCTTCTGGCTCTGAACGAAGTGGTCCATACCGAACTGAACGATGCCCAGACCAGTACCGATCAATCCGAGAGCTTCGATAAACGCGGCACCAGCCATTGTGTCTGATAATGTGGAATCTGGATTTGATGGGAGACAGAAATACAGGGTTGGCGAGAGTGATGCCAGTTGTTGTAGTGTTCGTCGTTGACTAAGAGGCACACTACCACGGAATCGATGAGTTTCTTATATACACGAACCTCTGCTTTGCCCCTACGCTCAGGATGTTGCTCAGGGTGTTGCTCAGGGTGTTGCTCATGGCTCTACAACTTCGCTTCGAAGCTTTCATGCTTCGCCCCTCTATCCCGCAAGGAATGCTGTATCCCAACAGCATGTTGGAAGGTCTGGTCTCAATTGAACAACTTTTCAGGTATGGGTATGGTCCGCAGTGTGTGCAATGTTGGTGGGAAGTGATGTATAACAGCGCCAAGGACTGCGGTTCAGAGTCTGAGCCTCAGGACAAAGACCAGTGCCGTGCTACAGTAGCGCCCGCCACATGGGGCGACCTCGGTCATGCTCAATGCTGGACAAAATACATTGATTGTTGTAGCGGACATGAAGATTCAAGATCCAGTCCTTGCGATGTTGGTTGGCGGCAAGTCAACAGTTGCATCTAGTTGAGCGTCCTGAGTATAGATCTGAGCACGTTGATCAGTACCAGAAACAGGATTGTGTCTGCATGGTAACAGCGTTAAGTCCCAGTCCACTGGCTGGATTGTTGTAGCGTGTATGTGGCTGATGCCAGGATCACAATGGTGTCGGCAGCCGTGGTAAACTAGGCAACATCACATGGTAAGGGTGGTGGTCATCCCAAAGCTCCTGGAGGGAGGAAGGGGCCCACTGTGAAGTAGATTGATCAAGCAGGTGAGCTTTGACCGGGGATTCAGCACTGTCCCAAGCCGAAAGCCATCGTCTGCATAACGTTGCCAACGTGTCCCCTTCGACGTCTGACCTAACAGCATCTATCTCAAGACTCCATCATCAATAATCTGAGCCAATGATTACTGCCTGAAGTTTCTCAAACCATCAGATGCATTCCTTTGTCGCCAATTGCAAAGTATGGCTCAAAATCTTCCTGTTTGTATGACTAAAATCCGTAACGCTCGTAGAGATATACTCCTCATATACTCCGACGGGACTGGACTTTGTCACGATTGAGATGTTCTTGAGACTGGCCTTTTCGACGGCCCCACTCAAGACGTTGTTTGCCCAGGCCATGTCTTTGAGCGTGCTGGTCAATATACATGCCATCAAGCTCCCAGAAGTCAGTCAAACCGGCGCTTGCTGGAACTGTTGGCTTGTGGATGATGTGCTTGAGTCGTGCCATACAGTGAGAGTCCGAGCTTTAGCCTGTATTTTGGCAACACGCCTTGACTGTAGACCCCCGAAGTTCCTTTGCGCGCCTAACAACATTTGCAACACTCAGAACGAGTCTAGCAAATGCAGACCACGAGTCAAGTAGAGAGACTGTTTGCGCAGCCACATGTGTCAAGTAACGCAGAAACATTAGGCATTGAATCCGAACTCTCGGAACACCATCCGCACTACAATTCAGGATAGAGTGACACGGCGCTTACGGGCGCGCTATCCATGCACGGAACCGCAGTTCCAGGCGTCCCTCACAGGCTCACATAAGCGCTGCACTTCACCACAAGTTCAGATGGGTCAAGACGAAGGATCTGAGAGGCACGTTACCAGTAGCCGCCTTCAACGCCACATACCAATACCAACGCGACAATCCACAATTCTGATGCAACACGACCAACCCATACCAATGCACGGCGTGTTGTGACTGGTCCAAAACTTGAGATTTTGATCCATGCCAGGCCCGGTGGTGAGGATCAAACACAGTTCCATTTGCTTGGACTTGGCCTACATGACCTTGCAGAACATCAACTGATTGCCGCTGAGTGTTGGTCCGATATAAATCCTGTGCTCTGCTCGCCGTCTCCAGTGTCGCTCCAACGTCTCCTGATTTCTCTGTCCAAGCTGTCAAATTCAGACTCCAAACCCACCATGTACTCCATCCGCAGTCTCTCGACTCTTCTGGCCCTGTTTCTTGCAACCCAGGTGCAAGCCCAAGAGATGTAAGTTCTCCTTCGAAGCAGTACCTTGAGAAACTTTGCTCTAACACTCGACACAGCGATGCAAATTTGACACTCACTTTTTCCAACGGGCAAGATCATGGCCCCCAGAACATTTCGTTCACCATGTGGGATAGACCCAATGCCCTCTATGCATCCACCTGTTTCGATCTCGCCGACGTCTTCGGCAACACGAGCACCAAACACTTCTGGGATTATAGCGTCGAAAATGCTCAAGGCTTCAGCCCAAATGCCACTTGGACAGCTATGACCTACAGGCAGCTCAACCAGACCGACCCCAAAGTCGGCAGAGACGCTGCCAGACTTGTCAAGATCTATATGGCGGAGAATTGTACCGAGAGTTCTTATCTGACTTGGGATGGGTTCAGTTGCCAGGATGCCGGGTCTTATCACTTCATGCCTAAGGGAATCAAGAGCTTTTCTGTTCTGGACAGAGGTCGTTACTACTATGAGGATCCTGGTCACTGCTGGGTTGATGCGGAGTTGGGTCAGTCTGCGGCCTCGACGAACTTCAAGAGCTGTCTTGCGGCAGTGGTGGGCGCTTCCTTAGCTGGCATGCTGTTGGCTCTGTAGAAGGGACAAAGCAATGCTCCCATCATTTTAATGTCGAAGCATATCCATTCTCGGTGTGGAGGAAGAGTGACAAGAGAAGAAGATCGTGATCTGCAAACAGCAGAGAACTATCTAGAAGACCAGTATGTTCATCATGCTCTAGCCAGGAATCTACCTTTGTACGTCAAACTACTATCCAAATCTGTAACTCGTATCTTGCTTCCTCGGGAACCCTCGAGTGACATTCTCGCTATGTGGAAAGGCATAGTACCTTCCAGATCAGAGATGTGCGCAGAGCAGGACATGGAATCATCGCGCCCGACTATAATTCTCCTTTTCACGAGACCGTCGCGAATGTTGATGTTTGCGCGCATCACGCACTTTTACACGCCGAGAGAAGCAACTTCCAAGACAAGTGAAGCTCCCATCACTCCGTTTGAACTTGCCTTCACCTGCTTCCTTCCTCTTCCGGCTTTGTCGCGTTAATGATACGCGCTCAATCTTAGTTCAAGACGAGCAAACTTGAGCAAATTTATCTAGGCAACAAGCATCACTTGAATGACTCACATTTCACGCTTCCACACATTTCACGCTTTCACACATTTCACGCTTTCACACATCTCGTTACTCTCGTCTATTTAGTCTGAACTCTTACCTTTCCACCTCTCGATCGCTTCTCCATCTGCAGCAAAGTCAGTTCCCCATCATCTCACAACATGACTTCGACACGCTCGCTCATCGAGGACTATATAGCCAACACAGAACCATACTATGTTGGCTATCCAAGAAATGGAGTCCTCCCTTTCGAACTATCAGGTGGACTCCTCGAGACCGCTCCTCTTCGCCAACAGTTTCCAAAGTTCCGTTCAGGTCTGGCGAATATCGTCGAACTTCAGAACATCAATCTGGTCAGGACTGGAATCTTCGCCCGCGACATTGTCGTCACCAACGGAACCGTTCCAGCACAAACTCTTGTTATTATTGTATCTGGACCTTTCGCCAAGGAAAACCTCGTCAGCACAGTGAGACAAATCCATGCATATGTCAAGCCGTACATGGAAGACCACGCATTCAATATTGAGATGTACAACCCTGCGAGGGTTCAGGGACACCTGGTCGCCGGACCATGTCTCTACTCGATTGAGAGACAGGTTGTTGTCCAGAAGAATCTCGAGGATCATCTCACTCAGGCTGTTCGCATTCTCAAGAACAACGTCGACGATGACTTACTCACTGCGGGCTTCTACAACTCAATATTCCACAAGGACAAGAGCGTCTTGGGTATTCGGGTCAAAGCACTCGCAAAACGAGACTGGTCAAAAGTCTACAATGAGTTGACCATGGCGCTTCCTTCCAGTGTATCTATTATGATCCTCCCAACCAAAGACACCGAAGCTGCTGCACATACTGGGTTCCTGAGCACCTTTCCACGACCTCCACATGTCGGTTCCAGCATCGCTGCCGTTGGTGCCGACCAGTCAGGCACTCTTGGAGCGTACTTTCGTCTGGTTAATCCTAAGGACAAACGAGAGAGAACCGTGTTTCTAACCAACTCGCACGTCATTGAACCCACAGACAAGGTGTTGGCAGATCTGATCGCAAAAAAGGGATATCAGCGTGGAGCGGCTCATGGGACAATATCAGTGTCTATCCAAGCTCCCAGCCATCAAGATCTTACCGCCAGTCTTGAGTCATTCAAATCCCGTCTAGGCGAGCTGGAAAGTCAACTCGAGCGTGCTCAATTTAAAGGAGAGTTCGAGCGTACCGTTAAAGACGAGAGTCACCTCGACAAAAACCCAGCCAAGATTGAGAGCCGTAAAGAGACTATCAAGGGTCTTGAAGCAACCTTGGCTCGTCCACAAGACGCAATCATCGGACATGTACTCCAGGCTTCCACTCTAGGTCTTAAAGGAAAGAGAGGCAGCAAGATGGATTGGGCACTCGTTGAATACACTCAAGACGAGACCAAGATCAAGAACGAAAGACCCGACCTCGATAGGGCCCCGAAAAGCGATCCACGTCTGGACGAGTACGAAGAGAGGAGCGAGGTTTGGGAGCTGAAGAAGCTAGAGTTCAATCAATGGATCTGTTTCAAAGGTCGCACATCTGGCGTTCGCACAGGGTACACCAATGGCTGTCGCACTTTCGTCCGCGCAGCATCCCGCCTGAACATCAAGAAGCCCATAGATGAGAGCTACGAGCTTGAAGGTCTGGCCGGAGATATTCCCGAAGAGGCTGAACTTCGCGCCTTTCCTGACATAAGCGTTTTTGTCAACAGATTGGGCCCTCTGACTCAAGGAGGAGATTCTGGAGCTGTGATCTGGGATGTTGAAGGAGATATCGTGGGACTGACTTGGGGAATGGCCGCCAACCAGTTTGGCGCGATCATGACGAGCATTGACGAAGTCGTGGAGGATATCAAGGACAAGACAGGAATGGATCTTGAGCCCATTGTGTCAGAATGAGGCATTCTGCAGTGCGCATGACCTCCCGTGTAATATACTATGGAGAATCGGCGATATCCGCCGATGATAAAATGCACATTCTCTTCCAAACTTTTGTTATTGCCAAAGTCGTGACCATCATGTTCTCGGTCCTGAGACCTTCAGCGCAGCGAGATATTAGATTAAGGTTTGTGGTGAGAGGACGAAACTAACTCACAAAAGCTCAGCTCATTTAAACTTCATCCATATGTTCTGAATCACACCATCATCTCAAGCGAGCAAGTTACAATGCAGCTCGCTCTCGACACTGCTCCTGTTTTCCTCTAACACGGCGCTTCATCAAGTTTTCGGCTCGGAGTCTAGTCCTGGACACTTGATCGACCGCCCATCATGCTTCCCCCCAACATCTTTTGGTGCCTGCTATCCTTCGCCGTGGGGATTCGAGGTTATGCGGTATCACAGCCGACACAAGTCGATCTCTCTGTATCTACTGTCAGCTCCGGCTTCTCTGACAGCGCTCTTGCTGCACGCAATATCAAGGCCATCAATCTACAGACCACTACAAGCTCCACTTCATGCGGCTCAGACCCATGTAAAAGCGCGACTACAAGCTCTGCTTCCTGCTCTTCCTCAGATCCATGCCCAAAGGATACCACAGAGACCGAAACTCATCTCGCAACCGTAACGCTACAGACTACAGAGATGCAGACCGCGTACATCACTGACCACGTCACCACCACTCAACACACAGTACGGATGTTCACCAAAACCATCAACGTTGCAGAGACTGTAACGTCAACCTCGACAGTGACAGGATGCAGCACTTTCACAACCATTGTGACGACGGTGTGGTCGACGACGACTACCACGAACATACATCCTGCACCCACCTCAACGAGTTCGGGATGTGGAAGTGCTAGTTGCACGGTGACTACCTCGGTGTTTACTGACAAGGATGTACCTACCAGCACCACACCCGCGAGCACGGCTACAGCTTCTGGTTATGATGTTGTGGAAGTGATCTCGGAGGAAAAGATGAAGGAGCTGCTAGCAAATAAAAAGAAGGAGCAGCAGGTTGCAGAGAAAAAGAAGGATATTGCAGACAAGGAACTTCAGCAGAACGGTGCAGGGAGGAGCGCGGCCAAGCTCGTTGCTCGGCAGAGTATGGAGTCTGACGGCGATTTCTCTGCTTTGGGAGGACTTACCAAGGAACCCAGCGTACGTGCGGTCACACTGCCACCCTTTGGAACGACGCTTACGACCAGAACGCTTCGAGTTCCTCGCGGAACCGAAACTGTTGGTACCAAGACCACTACGCAGTCTCCTTCAGTCTCGGCAGGGAGACCAAGATTCGAGGGTTCAGAAGTTGGAATGGTTGATTCTGCTGCAAGTACAACACTGACTGCTCGTTCAAGTCTGGCTTGCATCACCATTCGCTCACAAGGAGCTCATTCGACAATCTGCCCAGATAGCTCATGTTGGAATGGTGACTGTTGATGACAGAGGTGGAGAGATCTGGGAAACGTGCGAAACGGTTGATTGTTCGTGTTGATCTGCGAGAGTAATCGTGGAGTGGAATATTCATCCTGTGGCGATATGGTATAGCAGACTTATTAGCTCCTCGTATTATTGTTCATGTCTGGAGAGACGATTTTTGAGTGTTAGAATCGAGACGAGATTGTTGACGACCCTTGAGCGGTCTTGAGCCGTGTGTGGGGTAAAATTGAGGCTCTGCTCGGTATACCAACGGGTTGATGACGTATGCCTGGAGCTCCTGCCGTCTTTGTCGCGTTCCTGGCAATCACATTGGGCGATCTGACAATCTGTGATGCAAGTGGTTTGTTTTTCAGCCGCAATGAGAATACTCGCGTGTCCTAGATAACAGCGCATCTCCCCCTGTCAGCTTCCTCTCGAGCACTACCAATCTACCGCACTGAAGATAGCTCTATCACCATCACTATGACGGGGGTCAAGGAAGACTTTGTGATCCCATTCACGGGAGCCCTGCAGGCATCCCTCGCCGTGCTGTTGACCATCTTCTATGGTGTTATCGCAGCTCAATTCGATCTGCTGACTGAGAAGTCGGCGAAGGATATCTCCAAGGCTTGTGTCAGGCTGTTCCTGCCTGCTTTGTTGATCGTCAATGTCGGACAGCAGCTGAGTCTCGAATCTGTGAGTAACACTGCCAAGAAGAATATATGAAGAGGGAGCTGACATGCAGGTGGTAGGGAACCAAATATCTGGCTGTATTCATTTGGGCCATCATCTACAATGTGCTTAGCATGGTATTCGGTCTTGCAGTGTGAGTCTCATCGAGCATACTGAACTTTGTCGTCAACAGACTTTCCGCGAAGCTTCATGGACAACTTGAGCCTCAGCATCCTATTTTGCCCTGTTCTTGACGCTTGCTGACACATTCTTGTACAGGACCAAATTCCTCAATCTGCCTCAATGGGTCACTCCCGCCCTCGCTTTTAACAACACGACTTCTCTCCCTCTCCTTCTCGTTCAGTCTCTGCAATCGACCGGCATCCTCGACTCGCTCGATGCATCCAGCGACACCGTCGACCGTGCCAAATCATACTTCCTCGTCAATGCCATGGTCTCGAATTCTTTGACCTTCGCCCTTGGCCCTCGCTTGCTCAACGGACAGAACGAGGACTCACCAGATGAAGAGCCCGAGAAACCAGACCAAGACGAAGATGCTGCAGAACGAGCCTCCCTCGAGGAGCATCAAGAGCAGAACGAAGAGACATCACTTCTGCCCAACCGTGCTGTACGTCCTGGAACCAAGGTCATCTACAAGACCCACAAGCGTCTGAGTAACTACTACAATTCGCTCTCTCCTCGTACGCAGGCTACATTGGACTTCCTCTATCAATTCTGGAACCCACCTCTCATTGGCGCAGTCATTGGTGGGATTGTCGGCTTGGTTCCTGCCTTGCACACACTGTTCTTCAGTTCGCCCAACGAAGGCGGCTACCTCAACGCCTGGTTGACTTCATCCATCAAGAATATCGGCGACCTCTTCGCATCCCTGCAAGTCGTCGTTGTCGGTGTAAAGTTGTCTCAAGCCATGCTTCGCTACAAGAAGGGCGAACAGAGTGGCAGCGTTCCTTGGAAGCCTTTCACCATCATCACTATTGTTCGCTTCGTCATCTGGCCTTTGATCAGTATCCCTCTGGTCTGGGTCTTGGCAAGCAAGACTAGTGTTCTTTCTGACGACCCTATCTTGTGGTTTGCCATGATGCTGATGCCTACTGGGCCGCCGGCGATGAAGTTGACTGCACTTGCCGACGTTAGCGGTGCTGGCGATGAGGAGAAGATGAGTATTGCAAAGTTCTTGACCGTAAGTGGACGCACCTTTACACTCAGCTTTGTTCTTTGTGAGATTCGAATTGACTGTGATTTCCAGATCTCCTATGCTATCTCACCTTTGATCTGCTTTTCTGTGGTTGGTGCATTGAAGGCCAGTCAGGCTATCGCTAGTAGCTAGACAAGTCTGGAGAATCCGGCATCAATGAGGCAGTGAACCCTTCGTATTGGGGATGGCGTATCTCAGTATCGCTGGTTTCGCAGTCTCGTCGAGATTTATTGCATGAAGTTGTAACATGAGATTTACACTTTGAAGCCATAGGTCATTTTCTGAGAGTCACTGGGCCTCTCCTCGCGACTTATCGTCCGCCGTATCTCGCAAGAGAGATGATGGCCTATATCTGCTCTCTTCCTGGAACAAGAACTCTGCTTATCGTGAGCGATACCTTGACGAAGGTGCTAAACACCAAAGATCCAAGCATACGGCCGACTCCTAGTATATAATTTTTCGGCAAATGCGACGCAAGCAAATGTGTATGATTTCAAGCGCTGCATCGTGCACCGCCACGCCTACTTAACGCAAGGGAGGTCTCAAGACATGAAGAGTACTCGAAATGGCTCTGGGGAAATCATTCCATGGCGACGTGCTCTCGTCCATCCGTCTCAGCGCTTGAGGCGACTCTGAGCATGTTCTTCACAAAAGATGAACATACCGAGTTGCGGCCCATGTTCTTCTCAAGTCGTCTCAGTAATATCCTGTATGCGCGCAGCCATAAGTGTACCATGAAACTCTTCGTGTTCGCTACTGCTTATCCGCTCTACCCTTGACAACATCCTGCTGAGTTTCCACCCCATCAATTCTCTCAAAGCACAATCGTTGATCCTGTCCGAGAAGGTGTGAGCCATGGCTACGTTCACGGTGCCAGTTGCGCTTGCAATGGACAGAAGGCTTTCACGGATTACCATTTCAAAAAAAACACTAAATCATCCTAGATCCTACTTTGACACTTTTACCAACCAGGCTTCCAACAACTCATTAAGCCAGCGAAACTTTCGGTGACTATCTGAAGACACTCTCGGGATTAATGTTCCGGACAAGAATCGCCACTCAAGATCTGATCATCTTGAGCCTTTTCTCTTTCCTGCACGCTCATATTGCTTTCTCGTTCCTCTCTATCCACTACTTCCTTCGGAACCTCATAATCCAAACACTCTGGTGGCGAGTCGATCTAGATTTCGCCCTCGTAGGAGTGCAGCATCTCAGAGACTGCATCAGGAACTCCATGTGACGAGCCAACGTAGAACTGTCGCTCGTCTGGTAGAGCGATACGGTCTGGCTCTTGATGCTCTTTGACTGCAAGTGTTTGTGTTTCTCCACGGTCGATACCGGAGGGATCTCGAGAGGGTTTTCCAAACTGATGTCGCCATATCGCGTATACGAGAATTTGGGAGTCTGAGCTGACTGTCGCACACAGCATGTGCCTTTCCATGCACCATATTCCACGAACCCCAGTCATCTTCGGAAAACCCTTCCACGCACATGTTCGATCGGGCCATACTTGCAGCACAAGGGATTCGGGCCACTTTCAACAAGTCGGTGAGAGCCAATATTGGGAGATAAAAAGGTTTTCGGTATCATTGTTTATGCGACGACTTCAGAGGCGCTGACTGTGACTTTGCCTTTTTCTAACAAGGTGTTGGAAGCCGCAAGGTTTTCATGCTTTTCCAGTGTTGCTTGTTGCTCTTCTTGAGCCACATATGGCTCATCCTCCTTGTACACGTCGTACTTATATCCACTCGCCGTGTGATCAGCTCTCACGCCTGCCTGTCCAGCGCCATAGACCTTCTCTCTTGCTGTCAATCCTTCCTTCGCACCCTTCTCAGGGTACACGCCGCGACGACGCAATTCAGGGATCAGAAGCTCGACCACGTCCTCGAAAGTGCCCGGTGTGGTGACGTAGCCGATGTTGAAGCCATCAAGATCAGCTTCGCGGACCCAGCGTTGCATCTCGTCTGCGACGGTGGCTGGTGAGCCGACACCAACAGGACCGAGACCTCCAATAGCCACTTTCTCGGCGACGACGCGAGGGGTCCACTTGGGCACCTCCTTGCTGGTAGTGGTAAAGGCGTGGAGCTGCGAAGTCACCTTGTGAACCTCCTTTGAGTCTGCAGCGGTGATTTCCTGGTCCAGAGGAATTGTCGAAATGTCAATGCCAGTCCAGCCAGAAAACAATACAAGCCCTCCTTTCACGGAGGCATACTTTTGAAGTTCAGCGAGCTTCTCCTGGGCTCCCTCATCTGTCTTGCCCAGAATTGGCGTGAAGGTGGCGAAAAACTTGATAGATCTTGGGTCGCGGCCTTCCTGCTCTGCTAGCTTGCGGATTGCATCGATGCGAGGCCTCAGGACTTGAGGACTGTGACCAGAAACAAAGATGGCCTCTGCATGCTTGCTTGCGAAAGATGAACCCGCAGGAGATGTGCCTGCCTGGAACAAGAACGGTGTACGCTGAGGCGATGGATCGACGATATGTCTCGTCTCAAGGTTGAAGTACTTTCCTTGGTGCTTTATGGTTCTGATCTTATCGGGGTCAAAATAAGCATCGTTCTCGGCGTCAGCGATGATGGCATCGTTGCTCCACGAGCCTTCCCAGAGTCTGCAATCGTTAGTGGGAGAAAATTTTGTCGGGTCATTGGAAGACGAACTTATAAAGTAATCTCAAGTACTCATCAGCTTGGGCGTAACGTTCATCATGGTCAATGGGTGTATCAATGCCGATGGCCTTGAACGCTGCCTTCTTCCACGAAGTCACGATGTTCCAGCCGATACGACCTTGAGTCAAATGATCGAGCGTCGAAAAGCGCTTCGCAAGCAAGAATGGTGGTTCAAACGAGGTACTTGCTGTAATACCAAAGGCGAGATTTTTGGTCACGGCTGCCATGGCTGAGATTGGCTGTCGTAATGGTTAGGCCTGAGTGATAGGTGTTGCTGCAGACGAGCACTTACGATGGTAGGATCAGTCACGGGCCATTGTGCTGCGCGGCGAATACACTCATCCAGACTCTGCTCGTATGTATCGTAGCCGCCATATGTGTCGGCCAGGAACAGAGCATTGATGTCGCCCTTTTCGAGTAGCTTTGCCAGATCGATCCAATAATCCAGTTTGCGCTTTGTGGTTGACTTGTCGCTAGGGTTCTGTGGGTGTTAGTCGTTGCAGTCGGAGCCGAGTATGTATGTTTACTCACCTTCCATTGTCCTGGCGAAAGATGCCCAATGGTGCTCATGTCAAAGGCATTGATGAGGATTTCTTTGTTAGCAGCCATTTTTGCTCGGATTCAAGGAGGACCAGTAGCGATTGATTTCACTGGCAGTGACGAGAAAAGCATTATATGTGTTCGGAAAGGCCGGTGTTATTGGGACCCCGCACCATCAATGTAAGTGGATCTCGTCGTGCGAGCACGCCATCCACGGTATCACTCTGCACGAGAATTCCACTCATGCTCGGCATCTTGACAAACCTACCTATCGCCTACATCGCCGAGATAACCACATACAATCATGTCTTTATCGTGTCGGGGTAACGAGCATATGTGGTTGAGAGGGCCTAAGGTATCAGGACCCTGCATTGTTGATGGAAGTGGATGTTGTCGTGCGAGCACGCCATCGACCGTGTTCGTTCGCGCGGTGTTTTTACTCGTGCAGTGAAGCTTGAGGAAGGAACAAATCAACAGCCGTGGTGAGCGGGGTTCGGGAATAAGAGCAAACATGGCAAACATTCTGCCCCTCGCACCACACCAGCCTGCGGCCAACTCATGTGTTTCCTTTGTAACTTCCGGATGTCGGATGAGATTATTCTTCGAAAGTGCTTGGCTTCATCGCAAGTCACGTTTATCAATGCTTAGCACACGCGAGTGCGACGTTCTCGTCCGGTCAAAGATAACGAGCATGTCGCGAGCTCGCACGTAATCCATAGCTCCAATGTGGTGATTCAACCACGGCAAGAAGACCGAATAATCTCCAGCACTGTCTGTTGGCCGGGACAAAGTTCACATCACGAATAAAATGTCAGTCCATCAGCCTTTCTTGATCGAAGTCCGACGATACCGCCAGTCCTTGAACCATGGCTACTACAATTGCTATCCCCGTTAGCAATTTACCAGCGTATCCCAACGAGAAGGAACCAGCTGTAGCAGTCATCGAAACTACTCAGGATTTACTGCAGGATGTCAGCACGAACAACAAGGACGTCCCTGAGGAGGACTGGGTCTATCCATATCCGACCGACTTCGTCCTCGGCGATCACCCCATCGATGATGTTCGTGAATTGAAAGTCAGTGCCATTTTGTCCGAAGAAGGGAACAACTAGCTGACGACGATGAGGTCGCCGTGATTGGAGCTGGTCTCGCCGGCATCACCGCTGGCGCATTATTACCTGCAAAAGTCCCTGGCATTCAATTGACCATCCTCGAGAAGAACCCCGAAGTGGTATGTCAAAGCTCCCATCTCTTCGTCTTGGGCATCCGCTCAAAGTTGTGTTCTCCTGATTTCGGTGCTTCGACGAAAAGTGCTGTCCAACGAAAGCTATGGTTGACCTATCTGACACTTGTTAGGGCGGTACATGGTTCGAAAACAGATACCCCGGTGTACGCTGTGACATCCCCGCGAATGTCTACCAAACCAGTTTCGCTCCGAACACTCAATGGAGCGAAGAGTATGCTCAAGGTCCCGAAATCCTCGCCTACTGGAAGGGCGTCGCAGCCAAATACGGCGTCTACGATAAGATTCGATTCAACAACAAAGTCGTGAAGACGGTCTGGGAGCCAGAGAAGTCTCAGTGGCGACTCGAGAATGAGGATGTTGTGGACGGACGCAAGACAACGGAGTACTACGATTTCGTCATATTAGCCATCGGCCACTTCAACGAATGGAAATTACCTGACTATCCGGGTGTGTATCACAATTGACTTGGACCCAAGAAGTATGTATCATCACTGACTATGAGCTCACATAGGTATCGAACAATATAAAGGACACCTCCGTCACTCGTCCAACTGGGACCCAGAGTTCGATCCAGTCGGCAAGCGGATTGCAACCATCGGAAATGGTGCTTCTGGGATACAAGTCACACCTGAGCTGCAGAAAGTCGCAAGCCATTTGTATCATTACGCACGAAGCCCCACATGGATTGCCGGAAGCTTCAACGGCTCAGCAAGGGAGCGTCAAGCAACCGCACTGCTGTTCACGCCAGAGGAGCTCGAATCTTTCAAGGATCCGGAGAAGTACCTCGAGTTCCGACAAGAGCTAGAGGGCCCGTTCTTCAGGCGATACGATGCTGTGCTCAGAGACTCTGAAACGAGCAAGAATGCTGCGCGTGATTTCAAAGAACTCATGCGTAAGCGACTGGTTGAAAAACCTGAGCTTCTCGACCAGATTGTTCCGGATTTCCCTCCTCACTGCAGAAGACTTACTCCTGGTCCTGGATACCTTGAAGCGATTACAAAGCCCAATGTCAGCTTTATCCAAACGCCAATTTCTCATTTCACTGAGGATGGAATTGTTACGAAAGATGGTATCCATCGCTCAGTCGACGCCGTCATTTGTTCAACAGGCGCGAACGTGGACTTCAGTCCGCCATTCCCAGTCGTAGCTGGTGACTACGACCTTTCTAGAGACTGGCGTCCTGATGGCAAATTTGGCTGGCCGTATTCTTACATCGGTGTTGCTACCCCGGGTTTCCCAAACTTGTTGCATCTAGCTGGTAAGCCGCTTGCTGCGTGATTGTCCTTCCAGTTCTGTCCCTGACAGCCTTTTTAGGTCCCAATGCAGCAGGTGCCTCGGGCTCTGTGCCTTTCTCGGTGGAAACTCAGGTAGCATATATGGCGAAGGTTCTCCGCAAGGTGAGCAGCCAAGGAATCTCGACCTTGCAACCATCAAAGGCTGCAACCGACGACTTTGTCACGTACTGCGACGCATTTTTCCCTCGGACAACTTTCTCACGCAAGTGCAGCAGTTGGGCGAACGGAAGAAACCCCGGAGCTCGCATTCACGGTCAATGGCCAGGCAGCGCGAGCCATCTAGCTGTTGTTCGGCGAGAGCCACGATGGGAGGATTGGGAGTACACGTATGTTCGACCAGAGAACAGATTCGCTTACTGGGGAAATGGTCGCGCCAGGAGAGAGCTGGACCCCGAAGGCAATGTTACTGCTCACCTAAAGTTGCCGGAGAAAGTCGATCTCAGAGACCTGCATGAGACCTGGTGGGATCTGTAGAGAAACACATCGCAACTTCGCAACGTGATAATCACCACGCTCTTCCTGCACGGGTGCTGGAAGCAATTCCCTTACCATGACAGGGCGCAATGATTTCCAGACTCAAAATCCACCCAAGGGAAGCATAAGCTACAACTCATCCCCACACTGCCCAAGACTATCGTGCATTTCTGAAGCTATGCGTGATACAATTTTGGACATAGGGAGGCAAACATGTTGTAGAGAGTTTTTATGTTCGCCTTCTCAGAGTCTAGTTTGTGGTTCCAAGACTCCCCTCAAGCAGTAACGATCCTGATTTTGACCGAACATCATACAAACCTCCACCAAGCGGGGACCAAGGGGCGAGATCCACATGAAGATACATCGAAACGAACTTTCCCTGCTCATGACACGAAACGTGCGGCATACTTGGCTTCATGCGTGAGCTCCGAGCACGCACGCGACAAGCTTTCCCCTGCTGAACCACCAAGACAATTGCACAATCATATCCTTCCTGATGCCATATTATACGCCGAATCACGGCACCGTACTTCTCTCCGCTCCCGCTGGAGCTGGAGGAAATGTTGAGGCCAACACACCCAAATTGACAACATACCATGTCAATTGACTCCACTCCAGGTGCTTCTATCCACTGTCAGCATTCTCGGCGTCGATGTCGCAATGGAACTGTCTGCAATGATTGAACAAATATTGGAGTCATAAGTCGGCATGAAAGCCTCGTCCAGTGATCCTACCCATATCATCTTGAGTATCGATGGCAGAGAAAGACATCTACCGTACAGGCCGCAAGTGGTATGACTGGTATCACCCCAGCGATACCAAAGAGGAGCGCAAACTCATCGCCAAACTCGACGTCCTCATCGTCAGCTATGCCTTTGTCACTTACTGGGCCAAATACCTCGACCAGAGCAACATCAGTGAGTCTACAACCTTTTGACCCAACCCCCAAACGTCACTTACATGACTTCGCACCACAGATAATGCATACGCCTCAGGCATGTCCGAAGATCTGAATTTCCATGGCAATGAACTCGTACACTTCCAGATCATGTATAATTTGGGTGCTGTGTTGGGGCAGATACCCTTTGCACTGCTGTTTCCAAAAATCCGCATGAATATTCTCGTGCCGGCTTTGGATATCCTGTGGGGTGTTTTTACACTGCTGCAGTATAGGTCGCAGGGGTATTCGGAGATCATGGCGTATCGATTTTTGGTGGGGTTGTTTGAGGTGAGTGTTCTAGAGGGCTGGTGTCTCGGGTGGACAAGTGCTAATCAATCATGCTTGAAAAGAGCGCATTCTTCCCGGCTGTACACTACGTGCTAGGTGAGTTTCCAGAATGCTCTAGCTATGAGATTGAAAGTCTTGAGCAACCATGTCTTTTGATCCAGTAGCTGATAGATCTTGTCTAGGGAGCTGGTATCGCGGTGATGAGATCAGCAGAAGAGGCGGTATCTTCTATGTTGGACTTACCTTGGGTACTCTTACTGCCAGTCTGATTCAAGGTGCATGCTCTGCACATCTTGACGGTGTTCGTGGTTTAGCTGGATGGCGCTGGTAACGTGTACACAAATATGCACATACTTCGACAACATACTGACTGTGCCAGGATGTTCATCATCAACGCCGTAATCACCCTACCGCTCGGCATAATCGGCGTCTGGGTCTGGCCCGGCACACCCTCAAACTCCAAAAGCGTGTTCCTGTCAGAACAAGAATTGACGCTTGCAAGACAACGACTGGAAAGAGCAGGCCACACCAGCGACCACAAACCCTTTTCCCTCACTCTTCTCAAAAAGGTCTTTTTCGGCTACAAACTCTGGATCCTCGTCATCTGGGACATTTTCTTCTGGAACGCTTGCCTCAACGCCAGCACTGCCCCTTACCTCCTCTGGCTAAAGAGTTTGAAGAAATATCCAAAATCTCGCTTGAATGATTTGAGCGCTACAGCTCCAGGCCTAGGCATCTTTTACGTGCTGTTCATTTGCTTTGGAGCAGATTTGGTGTTTGGAAGAGCTGGTGCCATCACCATTGCTCACTCGTGGAATTTGATTGGTGTGTGCATCTTGTTGGTTTGGGATGTATCACAGGCTGCCAAATTCTTTGCGTACAATACGTCTTATTCGGCTGTTGCCATGTCTTCTGTGCTCTAGTAAGTTTTACTGAACACTCCAATCTCCAATTCCTTCTCATCCATCTAGCAATGGTGGAAGTCATATGCTGACGAATTTGATGAAAACAGTGGTTGGGCAAACGATATCCTCAAACACAATGTCAACGAAAGAGCACTTACCTTGGTAGTCATGAACGCCATAGCTCAATCAACCACAGTGTGGACACCCCTGATTTTCTGGAAAACAGTCGAGGCACCGAGATATACCAAGGGTTTTTCTTTTACAGCGGCAATGGCGGTGTGTCTGATTGGCATGACGTGGATTGTTAATTTCTTGCATCAGAGACAAGAGTGAGTTTTTGGACTTTTCCGTTTGATTGCTTTTTGGAATCGAGAATGCGGCTGACGGAAAGATGCACAGGAGACAATTCGAGGAGAAGAAGTTTGCTGCAGGGATTTCTTCGAGCAATGATGATGCGGTTGAGAGGGTTGATACTAAGGAGGCTACTCTGACCAACGTCAGACCTGTCTCAGAGATCTAGGATGACTATGACTTGCAGGAAGGGGGGAAACTCGGCGGAGTCGCTGAGTGGGGATAGTCCAGTGGAAATGCGTCTTTCTCAGGAAGTGCCGGTCATCGAGTTGGAGCGCATCGATCAGCAGCGAATGTCAAAGACTGGTGTAGTGGAAGATTATGGAGTCAGGTATAGCAAAAAAGTCATGTTTGTTCGTCATTGGGAAAACTACATGTGTAATCCCTCACCCTCTACTGCTTGATGTCGAGAGCAATGCTGCTGAGATAAGCACATCTCTCCTTCTGCACAGCATCCACATTCTCCATAGCTGTAGCATTAGTGACAAAATGCAACCTCTGCTTCTGTCCTTGAGTCCATGCTTCCCAGATGGGAGACCCCTTGAGTCTGTAAGTGTTGGGGTTGTAGCTTCTGATGAAACTAGTCCAGTATGCTTGGGTGACAGGAACAATGTTGGCATTGGTAGTGCTGTAGGAAGCAGGAGCATTGCCTTGAGTGTTGTTAGGGCCCCAGATAGCGGCAATCTCAACAGTGTGAGTGACTCCGCGGCCGGCGGCTGCAGCAACGGGGTCAACGACATCCCAGTGGTAGTTGTAGATGTCCTTGCGGTTGAAGGTCGCGGCGTAGATATCCGAGATATTGATGCCGGGGCAGTTGTAGCGCAACTCTCCGTACTGATCACTAGCTTGTCTCCACCAAGCGCCCGAGTTAGGGAACTGGTTGCTTGCATTATTGGGGTACAGTTTGTTGATCTTCTTGATTTGGCTGAGCGTCAACAGCGGAAACTGATTTTTGAGGAACGTGTTGCTTTCGCCCTGGGAGGAAGTGTTGACGGGGACGAAAACAGTGCCTTCGTTTGTGTCGTCGCCGTAGATGGCAGGCAGCTTGATGAAGTTTCCCTTGCGGTAGGCAGCCATGGTGAGATCGGTGACGACGTCGCCATCGAGGGTAGGGCCATACATGTACAAGGGAGCGCCCTCTGCGCCGGGGAAGGGAGTGTTGATGTTTTTGGTCTGGAGGTAAGTGGAGTTCAGGCTGCGCAGACAGGCCAAAGTGTCGTTGGAGCTTGTGCAGCCAGTGCGGATGACCAGGTTGTCGTACATGAACTGAGACTCGTTGATACTGCGGACAGCAGCGAAGGACTGGGATTCGGCGGCTGAAGCGTGGAAGAGGTTGTCATTGCGACCGTTGTGTGCAGTGAGCAGCAGAGTAACGGACGCGGCACCTGCAGATGCACCCCCGATAGTAACGTGCTTGGGATCACCTCCGAACTTCTTGATGTTCTTCTGTACCCATTGCAGGGCCTTGATCTGATCTCTGAGACCGTTGTTGGGGGCACCGCCCGTGACAATCTCATTGGAAGCCAAGAAGCCGTAAGGACCAACGCGGTAGTTGAAGTTGACAACGACAATGTTGTGGTTGCTGGCTTCGATCAGACCGGAGCCGTTGTAGTTGGGGTTCGAGTTTGTGTTGAAGCCACCGCCTTGGATAAAGAAGTAGACGGGGAGAGGGTTGTCCGAAGTGGCATTTGTGGGTGCGAAGACGTTCAAAAAGAGACAATCCTCGGATGAGGTGTTGCTGGGTGCGGAGCCGGTCCCCAGACAGATGTTTCCAGACTGTGCGTTGTGTTGTCAGTGAGGGTAATAGCATGGAGAACCATTTCACAGTACGTACAGTGTCAGCAATGATGGTAGTCTTGTTCTTGACCGGATCAGAAGGAGCCGCGAATCTCAAGTCGCCAACCGGAGGGGCAGCATAGCGCACACCCATCCACTGAGTGATGCCATTACCAAGCGGAACACCCTGGTACTTGGAGTAACTGACATCCACCAAAGGCTTGACAGCGCCAACAGCAGACACACCAACCAGTCCTGCAAATAATGAAGAACGCATGATGTGAGGAGAAAGGCTGGAGAAGGATGAGGAGGGGTACGATCTGCAGATGAGGCGGAAGGTGCTCGCCTTTATAATACCAGCAGATGATCTGCCGATGTTACATCCATCTTCACGTCGGCTGGTATAGCCTAAGTAAAGCTGCCACCCCGTCACGGCTCACGGCCCATGAGGAGCATTTGCCATGTCGCGCCCGCTGCACATTTATACCTTGGGGTCAGTGGTGGAGAAGACTGGAGCGAGTCCTCAGACGCGCCTCAAACACGGCATGCCGAATTCCTCCACGTCGGCTGCCTCGTGTTACTGACCTGCCGAAAAAAGTCAATCGGTCGCCGTTCTTTCCGTGCCTACTTTCCACGGAGAGCTTCCGAATGAGAACCCTCGAGCCACAGAGAATGATTTCCAACTCGTATCGATGTGAGAAACAGCTGAATCTCCATCAACGATCAACCCGAAACCCGGCATAAACAAGGATTATCGAGGCCCTATCCTTGGCCTAGGTAATTTGAAGCCTGCCAATTCAGTGCCCAGGAAATGAATGACAAGACCGAGGATATATCGCAGAAGAGAACAAGCCACCGCGTCAAACGACGTGAACCGGGCGGAGGTCGAGTGCGGGCGGGCACTGTGGGGCTTCGATCCATCCCCTCTGTGGGGGCCTGAAGAACATTGAAATTGGCAAGCCCATCCAAGCCTACAGGACTGGATTCATATACTACACACGCTAACTAGTCATACAGATAGAGTTCAATCAGCATTAGCTTGGCAACTAGGACAGAGACAAGAATTTACAAATGTTGTGAGTTTATACCATGGAGTATCTAATGCTAAACCCGCTAAGAGAGAAGAATGACCTTTGGCAGTCAGAGAGAGGCCCATGTGAGTGAGTAGGAGAGAGAGGAAGAAACGAGGCGAAAGAAACACACAGATACAACCATCTCCCAACTCCCGCCTTTGCCAGATAGTCTTGTGTATACAACAAGATGGCAAGGTCGTTGCTCACTCTGCCCCAGATTCCCAGCAAAAACACCGTGCGCCAGGCAATCGCGCAGAATGTCAAATCTTTCGCAGTTTGTACTCTTTCCTCGCCTTTGCATGTCGTCTTCTGTTCATGCCTGGAAGGCGTTGGCTGTGGAGATGCTGTTGATGTGACGGCAAAGCACAGCTCTATAGGCCATACACGTGCCAGCCGTCAAGACCATCATTTCCAACCACGTTGGGTCTTGCTTTTGCCGACTCGACGACATCCCCAAGGTCATGAGCTGTTCTGGTACCTAACTCTTGGTCAAGTCACAGCTCGTCATCGTCGATCTCACTAGGCTTGAGCAAACCGCCGACCTTCATAGCACGCTCTCTCTCCTGGGTCTTGGCCTCTTGAGCAGCCCTCTCACGATCCTCAATGAACAACTCGGCGTTGTCACCGGCAAACTCCTTGAGCTGAATCAAGAAGTCGCGCAATGTGAGCTTGAAGCGGTTGATGTCATCGGCTTGAGAGAAGAGATCTGTGATGAACTTCTGGATCTGTGCAGGTGTAAGGTTGGGGAAGGCGTTGACCAGGAGATTGCCAACAAAGTTTTGGAGAAACTCTCTGTTCGATGTTCCAGCAGGCGCCATGTCAGAAGTGTAGATAGGCGAGTTCAACTTGCCAGAGCCAACGAGGTAGAACATCTGAGCCAAGAGCATAGACTGGTACTTGAAGCCGGCCTTGTGGTCCGAGTCGGTCAAGACGAAGAAGACATCCTGGAGGATGGTGGTGTAGAAGTTTTGGAAGAAGGGTCCGCTGATCTCGCCATCGGTCTCTGACATGTTCTGGACGAGTTCGTAGCACATGTTGAGACCTTCACCCTCAACCAAACGGTTGTCGTGCTTGCTGGCCCACATGCATGAGTCGATGACGAACTTGAACTGACGTTGGTCAAGCTGGAGGAGGGCGGGGAAACAGCGCAGGTTGATCTCGCGGAGAAGCTTGAAGAACTCGACACGGTGTTCGGGGTATTCGGAGAAGTCCTTGTTGATCATGTCGAGAGTGCATTCGAAGACAGCGCCAAGAATGCCAGGAACGTCCTTGGTCATCAAACCCTGGGAGATGTTAGCATGTTGATTCTGATGAGATGGCATAGCGATCAAGCCGACCGAGTGTCTGCTACGATTCGGGGTCCAACGTACTTGAAGCTTCTTGATGATGGTGGTCATGACGTTCAGGACCTCGGCCTCGCGAGCATCAGGGACATTGTTCTGGTAGTCAAGAAGAACGGCTTGCAACAAGTCGGGCACGAGACGCTCGTGCACCATCTCCAAGTCGTCAGCCTTGTCAACGTAGGTGCTGATCAACTTGAGGATCTCCTTCTTGATAGTTCTGAGACCGCGGACCTTGGGCATCTTGGTGGCAATGTTGCCTACGGAAGTTAGCGAAAATTAGTTGGATATGATTGAATCAGACTTACCATCCTTCTGCACAGCTTCGTCGATGAGCTGACTGCTGGCGCGGTACATTGTGAGCATATCGAGGTAAATCTTGCCGATCTGAGGGTAGAAGTAACTTCCGACCGAAGAGCAAGCCGAGACATTGGTCTTCATGATGTTGCCCACAACCTTGATGGTCTCCGAGTCCTGGAGGATGTTGGGGTCGACGTGTGCAGACTGGATGATGGCGTCCCAAGCTTGGTTAGGCAGAGCCATAAGTTCGCCGATCAAACGCTCCTGCATGGCCTTCTGGCCCTGGGCACTGATCATGTAGCCGCAAGCCTCGTAGAAGGTGTGAACCTGCTGAGGAGACAAGTCACAAGTGATCTTGCGCATGTTACGCACAATCTCATCGATGAAAGGCTCCGTTTCACCGGGCTGGGTCAGGACGAAGTGACGCTTGCACTTGTTGGCGATCTTGATGAAGGTGTCGCAAGCCATGTCCTGGACACCCTCGTGGGTTTCGTGCATAAACTCGAAGAGCTTGTTGACGACCGTCTTGAGGAACTTCCAGTGGGCCTTGAGGAAGCGAGGGTACTGCCCGACGATGTACATGATGTTAGACGCGACAACGGCCTTGTTGTCCTTGCCGCGCTTCTGTTCAGTCAAGCCGAGAAGGTCCTTGATGACGGTGACCAAGAAGCGCTTCTCCGTCTCTTCGTTCATGGCACCGGAGATGGAACCAATGGCCCAGCAAAGAGTGTTGCAGTTGGCCCACGACCATTCAGAACCGTCGACCTGCTTGGAGAGCTTGTCGGACATGATGGTCTCGGTGTCGACGACGTCCAAGTGAGTAAGGAAGACCAAGCATTCTCTGGTAGTCTTGTAGAGTTGGATGGTGTCGCTCTCCTTGACGAACTCACGGACAATCTCACCCTCGTCATTCTCGACGATCAAGACTTCCTCGGGACGGACCATCTTCTCGATCATGACTTGGCGCAAGTTTGTCAAGACCTCACCATACTTGTTCTTGCGGAGAGGGTAGCCGGACATAGCCGAAGGATGAGGAGCGCCGCCGTTGGAAAGACCGCTCATGGTCATGCTAACCAGGGGGTTGAGGTCGGTGATGGGAAGTTGCTGCATTTCGTCGTAGAGGTCGCATACCAGCTTGGTCCAGTATTCCAGGCAGATCTTGAAGATTTCGCGGTCGTCAATTTGACTAATGCGGATGAGGTAGAAGTGGCCGTGAACCAGGAAGTCGGGGTTGGGCAAGTTCTCGATGATGCTAAGGTGGTTAGAGAAGAAGTTGGTCAGGAAGAGCGCAAGGTTCTGGACAAATTCCTGGTCGCGGCTGTTGCTAGAAGCGTAAGTTTGCTTGAGGTCGAGCGACAGAGGAATGACGGTAGAGATGGTAGTCATGGTGTCGGTGAACATGGCGATGAGCTTCTCGTTGTACTGCTGCTCGGTCTGCAGACCACCGACTTCTGTCAAACACTTGAGAGTGACGTTGCGGAACTCGGGGACCTCAAGGAAGCGGCTGCGAAGAGTCTCGAGCAAGCTGACGCCGGTAGGTGGTGTCTCGAAGATGAAGCCTAGAGGAATCCAGTTGAGGAAGCGCAGCAGTGTCTCGAGGGTGGCCTTGATCAGCGAGGGTTGTGTGGCAGTGCGCAGAATCTCGCTGCACAGGTTGTAGATGGATGTGAACTCGTCACACATGCTCTGCTTGAGTTGGCGCGTCTTGGACGAGGTCATCTGTTCGGCGGAGAAATCGAAAACTTCTTCCGAGAGCAGACGCAGGATGGCCATGTTGTTTTCGCAAATGGGCAGACTGCTGTGGCAGGACGAGATGATCTCGTTGATGAAGGTGGGCCAGTTGTGGGGCCACTCCTGCTTGAGAATGGAAACGAGGACCAGGTTGAGCTTGTTGATCAAAGCTCTCTCCTTGCGCAGGCTCTCATCGGTGCTCGACATTTGGATGATGAACTGGACGACAAAGTTGCGGATTCCCTGGCACTGCTCGCGGGGCAGGACCTTCCATCGCGTCATGATCACATTGTCGAGGACTTGTAGGCCAAGGACTGTTGTTGGGCGAGGTTAGCACATGTAGGAAGAGGTCGCGAGGGAAATTGAGAGATGGCGTACACTTGGTCTGAGGGTATTGAGCGTCTTGGAGAATCTTGTCGACCATGAGCCATGCGTCGGGGTTTTCCTTGAACTGCAAAGCGAGTCAGTGGGGAAGAGATTGAGCGGGTAAGAGCTTGCAACCGACCTGATTGAGGGTAGCCTGAGCTTGTTTGTGCTGTTGAGAAAGTAGTCAGCTTAATGACTGCTAGAGTGAGTCGTGTGGATGGCGCACCTGCTCTCCGTGACCGCTGTAGAAGGCTTGGACAGTGGCGTCCAGCTCCTGTATTGACGAAGCCATGGTGGGGGAAGCGTTCGGCGAAGGCGGGTGGTTGTTGCGGCTGGAATCTGATACGGCGCGCTGCCTGGTGGGAAGGTAGCTTGTGTCTCTACTCTAGCATGCGTCTGCTGAGAGAGGCAGAGGGTGGGCGGTTTGATAGAGGCCGGACAAGGCGGGGCGGCGCGTGTAGAGAAGAGGCTCTGGTCGGGACAGAGGGCGCGTCTGAAGTGAAGAAGCGGAGGGCTGAGTGTTGGCGAGAAGACAGCCGGGTAAGCGCACAGTTGCACAAGAGGTTGGGAGTTGTGGTGGACAGAAGGTGGTGTTGGACGAGATGGTTGTCGAGCTCTCTGAACTCTCGGGCTTGCCTAACGCTCTCTCTGCTGTTGCTGCTGCTTGCTTGCCTTTGGAGGCTCCTGCGCCTGCCGCTTGCTTCGTTCGGCCTTGGCTGTTTGACCTTTGGCCGACGCCTCTTGTTTCTTCTAGAAAACACCGTGCTAGGCTCGACAAGGCAACCGCTAAGCTCTTTGTGCATCGCTCCTTCCGCCTTTCCTTTGTGTTCGCTGCACGTCACTCACCTAGCCACTCTCCGAACCCATCACCTTTGCGACTATCACCACTACAATCCTACGACCATATCGTCAGTTCATGCCGCCGTCCTGAGTCTGCACCAAACAACCATGTCTCCAAACCAGTCCAACGTGGCGTCGGGCACGCACGGCAGTCTCACCCTCACCGCCTCGCAAGCGGGGCCTACCACTCTGCGTCTGAGGGCCGCAGCCGAGCCTTCCGAGGGCCGTCGCATTCAATGGGCTGAGGATGTCGTCGACAATGAAGGCATGGGCAAGAAGAGCTCGAAAGGTATGTTTCCTTTCAACATTGTGTCTATCTTTACTGAGACACGACAATAGTATGCTGCATCTACCACAAACCACGCGAGGCTGGTGAATCCTCCGATGAATCATCCTCATCATCATCCTCCTCCGACTCGGACAGCGAGCCCGACACTAGTAGGGCCCAGCCGGCAAATCGTCGTCGAAACCAGCATCAAGACTCAGACGGCCCATGCGACCATGATCATACCGACCCTGCTCATTCGCATGGCTCTGAAAAGGGCAAGCAGAAGGCCCGCAAGCCCAGCCCGAATGCCTATGAGAGAGTGCCCAGGAGAAAGACACCCAAGAAGGACTGAATGACGACCAGGAGTCAAGGCACCCCTTCATTTTATTTTGACAGCCAGAGTATCGCTTGCGGTCCCATCATACCCCTCAAAGAGCTCGGTCCCGGAAAGAGACCAGCCTTTATCGCAAAATGTCGTCTGCAAGATGCATTGTAGGCGGGATGGCTGCACAGGAAGAGGAAGTCCAAGGCTGGTCTGGCGGTGTGCTGTTTGATCCGTCTCATGGATGTTCAAGAGAGCCATGTGTTTTTGCAGTTTCATTTGACGGTTGAATCGTCACCGTTGTCCTCTTGAGCAGTTTCGGACTGGTCGACATGCTGCATTGGTATTCTGACAAGCGTTTGGGGCAGAGGGAGGTGGGGTTCGGGATCGGGATCGGTCTCCTGTTGAGGTTTTGCTATGTGGGCTGCACAAAGGTCAGCAGGTGGGAACAGTGCAGCAGTCGGGGAGCAGTGCATACCAGAAGCCATGTGGATGGCTCTGAGAACAGTGTGCCAGTTGGAGAGAACAGTTGCGATGGCTGCTAGAGTCAGTACGGGTAGTCATGTCGGCGACAGTCGAACGCACCCTGGGTGCCATCTGAGAGGGTAGATAGCTTCTCCTCCAGCTGCTCCATCTGACCAGCGAGACCAGCACTAAGTTCGCGCAATTGTTTGAGGTTCTCTAGCTCGGCACGTTTCTCGTTGATGCGCTGCTGTAGGGCAGATGTTTGCGAACTCGATGTCGATAGTGATGACTGGCGAAGATGCGAAGGGAGATTGCTGGTAGGTCGATACATGACTGCGAATATGTGGTTTTTGTAGTTGAGACGAACAGTCGGTCAGGTCGCGCCTTCGCTATGCCTTGAATGCTGACGGCCCTGAATATGCGTGAGTCGTGGGAGCGGTCTTGGCTTGCAGTCGCGAGTCGGCGTTGCCCACGGCGACTGCTTGCAAACAAACACGGCGTCAGAGTTCGTGCTTGTGCGTGTGCTCGGCCTTGCGATTGTGCTCCGGCGCCTGCCTCATACCAAATTTCTACTCAAGACACACCGTCCTCGATATTCCGTGTTGCCCGTCTCATGGCCAGACTCAACGAGGCCCCTGTGCCGACCGAGAGCGTTGATGCTTGTATGTCCTATTGTATCTCGACCTCGCTGTCGACCACGCTATCAACCACGCTGACTCGACCTAGTAAAGCGCCGCTTTGTGCGACAAAACCGCGAACTCGCCAAGTATGCGCATTCGACACAATCTGTCTCGAGTCTCTCAGGCTGACTAGCTCTTTCCCAGGAACAACTCGGCCCAATGTTTGCGCATCCGCGCCCTCGAGTGCGAAGTGTCACGCCTGCTCGCCGAGAATCTCGACCTTCGTGAAGATATCGCTCATCTCCAGGCCCAGCTGTCCGAGCCTCGCTCTCACATTGACAACTCCGCCCTCGTCTCGGTCAAAGATCAACTCGAGGCCAAACTGCTCGAATTTGGCTCCCTCGTCTCTGAACTTGGTCGCATGCAAAACACTCCTCACTCTGCGCCCCAAGACAAATTCTCCGACCCTTCTTCATGGCGTCCTGAAGTCCCTGCTGCTATCCTGTCTGGCCAAGCGCCGAGGATGGACGGTATCGCTGAAGAAGCAGCATCCCCTGGTGGCTCTCTGCAGTACGTCTCACTACGCCCTCCAGGATCTTCCCTCAAGCTGACACTAACAGATTACATCGCAACAGTATTGTCCGCCTCTCCAATCAAAGCGATCCTTCTCCCGACATTGGTCCGCCTCCAGTCGTTCATTTCGACAATGAGGATCCTATAAAGTTCGATCCTCTTTGCACCGAGGCAGATCAGCCAGACTCTACCGAACATGACGAACAACCCACTTCCGACAACGACGATTCGCTTTCGACCAAGTTATCAGTGAACCTGGAGACGAGAAGGAAACGTAGGGACTCGAAAGTACAACTACGTAGAAGCTCGTTGCTCCCACCGAATCTGGACGACGAGGACCAGCCACAACTCACACGGACAAGCGCTAAGAGAAAGCTCAGTGTGCGTGATGTTGAAGACGACGGCGAGAAGCGTGTCATGAAGGACGACTTTAAGTTCAGCAGAAGATCCTCGATTGCTGCAGACTCCAGGAGCACCGAACCATTCACGGCACCGAGCGATATCCTGGAAGACACAGAGACGCCGGCTTTGTTGCCTGAACGCAAGGTCCTAGGCAACAAGAGCGTCAATGTATCACCACGAAAGCTGTCTAGAAGCGCAAAAGGAAAAGGAGACTTGAAAAAGGAAGATGCTCCACTCAAGCCTGCTACGAAAACCACGGACCGCAGAAAATCAAGGAACCCCAGCAAATCGGTCAGCATTGCCACGACCGAACCCGAGACAATTATGCGGACAATCGAGATTGCGCTCCCGTCAGAATTGCACCTCGAAGAGGTGGAGGATTTGGCGCCCAAGACACCACTACCGGAATTCTTCTCGCCTACACCATCAGAACCATCGACAGCAAGAGACGAAGGAAGAGACACACCACCTCCATCAGGACTCAAGTCGATGAGTACAGGACCAGCAGCTCTGAATGGCGCCAGTAGGCCTTCGCGACGAGCCAGAGCAGCGGTCAACTATGCAGAACCGAATCTAGTGAGCAAGATGCGTCGGCCGACGGCAGCAAAAGCAGACGCTGTAGATGCAAACGGACGAAGAATCAGCAGCGTCATGACCGGATCCGACAAGAAGACTATGAGAACGGTCATAATCAACGGAGACGACATGACGGGACCACTGGCACCGAGCATGGGCCCTGAAGCACCGAGTCCGCTGGGGCAAAAAGTCGACAGAGAGCATGAACGAACACTTGAGGCAGACACAATGGCTTCAGCATCTGGCAGAGCGATCTCAGCATTAATGGCAGGATCCAGGAAGCACGAGAAGGAAGCAGCTGAGGATGTAGGGGTACACGAGTTGAAAGAGTCTTCGGAGGTGGAAGAAAGTGGAGTGAGCAGGAAAAGAAACAGCAGACGGCACTCTTCAATGACGGACAGCAGCGAAAGCGAGCTGAGGCAAAGGTCGAGCAATGGGTCAGAGGATCAACAGGGAGTTGAGGCAGAGGAAGAAGAGGCGGAAGTGCAAGAGACGGTTCGAAAGGCACCTCGGTCAGCACGAGTAGATCGCAGCGGAGCCCGCAGACGTAGCATGATGGTCTAGACTGGAGACTTAATCCACATAACGGCTCAAGCAAAGCAAGAAGAATGTTCAGGTATTCCACCCACGAGTCATTTATTGAATTCTGTATGCGCGCAATGTGATGAAACGCATGGAGAGATTGCGGGGAAAGTCAGGGTTCATGCGAGATCAACAAAACAAAGGGCGCGTTTGCGGCACAGCAACAACAGCATCCTGTCGCAAGCTGAAACAAGCAATTCGCTTGTGCAACATCCAACCTCCTACGCGCCCGACCTCCATTCCTTTCCAGCATCAATCGCATCGTTTCGTCTACTTTGCAGTGGTAATCAATTGCTACAAGTATCCGTTCACGATGCGTATGACTAGAGCGCAAGCGGCTGCACTAGCCGCTGCTGAGGATCAAGCTGTAGATCAACCTAACGACCACCTTGACGACAGCAATGAGAACGAGAAGGGTGCGTCCACCACGCCTACTGATGGACCCTCGGAGCGTGAAGCTTTGGCTGAATTGACGACCAACCGACTGGATACCAACAAGCACCAAGACGCTGATGCTGTTTCTGGAGAACAAGTCGATGAGCCAGAGGAGCAGGTGAAGGAGGAAGAACACAAGGAAGAAGAGCACACGAACGGAGACGCAGAAAGCGGCGCACAGATTGGAGATCAAGGTACCTCAGGCACCCTCTCCACCACCTTGACCATCTCACTGACCTCGTTCCAGAATCAACATCTGCACCGACTGTCCCCATCACCAACGGCAAACCAATTCACCAAGACGCTGCAGTCCAAAAGGATGTCGGATCGCCAACCACCGAGCTACCGCTGCTCAACATCACGCCTCAACGCACACCAGCCAAGAATATGATAAAGAATGAATTTGCGCATATGCGCAGTACTTCGAACAAGGAGAACATGGTCCCTGGCTCGCCTGCTGTTGCCGCGCCTTTGGCATCATCACAGACGACCCTTGCACCAGAGCAGTCTGAGATACAGACACAGCAGCACACACAGCATGACGAACAACCGCAGCCTAGCACGCCTGAGCAAAATATCGAGAGTCACAACCACAAAGACACGGCAGAAACCACAACCACAGAGCTGGAGAGTACGCAAACAGACGATACACAGGATGACAGTCTGATCGGACATTTCGAGGCCCTGAGCGTTTCCCCCAAAAAGCAGAAGTTTGCTGAGCAGGAAGTCATGTCTGGCGCAGAACGGTCAGCTCCCGAGCAATCTGCCAGTGAATCTGAAAAGCAGACGCAAGATGCTCCAGAATCCGCCCCCAGCAACTCAGTCGCACCTCAGGACAAGGAGAAGAAGCCTTCAGCTTCACCATCCGTAAAGAAGCCCGCCTCTTCTAGGATCGATGACACCAAACCCGCACGAAAACCCTCCGTCAGACAATCAACTCTTGATCGCCAGTCCTCGGTCGTCCGCAAGTCTATGGCTCCTCCTTCACGCCCCGAGCCGTCAGCATCCACAGCCATCAAGCGGACAACTTCTGTCAAACGCTCCTCAGTCCGCCCCAGCATGGCTCCCAGAGCAGGCTCCTCACAGTCCGCCGAGCGCGGGGCTCCCGCAAATATCCCTCACTCCAAACCTCGCCCTATTTCAATGTCCTTCCCCACACCTCCCCCTCCTCCCAAATCTACAAAGGCCGCCACCACATCGACTTTCCAGCTTCCCGGCGAAGCCATTGCAGCGAAACTCAAGGCTGACAAGGAGGCCCGTCTGCAACGACAGGCCGAGGCCGGTAGCAGCGCAAAGTCAACCTATAAACCGCCCACTACTCAAAGGTCTACTAAAGCGCCTACCAGAGCAACTTTTCAACTTCCTGGTGAAGCCATAGCCGCAAAACTCAAGCAAGAAAAAGAAGAGCGTCAGAAACGACAAGAGGAAAACGGTGCCGCTGCATCAAAATCAACATATGTGCCCCCTGTGACACAGAAGAGCACAAAACCAGTCACAAAGGCTACTTTCCAGCTCTCGTCTGACGCCTTTGCCGCAAAAATGAAGGCACAAAAAGAAGCTAGACTGGCCAAACAAAAAGAAGAGGAGGAACAGAAAGAAAAGGAGAGGGGAGTGTTTAAAGCCAGACCTGTCCCAAAGATGGGCAAGCCAGCGGAAGTTAGACAAAACGCAGCTAGCCGTGCTCGTTTGCCCTCTGGCAGCGAAACTTCAGCAGCAATCAAGAGGTCAAGCAGTGTCCGCGATCCCAACACTGCATCCAAACGCCTCTCCTCTTTCCACCCCTCAGCCTCATCCTCAACCACTCTCCCTCCCCGCGCAGCAACTTCCTTCCAGAAACGACAGAGTATGGCTCCTTCGGCATCAAAAGGCAAAGAGGTCTTCGGACGAGCCAAGGAAGAAAAGGAAAAAGAAGACAGAGGAAAGAAAGAGAAGGAAGAAGCAGCGAAGAAGGCCAGGGCTGAGGCTGCAGAGCAAGGAAGGCAGAGGAGTAGGGAGTGGGCTGATAAGAAAAAGGCAAAGGAAAAGGAGGAGAGGAGGAAGACTGTCGCTGCTGGGGTTTAGGGGGCTTGGTGGTGGTAGTGCTTTTTGGAGAGGATGAGAGGCAGTCTTTATTTCCTTTCTTTTTTCGGGGGTGTATGTGTATGTGAAGAAAGGTGTCGAGAATGGTAGGATAATCCCATCGAAGTTTCTCACGCAGGAAATGATAACTATGTTTTCTAATGGAAAACTACCTTTTTCGTGATATCTTTCGCCTGCGCTACCGTTACACGATGTAGGTTGTTTTCTCGCAATCCATCCATAACAGCTTTTGGGATCAGTCAACGTGGAAAAAGACAGTATTGCAGCATTTCCAGACAAAGATCGGAAGGGAAGAAAAGGAAAAAAAAAAACAAGAAACAAGAAAAAATTGAGGCTGAGGGTGTCACCTTGTTCTTAGTTTTCCAGCATCATGCTCTTCTCTATCTTCCGGTTCTGAATTAGTATATCAGTATATGCACCTACTCTTTTTACGCCTGTCACTTGTATTGATGACTCCATAAATTGACCATGGACATCTGGCAAACTCAAGTCACAAGAAAAGAATAATTCGTTGATGGCTCAAGAGGAACGAGGCCAATAGCGTTGTACCATCACAATTCCAATCTCACCATTACTTATATCCTTAAGAAGATCTAGACCTTTACTCACAGCCATCAAATCATCCTAAAGATACCAAGCTGTTCGATTCACTGTGTGTTCTCCAGACAAAAGTATACCTCTCACTGTTTCTTCTTCTTGGCGGCTCGGTAATGGCAATACATCCCGTCCTGTAAACATGAACACTGAAGCAGTCGGAGCAGCAAGAAGTTGATTCATGTCAGAGTGTTTCACTCTCATTACTTTACGAAACACATCTACTTGTACAAGACTTGCCACATTAAACATCCAAAGGACAAGAATCCCCGCAAAGGGCCATTTTATCCTCGACCTCGAATCTAATCAGACTTTGCCATGCTGAAGTCCTTCAACGAACGTCCGTTCTCGACTTCCTTCTTCCAGCACGTGCGTTCCTCGTCAGCGACGCCGGGACCAGAGTACACTGACCCGTAAACACCGGTCGAGTAACTCTCCTTGCTGTTCTTGCCTGCGTGCTTCTTCTTGTACCATTTGCCATATGCCAGCAGGTAGTACAGTCGGAATGCAAGCAGGGCGAAGCGATCGCGCTCGAGGTCTTCGGGGTACGTGGCGCCGAGGTCGACGGCGGCTGCGATTCCAGAGATGCAGGCGACTTCGTGGGCGTTTACCATTGTCCATGCTGCGGCGAAGCGGGTGTGGTTTTTGCCGTTTAGCGTCCACATCCACGGGACCACGAAGAGGTAGTGGGTGAAGCTGTGGCAAAGCTGGTGCCACCAATCCTTTCTGATGATTTTGCTCTCGTCAATCTCGTCAATGCTCCACAGATGTGAGTCTCTGTCTTTGTTGAGGAAAATGGTTTGGAAGACTGCATTGTCCAAGGGAGTGTCGGGAGGGAATTGGGATTGGTAGTTGCTGCAGTTGAAACTCATTTCCAGCTTGGTCAGATCTTGAGGGTACATTTTGATGAGGTACATGGGCTTGAAATTTTTGCGCGCAAAGTCGACTCGGGAGGATTGGTCTTTGCCGTTGAGGGTGGTGACGGCTTGCTCTTCGTTGAATTCCATCTCGTAGTGTTTGCGCATGTAATCGGCGTCCGAGTGAGTGATGGTGATGTCGTTGGCGAACTTGGCGCTGCCGAGTACTTTGTTTTCTTTCCATGTTGCGCAAGGCTTGAGCAGGCGCTTTGCGGTGTCGGTGAGTACGCAAAGCACGATTTCGTCGTAGTGTTCGGTTTGCTCGGTGGCGTTTGGGTCGCCGTTGCTACCTTCGACTGTGTTTGGCACCCAGGCTGAGTCTTGGGTGTGGCCGTCGGAAGCGGGAGTGCGCTTGATGATCTTGACGTCGACGCCGTCTTTGTTTCTGCGGACTACTTGGGTGACTTCCGTAGACAAACGGATGTGGACGCCCTTCTTCTCCAGACTGGTCTTCCAGTCGCCGTAGAATTCGCTGAAGTTGGGGAAGACGACCATGGGGGGCATGTTGCTGGCTACGCTGGCTTTGTCGGTGGGATACCACATTCCGTAGGTGGGACTCGTGCAGAGGCGCTCCAGGACCATACTGGGGACTTCGGGGGCGTAGTTGCCGGTACCGAGGAAGAGAGCGACCATTGGTAGCGCAACCACGTTTGCAAACTCCTCAGAGAACATGAAGAGCTTGACCACGTACTTGATGGGGATCAAAGCGAAAAAGACCTCGAACCAGCGGATCATCTTGATCATGTAGTAGAAGCGTCTAACCTCTTTCTCATGCTTTTTCAGCATCATAGTCGAGTACACATTCGTCCAGAATTGCTCATCCTTGCCAAACGAGACATGCAATTTAACGGGGTCGGCGTGGTGGCCCTGGCGAGCGAACATGGTCATGGTGTGGTGGAAAATGTACGAGCCACCTTGGACACCCTGGTTGAGCCAACTGGCACCATACTTGTTCTTGTCGATGGGGATACTGTACGCTTGACCACCGCAGTAGTCTACTGCGTCGACGAGCGTCACGTCGAATTTGTCGGGCTGCTCGGCGAGGTGGTGGGCGCAGCTCATACCTGATCGCAGGAACACGTCAATTCCGATTCTCCTACCCTTGATATCGAATGCGAAAACTCACCTGCAGCTCCAGCACCCACGACCAACACCTTCTTTCTCTTATGCTGGTTCTCCATCTCTTCAGCTCTGTCGTAACGCGTCTGAGAGGGTTCGCTTGGTGGGATCAAAGGTCTCGTGTCTGGCATGTGAGGCAAGGGGCAGCGATCAATCTATTCTATAGTAACCACAAAAGGAGCAGGTGGGGACCAGCAACGCTCATGTATACACGACAAAGAATGACATACTCTGGCGGAAAAACAAAATGCCATCATGACCTCCAAGAAATGGAAGACAACATCGTCATAGATTCGCGAAAATGCATCTGGGGCGCAGCGGCGGCTTGACTTCTTCAGGTTAGCGTGCGAGATTGGGTTGCGATTGATATGCTCCGATTTTCGATCTTGCCCTTGCGACAGGTAGTGGACAAAAGTCGTTGTTGAGTAGCTGTCATGATATTTTCTGTAGATATATGCGATATTGGTAGGGATGTTGATTTTTGAGATGCATGATGGTAGCGTCTTCTTAGGACTCTCGAGCGTGGTGATAACCCTATTGCCCACACGCGTACAACTTGATATAGGAAAGTTGTTGCATGGAGTTATGATTATATTATTCGAAGGTATGCAATATTGGTCTTTGTGATGATTCAGCATATAATGATGATGGATTCTACAGGACCTGGTAAGCGTCGTAAACAACCATATCGCCTACTCGCCCAGAGCTCGCGATGAAGACAGCCGAATTAAGCCAGGTATACCTCTCATCGCCAGTCTCGAATGTGAGATGAAGGCGCATTCTGAAAGCATCAGGACCAATCTTGCCCTCGCCTAGCTTTTCCAAAACTTCCTTCTTCCCTGTTCGCGTTCTAAATTTTAGAAACGTCAGCATGTCGTCTCTCCAAGAGCGATCGCACTACTCACCCTGTTGTGCGCAAGTAGATGACCGCTCCGTCATGTGTTTCCAAGTTGTAGCGGGTGTCCAGGTGAGCGGTTTGTTGATCTCCATCGTGGTCGCGCACAATCTCCCAGTCTTTATTGCCGTCGGTTAGTATACTATTGGTCCACGAAAAAGGTCCACTGTGCTGGCTCACCTCCACCTCCGGGAAGGATTTGGCCTCTTAGGCGTGGACCCTCGAATCTACCGCCCTTGAAGATCACAGTAGACCTGTCACCGTGGGGGCCATTCCCAATGTGTCTGAAGGATTCCATGTCGCATTCGAGGTGGAAGAGGAATTGAAGCGAGGGAATGGGTAGCTTGTAGTCTGGCTTTGCCCAATTACTGTTGGTCAACTTCTCGATGCTGACGGGCTGTTCCACTGTGCCTGGCTGTGGTGCTGGGGATGCCATGATGGTCGTTTGACAAAGAAGTTCGCGTATTGTACAAGATTCGTGTTGCGAGTGGATTGGTATCACCTGTCACTACATCTGCGAAAACATCTTTATAGAATCCTCAGGTCTCTCAATGACGTCGTTTCTTTGGGAGCTTTTGGCTAGCCGTGGACTGCCGAGGCGCGAGGGCCATCGTTCTGTTGAGCAACGGCAATTGTTTATGGTGTTCATGGCAGATGAAGGCATGAGTGTATATTTCGAGTAGATTGTGTGGTCTGTATCTCTATATCCTTTGGGTTTGTAGAAGTGTACGTGTAGAAGTTGTCAGTGCAAGTCGCTGCTGGTGATCGCTCACAGTGCCGCCCGCTTGCACTGACCACCTCGGCCACGACTCACGAGCAGCTCACCTTGATGGACCTATCGTTGGACAAGTGGAGCACACTGCCAAATTGTCGACTTCATCCCATATCTCCCCGACTTTGATGCATATCAGCAAGTGCATATCAGTGTGGGGCGACAAAGTCCTCTTATCAAGGTGCATTGCCGTCGTCTATTCCAGCCATCATCTTGCAAGCTCCTCTCAAACACGAGCGCGGCTGCCATCCCGCGCTTTTTAATTTATTCAGCTCCAAAGGCAGTGCACAATCTGTTCTTTGAGCATGGCAACAAGCAATTTCACGAATGCATCCGTCATATCAGCGAAAGAGGGGTTCGACTTAAGCGCCACGCGGCCGACGATAACGAAATCCAGCAATGTCGTGCTTCCCGTCAACGAGGGTCCGCGATAGCCGTGTTGTATAGTAGTGATCGTGTACAGTATCTCTCTAGCGTGCGGGAGATTGGGAGAAGCCAACTCGGCGTCTTGACTGATATCAGTTTATTGCTCTCGAGGAGTAGCGCTTGTCTATATGACGCCTGTGGGCAGTGCTAGTGCCATGGCGAGGCTCTACTCGCACAACACCTTGATGTTCAATGGTCACGAACCCAAGATAGATCAGCAAAGAAGGGTATTGGGGCTCGGACCGGCTCTGATCTTGACAGGTGTTAGCGCCAGCAGGAACCAACTCAAGTGGAAGTACCACAAGCTGCGTGCAAGCAATCATTGGTTCCAAGCAAGAGTCGAGATAACAGCCACACGCGCATGACCCCCCTCGGTGGATAGCGGACGAGCGAGATTCTCGATAGCTCATAGGTTCCCGCGGCCTCGCTTGATCGCTTATGCCGTAAGATGACAGCGCGTGCGTGCTCTTCGTGGGATTTCTGCCAGTCACTGCCCGTCGCACAGCTTCTTGGGGTCGACTGAAGTGCACCTAGTCCTCTTATCGGTAGGAGGGGCTAAAGAAATACTGCAGTGAAGTGCATTTGCTCCAAACGTGCCACAGTGCTGGGGAAAAGAGGCACAGTACACGGACGTCATGGAGCATTGGTGCTGTTCCTGCACTTCTTGTAACTGCCGCATGCGATGTTGCCTCGCACGTTGAACTTATCTGCTGTGCTCAAACCAGAAAGTGCGGATTGCAGCTCATTGTGATGTGACGGGATCCTTGACCACCTGGTGGCCTTGACAAAACGTTGGTTCTTGCGCCATATATCGAAGATCTTGCGGAGGATTAGATGACGAGAGTCAAATTTGGCATACACAATATGCGCAATCGAAGAGCGTGGGGGTTTACCCTCCAGCCTCATTAGCAATCAAGCAGGGCAAGCGAGGTACCGGACAAGCCCCTCTCAGAGGATATGCGGCCTGTCTGGAGGCTGGAGCTCCACTCGACGCAGTGTCTCACGAGGCATTTGGCGCCTCAGCAAGTATGTGGTCTCTCAATCGGAGACGTGTTAGGTGCGATTGCCTGTCCGTGAGACCTTTGATACGGGGTCTACAGGGAGCAGAACCGGCAGACAGCAAAACAGCTCAAAGCTTCGAACAGAACGAGTGAGCAGCAGTAAGCAAGGCGGTTGCTACCGGTTGGTTTCAATGCACATCGCTCGGGGCGAGCTTTTTGCACCTGCATGCAGCAGGGACTTTTTGAAACCAGAGCAACGTAAGAGCGGAGAATCGATGCATAGCAGCTTGTGCACAACTATGCCATTGGCTGTCGTGGACGGTCGATACCAAGGTGGTTTCAGAGATACTGGGATGGACTTGATCAAGGTTAGAAGTGGCAGGGGTGTGACGAACGAGGAGACGACGACGACGACGACGATGATGAGGAGGTGATGCCTGAAGGCAACAGCCAAGTCACAAAACAACAACCATACCCAACACTAGAAGATCTCTAGCGGCTAGCCTGGCGCCAGCCGAGACCCGGAAGGTGAGATCAACAAACATACAAGACAATTGTTCACGCTGGTCAACGAGCAACGACTGAGCACCTAATTTTGATTGAACTGCTCATCATTCCAGTGCCGTTCATGCCTCGTGAGCAACAAGCAGCTGGACGGCAGGCTAACCGTCCCCAAGCGGAATGTTGCTTCTATTCGCGCATGACAAGGCGCTCCGGGTGATTCTCACGCTAAGAAAACTCTGTCGAGCACGTACCCCACCCCGTCTCTCGATAGGAGCCAAGACAAGGATACATAAAAATGTACGGAGGATGGGCGGACATCACGCAAGCAAAAAGACGTTTTGCCGATCGCGGCCGTACGGTGATGAGTGCAAGATGTCTGCTGCGAAGTCGCTGTGACGACTGCAGTTTGGATTGATAACAGACTTCGCACCAGCATCTGAGGGGACGGGTAAGGCAGGATGATTTGTGAAAGCCGGAGGGTTTCGATAGTGAATGAACGGACAAGGCCGTGAGAACAGGTAAACGTTGTTCATCCTACCCAAACTACGAATCCTTTGAGCAACTCCGCTGTCCGAAACCCCCACGCAGAAGGTTTCGGGGTGGCTTTTCACTGGGCGCTCGACGCATGCAGGTGAGGGTCGAGAGCGTAAGAGCGGGAAAGGCGAGCAGGTTGCATGCACAACAGCCCCATAGGCCAATGTATCTGCTGATCATGGCGTGGGCACGCCAGTGGTGTGCCTGAAGATGTTATATGTTGCCATGCCCGCCCTCTTCTCTCGCACCCTACTACCTATAGCATCAACTCGTCAGGCAACCACTTTCTCTCCTCTTTCCAGCACTTTCTGTCGCAATCGCACATCATCGAAACAGTCTGTGACAAGCGTCGACGCCGCCTACCAACTTCTTGCATCTTCGATCAACTCCGGTCTGAGTCACATCATACCTATTACTCACGCCATAAGGTCCGGGCGTTTTTATATGATTCATTTCCCACATACATAACCATCAACGTCCTACCTTGATAATCTCTGTCAAACATACATAAGACATCAATCCTTCCAACCTTGCTGGTTACTATCAACACACAACTACACACCACCTCACATCACAACCATCCACCATGGACTGCTTCCACGACTTCTGCCTTTCCTGCGACAAGCAGACCACCGAGGGTCTCTACTGCTCCCAAGCTTGCCGTTTGGCCGACCTTGAGAAGGCTGGCTCATCAACACCCTCATCACCCTTCTCACCCACTATGGAGTCGAGCTCTCACTCCTACTTCCAACTTCCCGAGGCCTTTAGCTTCAAGCCTGCTAGCCTTACAACCTTCGAGTCATCATCACCTCGCCGTGCCTTGTCACCATCATCATCACGAAGCTCATTGTCGTCTTCGGCAGGTAGCCAAACCGGCAACATCATCTCAGAGCAAGCACGTACAGAGCTTCAAACATACGTCAGCGCCTTCGACCAGACGCGCGAGATGAAGAGGCGTTCATTGAGCAGCCACTGATGCTCTTCCACACCAACGGCTAGAGCATTGACACTGGCCCTTCCACCATGACGCCTTTACGAAAACCATACTCTCATCTCGACCTCCACCCAAACCTTCAACACTTCTTTCTGTACGACTCAACGACCCATCACCGGTAATTCGACCATTGTGTCTGCCGGCTTCTTTATATCACAGCGACAAACATCTTTCGGACTACCCATCTCATTGCATTTGTTGTAACAAAAAAGTCAAAACATCGGATTATAAAGGCGCACTTGGAAACTTTACTTTGCATTGGCGGGAAACAGGCATGGACGATGTAGGACCAAAGGATCACAGGATGCATTCGCTTGTCATCAGAACATTTTTTTTTCTTATCATCACATCGGTCGCATTGTTTCATTTGAAGAGGATACCCATTGCTTTCATTATCATTTACCTAGACAAACATTTTATTCAAGGTCGGCGGATACTGTTCTATCTCGCTTGTTCATCAGCTACATTCCAACTCCACTTTGAGCACGCCATTGTTACAACGATTTTCATCATCACCATTATCAGCACTGAACCAACAATTCTCTCGTAATATTTTCTTTCTTCGTTGCCAGTAGTGTGCACGTTTTTTCCATCGCACGCCCTACCTTGCACAGCCTGGCTGTCTGCTACTCCTCCCCTTGTTGGTCCTTTTTGTTTTTGGGGGGAGCTGCCCCCCAACGGACCCCCGCACGTGTTGACTCAATGTACTGATGTACCCAAGTACCTCCGTACTCTGGGCTCCTCATCTATCGCTACATTGCCGCTTTCCTTCGCTAAGCGCACGAACAACAGTTCCCACTTATTTTCTTGGAGTGCTTGGTATCCAAATTGACAAATGTTTCACCTGAGTATATATTATTGCTACAAACAAAAGTTCGCAGAACACGAAAGCCGAGCTGTCACTGCAATCGAAAAGCCCCATCACAGTAAACTTTGCAAAGACAGAAGGCTCATCGAACCCATTCTGGCCCATACGCCACACACGACAGAGGCTTTTCCAGATCTCTATTTCGACTTGTTGCTATTAAGGGTCATGCACACAAAACACATTTTCGAACTGCATCATCTCTTCCGACGAAAAACCAATCTCCATGAGTCGCGCGACAGACATTCACAGCGGCCGGTGACATTCTCCGCCTAGATTTGGTAATGGTTAAGGAGTTGGCCGCTGTCCTCCGCAAAGTTCACTGTGGAGTTCATGACTGAACAGTCATGAGGAAAAAGTCAATTGTCCAGTCGAACATCGGCGACTCCGTGAGCGGGAAAGAGTCATTCGGCCCGGACAGCCAACGGTCGAGGGCACAGCGTCACAGCAGGGAGTTTTTGTCGGCGGGCTCAGTGCTGTCAATTGGCTCACGGAAGCGGTACCGGTGCCGGCCGGTTTGTGCCTGAACGAAGGACATCAAGGGGCTGACAACGAGGTCAAGATCAGCGATTTTTTCCTTCACTCTATACCACTGTGCAATCAAAGCTTTCATCTCTTCTCCTAGCAACGACTTTTTTTTGTCCCCTGCTGCTGTGCATGTCAGTAGACGGACCCGACCGCATGCGCATCACATATCCGTTGAGATGATGCATGCAACTCACACTCAACGCCGTGACTTGTGTGATTGGCCAGTCCACTACACGTACACTAGCCGCTCCAAGCCCGTCTAAGAGATTTTTGTCTCTGTGGAGAACCAGGGGGTTTCGTGAACCCCACAATTGGAGCGCCTTCGTTAGCCGGACGTTTTGCTCATGGCCATTGCTCTTGATGTACTCCGTACCTCTTCTGTGACGAGTGGATTCGTTTAACGTGGGGGAAAACCGATGAGCGCACGTCAGTCTAGCACTCACTCGACAGCAGAAAAAACGATTCCATCGATACCTCCTCTGCTCTTGCTGCTCCATCATCATAACAGTAACGCCAAAGTCCATCATTACGAACAAAGCAGCGGTGAGCCAGCATCGCAAAGAACCATTTGAGTCACAGCAAAAGTCAATCCTCGTCCAGCCCTCGGACTGGCTAGCGAAGTTCGAAACCCTTTTAGCAGCCGCTCGCCGCCTTCCCAGTGGCTGAACCACATCCCGCAACCTGCAAAAAGCAACGACTGCTGGGTCTGCCAGTCACGGGGCCGGGTTTGTTTCGCCTCAGCTACGTCTCCCTCTTTTGCACAACTCCACAGCCAATTTCTTGCATAAACGCAAAAAGGCCCGTCAGGTCTAGGCAAACAACACATGGCCACAGCTTCTACGTTCGTAGTGCTTGACGCAAAAGAGAAGATCTCCGAGACCCGCGGGAACGAAACATGGTCGATGGATGATCCGGCTCATATGGCACAGATCTTGAGAGATCAGCAGGTTTGTCTCGGACTGACCACAAGACATGAAAGCCAGTAACTCAGAAGCAAACGAAAGAATGTAACAGAGAAGAAGGCTAAACAAGATAGAAAGGGTGTCCTATCATGGAAGCTGTTCTCCTTGCTAATCTGCTTTTATGACACAGTGTCATACGAAACACGCGCGGCTCGGTAGAAGGATTACTCGAAGACGTGGTCACCGCAATTTCAGGGCGTTGTATACGGCACAGTTCAGAATTTCTCCTTTCTACTCGAGTGCCTTCAAGCCCGAGCCGTGGTCTCGAAGCCCCCCCTCTGCACAAGATACATTGCCTTATGTCTTCTAAGCTTTCCTTCTTGGTGTCCGACAAAATCTCCGGCAAATGAATGATCGACGAAGACAGAAGGGGTTGTCTGCTGGAGGTCTCGAAAAAACTCCCTCTGCGCCACTCGAGTACCGTTCTTTGTCCCTCCTATGCTTTTTGTTCCACTCATGGAGTAGTGTCCGAAAATACATCCAGCCTGTTCCTCGAAAAGTCAAGGTACGATCAACACATCCTCGACAGACCAGAAGATCGAGACTCATTGTGCTCAACGTTGATAAAGCCAAAACCAGATCTTGCCCAGGGTCTTTGAGATCCTCACATCCCTGCTCCCCTTTGCGAGATCTTTTTGCTTGTTGCGTGCTCTGCAGCCAACATCAAATTCCCTGCAAGGTACGCGTACAGTTGCTCATTCACCCATCTGCAATATTGGTTCGTAGGTATCGTATCTTTGTGAACAACATGTGTAGCTTTCCCAAAAAGCTTTCTTGTGCCGTAGCTAGCCTTGCCCTCACCAATGCCCTAGACGGAAGATCTGAGCGATTCAAAGGCCGAATCTAATCCTGCCCTCACCATATACTGCCGTAATTGCCGTGGAGGTGGAGGTGGAGGTTTGTGGCTTTTTTGTTTGACTCAACAGCTTACTCGAGCAAGCCACCAGCGAAACTCGCAGTCTCGACTCGATTCGACAATGCGCCTGCCGCGCCTCTCATATCTCATGAGTCGGAGAATACTCGACTCGGAGACAGTCGTCGACCGAAGGTTTGATGACTTGTGCAGAATCTCGGAGTCGCCGAGGTTGGCATCAAGAGTGACGTTTCTGGGATGTTCGCCGAAAGTCGGTAATTTCTTTGTATGAAAGTTGGTGCAAAAGGTAGGTACAGGGTATCTACACGTCCGGTGGAGAGCGCGCACATCAGTGCGTCTGCATATCCAAGGATTGCAGCGAATAGATGGTATTACCAAGGTCGAAACAAGCAGTCTACAAGCCTCGCACTAGCCATCGGCCGCATTCGCACCCTGTATGGCAAAATGTACTCTAAGGGACAGCACTTAGTTTATTTATAGCACTTTTTTATATCTTTATAAATATTAAAACGTGTTATATAATCATACACTATAGTGCAGAGTCTTAGAGGAATGTGTACCTACGGATTATATCGAGATAGACCTAGGGATAGAGAGGAAATGATGCGGGTGACAAAATGACAGGGTGATACAATTATCCACCTTATTCTTTTTTCTTTTTTCACCCTTTTCTTTTCCTTTCTCCATAATCGAGACCGCAGGTCATCAACATGAATGTCACAACGAAAACAATCACAAGACTGTCGTGTGTCAAGCAAATGAGCATAGAATGATTTTGATTCTATGGACGAATTGGGTTACTGCAGACAAGAATAGAGCTTACAATACACAAGGAATGGTTTTGGGGGATTGCATCGTAATACTACTCAGACTGTATTGTTTCCAAAGACCGTGCTTGATATCTGCGGTGTCTTGAACGTCATTCAACACGGCAGCATGGCCATGACCATTGACGCACGGGAACGTCTCATGTTCACATGGCGAGATAATGATTCCTTATCGTCTTCTGCTCCATGCTTCCCTACGAAACGAGTGTTGATATTGACCTTCCCTCGCGCAAGACCGTCCATGTCTTCTTGGCAGCGATGAACTGCATTAATATCGAGCGAAGGTGTTGGTATCATCGCCAATGACCTAGGTAGTGGAACTTAGCCTCCGCCCATTGGTCCCTGCTGGTTGCAAGTCCCCCTTTCCTGACATGTGCGAGTTACCCTGGCCATCTGGCGACTGCGCATGATTCTTGCATACAACTCTGGTGTCGCATACCAAAGACTGTCATCGGAGGGCATCGATATAGGACCGAGTTCATCCAACTAGGAGAAATCAAAATCGTCACCCCCAAGATCCATCTCCAGACCAGCAAAGATATCGTCTTCATTACTCATCTGGCCGTTGCCGTGTTGTTGAGATGCACCAGTCAGATCGAAGTTCATGTCCTGAGTATTGAAGAGGTCGTTGGACATATCAAGAGACATGGCGTTGGGGTCACTGATATTGGTCGCGTCCATCTGGAGTGATTGATCCATAGCAGCCGCAAAGTCAGGATCTACTGCTGCAGTCGCTGACTCGGTCGTGGTATCCCCAGTCATATGCATGTCCGCGCCTGTTATTTGCATGTCTGCACTAGTGATGTTCATGTCGCCCAGGTCAAGATTTGTCATTGGCATGGTAAGCTGTGCTGGGATAGCGAGTTGCGCTTCAACGCGACGACCAAGTCTTACGAGGGCTTCCACGCGTTCTGTTTCCATACGAAGGAGCTCCTTGTTATCTTCGAGTCTGGCTCGCAGCACTTGACGCATAGTACGGCGCGGACTGATCGGGAGCGGAGTCGCTTGGTCAAATTGCATGAGAGCGTTGGCCTGAGATAGCGCGGCGGACAAAGGTGAAGGTGCACAAATGATAGCGGTTGCGACTTCGAGCGCTGCTGAACCTGATCCAGCCCGGGTTTGCGCGATGAGTTCGTTCAGTATCACAGCCAAGACCTCGTCTGCTCCAAGCATGTCCAACGCTACAGTGATGGTCTGATGTTTGTAGTTGTAAGCCATAGTGTTGATACTACCCTGCCCAGACCATCGAACCAGGCCACGCACGATGCTGCGGACGGTAGCTCGCAAGCCACCTTCGGGGGTAGCACACCACTCTGCCAGCTCGACCGCACTGCCCTTGCCCGATCGCTGGCTGTCCTGATGAGATTGGAGGATCTCAATGAGTGGAAAGACGTCTTTGCGCTTCGGCTGTCTTCGCTGCAGCTCTTGCAAAGATGTCGCCAAAGATCTGGCGACCATGGCGAGGATGGTTTGGTGCATCGCTTTAGCGTCACCAGAGATTGAGTCAGGTTGAACCAGCTTTCGCAACATCTGTAGCAGAATCTCCGAGTCACCATGGTCTTCCCAGGAGTGTTTGGTAGCCCAACTAAGACCTCCGATCAGTGAAGGCAGCAAGAACGGTTCGAGCAAGAACTCCAGCCCGCCCTTCAACGTGTTGATATCAAGAGCCATGAGCTTACACGCTTGAACACTTTGCTCAAACAGCGTTGGAACCAACAGGTAAAAGGATTGAGGCGGACAGTGTGACATGGTCTCATCACTGATACCATTCGTCTCACCCTGCTCGTCTGTTGCATACAGGCCTTGAACCCATTTCGTGAGCTGTTTTGACTGGTCATCATCAAGTGCACCAGTAGGAATACTTGAAGACATGCTGCTGAGGAATCTCATTATGAATGTGTCAGGCAAAAATGTTCCGAACTCAGCCTCTGTCAGCTGATACCGGTGATTGATAGCCAGAACAAGCAGCAGGATAGACGCAAACTCCTCGTAAGGCGGTTGGAATTCACTCTGATCCTCGTCGTGCGTCCACTCGTTCAAGAGACTGCAGAGAGGGGAAAGCACATCTGCAGGTTGGGCGTATTGGAAAATGACGTCCATCAGAGGCATTTGTCGAGAGAGGGCATTACATACTGTCCGCAGAGACATGGTCTCTTTTGCAGTGTACAGATGCTGTATGGTGTCGACCAGCGCACCTGAGATCGCACCTGCATTGCCATTCATGCCCTCAAGCTCGCGAGCCAGTTCTTCGACGCGGTGTATGTTGGCAATACATTGTTGGGTCAGAGATTGTCTGTTGTATCTGGTAACACGAGGCGTGACTTGAGCTGGCGGTTCGCCCATGACCGAGTGAAAAGCTTGCCCGTCTCCAAGTTGAAACATGACACAGGCCTGTACGAAATCTTGCCGGCTCTTCTTGAGAACCTCATTTTTTGCAGTGTCGCCTTCAGACGACAATGGTGGGAATGGATGAACATCAACTCGCCTCAAAGCCATTTGTATGTAGACTTGAGACGTCATTGGCGCGAAAGACCCCGACAAAGTTGTGATCAGCAGAGGCAACTTATTGGCAATGAATGAGCGATAGCAGAGTATGTGATTTTGAGATTGACTTTGTTGCAAAGCATTGGCCAGGACGTCGAAAGAAGAGATGATCAGATCCGAAACCAGAGATTGTGTATCGTTCTGGTACTTGGCATGTAGATAGTTGAACAGCGACATATCGTCTGTCAGAGGTCTCGCACCCAGTGCTGCATTGAGGTAAGCATAAAGACCAACGCGCGAGTTGGTGATTGGAAGATCGTCGACCGCCGATGCAATTTCTGCAGTGCTGAAGTCGGGTTTCCCGAGAGGTGGAGTTTTGGCCAACATGTGAAGCCGCGTTCCGATCTGCGAATGCGACATTCCGCCGATAAGCTCAGCAAACTCGCTACACGAAGACGAGAGCTTTTCCCTCAGGCTCGGTGGCCACAAATCAATGTCGTCTTTGACTCCAGAGTGGTTGAGAAGGGCGATGGCGAGCGTCGCCAATGTCTCGAAGGACGCGACCATTTGCGGATCTCGATTCTGGATCACACCGCCATTCTGTATAAGAAGCACCATCTCGTGAGCGCGACAAGCCGTGAGACACTCTCCCAAGGCTCGTACGACATTCCGGACTTCACGCGCGGATTTTGGTCGTTTACCAGAGGCGACTAGACGCACGAGCATCGATAGAACATACTCGAAGAATGCATCGCTTACAACAGCGCGAGTTGAGTCTGCCTTCCGGAGCGCATAGCGCGAATGCGCCAGTAGAGCAATCAGGATATCGGAGACATCGATCGTGGTAACACGCAAAACTTGTTCCAGGTACTCGTTGATCAAGGGGTCGATTCCAGGAGCCCCGGATGTGAAGATGATACTGGCCAGTTGCGATCCCGCAATGGGTTGGGTACTCCAGAGCTCCGAAAAAGCATTGCCCAGTTGAGTAGCACGGATGCGACGTCCGAAGATGTTCTGGAATAATGTTGTCCAAGTGCTATGGTTGGCGGATGACGGCTCCATTGAAAAAATTCTTCGGACAACGTCCGATCACCTTGGAATGTTATCAGACTGGTATAACATATACAATGCGGAGAACATATATTTTGGTGGTGATGTTCAAAGGAGATGCAGCGGATGACGGATCGTCAAAAGTTCAGTAGGCTTCGAGTTGTCTTGGCAGGGCAGACGCGACGCACGGTCTACACCGAGTACACCGAGTCCGAACGCCCGAGAAAGACGAGGTTACAGCTCACCTCAGGTGGAAGGAAGCCATGCCTCGCGCTATGAGTAAATTTACAATAGCAGACTCGCCAGATAGTAACATTCAGCACTGGGACTGAGATCTATATGAACTGCGGTCTATCGCCACAGCGGCTCAGGCCTCATGCCCTTTGCATACTCCACCACCTCCTTCCACACAGCATTCTGCAGTGACGTCCCTGCTAAGAGCTGCTGATTACGCTTATCCCCCGGCCCCCTCTGTACCTTCAATCCCTGATTTCCCGGCTCTACCCATCTAGGCGGACAAACCACTCCTCTCACACACCCATCTGCCGCACCACCAGCATCCAAGCACTGAAACACAGCTTTGCGAATGCCCTCTCCTGAATCAGTTTTCTGGAAGCCGGCCGTGAATATCAGTTCGTCGTCGTTAGCGACCAAAGTTGCAATGCCAAAGATTGGGGGTGAGAGATCGGAGAGTCGTTCCAGACCTTGCTTGGGATCCCAGAGGGGAACACTGTCCCACGCACGCTCAATTCTGAGCACGTTTGAGGGATGAATGAAGTCGTGATCGTGGCTGTCAAATGTCCAAGCGCTGAGTGGCTTTGTAATGTGCTCCCCGTCATCGTCAAAAGTCACGTTTAGTGAATCAGAACTATATGTATCGTCGTAGCGGAGCTGTGTGAGAGCCCTCAAAGCAAGTTTTGTATATTGATCGCGAGCCATTGGTGCTGTGCCTTCGCTGCTGCTAGAGAGATCCTGAAGTGGATTGAGGTGCAAGGCATATTCGGAAAACGACGCTACCCAGCCTGTTATTTGAGCAGGATGAGATGTAGGGAGTAAAGACGTAAGACGGCGTGGCCATCGTGGGTCGTCGGCTTCGAATATCCACAGAGGATATTGGAGGTTCAGCGACGAGAGCTGCTGATCCCGTAGATCCCTGGCTCTCAGCTCGGCCATGACGTGTGTCTGTTTCTGATGCGATGTATCAAGTGCAAGTTGTGAGAGACAATACCACAGGGAAACATTCGCGGATGCGTTTGCACTTATCCTTTCGCTCGGTGTCCGCGGTCATGCGCGTTTTCCAAAGCGGTGTTGTTTTACGGTCACCTCTATACGAGCTATCGTCGATCCGGACGGTCTTCGGCATGAGACTTCTTTTCCATGTATACATCTGGAAGGAAGAAACAAGATCGATGAGCTTGTTTTTAATCTTAATTCTTACTTTCAATCATGGCTCTAGCCCTAGGTGATCTTGTCGGTGGAGTGATGGGCGCTCTACCCCGACAATATTGTTCATAAGCTTTCGCCAGCATATACGAGGAACCGCGTAAGAGGCAAGTATTATTGTGCTCCCTTCAAATGTGGCTTGAGACTACAAAAGGCTACAATTGATTCTGACTGGAAGAAAAGAGAGCAGAACGTATGTGCGGAACATGCACCGCGCCGATGGATGTCATTACAAAATGTATGAGTCTTGACTACGCAAGAGGCAGAGCAACACGATATTCAGATGCCATCTGGAAGCCCGGAGTCGTAGCCAGCGATACCTCCCGCACGCTCCCACGGCCGCGAACGCTGATTCGATTGATCCGGTGCAGTCTCCTCATCCGGTGCTCGAGGACCAATCATCCAATCCTCCATGGCCAACCACGAACTCCAGCTCTTCTCTGCAGCATCCAACTCCTCATCACGAATGCTCTGCAGCGGCTTCAAGAAAGGAACAGTTTCTTCGGGGTTCATGTCGTATTGCTTCTTGCAGGTACGCCAGCCGCCGTGTTTGGCGCAAAAGAGATAATTGCGGCGCTCGCAGTCTTGCATGGGTGTAATGCCTGCTTGATATGCGTCGCCAAAGAAGCCGTGCAAAATGCCAGGCTTGTCGAATCCAGTAATGACGAGACGTCGTACATAAGGAACTAGAGATACAAAAGCGGATGCATGTTGCGAATTGCGACCGTTTGCTGAGGAGTTCGGTCGTGACCATTGATTGAAGTTGAAGGAGGGGCCTCCAGAGGCAGGACTGGTCCCTGGATCTGATGATATGACAGGATTCTGATGCCATTGGAAGGGCAATCGGATGTTGATCAAGGCGCACAGTGCTTGGGTACCGGCTTCATGCTGGGCGTGGTCGAGAAAGTAACGTTGGCATGATTCATATGCCGGGTGCCAGTCCAGAATGTCAAAGTTTGGCGAAGTTGTGAGCGGTGGGTCCTGAGGTTGTTGGCGGTTCTGCTGGGTGCCTGGCTGCTGTGGTTGTTGTTGCTGCGACGGCTCCCGCTGCTCGTAGCGAGACGAGTTGTTGTTGTAGTTGCCGTTGTAAGACATGCTGTCGTCGTCGGTCATTAGATGGATGGGCATGATGGAGTATGTATATAGTGTCGGAGTTTGAAGCCTTACGCGAAAAAAATTGCGGGTAGTGCTCGGTCTTTATAATTATAAATACCCGTTTGTGGTAAGTTGATGCTAGGGCGAGGCGAAGGCTACAGAGAAACAACGGTAACGTTTGTAGGCTGATAGCGGGGTCCGACAGTATGTCGTCTTGGTTAAACACAAAGTCAGGAGCCCCGGGTAAGAGGTTCCCTGTGTTTTGTCTCAGCAGAGGAACGGCTGAAGCCACGGCATAGTGTGCATCCCAGGAGGCGACCAAATCAAAGTCTTATGCGCGATGATGGATACAGAGCGACAAATTGAGCCCTTGGAGGGTCTTCTCGGGGGTTGGAAGAAGACCCTGAGGACGCATCTCGGTGGCGTTCTTGGCAGGCCAGTGCTTGCTGCAATTCATCAAGAAGTGGTTTAGCGATGCTGAGGCTCTGACTCTTTGGAAGGTGCTTGTTCGGACTGTGAAGAAGGTTTATTTGGCTGTACGTTTTGCGAGCTTTGTTGATGTGCCAGTCTTTTACGCAGCAAGAACGAGAACGAAAAAAGATGAGCGCGCTTCCATCATGACCAACAATGACAAGACGTCATCTGTGATGCGGCTCTGCGCTCCGTGCTGAATGCGAAAGCGACCGATTATCTGAAATACCTCTGCCGCATGCCCTTTCCTCGCACATACTCGCTGGCCAGCTAACAAGTCGTGTTTCACCTTCATACGACAAAGCTTCATCACAGTCGGATTAACAGACAATGTCTCAAAAGACGTACAACCTCGCCAGCCGCGTCAAGGCATGTCTTTCCTCGGTTTCGTCACTAATCGTCCCAAGCTCATACAGAGCCGCAGCTTAACAATGGCTTGTCGATGCCACAGATTCATCTCGGCGTCTACTTGACGTCTGGCAACGAGACGACAAGAGCTACCAAATGGGCACTCGAGGTCTGTGCACGCCCTCATCTGCCTACCTCAGTCCAAGTCACAAGCTAATGAGCATGATGCAAACAGGCCGGATACCTTGCTATCGACAGCGCTCAGATGTACCACAACGAACGTCAGGTCGGCAATGCCATCACAGACTTTCTCAAGTCACCCAACAACATTTCGGCCCTCACCCGCGAGGACATACACTACACATCAAAGCTTGCGAGCAACAGCGACTACAACACGGCGAGAAAGAGCATCAAGAAGAGCGTGCAAGAGTGCGGTCTTGGATACATTGACCTCTTCCTCTTGCACAGTCCATACGGTGGAAAGAAGGCTCGCCTCGAGAGTTGGCGAGCCGTCGAGGACGCCATCAAGGATGGCGAGGTCAAGATTGGAGGTGTGAGCAACTACGGTGTGCAGCACCTCCAAGAGCTTCTCGACTCGAAGCCACGCATCCCTCCAGCCGTCAACCAGATCGAGGTGCACCCGTTCAACACGCGCACCGACATCACGTCTTTCTGCCAGAAGAATGACATTGTGGTGGAAGCCTATGCTCCTCTGGCTCGCGCACTTCGCATGAAGCATCCCGTCATTGCCGAGCTCAGCAAGAAGTATAACGTCAATCCTGGTCAGTTGCTGGTGAGATGGTCGGTCCAGCATGGCTACGTGCCGCTGCCCAAGAGTGTCAAGAAGGAGCGCATCGTGCAGAACGGCGACATCAGTGGATTCGAGATCGAGGAGGGCGATATGGTCAAGATGGATGGGTTGGACGAGTATCTGGTGACTGGTAAGGATGGATTGGAGAGAGAAAGAGCAATCTGCCGAAATAATTTGCTAACTTGCCTGCCCTCACATCAGATTGGGATCCCACGGATGCCCCGTAAATCCCCGCGTCGCACCGCTGTCGGAGTGTTGCTATCTCGAATGAACGAGAGTCTTATCAGTTGTTGAGGTGTGATGCTTACTCGATTTCAATTACGCGGCGCGCCGGCGCCAGCCCGCACATGTGGCTAAAGTTCGCGTGTCTATGATCTAGAATCTGCGGGGAATAGCTTCTGCTAAACTCCGGCTGTTGAAGTGGTTGCGCTGATCAGCGATCACCGAGGCTCCCGCGAACAAACAATTGTTTGGACGGCGGGGAGTATCACGGCCTGCAATGAGGTCGCGCATCTTTTCACTTGTATCAAGGATCAATTGTCTGCTGTGTCAGTGGCACTAGTCGTCCGTGTTCCTTCAAGCCACTTCAGATAGCAGTGGCACCCACAATTGCAACGAGAATGGAGCGAGTTTCCTCGGAGTGACGGCGGACAGAGCTGCCCCTCGTTCTGTGCACCGACATCGGGCGAGCTTTCTGGTGGTCAACGTTTACCCTGTCGAGCGCTAGCCATGTGAACGACAGTTTGAGAGGGCGCGAGCCGTGGCGAAGACGGCTCTCACACCTCCAGCCTGCTGCTGCTCAGTGACGCACAGTCCACAGTGATGCTTTTTCGCCGTCGCCCTGCGTGGGGCTTGCCTTGACGGTACACAATTACTTTTCCCAACCCTCGCCGGCCGCCCATATCGTCCTCTGCTTTATCTTCTGCCTCTGCCCGCGATCCAAACTTGACTTTTTCATCCTCGTCTTCTCTCTGACACTCCTTCATACCATACCACTACCCCACACATACCATACCATACACAATGTCTAACCTTCCCTCCGAGCCCGAGTTCGAGCAGGCCTACAAGGGTATGTCTCACCTACCAAACAATCCAACTGTTTTTTTTTCCATCAAGGTTGTCGGAACTGACGTGAAGTCAACAGAGCTTGCCTCGACCCTCGAGAACTCGACTCTCTTCGAGAAGAACCCCGAGTACAAGCGTGCTCTCCAGATCGCCGCCGTCCCCGAGCGCGTCATCCAGTTCCGTGTCGTCTGGGAGAACGACAAGAACGAGGTCCAGGTCAACCGTGGTTACCGTGTCCAATACAACTCCGCCCTCGGTCCTTACAAGGGTGGTCTCCGTCTCCACCCTTCCGTCAACCTTTCTATCCTCAAGTTCTTGGGTTTCGAGCAGATCTTCAAGAATGCTCTTACTGGCCGTGAGTAGTCTCGCATGACGATCCGATGGTTCCCTGCGGCTAACAGTTGCTTCCAGTGAACATGGGTGGTGGTAAGGGTGGTGCCGACTTCGACCCCAAGGGCAAGTCTGACAACGAGATCCGTCGCTTCTGCTACGCCTTCATGAAGGAGCTGAGCAGACACATTGGTGCTGACACTGATGTCCCCGCTGGTGACATTGGTGTTGGTGGCCGTGAGGTCGGTTTCATGTTCGGTGCCTACAAGTCCATCCGCAACCAGTGGGAGGGCATCCTCACCGGCAAGGGTGGCAGCTGGGGTGGTTCCCTGATCCGTCCCGAGGCCACCGGTTACGGTCTCGTCTACTACGTCGAGCACATGATCAAGTACGCCTCTGGCGGCAAGGAATCGTTCTCGGGCAAGAAGGTCGCCATCTCGGGTTCCGGTAACGTCGCCCAGTACGCCGCCCTCAAGGTCATTGAGCTTGGCGGTACCGTCGTCTCGCTCTCCGACTCCAAGGGTGCCATCATCGCCACCAGCGACAAGGGCTTCACCCCCGAGATTATCGATGTCATTGCCGACCTCAAGCTCAACCGCAAGTCCCTCACCGACCTGGCCAGCAGCTACAGCAGCCAGTACAAGTACATCGAGGGCGCCCGCCCCTGGAAGCACGTCGGCAACGTCGATGTTGCTCTTCCTTCAGCCACCCAGAACGAGGTCTCTGCCGACGAGGCCGAGGCTCTCATCTCGCAGGGTGCCAAGTTCATCGCCGAGGGCTCCAACATGGGTTGCACCCAGGAGGCCATCGACATCTTCGAGGCGTCGAGAAAGGAGAAGAAGGGTTCTGCCATCTGGTACGCACCCGGAAAGGCCGCCAACGCCGGTGGTGTCGCCGTGTCTGGTCTTGAGATGGCACAGAACTCGCAGCGCCTGAAGTGGACCAGCGAGGAGGTCGATGAGAAGCTCAAGCAGATCATGAAGAACTGCTTCGAGAACGGCCTCGAGACTGCCAAGGAGTACGTTACTCCTGCCGAGGGCGAGTTCCCTTCGCTGGTTGCCGGGTCCAACATTGCTGGCTTCAAGAAGGTGGCCCAGGCCATGCACGACCAGGGTGACTGGTGGTAAATGGAACCGCTGCGTTTGCTGCTGTCGGTTCCTGTCGTGTTACGAAAAACAAGATTCCCCCTCTTCCCTTTGATACCTGCGTCTGAAGTAAATGCTTGGACGATATTTAGCCAGTTAAGAAACGAAATGTCATGAACTCTTTTTACCATATGAAAAAAACCTGCCTGCTTGCGATGGACTTTGTTTGTGGGTACAACTACGATGACTCTCGAAGGACATGATGGTTCGAGAATGGGGTCTGATAGAGGTCATATAAGAGGTGAGGGATATAGCAAAGCCGAAGGTGGCCGCGCTGGGGAAAGCTCGCCGAGCCGCGGACAGGCGAGCAGCGGTCGTCATCGTGTAACCTCGGCTTATCAAGGTCGTTTCTCGAAGCTGCTTGTTGACGCTATACAAACAACTGTAATAGGCATTTCCCAAGCCACCTTCACTCGAGACAGGAGATGCGCCCGGCTGAAGCATTGCTTACAGCCTCAGCGCGACGACTCGGACCATGATCAGTGTCCCAGCCAGAGGACGCCTCTCGCAGGTCAGAGGAACCTCAGTGACACCAAGACCAACGACATACACATCACCATGTGTATCAGCCAGAGCATACACCACACCCACACCCACGCGCCCGCGCACCGCCCTCTTCTTCCCCGGCCAGGGCGTGCAACGCGTGGGCATGCTAGACCCCTGGCTCGCCGCTTTCCCCTCGACCGTCAAACCCCTCCTCGACGACATCAACCACACCCTGTCCATCTCGCCCTCGCTCACCGACCTCATCACCTCGGGCACCAATGCCAACCTCACCGCCACCCAGAACGCTCAACCCGCCATCATGGCAACCAGCATCCTGATCCTTCGAGTCTTGGAAAAAGAGTTTGGGTTCGACACAAAGGACACTGTTGATTTCACTCTCGGCCACAGTCTAGGTGAATTTGCTGCCCTGGTCGCAGCAGGAAACTTGCAATTCACATCCGCCCTCAAAATGGTCAGACGCAGAGGCGAAGTCATGGCCGCCTGCTCTGCATCCTCATCCGAGGAAATGGGCATGATAGCCCTCGTCTGCGAACCCGACCAACGAGACGCTACTTTGGATGCCATCACCCGCCATCTCTCCGCCAACCCGAATCTCAACGCCACCGTCGCCAACATCAATTCAAAAACCCAGTTCGTGCTCAGTGGGGACATTGCGCATATACAGCAAACACTAAAACATATACGCCACTTTGACAGCCATGACCCCAGAGCCGTGCGACTGAAAGCCGATTCGCCGTTTCACTCGCCATTGATGTTGCCTGCCGTCACTCTGATGCGCAAATTGCTGGCTAAACCCCAGGCAGTTACCTTTGATGCTAGCACTTTGCCTTGTATCAGCAACGTCACTGCCTTGCCTTTTTCTTCTGCAGACGACCTTGTTGATCTGGTGGCCAGATCGGCTGCTGAGCCTGTGCTGTGGCATCAGAGTATACAGTATTTGCATCAACAGCAGAAAGTCAAGAGGTGGATTGGCATTGGGCCTGGCAAGGTAGGCAGGAATCTCGTGGGTAAGGAAGTGGGTATCAAAGGTCTAGGAGGTAAAGGAGGAGGTGTGTTGGCGCTTACAGATCCTAAAGATTTGGATGAGTTTATGAGGGCGCTGGAGGATACTGGCAAAGTCGCTGACGAGGACGCAGAGGGACAATGAAAGGGTGAGTGCTTGAACTTATACCGCAAGCCTTCGACGAATGGACGTTGGTCTGATGGCTGTTACAAACAACTCTTTTGCGTATGGGGGATTATGGATAAAAAAGTGCTTATCGCAATGGCCAAGAAACAGACACAAAACACATCATTTCTATGCCTTTGCTCAAAGGAAGAAGAAAAAAAAAGACTCTTTGTCTGTTGCGCTCTGCACTTGAACTCTTCTTTCCCATGTGTTCTGCGTTCTGTCTGCATCACCGGTCATCTACATCGGCACAATGTGTGTGTGTTTCTCTCTCTGCGAGCTGAAATGTGTCCGCGCTGACAGAATGTGAAAGAGTTGCCGAACATATTCACCACCAGCCTCTTCCAGGCTCGCATTCCATGTCTAGAAAAATCGCAACGTCGGTGTTCCTCGTGATGGAGGCAGCATCGCTGTCGAAGCTCATCGTGTGGTACCAGGGCCAATTTGCCCGGCTGCAATCCATGGGCGGCTTGCTCTCTGTTATGCCCAAAGGATACACTATCGACCACTTCCTGCACGAGGCGGCACAAGTGATCCTCGACGGTCTGGCCGAATATGTTCCGTGACGGTCGACATGAGAGCTTCTGCGAGTTTTGGATTGTCTTCGATCGATCAGAGCGTACTTTGGCTTGTCCAAGAACGAAAAGAAGATCAAGACTGCCACGAGTTCCTCTGAACCGGTGTCGCCACCGCGGGTGTGAACGCTTGAGCAAACAAAGCGACCGAATCAGCGAGCGAAGCGGATCTGACTCTTTGAGCAACCCCCCCCAATTGGAGATGGCAAACAACATCAGAAGATTGGAAGTCCGAAGCCCGACATAGTCTAAGACGCCGAAAGCATGCTCAATGCGTGAAGGCTCTGGTAGGATACAAGTCAGCCTGCGACACATGTCTCGAAGGTTCTCATTCGCCGATATGGTTGACCCATACCAAACAAAGAATCGTCAAGCCCGCATGCTAAGGTCACGAGAAGCGCTCATTTTTCCAAACAGAAGCAAGCGGCAACGAACACCTTATAAAGACATACATGCAGCGCTAACTGATGCAGCCCTATTGTTTCAGGATCCGTCCTTGCAGAATCACATGAACCATCAACCTTCAGATACACATATAATGGTCACCTCATTCTGATTACACCACGCAAAATCTCATGACACAAGCTGCAAGCTAAGAGAATACGCATCATGGGAAACACAATCTCCTCGTCAACACCTATACCATTACTCACCAACACCGTCGCAACATCCTACAATCGCAAAGGGAATTATGTCGTGCAATCAACCCTTGGTACCGGCAACTATGGCATCGTGTACAAAGTCAATCACACACACTCCCACAAGCTCTTTGCGATGAAAGTACTTCAAACCTCGACCTCTGCTCAGCTTCGGAAATTCCGCGAAGAAGCCACCATTCTAGCCAGTCTATCGCATCTGCACATCGTCGCTTTGGAAGATATAGGCGGCGTGCCTGATCCCGAGACGAAATCCTGGAATGCGTGTATCTTGACCGAGCTGGCTGATCATAACCTGCTCGATTTTTACACTGCTTACTCTGCACTGGGTATTTCGGGACTCGATGAAGCAATCGCCCAAACACTGGCGTGGCAAATGCTGTCCGCTCTGACATATCTGCATGATCGCAAACTCGCGCACGGGGATATCAAACCTGCGAATATTCTTGTGTTTCACGATTCGGAAGCGTCTCGTTTGACTTTCAAGATCTCGGATTTTGGTTTGGCCGCACATCTTTCTTTGGTGGATCAGAGTATGCCTACCCCAGTGGCGAGGTATACGGCTCCTGAGCTTCTGCTTTGCGATGGCGGTGCAGAGCAAGTGTGCAAAGCGGATGTTTGGGCGGTTGGGATGGTGTGCAGGGATTTGTGTACTCGGGCTCTGATGCCGCCACATATCGAGACCAAGGGGATGGGTTCCTGGGCCAAGGAAGCAATCGACTGGATGACAAGGGGAAGTGTCTGGGACAGACCTACTGCGAAAGAGTGTAGGGAGTCTGTATGGGTGAGGCAGGGGGAAAGAATACCGGCTGGACTTTTGAGGGTATTGAGAAAGGAGTTGGGTCTGGACGATGCTAGGGCAAGTGACGAGATGGAGATGTGAGGCTCCCCTTTGCGAGGCTTTTCGTGTTCCGTGGGTATTGTAACGTCACTTTCCAAGGATACGGATACAATTATCTTCTCGAGACGTATACTACAAAGGGAAGTAAGTGCATGGGCAGGCAGTCAAACATCCAACTGTGTCTCGAGCGTCTTGAATGTGACTGTGTATTCTACCCATTGCGCCACTGGTTTCGCTGCTTTGGTCTCTACTCCACGAATACGCTTCTTGAACACATCCTTACATTCATCACCCAGCTCGGACAATTCGCTCAACTCCATCGCAATGTTCAAGTCACTCTTGTCTCGATGGAAGAAGTGCTGGAGTCTGGCAATGGACCAGGTAGGGTTTGGTCTCTCCACCACTCTCAGCTCCATGCCAGCAAAGATGTAGCCTTGCTTGATCACACGGTAGTCCCAACCAGTTTTGTCTTCCTGGTGCGTCTGGGGAGCAAAGGTTTTGATGCCGAATCTTTGATTGAGCTTGAAGCATGGTTGACGTGAGAGGCTGACTTCTAGCAGACACCCAGTTCCATCATCATTCGATGCCGAGTCTCGAGATCCAACACGCACCAAGTTGCCAATGCAGAGATTTTCTTCCGTGAATCTTTGAGCAACGAATTTTTCACCGAAACCGCCAGCCACGAATTTTGCCGCTGCTTGGGAGTGGCGAGATTGCCAGAAGGAGTAGTGAGAATGATCATATTGATGGATCGCTTTGTCAACACCCACCGTGAAATGTCAAGTCGTGTTCGTCATCTGTCAGTCCAGTCGCAGAAACGTAGAGTGGGATGTGGATGGGCTTCTCGTCAATGCCTGATAGCACGGTGCCGAACTTCTCTAGTTTGGACATGCGAAGCTCGAGTAACGTTGTTGGGGGTGGTATGGGTATTGAAGAGAGATCAATAGATGGCATGGCGGCCGATCAGGGGGTGCCTGAGGGAGAGTCGCTTGGTAAGATTGAGAGGAGACAAAGACGCGATAGCCAGTGGGTGGTTGTAAGAGTGGTCAAAGAGGTACGGCAGCGATGCATGACAAAGAGTGTACCCCGAGGCGAGGTGAAGTTGTTTACTCAAGTGACGGACAATGTGTTCGGCATCTCTTCTGTACGTCGACGCACACCGCCTGAATTCTCCGCCTCTTACAATGGTTCGTGCGGCGCTCGCACTGGGTCTACAAACGAAGGTCGAGAGAGTTATGATTGACTTCATCACAAAAGCCCGAGTCAACTGATCAACATGGAACGGTTGCATTGAGATTGCTCTGGATACCCTAGAAGATGTATACACCAAGCCAAATGACTACCACAGCCAAAGCACTCGAGACCCCTATTCCTGCCAACTTTGCTCCAGCATCGGCACCACTCGATAAAAGACTGTAGGGTGGTTTGCCGTTCGGGTTCTGCTTCAAATTTGTAGCGGCATGCACGCTGCTCTCGTTGATCGAACGAGAGCCAGTCGCGATCGTAATATTCTCAAAGTGTCCGGGGAAACTCTCAAACGATACAATACGATCCGTGAGCTCGGGGTAGCAAGCGCTGATCTCAGTCTTGTTGATCAGCGTGTAGTTGGCAGGGCAGCCCTGTATGCGCCCGGTCACACAACGATAGGTCGGAGTGAAGACAACTGGATGATGAACAAGGGTCAGAAACAGGATACTTCGACACAGTAGCGATGTTTCTACACGCATCATAGCCAAAACTTACCATTTCCACTGGTTCCAGTATCGAAAGTAATCGTCTCGTTCTCTACAGCGACGAGGACGGTAGGTGTATACAGTCTGGTATCGCCTGTAGAATTCCAAATTGTCCAGCCCAGACTGTCCTCGACATGGATATCTGGAGTGGTGACACCGCTGCTTATGACAGAACCATTTGCAGTCATGTAGACATTCTGCAGTGTCGGCCAGCCACCACTGACCACGTTGCAAGGGGTGGAGAAGTTGCTCCCATTGACGTTACATACGACTCCGGTAGAGATGACGATGTCTTGAGATGGCAGTGGCACGGTGGTGTTGGAGTTGGTTTCGAACCCTGAACAAGATGGGTGTCGGGAGCCTCTGGTTGCGTAGCCGGCGGCATTTACCAACATAGATGAGGCCAGAAACAAGATCGACGAGGATATGAGTGACAGAAGCATGGCTGATGGTGTCTCAAAGTCGTTTATCGGAAGACGGATGGCTTTATTTATGCTGTCAGAGTCCTCAAATGGATTGGAACGTTCAGGTGTTTGCTGCTAAATCAGGCGACAAGTCTGTGTCTCTTATAGACCTACCACAAAGCACCAACATCGACCCAACACAGCCATGGCGGGATCAGGTGCATGATCTATATGACATCGCAGGATTGATGTGCATTGGACTCTTGCCTTGGCCTTCGTCTGTGACCGGAGGAAATGGCTGTTGTCAAGGCGCCAAGGGCGCATCCAACAACGACTGCGCCGCCAAGCTCCTCAGGTCGCGGACGCAGCCTGAGACTTATTTCCGAAGGATTCAGCATCGACATCGATGGCATCGACCACGAAGCCAACACACATCTCTGGACTCCGAACGAACACCACATCTTCCGACTTTCAACAGATCATACATCAATTGAAGCAGTTCACTTTCTACTCTGTTCCACTCGCGATTTCTGCCACCTGATATCTCCAGCAAAGATGGCTTCCCACAAATCTCTGCTTCGCGACTCCTTCGACGGTTTTCTCGAGCTCATCACCACTGTGTTTCTAGACAGCATCGTATTCTTTCTGACGCTCGGATTCTGCATACTTGCTCCCAGATTGTTCATACGGATCACGAATCGCTTCGCACGATGGAATGTCAGTACCGAAGATCAAAAAGGATTTTGGGTGTTTTCGGCAATCGTTTTGACCGCAGTGCATTCTCTTCTGACTCTGCTGTTGGCTCTGGACGACGACACTGGTGTCACGCCTAACGCGCCATCGGTCTTTTGGGCGATCATGTGGTCGACTGGTATCATAGTGGGCGTGTTAGGCGGTTTCCTGGCGGCGACTGTGGTCGCGCTCTGTGGTATACAAATGATAGGCCTTTGAAGAAGAAGGATGTTCGCCGTCTCTGGTCTCTGCCTTCGCTACATCTTTGCCAAGGTTCGTCCATTGCGGACACAAGCGTTATCCCCGAAAGATTCATCCTTAAAGCCGAAATGTGTGAGCTAACACCGTAACGACCGTCCGACAGCATTGTTATCCTTATCATGGTGAATCAGTGCTCACTGCATCTAAAACCGGTCAACTCCCAGTTCGATCCCATTTGATTGTACATACCAAGCCCCAGTCTCTTCCGAGAATCGGACATCTGTTCCTTTCACAATCCTCTCGAGTCAGCCCAACCTACCCACACATCTCGACTATCACGCTACCACGATAGAGATGCCAATCAACACCGCTGCTTGGATCACAGGATCGCAAGTTATCCCTCTGGTCGTCAAGGGAGCACCATATCCATCTCCTGGCGCGTATCAGCTTGTCATCCAGGCTAAAGCGGTCGCTATCAATCCCTTGGACTTCAAGATCCAAGACCACAATCCGCTGATCGCTGGCAAGATTATTCAATATCCGACCATCTTAGGCGCCGACTTGGCTGGCACCATTGTGTCTGTGGGCCAAGATGTCACCACACGTAAGGTTGGCGAGCGAGTCATCGCAAATGCACCCGGTGTCAGCACTGGCGACTCCTCTATGAGCGCATTCCAGCATTTTGTGGTCGTCGAAGAATCCGAAGCCATTCTGATCCCGGACCCAATATCGTTCGAAAGTGCTGTTGTTCTCCCTCTTGCTTGCTACACGGCTATGGTAGGCCTGTTCGTGCCGAACCAACTTGGACTATCGACTGCCGGTCTTGAAGAATCTGACGCCACGCCTCATCCGTCTGGATCTGTACTTTTAGTTTGGGGGGGAAGCTCAAGCGTCGGCTGTTGCGCGATTCAGATGGCTCATGCAGCTGGCTATGATGTCTACACAGTGGCCAGCGAGCACAATCGTGCACTTTGTCTGTCCAATGGCGCCTCAAAAGTGTTTGACCGCGCCAGCAATAATCTAGAAAAGCTCATCGTGGAGTCGCTGGAGGGTAAAATCGCGGCTGGAGCACTTGATTGTATCGTCGCTGGAGAGTCCACCGTCAACGCATGCGCTCGAATACTCGCGCAAGCCAATGGAAGCAAGAAGGTCATGACGGTGTTGACACCGCCGCAAACAAAGCCAGTAGATGAAGTCGAAGCACAAAGAGGTGAGATTCCTGATTTTCAGTCAATGTCCAATATACTGACTGCACATGATAGTGAGTATCCCTGGACTGCGAGGGACCAAGACGATCGAATTGCTTCATACGTGGATGGCACATGCTTTGAAGAACGGCACGTTACAATGCAAACCCGATCCTACAGTGATTGGAGAAGGTCTCGAATTCATTCAAGCAGGCCTTGATATGCTGAGAAAGGGTGTAAGCGCGACTAAAGTCGTCGTCCGCTTGTAAACACTTTATCCCGATCCATCCATGAGCTACCAGTCACTCGTCGTAGTCCACCATGGCAACATACCCAACTGTGATTTTTGGACTTGGCGTTGGAAGCAATCGTGATCAAATTCAACAAAGCAAAGTCGTACAATTCGTAATAGGATGTGTTGCACAACCAATATTAAACACTACTAAACAGGCGCAACACCACCTGCTTGACTGGTCAAAACCAAAGGATCGCACTCTGTAACGTTATTGCCCGTTACAATCCACTGCACTTCACCACTCAAAAGTGTCTGCAACCCCTTCTCATAATCGCTGACCAGGAAAACCTTGGACCCTTGCCACCTGGGCGCACTGCACCATGCCAATAGATAATTGTGGCCATCAGTGTCCGCTGCAACATAAGCAACCACGCCTTCGGGGGTGGCAACGGGCACAAGCGTGATCAACTGTGCTCCCAGTGGCGTATCCAACACCTCCGAAGCGCGCAGTCTGGAGACTCCGTACGTTGACATTGTATCCGGGTAGTAGTGGAACATGCGCTCGGATTCGTCCTTGAAGGCAATGGAATCTTCGCTGTAGATCTGCGTGCCTGGAGATACGCCTCCCGTGTTGCCGACCATGTAGAAGTTGCCATCTTCTGCCACTGCCAAGTTCGACTTTTGCCGGGTGTCGAGGTTGGCGAGTGTGGTCCAACCGGTGAATGGTTCGTTAGATCCCGCTGTGGGTACTGCTCCGGCGACACCGACCGTGGCTGACTTCATGATATCTTCGAAGGTGGGGAACTTGTACTTGTTTGCGCCAATGAAGACGGCAGTCGCGGTCGGCACTGCTGCACCGAGAGTGTATGTGCCTCCTGCAAGATTGCCACCGGGCACGTAGTCGAAGGAGGGGGCTTCGAGGTTGGGTGGTAGTGTGGGAGCAGCGTTGGCGGCTCCGATCACTGGCACTGCTTGCGTGCTCTGGAGAGTTGGGGCAGCGTTTGCGGCTGCGATGGTAGGGATGGCATTGCCCTGTGATACCACGGGCGCTGCTTGAGTGCTCTCAACAGCAGGGGCCGCGTTTGATGGTGCAATGATGGGCATGCCTTCGGCTATCGCGGGTGCGACCTGAGGTACACCAATCGCGGACACACCATTGGCGGCTGCGATGGTCGGAATTGCTTTTCCAGCAGAGATTGCTGGCACTGCTTGGGATTGTGCGATGGCAGGCACCTGTCTTGCTTGTAGAGTGTTGTTGCCGTGGAACTCAGCGAGATCAGGATGAACAATCATCTGTCGTTGCGCTTGCAAATCGCGCTTCGTGAACGCCGATGCACTACGAATCTTGGTTAATGATCTTACACGAAGGTGAAGATGAATGCTGAAACTTACTCAGGCTCCAGTACGAATTCATCGAGTCTCACGTCGAAGTCATCAGATGTGCACTCCACCTCGATTCCCACCTTCATTCTGTAGGTTGCTGCATTGTCCTTGGCCGGGATGGTGATGGGAGTCTAGACGGAACGTTTCGATCAGTACAATGCAGACAACACATAGCTTTAGTGCGGGTAGACTCACAATGCCGTCGTTCAGGCCTATGACCAAGTTGCCCTGGTTGTTGGCTGTTCTGGGCAGGATCTGCTTCCCAAATGGAATGTCCGCCTTGTACCATGCAGAGTTGGCATCGGCACCCTCCAGGAACCATTTGTTGATCTTGCAGCTGGTACGATCACTGAATCTTTCCAAACGTCCCTTCACATAAGCGTTGTACTGCGAGTAAGTACAGAGGTCCACTGTCTGCGAAACGGTAAAGATCCATGGTCCTTGTGGTTGGGGACAGACGTCATCACAACCACTATCGCACTCACCACTACCTAGACACGAGCCGAGACAGACTCTTATGAAGCAGTAGTAACCACCTTTGGTTTCTCTGTGGACAGATCTGGAGCACAGTCAGTATAGTCACAGATGTACAATGTTCTAGTCAGACTTACAGTTCGCTGTTTGTGCCCTCAGCTTGCATGCCCTTGTCGGCATTGTCATGACCAACCAGAGGAGTCCAGTATGACAGCCCATTGTCAAAGTTGGGATTTCTGAACACATTATCGACCAGGTCGCATCCAGCTCTAGTTTTGCCTCCGACTGCTGGTTGTTCTTGCTGTCTGACAGTCGTTACGCCGTTGTCGCTGACGCAGCCCTCAATAAACTTTGGACCTTCCCACTTGCCCAGTTCGAACTACACCACCGAGTTAGCTTTGTCCGGGATGTGATCGACTAATGTACTTACAGCACCCACGAAGGGAACTTCAAGCTCCAAAGAGTTAACCACGTTGCTGTAGAAATAGATGCCTTCGCATTCGTCACCACCCGATTGACCACCTGATTCGTTGTCATAGGAGGCAGAATACTCGGCAACAGCTTGTACGGCGGGCGTGTTGACGAGAGCGAGAGACTCCTCCCAGACGCCGTCGAGGACGCTTACGCCCAGATTGATACCGATCGGAATTCCAAGTGATGCAGTAGCTGTGATCTCGCCTGAAGCCTTGAAGACTGGCGTGACAATCGGAGAGAAACCATAACTCTTTGCAGACCCGGGCAGGAGGAAGTCGACGAACATGCCCATCTCGGGCCAGTCGAGGTTGACGCCGGCAAGAATCTGGCCCACAGCCTCGACCTCGATTTTTGCAACAAGGTCAACAGTCAGGTATGGACCGATAGTGAGGACACCAGGGATAGAGAAACCAGGCAGACCGATATCTGGTGTCAAAGGGATGGACAAGACATCGTGCTCCCATTTGGCAAAGCCATCGACACCGAGCTGCACGTTCGCGTTCAGGTCACCACGAAGGCGCAGACTGAGACGCGTGGGGCCGATGATTGTGAAGGTTGCTGATCCCGTAGTGTAGATTGAGCCGTGGATTCCGCAGTCGACACACCACACGGTGACACCAGGCTCTGGCAGCTGCTCGACACCGTCGATCTTGAAAGTCAGGATTTGATCCGCACCGGTCATCTTGGCCAGTGTATCGAAACCGAGAGGATCAAAGGCCTCGCCTCCATCCTCGGGTGACCACTTCCAGAGTTCGAGACCTCCATCGCCCCAAGGACACTCGTCTAGCAGTCTTGAGGGTGCTTCAAGCGCTACTGGGATGGTGAAAGATGCGCTGGGGTTCCAAGTGGGTAGTAAAGACTCGGCTAGAGTGCGCACTGCGGTCACGACAGCCTTGACAACAGCAATAACCACGTCCACGATGAATTTGAAGACCTTGACCACACCTGACAAGAAGTCACCGAAGCTTCGTTTCTCAATGCCCCTACGTGTGAGTACGGTTGAAGTTCCGGCTTGAGGGATGTTGCTCGATGTGATTCCAGTATTAGGAGCCCACTTGCTCAGAGCTCCGTTCAGATTGGCGACATCTCTCAGATAGGTGAAGAAGTCGTCAACGTGCTTGTCGAAACTGTTATCGCATGCCACCTGAGAGAAGTATTTGGAGATGCCAGAAGGCATCGGGCTTGGAACAACGCCACATTTGCCGGTTCCAGTCGGTGGTACCAGTGTCTCGAAGGATTCTCTCGATGTCGAGTTCCTGGCTGGAGACAAGGTCGGTATAGCTGCTCGAGTGCCATTGACAGATGCTGATGACGAAGTGGCGGTAGACTGAGAAAGAGCTACCAGACCCTTCAGGCGATCGACGGATGTGGATGACCTCAGACTCGACACTCTCGAGGCCCCAGAGCTTGTCGAGATGCCTGACCTTGTCGAGCTCAAAGAAGTCGTCGAGGGCTTGATGGAAGTACGCGAGCTCACAAGGCTGGATTTGGTGGACGAACTTGAGCTCGGTGCGGAAGATTGGGTCGTGCCACGGGAAACAGTGCTGCTGGACTTGACCGAACTGCCAGAACTTGAGGTGCCTGATCTGGTGGAAGACTTTGCAATACTTGAACTCGATGTCTTGCGAATGCTCGCAATGGAAGATTTCAGACTGCCGCTGGTACTTTTGCTGCTCGATTTCTGCGAACTTGTAGCACTCGACTTTTTCGAAGTGCTTGAATTTCTAGCAATGGACGAGGACGAAGCACGCGAACTCGAGGTAGTAGGCTTGGTAGAACCTGCAGCACTCGTTTTGAACGAGCTCCGGATTGAAGAAGAAGACGCACGAGTAGACGAAGCTCGTGACGAGCTGCTCAAGACCCGAGAGATTGTCGTCGAGGAGCTACGTGAAGATGCGCTCGAAGAGAGACGTGATGTCGAGGACGACCTGCCAAGTGTCAGCAAGATTGTGATTCAAAGTCACCACGAGACCAGTCCATAAGACTCACGTTGTGTGTGTGGATGATGTGCGGGAAGTGCTGGGAGACACTGCGGCGATTTTGACTCCGGGTTTCACATCCTGCTGTGCCTGCGGACTTCCAGCGGCTTCCCAATGTCCCCAGACTATATTGAACTCTTTGATGGCTTGCTCAACCGAGATCTGTTTGCCCTTTGCAGTAGCGGTCAACGCCTTCTGATTGTATGAGATCATCGAAGTGTTGAAGAAGCCAAACTGGCCGGGGTAGGTAGTATGACACGACTTGTCGGAGCTCACAAACACGATGGGGTCTCCAGTCCAGTTCGTCTTAGCAGCAGTAAGACTACTCACTGAATCCAGCTTGATCAGCATTTGGTCTGCTCGACAAGTCACATTCTGAACATAGGCAGTATGATCAAGAATGACGGCGTCCCAGTGGAAAGTAGCATCCAGGGTAGCAACCATGTCGGCATCTTGGAGTTCTGAAAGGCAACTGGGTCAGCTTCGGGTCGTCCTCATGTGTTGTGAAGTACACATACGGATACCACCATCTTTTGTGTAGAACAACGAATGCTCTTGCCTGGAATGCAGGTGCACACCGTCTCTTCTGTCTAGGTGTGGGTGAATGGCAGGGAAGAGATGGTTATGGCTTTGGTAACCAGCAGGCTCCTCTCGTTTGCGCAGTGGCTGATGCACTATAGGTGCGCGCTGTGGCTTGAGAGGTTTGACATCTCGCTGGTCGAAAGAGTAAACGAAGGAGTCGACCGCAGTTGCCGTCAACACCCAGATTAACAGTAAAGAAAGAGAGCCCTTCATGGTGACGGGAAAGTAGTAGCCTCCGTAGCTTGGTGCCAGGAAGGGTTGACGAGGGACGAAGCAAAAAAGTTTTGTGAGCAGGTCATCATGCTGTTCCTATATTCTTCGACATGAGTGTTTCCAGTGTCTCCAAGGTGCATCCGACCATATCTCGTTTGGAGTTGCCGACCGATGAGTGCTGGCTCGAGACACTCGGAGCGCCCACATGAGACCGGCAACGTTGCTCGGCTTCAGCGGTCGCCGTTGGTCCTCAGCTCTATCAAACTATGGGGCAAATTCGTACCCGGGTTCCCTGCCTAAATGACCATCATGCAGAAATTCTCGGGAGACAACAGGCTTTGGTTGTCTTATATTGTAGTATGAAGGATGACGATGCTGATGGCCTGCTTTGATAGCTTCTGTCCAGCTTGACACCACAAGTCTGTCGCGCTCCGGATGTTCTATCTTCACCAGTACGAAGCATTCGAGACGTGCTATACAGCACGGGAAACTAGACAGATGTTCGACGTGAGGGATACCACCCCGTCAAGGATTGAGAACAACCGTAACATTGCGAGCTGAGCGAATGACATCGGACTGGCCGTCAATAATCGTTAATCAACATTGCCTTGGCCTCGATGGATCTCGGTCAGCTCCGGCGAGATGTCTCGCACGGTGCGGTCTGATCACACTGTAGTAAGGAGTTGACAAGAATCCGTATTCTGGCCGTAGCGAGATGCCTTGTCAAACGATTTTCGAACGATTTTTGGTGCTCGGAGTTGTGGGGTCACGGAGGAGCGAAGAACTGCGCCCGAAGGCCCTCGAAAGGGGAGCGGCAACGGGGAGGTGCCAAGGTGCCAAGCGATCTGGAAATGCAGCAGAAACGGTGGCCAGGGTCTTTCGAATCCTTCGACGAGATTTTACCGCTCGAGGAGTTACTGCATGCACGACCACTTGGACGTGGATGATCTTTAGGTCAATGTGAAAGCTGAAAGCTCAAGCATCGCTTACACTCTTCATCTCGTTCCAAACCGGCCGCTATCCAGAAGAAGATGATCGTCTCATGCGCCCGGACAGGCACAAAGACCAGGGGAATATCGCATTATGAACAAATCACAACTGACAACGCAACAGAATTACATGGTAGGTAGGGACGTCTTTTGGAAACGAAGATCTGGTGCATTTGATAGAAGTCGTGATGCCCCTGATTATGCGAGTACGACTTGTCACGCGAGCCAGAAGCGACGTTTCGTACATCTGGCCTGTCTTAGGATACTGCCTCTATGAGAACGAAAAGTCTGGATTAGGTCTCTACTTTTTCGCAGCTGGACAGTTTCATTGTGCCTGGCGGCTCCTATAGCTCAACGTTCTCACACGATATTGCAGTGCCTCTGTGTTTTTTCAGCTCACCGTCTCTCCAGGGCTGTTGTGTATAAGCGGAGCCCCCATCTATAACGGCCGAAAGCCAAGAAGATACTTAGGAACTCGTACCAGATCACCTCGACGCCAAGAAAATGCTCATGGAATATTGGGACAAGCTCATGTTATCACGTACCTCACGGCGAACGGACTCACCGGAAGACAACAACGAGGAAATTGAACTGTTATGTGTCTCGATTTCAGGTCAACTCGTGGCTAGCTGTGGTGATACCGGTCATCGTTCGAGCTACGGTCATGTCCGCTGTCGAACAGACCTGCATAGGATCTGGTCCGAACAACAGAAGAACGAGCTTTCTGAGTCTTGAGTATGGCTGATTGGACTTGAGTATATCTAGTCGGGCATGCCACGCACTTGAGTCTTGCTCATTTCATCAAGTTCGTCTATCATTTGCCTCCGCTCAATATGCAGTTGACACTCTCGGTCGCGGCCCTTCTGGGTGCAGCAGCAGCTCAGGATCTCTCCTCAACTGTCAACACTCAATGCTTCACTCGCTATGCCCTTCAGAGCACTGCAGACATCGAGACTGTCAATCTCGCAACTACCACGACTCGCACTGCAACCGTATCTGTCACTGAGACACCTCAGGAGACCATGACGCCTGCCGAAGTGACCAGTTCTGTGACTACCACGCGTACTGTCTTCGAGACCACTGTCTTGCCCATCCATACCGACACGTATACCACGTCGGTCACCTTGAGTACGACTCTGACCGACACTGAGACCGAGAAATACACTCAGACTATCACGGAATCTTCGACCACGACAGTGCAGTCTACAACCACGGTGAGTTTCTTCATAGAACATTTGACCATTCCTCATACTAACGAAGGGCACACTAGGTCCCTGCTCCTGCTGGTTTCACAAACCTGGCTCAGATGCAAGGTTATGCTCAGAAACGCAATGTAGTCGTTGAAAGGCGTGAAGCTTTGCAATCCAGAGGTGAAATCAAGGGCGTGCTTCCAATCATTCCAGAAGTCCAGATCACCGATGCAGCGCTTATCGCCCGCGCGGCCAGCACGAGCTCCAAGAAGACCTCTTCGACCAGTTCAAAGAAGTCCGGCTCTTCTTCCAAGAAGACTAGTACTACAAGCTCCAAGACGGCTGCTGCTACTAGCATCAAGGCCGTCACATGCGTTGCTTCTGATCCTGTTCTTGCCGCTATCAAGAACAACTTCGGCATGCCTCTTGCCTTCTGTCAGTGGTGGGTCGGAGCTTCGTACAAATCGACCAGCCCCATCTCTGGCATTACCCCTGCCGACATCACCAGAGTTTGTGCTTGTGTCAAGGCGACTCCGGCCCTCGTAGGCGGAACACAGACTAAGGCTATGGCTTCGCCCACCGGCGTTAGCAAAGTTGCATACCTGGATGCTTTCAGAAAGCTCGTTGCTCAGCCTATTCCCTTCTGCAACTTCTGGTCCAACTCGTGAGTATCTGCAATCTGACCACTAAGATTCATGTTGTTGACCGTCTTTTGCTGTAGTCCTACCAGAAGTGGCAGTCCCTTCGTACCGCTCGCTGCACCTGCGGTCTCTCAGGTCTGCAAGGCTATCGCCGCTACGCCAACTCTCGTCAGCTCGGTCAAATCGATTTCTAGCAAGACGAGCACCTCGTCTAGCAAGTCAACCTCGAAAAGTAGCAGCTCCGCCAAAATCACTAGCCAATCCTCTAGCTCTAGTAAGCCTGTGATCAGTTCAAGCAGCCAGCTCAGCTCTAGCAGCCAAGCAAGTTCCAGCAGCAAAGTCAGCACTAGCCAGCTTCCCACAGTTGGTCAGCAGTACCCGGTCGCTGTGTCTTGCACCCAGAGCACAACTATCCTCACCACGCTCAGCACAACCTTCACGGCAGCCACTACCACCTCCACTGCACCTGTTCCCACGAAGATGCTCACGTTCACCAATACTCTCACCTCGACCATCACTGTAATTCCTGCGGACCAGACCAAGATTATCACTGTCTCCACTGACACAATCACTGCTACCTCGACCTCGACCACCAGTACGACTGAGTAAGTTCAAACGCTTCCGTACCTTTGCCGTTATCATGCTTCTAGGTGTGCCATGTCCAAAGTGCGCGTCTGACTTGTTTACAGAACTCAAACCGCTACCTTCACAGTCGCTGTCGCTTCGGCCACTTTCCTGGCTCAGTGCGCTCCCGCCAACATTGTCGGCAGTGCCGTAGGTCAGAAAATCGGCACCATCAGCTTCAACAAGGCATTCACTCTCCAGTCTCTCTACCTCCAGGACACCACTGGCTACGGTTGCTGCGGTAAGTGTTCGACCGTTCTAGATATCCTTTCCATTCGACTGACAACAAACCTAGCTCAATGCGCCCTCACCGAAAATTGTGCTGGATACGCTCAGGCTCCTGCGTCCCAGGGTGGTGCTTGCTACTACCTCACCACTGATGGCCGATGCGATGTCGAGCAGAGCTGGGGTGATCGCTTCCACTACTACAACACCAACGGTGCTGGATATCAGGTCGGTAACGGACAGTGCGGTTTCCTGGGTCCTGCCGCCGGTGTCCCTGTCGTGTAAGCGATTGCGCGGACGATTTGGTCCGGGCTAGCCGAGAAATCTGCCCAACCCTCCATTTCGTATGTTTTTTGATTCAGTTAAGGTTCTTGATCGCGAAAGGGCGTTCCTTTTTCACAATCCGTAGTGTTTTTTTAGTTGTTGGCACGCATGCAACGCCGGCATTGAACACTTTGTAGCTTCCCATCCCATTTTTGTTTTCCATAAACAGAAACAGCTGTTCTGCAATATGTACCATAGCATCACGCTCAATCTCCACAAGCATTTCCTTATCCACAAATCCACCAACCACAATCATAGTAGCCGCGCATCCAACCTCACTCCCATTCTGCTTTCCCAAGACCTCGCTGAACGCCTCTGCCACAGCACCACAATCTTCCTGTTTCTGTACAAACATCTTGGTGCGTACGATACTCTCTGCACCACGTCCACCCAGCGCCTGAATGGCTTCGATGATCTGTTGGAATGCGACGTGGGCTTGGGCTTTAGCGTCGCCAGGATGGAGCACTTTTGCGTCTGGAGAGGAAGAGAAAGGATCGACGGCGGTGGTGCCCGAGACGAAGATGAAGGGACCACGACGGACGGCGCGGTAATAGCCGATCTTCGCTTCCCAAGGAGAGTTGGTTGCATGGTATTGCTTGGATGCGGATTGAGGAATGGAGGCGGTTCGGGATGACATGCCGGCGATAGCGAGAACTGGTCGTTCGATATCTATTGAAGATAGTGTGGGTTGATGGGCTGTACTATCCTTGAAAGTTCATATTCGTTTGCAGTCGGTGTTGCTGGATTTTTGACACTCTAAGTTAGGTGTGAGTCATCACAGTGCTGGGACTGGACAGGCTGGACTCGGATATCCACTAGACTTGGACAGAGCCTTGTCCATCTGGATATCCACTGGATTTTTTGAGTCAGGGTTGTCCTTCCAGCTAGCACATAGTTTGCATAGAGTGTATAACATATTATGCCATCATAACCTTATGTCAGCATGACTATAAGGCGTTCCACTTGCTACACCTAATTACCTATGCTTGGCAACTAATCCACTGGATCCCATGGATTTGAACTGGATATCCAGTCCAACTTAAATTTCACTGGATTAATGGACTTGCACAGAGGGGTAGTCCAACTGGACTTGGACAGAGGGGTGTCCAAGTCCAGTCCACTAAGTCCCACCACTGAGTCATCATCAATCCCTCGCAAAGCCGCGACAAGGTGAAAACCGTTGTGATAGCAGTTTCACCTTGACTACAGTCCAAGTTGGCAATTACGTCGCAGTTCCAATCATAATTGAGGCAGAAGCGGACATGCCCTTTGCTAATTCTGGTTTGTATGATTACCTCGGCGTTATAAACGCCGACGGCGATATACGCCCCTCGCCTGTCAAGAACCGTGGAGTGTTGCTTATGATATATGAGATGCGTGCCAACCGATATTGATTGTTACTTGATTTACCAGGAACCTCGACTCGTCACTTAACACCACTATGCAGAATTTGATTGTCCCTGCTGCGTCGCAGCTGCAACTCTCTCCTACATTGGAGATCAACGAAGCGGTTGAAGCTGTGCGGGCTCAAGGAAGAAAATTTGTCCATCTTGGGTTCGGTGAAGCGACATTTCCCATTCAGGAGAAAGTGTTGGCTGTCCATGCACAGTATTCCCGTTCAACTAGCTATATGCCTGTTGCGGGCCTGCGTGCTTTGCGTCAGGTCGGTGACGAAATCCTGCACGGATTCTAGCAACACCGCTGACATGAGCTTGTTGCAGTCAATCGCTCAATTCAACTCCACGAGACTTGGGCTCGACATCAGCGCTGATCAGGTCGTGGTCGCTCCTGGCTCCAAAGTTTTGCTATTCGCTCTCTTCGACGTGCTGCAAGGTGATGTTCTGCTTCCAAGACCTTCTTGGGTGAGCTATGAACCGCAAGTCAAGCACGCGAACAAACGACTCTTTTGGGTTGAGACTGACGAAGAAGACCGTCATACCATCACTAGTACGTGTAAAGCTATTTACCGCGTTGCTGGCTAACCAAGAATAGAGCAAGCCTTGGAGGACTCCTATGAGGCAGCCATCGTTGCTGGTGGCAATCCACGAATCATGTTGATCAACAGTCCGTCGAATCCTACAGGTCAAACATTCTCTGCAGAGAACATGAAGGTCGTCGTCGATTTCTGCAATGTCAAGCAAGTCTTGCTCATCTCAGACGAGATATACTCAGACATCAACTTTGATGGTGAATCGAGCAGCGCAAGCCCATTGCAACAGGCTGATTCAGGCGTTCCGAGCGCTCTCATCGTGATGACTGGCGGTCTCTCCAAGGTGGGTCCTGTTTACTTCAAATGACTCAATACGTGCTGATCTGATGCTAGACGTACTCAGCAGGTGGCTGGCGCGTTGGATACGCGATTTGTCCCAAGTCCGAGGCTGGAGACCAACTATTGAGAGTGCTCCTGGCTTATGCATCTGAGTGCTGGTCCGCAGCTTCTTCACCGTCGCAGCACGCTGCAGTAGAGGCTTTCTCGACTTCCGAGCATATGAACCAATACCGGAAGTCGGTCTCCAAGTTACATGCTCTCTGCACCACAAGGCTGTATGAAGGATTACTTGCTCTGGGCCTCAGAGTGGCGAAACCTTCTGGCGCTTTCTATGTGTATCCATCCTTCCAGCCATACGCGGCCCAGCTGGCAAGGATTGGCATTCGAACCAGCTCCGAGCTTTCCAAGTGGCTTGTCAACACGTGTGGAATCGCAGCTCTGCCAGGCTCTGCATTTGGCGAGGAAGATGAAGGTCGCATTGGTGGCCGCTTTCGACTGCGCATGGCAACTAGCTATTTGTACTTTGCCAATCAGGAAGAGCGATACGAGAAGGGGTATGATCTGCTTGAAGCAGCTGCGCAGGGGAGAGAGATACACCTGCCGATGTTGGACGAAGCCCTCTCGGCCCTTGCAGCAGCAGTTGATCGGCTCAAGGCTGTTTGAGTGAGCGATGCTCATAGTGACTTGGACGTATCATCCTATACACTCAAAGCAGACGGTGTTCTCCGAAGGAGATCGTATGGATCATGAAATATGATCAATGCTGTTGCAGTTTGTGCAACGAGTAGCTGTTGTTGCCATATAAACCAAGTCTCACTTCAAGACCACGGATCTACGCAAGTGCATAGGCCAATCAGAGGTCAGATCTAGACAAAAAGTGGAACGCTGTTGGGATTTACCAGCATGTCATGGCTGCTCGAACGAACGACTGATGCAACCCACATAGTAGACACTCTTCAGAGTATTTCAAGCTCCATCAAGCAAGTTACCGCTGCAGTATTGTCGAGTAGTTGAGCCCGTTGAGCAAATGTACTTCGTGATCTTGATGATCATTCAATTATGAGTGTCCAAACGCTGAAGTGTTGATTTGTAGCATCTAATATGAATAGAACAAGGAGGACCGTACACAAGGGATCTCACACCGTGTTCAGGACTTTCTCAATCATAGCAGCAGCGCCGAGGACCTTCTCCTCCTCAAGACGCTGTCCAACGATCTGTACACTGATCGGCAAGCCATGCATCTTGCTTGGGTCGTACAAAGCCCAGTTGAATTTGTCAATATCGTTGCGAGGGACGTACGATCGGACTTCGTCGTTCTCGAGTGACAGATCCACAGCCTCATCCACTCGCCCAACGGGCAGAACCAGAGCAGAATAGTCGAGGAAGTTCCAGATCTTGGTGTAGCCAACCCACTTGCAAGATCTGTGAGGAACACTTACGTGCGGCATGGTCGGCGCAAGCAGAATGTCGACTGTCTTGTTGGTGGTCGGAGACCGGATGTTCTTCCACTTCGCCAGACAAGCCCTTTGCATGGCGTGCTTGCGTCTGTTGAGTTGCCAGTAGTCATATACAGAGATCGCCGAGCCTCTGTTGATGAGCGCTTCAACATGAGGAACGTAAGGCTCTCCAGCGACAGAAACGTCTCTTATGATGTCTTCACCTCCGTCTGCAGTGTAGTATAGGTCCTGTTGTTCTGCTTCAGCATTGTCGATCTGCCAAAGAGAAACTAACGCAAGCTTACCATGATTTCGATACATTCAGCATGATGCTCTGGGTTCCACTGTACAATCTCATGTCCAGCAGAGCGAAGTTTGTTGGCGACTTCCTCTAGCACCCGGCGAATGGGAGGATGAACTTTGACGGTATTATCGTCGGTGAGCAATCCTATGACTAGAGGTCTTCGCTGGACATCTTCAAAGATATCAGACCGCCAGGGAATTGGGACAATCTGAGGATCCTCATTCCATGATTGCGCATCAATGACGGCCTTGGTGACTTTTTGTAGAGATGCAAGACTTCGTGCCAGAGGTCCAGTGACAGACGGGACGTGACCCTGACCTTCAGTGCTCACACTCACTCGGTCATATGAAAAGCGACCATGGCTTGGCTTCAGCCCGTACAACCCCAACATGTGCGATGGAATGCGGATACTACCGCCAATGTCAGTACCCCAGCCCACCATGGAGCCCATCTGTGCGAGTGTTGCAGATTCACCACCACTGGATCCTCCTGGAGTGAGCTCCGGGTTGTGGGGATTGACTGTCAAACCCCACAAGGGATTCTCGGTTTCGCACCACATGATGCTCTGAGGGATGTTTGTCTTTGCGATGAAGATCGCGCCGAGGTCGTGGAGAATATCGACCAGGAGCGCATTCTGCTTAGCTGGCTGGAAAGCCCTTCCACAGTAACCAAGCGTACTGTCATAGCCTTTGACATCAAACTGGTCCTTGAGAGTCATGACAATACCATGAAGAGGGCCGATCGGACGCTTTTTCTCCTGGTAGTACTGATCGAGCTGCCTTGCACGCACGAGTGCATCCTCAAACATGATTTCTACGATTGTTAGAAATCACTCTTGCGCACGATGAGAATATGCTTGCCTGTTAGACAATTGGCCTGCAAATTTTGTCAATGAGTCTGGATAAGATATCTTGTATGCTGAGGGATACCTTTTTATGGGCCAACGCAGCTCTGTTTCTCGATCATTAATACAGTCATCAGGAAATCTATTCAACCTGGGATCACTCACTGATGACAATATGCGATGACAAGATCCACGCATGATATGCGACCGTCAGCTACCGCGCGAGAAGCCTCGTCGGCGTGCACAAGGAAGCCATATGATGTTGAAGTTGCAGGGAACGGATGCCTGTCAGCGAAAGCGGTGAGCGCCGCTTGCTGAAGCTCACGTTTTTTTGTTGCGATCTTGAGCCAACGTGGCTGGACCTCCGGACTGGTCATGTTTCGCAGCGGAGACAGATATTTGCTGAGATGCAAGCAACGCGCTGGTGACAATGCACGAAAAGTATGAGACCAGTGTACAAGATATACCGCGCGCGTGTGTCACGCTATCACAGCGTTGGTGCGGCCGTCGGATGTTAGACCGCCGTCGGCGATTCAATCTCCGCCCGGAGGATGAGTCAACGGTCACCGCGTCAGCGCCGAGATCTGGATTCCTCCCATTCCGGATATTCGCCATCGATTCAGACACTTGCACTCATGTCACAAGTGACATTCATAAGTCTGTCATGCTGTCTGCACCAAAAAACTCCCAAGACCCGTTTGCAACGAGCGAGTCGTTTCCTATCGCGAAGTCCAAGTAAGCGGACTCGTTCCACAACCCGTCATCGATAGACCACGTTTCAGTCTGAGGGACATTCTGGTGTTCCATGGTCGTCGCCAAGTTATTGTCATGTATAGTTGTCCGTCCAGCAAGATTGCTGCCTTCAAGAGAAGTCGAGATGTTCGCTGAGATGAAGCCCAATGTGTCGTTCACCAGTGTCTCGAAGCGAGACTCGAGCGTCGATAAGAGGGACTCATTCCATCGTTCATTCATGACGGCAAGACATATAGCGCACTTCCGCACCCAGGCTGGGAAGTCGGCGAGGAAGAATTGGAGACCTGTCAGCGGTAGAAGCTTGGAAAAGTTGTTTCTTGCGATGATCAACATCGTCAAGCCAGCAAAGACAACACCTTGAACGAGCATCCACGATAGCCCAACCCGACTGTGACGAATCACATCGATCATGTCATCAACATAAGCTGCTGCTGATCGTATACATCTCTCCAGCGATGTTGCAGGAGGGCTTGAACACAAGGGACTTGCTCTGTGAAGCACGAAAGTGGTACCATTGTAAAGTCGCTTCCAGTATCTGTTCATGATCAGCCTGATTGTCAAGATGTATCGTGACGCATAGCGATACCTAATGGGGTAACCTGAGGTCGGACTCAGACTGTATGCTTCCGGCAATGACATGCTCCAGTGATCTAGTTCGGCTTGCAAGCCGGAAATGACATTTTGTTTGTCCACCTCCGACAAAGCCTGCTGTTTTCGAGCTGCACCGTACACTTTTGCGATGATGCGGCCTTGAATTTGTCGATGTCTGATGTGATGAAGACAGACTTCCATTGTGGAAGAAGCGTTCGGCATACTGGCAGTGATATGTTCTTCCGCGATCGAAGGCGGTCGTCCAAGGTTGTACGCAAGGATAATCTCGATAATGTAAGCAGTCCAGAAGGCGCAATTTCTCTGGTCTACTTCCAACTCGGTTACTTGCAGGGTACATGATGATTGATGCAAACCTATTTCGATGGCCATCTGATAACATTAGCATGTGACTTCAGTCTAGAGTTGCAAAACCTACTCTCATAGCAAAGCCAGCCATTTGCCATTGACTATACCTTACTTTACCGTTAAATCCATAAATACATCTCAAGAGAATGACTCGGATCAATGGAATGCTGGAGGGAAGGTCTCCAGAATAGATATCGAAGAACTCTAGCGACTTGAGGTAGAGTCGTGCGGGGTCCCGCTTAGACCCTAGACGGTTTCGCAGATCTCCTGTGTCTCCTCGACGTTGGTCTGTCAAATGGCCCTGATGTATAGCTCCTAGCGCGAGAACGAGGTAATACTCAGCCATCTGCAACCTGCATTTGGGCGTCCTATCGAAATCGAGGATGCCTGCTGCTTCCTGCTCCCGGCTCCTACGCATTGATGCACACAGGGTCTCCACCCCAAACAAAGGATACAGCGGCTGGATCCAGGTCAGATAAGAACGTATGAGACCATCCACTTCTGCCTCATTGTGGACTTTGTCCTGATCCGTCAATACCGCGGCCAATCGAGACTGACCCTCGTCTCTTAAAGTGGCAGGTACATTGGCTTGCGTAGGTGACGCGCTCGAAACCCCGGAGCTGGCTCTTGCGGCTGCGTGGCTGACCGGGGACACACCACTTGGAGGCTCCAGACTTCGTGTCTCTCCTGTAGCGTTGAGGGCAAGCATACTGATCTCGGGAGCAGAGATAGCGGCCGAAAAACTGTCATCATCCTCCAGAGGTGGTTGAGCCGCTTCTCGCAAAGTTGTGCTGCGCTTCGAGCTGACTATCGGTACACCGCTTGAAGGCCCCAGATATCGTATCTCTCCTGTAGCATTGGGAACAAGAATAGTGATCTCGGGAGTAGAGACAGCAACTTGACAATTGTCGTCATCTCGTGAGGGCTCTTGAGCCGGTTCAAGCGGAATTGTGTCTGACTCTAAGCTGGCTTGATCCTGGGCGACCGACAGGGCTTGTTGTTCGGCTTCATTGACCATCGCCAGGCTCTCCGTCGAAAAGTTCAGCTCGGTTCCAGTCGCGGTGGAAGCACATTCCAGGCCGGTCTTCGTGAATATCTGCTCTTCGAGCCATTGAACTCGTTGTTGCAGTTTTCTGAGTGTCCTTGTTCTTGTCAACTGAAGACGTTCGTTTGAACAAGTTCCAACAAACCGCGTACTCTTGGTTGTCGACTCTCCGCCTCCTGGTGTAAGGCTGGCACTCTACATTGCTATAGCGACAATTTTCGCACGCTGGGTAGCCTGAGCACTAGATAGTGTCAGTTCAATCGCGCTCAATCACAGATCGCATAAGAACTACCCTAGTTTTCCTTGAATGACAACGTAGACATGTGGCATTTGACATAGTGTACGAAGAATCTGCAGGTGAGCATTAGCACGGGACTTCGTTACAGCCTGGCAGTCATGAGCAGGGACGCGTTCGGGACGCGTCGGAAAGACTTGCTCTTGGGCCTGTTGACTGTGCCTGCTTATGATAGCTGAGCGCTAGTACCTGGTTGAAGAGGGTGGATTAGCCTAGCGTAGTACTGAACGGTCCATATGCTCGTGCGCCAATACGACTCGACTCGAGGATGTTGGCGTAAAAAGGGAAAGCGATTCAGGCTTCCCGACGTTGCAAACGCTCGGACGCTTCCGAATGACCGGACGTTTTCGGGATCGGGACTGTCCCTTTGATCACCCTGGATCAATTTGATAGCCTGGAGCTTCGTACTTTGTGCCTTATCTAGAGATGTCGAGAAATCATTGTATCGAGTTCTGCAATGTTAAATACCTCTCACTCACCTCCAATCATCTCCGATGGATTATACTTGGACATTAACTTCGGTGGTGAATCAAAGCAGGATACTCGTAGTACACTGGATATATATAACAGAGAGCTATACATCAGATATGCCCATGTCCCTCCAAGACGTAGGAATATGTAACATAGTAGCCTACTCATGAATCCTTGCGATAAGCTCGCTGCTATTCTCGCTACTCATCACCATCCTGTAAAATAAATCACCAGCCTCGAACAGTCCCTGCGGCGAACCTTGCTCGACGATCGATCCATGATCCATGACAATGATCTTGTCAAATGAAGCAACTGTCTTGAGACGATGTGCCACGACAACCAGTGTCTGTCCTGGAGCGGCCTGAATGACTGCCTGAATTGCTTCATCGGTGAAGTCGTCTACTGCTGACGTAGCCTCATCGAGAATGGTGAGTTTGTGTTCTCGAAGAAGCATGCGTGCGAGGCACAGAAGCTGGCGTTGGCCGTGAGAGACATTGTCACCACCGGCGACCACGATGGAGTCCAAATTCAGAGTCGGCAAACTATCAGCTTTTGCTCCCAGCATCACTTGCTGTAAAGCGTGTTCTAGCTGGTTCTCGGAATACTGATCAAATGGATCCAAATTTGAGCGTACTGTGCCCGAGAATAATGCTGGGTTCTGTGGAATATACCCTATGTTGTGGCGAAGATCATGCAGTCTGACTTTAGTGATATCGATACCATCGATGGCGATTGTACCCTTTTCGGGCTCCATTATACGGAGGAGAGCCAACAAGAGTGTTGATTTGCCTGCACCTGTCCGGCCCACGATTCCCACACGTTGACCTGGGACGACTGTGAGGTCAATGTTGTTTAGCACTGGAGGTAGAGCATCATAATATCGCACCGTGAGCCCTTTGATCTGAATGTGTCCGGTACTTGGCCAATTGCTTGCGGTCTCGATTCCTCCCTGGTCCTCAGTTTCGAGATACTGGAACGCCGAGATTGCATCTGCAGCGATCGCAGCAGTCTCGAAAGCGCCGAACCCATTGATAGCTTTGAAGACCACACTGGAGAACCTCATTGAGAAGGTAAGCGCAAAACCAAACATTGAAGGATTGAGAGTTGCTGATTCGGAGAGCAGAAGCAATGCACCAGTTCCGACGCCGAACATGATGCCGACCAGAGACATTTGTAAACCCAACCAGCGATTGGCTATCCAAAAGTAACGTCGAGCCTTGGACAAATCATCAACATGGTCGTGCATCTGTTCGATGTATGCTGCTGTAGAACCGAAGGCCCTGATCGTGGCAAGTCCAGTCGCAGTCGAGGTGGCTAGTCCAAGGATCTTGCTTGTGGGCGCGCGGTCTGCTCGCTGGACAGTCTTGCGAGCTTTGTTGTACAAGCCGCCGATCATCCAGCTTGCGTATAGGCCACCGATAACCAAGAAGCCAGTATATAAGGACACATCAAGGCTGGTAAGTCTTAGCCCAATTCGTCTTCCAAGTATACCCATACATACCCAACGATGACGATGGTTACGATCTCGATGAAACACTGCGAGAACTCGGAAATTAACGGCATCAATCTGTCATCCATTGCTTGGGAATCAGCCGAGAACCTTTGCAACAAATCTCCCATAGGTACGTCATGAAGCCAAGCAAGAGGCATATGGACGACAGTGCCGAGCATAGTGCTGAAGAGAGTCTCCGATGCACGCATAGTCCCCGATGCCTCAAACGCACCGAAGGAGTACTCCGCCATGACAGCAAGAGCCGAGCCAACCACAAACATGCCTGCCTGGGAAGATATGCCTGACAATGCAGACCCATGCGTCGCTGTGTCTTGAGAGTTAAGTCTGACGTTCTTCAAATTCCACATCGGGAGTGTGATGAGACACTGTCGGATTGCTAAAGTCAGCAGATAGGTCATCACGAATGTTCGGCCACCTATTGCTTTGACATATGTACGATACGTTGTCTGTGAGAGCTCGTTCCTCACTGGCCCGAGGCTCAACTTCGGCTTTGGAAATTCCTTCTGCTGATGATCTTTTTGCAAGGTCTTGCTCCGGATGGATGCCACGGTCCGAAGGTCACATTCCATCAAGACCTTCTTTGCAGCTTCATCTGGTGGCAGAATCATCGTTCTATACATATCAGAAGACCTCGGAACATCAATCTGCACTGTACCGTCGATGACACGAATAGCGTAATCTGCATCTGGCATGCAAAGCCCAAGCTGGTGGGTTGCCAGAACTCGAGTCCGTCCTGCCCCCAGAGGACCAAGCAAGGCTGTGAAGACGTGTTTGGCGACGTTAGTATCTAATGCCGACAGTACGTCGTCCATGAGAAGAATCTTTGCTTCGGAGTAGAGCGCTCTGGCAAGCGATATCCTTGCACGCTGTCCTCCGCTCACTTTGACCCCTTGTGAGCCGATGACGGTCTGGTCGCCATTAGGCAGCGCCTCAATGTCCTGTACCAGGTCGCATGCTTTTAGCACACTGTTATATCTCTCTGGATCGGGTGATCTTCCGAACAGTATGTTTTCCCTGATGGTTGTGCCCTGCAGCCAAGGTGTCTGGGAAACGTAAGCAATCGGAGACCCTTGAGCTGGACACAGTGCCTCGATAGTCCCAGCGAGCAATAAGGCCTCTCCTAACATCGCAGTAAGCATCAGACTCTTACCGCCTCCTGTATTGCCGTAAACGATCGTCAGCTTGCTCGCAGGAATTCTCAGATTCACGTCTTTGAACTCAAATGGAGATCCTATGCTCCGTGTCGTGATTCCAAGATTGCTCGGTGTGATCGGCCAGCTGAACCTCGCATTGTCAAAGACTATATCTCCTGACCGGCTCGATTGGAGATAGTTAACGCTGTCTGATTGATCCAAAAATGATTCGATGCGACGAGCACTAGCCTTTGCACTGAGATAGTCCTGAACGACTAGGGGAGCCAGACCCAAAGTCCCCTGTAGCTGAGGAAGAAGCTCGAGCATTGTGAAGGTTACTGATGCTGACGTTCCTCCGCTGAGGTATGCGTTAGCAAAGATAGAGATGCCAGAAACGAGCAGAGGCGATGCGATCTTCCACATGGAGCCATATATCTGAGATTGCAAATCTCTTTCTTGAGCGCGGAGTTCTTGGTCTCGGTGAGTATTAATCCGCAGCTTCCACATCTCCTCGCTCCCTTGCAGTTTGATATGATGGAGTGCCTTAATCATCTCGCTGACGGCTCTGTCCTTCTGATCTCGTGCCGTGCGAAGATTCTTCTGGGTATCTTTTCGTCTTCTCACAATGGAGTTATTCAAGGGTGTAGTCAGCACCGTGACAAGCAACGTGATAAGCATACCTTGCCAGCCCATTAGCTTCTGGATGAATGCTAGTGCTATCAGAAATTGGACCAAAGATAGTGGAAGTATGTAGTGGATCGCAGCAAACTTGCTGATGGTAGTCGCATCCGAAGTCAAAAGGCTGTTCACTGGTGGTGAGCGATAGTGTCCAGGCTGGTCCGGAAGGCTGTTCGTGATGTCCCCTATGCTGCTTTTGAGAAGCTTTCCATAGATTGATGTGATCAGCTGCGCCCGGATGGGGATCCCAAACTCCGACCACTGGATCCAGTTTTGATGATAGTGGACGACGGTTTCGCACGTCGAGAACAAGGCGATGCCAGACAACCATGTCCATCTACTTTCTCCCAATCCACTCTCGAGGGAGGCGATTAATCGCAGAACGCAGAAGGGTGAGCCAAAGGTGAGGATGGTACGTAGAATGGTCAGAATCCACTGTTTGACGATGATTGGAGTTCGCTGGGAGATGATCTGAGCCAGCAGTGTGGGAGACGATCCATTGAAGTGTGGTTGGCTCCTAGACTTTGTTTTGTGATCGAGCGCAGGCGTGTCTCCGAGTCCGGATGTCTGACCAGCAATCCGAACAGCATCTCTAGCCCATGTCATCGAGCATCGTGAGACGACAGACGAGGTGGTTTCAGCGTCCACGGGGCGGCCACTTTTGGTGAACAGATCAGGTTTGCGACGAAAGGAGAGTGACAGTAGGACAATTGACAAAGACAGGAACGGCAGGCCTGCACTCGCCACGAACGTTCCGGTCAGTTTGTCAGCACCAAGTTGATGAATCAGTGTTGAAGATGCAAGCAATGCTTGTCGGATGCCTGCCGTATGAGTCGCTTGAGGCCCATTATTCGTGTCTAAGGTCAGGCTGTGGCTTGCAAGAAGGGACTGAAATTGGTTAATTCTGATGAGAACCACAGCCATGGAGCTTACCCACCCAAAGAGTGTTGCTCCATATATCCAAACGTTCCAAGAAGTTGAGAGCGAGTCCCAGCCACGCAAGAATTTTGATCGCAATGGTGATACGTTGTGTATGGTTCTCGTACTGGAGCTGAGATTGCTTGGTCGCAATACCATCGTCATCCGCGTAGAGCTTGGAATTCATCCTCGACGAAGGCACACAAAAACGCGGCGTAAGATCCCACGATTGATCGAGTGCGTAGAGGATGAGTGCGCCAAGATGTGAGGCCCCTACAAGGGCCTAGGATACAAGGATGTGAGCAAGAGCGACCGCGAGCTGGAATGGATTCACTCGCTGGAAAGTGGGGACCGCGACGCGCGCCAGTAAACCTTATGAGAATGCCCGATGGTAGGGGAGGTTATGTTGAAAGATGATAGCATGAGCTAATCTTACACCTGTCATTTTCGGTTAGCAAGCGAAGCATGATGCTCGTATCTTTGGTTGCGACATCGACAAGATAAGCGGAGCCTCAGAACTTCACGACGCGTAATAATAAGACAGTCAGGCTGGCAAAGGCGATAAGATGTGCAGCCAATGGACAATTACGGAGTACACGGTGCGGAAATCCAAGTGCTCAAGCTTCTTACGCCTGTGACCACCCACGAAGCTTCAGGTCGACGCGCTTCGCATTGAAGTCGTCAGTGCCGACATCCGGCTTGCACGCTAGCGGAAGATAAGCTTTGCTAAGCACGAATTCGTCTCGCTGTACAGCCATTGCTTATCAAGTCATACGACTAGTTCACGGCTCCACGTCCTTGGGTAGGATTTGTGGTGGTCGCAGCCATGGACATCCGCCTGGATGCACGTTCATCTGCAGATTGGGAATCGGTCAAGAAAGCATCTCGTTACGAAACAAAACGGGGAATCCCGTGACGTGACGGAGTGAGGAGCATAAAGCATCACCTTGCAGCTGCAGCCATACTCAATCCCAAACCTCCACCTCCTCTTCTCATCCTAAAATGTTCGTCTCGAAGCTTCTCGGTGCATTGGCCTTCGGCCTCTCAATCTCTGCATGGGCGGCTCCCCTGCCTCAGGATGGTAAGTTGTGCCCTGGCATCGCTCCCAACCTGTTGCTGACATAAGCTCAAGTAGGACAATCCATCGCCAAACGCTACGATGGCGACAGAGAGGACAATGGGATCTTCAAGCGCTACGATGGCGACAGAGAGGACAATGGGATCTTCAAGCGCTACGACGGCGACAGAGAGGACAACGGCATCCTCAAGCGCTACGACGGTGATACAGAGGACAATTAAACGTGCCTGTCCGATAGACACAAGCGCCTGGATCTCTTGATGTTCAACCTAGTTCGAAACCACTCAAAAGTGAGATGAACTATCGTAGGGGCGGACGACGCATGACCCGCTTCTCATTGCACTCAGATAATCATGATCTCTATATTGTCTCCCTGAATGAATTCCAATGCTGTCAGTGGTCGTGACCTCTGCCCTGGCTCCACGCTGATAAGGTGTTGGGAAGCCACCAATGAAGTTCTGAGTGGCAATGTATGTCCCTCTATCCGTCCCTTGATCAACCCGGGTATAGTGTCTCGCTTCAACGGTCTCGTATTCCTGCTGCACCTCGCTATCGTTACGACGGTCAGAATACCACTGCTACTCAGACAACGGTCGTTGACACGAGAAGCATCCATTGGCTGTTGGTGCCCGCATGTCTTGACGCGTAGTCAATTGCCTCGAAGAGACTCAACTTGTTATTCCGCAATTACGTCCGCAGCCCATGAGTTACATTCGGTTAAACATGCCTATCTATGAAGAACACGTCGATTTCACTACTTTAGGTACGAGCCCGCCGGATCAGCTGCTCAAACTGCTACTGACTGAACTCTTGGCCCCTATCAGGAGAACCTCTTGAACGCCGACGTCGCTTGCAGCTTGCCTTCCTCTCTCCTGATGAACATTGATCTTATTGTCTTATGCCTCAAACACTGCAGATTTTGGGCAGTGACGTGCGACTGAGGCGGGCCAAGATATCATTCATTCTATCACTTCTATGGTGTTTCACGTTCACATCCCTCATGCTTGTCGTCCGTCTACTGCCACCCAGTGACGCTATCTGCGATCAAAAGGGCATCATCTTCTCGCCTTTGCAGGGCGCGATCCAATATGATTGGCTCAATTACGGCGATATGTGGACACAGGGTCTGAAGTATCGCACTCCAGTCAATACATCCGTGTCGGAGGAAACAAACGAGGCCTGGTTGGAGCTCCTGACCGGTATGATCAAACCCAAATATCTAATCAGGCACTCTATTAACAATGCTAGACGTCGATCTTAGTGTCCCAGAGCATGTCCTCGATGCTCTTGGCCAAAAAACAGACTATCGTTGGAGAGCTCATCCATCAGGCGGGTATGCTGCAAAACTCGGAGGGTTCCATCAGATGGCTTGCCTGGTACGCTCCTCTTGCCCAATTGAGGCGCCTTTTATTTAACTGACGACCATCAGAACGAGATTCGTCAGCATGTCAAGGCTGATCTGGACAACCCAAAGCGCATTGAGAAGCGACAGATCGTAGACAACTGTCTCGAGTTGCTACGCCAAAAGTTCATGTGTGACATGGATGCCACGCCCTACCTATTGAAGTACGATAAGAAGGCTGTTCGAGGCGATGTGCCAGACATGGACACATTACACAAATGTCGAGACTACGGCAAGCTCAGAACTCTGGTTCAAAACTCTGATCATACAAAATATGTTTGATTGGGGAGTCAAAAGTCTGTGTCGGATTTGGCTGTCTGCAGAGACAGATGTTCATGGTGGTTTACTAGTTTGAATGCAGTAAATGACTAGTGAGATGCGTGGTGATGATCATGCCCGCCGGCATTGGCTTTGGCAGCAAGGCGCTCATGCGTGACATTATATGGTGCCACGATATTTTCGTTCGTCCACTCGAGGATCCTTTCGAAGCTTCGGCACCGATACAAAGCGTCTGAACGAACTGCAGTACCACCATCGTCGTACTCTTCGATGAGATACGGTGTTACATCCGCTCTGCACATCAGGTTGATCCGCAGGACCTGGATGCAATGATCGACATGCCTATACAAGCTGTCAATTCCTCGCAGAAAGGCTGGGTTCTCGCTATAATTGTATCGATCACGGTAGCTATATTGACGTAAAAGATGCTGCCAGACTGGATTAGCTGGTATCGTACTCAAGAAGAGACAATGCTTACGACGCAGTGTATTTGATGGAATCCTTCAATGAACCCCACGATACCGCCACCAAGCTCGGCGGCGTGATGCTTCCAATCGTCGTCTACAGACTTATTGAGAAGCGGCAGTCCTACTCTAGGGATACCAATTGAACCGTCTACTCATATCAGTAAATTTAGGAAGAGACAAACTTGACGCGGCTACTCACATTCCCACAGTCCGTCCCATCTCATCTCCGAATCTTGCGTGGGTTGTCCACCAAGAAGATCGCCGTCACTTGGCAGGAAGCGACGCCATCTATACTCGACAGCGTCAAGCATGGGCGACCAAGTGGACATTTGGCGGGTGCATTGGTGATCAGTGGCATCTCGGAAGCAGCTTGCTATCATTGGTATCGAGATCAATAGCAAGGCAAGCGAGAGAAAGCGGTATGTTCGAGCTTCGCGTTCCTGGCGGGTACTATCCACGCCGCCAACGACTATCCTCAGATCATCTGCGGATGTGTCATGACTATGGCTGGGTATGAACGGCGCAGACTCATCAAACTCAAGCATACTGAGCTCGGTTGCTTTGCTCATGGTTCGTAGAGTCGTTCGAACGAGTGTTGAACACATAGTGGTCTTGAACAGAATTGTTAACCCGGCCTCGGCTGAACCATGGCACAAAATGCGTTTTCCAGACGGCCTGTCGTGTAATCTTGCCGTGATGATCCGTGTACTCGATTGGTTTGACCTAAACGGCGTCGGTATCGTCGAGCTCCTGTCTCCTGTCTATGTCAAGTTGCATGTTGGGCCACTGATAACCCGGCTCGCGTCTTTCGCACGTAACATACCGCGAGCTTGGTTGCTATTCTCTGGTGCAGAAGTCGTGAGAATTTGCCACCCCCGTCTTCGAACTTGATAGCTCTGAGCTCTCAATTCTAGCTAATTGACCATTGTACATCGAATTTAGCACGTTATATAGCTCTTGTCACTCCGAATTCAAGCGGTATAGCTCAAGGTAGTTGCTCATCAGTCAATGCTAGATTTCTAGCAGTATTGACCTATACAACAGGCATCGTTCTAAGGCTAATTCTGAGCTCGCGACATGCCTCTAAACGACCATGAGAAGGATCTTATACAGGCCATGTTTTACGACAACTGCGACGTCAACACTGTCTCAAAAGTCGTGCCCCATGCGCCTCGCAGCACGCTCTATCGTATGCAGAAGAATATAGATCTCTTTGGGCAGGTTCGGAAGCCTTCCTCAGCTATTAAGCGCATGGGAGCGCCACGCAAGATCACGCCACTAATGCGTGAATATCTTATTGATCTGCTCTCTAGAAAGAACGACCTATGGCAGGAAGAGTTGGTCTTCGAATTATGGTGTCAATTCGACGTTGCAGTTGACAGGTCAACTATCTCGAGACTCTTGAAGGAAGAAGAGCTATCCAACAAGGTCAATACACGCATTGCAAGTCGCCAATCCAATGCGCAACAAGGTGTATACCTTGAGCAATTAGCCGAGCTGATGGGGCAAGGCCTCGACGCTGGTATTGATCCCATGGATATGCTGGTATATCTTGATGAGTCTGCATGCAGCGAGAAGGTAATGTTTCGCCGTCGTTCATGGAGTCAGATAGGTCTACCGGCCTACACAAGGTCAGAGCTAGTTAACAAGACTCGATGCTCAGTACTGCCAGCTTTAGATGTATATGGGTATCTGTATGGCTCATCCCTTGTCGTTGAGGGCGCGGTCACTTAAGCCATGTATGAATACTGGCTAGAAGCAGTGATCTTACCTCAGTGCGAACCGTTCCTAGGAAGGAGGTCGATCGTTATAATGGATAACTGCTCGACCCATCACTCAGATAAGGTATGGTCAAATTTTGGTGAGAACTCCATAGTAAACTAACCCCGACAGATCACTGATTTGGGTCGCCAGTTTGGCATCCATTTGTTATACCTGCCACCATACTCACCACACCTCAACCCTATTAAATTAACCTTCCACCTCTTAAAACAGTGGCTCCGTCGTTAAAGAGACCTAGCCCCAAAACCAGAGGATCTAGAACTGGCAGATTACAAGAAGGCATGGATATTGCACCTCGAACAAGCAGTTACATGGGCCCTTAAAGAAGTAGACGTTAGAAACCTGTTCGTACGCAGCCAAGTGCCATTAGATCTCATGATCACTACTGCTCGAGCTGGTGGAGCCAGGGCCTAAGACCGACGAGGGTCGCGAGACAGAGCCTCTAAACTCGCTTAGATTACTGCTATGGCGAGGGTTGAATGCTGCTTGGTTAGAGTTCTGCTGTCGTCGTTATTGACGCTTATAATTATCGACGAATTTAGTCAGTTCCTCATAAAGGGTTATACGAAGGCCAGTTTGCTTGATTACTCGTAATAACATGTCATCGGAAGATGCGTAAAGCATTCTTAAGGTCCAGTAGTCTTCTTTAAGCGCTGCCTTCGCTCGATTAAGGCCTGTTAACCAATTAGGGTAAGCCAATTTTACACCGTCCCAATAATCTTCCCAACTAGCAGAGGTATTTAGCTCTAGCGGCACTGGCGAGACCTGTCGAGGAGTAGGAGTGGTTGGTGTAGTCGCTAGTGATTGCGCAGTCTTCTCATGGCCGACATAGATGTTGTTAACAGTGCCTTAAGAAGGTGAACCTTGTGCAGGATTAGGTCGTCTCTAAGGTTGCTTCTCAAGCGCAGCTTCCTTGGCCTAATGGAGTCTTTTAATAAGGTCTCGGATCGCCTTGTTTGGCTGCTCGAGGGTACCTCTACCGGCCCTAACCTCATCGCGCCATCGGCTAGAAACGGCAAGGACGATCTCGTAATGGCGACCCTAATACGGGAAGCATGCAAGACCTCTGCGTAACTTGATGTGGCATCGTAGTGGGGTTGGGCAATCCCAGAACTTAACAATTGAGTCCCAGAATACTGCTCGTTCTGACATGAAGTTGGTGGTCTGTTCGATCGATCTCTAAGATCGAGCATGGCGAGAGGTTTGAGAAGACTGAGGTGTACTTAAAGGTGCTTCGTACGCAGGGGGTGCCTCTGGCTCTGGTTCTTTACCATCAGGCGTCCATATAGACTCAACTATAAGAGACAGGTCCTTTATGCCGCTGCGAGCATTAAATTGAACAAGGTCCATAGCCTTCTTCCAGCGCTCACCACCACCCTCGACCCTAGCAAGAACAACTGCTTTAGTCTGACGGAGACCGCGAGCACCGGTCGATGTAATTAAGGCCTTGATTTTCCATAGATAGAACAGCGCGATCCCTTAACCTTCTAAATAAGGTATGACAGTTCCATCCATCTCTTTTAAAGCCTCTGCCCATGGTTTGTTACTGTCGGCAAGGCTAGTGTCACTTTTAGAGATCCTTTGGTGGCCCTAGCGTGTGTCAAATTGAAGCTTAAATGGAATTGGGACAGGAGGTGCTATAGCGACAGGACCTGTAGTGACAGTAGACGAATCTGAAGATACTTTCTTCGCAGTGGCGGTCTTATGACCCTTCGGAAGGTTGCTGCGAAGTTTGGTGACCTTATTCGTAGTAGTGGTTGATCGGCGAGTGGTTGGGGCTAGGTTGTTGTATAGCTTCGCGGGTCGATTTTTAGTCGCCAGGGCCTATATCTTGGTCTTTCTTGAGGTATTTGATGTCCGTTCTTTGCCTAACGTGTTCGCAGCATTGGAAAGTGGTTTCCTACTAGCGGATACCTTTTTTAGAGGTGGTTGTGGTAGTTGGGTAGAGGGAGGATGTTTTGCTGTAACCTGACGTTAGGTGGATTCGGGGAGTGTTTGTTGATTAACAAGACGAACTGGCGCTTTTCCACGGGTTGATCGAGCCGGTATAGCAACAGGAGCACTAGAAGGACCAGTTTCCAGCTCTAGATCGAAGTGTACATGCCGTCGCGTGCCCCGGTGTGCGGTAGGAGGTGCTGGCGAAGGTGGAGCGGTTGAGAGGCTCGAGTCTCGAGTCCTGCTCTAAGAACGCGTACGAGGGCCAGGACCAGCTGCTACTTCAAACAACGCTTCAGCGGCACTGGATTGGTCCATATTGACGTGTATAATAAGATAATTGACTATGGTAGTATAGCTATCAAGCTAATGGTAGATAGACTAGCTGATCAGAGCATCAAGTTCGAAGTTGGGGGTGGCGAATTCTCACAACTTTTGCACACGTGAATAGTGTGAAGCTTGTGTCTCGCGCCAATCCTCCCGCGCAGGCCGCGCAGGCTTCATACGAAACTCAATTCCGATCACCGGAAAAGGAAGCTGAGGCGGTAGCACTATAAAGGCACGGAATATAGCTGAAGGATCGAGTTAGATATGGAAGATGTGGTTTTGATTATCGTTCGCATATCGGCAACATTTGCCAGCTGGGACTCGATGGAGCAAGCCACTGTGGCCTAAGCAGCTCGCGATTTTCGCTCGGCTGTGTTGACCAAGCGGCCCCAAGGCTCATCAATGATGCGTTGAAAGACGTCTGTCTGTCCAGCCATATCCAAAGCTCGCTGTCGGTCCGCTGTGGCGTGGAAACGATGCAAAGTAGAGACCCAGAATCAAACAACCTCCCATTGTCATCGCTGGGACGTTACCGTGCTGTCCACGCATCCTCGAACGGCTACCACACATAGACACATCCTCGATGCCACTCTTACGCCACGAGATGTCAATTTCAGCAAGAAGCATGCCGTAGAGATATAATGCCACATCCCAGCGACCGCCCAAAAAACAGGCGATGACCATCATGGGCAGCAAAAGCATCCTCAAGGGCGGACGAACCGGTGTGAGAGAGACAAGGCTTATGGACAAAACCATGGAACACCGGAATTGTAATGGCACAGTCCACAAATGAGGTCCATACACAAATCTGCCTGTCGACCATTTCCAAGGATTCAGCAAATCCTGGTGGATGAATGCTCCCCAGGCATAGACTTGTGCCATCAGACTACTTGCCCTCTGTGGATGTGTAGGGACGTGTCCTGGCATTGTAGCATAGGAAAAATCAAACATACCCAGCTGTGTGAGTAACATGACTACAAATGTCATGAACAATGGAGGTCCGAAGACTCTGAACCCACGCCGTAAAGTCGATGAGGCGAGTGACTCAAGAGCCAAATGTTGGTTACCTTTATGTGCGCAGGATAAAGGCTTCAGCGAGACGACATAACCAGAGACGACCAGGAAGATTGGTACATTTGGCCCCGAGTACAGCACACGGATGACCGGGAGGCGGAGGAAACTTGTCAGATCGGGTGTCTGGTAATAGCCGTAGTCCACGGCTCTATACCATGGGAGTATGAAATGTCGGACGAATACAAACAAGGACGCAACTCCTCGTAGACCATCCAGGTAAGCCGCTCTGCCATTATTTGGTGCCCTTTCGTGTACCTGGTTGCTGATCCCGTATCTCGTCCACTCAGGTAGAAGACAATAAATGGCGTCGAGGCATTTGACTGCGCCTTGCTTGACGACGACGAAGTTCGAGGACTCTGTTGAGCGGCATCAGACACACTGATCTTAGGACTTGCAAAGTCTGGGTGCACACTTACGTTGGTCAAGAGAGAGCATGGCAGAAAGTCGATAGTGTTCAACCTCTCACTTCTGCTTGGCAAAGTGTTGAAGCGGATGTTCTTCGAAAGGCAGATCACTGTCAATACATCGAGGCATCAGCCGCACGGGATCCAATCGCCGAAGCGGGAGCAGATAAAGGGCGCTTCCCAGACATAAGGATCAAAAACGCGCAAATCGAAGCCCGAACTCTAATGAGCTTCCGCCGCCGTTTCCGCTGCATGCAGCTACCGAGTACTGCTTGAGTAGTCCGCGCTAGGATCCCTCGCTGATAATTCCCAGCTGTCACAGCCTTTCTTCCAAATCCATTCAGGTCTACATGATACCCTTAAGATATCCTCAATTGATTCGGTATTTCTTGTCAGTCCCTTCCTCGAACAACGATGAGCAGATACAAAGCCCTCGATAGAGTGAGCGATGAGATACTCGACTTTGAGTCTTCGACGCTCACTGATACTCAAACTCCACGCGTCCCGGGTCGTGTTGCAATATTGTGGTTTCTTGCTGGAGTCATCTTCTCCATTAGTACGACTACGGCTATGGCTATCGGTCTTCGTTCTGTCCGTCACGATGGGGTTCGCGCAGAGTTGATTCCAAATTGTACATCTGAACATCTCAGGGATTAGTGAGATCTGTCGCTGATTCATGCAGTTTCATTGGTTGAAGTCGAGTTCAACCCAGAGCCACGATATGCAAATCTGACTGATATGGCGTCAAGACATCTGTGGCACGAATTGGGTCGGTTTATATGAAGGCTAAGGACTTTGCGTCGCGCTGATATAGTCTAGTGCACCACGGTCATGTTTTCGTGCAAGATGCGGCGCGACTCGGAATGAAACCTGGCATTCCAGTCTCTGATGATGGAGGGGAGCGTATCATCGTATCAGGCTTTCATGGGTTACATTGCCTGGTAAGATTGGACTCCAACTGATTGGTCATCACACCTTTGCTTCAGATTGCTGATATGGTCTTGACTTAGCGCTCGATACGCGACGAGGTGACTGAGCTTCTTCTTGGTCATCCAACACGAACTATACATGACTACCACGATCATCCAGCTCACCTCGACCACTGCTTCGACTATCTGCGACAACTTTTGATGTGTGATTTGGAGATCACTTACGAGGGTGCCAGGGTGGATCCGGACGGAATGTCGCGGGCAGTGGATGGATGGGGTACCCTGCACCAGTGCAAGGACTGGTCCGCAATCAACAGCTGGATGCTAGAGAATTGGAACAAGGAACGAGAGTCCTCGGGCTGGCATCCGCCACATCATGATGTCCCAGTCCAGGAACCCAACGCTACAGACACACAGCCAAGAGGGAATAGGGGAAAACCAAGGGAGGATTTTACGATGTAGCATGCGCGATGTTATGTCTAGTTCAGTAAAGTCTCTAGACCACACTCATCAGAGCACACAGCTCTCTGACTTGGCTGGGTGATGGCTGAGAAAGCTTAGTGTGCTTCTCATCACAGATCTATAGGCATTTTCTCCATACCAAGTAGGGAAGATTGATGAGAGTACCATATTGGCATCCAAAAGTGATGAGCTCCACAATCATAGATGGTAAGAGAAATGGAAGTAGAGATGCACTATCTTCTCTTGATTCCCTGAGTCAAAAGCGCTGCTGATCATCCGTCTTCCTTTGACATGCTGAATATTCAGCCACCGATCTCTCACCAGCCGATGGGTACTACGAAGTTTCCCCCCCTCTTCAGTATCGGCCTCCTTGAAGGTCTTTATGTGCCCCTCGACTCCATTCTCACCAACCTTCCAGTCTCCCCTTTCGACCATCCCCCTCCAACTCTCGAGAACTTTGATCAAACGCACCTTGTGCATCTCGATGTACGAGTTCCACCCTTGTTGGTATAGCTCAGTGTGTCTATCGCCACAAGAGCTATCCTACTCGATACGTCGGTCCCCAATTCTCGAGCCGTCGGGTGGTCGAGCAAATCCGTTCGCACCAATTCCAAATGGTAACACTAGCTTGACTGCATCTTCGAATCCGTGTATCAAGAAACGTTCCGATTCGAGTAGATATACTCGAGCTAGGATCGAGGGCGACTTGTCATACGGGGGTTGAAAAGGAGGGTCTTCGTTTTCGTCTCGATCAGCGAGCTGAAAGGAATTCGAGGAAGCGAAAAGAAGTATTGGTTTGATCCACACCCGAAGTATGGTCGAAGTTTCTCTCCGTTTCAAGATCATGACCACGATAGAACGGTTGCTGTGCGAACGATTGTGTGGTAGGAACACTGAGGTCTGGCGCAATATGCGTAAATGCTGGGCGTCGAGCTTTGGCAACGAATGATCGTGCAAAATCGGGAGGTATTCCTGACGCATCCAAGACAGAGTCTGGGAGCAAGGATTCCGATGTTTTTGGCACTGGGAGTCCTTCTTCTCGCATCCGAGTCTCCATGCTGTTCACCAAAGCATTGAATACATCAGCTGTCTCCTGCACCATGAGATCGTTCCGATGATTGCATATCCAAGGTCCATTCTCCTCGACTCCGTGAACAGAATCGTCCTCCGCTTCTATCTTCCCAACATCAATCATGTCAAGCCACGCGGAAAGAGTCACCTCGAGAGGATACCATGGTGTGCGTCCGTTGAGCTTAAGGTCAGTATCGTGTATCGACATCTGCATCACGGCTTTATTTTCTCTTTGGTCAAACGCGAGGCCATTAGGATGACTTGCCATAGATGTCGCGCCATACAGTGTCAGATATCTGTACCTTTCTTCATCCTCGACCATTCCGTCAAACGACTCCCAGATGAGAGACCCGTGACATAGTAAAACAGACAAAATTGGTCATCGTTCTTGACCATCTGTGCTTGCTCCAGAAAGGCTATGAGGTCTGAAGACAGATGCTGTCGGCATCCAATGGTCGATTGCCCATGATATTGAAACCAGTTCACTGTCTCTAGTCGGTCGAGAGATCTACCAGAGCCAATCCAACCGCGTCGAAGGATCTCATTGTGTGGTGCAGCGCAGTGTCTGTGATCAAGTCGGCCTTGTAATCGCACGGGGTGATCATTGGTGACTTGCCATTGGAATGGTTCAGAACCCATGAAATCAAGCTGTTGCAACAATTTCTGTTAGTGTGAAGATCGGTAATCATTAAGTTGCTCGTATCACGTAGGCAGCAAAACTAACATGGGACCCGTCAACTTCAAGATTCGTGGTGAGCTTCCAGCCGCGGCGACGCAGCCTATATATATACTAAGGGGATGGTCATCCAGGCTGATCCTCGGATAACTGACACTATTTCATATAATAAAAAGTATGTTTCAGATCATATTCAGCGACCCGCTTCCTGGAATTGACAACACATCCTCAGAGATGCGGTCATACAACAAAAGCAACAGGGCATCATTCATAAGTGTATACAATGTAGAGATTCTATCCCAAAGCAACGAGGTAAGATTCTTTTCATCATCCAGAATGGCCATAGAAAAAATCCATGATAATCGGCGAAGCATCAATCGGCGCTCCAGCACTGATACTTGCCCACGCGTGCCCCCACCCAGCAATTTTGTAGTGGGTCACCAATCCTTGCACACCATTCGAAGCACCAAATTCGTACTTGGTCACATTGCCGTTTGCCAGGGATGAGGTGACATTGGAGCTTGACAATCCGTCTCTGAGAGCCCAATCAGTGACCCAGTGTGGCACTGTGGGTAGACAATAACCACGTCGAGGGCCGCCGGGGTAGGGAATAGTGCCGTCTGCATCACCGTGGAACTCGAGCATTGGCAAGTCAGATCTACCTGGCGAGCATTTTGGCTGTACGATAGTATTTGTAAAGACGGTCGACGGGATGCAAGTGCCTGTGGTATTGGTGTACTCTGCTCCAGAGTTTGCTGCGAAAGTGCTGAAGCGCTTGGACAAGGTTGGGTCGCATGCGAGCGTGCCGACGAAGCCTCCACCGTTGGAAAACCCTGTGGCTAGCATACGGCTCTGGTCAATGCAATAGTGAGATGTGATGTAGTCGAGTAAGTTGGTGGTGAAGGTCATGTCCTCGTACCCTCCTCCTACTGTATCCGGATCACCTTGCCATTCTCCCTGTGGTACATCAGTTTTGAGCCGACACTCATAAGGTTGCAGACTTTGAGACTTACATTGATACCCAGAGGATAAACCGCGATCGCGTATGGATTCCATGTCTCACTTGAGAGTTTTGAGTCGCTCTCTACCGAAAGCTGATTGTTGGATCGTCCGTGGTAGCCTATGATCAATGGCGCAGCCTTGTTGTTCTTGTACGAAGTTGGCACATGTACATTGAACGATCGCACAATTCCACTTGACGTGATTTGGAAGGTCGTTGACGCGCCTCCCAGTTGCACACCGGCAGGTAATGCGGCTCCACAGCCAGAACTTGCTTTGCTGTTGCCAGAAACTGGGACCGGATACTTTTGTGTATTGACCAGGAATGCGCTGTACGCTGAGGACTTGGTGATCAAGCTGGAGAAAGAGCTTTTGAAGTAGCATGAAGTGCCGATGTAAGTCACAGCAGCACAGTTTGTGGTGGCTGTGCAAGCTTTTAGGCACAGTTGGAAGGTCGAAGCGGACGTCGAACCAACGGAGCCAGGACTTGTGTCGAAGCCGCACAGAATCTGCCAATTGTTTCCTGCGGTGTCCACGTAGTTTGTGAAATTGGACGAAGGGCATAGATTGGTTGAGGAGGCTGCGGCAGCACTTGATACTGAAACAGCTGATGACACAGAAGTGACCAGAGTCGATGCGACATTACTTTTCGCCGACGAGACAGCGTCATCAATCTTGACAGCAGAGATATAAGTGTCAGACGCGGTGGTGTAAGTTCCCATGCTCTTTTTCAACCAGCAAGTTCCTGACCCAACGCCGTCCGTTCCACCCACGTAGGTGAAGCCTTTACAGCCAGCGGAAGCGGCACCATCGCAAGCACTCATGCAGTCCAAGTATGAGGAGCTTGCGCCAGTGTTTGAGTACGACCCGACGCTATTGTCCGACGAGCAGGTCACTCGATATGTGCTTCCATTACTGTCCGTGATAGTCTGGCCGTTGGCGGTGGGACATTGACTGGCAGCAGGGATGGTTTGTGCACTGACGTATGCCGCGACGGATAGCACAGTGAGAAGGGTAGATGTTCGCGTCATACTAGGGCGTTTGTTCCAAGGATACCCGGTGCGCAAGCTGGGAAGTGAGAGGCCTTTATGGCTGCATTTCCAAACAAAGAAAGTCTCAGGCATGACGAAGCTCAGCGTGAAGTCGGCCGAGATATTCACGTCCCGCGTCATGGGAACAATGGCATCCAGCCATTGCTGTAGTCTGTTTGGAATGCATGTGATTGAGCGTCCGGCTATACTCGAAGGTTGGAGGCTGCATGATGCCAAAACAAATCTCTGGTGGAATGTGGCAGCGACTCGATCTCATAGGCCGGTCCAAATCGTGAGTGGTGACATCTCAAGCATGCGTCCTGGATATACACTTTCGGTTCACAAGCCATCCCGGATTTTCAGGCACACAGGCCGCGGTCGCTCCAAGATCATGATCGCATCTCGCATGGAGGCGGACAGCGATCGTTTCGCATAGAGACGAGAAGGTCCGTTGCTTGTCTCGTAGCTTGTTTCAAGCGAGATTGTCCCAAGGGATTCGTCTCATAGACTTGACAGACATCCTTCATAGCATGAGAGCAGAAGTCGAAGAGTCAAGGAACTGTGTACAAAAAACAGAGAGTGGGGTAGATGATTCCCGGCTCCGCTTCGGGTTTGTGCCTGGACAAATCTTTTTGGCTAAACTTTCCTTTTCTTGCCGGGCTTGCTTCGATCTCCTGGTCATCACTTTGCGGGGATACCTGCACGCAGCAGACATGACTTTCAAGCGTCCCGCCTTGGTTCGGGCAGGGTCAGTAATTCTGGCGTCGTAAGAAGTTGATGTCGAACACCCGAATCCGTATGGGACAAGCTGTCTCCGTCATATGCCTGTGCAGTCTCTCAAGCTGAAGCGCGTGTTACGCAAACAGTGGCGCTTGCTAATCTCAATCGTCCCGCCGATTCAGGTCCGAACTGATTGATGTGGCTGTCAAGAAAGCTTGTCTTGCGGCACTTCTATGAATTGCGATTTTTCGCGATATCGATCGCTATTCGTCGAATCAGAGCCGATACAGGACCACGTTTTCAACAATATTTGCTTGCTGCTACAACATATTCGCCTGGTAGCAACCAGACACATGCGATACTTCCTGGCAGAGCCGAGTTCGGCCCAGAGAGGAGGACATCGCTCCAAGAAAGAAACCGTTCCCTGTCCATTAAGCAGCGATGGTCTCTGAACGTGCAACTCCGGGACATTCGCTAGTTGAACACGAAAAGTTTGGAAACCATGGCTGATCTCGACTGATCTCCTCAGCTCAGGAACGACAGCTTTTTCTCCAGAGAGGATCTCAAACCTCGTATTGCATCTTGTCACAGACTGCCACATGTTTCATCTTCCATTGTGAATTTGTGTCGCATTATTGACCGCGCAGGGGCTCTTCTGTTCCCGTTCGTATATCGAATGAGTGGGTAGTCTGACAACACATCATGGACCATACTGCGAGTCTCCTCGGGTCGCAAATTGCATGTACGACTGGTCTTGCTTCTTGCAACGAGGAGATGATTGAACGAAATTGCATGGATGAATTTGGTCAGACAGAACAGAAAGGAGTATGGGTAGTAAGCGACACGGTCTTGTGACTATCGACATTGCTCAGTTGCCATTTCGGCAGAAGCATGAAGACTCAATCGGTACATCCGCATTTGCAACAGCCTTCGCCAATTGAGGTTCGATGATTTTTGCTTCTTTGGCCTTACCGAGTCTCACAAGACACTCATTATAGCCATGTAGCGACCAGACATTATTTCGATGCTGCAAAGCACGAGGAAGAGTATCATCATATCCCAGATCAGCTTTGAACACTTTCTCGGCTTGATCAATCCTACCCTGTTCGAGCAGCAACGCCCCGAAAGCATGTCTGGTGGGTTGCATCCATCCCCATGGTTCGTCATATGGTAAGCTGTCGTCAAGTTTGACTGCTTGTTCGAAATGCTCGAAAGCTTTGTCAAAGTTACGGTCTCGATATTCGACTTCCCCGTACAACATTGTCTTGGCTACCTGGAGAATGTCGATACAGCGGTTGTTGAACAACATGCGTGATGCTGCAACTTTACTCAGTGCAGCTTCGAACTGCTGTAGAGTTTCTCTCGCTTCTTGGACTCGGTCGGTCGCTGCAAATGCGATACCTCGTCCGTAGAGCACAAATGCCGAGGAGACGCAGAATAGCTGCTCGTCGGTTGGGAGCTCCAGCGCTAAGATGTCTTCCCACATGCCGAACCGGATGAGGACGTGTACTCGTACAGATAGAAATCCTTCGAGCCAATCAGCCATCGGAGGAGAGGCAACACGGAGCAGATTCTCGGGCAACGACGCCTCGAGGCCTGCAACGCTTTCCAAAGCCACCTTCGACTGGCCAGCAAACATTGCAGCATAGATGCGAAAATGGTAATCGTGCGATCGGTATAGTGTGTAGAAGTTGACTGGACCGACTCGACTCAAAAACTTCTCATCTGCCTTGATAGCTTCCAGGTTCCAGATGGCAGCAGACTCGTAGTCACCACATAGAATGTCCAAGTGGGTAGGCATATGATGTAGATGACCAGCGTCGGGGACGAGACCTCGAAGGAGATTAGCTTTGGGCACAGCTGATTCAGGCTTGCTCGACATCTCCATCAAGTGGATGTACATGTGCAAGAGCCCAGGATGCCGATCTGAGTCCGAATTGCTCAAGGCGCGGTCAAGCACCTCCTTCGCTTCCACGGTGTGAGCGCCCGGAGCGGGCTCACCAGTCTCCAGATCCCACAAGCCCCAAGGAGTGACGTTCATCAAGGCATCCGCGAAAAGTGTTGCGACATCGAGGTCCTCGGGAAATGCCGAGTAAACCTTTCTCATAGCATCTGCATACGACTGATTCCACGACTTGAAGTCATCCTGATCATACTTACGAGACAGATCAGACGGATAGCGTGATTGTAGCGCCTCGATGAGGACTTGCTCAAGCGGCGATGCAGAGCTTCCTCGGCGTCGCGCCTCTTGAGCCGCAGCGTCAGCTTTCTTCACCGTCGCGAAAAGATCATCTTCGTCAAAAAAGTCCCAGGGCTTGTTATAATTCGGACCGGAGGCATATGCGAGGCCCCAGTACGCCAAAGCACAATTCTCGTCCTGCTCGATGGCGCGCTCGAAACATTTGACGGCTTCCTCGTGGTTGAAGCCGTAGGTCCAGACCAGCCCTCGGTCGAACCATATCTGAGCGGTGTCGCTTGTCGTAGTGACAGACTTGTGATGCGTGCCTAGATCGAAGGGATACTCATCTGGCGCCATGTGACCTCCAAACATCTCGCGTGACAGGATGGTGGGACAAGTGATGTCGCCGCAAAGGTGCGGGACCAAGAAAGAGGGCTAAAGTTCGGTAGCGGAAGAGATTGAAGGGCGGTAGCCTATCTGTAGGCGACACCGAGTCGGTCTAAACTCTCCCCATGAGCGTAAGCTTATGCCGCAGAAACACACGCGGAGATCAGGCTTGCTCTCTGACTTCGGGCTGCAGACGCTGGCAGAGACAAGGGACAAATTCACGCGCAGCCTCTTGCCGATCTGTATCGCATGGAGTACATGACGCCTAATCATTACAAGCAAAGCATTTCATGTCGCTAATCATGATTGTGCACTCGTCGTCTAGCAGTTCTCAAGCAGAACCCCAGCCTGACTTGGTGCAAAGATAGGAAGACAATGGCTTGAGAAAGACCGTAACGGCTTATGACAGACTAAGGCTGTCGGCCGCAAACGTTATTTGCAACACTGTGTCGCTGGTGCCGTCGGACCGATGACTCAACATGCGATATCAAAGACGATCGGGGCAATCTATGGCCGTAGTCGAGTGCCTGTCGACCTGATGGCGTGCTATAATACAGAGAGGACCTCCGAGTATTTTTGCAGCTCAGCAACAAAAGTTCTTCACACAATTCTCAAGCCTTTTACGCAACCACGCAACTCACAAGCATACCATTTTTCCAAGAGAATCAGGGGTGCAGTACTACTGAGCAAAGGAGCATTCGTAGCTAATTTTCCTCGCTCAAATTGGTGAGATCATTCGCAGACTCACATCCAGAACAGGGATTAAACATGTTTACATGCGCTCTATCATATTCGCCAGTTCCAAAGCTTGACTTTGCCATCGTTCCCGCCATAGTATATCGCCTGCCCGTTGGGAGACATCGCTATGTGTTTTCTTCCTGTGATATTGTCTATGGGGCCCTCTTCGATGAATCCAGTCGTCGGATTGCAGGTACCGATCCCGCCATCAAATCTTGCATAGGCTATCTCCTCTGTGCCTGGCGAGCACGCCAAACGGTAAACGCCCGGCAGATTGATTTTGACAGGCGCCTTCTGCGCTCCCGCTTCTAAGTCGAACGAGACAATTTCGCTGAGCCCATTGACACAAACCAGCATGAGGCTATCGGTGACGATGCTGTGAGTAAATCTGGCCTCGAGATCCTCGTAGACTGAAGTGAGGCTGTTCGTGGGCACATCCCATATATCCACTCTGGTTGAACCACAACACAAAATTTGTGAATCATTTCGAATGAACGAAACCATTCTGGGCCGTACATCGAGTGGGAGAGATTTTTTGACTCTTTTGCCAGTAGGCATGTGATAAATCACGAGTTTGCTTTCGGAACTTCCCCGAATGATCTCTTCGTCTTGGCAACAAGCAATCACTTCGTTGTTCGCAGATATTGCGAGGGTGCTACGAGAATGCACATTGTGTATGTGCACTCTACGTGGTTGTTCGCCTGTCTCAAGAACCCACACGCTAACCTCGGCATCGGCCAGTACTGCGGCCAGCAAGGTGCCATTCGGAGAAAAAGCTACACTGGACCCTGTGTAAAAAAGCTTGCAGTGTACGTTTGCGGTTTCCTTGCCGGTCTTTAGATTCCACAGTCGAATTCGCCCAGGTGAAGCGACCGCCAGGACCAACCCCGGCGAAATTGCCATATGTAATATACGGGCACGATGGTCAGATTCCAGATTTGTGCTTGTCTGAGCACTCATTTCGTCTGGTCCTTCCGACTCCGCCAAAACGCGGGAGGTCGGCATGAGTTGTAGACTCGACAACCCCAGAGACATCAAGCCTGTCCTATCACTACGGCGTTTCATGCAACGCTTGTAAACAGCGGTCGCCTTGATGACTGGGTCGAAATCGAAAGCTGCCAAAGCTGACTTGTTTGTCGCTACAGTCAATATACTCGCAGCGTCGCTGTCGACGCTCGAAGACTTGTCAGCCGCTTGAAGATGTCTGCGGAGAGAGTTGTGGGCTTGGAGCATGCTTTCCAGAGTTTTTTCTTGGTTTGTCATTATTTCTAGCATCCTGTCTTGCTTATCACTGGTCATCATCAGTCTGAGCACATCTCATACTCGTCATTGTCCTACCTCTGCAGATGATGGAGGACTGTGTTCAACAGAGCGTTATAGTCTTTGAATTGACCGAAGAGTTCCTTCATGTCGGATTCGTTGTACAACGCTTTCAGTTTGTCGATCCTCGCAGTCTTCTGGGCCATGGAAGGTACGTCGCTGGCAGCGATATTGAGCAAGTCCGACACATGCGTCTCGAGCAAGGACAGAGTCATGGTACATCCAATCTGGATGCCGTCGAACTGCTCGAGAAGGTTTTGATAAAGGTTTCCCCAGGCGCCAGTATAATCTTTGAGCGTGGACTCAACCTGTTCCAAGGTTGAGCTGGTCATGTTACAGGTCGTGGCGATAGACGACAGTGTCAGGGGTATGAACTTGTAACTCTGATGGAGCTGGTTAATTCCTTTGACGATGCTGTAACAACCAGATAGCAGAGGGCCAACAGCCACATGAGCGCCTGCAACTGTCAAAGCCATCGTGTGCAAGGGCTCGACAGGCAATGAGAAGGGAAGAGAGGTGGGAGTCGGTCCCGCTTTGGATCACGGTGAAGATGGGCGGCTGAGAATTGAGGCTGACGCGCAGCCACTGGCTGCAGGACGCTGAGTCCAGATACCGCAATGCCAGATGAACTATCTTGTAGTGTACATACACAGGCCAGAGCGAATCCAGCAGTCAGATGTCGTCTGGGTGATGTTGCATGCACATGCTGGATGACAACTCTTTTCATAGAAGGGATCTGGATTTCCAGCCACAGGCTTGGATCCGAGGGACGAAGGACGAGGCGAACGAGAAACTTGTGCGAGGCAACACACAAGCACCTTCGTCAGGGTGTTCTGCACCCACAACTGCGTAGACATATCGTTGCTTGATCCATGTCTGCGCGCAAGGAAGACAAGCATCGCACGTGAAGATGCAGAAGAATCGAAAAGTTATAAAAAGTTTGTCTCGGTCAAGACCCTGGCGGTCGGGGGAGTCGCACCTTCCACCGCGATATCCATACTGAGCATCTCGCCTTCTACAATCATTCCAACACACACCACAACACAACAACATGTCAACATTCGGCGGACCCGGCGGACGTCAAGTCATCGCGAAACCCACACCGTACGCCTTCGACTCGACTCGCCCACCGCCTTTGCGCACCCGCTGACGGCGCCCCTGCAGACCTGAGCGCGGCTCCTTCCCTCTCGACCACGATGCCGAGTGCCAACACATCATGAAGTCGTACTTGCGCTGCCTACGCGCCCACCGAGGAATGAACGACGACGAGTGCCGCATGCTGAGCAAGATTTACCTCCAATGTCGCATGGACAACAACCTCATGGCGCCTGACGAGATGAAGAATCTGGGTTATGACAACACGCCACAGGCTTTGGCCGCCGCTGCTGCTGCTGGACATGCTCCGTCAAACAATGCGACAACAGCGAATAAGACGCCAGAAGGTGGCAACAAGTAAGAGAATGTATGATGAGAGAGGAAGGGCGGCTTGTAAGAATAGAAAGAGAATGGGCATACATGAATACCCCGGCGCAAACAATATGCAATACGACGAGGCGGAAAAGAGGCGGATGGCTGTTCATACGCTACACTCCAACACAATTGACCACTCTACAGTTTGCCCTTGAGTCCGTCCAACAGACCTTGCAGGAAGACCGACGCAGCATAAGCACCCGGGTCCCTGGGCACGTCCTTTTCGCTGATCTTGTCACCAACATACGTCGCTCTCCCGTACACGGCCGCCATGCCCTCCGTCTTGTCTGCACCCTTGACCGCCTCAGCCACGGCTGCCTCGAGATCGCCTCGTTCGGACAGCGTCTCGCAAAAGGGGATCAATGTGTCCATGACTGTTCGTCCGCCCACACGCGCCGGTGTGTACGTCTGCAGGTTTTTCAACGCCTGTCCCGCACTGCGGCCCGCCACTTGCTCGTTGAAATCAAGGGAAGAGTCGGCGCGATACGTGTTCTTGAGGTCTGACGTCCACGAGGCGAGCAAGATGCTGATGATGGCCCCGAGCGTCCCGCCGATTTCTTCGACTCCACTCTCGATTTCGTCAAGAATGGGCAGCAATGCTCCCTCGTGTCGCGACACCAGTCCGGCTGAGAGTTGTGAAAGGACACCCTTGCACATTCCCTCGACCGCCTCGCCGCAATCGCCGTCGCCCATGACGATGTCCCACTTGGTAATGTCGGGCTCCGCTGCTACAGCCGCTTCGCACGCACTTCGGAGTGCACCTTCGAGTGTGGCCACGTCCAGCTTGGGTCCAAAAGACACCGTCCCGTGGCCAGACAGCGACGCCCTTGTCTGTGTCGGGCTGTCGACTCTGCTCTGACCGTATGAGTTCCTCGGCCAAGCCGGTGCATCTGTGTCTCTGTCCAGCAATGCATACAGCTTGTCCTCCTCCATCTTTGTCTCTTTTGCGACGCCGCTCAGATTGAGGAGGGAGATGCTGAAGCCGGGCGCGTTAAGCGATGTTTCGAAAGGCTGTGCGTATACTCTTGTCGGCGAGATGTTCCAGTCCGACTTGAGATGGCTGATGGTCAAGGATGTCAAGGCTTCGAGTTCGAGGTTGGAGAGACCGCCGAAGTTGTTGATGAGCAAGGCTACCTCGTCATCTGATGTGAATTGAACAAACGCACGGTCCTTGTCGTTCTCGTCGAGGAGGTAGCGCAGCAGCTCTTGTATCAATTCGTCTGGTGGAGGAATATCCTTCTCATGGAGGCCCTGCTTTGCGTCAGTGGAGTCTTTGTCCAAAGCTGGGCAGACTTACAGCTTCATTGTGGATGCCTTGAGCGACCGATAGTGTGTTTGCAGGTAGGGATTCGTGATGTGCTCGTCCAGGGATGTGACAGTAATCCAACGATGATCCAATGGTAATACAATGACCATTGACGCTCTCGCCGATGGCAAAGCAAGTGTCAAAGTCGTACTCTTCTTCGGCAGCGGCACCGCAGAGTTTGAGAACTATGCTACTGTCAGCCACATCCCCCTGCTATCTCTCTTTCTTTGCTTCTTGCAAACTTACCGAACATGTTTCCAGCCAATCCTCTCCTACCCAACTTGCTCGTCTTCTCCCTGCCCAAACCCACATCATCAGTCATCCTCAACATCCCCACCTTCCTGCCCGCACCAGCCACCTTCTCCCTCGCCAACCCAAAGTGCAAGTTGTCTCCCGTATAGTTTGTGATACACAAGATCACTCCCTTGTCACTCGGCACTTTTTCCACTGCAGCCATGATTTGCTTTGTCGATGGTGAAGCAAACACTTCGCCGCTAATTGCTGCAGAGAGCAGACCATGACCTACGTAGCCGCACCAGGCTGGTTCATGGCCGGCGCCGCCGCCGGAAAGCACAGAGACTTTGGAGGAAGAGTGCGTGGGGAGGTAGACTACTTTGTTGGGGGCGTCGAGGGAGAGATGGGGGTTCTTTGCGACCAGAGACTCGAGGCCGCGGACGACGAGGTTGTGGGTGTCGGGGAAGAAGTGTTTTGTTGCCATTGTTGCGTTTCTTCTGGCGATGGTGCTTTTGCTGGGTGCTGTCGTGTGCCAAATTGCAAGCGTTTCACGGGAGGAAATGGGAAGAAGAGGAGCTAGAGCTTGTCTTGCTTACATACCAAGCTGCTTGCCTCCGAGACCGCGTTTTGGTGCCGGGGACTGAGCCTCATCTTGGTGTCTCTGCCGGGTGTACTCAGAGGGGTAAGAATCCGAGAGGCTGGGCCATAGCGGGGAAATGAGCGGGGTGCTTTTTGGCGGGGTGCAAAAGCCTGGAATTGCCTGTTTGGGTAAACCGAGCGGATGAATTCGTAATGAACTTCTAGCGGAGCGTGAGGTTTCGTCACGAAAACCGCTAGACTGATGAGGAAGATATATGGTCAGCCGGAATAGGAACGTGGCTGGAGAGAGAATTGTCTTGAAGATCAACAAGACACTGGCAGTCGCAGGGTCCCAAGCTTCGTACAGCATAACATGGAATTCGTCATTCGTGGCTCCGGTCTCAATATCATCAACACGCCGCACTGACACAAACATCTTCAATCCACCCTCTGACCATCTTCTCCCAATCTTCCCTCTCTTTCCCAGCCTGTGCACCACTCCACTCCAGCACACCTACTTCCACCTGGACGTTGCTTCCGTTCAGCGCCTGCAACGCCTCTAGCACCCCCTTCTTCTCTTCTGCTGCTTTTCCAGCAGTCGTATCTACCCAACTGACCACCAGCACCCTCAACGCCTCCGCTTGCGCCAGAATCTCACAAGCCCTTTTGGCGCGATTTTTGATCTCGTTGCAATATGCTGCAGTCTTCAAACTCGGATAATCCGCCAACAAGGCGCCATCGAACCAAAACACCAATTCTACCTTTTCCAGTCTCTTTAGCACCGCGGAAGAAGCAAAGTTTGATAGAGTAGAGTCGATGCGGTAGAAATTGAAGGCGTGGCTGGCGATGAGTTTCCATTGAGCTGCAGAGTAGAAGTAGGTAAGGAGGTCTGAGGTGAGGGTTTGGCAGACCAGAAGCAGAGACAAGGGTGGTGGGGTGTGGGATACGCTGCTTAGGCCCACGTTTGGGATGGGGTTCGAGAGGGAAGTTGGAGGGCATAGGTGAGAGTAGATTTGGCGGCGGAGCTCGAGGGGGAGGGTGAGGAGGTTTGGAGGTTCTTGTTTGGGTGAGTGTCGTTCCAATATCTCTTGTATGGCTGGATCTTGGTTGTCTGTTGTGAATGTCATTGCGAGGCTGTGTTCGGTCGTGCTGATCGACTGGAGATAACGATGTATTGCAAGGGGCTCCAGTCGCTATACTGGAGCCGTCGGATGATGGGGAAAGATTGAGTGGGGTATGGTGAGGTCTAGGTATTCTTCCAGAAACGTGGGAACAGTAGTTGATATGGTAGGATGCTAAGGATATCGATCCAGAAGATCAACAACAAAGACCTACATGCTCGAAGCGATTCAAGATCATGACGGCCGATACGGAAACCATGACGCGAGAGAAGATGCGGGGAAGAAGATGAGCACTTTTCCAAGACACTTTCGGCGGACAATCTGATTACTTGTTGTAGTGTCATCTGTCAGATAAGACATGCTCGACTGGTTGTTTACGGAGCAGATTGACCGCTGTTCAAAAACACGGGCGACGATGGAAGCACGAAGGGCAGACAAGAAGAAGGAGAGCAAGTCGGGGTCTGTGCTTCGAAGCTTATCTGGCACGCGCCGCGAACACGAGCAGACGCGACAGAGCCGCAAGTTGAATGTTTTGGCATGACGAAGTGCATTTCATTTGTCTGGCATGATATTACCATGTCAATATCCGATAATGCTATCCATTCTTCACGGTCGACTACAGTTATCCCTACTCCTCCCGTCAACATACTCGCCGATCGGCTCTTGTCAAGGAAACGCAAGCGAGACGGAGACACGCCGCCGGCGAAAGCGCCTTCCCATCTGATCAAAGCCGCACCGCGAGCCAACGTCCCTGTGCACAAGGCCTTTGCAGACAGTCGCCCGCCGCTTCCTTCATCATTACCTCAATCATTTGTCGTTAGAGTAAGCCTCATCCTTCCCGCTCTTGCTCTGTCGTCCAGACTCACTGTCTGGAGCGTTACTGAATCCTCGCCAGTCAGTCGACAATGACAAACCGCTATCCTTTCGCATCCTCCGCACTCTTCCTCGCGCTGCTCTGCCCTTGAGCTACGTCAACAACTCGCGTTCTACTACTCGCGTCTTCTCTGCCCATCTTCCACATCTCGACCATGACGCCGAATCCCCACCGCTCGTCTTCATCGCTCGTCCCGAATCCCTCCCCGACCAGCCCCTGTATGCTATAGAAAGAGTTGGCCACAAGAGGTATGCACTGTGCAGGCTGGCTGCTTGGCTGGAGGATCATCACACCGCAGCACTCGCCTCAACACCGCCAACCGTGGCTGCACCGCTGCGACCACCGCCTCTCGACACACAAAATCAATATTGGTGGCAGCCTGCAGCCCTCCAAAGATCGTCCATACCGCGCGAACCGTCTCGTAAGGCGCCCCGTCTGTCGCTCTGCCTCCGTCTCCCACCACCCGCCAAGCCTACACCGCAGCCGGAACCCGGCGTCCTTCCACAACCGCTTGACCATCCTGTCATCCCAGACGAGACGTGCGATACGGCCGAAGACATTCTGGACCGCTTCATCTCACAGTACCTCGACACGCTCTACCTGTCCAAAACACCTCTCGCCTTCTTCACCAAGGGTCCTCTGTCGCGCTTACGAGCCGCCTTCACATCAGGACAGATTGAAGCCGCCACTCTGCCAGAACTGGCCCAATTTCTGCGAAGTCTGATTCCCTCGTCTTCGACAGCCGACAAGAAGTATCGTGACAAGCTCCCGGAGCTCCTGAAAGATCTGCCCTCGCAACACGGGGATCCCGAACACGCCCCTGCTGCAAAGAAAAAGCGACGGAAGAAGAAGCTCAAGCCTGACAAGTATGGCCTGCTCCCAGAAGAGGCTGTCTTCTTTGCCAAGTGGTGGTACCAGGATGAATCTTCTGCGCCATCTGACGAAACAGCCGAGCGATCGCTTACTCGCAGAAGTCGCCAGCTCCGGACCAGAGAGACGTTCATGCAGGTGGTTCTGGTGCTGGAGATTCTCAGTCTGGAAGCCCTTCCAGAATTCCAGCCGCTCCAGGAGCCAGCACCACAACCTAAGAGCAAGAAGAGCGACACAATCTTGACGAGGTTGGAGCTACTCTTGGACAAGCTTTGTATCTGGCATTCCCTGCACAGTGCAGACCTCTTGGGAGATGCTCCTAAGCCCGACAAGACGGCCAAGGAAGGCGCCAACCAATTGCACAGCTTCTGTGTCGATGTCATCATACCTTTCTACATGTCTCGCACTCATGAGCACGCTTCCGCCGTCAACAAGAAGCTCGGCGGCCCAGGTGCTACCACAACATCCAAGCCGAAGCTCAGTCGTAAGCATTCCGAAGCAGACACCAAGGCTCCCGCCGACAAGAAAGCCCGTCGTCCGCTTGCTCGCGTTGCAACAGAAAGCTTCCCTCAGCCCGCCAAAACTCCTCGTTCCTTCAATCGCTCAGCCACAGACTCGCAAGTCTTTCCAGTCAAGTCCGAGACGCCAGAGGTCTCTATATCCTCCATTTCTGCCAGACGAGACAGCCAACCATCTTTGGCCCGCAAGAGTGACGTTCTGGGAAAACATCGCTTACTCCAGAGAGAGGTAGACTTCGGGGCCATCGCTGCAGCCAATGAAGCGAAAGCCAGGAAAAAGCAGGAAGTCGAGCAGAAACTCAAGGATGCCATCTCCACCCTGAAGAAGCCAAGCCGTGCCACTGTCTCTGGAGAGTTTGTGGACGCAGTCGAACAAAGAAAGCGCATGGCAGAAGGTAGAGCCAGACCACCCTTGCACAAACGAAAGTCTTCATCTGTGGCTCAGGTTGCCGCAACGCCAAAGAATGGTCACAAAACCTCCGCTATTGCTGCAACACCTCACTACATTCCAGCTCCCTCTTTTGGTCGTCCCGCAGTCCCATCTTCAGGCCCCTCAGTGGTTCCTTCATCCAGCACCAAGCAGAAATCTTTGTCTTTCGCCCACTTCTCTCCAGTCAATGAGGCCTCCGATGACGAAGGTACTATTCCCGCCACCGACCACAGGCCTCGACACAAAGATGCTCTTGCCGAAACCCCCTCCAAGCCCCGAGTAGCTTTCGCTTCGCTACAAGGTGCCTCTCCAGAGGATGAGGAAGAACATTCTGCGCATGTTGGACAGGACAGAGGAGATTCTTCTCCCTTACGTGAAAGTCCCACCTTGTTGAAGACACCGAGCAAGCCGCAGCGACCCACGTTCAGCATCACCCCAAGCAAGCCAACACCGCCATTGAATCTTGGGAGAGCCAAATCCAAGCAGGGTGTTGCAGTAATGCCTCTGAAAGTTGCTGCGACTGTAAACTCGAGGAACATGCTTAAAGTATCATCAGTCGTGACCCAACAGCAAAGAGCGGATGGAGATGGATCAAAGGATCAAACCGACAATATCTACGCAAATCTTGGATGGGATGACGAACTTGATGATGAATAGTCTTATGTATAAATGCTTTACGAATATTGATAATCTCCTTCCAGGTTACCGCCGCCAATCATTACGCGAGTGATCGTCCTCAGATGATACAGAAATTCTGAGGTCGCAGGTATATCGCTCGCTACGAGTGCGTTGTAGCAGTATCTCATTGGTACACATGGCTGCGTGCATGGAGAGGTATCTCGCCGAGGGACGGGAGAATCCTCGCATGCTTCTTCTAAAAGCGAGGATATTTTAGGCAAGACGCCAAGTGTCCATGCGGAGCAGATTGCTTCCTTCCTGTCTCGAGTATATAATCTTCACGACGAGATTTTCTCTTCTTCATTCTTTCGTTCCAATCTCTTTATGCAGTAACATGCCATCTCAGTGTCAAAGAGTCACTCGCAGCCAGACCGGCATGCGCAGAAGTCTAGGCACGCCCCCAGGATTTGTCTCGTCTACCTCTCACCACGAGAATTCACATACCGGTCGCGAAGTTGCAGATTCAACCAATCATATCCAGCGATTACCTGCCGAGATCTTGTATACTGTCCTCAAGCTAGTCATAGATCGCGCGGCAGTTGGGGCATGGATCCATCATAAAGCTCAGTACGACAGCCTCGTGCTGGCCTGCAGAGACTGGGCAGTCATTGCATCGAATATCTGGTGGAAGACTCGGGCATATATTATCACTGAGGCTGAACCTCCGCTTGCATCCCTCGCAAGACTACCTCTCGAGCGCCAACAATGGTATGCCAACAAGATTCAGCATCTTGATCTGAATGGAACCAACGCTGCTGATTTTATCGTTGCACTCAAACTCAGCTTCCCATTACTAAGGACTCTGGACATAGTAGAGTGGTCGCATCACGAAGTTGGTTTCGTCTGCCTGGCCTCTCAGTTCATACGACAAAGTCTGCTTGAACTGAAACTCTTGCGTACATGTCGGGTGGACGATGTTCTGACGGCGCTGCTTGACGCCCCCAACCTTCGTACGCTCGAATTGTGTTGCAAAATGCCGCTTGCGACGTCAGACAAACTCCTGAATGCTATGAGAACATGCTTACAGCTTCGAATTCTGGCGCTTGACTGGACCATCGAGCCGATCATCACCAAGGATGTTCTTGCTGCAATCGCCTCTCTGCCGTATCTGACAAATCTTCGTCTACCTTGTTATGAACTTACGTCCGAGGTCAGCAAGTATGTGCTAGCTGCGGATACATCTCTGTTCTGCAGTATCACTCGCCTGGATCTGGGAATGTTCCATTCGACGGCGGTCAACTTGCTCGGCGGGATCTCCACGCTGAGATCCTTATCGCTTGGTATCATTGGTGATGCGCCTGTCTTGCATGTCCTGGCTACTATTTGTAGCCTCCAAGACCTTACGTTGCGCTTTCGTGATTCAGTGGCCATCGGATACCCAGAATGGGAACGCTTGACGACATTGAAAGATCTACGCAGCATTGGCATCTCTTCGTGGGATGATTCTGGATTTTCGCAGGTCGATCTATCATCGATTATGAAAGATGAGTTCGTGTTATTCTTCCGAGCACTGCCACAACTGAGCAGTCTTTGGATCAACGCCGCGATCTCGAATACTGCTCAATTATATATTCAAGCTGGGGAGATCTGCAAGAGCCTCAAATCACTTGGTCTCCGTGGGCAATTCGATAGCACGATGTTGCTCGAATGCCACACATGTGATAATCCTTTGTACCCAACTCTAGAATCACTTTGGGTACATCAATTCATCGAGCCACAGGACAAACACATACGGTAGCTACTTCGATATTGATTGTTTAACAGAGAGGCGATGCTGACCGTCTTGCTTTATAGAGACGAACGAGTTCGTAGTGCAGCACTCTTACTTCGCAAAGCTGCGCCCAAGCTTTGGGTTCTGCACGGTGGAACGCAGACAGATCGACGGCTCGACGACAATGGTCCTTTTGCGATTGACAGGGACGATTTCACGGCTTGGGTCGAGTCGAGCCACAGGTCGATACGAGAGGAAGAAAGAAGGAAGTATCTGGATGAGAAGTACGGCAAGAACAGGCGTAGTGGGATGCCGATTGGTACATATGTCTAGAGTTGTCAAGGTACATGGTCTTTTCCACGGCGATACTCACTCAAAACATTGATGACGCGATGGCTCGCTATTCGAAGTACGATTTCTTCCACTCCGTTCCCTACAACAATGGTTTACGAAGGTTCTCCGACGAGGATTTTATCCTGGAAAGCCAGCCAGAAGAGTTTCTCGAGTTGGCCTCCCCGCGAGGACCAAAGCGCGACTAACACAATCCAGATTGTGCTAAACAATAACGTCACACCCAAATTGGCAGCCAATGAGATAACCTCAAGCTACGAATCCCGTCTTGTTGACGGTAAGACAGACTTATGATCGCTGTGGAAGCTAATCTGCCTTGCAGTCTTGCATCCACGATTTACGAATCTGAGCCTCGAGAGGCTTGCTGGGGTGCGTGTACATACCTCACGCTCGCTCGATGTCGTAGTGGATCACGGACTCATATTGTAACAGGACAGCAACTATCATTATCGACATGTTCAAGAGCGAGACGCTTCCTATAGCATAAGCCGGCATACAATGAGGATCTCTCTTGTCTCCTATGCTCTACATGATCTATAACGCCAACCTAGTAGAGTAGCCTTTTGACAAGAACTAAGAGGCACTAGAATCTGTAGACGACTACTCGGCGTAGGTAGTAGGGGAAAGCACAGATGATAACATCCGATCCCTACAAAGAACAATCATCCCGAAGGCAGAAGGATGGACATGAGAAAGTAAGGCCATCTTTGAACCCTCAAAGACGGGCCTCATCCAATCAATTAGTCTATCAGTAGCGTATAAGTGCTTTGCTCTAGGAGGGCACTCGACGTCGCAAAAGAATGGCAGGCATACTAATGTGAAAACATCCTCTATTGGCCAAGTTAGGTACGACCAAGGTTGATCACAAATTTACTCCCGCTGTGGCCGTCGATCTCCCACTATGATTGCACGCCGTTCCTGGCTATGGCATGTGTTGGTAGTCCGAGCCGACCAGTCAAGGTGTAGTCCGAGGGCACCAATCACCTCTTGCCAAGACCAACAACCCAGCTTCCTGGAGGATCTGATCCTCTGCAAATCTCGTTCTTGGGAGAGCTCAGCCTCGTATACCTCTTCGACCATCTGTTGATTGGAAAAAGATCGGTCACGACACGCTGGGGCCTGGCTGGGAGGTGGGTATAAAGGTATCTCCTCAGCTGCCCCTAATAATGACATTCTATTGTAGCTTTGTTTCCATTGGCTTTCTTCCTACCTTTTCTTCTTATTCCTCACAGGCAATAGCCCACCACTGTTCTGTACTTTGGGTGCCATGCTTGCACACAGATTGTACCTTCGTTTGGCAGCAGCCATGACTTTGTTCAACATCAATGCTGTTGCTCAAGCTCCTCCCACATCTCAGGGCTTGACGTATATAAACTCAACCATCCACCCAGGCGCATCCATCTCTTTCAAGCAAACCACCATCTGCGAGACCACTGAGGGCGTGAGAGGATGGAGTGGCTACGTCAACCTTCCTCCTTCACCTCAAGAAGGTCGCAACTACCCAGTCCACACCTGGTTCTGGTTCTTTGAGGCTCGCAAGGATCCTGCGAACGCGCCCTTGTCGCTGTGGCTTCAAGGTGGCCCTGGCGCACCAACATCAGTGTCTGCTGTGAATGAGAATGGCCCTTGCAATTTGCTCAACAACTCGAGAGATTCTGTCATTAATCCTTGGTCTTGGAGCGATAAGGTCAACATGCTATACATCGATCAACCGGTCATGACTGGCTTCTCATACGACTCATTGATCAATGGTACCATCTTTGAAGCTTTGTCTCCATTCGCAGTTTTGCCCGCTCAGGTTCCGAAGAATGACAGTTCGCTCGCTGGAATCTTTTCCTCTGGAGATAAGAGCTCGACACCCAATAACACCTTAGCTGCTGCACCTCCGATGTGGGACTTTATGCAGATTTGGCTGCGAGAGTACGATATTCTGCTGTATCTGTTCTCCATTACCACTGACACTCATATAGTTTCCCAGGGTATTCTGGTAATAAGCAAAAGTTTAGTATCTGGGGAGAGTCTTATGGAGGACATTGGGTCCCAACCTTTGCCGACTACTTCTACAAGCAAAACGACCGCATCAGCTCTGGCGAGCTGAACGGGACACTACTCACCATCGAATCGCTTGGCCTAATCAACGCTTGCATTGACGCCGAGACTCAGATACCCTTCTACCCTATGATGGCCGCCAATAATACCTATGGTCTCAAAGTCTTCAATGACACCACATATGCTTCCTCCAAGGCAGCTCTTCCTGAGTGCTTGAACCTCATCAAGACCTGTAGAGCTATTGATCAAAGACTCAATCCTGATGGGTTTGGCAATGACACAGATGTGAATCAGGCATGCAACAAGGCTTATGAGTATTGTTTCAACTCTGTTGCTCGAGAGACTGCATTGGGCAACATCGAGGGTTACGATGTACGTATATGCTCGTCGCAATATCGACGTCCCAAGCTGACTCATTGACAACATTCAGGCATTCCACTTCGATATCGCATCGCCATTCATTCACAATTTCCCGCCACGTTGGGCAGCTGGGTATCTGAACAATGCTACCGTGCAAGCAGATCTTGGTGTTCCTCTCAACTTCACCGGCTTCTCCGCGGTCGTTGCTCAAGAATTCGAGGCTTCGGGTGATTTTCTCAAAGGCAATGGTCTTGCCATCCTTGGTCAAATGCTTGACCGTGGTGTCAAAATATCTTTGCTATATGGAGATCGCGATTATCAGTGTAACTGTAGGTCGTTATCTGTCTCTATGGCCTGTTCGCGGCTGACGGTGTGGTATAGGGTTTGGCGGCGAAGCCATCAGTCTTGCCATCAATTCCAGCATCTCAACCTCCTTTGAGAAAGCAGACTATACTGATCTGGAGACTAATACCTCATACATCGGTGGTTTGACAAGACAATACGGCAATCTCTCATTCAGTCGTATCTTCCAAGCCGGTCACGAAGGTAAGTCTCTTCTTCGCTCCTAGCACTTACTTTCTCATCCCTGACCCAATCTACACAGTGTCGTATTACCAACCCGAAACAACATATCAAATCTTCAACCGTGTCCTCTTTGACCGCGACGTCGCGACCGGTCTTGTCTCTACCCTTCCGACCTCAAATGCTTCAACCTACGCCACAACAGGCTCCTCTTCCGCCCTCATCTCTGTTGGTCCTGCTATCAAATTCGAGTCCGATGCTCCGTCTTGCTATCTCTGGGATATCATGGAGACGTGTACACCTGCCCAGACCCAGCTGTTTAAGAACGGAAGTGCCATCACTGAGGACTTCATTCTTGTGGGGTATACGTTTGGGGATGGCACTAAAGTGTTCTATAACCAGAGTGAGGGTGCTGGGAGTGGTAATGAACCATCGCCACAGTCGTATGTTCCTGCCAATGGAGCGTCGCGTGTTTCTGCGATTTATCTGGAATTGGCTGTAATGGTTGCCCTCAGTGTCGCTGTGGTCATATAGATTTGAGATGTAGAGTTAGGCACGTGTGATATCGTGTATCGAATTGGAAATCAAGCAGGCGACCTCCGCTCCGCTATCGTTCATGTAGTAGCGGTGTAACAGTGTGATCAGCCAATAGTAGATCGAACCTTGCAACACGAAACATTACTTCTTCACCGAGCGGCAGTCAAGTCTTATCTGTCCAGCCAAGCACAATCAAGCTTTGAGGCACGCATGCAGATCGGCGCGTCGCAGTTGGCTGCTTTAGGAAGGTGATTGGTCAGGGCACGAGAGCCGGTGTATGCAAGTGACCGAGTCCGTTCGCCTCGGTCAGGCACAAGGTGCAACTCGAGCTGAATCTTGATGTTGCCATGTCGTGATACGTGGTAAATCTCATGCAAAGAAAATCAACAACTCTGGCAAGCGGTTTGGGCAGGCGAGCTCCTATGTCAAGACGAGATATGTGACTCGGAAGGGACTATAAAGACCTAGATCTGACACCCAGGTACCATCAGACACTTCCGTCATCGACATACTCACCCAACATGCCTCACCTCTTCACCCTCGCCGCCGTGCTCAGCACAGCTTTCCCTCTCACCAACGCTTGGGGCACACTGGGCCATGAGACCGTCGCCTTCATCGCCCAGGATCGCATGGCTGCTCATACCGTCTCCTGGGCTCAGAGCGTCTTGGGCAATACCAGTACTTCGTACCTGGCGGGGATCGCTGCCTGGGCTGATACATACCGCTACACTGCCGCTGGAGCTTTCAGTGCTCCGTTCCACTTCATTGACGCAGAAGATAGTCCACCAACTTCGTGTAGTGTGGACTATGACCGTGATTGTGGCGCTAAGGGATGTGTCGTCAGGTACGTGTTCCAGACATCTCTCTTTGCCTGGTCTCTGGCGGCTGATGATTTCTGTCTTTTGTGATGAACAGTGCCATTGCAAACTACACCCAACGTGTCGTCTCCACTACTCTGAGCAAGACTGAGGTCAATGACGCCCTCCGCTTCATCGTGCACTTCGTTGGCGACATCCACCAACCCCTCCACGACGAAGCCCTCGAAGTCGGCGGCAACGACATCGATGTCACTTTCGCCGGCGCCTCGACAAACCTCCACCATATCTGGGACACTGAAATTCCTGAAAAGTACACCGGTGGTTACTCTCTCGCTGATGCTAAAGCTTGGGCGAAGACGCTCAATGCGGCTGTTAACAGCGGTATCTATGCTTCGCAAGCTGCAAGCTGGATCAAGGGCTTAGATGTCACTGATCCCAAGACCACTACTCTGGGTTGGGCGTCTGAGGCCAATGCATACGTCTGCTCCACTGTTATACCCGACGGCCAAGGTGCAGTGGAGAATGTGGATCTCAGCGGGGCTTACTACAAGTCAGCTATCCCGGTAGTCGAACTCCAGATTGCAAGGGCTGGAGTCAGACTGGCTGCTTACTTGGATGCTGTGGCGAAGAATCAGAAGGTGCTGTCCAAGCGGCTTGCCGAGGATGAGGTGGATCTGAGTGGAGGGAGTTTGTTGCCTGCTGATAGACCGCTGAGCAAGGCGAAGTTGGTGAGAGAGGCTGTTGGATATGGATGCAAGCATTGATCTGAATGTGTCAGGCTGCAAAGGATGCGGGAGTTGGAACAAGTGAATGTGTTGGTATGTCAAATCATCAATTGACAATGAGCATCTGTGGTCGAATTGTGGTTTTACTTGTTATCGAATCCCGGTCTTGCTCTTGAGCCTGCTTCTTTGCTTATCGAGTTCGCGGTGGCAGAAGCCATACGAGCTTCCAGCTGACTGGAACACTTTTCGTGCGCTGGAACTTAAGCTTGTAGCCAAAGATAAGTGCATGTCTGCCAACGCAGATGAGATACAATTGTCGACATTACGACTTCCGTGCAGTACTGAGAAGCATCGAATTCCAAGAAAAACCAGCCTTCGAAAGCCAAGACCACCATGAAGTCCAGACCTCCCGTTTTAAGAGTCAAATTGAAGCTCAAACCAAGTCAGGAAGCTTCAAACCCCTCCGCGAAGGCTGAAAGGATTGATTACCTCGGCAATGATATGCGCGTCAACCTCGGACTCAGCACGCAAACCTGGTCAACAGTCTGCACAATACCTGTCGGAGTCGTTGCAGAGACCACGGCCGATGATCGGCGAGCACATATGCTTGGACAATTGCGAACTGCTTGCGACCAGTGTCGCTTCCGTAAACTAAAGGTGACAGGCACCCTGCGATAGCTCTAATCGCCACTGACACCGTCTTCAGTGCGACAACGGACGTCCGTGTGTACGATGCCTCAAGTCGGAATTGGCCTGCTCATACGAACAGAAGATCACACGCAGCAAGCGCATCGCGATTTTGCGCGGTCGGGAGACGGAGTCCATTGCTCAGGATACCACTGTCGTAGAGGCAGCAGCAACTATAAGTCACCATGATGATCAGGTTGTATCACCACAGCAGATCTCTCACTATGGTAATCTCGGATCGGGAGACGCATCGCCACCACGGAGCTCTTACATCGGTCATCCTCTCAAGTTGTACCGGACGAATTCTGGCCAGACATATCTCAGTCGTCATACAAGCACTCCGCCGCCCATCACGACCTTGGAGGATACTGCTTGGCCAACCGCCATCTCTCACAACGACATCTTGCGTTGGATAGATGTCTACTTCGACCGACTGTATCTTACCTTGCCAGTCGTCAATCGCACGGCCTTGTACCAAGATCTGATGCTCGGCAGACACAGGGAAGATGCTGATTTCTCCTCAATGATCCTGTCCATCTGTGCGTTAGCCATCACGCAGCCTGTCCTTCGCGAGGAGTATCAATTCATGCCTGCAAGGCGCGAGCTAGCAACCAAGATGCTACAAGCTGCTCTCGGTCTTCGCAGATTCGACTTTGGCGAGAACGTCACGGTGGAAGGCGCCATCGCAAGCTTCTTCATATTTGCAACCCTCTTCGGTATGGGCATGCACAAAGCTGCATGGCTACGACTGCGCGAGTCTGTCGAGTGTGGAAAGCTTCTCGGCCTACATCAACCGCAAACCTACGACGGTCTCGACACTCAGGTAAAAGGTCAGCGCTTCAGGTTCTTGCTCATCCTAGCCGTGACGGAACGCGGGTTCGCATTGCAACGGAATCACACAATCAGCATCACGGGAAAGCATGTGAATGACATGAAAGGGATGTACTTGAACATTGCTGCCGAGGCCATGTCCGACACTCACGACATCTACATTCACGACGACAAAGACCTTGTTGCTGTCCAGGGGCTTCTCCAACTCATGAGGTTGTTCGATGCTATCGATGAACAGGTCATTCCCTGTTGGAATCGATCATGCGCACCGACCTTGCAAGCATGTCAGAAACTCACCATAAATCAGGTCGAGAAGGTTTACCACTCTGTCGCAGAGGCTCTCGAACCAAATGGGTCTTCCCCTTGGATCGACAAGCCACCGTCTCTCAACGCCTCACAGTGGGCTGATTGCTTTGTTCTTCAACAATGGCTGCTGATGCGTATGTGGGTTTCTTGTCTCACGCACGAACTTCTCGACAGCAGCTCCGAGCTGATATTCATGCATCCATCTTTCGTACTCGACATTGCAGAGAAGGTAGCCAGTGAGTGCGTGGCTCTGGAAACGGATATACTTGAGGTTCATGGCAGCGGCATGATTGAGCGGATTCACGACATTGCGATGGGTGTCATCATGGCTGCACAAGGGTATGACGAAGTTGTGGATATTCAACGCACACAATTGATTCTGGGCTCGTACATACAGCTATTGAGGCAGTTTCGAGACCAGGGCCGTCCTTTCACCACGGCACTGGAAACTGCTCAGCTCTCAATCATCGGCTAGAACCCCTATACATCAACATCCTCACCAAAACTCCATACCAATCCCTATACAGTATGTGCTTGGCAGAGCATTCAGACAAATCCTGCCTAAGCCTTCACGTCGGAAGCCTCGAGATGATCCACAATCTTTGCTTCCTTGCTCTCGGGAGAAGTCTGGTAGCTCTTCCATTTTGTGACAGGCACCTTTGCTTCGTACATCTCTTGGATTTCGGCAAATGTTCGTCCCTTTGTCTCAGGCAAGAAGCATGTGTACACGGCGAGGATGACTAGTACACAGCCACCGAAGATGAGATATGTCTTGGCACCGAGGCTGCAGATGCAAGTTAGCACAGATATCGACATCATAGTAACTGTAGCGCGACGAGACTTACCCTGCGGCGCCGGGTCCGACTGTGACAAGATGAGGCACCGAGAAAGTGGTGAGCACAGCAGTAGTGTATGCGCAAGCCAATGTGTAAGAAGTGGTAATGCTGCGAAGACGAGCCTCGGGGACCTCAGTCGGCAGGACTACCGAAAGTGGGTAGAAGGAAGCGGCCCAAAAGACGTTGAAGAGGAAGGATAAAATCGCAATGGCGAGTGGGACATTCTTCTCGTCAGCATAGAAAGCAAGGACACCGGCAATGAGGTCAATAACGAATAGCACCGACATTCCCACAATAGCAACCGGACGACGACCAAAGTTCTCGATGATCAATGGCGCAATCATAGTACCGGCGAGTACACAGCACGAGGCTGCAATGGTCAACTGGAATGGACTTCCAACACCGAGATCTGTCAGGAAAATTGTCGCGTATGTAGTCGACAGGATGATACCAGAGACTTGGTTGACCGAGTACATGGAGCCGGCGACCAATGTGCGCTTGATGTTCTTTCTCTTGAAGAGATCAAAGAATGAAACACCAGTAGTCAACGCAACCTCGGAGTCGTGAGCCTGCTTCATGACGTGAAGCTCATCATCAACGAGAGCATCGTCGAAGGATCTCAGCTTGCGCAAGCTGGCTCTAGCTTCTTCGGCACGACCATTCATCAGAAGCCAAAGTGGCGATTCGGGTACGAAGGCCGTTAGAGGAATCAGGATTGTGGGAAGGATTGCTTGTGCGCCCAGAGGGATCTTGAATGATGACTCGCTGGCGAAAGTGTGTGTCTTGTTACAGATGACGGTCGCAATGACACCAGAGATGAGGTTGAAGATGTTGCTTGCGCTGACGGCGGGTCCACGGTATCTGGCTGGAACGACTTCCGAAAGGTACAAGATGGAGATGGTGGTACCGATCGAGATGAGGAAGGCGTTCATGAAGCGACCGCATACAAAAGCTGCAAAATTGGGAGCGAATGTTTGGAGGAATGTCCCTGCGTAGGAGAATGCATAAGATCCAACGATTGGCCATTTGCGACCAAACTTTGTGGTGAGGTAGCCGGAGAATGCAGCTCCAAAGATGGCACCGACGAGTGGGACTGAGAAGATCAGGGTCTGGTTGCGAGCAGAGAAGGCATAGGCGCCCTCGGCGTTCTTGCCTTGGTACTTCTTGACCTGTCGCAATGAGTGATGAGTGTTTTGTTCATCTGCAAGTCAACTTGTGATTGGAACAAAGACTCACGAATTGTTCCATGGCCGCGACGGAACCAATGACTTTGTCATCGTATCCATAGAGAACAGATGTTGCTTGGAAAGAGATCAAAGCAAGGATCAGCATAGGGCTGAAGACCTTCTTCGACTTGACGTCCGAGGCCAAAACGACCTTGCGGTCCGCCGAGTCGACATGTAACTCGTTGATGTCGGTCATGCCTTTGTCATCCATGGCTATTGTTGATCAAGGTGTTGATGAGAGAAGTTGTATTGTCGATCTTGTTGCTGATCCGAATGGTTTCGAGACAAGCCTGGATGCAGGTTATATGTTCCCCGGATGGGGCTCCAGATCGTTCCCCAGAATGGATGCTCTCCGCACAGTCGGAAATGCGTTCTCCCAAGCTTTCGGGCTCCTCGGACATCTCGGACAGGGTTCAGCATGAGAGCACATGCACGTGATGCAAGTATTTCACGCATTTCACGCCCGTAAGAAGCCACTTTTGCGCCGTTTGCACAGTCGAACGTGCCGCGCAACAGCTCCGAGATCACCGGCAAAAGCTGGTGGACAGATGGCGCCCGACATCGCCGACAAGAGCGAGTTCTGGCTGAGGTCCGAGATCAGCGACAAGCATTGGAGCAGGCGTAATTCCGAGATCACCGGCAAAGGCAGGCCTTAGCGCAGTATGTCGAGATATGAATAGGGAGCCATTCAGGGTTTCGTCTTTCGCTCTCTTTTCTCTGGGAAACTTTCGCAATGGCTACCGCGACAATCATTAGTACACTTCACCCGCCTGACAGAACATCTTTGAAGCCTGAGACGTTCGTTCACGCACATGCTATCGAGGACGACTACCAAAAATGGCGCCCGCGCTTTCACGTTATGCCCATCAAAGGCTGGATGAATGATCCGTGCGCTCCCGGCTACGACAAACAACGTGGGCTGTATGTTTTGAGCTTCCAATGGAATCCCAAGGCATCTGTCTGGGGCAACATGTCATGGGGTTCTGCCACCTCGAAAGATCTCGTTACTTGGACCATCTCCGACACGCCCTCAATGATTCCAGACGCGCAAGACCCATGTGGAGTATTCACCGGATCATTAATCCCGAACTCAACAGACGTCTTCTACACTTCAGCACATCAACTACCCATCAGCTACCATCTGCCATATACAAATGGCATGGAAAAGCTTCACCACGCAAGCTTGAGTGACTCCGGCAAGACCTGGCGCAAAAATGGAACTGTCCTAGCCGGACCGCCTGAAGGTCTGGATGTAACAGGCTGGAGAGATCCTTTCGTCGGTCCTTGGGCAGAGATGGACTGCGCACGCGGTGTGCAGGCAGGTTCGAGCTGGTATGGCATGCTCTCAGGAGGCATTCGCCACACAACACCCACTGTCTTCCTGTATAGCGTTCAGCCCGACGACCCTACTGATTGGACATACCTTTCTTGTTTGACCGACGTGGGCTTACATTTCGAGCCTTCACGTTGGACAGGAGACTATGGCGTTCACTGGGAAGTCGCCAGTGTAGTTACCTTGAAAGACCAGCACCAAACATCGCGCGACATCATCATCTTGGGTGCTCAAGGTCTTGTCGAGGACGATATCGCAGACGAAGTGCCACTCAGCACGAACAACACATCAATGTGGATGACCGGCAAAGTTCAGCCAAACGCGACGATGAGATGGCAGCATGGTGGCGCCCTGGATCACGGCTGTTGTTATGCTGCCAATGGGTTCCACGATCCTGTGACCAAGCAGTTTACCCTCTATGGCTGGATCTTTGAAGAAGACTTGCCGCAAACTCTGGTTGACGAGCAAGAATGGAGCGGCTGTCTGTCGATACCCCGTGTACTATCTCTTCGCTCGTACCAAAATGTCACTGCGCTTCGTTCGAAAATTGACGACATCACATGCTTCGAGAGGACACCATCAAAGGATCTCACTGGCTTTGATGTCAGCGTGCTGACCATTACACCTGATGCTCGTCTCAAACAATTACGCCGAGGGCGACTACCGATGAAGTTCACCAAACCACATGCGCAGCTAGAGTGCAGACTCACATTCAACGTCAACGACTCAGCTGTCGGCTTCGAGCTCCAGCACTCCGCCACGGAAAAAACGACTGTAATCTTCGACCCTCGAACTGAAACGATGACCGTCGACAGGTTCATGTCAAGCTACAGATCAGGTATCGTCAAGACGTCCAAGAAAGCGCCTCACACTCTCTTCCGTTACTCAGATGGCAGAATCGAGCACTTGGAGTTCGTTGTCTATTACGATACGAGCGTGGTGGAGATCTTCGCCAACGATCGCACTGTATTGACGACCCGCGTCTATCCGGAGTCTGGAGCATGTATTGCAGTCGAACCTTGTTGTAGCACAAAGCCAACGCATTGCGAGATATGGACCCTTGGCAGTGCGACGACGTGGTATCAATCTGGAACTTAGATTGCTGTGCTCTATAGAAATGTTTTGGCCAAGCTAGCGAAGCGACAATATGCATAAAGGAGACTTTCCAATGACCACTAGAGACACTTGAGTAAGCGGGTGCCTCGCAGCCGTCTTACTCGTGTTCATCGAGCACGTCCATGAGGCCTTGTCTATATAGAAGTGAAAGCACATGACCATCAAGTGATTGATGTTACGTCCCAGCGATGTGCACCAAGTCGATAACCTCAATTTGAGATTCCAAAAGCTTATTCTGCACTAAGTCCAACATAGGAGGGTGCCAAACGGTTTCGAAGGATCACGCTAATGACTAATCAAGCTCACAATCGTGCCCTGATTCCCACCGTGCCAAACTCATCGCCAGTGTTCAAGCACGAGCTGTGTGACTCGACGCCGCTGGAAAAGCCGCCTGTCACTCCGATCCGCGAACTTTAGGACTTGATCGAGATGGCTGACAACTCATGTCTAGACGCCGTTCTCCCGACGTCGTGGCAACTCTGGGACCTCATCCTTTCGCATCTCCACGATGCCCCAATCTCGAGAATGATCGTCGAAGGGACACACAAGGGAGTGTCGCAGTCAGGCGGCACTTACACGAATCATGATCTCTATTACGCCATGGACAATCCGCAGCGCGCGAAAATAGCTTATGTGCGCCTCCAAGACAATTTAGATTACAGCATACTGCAGAACCACATCTTACCCCCCCTGGACTGTCTCGAGAATCAGATCGAAGTTCTGGCATCTCTGCTTATCCAGAGGTTTGAAGAGCGTGGACTATGGTATGGATCAATATCCCATGGAAACTGTCCCTTCAGTCAAGCGTGAGATGAGCTGATAGTCAAGCGACTCTAGTCAGATTTTCCTCCACCATGAGCCCGCCAGCCTGGCGATTCAGCACGCCGCCATTGATTTTGTCAAATCGCGGTGCAAAAGTCAAGGATATAACGGTGACCTCGATGTGGCATTCGAACGGCGGCCCCGGCTGCCTCGCATTGTACCTTTGCTTGACGGGATGTCACAAGTGCCTCAGTATGACGATGGCGTCTCTCTGCACGTTGGTTGGCAAACTGCATGGCCGGTAGTAAAGTATCCTGACGAAGGGTCTGATCACTGTAGAGACAAGTCGTCGGGTTCCAATTGGTGGTCCGCGTTAGATGAGGCGGTTCTGCGCGCTGTTAACAGAGATGTTTAACCAAGATATGGGATAATACCGCTGTGTGACACTTCAAAAGGCTCAATTTCGAAACCGAAACTCAGCGTGAGCCTTGAACTACTGGGTCCTCTTGACGGTGTCAACGGAGGGAGGAGACACATCCATTGATCTCGGTGTCTCATCGCCTGGGCGGGAACTCTTGTCACCGTATAAGTAATAGCATATGATATCTCGGGCGACCCATATAAGAAATGACTGATGTTTATGCGGCTAACGCACCTTGACTTGGCATAATCGTTACACCCTTACTCCCAATCTGAACTGTCTGAGACCGGTCGGAAGGATTTTTTCGCGCCTGCATCCTTCCATCGCTCTTTCTCCCAAACAACACAACTTTGATTTCAGGGCATTATCCTTACGCCATCATGTGAGCAGTATGCTGCGCAGCACCCGTAAATGCTGAGGTATGTCCGGCTCAAACTTTCTCCAACACAACGATCCATCACAACACCGAAACAACCTCTAGGCGAAAGACCGGATCATAGCGTGTCAAGACTTCGGCGGGGATAAAGAATCAGAGTCGCTCGGCATTGTATTTCTAGACGATGTTTCACGTTCTTACAACTTCTCCAACGAGATCGGGAAGAACACGGACTCGCCTGGGGCTCCTTTTGCTGGCATGAGTCAATACCAATGCTACGTGCTATTGCGGATAATCATTTAAGCCAACGTTACCAATCCTGAAAGCGAGGTCCGTGATGACATGTTCGCCATCTTCGACGAACGATCGCTTGTTAACGGCACGTTGTTGCTCGTGGATCCGCCTGAGGAAGAAGATCCACCTTTCTCATGCTCAGTCCGTATCTTCTCTCAGCTCATGGGTTTGCGTTTGGCTTTGTGGGCGGCAGATTCCAGTAGCACCTGGGAGGATAAAGGTTGGGCTCAGATAATTAGAGGAGTTTTCCAGTCACGCTGGGATCAGTGAATCTCTACATAATACAAGTAGAGGGTTGTGGGTTGGATGATGTAACCTTGGTCTGGAGTTGTTACCGTCTACGTGCACGGACTGTCTAAGACTCCTAGGCTAGCCGCGGCCTCTACGTTGCCCTTTGAGGTTGTCATGCGCTTATGTATGTACCGCCTGGCATTTCCCATCGAGAATCTCGAGTAGCTGTCAGCAAAGTGGCTAGCGAAATCCTGCTTGTTCGAACTCGCGGTTGACGCATTTCCGGCTGATCTGACTCACAGTTGGTGGCGTTTGACGAGCGGCGTCGCCTCACCCTCGTCATTCTGGTGGCGCACCGCAGGCGCTGCAGTCACTTTCTGCCTCTTGATAGTTGGGTATTTAGTTCCTCCACCACACCACTCGACGGACCTTCATCCACCAAACGCACACCACACTTCCCGCCCACTGCGCGCGCCAGTAGGCTTCGTAATTGACTCATAATAATGGCCGACGGACAAGGACTTGATGACATCGATGCTGGTAAGTGTATACATTTTGCAGATTTTTTGTACGTTGTTGACAAGTTCCTAGCTGACATCGAGTCCAACTACGATGAGACCATTGACTCCTTTGATGCTATGAATCTCAAGACCGACCTTCTGCGTGGAATCTACGCGTATGGTTCCAAGCGTCCGTCTGCATTCCAGCAGCATGCTATCATGCCAGCCATCAAGGGTGAGTACAAGTCGCAATATTATGCCAGACTCATGCTCACGATGTCGAAAGGCAAGGACGTTGTTGCGCAGGCGCGGTCTGGGTCTGGCACGACTGCTGCCGTCTCTATCTCTGTCCTTCAAAGGATTGATCCCGATGTTGAAGCATGCCAGGTCTTAATCCTTGCCCCAACTCGTGAGCGTGCACATCAGATTCAGAAGGTCATTGCTACTATCGGTGGTTTTACAGATATTGAATGCTACGCTTGCATTGGTGGTACTCGCATAGGGAATGATACAAAGGCTCTTCAGGATGGGCGACAGTCAGTAGTCATTGGCACCCCTGGCCGTGTCCATGACATGATCTACCGTCGTGCTCTCTGTACCGACAACACAAAGATGATCGTGCTCGACGAGGCCGATACCATATTATCCCGCGGTTTTGCTGAGCAAGTACACGACATCTTCGGGATACTTTGTCAGAGCACGACCACCCAGGTCGTTCTCTTCTCCGCTACCATGTCTCAGGACGTGCTAAAGATCATCACTGAGTTCACGCGTAACCCAGTCCGCATCACAATTGAGAAGTACGAGACTTGCCTCAAAGGCGTCAAACAGTTCTACGTTACCGTGAAAAACGAACAAGAAGACTGAAAGGTTGACAGCCTCTTCGACCTTCACAAGACCATCACTGACAGACAGGCGGTGATTTTCTGCAACACTCGTGGTAAGGTCGAATGGCTTACCGATAAGCTTGCTGCCCGCGACTTTGCTGTCTCGGCTATACATCGCGACATGGACGCGCCCCAGCGTAATAACAGTATGAAGCAATTCTTTTCTGGCTCTCACGTCCTGGTCGCTACCAACATGCTCGCCACTACGATCGACGTCCAGCAGGTCCCTCTTGTTATCAACTTTGATCTGCCAGCCAACCCAGAGGACTACATTCACCGTGTCGGACATGGCGGTGGCGGTCGACTCGGACGTAAGGGTATCGCCATCAACTTCGTGGCCGCTAACGAACTGCGCACGATGCATGGAATTGAGCAGTTCTACGGCACTCGAATAGAGAAGATGCCGACAAACGCTGCTAGTAAGTAATTCTTCCGCGTTCCATGATGTCGCAGTTACTAATTCGCTGCTTAGACCTCTTTTAAGCCTATAAGTGCCCTTATCCTACGAACACCTTCTATCCAACTAAGTTAGAAAATTTTAGCTTAAGATAGACTTATTACACTATAAGGAAGCAGTCGGTGTGGTGCTTTACAAGTCTAGGCAGCCGCTCGCTCTGCCTTTTCGTGCGAAGAATCGTCGGTAGAAAGACTTTCCGGGCGCTCGTACTGCAGGCTGTAACGCACCCTTCGCTGCGCAGATTGTCTGTACTTCCATTGTGGGACCCGCTCCATGCATCCGGTGGTTTGTGCGTTATCCGCCTCGCGGGTCCCGCAATATCTGGAGCATCACGATATTTTGATGCGAACGCCATCCGACGAACCCGAGATCTTGACCAGTTCTCGGTTCCAGTCTCGAGCGACAAACGTTACCGCCTTCTCAATCTCTTGTTCTTGGATAGTATACGATATGACATCCTTGGAAGTGATCATCATCGGGGGTGGACTCGCTGGGTCCTGCCTCGCAAATGGGTTGGTTAAGAAGTCTGACGGTCTTGTTCGAGTGACCGTTTTTGAGCGGGAAGAAGCTGGATCGGAGCGAGGAGGATATTAAATCAAACTTGGTTGGCATGCTCTCACTGGGTTTATGGCTTACCTTGCTGAAGAGCAATACTCCAGCCTGCTCCCACTATTTGGTCGATCTGGAGGTGTAGTCTCGTCTGCGCCATGCATTTTCCGGCCGACAGATCTGAAGATCTTACTGGACCTTAGTCAAGCTCCGCTTTACAAGAAAAGCGCGCCCATCGGTCGAGCAGTCCTGCGCGACTTCCTCCAGGCGCCTCTCCGAAAGCAAGACGTCATACGATATGGCAAGAAATTTGTCAGATACGAACACCTCGAAGGCGATGTGAACCAGCAAGATAGGATACAGGTACATTTTTCAGACAAGTCACAGCAAGATTGCGACATTCTCATTTCTGCAGAAGGCAGTGCCAGCCGCATCAACAAGCAGATTGGGCTCGATAACATCATCGAGGATAGTGTTCCAGGTCGAGGTGGTTATCTTGGTAAATGCAATCTTCCATCTTCAGTACTGGATACCCTAGCTAATAGGATACGAGGGTTGCACTACAACCCGTCCGAAAAGGGTTTCGCGGGGTTATGTTCTCGGCGCTTGGCGGGGTAAAAGTAAAATAGAACCCGTAGTAGAACCCCGATTCTGTAAGTTACGCTAATACGATCTAATATTCATTATACTATGCTAAAATGGATAGATTAATTATAGAAGATGATCGCACCATTTAAAATTTAAGTGTAAGTTATAGATAGATAGATATCTTCGCCTAAACATTATAGGTATAAGTGTGACACGGTTTACAGATTCGAACCCGCGACCTTCGGCTTATCTCCGGTTATCGCCGAAGCTAGCGCCAAGACCGAGGCTCGCACGCATGGCTTATTAGCAACTCGAGCCTCGCGCTCCTCTTACTCTAGTGCTCGATAGTCTATAAATTAAACTGCTATATCAGACCTTCTCATTCTATCGAGCTATACCTACGACACTATAACTATAAACCCCGACCGATAGCGCATTTAAATAAATGCCGCGCTCCGTAACTAATAAGACGGCGCGCTCCCTAGTACCCTAAATACGACTACTAAATAACTATAGAGACATAGATAACGCGTTATAGTAGATACCGAAGTTACGAACTAGTAAGTACTACTAACGGGCCGAGGGTTAGGGTTAGGGTTAGAAAAGACTTCTATTCTAGCTCTACTTAAGCTATACTTGCTTATCTAATTACCTAGGGTCTTTGGATTATATAAAGGAGAGAAGAA